AAGAAAGTAGGAAAAACCACTGGGCCGGTAAGATACAATCTAAATCAAATCCCTTATGAATACACAGTGGAAGTGACAAACAGGTTTAAAGATTTAGATTTGCTGGACAGAGTGCCTGAAGAACTATGGATGGAGGCTCGTAACATTATACAGGAGGCAGCAACAAAAACCATCCCAATGAAAAGGAAATGCAAGAAAGCAAAGTGGCTGTCCAATGAGGCCTTACAAATAGCAGGGGAGAGAAGGCAAGCAAAATGCGAGGGAGATAGAGAAAGATACAGGAAATTGAATGCAGATTTCCAAAAAAATAGCAAGGAGAGACAAGAAGGCCTTCTTAAACGAGCAATGCAAAGAAATAGAGGAAAACAACAGAATGGGAACAACCAGAGATCTGTTCAAGAAAATTGGAGATATGAAAGGAACATTTCGTTCAAAGATTACCATAATAAAGGACAAAAGTGGTAAGGACCTAACAGAAGCAGAAGACATCAAGAAGAGGTGGCAAGAATACACAGAGGAATTATACCAGAAAGATATGGATGTCTCATACACCCCAGGTAGTGTGGTTGCTGACCTTGAGCCAGATATCCTGGAGAGTGAAGTCAAATGGGCCTTAGAAAGCACTGCAAATAACAAGGCCAGTGGAAGTGATGGTATTCCAGCTGAACTATTTAAAATTTTAAAAGATGATGCTGTTAAGGTGCTACACTCAATATGCCAGCAAGTTTGGAAAACTCAGCAGTGGCCAGAGGATTGGAGAAGATCAGTCTACATCCCAATCCCAAAGAAGGGCAGTGCTAAAGAATGCTCCAACTACCGCACATTGCACTCATTTCACACGCTAGCAAGGTTATGCTTAAAATTCTACAAGGAAGGCTCAAGCAGTATGTGGACCGAGAACTCCCAGAAGTGCAAGCTGGATTTAGAAGAGGCAGAGGAACAAGAGACCAAATTCCAAACATGCGCTGGATTATGGAGAAAGCTAGAGAGTTCCAGAAAGACATCTACTTCTGCTTCATTGACTATGCAAAAGCCTTTGACTGTGTCGACCACAGCAAACTATGGCAAGTTCTTAAAGAAATGGGAGTGCCTGATCACCTCATCTGTCTCCTGAGAAATCTCTATGTGGGACAAGAAGCTACAGTTAGAACTGGATATGGAACAACTGATTGGTTCAAAATTGGGAAAGGAGTACGGCAAGGCTGTATATTGTCTCCCTGCTTATTTAACTTATATGCAGAATTCATCATGCGAAAGGCGGGGCTGGATGAATCCCAAGCCGGAATTAAGATCGCCGGAAGAAATATCAACAACCTCAGATATGCAGATGACACAACCTTGATGGCAGAAAGTGAGGAGGAATTAAAGAACCTTTTATTGAGGGTGAAAGAGGAGAGCGCAAAATATGGTCTGAAGCTCAACATCAAAAAAACTAAGATCATGGCCACTGGTCCCATCACCTCCTGGCAAATAGAAGGGGAAGAAATGGAGGCAGTGAGAGATTTTACTTTCTTGGGCTCCATGATCACTGCAGATGGTGACAGCAGCCACGAAATTAAGAGACGCCTGCTTCTTGGGAGGAAAGCAATGACAAACCTAGACAGCATATTAAAAAGTAGAGACATCACCTTTCCAACAAAGGTCCATATAGTAAAAGCTATGGTTTTCCCAGTAGCGATGTATGGAAGTGAGAGCTGGACCATAAAGAAGGCTGATCGCCGAAGAATTGATGCTTTTGAATTATGGTGCTGGAGGAGACTCTTGAGAGTCCCATGGACTGCAAGAAGATCAAACCTATCCATTCTGAAGGAAATCAGCCCTGAGTGCTCACTGGAAGGACAGATCGTGAAGCTGAGGCTCCAATACTTTGGCCACCTCATGAGAAGAGAAGACTCCCTGGAACAGACCCTGATGTTGGGAAAGATGGAGGGCACAAGGAGAAGGGGACGACAGAGGACGAGATGGTTGGATAGTGTCTTCGAAGCTACCAGCATGAGTTTGACCAAACTGCGGGAGGCAGTGGAAGACAGAAGTGCCTGGCGTGCTCTGGTCCATGGGGTCACGAAGAGTCGGACACGACTAAACGACTAAAGAACAACAACAACCATCAACTGGACCAGACTTTAGGATATATTGATGTGGTTGTGGTCCGAATTGTAATGATTCCCTTGCACATGGTAGTGACATTGCTAGGATCTGGAGATAGTTGTACCTATTGCCATGTTCACAGTCAGAAAGAGGGTCCTCACCACTGATTTTCTTACAACACAACATGCAGTTCTCATTCCCGTTGCTCCAAGCATTTCTGAACCACGCAGGGTTCATTCTCTTCTAGAAATTTCATTACTTGTAATGAATCTCCCCACAATCTGCCATTCTCCCCTTGCCTAAGTATGGTTATGAGGCAGGGGTTTCAGAGACTGCCCCATGAGTGCTGTGGCAAGGACTGATGCCTCTAGACCTGACCAGATGCTGATGATGTCATTGTATTCCAGAGTAGAGGCTGATCCAAGCACAATTTTATTCGGTTTTCTGGATTTCAGAGGATGTCTCTGAAGTCAATATGGTTACTTTGGATTAATGCCAAAGCGAATTTGTGTGGGTCCACCCATCCTTAATTATAACACATGCCATCTGCGCACTTGTGTTTTAAGCTGATATCATCATGCATATTGTGAGTGTCTTCAGGCTTGATGACTGCAATACCAAGTGATGACTTGTGAATGGCTGCATGTAAAACAACCACCATAAATCAAACATCATAATACTTTCTTAATCACTTGATGTACCTGAAAACAACACTTTCCTGTAAAAATAATCCATGTGTTCAGCTGCAAGGCACTGAATGCTGAGATATGCATGCTTGAAATAACCCTTTAAATCTTTCTGTCCTTTAGTCAATAAACCAGCTTGTGCTTCTTGGTTTTTTCAGTAAGGAATATACCCAAATTGCTGACTTCTTGCTTATTATCATCACACATTTCTCCTGTTCTGTTTGCTCCTCGTGTTTTTATTACAGGTAGTTTTATTTCCTTCCTGTGCTAACTTGGCTATTAGTCAGGTGCACTTTGGGGACCTAATTAAAAGGTTCTGCGAGTGCTCTGGACTCGGACATTTTTTCCCCAGTCAGAAACTACCATGTGTATTCCATTAGTGAATATAGGATAGCTACTAGCCTTGTGCCCCTAGGACTGAGTTACACAAATGAGTTTAGAATATTTTATTGTAACCTGTCTAGATAATATAGGCACCTCTGCACAAATGGCCTTTGATGCATTACTTTTAGGAAATATGTTATTTACACAGGTCTCGGGTTGTATATTTGCACAAAATTATAGAAGCTCTGAAACAGCTGGCTCGCAACACTATTGAATTGCTTGTAAGCAGGAGAAGGAAAGGAATAGGGAAAGAAAAATAGTAGGAGGCCAGTAATATACCAAAATATTGCCTCCTCTTCCACCTTCATATTTATCCATGTAACAGGATAAGGGCTTCACGTTTCCGTACTAATGAACATGTAGACCAGGGCTGGGCAATATCTGAGTTTTCGACATCGTGTTGTGTCAACATCGTGATATACTGATGTTTATACTGATGTCAGTATATCACGATGTCTGAAATAAGGATGGAACTATGTAGATGCAAACAGTAGGACTGAGTGATAGCTGGTTTTCAACTTTGTGATATATTACAATGTCTAAAATAAGGATGGAGCTATGTAGAGGCATTTGCTGGCTTCACAGTTTTTCCCACAATGTGATTTTTGCAAAGCACACCAACACATATATCATGATTTGCAGTAGATTGCCAGGTCAAAAACTATGAAACTGATATGACAATGTGGACTTCAAACTGGTTTTGGACAATGTATTGATATATTCCCCAGCCCTAATGTAGGCATGGCTTTAAATCACCGGCAATCAGGGCACCAAAACTGGTGAAGACCCTCTTTTTCATTGGTGAAGTACATGGAATTTGGACAAATTCTTGCATGGTTGTTTGAAGTACTGCACCGTGATGTTCTGTCAAGAGCATTTCATTGGACTTTTAATGGCTTACTATTCCTGGCCACAATGTTCACTATTCCAGTGTGTTTTGAAAGGAAATACTGCCTCAGCCTAAATGTCAACAGCACCGTAGCAAAATACTCTGAAAAGACATAACATTTGCTCTCTTTTGTTAATTATGAGATTGGCAATAATGCAGCAGTTAAATGTCTGCTGTGCCATTTCACTTGAAAGTGAATGTTTTGTAAGGTGTCAAGCGCCTTTTCATGTCTTCTTAAAATTGAGAGCAAGTATTAAGATTTTAAGAACTGTTTGGACTATTTCCCTGCACGTGTTAATTTTTTTGTATATTCTCTTAAATAGGATTGTTAGCTTTTGCACATGAGTTCCTCTCAGGAGCAATGGCATGGAAAAGAAGCTTTTAGCATCTTTTAATCCTGTCAGCCTTTTATCATACTGATTTACACAGTGATTTGCATATATTATCCTTAGGGATTAAACAGTCAGAAGAAGTGTGATTGCATTTAAATTTCACTGGTGCCTTTTGCCACCACCCTAAAATGTCCATGAAATATGTTTCATCACATTTCACATTGATGAATTTGTCCATCAGTTTTTGCCAAACCAGGACCTGTGGCCGGTTTCCAGCTGTACTTTAACCCAGAGAAAATATGGTGCTTTGATTTGCAGACGCACGGGAATGTTGTAGAAATGCATTTTGGACACTGGCCTTTTGGAAAATACTCTTTTGCAGATAGGAGCATTTGCATATACATAGGGTTGGAAATAAGTGAGCAGATTACAATTAATGTTTCCTTTTCAGTGCCTGAAGAAAATACAAATACATTGGAGAATATCTACCATATGCTAATGGTGTAATAGGCTAATCCAAATATAATTTGAAGCATCCTATTTGAATGGCCCATCTTTCAATCGTTCTGGAAATTTCCGATTTTCACACTGATTTGTTCCCCGTACTTTTTCTGTTTGCAGGTTACTTCCAGGACTTGTTGAATAAGTCCGAGAAGGCCCTTTATGACACATTTCCCAGTATGTACGGAGATCTATACACCCAGAACTCAAAGGTTTTCAAAGACTTGTATAGTGAGCTGCGGCGCTATTACCGGGGTTCCAACATCAACCTAGAAGAGGCTCTCAATGAGTTTTGGATTCGCCTGCTAGAACGGCTCTTCAAGTTGATGAATCCTCAGTACTACCTTCCGGATGAGTATGTGGACTGCATGGTGAAGCACTCTGAGCAGCACAAGCCCTTTGGAGAGGTTCCAAGAGACCTGAAACTGAAGGCAACCAGGGCCTTCATTGCAGTCCGCTCCTTTGTGCAGGGACTTGGTGTGGGCAATGACGTTGTCAGAAGGGTCTCTCAGGTAAGTCATTGGTGAGAATTCCTGGTTGGTCACCTTGCCTGAGGCATTTTCAGGACTCTGTCTTAATTAGCGCAGGTGATAATTATTTTAACAGCTCATTTTAACCTAGCAGTTCGAAAACACACAGTGCAAGTTGATAAATAGGTACCGCTCCGGCGGGAAGGTAAACGGTGTTTCCATGCGCTGCTCTGGCTTTGCCAGAAGCAGCTTAGTCATGCTGGCCACATGACCCGGAAAAACTGTCTGCAGACAAACATCGGCTCCCTCGGCCTGTAAAGTGAGATGAGCGCTGCAACCCTAGAGTCGTCTGTGACTGGACTTAACTGTCAGGGGTCCCTTTGACGTGCTTTCGGAACGGCTAGGTTGGCAGGAGCAGGGACTGAGCAACGGGAGCTCACCCCATTGTGGGGATTCGAACCACCGACCTTCCGATCAGCAAGCCCAAGAGGCTCTGTGGTTTAGACCGCAGCACCACCTGCGTCCCTTTTAACTGTAAATGACTGCTAAAAACATTGGTAAAGGCCGTAAGGCGATACATTTGCTACAAAGAGCACTATGCTCCTTTTTTCCTTTTTGATGCTGAAACACATACTCACATACTGCAGTTTATAAAACTAGGCGTTTTATAATGAAAAACTTTTCCTTATGAAAAGTTGTTCACTTTCCGAGCAGAAATGCACTGTGCTGTGTCATTTGTTGGTTATTCTTATATTATCTATTGATCTCATCAGACAGAATTGTTAGTAGAAGGGGAGCATTCTTCAGTGCTCTAAGTTCAAATTCAAGAGAAACATTGGGAAGTTGACAGTGGCTAAGTTTTTAATTTATAAATGTGGTATAAAATCGTTCAAAATTGGTTGTACATCCTGTTCTCATGACCCTTCAAGTAGTTTTTTTTAAGATTTAAAAAAGCAGGAGAATGACATAATTCAAGTGAAAGTAAGAAAAAGCTTATTTGTTTTTTTAATTGATATCAGTAGTCTTGTTCTAGGCCTGAATAAATGATCTGGCCACTTTTAACTATATTTCCCTCCTTCCCTCCATTCTCCTGTGCCTCTAGAGTCAGATGTGTGAAGATAAAATGAATTAAAAGGCCCACTGTTGGAGAATTATGGGTGTGGGGTTCCAGGAACCACTGTTTGGGCATCCCAAGCAGGAGTTGGGGCATCATGGCTTGACTTCTACATCTACATCTATCGATTTCTTAAAAGTTGAAGGTACAGCGGTACCTCGGGTTACATACGCTTCAGGTTACATACGCTTCAGGTTACAGACTCCACTAACCCAGAAATAGTGCTTCAGGTTAAGAACTTTGCTTCAGGATGAGAACAGAAATCGTGTTCCTGTGGCGTGGTGACAGCAGGAGGCCCCATTAGCTAAAGTGGTGCTTCAGGTTAAGAACAGTTTCAGGTTAAGAACAGACCTCCGGAATGAATTAAGTACTTAACCCGAGGTACCACTGTATTCAACCACCTTTCATTTCATTGGTTGCAGGAGCATTCCTCATATGGAACAGCTGTTTCCATTGACATTTATCGGAGCAGCTTGCACTTTCAAGAACTCCCATGTATGTATCAAAGAGCATGCAGGGCTCTTGACTGTGGATTGCATTCATGCCTCATTTGCTCTCTGCTCTTGTGGTACAGAAGTTATAGACTTTATTACCTCCATAGATTCTCCTTCTTCCAAAGATTGACCTCCAGTCACCAAGTGAGAAGTCTGCTTCCAGCAGATGAAGTAAAGTGTCATCAAACAAGAGGCAAAACATAACATGCAGGAGGTTGAAGAATCACTCTGTGTGTCTTGTTGGCAAGGCCATTAGCTATTAGTCTCTTATCCTAAAATATATTTGATGTCTAAGCCCAGGAAATCAATTTGCATTTTGACCCATATATGCATCTTCACCAGCAAACAAGGATATCATCCTATACCACTCCTCCTCTTTACAGCCATGATGATTCCCCTGTAAATTTAGTGCAAATAAAAGGAAGGGAAATGGGCTATCCGTAAAAGGGAATAATAATAATAATAATAATAATAATAATTGTCCAGTAGCACCTTATAGACCAACTAAGTTTGTTCTGGTATAAGCTTTCGTGTGCATGCACACGAAGAATCTGAAGAAGTGTGCATGCACACAAAAGCTTATACCAGAACAAACTTAGTTGGTCTATAAGGTGCTACTGGACAATTTTTTATTTTTATTTCGACTGCGTCAGACCAACACAGCTACCTACCTGAATGAAAAAGGTATGTGAGAGAGCCAGTAAATAATTGGAGAGCTGGAATATGTCAGTGGCCACATGACAAGCAAGACTCTTGTGATTTACAGTGGTACCCTGGTTTACGAACTTAATCCATTCCAGAAGTCCATTCTTAAACCAAAACCGTTCTTAAACCGGGCCGCACTTACCCTAATGAGGCCTCCTGCTGCCAGTGCCCTTCCGCCATTCGGATTCTGTTCTTAGACCGAGGTAAATTTCTCAAACCGGGACACTATTTCCGGTTTTGTGGAGTTTGTAAACTGAATCGTTCTTAAACCGGACTGTTCTTAAACCGAGGTACCACTGTATTTGTTTTTAATGACTTCTGCCTCCACGTTTTGCCTAAGCTGAAGTTCTTTCTTTGCCACCAGCTGCTGGACCTCATATCATTCTAACATTTCAGCCATCACCCTTTTCAATTTGCACTTCAATAGGCTCTATATATTGCAGAAGCTCTTGCAGTGATTGAAAGGCATGTGTGCAGAGAGAGAAGTGAATAGACGCTGCTCAAGGAATCGCACATTGGAGGAGACCCAGCAGCGCAAAAGTGCCCAGAGCCACAATTTCTCTTTTCCAGAAATGGTATTCAGAGTTAGTTCTCCTAATAGTCAGTAAAGGAAAAAGGCATCCTTGATGAAGGAAAACCACCATGTTAGATTTGGAGCATTCATAATTGGGTCTGAACCTCTTCCTGATTATTTGTTGTAACAGAAGAGTGGGTGGGGAAATGATTGACAGAAGGGGAATATATTGGATTGGTGGCCTGTGACAGTGTGAGTGACAGATTGAAAAAGACAATGCAAGTGAGGCAGAGTTTCTCATCATACATTTAAAGTGCGAAGATACCAGTTTAAACAGTCATGACTAGTGATGTGAGGTGAGAATATTCTCCGGAGAATATTCTCAAGAAGGAGAATATTCTCAAGAATATTCTCTGCTAGAAAATTCTCCGGAGAATATTCTCCACAAACTGTAAATTCTAATGTTAAGAACCAGTTTTACAAGCCACATTTTAAAAATTTAGTAAATAATAAGTCAAGCTGTGATATCTCCAGTGTAAGTATTGAATAATGATCTTTGTGTTTTATTTTCTGGAAATAATAGCATTTATTTTAAACTTTATATTGATTTTATTAGTACTGCACTGAAAATAGTGTACCATGTAGATATGCTTATTAAAGAACATACTCAGGTAGCAGACCTGAGTTTTTTAATATTCCTTTTACTTTAAAAGCTACATTTCATACATACACAACATAGTTATAATTCAAAGTTGATGGTAAATATACGGTTAGTGGCAGGCTTAGTGATTAACGTGAATCATTCATGTTGAATTTTCAATTTTAAGTTTGGTGCAAAAAATCAAAGAATGTGAATTCACTGCATTGCCCCATTGAATAAACGTATCTGTACAGGTAGGTAGCCGTGTTGGTCTGCTGTAGTTGAAACAAAATAAAAAAAATCCTTCCAGTAGCACCTTAGAGACCAACTAAGTTTGTTATTGGTATGAGCTTTCGTGTGCATGCACGCTTTTTCAGACACTTCTTCAGGTATCTGAAGAAGTGTGCATGCACACGAAAGCTCATACCAATAACAAAGTTACAGTAGTTGGTCTCTAAGGTGCTCCTGGAAGGAATTTTTTATTTAGTATCTGTGCAGTTTTTGGTTGCCATCTGAACAAGTTTACCCATGAATAAACATGTATATTAACTAATTATATCATTTTCAATGCATTAAAATTATATTATTTTCAGTGCATTAAAATTATATTATTTTCAATGCATTAAAATGAATATTCTCCTATTTTAAATGAAAATTCTCTAATATGCTCATAAATCAAGAATATTCTCGAGAATATTCTCCAAAAGATTATTCTCGCGAATTTAACGTCACTAGTCATGACTTCCCCCCAATAATTCTGAAAGCTGTAGTTTGTTAAAGATGCTGAGAGTTGATTGGAGACCCCTATTCCCCTCCCACAGCTACAATTCCCAGAGTTCCCTTTGATGGGAATTGAATGATCAACTACCCTGGGAAGTGTTCTTGCCAATAACTGGGTCCCAAGCCATTTAGGGCTATAAACATCAGAGTAAGTACCTTGAATTGGGCCTGGAAAACAGTTGGTAACCAGTGTAGCTCTTTTAAGATAGAGGCAATGTGCTCATGGTTTGCTTCCCTTCCAGCATTCAAGCCACAGCATTTTGCACTAGTTGTTATTTCCAGGTCATCTTCAGGGGCAACCGCACATTACAGTTGTACAACTTGGAGATTACCAAAGCTGGGTTAACCATGGCTAGGCTATCCCTACCAAAAACAGCCATTGTAGTTTGGCAGAATTAAGTAAAACAGGCCAGTACCACAGAAGAGGCAAGATGATTTTTTGTCAGTCATTTCAAGTGAAAAACCCAGCATGCAGTGGTGCCCTCAGCCATTTACACACCTTTATATTGCCGGAAGAAATATCAACAACCTCAGATATGCAGATGACACAACATTGATGGCAGAAAGTGAGGAGGAATTAAAGAACCTTTTAATGAGGGTGAAAGAGGAGAGCGCAAAATATGGTTTGAAGCTCAACCTCAAAAAAACGAAGATCATGGCCACTGGCCCCATCACCTCCTGGCAAATAGAAGGGGAAGAAATGGAGGCAGTGAGAGAATTTACTTTCTTGGGCTCCATGATCACTGCAGATGGTGACAGCAGCCACGAAATTAAAAGACACCTGCTTCTTGGGAGAAAAGCAATAACAAACCTAGACAGCATCTTAAAAAGCAGAGACATCACCTTGCCAACAAAGGTCCGTATAATTAAAGCTATGGTTTTCCCAGTAGTGATGTATGGAAGTGAGAGCTGGACCATAAAGAAGGCTGATCACCAAAGAATTGATGCTTTTGAATTATGGTGCTGGAGGAGACTCTTGAGAGTCCCATGGACTGCAAGAAGATCAAACCTATCCATTCTGAAGGAAATCAGCCCTGAGTGCTCACTGGAAGGACAGATCGTGAAACTGAGACTCCAATACTTTGGCCACCTCATGAGAACAGAAGACTCCCTGGAAAAGACCCTGATGTTGGGAAAGATGGAGGACACAAGGAGAAGGGGACGACAGAGGACGAGATGGTTGGATAGTGTTCTCGAAGCTACCAGCATGAGTTTGACCAAACTGCGGGAGGCAGTGGAAGACAGGAGTGCCTGGCGTGCTCTGGTCCATGGGGTCACCAAGAGTCGGACATGACTAAACGACTAAACAACAACAACAACATATGTACACTGGATTTTTTTAGGGTTAGAGTGATAATTTCCCCTTAGCCTTCTATGTGTAGTGATCTCTGGAGATCAGTTTGCCACCTTTTCAGAGGTCTGAATAGGCAAATGAAATGAACTGTGTATTCCCCCCCCCACACACACATATTTCTAGCATATTTTTAGCTCAGGCAAAATGTGTGTGTCCCAGTGATAAACTGTCTAGGATGGAAGTGAGTTGGTCAAGCACCAGGCTTCTGTTCGAAGATATGTGCTATTTAAAAAATGATGTTCCGGATTAACAGAAAAATATTACAGTCTGTTGCAGACTTTATATACTAAACCGTTTTGTAGATCCATCTCCACTCATCAAATCTAATTTCACTACAGCCCTATCGTGATACTTGGAGAGCCCTGCACATTTTCTCCTTTGTGATAATCTTTTCATTTATCATTTGTCTTGCCTCTTGGTCCTGTTCTCTAAGGCCAAGTTTGCTTCCCCACAATAGATGACTATTCAAGCACAGTTTTGCAGAAAATGAAGGATGTAAATGGGCTGAGCCAATGTAACTTTTCCAAAGCAATAATGGGTGTTTGGTTAGGAACATCCCCCTATACGTTATTATCTTCATTTCTGGATGGCTGTTCGCAGCCACAGTATTCTCTGTTACTGTACCTCCTCTGGATTTATTTTCTGTTTTTTTGCTCACTATGTAATCCTAGTCGATTGGAGATCACATAGTGAACAAGATGATATCACACAATTTTATAGATTTCATGTTGCTGTGCAGACAGAGCCCTGCTCATTTGCTTAAGGAGCTGTGTGGTGCTGCTCTCTTCCAGCAGTGCACAGTGAGAGCAGGTCACAAAACTTCTTAACACCTGGGAGTAAGCCCCCATTGAATTCATTAAGACTTACTATGGTTAGGATTGTGCTGCTGGTGTATTTTGGTATGTCCTCTGTCTCATAACAGCCACTTCTTAAGGCTATATTTAGAAGCTCTTTCCAAAAGCTAAGTAACTGCATCTAAAGCAGGAAACTTAAGATGATGATAAAGAAGATCTAAATGTATTTCTGCTATGCACACACATGCACATTCATTTTATATCTTTGATTTGGATAAAGCATTAATAAATCACTCTTCAAATGCAAAGGATTATGATGCTTTGCTGTTATTGCTATCTCCAGGTGCACCTCTCTTCCATAGAATATCTGCTGGCTTATTCCTTTTTTTCACGTTGATAATATCTGTCAGACGGAAAACCTTGGAGCATTAGTCCCTTTAAGTGATGTATCATGAGTTCTCTGAAGTTTAAGATTCTTCTACCATGCTAGATGGGACACGCGTTTTTCTAAATGCTCTGAATTGCAACTGACCACTCAACAAGAAAATACACAGCCAATCAAGTTTTTGTAGTATTTAACGGGGAAAACCCACATCTCTCCCTCCCTCTTTTTCACACACACACACACACACACCTTTTTAGGCACGTCTCAGAGAGTTGCTGAGTGCATCTCTCAGTACTGATTGTAACTGTACAATAATGGCTGGTGACAGCCTTCTTGAAATGTCAGTGTTTATCAGGAACAAGGTGCTATATCAAGGGGTGTGCTTCTGTCGCATTAGCCTCTGAAATCAACTTCATGTTGTATCAAACATCAGTATAACATCCTGACTCATTCTGTTTTGTGTACTCTTGTGTGTATGTCCCCTTGTATTGACAGACCATTAATTCACTAACAGGGCAATCCTATGCATGTATACTTGAGCATGAGTGTGCATAAGATTGCAGCTTTAAGGGGCTTAACTACACATCACCTTAAATGTGTTGCCTGAAGTGACATCAGGATGTTTAACTAAAATCAAGAGGGGGGAGGCTGATCAAGATTAGGACCACAGATTAGAACCATTAGGAAGGGAGGTTTAACCCTTCCCTCTCCTGCCACAATTCGAAAGAAATTATCCTTCTACCCCCCATAGAGGAATGGGGGGAATCTCTCACTGGTGCCAACTCTCACTAGTTTCACTGTTTCTATGCAGAGGGATTCCCTCCCCCCCCCCGATGACAGCAGCTAAATATTCCCTCTCCATCTGCTGTAGCGTCAGTCTAAATCCCATCCCAACTTGGTGTCACTTCAAGCAGTTTAAAGTGATGTAGAGTACTAGTTAGTTCTCTAATTTGCTTTTGTGAAGTTTTAACAAAGGCTGAAGTGATTTGAAAGTGAGGAAAATGACCTTTGAGTCATTAAGAATTTCTGACTCATCTGTTTCGGTGGAGGCTGTTTTCATCATTACAGACCATGAACTGGCAACCCACAAGTGTTCTTGATGATATAAACAATCCTTTAATGCGTTCCATCATAATATATTTATTGTTTAATGCAGGAACTAGTGAAATGGCCCATCCTTGTGATGGATAGGGTATAGGTAGACATTGCAGACAGAGACCCCTATGTATCGGCGGGGGGGGTTTCAATGTAGAGAGAAGCACACAAGCCTGTGGTCTTTCCCCATCATTCCTCTTGAGTACTATCCATTGAGGAAAGTATTATTTGTAAAGGCCCAACAAGAGGCAGTTCAAAATTGGAGGCAGGACAGAGTGGGACATAGTGAAAGAAAAAGGTAAAAGAAAGTTGGAAACGGACAGCTGTCTTTGCCAGACAGAGTACAGTGGTACCTTGTTCTTGAACTTCATCCATTCCGGGAGACTGTTCGACTCCCGAAACCGTTCGAAAACCAAGGCGTGGCTTCCAATTGGTTGCAGGAGCTTCTTGCACTCAAGCGGAAGCCACGTTGGACGTTCAGCTTCCAAAAAATGTTCACAAACTGGAACACTTACTTCCGGGTTTGCTGCATTCAGGAGCTGATTTGTTCGACAACTAAGCCGTTTGAGAACCAGGGTACCACTTTATATATGTCTGTTAGTAAATACTTTTGGTTTATATTTTTAACCGAGGTGGTAATTTATTCTTGGCAATAGATAACTGCGGCTTGCACAATGCCAGTTTTACACACCTGGCTAGGTCAGCATGGCGCTGAGCTTGCACATCAAGTTTGACAGGCGAATGACAAAAGGTAGATGCTCCTTGAGCATATGTTGAGTCTTTGTCAAAGTTAGACTGCCTGTAACTGCCCTTCTCCCTCCGAGTCAATTGTTCAAAAGGACAGGAAAGCAATATATTGTTGTGCATTTGAAGTGATCAGCAAACCTCTGGTTGACTCCTTAGTTAGAATACCTTGGCATGAAAATAATGAAATGTGTATATTAAGAACATATCAGATTACATTTGCCTTGATCTGTTACTTATCTAAATTATTTATTAATTCCCAAAGGATTAATGTGCGTATGAACAAAGAAATTCTTCACTAGGAAATTTAGACAGGTCTGAACAAGTTTTTTTTTTAACACCGATCCCTCCCTAATATGACCCTTGGAAAATGCCTCTTTAATTCCCCTCAATTAAAAGGTAAAGACAGATTGCAAGCGTCTGGCAGAGCTTTCCTCCACACCTGCTCAACGAAAGCATGTAGGAACACATCTCAGTGAGAGAGATGCCCACTTGCCAGATTTTATCTGCCGCGACTCTTGCTGAGTGAGACCATAAGAAAGAAATTTTAGGAGAACTGTGTTTGCATAAAGATTGCATTGCTGTTTCTCTTCACTGAGTTGTCAAGTGATATTAGAAAGGCCATCACAATCCTGAAGATTTGACCTGGTATGAACTGATCTTCATGAAATTCTTGTCTTAATGAAAGTAGCATTGACAGGAGTACACCCAGGTATTTCAGCAGATGCGGTTACATGAACAGGATTGCTGGTGCTTGGCAAAACCATTCGCTGTCATGTACTGCATTCACACTGCACCAGATTGTTTAAAAATGGAACAAATCTTGTTATCCTTTGCTTTGGCTACAGTCCTTGTGTTCTGATTTCCATGCACCCAGAAATGACAGGCTTTAATCTGATAATTGATATGTTGATCATTGAGTGTTTTGGTTTAAGATAGTCCTCTACATTCCCGCCTACGTAACTTTTCATCAGTTTTGAATTAGCAAGAGAAATTTTACTTGGCAGTGTTTGAGTGAAAAGCAGCATTTTCAGAAATATTTCAGCTATTCAGAATGGGAGTAGGGTATGTTTTAAAAACAATTTATTGGATCAAAGCAGCACTTTCTGCATGTCATGAGGATGATCCAGCTAATCAGCCCTTTTCAGTTCCACTGACTGCAGCAGGAAAGGCTTGTGCATACGCTGAACTCTCATATTAGAAGCAATGAGATGTGTCTGTTCAACTTTGACTTCATTGTACCCCATATTGACATGTTTCCCATGTTTTTATTGATTGGTTGATTGAATTTATATACCGCCCTATACCCAGAGGCTCAGGGCAGTTCACAGAATAAAATCAAAATATAAGACCACAAAATACATAATCAAAATAAAAATATCAACCCAATAACCCCTGTCCTCCATTTATGACCTTTCTTGTGTGGTTGCATGCTGGAAGTTGCTGCGACAGCTGGTGTGCGCAGGAAATGTGTTTTGTGAATTAAAAAGAGAAATCAGTGGAGTTACAGCTGTCCATAAAGACTTAAGCCATTTTTACACGCAGACAGCAAATGTGATGCCATCTTTTCCACCCATCCGCATGTGTTCATTGAATGCATGGAGAAGAATCCAATAATTACAAAAGGTCTTTAGCATGTCATCTTTGATTGACCATGCCCAGTGGCTGCTTGTTGGGAGAGTCAAAGAGTGTTGTGACTTGCTTGACCCAGTTCTTACAACCATTTGGGGAGTCTCCCTCTGCTTCCTAGCAATAGGATGCAAGGACCAGCATGTCATCCTCCAAGCACTGTGTGCCTGAAAATGGGACTAGTAGTACACCACCATGTGCTGTTGTTTTCCATTCACACAGTGCTGCTACAGGCTGCTGCAATCCTCTTCCTTGTTTATCCACATATGCACATAGAGGAAAGTGAACAACAGCCTGGACAGCTTGTGAAATACTGAACGGTCCAGTATGAGAAAGCACAGTCAACTAAGAGTTGTGTAAGGAACCAAGAGGGAGCTATATTGCATTTATCAAATACTACCTGAGGAATACTAATGGCTTCAGTTGGAAAGATTTCTCAGTACCAGTAGCAAATAATGACTTACGCACAGGAACATTGCATGTGAAGCATGGACTGATATGAATCTTAACTTCTTAAACAATGATGCCACAAAGCTTAGATAGGGGGTGTGGTTGGTTTAGGATCAGAATATTTCCCTAAGGTCCTGAAACCCTGATTTCAATCTTTGCTTTGTGGTTGCATCCATTGTAGGAACTTGATTAGGACTCTTTATTCAAGTAGATGAAATTACTGTTTGCCTGAGATCCCTTTATGTCAGGACAAATGCAAGTTGATATAGAAGCTTTCCACTCTACAGTCTCCATTTGACCTAAATCAAGAAAGTATTGGGATCCTTACCAGGGCTAGCCCAATACATTTTGCTGCCTAAGATGAAGGACAAGATGGAATCGCCAGCATTCCACAAACAGATGCCATCCTGACTGGTAATTGGACCTTCCTTCATCACTGCACATGAGGCATGAGGTCATTTTAGGGGGTCCAAGACACACCATGTGGCAACAGAGGAAAATGACTGGGGGGCTCAGGAGGAATTGTAGGGGGTTGATGCTGCTGCCGCCTGAGGTGGTTACCTCGCCCTGTCTAATCGTAGAGCCAGGAATTCTTAAAGAATACTGAAGGCTGCAAGGATTGATGGGTTTGCCATACTATAACGATTCAGTTTATAAGTACCCTAACACCAAGCATTCATGCACATTTCCAAAGACTGTTTCATATCTGTCTTCTCAAGGAACTTCAGTTTGAACCAGGAGTTTCACTCATGATACCTCCATGGTGGCTTTGTTTGTTTGAGAGCCTGATCTCGCAATTGTACTGCTTTTTCCCATGCACTTGCTCCAAACTTTGGCACCAGCTCAGAGTGCCTGGATAATTCTGTGGAATGCTCTGACCTGGACATTGTGTTCTGGGCTTTGATGTACAACTGAAAAAAGAGCTTATTCTCCAGGAATCTGTTCTGTACACTAGTGCTGGATTACATTAGAAACCAGAACTGCCGTGGAACAATTCCAGCACTTGCCTTTCCGTATCTGGGATAGATCTGAAGATGATTCTGCATGATCCGTGCACACAGAAATCCATTTCAGGTGGAACTGGTCTTTAGGCTGTTTGTACAGCTGCACACTGGGGGTATTTGTCAATCTTTCCCTCCCCTCTCCTTTCAGTCTTTAAGAATATTATAAATCTTCTTGGAATTTAGATGCAATATACCCAAAACCCATTCTGGGAACTCACGTAAATCCTATTTCCCTGTTCTGTTTTGTAGTCTGCCGGTGCATGTCATGATTCTGTTTAGACTCTCAGGTCTCCGCTTTTACATTATGCTGGTGGTATGGGAGCTATTGAAGCATATTTCATTTCCTTACCACTGAAGCAACATGGAATACCCACACTCCACCCCATGCCAACATTGCCCCAGTTTACGAGAAAGGAGGTAAAGCACATGGCTGCCTGACATAGGGCCTTTTCACATGTGACTCTCGTGACTATAGAATGATCTCCTCAGGGAGACTTGTCCTGTGTTGAGTTTGATGTATTTTTAGTGCTAGGTGAAAAACTTTTTTGTAGGCCTTTTTCAATTTTAAAGTTTATGTAGATTGTTGTTTTAACCTGCTCTGGTACTAATATACTTTTTATTGCTCTTGTGCCGGTTGTTTTTACTTCTAAATCTTGCTTGGCCTCTCTGAAAACCCTTTGGCTGAGGATCAGGAATCAAAAAGTCCCAAATAAATAAACAATACATGTGGGTTGCTTCCCCGCCAGAGGGTAGCCTGCTGGTCTCCACACCTGGTGATGGTCAATCTGATCAAAAACCATGCCTAGAATACTTTCAGACATTCTTTCCATAGGAAATTCAGGTTTTGAGCATTTGGTTGTTTATTAAAAAAGAAAAGCCTTTTATCTTTGCAGCACCTTCAAGATTAACTTGTTTTATTTTAACTCTGTGAGCTTTTGTAGACTCCAGTCTGCTTCATCGGATTCTGAAATGGACATCTAGGGACAAAATGAAAGTGTATGACAGAGTGAACTGTCTATGAAAGCTCATGCTGGCAAAATAAAATAAGTTTGACTTTAAGTTCCCACAAAGACCAAGCCTTTTCTTTTAAAATATCTCCATAATAATCATTCTTGGGAGCGAATTTGTAACTGAAAACTGTTAACATGGCAGTGTTAAGAAACCATAAATAAGCTTTGGAAAGGCACAAGGAAGAGGAACAAACTAAAAGGCAAGTAGTTTCTTGCTACTGCTTTTTGTCATACATACAGAATGATTTTCACTACTTATACACAGTGATTCTGTAGGGCTGTGTGTTTCTCATGTGCCTGTGGTCATGTTCTCTTCCTAATGAGGTGGATCATAGCCGATGAAAGCATATGCCATAATAAATTTGTTAGACTTTAGGATGCCAAGAGCTTCTTAACTGTTTTTGCTGCAAGAGATTAATGTTCCTACCCTTCTGGAAACGGGGTCTTGTTTTTGTTTTTCTCCATTAGGGCAAGCTTGGTGCAGGCCCGCTTCTAGAAGACTGGTTAGCTGGGAAAGGGAAGGAGCTCCTGCTCTGTAAACTTTTCCTCTGAGCAGTCCCCACTTTTAAATCATTACTGTTTTTGTTTTGCGCCCTTAACTTGACATCACAATAATGCCAAATGAAAATAATGAAAATCTTGCATGTCAACACTTTTAATAAGTCTTGGTCTTTTAGATTTTTTTTAATCGGTGGGATTATTGTATGTGTGTGTTGTTTTTCTCTGGTTGATTAATTTCTGTTCTTTGAAACTATTATCCTTTGATTGCCTTGCTATTTACAGAAGGACTGAAGCGCCACCCAGTGATCACCAGAGGGGACTGAAATGATTCCGACAAATTTAATCCCAGGCATTAAGACTCATATGCCTCAAACCAGTGCCAATTCAGCTAGGAGCACTGCATGTGTGTGTCCCTAGCTGAATTTGGAAACCTATGTGGTCTGGGTGAATGCCTGACTGTGCCCCAGTAAGCAAACAGCCTTGGTGTTCCTTAGCTTGCAGATTCTAAACATGGAGATTCCCTATCTAGCTGCCATAACGGGCCTCTCCTCCACTAATTTATCCAGGCCCCTTTTAAAGCCATTATTCACATGTTGCACTGAGCACAGGTATAAACTGTGGACAGCTGTCTGTGTGAAGCAATGTGGACTTCTTGTTTTGTGCAGCTCAGACTTTACACTCGTTCTTGTTAGTTCTTAACGTCCCACAAGGCACTCAGTTGTTTTTGTTGCAGGCGTCTTAACATTGATATTTTATGTCACTGTTTGGCTTTTGACAGTATTTGATATTTAGGTTCAACAGTTTTGTGACAGTTTGAGCCATTACCCGGACTGATATTTAACATTTTATCATGGTTGTCATTCTTAACAGTATTTAGTAGCCGGCAGCTTTTGACACTTGCTTTTTCATACCTGGCAAAACCCTCAAGAGAGAATTCTAGAGTGGCCTGCAGGCCTAAGGGACTCAAAACGTTGATTTTCAAGGTCACATTTTAGTCAGATTCTGCATTTAAGAATTTGAAACATTGAGAGGTTTTTCGTTCTGCTCAGCTCTAATGATAGACTTAAATTTGAGATAAATTTAGCCATATCCATGAATTTCAGATAGTAAACTATTTACTGCTCTGCTTAATGAGCACAAGGATTTGTTTTCAAATTGTACAGATTGCTGTGTGTGTGTGTTTCTACTACCCTCCCCCTTCCCCAAATCCCTTCTGTTTTCTTTGTGTGTCTGTTTGTTTATTTAGATTGTAAATCTGCAGGCAGGACTCTGTTCTCTTTTATCCTGCATTTTATATTGTACAGCTGCTGCTTCTGTCTTTCATTTTCTTTTTCTGGTGGCACTTAGGAAATAATGGCTGTGTTCTTTTAAAGGTCCCACTGAGCCAATATTGCACTCGGGCTATTATGAAGCTGATGTACTGTGCACACTGCCGGGGCATGTCCAACGTAAAGCCCTGCAACGGCTATTGCCGCAATGTCTTGAAAGGCTGCCTGGCCAATCAAGCAGACCTGGACCCTGAATGGAAGAACCTGATTGGTAAGAAGAGCAGGCAACTGCACATTATTTCACTTTGGCTGGTCTTTTGCATGTAATTCCCGCCCCCCTTTTTTTCAATCAATAGAGTGCAGTTTTGGAGAACAAACAGATCAATTGATAGAAGCATTCACAATCCCTTTGCACTAAATTCTAAACACTATCGATATGTGTAGATGTTTCTGAAGCACCACTTCATCCTGTAGACTAAGTGCATACCTGCATCTCAGCTTCCCATGCTCTGGGACTGGATGCTTTTAACTGCTAAGGATTTGCAACGTGGCCTTGTAAAAAGCTATTTCATTCTAGAAGATCCCAGATTCAGCATTTAGCACTGGGTTACTCAAACAGTGTCGCTTTTGGCAGACCTGAACTTGCCTCTCTCTGTAGTGTGAGGAGAACAAACAGAAGCATGGGCTAAAGAGCCTGGAATACGTACACATGGTGGTAGGAAAGAAATTTGGATGACCATTGGGTGATCATTTGGCCATTCGAAACCCACCAATGTTTTGATCAAATAACAAATTTCCTTGTGAGAAATTTGAATAAAATGAATCACAGATCGGGAGCAGCAACATCTTTTTTCTCCCGAAAGCTCTGTGCATATCTGCAATTATACAAACATTTAGGAGGAGTGGCATTTATAAGCAGAATGAACAGGACAATTGCTGGAATTGCCAAGGGAGAAAAGACTAGGCTAGCTTTGCAGTGTTTCCCCTTAATTAACTTGTGAGTCCTGTGGCAACAAGTATGTGCTTTAACACACGGGGGTGTTATTGGGTTGTCTTTGTTTTTGTTTTTATTATGTATTTTGTGTTTTTTTTATTGTGGGTTTGTTTTTGTTGTGAACCACCCTGAGATCTGCGGGTGTATACAAATTTAATAAGTAATAAATAAATAAATTGACAGAAGTCATCACCACCCGTTCTGTAAGACCTTAGGCGGCTTTTAAAAAGCAAGTTGCTGTTCCTCGTTTGCCCCGTTGTTATAACCGGTTAATTTTAGTGCAAGTAGGAGGATGAAATGGAGTCTAATTCCTGATACTTGAACCTATGGGCTTGACATCTTTTGTTTGTTGGTTTAAGCTTGTTCTGGAAACCCACTGAATGAAGTTGTTTGTGTGAGAAATAGACATAGTACGGCTTATACTGCATGTAGTGCTGACATGGTATTGAGAGCCAGCATGCTATAGTGGCTAAGTCTGGGGAGATCCGGGTTCAAATCCCTGCTCGGCCATCAAGGTCACTGAGTGACTCTGGGCCAGGCACACGCTTTCGTAGCCTGACCCTGCATCACAGGGCTGTTGTGAGGATAAAGTTGGAGGTGAGAATCATGCCTGCCATCCTGAACTCTTTGGAGGAAAGGTGGTGATATAGATGTAAAATAATAATAATACTAACAACAACAACAACAAGGCTAGGAATAGTTTTTAAAAATAAAAATAAAAATTCCTGGTGCACATATGATACTGTAATCATAAGAATTACAGAAAAAAGAATTATAAGAAAAAAGCAGAGACATCACCTTGCCAACAAAGGTCCATATAGTTAAAGCCATGGTTTTCCCGGTAGTGATGTATGGAAGTGAGAGCTGGACCATCAAGAAGGCTGATCGCCGAAGAATTGATGCTTTTGAATGATGGTGCTGGAGGAGATTCTTGAGAGTCCCATGGACTGCAAGAAGATCAAACCTCTCCATTCTGAAGGAAATCAGCCCTGAGTGCTCACTGGAAGGACAGATCCTGAAGCTGAGGCTCCAATACTTTGGCCACCTCATGAGAAGAGAAGACTCCCTGGAAAAGACCCTGATGTTGGGAAAGATGGAGGACACAAGGAGAAGGGGACGATGGAGGATGAGATGGTTGGATAGTGTTCTCGAAGCTACAAACATGAGTCTGACCAAACTGCGGGAGGCAGTGGAAGACAGGAGTGCCTGGCGTGCTCTGGTCCATGGGGTCACAAAGAGTCGGACACGACTAAACAACTAAACAACAACAACAATCATCATCATAAGAATGTGGGCATTTAGCTCCTTATAGGCTTAAATTCCACATGACTCACAGTCTCCCTGGGAATAAATGAATATATAGAAGAACCCATTGAGAAACCCTACATGTCCAGTGCTGGTATATAATGATTACCTAGGTTTTTGAAACATTATTTGCATGACGCATTCTTAAATTGTGTCTGTTATTTACCCTGATAGATTCACTGCTGTTGGTGGCTGACCGCTTTGATGGATCATCCAATGTAGACGTAGTCATTGGTACAATTCATACCAGGATTGCAGAAGCCATTTCAAATATGCAGGAGAACAGAGAATCTATAAAATCCAAGGTAAAAGCCAGACTGCAAAAGCTGAAAATGCAGTTTACTTAACAGCGATATTTCATTTATTGTATGTATTTATATCATGCCTTACCTCCATGTTACAAAGTTTGCCATTAAGACATGTATCAGCCCTGCTTAGCTTCAGCCTTCAGATCATGCCCTCTGCCATTTTCATATCTGCCATCTCAGGCAAAGTAACGCCAAGAGAATTCCAACAATTTCTGCTGAATGACATTAGAAGTGCTAGGCCCTGGTTTGTTCCTTTCATGAGTACTGGACAGGCAGAGATAGCCTGATTATCTTGCCTGTCTTCTTTACTTGCATATCTTTGCCAGAGCCTATCTCCCTTCCGCCATAGGAGCTGGCCGGCTTCCCCTGAGAATCCCACCTGTCTCTCCTTCATCCTCCTTGATTTCAGGAGATTTTCGCAGCTGCATTTCTGAGTAGAATGTGATACATTAGCCCTGCATGGAGGGAATTTGCTCCTTCATCAGTCCTAAAACTGTGCAGCTCCCCATCCAACTGAGTCAGATGTTAACAGCGGAATAATTTGTGCTCCTGAAGCCCAGCTGCTTTCCCCATGATTCCTAAGAACTGTAACTAACAGGTGCTGATGGAGAATGAATCGGGAACTGACTGGCAAGTAGATAAGTCACTGATAGGCCAGCAGGGATGGAGGAAACAGCAGTGCAGCACAAAATACAGTGTTAATTCAACACAGAAATAGAGCCATCAATTCAGAGAGAGAGAGAGAGAGAGCGCACAGAGAGACGAATGAATCTATACCTCCCAGAAGGTATTTTTCATTGCTCTTGCATGTTTTTATGCCCCTAAAAGAATTGCTTTGTAATAACCACAGTAATAAACTATAAATGGGTGAGCTACAGTGATGAAGCTGGATTCATTTGTCTCTTTCATAAAACAAATTTGGGAATATTTTATATACAAGCATTAAAAAGAAATGGCTAGCAAGGCAGTAGGCTCACCTTGTAAATCACAGATATGGGCCAAAGTGCACCATAAATGACATCCACATTGTCTATCATTATGATACAATTAATCTGAAACTCTGCTCCAGGGCAAGTTAGCCAGGTTGTTGTCTTCTGCAGTGTGAGCACCCAAAACCCAGTTGACCATTCAGCCAGCTAGAGTGTTGGTAGCTGTCACACAGAATTATCACACAGAAATCAGATTCCACGTTGGTGGCAGCATCAGAATCCCAGATTTTAAAAGGATTGTTCTTCTACAATCCCTTTTTTCTGTTCTTAAAAGGAAGTTACAGCAGTGGAGGGGTTATTGTTCCCTTAAAAACAACAACCAATTATATATATCTCAGCAGTTTAAAACAACAGCACATACATAAAACCTGGGATAAAGATTTCTATTGAGAAAGCTTTTTGAAAGAGAAACATACCGTATTTTTCCCCCTATAGGACGCACTTTTTCCCCTCCAAAAATGAAGGGGAAATGTGTGTGCGTCCTATGGGGCGAATGCAGGCTTTTGCTGAAGCCTGGAGAGCGAGGGGGGTCGGTGCGCACCGACCCATCTCGCTCTCCAGGCTTTAGGAAGCTAGCCGCTAGCCGTGGGAGACGCAGCTCTTCCACGCTAGCGGAGAGCTTGCTGGCACCCAGAAGCTTGGGGCGCACTGAGCTCAGCACGCCCCAAGCTTCAGGCTTCGCGCAGCACTCCGTTAGCCTGTTCTGGGGGCTGGGGTCGGGGGAAGCTCGGGCTTCCCCCACCCCAGCCCCGCACCTGGGGGGGAAATAAATTTTTTTTTCTTTATTTCCCCCCAAAAAAACTAGGTGCGTCCTATGGGCCGGTGCGTCCTATGGGGCGAAAAATACAGTATTTAGCAAGCGCTGGAAGGGCAGTAGAGAAGGTGCCTGCCAGGTATATAATGGGAGGTAGTTCCAAAGGGTAAGAACACTAAAGGCCCAATTCCAACATCATGCAGAATGGGCCTCCCTTTAGAACAGTATCTGCGGGATGCACTGCAGAACATAGTGATCGGTTGGAGAGGAATCCTTAATTCACTGGTTCAATTGCAGCTGAACTGAGATTTGATTTGGGTGAAGGGCCCTAGCCCAATGGCAGGGCATACGACATGAATGCAAATGTACCAAACCTTTGCATTTTCAGGTAAGACTGGAAGAAATATGCACCTGAAATTGTGGAGATCTGCTGCCAGTTACTAAACTAGACAGATCCATGGTCTGAACTAGTACAAAGCAGCTTCCTATGTCCCCAAAGCAATGCGATATCTGAAAATTGGATTACTATTGTGTTAAAATTGGTATGTGTGAGCAAATGTGAAGTTAGGAAGAAATATGATTAACAGGGGCATATTTTACAGCTGTGACTTATTAGATAAATGCTTTGCTATTAAGTTTCGTTTATTTTCTCCAGACCTTTCAAGGTTGTGGAAATCCCAAACTCAACTCAAAAGCTTCCAGCGCTGAGGAAAAGAAGAGGCGAGGAAAGTATGTCAGTGAAGATAAACCTTCAGGGCTTAGTTCAGAGAAACTTGTGAGTATGGAATTTAGTTCTGACTTTTTTAGAAATGCTTCTGTATGGAAACAATCTGTGTGGCCCGTTGCTTAGAATAGCACTGGTTCAAGGTCACACAGAGAGCTTCCAGGTTGGCTGCTGGTTGGAAAGCCAATCTTCCCAGTCACAGTCTGACACCCTAACACCAAGTCACCAGTGGAGGTCGTCTTCCTGGTTTAATTATTCTTTTGATGACGCCATTGGCATTTTTGAGATACTCCGCTCATAACAATTTCAGGAAATGTGGGCTGCCACTGCTTTGTTCCTTCCACTCAAGCACTCACAGGCACCGTTAGTATAACCCAGTCTGTCTCCTGAGTGAAAATACAGCCTCGCTGCAATGCTGTTGCAACTTAATATTTAAGAAACTAACATGAAAAATAACTGGGATAGTTCCGAGTACAGTCGTACCTTGGATCCCAAATGCAAGTCGAACATTTTGGGTTCCAAACACCACAATCCCGGAAGTGAGTGTTCTGGTTTACAAATGTTCTTTGGAACCCGAACGTCTGGCACAGCTTCCGATTGGCTGCAGGAAGTCCGTGCCTTGGTTTCCAAACGTTTTGGAAGTCAAACGGACTTCCAGAATGGATTCCGTTTGACTTCTGACGTATGACTGTAGTGGCCTTTCCCTCCCTTTGATTTTGGGACCTCTCTCAGTAATGTCAATGAAGTTCTAACTCTTGTTCCAGCAATGCAGGTTTATCCAGTCTTTACTCAGCCTTACCCAGTGCATAAAGGTAAAGGGACCCCTGACCATTAGGTCCAGTCGTGACCGACTCTGGGGTTGCGGTGCTCATCTCGCTTTATTGGCCGAGGGAGCCGGCGTTTGTCCGCAGACAGCTTCCGGGTCGTGTGGCCAGCATGACCAAGCTGCTTCTGGCGAACCAGAGCAGCACACGGAAACGCTGTTTACCTTCCCACCGGAGCAGTACCTATTTATCTACTTGCACTTTAATGTGCTTTCGAACTGCTAGGTTGGCAGGAGCAGGGACTGAGCAACGGGAGTTCACCCCATCACGGGGATTCGAACCGCCGACCTTCTGATTGGCAAGTCCTAGACTTCGTGGTTTAACCGACAGCGCCACCCATGTCCCTTTTTTTACTGGCATACGTCAATGTTATTAGTCACCACTAGCCACCTTCTTGAAGAAAGTTGGTCTTCAACTTACTAATACATCCTGACAGTTACTCACCCACTCTCCTTCTTTGCCAAGCTCTTCTACCATTTTAGTGCTTCTGCTCCCAGGCCAGGCATTCTGGATGCTCGGGGTCCATTTATCCTTCATAAGTACATAGGAAGAGGCCTGTTGGATTAAACCAAAGGCCCATCTAGACCATCATCCTGTTCTCTCAGTGGCCAACTAGATGCCTGTGGAAAGCCCACAAGCAGGATAGGGGTTTGAGAGCTTTTCTCTTGATTTTTATTGGGAGAACTTAAATAAATGTTGTGTTGATAGCTTTCTGCTGTATAAAATAGCAGCTTCGGTAAAGTAGCCTGTCTTGAATTGTGTACTAAAAAACAACTATGGAAACTGTAGCAGTCTTGCATTGTTGTAAGTGGATTAACAACTGCCCAGCGTTTGAACCCATAAGTTCTGGATCAGTTTATCATGACTGAGCTTGGAATTCGAAATGTCACTTTCAAACACCTTCCTCCTTCAGCTTTGATTCTTCTCCATCTGGCAGGTTTCAGATGCCAAAGGGAAGCTGAGAGAAATAAGGGACTTCTGGGTTGCCCTCCCAAGCACACTTTGCAATGAAAAAGTTTCCTCTGGTTCTGTGAATGAGGACAGGTGCTGGAATGGAATGGCCAAAAGCGGGTAAGGCTGGTCAAAATGTGACGGAAGTTCAGCAGGGTGAAGTACACTCACACACCAGTTTCATGAAGCTTTGTAATCTGTAAATATGAGCCCCATTATGGGGTAGGTAAGAGAGAAAAGGCAGAGTTTGCCTAGTCGAGAGAGTCAACATTAGTAGTCATTGGGATCCTTTCCTTTTCCTTGCTTAGACTGAGCCCCACATAAACACACACATGCTTGGGCAAAAAGATGGCTGCTGGTGCTGTTATTCCCTGCACCTGGTTCAAACGTAATGCTGAGCCATAGTTTAAGAAGCCAGTCACAGGACTGAGAGATCTTTCATCCCACCCACCCCCAATCTCTGGTTAAGGGCCTCCCTAAACACCAATTTAGAACCAGTATTTCTTTTTAGAAGGGTTATTTAGCAGTGTTAGAATGCCTTTAACCAGGGTTAGGGGGAGACATAAAGCCAAGATATAGCAGGTGGAGGCAGAGGGCAAAGTGGAATTTGTGCCCACAAGATCAATTCCTAAACCATGTTGTCAGAATTCTAGGTTTGATGTTATGATCAGAAGAGTGTTGAAGGCTGCAGTAATGTTGGTGAGTTGCAAAGACTTAGATGCAAGTTAAAGATAGTGACCTAATTCCAATGTAGCACTAAACAGTAATGATATTATGCGCATGAGTAGCAGCAGGCCTTGGGTTTGCATCTTCCCTGCTCCCCTGATGTGACACCACAGAGATTTGAAACATCTGCTTCCTCTTCTAGACAACAGTTTGGTCCCAACTTTTATTGAAACAAACCATAGTTTAAACTAACCAAAGTCTACCTAGTTCTGACATAATAACAAACTTTTGGAAGCAGATGGTCCTCCTTGTGACCATGTCAGAATGCGCAAACCAGGTCAATGTCTTAAATCAATTGCGATAATGTTTGATACCCTAAAGTTGGCTTCTTGCATGAACACATGTGGCTCTTTGCAGGTATCTTCCAGATGTGATGGGAGACGGACTAGCCAATCAAATCAATAACCCAGAAGTTGAGGTAGACATTACTAAACCAGACATGACTATTCGCCAGCAAATCATGCAGTTGAAGATTATGACAAATCGACTGCGCAATGCATATAATGGGAATGACGTGGATTTTCAGGATACAAGTAAGTACGGAGCTGAGAAAAGGCAACAGTGTTGTGCTGTGGAGGTGGCACAATCTATATCATGCATACTTATATGATATGATTTATATGATTAGCAGTTGAAATAAAGAGTTCTGCAGGATTCCATGTTCAGAAAGCAACAGAACATCAAAGAGGTTCAGTTCACAATTCTGTTACGCCATACTTAATGTAGAGCCAGTGCACGGAAGCAGTGGCAAGTTGGCTGCTGCAAGTATTGCCCTTATTTGCTGACACCCAAGAACTGGAGTGCAAGAGATCTAGTTAGTAACGCTTGGTGATTTTACTCCTCCCGCTCTAGAGTGCTGGCTGCTACATCCATATCTTTATACAGGCATTGCCAAGACTTGTGCACCTGAGATTACCCACTGTCTTCCCAGGGTTTCTTCTCCCTATCAGTCCCTAATGCCTCATTTCAATTGACAAACTCCAGCTTTCCTCTGACTGTTCAGCAGCAGCAGGGGTTTCAAGCTTGGGAGGATGCTGTAGCTCAGGATGGTACAGTGGTACCTTGGGTTACAGACGCTTCAGGTTACAGACGCTTCAGGTTAAAGACTATCTAACCCAGAAATAGTACCTCGGGTTAAGAACTTTGCTTCAGGATGAGAACAGAAATCGCATGGCAGCAGTGGGGCAGCAGTGGGAGGCCCCATTAGCTAAAATGGTACCTCAGGTTAAGAACAGTTTCAGGTTAAGAACGGACCTCCAGAACGAATTAAGTTCTTAACCCGAGGTACCACTGTAGTGCAAAATATTGCTCCTTTCTGTAATTAGTCCTTAGGAGCCTGTGGGCTCAAGTCCCCTGGTAACTACAGTAACAATGAGAACATGTCCAACTTTGGTTTGCTAAAAATGTGGATTGAAAGGCTCCGCACAGAATTTGGTCCACTCATCCCATTTTCCCCACCAGCTTTTGGGTGGTTTGTTAAATGTGGGCAACGTTTAACAAGGGTGAGGTGAGATATATACCCCTGCTTCGCTGCATTCCAAATTCTTCATTTGCTTTCCCTGGCTTTATGGCAACAGCAATGCACATGGTGTGGTTTAATTTGCAAGCTCTTTTGGAACTGCTATGCTTACTTGAACTTTCGTCTTGCCTAGGTGATGACATCAGTGGTTCTGGAAGCGGCGATAGTTGCATTGACGACATCTGTGGCAAAAAACTGTCCAAGAGCGCTAGCACCAGGCCGCCAGAGACGCATCCAATGCCTAAGCAGTCTGGACAAGGTGTTGGTGGAAATAGCAGCAACATACTTTTGCCTTCTTCCTTTCTTTTATTACTTTCTCTGGCTGCTGTTGCAGCACAGTACCTGCGGCGGTAACTCATTTGTGCGGCCGTGAAAGAGACTGTGGGTGGTTGTGGTCTTAACTTTGCCAAAAATGTGGACTATATTTAATTCATCTTGGCAAAATGAGGGAGATAAAATGTTCTTGATTGTTTGTGATGACCTGGCAGTGCTAGAACTGGTCTTTTTCCCTTCCCCTTTCTTTTTTGGTCTTCTTTGAATGCTGGGGCCTTCTTTCTTTACCTCTTTTTATCATTAATTTGCCACAACGAGACACTTAGGAGCCTACAACAGATCTTGGCAGATGTGGGTAATGGGTAAAAAGGACAAATGACCTTCAAGGCCACATCATTTTTACTGACTCCAATAAAACACACAAGTATCTCATATTCTTATTTAGCTGTAGCCAAAGATGTGCTACAATTGTTTAAAACAATACACCTTTTTTAATTTAAAAATCTTCCAGGTGCTGTAGCAGTTCATTATTTTCCATTAAGCAAGTGGCAAATGGTCCTTCCTGTATACCAGATTAGCAAAGGGATTATGGTGGAATTTGGAACGAAATTACTTTAATTGGCAAATACCTCTGTTAAAATGAGTGGTTGAAGCCACTTAATATTTCTCTCCTACATCTAAATGAATTAGAGTGAGATTCAAGTTTTGCATGATCCTTTGAAAGTAGCATTCAGAATTGATAAAATGCAATACAGAATTGTAATATGCAACATTATGCTAGAAATATGCATGGGGAGATTTCTGTCTGGGAAGCATTGTTTTCAGTTTGAGGCTGAAAAATTTCCCGTTATTAATAGTGACAACAGTTGACTTTTACCAAAGGGATGATGCAAAGAAACTGCTTTGTGTGTTATTACTGATCCTGTTAGCAAAGCCTGGAGGCGACTAATTGTTTGGCCCAGGGAACAATTATATACTATCAAACACCCCAGGGAATTTCCATGGCTACAACCTGCCCAAAGTACCACCAATTATGCCGATGGAAAGCTGACCAAAGCCATAGTTTGAGTCATCAAGTCAACCAGCTGCTACCTTATTTCATCTCACATCGGCATAGTTAACCTTATGTTCTCTAGTCCTTGTTTAGTAAAACTGCTTCACTTCAGCTAATTTCCTGATTGTTGCTACATATTTGCCAGGAGTATTGTCTGATATCAAGGTGGAAGGGGTTGGAGGAAAGAGGGGCTGTCTAACCACATATCTACAGCAATAGATTCTCCTATGTATTTCGCCGTTGAGACACAGTTCTCTGCCTTGGGTTCTTTTGGTACAGCCATAAACTTTTTTCACCCCCTCTTTCAAAAATATCTAGCATAGAAAGGCCAGTCCTATTCATGTTGTTGAATGATAGGAAGCCTTCGACACAATCTTTGCTGTTAATTCACTTATATCATGACTTTCCTTTTAGGACACAGGGATTATGAAAGCATATTTTTTACATTTAATATATAGATATATGGGCTTTGCATAAATGTCGAAAACATTTCTCTTCTGCATCAGAGACAAATGCATTTCTTAACGACAGCATTCAAAAAGGCAGAATTACAGAATCAGTTATAAAACATGCAGAGTTAGCAGGGAAGCCATTCTAGTATTGTGGCACATGAATTAATGCAAGCAAATTAATTCAAATGAATTATCTTTCCCATTCCCGGCCCTATTTGTTTTTCTACAACACTGGGAGAAATTAATTTCCTAATCACTTCAATCGGTATTGGAGGCTGCCAAAAACATCACCAGAATGTTGAAAATACGCTACTGAAGTCTTGACGCCAGAACGAATTTGTTGCTCCAAAGAACACCTGCTTTTGCACACATTACTTTCAGTCCCTTGTTAAGTAGAACAGTACACCACCCCACTTTCATTATTGATCTCGTCCATCTAATATATTTATTTTTGTTCTCAGTTTAGACCATTCTTAATAATTCTGAATACAAATGAGGCATGAAAAGCAAATATCCTGCCTCCTTTGAACGTTAAGTTCAAATGCCTGGGAAAAAATGGAGTGCCACATTCAAATAGCATTATATATGTAGCCTTCTGTTGGTAAAAAATAGAAATGAAATGCTATACACATTGAGGTAAAAATGAAACAGCTGCCATTTCCTGCCCCCTGAATGAAAATCTTCTGCCAAACTGCTGGAGAGCTGTAAACTCAACACAGTCCTGGGCTCAAACTATGAGAGAACTAGGGCCTGTTGCGTTTACTCTGTTGCTTTTAACTCGGCCTGCCACATCACATCTGAAACAGAAACTGGCTGTGTGGAAATATTTTTTTCTAAGAGGAATGTGCAAATAGGGACTGATGGCCCTCGCCCTCCACTTCCCTCCCCAAAGCTTCTCCCTCCCAGCCAACTTTACTTCCCGTATGAGAGCCCAATTGAGGAAAACATGACATTGGGGAGAGAGGCTATGCTACAAGGAAGCAGGCTGTGAGGGGGTGGAAGTTTTTAGGGCCCATTTGCTCAATCCTGATTTTTATATGCAGTTGGGCCATCCCGTATTTAAATAAATGAGTCTGCCACTCCTTTGAGCCTCATTTGTCATTTGAGCCTCGGTCTCTTGATAAATGCTAAATCTAATGCTCTTAGGATCTGAAGTTTTGTGATTTAAGTTTTGATGTTTAAAAACACCTTATAAAACCCAAGGCCTTTGCAAAGCTGTCAGCCAGAAACCTGTCACGTTTTGTTTTCTTTTTGTGCCATAATGTCTTTTTCAGTGGAGGGCTGAGGGTCAATAGAGGCTTTAAGAGCACTGATATTTATCATTTACAAATGACAAACAACCTATAATTTTCTGGTGGGCTTGTTAGAGAGTTATGGTACAAATATATCCAGAGTACACCTTGGCTTTTTTAAAAAAAAAAATGCAGTTCTATCTGCAAAATTAAGATTTATTTCACTTACTGGCATTCTTGGCCATTTATATATTTCTTTTGGTTACCAAGTTCCTGTAACTATCTTGCACTGTTGAACTATGTTCTTTGAATCCTTGTATAAATAAAATTAAAAAAAGGCTGGAGACTTAAATCTATATGAATGTCCCTTGCAACAACATGCTGCTTTATTTGTTCTGTTTTTACTGATTTTCAGCAGGTGCCAGACTAGCATCATGAAAAAGTATTTGTCAACTTGCTGATGATAATAATAGCATGAAGAATGGTCTGCCATACCTGTATACTGTTAAAATAGCTACATCTTGATTAGTATTGCTATGCATTTACTCAGAAGCAAGTCTAAGTTTGATGGGCCTTAGACCTTAGTAAGTGTATTTAGGATAGCGCCATTAATGCTAACACTTGAAGGCAATGAGCCACCTAGCTACTGTGGCGCACCAATATGTGATGCCCTTCTAACTCCCTATAACTAAATGTTGTAATCGACAGACACCAAAATGTATTTTTATCCAGAATGGTGTGACCAGGACAGCAGCCACCTATGTATGGGCCGGAGTACAGTTAAGAGCCTTTTATGCGTTACATCCAACACATGGAGCTCCCACATAGTTTTTCAGTAGTCCCTCTCAGAGCAGCTGTTGTTTTGATCAGCCCTCCTTTCCAAGTCAGTGTACAGTATTTAGGACTGGTGTTCAAATGTTAAACCATGCTTAATGGTCCAGAGAACCAGAGGAGAGGCACTTCTAGATAAACAGTGCCTACTGGAGGAAAAATTGTACACCTGTCCCAGTCCATTATGTGGATGGTCTGTGTTGGATTTAGTTGCCCAGATCTAGCAGCAGAGATGCAAGCGTGGAAAGAGGTTTATGCACATAAATCTGGTGTAGACAGGGGCATAACAGCCTCCTGCAGAGAAAAAATGCCTGCATCCAAAACCTGCTTCTGTTCCCAGCACAGCTATCAAGGGGTAGGCCCTGATTTCTCAGCAGCCATACCCTGTCTCCTGGCCCCCTCCTCTCCTGCCTCTGAGTCTGAACTTCCCTCTGCCCCAGCTTCTTCCTGCTCACTAAGTCCTGTTGCCTCTTCAGCTTCTGACACCTCCCCCCCCTTCTCCCTCTGACCAGTCATCACCATCCCACCACCAATCCCCTGGCTCTGAGCCTTCTTCCTCTGGGGGGTTCCCCAGCTGGGGCCTCCGAACACTCCTCTGTATCCAGCCAATCCATGCCACAAAGGCCTCAGCAACATGTTATATAAATTGCATATCCATCACTAATATATACACAAATAAACAAGCAACCAGCAAACTGTCAACCCAAACGAGGATGAATTGCCAATCCGTAATGCCATTAAATAAAGATATATATATGGATTTAAATTGTCTGAATGCTATCAAGCAGATGAAGCAGCCTGAATCATAGCAATCCTCTGTGTTTGCTGGGTTGAGCATGGGCTAGAATGCAATTATTTCACATGAAACAGCACGCATATAGAACATTTGATATAAACATGCCTTCTAGTCCTTCATTTAAATACACTACAAAAATAAGGGGGAGAAATGGTATTTCAGAATTATTTTTATTTTGCAATATTTAAAACCAGTTATGTCAGACACAAAAAAATCAGGTCAACGGATTCTTCCATTTAACAATGTAATATAGGGACCACAAATCAGTTGTAAGCATAATAACTCTGTACTCTATTGTGGCTAACCTTTTCATGTCTGGTTGTAATCACTAACCCCTGCCGAGCCTTCCAGCCCACCTCTAAAAAAAAATTCCAGACTGCAATAGGATCTGTAACAGTGCAGGTCACTAATACAGTTGCTGAAGTACATCTCGAACAGAGTCCACAATTTCAAAACAATCACTTCACCCAATACTACTGAATGGTATTGGGATCAATTCTATACTCTTCTATTAACATCAACGGTTAATCTGGGCCAGATTCTTCCACTTTGTTCCCTCAGATCCCAAAGCTTGAGTCAGTAAATGTTCACTGGATTAAGGACTGGAACCTGAGTTTGCTTCCCCATTTATTGGACCAGCTGTATTTCTCTCCCTACTAATTGTACACGTGCAAAAGATTTCATCCCACACATTTCCTACTGCTGCCAGTTCTTAGAACAAAAAGACTACCATAGGCAAAGATCCTGGTCTATGAAGCCTAAATTGCTTTGAAAAGACTACTTTCCACTGAGAACACAAAATTAGCAGGCAAAAGTCCTATTGCCACCAGGTAGAAACAAACTAAAGCCCTTGATGTCTGGAACGACAAGGCACTAGCTGACAAACAAGCAGATTTTTTGCCCTCTTGTCTACCAGCTAATCCCAAATCAAAGTGTTTTGAACTGTTTATATATTTTTGTATTCTTTAAATGTGAAAAACTTTGGTTTTATGTTTGTATAGAAGAGCTGACCTTGGAAAGATACAGATATTTCACTACTACGTCCACGTTACCCAACCTCACTTTAAATAATGTAAATGGGTTTCAGTACCGACACAAGAATGCAAAGTTCCTTTGATTATATCTTCTAGCGTCCTTTCCCCCCATCCTCCCTTATGTAGCATTTTTTCACATGAAATTACAGCTGAGCTGTACCAGTAAAAGGTAGAAGCATTTAAATGTAACTATAGTTCCCAGTATAAGGGAGATCTGCATGGCTGCTGCTCTTCTCAGGGTGTTTTGACACTGCCTCTTTCAGTTCTTTTGTCACATCTTTCAATTGCTTCTTCTTCTTTTTCTCCTCCTCCTCTCTTCTACGTCTGGCTCTTTCACTTTCTCCCTCTTTGCCTTCCTTCTTCTTTCTGGTTGGAGCCACTTTGCCCTTCTGAATCCGACCAGACTTGGTTATACGCACTGGCAGAAAAGTACAGATATATATATGTTACATTAATTTTATAACAAACCCATGCAAGAATGCAGTGAATTGTCAAAGGTGGAACTAAAATACGTAATTATTCAATGTGTTTTTAGTCACTGCCCACTAGTGGGCTTTTAGATAGGTTACTCTGTGAAATTCCTGCTACAATTGTGTATTGAGTTCCTCTCCACTTTCAGTCACTATCTCTCCTGCCCATGGTGGCAACATGTTTCAGAGAAAGAGGGCAGACAGGATCCATAAAGGTGTTCATCTATTTAGTCATCTGCATCTTTTTCTAACCTTCTTCCCTTTCTGCAGAAATTGAGCAGCTTAGAATAACAGTATTGGGGGGGGGGGGATACAAGAGGGCACAGGGCAAAACAGCATCACACATACATCTTCTCCTGTCTTGGATTCATTTCTAGAAACAATTTCAGAAAATGGGAAGGAAAGGCGTGTTGCAGTGGGGAAGGGAGGTGCTAACACTGCACAGAAAATGAGTTCTTGCCTAACAACTGACAGTTGCTAACAACTACACCGACATATTGACTGATCATTGTTTGACTGTGTTTTCTCTGTTTTCAATACCAACAAAGCAGGAGCAACAGATACACGAGCTGAACAGCAAGAAATAGCTTTTGCAAACATTTGTATCACTACTGAACGGTGTCCCTCCTTTGGGTAATCTTTCAGAGAATGCTGGTAAAGGAACAAAAGTGTTCAGGAAACCCTGAATAGGTTTGATTGTCCTCATCTTCCCCATTGGCTGGGATCACCCAGGAGACAATTCCTGGAAGCAGTAGGTTCACTCTCAGTTTTGTTTGCCCTCAGAAATAAGTACACATAGCAAAATCTGACTAGTAACAGCGCATTGTGTTTACAAGTTCATTATGTGATTCTTGATTGGCTGAAATCCTCTAGTGGACGAGAATGAAGTCCTGGGCAAATAAAACAATGAACCTGAAGCAGCAGTTGATTAGAAGTTCCACAACTACAAAACAGACATGAAAAATGGAGAAGGGTCTCACTGGCAGGGTTTTTTCTCATGCAATTTTCCTATTGCCTCCAAAAGCACTGGTTGTACACATACTTCCCCCCACAGAAACGAGCAAACATTTGGCATCACCCTACTAGAAATGTATATCGTAACAAAGCATACACCCTAGCTCATTTCCCCCCCTCAAGCGTAACAGCATTTGTCTGTCTTATGCTATCTAGCAAAATCTAGCTTCCCTCCCACCTAGTTTTTAAAAAGACATTTGCATTGTTCATTCTAACCTAATGAGTTGTATGGATTTAGAAAGCTGAGTTCCCTCACCCGACCGCACTCACATTCCCACCAATTCAATGTAAAGAAGACCATGCAAGCTCATGAATAACAGCAGCAACAGACAGAAAATACACTGGAAGGATTGTAGGATTCTAATGTACTTTAGCTATAATAGCATTTTATTTATATATTTAGATACTGCTTATATGCCAAAATGGCTTCTAAGCAGTTTACAACTATAAAATCAATACACAGTTAAAATACACAAAAACAATTCCATTGGGGCAATAAACATCCTTAATTTAAATTAAAATATTAAAATATACAATAAAAAGCAACTAAAGAAGGAAATAATATATTTTATATTATAAATCATATTTATAATATACATGTATGCCCCAACCTATTCAAGCAATGTTCATGGCAGCTTACACTATAAAAAAATTAATAAAAGTACCAACCATTTAAAAAAATAGTGAAAAACAGGAACTAGGCTGCAGCAATTAAACCAATAAACAACAATAATACTGTAATCAGCCCCAGAATCTTAGCAAAAAAGAAAATCAGCAGCTGATTGTTACAATTACTGACCATGGAAAAGAAAAGCAGAACCAGAATAACAAAATAACAGATTAATAGTGACTGCTTACTTACCCTCCAAAGCACTCTCTTCTTCCTCACAAAAATCAGCTGTAGAGTTAGCATCTTTTGCAGCAATAAAACAAGGTGCAAAGACATTTCAGAATGTTCAACATTAAGACAACATTATGAACGCCTCAAAAGAATTGTGCCTTCCGTGGAAGTGCTAGCTACAAGTAACTTCTATACAGTGTTAAAAATAAACGGTGAGATTTAATTTATTGCAATGATAGAATTAACAAAGGATTGTGTTCCATTTACATAGATTCTTAAAGTGTACATGCTTCCACTTTAGCAATAACTTCAAGATACATTGCATGCCAAACAGAAATGACAGAGTTTTCTCTTTACATAAATGGTTTTCTTAAGACTACATTCACATGAACAGTCAGTTCAGTTCAATGCACCTTAACGTAGCTAAACTCCAGCTGTGTTCTCTGCAAGGAAGTTAAAGTGAAGCAGGAGCAAGAATATTCTTCAAAAGAAAAATACAGAATTCCACCCCAGAATTGTTGGTGGAAATGTTTGTTTCTGACTCATCCCTCTCTAGAAACCAAAGCCAATTGAGAACTCTGGGGTGTCACCTCTTGACTGATTTAACATAGGAATGTACCCATGTAGATAATGTGGAAGCAGCATAGCTATCCCTTGCTGCTAATAATTAATACTGTTCAATGGTTTTCATGTGAATGTACCCTCAGGTTTTCTGCAATCAACATCAATGATCACTGGAAATTCTACAAATGAAAATCAGCAGCTACAATTTAAAAAATCACTACCAATGATCTATTCATCTTCACTTAAACCACATCCTATTGGCTAGAAGAACTGAAGTGGAACTTTACGTCCTATCCAATCAGTGATCTGTTCTGTGTGACAGATCTCACTGTATCATCCAGTTGGTTCAATGGAGGAAATGCTGTTCACTGAAAAACTGTTCAAAAATTGCTCAGCCATGGAAGCCCCATTCTGTATCCCTATACTGAGAAGTGACACTAGGTGGTGTTTGTAGTGAAGGTTCCCATGGAACACTTTATAAATAGTATTTATTTTCCAGCTTCCTTTGTTAAGTGGCCTGATACTGCGTTTGTCTGAGGCTCATGGTTTCAAATGTAACTAAATCTGATATGAATCACATCCCTGATTTTCAAACTGTCTGATGGAAGTTTGGTCCAATTCTTTGTGGGCAAAAGATCCGCAACCATCTGGCAAGTTTAGCAAAAGCAAAGCAGTATTAGAATGCACAGTGTTGTCCAGCATGTGGAGGCCTTTATTGATATTGTCTATGGCATATATTTTTTCTGTAGAGAGCAAGAGGAAGTCAGTATCTTCTCAGACTTTCTTTGCTACTAACTATAGACATGAAATTTCTGGTGTTTAAAATTAACATATCCCGAGTTCAGTCTCTAGTAGTTTGGGAAAATCTCAACCATGCTTGCTCCTTTCAAATGTGAAGTTTCTGTGACAAGTTCTTAAAGGCCAGATCTCTTCATTGCATTGCCTCTCTTCAATCCTAAATAAGGATTTGATTTGATTTTTCATCACATCAGCAAAATGTAAACAAAAAAAGGAACTCCAAAAGACCTGAATGGTATCCTTTATGGGCGAGGGGTGGGGGGACAATGGTTAGACTCACATCATATTCTTCTATAGAATTCTTTGCTTCTAGCATTCTTCACTGCACAAGATATATATGGTCCACTTTGCAGCAGCAGAAATCTTCTTCTTGCTCCAGTTCAAATGAATGAGTCTTCACCACCATTTGTGGCCATTCACTTACCAGTCTTCTACTTGATTTTAAAGTCCAAGTGTTCCAGGAGTTGAGCTATGATAAAGCCATCTGTCTTCACCACCTATGTGCTGTAGCCATGACTTTTTGTGCAGTGCCTCAGCCAAAATGGCATGTCACTCTGCATACTATCAGTCTCTCTCTTCAGTCCTAGTCTAGACTCTTGCACACCATAATTTCCAAAATCCAGTACAATTCAGTCACATTTGAATCAAACATAGGAAAGAAAAGAATTCCCTCTTAACAGCAAAGTTGGCAATACTTCATGTTATTTCCAGTAGGACAGCAAAACGGGAGCTCAACAGTTCCAACACACACCGTAACATTCTCTTGAAGGTCCCTACATTTTCCTGTACAAAAAACTGGGGTTTTTTTTATAAATGTGGATTCCGATCTTGATCCAGTATCAGCACACCTATACATACACACACAGGTATTTCTTTCATAGCTGAGATAAAACTCATACTTGCTGATCTTTGTATTTTGCCCATTGTGTCTCAAATAATAGGTTCACAATTCCAGGCAATTGTTCACTTGCCTTCCCAAATACAGAGTTGTTTCTTGCAAGGATGTGTACATGAGCTGATTTTTGAAGAAAAGAAATTACTTGAATAAAACCAGATTATTTTCTGCAGCATTTCAACTCACTCCTATTCAAAGAGAATTAGATATCCTTCCATTCCAGAACCAATCAATCAATTTTGGGAAGGGCTGTAGCTCAGTAGTACAGCATCTGCTTTGTATGAAGAAGACCCCAGGTTTGATACCTGGCATCTCCAGGTAGGGATGGGAATGACCTCTGCCACAGACCCTGGAGAGCCACTGCCAGTCTGTGGAGACCATCCTGAGGGCGATGGATCAACCAATCTGCTTCAACATCAGATAGCTTCCTATGTTCCTATGCATGACACAATTCAGAATGAGCTGCAGAGCCTATATTCTGCAGTAACGTATCTGGCAAAGTCAACATCTACTGTTCTATGACACCCTAGAAGTACACTGTGAAAGAGCACCATGTTGCAGGTGCATAATGAAGATCCTCAAGGGAACAGTACAGTCTGATTATCCTTTACAGTTATTGACAAATTGTATCGGTTACAAAACTTGTAAAGAGATGCATCGTGTTTCCGAATCAGTAAGCTAGAAAAAAAACCCCACAAAAATGTAATGCCAAAGTTCACTTATCAAAATTCCACATGCACAGGTTGGGAATAAGTGTAAGGCTCTTTGTGGTAATAGCAGATCTTATGATGCTCCTATACTTACTACTTTTTTACTGTTGTGAATACACCTTGCTTTGAACACAACCAGACAAATCAACCTACCTAGGACACATTCTCTCTTATGACGCTCATTCCAAGCCTTCACTTTACAAGTCTTGCTGCAGGTGTAGATCTCGAAACAGCGCGTGCATACTGAGAGGTTCACACCAACTGATCGTCCACATTGGTAGCAATATTTAAAGACTCTGCAAAAGAGAAATTATGTGGAAGTCAACGTCCGTGATATTTATATAAGTTACCCTGTTGGGATGGACATGGTAAGTGATTATGTGGCTAAGAAAGGCGTTGTTGAGAATTAATTTACTTACATTCTGATTTCTAGTACTACTCTTATCAAAAACATCTTAGACTCACTGCTGCAAACTCACACTCTCAATTAAGCACCTGCAAGTCTTGAAGAATTGTCTGTTTCTTCAACACATGCTGTCTATAGGCAACTGGCCCAAATGCCGATGGTTCCGGTTTACTAAATGTTTTTTCTCCCAACTGGTAGTTTCACACCACTTTGGGAGTTACCTGAAAAACTCTTACAGGTAATCATAGTAAATTAACTGAGGACTACATGTACAGGGCCGCAGAACAGGCCAATGTGGTTAGGCTTATTCAAGTGGGTCCAATGGGGAGAGAGAAACATTGCAACGTGCCATATAGACATCTGTAAGCTAATATGGACAGTGTGAATTTACATTTTTATATGCTGATCTTACTTGGGTGCATCTGCGTCCATTGCTCCCGCTCCAGATTTCCTTCTTCCTGCACAACAACAGACATGCAAAAGGAGATATTAAATATTTTTTTACCTAAAGCCAGAGCGTGTATACACTTGAAAACAATTACTAATGTTTCAAATATCTTGGAATTTAATGAGTTCATTTCATCGATTGTTTCCTTCCTTATTTATTTCCTTACCAAAATTATATATCACTTGTTCGTTAAAATTTATATATGTTAAAAAACATTTAAATAGGTATTTTAAAATACCCAACAGTAAACAGTAGCTAAAAAGAAAATGCATGTAACTTGCGCATTATCTGGACAGGCTTGTGTAAAGAAAAATATTTTAAGCAGATGCCAAAAAGAGTACATGAAAAACCACCAAACAGAAAATGCGTAAAGGATAAGGATCGTGACCACTGTGCAGCTCCTATAGTGTTGAGAGTACACCAACAATAGCAGGAAATGTTAGGAAGTACCCCTGAAATCAAGCTTTGGGTCTAAGAATAGCAGCCTGCACCAGAGAAGGGAAGTTCTGCTTTGGCCTGGAGTGGCAAGGAGAGAACATCCATTACAGTAACTCAGACAGGGCACACTCAGACAAGCTGAGTTGCAACATTTCCTACTAAAGGCACTGATTGCTATCTTCTTCACTATAAATATTGGCTGTCCTCTCTTATCACTTGTAAATTTAATTTAAAGTTAAACAAAAGAGAATCAGACTCCTGGAAACGTTAAACCAAGACATGATCACCTGTCACCCTTCCCTTCTTCCCCATGCCCATATAACTAAGCCATGGTCTCCTACCAGAAAGAAGCAAAAAATATGTTAACCCCTTTTCTCCAACCCACCTGCACAGAATAAAGATGCATTTTTGAAGCCATTTTGGCAGAGATTTGGGAGTCTGGTTGTGATTCTTGCATTTCAGGGGTTAGACTAGATGACCCAGTGGGTCCCTTCCAACTCTACAGTTCTATGATCCTACCACCTCCACTTTCCCTGCCCAAATTTACTGCATCCTTGTTTTTCTACATGTTTTCAGGCATGCTTTTAGAATGACATATATAGTTAGTTTTAACCATTCTATTAATTTCAAAGTCTATTATTCAACCTATTCTTATTGTGCCGTTCATCGATTCTGTCTTAACATCATTAGCAAATATGCCAATTCCTTTTTAGTACAATAAAATTACTCTTGATTTAGCTTAAATGTCCTTGTTCACCCTTGGGGTGCCAAATTCTGGAGTGCATTCAAGTCTCAGTGTCAAAAGATTAAAAAAAGGGGGGGTGAGGATTGAATGTGAAAACTCAAAGCTTACAAGCAAACTGTAGATTCCTAAAAATATCATTATACTTCCAAAGGTTTCGCTTGGCCTCACCGTATTTGAGTCTTCGAATTTCCTCTCTATCCCACTGTTTTTCTCTCGACGTGACGCACTCTCGAAGCCGTTCACTGAGGTACTCCAACAACTTTTTACGGCTGGTGAAGGTTTCCCGCTCCGTTGGCGATAGGGCATGGTACGGTGTATGGAGCATTCTCTTATCCTGCAAAACACAAACACCCACAAGATGCCGGCGAGGAAGCAGATCTGTACCTTCCCAAAAATATACTTCCTTGTTATATTTGCAGGGAATGCGCGAGAGTGTTGTACAGGAAAACCACTATGATGCCAGTAAGATTAGCATTAGAACACCCTGTAAGACTGACAGTGTGGGACGCGGGTGGCACTGTGGGTTAAACCACAGAGCCCAGGACCTGCCGATCAGAAGGTCGGCGGTTTGAATCCTCGCGACGAGGTGAGCTCCCATTGCTCGGTCCCTGCTCCTGCCAACCTAGCAGTTCGAAAGCACCTCAAAGTGCAAGTAGAGAAATAGGTAGCGCTCCGGCAGGAAGGTAAACGGCGTTTCCGTGCGCTGCTCTGGTTCGCCAGAAGCGGCGTATTCATGCTGGCCACATGACCTAGAAGCTGTACGCCAGCTCCCTCAGCCAATAAAGCAAGATGAGTGCCGCAACCCCAGAGTCGTCCATGACTGGACCTAATGGTCAGGGGACCCTTTACCTTTAAGACTGACAGTGAAAGAGGCTGCCTTGGGAGGGGGGGGGCTCTCCACTGGAGGAGAGACCGGATGGCCATTTGTCAGGGATGCTAAAGTTGCATCATACATTGAACAGAGCACTGCTCCGGATGACCTCCAAGGTACCTTCCAACTCTGTGTCTCTATTATTTGTAAATTATCTCAAGTGTTACAAGAGCATCCTGGAGTCTCCTATGATCCCTCCTTCCAAAGAAACTGAAGCTTGGAGAAGTTTCTGCTCCTGGAACTTCCATACCACTTGGGAAGTGGAGAACACTTAACAGAACTTAAAAGTCCCCAGCCAGACATCACCAATTACATGGGGCTCTGGAACCCATGTGTCCTTATTGCTCAGTGGTGATGTCTAGATTACTTGCAGAGCTGGCAGGTCTGTTGAAGAAAAGAGGCTTCCAGCCTTTCGACCACTTTCTGGTGGATGCAGATTGCAAGAATACAGACACTGGCCAACCCTTTTTTTTTTTTAATGATATTTATTAAGAATTTTAAAATTACAGGAAAAACAAAGAGAAAAAGAAGAAAAAGAAAAGAAAGGAAAAACAAACCACAATCAAACAACACAAATTGATAAAAATCAAAAAACAACAACAAAACACGTAACACATTACAATCAAAAAAGCAAAAATAAACCACAAAAATTTAAAAACAAATCCAATATTCACAAATCCCTAACTGTCCTTACCTTATTTCATCGACCTCCTCACTCCTCCCCTTTTTTGTATTCTATTTGTTAATTATCACAGCAAATCCTTTCCATTTTTCATAGTATTCTGTCATTAAATTACCTTAATCTATTTTAACCTTATCTTACTATAAAAGACCCTAAAACTTAAAGCTTAAATTCTATTTATACCAATTTCTCATAACCATAACATATTCTTACATAATTCTTTTAACATTTCTGCTAAAGCCAAATAGTTTCGTTCCAACATTTTTCTAACATTCATCCATTTTATAAAACAATCCTAATAAAATTTTTGAAACTTTCTTCCAATCTTCATCCAACGTCTCTTCCTCCTGGTCCCGGGTTTTGTCAGTCCTTTCTATCCCATCCATCTAGCTCATTAACCTTAACCTGGTAATCTTATGTCCGAGGCCCTTAAGTCTCTTCCATGTCCCTTCCGCAGATCTTCTTCATATTTATACCTGTACTTGACTTTGTCTCCTGCTCCTTTCACTCGTGGAAACTCCAACTTGACAGTATTTTTGTCCCTTCTCGACAAATCAGCCCCTTTTCCATAATCCCCACTAAACTCCATGTGGTATTTAAAAACATGTTTCAAAGTCTCTCCAGAGTTAAGAACCCCCACACCCCCAAACATCTCACGGCCCATTGCCAGACTTGAAGAGTCAAAAAATCCCTGCATAGGGGGATCTATCCAACCCCCCATTTCGAAACCAAACAAAACTCTATCTCTCCAAGTCTGGCTTTTTCCAAGTTCATTTGTCAAATCCAACAACTCATGTTCCTGCTGGGCCACAGCTCCCTCCATCTCTGGCACCCAAGGTCCAGCAACATCCTCCTCCCTCATCTGATCTGTCAGAGCACACTCCTGAGTTGGTTCCTGGGTGGGTTCTATATAGTTACTCACTACCTGTCCAAAATTTCTGATCGCAACAGTCATCAAGTCCGTCTTCTCATGTAACTGTTCCAATAGGGCACTTGTTTTGCAGAAAGCACGCACCAGGGCTTCTGAATACATTGTTATACAAGGTCAGAAGTCTATTCCCACGATCTTAATCTGTTGCAGCTGCAGAGCTCCCCGGTTCAAGTTTAGTAACAGTTTCACAGGCTCCCTCTAGGGGAAGAACTTCTATTTGTATCCATCTCCTTTCTCTTTTTTTTTCTTTTTCTTTTAAAAGCAGATCTAACAACAAGGTTTCCTTTTTCAGATATTTTGTCAATATTTTTTCCTTTAAAATCAATGGAATCACTGTGTTTCTCTTCTTTTAACTGTCTGTCAAGACGTCTGTCTATAGTCAATGAACTTCCCAAAAACGTCAGTCCTGACACCCCGCTCCCAGAATCAAGACGGTGGAAAATTACTTTTCTTTACACTCTCTTCTGCAGGTTTAAACAGTCCGGAAAAAATCCCCCCTCTTCTCCTGCTTCCGAAGGGGGTTCAACAATTTTAAATGATGAAAGTTAATCCTTTACAAACGATTTTCTGAACTCTAGTTTGCCATGTCTTTGCTTTAATCTATCTACAAGAAACGGAAGGCTGACTTCCTGTTTAGACCTTCCCGTTTCAGTGCCAAATTAAAAAAAAAAAATTCTTAGTCCAATTTTCCTTTCTACTCACAAGTCTTTGTTTAAAGTCCAATTGTCCGAATTTAAACTACTCACGGGTAGTTGTTTTAGTAGCCAAATTGTCCCAGGAAAGAGGCAGCGCTCTCCGGCAACGGCTGTGCGGCTTCGCTCCACAGAAGAAGCAGTTGACTCTCAGCACCGCGCCACTGCCCCTCTTCACTCCGGAGCCCGTAGCTGGGTTCCTTTACGAGTTGGGGGGGGCGCGAAAGGTGCCCGCCGAGTCCCATGGTCACAGGCTTCATCCGCCTGTGATTTTTCAAAGGGTCCCCGCTTCGCCGTAGCGGGAAAGACCCGTTTTCCGTGGAGCCAGTCCCTCCGGATCAGAGGGAATCCGCCATTACCGATGGCGCCACCCCGGAAGTCCAGACACTGGTCAACTCTGCCCTATTCCCTAGCTCAGGAAACACAACAGCCAACTCAAAAAAAAAAAAAAGTAATAATCCAACACTTCCTCTTACCCTTACTTTACTATGTCATTTGAAAGAAGCAAGGACTTATGGGGGCTCTTCTTTTCACAAGAATATGCTTACTCTCATAACTCAGTAATAACCAGTGAAATACACTGCACAAGTCATGCATGCAGCTTGGAAGCAAGTTTCAGAAACAGCAAATTATAAAGATAGACAAATGTATATACATGTTGACGGAGAACAAAAGACATGTTCACACATAGGAAAGAAATGTACATGCAGCTTGAGTTGCACTTCTTTTCCTCATAGCCATTTCCATCAGCACTGCTCTGCTAAATAAGTGGTACTCCTAATGCAAATAGGAACTCTAAAACAGTTAAACTCGCCCTCCATGCCTGCTATCCTCCCCCAAGCCATCAGCTGTTATCTGCACTTTAAAGAACATGTACAGTAAATGCAAGTATGTTCTTCATGTCACATTAGGTTGGTCCTGGAAATCACTTTTCACCACCCACAACCTCTGATCTTGTAAGGTGATTGCTACTAATAATAATTTAAAGGGAACCTTGCAATCAAGTGTGAATTCATTTTCTTTCCAAAGGCAATGTCTGATCAAAATCTCTGTAAATCTTTGTGGAAGTAAAAGGTCAATGGAAAGATAAATTTGAGTTCTAAGGAAAATGAGAACAGATGCTAGAGCAATCTGTGGCACTTGGCATTGATTTCTTTTGTCAATTATAGCAGCAAAGTTCACATATTTTTAACATGTTTCTGTAGTTCGAGGCACTGAAAAGATACCTGATAGATTCTGAAATGTGCATAGTCCACCACTGTTCCCACTGCAGTTCTTGTCTCATCCCCAATAGTAATTGGCATCAACATGTCTGCACCTCCTGCTATTAGAGAATTAATCTGGGGAAACATGGGAAATTAAATAAATAAATAAATGCAGGCCATCAAGAAGCTCATGTGACCACTCCCTTAAGTACCACATACAGCCCAAAACAGAGTTAAGGGTTATGGTCACAACACTTTCTTTACAAACAGCGGATATACAGTGACTAGAAGCTATAGTCGCCCAGTTATTTGGGTGGCAGGGCAGTAGTTCATAACGCAAATCATCCAGAGGGCCACTTTTATTTTTGTTTTGTTTATCACTAACTTAAAAGCATGCTTCACTACATTAACCACATGAAAGCATTTTTTAAAATAATTTCAACCTAAACCTTTTCATTTTCACCCATCATCAGGAATCTTCTTTCCTTTTGAGCCACATTGTATGCACAATTCTTTCTGTAACACTACAGATCTCTGAACCTCTGTCTTCGAACCCTCCCTCCTCCCTCTCTTCACTTGACAGCACACTATGTATAGCAGCACACCCCATAACCCGTCATCTCACTTCTTCACCATCAAACGTCTGCACCCCACTTTTTAGCCCCTCTTTTTCTGTTTCCCCCTCCTCATACGTCTCTCTACAACTCCTCTCCTCTCTCTGTACCCCTCAGCACTTCCACAGATCTACTTGCACCTACATTTCTGCTACCCCATTTTTCTCGCTGTTTCCCCACCTGAAGGAATCAACGCTTTTCTTACCAATGCAATCTTACTTGCTAGCGTCCTCTTAAATTCATATGTTGTGTTAGCGACAGCACACAGGGCACTTCCAACTGCTTGGCCTAGTGGGAGATTTGGTTCAGCTCCACCAGCCAGAAGCTCAGCCACTGCCTAAGTAAATGCAGCACAAAGAAAAATCTTGGAAACCATCTCAATATACACGTTACCACTTAAATTGAACTCATGGATCTGCTAAATCAGAACAGCATTTAACAGAATTTATGGTCATTCTGTCTTAATCTCGCTGCTGGTGCAAGCATGGCTAGGAAACAGGGCAAGGCTAATTCGATGGATGAAGCAGGACCGGCTGCCCAGATTCCTCCCTCCCCTTGTGAACAAGACCTCCACTGCCATCACCACACCACCTTCTGCAACAAAAGTAGCAGTCGAGGTCTGAGCATGTCCAGCAGATGGTGAGGAATCTGGTGAGAGGTTGAAATAAAAGGGAACGCTTAGCCTAAATAGAAGCAAAGGTTAAAGGGAGACATCAGAGTGGTCTACAAAAATTTGAAGAGCTCTCATGCAAGAGATGGAGACTTGATCTCTTTTGCTCCAGTGGGCAGGACTATACTGTAGGGTGGAAATTTCAGGGAAGCAGAATTCAGGTCAATATTAGGAGAAACCTCTTGGTAGGAGAGACTGGGAGCCTCAGAAGGTTGTGCGTTCATCACTAGGTGTTTCTAGGGGTTCTAAGTAGAGACTGAATGGTGATCTGCTAAGATGCTGTAGATACAGGATTGCTGTACTGAGCATGAGGTTGGACTGGATGCCTTCTTAAGCCTCTTCCAATTACAGTCATACCCTTGGAAGTCAAACGGAATCCATTCCGGAAGTCCATTCGACTTCCAAAACATTTGGAAACCAAAGCACGGTTTCCGATTGGCTGCAGGAAGCTCCTGCAGCCAATCAGAAGCTGCGGAAGCCCCGTCAGACATTCGAGTTCCAAAGAACGTTTGCAAACCGGAACACTCACTTCCAGGTTTGCGGCGTTTGGGAGGCAAAACGTCCGAGTACCGAGGCGTTCAGGATCCAAGGTACAACTGTATATGATTCTATGAAGCAGCTGCCCGCAGTGTGGTCAGAGTAGGGTGCTCTGCTAATTGAAGAATTTCTTCCCATTGTAAATAGCAGGCATGTTGTTTGGGGGGTGGGGGCTGGATTCTGAGTGGGACCCCAGTGGGAACAAAAGTCTCGCCACCCTGCATAGCACATCCTGATGCGCGGCCTGTGGGGAGGGGCGCTTGTACCAGCCATGTGTTAAATAAATAAATAAATAAATAAATCAGCCACACAAGGCCAAACCGTGTGAATAAAATGAAATGTACTTTGGCCTTAAGTCACAGCCCTTTACCATTGTCCTCATTCCTCCAACCCAAATCCGATAATGTTTTTAATGGTAATATTGAAGTCTGCATCAATATACTAGCAAAACTATGAAACTGGGCAGGTTATAAAAGTGATTTATCGTTTGTGCTATAGGGATTTGTAACCTCCTAGAGCCCTGCAAGATTCTGACAAAGGTTAGAACTATATATAACTCAGTTATATAATATGCACATTTTCCCTTTTACAAGCTTCAAATAAGATTGATTAAAACTGTCCACTTGCAACTGATTACTGTTTAAATAAGAACTGGAATCATCCATCTGATGTGGCAACAATGTCCGCAGATTTTCTCAAAGAATAAATATGGAGGGAGGGGAGGGGAGGGAAGATAGCATACCCGATCATTTCCACTAGCTATAGCCAGAGAAAGAGGGCAGTGGCCACTCCACAAGACATTTGGATTTGCATTGTGTTCTAAAAGAAGACGAACAACTCTGCTTGCATTCTGGAAGAGGAAAATACAATTAAATATGATCAATAAAGAAGAAACTTTTTTTAACTTAAATAATGGATCGACTTTTTAAAACGTAAATTACGTATTTAAAATAAAATATGTTAAGACAAAGACATGCCTGCATCTCTAATTGTGAAGTTAAAAACTAAGCTAATTTGACTGGGTATTTACCAACATGCATACTGATAAGTTTCAGTTCAGAATTACATAACAGAAGTTATGGATTTGAGGCAACGAATCCCAACAGTATAGAATTAAACCTACTCATATAGACATAAGAAAAAATGGACTAAACTGCTATAAACAAAGAATGCCCACAATTACAGATAGTTAATTAGAGGTAAAGTTGGGTTATTGACTTTTTATTTACGTAACCGATGGCAGTAATACAAAACTGCCAAGTAAGAAATCTATGTCAATGAAGCAATCAGCTCCGAAATGAGACAGCATATTGGGCACAACACAAATACAGCTGATTAAATAGGACCTTCCAGTTCTGTTAATCTACAGAAGACTCAATCATTAACTGTAATTAACAAATAAAAACCTTAATTGTTCAATGAGAAATCTCTAAACGCTTCAAATATGGTGCTCAAATGTATTTAACATTTCCCATTTTCTACCACATAACAATTATCACCTGCTATCCCTCCAGCTGGCCTGAGGTCACAATCCATGCCCATTTACCTGAAAATAAGTCCAGCTGAACTCACAAAGACTTGTCCTCTTGAACCTATAGAGTTTACTATCTATTGTAATTTCAATGAGATAATGATTTCCCATCATATCTCTTTTCAACCACCACTCTATTCAAGCTCTCCAAAAGTAGATAGAAAATAGGAATGGAAATTGAGAGGAAAAGAGTGAGACTTAAGAAGTGTCAAAGCTATTCACATTCATTCAGGTCTAAAATTGGAAACTAGATTTTCCAAAAGCTTTCTCCCCAAATGTATAATTGCTTTCTGTACAGTTCTGGAACTGAGAGATCTTCGATTTGCTTTCATCTCAAAGGGAATATTTTGCCCTTTAAAGTTGAAAATTCTATTAAAGCAGGCCATAAGACCCAGAGTTTTTGTTATACAGCAGATCCTATACAATAGGTTTGGATAAAAACAAAGATCTTCCTAAAACAAACAAACAAACAAACAAACATAACAGTGACCACCAGGTGACAGAGAAGGGATCCAGAACAGGACTTCAGTGCTGAAGGAAAGCAGAAACAACTCTTTCCCCCAGGCTGCTTTCTAGTTCATAAAATCATAGAATTGTAGTTGAAAGAGACTCCAAGGGTCATCTAGTCCAACCCCTTGCAATGCAGAAATAAAATAAAATTTGAATAAAAGTTCAAATTGCATTCTGCACCCAAACTGTTCGCCCCATGGGGGAGACATATAGGTCTCTCAGTATGTTTGCCCTTCTAGGTCAAATAGCAGTTTTAGATATTGATTGAAATTAGGAAAATAGCCTGGGTGGAAAGGATTAACTGCTCTCCCTCTGTCAAACCTATTTGCCACAAACACATACACAAGTGCTATTAACTTTTTTAAAAATCCACAGGAGAGCCACCATTATGTAACTTCTACGTTAAATCTAGCTTGGTCCTGTCTCAGTTGCGGTCAGAAGTCTAGACAAGTGTTGTAACCAAAGCTAGATGATGCCTCCATTATAGCAACATCATATTTGCACTTACTCTCTGTTCCAAGACTGGCTTAGATGGCTTAACCCTGCCATAGGTCCTGTCATTGTATGGCAATGCAGCAGAATGGGCAATGAGACCACCATTTGAAGGAGAGTAAGGGCAAGAAGGACTTCTAAAGCTGTTGCATGCTTTCAGCCCAATCCTAGGATTGCCTCTCATGTTACATAGGAACAGCAGATGCAGAACTGTCTCACAAATTTGCTATGCAAACTTCTTGTGTAATGTGAAAACAGAGCAAATTGTATTTCTCCTTCTTCCTAAGAAAACCACTTATGTAAGCAGTTCTTAGACTGCAGGCAGCCAGCTAAAGAAACTGCCAGATTGGCTCTAGTTATATACGACAGCCCATTTGTAGCTGGCTGGATAAGAATTTAACCAGTAATCTTTCATATTAGCTGTGCTGGTCCCTCCAAACTACAAAATAAATGCTGTTTGGTTCTTAATGTTGAACTTTTACTTAAAGCAGTACTCAGGACTTTTCCCAAACTAGAAAGGGGATGCTGCATTTGAATTTAATGAACTGCTAAGGGCCTCTAGCGGTCAAAGTTTGTGACTGCTCCATTGTTGCCCTCACCATAGTTCTGATGCACTGCCAAAAGCACAATATCCTGTCCCGATGTAATGAGTAGGAGAACTATCATTGCAGCAGAATGAATAGCAATCTGATGTTTATCTTTGTGGGGGGGGGCGTAAATTGGGGAGACATGCAATGGAGACAGAGTAAGCAGCATTCATTCAAACAACCAAATCAAATATTTTTATAAAGCAAAAAGGTCATTGAAACAATGAGAATGCCTAAGGGACGTTTATAGCACATATTTTGATTTGTAAATAACTATCTGAGCTCTCCATTTTTAAGTGTTCCAGCAAGGGACCATCCGGATTAAAAACTATCTAAAACAACAGCAACAACTTTTCAAAGGGTTACAAAATGGTTAAGGCAATGGTTAAGGCTGTTCAGTCAAGTCAGCCTGTGTGCATTTAGGCACATACACAAACACATATCATCATCATATTTATATCCTACCGTTCCACCAAGGAGCTCAAGGTACATGGTTCTCCTTCTCCCCACAACAACCCTGTGAGGTAGATTAGGCTGAGAGACAGTGGCTGGACAAAGTTCAACCAGTGAGCTTCATGGCTTAGTGGGGATTTGAACCCTGATCTCCGAGGTCCTTGTCCAACACTACACTACAGTTGTAACTGAGTAATTACCATTCAAAACATGCAGATGCAAGCAAGCCTATTTGATCTGTGAGGTTTTGTTTCATGCTACAAAAGAAACCAGTATTTTATCATTTGAAAAGAAAAAGTGGTATACTGAGTTGAATTTTCAGAATGTGTTTAATGATACATTTCTGTTATTTAAAACAATTTTAAAGTCTAACGAAAAGACAGTAAACAGTTTATGTGCTCACTTTGGGGCAACCAATTCAAACTCCTGGTCAGCCAACAGCGATTGCAGATCTCTGTCCATATATACATACTAAGGATTAGTTTTAATACAGCAGGATGGGTGCATGAGCTACTGGACTTCAGGCTTTATTATCAGACCCTTCATTTCCATATGTTTGAGGAAGCTGGAAATATGTGATTCCTTCTTTTAAAACATAAATTCTTTACTAATGTAACACCTGAAGACTACACAAGTTAGTGAAGAAGAGCTTTCAGGTTGAAGAAGAAAGATTCCCACAGCTATCACTTACCTCATAATCATCTTCCCTCTCACATGCAATATGAAGAGGAGTCCTCCCACCTTCCTCTGGGATAATGGCACATTCTTTGTAGTAGTTTTTGGGTGGTCCCATTTCATTATTCATCTTAATCATAGATATATTTTCAGTAAGCTCGTTCTGCAAGTAGAAATGGGAAAGAAAATCACCAGCGTAGAAGGCTGCAGGCACCTTAAAGAGACACACAGTCTGCTCCCCGGAGTGAAACAGGAACTATCCTCCCTAAACTATGCCCAGTGGGAGTTCATAACCTGTTACGAAAAGTTCACCGCTTCGCTCAGAAATCTGCACTTCTTAATTATTCTGAAAACACAGTTAAAAGGAATTTCTACATACTCTCCAGTTATGAGCTGTACAGTGCTTATTAACATAGGCCTTTTACTGAGTCAGACCACTGGTTCATATAGCCCCACATGGGGGAAATTTTGATTTTTAAGGGGGGCAATTCGAGAATGAGTTATTAATAGGCCTTTTAGGCTTCCTCCACATGAATAGGAGTTCACTTTTTGAGTAATAAGAATTATATGTCATGTGGGGGGCAATCAGGAGTTTAGATGCTTAGGTGGGGCATGGCCAAAAAAAGTTTGGGAACCACTGATCTAACCCAATGCCACCAGTGGACCTAGAAGGTCTTGGGCTGAGATTTTTCCCAGCCCAGCTGCCTGGGGTCCTTTTAGCTGCAGATGTTAGTAGGTTGCCTAAGAAGTTCAGGAAGAGAAAAGTAGAGCCAGTCAGACTCAAGGCACTCTCTATACAGTATATTTGGAACTGCCCCTGCTCCCTGAATATATGTTGCTGTGACCGCATTTGCTACAATTTTTTTTTCTAAAAGTACTGTTTCAGGATAAATAGCACAGTTCTTAGGATACAATGCTATTATTTTCCACAACACTTTTGCCAAAAACAAGTCAATTCCTTGCTCCTCTCCAGCACAAGTAACAAGGTTGGAATTAAACGGACATACCTTGTATGAAGTCCTATCAGGCCCATATATATCATTCTCATCCTCTGCCCTTACGTTAGGATCTGTAGCTGAATGAAGTAGTGAGCTTGTTATTTCAACCCCTTCTTCACCAGGAAGAGCAGCAGCAATATGAAGAGGAGCTGTGCCTCCAAGCTAAAAAAAATATGCTATATTTAATATTAAATCATAAGTTACAGAACATCTCACTACTGTGCATTCCTAGCATATTATGACAGTGAGCCATTCCAGCATTCAATGTCACTGTTAAAATTTCAGCTCAAATTGAAGACACCTAATTCCCAGGTAGCATAAATATCTGAGGAGTGCATATCAAGAAGCAAAATGCAGTCAGAAATAACTGCTAACTGCAATCAGAAATACAATCACCCTCCACTGGATGGAATGGTTAGGCTGTATGAAATTTAAAACCAGTCTAGGCAAAATGGGTTCATAAGGAAATATCTCTGTCCCTTAGAGTCCATATCAAAGCAGCAAATCCACTCCTCTAGCTGGGCCCTTTTTGGAGGGAAGTTCCTTGCTGAAGTTCTGAAAAAACAAGAGATTTAGCACATGCCCAGCACATGGTGCATCATCCTAGCACCAAGATCAACTGAGGATAGAGGACTTGGTCCAACTCAACTCATATACAAGACACCCCCAAATTCCAATTAAGTTTCCATTATTACCGACATTCATTAAATTCCTCTAAAATCTCTCTATTCTAATGTCTAGAGATAGGAGAGAATCGTTGCAAACTAGTTACAATCAGCAAAAAATACTTTTCTTCTACACTGATAAAACTAGAGGGTGGAACCCAATGCTGCCCTCCCACTCGCAGAAAAGCTGAAGAACATCTTCTGATCCAGTGGAGGCATTTGCTAAGTAAGATGAGAGGAGGTAATCTTCTCCAATTTCCCCGCTTCCTGCTGCAATCCTATGAACCCCTGAAAATTTGTTCCAGAGGGTTGTGGATCAATACAGAACAGCCTGGAAGATGATGCAGGGGGCTACAGGGTTAATCGTGGTGTGTGTGAACGCCTCCCCACCTCTTCTGTTAGCAGATAACTCAAAAGGATTTAAAAAACCCACTCTGCAATGTTAAGATTAGCATTCGCTTTCACTCATTAAGAATAACAGACTCACAACACAGGCCTACTATACAGGTTTACTCTGAAGTAATCCCCACTGTACTTGTAGGATTTCAGCTCAATAGATTTATCACATGAATCAGAGTAACAGGATAGTGTGCTGCAGCTGACAACGCAAAAGAGAAGGCATGCCTCCTGCAACTGGAGAAACAGAGATTTGACATTTATATCTGGCATATGAGCTATTTTTGATGCGGTGGGTCCCGAGTTCTGTACACTTGCATAAAGGTAAAGGTAAAGGTACCCCTGCCCGTACAGGCCAGTCATGTCCGACTCTAGGGTTGTGCGCCCATCTCACTTAAGAGACCGGGGGCCAGCGCTGTCCAGGGACACTTCCGGGCCACGTGGCCAGCGTGACGAAGCTGCTCTGGCGAGCCAGCACCAGCGCAGCGCACGGAAACGCCATTTACCTTCCCGCTATAAAGCGGTACCTATTTATCTACTTGCACTTAGGGGTGCTTTCGAACTGCTAGGTGGGCAGGAGCTGGGACCAAAAGACGGGAGCTCACCCCGCCGCAGGGATTCAAACCGCCGACCATACGATCGGCAAGTCCTAGGCACTGAGGTTTTACCCACAGCGCCACCCGCGTCCCCACTTGCATAAGACACCAAAACTCATACAAGAGCATTTATGCCAGGCATAGGCAAACTCTGGCCCTCCCTAGCTAACAGGACCAGTGGTCAGGGATGATGGGAATTGTAGTCCCAAATATCTGGAGGGCCAGAGTTTGCCTGTGCCTGATTTATGCCATCAGTCCAATCACTAACTTAAATTCTAGTCTCTCTGCTTTAATGAGAATTATCACACACAAATAAGGTTTCCCTACTCTGGTCGGAAGTCGTATATCAGTCCTTGCTCCAGCTTCTAAAAGAAATCTCACTGCATCTGGATCTGCAGCTTTAACAGCAAAGAAGAGGACATACATAGGGATTCTGCACATATTGGGATCTGCACCTCTCCTGAGCAACAGCTTGATAGTAGCCAGTCTCTTTGCGTGTCTAAAAACCAGCAGAAAACAGAACCCCATTAATTGTTGAAAACTTTGATAAGTGCAGTGTTGCTAAACCTGAAGGTGAGGGTGGTAGAACTGTAGCTGTTCTGCAAGTGATGCAAACAGCTACAAATATATCATTGCTGTAATCTATCCCAGCCTTGCATCATCTCTGGCCTTCTCTTACCATGCAAATCCGCTGCAGATCTGCTCACGCTCCATGGAGCAGACGCTGGTGCCACTCGTGGCGCAGGTAGCAAGCGGATTGCAGTCGGTGGGTCTGTCCTTTCTGCTGGGGTCTGTCCTTTCTGCCGGAATCCCCTCTCCCTGCTTTCCTCCTTACCCACCCACCCCAGTCCTGATTTATAGGAACGCAATCCAGAGCCGCTCCGAATCGGGGCTGCCTCCCCCAGGGTGGGCTTTGTGCATGCAGAAGTCCCAGTTTCTACTTTCGCCCACTGCTTAGCCATTGCTTTCCCGGGTAGAGTTTTAAGGTGTTGGGGGTTTGGTGGTGGTGGTTTTTTGGAGGGAGGGTGTTTGCATAAGGCATGCTGAAGCCGCCGGGAGATGCATGCCTTGCCTGCAAAAACCCTCCCGATTTGATTATCTCGCCACCGCCACCTTCACCCGTTTCCCCTCCCAGCCAAGAAACTGCAAGGAGCACGAGGGGAAAACCTTTTGGAATCCCAGCCTGGCCTTTGTTGTGCTTTGCTTTGTGTTTTCTGCTTTCCTGTGGCCCACTTTATACTGGGTAACAGATTGCAGCCTGGTTTATTGCTTTCATTTTATGGATCAATGGTCTCATTAGATAGTAAAATTCATGTTAAATTGCTGCTTTAGGGGTTGTTTTTAAATGTCTAGAACGGATTAATCCAATTTGGATTACTTTCTATGGAAAAGCGTGCCTTGGTTTACGAACGCTTTGGTTTAAGAACGGACTTCCGGAATGGATTAAGTTCATAAACCATGGTACCACGGTATACCGTCACTCAATACCAATGCAGCAAGCAAACTGCACCATTTCAGATCATTTTTCAGAGGTACCATATGATGCCTTCTAACCTTCCTTCTGATAAACTCTTCACTGCAAAATCAGGGAAGTTATACACAGAAGCTATCCATACTGAGCAGAGCCCAACTGGGACCACCCTAGCAGCAATATTAGTGTGGTCATTGGCTTCAGCAGGCTGCCCTGAGTTCTTCTATAGTCACTTACTCTGTTATTGATGCTGCCATTCTTCCCAGAGTGCCTTCCTGCTGAACGAGCCCTTCGCAGTCAGCGAAGTATGGCACTTTTAGCATGTGTTCACTAAGAGCAGCTGCACCGCGTTGCATGGCTTCTACTGAAACCTGAATCTTGAAGTTGTAAATGCCACAATTTGTCTCAGAGCTCTTTTCTACAGCACTGCTCTCCGATTCCTCAGATGACTTAGCATATGTGCCACGTTCTGACTTTTCAGCAGAGCTCAACGGTGCTTCTGGTGATGCAGGGCTGGCAGAAGAGGATCCTTTCAATTCTGTACTCGGCTGAGATGGTTGAGAGGACTCCGACTGCGAAAATGGCATAGATCCTGGAGATATTTCTTCTGGCATTTCTTCCATCGCCTATATCAAGCAAACAAAAAACAAAAACAAAAAAGTGGGGGGATGGGGGAAATTATTTCCAAAACCAGTTTGCTGCACCCCAACATAAAAAACTGCATTGTTAACATACGCAGACAGACAAATTCATACCATTAGGTTGTCAAAGAAAATAGCGAAAAAGTTGACGTATGTTACTCTTCTAAAGAATTTTACAGAAAGAATTTGTCAAATACACAACATATCTCTTATTTGTTTCATTTATACACCAACGGTTAAGTTGTGGGCGAACATATCAGACAACACAGCGATTCTTCCAAAGCAGCTCTTTATTTGTAAGCTGGAACAGAACTGAGGAGCTCAGTCAGCCTGCTTATATAGAGCTCCAGACAATGTAACTGTTGCCATTTTCTAAAACTATCCAATCACTGAACGTCACTTTCGATCCTTCATTTGCATACAAACTATCCAATCACTGAACGTCACCTTCGATCCTTCATTTGCATACAAACTATCCAATCACTGAACGTCACTTTTGATCCTTCATTTGCATAACTATCTACAGCATCCCCCTGCTGGCCCAGGGTGAGAACTTCAGTACATAACACCAACTTTCTTCCATGAAACTCAAAGTAGTATAGAAATGTTCCAGCTCTACTCAGAACTGTCTAACTTCAGCAAGTCTGCTGCATTACATGCCTTTGGACTATGTTTTAGAGTTTAGACTCACTTCATTATGAATGGCTACTTGTAAGGGACAAATATATCCAGTTGTCATAAGTGGCAAGGACTGCTATTCAACTCTTTAACAGATACAAATGAGTTTGCTCCTATACACACAACATACAGGAGGGGCAAAATGTCCAATAAGAGAGATTTCAAACCTTCTTTTTATCATTGTTAATAAATGTCAGGACTTCAAAATGTGTATTGGTTGTACTTGAATCCTCTTCATGAGCAACCCTACATAGTACACATTACAATAGACTACTCTAGAAGCACAATGCCATACAAGGCATAGTTATCACATCATGACCCAACATCTTCTTTAAGATCACAACTCTGGAGCAATTCATTTCACTCCACCTCATCATCTCTGGACTGCAATGCAAAGAAGGCTTCAGGCTGCTCTGCCTTGCAGCTTTGAGAGAGTAGTTATTTCTAATAAATGAAATTACCGTATTTTTTGCACCATAACACTCACTTTTTTCCTCCTAGAAAGTAAGGGGAAATGTCTGTGCGTGTTATGGAGCGAATGCCTATGGGTGGCGGGGGGGATCTGCTGCAGTCGTGAGCAGAGGATCCATGGTTCCCCTTCCTTCCCTCCTCCGTGGATCGCTTTGAAACAGCAAAGCGGGAGAAGAGCCACTGAGTGGGGAGGAGAGAGGGACAGAGAGCCTGCTTCTTTAAAGGAGCAAAGCGGGAGAGGAGAGGAGCCGCTTACACGAGTGTAAGCGGCTCCTGTCCGGTTGGCTCCTTTAAAGCAAGCAGGCTCTCTGTCCCTCTCTCCTCCCCACTCAGCTCGCTACATAGCAGCAAAGTTTTTCAGCTCGCTAAGCCGGGGATGAGCGGGGAGGAGGGAGAAAAGCAGAGCCTGCTTGCTTTAAAGGAGCAAAGTGGGAGAGGAGAGGAGCCTTCTCCTCTTGTACCCCTCTCCTGCATTATTAGCAGCATCCTTCTCCACCCACCCCACGCGTGTTCCTTCTCCCCTTAAACCCCTCTTCTGCATTATTAGCAGCATCCTTCTCCACACACCCCACGTGTGCTTCTTGTCCCTTGAGTGCTTTTCCTTCCCTCCCCACTTAAAACGTGGTTACAAAGCACGGATCCACATGGATCCTCAGGATTTTTGCATTGGGCTACTCCAAACTCACTGTCAGATCACATGTCTGTGGCCACAGCATGAACCACAAAAATCATACATCCATTGTTTCGTTTAGAATATTTTTTTTCTTGTTTTCCTCCTCTAAAAACTATGTGCGTGTTATGGTCGGGTGCGTGTTATAGAGCGAAAAATACGGTAATTTGGATCAACAGTAAAAGAAGAAGAAACTATTAGGCATTTCACTGAACCGTATTTCAGACTTACAGATTTATGATGGACTGACCTCTCTTCGAGAGAAGTTCCTTTCAGCAATGTTGGGCTGAAATGATTCTTCTGGGAAATAATGAATAACACACATAGAAAGAGCTGATAATCCTTCATCACTACATTTATTCACATCAGCCCCATTATCAAGAAGAAGGTTGATGATGTCATCATGGTAATTCATCTGCACAAGAAAACTATTTAGGTTATTTTCATACAGAATTAATACAATTTTCAGAAGCCTACTTATTTTTACTTTGAAAAAATGGAGTTTGACATTGTGGGTTTGTTGGAGGTAGATATATACTACAGGTAAGGTTTCATATTCCTCAATTGGGGATTTTCCCTTAACTTTCTGTTCATGTTCACAACTGCTACTCATAGCTATTACGGTACATTAAAAAAGAGGAATTATGTCACAGCATGGAAGACAAAACAAAACCAAGCCTATTTTGCCTTAACAGAATATAACATAGTAAGATATGCAGTCTCACAGCAGCAGCAGCAAGGGCAGTATATCCATGTACATCTGCTATATCTGGGGGGGCCAGGTTGTCCATCAGAATCTCATCAACTCTATTATAGTTTCCTTCGGCTGCCTTCTTAATCAGCTCTTCACCAGCAAGCTCTTTGGGACCTTTCTCTCCAAAGCCATTCCGGTAGCCTTCCAAAATGAAATTAACATCCCAGTCCACGTCCTTCTGGTAATGCCTAAAAATGAACAAAAAAAATGAAAAAGCTAGATAGACCATTTAAGTATTTCTATTCTCATCAGTTCTGACCTTCCAAAAAACTATTTGGAGTGATGGGATGGACAGTTTTCCCTTTCCTCACCTGTGTGTACATATCACTGGCCTAGCTTCTCACTGAGGCGATAAACCTGTATCTTGGCTGTACTACCTCAGACTGCCCATATATGTGCATGTGTGGTGAGTTATTGTAGGACCGAATGCTCTTCCATACAAAAATATTCCCTCTGTATACAAAACTAGGTTGTTGTTGTGACTATTATTAGACAAGTAGGAGGGTTTTCAATTTAGCCTTCTCCCCAATATGATAGAAAACTATGTGGAGGTTTTTTGTTTTTTTTTGGTCTTATATGAAAAGCAATCAGTCATGTAAGCATCCATGTTTAGTCTGAAGTGGCATGTCCCCGGCACAGGCTAACCCTCCCTGCAGTAGCTAGGCTTCTGCTCCTCCCTTCTTGCAACAGCTCCTTGGGCAGTTTGATAAACAGAGACAGGGTCACACCACACAAAGACCATGAATTCCATGCAGAGGGCCTTCTCGGTAGTGGCACCTGCCCAGTGGAAGACCCTCCCATCAGATGTCAAGGAAATAAACAACTATCTGACTTTTAGAAGACATCTGAAGGCAGCCCTGTATCAGGAAATGTTTAATGTCTGATGTTTTACAATTTTTTTATATGTACTGTAAGCCACCCAGAGTGGCTGGGGAAAGCCAGCCAGATGGGCAGGGTATAAATAATAAAATTTATTGTTGTTATTATTATTATTCCAACAATTTCCAACTTGCATATTTCTCTTTCCATCTCCCTCCTTTCAATCCCCCCCCCCAGGAAATGGTGAAAGGACTATTGGGGGATGGAAGAGAAAGGTTTGATAAAGGGGAGACAAGATTGGCTCAAGGCCACCCCAACCAACTCCCACACTACTAAGAAAACTAGTAGTGCCCAACAAGCAGTGCCACCAGTAATAACAAGGGAAAGGAAATGAATGCAACAATGAATGTTCATGGACCTTTTGGCATGTGTTGGGGCTTCATTGCAATTCAGCAACAATTGACATGACTACAGCAAAAGTGGTATAAATTTTAAAAAGTCACACAAGCTGAACTGCATCCGGTTGAAAAGAAGAAACAGCAGTAAAAAATGGGACTTCAGCAGCACTATCAAATGTATAGCTATCACCTCGTCTTTTTCTCACATTACCACTTACCTATATCTATAGATGTGTTTCTGCATCTTGACCAAGAAAGGTGTTATATTGGTTATAGGCCATAGTTTTTCATAAGCCAACCGTTTCTTTTCCTTAAAATACTGGCAATCAAAGTCTTTCAGGAAGGTCTTAGTGTGAGGAAGATTATCCGCATCAATTGAGTATATGTACAGGTTTTCAGGCAATGTGTAGCTATCATCATCTAAAAGAAGACGCTTGTAGTGGTAGAAAAATGGGTCCTTCTCCTCATTCAGATCCCAAAACTTATGCGTATCCTCTGAAATATACTCTCTGCTGGTCTCAGCATCAAAATAGACACTAAGTTCTGGGAAATCCGCAAGAGTGAAATATCCAGGTATTTCCGTACATAGTTTAATTATATGATTTCGATGCCACAATCCAATGTCTTGACTATCATCTGGATGGGTTTCAATTCCTGGTCCAAACCGCTCATCCCCCTTGTAAAGCCCCTTTCGGCAGGAAAAAACGAGAACAGAAGATGCAAGAGAGAACCACAAACAGAATTCACACAGTTTAATTCAACTTGCAATAATCTCATCTCACCAAAAACAATTAGCGGCATGATCCTGTCAAGTGCCTAAAAACATTCTTACCCATTCTTTACCAGCAGGATTTGGATTAATTTTATTATTAGCACTGAATTTTTCTGAAAAGCAATGCTTGAAACAAAAAAGGTAGGATCCATGAAAAAGATGCAGAAATTAAGACTGTATCTGATTTTACATGATCATTATTGTTGCTTATTAAATTTGTATACTGCCCTTTGCCAACAGGTTTCATGCAATCTTGTGTAATTTGATTTATTAGACATATATTGCTTTATACTAAAAAAAATCTTCAAGGGATTATATATATTATATTTAACAATGCTCAATAAGAGTATAGAAACAGTTATAAACACACACTTTAATCAGAATTCAAGCACCAGATTTTTTAGTGAATTCCAAGAGCTGAAATTCTACATCCGCTCCTCTTACTAGGTACATCTGGCATAGACCCCTTAAGTATGCACGGGGGGGAATCTCCTTAGTAAACTGCTTCAGAGCGCTTTTTGAAATATACTTTTCCATTTTAGTTTGCTTTTATACACAAAAGTTTGCAAAATCCACACCTTATCCAGCTGCTATTACCTGGTATCTATCACTTCCTTACACATTTTCTAAATTCTGTGCAAACAGATAGAAGCAATATGTCCTATGTTGCTTTTTTTGTTGCGCACAGGACACTAACTAGCTTTGAAGTGCATTCATTTTCTAATTTTAAAATGAGCAAATTTGTACTAACTCTGAAGCATTCAAACACAGAAGTTTTCTGCAATTACTTGAACTTCACATCATACCTATCAAACAGCACTATGATAATTAGAAATACTTTTTATTACCTGAAATTTTCTTCCATCATTAAATTCCATGATACCATAGCCTTCTTTACGGCTAAGATAAAATGACCCTATAAATTTGGAGCCATCAGGCCAGAAGTAAACCCCTTTGCCATGACGGTGATCTTTATAAAACTGCCCCACATATCTCTGCAATAAAACAGAAAGAAAGTTAGGGGAGAGCAGGTGAAGTACAGTGGCAGTTACAACCAACTGCAAGTATGTATCACAGAACTCTCATGAAGAATATTATGGAAAGAAATAAAAGAAGGATTTAACTAGTATTTTCAATACAGTTTAAGCATGGTAGCATTCATTTCCAAGTCAGGGAGGCTTATTCCACTTGGCTTCATCCTGAGGAAATGACTGCACAGAAACATATTGAGAATTACAACATTTAATAAAAATGGAATATATGGAGGATAAAAGTTCAAACAAACTTAGTATCCCTGTTCAATCCAGGATTTACAGTCTTGGAAAATTTCATTAATATCAGATTTATTAGGGTGAATTACTTTCATTTCAAATCAGAAAAACTGGGTAAGAGTATACACTCAACTATGACAGAGATATACTTATTAAATTTTGCCCTAGCAAGCATTACTGAGTGTAAACAAGGAAGTCAGAGTGATCTACTTGACAAAAGGAATAAACAGAACACATGACATTTTATTTGAAAGCAGCAGACCTGAACTATTTAGTAATCTACACATTTGTGACTATAGGAAGACCGCAACTTGCACACATTTAACTTGTGCGCATTCAGCTTTACGCGTACGGCAAAATAAATAAATAAATACGAAGGGGGCAAAAAGGAGGTAGGGTTCCAGGAAACATGACTTTGGAAATTGCATCTGCCACTGATCCCAGTGGGTTTTGACTATACACAATTTTGGCTGTAGGCATGATCCCTGGAACGTAACCCCCGTGTAAGCTGTGGACCTACTGTATTCCATATCTATACCCTTGTAGTTGCAAGTAGCAGCAAGAACAAACCACTGTAGCAGCTAGGTCATCTGGAAGCCAGGAGAATGACTTGTATTTTAAAAAATAACTATCTTCCCCTTGTGCTTTCTGTGCTGCCTTGCGATAGTACATACAGTATTTTAATTAAACAAACATGAATTACTCACAAAAATGATAACTGCATCTAAATACATTAGAAAGGGTCTGGAAACCAAGCCTTATGAGGAACAGTAGAGGGAACTGGGTATGTTTAGCCTGGAAAAGAGGAGACTGAGAAGAAATTATAACCATCTTCAAACTGTGCATAGCTTGGCATTAGATGCTGGTTGAACTATGTATCTTATTTATTGAACATTTACCGTTTAGACTTGAAACTAACATGACTAAACCTGCTTCCAATAGTTAAAATGTTAGACTATAGGCTGCAGTTGCACCTAATATCAAGTTTTAGTAATAAACAAGAAATTAATATTTTATTAAAGTTGTTATTTCCTATGGAAAAGAAGTCACACTGCCTTTCAAGGTGCATGCATGTTTTAGGCTGCAATCCTAACCTTGTCTATTTAGAAATAAATCCTATTGATTCCAATGAGGCTTACATCCAGATAAACAGAATAAGGTTTGCATAAACTAATGGGATTTACGTAAACATGCCTAGATCATGCTATTAAACAAACATTAAACAGATAGGATTCCGATATAAAAACTTACCTTGGCTAGTTTTGTTTATTATCATTATATATAAGAATAGCAACGTTTTTAGATGCAAGAACACACATTGCAACATTTTAATATTAAGCCGGTTTACCTCACCATTGTCCCACGCAAATTCTCCATACCCAAGTTTTAGATCCAATGCAAATTCTCCTCTATAGTGAGAACCATCAGGCCACTCTTGTACACCAACTTTAGTTTCAATCTTGTTGTTGTTCATGTCTTCTTCACAATATAATAAATATTGCTGTTCGCTTTCTTCCTCATAATCTTCAGCCTCTTCTTCTTCCTCTTCTTCCTCTTCTTCATCACCATCATAATCAAGTGCAGATTCTGGCTCATGCTCAGTTTCATCTTCCAGTTCAACATCCCTTGACATGCCACGTCTTCTCTTTTTTTTTTGTTTCACTCTGAAATCATTATTAGAAAGAGTCGCTAATGTTAAATTACCAAACTGAGGACACAGAACATTAATCAACCAAAGACTTGGTGAAAGAGATACGTTTTCGCCCAGAGCCTAAAGATATGTAAAGGTGGTACCAGTTGAGCCTCCCTGCAGAGAGCATTCCACAAACAGGGAGCCACCGCAAAAAAGGCCCGCTCTCATGTTGCCATCCTCCACACCTCTTGATGATGAAGGAGGCACACAAAGGAGGGCTTCAGATGATGAACGCAGGGTCAATATTGCACCTCTGAAAGGTTTTTAGTCTGTCTGAGGCTTACAACAATTTTAAAAAGAAATAATCTTAAGATAATTTTAAGAAAGTGTGCTTCCTAGTAATTTAACGAAATACGCGGGTGGCACTGTGGGTTAAACCACAGAGCCTAGGACTTGCCGATCAGAAGGTTAGCGGTTCAAATCTCCACGATGGGGTGAGCTCCCATTGCCCTGCTCCTGCCAACCTAGCAGCTTGAAAGCACGTCAAAGTGCAAATAGATAAATAGGTACCGCTCCGGCAGGAAGGTAAATGGCATTTCTGTGCACTGCTCTGGTTCTCTAGAAACAGCTTCGTCATGCTGGCCACATGACCCAGAAGCTGTACGCTGGCTCCCCCGGCCAATAAAGCGAGATGAGCGCCGCAACCCCAGAGTCAGTCACGAATGGACCTAATGGTCAGGGGTCCCTTTACCTTTACCTATCTACAGGAATGTTTAATACAAACAGCCATACCACAGCAACCAAATGAAAAGAGCCAGCAGAATCTTAATGCAGAATCTGGTGACTATATCTAGATGCCTGACTCTATAGAAAGATCAAGTCTGCCCTTTGCCACCCATCAAACTCAAGTGGTACATAAGAGAGTTCACCCCACAGAAGAAAATTCCCCATACCGATACCACCTTCACTATTTCATGGCACTTAAATCACGTAAAATATGTCAAGTATTTCCCATACAGAGAAACAAACACAAACATTCTCCGCCCCCCACCCCATCTATCTACAATATGTTCCCCTAAAGAGATTGGCCGGGGCTGCCAGAGAAACCTGTTAATTACGATAGACAGATAAATCAATGTGCTTGTATATGGCACACCACACTCCAGTGATTTTGGTTTTACCTGTCACAAGATTTTTTAAAAGTTTACAGTACACTAAGCATCACACTTCAAGCCTCAGGGGTAGTTCTGCATAAAACTTTGCAGTACCCCTTGCACAGGTGCATTCTTCATCTGCCATAGGCAACATTAGTATGCTCCTGATTCTGACTCTAAACAAACACTGAGGACACATTTTATGCACTGTGGGAAGCAACCATCATAAATCAATGTACTTTATGGCACCCACCAAGCTGCTAGCTTTAAATACTCGATCAGTTGGTAGGGCATGAGGCTCTTAATCTCAGGGTTGTGGGTTTGAGCCCCACATTAATTATTCATTATTATTATTATTACTATTATTATTTATACCTCGCCCATCAGTCTGGGTTTCCCCAGCCACTGTTGCTTCCTGCATTGCAGGGGATTAGACTAGAATCTAGATGATCCTTGTGGTTACTTCCAACTCTAGAATTCTGTAGACGCAGATATGGCCAAATGGTACACACAGTGTTTTTTTCTGGGGGGATGCAGGGGTACGCACACCCCTAAACATTTTGTGAATCTTTGTACTTTTGTCAATTTACTGTATTTATTTTTCCAGATTTGGACTATAAAATGGTGATTTTGGGGACATATATACCCTTTGCTCCTGTCCATCCACATTACGTTTTTATGTGGTATTCACTCCCAACAGTAAGCTCATGTTTGGTTTTCCTAAAGTGGTTAACGAAAGCTAAAAGCAATAACTTGCGTCATTTTTAAATGCTTACAATTAAAAGCAAAACAATAAAAACACACCAAGGTAGGAGAGAAGAAGAAACCCTCACAAATTCCACCAGTTTTCACCCATCTATATGCACCCACCCACCACGGGCCGTTTATGTCTTCGCACACGCAGCCCAGCTCCACCGTTCACACGCAACTTTCCCCACGCGTGCACACCTGCAGCCACGCGGGGGGATTGTGACGCGCCTGGGCTTCCGCCAGAGGTCTCCCGAGGACAATAAACCTCTTTCCCTCCAACCCACCCACCCTCCAAGTAAGCAGAAGCCCCCGAAGGCGGCCAGGGCACCCACCCAGGAGCCGCAGCGGCGCCCCCGGCAGCCTCCATTCGGCCTGGACGCCCAGACAGAGGAGGCTCTAGCTCTGGCTGAACCCGCCGGATCCGCAGAAGAGCCGAGGGCGCAACGTAACAGACCCCCGGTGGCCGGAGAGCGGCTGCCCCTCAACGGAAAAGGCGACGCGCGTCTGGTCCGCTACGCAGGTGCCGACCGACTCCCGCCAACCCCTCTCTCCCGTTTGGGCAGCGCCGCCTCCCTGTTCCCATAGAAACCGAGGCGGGGGGGGGTTGGCGCAGGCGCACGCGCGGCCTCCTTGGGCCCAACTGCCGCGGGCCCTTTGATCCCTGAGGTGACTTTCCTGCCCAGGTGTTGAATTGTCACGTGACGTCCCTGCCCTCCCACCACCACCACCCCACGCCAATTCTCCCTGATTCCTTTCCCTGGAGGAAAGCCTTCTTTGGTACTGTATTCCTATATCCCGTGTTTCTCACAACAATGAACAAACTAAGAATAAAAATATTTATTCTATGCAATGAAGGATGGCAGGCACATGTGTCCATCTTCGTTGCTTTCACCGCTCTTTGGTGATCAGGTGTCACCTTTAGCAGAAAATTAATCTACATTCAGTCACGCCTTGTTGGTTCACAATGGTATGTAATTATAATCGGATCTAGACTGAAATTTGAAAATATTGGGTGCATCTTTTTCTTTCCTGCAGCAGCGATAACAAAGATGCCCAGTCGAAACAAAATAAAAAAAAATCCTTCCAGTAGCACCTTAGAGACCAACTAAGTTTGTCATTGGTATGAGCTTTCGTGTGCATGCACACTTCTTCAGATACCCAGTGCTTTTCTACAATAAATAAATGTTTAGGGGTACTCTCATTTTGACTCAAGAAAATCACCATTTTATAGTTCAAATCAGGGAAAATAAATACAGTAAATGGACAAAAGGCTGTCATCAGGGGTAGCAACGGAACGGACGATTTAGCATGCTAGAGAAGAAACTAAAAAAATTTAAATTTGTAGTTTCTTCTCCCATTAGGTTCACAAAATGTTTAGGGGTATGCGTACCCCTGCGTCCCCCCCAGAAAAAGCACTGAAGATGCCTACTAACAGAGAACTCATTCTCTGAATCCTTGGCATAAAAAGCCCAAGTCAAATTGATATGGCCCCTTTAGATAGATGATCCTTGATGTAAGGAGTTCCTGCTTGCCATCATTTGTAACTGCTTGATAACCTAAGAAGAGCCATACTCTAGATCAGGCCAAAGGTAAGTCTAGTCCAGCCTTGTGTTCTCACAGCGGCCAGCCAGATGCCATTGAGAAGTCCGCATGCAGGACTGAGTAATGTAATGGCAAGCTCGCCACTTGTGATTTCCAAGCAACTGGTATTCAGATATATTGCCTGTGATGCTGGCTATCATCATATTGCATCTGAGCCTTGTCATGTTATTGTTACTCTCTAATAGGCTGTGTGAGCTACCTTGCCAGGCGGTTTCTGTAGTGTGACATACATCTATAGGCAAGTCATCCTGTCTTTTTGTTTTTTGTTTAAAAAGGATAGTGACAACAAGGCTGTCCAGATCTTCCTGCAGCCATTTCCTGAAGCTGCTGGTTCCCCCCCCCCCCCCGAAGGTATTTACACCTTCTGCACTGGAATACAGATAACTATTTCCTAACTTTCAGTCCAGCCAGTATATGAAAATGGAATATCATAGTAACCAACTTGGAAGTGCCAATCAAAGGTGGAAAATGTTTCAGATGATTGTGGATATGGGAAAACGAATGATACAGAATAGGCATCAGAATGCACTGGTTGTTTCCAAATGGTCACAGATAGCAAGCTACTTGAGTAGCTATATTCTGATGTTTGCAAGTCAGGATGCAAAATTAAAGCCCATTCCAATGGCCATTTGTGAACAAGCTTACAAATCACTATGTAAACTGCCAAAGAACGCTTGATTTACCCAGAGTTGCCCCACTTCTTCCTTGACCTCAGAATCTGCCAAGGCCCTTCCCAAATTTTTGTTTTGGTGGGGTTGTTTGTTGGAGACATTGCTTATTTTGGGGGGAGATGTTCCTGCTTTTTGGGGGGGAGATGTTCCTGCCATTTACTTTGAGGAGTCTTGGATATTTTGCCTAATTTTTGGAGATTGGATGTGTGTCCAAACCTCACCAGTATTTCTTCTGTTAAATGGATATTTTGTGGTGCCCATGAAAGATTTCTAAATTTGCTCCTGGCCCCTAACAGGTTGAGGACTTTTTTAATGCATTCAGCTGTATCTCAGTTAAAGAATATGCAGTAGCAATATATAAACAGATAATTTAAAACTCTATAAAGCAATCAGTAACAGAAAATTATTCAGCACCTTTAAACAGAAGCCCAGCATGACCACAAATCACAATAAAATAGTAGAAATCAGAACCACAAATTTCTACAGCCTGGTTAGTCATTGTGTAAAACAACAGTTAACAATTTCATTTAAAAGAGCTGCTTACGGACTTGTAGGGATACGGCCTGTCCAATCTCACTTGAAAGAGAGTTCCACACATATCCTTTTTAAAGAAGCATGTTTGTCTTTAAAGCTGTAAATGTCAACTTGCACATCTCTGAGTCATTATATAATTTGAATGGTTATGAGTTCTGTTGTTATTCAAAGCGGAGAAAAGCCTCTCCATTAAAATGGCTTGGTCCTTGCTCTTACTCAGTATCAGTGTTCAGTTTCTTCTTCATCATCATCATAATCAAGTGCAGATTCTGCCTCATTTTCTGTTTTATCTTCCCCTTCGTCTTCTCTTGGGATGCCATCTCCTACTTCCTCTTTGTTCACTCTGGAAGCATGAGCAGAAAGCGTCACTAATGTTAATTTACCAAACTGAGGTCGTCTAACCCTAAACTCACATTTCGAAGTTCCACTGATTGCAAAGTGACTTACTTGGAAATAAGTATGCTTAGACGGCATCTTAAAAAGCAGAGACATCACCTTGCCAACAAAGGTCCGTATAGTTAAAGCTATGGTTTTCCCAGTAGTGATGTATGGAAGTGAAAGCTGGACCATAAAGAAGGCTGATCACCGAAGAATTGATGCTTTTGAATTATGGTGCTGGAGGAGACTCTTGAGAGTCCCATGGACTGCAAGAAGATCAAACCTATCCATTCTTAAGGAAATCAGCCCGGAGTGCTCACTGGAAGGACAGATCGTGAAGCTGAGGCTCCAATACTTTGGCCACCTCATGAGAAGAGAAGACTCCCTGGAAAAGACCCTGATGTTGGGAAAGATGGAGGGCACAAGGAGAAGGGGACAACAGAGGACGGGATGGTTGGACAGTGTTGTTGAAGCTACCAGCATGAGTTTGACCAAACTGCGGGAGGCAGTGGAAGACAGGAGTGCCTGGCGTGCTCTGGTCCATGGGGTCACGAAGAGTCGGACACGACTAAACGACTAAACAACAACAACAGTGTGCCTATTGACCATTGCACAAAATCCCTTCGTACTTTTTTTGTGCAATGCTCTCCCAGCCCTCATTTGATAAGAGAGTAAAGTAACATCTGAATAAGCCCTCTGGGGTTGCATTCTGGGGATCGCTCCTAAAGCCAAAATCCCATACTCTATAGTCAAAACACATTGTGTGAAATGGCAGGTGGGATTGCCAAAGTCTTGTTTCTTTCTCTCTCTCTCTTTTTTTGCCAAGCACTTTCTACCTCAAGGATCTCCTCTCCCCCTCCCCCATATGAACCAATCTAGACCCTGCAAAAAATTATCATCTGAGGCCCTTCTCTGTGAGCCTTCTCTTTGAAAGGTCCAGAGGGTAGCAAGACAATAGTGGCCTTTTCTGTGGTGGCTTACCAGTTGTGGAATGCTCTCTCCAAAAATCCCTCTCCAATAACTAATAACCAATAACACCACCCCCCAGGGCTATGGCATTTTATTTAAAACACATAAAGGGTTTTATGATTAAGTGATATACAAATGCTGTCATATAAAGCAGTAAATCACTCAGCATCTACTAAAATAGCAGACAATGGTAATTGTAATGCATTGGTTCCTTCCAAACAGCCATAGGAATACATGGAGAATTCTGAATTGTCTCATTCATGTATGATTATTTTAAATTAATGTACTTATTGAATACATTTATATGCCACATTTCAGGGGGGAGGTTCCACACAAGGGAACAAACACAAATGTATAAATTAAAGAATGTGCAGTACCAATATGTAAAGCACCTTTAAACAAAAGCCCAATATGACCATAAGGTAAAGGGACCCCTGACCATTAGGTTCAGTTGTGGCCGACTCTGGGGTTGTGGCGCTCATCTCGCTTTATTGGCCGAGGGAGCCGGCGTACAGCTTCCGGGTCATGTGGCCAGCATGACTAAGCCGCTTCTGGCGAACCAGAGCAGCGCATGGTAACGCCATTTACCTTCCCACAGGAGTGGTACCTATTTACCTACTTGCACTTTGACGTGCTTTCGAACTGCTAGGTTGGCAGAAGCAGGGACCGAGCAACGGGAGCTCACCCCGTCGCGGGGATTCAAACCGCCAACCTTCTGATCAGCAAGTCCTAGGCTCTGTGGTTTAACCCACAGCGCCACCCGTGTCCCATAAATCACAATAAAATAGTAGAAATCAGCACCACAAATTTGCACAGTCCAGTTAGTTATGTAAAACAACAGTTAACAAATTCGTTTTCAAGGCCTGCTTACAGACTTGTGGGGATATTATGGCCTGTTAATCTCACTTGAAAGAGAGTTCCGCATGTATCCTCTTTAAAGAAGCATGTGTGTCTTTAAAGCTGTAACTGTCAACTCACACATCTGAGTCATTATATAGTTGGAATTGTTATGAATTTTGGTCCTCTCAATCAGTATCAGTGGTCAAATAAATAAATTCCTTTGGAGTGTTGGATGGACTTCCCCCAAAGATCAGCTTCAGAGCTTAAGAGTACTTCTAGATCCGAGCGTCCATCTGATGTCCAGGTTAAGCGGCCAGAAACATTCATGATTAGATCCTGTTCCCCTGTCAACCCTCTTGAATTAATCTGTCTTTGTATAATGTTTATTATTATTGCCATAATTGCATCAGGATTTTATTTTTCTAACCTGCTTTGAGACCAGTGGTTGAAAAGCAGTATATAAGATGCCAAATAAATTAATCAAGTCACATTTGATCCCTTGTACTATGTTGTGCTGAAGGACCAAAGGGTCTGAATATGACTTCTTTTCCCCATGCATGAATACTGGCAAGACATACCAAAAGTCTACATTTGGTACAGAAGTTTATAGGACAATGCTGGCCCAAATTATTTTACCATAAAATGTACTAATGCTTGGGTGTCTGGGAGTCCTTTCTGTGCTTGTATGAGAAGGTTCACACTTTCCTTTCAGACAAGTTTTATACCCTGTGGTTCTCGCAGATAAATAATACCATGAAATGTGCCCTAAAATCAAGAAGGATCCAAATATGCCATTTGAAAAAAAATCACTATTTGAAGCCAAGCATCTATGGGATGGATAGGGATTCAAGATAGATTCCTGATCTGGCAAGCTTCAACAACATTAACTTTAGGAACTCGTGCACTAACCTGTGTTTCTTGGGTAGAGGCTCAGTCTTGTTTTAATGTGTGTGTATGTGCAAGAGAGAGATACTTGAAAGAATCTACAGAACATGACTTCACAATGGCAGTTGGAGCTATTATTTACAGAATCAAGGAGTTATGTTTCCATGGTACTAGATTATTCCATGGTACTAGATTAAAGCAAAGATTATGGCATAATGCACACAGTGACTTGCGATCTCGATCACACACAGTCTGTAGTCCACTGGCAGTAGGAGTACAATATGGGCATGTCTTTAAATTAACATCTTACATTAAAAACTTGACAGTACCAAACTATTGAAGGCTTTTCATCAAAGCCAGACTAAACGTCTTTCCTTCTGCAGTGTTGGATGGCAGGTTGAGAGGAGTTCCCTACCAGGACAGACTTTGCTCGTGTGCTCAAGACATCGATTCCATAAAACATATTTTGTTGCACTGTGCAAAAGATGAGCAAGCCAGGGCTGAACTGATACTACCCTTGCTGGTACCTTTCCCGGGAAAATCAGAGACTCACTATGTCAGGTTCCTATTGGAAGACCGGACAAATGCTAGAACATTAGCAGTGGCAAAGTTTTTATCGGTGGTTGCAAGAACCAATGATCCCTATATTCTGAACAAAATGCTTGTTTAACCTAGAGGCAGGCTGTATGAATTGTGTATTGCTTTGTAACGATTTGTTGGGTCTCTGGACCGTAATAAAGATTGTTATTGTTGTTGTAGATTATTCCATAGTTTCTTATATGACAGTATGAAATGCTGTAGCGAAATGGGATTTTGGTGAGTGCTAAAGACTAAAGAAAATTGATTTGGGTAAGTGGTTCTGGACATACTGCATCTCTGGATTTTTAACTATTTAATATTTGCAATTGTATTTACGGTGTGGTGGCAGACACCTCACATACTTCATGAATGCAGCATACTGGCCCGGCATCCTAGTTATCACAGGTGATGTGAAAATTTATCTCACCAGTGTTTGTAAAAGTCTAGAGTAACATGTCTCCAATAAAACTTTAGAGGCAGGAATTGGAAGGCAGGGATTAATTTAATGACCAGATATCAGGTCTCATAATTCATACAGAAGTATATCAGCACTGTGTGTTTTCCCACAATTAAGAATTTACATACGTTAAATGGATCTTAAAAGTAATTAGGACTATAAGGAAGCACTCTTAAATACATGGAATGTTTGATACAAATATGCAAAAAGATATACAGTACTTTAAACCTATTACATGAATTCTTCATATGCCTGAAAGATAAATATATTCTGTGGCAATAACAAAGACTACAGTACATGGGCTGGTCCAGCAAGGCTTTTGTAAGGCTTTGCTTGCAACAAAGCACCACATTTTACAACTAAATGAAAAATAAAATAATTACACACTTTAGTAACTTCCAGAATTAAAGCTTCTCAGTATCCAAAACCTGTTTTTAAAGTATAGACACGCACAGGCAGAGCCTACAGCCAGTATAGTACCCTCAGCTGCACTGCACAGAGGGGTAGCCCTACCATTAGTCAAAGCGTGATAGCTGCTTTGGGGAGATGTGAAAAGGCAACAAATTATTACAAAATTTATTATTAATGTACTTTTGCTACAAGGGAGGGATGGAAGTGCTTGTTAGGTTTTCTGCCTCAGGTACCAAAATAACTTGTCTGGCCTTAATGGGTACTATGCACCTTGACTTGGTGGGGGAATAGGTGTTATTTGCTTCTCAGCCTCAGGCAACAAACTATATTGAGCCAACACTGGCTGCAGGCTATGCTTAGAACTGGAGAGCAGGGAGCAGCTGGCTAGTTGCAGAACACCCTTCTGCAGCCGTAGATTCGTACAAGTCCACCTTCTAGATTTGAATTTCCTCCTCACATATTGAGCTCTCACAGATGAAGGACCGGAAGATGTTTGCAGAGATGCCAGCAGATTGCTGTCCATGTTTTCATGAGTCTTACAAAGGTGAGATAGGAGACTCACCACTGGACCAGTGTCTTGCCTCGGTAATGGACGGGATGAGAGCCAACAAACTGAAACTCAATCCAGGTAAGACTGAGGTACTGTTAGTGGGTGGTTCCCTGGACCAGATGGGTGGGAGCTTGCCTGCTCTTGATGGAGTTGCACTCCCTCTGAAGGAGCAGGTTTGTAGCTGATGCTTTGCTGTCGCAGGTGGCCTCAGTGGCCCGGAATGCTTCCCATCAGCTTTGGCTGGTGGCCCAGCTATGCCCCGTCTGGACAGAGATAGCCTAACTACTATTGTCCACGCTCTGGTAACCTCAAGGTTAGATTACTGCAATGTGTTATACGTAGGGCTGCCTCTGAAGATGGTTTGGAAACTTCAGCTAGTGCAGAATTCTGTGGCCAGGTTGTTCACCAGAGCAAGACAGTTTGAGCATATTACCTGGTCCAACTACACTGGCTACCAATAAGTTTCTGGGCCCAATTCAAAGTGCCGGTTTTGACCTAGAAAGCCTTAAACGGCTCCAGACCACGATACCTCAAGGACCGCATCTCCATATGAACCTACCTAGACCCTGAGATCACCTTCTGAGCCCCTTCTTCATGTGCCTCCTCCTCGAGAGGCAGGAGGGTGGCAACACGAGAACAGGCCTTCTCTGCAGTGGCTCCCCATCTGTGGAATGCTCTCCCCAGGGAAGTTTGCCTAGAGCCTTCATTATACACCTTTAGGCACCAGTCAAAAACATTTACATAGATTTTCTGTTTTACAGAATGAACCATGGAAAGAGAAGAAGGGAAGTCACTGATAATTTAAGGATGTAAAATGAATATTTGAAATTGCAAAAACGTTCCTTTTTAACCAGGTCTTAGGTTGATTCGATTGACATCCTATGCCCTTTTAAAATGTGGGGTTTGGGGGGGTATTGGGTTTTTGTTTTTATTCTGATTATGTATTTTGTGGTTTTATATTTTGATTTTATTCTGTGAACCGCCCTGAGACCATCCGGTATAGGGCAGTATAGAAATTCAATAAATAAATAAAATAAAAAATACTCCTTTCAGAGGAGCCTTGCATCTCCCTCAGGCACAGGCTTCCCTGTTCTGCTGAGACTCAGAATCTTTCACCTAGTTGCTATAGTATGTGAATATATTATTCCTTCCCCTTTATTGTTACAGAGCACTATATACATAAAATAACACTACTGTGGACATTCACTTCTTATATAAAAAACAGTGGATAGGAAATTGGACCCTCGTTCCTAATCATGGAATTGCCGTCTGGTGATTTCCACCAGGTTACAATTATAAGTTGTCATTTTGTGTGTGCTCTTCTTCTTGTTAAAGCAATTATCACAACAGCCAGAAATAAAAATAAGCCATTAACAACAACAGATAGGAATTTTGATCACAGGAAACTTGAAGTGAGGTCCATTCAGGCAGGAAAGCTTGTGATCCCACAGTAATGTTTTCAACTCTGGTTCTTCACCATTTTCTTGATGCTAGACAAGAGTTGTGACATAGCAGAAATCCGCTGTGTGTCTTTGATATGGTACATCTGAAACTGAATAAAATATAGATGTTAAGTGAAACAACATAAACATTCTGAACTGCAGACACTTTGGCATAAGGGTAGGCAGACTTCAGGCATACAGAATTTGCATTCATATTTTGCTAAAAACCTGGAGAACCTAAAACTAAATGGAGCCTATTGGAAGATACATGCACTTCGTATGAAATATTTTTTTATTTTTGAGTACAAGAACTGAACAGAGTTCACAGACATTCCGCATAAAAACCTTCATTTCAGTAGCATGCTTCTAGGGCAAGAGGAATGGAAGTCATTTTGTTTTCCTGTCTTTGTACTATTGGGAGTCAGAAATCGTTGCCAATCTACTGCACATCATTCAGAAATCGACCCATAGATACAAATCAATTTGCTGCTTTAAGAAAGAAAGCTGCCAGCAGCTTCTGAACTTAGATTAGTAACTTTGTACTGAATGATTACTACTACTACTACTATTGTTATTACCGTATTGGCCTTAATATAAGCCTCACTTTTTTCCCCCAAATTCCAACTGTGAAAAGTTAAAGTGTGGCTTAAATTCATAACCTTACAAAGACTGGCTTTTACGATATCGCTGCTGAAACAGACAAGCGGTAAAATGGAACGGGTGTGAGTGCCTGCGGATTTTTAAAGGAGCAGCTTATATTCGGGTATTGTCTTTTTTTCTCCTGCCCCCCCCTTGAATTTTAAAGGTGCATCTTATATTCAGGTGCGGCTTATATTCAGGCCAATACAGTATTCATTTCATTTCTATACTGCTTTATATTTTTAAGGAAACTATTTGTCTCTACTACTTGTCCCCAGAGCACTCACAAAGATGCTTTTACCCCATATGTGTTTGTGAGTTAGACATGGGCCAAGAAGACTACAGAACAGCTTGTGACATTCATTCCCCACTCATCCGTTCTCCAGTACAGAGTTATTCCCTTCTGAAGGTGCTTTGCCAATGTAAAGGGGGTGTTGTGTTCATTGTGTATAGTCAGCTCACTGTAACATGTAATTTACCCATGGCAGACCTGTGAGTGGAGAGTATAAAACAGATACCTATTAAAAATATCAAAGAACCTTATGGTGGCTTAAAGGCTAACAAATTTATTATGGTATAAATTTAAGTCATGATAGCTTTAAGAAAAAGGTTTCCTTCTGCTTTTACAAACTAAAGAGAGCGAAACAGCCTTCATGCAATAGCCCTGGGGAAAGGCTGCCTGCTGAGGCATGAAAGGGCTATTAGTTTAAATCTGACTTTTAATTGTGTATGTTTTCTCTTCAGTCCCATATATCAATAAGAGACACCCTCTTAGCTCTTCCCTGAAGCCTCAAGAGCAAGCTTGAATTACAGGTCCCAGGACGAAGCTAAACCAAGTTGATTAAGTCAGAGAGATATTTTAATAATTCAAATCAAAAAGTGTTATCAAGGCGTTGTGTGCCTTTGGCTTCCAAGTTTTGATACGGGTTTGTTTTTCATAATATTTTTAATGCATTTAAAAAAAAGCTTTAACCACAATGCTAGTCAAAGCTTGCAAAATTGAGATTGTGAAAATTATCAGAATCAAACAGTATTGATTCAAGGCTCAGTCACTATCACAGAGTTTGTTGTAACTTCAGGTGGTAGTAAGCACTAGAGCAGAGTATCTCAACATGAGCATGTCATCATATTTGAAATGAATCATGCCCTTACTTGTGTGACTTATAACCAGCCACTTGAACTAGCGCCATCAATGTTTTTGATTTTCCCAGGCTTTTACTCTTTTTTATTTGTGTGTTTTATCTTGTAAAACACTGGTGAGCACCATATAAACCTTTTAAAACAAATAAAATCTGAATCACCCTTCAGTGCAGTGGGATGAAGAACCTGCGGCCCTCCAGATGTTCATAGAATCATAGAATTATAGAGCTGGAAGAGACCCCAAGGGCCATCTAGTCCAACCCCCTGCAACACAGGAATGTTCCTGGCAGCCAGCATAGCCACTGGCCAGGGATCATGGGAATTGTAGTCTTAACGACATATTGGAGGCCACAGGTTCCCCATACCTTTGTTAGTGGTTGTACTTAGGAGTGCAAGAGTAAGCATGAAGGTCTCATAGACCAGAAGACAGCCTCTCTGGTTCTCAACTATGAGCCTGTGTTTGTGAGTATATTACCTTATTAAGCAGCATATCAAAGAAGGCAGTGCTCCAATAGGCTTTATCCTCAGCTGGGAGATGAAGTAAGGCTTTGAGACCATTGTCCATCTGCTGGTGTGTTTTGCCTTCCCTTACAAAATTGAACTTCAGGAAATGTTCAGGTTCGATAGCAAAACTCTCCACTTTGGGATACAAAGAGCTCAATTCCAGGACATCATCACCCTGGAACATATTTTGCTCTGGATACAGGAAATGGGGGAGGTGTTTGGTCACTAAGCAACAAAGCAAGATCACCAGAAGACGATACACGGACCCTTCCAGATCCATCCAGTCTTCAGGGGAAGGGAAAAAGTGAGTGGCCCATAGCAACACCATCTAGGAGGAAGTATTAACAGTTAGCAAAAGGGCAAAGGCAAAGGCAAAGGCGATGCGGGGGGTGGGGGTGGAATGAAAATCAGCCTTTGGGTCATCTCATCATCATCATCATTTCATCATTTTTAATTTGTATACCGTCTTTCTATCTTACAATACTCAAGGCGGTTTACAAGCTGAAAAAGCAATACAAAAATGTGATAATAAAACAAAACTTTAAAATAAGCAACCTACAACAAAAAAGTAACATTCAACAATCATTAGAATAGTATAAAATAATAACAATAACAACATATAAAGTCATTTACCAGAAGGAAAGGTGGCAGTCTTAAAGGATGGACCTGTGCTTTCTTTTTCTTTTTAACCATAAATTGTGTACTGCCTAGATATACTTTTATTAAAAATATAGATTATAGGTGCTTCAATAAATATGTGTTGTCACATGTAAGAGATGAAGGGAGGCTGGTTGGATTGTTTAAGCCACAACCTTTGACTTCTGTGCATCATTTAAAGTGCTGCTAACTATAATGGCTTGAATAATATCTATTCCAATTAAACTTTTTATTGCACTAGCCATAGGCCATGGCATCATTCAGAAGGAGAACAGCAACAACAAAAAACAATAACCATACAAATCATCGGGCACCACAAATACAATAAAACCACGGTCATGGCTACTAAAATTATTTGTTGCATTAAATAGAATAGAGTAGCAGAAGATTCTCAGGTAAGATGTGCCAAATTAAACAGAATAATATCTAAGAACAAAGTAAACTTTATTTCTGGCCTCCCAAATTTGTTTCTCATGCAAAGGGTTATGATTATATTTACTCATTTCATTTCTATACCGCTTTATATTTTTAATTTTAAAAATCTCAAATCAGTTTACAACACATTAAAACATCAACTAAAACAACCCAGAACAAAGCATTACTGAAGAAAGTCAAATATAAAGTATACATTGAAAGCAACAGGAAATCAAAATATTACCTTTAAGATTTCAAAATAAAACATTACAAAGGAGGTCAACTACAGAATGCACATTTAACTTAGCAAAGCTAACTAAAAAACATTATCTTAGCCATTTCAAAAGAAAACATTACTAAAGGAAGTCAAATGTGAAATGCAATTTAAAATAGCATAATTAACAAGAGAATAAAATATTGCCTTAAGTACAGAACATAGATTGCCCAAATCTATCAAGTAAGTTCAGGAATTCCCTGTTCAGGTGCCCTTAACCTTTTTGTCATTGTCTTCTGAGTGACTGTTCTGCCTCTGCTTCCTTATTGCCCTCAACCTATGGCAAGAGCGTCATGCAGGAGGCACCATGTGTATGTGCTCTAAGTAGTTGCCAGCTTGGCCCTTTCTTCACCCCTAGAATAAGCTGGCAGGGTTATGGTTTGCTTATTCAGTACAAAATCTATCCCAGTTTAGTCAGCCCTAAATTACACTCAAATTGGTGGCCTAGCTGAGCTGGAACTTTATCCTTGTTGCTTGGGAAGTGTGTTGCTGCATTAATGTTTCCTAGGCACTTATTCTAATGATTAAGAGACGCACAAACAGCTTTTTATCAAACCAAAGCAACTCATGAAGTTAAGGCCAATCAGGTAAGCTTTGTAAACTCAAGACAATTAAATACACAATTTGCAAACAAAGCTGAACAAAAACAAGCTAAAATGTGTTTGTTCTGAAATTGGCCTGGTTCCTAGAACAATCATGCATCTAGCTACAATAAAAAGTGCAACAACTCTGAGAAGATGCCCGTAAGCCACATGGCATGTATCCAGGATTTTGTAAAACATGTTCTGCCGCTTTGTGTTCTCTATCCTGAAGTGGTGAGAGATGAAGCACGTCCCAAAAAATGAAATGCAAACTAAACAGCAACGTAGGTGTCCTGCTATCGCCATGTTGCAGTGCTGTAAAAGCATCAAGTCTGAAGTTGCTTGCAACAATATAGAAAATGTGCTGCAAAGCCTAAACTCAGCACGTGGAACCTAACACTGGTGCTTCAGAACGATAAAACTAAAGTTCTCAAAGTGTAAAGTCAGCTAATAATGACTTAAGCAGTACCCCAGTTCACCCTTCATACAATCTCCCAGTCAAATCATGTGAAGCAGAAAGATGTTGCTCCCACCATTATTTATAATAATAATAATAATAATAATAATAATAATAATAATAAAATAATAATAATAGTAATAGTAATAATAATAATAATAATAATAAAAAATAATAGTAGTAGTAGTAGTAGTAATAATAATAATAATAATAATAATAATAATAATAATAATAATAATTTATACCTTGCCTATCTGGCTGAGTTTCCCCAGCCACTCTGGGCGGCTCCCAATCGAGTGTTAAAAACAATACAGCATTAAATATTAAAAACTTCCCTGAACAGGGCTGCCTTCAGATGTCTTTTAAAAATAAGATAGCTGCTTATTTCCTTGACATCTGATGGGAGGGTGTTCCACAGGGCTGGCGCCACTACCGAGAAGGCCCTCTACCTGGTTCCCTGTAACTTTGCCTCTTACACTGAGGGAACCGCCAGAAGGCCCTCGGCGCTGGATCTCAGTGTCTGGGCTGAACAATGGGGGTGGAGACGCTCCTTCAGGTAAACAGGACTGAGGCCGTTTAGGGCTTTAAAGGTCAGCACCAACACTTTGAATTGTGCTCGGAAATGTACTGGGAGCCAATGCAGATCTCTCAGGACTGGTATTATGTGGTCCCAGCAGCCACTCCCAGTCACCAGTCTAGCTGCCGCATCTGGATTAATTGCAGTTTCCGTGTCACCTTCAAAGGTAGCCCCACGTAGAGCACAATGCAGTAGTCCAAGCGGGATAGAACTAGAGCATGCACCACTCTGGCGAGACAGTCCGCAGGCAGGTAGGATCTCAGCCTGCGTACCAGGTGGAGCTGGTAGACAGCCGCCCTGGACACAGAATTAACCTGCGCCTCCATGGACAGCTGTGAGTCCAAAATGACTCCCAGGCTGCGTACCTGGTCCTTCAAGGACACAGTTACCCCATTCGGGAGCTGGGAGTCCTCCACACCAGCCCACCCCGTCCCCCAAAAACAGTACTTCTGTCTTGTCAGGATTCAACCTCAATCTTTTTCTTTCTCAGAAAGGAGCTATGGGGAGAAGGGGCACAATTTGGAGCAGAACTACGGTACATAGGGAGAGGAGATTTAACCCTTAGCTCCATGCCTGATACACATTTTCCACCAAAGCAGGTATTCACAATGGAAAGGAAAATATAGACATATGTTTTGTGCTCCATGACTAACAGCAGCTTGGAGGGGGGAGGGTTGGGATCTGCACTGAAGAACCATCAGAGGAGCTTTAAAAAAACACAAAATCCACACCACCTGACCCCAACCATGGTTGCTTTGTTGAAACTCCCACATCATGTCTACTTTGGCCTACATTGTAACAACAAGAATAACAAAATGTTTCCATAGCATTTGGGATTAAGCAAAACAAAGGACAAGGGAAGAGAGATCCTAGATTCATTAGGAAAACATCTGAGAATGACTACCACGTCAAATTTCATAACACTTTCCCAGTTTTAAATATTTAACCTGTTTGCATTCACATTAGGGTCACTAATTGCAGGTTGGGATTCAATCACATCCCAGAAAATTCAGGTCGATTAACTAAAGTGAATTTGGATCTCTTGTGCAACAAAACCTGCTCCCCTCCTAAATGTGACTTTTATTGAATTATTGAAAAACGCACTGGAATGTATAGGGTAACAATTACTTGACCCAACATCATATAACACTCCCACAAACAAATCAGAATTAATGCTTAATAAATAGCCAATATTGCATAACCTCCCTGCAAACTGAATACTCAGTAGCAGATATTCTGAAAGTGATGTAGATCTCCCTTATTCCCAATTTGCAAACTGGGTACAGGGCTGAGAGGCCAAAATCATGTATTTTAATACATGCGGGTAATTGACAAATCTCTGCTTTGCTCAGCTCATTCATATGAGCCACTGTGCAGAGAGAGCAACCAACAGGTTTGCACATAAAAGGTCACAGCATCCTTCTCACTGTGTCTCTGGACCAGTGCTTCCCCACCTTCACCTTCTTAGATGGCACACATATGCTGCCCTATGGGCTTTTCCACCTCTGCAGGAAATGGCGTCAGAGAGGGGCCAGCAATCATTACATAATATATTATAGGCTGTTTACAGATTCGGGTGTTAAAAACAGCAGCGGAACCCTGCCCTGGTACTTCTTAGTACTGGGTGTGGGGATTTTAAAATAACAAATGAGGCAGAGCTGCTTGTTTTCCCCGCATACTTGCCAGGGAGCATACGCTGCTGTTCTGCCTACCATTGCGCAAGCAACAGCTTGCTCCAAGGCAAATAAGCCACATCAAAAGGACTGAGATTAACAGTCCAGAAAAACCTACCTTCAAGTGGTGAAATGCAAGCCCACATTTCTTGCCTTCCTCTCTCCAGTTCTCATGGGCGACTTGATCAAGGAGGCGGAGGCTGTCTAAACGATACCCCTTTAGGGTGCTCACAATCTGAATGAGTTTCAGGATGGGACGGTTGGTGGAATATCTAACAAGAGAAACACATGGTTAGAAGTTGAACTATTTGAGGATTTCAGGGTAGAATTGATAACAGAGGGGAACCAATACACCAGAGGGAAACGCATGAAACTCACATTGTCATCCATGAAGTAGATTGTGTCAACAGATTAATATCCCAAACTGAGCCCCCTCTGAAGGGAGGACTAAGGGACCCCTGACCATTAGGTCCAGTTGTGACCAATGTTGGGGTTGCGGCGCTCATCTCACTTTATTGGTCAAGGGAGCCGGCATACAGCTTCCAGGTCATGTGGCCAGCATGACTAAGCCACTTCTGGTGAACCAGAGCAGCACACAGAAACGCCGTTTACCTTCCCGCCGGAGCGGTATCTATTTATCTACTTGCACTTTGACGTGCTTTCGAACTGCTAGGTTGGCAGGAGCAGGGACCGAGCAATGGGAGCTCACCCCATAGCGGGGATTCAAACCGCCAACCTTCTGATCGGCAAGTCCTAGGCTCTGTGGTTTAACCCACAGTGCCACCCGCGTCCCTGAGGGGAGGACTACATTGAAGCTATTGGGCCAATAGAGATGGTGATCTGGTCACTGCCAACTTTCATTTTTTCCTCTAAGGAAGGACGCATCGATTCCAAACACAGCAAATAAGCATAACGTGCAAAGCATCAGAAGAGAGCTCAGCCACACAGACACATACAAGCCCCCCCAAATCCCCATATTCTTGAGTACACAGATTTGTCAAAAGGCAAGGTTATCTATCACCTTTGGCAGTCAAGTCATGATAGACAGGGCTATCATGCATTTGCTAATGTCTCTGTGGCACACAACATACGCAGAGTCCTATATGCATATGCACAGTAATGCAGGAACAATATCCCTCAATTATGAGAGATAACATTTGTTCATTATTAGGGGAATATACATACGATTCTGTGAATGTATATGCTATATAGACATAGTAAGCAGGGGTTGGGTCAGAACAATTCAATAACATTTCCCCATCACATGTTGACTTTTCACAGTGTTACAACCCTGTATGCTATTTTGGTTTTAGGTATGCAGATGTTTGAGCCACTCCTTTATCTGCAAATTCCTTCAAAGATGTAACCCGAAAATCAGTCACAAGTGTGATGGCCAAACCCATAACTCTCCTTCATACTGCAATCATGTTCCTCACAGATGTGTGGTCTGGATTTTGGGCATGGCTATCCCGCCCACAGTCTTTCAAGTTTGTTCAGGCAAAATAGCTCTTCCGCTTTGCCTCTAACCTCTGTAGGAGATGCATCTCTTTCATGAACTGGGGAGAGTTACTGATTTGTGAGGTAAAGTTTGAAGGTGCCCAACACTGACAGCATAATTCATCTTAAATTCAACTGCCAAAAAAAAGCAAAGGCTTCAAAACTTGCTGCTCAAGTGTTGATGAGGGGCAAAATGTTCAGTTCTCATATTTGCACACATTGATTAAGTGAATGTATGCAAAATTAATTTGGGATTTGGTTTACCACCATGACAGATCTAAAAGATGGAGAAAGATGCTTTCAAACTGACCCCTTCCTACTGTGTAATCTTCCCATTGAATTGCTTCCGGCTAGATCTTTACACTGTAGTTAACTGTTCTCAACACGTCTCCTGGGTCAGTTGTTGACTTCAACCAAGACAACTCTTCTTCTTCCTCTATCTACTCCTTCCATACTGGTCAATAGGGGACCTTATCATTAAGGAACAGCTATTTTGAGAATGACCCTGACAAAGGCAGATTAAACTGATCTGTCTCATTTTCATATTAGTTGAACTGACTTGGGGGTTATTCACACTTATCTTTCCTCCACTCTTTCTGGCATAGTTCATGCTGAAAAGCTCCATGTCTGAGTGTGTAAAAGCTCTCCCTGCAAAACCTGAGCTTTCCTTGCAAAACTCACTCTTTAAAGCTCAATCGGAGCAAACAGTAATCCGTGGAAAATCCAAATTGACGTTTGCTCCAACTGACTGTTAAAGAGCGGGTTTTCATGGTGAAAACTCAGGGCAAAAAACCCCAGATAAACTGCTTGGACATGGAGCTTCTAAGTGTGGACCTGTGTCTGGAAAGAGTAGGGCAAAACATAATTGTGAATAAGCCATTATCTTCACAGGAACAAAACTGGTTGCAGGTCATCCCAGGGTGGAAATAGCTTGTTTATGAGTTCATGACTTAGGGCACGTGGGAAGGCATACGAAAACATTCTAGAAACCTAGGGCAATTACCCGCAGTTAGTCAGGGCCAACTGCCCTCTGGACCACATAGATTAGGACCCAAACAACTAGCATTACCTGTGCATCCACTGAAGACTCATCTCACTGCCGGTTTATGGTACTCAGCAGCATAAATCCAATTTTAGCTGCATAAATGCACCTAGAACCGTTTTTCAAATGCTGTGTCCCTAGAGCAGGGGTCAGCAACCTTTTTCAGCCGTGGGCCGGTCCATGGTCCCTCAGACCATGTGGTGGGCTGGAATATATATATTGGGGGGGGGGGGGAATGAACGAATTCCTATGCCCCACAAATAACCCAGAGATGCATTTTAAATAAAAGGGCACATTCTACTCATGTAAAAACACTCTGATTCCTGGACCGTCTGCGGGCCGGATTGAGAAGGCGATTAGGCCGCCTCCAGCCCACGGGCCTTAGGTTGCCTACCCCTGCCCTAGAGCATAGATGAAGGCAAATAAATATGCACGAAAGGGATCCATTTATACCGTAATTTATAATGAAATATACAGGACTTTCTTGTAGTCCAGGGGTGGGGAACCTGCGGCCCACAGACAAATCTATATTTTATACCTATACTATATTTTATACCTTTCCATGCAGAAATTATTAGCTTCACAGTCCCGTGTGAAAAGCACAGCAATTAAGAATTTAAAATAACATCTGCCTCCTTTCTTAAAATACTCATGATCTACCCAGGCTGGCCTCCTCCTTGCTTCCCACCCTTCAAAGATTTAAGGAGGTGATAATGCTGGTGAATCTCATGCCTGAACAAGTTACCTAGGAAAGCTGCAGAGCCATCATCTCTGACAACTTTAAAGTAGAGGCTATCAAACATAGTGCACTGACTCTGTGACATTGTTTGGTCCAATATTCCTTGAGTCATCATCTGACATAAAATGTTCTTGCAGAAATATGGAGCTAATTAATTATCGATCTCATACTCTATTCTAAGACAGGATAAGCTACACTGAAAGCAACCTGGCATATATGTATCCAATGTATATAATTAGGGGATAGGATGTAGCTTGCATTTCATGATGAAGCAGACCCAGAAGGGAGAAGCATTTCCCTACAAATAGAAAAAAACTTGCATTTTGCCAAAACTCCATGCTGCAGTATTTAAAAAAATTACAAGTTGCTAAGAATGTTCATTAGTCTGTAATGCATTGGTTGGGGATGTCATAGTGCGTACACACACAGTTCTCCAATTAAATGTACACCAATATAGCTTTTTAATTCAGTTTTGTAAACACCGGAAATGCAAAAACGAATTTTGCTTCATTGGTGAAAATGGCCTAATGCTGAATTGGCCAATATATTACCTAAATGGCTGTTTAAAGTCACTTGTTTAGTAGTTTTCATCCTTTTGCTGTTTTACTTTTTGTTGTTGCATCTGTCATTGCTTTTAGCTTGAATCATGCCCAAGGCAGCCAAAAACAATACTAGATACAAAAAGGGGCAATACACACCCACCCACACTCACACACAAAGATGGGATGTAAATATTTATAATAAAATAAAGAATGAATCCATTCCAAAGCAAAATCCACATTTTAGAATGAATATGCCTGAATATTTTGTTAGGCTAAGCTGGAGTCTGGACTGGAAAAAATGGTTTCACTCTAGATAGAACTGTTTATAATCTTAATGGCAGTACTGACAAAATAACCTTTGTGTTTGTTGCCCTACCTTGTCTTAGAACTCTTCAGATTCACAAAAAGAGAGAAAAATTATTGGTGGCGTTCATTTAATTCCTACCATAATGATGATGGTGGTGATGATAATGATGATGTTTGTAGACCTCATGACTGGAGAGAGGCACACAACAGTTTTGTGACAAAGGAGGTGTATGGAGTTCATTGGTCATTGTATATGATTTCTGAAGCGTGTAGGATTTTGACCCTTCACTCTCCTCCACGCAACTCAAGAGAAATCTAGTTACACAACATGCATATTCTAGAGAAGACATGACAGCTGAGACACTCTAAAAGATGCTCCTTTCCCCTAAAGTAGCATTCATAGCAACAGTACAGGATTGCACTTTACCTCCAGTGATAGTAACTGGCAGGGATGTAGTCAGCTTCCTGAGTGACTTTGCTCATGCTGCTTTGTGGGAAACCCTTTTCTCGCCAATTGTTGCTGAGTTTCAGAACATCCTGCTTTCTCCTTATTACAGGGACAACATTGAAACAGATCATTTTCCATCCACTGGACACTAGCAAAGGCAGCTGCATGTCATCATCCTTCAGCCTCTCAGCACTGAGTTCACCTGGAGAGGGTCAAGGGAATAAATGCAATTAGAGAGATGCACGCCAGTGTCTCTTTTCCAGGTTCCCACCATGGTCTTGTTTATTTTGGAAACAATACTCCCATCAGAAATAACAGAAAAGGAACCAATGTAGATCCTCTGTATAACTGTGAAGTGGCACAATTAGCAACCTTCATCTAACCCCCCCCCCCCAAAAAAAAAAAAAACCAGCAAAGCATTTTAAGGCCTATTGTGGAGAAGAATAATTTGCTTGGGAGACGGTTTAGCAAAATTAAATTTAAGTTAAGCCACACTGGAATCAGCAGAACAACCTAGGACTAAACTATTACTAGATTGTGCCCCATTGTATACATATATAAATATATAGCCAAAGGAGTATGCATATATAATCCCTATATGTTCCTAGCTACAAGGTTACTCCCCACCCCCTTCATTAAATCAGTGGCAATATTCTCACTCAGTCTTTTTAAAAATTAATTTACTACATTTATATACCACTTTTCCCTCCAAAGAGCTCAAGGTGGTATACATGGTTCTGCCCTCCCCATTCTGTCTCCACAACAACTTTGTGAAGGAAAATTAGACTGAGAGACAGTGACTCGCCCAAGGTCATAATTCAACACTCTAACAACTACACCTTCTTCTTCTTTGGTGATCACTCGTAGCCAAGTAGGATTCTCTTTCATGAACACGGTCTTAACTGTGAGTCTGTAAGTGTCAGGAACTGGGCAGAGGAGGAATGGTGGAGACTGCCTCCCCATCCTGGTCCTTCCATGGAGGAAGAATACAGTATAGATTTACAACAGGGGTTTGAGGGAGGTCGCAGCTCAGAGGCAGATGAGGGGGAAAGTTGTGAAATCATGGGAGAGCCAGAGCAGTAGCTGGCTGACACATTGTCGTTAGAAAGCATTCCATACCCTCCATCTCCCAGAACCTGGCGGGCCTTAAAAGTAGGAGAGCAAAGAGCCTGAAGACAGAGGCACATAGCAGCACCTGTAGAGGAGATGATGAGGATCACAAATGAGGAAGTGGGAGAGATGGAGAGGTGGAGATTCACTCAGGATAATGTCATTATCCAAGAGGCTGGTTTCTATAGCCTCTCTCTGTAAAGATTGAAATAAAAAAGGACTGTAAGAAAGTTTTCCTTGTCTTTATAATTTCCTGGACAGCCAGCTGGGGGCCGCTGACAACATCCTGACAGTAAGTGACTGTGGAGGCCAGTTCTGGATCCACACATCCTTCCACAGCGGGGACATAGATTTCCGAGCAGAAGTTGATCATAGTGAGGGTTTGCCAAATGTGCCTTCCTCTTAGCACGTTTCTCCCTTTTGTCCTGAGTTTGAGCGTCCAAAGTTCATGACACCTTTGGTAAAGGCTGTTCTCCAATTGCAGCGCTCACAGGCCAGTGTTTCCCAAATGTCGGTATTTATATTACATTTTTAAAGATTTGCCTTGAGAGAGTCTTTAAAGCTCTTTTGTTGACCACCAGCATTACGCTTTCCATTTTTAAGTTCGGAATGGAGTAGTTGCTTTGAAAGATGATCATCAGGCATCCGAACAACACGACCAGTCCAACAAAGTTGATACTGAAGAATCATTGCTTCGACCCTGGTGATATTTGCTTCTTCCAGTACACTGGCATTAGTTTGCCTCTTTTCCTAAGTGATGTGTAAAATTTTTCAGAGACACCATTGATGGAATATTTCGAGGAGTTGGAGATGGCATTTATAAGTGGTCCATGTTTCACAACCATACAATAAGGTTGGTAGTACAATAGCATTGTAAACAAGCATTTTGGTTTCCCTGCGAATGTCCCGGTCCTCAAACACTCTGAACCACTATACCACACTGGCTTTCAGTATGAGTTAGGGCCAAACCCCATGACTGATATCATGATAGTTAATTTCTAAGAAATAGTGCTTGTCCAACTTCTCTAAACATTTAACATTCATTCAGTGATCTACCAAACTGCATTTTGCACACGCACTTCTGAAGAAGCTACATCCTACCTCATTTTTTTGTAGCCAGTTTAGATTCCTAGACAAAAAAGACTGTATATTTGTTGTCTTCTGAATTCCCTTCTTTTAATTTTTTTCCAAAAACTGCACCTCAAAGAGTTCCTTATATTATAACCGAACAAATGCCATTAGAGGGGAGAAAATAAATTTGCATGATGTAAGATTAAGAGTTTAGGATTGGTTCTTGTTACCACTTGTCTCTCATTATTGCTGACAGGTTGCTAGGAAAGTTTGACTGACCTATTCATTTAGCATTATTGTGACAACTGCAAAGCTGTCCTCCTACAAGCTATTTGTGGAATAAATTGTAGCCACAAGCTGAATGTATGCTACATACAGAACATAGCATTCTGAATCTCTGGCATGCGGAATCCCTAAGAGCCAGAATTTCCAGATACTGCTGTTAGAAGCATAAAAACAGTCACATTTTCCAAAACGTTAGGATGCCAAAACTTCCCACCATTCATACCAATGAACCAGGTTCCAGAAATAGTTCGGCACATCTGAATCTAAACTGCTGAGAAAGCCTCTCTATGTATAGGAATTCTGGAAGTGGAAAGATGGATTCAAAGCCATCAGGCCTCTGTGCCAGTTCTGCTCTTCCTCGCCTTAGTTCTGCAGTAAAGAAATGACCTTCATCTGTCTCTCTGTAGCAGGGATAATGGATATGGCCTAAATTTGGATTTCTGCTCATCTAGCTTGTGGTAAATTCCAGCAGGCGTTTTAAGGTCACGTTCGGTTTTGTGATCATTTTGTTATTGTTTCATTTTCTGCATGGTTTGTTTTTATGTATGCTGCTTAGAATCGCTAATGATTAAATGGCATATAAATGTCTTAAACAAAAAAAATATAAATAAAGAAACAATACCTCTAAGCTCCTTTCTGTGAAGCAAAACACCACTTTAAAGATAAGATTAGAAGAACCAAGTAAATGACTTGAAAAAAACATATAGGTATATATACGCCAGAGGTAGATAATGTATGGAAGCCTGGTGCAGCTTGCTTGCTTATTTATTTATTTAATTTATATACCGCCCTATACCCACAGGTCTCAGGGCGGTTCACAGAATAAAAATGAAATATAAACCATGAAATGCATTTTCAAAATAAAAACAACAACTCAATAACTCCACTATTAAAAAAACCCAAAACCTTTTAAAAGGGCGTATCAACCAAAGGCTTGGTTAAAAAGCACATTTTTCTAGTCCTTCAAGGTCTCACCAAATCTGTCAGTGGCAGCAAAACATTTTTTCAAAACTTATTCAAAGCACTGCAGCATCCTGATGAGAACGTGAATCACACCTTCCTAATCACCAGATCAATAATTTAATGAGCAGGAAAGGGTGATGACCTCCTTCTCAACTGATATTCATGGGTGGGATGTGTGTGTTTGTGTGTGCAGGTGCGTAGAATGACCATACCTACCCTCTGGCTACCACCCCGATTGTTGGTGTACAGAGGATTGGGGTAGGGCGAATATGGCCAGTAAGCCAAAATCGGGTTAGCCACAGCCCTGATACAAGAGAGGAGGCTCATTCTGGTCATCACCCACCTTACCCCAGATGGTAGGTAGCACCCAGAGAAAGGACTCTGAAAATAACTGCAGTACATGGGCAGGCTAATCTGTAAGCAGACATCTCTTTAAAAGTGTGTGCTGTTAGCGGTGGGGACATGGTCTGAACCCCCTATGGTATGGAACTCCTCCCATGGAAGTTTACTTCGAACCTGTTTTCATGTCTTTTTGGCCACAAGTGAAGATTGGTTTCTTAGCCTTTTCCTAGCATGTTTCTGCTTTTATTGATGCCCGTATTTTGCTGATTCAGTAGCTGTTTTGTAGATTTTTTTTAGTACACTTCTATTATTTTATTTTTTTGAAAATTTCATGGATAATTTTTTTTTACTGAAGTATGGTACAGAAAAATAATAAATAAGATCTAACGCTCCGGGGATGGAATTGTCAGGCAACCTGTGGTGTCTTAGCCCCAATCCAGTATATTTCAGCCTCCATTCATGAATACCCAGCTCCCCGATAAGCATAGTTGACTGTGCAATCCTATGCATGATTACTCAGAAGTGCCACAGAGTTCAATAGTACTTATTCTCATTCCCAAGAATGCATGGACAGAATTGCAGCCTAAATAACTTTTACAATGTCAAGCTACCTCTACTGGGTGTTCTGTGAAAATTCTCCTCTTGCAAGAAGTTCTCTTGCTCCAGGCCAGCAAGTCTTCCCTCCTTGCCAAACCTGACTGAAAGGATCATGAAACCAGAGGTAAGAGGCTCAGAGATCCCTGAGGCTCTGAGTCAGGCCCTGAGACCCGGCAACCCCATGAAACCCTGATTCATTTTTCGGAATGGATTCTTTCCTAGTTTGACATAAGGCACCTGCAACGATGCGGTGAGACACAACTGTCATGGGGTGTAACGGCATGCACAAAACAGACTGAAAAATCAACAAACAGATCAACAGAAAAATGCGCTTGTCAAGAAGGAAACAGAAACCAAGTCCAGGGCTTTCCTGGAATATGAAACAGGCCAGGGCTAGCTGGGTGTTTGTTTCCATGCGGCGAAGACAGGGCAAAGGGTACTGCAGAATAATATATTGTGTGCTTCACTGTCATTATGGCTGTGAATGAGTGATTAGGGATATTAATCAAAGAATCATAATGGTCCTGATAATGACAGCGTGGGATTTTCCTAATGGCCTGGGAACCAACCTTCAGCACATGACAACCCTTGGAGTTAGAGAAAGGGGCAGAGGTGCAGTCTGCAGTTTGATTTTTGGAAAGAGAGAGCAGAGAGTTTCTAACTGGAACCAATGTGCAGACTGTCAGCAGGAAGAGGAGAAGCACACAAGTTTCTCCCCAGGAATCAGATGCACAGTTAGCTTACTGCAATTGTATCTGCTTGCTTCTACCATGTTTCGTGACAAATAAAGCCATCACATTGTGCCATAGGCAAGAGGAAAACCATCAGGGCAGAAGTGCACTTAACTGGAACTGAAACAGGGGTTCAGCATGCACTCTGTACAGAAAGAAATTATCATGCCTACAGCTTTCCCTCCTTTCCATTACCATCATTGCACATTGGGGTGTGAGAGTGTGCAGTTTATTTAAACATTTATATGCCACCTTATATACTGTACAATTCAAGGTGTGTGAAAATACCCTTCAAGTATAAATATATCCTGGCACTCGATCCCAGTCACACTGGGGTGATATTATGTATGTGTTCTAGCTTAAGAACATGCTTATCTGAGAGTAACCACCTATATCTGGTCTCCTGCTGTATTATTCCTCCGATCTTCTCTCCTTTCCCTCTTGTTAAGTCTTATACTATGCATGTTGACTCAGAAGTTCCAAAGAATTAATTCCCAGCCCCTACTTGTCTGTCTTTTTCTTTCTGCCTGTCTCTTTTTCTCTCTCTTACACACCCACCCACAGACACACCTTGTTTGTTTCCGTTTCAGACAAATACCTGGTTTGATAAGGGACTGGTGCTTGCAATGCACAATTGCAGCAATGATCAATTCTTTCAGGAGATGAAGGACCTTGCCTGGCACAATGTGGCCACTGGATTCAGTACCACCCACCGCACTGAATACATCTTCTTTGGTCCAGTTTTCAGGGTGAGCACCTTCCTTAGGTATTCCTACATAGCAAGATCCTGGCATCTGGTAGTTCCCACGAGTAACCTTCTCGGAGTCGCTCTGTTCACCTGAACACTCCTGCATCAAGAGGGCATCCGCATCAATACACAAGGGAACCTCCATGCTTACTTCATCCTCAGCAGCAGAGAGGGCAAATTCCAAGGCTTCCAGGTTTCTTGAATAATCCACTATAAACCTGGGGTCCATTGCATTGACTCTCTCCAGTACAATAAGCAGAATGTTCTCTGCTTTCTGGAAACACTCAACTCTCCGGCTTTCACGGGACAGAATCACCTGGAGATAGCTATTCCAGTGAACAACCTTTGCGGCCATGGCTGAAGCGTGGCACAGAAGAAACCCCTCCCGAAAGTTCCTCTGCTGTTTCTGGAGCAGACAAAAACATTGATGCAGCTGCACACACAAAGATATGCCTGCAGGTGGGAGGAGATAGGCAAGGCAAAGTGGGAGGAGTAGCATATGAAGAGGAATTCCACTGAAGCGTGAATAAACCTTATGTTTTCCTGTTACATAGTTGATAGAGTGCCAAGCTATTTTAAAATAGTCATTGTGAAACTGGTACGTTCAGGTGAGGCAACTGAGACATCCGGTTGTCTGGCTACCTATTCTAATACCGCAGAATCATCGCACCCAGCAAGCCTGAAAAACTGGGCTAACTGGTATAAGTCCACATGGCTCATTGATATTAAAGTAGACCTAACCCACGCCAGCTGGAGAAGTGACTCTATGAATTCGTGTGATTTAAACTCGGTACAATTTGAGGCTTGCAACCATTAACAAACCCTCACCAACATTTCGAATGAATGTGAAATGAAATTCGCTTCTAATACTGTAGATTAAAAAGCATGGGAGAATGTGTAAGTTTCCATCTCAGTTGCTCGTTATTCCAGTCTTCATTTTTTTTTTATAAGATATTTATTGAGATTTTCAAAATGTTACAATATAAAAATGAAAAAGAAAATACAAAATAAAAATGATTAAAAACCACTCAATTTTTCCATTACTTATTTTTCCTAAGCTTGTTTCCCGGACCTCCTCATACCTCCCTTTTTTGTATTCCAGTTCAATTTGTTGGTTCAGCAAATCCTTACCCTCTTTGTTTATCCTAATCTTTGGTCTTAAAATAGTAACGTTAGATTTTTACCTATTAATAACCCATTTTTCATATTCCCTTATAGCATTACAGCTGGAAACCACTTAATTTCTATCCAACATCATTCTAACATTCATTAATTTTACAATATTTCTGTAGATAGTCTTTGAATTTCTTCCAATCTTCTTCCACCGACTCTTCTCCCTGGTCTCGGATTCTGCCAGTCATTTCTGCCAGTTCCATATAGTCCATCACCTTCATCTGCCATTCTTCCAAAGTGGGTAGATCTTGTGTCTTCCAATACTTTGCAATGAGTATTCTTGCTGCTGTTGTAGCATACATAAAAAAAATTCTGTCCTTCTTTGGCACCAATTGGCCGACAATGCCCAGGAGAAAGGCCTCTGGTTTCTTCAGGAAGGTATATTTAAAGACCTTTTTCATTTCATTATAGATCATTTCCCAGAATGCCTTAATCCTTGGGCACGTCCACCAAAGGTGAAAGAATGTACCTTCAGTTTCTTTACATTTCCAACATTTATTATTGGGCAAATGATAGATTTTTGCAAGCTTGACTGGGGTCATGTACCACCTGTATATCATTTTCATAATATTCTCTCTTAGGGCATTGCATGCCGTAAACTTCATACCTGTGGTCCATAACTGTTCCCAGTCAGCCATCATTATGTTATGTCCAACATCTTGTGCCCATTTAATCATAGCAGATTTCCAAACCTCTGCTTCCTAGATCAGAAAAAACCTTATCACTGATATTTCAGTATCACTCCAGAATGTTAATTTTTATTGCTGCTGGACAATGTACCAATAAATAGCTCTCTCTTTTTTCAAATGCAAAAAAATAAAAATAAAAATCATAGCAGATTTCACCGTTTCATCCTGAGTGTTCCATTTCAACAGCAAGTTATACATCTTTGACAAAATCTTAGTTTTGGGTTCTAACAGTTCTGTTTCTAATTTTGATTTTTCCACCTGGAAGCCAATTTTCTTGTCCAAATTATATGCCTCCATTATCTGGTAATAATGAAGCCAGTCTCGCACTTTGTTTTTTAGTTTCTCAAAACTCTGCAGTTTCAGTCTATCTCCATCTTGTTCCAAAATTTCCCAATATTTCGGCCATTTGACCTCCATATTGAGCTTTTTCTGAGCTTTTGCTTCCATTGGTGACAGCCACCTTGGGGTTTTGTTTTCCAATAAGTCCTTATATCTTATCCAAACGTTAAACAATGCTTTCCTGACAATATGATTTTTAAATGCTTTATGTGCTTTGACCTTGTCATACCACAGATATGCATGCCATCCAAATACGTTGTTAAAACCTTCTAAGTCCAAAATGTCTGTGTTTTCAAGAAGCAGCCATTCTTTCAACCAGCAAAAAGCTGCTGATTCATAGTAAAGTTTAAAGTCTGGCAGGGCAAATCCACCCCTTTCCTTTGCATCAGTTAATATCTTAAATTTTATTCTGGGCTTCTTGCCCTGCCTGATGAATCTAGAAATATCTCTCTGCCACTTCTTGAAACAGTCCATCTTGTCCACAATTTGCAATGTTTGAAACAAAAACAGCATTCTAGGCAATACATTCATTTTTATCGCAGCAATACGGCCTAGCAGTGAAAGCTTCAAATTTGACCAAATTTCTAAGTCTTTTTTCACTTCCGTCCAACATTTTTCATAATTATCTTTAAATAAGTTCCCATTTTTGGCTGTCATATTAATCCCCAGGTATTTCACTTTCTTAACCACTGTCAAGCCTGTCTCATTCTGAAACCTCTCTCTCTCAATCGGTGTTAAATTTTTCTCTAGAACCTTGGTTTTTAACTTGTTCAGTTTAAATCCTGCCACCTGACCAAATTCTTGAATTAGTTCTAAAACCCTTTTAGTACTAGAATCTGGCTCCTGTAATGTCAATACTAAGTCATCTGCAAATGCTCTCAATTTGTACTGTTTGGCTCCGACCTGTATACCTTTAACCAACCAGTCCCTTCTAATCATATTCAGCAGAATTAAGCAATGGGGAAATTGGGCAACCTTGTCTTGTCCCTTTTTCTATCCTAAATTCTTCCGTCACCACATTATTTACAATTAGTTTAGCCTTTTGTTCTGAATAAATTGCACTTATACCGTTTTCAAAACCTTGGCCTACCCCCATCCCCTGTAGGTTCTTCTTCATAAAACTCCAAGAGATATTATCAAAAGCTTTCTCCGCGTCCACAAATATCAAAGCTGCTTTAGTATTTATGTTCACTTCTAGTTTTTCCAAAATATCAATTATATTCCTCAAATTGTCAGACAAGTGTCTTCCCGGGAGAAAGCCCGCTTGGTCTTTATGAATCTCTTCCATCAATACTTTTTTCAATCTCTTGGCCAAAATGTCTGCAAAAATTTTGTAATCCACATTAAGTAACGATATGGGGCGGTAGTTCTTAAGCTGAGTCTTTTCAGTCTCTGTTTTCGGTATAAGTGTAATGTACGCCTCTTTCCACGACTCTGGTGCCCTTTTCCCTTCCAATATTTCATTGCAGACTTCCTTTAAAGGTTGTAATAACCACTCTTTCAAAGATCTATAATATCTAGAAGTCAGCCCATCCGGTCCTGGAGATTTGCCTAATTGCATGTTTTGAATGGCACCTTCTACTTCCTGTTCAGATATTTTATAGTTCAACATTAATTTACTTTCTTGGGAGATTTTTTGTAATCCATTTGTCTTCAAAAATCGGTCTATGTCCATTTCTTTCTGTGGCCCTTGTGTGTATAGTTGTTTAAAATACCTCTGGAAACAGTTTCTAATCTCAGGTGGGTTATGTATGTTCTTTCCTTCCACTTCTAAATTTGTGATAGTATTTAATTTTTGTCTTTTTTTCATTTGCCAGGCCAGCAATTTCCCACATTTATTAGCTGATTCAAATGTTTTTTGTCTCATTTGTTTGATTTTCCATTCTATTTCCTGATTCATCATTTCCATATATTGTACTTGATATAACTTTATTTCTCTCAAAATCTCCTGCGATTTTGGTTTTGCTCTCAATTTCTTTTCACTTTCTTTTATTTTCCCCAAAATTTTATCTTTCTTCTCATTTTGACTTCTCTTCTTTATTGCATTCTGCTGTATCAGAAACCCTCTCATGACAGCTTTGCTTGCGTCCCAGATTACTCTTTTTTCTACATTAGTATTCATATGTATTTCAAAATAGTCTCTCAAGGTTTTTGGGGCCTTTTTATACATTTCTTCATCTCTGAATAAGGTGTCATTCATCCTCCATCTGAAGGAGCCAGTTGATATTAGTTTCATCTCCATCCTTACAGCATTATGGTCGGAGCAGGTTTTTGGGCCGATTTCCACTTTCTTTATCTTTGGTGCCATTCCTCTAGTTACCCATATTTGGTCAATTCTAGTCCATGTCATCTTGGCTTCAGAAAAGAAGGTTCCCTCTCTTCCCAAGGGGTTCTTTGTTCTCCAAGTATCAACTAAGTCCAAATTGTCTGTCATCTCGAAAAATGTTTTCGGTAGTCTACCATCCTTGGTAACTACCTGTCTTTGTGCCTTATCCATGTTTGTAGATACTACTCCATTCATATCCCCCATCAAAATCAGATTGTAATCCAAATAATCCATTAAGGTCTCATGCAACTTTTTAAAGAATTCAGATTTCCCCTCATTCGGTGCATAAATTCCTACTATCAAAAATTTCTCTCCTTGAACTTGAATTTCAATTGCCAGAAATCTTCCTTGGTCGTCTTTAAAAATAAATTTCGGTGATAGTCTCTCCTTTGCATAAATCACAACTCCTCTTTTTTTTAACTTTGTCAGATGAAATAAACTCCTGTCCCAATCTCTTGTTAATCAGTAGTTTCCTGTGTAGCCTTGTTACATGTGTTTCTTGTAGACAAATCAAGTCCAATTGTTCCTTTTTTAGTAAATGAAAAACACTTTTTCTCTTCCGAGGAGAGTTAAGACCATTACAATTCCAACTTAACAGTTGCAGAGCCATGATGGGGTTACTTCGCTTTACCTCCAACTGCGCCAAGTGTCTATTCTTGTTCTGTCGGTGGTGTCACTTTCTCTGGACCATGCAATCCAAAAGATAGGTTTGCTATATCTAGTATTCCTTTTTCCAGTGCTTTTGGCTCTTCTCCAGATTCCGCTTCTTTCTGTAGATCTTCTCCGTGGTCCTTCAAAAACCTATCTTTGTCATTGACTGATCTTATTTTTATCTTTCTTCCTTTATATTTAAAGGACAGGCCTTGAGGAAATTCCCACCTAAAGATGATTCTGTTACTTCTCAACAGGGCAACCAGATCTCCGTAATTAAGCCTTAAGTCCAAAAGATGTTTTGGAATGTCCTTAAATATCTCCACACTTGAGTCGTAAATTTCTAGAGTCTTTTGGTAATGCAGATTCAAGATTTTGTCTCTCTCCTCTTTTGTTCGAAGGGTAATCAAGCAGTCTCTCACCTTGTTCTTCCTTCCTCCTCTTCCAAGTCTAAATGCACTCACTATCTTAAATTCTTCCTTCCCCAAATCCTGTTGTCAGAAATCTGCAAATTCCTGCGTAAGAAAGTCAGTCAAATTATCTTTCTCATGTTCTGGTACAGCCCTGATTCTTAAATTTCTTTGTTTCTCCTTCAATTCAATCATAGACAACGTCAAACTGTGGTCCTCAAGTTGCCTATATATCGGTGGTATCTTCTCTTGAGTGGCAGTTGCTATATCTTTTGCTTCTTCGGCTGTCTTTCGGGTCAAAGCAGATTCCTGTAGTAATTTTTCAATAGACTCTGTGTTGGTATTCACCTTCTGTCCCCGTTATTCCAGTCTTCAGATCAGCTCGCCGCACCTCCACATCAGATTGCAATTTAAAAAATATAGATTATGAAAATTCGTATTTCCGAACGAACTATTAGAGTACACATTTTTGTACGCAATTGTGCCCAATATACAGTTTTTGCAAAGAATGTTTTCCCTAATATTTTCCCTAACGTAATGCATTTCTGTATATTCTTTTCAGAAGTATGTGGCTTTTGTGCATACTTTATATGGATGTTTGTTCACATTACTTGGCTGGAGAACTACATTGTGAAATTGAGAAGCACAAATTTTGAAGGATTGCTCAATCTTGGTTCACATAAATGCAACCTGAATTAAATTTCTCCCACATCCCTGTCATGAACCATACACTTAAATCCAATTGGAAGAGGGTGACATACGCAAAATGGGACTCTGATAGCTAATGATGCTGATGGCCTATATAAATACATTTCCTGCATCCCCCTCAGATTTAAAGGGAATGCACTTACTAGCATTTTTTAATTTGCTTTTTTATTTAGAATTTTAAATCCCCCTTTTCTTTATAAAATAAACTCAAACCAGCTTACAACATAGAAATTCATATGAAAACACATCAAATGTAAACCAAACAACAACAAGCCCTGTCAAAGTCATGTTCCCATCTCAGGCAAAGGACAAGATGGTGCCTGAAGCTGACAAGCTGAATTTAACTTCAGCACTGGCAATGAGATAGCCTCCTCCACGGCACCTGAGGAGAAGAGCAAACTTATTTAGGGGGGTCTCAAAGTGAACAACCAGATACCAAATACCACTACCTTAACCAACATCTGTCACCTGAGGCGAGTGCCTGCCTCTGCCTAATGGTAGAGGCCTGAAGGCAAATCAAAACTACTAAAATCAATTAAATACTGTAAAACCTGGAGCAGGATAAAAATTATATGCAGCTTGATTGTAGGAAAAACCTCAAAGCGGTTTACAAAAGATAAAACAGCAAAATTATAACTACTGTAAAAACTTTAGAACCATAATTCCTAATATGCAGAAAGTTAAAACCACAATAAAATATATTAAAGCAAATTAAAACTGTCTAAACTTCTGGGTAGGTGTATCCGGTGCTTTTTTTTCTGAAAAAAAATGTTTAGGAGTATTCTCATTTTGACTCAAGAAAACCACCATTTTATAGTTCAAATCAGGGGAAAATAAATACAGTACAGTGGTACCTCGGGTTACATACGCTTCAGGTTAAATACGCTTCAGGTTACAGACTCCACTAATCCAGAAATAGTACCTAGGGTTATGAACTTTGCTTCAGGATGAGAACAGAAATCGTGCTCTGGTGGCGCGGTGCCAGTGGGAGGCCCCATTAGCTAAACTGGTGCTTCAGGTTAAGAACAGTTTCAGGTTAAGAAAGGACTTCCAGAACGAATTAAGTACGTAACCAGAGGTACCACTGTAAATGGACAAAAGTACAAAGATTCACAAAATGTTTAGGGGTATGTGTACCCCTAGGGGACGCAGATGGCGCTGTGCCACAGAGCCTAGGACTTGCTGATCAGAAGGTCGGCAGTTCGAATCCCCAAGACGGGGTGAGCTCCCGTTGCTCAGTCCCAGCTCCTGCCAACCTAGCAATTTGAAAGCACGTCAAAGTGCAAGTAGATAAATAGGTACCGCTCCGGTGGGATGGTAAACGGTGCACTGCTCTGGTTTGCCAGAAGCAGCTTAGTCATGCTGGCCACATGACCCAGAAGCTGTACGCCGGCTCCCTCGGCCAATGAAGCCAGATGAGCGCCACAACCCCAGAGTCAGCCACGACTGGACCTAATGGTCAGGGGTCCCTTTACCTTTACCTTATGTGCACCCCTGCATACCCCCAGAAAAAAACCACTGGGCATATCTTAACAGGAATGTCTTTAGCAAGTGCCAAAAAGAATACAGTGAAGGCACCTGACTGGTATCACTAGGCAGGGGGTTCCAAAGTGTTGGCGCTGCTACAATTATTTTCTACAATTGTGTCTTACCTCCGAGGAACTTGGGCAGACCCTGGGAAGTAGCTAGATCAGACTGAGAAGGAATGGCTTGGGCCAACTGTTAACTTCAAATGTTTAGCTTATTTTTTTATTTTCATCTAGTGGTATGAAAAGCTATGTTTGTGTAAGCCAGCACAAGCTATTAAGCCAGAGTAGCCACTCTCTTTTAGCTCTCTCATTGGCAACAGTTTCTCCTTACCCTACCTTGAAAGTTGCACAAACACAAATCACTGGAGCGGGTATGGGTAGCAAGGCACATCATCCACAGATACTAGGAAGGGAATGTTCCAAAAATGCTGAAGGTATTTTGCTTTGCTCTCATTTTTCCATTAGACACAAGATTTGTAAACCTTTATGGTAAAACTGATGTGCATTCCAGTGAAGGGTGTAAAATATCTTAAAGATTCATCATGATGTACACGTCTGTGTATGTAATCTAAGATTCCACCCACCCACCCAACGAAAATATATTTATGGATTACACCAAACAAATGTAAATAGAAGATAGAGACCTGGCCAGAAAAGGTATTCTTTAATTATACTATATGTATGCACTAAAGTGAAAAATGTTGCTAGGCAGGATGACCTCATAGCAGAGGAAGAATGTGAACATTTGACAAGTAAGAAGGGTGCAATCAGGAACTTGATTAATTGCTTATTAGTAACATTGTTAAGAAATATGCAGCTCATGCATAAAGTCTGACTGAGTCCATTGAAGCTTTAGTGAATGTGTCTAGGACTGCAGCCTTAATTACTAATAGCTGAGCTGGAGCTCTAGCCTGAGGCTATGTATACATTACCAGTTTAAAACGAAGCAAGGATGTCTCCCCCTGCTGTGTTTCAAATTGCACTTGCCCATCGTTGTACACAGGGGTGCCAACTTGAATACAATATTGGAGGGGGCAGGTAAGCCCCTCTTTGCACAATGGATCACAAGGCACGACACACACACACCATTTAAATGCCAATGCCCATCAACCTTTTTTGGGGGGACTGGCCCCCTCAAATATTTTATGGAGGGGGAGGCTGAAGGGACCTTGGCCCCTAGGAGTTGGCTCTTGTGGTTGTACATATCAGGACAGCTGGATGTGTTTCCAAATAGCTCAGTCAGTAGAGCATGATACTCTTAATATCAGGTTCATGGGTCTGAGCCCCACATTGGGCAAAAGATTGGGTGTTCGACTAGATGACCCTCTTGGATCCTTCCAAGTCTATGATTCTATGATTCCAAGTCACCCTTTGTCTGTCCACACCAGTGGGAAGAAAGGGTGTGTGGATGTCTTCATATAGCTTTGGTTTCCAAATCATATTAAAGCTGATTTGGGGAAAAACATGTCAAAATGCAGCATTTCTCAATGAAGTACAGGATAGATGTGGGTCATGGCTAACATAATGTGGTTTCACAAACCAGTGGTGGGAGTGTGCTGGATGTAGAGTAAACGAGAGTGTGCACATAGCCTTAGTTTTGAATTCCAGGGGAAACAGGATAGCTTGTTGTAAGACTATCCTGACAAATGTTTTGTGGCAAATTTGTTGGACAATATTTTGTGTCCTGCCATTGATCAAATTGTAGTCAAGCCCCCTAAGTATCTTACTACTGCTCATCAAACACAGGGAATTGTATAAAATTGAGCTTTACTTGCACTGAGTTGCTGACCTGTGGATGACTCTCCTGCATTTATGGATTCAACCTTGCTTCCGGTTCATTTTTATGTGTGTCTCATATGCTGGTCAGATCCTAAAACACCAAAAGCAAATGATATGCTTTGCTACAGCTGCACTGGCTTCATAATGTGTCATATGTTTTGCATAGGAAGAGAGGATGGAAATACACTAAATGGCTTGCAAAAATCTATCATTTGCCCGATAATAAATGTTGGAAATGTAAAGAAACCGAAGGTACATTCTTTCACCTTTGGTGGACGTGCCCAAGGATTAAGGCTTTCTGGGAGATGATTTATAATGAAGTGAAAAGGGTATTTAAATATACCTTTCTGAAGAAACCAGAGGCCTTTCTCCTGGGCATGGTCGGCCAATTGGTGCCAAAGAAGGACAGAACTTTCTTTATGTATGCCACAACAGCAGCAAGAATACTTATTGCAAAGTATTGGAAGACACAAGATTTACCCACTCTGGAAGAATGGCAGATGAAGGTGATGGACTATATGGAACTGGCGGAAATGACTGGCAGAATCCGAGACCAGGGAGAAGAGTCGGTGGAAGAAGACTGGAAGAAATTTAAAGACTATTTACAGAAATACTGCAAAATTAATGAATGTTAGAATGATGTCAGAATGAAGTTAAGTGGTTTAGCAGCAATGTTATAAAGGTGTATGTAAAAATGGATTGTTAACAGGTGAAAATTCAAAGTTATAATACATTAAGTTAAAGGATTAAGACAAAAACAAAGAGGGAAAGGAATTGCTGAATTAACCAATAGAATTGGAATACAAAAAAGGGAGGTGTGAGGAGGTCAGGGAAGCAAGGAAACGAAATGTAAGGCATGGAAAGACTGATGTGTTTTTTTAAGTGTTTTTTATCTTTTTTCTGTATTTTGTATTTTTTTCTTTTTTCTTTCTTTCTTTTTTTCTTCCCTTTTTATTTATGTAATCTTTTCTTTGAAACTTTAATAAATATCATTTTTTTTTTAAAAAGGAAATACACTAAATGTTCCTTAATTTATCCAAATGCAGTAGCACTTAATGTGATGAGAAATCAAAGCAAGTTGTTTGCTGGGAATGTAAAAGCTGATGACAACATTCTAGATCACTGCATGCATCTAACAAGGTGGACTCCAGATGACAAATGTTTATGCTGCAATAAACTCAGTCTTAATGTAGCGCAGAATTATTTATTGGGATTGCTAATTAGCAAGGACTGCATTTATTCTCTCTACCCACAGTTGTGTTTCAAGACGTAATAATAGTCCTGGAGATCAGAACTTAAATTATGTTGAGTTATTTAACTGGTGTATCTTACTCTTAAACAAAATCCATACAGCCTTTAAGTTGTTTCCAGACAAAGGGCTCCTAGGTCTCCTAAGTCACAGCTCTTCCACTGTAAGTTATAAGCAGAGCAGCAATTGACAGTCTACACTAACAGGAATTAAGTTACAGGGAACCAGGCAGAGGGCTTTCTCAGTAGTGACACCTGCCCTGTGGAACACCCTCCCATCAGATTTCAAGGAAATAAACAAGTACCTGGCTTTTAGAAGGCAGCTCTGTTTAGGGAAGTTTTTAATGTTTGATGTTTTATTGTGTTTTTAATATTCTGTTGGAAGCCACCCAGAGTGGCTGGGGAGGCCTGGCCACATGGAAGGGTATAAGTAATAAATTGTTGTTGTTGTTAACTTTTATTTCTGTGTCTACACCCCTGTGTTTTGTCCACACTAGTGGGTATGGCAGAGCTGTGTGGGTTTGGAAAGGGCCATTCACTGAAGCAGAAAGTTTTAAATAATTTTCATTCCCTCTCATCAATCTTATTTTTAAAATCAATACCAGCCTATCCTGCAGCACAGAAGAAGGAGATTGGAATGGGGAGTTGAATATTTTTGGGAAAATTTAAATACAACTGAAATATACTCGGAGTCGAGAGTGGATTTCATGCTCTTTCTTCAGCTCATAGTGGTGAGGAGGGAATGAAAGTCCCCTCAAAGTATCTGCTTTATCAGTGGCGTAGCGTGGGGGGTGCAGGGGGGGCCGGCCGCACCGGGTGCAACTTCTGGGGGTTAGGGTTAGGGGGCGCAAATCCACAGGTGAGGGGGCGCAAATTACTTGCCTTGCCCCGGGTGCTGACAACCCACGCTACGCCACTGTGCTTTATATACATTATTTACACAATGGCCCCCATGTGATTGCCTAATTCCAGGATTCTCCTGTAGGCCAATCAGGTTGCGGATTCCCTTCCACCTGGAGCTGGATTGGGTGGCTCCTGTGGACCAATCAGACTGCTGCATTCTGAATCCTATTGTTCTAGGACCAATCAGACTGCTGCCTTTTGGATCCTATTCAACTCAGTACATAACAAAAACCAAAATGGGAGGAGGGGGCTGGAGAAGCGTCAGGAGCAAAAGGTTGGGCCAAATTAGTTAAATTAGTTGCAGCTGTGCAGCGATGGCATTCCAACACTTTCCATCTAGGGAAGGTGGAGAGCAAAAGCAAAAGGCTCTTACCAGTCACTAAATGGGCATTCCTGCCACTCCTTTCTATTCTATTCCTTTCTGGAAGTTGGGCAATAGGGGCAGTACAGGATTCCTTTTGGTGTACCGACCTCCCCGCTGCACCAAGGATTCCCTGTCCGAGCTGCTTCAGGTTGTGGCAGATTTTCTCCTAGTTTGGTTGTCCTAGGGGATTTTAATATCCATGCCGACACGACCTTACAAGGGGCTGCTCGGGACTTAGTGGAAAGTATGGCCTCCATGGGGCTGTCCCTGAATAAGTCTGGCCAGTGGCGTAGCGTGGGGGGTGCAGGGGGGGCCGGCCGCACCGGGCGCAACATCGGGGGGGCACGCGCTCGCACTCGCAGCTCTCTGCCCCTACCTGGCTCACTCACTCTCTCTCACTGCAGTGCTGGCTGTGCGAATCCGATCCGAGCCGCTGGGTCGCCGCCCACTGTGGAGGGGGTGGGTGCCAGGCGTGCGGTGCGGAGAGAGAGCGAGGGACTATCTGGGGGAGGGACAGGGCAGCGGCCGCCCAGCGCAGCGCTGAGCGCGGGAGAGAACCACACCAGACCAGACCAGGCAGCAGCAAGAAGAAGCTGACAGCGGCGGCAGGTTAGGGGTTAGGGGGCGCAAATTACTTGCCTTGCCCCGGGTTAGGGGGCGCAAATTACTTGCGTTGCCCCGGGTGCTGACAACCTACGCTACGCCGCTGAGTCTGGCCCAACCCATAGCCGCGGACATGCCTTGGACCTGGTGTTCACCTCTAGTGACGTGGGTGATCTGACACTAAGTAAAAGTGAAACAAAAGAAGTGCCATGGTCAGATCTCTTCCTGGTGCAACTGGACTTCTCCACGACCCTTCCCCTCTGCAGGGAGGTGGGACCAGTTCAGATGGTCCGCCCCCGCCACTTAATGGATCCAAATGGTTTCCAGAGAGTGGTAGGGGATGCTTTATCCCATGTTGATGGCCTTTCAGCTGATTCCCTGATGGCCCGATGGAATGCGGAGTTAACCAGGGCTATCGACTGTCTGGCTCCGAAGCGCCCTCTCCGATTGCATGGAGCCCGGACAGCCCCGTGGTTTTCTTCGGAGCTGAGGGCGATGAAACAATCGCTGAGACGGCTAGAGCGTCGGTGGCAGAAAACTCACTCCGAATCTGACCGGACACAGGTTAGAGCTCAACGTCGAGCCTACCAAGTGGCAATAGCGACGGCGAAGAAGACTTTCTTCACCGCCTCTGTTGCATCTGCAGAAAATAGTAGCAGGAGACTCTTTCAGGTGGTTGGCAATTTAACGGAACCACCTTTACCACCAGGGCCTTGTAAAGACCCCAAGATCTCCTGCAACGATGTTGCAAAGTTTTTTGCAGATAAAATCACTCATATTCGGAAGGAGCTAGACACCACCGTGGGAGCAGGGCTGGGGCGGGAGAGTGCTAGAGCTCTGTCTGGTCAAGTTGCATGGAATCAATTTCAATCCGTTACCCCCGAGGATGTGGACAGGCTGCTTGGACGCGTGAAACCAACCACCTGTCTCCTTCATCCTTGCCCATCCTGGCTAATAAAAGCAAGCCGGGAAGGGCTGGGCGATGAGCTCTGCGGGGTGGTGAATGCTTCCCTCTGTGAGGGAACATTCCCAGATCCGCTGAAAGAGGCGGTCATTAAACCGCTTCTTAAAAAACCATCTTTAGACCCGGCCAGTATGGCCAACTATCGCCCAGTCTCAAATCTTCCATTCTTGGGCAAGGTGATTGAGCGCGTGGTTGCTGAACAACTCCAGGCACGCCTGGAGGATGCGGACCATTTGGATCCCTTCCAATCGGGATTCAGGCCTCACCATGGGACTGAAACTGCCTTGGTCGCGCTGGTTGATGATCTCCGGCGAGCTAGGGACAAAGGTGAGAGTTGTTTCCTGGTTCTGCTGGATCTCTCAGCGGCCGTTGATACAATCGACCATAACATCCTTCTGGACCGTCTAGAGGGGCTGGGAGCTGGGGGCACTGTTATACAGTGGTTTCGTTCCTTCCTCCTGGGCCGTGTTCAGAAAGTGGGGGGGGATGAGTGTTCAGACCCCTGGGCCCTCACTTGTGGGGTGCCTCAGGGTTCCGTCCTCTCCCCTATGCTTTTTAACATCTATATGAAGCCGCTGGGAGAGATCATCAGGGGGTTTGGACTGGGTGTCCATCAATATGCAGATGATACCCAGCTCTACCTCTCTTTCAAATCAGAACCAGTGAAGGCGGTGAAGGTCCTGTGTGAGTGCCTGGAGGCGGTTGGAGGATGGATGGCGGCTAATGGATTGAAGTTGAATCCTGACAAGACAGAAGTACTGTTTTTGGGGGACAGGGGGCGGGCTGGTGTGGAGGACTCCCTGGTCCTGAATAGGGTAACTGTGCCCCTGAAGGACCAGGTGCGCAGCTTGGGAGTCATTTTGGACTCACAGCTGTCCATGGAGGCGCAGGTCAATTCTGTATCCAGGGCAGCTGTCTACCATCTCCACCTGGTACACAGGCTGAGACCCTACCTGCCCGCGGACTGTCTCGCCAGAGTGGTGCATGCTCTAGTTATCTCCCGCTTGGACTACTGCAATGCGCTCTACGTGGGGCTACCTTTGAAGGTGACTCGGAAACTACAACTAATCCAGAATGCGGCAGCTAGACTGGGGGTGGCCGCCGAGACCACATAACACCGGTCTTGAAAGACCTACATTGAATTGTGCTCGGAAACGTACTGGGAGCCAAAGTGCTGGTGTTGACCTTTAAAGCCCTAAACGGCCTCGGCCCAGTATACCTGAAGGAGCGTCTCCACCCCCATCGTTCTGCCCGGACGCTGAGGTCCAGCGCCGAGGGCCTTCTGGCGGTTCCCTCATTGCGAGAAGCAAAGCTACAGGGAACCAGGCAGAGGGCCTTCTCGGTAGTGGCGCCCGCCCTGTGGAATGCCCTCCCATCAGATGTCAAAGCGATAAATAACTACCTGACATTCAGAAGACATCTTAAGGCAGCCCTGTTCAGGGAAGTTTTTAATCTGTGATATTTTACTGTATTTTGGGTTTCTATGGAAGCCGCCCAGAGTGGCTGGGGAAACCCAGCCAGATGGGCAGGGTACAAATAATAAATTATTATTATTATTATTTGTTTTCCATGATGAGTACCTGGCATATAGGAGAGACTCCTTTGCTTAACATAGGCAGAGAGCGGACCAAGTGGTAGAGTGGGGGTGGGGTGGGGAGGCAAAATTGATTGATGTAGCCTATGGGCATGAGGGAGGTTACATTGCCCTGCATACTTACGTTGAGAGTCAGTTTAGAAATACTATTAAGAGAGAGTATTCCGTAAAGTTGCATCTCCCAACCCTAACTATGGAATGTGTTTATTTCTACTGTCCTTATTTCCTAAGGCTGCAGTGTGCAATTAATTACATTATTATTACCATGGGACCAACCTTCCCGCTCAACAGTGGAGAGAGAAGTTCTCCCGCTTTCTCCTTCGCCGGGCCCGGTGAAACACTTCGGCTTCCCGCGTCCCTTTGGTTTCCGCGGCAACCCCGGGCCGCGTTCTGTTTCCATGGCGACAAGGGGTACTCGGCGTCCCCGTTGTCTTAGCAACCGCGGCCGGGCCCCGCCGCTTGCGTCCTCCATTCCTGAGGGCAGCGGAGAAGGTTCCGCAGGGAGTCGCCGGCACTGCAGGCCTGCAAACTCTTTCTCCAGGGAGCGGGCTTCCGACCCGCGGGTGCACCGTTCCCTCTTATTTTGCAAGTCCCGAGAAGAGCCACTCGGCCTCTCTGGCTGGTCCTTGCCCCGGTCTTTGAGCGATGAGCGAGAGCAGCGAGGAGAAGCCAAGTCTGAGGCTGGAGGCTGCAATCCAGGTTGGTGAGTGAGTGGCTCGCTTTCTCATACTTCTCCTGCGGCTAAGTTCAGAGCAAGTAATTAAAACGCACTGCCTCCGCCCCCTCGCACATGATGCTCCGCTTTGCAGCGCGGAACTGACGAGCCAGAAAAGGATAGAATTGCATTCCCTTCGAGGGGTGAGGGCAGAAGCCAGGTTTCCAACTTCGGAAGTAAAATGGCGAAATAAAAAATATTTCGCGTCTGCTTCCCTTTCATGTCGCGGATCTGGACAATATTTAGTTCTGGACGTCTACAGAGAAGATGATATGGATTAAAACCTCTGTGATCTCTTGATACAGAGGTGCAAATACGGGTAGCAGTGTTGGACAGCGGGGCCCAGGGTCATATTGCCAACCCGTGAAACTCAGAACAGAAATCCCAGAATCAGAGTTGGAAGGGACCCTGAGGATCATCTAGTCCAACCCCCTGCAATACTCATTGAGTGACCTCGGGCCAGTCACTGTTTCTCAAACTAACCTAGTACCTGCCTCACAGTGTGGTTGTGAGAATAGTATCAGAGGAAGGGCCATTGCAGTGTATTAGAGCACAGGCTTCGCTTGCAAATGGTCCCAGGTTTGCTTTCCAACGTCTCCACCTGGGCTGGGGGGCAATACTGTCATGAAACCCCAGAGACCTGCTGCTGGTCAGTGCAGAGGGTACCAACTGGGATTGACGTGGTATGAGGCAGCATTCTGTGTTCATGGGAGTAGGCTGAGTACTGTATAACAACTGGGGTATAAAGTAATTGTGCCAGCAAAGTTTATCAAGCATTAAATCAGACAGGGCTTCTATAAACCAAGGGACCATACAGAGACTGGTTTTGCAGCACGACCCAGAAGCAGCCAGTTTAGCAGAGTAGCCTTTTTGGTCTCATCTCAAACCCTTAGCATTCTGAGGAGAGCTGTTATATGTTTGTTTGCATGTGCATTTTGCTGCATGTAGAATTTCTCTGAAGATGTTGAAAATATGGCCTATTAAAACCCATGTTTGAAGTCTTTCTGTGTTTGGCTTCTGCTCTGTTCTTCATGGCTTCCCTGGATGACTGTGGCATCCAGGGCTAGTGGACTGTTGTCTTACCTGGGCTGAAGTTGTTTGTGACAAATGTAGTTGTTGCCATTTTAAGTGACAGTAGAGGGCAGTAAGGTTTCAGAAATGAGAGTAAGGAACAAACGACTAGGCTAGAGGATGTGTGAGCGTAACCCAACAGGAAAATAGATTTACAGCCGTATCCTATGCATTCACTCCGAAGTCTTGTTGAGTGTAATGAGACTTATTCCCAAGGAAGTAGTCATAGGGCTGCAATGGCAAACTGGACTTAATTCTTTGCAAACATCTATTGATTTCAGAGCTGCTGTTCACTGGATTGAATTCCAGTGGGGGAGCACAGAACTAACCTGTCAATATTGTAATGCTTTGATCCTTCTATACAGCCTTTATCCACCCCAGCCATGCTCTCCTATCTGTCCCAGCTAGATGGGAGTTATAGTCCTAAACATCTGGAAGTTACCAGGTTGGCAAAGGAAGGGCTGGCATAATCTTTCATGGTCCAGGGTCTACTTAGTCGTGTCTTTATGGTAAAGGTAAAGGTAAAGGGACCCCTGACCATTAGGTCCAGTCGTGACCAACTCTGGGGTTGTGGTGTTCATCTCGCTTTATTGGCCGAGGGAGCCGGCGTACAGCTTCCGGGTCATGTGGCCAGCATGACTAAGCCGCTTCTGGCGAACCAGAGCAGTACCCAGAAACACCGTTTGCCTTCCCACTGGAGTGGTACCTATTTATCTACTTGCACTTTCGAACTGCTAGGTTGGCAGGAACAGGGTCCGAGCAACGGGCGCTCACCCTGTCATGGGGATTCGAACCGCCGACCTTCTGATCGGCAAGTCCTAGGCTCTGTGGTTTAACCCACAGCACCACCTGCGTCCCAGGGTCTACTTAGTCGTGTCTTTATGGTAACATGATACTTTGTTGTTTTTGTTAAAACAGACTAATATGGCCACCCCTTCTATACATCATAAGTGTCGAAAGGAGCCTGGCACAAACCACTTCAGCAGAGGGATGGTAAATTGTCATGAAGTAGGAACCAGGGTGAGCTCCCGTCTGCAGTCCCAGCTCCTGCCCACCTAACAGTTCAAAAGCACCCCTAAAGTGCAAGTAGATAAATAGGTACCGCTTTCTAGCGGGAAGGTAAACGGCGTTTCCGTGTGCTGCGCTGGTGCTGGCTCGCCAGAGCAGCTTCGTCACGCTGGCCACGTGACCCGGAAGGGTCTCCGGATAGCGCTGGCCCCCGGCCTCTTAAGTGAGATGGGCGCACAACCCTAGAGTCAGACACGACTGGCCCGTACGGGCAGGAGTACCTTTACCTTTACAGGAACCAGGGAAAGAGATTGTGACTGCCTCAAGGGCTTCATGTGAGGCTGCACTGTCTTACAGAGTAAGGCCAATCATCTCATTCTCTTACACTTAACACTTCACGTCTGTAAATTGGAATAGTACAAGGATTTCCAATAAGGAGGCAATCTGCTTCACATTTTCTTATTTAGCATGAAGTGGAAGAGGTCTAGTCCCTGCTCTCCTGCATTTAGTGTTTTCATTCAAGGAGCTTTGTTTTGAGCCTTTCTTGTGCTGTGTGTGTTAACGTCTGTGTAATGTGAAAGGGCATTCTGCTCCTTGTGGGTTTTCCATTCACAATGCCCAGCCTGGTTAGAGCAAGAGCTTCATGCCCCCAAATACCCTTCATATAGGAAAACGTGAACAGCTTTCCTACAGTTGGCTTTTCCACATTGCATGTCATGGATTTTTGAGCATTGCTTGAAATGAGATGGAATTGATGCTGTTGAAATGATCACACTTGTCCTTCGCCCTGCGGCATGAGCTACAAGGGGATTGTCAACTTACTACAGGCCTTGACACCTTTCAGGAGACCATTTTGTACTTGCATTGCATGTTGGTTGTTTGTGTTTCGCTACTCTTCTTTGTGAATGGGCAAAGTCAGCTAACATGCAGATGCCTCACCAATGGCTGCTCTTTCCACAGCTGCCACAGCTGTGCTGACATCACCAGCTGCAGAGGGAGTAGCTATCTCCATGGGTCCTATTCAGAGACTCCATGCTACAGCTGCAACTCATTACCCAGGCAAAGTGTTTTAATCAATGCCTTTGCTGATTGGTGGCCTGAATGTTACAACTATGCTGAACTGGAATTTCTGCTAGTCTTGCAGTTTTCATACTCACATGTGGCATCTGTTGTTTTAAAAGGCCAAAATGCTAAAATTGTTTAGGGGGGAATGGATAAGTTGTTAAAGGGACAAGATCACCTTACAAAAGCATATTCCCCTCAGGTTTTTTAAAAAACTCATTATTAGCAGTCCTAGGTGTACCATAAAACCTACATAGCACCCAGCAGAACATTGGTGAGACATCTGTGATCCTCCAGTTGTGGTTAGACTACAAGCCCCAACTCCTCTGACCATTGTCCATGCTGGCTGGGACTGATGGGAACTGGAATCCAACAGCTCAAAGGTTTCCCACCACTGTAGCAGAGTCTAATCTAACTGAAACTATCAGGGATTTGGCTCTTTGCTCCTAGTCTTCATCAGGCAGCATTTGTTATGTCTGAGCAAATCTCGGTGTCTTTGTATGTTTCTCTGTGTGATTTCCATTTGCATTTGTCTGACATGCCATGTGTGATCTGTGCAGTGATCTGATTTTTTAAAAATAGGAATTCGTTATTGCAAAATAATATCATTTGTATTTGAGTTTTAGAAGTAGAATGTTTTCAATCTCTAAAAATGGTTGTAAAAGGTAAAGGGATCCCTGACCATTAGGTCCAGTCGTAACCAACTCTGGGGTTGCGGCGCTCATCTCGCTTTATTGGCCAAGGGAGCCGGAGTACAGCTTCCGGGTCATGTGGCCAGCATGACGAAGCCGCTTCTGGCGAACGAGAGCAGCACACAGAAACGCCGTTTGCCTTCCCGCTGGAGTGGTACCTATTTATCTACTTGCACTTTGACATGCATTCAAACTGCTAGGTTGGCAGGAACAGGGACCGAGCAACGGGAGCTCACCCCGTTGCGGGGATTCGAACCGCCGACCTTCTGATCGGCAAGTCCTAGGCTCTGTGGCTCTTCTTGGACTTCATTGTGATTTGGTATGCCCAAGGTTAATTGCTTGAGTTGTAGCTGCGAGGGCCAGTTCTCATCTATTTTTGTGGATAAACATATTGCTTTAACTGCACAGCAACTGGTCCTTGAGATGCTTATGCAACATACTTGCTATTTTCTTTTCTTCCGTCTACAAACCAAGCTGCCCACCAAAGTGCTTGGATAATTATAGTGCTGTGCCAAAATATTCTCTCATGTTTTTCCCCCAACCAAAATTATTGAAAAGGAGAGCGTTTTTTGGTAAAATTCTTGTGGGTGGGGTGCAGGTCCTTTTTTGCCATGCTTTACTTTTGAAGTGGCTAATTTATGCTTGGTGGGTGACCTTTTTTTCCCCATTCTACAAAACATCTCCTCAGTGGTCTGCCCTTTACCCTCTGCCACTGATTCAATCAAGACCCAGGGGAAGAAATCATGAGGTAACTCCTTCTATGGGATTTTTTCAAATAAGGAAGTGCAGCCAGCCAATGGGGTTGCAGAGATCCTTGAGGAAGGTTTACAGGAAAGAAAAGATCACATATTACCTTTGGCCACCTTACAGAAATAGTAATATGAGAGCTCCAAATCTCTCCTGCATCCACAGTGTGCTTTGGTTCTCGAACTTAATCCATTCTGGAAGTCCGTTCCAAAACCAAAGTGTTCCAAAACCAAGGTGCGCTTTCCCATAGAAAGCAATGCAAAATGGATCAATCCGTTCCAGACTTTTAAAAACAACTCCTAAAACAGCAATTTAACATGAAATTTACAGTCTCACAAGACCATTGATCCATAAAATGAAAGCAATAATCAATGTACTGCAGTCACACAATCAATCAGTAGCTGAACTGGGTTCCACACAGTCACAAAAACAAAACAAAAAGAGCCGCAAAAACAAAAATACAAAATAAATAACAAAAACACAGACCTCAGCGTAACACTCAAAACGGAAGCGTGGCACTTAAAACGGAAGCGTAACACTCAAAATGGAGCATGTTTGACTTCCAAAAAAAGGTTCGCAAAACGGAACACTTCCAGGTTTGCAGTGTTTGGGTCCAAGTTGTTTGAGTACCAAGGCATTTGAGAACCAAGGTACCACTGTACTTTGTCATAGTAGTAGTACTCAGGGTACATCTACCCTTGGTACATTTCTTTCCACTTCAGTTTGTCTTGGTATTAATGTTCATGTGTTTCCCACATGTATACACTTCCTCATCTTGTAGTCTTGGGTAGTTTAGGAAAAATATAATTTATGCAGTCTCAAGCATACAGGTGCATGCACACACATACACACTTTCTGCAATGGGAGACAGGATTCTAACTTTTGAGATACAGTACTAATTTTGATCTAGCTGAAGTTGTACATGATCCAAAAATCTCTCCCTACTGAGAGATCAACTGAAAATATTATGGAGATGTGCATGTGAGTGGCTTGCATTTAAAAAAAGGGGGGGGGATCCAATAGTGATGGAGGAGAAATTATGAAGAACGTTGTGAGACATTTGTCAAAATATAAGCAAGAGATTTTACAGGATGGTTTTGCTGTCTTTATCTTTATAACATCATGTGTATGTGTTTTGCGGGGGCATCCTGGGAAGTGGAGTACTGTACTTTTCAGATACAATTGGAAACAAGATTTGGAACAAAGTGCAGATTGCAGCAGCCTCCTTATTTCAATGAGATTTGTTCGTAATTGATGAGGTACAGACGATAGAGGGCATTGTTGCTGTATTTTCTGTACGAAGTTTTAGCTCTGTTGGCATGGCAACAACTGTTTTTTTGTTTATTATTATGCTTCACATCTTCATGCAATATGTCTTTCTTGTTCTGTGAGCACAAGGGAGCCCCAGTAATGACTGGGCCCAGCAATAAAACATTGAGAAGATAAGCAGGCAAGCGAATTAGCCACCTGTGTGGGTTTGACAACAGGGTGAGAAGGACAAAAAAGTAAAGATGTTCCCACCCGACACAATTCAAAATCACCTCAGAATCAAACTTAATAACCACCTAATAGGCGTAAGCCCTGGTGGCTTCTGGCACAAATTAAGTTCAGATCTCAGATCTACCCATTATTTACATGCACTGTACATTTGTGAATAGCATCAGCCATGAGAAAAAAATACCCTCCAACATTTTGTAGATGGAAATAGGGTGTCAGAATACCATTCTCAGTATCTTTAGTACAGTATTAGTTTTAAATGATGCTAGCAGTTCTGGTAGCATCAGCAACAAAACATAAGATCCAAGAGTAGGGTTGTAATTCCTGATGTCATTTCACTTTGTTCATTTCCCACAAAATTATTATGCTCATCTTGCATCGTGGCTCTTTCTCTTTCATAATTTCGATGCTCTTTTGTCCTTGTGTGCTTCACCTGCATAAGATTTCATAATGGTTTTCAGAAACTTTGACATGTACGGTATTTCAGAACATGAATTCTGGCCATGTAACCGACAACATTGGTTTATGTAAGTTTACCACAGACATGTGATAAAGCGAAGTTAATGTAGCAGGATTTATTATCACAAAAAAGCTTTTAGAAATATTTTGAAAACAACACAGTTCAGGGCCTTGTAATCCTGTGTACCCTTGCAGAATCTTAACCTGCACTCACCTAGGTGAGGACACAAAGTAGGGAATTGTATTATATTTCTTAAGCAATTTTGAAAATGCTAACTTTGTACATGAAGAGTGAGTGAGGAGGGGAAAATAAATTGTGCAGATATTTGAATTCCTGGTTCTTCATAAGTTTAAAAGATTGGTATCATTGTATTTTTGGTTTTAGCTGAAGCTGTGTACATAGGCCAGCTTTGTAGATATCCTTGCCTTTCTATTTTTATTGAGTTTATAACTTGTTGAAATGCACTAAATGTCAATGAGATATAAAGAGATCACATTTTTTTACAGCAGTCTCTCTCTACCCCCCCAACCTTCAAAGGTTTCTAGCTATGTGACAGCCATTCTTAGGCCTAAGTTTAGTTTTATGCTGATCTCAGAAAGTCCATCATAAAGAGGTAATCGCTTCCCAGGGCCCAGCAATGGCTAAATAAAACCTTACAAGCTTGCCAACCAATGCTTAACTTCTGTGTGTATTTTAGAAACTGGAGGATACGGTGCTGCATCCCAGAGCGAGCAAAGATGACAAAGCATTGACCGTGCAAGGGGAAGGAGAGAGAGCTGAACCCACAACTGTCCCAGCTAGGATCCGACAGATCATCACACAGAGTCTGGCTGAGCCATCATCATCCCCAGGTGCTGTCTGGGACTTTGGCAGAGACATAGAGCAGAGACATCCCGAGGGTGGGGCTTTCAAAGCAAGAACAAATGCAGGAAATTAGGAGGTGGGGCTTTGAAGCTCCTAACATCCCCACATACCATGCAGTGTTGGCTCGATGATGTTTCTGAAGCCTTCCTCCTTGGAAGAAGTTGACAGAAAATTCAGTCCACTATCACCGTGCGTGTGGTAACAGCCTTTCCTCCCTTCCATTCCATGCAAAGCAGTCCATTGGACTCGTTCAGAGTACTATGTAAAACTAGCAGCTTCTGTTCATGGTAGATGAATCCAATATTGCATTTCTGACTGTGAGCAGGTAGCCTTTCCAGATGGAAGGGGGGAAAGAGCAATCATCAGGGCCAGTCCTAATATTGGGCAGAGTGAGGGGAATGCTTGAGGCAGCAGACATAGAAAGGGCAGCAAATGGTTTGCTCTTGGGTACATGCACCTTGACTTTGCAGCTGGGGAGCATTTACTGTTCTGCCTCAAGCAGCAAAATGTCCTTGGCCAACCCTAGCCTATAGCAAGGGGAGAACAATGGTCCTAAGTCCAAGGGACATCCTTTCTTTCAGATGATTGCCCTTTTCTTTTATGTCCCCAAAAGACATTGTGGATTTCTCTCTCATTGCAAAAATAAATAAATTACAGTTGGGAAGAGTTCCTGAACCTTAGTGATTCTCAGCCGTAGCCACCAAGCAAAGACTGAGGGAGATAGTTTAGCTCAGGCTTCCAGAAGACAGTATAAAGTTGTTTGCCGTCATGTTACATTTGAGGATCAGAAAGATTAAGCAACCTGCCAAGCAACACTCAACGTGCCTGGACACGAGCTGGAAAATTAGCCCAAGCTTCTCATATGGAAGATCATCATTATCCCTGTAACGATTGGGCATGGCTATCTTGCGGCCTGTGATTAATAGGCCCTTTCAAGGCAGCTTTCCTTACAGCTTTGTAAACCCATGGCCACACTTTTGGCTAGACATCATCTGGCCCCATAACCCGTTTTCAACGCTAGAAAGCAGCCCTGGAACATACAGAGGGAGATAATGAATGCAGGTGTCTCTTGCTAAAGAACAGTCTTTAGTCCCTGGAACTCTTTTGAAACATTGGTACTTCGTTTTCATAGGTTGGCTCAAAGAATGGTCCCTGTCCCTTAAAAAGGGAGAAAGAATGCTCTGCTTTGCCATGTTAAAACATTAAACTTTTATTGGAAGATGCTTTAGCAAAATAAATAAGGCAGATATCTTGTATCAAGTACTTGCTTGCTATCAGTTCTTAGTATTAATACATCCCTTTTGGACAACTTAAGTGCTTATGCTTTGAATCCCAAGGTTTTTGTACTAAGGGGTTAATCCATATACCTTGGTAGGGTGAACATCCTCAGTCTGTTCATAGGTTGCCTTTCCTGGAACTAGGAATGAAATTATCTGTCAATTTTAGTTCTCGCAGTTTCTAATTTTTCTAATCTTAAATTCATTTAGGCATCTGCGTGTGCATTCTCTTAATAAGCACATTTTTATAGGTAGTTTTGACTAATGTGCACATTTTTGCAAGCAATTTTTATACATGAATATATTTTTGTAAAAACATCACTTGGTTGGATAACTCTATTGCAAAATTCAGATAAGTGCAAATTTAGAATGGTTGTGTTCCCATAGTGTTTCAAAAAGTGTGGATTTGGTAGATTCACCTTTCACTGTGAACTGAATTAAATATGTCCCTTCTTGCTACCTGCAGCCAACCTATTCCTTTTATTGCTGTTTCCAGCTTTGTCAGAAACAGCCTCTGCAGTCAATATGCAAGAAGAAAACCGCTTGTTGCAGAAGGAGCTCTCACGCCTTGAGGACCTGTTGGCACAAACTCGTGCGGAGAAGGATGAGCTGGCTAGCAAATACCATGCCGTTAGTGAGAGGGTAAGATCAACATTTGAAGAAACCCATCTTAAAAAAAACAAGCTACTTTTTGTATGGAACAATCTTGCAAAAACACAAATCCAGCTGAGAGCTCCGTCACAAAACAATTATCCATCATTCTCTCTTGCAGCTGGTGTAGATTGGCAGCTGAGGACATACTGACTGGCAACACAGAGAGAATTAAGATGGAGGGCTTACTCATAAGTTCAGATAAAGCTTACATTGCCATGACTCTTGGTCATGCACACTTCCCCATGTCCTGGGCAGGTCCTGTGACATGACAATATACAGCTTATGGACATTGGTTCCATTGTTTCATTTGGCTGCTCTCCCACAAGAACTTACATAGTAGGTTACAGTTTGCTTTACTCCTTGTAGTCCTGGCTGCCCTTCAATGCCATAAACATATATTGAGACCTAGCAAGAGCAGTTTTAAAGAAGGAAGGGCATTCAGAATCTGTGGGCTACATCGCAAAAGTCAGGCTGTATATAGGACTATTGAAGCACCTCGCCGTATTCTTCGCAAATGGTTATCAGTTTGGCTCCATTTTGTAGTCGCTGAGAGCTGCTTCCAAATCAAAACACACATAGATAGTCATACACGATGACCACATGAGAGAAGGATTAAAAAAAATAAAGTGGGTCTAATATTACAGTTTGGGGTGAAAGGTGAGACTTGGATCTGAAAAGATTGAAAAATATATCTATCATTGAGCATCTAAGCTTTGTGGTGTTTTGGGCTCGTGTAAACCTTAGGAGCACCCAGGCAGAATTTCGTAAGAAAGACATTCAATCAGGAAAAGATGAGCTAGCAAAAGAACCTTATTTCGTTGCAGTCGTCTATGTTTTTTGATGGCTGGAAGCACCCCTCCCATTTTCTATCAAGTTGCACTCCCCTTTTATAAGATAGTGGCTCCTGAATTCAAGTCAGTGCAAGTGCCATCAGGTTCAGCGTCGTTCTCCAGCTGAAAGTAGAATACAGTACTGTAATAATATGTTATGTTGTAAGTAATTGAGGAGCACCTATGAAATAAATCAAAATAATGAGGAAGAGGGCCTTAATAGATAAACTAGACTGCTAGGTTGTCTTTCCCATACTACAGTAGCTTAAGCACACTATACCTAAGAATGAAAGGTTAACGTAAGCATAATGTTTGGCCAGTATGTCTTCATTACTTAGATGCAGCTAATATGTTTTCAAACTGTTTATTTGTGTGAAAGTAGACTCGGAAACAGAATGGCAGAGCAGCTGCTTTTAAACCCAACCAACCATCTAGCATTCTGCTGCAACAGCGACCATTTGAAGGAAAATTGCCAGGAATCACATTCTAGTGTGCAAATGTTGGGGGATTATGGTGCGCAGACACAGTCCATTGGTATCTCCTCAGGCGTGCTAGAGCGGACAGGATGTTGGCCCTGTTTTCACACACTGCTGCTTTCTGGAGTATGCAGTTGCAGGTGGTCATGGTGCTTAGCTGTTGTGGCCCCTTCCCCGGGAGAAACTGGTGCTTGGTTTGCTGCCTGGAGAACATAGGGCACATTCTTGGCTAGACAAAGGTTCCCATCCAGAGGAGCATAAATAATTATAAGTCCAAACAATCCCTGCCTCCAGTCCACATGACAGGCACGGAGATCCAGGCCTGACTCAGCATCAAGCCCTCCGAAAAGCTGTTCCAACAGACTGGGACCGCTGCCCTGCCCCCAGCTGCTTCTTTTTGCTGAATGGTAGCAATGGAATGAATGCTATTTGGGAGGCTGAAAGAAGCGGAATGAATGGGTGAGGTCTTGATTCATGTAGGGCAGGGATGGAGAACCTTTTTCTGACCAAGCGCCACATTCCCTCCTGAGTCGCCTTCTGTGGGCTGTGGGTCAGTGGTGGGTGGGTCCAGAGGAACAAGTGGGTGGAGCAACAAATGTAAATTTTACCTGTATATAGTAGGCTAGTCTTACACAAACTCACACACCCTCCCTTCTCTGTCCTCCATCTAGGCAAGTAAGAGGCATTGTCAGAGTTCAAGGACACAATCCAGCCAAGCAAAAACAGTCAAGGGGGGTGCAGGGCAGGGCCAGTGAAGGATGTGCCATGGGAAATTGGGAGTCTACGAAGGGTGTGTGGCCTGGAAAGAGTCCTGAGGGTTGCACAGTGAGTCCTGGAGGGTGACATGTCGCCCCCAGACCTGAGGTTCCCCACCCCTGCTGTAGTCGTTGTAAATTTTGCTAGGCAGAAGAATGAGCTGCATTTGAGTTCCATTAGGAAGCTTTTGCCACCATTTGCTTTGAGGTTCTAACTACCAAATCATAAATATATTCGAGCTGGTGTATTTCTGAATGTAGTGCAAAGTGCAGGATTGTGTGAGACCTAGTATCTAGGGCACTATTTGACTTGAATAATCCTATGCATGTTTATAATTTAGTTCCAGTGTGTCTAGTGGGGCTTAATCTCCTGTAAGTCTGTTTAGTGTTGCAGCTTAAGGCTGCTATCCTGTACACATTTACCTGGGCATATGTCTCACTGAACTCAGTGAGACTGACTTTTCAGTAAATATGCATAGGATTGTGCTGTAATAGTCTCAAGTTTCATTTTTTTCAAAGCTTGTTTTATCGCCCTTTAGATGTCAAGAGACATTACAAAATGAGCAAGCAGTGTCTACAGAAAGATTCTGTGCCCATCACCACTATATTTCCTTCCTTTAAGGCCTGTAGTAGTGTTCTTGTTAGGCACACTGACCTTTCAGCTTCTCCGTAAGTCTCTTCCTCCTGTTCAACCTCCCCCTGCCAAAAATCTAAATTTGTAACCAGCCTTAGCCAATTTGAAACTGAAGGATTTCAGACATATTGCAGTCTGAAAGGAAGAGAGAAAGAAGATCATGCAAATTCAGTGATTCATATTTGCATGAATTCTCATTACATTTGCGAAATGTAGGCATGAAGATTTTGAGTATTTGGGATGTTGAATGTATATTTCAGAGAAAGGAAGTTTCTGTTGTCCAGAGGTCCAGGAACAGCTGGGAGCCATGCTGGAAACCCTGAATTCTGCAAAGCTAGAGCTCATTTTCAAACACAGATTTATTTATTTTCCATTCATTTGGTTGCATCCTGCCACATTGCTCTTGTATGACATCTAAGGAGCCAGGCATTGGTTCCTTGCTGTTCTGCTCCTGACCCTTGCTCTGCCATTTGGATGAGGGAGGGTGTTTGCTTTTGTAGCTGGAGCTCCGAGGAGAGGAGGAAGGAAGCACAATGTTCCTGCAGATGAGACAGCAGTTCAAAGAGGATGAGAAGGCATACAAGCGCAAGCTGCAAGCCTACCAGGATGGGCAGCAGCGCCAGGCTCAGCTAGTGCAGAAGATGCAGAACAAGGTGGGTGGCATTACCTTGAACAGGCACTACCTTTCATTAATGGGAAGATGGTGGGGTCTCACAGACGGATTCCATAAAGACTCAGCAGTGGGGCTTGCTGCAGAAGTTCTCCATTATGTTTGTTGGTCCTGTCTTTTTGATTTAGAAAGCATGCTCCTTGTACCTGCCTAGCATTTTCTGTTCCATGCGTTCTGTAGGGACCAGTACTCACAGGTGATGAGAACAGCACACCAGGCTTTTTTTATGAGACTACAAGAAGAAAGAAGCCCCCACCAACCAGCAGTTTCAGTTGTTTCCATGTGGATCCATTGGCAAACATAGCTTTAGACAGCATCTTAGGTTCTTAAGAAGTCCTTCCCTTGATTTGTCCAAAGCTCTGGGGAGGAGCTTTGGGTATTTTTTAAACAGGGGTGCAGGCAGAGTTCCAGGTCCTTCTATTCAGCCCTTAAGACTCTTCCGAGGCCACACTCTCTCTATCCAGACTATACTCTTCACTGGCTCTGCTGCACGCCCTTCTGGAGTGCTTTTACTTAACAGGCGTGTGGCCTCTTGCTTGTCTGGACTGAGGTCAGAGAGGGTGGGGGCAGGAGGAGAAAACATCTGCATGTGCATGACAAGAATGCAGACCACTGTAAAAAGGTAAGAGTCACATCTGTTGCTCCACCCATTTTGTGACTTGCCACGCCCATTTTTGCATGCCTACCACTGCCATGTGGCCCCAGAAGGTCTATCTCAAGGGGATGCAACCCTCGTACTCAAAAAAATCCCTACCCCTTGTTTAAAGGGCCCCTTTGGTCCTGATAATCAGGCGGACATGTTGCCTTCCCCCCCCCCCAAGATGGTGCAACTGGAATAGCCTTCTTTCTTTGGGCCCCTCTCTCCTCCTCATCCCTAGCTGCTTTGGCAACCACAGTCATTCCTTGCTTCTGGTTAGCAGCCATGCTTCCAGCCTTATTCAGGTGTTCACACAAGCTAGCCTCTTTCCCAGTGTCCCTGCCATCTATGTCCCTGCCAACCTTGGTTTCCCTCACCTGCGCTAGGTGCCTGTTGACAGCTTGCAGAAAGTGCATTTATTCATGGTATCTGTTTTAATGCTACCATTCCCCTGACCGTTCCCCACAAGAGGAATTTACCTCAGGCTTATTTACTACAGCTTCCATTTCCTCAGATGCTCGTCCTCCATTTCCCAGCTGATACTCCTAAGAATCTGTATTCTGCTTCCTTCAAATTTACTTTAAGTACAGATGCTTCCTTCCTTGCTGACCACTGGGGTAGTCATGTATTTATTACATACAATGGCTGCTTCTCTCTCTCAAAAAATGTTCTGGTTATAGGTCTGGCCTGTCTTGACAGAGATTAAAATGGTGCCAGGACACACTCAAATTCTTCCTCCATCTTTATATATCAAGCTTCAGACAGAGAAAAGGTCTTTAGGTACGAGATCCATGCTGTAAGCAGATCCCAGCTGAAGAGAAATAGGGTTTAGAACAACCACCTGTGTGGGATCCATTTTGCACGTAGAATATGGCCCAAAGAATTATACTTTTGCCACCAGAACAAGCACATGGGGAGAATAGATGTTCTCCAGGTATACTGTTGCAGTGGAAGAGAAATGAACGTAGAACTTCCGAGTGGGCAACAGGTGACGGGAGGTTGTACATGGCACATCCCAAGGTAGTGAAGGTACATTTCCCCCATTTCAACTTTTATTTGTGCATGCAGTCTGAGGAGCTTGAATACACCAACTGTGTGGTGCATGTTCTCTACAGTAAGGATCAGCTTCTGTCCTGGTGTAAAGTTTTATGGGTTTTGGTTTTTTTTTAAAAAAAATACTTGATCTTCTGGTCAACAATGCCAGTCAATGGGGGCAGAACTTGTTACATTCTTGAACAATTGCTTGCATAGGATAAAGTTTGGGGGTGGTGTTAGACTACAGATTGACAAAGTTGATATCTTGTGCATAGCTGTAGTGGAACTTAATACTGTATGTGACTGCATACTTCTGGTTCTCTTGGTCTGGCTCTTATCATAGTCTGTGTTTTATTGCACTCACCAACCTCCATCAGATGTCATGGTAGTAGTCCAAGTAAGTTTTCAGAAGTCTCTTTAGAATTTGTTGAAGACCTGTTAAAGTTGTTGGATAAATTGGCCTCGTGGATCAAGCTTTCATTCTTCGTGCCTCTTTTATTCCTGGTAAGTAGCTTCGCCTGGGCTGCTGGTTCCTTCCTTTGTTCTCTCTTGTCTTCTCTTTTAATTCTCTTTACCTAAGGCTTGTACCCAGTGCAGTGCTAAGGAACCATCCTGTCAGCACAAGGATAGACACTTAGAATCATGGCATTGCAGAATTGGAAGGGACCTCAAGGTTCATCTGCTCCAACCCCCTACAATGCAATGGGACTTTCCTCTTTTTCTTTTCTCCAACCTACACTCCTCTAAATCTATTTTGACAGTCCCCCACCCCTACCCCGTAACCCTCTGGTGCAAATTTGGGGAGGGGACACATGGGGGAAGTTCCATGGGGCAAGCATAAATCCTTGCGCTGATGTGATGGTTTCATAGCAGTGCCTTGCTGCTTCTATTCCCTGGCGTAGATGCTGCAGTACAAGAAAAGATGTGGGGAGCTGGAGCAACAACTGCTGGAGAAAACCTCCGAGTGTGAGCATCAGAAACAGATGGTGCGCATGGCTTTTCTCATGCTATAAATGATTGTGATGAAGCATGTGGCAGCCTGACTGTTAGCACTGTGGGCAATTTGTAGATCACTGTCCCCTCACGCCATGCACCTTTAATTGGAGCGAGCGCTTGGCAGACAGCCTAGCCTAATGACATACATGGTACAAGTAGTCTTTGTGTAGTTCATATCATTTAAAGACTCCCACTGGTTTTCTGAATGTCCAGTTTGGCGGTGTTTTGTGTGTGTAAAGTACGGGCCATATAGGCAACCAGTGGAGTACTTTTATTTTATGAAGGACGTTCTGGGTACAAAGCCTTTTTCACAACAGTGTAATAATATTATGTAAGGCTAAAGCCTGTGGGGTTTAGAGGGGATTATAATTCACAGAGGGGAACCTATGCATGACTACAATTATATGTGAAAAGCCTAAACACGGAGCGGTTCTTAAAAGGCAATTATCGCCGCGCTTTAACTAGAGATCCCTAGTGCCTCACAGTGCAATTTGAGCAGGAGAAGGTGCAGAAAGGGGCAACCAAAATGATCATGTAGTTGAAGCAACTTCCCTGCAATGAAAGGTTACCACATTTGGGGCTTTTGTAGTTCAGGAAAAAGGTGACCAGGGCAGGGGAACATGACATGCTGGTGTGGAAAAAAGGATAGAAAGTCTTCCCATCCACATCTAGCCTGTTGCCATCATATTCTTTCGCTTCACATTTTTTTACTACCCATGAGAAGAGTTTAGCTGAAGGAACTAGGCTCTAGGAATTCTTATGACATGATAGTGTCATGTGAAGAAATACAGAGCTATGTGGGATGATTACCTCTCCCACGTCTATGAAAAAACCCTGCCCAGAACCTGTTTTATTTCTGAGGGTTTAGGAAATGGCTGTCTTTAATGCTGCCTACCTTTTCTCCCAATCACAGACCTCCCAAATCCAAATATTTATTTTTAAAAAGCAGTTTCGGGATTCTGAGAAAGTCTCCTATTGCCTTAAACAGATTCTGTGCTGTACAACATATATGTAAGGACATGCATATTTCTAAAGCTCCGGCCAGCCAATCATTCTGTGCGCTGCTTTAATATTGATGCACAATCCGTCATCTTTCTAGGCGCAGATGAGGTTAGACTCAACGGAGTCGCATTTACTCCGCTTTGAGCATGACCACAATACAGAGCTGGAGAGCACTCTCATCCACCTGGAAGAGGAGCAGCAGAGGTGAGGTTGCCATTTGCTTCAGGGGGTTTGTTTATATGGTACATTTGTATACTGGCAATACTGCTCTTCAGTGATCAGCTGATCAGTGGTTATGGTAGCCTCCTTTGAAGACACCAGTCAGCTGGTTGAGGCAGAGAGAACACCTTCAAAGAGGTTTGCTGCAACTGCTCAGCGCCGGCAGAGATCCCTGCTTTTGAAAGCACCATCAAGAGTTCCTTTAAGCTCCTGATAGACAACTGTATCCTGCCCCACATCTGATGCCACAGGATGCCAGGTGTGGGGCAGGTGGCCATGGTTTGTAGGAAATGGCCTTGCCTCACCTGGGAGCCATGCTGGGCATAATTAGACTCGTATGCTAGAGGTCCCCCACTGGTGACTATTTCTTTAAATTGTGGTCATGGTATTTTAACCATAGGAATGGTATAAATTAATGTTCCATTTGAAGTGTACAACTGTATGTCATTGAACTTTCATTTGATGGTAGCAGCATCCCTGAATCTATTACTGCAAATCATGAACAATATTTTAGGTGTGTCAGATCCATATTCCATTCCTTTTATCCTAAGCTGGGGTGGGGAACCTCCAGCTCACTGGGCTTCCCCATTCGCCCATGAGGCCATTATGGGCAACCTTTACCTCCCTGCCCTATGCCTGTTGTCATACAAATAAGGGCAGGTCTTGTCCCAAAGGGTGGGACTTGCTCAAAACCCACCATTTTTATTATTATTTAGTACAAAGCCTTTGTTGTGACTAATGTGGTTTGATATACATAAAGACATAGAGGAATTCTTGGATTCAAAAGAACTAGTGCGCCATATTGTGATTGTGGAGGAAAACACTGTCCTTGGCTTTCTAATTTTTTGTCTTAGGAGCACCAGTCTTTCCCAGATGAATACTCTTCTTCGGGAACAGCTGGACCAGATGAACTCCTCAAAACAAAGACTAGCAGGGGAGTTGGAGAGGGCAACTGCTGAAGTGCACAGGCTGAGGAGTGAACAGAAGGAGTCCCAGTGGCACAAGGGCAGGGAGGTACAACATATCCTATTGGTTGCTTTTTGAAATGCCAGGCAACATAATGATTAGAAATCCATTTTCTTCATGTTGCACCATTGTACTATACACCTGTAGCAGATTTGGCACTGGGAGTTTTTTTGTACCAATTCTTTGCTCAACTCAGCATCTTGTTGGGTTGGCTGTTCATAGGATCAGTACTCCAGAAAATTCAGAGTCAACTATCGCTGTTTCATCTTCAGTACCTTCACTGGTTCAGCTCATGGTCCCTCCAGGCTGCTGTTTTATTATTTTGATATTTTATTTTTTAAAAAACCCTCAAAGCGGTTTACAAAAAGATAAGAAAATCAAGAAAAATGTACAGCCCTATTTTAAAGCAGACAAAAGTTAAAATACTAAAACTGATTAAAATTACCTCCATTTTCTAAGCATCTAGGTAGGCTTGTGATTAAAATTACCTCCATTCTCTAAGCATCTAGGTAGGCTTGTCTAAACAGGAATGTTTTTAGCAGGCGCTAAAATTACTACACCCATGCCTTGGTTGACGAACGCCTTGCGACTCAAATGTTTTGGCTCCCGAACGCCACAAACCTGGAAGTTGGTGTTCCAGTTTGTGAATGTTCTTTGGAACCTCAAATGTCCAATGCGGCTTCTGCGGCTTCCGATTGGCTGCAGGAGCTTCTGGCAGCCAATCGGAAGCCGCGCCTTGGTTTCCAAACATTTTGGAAGTCGAACAGACTTCCGGAATGGATTCCATTCGACTTCCGAGGTACAACTGTATTTCTCCAGTTCCAGTCCTTTGGGGAGTGCCATAGCCCGTATTCCCTCTTTCCTTGCAGTCCTGTTGTTGGCAGTGGGAGCTTTCCTCTGAATGCCTATATAACATGCCTATATTGAATGCCTATATTGAAGGAGCAACTGATCTGGCTCAGGACTACAGTGTTGGCAAAGGGTTCAATCCCACTCTCCCACCCACCACCCACATTGTCCTGTTCAAGCCCAGCCCCCAGCCCCCGCTGTTTACCTTAAAAACAAACAATGCTATTGCTAGTTGCTTGCATAAAAATCATTTATAGTTTGGCCCCTACTCCTTCTTTTGCGGGGGGGGAGCTCCTTTTCCCTCTTCTCTTACTGTCCCCTCTTTTCTATCTCATAAAAAAAACCCCAGATCAAAATAAACTCTCTAGAAAATAAATGTTGGTTGTGGACGCTGCATTTTTGAATTTATTATGCATTGTAAATCCAGCTTGGGTTTGGCAGAGTATTTGTATTTGGCAAAATGCAGAGTTCCTAGTTAGCAAAGGCAGTGTGTGTTTTGGTTCAATGAATAAGCATCTCTCCTCTCGAAAAGGACACAGGCCAACTGCTAAAGAGTTTTATCTACAAGACTGAGGGGTACTGAACATTGTACAGGGTTAGTGAATTCAGAATTGTTGTCATGTATCAACAGTTTTGCCTTGGGTTTGTTTCCGAATGCGTAGAGTACAGTTTATTGTAAACTTGCCACACTGTTCACTATCTGGAATCTGCCCCAGCCATTGCTTTCAGGGATATGCGTGGGTCCATCGGTGAAGCCAGTCTGCTGGTCCCACCAATAGGCCCATGCTGGCTTGATGTCACCTTGCTCTGTCCTTCTGCATCCTCATCCAGATAAGCTGCAGCACACAGCTCATGCTCAGTATAGCTGACTAAACAAAACCTTATGCCTTAGCATTACTGCAAACACAAATAGCACCATTTCCTAATCCTTCTCTCTTGTGCCAGCACCTTTGTGGTTTCCTTTTTCTTTGCCATCCTCCCTTGTTTGGCTCTTACTTAGGTTAATGGCGCTGAAACTCCAGCACAGGCACAAATCCAGAATTCTTTCTTCCACCTGAAATTTCATGATATCTCCTATGCTGCTAGAAGGTTAATGCCACATCACTACACTGATGTTCCTGGCCACCAGAAAAAATTGGGAGTGTTCCAACACTCACAGTAAAACCCTCTTGGCCAAGTTGTCCTTGACTCTGCTGCTTCAAAGATAAATTATTCCCAATCTTCATAATTATCTTGCTTGTAAATGCCGGCTGTAAACAAGCTGTGTACCAAAATATGTAATACTTGGCCTTCGCCCATCACTTTTCTTGTTGGGTCAACATGGACTATTAGTGTTGAAGTGAGAATTGTTACACTGGAGTCAGTTGTACTTCTTGGCTCTCTGCTCTGTTGGCATTGTTTCATTCATCTTAGCAGCTTCATCCCGCTAACCTTGAATATTTTGCTACAATTCACTGATTCTCTGTCTATATATCTTTGGAGAGTCTCCCCCTCCATTGGCCTGCTTTTTGTTCTTCTAGGTTCTCCCTGAATATGATCTGTCCTGATTGAGAAGCCATTTGTCTCTCTCTGACTCTCTTTCTTTGACTGCCCCTCTCTCAGAACAAACAGAGTGATCTTGGCCATTCTGATTCCATAACGGGCTGTTGGCATTTTTAACCCAGTGACACTTCTATCGTGTCATATTTGCCACTGCTTTAGTATTTCCATACCCTATTAACCAGATGTAGTAGTGCTCTAGTTAAAATTGCTGTTGGATTACCCTTCCATGGAGCTGAGACCACCAAGGCATTGCTGGAGCTCTTCCAGTATTATGAAAGAGCTCCTCTGTGAGAAGGAGTCTGGATCCAATAGGAAACCTTGAAAACTCCAGTTCTAAACAGCAAAGCCTTTGGTGGTGTTATTTATTTATTTATTTATTTATTTGGACTGCAGAACAATAATCTGTATGTATAGATTTCTTTTACAAGCACTGAGACATACTCATGTGTACAGCAAAATATTAGCTCATATATACGTTGGCCAAGTTCTGAGCTCAGAGCTCTTATTTGCTCAGCCAGAGTTGATGCCAGCCTCGCTACAACCTTGGAGAGGAAGCATTTCGTTGAGTTCCTGGTTTGCATTTTAACAGTTTTGTTGTGTGTTTCGGGGATGACGCAGCAGTATCCCTGCCTGGCTTGAAAGTAATATTTATTGGAAACTGAAGGTTAGTTGCGAGTTATTTATTTAACATTTGCTGCCTTACTTTTCCAAACGTCCATCGCAGCTTGCAAAACAAGAAGTGCCAGGAAAGCAAACTAGTGAGTTGTAGGTAAATTTAAATAGTATCTTCTGTAACACTTCTACTTGCCAGCAGCAGGGGCAAAAACATTCTGTTTCCCATGCCTTACTCATATAGGACCTTGAACAGATTTTGGAAGATGGTTTAGTATAGCGAGTAATACAAATGGGGGTCGGAGGGAGGTAACTCTCTGCAGCTCTCAGTTAATAAAATGTTGAAGTGCTGGGACCGGTGACATGTTCGTATCCTGTTCTCTCCGTCATCCTTTGCAGAGTTACACTTCCTATTTAAGCAGCGAGCACAGTGGGATCCTGCTGCTGTGGCGTCAAGCCGCCACACTCCGTGGCAACTTTGCAGAGCTCCGCACAACCATGGAGAGGTGGGTTCTCCCTCAATGTAGCAGCACTGCTACAAGAGGGACCCTGAGGGCTCTCTAGAAAATGCCTGAAAGATTTGCCTGTGCTGTTGATGCCCTCGTAGGGGGACCTTGTTGTTTAAAAATATTGGGTGTCATCAGGTCCAAAAACACCAATGTGAAGCATTTAGGGAGGGACAAAATATATCCCAGTTGCTGGAAACCAAAGCAGAGTATTGCGTGGACAGGCGGAGTCCCCCCAACCCCAGGCGCCCCCCGAGTGGAATAATGACTCAAGACAACGTGCCATGGGATTAAAATTGGCCACAACTTTATTAAATTTCAGGCTCAAGCATTGGGCGTTTATCCTTCCCAGTCCCCAGCCGGGGATCTGGGAGACTTCAGGGTTATCCAGAATGTGTGGGGCGTGGACTGGCTTTGGAGAACATATGTTCAAGCAGAGAGCCCGTCCCCCATTTCGCTGCAATTGGAGGGGAGAGCAATGACAACCTCTCGGCGTATGGCCAATGCCTCCCCTCAAGAACCCTTTAACAGGGAACCCTGGTATCACTGCCGCAAGGGGGGCGTGGGTCACCACTTCACGCCCCCCCTCCATTTAGGAAGATAGACTAAAGGATTCCGCCCAAGGCCTGAAACTGCCAAAGTTGTGACATTTTGCTACGGGAAAGGCAAAACCTGCCAATGCAGGGAAATTCCTTTCCGGCCCTTCAACAGCGACCCTGACGTAGTAGTGCCTGCATACCTGTGGAGAAGAGGTTAACCTGCAAAGGAGACTTAACTGAAGGAGGGGAGGGTGGGAGAAGCTCTGGAGCCGACTGCCACTTCGCAGGTAAGATTCACCTTCTGTTGTGTGGGCAGGACCGTCCCTCCCCTTACCTAGCCAATCCCCTGGCAATGCCTCCCCAGGAGGGATTGGGCGATTGGCTGAGGTAGGCGGAGACCTCCAGGTATCCAGCCTGGGGAGGATGAAGTCAGCCTGAACTACCAGGAGTTGCACTGGGATCTGGGGGGCTGCGCACGACCACACAAAAGGTGCCCCCATTTGATGTGGGAGCGGTCATTGTGCCTGGGTTCTGCTTGTGGGTTTCCTGCAGGCACCTGATTGGCTACAGCAAGAACAGGATGCTGGACTAGATGGAGCATTGACCTGATCCAACAGGTTCACTTGCGTTATTATATCTGAAAACCATGACCCTATGGCCTAACCCTAAATAGAACCCATCCCAGCCTTCAACTGGAACTTCTGGCTCTCAGCTGGCCTTGCCAGAGACAAAATGTGTGAATGCTGAATGAGAAAAGATTTTTACTCCCTCATTACCAGAGGTCTCACTGAGGCAGGGACTGACATGGCAAGAGCGGCCCGCCGCCTCCAGACCGCCTGCCTCAACTTGGATTCCAACCTGCGCCTCTCGGAAAGCAGCTCCACCTGTTTGCTGGAGAAGCAGCTTCGGGAGAAAGTCCGGGAGATGATCCAGCTGCAGAGCCAGTGGGATGGAGAGAAAGCTGAACTGAACTCCAGGTTAGAAGAGCATTCGCAGGTGCCTCTGGTCTTCGGGGCACACGCTTTTAAAGTGGGGTAAAAGTTTGCCCATTGCTATATCCAGCGTGGGTGGCGCTGTGGTGTAAACCACTGAGCCTTGGGCTTGCCAATCGGAAGGTCAGCGGTTCGAATCCCCACGACTCGGTGAACTCTCATTGTTCGGTCCCAGCTCCTGCCAACCTAGCAGTTTGAAAGCACGTCAAAGTGCAAGTAGATAAATAGGTACCGCTCCGGTGGGAAGGTAAATGGTGTTTCCGTGCGCTGCTCTGGTTTCGCTAGAAGCGGCTTAGTCATGCTGGCCACGTGACCCAGAAGCTGTACACCGGCTCCCTCGGCCAGTAAAGCGAGATGAGTGCCGCAACCCCAGAGTCGTTCGCGACTGGACTTAACTGTCAGGAGTCCTTTACCTTTATATCCAGCAGAATCAACCCACTGATTGCAATGGGCTTGTTAGTCAAGTTAAGTCAATGGATTTCATTGGGTCCACCCTGAGTATGACCTGACACAGCCCATTTCTCTGGGTCTGTGAATCATGGCACAATAATGTGTTGTTGTTATTGCTGTTGTCATTGCATTTATATTCCACCTTTCCTCCCAAAACTTCAAGGTGGCGTACACACTTTTCTCCCTCTCCATTTTATCCTGACAACAACCACCCTGTGAAGTAGGATAGACTGAGAGACGATGACTAGCCCAAGGCCGTCCAGTGCTCTTCATGGCTGAGTGGGGATTTGCACTTCCTTCACATGGCACATAGTTAAACTATGGAACTTGTGATGGCCACCAACTTTAAAAGAGGAATGGACAAATTCATGGAGGACAAGGCTATTAACAGCTACTAAATCACGATGGCTATGTTCTACCTCCACTGTCAGTTGCTGGGAATCACAGGTGGGCAGAGTGCTATTGCATTCCTGTCCTACTTACGGGCTTCGCATGGGCAACTGGTTGGCCACTGTGAGAACAGGATGCTGGACTAGATGTGCCATTGGTCTGATCCAGCAGGGCTCCTCTTATATTCTTAGTCCCTCAGGTCCTAATCCAACACTCTAACCACTACACCACACTGGCTCTCTTAGAATGGAAGGCAATTTTAATGGAGGGGGCACTCTCTGTGATGTCTATGCATACCCAGTTTTTGCTTCCGGTAACCCAGAGGTGGCATTGGGACAAAACAAAGAAACATATTTGCATGTCACAATCTCAACTGTGATCAGTGACTAGGGCACTGAAACAAAAGGAAGAGCTGGCAGCCAGGTCAGGAGAGCCATTGATGCAAGCTGGCATGATGGTGCCCAAGTTGAATAGCAAGGAGTACCTTGAGCCAGCATCCCCTGCAAGGTGGGTTCCTTGGAGATAGCAGCCCCCGAGCTGGAGTCTTGAAGGACTAGCACTCTCAGGAACAAAGGCTTCACACTTCCCAGTGCTCAGTTGCCAGTGCAACCAACACCACTGGCAAGAAGTAACAGAGAGGCAATGGAGTGCTTGGTTCTAGCCCAGATGACTACTCTTTGAGGCTCTCTGCTCCTTGGGGAGTGGGGCAGAGCCTGTAAGGAGTAGCCTGGTCCAGAGAGGATGTAAAGGCAAACTGGGACCTAGGAACTATTAGAAAAAGTTGTCTGCTCTCTGGGATATCTGGGGGGTACTATAGGACTGTAAATCTGACAGCTCTTGTTCTCCATTGGTTCTTGCTCTTGAATTGGGTCCACACCATCTGGATTCTTATTGACTGTTCTCTCTATCAACCCAAGACCTCTTGCTGAATCTGCTTTCTCCCAGTCCTTGTGTGGACTTGTCCTGGACAGTACATAGTGGGAAGGGAAGCCTTTCTGAAGCTACTTTCAGCTCTTAAAAATTGTTGTCAGGCCTCTGACCCTGTATTCTTTTAATGTGATGTGTGAATTTGTGGCTTAATGATCCCAAGAGTATGAAGAATTGAGTCTTTTAAGGTCATATGTTTTCACTCCTGATCAATCCGCCACCTATGCCTGGTTTGTGTCTTACAGGATTGCAGAGTTGACCACGTTAGGAGATAAACTTAAAGAACAGAACACAAAGAAAGAGAAGACCATCTCTGCCCTAAAAATGGACATTCAGAAATTGGTATACGTACCCACAAACCCCCCTTTCTGTCACTCTCTCAGTCAAACACACATAGCCTTACCGACATATACATCCTCACAAAAATGCACAGCCTAATACATACACACTGGCTTGCACTGCCACACACACCTGCCTTCTCATACTTTCTGTGCCCTTTCCCCATGTCCATTTCTGAGAAACTGCTTATCTTTGAACACTAGGAGGCCAGTAAGACTGGAGATCTAGAAGAGGTGAAGGACCTGAAAGAAGAAATCGAATATTTGCAACATAGCTTGAACAGCATCACAAAGGTGTGCGAAACTTTGACCTACCCTGTAATCCAGTTAAATTGCTATATATATATTCACAAGACGACTCTGACTCACTCTGTGTAATTTGATGGTAGACATCTAACTTGAGTAGAAATTGATGCTCGATTCACTAGGAAGTTCTTACACAAGCCCAGCTGAAATTAAAGGGTGCTATAGTGAGAGAGAAACCTATAGAACACCATCTGCTTTCTCTCTCACCACCACTATTTGTTGGTGGTACTCACCATCCTCCATTGGGCTTCTGGACATGCATCAGTGGTAGGCAGTCTGCAGCCATTTTGAACTTGAGCTAAGTTTGTTTTCCATCATTGGTGGCTGCCAGCAGTGTTAACTTACCCCAAATGTAAAGTCTCTATGCATAGACACAAACTTCTAGCCCGATCCAGACCCACTAAATCTCATAGACCTGTGATGGAATCTGCCAGGCCTCTTTAGCAGTCTCTTCTTACAACCATAGTCTCACAGAGTTAGGGTGGGGGATGTGGGGAACCCACTTAGTTCAACCCCAGTCTCATTACGGTATAATAACTTGTGATGGATTTGACTGGCATTCACTTCTTCTCAACCCTCCTCCTAGCTGGCTTTGTCTGAATCCAAGAGCACAGGACTCGGTTCCTTGGAAAGTACAAGAACCTCGTCAGAGGAAGACACCCTATGGCAGACCTCCCCTCTGCGCTCCAGCTCTCCCCACCGCCGGCGGGTATCACCATCTCGGGTACACCCTTCATCACTTCAGAATGCAGCACTGCAAGCAGTTCGTGTTGCTATCCAGAAATCACAGCAGCATGAGCAGGTTTGGATATCCTGAGTTGACGGTTATAAATCTGAGAGAGAGAGAGAGTACAGTGATACAGTCATCTAATGCTTCTGACTTACAGTTATTTCAAAATATGTATAAAATTCTAAATTTCACAGAGTATTGAAACCAGGAGGTGCTGCAACAATGGCCTCCCAGCTGCAGCGTCACTGCTGCTGCTTACTGGGAGGGGCGAGACAGGGAGGTTGGTGCTGTGCAGGTGCACCAAATACGGCACTTTTGCTTCTTCACCCACACTGCCCTGACCTGGCTGGATTTCACCAAGAGAAATTGGCAACTCCTTCCACCATCCCCTGGAGCTCTTAGTGCACCTGCTGCCACAGGAACTCCCCCCCTCAATCCTGGCCTTTGTCAGTGTAACAGCTGCAACACCCTTTTGCACTGGCTCTTAGTGTCCATATCCCTTGTGCATGCAGGCAGCATGGCCAAATGATGGAGCTTGGGAAGCCAGCTTTCAGATATATGAATGCAATGTCTCTTCTGCACATTTTGGGTTTACCCAAACCACAGATTTCTGTATTTATTTACAAAATCCGGCTTCCCTGGCTATAGAGACTCAGCTCCTCAGCGTCATTGAAGGTGTTGATCACAGCACTTGCCCACCTGTTAAATGGGGTACCCCCCCCTGTGCATATTGTGTTGTATGATGTGGAAGAGGCTTCCTGCTTGCTCCCTCTCTTTTTTTTAAATGAACAGGAGTTGCGTGTGCAGCTGGAGTCTTGCCAGGATGCCCTGGGAACTGTCAAGAAGCAGCTCGCTGACTGCCAGCAGGAAGCGCAGGCAGCAAAACAGCGGCTGCAGGAAGAGAGGCAGGAATGTGAAGAGCTGACCCAGTCACTGGAGGATTGCAGGAGGGAACTGCAACGCTGGAAAGCCTCAGTGGAGGTGCTCGGAAGGTGAAAGAGGGAGCCTTCAGATCTGTTAATGCTTTTGAGTGACATGGCTCTGACTCAGTCCTTCAGGTGGTTAAGTAGATTGTGACCTTCAGATAAGCGTCTCAGAAAGGAAGCCATCGCCCTCTGTAGTGACGCGTCAGTGACTGGAAACTCCCTATGCCACGCATCCCTTCACATCTGAGGACGGTCCACAGCTCAGAGATAAGAGCATTTAGCTCTTGGCATCTCCAGGCTTGGCTGGGAAAGACTCCTAAAGAGCCACTGCCAGTCAGTGTAGACCAGCCTCTGCCAACCTGGTCCCCTCCAGATGTTTTGAATAGCAACTCCCATCAGCACCAGCCAGCACATCTGGAGGTGCCACAATGGCGAAAGCTGGTGTGTGTAGATTATACTGAACTAAATAGGCCAGCTATGTGACTCAATATAAGGCAGCCTCCTGTGCTTACCTAAGGGCAGCACATTCATGATACAGTTTGACTTGGGTTGGTGGGTGGATGAGGAATATTGAACAACTCACTTTTCCATAGTAACATAAAGGGGTCTCTTGTTTTGATGATGTGATTTCACACCTCTGCACCCATTTCTGTTGTGGTCGTCAGCCAAAGAGATGTAAAGTGATTCTTAAAGTGATGATGAAACAATGTCTTTGGGAATAACATGCATCAGCATTCGTTGCTGCCAAAGGTTATCAAATGCCTCTCCCCACTAGCCCCAACAGTATTACAGCAGTGTTATTTATCTTGGACGCATATAAAAGGGTATCTGTGAAATTAATTTGTCGTAGGAAGGTCATTGGGTAGCATAGAATGGCACCTGCTCTATTGTTCCTTGTTGGGGATTTAAAAGAAGAACTTTTGCTGCATTTTGACAGGTTCCCCCTCCTTGCCCCTGTTTAAATTATTTGAAGGATTCACTAAATCAGCCTTCCCCTACCTGGTGCCCTCCAGATATTATTGGACTACAACTGGTTGGGGAAAGCTGCACTAAGTTGTATGAGAAGTGTACAAATACAATGGATGGATAGATGGAAAGGCAGGCAGGCAGGTAGGTTGATAGAGGCATTTTTGCTGCAGATACATTTCATGTTACAGCATATTTGAGTCTGGATTGCAGCATTCAGTACCCTGGCTTTTGGCAGAGGGTCTGAATAGATGGCTTTTAGTTGCTTTGCACTATGTTTCTATGATTTTGTTCCCTGCCTCTGGAAAACTTTTTTTCTGTTCAAGGCCTTTGGTGGGGCAGGATTAATTGCCTTCCTCCTGCCTGCCCCTTCTCTGCAAGAAAGTAAGCCCACCTACTTGCAAAAGAGAAGTGGCGGTTGGTCACTAAAAGCAGGTGGAGGAAGCAGAGCATGTATTTCTACCCCAAGACAAACGGGGGCCTGTTTTCAGGGTGCATTATCTTGACCCCCAGGTTGCTCATATTTTGTCTGTTTTTTCGCTCCCCAGAAAGAAGGAGGCCACAGAAATGGCAGTGGAAAGCCTGAATCAGCAGCTTGATTCCTCCCATCTGGAGGTGGAGCGGCTGAAGACTATGAATGGAGAGCTGCAGAGACAGCGAAAACTCCTGGAAGAACAGAAGGAGGATGTCATTAAGGAAAGGGAGAGAACGAAGAAGGAGCTGGAGCGGGGGTGAGGTGCTGCAGTTGTGTCCCTAGTGCTTTGATGCACAAGGCAATCCTGCTCTCTGTGCTGGTCTTCAAAGACTTTTCCAGATTCTCACACTTGGGCAGATAGATATCCTTTGCTAATAATGTTGGCCGTAGTTTGTGTGAATTATCAGCGCTGCAAGCCATGATAGCTGTATTCTGCCTCAGAAGCAGTGAGCCTCTGCGTGTCAGTTGTTGGGGAACAAGAAGGATGTGGTCATGAAAGATAGCTGTAATAATGGAAATCAAAAATTGAACGCCAACGACATTAATTGGCATCCCAAAGTGTATCGGCACAATGAGTTAAGCGTAATCTGGCTTGGCTGGTGCAAGGCATAGTTAGACCTTTTCTTCTTCCTCAGGCAAAGATCCCTGGAGCAGCTTGAGGAAAGGATGTCTGCCCTGAAGAAAGAGCTGGTGACAGTCAAGGAGACTTTGAACCAAGCCATGCTGGAGAAGGATATGCTAGAGAGTGCGAAGGAAGGCTTGAGCGGAGCACTTTCCAAAGTAAGGGTGGCCAGTAGGCACATTCCATATGCCAAATAACTCTCCTCCTGCCAGATGGGTGGGGTACAAATAATAAATTATTATTATTATTATTATTATTATTATTATTATTGCCCTAACTGAGGATATTGTCCTCCCCTTTATGTTTCTAACTATTGCTGACATGGCCCCCAATCCCCCAACCCCCCAGCATCTATTTGCTTTTCTTGGAAAACAAAATCTTGAGTTTTCTATATGTGAAGTAATTACGTATAGCATTGTAAAAGCTATAAAAGGATTTTATCACACATAGTCTTGTGTAGTCAGATAGGAAAGGAAGCCAATTAAAGAAAAGAGGCGACAGCCTTAAGAACAAAGTATGGGATTGTCCAAAGTCAAGGATAGGAACAGGCAGCGGCTAAGTCCAGAGGTTGTGCAAAAGCAGGACTTGACTGGCAGCAAGTACAGAGACTTGGGAGGCAAAGGTACAAAGCACAAGTTGTAAAACATTTACTGTTTGTGTATATTTCTTGTTTAGCCACCTTGAACTTTTCAGGAAATGTGTTTTTAATCATCGTTAATTCAGTTTATTAGCCACCCATAATAAGAGTTACCTGGGCAACATGCAAAGTAGTAATAACAGCAGCTTAGTGCAACTGGTAGCCTGTCGCTGTCCACTTCTAGTACCAGGGAGTCTGGAGGGAGAGGCTAGTATTGTTCCACCAGGCTAAGGCCATAGATCTGTAATGGTTGGGTTCCAGGGTTTTATGGAAAAGCCCTTGCCAAAAGTCTCAGGAGCTTGGTTTATTGCAAAGCCATGCCAGGCAGAAAGGCACAGTGCCCTTTTACTCTGGAAAATGTCACCGAATATTTGCTTTCCACGTGGGCTTCTATTAGTGCCTGGTATGGAGGAAGGGGAAAGAGAATGAATGTAAAATCATAGCTGTTGTATCTTGATAGCCAGTGCTGACATTTGACTGTGAATCCCAGAGACTTAGCCAGGAGGGCAGCATTACTGAGTCTGAGACAGTCCAGTGCTCTAGAAGAACCAGATTTCATTCCTGACAGCTTCGGTCCCTTATGTTTTAAGGGGAAAGCAGAACTGTGGGTGAGGTGCCATTGCATGCCATCACATCATCAGGACTTGATATTTGAAAACAGTAAACTGTGTGCTAAGTTTAATCTCTTTTCTTGGAAATAATGTGCCTGCCAAGGCCATGGTCCAATAAAGTGTTAGGGCAGGCCCTGAATGAGTAACTATTTTGGTAAAACACTCTTGTGAACACTGCCCTAGCAGCTCAGATTGGCTCTGCTGAAGTGAGTAGCAGATCTCTTTGCCACCCACACTTTGGCTAGAATGAACTTTCAGGGGGAAAACTATATTTTCCTAACATAATATTGCCTGGTTATGTAATGGACTTGATCTTAAAGAGAAAAATAGTGTTAACTTTTGTATGCACAAATGCTAAGGATTCCCTCTTCCCTTTTTTAGTTTCAGGGTGTTTTCTGTTGTTTTTTTAAAGGCACTAATTGGTATTAAATTGAATGTGGAATGGACAAATAGATCCTTTTAAAAAAGTTTGGCACAGGCCATATGCAGATACAGATACAGATATATTTAACAAAGAAAAAACCTCAAGGATAGATTTTTAAACAAACACAGTAATAATAAAAAAATGTTCAAACATGGCAAAAGAGAGGAGGTCCTCAGACCACTACATAATGGATAGTGGGTATTTATTCTTTCAGGCTTGAAGTATAAGTCTCTTGGCCATAAAGGCTTAAAACATTCACTTTTGTCTTCCTGCTATTAATCCCCAAGCTGTAGTAATATAGTTTAAAAGTACCTGAACATATGCAAATATCAAATATTTTGCCCATGCAAAATTTACATGGACAGCAACTTCAGACCAAAAATAATATATCTCACTGGACATGCCCACATCATATGCCTCAACAAGGCCCTTTTAGCATTACGCTTCCAGCATCTATCTGGATTGGACCGTGTCTTCCTGTACAACTGTTGTGGAGACTAGTATTCATGAAACAACTTTTTTTTTTTTTGGCAGGCTCAGGCTCAATTTCAAATCTAGAGAAACTTTCAGGACAGATTCTAAAGCAGTTTTCCATTGTTTGGGTTTTATATCACATTCTAATTACAGTGGTACCTCACAAGACGAAAAACACGCAAGACGAAAGAGTTTTCCGTTTTTTGAGTCGTTCCGCAAGACGAATTTCCCTATGGGCTTGCTTCGCAAGACGAAACGTCTTGCGAGTTCTTGCGAGTTTGTTTCCTTTTTCTTAAAGCCGCTAAGCCGTTAATAGCTGCTAAGCCGTTAATAGCCGCTAAGCCGCTAATAGCCGCTAAGCCACCAATAGCCGTGCTTCGCAAGATGAAAAAACCGCAAGTCGAAGAGACTCGCGGAACGGATTAATTTCGTCTTGCGAGGCACCACTGTACCTATTCCACAACTCTCCCAAGTTCCTAAAATCTACTTTATAAAGGTCCAATAAGCATTTATAAGCAGCATTCGTGGATTCAGCTTTCTGAGAAGATCCAATAATTTGATCCAACCATTTAGGAGATTCTGAAGCACCCAAGCCACACAGTCCACAAATAGACACCAACAGATGCAATTGAAGATGCTGCCATTCAGCACTCAGTAAATGATATTTAAACAGCAATATAAAAAACGACAACCAAAATGCCGTCCAGCTGATTTAATGTATAAATTCCACAACCGACCCATTTCTTGCACGGAAAAGGCTGCCTATCTATCGTCAAATCTGGATCACCCCATAAAGTTAATTAGGCATGAGTTTATGGATCTCTGTTCCCTAAAGCACAGCTTGTCATCTGAGGTGCCATTGCTATGCCTTGAAGGGGAAGCAGCCTGGAGTTGGAGGTGAAATTCAGTATCTCAATTTCCTCCTCAGGTTAAAGCCACCAATGCTAACCTTGAGCTCTCCATACACAAGATGAAATCGGAAGATGCTGTGCTGAGAGACTCGTTAGCCAAGATGGGTGCTCTGAACGAAGGGCTGGCTCATGACAAAGTCAGCCTCAACCGCATAATTCTACAGGTAACAAAGGCAGCCAGGCTGTAGCAGAGGATGTAACTGACTGTAGCCGCTGATTATGTGAGCATGTAGGCACAGATGGCCTTACCATTGGGCAAGTGGAGTCAACTACCTCTGGCAGAGGATTTAATTGTGGTGGAGGGTGATATAACAGATTGTACCCCTGGTATAACAGTCACCTTAAGGGCTACAAACAGCATGCTGCAAATGATTTAGCAGAGCCCAAGATTTAAAATTATCACTTCTGGTTGTGTTTGGAAGATGGTAGGAAACTGCTGTGAACCTTCGAGCAGTGCTGTCTCTGTCTTATGACAGAATGAGAGTTAAACTAAAGGAGAATATAATTGAATCTCTCATTAGTGTAAAATGTAAAAAACAGCTGTCTACAAGGGGTGAGGAGGAGTATGGATCATGAATTGGGACTTTGTTGCTGGGAGAGGGTCTGTTACCCTCTCACCCCCATTCACAATGCCAACAGACCTGTGAAAACTTCCTGAAGCTATTGTTTATCCTGTTAGTATAGCATTTTTGTATGATACTGTACATTTTCCCTAATAGGGCAAACAGCAACTGGGGAAGGGGGTGATCATCAGGAAAACCGTGTATATGTTGGAGAGAGCTAATTCTCTCCTCCCTTAGTACCAGGGTCCCAGTCCAACACACACACACCACCATCGCTTTCTACAAAAGTGTAAAAATATGGAAGATCCAATAATGGACTTCTGTTGTCTCATCTTCTTTGGCCCTGTCAGATGCAAATTCGAAAACAAAATACAACTGCCCTGAGTCCTAGTCTAAGCTTTTTTTTTATCCTAAAACTGTGGTAGCCATATCCTGGAAGAACATGCCCTGAATCCCGGTTTGCCTGTCAGTCCCTGAGTGTCCCTTGCTCAGAGCAAACAAAGCTCTCCTCAGTGGTTTCGCTGGCTGCCAAAATGCACACTTTCCTGTCAGCCTCTTTAAACCCATGGTGTGCCAGAAAGCTTTCAGCCTCATGAGCACCATCATCCCTGCAGGGCTTGTAACCGCCAAGAGCTTGTAACTTGCAGTGAGGCCTGAAATGGGGGGGGGGGGTGACTCAGGAGTGCTCACACACTCCACAGCTTATGCCAACAGCATTTATAACTTCCGGAAGACTTCAAGCATGCTATTGCTGCCTAATGGGAGCTTGTAAGCTGCCTACAACAAGCACATGGGAAAATTCACCCAAGCGCTGCTATTGTAGCCTTCAAGACTGTGCCCCTGTTGAAGCGCCTGCTCAGTTTGGGGAGAAAGTAAAGCAAAACCTTTCCTGTCACCATTGATTTGTGCAAGTGGGGAGAAGGGGCGGGTAAGGAAGGGAAGCAAAAGAAAACCTAAGGAAAATCCGGAGTCCAGAATTACCCCCAAAGTTTCTGCACGGTTGAAACTGTGAATCAGAAACTGAGCTGGTTTAAGTGGATCTACTTTACTAGAAGGTCCTTTTGATTACAGTGCTTAAATATGTCCCCTGGAGTACAGTATTTGAGCGAAACCAGGCCCAAACAGAGGGAGCAGAATGAGAACTGATGGTAGGAGGTTTGGTTCAATCTAGATCAGTGGCGTAGCGTGGGGGGTGCAGGGGGTGCCGGCCGCACCGGGCGCAACATCGGGGGGGGCGCGCGCTCGCACTCGCAGCTCTCTGCCCCTACCTGGCTCACTCTCTCTCTCTCACTGCAGTGCTGGCTGTGCGAATCCGATCCGAGCAACTGGGTGGCCACCCACTGTGGAGGGGGTGGGTGCCAGGCGTGCAGTGTGGAGAGAGAGCGAGGGACTATCTGGGGGAGGGACAGTGCAGCGGCCGCCCAGCGCAGCGCTGAGCGCGGGAGAGAACCACACCAGACCAGACCAGGCAGCAGCAAGAAGAATCTGGCAGCGGCGGCAGGTTAGGGGTTAGGGGGCGCAAATTACTTGCCTTGCCCCGGATTAGGGGGCGCAAATTACTTGCCTTGCACCGGGTGCTGACAACCCACGCTACGCCGCTGATCTAGATGTGCTTTTAATGGGCTGAATGCAATTAATGTGCATATTTTTAAAATTGTGAATAGCAACCGAAGACACACACACACGCACACACACATACTGCAGAGAATGGGGAGGCATCCTTCCTTCTTCAAACAGCAGCTTGGGAAGCCAATTTTCATTTAGACTACAAGTGGAGAAGGATAAACCCTTCCCGTATCTTGTGGTCTCACTGCTGATTGCCCCTCTTCCCCTGCCCCGCAACTGTCGTTTAGGTTTTCTAAAATGTGTTAATTGCACTCACACAATTTATGTCACATTTAGGCCTCGTTTGCATGTCACCTCAAACAATAATTAAACTAAATTTATGGTTTAAAGGTGAATGCTGGTGCACACTGCTGAAACTGCAGGCATTTTGCTCCACTCCACTCCTTCTGTTGTTGGCACACTGCTAGGAGTATATCTGAACTCATGAGTTCTTTCCCCTAAACAAACTACAAGTAGGGGTGTTGGAAAATTCTGATGAAAACTGAAAAAGAAGCAGAAATTGATGCAGTCCACACATTTGTTTGTGGTCAGGATGGAATTCTGTCAAGTGAGTCTGATCAGTATTGGTTCGCGTTGTGTTGCTTTTCTAACTCTGCAAATGGTATGCAATGAATGACTTTTTTTAAAAAAGCATTGTTTTGACATTTCCTTTACATTGAAATGAATGTAAGTTCCATAAATACTTATGTAAACTTATATAACTTATGTTAAATACTGGTCAGCGAAACAAATAATTGCACTGAAAAAGAAATGGCGCTGATTCCGACAAGCACAAGTTGGAATGGCAACCACTGCTTTCTTATAGCTCTACCCATGAGCTGTAAGCCAAGAGCAAACGTCGTTTACAATTCATGCTTTGTTTGGAGAGAAATAAGCCACAAGCCTGGGTTTGGATATAACACTAAGCCAGACCGTGGGTTAGCTCCTGTCAACGCGGCAGGAGAAGGAGGAGAGAAGAGTCATGATATCAGTGGTGTGTACGACTACACTGTGTGTTCTCCTTTAAATCAATGTTTAGTTTGAAGAGATGTGCAAAAATGGTAAAGGTAAAGGACCCCTGACTGTTAAGTTCAGTCATAGATGACTCTGGGGTTGCGGTGCTCATCTCGCTTTAGAGGCTGCGTTTGTCCACAGTTTTTCCAGGTCATGTGGCCAGCATGACTAAGCTGCTTCTGGCGCAACGGAACACCAAAACCAGAGCAGCGCACGGAAACACCATTTACCTTCCCGCCAGAGCGATACCTATTTATCTACTTGCACTTTTTGGCGTGCTTTCAAACTGCTAGGTTGGCAGGAGCTGGGACCGAGCAACAGGAGCTCACCCTGTTGCAGGGATTTGAACTGCCAACCTTCGGATCAGCAAGCCCAAGAGGCTCAGTGGTTTAGACCACAGCACCACCCATGTCCCAGAGATGTGCAAGCTAGACCATAATTTGGTCCTTAGAATCTCTGTGTTGGAGGGGAGAAATGGCAAAAAAAGTAGCTATTGCTCTGTTTTTACACTTGAAACGTAATCAGATTTTTCCCAAGTTGGTTTTTACCACAAATGCAAAAGCAAAATAACACACCCCCAATTGACCAGAATATACATTTGAATAACAGAAGGCGCCCCTCCCATTTTCTCTTCTGTGCTAATGATTGCACATTCAAATTCAACAATAAATCCAGGGGTCGTGTGTGAAAGTGCCATAAGGATGTATCCTCTTTCCCTTTCCGCCAAGGCTAGCCCACCTTTTGTTTTCCTGCTGGATCATCTCCCCACCCCCGCCCCTTCTAGAGCCTGCAAACCCCCGTCTTTCCTCTTGTTGTGCAGCTTGAAGAGGAGAAGAGCAGGCTTTCGAATAGGAAGCGGGAGCTGGAACAAGAGCAAGCCGGTTGGCGTGAGCAGCTGGCGCACTTGGAGCAAGAACTGATGCGCACGAGGGCAGAGAAGCAGGGGCTGGAGCAGAGCTGCAAGGCCTCAGAAGAGAAGCAGGAGAGACTGGAAGGGGAAGTGGCCTCGCTCCACAGGGAGAGAATGCAGTTTCAGGACCAAATAATGCAGGTATGAAACAGAGGGCAGAACACAGTACCTTTTCATTGTCTCAGGATACAGTAAGGATGTGACTAAGAGAGGACTTGGGATCATTTTTGTCTTCCTGCTTGAGTACTCTGCTGGGGAGGTGACAAATGGGGCATGATAGATCACTAAGTCTTTCCTGTTGCAGCCAAACATGAGATTTGGAGTAATTTATGTGAATTACAAAAACTTGGCCCTTCGGTTGCTTTCCTGGTTGCAAAAGTTGTGGGAAGCGGGAGTGCATCACTTGGCATTCCCCACCCCGCAACCCCAATGATTGCTAACATATTGGTTTGGCAGGTTTGATCTGCTGGAAATGCGGAGGTTTGATGTGTTGAAAGCATTATACAGTATTGCATTTCAGTTGCCAATTTAGCTCTGATCACAGTAGAGATATAACTTGTGCTCGAGCATTATTGTGCTTGGATCTGTTACTCCGATATAAAAAGACTTTTATAAATAAATATAAGAATATAATATGCGAAAGGTTCCAGTGAGAAACGCCACTTGTTGATTCAGATGGTTGCTCATAATAACTAGGCTGGCCCTGACACAAGAGCGCATCTTGGCCATACACTCGGCAAAGCTTCTGCAATACATTTGATCCAAACAAACCATTTTGGGATCCCTGTCCAGCAGAACCACTGAGTTCAGAGGCTGTCCTAAGCACACGCAGCCCAAGGAGGACAGACGGCTGGTAGTTTAATTCTTTATTGACAAAGCACACACTTACGGTAGCTCCTAAGGTGCACAGAGAACACACACACGCTTCTGCTGACTTCAGTAGCTGGCATCCCCTCCCCAGGCTGGTGTTCTGAGCTGGACTGGTCGAGCAACAGCATAACCACACCTCCACCTGACCTTAAGGACCAGCATCTGATGGGCTGAGCACAAGCAACCTGCGACTTCTCATACACTCCTGCCCTTGCTCCAGCCCCAGTTCCTGACCTGTGTCCTTCACACCCTCCCCTCTCTCTGTGGTGGAGGGTGGGGTGATTGAAATAAAATAAAAAATCAATCCTCCTGTCAGACACCTGAAAGGAGGGGCCAATTCCGGAGCACAACACAAAAGCTCCGCCCACCAGATGCCAGGCATTCTACTATTCAAATACGGCCCCTGTGTTTTTTAAACACAGTGTCCTTCTGCTCAAACTCTTCCCTCCCTCCAGCCCTGAGTGCTGCCTCACAGGAGGCACCAAACCCCATAAATTGCTGTCCCCTTCCCCTGGGGCAGCCTCTGACCCTGTGGCATCTGCCACGCACTCCTCAGCACCCTGCCAGTCCCTGACAGAGGCACAGCTCTGCCAAACTATTGCCCTTAAGAGGAGTGGTTTATATCAGGGATGGAAAGCTGGTGGTTCTCCATACATTGTTGGATGACAACTCCTCAGCCATCGTCTTTGACCACTGAGCGGAAGGACTGTAGCTCAATGGTCCAGCTACTATGTTGCATGCAGAAGGCCTCAGGTTCAGGCCCCAGCATCTCCAGGTCAGTATGGGAGAGAGAACACTCTCTGAAATCCTGAAAAGCTTCTGCCAGGCAGTGTAGGCAGTCCTGAGCCTGATGGATCAGTGTTCTGACTCAGTAGAAGGAGGTTTCCTATGTTCCATGCTGCCCAGGGCTGATGGTAGTTGAAGTCTAACAACCCTTGGAGGAGCCTCCCCACCACCCCAGTTTACAGGGTTGTGGAGCCAGGATCCTAATTAGGCTTTTAATTTCCTGCTCTTACTCTCTCACACACTTCCCTCTGCTTTTTGCCAGCTGAGCAGCCAGAAGCAAACTCTAGGTGAGCAGCTGGCCCAGAGCCACCGAGAGATGGAGACGCAAGCAGACTCCTTGCTCCGTACGCTACAGGAGAAGGAAGACATGGCTAAGGAAAAGGCACAGGTGGTTGTGGAGCTCACTGCGCTGGAGAGGCACAGGAAGTTGTTAACAGAGGAGGCAGATGCTCTCAGGTAATGCCCACCGGCTATGAAACAACTGGTGGTCTCCTGAAGACTGGCTTGCAAATTAACTTAAGGGAGGGGTGGCATGAGGCAAAGTCATGCAACCTAAACCAGGTAAGCCTTGCTTCACCCCTGTTTTAAAGCATAAGCCTGTGGATATGCTTCACTTGTACACCATACCATAGTTCATAACAGGCTCAGTGTCTTGGTTTCAGCCTTGCTCTTTGTTTCAGTCAAATATATATTTTTCCTTTTCCCTTCTGGCCTGTCCAGGCAGCAGCTGCCTATGCCCCTCTGTTCAGTGCTTCTGCGCTAAATGAGAAGCACAGGAAGCTAACTAAGTGTAAACCTGCAGGCAGGTGCCCTTTTATTTGTTGCACAATTCCTGGTCTCTGGACTTCCTGTGGATGAGCAGGGCTGGCAGAGTACCTGTGGTGGATGGGGATCATTGGTGCCAACAAGCTTTCTGGGGTAGTGGATAAATAGATGCCTGTAGAATCCAGGCATTGACAGCTTAATTGACTGGCCTTGATTATTTCCTGATGTGCTTTAGAGTGGAGAAGGAGTCCCTGGAAACCAGCCTTTTTGAGGCACAAGAACTGGCAGCACAACTGGAAGCTCGCAAGGAACAACTAGAAGGAGAGAACCAAGGCTTCAAGCTTGCCAGAAAGGCTCTTCAAGGTATAGTACACACATTATTCAGTCTGATTCAAAACTCCATGGAATCTTCCCTTTAAATTATTAAGGTGTGCACAAACCATACATTGAAAGCACATGGCTTCCCCCAAAGAATTCTGGGAACTAGTTTGTTAAGAGTGTTGGGAAGCATAGCTCTGTAAAAGGTAAAATACAGCTCCTAGGAGTCTTTGAAGAAGACATGTGCTTTAAACGTATGGTATGTATACAGCCATTGTTAAGTGGTTGGGATACCACTGGAAGTGCCCAATAATTTTTTTTAAAAAACCACCTCACCTGTTATCTGACTATACCTGACTATACAGGTAGCCCTGTTCAGGGAAGTTTTTAATGTGTGACATTTTAATGTATTCTTAATCTTTGTTGGAAACTTCCCAGCATGCCTGGGGAAACCCAGCCAGATGGGTGAGGTACAAATAATAAATTATTATTATTGTTATTATTATTATTATATAACTGGTTATTGGTGACACACATTCAAATTACCATTTAACATAATTTTGCATCAAAATCAGCCAATGAACAGGTTTCCAGACTTACTTGTTTTATCCTATCTTTTTGTGATGGCTGTTTTTTGTGAAACCTGTTCAACTTGGTTAAAGCCACGTATATAAATCCAGATGCGATAAAACATATCAGTGCAAAAATCAATTTATAAAAATGATATTTTATAAAAAGCAATGTGGGTGCAAGAGACTTTTAAAGCCGCTTTCTTAAAAAATGACAGCAATGAAGCTGAAAGAACTGCTTGCTGAATTGTGCCCTCTGTTGAAGAAACAGTTTGTTGTCACAGCCTATACTGAAGAGTTGCCCAAGGATCTGTCCTGGATGGTGTTTGTTTTCTTTCATTAGTGGAATTGGGAAAAGCCCAGCATGAACTTGAGCTTCGGGAAACCACACTGAGGCGAGAAATAGAGATGTTGAAGCTCCAGATAACTGAGGAGCAACAAGGGTTCCAACAGGTCATAAAGAACCAGAAGCTGGGTTTTGAGGAGGACCTCGAGCGCCTCAGAAAAGAGAAGGTCAGTGCTGAAGACTCCTAACCCTTATGCAGCCAAATTCTTCAGTCCAGTGTCAGTGATGGTTGAAATGAGTGAAAGCTGGGTACTAGAAAATTGCCATGTCCACTAACCAAATCCAGTTCTAGTGTTCAATAGTAAGTCACTTTCATTGTCATTAGAGCAATAAGAGGGTTCTGGGTGACTCCAGACTGTTATTAATTTGTGGGAGGGACTTGAGTGCATACTGGATATTTAGGTATGTACATTTCAAGTAGATTAAAGTTCTCTGTCAACCTGTCTGATGATTGCTGTCTGCCCACTCCAGTCTAGTTGTCTAGCAGCTCCCAACATGCCAATGTTAATAATAATAACAATAATAATAATAATAATAATATAATGTAGTGGTGGTGAAGCTAGCAACCATTGGTGCTGAGAGAGACTGTGTAACTGTTCTTTCTTCTCTATACTGTGAGTTGTTGTGGTATCAAGACTACTTGAGATGATAGAAGCTGATTTCCAAGCACATCACAAGTTGTATACATATACTGAATGAGTTGTGAAGAACACTCATGTGGTATAAATTTGAATGCTTCCTTCATAATACCCGTTAATAAGGAGTAGCTCTTTTCCTAGTAATAACAGTGTTGAGCAGTGGTGTAGTATAATGGCTGGTACTTGAATAGGGAAACATGGTCTCAAATCTCTCCTCAGCCATGACAATGTGCTAGTCATTGTATCTCAGCCTAAACTACCTGAAAGGGTTCTTGTAAGAATATAAAGGGAAGAGAAACTGCATGTACACTACCCTGAGGTCCTTGAAGAAATGATGAAATGTGTTAATAATAATACTTAACATTTATAAGGGAGGCGCAGGTGGCGCTGTGGTTTAAAACACTGAGCCTCTTGGACTTGCCAATTGGAAGGTCGGCGGTTTGAATCCGCACAATGGAGTGAGCTCTCGTTGCTCTTTCCCACCTTCTGCCAACCTAGCAGTTTGAAAGCACTCTAGTGCAAGTAGATAAATAGGTACTGCTGTGGCGGGATGGTAAACGGCATTTCTATGAACTCTGGCACTTTTCATGATGTCCCATTGTGCCAGAAGCGGTTTAGTCATGCTGACCACATGACACGGAAAGCTGTCTGTAGACAAACACTGGCTCCCTTGGCCTGAAAGTGAGATGAGCGCTGCACCCTGTTGTTGCCTTTGACTGGACTTAACCATCCAGGGGTCCTTTACCTTTATCTTACATTTATATGCAGCACTCTGTGTACCTGTATATAGGCAGCTGTGATTTCTACATAGGAATGGCCTTTATACCTGTCAAATATACATGTGTATTAAATGATTCAAACTGGATTCTAATTACAGGATGTACCACATTTGGGTGGTTTCCTTTTCACTGGAGTCCTGTTAATCTCTGTCATGGTTTCTTTGAACTGCTTTGAATATGTTTGAGACTGGAAATCTGAGGCAGGCCCTGGAGATAGGGATTTGGTTGCAAGGAACTTGCTTGTGTTCAACACCAATAGGAGCATTGCTAGGTACTTAAAAGACTCAGGGCAAAAGGCTACAGACACAACTCTGCATAACATGTGAATATGCTATTATATATGTACAGATGCGAATGTAGAATTTAAATGTCACAGTAGGAAAGCCAACAAATTTCCAATCAAAATAAGCCCAGATAAATTATTTCATTAATTTGCATCCTAGCCCCAATCACCCCAAATCATTCCTCTGCATTTCTCCCAATTAATCCTGCTCCAAATTAATTCAATTCCCATTCAATTCCCTCTCTTCTCTAGATAATTTATTCCGACAAAATTACATAATATCCTGCTCAATTAACCAAGATCGTTCCTGTTCAATTTCTCCCAAATTCACTATCTACCAGAAACACTCAGTACACTTAGAAAAAAGTTTTCGGGGGGTCTGTGCCCCGTGAGCCCATTCTTGCAACACCCCTGGATACTAGTTTACCTGATAATTTCCTGCTCTGCTGACACCAGGAGGCCCTGCATCTGGCATTGATTGAGCAGAAAGACGAGGCTGTGCATCATCTTCAGCAAGAGAGGGAAGAACTGGCATCCAAGCATGAAGCTGAAAAAAGGGAGTTCATGGAGGAGATCCTCTCTTTGCAGCAGAACCGGGATGAAAGCCTCCTCCTGCTAGAAAATGAAAAACAAAAGGTGAGGCGAGAGTAACATTAGTTAGAAGGAACCTACCTGTTTTCAAGTCATGGTTTGGCTTAGCGTGAGGCAGTAACACTGCTGCCACAGCTGTAACCATTGCGCCCAGCCAGCTTGGATAATGGTTGGAGTTGGGAACAGGAGCCTAAAGGATCACATATGTTTCCCTCTTGAGCCCATGTATTTTATTTCTTCCTATGAGCCATCCTTAGGGACGCGGGTGGCGCTGTGGGTTAAACCACAGAGCCTAGGACTTGCTGATCAGAAGGTCAGCGGTTCGAATCCCTGCGACGGGGTGAGCTCCCGTTGCTCAGTCCCTGCTCCTGCCAACCTAGCAGTTCAAAAGCATGTCAAAGTGCAAGTAGATAAATAGGTACCACTCTGGCAGGAAGGTAAACGGCATTTCCATGCGCTGCTCTGGTTTGCCAGAAGCGGCTTAGTCATGCTGGCCACAAGACCTGGAAGCTGTACGCTGGCTCCCTCAGCCAGTAAAGCAGGATGAACGCCGCAACCCCAGAGTCGGTCACGACTGGACCTCATGGTCAGGGGTCCCTTTACCTTTACCTTTACAGTGGTACCTCGGGTTAAGTACTTAATTCGTTCTGGAGGTCTGTTCTTAACCTGAAACTCTTCTTAACCTGAAGCACCACTTTAGCTATTGGGGCCTCTTGCCACTGCCGCGCCGCCGGAGCATGATTTCTGTTCTCATCCTGATGCAAAGTTCTTAACCTGAGGTACTATTTCTGGATTAGCGGAGTCTGTAACCTGAAGCGTATGTATCCCGAGGTACCACTGTATGAGCCATCCTTAGGACTCATGTTATGGGGTGCCCAACAAATGCTAATAATAAATAATAAAAATGTAATTTCCAGGGCATTATGAATATTGTTTACATATGTGAGGGTTTCCTTTCTACCTCCAGGCTTTGTCCAAGAAGGAAGCAGAGAAGAATATCCTTTTAGAAAAGCTCAGTGAGTCACAACGCGAACTCACAGTTGCCAGGTCAGAGTTTGACCGGGTGAAGCTGGAAGCTCTGAACCGCCAGGAGCAAGACAAGGTGAACTCTGGGCTTTGTGATTTTTTTCCATGGCAGGGAATGCAAATATTGAAATGCCTAGCAAGATAGTGGTGGGGCATTGCCATCTCCTGAAATTCCTAACTCAGCCTATGATCAACTGACAATTAAGAGAAGGAATGAAATAAAATAAAAAACATGTTTACTTCTAGCAGAAATATAAACAGAAAAGGGGAAGTGGAACTTTATGGGGTCATAAGCAACACTTTGTGCTTTAACATGCAGCACTTCAAGGAACCCAGAAATAGATTACCACGTCTCTTTTCCCTCAGCTTCAGCTCTGTTGTTATTAGGGATGTTGGAGAATATTGATGAAAACAGATGCAGGATTAAAATTACTGATGTTTGCTCATTTACCCCATGCCTGGAACAGAAATCAACCCCACAAATATGATCAGTATTCACTGTTGTTGCTTTCAATTTACAAATGATATGTAATTAATTATGTCAAACCTTCCCCACCCCATTCTCATTCTGTTTCCTTTGCATTGGAGTGTGGTAAACTAACATAATTACAATGTAATTTACATCATTGGCATAATTATCTTTTGTAAATTGTGTAAGTTACATTATTTTGCCACAGTGAACAGTGAGACAAGTAACATAGTTTTTGGCAGAAGGCAAACTGTAGTGGAGTGGAAAAAGTGCTACATGTGATGGATTTAGGGTGGAACAGAAGACGAGGCCTTATTACATCCTTAATTATCATATTCCTCCAAGGTCTCAACTCTGAAACACCCGTTAGCTTATGCAAGACATGACACTTAGATTCGCAGACATTGTGTAGAGTGGCATATATTGTCATTACTGTTACCAGTAATTGTTTCCGGGGCACCTGCACCAATCAGAGCCACGCTTTGGTTTTCGAACATTTCAGGATTTGAATGGACTTCTGAAACGGATTAAGTTCGAGAACCAAGGTTCCACTGTATATGGTCCTTCTGTGGTCAGAGAGTCCACCGTTTATTACCATTTATGTATAGCAGGGATGTCCAACACGTTGATCGCGATCTACTGGTCGATCCCTGTGAGGATTTGGTAGATCGTGATCGATCGCCGGCCTCCTTCCGGCCCCAGCCCCTTTCCCTGTGCCGGCCTCTATTGTTGCAGCAGGCAAGCCAGTGTTTAGAAATGGAGGCTGTTATCTGGCCAGCGATCGTAATGTTAGTGGCTGCTTCTGTTCCTCCCTCCCTCAGAAGAGCTGCCAAAAAGTCCCTAACCACCTAAATAACGTGTCATCTCGCCTCCTTAAAAACAACTTTGACCTGAACCCCTAAAAAATGGGGGTAGATCACTGCCAGATTTTATTTTTGAAAGTAGTTCGCAGTCTCCTGGGAGTTGGCCACCCCTGATGTATAGGGTAGGCACCATCAGTGAGGATGTGCAAAGGAATCAATCCAAGTGTGGGGTTACTAGGAATGAAGACTCCCACTATGCATCTCCCAGTAGAGCTGTGAATGTTCTGTGCAGTGCTGAGAAGCCAGGTTGGCCTGTTCTGCTGTGCTGGCCACTACTGGTAGTGTCTACCTTCTTTGTCCGAATCTCATGAGAAGCCTTTTAGGGGAAGTGGATCTCCCTCCATATCAGGCTTGAACAGGACAGCAGGATTGCTCTGTGGGTGTTAATGAGGGGCAGAATAGTTTCTTGGGCACACTGTAGACTAAGGCGGAGGCTAAGCCTTGAGAAGGGCCCACTTCGGCCAGGGAAACAACATGAGCAAAAAGATTTTTTCACCCCCTTCCTAATCCCATTCAGAGGCATCCACAGCTGCCTTTAACATTAGCATTTTTTAATGTGGGAAATCTGATCATAGATATCCCACCATCTCATCTAGTTGTGCCCTCATTTTCCTTCCTTTTTTTTAAAAAAAAGAAATCTACAAGAGGATATAGTTTTGAAGATGTGATGCTATCTACCCCAGTTGTTTCTGAGAAATTTGCAAAATAAAACAGCTGGTGTAGACTACCCCTGTTGTTGAGGGACATAGGAGCTTTGGAGCATCAGATTACGGCTGCATCTAACTCAGTATACTGTCTGTGATGACCAACTCCAGTTCTTCAGGGTTTCAGAGAAGAGCCTTTCCCAGTCCTACCTGGAGATGCTGAGGTTTGAACCTGGAGCGTTCTGCCTGAATGGCATGTGGTCTGTGTCTGAGCTGTCTTTCATGTACTGAAACTCTGTACAGTGGTACCTCGCATTAAGTACTTAATTCGTTCCAGAGGTCCGTTCTTAACCTGAAACTGTTCTTAACCTGAAGCACCACTTTAGCTAATGGGGCCTCCTGCTGCCGCCGCGCCGTCACAGCACGATTTCTGTTCTCATCCTGAAGCAAAGTTCTTAACCCGAGGTACTATTTCTGGGTTAGCGGAGTCTGTAACCTGAAGCGTATGTAACCTGAAGTGTCTGTAACCCGAGGTACCATTGCACTTGAGTTTCTCTGGAAGGAGGGGGGTGACCACGGGAGTTGCTGTATAGAGCACAAGGACACTGCTTGCCCACAATTTGCTTGACTCTGGCTTGTGCTGTCTCTCTCTACAATTTGTTTCCATAATGCACCACAAGATTTCCCCCTCCCCCTTTTCTTTTTTTTTTTAATAGCTCAACGTGGGATTGTTTGGTTCTGCCTTTAAATAAAAAACACATTGGCAATATTAGCCGGGGCCCTATCGTATCTCTGGAGAGATCAGTTCACAAGCTCACAAGGCACGGCCTCCTAAGACCGAGCAAACAAATAGCACAACAAGGGTGAGAAACCCCCACCAGAACAAATTTGAAAAGCATTTCAGCTGGAAAGATTGACTGGGAACCAAAGGGAAGCCAGCTTTAAAACAAATAATTTCCCCGAAGGACTGTAAACAATAGCCCCACCCCAAACTTGTAGAGCAGCACAGAATGACAGGAATGGATGTGACCTGCCCTATCGCTGGGATTTATTGGCAATCTCTACCGTTCTGGTCCACCATCTCTAACCCGCCCTCGCGTCTGCTCACTCAACGGAACAGCTCTGAGCTGCACCAATGACTGTGATCCCTCTAAGACAGTGAGATTATGACTGATACAGTAAGCTGTTTTCTGGAGGGTCGTGCATGACAGGGAGATTCTTCCAAGCTGGGACAGAGTAGGGCGAGGCAGTGAATCCAAGCCAGACCTTTCTCCCTAGGGGCAGGGGATGTTGCAATTCATAGCTGGAAGCTGCATGGCTGTGTTCCATGCATGGTCCGATCTCTCTCCTCCTTGGAGAAGCTTGTGTGTGGCTTGCAATGCAGTGAGCAAGTTCCTGGCACCAGAAGAAAAGATCTTGCCCAAGAGCTTCTCATTTCCTGGAGCTCCCCCTCCCTGAATCCCCATCGGAGTTCCCTTCGGCCTAGATGGCAAAACAGAGCCTCACAGACTCAGCAAGGGAAGCAGGAATATCCTTGTTCCACTCTGGGAGGGCAGTCCCTGCCAGTGGCTTTTATTCCCCCTCACAAGACAAGAGTGTAGGGATTTTGTCTTATTATTTCTACTTTTGCCAATTCTGTAGTAATCCTCTAGTTCCCTGTCGCCTGAATCCCATTTTAAAAAAGAAGAGTGGACAATCACATTTTGGTGGGCCCAAAAGGTAGGCAGGTCTAGGAAGGAAGGAAGGAAGGAAGGAAGGAAGGAAGGAAGGAAAGAAGGAAGGAAAGAAAGAAAGAAAGAAAGAAAGAAAGAGAAAGAAAGAACTTCCCTGTTGTAGATGGATATTATGTTCATTTGGGACTGTATGCTCCTCATCTAGTCTGAATACTAATAGTAAAAGAAAATAAAAATATAGGAGACTAACCAATCTTGGTCATTCAATTCCATCTGAAGTCCAGAAGTCTCTGTGTTGGGCTACCAAACTCACCCCTCTGATTGTTTAACAGCTGTGTCAGTGAAGTACAGAAATCTAACCTTCTGTTGTTTAATTTCATTGTACACAGGTTGTACATTGACAATAAAAGTATTATTAGCTTTGATGCTCCTATGTGCCTCATGCCTTATAATTACATCAGAAGCATTCTTATGAGCATCATCCTCAATGACTTCTAGACTGATGTCCTTTTGTCTCTTTCCAGCTCCACTTGTCCCATGATATACTATGCCTTTTATGATTTAATCAACAAAGACTCTTGTAGCTCCATGGAGACTAGCCCATTTATTGTGGCTTATGCCAGGACACACTTTAGCTGAAACAATAAAATAAACCTGCTAGTCTTTAAGGTGCCCCAAGGCACTCTGCTGTGTTTCCTGTAACAACTAACATAGCTTCCTAGCTAGAATTTGTCCTTTCCAATTAGTTACTAGAAGAGGTCCCAAGTCTAGAAACAGTTCGTTTCATCACCTACCATATGTGCAGTATCAGAATCAGGATGAGCAGTGGCATTTCCTTATGCCTTCTCACAACAAATACTGTGGTAGAGTTGGCAAGCTGCAACTATTTTATAAGTCAGATAAGTGAGCTTGACAAAGTGTGGCTTGCCTAAAAATGTCAGGTAAGGACATGGTGCTCACCTGGAATTTGAACCCCCAAATACCCATGGCCTATATGAAGGGGGTTTGTTTTTGGTTTAACTCTACTGTATATTATGGAGTTTTTATGTTAGGCAGATTGGTTTGCCTTGGAAATGGCTTAACTGAAGGGTCCAGAGTAGAGTCTTACCTTTGTAGCCTATATCCTGCAGCCAGGATTGGGCCAAAGTTTTGGAGTACTGCTGCTTTGGTAGCACTAGAGGGCACTCAGTATCCATAAGTCAATCCCCTACCTATTCACAAGAACCCAATATGAGAATAGATATAAAAATATGAAAAATGTATAAGTGTAAGCCCACTGCACTATGATCCAGGAAACCATTGTGACAATTCATGTGATCAAGGAAGCAGAGAGCATGGACAGTATTTAACCAGGGGTATAGACAGGCCAAAGGTCCAGATTGGTCAGGGTTTTTTCTTTAATCTGCAGAGCAAGAGCATTTTATTATTATTTTTGCTAGGTATGTTTGAATAATGAAAAACATTTTGCAGGAAATTGGGGTGAGAGTAAGGAGATAGCCTTTGTAAAGTCTAGTAAACATTTAGAGAAGGAAAACACTGTGGCTCGTGCATTAAGCAATGTCAATATATTTGAACAATAGTTGTAATAGAAAATTCCTATTCATTGAATGAACAGAACAAGTCATTAGATGCAAGGCCAGCATCAGTCACTGGGCATTTTAGCTGTTGCTACCACTTCACAGGAAGGTCTATAGCTCTGTGTTGCAGCACACACTTTGCATGGAGAAGATCCCAGATTCAGTTCCAGAGAACTGTAGCCAGAAACATCCTAGTAACCTACTACAACTCAGAGTATGAAATACTGGGCTACAGTGGCAGGGATGAAACTAGAGGTGTCCCTAGGATCCCTCATGCCCCTGGCAAGCAGCTGTTTCAGTGCCCCCCTCCTGAAGAAAATAACTTTCCTGCTTGCCTTTGTGCTATGATGCGAGAAGGATGGGAAGCTTCTGCGTTTGATCTTGCTGTGACAGCAGCGGCGCATCACCACACATATTTAAGTCATACATTCCATAGTCTGATAGGTGATTTTTGTAGGGGGAGGCAGGCCTGCGCCCCTGGCATGGGCCAGTTTCACCAACCCCTAGGTACACCTCTGGACAAAGCACAACCGCTTATTCCACAGCACTAATCTCCTGGGGTGCTATTTGTCAATCCGCTTCATGTCAAATAAATAGGCTATTATCAGGCAGGGGTGGGGCAGGAGACTCCACCAAATCAGTTAAACAGAAGAAGCAATTGTTGGCATCAGCCTGCGTAGCTAAGGGTTAAACTGCCTGTTTTATTTTGAAAAAAATGGCAAAAGTCCCTTGACCAATCCTAATGCTACAGAATAGTGAGTGAATGTTAAACAAAGCAGAAGGGGGTAAGAAAAAGCTGTCTTGATAGTGAAGCCATAATGTCTTCATTTGTCAAAAGACTCTCTCTCTCTCTCTCTCTCGTCTTAGAATACCTGCGCTTCAGAATTAATCACTATGATACTGCACTGAAAAATAATTTCTGACCTGCACATAACACACTTCCTTTTGAGGGGAGATTCGTTCACACTTTTTCTTAGCTGGTTTGTGGCAGCAACACATTGTGGGGAATGCATCTCTGGTGCTCCTCAGGAATAAGCAAGAAAGCATCTCTCCTAATGCTCGTAACTAATGCTTAGATGTGCAGCTACTGCTCTAAACCAAGAGCCTGAATGGGAGACAAAGAAGAGAAGTGGGTACAGTATTTTAATTGGCAACCAAGCTCCAGATTGTCCAGTATCAGTCCCACTTAGATGTGGTCAACAGCTATAGCATTGCCTTTAATCCCGAAGGGTTCCATGTATGTTGCAGGTGCCACCTCTGCCTCCATCCAAGGGATTTGAAACAAGGCCGCTTTTACCTGAAATGGGAGTCAGGCCTTACTGTTCATATACATCAATTGTGGCTCACAGTTGAGTGCATAGGGTGGTATTCAATGAAGGACTTGTCCAGTCTTCTTTTTTGTGTTGTGTTTCTAGGCACAGATCCACTCTTTAAAGCGCTCAAGACCTGCACCTAGAAAGTGCAAGACAAAAGGTGTGTGGCTGAGCCCTTAGCTTTACTCAGAGTAAACCCATTGAAATAAATGGACCTGACATAGTCATGTTCAATATTTCAGTGGGTCTACTCTGAGTAAAACTTAGTTGAATACTATCCATAATCCATCCCTCGTCACCCCATTTATCATCCTAGAAATATTTTCTTACCTGATATTTGAGAGTAGCTCTATTGAATCTTCCTTTGAACACATCTCTTGGGAAAAGTCATTGTTTACACAAGCCATGCCTTAAGTTAATTTTCTGCTGCTCATTATGTCATGACGTGCTGTATCTTTTTGAACTTCCACCTTCACAGGCTGCTGAATGATACAGCCTATCAGCTCAGTTCCAAAGATTCCCAGAAAAAGCATGACTGGTTTCAGCCCAGGGAGGAGCCATAGCTCATTGATAAAGTAGATGCTTTGAATGCAGAAGGTTTTAGGTTCAGACCCTGACATATTCAGTTAAAAGGGATCAGGCTGCAAGTGGTGGGAAAGTTCTCTGCTGGAGATCCAAGAGCCACTGCCACTTGGAGTAGATACTAGGCCAGAATGAACAAATGGGAATCTGCCTTATAGGTCAGACTACATTCCTCTCTTTCTCTTTCTCGTTTCCACTAAAACTGATCTGAGATTGTACACCATTTCCTTAAAGCTCAGCTTATTTCTTACCGTAAGGTTGCAACAGCAAAAGATTGGTCTCCTGCTGCTGACCATTTCCTAACTTCCATGAAATGGTTTGGCTGTGCTTTCCTGTATCTTCTCTCTCTCTCATGCCAAGGAGGTCATTTCCCATAAAGGAGACAAATGTTCCAATTAACAGTCTTTTACTAGATGACTAATTTTCATGTCACAGTTGCTGTTGGTTTTGTGTGTGGCACTGGGAAGGAAGAAATACACAAACCATGAATTATAGCAGGCAGGGTGTTTTTGCGTTTCCCTGTTATTGACCCCCTACCTACTCCAGTCCACACACTACACCTTAAATTCATGAAGTGAGTTCTGCCTATTGAAGTCTTGAATGTTTCTCCTATCTTTTTAATTTTGTTATTTCAAAATAATTTATTCATTATTATTTCAATGGGTATAGTTTTACAGATACAGAGTTGGGGCTGTAGACCCTTGGTTGTTCTGCCAAAGAGAGATAAGGGCCTATTCACAAATCCTTTTGCTGGAGCTGAACCTGCTCAAATACTGCTTGTTTTCAGTTTGGCATCAAAACATACTCATGTCCTACCATAGTCCTGTTGAGACCCAAAGCAATTGCTAGTATCCATAATTTTGTCCAGGGAGTTTCTTGCATTAAGGCAGGGTGGCCTGGATGATTTAATAGGTCACTTTCCATCTTGGCATGCTATGAGTCTATAAAACTTGTAGAATCATTGACTGTCACAGGCAGGGGAGGAAAAACCCTAAAAGAATATTAAACTTATGGAGGACACCTTACAGTGTCTTGCAGCATTATATGGGTGAAGATATTGGCAAGTGTTTTTTGGCTTAGAGTGAGGAACAAGATCAACTCTGTTCTTGTTGCTTAGGGAAGAACCAGTTGTACCTACCAGTGATGGGTGCTGAACTAAAGCTGCTTTTTAAAAATGTCTTTGTAAAGATAGTTGCATGGGCTGGTAAACTTTGCAAACAGTGTTGCTGTCAGCCCAAAAGTTCTGGTACAATTTCTGTCTAGCTATTTCTAGATATAGAATCAGAGAATTGTAGAATTGGAAGGGACCCCAAGGGTGATCCAGTCCAACTCCCCGCAATGCAGGAATCTCAGCTAAAGCATCCATGATTTTTCTACATTTGGCCAACTTTCTCTTTGATTAATTTGAATGCTTTGTTTTGTGTGATCAACTGGATTTCCTATTCACTTACATTGGGGTTGGGATTACATTTCCTCCTGTGCAGAAAAACTGCCCTTCAAAACTTAGAATGGTCTCAGCCCCATGAGAGAGAACAGGCTTTGCAAGCAGAAGATCCCAGGTTAAACACCTGCCATCTTCATGTAGGGCTGGAAAAGACTGTTGCCTAAAACCCTCAAGAACTGCTTGTCAGTCAGGGTACACAATACTAAACTAGGTGGATCAGTGGTTTGACTCAACATAAGGCAGCTTCCAATGTTCCTAAATGACTTTCCACTGGGGTTTTGAATCAGTCCTGTACTTCAGATACGAAAAGCAAGTGCCTTGTCGCCCTGTAAAGGCATCAAACTTGTTCCCGGCTAGCAAATTTCAGCTAACCTGCAGTGCTACCCTAGAATTGAGCTTTATGAGGAAACGGTTGTGAGAGCCAGTCCTTCGACTGCCGGTGTCTCCATATTCTGGAACTTTACAGAACACATAGAACAAAGTGGCACATACCATGCTTGATTCTGTGATTTCTTCATTACAGAACACAATTGCCAGCATCACCAGTGAGCTACGGACCTTCCAGGCACAGTTTGAGGACGCAATGGCTGCCCACCAGAAGGAGGCAAAGCGCTTAAATGAACACATAAAGGAACTGGCAAGAGAGAAGGAGCTTGTTGGGAGGGAGGTATGTTCGGGTTCTTGGCTGGGTCTTCTTTCTGTGGAAGGATTCTCTGTCCCTGTTCAGTATGGTCCTATAAGTGCTCTATGTATCTCTTTGTCAACAAATAGGTGTTTGCCCCAGTTCAAGCCATCTGTGAATAAGTTGGTCGCAATGGAAGCATTTCCCCTCTCTGCTGAAAGAGCAGGCAGTAGCTTTGAAATCTAAGGTCTTCTGCTCCTATGGAAATCAGGAGTGCTAAATTACGGCAGAATCGGCCAGACTTAATACTTGAGCAGGGCTTCAGTGTTGAAGGCAGTATGACTGAAGCAAAGCTGCCTGTTGGGTACAAACTCATAGAACTTCCATCCCTAGAAAGACAAGTTTTGTTAGCTTTGGAAACCTGCAAAACCTATTTGGCCAGTGAAGACCGTGGGACAGAATGAAGGAGAAGCATTGGTGCTTGTACTCTGTCACTTTCCATTCTCTACTTAGCAATCCTCCTTTTGTAACCTAGAATTGGATTGGATAGGTGTGAATTGAAGGACGTGCTGTGGTTTAAACCACAGAGCCTAGGACTTGCCAATCAGAAGGTCGGCGGTTCGAATCCCCGTGACGGGGTGAGCTCCCTTTGCTCGGTCCCTGCTCCTGCCAACCTAGCAGTTTGAAAGCATGTCAAAGTGCAAGTAGATAAATAGTTATTGCTCCAGTGGGAAGGTAAACGGCGTTTCCATGTGCTGCTCTGGTTCGCCAGAAGCGGCTTTGTCATGCTGGCCACATGACCCGGAAGCTGTACGCCGGCTCCCTCGGCCAGTAAAGCAAGATGAGCGCCGCAACCCCAGAGTCGATCACGACTGGACCTAATGGTCAGGGGTCCCTTTACCGTTACCTTTACCTTTACCTTTGCCTTTAGGTGTGAATTAGGAAGAACAGGCAGTGACCCCAGCCAGTCAGCACCCTTTTCACCCTTTCTAATAATGGCGTGCTATAGGTTAAATTGCAAGTAGGGATCCCTGCCCACTCCGTTGCACCCCCTTTTTCCTAACACACATCTCCGGGTGGTGACTCTTGGGGGTGGAACAATATCTGCAGCTCTGGAAAACATCCCCAGGTGGAAACCCTCACCCACTGCCAGATGCTTTCTGAGCTCTTGTTCTCTACAAACACAGTACATCAGAACAAGAGAATGACCCCCAGCCCGAAAAGACTGGGGTGGGGTGAAGGGGGGAAAATAGAAAATTAAAGGACATAAAAGAGGAAGAGAGAGTAATTTAACATGACAGGCTGTTTATTTTGGCAAAAAAATGGCCTCCTTTCAACAGATTTCAAAGTCCAGCCCCAGGAGGGACCACACAAGCAAGCAGAAGAGGGTTGTTTCAGAGGGCAGGGAGGGCAGAAGGAATGGAGATGGGGCGAGAGGGGGTGCATATGTTCCTAGATGGATGTAGGATGGGCAGAGAAAGAGTAACACAGCATGGGAAGGGAGACAGCAGCAGATGAGAGAAAGAGAGGTGGGGGGAGTGGGAGAGGACAGTTGTGGGACTAATATAACAAGCTGAGGGCAAAGAAACACAGAGTGAAATCCTCACAGGCGCCAGCATTGACCTACTTATCACCATGGGAACCATAACATTTTCACAGCCTTTTAACTTGAGGAAGTCAGGCTCGTTGAGCAGCCCTGCCTTCCCTTAAGTGCACGCCACACTCACATAGTCAACATACATACACACAAGCCCACAACTATACAAGGCACATCTGCCACATTCGCGTTTTCTCATGAGTACATGCATCATCAAGTGTACATGTATGCACATACGTGTGTGCATACATGCACACACACACACACACACACAAATGTAGTGTTGCGCCCCACCCCAGTCTTTGAGCTGTGTGAGATTCCAGGGCTTCCCCAGGCTTCATGTTCCTTTCTGGAAATGAGGCACAGTGGAGACAGCAGTGTCTTTATGATATATGGTTTATTCACACATATATAGAACCTGGAGGGCTTCACAGCATTAACACCCCAAAAGGGTCCTGTTTCTTCCATAGCCGCAGCCTTGGATTCTAACAGACATCAAGCACTGCACTCTTGACTCTCTCTCTCTCAAGCTTGCTGCTTTTTCCTCTAGGTCACATCACTGCAAATGCTCAACTGTGACTTTTGGCCACACAGAGTCCATTTCCTTTGTTTTTCTTAGTGGCCCATCACCCAGGCGCGCGCGCGCGCACACACACACACACACACACACACAAACACACACAATGTTCTTCAGTGGTGCCAACTTGAATAAAATGTTGGGGGGCCCAGGTAGGCCTCATCCCACGTAACTGATCACATGATGCTGTGCGCACACACCATTTGAATGGCAATGCCCGTCAACTTTGGGGGGCAGACCCCCCCCCAGATATTTTATTGGGCGGGCTGAAGGGACCTCAGCCCCTCGGAGTTGGCTCCTACGATGTTCTTACTGTGTGGAAATTGTTGCATGAATTCACACACATGTGCATATAAATATATTCCCACATCATTCTGTGAACTTAAATGCACAATCACTCCCGCCTCCACACACACCCCCGCCCTGTCTCTCACACGCATGCACATTTCCTCTCCCACCATGAAATACCCTGTTCCATGTGTCCAGGGCTCAGCTGGAGACTTGGCTGCCCAGGCATGATTTCAAAAGAGACTGTTTATAAAAAGTTCTAGTCAAGATATAATTATAATAATCACATTAAGAGCTTTGCTGCAGTGTTCCTGTAAATGAGGAAAGCTCTGCCCTTACACAGAGAGTGAGCGAGCCAGGAAGGAGGGTGTGTGTGTGTGTGTGTGTGTGTGTGCGTGTTTGAGTTGGGGGGTGGTTCATGTGCAATGTTTTCTTTTCAATCTCACCCCCTGCTAGCCCCCCTTCCTTTATCCTGGGGAATAAAAACAGTTTATTTTATGATGGATCGCCCCTCTCTTTGGTCACTGACCTTTCTTCGTGAATTTCTGCTGAGCTCAGCAGAAAACCGCTGACTGCGTTTGTGGATCCCATATGTAGGTGGGGGTTGGGAGAGAAAGGGGCTCACCCTAATCCTTCTCAAAAACAGAACAACAATAACAGAGAGCTGGTCGGAATGAGACAGGCCAACAGGGAGGATCTGGACAATGTTAAGAGCTTTCCAGAGTAAAAGCGTTAGGAAAGAAAGTTGGGAAGGAAAGAAAGGGGGTTCATATCAGAATTGTTTGCCCGTCCCCGATTCCAGTAATATAAAGGACCAAGGGAGCAAGAGCAGTTGTGTGTAGCCTCAGGTTGTCCAGAGAGGCAGAATTAAAACACAGAGAACCCTATTTTCTCCTGCATCTGAGGCACCCTGTGCTGCTATCCCAGGAAATAGCTTATCATACCTAGTAATTCACTGTGCAGCCTCTGGAACACATTGCATTGTACTAGAATACAGGCTTGCTTGTAGCTGTGTGGCTGAAGAACTGATGAGCACACATGTGCTACTCTGTGGGTCTGGGCAAGTTCTGGCCCTCTGTACTGCACCCTCATTCAGAAAGGATGAAGGTGGCTCTGCTTTTTAAGATGCTGTTACTTCTAGCCTGCTGCTGCTGAGGATTTTTCTTTTCTGCCTCCACACCACGCTGTGGACCAAGTGGAATGTGCAAAGGCATCAGAAAAGAGCAGCGTTCCAAGGACAGATCAGCTTGGCACAATGGCCAAGCACAAATTTAATTCAGATTTCCATCTCTTTCTTTTTCTTTTCTTTTTTAATGCATTTTTCCAGTTGTTAGCAGAAATATTAATCCTTCTCAAATGAGTACAGCTTGGCCTGCAAAGCACCATTTTTAGTGCCTGTACAGGTTTCCACATATTTTCAGTAGGGATGCAGCATGCTTAAATGCAACACTCCTAATGCAAACAAGCATCCTCAGGACGGGTAGTTTTTCTCATTGTATCTGTAGAGTGCATGAAATGGAACAGCCTTGAGATCACCTAAGGCCACGAGTTGTTGCTGTCGTTTATCTTTAGCAACTGAGCTCTTCCAGTTGTAGCTTGCTTCCCCCCCCCCTCCTTGCATTCCAAACATAATCTTCCTCCTCTGCTCCTACTCAGTTTGGCACTCAAATCTAAGAGCATGCTGATAGCTCCAATTACGCATTCCCACCACCTGATAAATGCCCACTATCTCACACATGAATCACAACACCTCTCACTTGTGCTCCTGTTGAGATGCATCCGCAATCCGAAACATTCCTGTATCCTCCATTCACACATGCTGGCATGCTTTCCTTTGCTGAAGTGAGAAATTTCGCTTTGAAGCCACATGGCTCCAAGAGAAAAAGAGTTATGATGGGCCCAAAGTTATACAAGTTATTTATTCTTCTCCCCACTTCCTCTAGTGGCAAGAAGTTCCATGGGTAGCATTTACCCATGAATAGCACTTCCCCAGGGGATTGCTTCCCTTAGGAAGAAGAGGTCACTTGGGAATTATGGCCTACTTATAACATTTTGCCCCATTGGTACCCCAAAAGGCAGTAAAACACCACAAGAGAGTTTTAGCCATATTTCCCTAACCTGGAGCTCTTCTGCTGATGTTGGACAATGTATTGACCATGGTAAAAAAGGTAAAGGTAAAGGACCCCTGACAGTTAAGACCAGTCGCAGACAACTCTGGGGTTGCGGTGCGCATCTTGCTTTACTGGCCGAGGGAGCCGATGTTTTCCCACAGACAATTTTTCCGGATCATGTGGCCAGCATGACTAAGCCGCTTCTGGTGAAGCCAGAGCAGCGCACGGAAACGCCATTTACCTTCCTGTCGGAGCGGTACCTATTTATCTACTTGCATTTTGACGTGCTTTCAAACTGCTAGGTTGGCAGGAGTAGGGACCGAGCAACGGGATCTCACCCCGTTGCATAGATTTGAACCTCTGACCTTCCGATCAGCAAGCCCTAGGCTCAGTGGTTTAGACCACAGTGCCACCCGCGTCCCTTATTGGTACCATGGTAAATATGACCATGTTAGCTGGTGCCTAAGGGAGATGGAGTCCAAAACTTCTGGAGAGCACCATATTGGAAAAGGCTGGTTTTAACTTTTCAGAGTTAGAGCTCTCTGTGTTTGTTTCACACTTAGGGTGCCTCCATACCATCACCGTTTTGGGGAAGGAATTCAATCACATACTTCAGATATGCGCAATTCAAGTGGATTAAAGGGTTCTGTTACCCTAGCGCAACATTTGCACTTTTAGAAAAGAATTTGGCTTTTGCCATTAGGAAATGAATGGGGAAATGCATGGTAAAGTGTAGGGTGAACGAACAACATATAAGCACCTCACAAGCAAATCAGGAGGAATGCGGGAGGAATGCTTATGTTCGTATAACTGCCCCGTAAACAAATCAGACATGTCCCTTCAGAGACAACTCTTTATCAGTAACCCATTTTATATAGTCAGCTCTGATAAAGAGATACCCATTGGCCATTAAGGAAAACCAACCAGTCATTAAACAAATGATGTAGTCGCTCATGGCTGGCACAGATTGGCTAGTATTCAAGACAATATATATCCACTAAGAAGAGGTAGGTGTCTCTTTGAAAGTACCTTTGCTTTTTGCTAACAACCTGGATTTTGAAATAGCATACTGCAATCAATCCTGACTCCAGCTAGCTTTGATTTCTGCCCAAATGGGGTGTGAAGGGCAATTCTTTATCTATCTACTGAGAAGTATGCCCTGTTGAGTTCAGTTGGACTGATTTATGGGTAGACATGCCTTTGTAATTGCTTTGATTTGCCTTTGTAATTAAGATTTATTCCCTGCCATACAGTGAGCTCTAGATTAGGACTATACAGTGGTACCTCAGTTTTTGAACATCTCCATTGACTAACATTTTGGTTTTCGAACACTGTAAACCCAAAAGTAAATGCTTCGGTTTTCAAGCACGCCTCGGAAGTCGAATATGCCATATGGCTTCCACCACGTGCAAGATCCTGAGGCCTAGCTGTTGGCTGGTGAGTTTTTGGTTTTCAAATGTTTCAGAACCTGAACAGTCTTCTGTTCAAAAACTGAGGTACCACTGTACTTTCCAAATGCCTATGTTTCAAATATAGTAGTACCTCGGGTTAAAAACTTAATTCGTTCCGGAGTTCCGTTCTTAACCTGAAACCGTTCTTAACCTGAGGTACCACTTTAGCTAATGGGGCCTCCCACTGCCGCCATGCCGCTGCTGCGCAATTTCTGTTCTCATCCTGAAGAAAAGTTCTTAACCTGAGGTACTATTTCTGGGTTAGCGGAGTCTGTAACCTGAAGCATCTGTAACCTGAAGTGTCTGTAACCCGAGATACCACTGTAAATGCTCATTTTGCTTAGGCATCAGCATCACCCTCCAAGGGACAGTGCAAGCATCGTTTTAAACATGCATCCCTATTTGCTGCAATCCTAAGTGTGCTTACGAGGGAGTAAGTCCCAGTCAAGTCAATGGGCTTATTTCTGAGTAATCCATGGGATCATGCTGCAGGTTTCAGGTTCCTGGCTCAGCCATGCATGCTTTTTTCTTCAAGGCAGAACAGCTAAAAGCACAGCTGCGGCTGGCAGAGGATACCCATGCAGAAATTCGCAAGGAGCTGGTTGAGCTTCACCACAGGCTGCAGGAGACTGAAGAGGCTCGTGACCACCAGCAAAAGGAGCTGCTGGAAATTCGGAGGGCTGTGGCAGACGAGAACAGAGAAAAAGAAGCACTGCAGAAATCCAACAGTGAGCTCAGAGCAGCTGTCAAGAGAGCAGAGAATGAGAGACTCAGGTAGGTAGCCTTGGTGCTGGACAGGCGCGTTGCTGGCATAGTGGCTATCGGCTCACAGCACTTTTAGAGGTTACCAGTAATGAGAGATTATGACCCTGTGCATCTGCTGCAGCTTGCAGAGATCCGAAGAGGAGAAGGAGCAGAAGATTGCTGTGCTGGAGGAAGCAAAAGCAGCTGTTGAGGGAGAGGTGGGGGAGGTCCGAGCAAATCTACGAGAAGTGGAGAAGTCCCGCATGGAAGCGCGAAGGGAGCTGCAGGAGCTGCGCAGGCAGGTATAACTGTGTCTTAGAACTCTCTCCCCACACCCTTCTTATCACAACCCTAAGGATATAATAATTGCAACAAGAGATCCTTGACATCGCCCAATATTGGATTCTTTATTCAAAGCCACTTGTAGCTGCTACAGACGCTGTCAAAACACAAGGTTGTAGGTACAGTATCTAAGCAGAGGACAAGAGAAGAATCATCACCGCCACCCAAAATGTCTTTCTGGCTTGTTTAATTTGCACCTGAAAATTCCTATGAAAGAGCCTTGAGACCTTGATCCTCCGTCATAATTCCTACCCATAAAGCCCCTCTTCTTTAATATTCCCACCTGTATCTCCCGATAGGACTGTCGGTTCTACTCCCAACCCCTTTGGGGTTCCTTACATCCAGTTGAGGCTGGTCCATTAGAGTGAGTGAGACTTCCTCACCAGCCTTGGTCTGCCCTCAGCTAGCACCACCACCACCACCACCCCACCTGCCTGCCTGTTCTCTACAGGGGAGTTGCTCTGCTTGTCATTGGCTGTGGCTTCGCCTGCTATTGCGGTTCCTCCAGACTGGTGTTTTGTTGTGGGTGTATTCTGCAGTGGTGTTCTTGACATCATAATAGTGCATTAGTGCTAGGTTTATTTATTCTGCTTTAGGTTGTTCTGCAATACTTCTGCAATGCTACCACACTGTTGCTGTCCAGAGGGGCAGTCCCGAGTGGGACAAAAATAAACCAGAACATTTGTGGTACAAAAAGTTGCAGGATTTAAACAGGAAGTTGCGGGATACGCACTGATTTGGAAAGGAAGCAGTGTGGCCACCCCAAAATGTTTGCAGGTGCAAATAGTATTGAAAGTGGAGTAATGTGTGGGACACACACCCCCGGTAATATAACAAGCACAAATAACAATAATTGTGCAATAAAAATGATGTCTGGAGGGGGGGCCCTTGGCTTCTTTGTCTTCTGTCCTACTAGCCCTATATAGTCAATCATTTCACTCTAACACCAATTGCCAAATGTGACAGTAGGGATCCCCTCCCAGTGTGGTGTAGTGGTTAAGAGTGGCAGTCTCGTAATCTGGGGGACGAGGTTTGCGTCTCTGCTCCTCCATATGCAGCTGCTGGGTGACCTTGGGCTAGTCACACTTCTCTGAAGTCTCTCAGCCCCACTCAGCTCACAGAGTGTTTGTTGTGGGGGAGGAAGGGAAAGGAGAATGTTAGCCGCTTTGAGACTCCTTCGGGTAGTGATAAAGCGGGATATCAAATCCAAACTCTTCTTCTTCCTCTTCTTCTTCTTCCTCTTCTCCCCCCACCCACACAGAAGCTTTTCGTGTGAGCTGAGCTTCTGAGCATAGAGCCCATACAATAGATAATACCCAGAGTTCTGGCATACCTTTTGCAGGTGAAGGCCTTAGAGAGTGAGAACAGCAAAAAAGCCCAAGAAATCAGTGAACTGCAGCATCGGTTGCTCGAGGAGGAGCAGCAGGAGCAGCAGAACAGCAAAGAGGCTCTGGAACTGAAGCAGAAGATAGCCGGACTGGAGATCAGCCGTGAATCTGCTCACAAGGAGGTAACGTGGTGGTGGGTGGTGGAGGACAAGGTGCAGGAGATGGAAGAAGTAGTGAAACGTAAGCTGGGAGAGTTGAGGAGGGCAGCTTACTCTTCTTCCATCTCCTGTGTCTTGTCCTCCAAGAGGTGGTAGTGGAGATAAGTTGCATGGAGGGTTGCATTCAGAGGGGAGAAGACAAGTGTATCTGTGTGGACCGGGTTTCCTGCAGCCTCATCTACTTTAGCTCTGAATGTGCAGCAGGATAGTGGTAGCTGGCTGGATATAAATCACTTTTATACACGTAGGTGAAGAACCATGAGTGCAAGCTACATTTATAGCTGTGCTTGGCTTCCCTGTGTCCTGAGAAGGTGGTGTGGACAGTGGTAGTGCCCATACATTGCCATGGCCTGCCGACCTTGTTTTCTTTCAGGTGCTGAGCTTGCGGAAGAAGCTGTCTGCCATGGAGGCAGAAAGCCGGCTTCAGGAGCAAGACCTTGCGCAGAGCCTTGCCGAGAGCCATGCAAAGGAGAAGAAGCTGAAGGATGATCTTCATCACCTGGAGATGAAGCTGCAGGAAGCCAGCAGGGCAGGCGAGAGCCTCCAGATGTGCCTCAGCACCTGTGAGGGGCGTTCCCAAGGCTTGGGAATAGAACTAGCCAAAGCGGAGGCAGCCAAGAGGGAGGTGGAGCTGAAGCTCGTGGCACTGCATTCGGCTCTGCGCCGCACGCTGGGGCTTGGCAGCCGGAGTCCATCGCCACAAAGATCCTGCTCTCCAGTCAAAGGTCAGAAGGCTCCTAACCAGGATAGCCTTCATATGCTGTGCATTAAATTTCAGCTAAGCGATAACTGCAGTAGACATCAACCTCTAATTGTGGTAATGAAATATGCTCATAGCTAAGGAAATTAATCTTATCGGGGCTGGACAACCTTCTGTTGAACGCCACATTCCCTTGAGGGAATCTGTTGGAGGCCACACATCACTGTGGTCAAAAGTTGATAGGGCCACCAAACATTTTTCTTTTTCTTTTTCTTTCTCTGCTTTCCACCACCCTTTTTCCTTTAGTCTCTGCCAACTCCTTCCTTCCTTCCTTCCTTCCTTCCTTCCTTCCTCTCTCTCTCCCTCTCTCTCTCTCTCTCTCTCTCTCTCTCTCTCCATATACAGTGGTACCTCAGGTTAAGAACTTAATTCATTCTGGAGGTCCATTCTTAACCTGAAACTGTTCTTAACCTGGGGTGCCACTTTAGCTAATGGGGCCTCCTGCCCCTGCCGCACGATTTCTGTTCTCATCCTGAAGCAAAGTTCTTAACTCAAGGTATTATTTCTGGGTTAGCGGAGTCTGTAACCTGAAGCATCTGTAACCCAAGGTACCACTGTATATTTATGCTACCCCCTGTGTGCCACCCACTGGACTAGATTGAGGGCTGCAGGTTGCCCACCCCTGATATATACCAATGCACCTGGTACAGCTATAAGGGGTAGGAAATGTGCTTGTTTTCTTAAATTAAGGTCATTTGCCACTGCTTAAGCAGTGGTCTTGGTGAGCAACCAGGGAGTGCTGTCATAGCTCAGTGGTAAAGCAAGTGATTTGTGTGTAGAAGCACTTGCTTCCCAGATTCAATTCCTGGCTTCTCTGGTTCAAAAGATGCCAAGTAACGGGGCTGAGGAAGACTGAGCTAGGTGGACCATTGGTGTCCCTCTGTATAATCAAGCTGCATGTATTCACTGCTGTGCTCAGGATTCCGTTTTCAGTTTGTAAGACTGCTATTGAAAGCCAAGTCCTGCCTCTGGCAGTGGTTGACTCATGCCCTGACTGCTACTGCCCAAAGGACATTTTTCATCATCACATCATGCATCTGATGGTTGTGTATGTAACAGGCCTCTCAGTCCTGGGAAGAGGTCATAATTCAGTGGGAGAGCACCTGACATAGTTCAGTCATTGCACATCCAATTAAAAAGGATTAGGTATCAGACGATGGGAAAGATCTCTACCTGAGACCCTGGGGAGTTGTTGATAGTCAGAGTAGACAATGCTAGGAGTATAGAGAACCTAAGCTTTGTATGCTTCCTATATTTAAAGACCCCTTTAAAACGTTTTGCTGAGTTGTGCAGAATTTCCTTCCCCTTAACCATCTTGAAATCCTGATCAGAGCCTCCCTCTTTGGCTTCTGAGACTTTAAGAATTTATGTTTCCACAGGAAGCAGTGGCCGGCAGACACCTGCCTCCCACACTGGGTCTCCTGAGAGGAGCCGCTCACGTTCCCCATTTCACCAACGTTCTCCTCTCAGAGGTGACCAAGTCACAAGTGAAATTAACCCGGATGTAGTTCGAGATGCTTTGAGGGACTTCCTTCAGGAGCTGCGGGACACTCAGAGAGAGAGGGTGAGTAATGTCATCTCTTTCATTTACTGTTTTTCTCGTATGTATGTATTCATGTATGCATCCCATGAAGCTCTGGAAAGCATGAGGTTAGGGTAATGAGGTTGAGACCAGTTGGGACCTTATGCCCACCAGCTCTTGACTTCTATAATCCCTCCATCTGTAAGAATTTGTGCGCACACAATCATAGTGTCAGCAATGCGATATATGACACATTACCTCACATTACTGAAAGACATGCGTACTGTTTGTGGGGCTGCACATAATTAGACCTGTGTTAAGGACTCACTATGCTATAGGTAGGGGAGCCTTCTGCAGTCCAAGGGCCACATTCTCCTCTAGGCAACCTTCTTGGGGCCACATACCAATGGTGGGCAGGGCTAGAGGCAAAAGTGAGCAGGAAAATGGATGCAAATTTTACCTTAGTACAGTAGGCTAGTTTCTATGCACACACACACATACACACACACATCTCTATCCTTTATCCAGACAAGCAAGAGGCACTTTTAGACAAAAAATGGACGCAGGTGGTGCTGTGGTCTAAACCACTGAGCCTCTTGGGCTTGCTGATCAGAAGGTTGACGGTTCATGAAGCTCCCGTTTCTCTGTCCCAGCTCCTGCCAACCTAGTAGTTTCGAAAGGACATCAGTGCAAGTAGATAAATAGGTACCGCTGTGGCGGGAAGGTAAACAGTGTTTCCTCCATGTGCCAAAAGCAGTTTAGTCATGCTGGCCACATGGCCCAGAAAGCTGTCTGTTGAAAAACACTGCCTCCCTTGGCCTGAAATGATGAGTGCCACAACCCCATAGTTGCCTTTGACTGAACTTGGATGACCAGGGGTCCTTTACCTTTACCTTTTTTTTTTCCTATTAGACAAAATGCCAGAACATTTTCCAGACAGGCAGGGCCAGTGAGAGTGTGGCTTGGGGAGTGTTTTGAATCCCGATTGAGAGGCCTTCACTGCAGCTGTGAACTCACTGACTAGCTTTGGACAAATCACCATCTCAGCCTCAGTTCTCCAAATGTATAATGGGTACAGATTATCAATGTAAAGATTACAAAGTGGTTTAGAAAATATTAAACAAGCACGACCAATAAATATAACTGAAATGATCAATGTGAGATCACTTCTCCAAGCCTCTCCCTGTGGCCTGAGCCTCTGCCTACATGCCTTTTCCTTTCCTCCCAGTATTTTACTGTAAAAGTCTCAACCTTTCTTCCCCATGCCCAGTCCTGACACTCAGACCACCCCCTGCCAAAAACAAGGCATTAAAAAAAATCCGTATTTCTGCAAAAAACATTTTGTAACTAGAGCAAAAGCATGCAAATCAAGTAAATATGTGTAAAAAATGTGTGATTTATTACAGCCACGTAATGTAATTATTTTTTAGCACAGAACTTTAGACCTTTTGAATGCATGTTGTTCCATGCTTTTCTCAGCCCAGGCCAGAGAAAGGAAGAGTAGATTCCACTCCCGGCAGGGCGCAGGCTCAGGACCACTAGTTTGCTTAGGTTGTGCAAGGACCCACTTCATTCGCCCTGCCTTCCAATCCATTAGGCTATCCCAGTTCTCTTTAGCAGGAGCCAACCTAGCTCAGCTTGACCCCAAGTTGACTTCGAAGACATATGTTTAGCAACGTTCAAGGGCAGTTCAGCCCTTTCTCTGTCATGTGCTATTTATTGCTCAAAAGCATGCCTCTTATAAAAATGCATAAATATTTATACTGTACCAGAATAATTAAAAAAACATGGTCTGTCACAATAATCATAGCATCAGATCATCCAGTGGCCTTTCTGACAAATGGAGAAACGGAGAAATTTTTTAATTCTTTTGGGCTGCATAAAATCTAAGGCATTCCTTGCTTTGTTGTCTTGTCCCACCAGGATCTTAGAGTTCAGTGTTAACATGCAGCAACCAAAAAGAATGTCTACAATCAATAACATCTTTCAGTTAGCAGCTTTGTAGCCCTGGCCTATTCTCCTTTGCTCAAAATTAAATCCCATTGAGTTCAATGGGTCATGCAGATTACAACCTTAACTGTTCGTGTTTACTCAGTGTTCAGTGTGACTTATCCCTGAGTAAGTCTACATAGACGTGCATAAAGGAAACTAGTGTGCCCTGGAAATACTTTGGTGAGGCCTGTTGTTTTCAAATTATTATTGCCTCAGGCCCCAGTCTCAGGGAAGACTACTCAGTGTAATGCTTAATTTGTAAAATAATAGCATGCTTTCCAACATTTTATAGATGAAAAACAGGACATGCTTGTAATGCCCCTGTTCTCAGACTAAGGGATTGCTGCTTTAGCACTCCCCACCTCAGATACATATTGCTGATGACTGCAGTTAGACCTTTGGATGACAAGGTCAAAGGAGTTGTAAAGGAAGATGAAGAAATTGCAGAGAAGCCAAATGATGGGACAGAAATAGCAAAAGGGATGCATTAAAATAAAATGCAGTTTCATATCCCAGGTGTACTTCTTGGTCTTCTCTGGTGAGAAGCTAAGGATATCAAGAGAATGTCTATATATCTTGTTTCCAGGATGACCTGAGGATTCAGGTTATGAATATGAGCCGTCAGCTGAATGAAATGGAATCTGATCGTGACCGGACAAAAAGTCGCATCCTGCAACTCCAGAAGCTCCTAGCAGACTGTGAGGAAGGCATGTTCTCCTTTCTTTCCATCCTTTATCCCTTTCTATACCTCTCTGTGGATGCCTTCTTTCTTTATCTTGCTGATGTGACTCTTTGCTGGCTTGTTGTGGCAGAGCTCACAGCTCAGTAGAAGGCAGCTTCCAATGTCCCTATGTAGGCATGTGTAATGAAGCTTTAACATTTTTTAAAAATGGAAAGTGCAGTCTAGAACAGGACGGCCCAAGCTTTCTTACCAAGAATACGTCACCATGGAACCTGCAGGCCGCACACTGCCTTGTCGTGTGGGGTGTGTGCAAAACTTGACACACACACACTTCAGCCCTCACACTGCCTTCCCAAAGACAGGTAAGCAAGGTGCTGGGGTTTGGGAAGGAGGCATGAGGCTCCAGCTGGATTCTAAAGCCCTTTCACCTCCTTCCCAAAGCTGGAAAAGCACCAACTAAGCTTTGGGAAGGAGGTGGGAGGACTCTAGGACCCTGTCAGAGCCTTCCCACCTCCTTGCCAAAGCCCAGGGCATCTCTTACCTGGCTTTGGGAAGGCATCAAACATGGCCAAGGGCTACCAAAAAAGGCCTCAAGGACCACATGCATGTTGGACCACCCTAGTCTAGAGGCTTCCTTAATCCTTTTGCTACAGAGCATTGGTCTTTTCAGAATCGTTACCCCAAGCAGCTCACTTGGGAAGGTTCCAGATGTGTGTTTAACCACAAATGCATCTGGAACACTGGAAGGCAGAAAACGGCTTGGTAAGGCTGGGATAAAGGATAAAGCATTCGTCTCCCTTGCTGTTTATTTGCTCAGAATGGCAACCTCCCAAAGGTGCTTTTCATTTTTGTAAAAATGGGGGGACTTTACATATCATGTATACTTTGAACAACAATCAATTGAACATTTCTTTAAAAATTGTTCTAAAGAGCAAATGCCATGTGGGTCTATGCTCTCAGACAGGCAGGTGCTCCTAAGGCAATTCCCGGGGCGAAACCTTAATCAACCATACAACTTTAGCTGTGTAAAATACTAGTCTGATTTCCTTCATATAATTGGATATCAGAGGAGTTTGGAGAAAACAAGAAAGATGCCAGCAGGCTGTCTTTCCCTATTGGTTTGTTCCCCGTCTCCTGACATACCCCCTTTGTACAAATAGATCCTTCTTTAGGTTTAGGTTTAGGGCAGTTGACAGCTTCTTCCCTTCCAGAGGGATGGCAATTTGTAAGTGTGGCTTTTATCTGGAAGGACATTCAGTGTCCTCCCCAAAGCATAGGTTCAGCTTAGCCAGGCAGGCAAAGCAATGCAAGAGCGCATGGATGAATGGTTTTTAAGTACACACCCCATTTTGCAGCCATCCTTTCCTTTAAAAAGCAACCTTTTGTTTTCACTTGCAGGCAAGCGGGAAGCAGACGGGCGCCTAAGCAGCTCACAGGCAGCACTGATGCTGCAAGAGGAGACGGCTAGGAAAGCGGAAAGAGCGCAGCAGGCCCTTGCAGATCAGGTGGCAGCCCTGGAGCGCAACTTGCACATTTGTCAGGAAAAGAACAGGGAACTGCAGGTGGGCAGAAACCCTCTCCCTGGAGGGGAAAGGCATTCAGTGACATGTCATGGGGCTGCTCCCTCCTAAAGGCCATTTCACATGTCGTGTGTCCATAAACTTAGGTTTGCCATGGAGTGTACGCTGCTGCAGCCAGCCCTTGCATACCTGTATGAGCGTACCTGTATGATACACATTTCTGAACGCTTTCTTCTCATCCACACTTTGCAGTTTTAGGTGTACACTTTAAAATACCTTGTGTGTGTGTAGACACATACGCTCAAAGCAGTCCTAACAGTAATTGATGGCAAAATGCCCTACAGGGTGGGGGAAGAGAAGTTAATATTATTGCAACCAAAGTTGCTAATCCTAAAATGTAGATGCTGGGACTTCCTTTTTGGTAGATATGCATGGAATTGAGCTACAAGGCACTTTAACTGCATGAATGAGCAAACTGTTTTGTGAAGCTTATTAAAAAGCAGTCCAAAAAATATTTTAAATACGCATATCTCAAAGATCTATAAATACAAATACCTTTTAAAAAAATCAAGAGCTAAAGAGGGTTTGTAAAGAGTTAAGCAGTGAGTAGGGGGGTATAAGGGTATAACTTGCTTTAATGCACACACAAATTACCTACTCTGCTTCTTAAAATAGAGGTGTGAGCAAATTAGTGCTAGAGAAACCCCAGCGGAAGAATTGCTGCTTTTTCTTCTTCTGAAGGGACTTTACCCAGCTGTTTAAAGAGCACTTTTTATTCCAACTGGCACCCTCAAGCAAGGGTCTGGCTGTGTTGACTGCTTGGGCTAACATGGACTGTTTGGGTGGAGTTTCATCCTGTGTACATTATCACCTGTCTCCATAAAAAATATTGATTCTTTCCATTTCTCTCTGTAATGCTACCATAAGGCTGTGTGATGTGGTAAGTTTCCATGTAAACGGCGGTCTGTAATTCACATTGTGATCTTGGCAATATGCTGAGTGGTGGCACTTTTATCCAGATGGTGGCTAGAGGCTAACGGTGTGCGAGGTGGGTGTTGGGACCATCCTGAATACTGCAGCTTAGTCCTGGGTCCTGAGCTGGTAAATAAATGAGCTTGGGAGTGTTGCTCACCCTTTCAACACTCCCAACCAGTAATGGCAGCACACATCACTAATGTGCAGCCTGAAGTTCCCTTCTTTCCCTCTCCCCTTCTTTCATTTTACACCTCTCTTTGAAGCTCAGATATTTTATCAGTAGGCTGACTCAGGGCGCACCATTAGGTAGGGTGAAGCATCTGTCTCAGGCAGCACATACCGAGGGTGGGGGTGGAGGCCCACCTACCATACATAGCCCTTGAGCACCCTAAGCTAGCCTGCCTTGCACTTCCCAAAATATGTGGCCCTCATGGATTGGGGGAGGGTGCCATATTATCCTTAGAATATATTGAATCAGACCTGCACTCATTTCTCATTGCTTTATAAATGGGTACACATTCACACATACAGTACAGCTTGCTTTTGCTCCACATCAGGCCCAGCGCTGGTTCTTGCGCCTGCACAGCAAGGCTGCAATGGCATCCAGTCTTGTTCACAAAGGACTTTCTCCTTTTCCTCCGCAAGTATAGACCAAAACAAAAGTGACCAGTGGTGTTCATGCTAGGGTTTTTTTTTAATTATTATTCTAGGAGAAAGTCAACAAGTTGAAAACCAAGGAAGCCAAGCTAGAGACAGAGAAGTGGAAGCTGAAGGAAGTCCTGGAGGTGGCAGAGAGTAGGGCCACCAAGTTGGATCTGAGCCGCAGGGCTGCTGAAGGAGAACTGCAGCGGGCCCAGCTCAGCCTCACTGAGAGGGAAGCAGAGATCCAGTCCCTGCAGGAGCAGACCCAGGCGCTCCGCTGCCAGTTGGGAGACAAAGAGAGCAAAACCACCCAGCTGCAGCAGGAGCTAGACCACTTGACCCATTCTCTGGCCAGGACTGAGGGCACGGAAAGCCACCTAAAAGACCGGGTGCAAAGCCTGTCTCAGGCTCTGTCTGATGCTACTGCTGGCTCCTCCTCCCTCCAGGAGAACGTCTCCCAACTGCAAAGGGCCCTGACTGCTGCAGAGCAAGACCGTCGGCTACTCCAGGTAGTAGGAATCAGCTGCTTCAAATGTTCAGCCACTGCCTGTTTGTGTGCGAAGAGAGAGCATCTCTCCTGAGCCAAATAGTATGTGCCCCCCTGTAAAAAGTGTTGTGTAGACCAGCCCCACCCCAATGCTGAGCACCTGCTACATCCAGTGGCCACCTACTCCCCAAATGATCTAGCCCTATTTCCTTATGATACCGCAAATTGCAAGGGGTGGCACATGCAGAATAATATATGTTAGCAAAAATGAAGGGCCTAACTGTTTTATGTTGTGCATGTGTGCACAGGTACAATATACCGGTATATGGGTAACATAGTGTGTGTTGTGTAGGAATAGATGAATCTGTCAATTTTTGGTTCGCTCAATTTCTTTTTTCTAGCCTTATCTTCAGTACTCCAAATTTTTGTTTTATTTAATAAAACAACCCTTATGACAATTCATCAGCATTTTAGTGCTCCTAATACATTTTTGCATGCAGTTTTGACAAATATACACATTTCTGCAAGCCCGTTTCCCTGATATGATGCCTTTTTGTATGGTATTTTTACTAATATAGTGGTACCTCGGGTTACAGATGCTTCAGGTTACAGATGCTTCAGGTTACAGACTCCACTAACCCAGAAATAGTATCTCGGGTTAAGAACTTTACCTCAGGATGAGAACAGAAATTGCGCGGCGGCCGCAGCAGGAGGCCCCATTAGCTAAAGTGGTACCTCAGGTTAAGAACAATTTCAGCTTAAGAATGGACCTCCAGAACGAATCCAGTTCTTAACCCGAGGTACCACTGTATATGCTTTTTTATGCACACTTTACCCAACACGTTGCTTGGCTGGAGAACTTCACTGCAAAATTCAGAGAAGTGCAAATTTTGAATGATGGCTGTGTTTCAGTTTGCCTATTGTTCTGGAAAGTGTGCATTTGGTAAATTCACCTTTACTGTGAACAGAGTCAAATTTCTCCCCTGACTCTAGTGTTGGGTGACTCCAGGAAAGTTCATGCTTTGGCTTGGATCCGCTGTAGTTTCTACAGGCCCTATTGTTTTGTACAAAATACTCTCTCCACCCATTCCTCCCAAGGAACATATGAAATTGCAAACTAACTGAAAGAGTTGAGTTTTTGTCTGGTTCAAAAGCCCTGTGGAAGTTGGGAATAGCCATAGGCTGGCTCCAGGAGTATCTGAGACAGAGGCTGTGGTTAAAATTATTGGAGCCAATGAAGCGAAAAGGCTGGCCTAAGTGTCTATATCTACCTTCTTACTAAGTCCCTTCAATGCAATGCAAATACTCAACATTCTGATCAGACAGCACGCAATCTTAACGTATGTTGGAAAGATTCCTTACGCTGGGGTGTATCATGTCTGGGCCTTTCTAACAACTCAAAACAAAATTCCAAAATGCAGGTCCTTTTTGCCATACCTCCACGATTAAACCAACACTTAGCAATCACCTAGATGTAAATAATCTGGATGGGCCATAGCTCAGTGGTAGATGACATGCTTCTCATAATGTCCCTGGAACTTCTTTGTGAGACTGAGAGAAAGCCCTGCCTGAAATAATGGAGAGCAGCCGCCAGTTTGTACAGGCAGCACTGAGCTAGATGGTCCAATGGTCTGACTTGATATAAGGCAGCGTCTTGAGTTCCTTATTCTTTTCTGGAGGGATGTCCATACAGAGAGTAAAACACTTTCCAGCACGACAACTAGTTCCTTTCTGCTGGCTTGAACTGACAAGAGACTAGAAGCAGCATGATGATTTGGCTGTGTATGTACGAATCACAAAAAAAATGGTATTTGACCAATAAATCTCACCACAAACAGTACATATCAATTCAACCAAGTGGTTTTGGCCCATTCTGTTTCTTTCTTTCCCCCCAGTAGATTATATTAAAGTTTGAAAGAAAATATTCAAAGATTAATATCAAATATCCAATACCTTTTTAATGAAAGATAAAACACTAATCTAAATAAAAACACAAAAGAAATGAAAAGAAAAGAGGAAAGGAAGCTAAAAGAAAAAAGAGAGAGCTTCCAATTTATAATGGTATGGGGTTGCTCATGCGTAAATTGCCGCCTCTCTCCCTGCTATGTTGCCTTGTTAAACCTTTCTGTCTGGACAGCCCTTCAATTCATGGCTGCCTCAGTCGCTAGCAGAATCCGTCAGTGGGCGTTTCTTAAATCTTTTCCAACATAAAAGTTGCTTGACACCCAGTCTCCTCCTACTCTCTCTGCGCGGAAGTCTTCTGCGCAGGGTGGGCGTGGGTAGCGGAGGACCCGTGCTCTCCCCGCTGGTGTCCGGTGAAGAGTCTTGGAGCCCTCTCGCCGATTCCCCATCAGCCCCTCTCTTTCCCTGGTGTTGCGCTGATTAGCTTCCCCCTCTGCGGAGCTGCCTCTCTCCCTGCTGGGCCCTTCTCCAGCATCATTTGAGAGCCTTCCCTCCGCCTCGAGCTCCGATGTCAGTTCCCTGACACAATTCTTCGTCTGTCAGCTACATATAGAAAATTGTCTAAAACAACCACTCCAAGGTAACATTCAACAATTCCATTTTCTATAAACCACTGTTTTCTTCAGTCCTCAAACCCAGATATCATAAGTTCATTTTCTTTTTCACATGAAAAGTCTATAAGGAGTTTCCAATCTTTAGTAGGCCCATTCTGTTTCAATGGATTTCTTTTCCCCCTGTTTCAGGATCGCTTGGACTCGATGCGGCATGCATTGTCAGAGAGCAAGAGGCAGAACCATAGCTTGACGGATACAGTACATTTGCTGCAAGATCAGCTGGGTGAGATGGAGCTGCGATGCAGAAACCTGGAAGGGCAGTTGGAACATCTCCAAGAAGTGAGTAACGATGAGGAGAGGAGGATGAAGCAAGAAACAGTGGTCTTGTGGATGTAACTATCTCACACTTGTGATTATATGGATTGCAGCAGGCCACATCTCACAAGCATCTATTGGAGAGTGCCCATGCTTTCACTGGTGATGAGTGACAAAGCTTCCTTTTCTAACCCCATGCAAATTTAGGAATTCCATAGCACAGCTAATCCAAGCCAGTTTTCTGGTCAGTGCTGGTCCACTGTTTGGTACTTCCAGGAAGCCCACTGGGACTTCTACAGGCTTGTTGTCAGCAGATCAGCGCTGACATTAAGGCTCACAATTGTTTCTTGGCAGCTGCATTTCCAACTGCTTCACACCTGATGTTGCATATGACAACAGTTGTGAGACAGGTGGCTTTGGTTTGGGGGAAATGGCCTCACAGGCCAAATTGGAATCTAATTTGGCCAGTGTACTGAAGGTTCCTCACTGCTGATCTCAGGCTAAAGGATTGTTACTCACCTTTGCAGAACCTATTGTTCCATCTCATCTTTCAAGTGCACAGTTTTGTTGAAGAAGGGAATTATACCCACCTGAGCATTCAGGAATATTATCAACTGCCTTCTTCTGTGGCAGCCAAGAAACAGAAACGATAAAAATTCTTACCAAGCAATTGATTCAATAATTCACAGAGAGTGACAAAGGAATGCAGCCTTCCCTAAATAATGGCGCTGCTCCAAGTAAAGTCCCACCCACCTACATCGTCCCTATTCTATGTCACCCCTGTGTCAGCTAATCTGAGCTTTCTGCCTCTGAGCTCTCTGTTCTACTACCCACAATGCACGCCTAGACCTGGGAGGGGGGTGGTCAGGAATGCTTTCCAAGGACACTGAGTCTGTCAGCTGTCTCTCCCCTGGTGCTTCTTCTTCCTGCTGTTCCTCTCCCAATATTTCCCAGCTTCTGCCCTCTGCAGCCTCTCAACTATGCCCTTCTGCAAACCACTGTTCTAAATCTATACTGTCCTGTTCTTGGGAAGGTTCAGGAGAAGGCCCTCACCATTCCTCCTCAGTCCAGCCCCTGACATCATCTGAGCCCTAGCAATAGGTTAAGGCTGGAACCCCAAAGCAGATTCTAAGAGCATTATGCACCTCCCATGGGGCCTGAACCCAGGACTTGCTTAGCTAGGATGAAACTTTAGTTAAGAGATTCTGAGCTGAAGGAGTCTATTGGAGACACTTTTGTTGCAAATCTAATTACTTATTTTAATTCCCTTCCTATTCTAGAGCAATCGTGACAGAATTGGATTTGTTAAGATACAGATTTCTAAAAATAAGAGAACAATTTACTTCCTTGGTAACTCCAGGAAGTGTTTCATGGATGATGTATTGGTATCTCCCTCAATAGAACCTCAGCCAGCTTGGTCAAAATCTTCACAAAATTGATAGATTCTGACAAAAACCTTCTCCCTGCAAAAAAATTAACTAGCAACCTCTAATCATCAGAAGATGGGAGGCACACAAAGAAGGTTGAACAACCTTTTTAAAATGTTCTAACAATTCCCCGATTCTTGTTCAGCCTTTTCCATCTAGTGACAGAAGTATATTTGAAAATGCTTAAGGGGTCCTTGATAAAATAATTGCTTTGGACTGACATTTAAAGTTTCTCTCCTGGAACCTTGTGGGCTAGAGTAACGAATTATATTATTTGGCTTTTATTACTCCCTCCCCCCCCCCCCCGAATTTGATATTCTGTGCTGGCAAAAGCATAGTCCCTAGAGTCAAATCCTCCTTCACTACAGGGATATTATTCATATATTATTCCTTTGGTTAAAACAAATTTGAAAGGGAGGCTATTGGACGCTTAGTTACTTCCGTTTCAGTTTACCTAGATGTTAACATTCAAACGTTGAATAGTATTTATCAGCAAAATTTTCAAGTACCTTTGTTTCAGGGTAAGCAGATGGATACTCTGCTTTGTATGAATGATTGTTGGTACATCTTGAATTTCAGTTTCCTAAAGCTAAATTTGTACTATGTGAAGATTTTTAACTCACAAATTGGCTCTGGCCTATGTGGGTGAGCAGAAAACACTCTACTACTAGTAAGGCAAGCCTTTTTCTTAGATAGAACATTGCATGATGAATTCTGGCCTGAAACTTCTTGAACTTTTATCCTTTCATCAACTGTATTGTCTTTGTGGTACTAAATATGATAGGAACTCATGCCTTTTACTCCAATTGAGGGGCTAGTGAGGGCCTCATGTTGTCATTTTCTTTTTTTTAAATCTGAGGTTCATAAGTTTAGTAGCAGGGTTGAAAGTGATCATTATTTGACAATTCTGCTATATAATACTAAGGTGTGATCTCAGGTATGGGGCACGTGGACAAGACTGGGGGGAAACAGCCTGGTGAGCCTAATCTTACCTGTGGGCTAAATGTTCCCGTTGACTGCCTTACAGCTATCTGTGCTGTTGGCCATGATTATTGACAGATATTAGACTTTTCTTAAGAGTAGCTGCTGGGCCAGAAGATGTTCCACATTCAAACTTATTTTGTCCTTTCTACTTAAGTTTCCTATTTTATTGGGATTACACTCTGAAACCACCCCGGGAAAGATATGTTATTTGTTGCCAGAGACTGACCTTTCTGCAGTGTATACGGTGTCTCCTTTTGTACTTGGTGATACAAGGATAAATGGAAAAATGCTTTTGGAGATATCTACAAATTGTCATGATGATGCCCTTATTTGAGAGCGAGAAAGAGAGTGATTGCCTGTTTTTCTTATCCCTTGTTTTTTATCCTTGAGTCTGGCTTTTATTTACTATATTTTACATTTTTCTTACATGGCGGAGTGGATGAAACTTCAGTACCAAGTGTTAGTAGAGTGGCTGTGAGCAGGATTGACTCCTGCATTTGTCTACTCTTGTGTAATATAATGTAATGTAATGTAATGTAATGTAATGTAATGTAATGTAATGTAACAGTGTAATATAAACAAATAGCATTATGTATGCTTTTCCTAATTCATATGCATTCCATATTAACTTTAGTATAGAATAATAGTGAAGAAACATGAGAAATTTTAAAAAATACAATGCTTATTCTGACCTAGTTATATCCCTTCACAAGAATGCATGCTTGTAGCTTATGGCACTCTGCATCTTTAGGTTTCAAAGGATAGATATCAGTAATAAACTTCCATTAATTTGCCTTTAGGCTATATGTATAAATACATGTGTTATTCAGTGGTTTACACTATAGGGTATGGACCTTTCACGTGGCTGTTTTGGAAAATGTAGAGATGAAAAGAGAACCTTGCTCAGTCCCTTTCTGTCCCTTCAGGCACGGAACTTCAGTCACTTTCTGCAAGTGGAGAGAGAGTGTTTGTTGGGTATAACTTTTGTTTCGTGGCCCCTGTCCAATGACTTCCCAGTACACACAAAATTACTGCTCTCCAATTCTTTGAATGCAGTCCAAACAATGCATTCAGAACTCTTCATTAAAGTAAAATCTCAGCTCTCACAAGCGCACATTTATGCATGCACATCCTCAGGCTACCTGCTTTCCCCTCCTCTTCAGAGAAGCAACCAACAACACACAGCTCCAAGGAGCTGGTTCAAGTTCACAGAAATAATTTGTCACACATGTGTTTGGTATCAGCAGGGGCACTCTTGGATCAGCCTAATTAGCTGTAGTGATGGAGAAACAAAATCCAAACCATGTGGCAGATCCTTCTCCTAAAGTTCATGTAAGCCTCTTTGAGTCAACCTTTGTCCCTTCCAACCCCCCAGCCCCCCAAAAAATCTATATGTAGAAGTTTCCACATCTTTAGTCAATCCTTGTCTCTTCTCCCTACTTTGTCAACAAACTTGCACTCTCTGCTGCATTTTTAGCAGGGAGTGGGCTTGCTTCAGTGCCCAACCAGCTTGATACAACTGGAATGTATAGATTGCTGCCTCCAGATGTAATCTGAAGTGAGTGGGAACAGCAAGAAATATTCAGGGCTGCCTCCTAGGCAACTCCCCATTTTGAGGTGCATTTGCCTGTTTTAAGAGGCCATGTCATTAAAGCTTAGCCTAACACAATAGTGCCAGAAATCCTTCCATTTTAGCTACACTTTTGATACTGAGTTGTACTGTGTCACAGTTGTCTATACTGCATTTGAAAGATTAGAGGAGGGTTTGGGCACGGAATACCATACCATGGTCAAGCTCTGTGAGTATCCAAATCAGAGATTGCAGGGGGGACGACGACTCAAAAACATCCTTTCTCGTCTCCTGAATATGCGATTAGACTTTAGGCTACAAACTTTGCCTTGGTACCTAAATCTGGTTTCTTTTCAGCAGCTCTACTCTATTAATTAGCCTCTGATTTGCAGACCAACTTACTCAGTGGATAATTCACCCCTGAAACTGGGCATCTTTGTAGTCCCTAAGGACTAAAGTAGACAGTATACTCCATGCGTGAATATATTTAATGTGCCTGGATTATTGCTATTTAAATAGCAGCTATAAGGGTAGGGAGAATCAGGACTATGGGTGTTTAACCCTCCCTGCACTGTAATCAAGATGAAAATTGCTCTCCCCCAAACTGTTATTCACCTCCTGGGGCAAACAGGAGCTTGGGGTGATTTTCAGGGGAGATTACACAGCACAAAGGGAAATGTAAGGATGACAGATGGTTGGTTCTTTAATTGTATATTTTTATCACACAAGAGGGGAGAGAGGCAACTTGTTTTGCTCAGGCTCCAAAATACCCAGTGGTTTCCACATTTCCAAATAATGGATACCACCAATGAGGTTTTCCTTTGTTTAAAGCTTATCTCTGAAATACACCCTTCCACTTTGCTGTAACATGAAGTTGTCCGCATCTCTGTTAGTCTTGCATTACGTTATCCATTCATAACTGCTGAGCACCAGGTGCTGCCATCCGTCGGTGACTCATAGGCCAGATATAAATAACAAGAACCTCCAGAACAGCACAGAGGGTAAGGAGAGGGAAGATTGTTCCCGTGAAGTGCTTGTTCTGATGGAACAATTGCCATAGCACAGGCATGTCCAACTCTCAAGAGACTGCGATCTACTCCCACTATAAAAACACTGACAATGATCTACCCATTGGAGCTTTTTTTTTTTCAGGAGTCAGACCCAAAGTTGTTGAGCTTTTTTGGGGGGGCGATCCATCAGGATCCTGGGATCAACCGGACATCCCTGCCATAGCACAACGTCTAATTCCTCCTGTGGGATGGGCACAGCTTTGGCCTTGTTGTTATTTAATGTTGGAGCCAGTGTGGTCCAATAAAATAGAGGGTTGAGCTGTGATCCTGTAGGCTTGGATTTAAAATCTGTCAGCTGCAACTATGTTGTGTGACTTTGGGCAAGTTTTTATCTTTCAGCACCAGAAGCGCCTTCTGTGTGGTATAAAGTTTCATGTTTGCAACTGCATCTGTTTATTTGCCCAATTCCTCATTCTGAACTGCTTTCCTATCTTTTCTTTCTTTTTCCTTTTCTTTTTCGGAAACCAAATTTTCTAGTACTTTATATGCCCATAATACAATACAATGGGTTTCCCTTACGGCTATTCTTAAAATAGTGTAAGGATAAAAAGAAAAAAGATATCCAGGGTATTGCTTATTCAAGTTAATATTTTGATCCACCATCTGTGAGATGCTATACTACATTGTTGACCATTCCAGATATCTGTATCTTATTATATAACCCCTGGATATGTGTATGGTCTATTAAAATTGTACTGCAGTGCCTCAGCTAATGGGGATGTGCCATCTCCAGCAGATGTCATCTTCCCTAGGAAGGGTTAAAGCATGTTCTTGCCAGGCCCAAGTGTTAGGAAGGGCCAGGCTTGGCATTTTCTAGAAGTTATTTATTGTTCATCTTTAATGGATTTTTCTAGCTGTAGAAACGAAGAGGGTGACGAATATGATGTTTTTCTGTTATGGCAAAACAGCATTACAAGCATTTATCTCTGCAAGCATAAAATAGCCTTGTGTGCCGTGCCCCTGAATTCCCCCATGCACAACCCCTTTCCCTGGATTGGAGGAAGGGGAGAAGCTAGTTAATGAGTTCCAGAAGATCAGCTGTAAATGGCCAGGGAGGGTAATTCATATCAAGCTCATAAAACTCTTTATTGATGTCTCCAGAGGGGAAATCCGGATGTGGCCGTTTATTTATTCTGGATTTTGCTTCTCTCTCTCTCTCTCTCTCTCTCTCTCTCTCTCCAACCTCCCCCCCGCCCCCTTTAATGTTTTCTTCTGGTAAGTTTTGCATGGCGTTTTAAAGGAACAGAATATCCCATCACCCCAACAGTTATTGGGAATCTTTCTCCCTCTACACAGCACAATGCCTCTCCCCACCCTCAATTCAATTCTGCCCCTCTCTTTCCCCTCCTCATAGGGGAGCCTTGCTTCTTCCGGCATTATAGTTTGCTCTTTTTGGATCTGGATCTCAATTCTATCCGAGATGGCTAGACAGCTAAAGAAATGTGGTGGAGTAGGAGGGTAGGTGGGACAGGCTGGATTTGCCATGCTTTTCCTTAACCCATATTTTTTTTTAAGGAAGAGGTGACACCTTCAGATCCAGTGGTGGTTTACTTAAGGCCAGCTAGCATTTAAAGACACTCGAACTCAGGGCACAAGGGAAAAATGTGCTAGGAGGAAGGGACGCTTGGCAAATCCACACCGTGATCAACTCCTGCCCAGAAACCAATGTCCCCACTGTGGAAGGATGTGTGGATCCAGAATTGGTCTCCACAGTCACTTACAGACTCATTGTTAAAACCCTGTTTATGGAAGACAATCTTACTCGGCTACGAGTCATAGAAGAAGAAGAAGAAGAAGAAGAAGAAGAAGAAGAAGAAGAAGAAGAAGAAAGAACCTAGAAGCTGGCAAAGAAGTATAACTGACATTTGGTGTTACCTTACTCCACTTGTGTTAAACTTTTGGATAGCATCCACAGTTAAAACCTATAAGCTTCATACACCTTCAGCAAAGTGTCCAGCTTAGGTGGTTTTTAAAACAATTAGGCAAATTCATGCAGGATGGGTCCGGCACTGTCTATGGACCATGGCAGCTGTAAATGCATCCACGCAATTCCGCCGCAAAGTATCTCTGATTAACAGATGCTACAGCAAGCCCACAGAGAATGGAGGACTCTCTATTGAACTCTGTGAGTTTTGCTGCCGCTTGTGAGTTTTGCAGTATTCTGTTGGAGGCAGAATGTTGGACTATATGGATGCTTTGCCTGACCCAGCAATTGTAATGTTTCATGCTAGACAGTTCTGTCATCATCCTTGAAGAAGTACAAGGATGTGGGCTTAAACCCAATGTTCACATGTTTCTGCTTTCTTTCATAAAAGGCTGTAGCCTCCCAACATTTCATAGAGGAAAACAGGTCCCCTGATAAGGGATGGAAGGATCCATCAAGTCTGGTTCCCTCAGTTTCTCATTTTTCCAGTCTTAAATTTCGTTTTCCACATTTCTGCAATGAATAGTGAATTTTCTTTGTAAAATCCGCATGAAAATTTTAGTGCAGTTGTCTTCTAAGAAGCACATTTTCATATGCAGTTTTGACTGTTGTGCTGATTTTTGGAAGCAGTTTCTCCTAATACAGTGGAACATCGGTTTTTGAACGTAATCCATTCCAGAAGACCATTCGACTTCCAAGGCAATTTCGAAAATGGAAGCAATTACTTCCGGGTATTCGGTGTTCGGGTTCCAAATTGTTCGGCTTCTGAGATGCTCGAAAACCGAGGTTCCACTGTGTGTACATTTTCACAATCTTTTTTGGGGGGTGGGGGGGATACCTGCTTCACAAAATTTGCTAAGTGCAAATTTTGAAGGATAGTTATGTTTTGGTTCTCATACAGTTTCAAAAGGTGTGAATCTGATAAACACAGCTTTAAGTGTGAACTGAATCAGATTTCTCCCCCATACTACATTTCTTTTGTATATAATAACCTTGGGATTTATATGGGCCACTTCCATGGGGTTAAGAGGATGAAGGGACCACTGTTCCCTTCAGCCCCAGCCAGTATGGTCAGGCATTGTTGGAGCTGTAGTCTCAAACAACCAGGTAGGGGCAATGAGTGGGGTTGTAAAAGGCTAATGTATCCTTTCTTGTCCATGTACCGCCAGCATCTCTATCTTTGCATAGGATGTTTCTTTTTTGTGCTGCTTTCCTTCACCAAACTTGAATTATTAATCATTCTGGCATCTTGCCTGTTCACTTCAGTAGATCATCTCTTCCATCATACCTGTATCCAGTTATCCATCCCATTCATGCCCACAGATAGGCATGTTTACTCATGCAAGAGGCAAATTTCCTTGCATTCATGTGGCAGGAAGGTTTTCACAGGACTACAGACTGAATGTGCCCTCCTTTAATCTTTCTGACAATGACTCTTCCAGGCCTGGCCTGGCTATTATTCACAGTGATGTGGGCACCTCAGGCAGCAGATGCTGGGAGAAGTGACGTGGTGGAGGACAAAACGCTCTGCCCTGATCCATCACTGATACTGAAGTAAGATTCAACTGTCAGCCCACTCGAATTCTGTACATAAAGCAGGATGGCCATCTTGTCCTTTGCCTCGGGCAGCAAAATATATAAGGCCGGCCTTATTCTCTTTCTCCCTTTTTTAACCCTACAGTCCAGAATAGCCACTTCACAGCCCCCCCCCCCCGTTCCTAAAGAAGTTGGTAAAGGCATCTTCTCCGCTTAGTTGCCTCAGCGTGACCTCCAGCATGGTTCCTTGGAGTCACTTTCTAAGAATCACTTTTGATTTTCATTAAGTTCTCCCTCGTCCTCATCCTTTCTCATTTCTGGCTGTTCTTTTGGCATTTTCCTGGGAAGTCATTCTTCCTTGACTATAATTAGTTTTATCTGGAGATGACTGCTCAGCACTCTCCACATTAACACCAAATTTGCAGCGTCAAGTGCGACTTTTAAGCTCACAGGACAAATTCATGGTGTTGTGTATTGGGGACTAATTTTAGAAAGAAAGAGAAAACAAAGCATGTTTCTGCAGTTGTGTGTGACCTGAAGCTAACTGCGCTGTTTTTTGCAAGTGCCAAACTGAATAAGTATTGTGGCACTTAATTAGATCCCGGTCTCTTCATGGAATTTTAATGGTTTCAGCCCAGTGGTTGCCCTCTTCTTCGCAAACTTTAGCACCTTCAAACTTGTCAGGATTTCCCCCAGATTTCCCCCAGGTGTGGGGAGAAAAAAAGCATGTAATGGCAGTATCTGAGCTGTGCCAGGTACTGGATAAGGGATTGTGGTGTCTCCTCTGCAGGCAGAGCATGAGAAATTCAGGAAGGAAGATGACACATTTAGGTTGAGTCACATGAGGGAACAACTGGACCGGTCCCTGAACAGCCTGCAACAGGAATTGGAGGATACCCTGAGGCAAAACGAACACCTGCAGGTCAGCAAGGACTTACTGAACCTGGAAGGGGGAAGGCAGGAGGACATGAAAGGATCTGGTCTGAAGGGACATGAGGCGGGAGAAGGCACATGCTGAGGCTGAGCAGGGTGATATGAAAAACATGAAAGAGAGTGGGTGCTGTGGGTGCTACCTAGTGAAAGGTTACACATATTGTGGAGACTAAAGGGATGGGGAGAGGAGGGCAGCTGAGCAGGTTCTTAATTGTGCCCCTTCGCCCTAACAGCAGTTTTCCACCTGAGCTTAAAATGCACTGGGACCATAGGCCTGAGAGCGTGTTCCAGCATCTACCTCTGCACTGGACTGATCCTAAAAGGGCCGATTATGTTGGTCTCCTTGTATGGGCCCTTTCTTCCTAGTCTTGCAATGAGAGGAAAGAGACCTAAGAGCTTCAGGGGATCAGTATTCAGCGGGTATCAGGATCACAACCTCATGAGCTGGACCCAATTTGTGTGCTCATTCTAGGCCAAGATTGCAGAGCTGGAACGAACACATGCTCAACAACTGATGGCTCTAACATCCCGTCATCAGCTAGACATGGAGTTGGAAACAGAGAGGCTTCACAGTGCACAGCTCCAGTCCGAACGTAAGCTGGAGTCACGAGAGAGAACTCATCGGCAGAAAGTGAAGAGCTTAGAGGAGCAGGTAGAGTGGGGAACTAGACTGGATATTTCTGTTCGTATCCAAATTCCCCAGTGATGCCCAGGTTCTGTGACCAGAATTTATTGTGCAAATCAAAAAGGTTTTGCAAAATTTTGTAATGATATTTGGAGTTTTGAGGTGAGAACTGGGGTGATGGTTGGAAACAGAGGGAAGAACTGGGAGTATGGGCATTTTTGAAGTCAAAAGGGTGAGGACACTGAGGAAAGAGAAGAATGCACCATTGTTTATGGATTCCTCCTCCCAAATGCTTCCTGGCTCTCTAGCGCAGAATGCACTAGAGTCCAAGAGGTAATTTCTAGTGTTGAACAGCAAACATCCATAGAGCACAAGCTAACCTGTGAGGACTAAACAGCTCCATGGTTTTCTTGTACCAACAGCTTATACTGCTTGTGAATCTGGGATATGATGCAGTGGTGTGTTGCTTTCTCTGCCCTGGAGAAAGAGAAGCTGGGTGGTTGCTTAACCCCTAAACCAGATAAGGGGTATCATTATGGAGCTATTTCACACACTGCTTTTCTAAGTTATGAAAGAATCGACTTGACAAACGTGTGTTCAACTACCTGCATCGTGCAAGTGCCCGAGAGGTTGGGATTGATGGACTGCGTAAATGATATCAGAACACATTCAGTGTGTAAACTAGCCCTTCAGATTTAACAGCATAACAGCTAGAGGAGGAAGGTTAAGTAGGACTGCAAGAGAAGTGGGGGAGGTGGGGAGAGATCCGATTTAATCTACTGTTCAACACAAGGCCTTCTCATCATGAGGACAGTAAGAGCACCAGACCCTTCTCCTGCTTCAGTTTAATAATCCTTGGTAATAATAATTGTGGATATTTTTCTCAATCATGCTGCAGCCCTAAGAAAAAGAATATGAGTATGAACTTTTCCTCTCTTGAGGTCAAAACTACATGTTTATACTAGCTTTATGCTAGCTTCCTAGCACCCAGAAAGAGAAGGCCAGCAAGTGGACAGAGGTGAACAGGCTTCTGCTATCTCTCTAGGCAGCACCATAAGCTCTGGACATCATAAGCAGTTTACCATGTTGCCCAGACAGGGTGAGCCAGAAATAAGAATAGAGGTTTAAATAGTGGAACAGAACAGAAGAGTGGTTTATATGAACGTAGCCCTATTTGTCGACATGTGTTTCCCCAGGTGAATGCTCTGAAAGAGCAGCTGGATCAAGAAGTGAGAAGACGACAAGCCTACATGAGCCAGAAACTTCACACTGTGAAATGATTCAGAAATGAACATTGTGCCCTGATCCCAGACAACCAAACACAGAACCAGCCTTCAGCAGAATCCTCACAGCTCAAGCACTGCAATCTCCTGCATAAGGGTGCTCATCTGATTCTTGGTCTGAGAAACCAGAGCTCCCAGACTGACAGTGCTAGGAAGTAATGTCTCCCCCACCCAAGGAGCAAATACCCTGAAGACTTGGAAGGCACAGTCAAGACAGCAAATGACTAGGCAGCCTGCAGCCAAGAGGAAACCCTGCTGTGGGGGCAGCTGTTCTCTCTAAGATGCTTGAAACCCAGGGCACTGATGCTTAACTAATTAATTTAGGACATTTGACGAGGGCATTCTCTGTTGTTTGGTTTTCTGGGTAGAGTATCCCTGCGTGATCCCCGTAAGGTTTTATATTCAGGCTGTACAAACTGGAAAATTCCACAGCCCAGAAAGGAGCATTTATTATTGAAATACCTCTGCATTTCCATCACTGACCAGGTTATTTTATTCTCCCTCAGGGTTTGAAAGTTGCTGTCAAGTCCTTCCTGGTGCCTCGTACTGTAGCCATACCTGTTTAGTCAGTGGTATCCATGATGGTGGCGGCTGTCTGACAATGATGTCACAGATCCATATATTACATGCCCTTCTGCAAATGAAGGAGGCAGGTATTTCTGCTGCCATCCAGATCACACTGTGCTATAAAGAGAAGTTTTGAAGCAGAGTGTGAACCACACCCAGGGATTGATCAAATCCTTTGCTGTGTCTATGAACATCAAGCCATTTTCATGGTGGCAGGTGGCTGAGATTAGCTCAAAGCCAAGCCATCTTATGACTTGCTGGCCCCAAGACATGTCAGAGTGTTAACATTCAACATTCCACCCACTCTGCCGGCTGACAGGCTCCAAGGAAATCCCTTTAGGAATCAAACTTTGGTTTCCTTGGTGATGACAGGGAACCATCTTGGAGCTGCTGCGAGTGTCACCTGTTAGCATTGTTCCACATTTTTTCCTCGTGAATGTTTGTTTTTCCAAATGTGGTACTGCGAATTATTAAAAATAAAGAACCACTTCCTAAAGAAACCGAGGAGAGCAATTTCCACTGTGCTAATGTATAAATACTGCACATTCTGTACTGGCTTATTTAATATTTGTCATGTAGCCCTGAAAATTACCGTTTTAAACAACAAAAAAGAGTTTTGTGGCACCTTTTAAGAGTAGCAGATTTACTGCAGCATAAGCTTTCATGCCAACTCCAGTGGGCTGTAATTCACAAAAACATAAGCTACAATTAATCTGTTAGTCTTTCAGGGGCCATAAGATTAACCCCATCCACTACAGCTCCCCACACACCATCTCTCACCCTGTTTTTAAGGGTTCCTCAACTCTGGAGAGGATTGGGGAGTCACAGCAGGGCAGAAGGTCTATATGTGAAAATTGCCTTCTTACTGCCCACCCCCCCTTCTACTGACAGAAGCCTCCTCTGCATTAAAGAGCTTTCCTTCATCAGAGAGATACCACTGGGTAAAATACTTGCTGTTTTCTGTTGCAACAGACTAACATGGCTGCTCTTCTGAAAGCTGTACAGTGGTACCTCGGGTTAAGAACTTAATTCGTTCTGGAGGTCCGTTCTTAATCTGAAAGTATTCTTAACTTGAAGCACCACTTTAGCTAATGGGGCCTCCCGCTGCCACTGTGCCGCTGGAGCACGATTTCTGTTCTCATCCTGAAGCAAAGTTCTTAACCCGAGGTACTATTTCTGGGTTAGCAGAGTCTGTAACCTGAAGCAGCTGTAACCCGAGGTACCACTGTATAAAATAATTATCCTCCTTCTTATCATAGAGTTGGAAAGGACCCCAAGTCATCTAGTCCAACCCACCCCCCATGCAGGAATCTCAACTAAAGCATCCAAGACAGATAGATTGCCATTCAACCTCTGCTTAAAAGCCTCCAATGAAGGAGAGTCTACAACCTCCCGAGGGAATCCATTCCACTGTCAAACACCTCTTAATGTCAGAAAGTTCTTCCTAATGTTTAGTCAGAATCTTCTTTCTCCAACCTACCAGTGTTTACAAAGATGCATATATTTGGGGGGAAATGTACAAAAAATGAATAGCTTCATAAAGAATAGTGTACAACAAAGCATAACATTGTTTTCAAAAATGTGCCTATTAATCATTTCTTGGGAGAAATTCTACTAAAATGCTGGTGAATTTTTATGAGGTTTCCTTAAACAACAAAAATCACAAATCATTGCAGAAATGTGGAAGACTAAATTTAAGATGGGAAAAATTAGTAACTGAAAGAACCAACATTGACAGATCCTTCCATCCCTAGTTGCAGTAAATTATTTGGGCTGAACTTCTGAAGTAAGGTGCTCGTTCCTTAGGACTAGTTCTGATCCTGAGCTGGTGTCAAACCACGATTCTGTTCACTTCTGCTGGGAAACACACACATGCACCCAAAAAGTGCTGTTTAAATGCATGTAAATTAGGATTAATTTAGTTGAACTGCCACAAGCCTTATATTGAGTGACTAACAATGGCAGATGACTTTTCAACCTTTCGATACCACGAGCATAATATGTCAAACTGTGGTCCACAGGCCACTGTTGGCCCAGAGGTTGCAGAACAATCAGAATATCTGCACGTGGTCCTGCATTTGTTTAAATTTTTTTCTGAGCAGAGATTGAGGCCATTCTGATCAGGGCCAAATTTACTGAGCAGCTAACAAGGCATTACCCTGGACCCCATGATTGTTATGATATGCTACTTGTGCAGTCCATTGATCTTTCCCTAAAACTTTGCCAGTTAAAGGGACACCACTCAGTCACCTGGCTCAGGGCCCTTGACTTCCATAATACGTCACTGGTTCTGACAATGGTGCTGGGAGTTCATGAAGGGGTCCACTGAGATCCCCAGCAGTTTGCAAGTGGTCTATGAAAAAAAAAAGTTTGGGAACGCTGGCCTGGACCATTAAGTGCCAGATAGCGAAGGAGATGGTATGCCAGCCTTTGTTGCCATATGTATTAGGAGAAGTTGAATGCTGCCCAGTTTCCACCACCAGGTTTTGAGCTATCCATAGGCACAGAGCTGGGAACCCCAGAAAACGTCTATCCATTGCTGGCACAATCAGGCTTCAGTGAGGGAAACTTTCCATGGGGGGAATTTAGCTAATCTGCTGCTGTTCCTTCTGAGCCCTGCTGTTCTTTTCTGCTCAGTTTCAGTTCTTACACAGGAATCTGTTCCTTGGCCTCAGTTCAGGATTGAAACGGACCTTGCAATAATTATTACGGCGGATATTTCTATTGCCTTTTTATTGAATACAATCACAGTTTCAAAGCATGTTCCCAGTGGGAAAGAGTTTTATCTTCAGAATGTTGGAAGCTAAACACTCGGTTGCAGCTACCAACAAACCACTACGCGTAGGACCACTTTTTGCTACAGATACTCAAAGTATAATAGCAGTTGCAATGGTGTGGTCTTAAGAAAAGAAGAATGCAAAGGGATTAAACATGTCAGCTTTGTTCTGCCACTTCTTTCTCCCACCCCCCACCCCCCGGATCACAAGCTTTGCAGAAGAATTTAGAGCTCAGGCTAGTAGCACTGAAGCTGAGAAACCGAAGCCTTGAATGTAGTGCATTAAAGTAAGTCCTCCCAAAAGCCAATGGGACTAATTTAAATGTACTGGCCACAAATCCTGCAAAACCTAGCTAAGGCTAATACGATTGAATTGTATCCAGCTCCATTCCAAACTCTGCCCAGGGAACAGCAAGGCTTTTACTGGAGCAGCAGAGCCACTGCTGTACGTGCATCCTGCAGCTCATGCCAGCTGGGGTGGAAGGTGGGGATGTTGGGAGGAGGCAAAATGCCAGTGTGGTGTAGTGGCTAAGAGCGGTGGACTCGTAATCTGGTGAACCGGGTTTGTGTCCCTGCTCCTCCACATGCAGCTGCTGGGTGACCTTGGGCTAGTCACACTTCTTTGAAGTCTGTCAGCCTCACTCACCTCACGGAGTGTTTGCTGTGGGGGAGGAAGGGAAAGGAGAGTGTTAGCCGCTTTGAGACTCCTTCGGGTAGTGATAAAGCGGGATATCAAATCCAAACTCTTCTTCTTCTACTCTTTGGGACCCTTTAACTGGCACAGCAGCTGGGCTCAGATTGGGACCAATGTCACTGTGTGATGGCAGTGGGGCAGGACCCAGAGCTTGGGCTGCCCTTTGAAAGCCCTGTGCCCATGGCCAGCACACCAGTTAGGTGACCTGAAGTGGCCCGCCTCTGGCAGCATGCTCCATGGGGGGTGGGAAATCCTGATTCCCCCACTATCACCACCACTTATCCTCTTTCCTTCCAGCAGCCACCCCTCTCCAGCTTCTGCGGTGGCAGCTTCCAAGTGTACTTTGGGTAAGCTGAAGACACAGCTGAAAGCCAAAGCTGTGGAGAGCAGCAACAGCACCTCACGGAACACCCCCTTTCACCAGGACTCACCCAAAAGGCATTCCCACAGAGCGGCTGTGTTGCTGCTGGTCTTCCACTCCTAGAGCAGTGGGGAGATTGGCACCAATGCCTCACAGAAAACCCTCTTTTTGCCAAGACTCTCCGTGGAATGCCCCCATTCCTTCAGAGCATCTGAGTTGCCACTAGTTTCACACCATGCCGGGGCCTGGTTTGGGGGTGGGTGTTGACAGTGTGTCTTGCCTGAGGCACCAAAAGATCTCTGTCTGCCCCTTGCCTGAGCCAATGGAGTGGCTTTGGCATTCCACAGATGGTGGCCAGCAGAGGCTGGTAGGATTCAAACTCCTTCCAGCCTGGTGCAAAGAGGGTTTGTATCGCAGTGCCTGTCAGTTGAGCTTCACTCATTTTTATTGCAATGGGACTCATTGTATTGATTTTAGTGGAAGTGAAGTTCAGCTAACAGTCTGGATCCAACTCATTGTCTTATACATACTTACCGTACTTGGGATTAGGGCCAAATGCATATGGCCTTTTGGTAAATGGACATAGGAATGGCCTGGATGTTCCATTCAAGGCAACAGAGTGGGAAATGCCAGCCCAATCCTATTCATTTTCATTCAGAAATAAGTCCTGCTGATCTCAGGCTGGTTTTTAGGTAAGTAGACATAATATTGCAGCATTAGTTATTAATTACATTAATGGAATGTAATTGTAGTAACTTTTGTTGGGTTGTATTAGGAGTGATAAGTGAAAGAACTCAGCTCCATCATTAGAGCATGAGACTCTTAATTTCAGGGTCGTGGGTTTGAGTCCCACTCTGGGCGAAATTTCCTGCATTGTAGGGGGTTGGGCTACATGATCTTCATGGTCCCTTCCAACTCTACAATTCTATGGTTTTATGATTCTGTTTTAAGTGCTATTTATCATGACCATATTGAGAGCTTGAAAAATGAGGGTTGCGACTAGGATGACCCAGACCACACTTACTGCAGCATAACTTCACAATTTTTCAGTTATTTTGCAAGATAAACATCCCCACTACTGTCTTCTAAACTGGAATCATGCATGACATAGTTAAGAACATAGCACAGCAAGCACACTGCTTTAATGCTTATTTAATTTGTTATCAATCCACACAGATCCCCTCATTCCATCTGAAAGCCCAACCCACAGCAAAAGTTTGTGTTATGATTGAGGGTGAGCCACTAAGCATCTTTCTTTGCTTCCTTAGTTGGGTAACCAACTTAGGTAACCAAAGCCATCCCATGAGATTTTGCTTCCTGGGGCAAAGAACAAGATGGCACCGACTCCCCACTCCACATACAGAAGCTGACCTGATTGAACATTGACTCTTACTTCAACAGTTGTGGTAGGGTAGAATCCTTCATATTATCTGTCAGCTGGCTAGATCATGGTCTCAAGACAGACTGTGAGGCATACACAGCTGTGTCCTCCAAAGCAAGCAAAGGCTGCTGGTGATGGAGGCATAGGCGCAACAACCAAGGGGCTGCCAGTTCTTTCTCTCTGCAGCTGCCGCCTGAGGCAGTTGCCTCACTCTGCCTAATGGCAGGGCCGACTCTAAATTGTGAGAACTATGGACCTGGGCAGCTGGAATGCGGTTTGCAATAATGAGGAATGGAGGAAAGAACAGAAGTACATAAGACAAGAAAGGGGAGGAATGCTAGATAACTAAAGGGATTAGTATTAGAGATTAGTTCACTTCGTGGAAACAAAGCATGTATTTAAAGGCTCTGTACACTGTTCTTGTGGCTAGTTCTCATGTAAACTTTCCAATTATTTTCGAGACTCCCACCCTCGCCCCCCAAGTAGAAAACTGCATTAGTGGATACTAATCAGGGTTTTTTGCGATGGTGGTAAAAATGCCCAAATATTTCTCCATGTAAAAATGTGGTTGAATAGGAGACTGCTTTCACAGGAATATTCACATATTTGTATGGCATCTATGGACTCAGCTGTGGTTCAGAGAGAAGCAGGCACCCTTATTTGAGGATCCAGTTTAAACCATTCAGTGCTTTTTAAACAGATGGAACAGCCATGTGATTCCACAGCAACATACTGGGAGATATATTCATGGGAAATGTGGTGACCTCACTCACTGCTTGTACGACCATTTTCCCGGGGGAATGAAGCCACAAAAGGGAACACCAGGACTTGCCTTTTAATGTTCATGCTAATGGCACCATATGTCTGAAAGTGGGTAGATGGCTTCAGTTAACTAGTTTCCAAATTACTAATAAGGAAAAGAATTTGTGCATGTAAAATGTGTCCACAGCCAAAGCTCTTCCCTCTGCATATGGAGGTGCTTTGCTCCTACTTCCGTGAGATGGAACTGCCTCCCTACGTGCAAATTGCCAAAAAGTAGGTGCAAGCCTGGTTCCAGCACCGCTGTCAACAAGGAAAAAGGAGAGCGCCTCCAGCTGGCTGGGACACTTCCCCTGAGACCTTCCACAGGAAGATGGGCAACCCAACTAGCAGGGAATATTTGATAAGCTGCTCTTAGCTTACACTCCTCGGTCCAAAGATGAAGGCCATCTCTGCATTGCAAAACACTATTTCTGTGTCAAGGGTAGGGGACCTTTTTCACCCCAAGGTGCCCTCTAGGCAACTTTCTCATTGGCCAGTTGCAAAGTGTGGGGATCCATGAATTCAATTTTTACCTTTATGCAATAGGCTTATTTCTACATCCATGCACCTCTGTAGCCACCATCCAGGGGAGCAAGAAGCGTTATCAGAGTTCAAGGACATCTTCCAGCCAGGCAAAAATTACTTAAGGCAGCTGCCAAGCAGGGCCTGCAGGGGTGTGTGGACTGAGGAAGAGTCCTGAGGGCCAGACAACGAGGTTGGAGGCCTTGGGCCTGATATTGCCTCCCTGCCCACACCTGTTCCATGACAGATTTGTATTACGATTCAACCAGCAATGATCTCAGCCTAAGACAGATAGGGCTCCCAGTGTGTTTTGCCTTTGGGATCATTCCCACTGTAAGGGTGTAGACTCTTCCCTTAAGCCCTTCATAGGGTGTGCATGGGCAAAAGAGGCTATATGTTCTTCACTTGCGGCATCCAGGCTGCAATTGGTTTCTTTCTGGCTTGGTTGCCCAAAATTTGGGCTGCCAATCTTGTGTTTCCTCCTGCACTTCCAGTTCTCTATCTTTTCATGTTCACTTTGTTAGTAGACTCCAGGTTAGACAACCCCTCTTGGTCATAGAATCATAGAATCATAGAATCATAGAGTTGGAAGAGACCACAAGGGCCATCGAGTCCAACCCCCTGCCAAGCAGGAAACACCATCAGAGCACTCCTGACATATGGTTGTCAAGCCTCTGCTTAAAGACCTCCAAAGAAGGAGACTCCACCACACTCCTTGGCAGCAAATTCCACTGTCGAACAGCTCTTACTGTCAGGAAGTTCTTCCTAATGTTTAGGTGGAATCTTCTTTCTTGTAGTTTGGATCCATTGCTCCGTGTCCGCTTCTCTGGAGCAGCAGAAAACAACCTTTCTCCCTCCTCTATGTGACATCCTTTTATATATTTGAACATGGCTATCATATCACCCCTTAACCTCCTCTTCTCCAGGCTAAACATGCCCAGCTCTCTTAGCCGTTCCTCATAAGGCATCGTTTCCAGGCCTTTGACCATTTTGGTTGCCCTCCTCTGGACACGTTCCAGTTTGTCAGTGTCCTTCTTGAACTGTGGTGCCCAGAACTGGACACAGTACTCCAGGTGAGGTCTGACCAGAGCAGAATACAGTGGCACTATTACTTCCCTTGATCTAGATGCTATACTCCTATTGATGCAGCCCAGAATTGCATTGGCTTTTTAGCTGCCGCGTCACACTGTTGGCTCATGTCAAGTTTGTGGTCAACCAAGACTCCTAGATCCTTTTCACATGTACTGCTCTCAAGCCAGGTGTCCCCCATCTTGTATTTGTGCCTCTCATTCTTTTTGCCCAAGTGCAATACTTTACATTTCTCCCTGTTAAAATTCATCTTGTTTCTTTTGGCCCAGTTCTCTAATCTGTCAAGGTCGTTTTGAAGTGTGATCCTGTCCTCTGGGGTGTTAGCCACCCCTCCCAGTTTGGTGTCATCTGCAAATTTGATCAGGATGCCCTTGAGTCCATCATCCAAGTCGTTGATAAAGATGTTGAATAAGACCGGGCCCAAGACAGAACCCTGTGGCACCCCACTAGTCACTCTTCTCCAGGATGAAGAGGAACCATTGATGAGCACCCTTTGGGTTCGGTCAGTCAGCCAGTTACAAATCCACTGAGTGGTAGCATAGTCAAGACCACATTTTACCAGCTTCTTTACAAGGATATCGTGAGGCACCTTGTCAAATGCCTTGCTGAAATCAAGGTAGGCTACATCCACTGCATTCCCTTCATCTACCAGGCTTGTAATTCTGTCAAAAAATGAGATCAGGTTAGTCCTTAGCTACTAATTACAGTTCTCCCATCAGATCTCATCAGCTGGATCTCCTCAGCCATTCCTGACTGGGAATCTTGCAAGTGGACTTCCATGTCCCCTTATTTGATCCCAAAAGCTTTTTAAGCATAAATACCTTCCATAAAGAGGAGGCTTCACTTTGCAATTGTCCAGGGCTTCTCAGGCTAATTTCATGGCAGGCTTTAAGACAGGGTGGAGAACCACTGGCTTGTGGGCCATAAACAGTGTGCAAAGCCTTTTCTGAATGGCTCACAAGACTCCTATTGTTTTAGGCCCCTAGTTGAAGTGGAAACAAGCAAACAAGCCATTTGCTTTACTACAGCTTAATTCCAAACTCTGACGGGCAAGAAGTTGTCATAACTGAATAGCTGTCTCTGCTGCCAACATTCACTGGCAACATGAGGGCAACATCCATGTGCAACCCTCACTCCCTGCTGCTTTTGACGTAATTGCAGAGAACTTTTAAAAATGCAGAATTTCTGTACATAGCTTAGGGATCAAGCCAATCTTTGGGACTCCCTCCAGATCTTATTCCTCCAGTTTCATAGTCAGGGTGTCTGCATATGAGACACTCATTCCCTATCCACAATTTCCAGGACATAGTTTGAAGGTGCATAAATGATGCAGTAACCTTACGTTATCAAACCTAAGCAGGATTGGCTTAGATAATAGACTGCTGAGTGACCCTCTCTGGATAACTCTGTGTTCCAGAAAGACACTACTGTATATAAATGTAACAAATAAAACCATTAGGGGGAAAGTGGTTATTTATAAGAAAGGCCCAATTCTTGTGAATACTTTTATATCTCTTATTTGAATTAGGTGGGCTTTCTGAGGTTTGTACACATATGTAGAAATGGGTATAAATAAATAAATGAGACTATTGCGAGTATAGTGGAGTCCTGAACTCTAGTTTTTTTATAAGATACTGATGTGCCAGTTCTGTCATAAATCCAGAGCAGCAATTTCAAAGTATTTGTTTACCTTATACTCTGCAGTCTACATTTTCATAATCATTAAGTGGGAAGCATTAAACAGAAAATCACTGCTCTGTTTGAGATCTAAACTGAACTTATATTTAAATTTATTTGTATTATAATTGAGAGTGTCATGGGGCTTTCATAGCTCTGTGAGGGTGTTTTGTGCTGCCTTTGCAATAGTAACGTGAGCCTGCTAGATAAAATGATTTGCTTAAGATAAATGTTGCATTCTTCCTAAACCAAGACAAAGGGCTAATTGAGTTTGACATGTAACTGAAAATGTTGCATTGCTACAAAGAATTTCCCGATTAATATTTTTAGCACCACAAAACTGCAGTGTGGTATTTACTGTTAAAATACTGCATACCCTGACTTTGCAACTATATTTAGTTCAGTGACATTTCAGGTGACAGATCAGGGCCGTGCGCAACTCTTTTAGAGGTATTTTTGAATTCTAAACCTGTCATTTGTTTCTTCACAGAAAAACATGGGGTTCCCCAGTGATCTCCTATCTAGCTATTGGTCATGCACAGATAATTTATTTTTCCAAGCCATGACTGTGATGACTTGCATTTGGTGCCCCTCTCCCAATATGAACCTACTGGGCCTTCAGATCTTTATCTGAGACCCTTCTCCAGGTTCTTCTTCTGAGGTAAGCTAGGAGGTGAGTGACAACAGAGGGGGCCTTTTTTTTTTTTTTCTGTGACTACGTCTGCCTGGTGTCTTTGGGGCCAAGTAAAGACTTGTCTTTTTTCCCAGGCCTTTAATGGGCTGAGCTGATTCTGTTTTATTGCCAGTGTGCTGCCAAAGCTTCCTATGGCTATTGGCAAGGATTGCATATTGTATTAAAGAGTGCTTAGGTTTTATATAATTTTTTTTCTTCTTTCTCTTCATTGTATAATGTATTTACATCTATGCTTTAAATGCTGGAGATGTTTGAGGCAACTGGCAACTAATATGTTTAATCAATAATTACTATTACATTAAAAATTAAGGGCCATTTCACTGGTTTATTTACATCTCTTTGGAATGAGAGTACTGAGTAACAATGCAATTGTATGCATGCTTAATCATGTGTAAACCCCAATGAGTTCAATGGGACTTACTCCTAGGTAAGTGGGTATAAGAATATAGCCTTAATATAGCCTATCCCTTTGTCCAAAGGAGGGTGAATCCTGTTTAGGCTCAGAAGACTTCAGTTGTGATTTTGATTGGTTTTACTACCAGTATTAATTAGTCTGGGAATGTTTTATAGTAATTTCCAATAGGAATATGCAGAATAAATACAGAAAGCTGAATTTGCTGGTGAGACAGAGAAGCTAGACTATATTTGTAATTAATCAATCGTTCCCATCAGGAAACTGCCAAAGGGTGGTATTGAGTTTTACTCATAGAAGACACACTGAAATTAATGGACTTAAACTTAGTCATATTCATTTATTTCAGTAGTTCAGTAGTTCTACTCTGAATAAAACTTAGCTGAATAATATGCAATTGCTTCGAAGGTGCTTAGTTTTAATTCAGTGTCACAAACCACTGCAGCCCCAGCTGCCCATCATTCTTTTGATTTGTTTTTTCCATGAATCTGGTAAATCAGCAGGCAGAGACAGAGTGAAGCTAGACCTCTTCACAATTAACAAAACTTATCTTATTATAAGATTGAAGACTTAACTTTCAGTGATGGGCAATTCACCCTCATACTGAGTTCAGTGTATACAAAGGGCATCAGGAGGGATGCGGGAAGAGGAACAAACAAGAACAAATCAGAGCTCCTCAAGAAAAGTTGAGGAAGTGTTCACTGCCATCAACAACCACATCAAGCACATACACACAGACACACACAAATTGTCGATGTGCTTTCCATAGGGCAGTTTGCCTACCATTTTCTTACTTGATGACTTCTGTCAAATTTGTATACATGCATGGTGACATGAGGGGCAGAGCTCATGTGCAGGCGCACATATACACATACTTGCCTGCACATCAAAAGGTGCTGAGGCAGAAGATTTAAAAGTTACAAAGCTCAGCTCAGCTACTAGTTTTGCTTTGCACATTTGCTGAATTTGGCCATAAGTTATACTATCGCTGTTGTTTTCTGGCGCTCTCCCAGATTTGTTCTGCTAAAAAGGCCTTTAGAGGTTTCAGCGTGTAGCACTTCCAACAAGCAGCTGGTGTAAATTTGTAAGAATATGTCCTAGTTCTGCTCCCAAAATTAGATTGTATCTCTGTAACCTTTTCACTCCCAAGCAGGCCTGAGCTCACTTGACGAGCATTGTTTTAACTAACATCAAGTCCTCATTGCAGCATTCAGATTACGCTACCAAGGGAGTTGAGGATAAAGTCAAGCTTGGTCTTGCTGGCTGTGGCTGATGGGAGTTGTAGTCTAAAACATCTAGAGGGCACTAGATAGGGGAAGCAGTAGCTGAAGCGCTGGTCTAGGATTGGTGAGATCCAAGCACAAATCCCATTCAGCCCAGGTGACTCAGGCCAGTCAATAACTCTCTTTTGGCATTCTGCCAAAGTCCTCTAGTGACTGGGGGAGGGGGGAGAATGTGGGCAGCTCATGCACTAAACCTGCACGCAGAAAAATGAGACTGACCCATTTGCAATACAAGACTCCCATCCAAACACCTATAAAATTGATAAGGTACCTTTTGTCCAATTCATTTCTGATGCAGGAAATGATAATAAGTCAGTGATGAAAGAAAGGAAGTTTATTTATTTTTTTGCAGGGACACCACTATTATTTTATGATACTCTGAATTCAATCTTGTTCTGAAATCACTCAGATCTCTTTTCTGTGCTCACACCCCAAATCTCTGCTAGGAATAAAAGGAGCTGCCTTAGTCCATATGGCTCATTGTTGTGACAATGGCTGGCAGCAGATTTGCAGGTGGGGAACTGAGCCTGGATTCCTTCCCATGCAGACGCAGCCCTGTAAAGAAATATTAATTAGGAAGAGGCATCTTTGTCTAGACCCAGAGCACTCTGTGAATCCTCTCAGGCCAGCACATAACTGGGATTGAGGCGGTGGCCCAAAGTGGGTGGCAATCCTAACCACTCACAAGTAAATACCATTGAATGGGGCTTACTCCCAAGTAAGTGGGCTTAGGACTGCATCCTTAACTCGGAAAAAGGGAGGGGGAAGCGTGACGTGGCTTGCAAACCGATCCTATGCGTGCTTACTCAGAAGTAACTCCGTCACCCAATGCATGCAGGCAGCTGGGTAATTTTAAGACGCTGACCTTAATGGTCTCGCCGGAGCTCACATGGCAATGAGTTATTTGCCCACTTCAGAGTTGGCGATGCTGCGCTTGGGGCCTTTCCGCTCATCCTGCGGAGCGAGGGGCCCCGGACGGACCTCTGACCCTCTGACGGTCCCACTGCTTCCCCGCACACTGAGGTCCTAACTCCCTACCGAGCGCGCTGAGCACCGCAGGCTGGACGCGCCCGCGGTTCCCCCGCTCGCCTGCCACGCGCTACCTCGAGCTGTAGCGCCGCGCTTTCGCCGGCCAGCTGTCCTTAGCGCTTTAAGAGAAGACGCTATCCTTCTAACCCCGCCCCTAACCTCGGCGGCCGCCTCCTCCAGGTCGCGTCCTAATTGGCTGACCAGGGTATGAATATGTATACCTCCGAGCTGTGTGAATGAGCCGCTGTCCCCTCCCTCGACGCTGCACAGAGAGGCTCAGTGTGCGCGCGGGTCGCTCAGCAGCTGCAGCAGCCGCCGTCCCGAGCAGAGCCCTTCTCGCGTCCCGGGAGCCGGCGCTGCCCTGCCGCCGCCGAGCCAGAGGCAGCTCCTTGTCCCTTTGGCGCCACGGTCTCCCTTTCTCCCTCCCGGCCCGCGCCGTCTACGCGCTCCCCCCCTCGCTCTCCTCAGCGCCCCGTGTGCGCCTCCGTGCCAGCCCCGTCGCCTCAGCTCGGCTCTGCCCGCCCGTCCTTCGGCGCCCGCCGGGGAAATGCGGGGCCTGTCCGGCTGGGTGGTGCTGCTGGCGCTCGGCAGCTGGCTCCGGCTGCGGGCGAAGGGCGCCGTGCCCCTGGCTGACTTCTACCCCTTCGGGCCGGCGCAGGGGGACACGGCCACCCCGCAGCAGGACGACGGCGGCTCGGGGCTCCGGCCCATCGCCGTGAAGTTCCCCTTCTTCGGCGCGGCTCACATGGCGCTCTACGTGAGTAGTCTGCCTGAGAGAGACACCCCCTTCCCCCCCCTCAGCCCCGAGGTTGCCTACCGCGGAGTAGTTACCCCGGAATGCTCTGTGCCTGAGGGCCCCTCAGAAATACCTCACCCAACATACTTGGTCCTCGTAATAAAAGGGAGACTGGAGCGGGGAGGGAAACCCTACCGGGCTCACGGCGTGAGAGGCTTTTCTCCACAGAGCGCGCTTGCTTCCACCGACCGGGATGCTCTGCGTTGAGCTTTGCAATGCCACGCCAGGCGTGCTTTCGCTGAAGCAGGTCCCACGGCAGTTGGGTGAATCTCTCTCTCTCTCCCTCCCTGGGAATAAGTGCTCCGGGCTGCAGCCGGAGACCCTAAAGCAGGCTTGGCTAATCCGTGGCGCTTCAGGTGTTGTTGGGACTCCTGGCCATAGGCTAGGAGTTGAAGCAGCAGCGCGAGGATGTCTGGAGGAGTGCCTCACGTTAGCCAGCTCTGCTTTAAAGGTTATAGCAACTGAACTGGGCCAAAGGCATGCGGGGATCTTTCACTGGCTTTCTCATTCCTAGGGATGAGTGTGGTGCAAAAAGCCCTGCCTTGTACTGCAGCCAGGTAAAGGTGGTGGGGTATTTTGAAAAACTTGGTTTCTTAGACTATGTTCACATGGATTCTGTTCGACATACTTATGATATGCATATTCAGTAGCCTATGTCAGGGATGAGGGACCACACATCTCACCATCCCTGACTGTCTGGAGCTGATGGGAGCTTGAGTCGCAACAACATCTGAAGGGTTATATGTTCCCCATATCTACTTGCTGGAGCTCCTGGGGGACCAGTACAGACGAACCACAGGTGGCATGGTAGCTACTTTAAATCTGATTTCTGCAAACTATTGATAAGAAATATCTGCCACGTGAAGAACTGGGGTTTCTGCACACCTGTTAGAATGTGTTTGCTTCCTTTCTGCAAATATGTACTCGAAACAGCCCATCAGAACGTACATAAATAGTAAAAGTATTGGTGCACTGGTGGGTTTCCCAAAGTCCATCCATTTTTCTTCAGCACTTTGACTTTCACATGACAATCTTGGCTATGGGATTATATAGTAAATGCCATATAACAGGATAGCATGGTGGGGATGAGATCCCAGTGATAGGAGGCACCTCAAAACCACCAAAGAAGCAAAAGTGGAGGGTAGAGGTGGGGTAGGAGCCTCAAGACAGGATGGACCAGTGGTCTGTTTTAGATGCATGTTTTTAATGTGTCTTATTTTGGTGTGCTGCCTTGACAATGTATTCTTGTTTATATAATTGTATATTGCATTGTTGTAACCTGCCCATGGTGAAGGATAAATGATAAATTTTGTAATAATAAATAATAATAATAAATAAATGAGCATTGACTGATAATACCAGAAAAATACATGATAGGTACTTCCAGACACATAATGTAAAGGAGTAGTTTACGATAGTTTTTTTTTAACTCCTCCTAGAGTAAATCCAGATTAAATAAGGGGGGGGGTGGACAGATACTTTTATGCCTGTGATGCCATGTGGATACTGCAGAAAATTGCAAGCATGATGTGCCTTCAGCCCACACTCAGCACCCATCTGGAAGCACCTAATGACACTGCCCTTGAGGAAAACACTGAACCAAAGGCATTCTGACCAATCTGCACATAATTGGTTGCAACTTGCAAGCACCAACTTCGGACCTGCTCCTTTGCACTAAAGGGCTGTTGTCCAGCCAGCTGAGTGTGCTAGCCAACAAGAGTAAGGTTACCAGACGTCCCTGTTTCCTGGGTACAGTCCCTGGATTTACAAATCATTCCCCTGACAAAATCCATCTATTTAGTAGAAAGTTGAAAAGTGTCCCCGGATTCATTGAAAAAAGTCTGGTAACCTTAAGCAAGAGGGACCAAAGAGTTAAACTACTGCTAGCCACAAATAACTGTCATGATTCCAGAAAACTGCATGGTGTATTTAGAAACGAAATCTCAAAAGACAATTGCTTGCAATCTGTCTTCCGGGCCTTTCAGTCCTATTACCATGTTTTTAAACTCTTCCCCCCACTGCAATCATGATCATTGCAACAACAAAAAAATTCTTCCCATCCCCAAAAGCAGATTTTCAAGATTCTAATGACAGCAAATATACCACTAACTGCCTTGGCAACCGCATAGTCCGCAAGCCAGATGTTTGTACAACCAAAACCAAATTTCGTTAGCCAAGATAGTTAGATAATATAACTTTGCACTTAGGTTGGCTTTAAAGTTTGGTTTGTTTTCCAGCTGCTCTTTCCGTATGCCTTTATGACTTGGCAAGCGTTGGAGGTGGGATAGCCAAGCAGACTATTGGTTAGACAAGGCTGTTGGGGTTGGTTATAACACCAAGCCAAGGTTTGTAAGCCAGCAACAAACCATGGACTTCATCCTGTGGTTTTCCAGGAAACAAACCAAGGTTAGTCTCTGGAGCTGGGTCTACACCATGGCTAAGCTAAACAAACCATGGCTTAGCATTATGTGCAAAACAGGCTTGTGAGTAAAATCTGTGCTGATCATGGTTGGAAGAAAAAAGTACTGTGGTAGATGGCTTGTGATCTAATCCAGCCTGGTGGTAGTAAAAACAATAGCACCATTTACATGTTCAAAGCACTTCACATGAGCCTCACAACAACCTTTGTAAGGTTCAACAGTATTATTATCTCTGTAATGCAGGTGGAGGGATGAGGGTGAAAGAGACTGATGCACCACATTATCAGCTCATTGTAAAGTGAGTCTTGAACCAAGGTCTCTCTGATTCATCTTTCTCTCTCGAGCTATATGCTCCAGCAAAAACATGTACCCAAGCCTCAGTGGATTGGACCCTAAAGTTTGACAATCTAGTCTAAAGTTTGTTAATCTAACCTGGTGCCTTCCAGAAGTTTTACACTACATCTCCCAGCCAGCACAGCCAGGTTGGGAAAGACAAAGTTAACTTTGGAAGGTCACAGGAGGACAATTTCCTGCCCCATCTCTCCTCCCATGCTCATTGTTCAGGAGCCGCCCCCTGGAAAGGCTTTTCAAGGATCATAAGGGAAAGAATGGCACGTGAAATTTCATTGTCTTATGATTCAAGCCAATAACTGTAACATCCATTGATTCACAGTCTTTAGACTGATGGTTTGTGCTGTGCAAATAGATCCTTGTTTTATACAACATGACTGGCATCTTTAAATCTAGCTGCCTTTTGCTTGGTTCCTTTTCTTTCTTTTTTAGGTCACTTCAAATTATTCCAAAGTCATCTGGATTTACTTGGGGACAGTCAACAGTTTTAATTTAATTTAAGGCATCAAAGCTGTAACAGGATGTTGCGAATCGGCATGTCTTTGCTATATTTGGCAATTACACTCTGCCGCCAAGGGGTTATAATGGCCTAAAGATTCTGGGTTCAAGGAAAATCCTTGAATGGCTTGGCCTCTTCCACTGCCTAATTCTATTGGCTGATTTGACTCTGTTAGCTCTCTGAATATGATTTGTACTGCAGTGTTGCACCTTTGGGTTGTCACTGCCAGTACACGAATATGAGTTTGGCTGCATGAAACTCACCACAAGGACATTCCTGAAGGATAGGTGTAAAAACTAGGTGACTGTAAAACGTTTCCCTTGCCTGCCATGATAGGAGACAGGAAATTGCTTACAATGATGACCAAGCAAAATCTAATTTCCTGGACACAGTAATAGATGTTGACATTACCTCAGGAGAGTCTGTTACTGCAGCAACACAATCCAGTAGCCTTAGAAGATGTCTCTTTCTCTGCCTGTGAATAATTCACGTGGAGAAGAGTCTTGTGGTTGAGCTTTAATTTAGTCTTGGTGCTGTAAGCAAGGGGGGGGCGTTTCCATGATATATAATTACTTCAGTGTATGTTCCAATTTCGTGCACTGTCATGACTTGTTGTTGTTGTTGTTTAGTCGTTTAGTTGTGTCTGACTCTTCATGACCCCATGGACCAGAGCACGCCAGGCACTCCTGTCTTCCACTGCCTCCTGCAGTTTGGTCAAACTCATGTTTGTAGCTTCGAGAACACTGTCCAACCATCTCGTCCTCTGTCGTCCCCTTCTCCTTGTGCCCTCCATCTTTCCCAACATCAGGGTCTTTTCCAGGAGTCTTCTCTTCTCATGAGGTGGGCAAAGTATTGGAGCCTCAGCTTCACGATCTGTCCTTCCAGTGAGCACTCAGGGCTGATTTCCTTAAGAATGGATAGGTTTGATCTTCTTGCAGTCCATGGGACTCTCAAGAGTCTCCTCCAGCACCATAATTCAAAAGTCATGACATATGACAAACAAATGGCCCTCTTCTGTTCCATGCACATATACCAGGAAATGGTTACCAATACAGTATGTGTGCAGGGTGCAAGCATTGACTTACTTGGAGGTCCATATTTGCTTACGTTCATCCTGTGTGAAGCTGTATTTAAGGTAACAGAGTCCTAAAATGAGAAAGTTGTACTGGCTTGGGTTTAGCTAACCCATTGTCTGGCATTTACTTTATTTGCTTATGAGGATACTTTTTGGAAAACGTCTTTTACTAGCATGCATTCTTCGCTTATCATCCTTTCCTGTGCCTTGTGTCCAAGCACTGTTTGTTAGAATATGGCAACACTTTGGTGCTGCGAGGAATACATGCACCATACAATAACGCTCTTGGAAATGGTTAGTATACTTGTGCATGGCTGGGGTCAAATAATTTTGAGTGGCCAAGCAAGACTCTTAACCACTAGCACATGCTCTTGTCCCTGACTTTGCACTACATTTTAAAAATGCAACAAAGGGTCAGAGGCGCACCAAAGCACTCTCCTTCAAACTGGCTTTCTGGGCCTACTTTCTTGGTGGAATCTAACTGCCTTGCAGATGCAGGAGCAAGCCAGTGTATCCATTGTCCCCCTGGAGCTCAGAGCTAGCCAGAGGCAGTGGAGGGATGCTGGTGTTCAAACCACCCGGCGGATGCTAAGACAAACTTCCAACTATGGGCTCATCCAGACTACCTTTCGTGCTGTATTTCTAGGCACAGGACTGCACTTTAAAGTGCTATGTCCAACCCCCCAACCCCCAACCCCCCTTTCCCAGTGAAAACCTGCTCTTTACCACTGAATCAGAGCACATGACAATCTCTAGGAAACCCGAATTGCTGTTTATTCTGATTCAGTGTTTAAGAGTGGGTTTTTGCAGAGAAAGCACAGAGGCGAAAAAAGAAAGGAAAACCGTTCAGGCACGGCACTTTGAAGCTCAGACCTCTGCCTAGAAAGCATGGGGTAAAAGGTAAGCTGAGTCCTATATTTGGGGCCAAGGCAGATTTAGGGCAGCGTGATTGGTTTCGCTGCATGGGATGCAACCTTGTTATCCACATTATGTCTAGGAAAGATAATGGTATAAAATGCTGGAAAAAGTGCTGGCAATCAGTATAGACCAGGCGTCTGCAACCTAAGGTCCATGGGCCGGAAGCGGCCCGCGGAGGTTGTTTGACCGGCCCACGAGCCGCCCCCAAACTGAGCTGCCCACTCGCGTGCTGCACTAAACCGGCGCAGTACAGGGACTCACTTTTGCAGCGCCGAAAATCACGTCTGTGCAGACGCAAACTCCGAAAATTACAAGCGAGCACAATCTGGCCCACAGAGGGATCTCCACGGGACCGATCCAGCCCTGGCAAGATAAACCTTGCTGACCCCTGGTATAGACAATAAGGTAGTTAGACCAATGGTTTCACTCTGTAGTGTAGAGGATAGCTTCCTATTCCCACCCACTCCCTGGAAAGTTTATAACCAAGAACAAACCTAGACTACAGCTAGTGGTTAGTGATGGGGAGGAGAGAGAGAGAGAGAGATTAGCAAGAATTTGGACAATATGGTAAGTGAAACCTTGGCTTAGCTCAACATGGTGTGGGAGTTAAAAAAAAGACCAGGAAGGCACAAAATATCTGAGCTCCTCTCCAGGAGCCTGCACAATCCCAGTAAGTTATCGTTTGGCTTATTGTGACATGTGAACCAGGCCAGCCTCTCTGTGTGATTAAATCTGGCTGCGTGTCAATGTCACTGAAGGCAAACAAAGTCTTTTCAGAGTAAGGGCAGTGGTTCCTGGACAGGTGAAAATGACAAAGAGCTTTGCAGCATCTTTAAAGGATAGCAGTCTTACTGTAGCATAAGCTTTTGTGGACGTTCATCCCACTTAATCAAATGCATGAACCGTTAAGTCTTTGATTGGCAGATACGTATACACCTGCCAGCTGAAGATAACAGTTCATGTGCCTAATTAGGAGTGCTGTGAGTCCAGGAAAGCTTGCACTACAATAAATCTTAAAGTGCAAAGAGATGCTTTGCTGTGTTTGCTGAGGCAGACTAAGATGCCTGCCCCTTTGGAAGTTGTGATCCTGAACACTCTTGCACTCTTTTCACACTCCTGAATATGTTTGTGGAAAGCAGTACTTCTGGTTGAGCTCTGTAGAGTTTGGAAAGAGAGCACTGCTAACCCCTTTGAACTGATATGTTCAAATTAGTAAGGAGTTATCCAGGGCAACCATGATAACTTTATGGAGGGGGGGTCTGCAGGGAGAGAGCAGGACATAATTTCCTGTCAGTGATGGTTTATTTTGCTTGACCCACTTGCAGGAGTCCCGAAAGGGCTCCAAGGAGGCGGGTAGATGAAGAACAGGAAGCAAAGCAATTCACTCCTAACCCCACCCAGTGTCTCAGTCCAGATAAAACCATGCAGTGGAATAAGCAGAATAGAATGGTCACATTTTTAAAATACACTTTTATATTTTTATTTTTAAAAAATACTTAAATGCCAATGGAAAACCAGCACATTCATCAAATGTGTTTCCTTGTTCTGTTAGTTCCTGGATTTATCTGGCTTCTTTCTTTTACCGTGGTGGAGTATTCAAAAATTGTACCACCCATATATCCACAGTCTGAGGTGGCACATTCCATTCCAATCTAAAACCTCTACATATTATTATTCCCATCAAACATAGGTAAGTGCCAGTCCTTTCTGTATCAAAAACAGTGCCATCCATGTACAGAAGGAAGGTATTAGCTAGGGGAACCCAAAGTTTTACAGACGTACAAACAATATTTAGAAATAAAGCCCTAAAACAGAGGAGGAGAACTACAAAACAGACCTAGTGAGGACTGAGCATGCTCTACAGCCATAGAATGCTGACCGACTGGTTGGTAAAAACAGAAAATGAGGTGGGAGAGAGAACGAAATGGGGTATTGTGGAGGAAGGCATGGACCCACTTTTTCTCCCCTTAGTTCCCTGTACTGCTGCAGTTGTGGCGGGAGATGAGAGAAAAAAAGTCTACATGGTCTGGCTTCCCACAGCAGTGGGGTGGGGCTAAAGGAGAGAAATAAGCTTTGGGTGTCAGTACCCTGTAAGGAGAGAGCAATTGGGCAATCTATAGGTCGGAGGGTTGTTAACGGAGGGGGTTGGCAAGGGGTTGGGGGGTAGGCATGGGTGGCAAGCAGTGTTAGCAGCGGCACAGCCCCTAGTACTTTAGTAATGTCAAACAAGGAGTGTCAGTAAAGGTACCCCTGACCATTAGGTCCAGTCGTGACCGACTCTGGGGTTTTGCGCTCATCTCACTCTATAGGCCGAGGGAGCCGGCGTTTGTCTGCAGGCAGCTTCCGGGTCATGTGGCCAGCATGACAAAGCCGCTTCTGGCGAACCACAGCAGCACATGAAAACGCCATTTACGTTCCCGCCGGAGCGGTACCTATTTATCTACTTGCACTTTGACATGCTTTCGAACTGCTAGGTGGGCAGGAGCTGGGACCGAGCAATGGGAGCTCACCCCGTTGCAGGGATTCGAACCTCCGACCTTCTGATCGGCAAGTCCTAGACTCTGTGGTTTAACCCACAGCACCACCCATGTCCCAGTGCAGGTGCTAGACTGCAATTAAATAAACCCTACGCTGCCATGATGTGGGAAGGGGTTTGAATGAGGCAGAGATCTCTCTGTCCACCTCAAAACAGCTCCAATGGCTTCTGCCCAGAGAGTGGCACCACCAACATGCTCTGTGTGGCCACAGTAGATAGGGTTAGGCTTATTCTGCCTTTGTGTCAAAAGTTAAGGAAACAATCATATTCACAGGCTCAAGCATGATGCATTTGGGGAGGCTGAACCCCTTCCCAGATGTCACCCTAAGCTCCTTTCAGGAATAGGTGATGGAGTAGGTATTGGAATAGGACTGGGGAGACATAGCACCAAATCCCTACTTGTCTATGAAGCTCACTGAATGACCTCGTGGCAATGACTTTCTCTCCCTCTCTCTCTCGCCCCGCCCCGCCCCCTCACATACGCGGTTGTAGTGAAGATAAACTGGAGGTGGGGCATGTGTTGTTCTTTAAACTGATTGGACAACAAATGTGACAACAGATGCAATTACTAAATAACATGTATCCCATTCTCAGTTGCTGGAGACAGGTACAGGGACCAAAGCACAGTTCTGGCTGTTTGGGTGGTAAGTGAGGGGACACTCTTTCTGCTTCCAAAGGATTAGTCCTCATTGTTTGTTGAAGGTTCTACACATGAAGCAGAAACGTATCTCACCAAAGTCAAGAATGGGCAAATGATTAAACAAAAAAAAGCTCATTTTGCTCTTCTGCCAGTTTGTACACTTAATCTAGGAAACAGTGCCTTACAAACAACGGTGATTGCATTAAACAATGAATGTGGGAGAGAAAAGGTCAAGCCAGGACAGTGCAAACTACTTGCAGAAGAAAGTAGAAGGCGTAAGCGGATGCTAGTTGCAGGATTTCCATAGAAATGTCTTTGGCTTCCCACAACATCACAAGAACGATCCAATGATGAAAAGCCTGCATGCGGATAGAACATTGGATAGTTCATTATATCAGGGGTGGGCAATTTATAAGTTACAAAGGGCTACACTGGAAGTACATAATTAGCAAGGGCTGTGTTTAATTTGCACATTTGAATATAATTAATGAGCAACTCGGCATTGGTAAGACCTCATCCGGAATATGGTGTTCAGTTCTTGGGCTCTAATGCCTTGAAAAGAATTGACAACTGCAGAAGTATTTGGAGAAGACCAATGTTGATGAGGAAAAGACCAGATGGAGGGAGTGTGTTTCTGTAGAAATGGAGGTTGGATGGAATGTATGGGTGAGTTGTATGAGGTTGATGGTTTTTGAAATTTTCAATGTGTCACAATAAGAGGCATAGTTTCTTGAAAGGACAAGAGACACAATGATTTTATGCAAAGACAGATTGTGGTTCAACATTATGAAGGTTTTGAAATGGCCTTTCTTGGTGATCTCAGGAAGAAGCAGGCCAGGCATCTGGTAGGGATGCTTCATATTATCCCTTTGTCACTTTGTGTTCCACACTTTCCCTCTCAAAAGCCCAAGGAATCGCACATGAGGTTCCTGTTTTTATTCCTGTAGCAGCTCTCTAAGATAGGTTGGGTTAGGACACTATGACTTCACCAACACCACCCAGTAAATTTCATGGCTGGGTGGGATTCGAGCCTGTGTTCTGCACATTGAACCCCTGCCCTGTAGTTCTTATGCAACACTGGTTCTTGCAGGGACAGAGGCTGAGCTAACAGAACTACCAGTATTATTCTGTTCTTGCTCACAACTGGGGTTAGTTCTCATATGCAGCAGATGTGGTGGTAAGCATGTTTCTAGATTGTACCACTTTAGACTGTAGGGTTTATGTGATATGAATGCTTCCCCATTTAAACCAGTGGTGGCTAGTCCAGTGCTGAGGGCTTGATGCTGCCCTCCACACAGTTTTTTTCTGCCCCCCACCCCCAAGACCGTACTGAATTTGGCAGTGGCAGCTATAATAATAAAAGTACACTCCACACTGGGGTGGACAGAGAAGTTTTAAACTCCAGCACCCTGTTGGCATGTAAATCACCCCCTCCCCAGTCATCAGTTTGATTGTTTAATGAGCAGTGAGGGGTTCTAACCCCCTTCAGTTCATGTAAGGTTAGGCCACATCCATTGTTGACATGCAACCCCTGAAGGCTTAGCAAAGAGTGAATGCAGCCTTTAGCCAAAAAATTGTTAGCCACACACCCCTAGTTAAACAATATAAAAAGCTGAGCTACATACATACAGAAGATGAATAATAGAATCATAGAATTGTAGAGCTGGAAGGATAAAGCCAGACTAGATCCATACACTCTTGACATCTAGCTTTCTAGGAAATATGTTTTTCTGACTTTGCCTTTACCTTCTATGAGGAGCTACTGTGGAGGGTGCTGGAATCAAGCAGGAACCACAGGCAGATTCTGTTCCCTCCCCACTCCACTCATGAAAATGTTCCAATGGCCATTGTTAACTTTTTGGTTCCTACTGAGATTAGCATGTGTGTGTTTTTTTCTTAGCCTGCTGTGTATCTTAAAGGTCAGTAAAAATACTGTAGTTGGTTTGACTTGTTTATAAGATGCAGTCGGATAGAAATGTTAAAAACATTACTAGCTATTTAAACGAGAGGAGAAGCCAAGGGTTTATTGATCCATGAAAGCATTTGCTTTTACTAAGAAGTGAAGCCAGTCAGTCTTTATTTTATTTTATTTTAGTATATGGGCAGTTCTTCAGAAGAAACTTTGCTACTTTGAAGCAGCAAAATATCATATATGTTAAAACCAATCTGATGCTTCTGATTAATGGGGAAGAGGAAAAGTGGGACATTCTGGGATGGCTTCTGTAAATCCAGGACTGTCCCTGGAAAATAGGAGGGTCTGCAATAATTCTAATTTTAAGATATTGCACGCAAGAATCATATTATGTTGAGATAATGCTTGTGTTCTTAGCAGAACTGCTCCATGCTTATACTCACTGCTGTGACTGTCAGTGCTCTTTCCCCACTTTAGGCAATCACCACAATCACCAACTTAGTTTGTGCTACTGTGAGCCAATAGTTGCTGTACCTCATGGTATTTATTCTTCCTGTGTGCATCCCATTCTAAAGATCTACCCAAATTCTTTCTCTTTATGCTTTTCTTCAGCCAGCACCCCTTTGTCACGTCCAGGTTCACTAACTGTTTATGCAACAATATCTGTGTTGTACTAGCTGGCTGTTGCCACTCTATACAATATGTCTGGGAGCTGCTTTGAACTTCCATTTATAGTTATTTTACTGGCAATCTTTCATCTTCTTTTACATTTGGCTTCTGGGAGCATCAAAGTCTTTTGTAATGTTTTGGTTCATATCCTGCCAGTGACAATCAATTATTCCCATGTTTGCTGTCATTCATATTCTGTCATAAGGTTCCCAAGCGATATGTACTTGCAGCTCTTTGTGAATAATTGTAGACCACAAACATGACGACTGTGTACTGAATGTACAGAAAGTCTGCTCTGCAAAATTTGAACTTCCAGTAAATATTATTGTTGACCCAAAATAGTGGATTTGGGAGGCACTTCCCAAAAGCTTGCCACATGTATTAATCTGGCAGCAAAGAAGTGGGAGTATTTTTGCAGCCAAAACCTTACAGCAGTTCTCCGTTCTGAGTAGCAAGCCCATTGCTGCGAGTTTTGATATTCACACCAGCAAACTTATAAGCGTGGATTGCATGCATATGTTTTTAAATATCTGTGTTCATGCGTCTGGGAACCCTAAGTGGGCAAACAGTTTCTCTTAAATTTTGAAACAGGGTTTATGTTTAAAAATGATTTGGCAAGGCAAATGAAAACTCTGCTCTAACGTGCTCTCTAGTTTTAAAACAGATACAGTACAGTGATGATGTTGCATAAATTTTTGAGATGCTGCAAGATTTGAGGGGTGTGTGTTCAGGGACAGGGGACATCCATGCTGGAAATGAGTTTTCCCCAGTCTTATTTTCTAAAATAGAAGGTGCTGATGTCCAATCCCATCTGGAAGCTGAGCCTCTAATCCATCTCTGGGGAACCTGTGGTCCTCCAGATGGTGTTGGCTCCAATTCCCCTTCATCCTTGACCATTGACTGATGGCTGGGGTTGATGAAAGTTGGAGTCCAACATCATCTGGAGGACTACAGATTTCCCATCTCTGCTGTAATACTAATAGTGTAAGGATTCAAGGCAGCTTCTCAGTGGTGAAAGACAAAAAGTCACATACTTGAGCCCAAACCTCATGTGATGTTGGAGATCAGAGGTTGCGGGATACACAGTATTAAATGAATAAATACACGCACACACCCCAATATTAAGCTGTTCCCTGTGGTGCCTGTGACTTCTCTTACTTGTAAAAGTTACAGTTTTGTATATTCATCCTTATAATGCCAGCAGGAACCTACAAGCAAATAAAACCTTTCTGCCTTGTTATAGTTGGACTAATAACACTAAGGTAGGTTGGTGAACTTTTTCTTAAAATACAGTACAGCTTTAGAAACCAAACTCAAATCACATTTGTTTGACATGCAGATCTCAAAATTCAGCCTTGACCTGCAGGGAGCAGCTGTTTTTGCTCTACGCTCTCCTTTTTTTTGGTTGCTTAAGGAAGAATTTTACATGCTCATAATGGTACGAGGTGAAAAGAGAACTGTCCCCCCCCCCCACATTCCTGGTTTTGGCAGAATCTGTCCTTGAAAATTCCTTAATCTAAAAGTGCTCAAACGTATCCACACACCCCTCACTTCTCTCATCTTTGCTTCACCAGTTTAATTCTTCCCTTTGTTACCCTAATGTGTTGGGGTGTAGTTTTGTAGCTTGTAATAGTATTATGTAATAATTTTATAATCCACCTGAGATCCTGCCCAGCATATGGTTTTGGAGAAGAGTTGTGTACTATTTTCCTTTTCATTGCTTATTGTTAGCGAGGGTTGGGTGTTTTGTTTTTTTTAATCAGTAAAATCACACGGCCCTCCTGCATACGTCGCCCCCACCCAGACCGCACTGGCTGAGCTCCAATCTCTACAGAATGGCTGTAAAATGCTCCTATCCTTTGTAACAGAGCCAGACTTTTAGTGGGTTGCCTTTGGCAGTGCTGTAAAAGGCAACACCAAGTGCAAGGCAAAGATGAGTCAGGCTGAGAAAGTCTCCACTAGATAGATTTTCTTGGTGCAGTAAAGGTTTTCTTCCTCATAGAACATGAAAAGGGCTAGCAGGGAGGCTAGAATCTCAATCACCACCCCTCCTCCTCAAATCCTACCCGAAAATGTGTGTGTCCATCCTCTGCCTTGCCTCCCAGGTCACACAGCTGGTCCCTGTCACTGATAAGGACTTGTTCCTGGCACTGGAAATGCTAGCAGTTGTCCTCTTTCACACAAGGAAGTAATTGAACAAATCCTTTAGCAACATCACGCATGCACACTTGGCACTCCAGTCTGCCTCTCTTCTGCCCTCTTCCAATATGGAATGTGGAAGGGAGCTCCTTTTCAACATGGTGCTTGCAAGTGGCGGAGTGAATGAGCATATGTTTTAAATCCAAATCCTCCCCAGTTCTGAACGATTTTATCACCACCATGGGCAAAATATTTAAAAATCAACTCCTTTCTTGGTTGTTGCTCCGAAACTTTCATTATGAGAAGGGGATATTGACAGCGATAGCATTTATGCATTGCCTGCGAAAGGTCCCAGGTGCAGTTCTTGGTATCACCTGGTAAAAAGGATTGTTACCAGCTGATAGGAAATATCTTTGTCAGGGATCCTGCAGAGCTGTTGCTGGCCAGAGTAGACTGCACCAGCTTAGATGGGCAAATTGTCTGGCTCAATATAAGTTGGCTTCCTATGTTTCAGAATCTTCCAACCCTATGTTGGCTCACTGATATTGTCAGGCCCAGTTTCCGTCTCCCACATGTGCCATGTGCCACATTTGTCTTATAGAAAATGAAAAACCAACAGTGTGATAACTGCTGCTGGGAAGCTGGTAATACTGCATATCATTTTGCACAGTGTGTTTGACATTTTATTAATTCCCACAAAAACTAGAAAAAAACACACAAAATTTGGGATTTCTTTATTCTTTTGCTGCCACTGGGACAATAAAGGCATTAGTGACCGTGGATTTCCATAGTGTCTGAGAGGACTCTCTCTTGGCATGCCTATCTCTAGTGCTGTGGGACAAAGCTCAGAAGAAAGAGAAATCTGCACAGGTAGGTGGAGCATGGTGCACACAACTTAGAGTATTTGAGAAGCTAAGCTTGGATAATAACTCTTATGTCTCTAGCCTCTAGCTACTTATATCTTTAAGAATTTTATCCTGAATATTGGATTAACAGCAAAGCCGCAGATTGTAGAAATATGAGGCGCCAACTAGTGCAGCAATTCCTTTCGTGGCAGGAGATGAATGTACTTCTCCCGTTTTCACAGGTATTAACAGCAAAAGGTTTAAGCTTCAGTTTCCATTCATGCATGATTTCAGAGCTGACCCCTACAGCCTGCATTTCATATGTTCTCCATAGCAATGTTTTATTTGGCAGCGACCACATGGGGAGGACTCGAGGGAACCAGAATGCACTAAAACGAAATAGCTTGATGCATGGGTCCTTTGGGAAGAGATGGGTGTAACTTTAAAGGAGGTTTTCCCTCATTAGCATACTGAACTCTGGTTTCTGCTGCTGGCTGTGGTGGAAAAGACTATGTGAACGGCCTACGTCTTGGCTAAGGCTCCCTTTCCTCACAAACTTCAGAGGTGAATGTGCGGGGAATCTTGCACAGCTTTTTCTAGTGGGCCGAATTGACGCCATTGCAGTAGTGCTCTGTGCTGAAGAGGGAGTCCTGAGATTTTATCTGAAGATATGGTCAAGTCACTTCCCTCAAAAGCTTGCTGCTTATATTCCATGCTATGATAAGGTGATTTGAAGTGTAAGATTTAAAGGGACCTTTCCTGGGGTGTGTCCACACACACACACCCCTAAAAAAAATGCTTTGTTGACATAAACGTACCTGTTTTACAAGGAAGGAGAGTGCTTCAAGAGAGCCCAGCATGTCAAAAGCCCTGACAATCAGCTGGGATCAGTTCCACTATGGGAGTCCCTATAGTGCAGCTGAGGGGGCAGAAGGAGGCTACTTGGACTCAAAGCACTTTAAATCCAAGCCACTTTCTGTGGAAAGAAAGAAAAAAATACTGCATTTTAAAACAGCATATATTTCTTTCCCTTTCCAGAGGAAGCAGTTTGTATTCAGTGCACTGGAGAAAGCACTTTGAATGCATCTTATTTCTCTGCAGAGAGGAAAATGACCCATTTTTAGGAGCATTTCCCCCTCTGCGTGGACTTCAAAGGGGCCCCATACAACCAATGATCATCTGATCAGTGTTTACAGGGAGGCTATGTGAAGGCATGCTCCAAGGACCAATCAGCTGGCTGGCACTGAAAGATCTGCTGCTCAACACTTCCAGTACCTTTCTTTGGAGATGTGTTTTCATCGCCAAATACATCCACCTGTCAGCCTCCAGGGGGCAGGAGAAATAAGGCCTGCCTGGTGGATTCACTTCCTTAGCCCTTTTTAAGATGCTCAGCTGGTGAAATTAAAGCCTAGTTTATAAACTTGGCTTAACAGTACATGTGAACCAGGTTACTTTTCTATTGCTGGAGTTGAAGTAAGATTCAGCTTCCAGTCCAATGAGCTTCTATATGGTGAATGGCATTGGAGAGCACCATTTTGTCAGCCTTGGGCAACAAAATGTATTGGGTCAGCTATGGTTCTGGGGGCTTTGGGTGAGACTTCTGGCCTATTTGGGATTAGCACCCACCAAACACATTGATCTGTATGAGTTCTTGGAAGCATAAGAATATCTACAGCTCAAAGTTGTCAGTCCTTAGTTTCATGTTGGATTTGCAGTAACACTGCAGTCCTATACAGTGGTACCTCTGGTTATGAACTTAATTCCTTCCAGAGGTCCGTTCTTAACCTGAGGTACCACTTTAGCTAATGGGTCTCCTGCTGTCACCGTACTGCTGGCGCGCGATTTCTGTTCTCATCCTGAGGTAAAGTTCTTAATCCGAGGTACTACTTCCAGGTTAGCGGAGTTTAACCCGAAGTGTTTGTAACCCGAGGTGTTTGTAACCCCAGGTACCACTGTACACATTTACCTAGGTGCAGCACTCATTGAATTCAGTGGGATTTACTTCTGGGTAGACATGCATGTGGTTGTGCTCTACGAGACAAATTACAAAGAAGTAACTGTGTTAAGGCATGCAACAAAAAATAAAAGGGCCTATGACACTTTAACAAAATTGTGGCTGATGCATCTGGCAAAAGTGTCTTACAGTATTACAGGCTTATTGCTGTAATACATTTGTTAGTTTTTAAGGTGCCATAGTCCGAACATTCCAAAGCACCACTTGCTTTTTGTTTGTTGTTTTCCACTAAAGGAAAATCAGTACAACCTTATGGTGGGGGGGAGGTCTTTCGAGTTTTCAAATGGATCCTCTGCTGCCAATTGTTTGAGCTATTGAAGAACTGTGTTTTTGAGCTTTCTTAAATGTCAGCCACTAGAGAAGGGCACCACATGTTTCCGAGCATGTTAAGCTGATGTTTACTTTTTGTTTCCCCTGTCCTCCCCCACCCCACAACTCCCTCGTGAGTGTTAATAAGCTGCAGGGTTCACCCAGAAGATTGTGCTGTTCTTTGCACCACTGTATGAAGCTTGGGAATGTTCTATTTTTATCTTTAAAGACATTGGCCAGGATGTGACAAAAGCTCATCTGGAATAAGTAAAGGTTTTTTTTTTCTTCCAATTGTGGGGCTGTGACTTTTCCAGATAAAGAGAAAATTTCTAACTGTAAATGGGAGAGGCCCATTGCTCTGTAAGAACACCAACTGCCCTTTTTGCTAAAGTGGATTATGTTTCTCGCATGAGATACATGGGTGGTGTCCAGATTGGCACATATGTTTGTGGGTGCGTTACTTTTTGGATTTCTTCTTTGGGGGTTAGGTATTATTTGGCTTGGGAGCTTTCTTTCCCCCCTTCGTGATGTTTCTGGGTTTAATTTAGATTTTCTCCTAATTGTTTTGCTTTCATGTGTTGTGTTTATCATTTTCCTGCTCAGTTTCTTTTTTAGATTCCGAAAACAGTTTCTGCATGAGTGCATCATCCATGACATATGTCATCAGCAGGTGGCTCTGACAAATGGCAACAATTAGAAATGGGGCGCTCTCTGGGAAAGCTTGTGAACCCCCTTCCTGGTGTGGCTTCCTGCAGTATCTGCAAAGTGTGGATCTTGTGATTCATATACCTCTACTCTGTACATACATGGAGCACATCTGCATTTAATTTAGGAATGTGCATTTTCAAACAGAATCTAGATGCAATGGCTTTCAAAAATAGTTATTTATAAATTGGAAGCCACATCTTAAAGACTTTGTTCAGCCAACTCTCCTAAAATATAAATGACAAGAGCATCTTCAGATGAGTCCCACTCTAGAGCTTGCCTTGAATGTGCACATGGCTAGTGAGGAATGCAGATGTTATCCCCTAAAGAAAGGTATAGTTTGGAACAAACAAGAGGGAGTTCTTTATAATGCCATAGATGCATATACTGTCTCTCACCATGTGAAATGGAAGCTGTTGGGCTACATAGGATAATAGTTGGATTGAGTAAATATGCAGTGTATGCCCCTAGGTCAGGGGTCTGCAACCTTTAAGACAAAAAGAGCCACTTGGACCCATTTCCGAAGGAAAAAAAACTGGGAGCCGCAAAACTCGTCATTATAAAAATAACTTTTTTGTCACTTTTTTAATTATTTCTTTGTTTGACCCCTCAGAATTACTCCTCCTCATAGAAATAAATGTTAAATTAACAAGTTACCTTTTTGTGTGTGTGTGTTCTTCACTCCCCTTCAAAACAGTGACCAGCATACATGCCCCCTTTCAATGCAGTGACCAGCGTACATGCCCCTTACAATGTAGCGGGCGGGCGGGAAGGTGATGTCGGGACGATGCGTGACTAACGCACGCACCACCCCCATGCGACGTCACAGCCAGTACAGCGCCCGCCACAGTGGGGAGTGTCGGGGCGCACAATGCGCCTCCTCCCCTCGCTAGTATCCGCCCCGGAGCCGCGGCAAAGGTGTAAAAGAGCCACATGCGGCTCCGGAGCCGCGGGTTGCAGACCCCTGCCCTAGGTGATCCTAGGCTATCTCCAACTTCAGCTGAGTGTGCTTAAGCTACATTCCTAAGCACATTTGTGTGGAAGTACATGCTGCTAGAGCTTATTTCCAATGAAGTGCACTTAGGACTGAAGTTTTAGTTTGTCATTTAAAACTGTGAAGGATGAAGAGAGACATCAGAAGGTGGCTATCTGGAGACGCTGCGGATTCAATCAGGGATATTCTGCATGCAAACCAGATGCTCTACTACTGAATTGCATCCTTTCCCCTTTGAACTTATATCCTTCCATATTTTGACTTGGTATCGCTTAAGTTCCCCTGTATATGCATATAAAACTGATTTCCGCCCATGACTACGGGCAAGAAATGAATGAGCCATCTTGTGAATGCATGAGCCTTTCCTGAACCCCAGCTTTGCAGCAGTGGCAAATCAAACTACTCCCTGCATTATCTGTTGTAGTCGGAGGACAAGGCTTGGTAGAACCTTCTAATAACTCAAGACATGCAAAGCATTTTCAAATGACAAACTAAAAACTCAAGCCTCCTTTTAAAGTAAACGCCACTGAAATCAGCAGCACTTACTTCCATGTAAATGTGCTGAGGCTCTCATTGGCTGTTTGCTGTGACATCCTCGTTTTGTTTTGTTTTCTGTGGACATGCTCCTGGCATCTAAATAACCTGGATTGCTTTGAAAAATCCCAACTAGCTTTAGGCAGCTCTTTCTGAAAATCTTGGCCTCTGCTTCATCCCATATTGCTTTAATAATAGGAAGAATGTTCCCATGTGGACATTAAAAGGTTACTAAGAATTTATGAAACAGTAATCTTATTCCCCTTAGTCATGGCAATAACTCAACATGTGTTTACACAGAAGGGTTTGCCTCGTACAAAATGCTGACCTGAGGGGTTGCTATACCAAATTCTTCAGCAATATGCTCCGGTAAGCTCTAGCCCTAGCATCAAGAACATGTAGAGGTTAGAGGGTTTTTTTGTTTTTCATTCTCCCTGCAACCCAGCTGGGAAACAAAGCAACAGTGAACTGCAATGTGTGAAAAAATTCTTGGGCTTACAACCTTTTTTCAGGAAATGTGTATGTTGATCAGTTTGAGTAGGAATGTCAAAAAGGGTCACAAGCAGTGTGAATTTGTTAACTTTTGAGGTGGTTTTGCAATCCTTCCCTTACAGAGGTTTTTGAGCCATATAGAACAAAACCTCTGTTGCTTGCTGGTGAGATAATTCAACACTTATTTTAACCATCTGGATGCAGGGCCCGTTAATATTTAGCAGCTATGATTTTCAGTTAGCAAATCTAGAGGTTCTCTGGGCTAGTCATATCCACACTACATTTAAAGAACTCTTAAACTACTTTAAGAATCCCAGAGAATTCTGGGAACTGTAGAATTGTGGGTACTGTAAGTCTGTGAGGTCAGCACTCTTGATAAACTTCAGTTCAGTTTTGTGATAAGATTGCTCTCAAAGCTCTTAAACTTCATCTTATGTAGAACTTCATTGGGACTTATTTGCATGAAAATATGTTGCCATACTCTCAGATGCATCCATAATTGAAACTGCCTTATTTTCCTTGCAAGAATTGGAGATACATACCTGGTACGAGTGGTAATCCTTTTTGAGTGGAGAAACAGGCCATGTTAGGGCGTTGTAGGGTCATTTAAACAGACTATTGATAGATGAAATAATAAGGGCTAAAAACCTCTTGTTTTTCTTGTAAATGAATCTCCTTTCAGCTACATTCCTGCCCATTGTTCACCCTCCACCACCAACCATGAATTCTATTCCTCTACTATAAAAACTGAAAAACAACAAAAGCTCGTTGTCTTTCAGTGCCTTACATGATTTTGTTCCAATTATAAATTTGACAGGGCCAGTCTGATGAACTAATCCCAATGGGATTCCATTTTTGTTTTGAGTCATAAAATGTACAGTGGTACCTCAGATTACAGATGCTTCAGGTTACAGACGCTTCAGGTTACAGACTCCGCTAACCTGGAAGTAGTACCTCAGGTTAAGAACTTTACTTCAGGATGAGAACAGAAATTGTGTGGCGGCTGCGCAGCGGCAGTGGGAGGCCCCATTAGCTAAAGTGGTACCTCAGGTTAAGAACGGACCTCCGGAATGAATTAAGTTCTTAACCAGAGGTACCACTGTAGTCTTAAAATCTGTCCAATTGATGCTCATAAATTGTGCCAGAAGTGATATTGGCGCTTCCATCTTTTGCCTATGACAGTTCCATTTCTTTGAGCCAAAATGGTTCCTTCCTTACGACGTTTGATAAAATCTCTCATGACCTCAATGACTTCTAAGAAGAATGCACTTGTATGTTTTCTCATGACTTCAGAGCTCCCTCTCTGTCTCTCTGCCATCCACACTGCAGGTAAGCCCTGCTTGGGTGCTCAGACTACTTGTGTGTAAGGAAACATGCAAGGGGAAGTCCACTGCCAAGTCCCATTCCCTCTCAGTCAGTTTTGATCCTTCCATAAGCTTGAGGGGTACACTGCTCTATTGTACTTAATGCTGAGCTCTCCAAGCAATTTAGAAGCCCTGAATTTTCAGGGTTCTGAATCATGTGGTGAGTCTCTACAAGTAGAGCTGACTCCATACTTCAGACCTTCACCCTCAAATTCATTGTGGATGGTAAACTCAATGAAGGTGTTGTAGGCTTACCCAGCACACATCCCTTCTTCTCCTTTTGTGCTTCCTTACCTGGATTCAGTTTGGGCTTCGTACATATACAGCAAGGGTGGGGAACCTTTTGCAGCTCAAGGGCCACATTCCCATCCATACAATCTTCCGGGGGCCACATCCCAGTAGTGGACAGGGCCAGGATCAAAAGTGGGTGGCGCAGCACATGTTGACTTACTCACACATCCTTCTCGAGACTCCTTCTTGGCAAGCAAGAAACATTATCAAAGACACATTCTAACCAGACACAACATCCAAAGAAGGACCGGTGTAGGATGTGCCATGGTAATGGAAGTGTGTCTGCGAAGGGTTGTGTTGCCTGGAGAGAGTTCCAAGCATGGGCATAGCCAGGATTTATTTGGGGGGGGGAGGCTTTATGTTGGGGGGCAGAACTGAGTTATTTGCAATGCAATTGGTCAGTTAAGTATTTTTATTTATTTTCTTGATTGGGGGAGGAAGCTGCCCCCCCTGCACCTCCCTGGCCACATCCATGGTTCCAAGGGCCAGATAGAAAAGTCTGGAAGACTGCATTTGGCCTTCAGGCCTGAGGTTCTCCATCCCTGGTGTATAGCAAAGTTAAGAACCAAGTCCACATGGTGAAAGGGTGACTTTGCAGACTTTGGAAGAATGTTTAGGCATTCGTAGAGTTCATTCATGCTGGGCCTGTGTGTGGGAAGTAGCTTTGTTAAGCCGCTGGCAAGCTAGTCCACAATTGAATGGCATGGAGTTGAGAGCCAATGAGACATGATTGTTCTCACTGCTGAGCTAGAACAAAGTGCCTAGGATTTTGGTAGGGTGTTGAACTCTCATAACTTGTGCATGTTTTATTGCTTTTTTTATTCTTTTGTTCATGCATTCTGTTTCAAAGTTTTATGCTGCCCTTCTGGTGAAAAAGCACCAGTCAAGGCAGCTTGCAGCATTTAAAATTTAAATATCAGGTCAGCAATATATAAAATAATCAACCAAGGAGACAGCTTCAGGTGTTAATGTCAAGCATAAATATTATCTGTCTCATCAAATAAAATCCTGCCAGAGCAAAATGGGTCTTTTGTGTCCATGCTTCACAGGACAAAGTGCTTCATAAACAAGGTGGAGCCCTCTCTCATCCCATTCATCCTTTCTTCCACCCAAGGTGAGCCACAGAAGTCTCTCTTTAGGAGCAGGCAGGAAGAGACAGCCCCCAAGCCTAAGGTCTCCTGATCTAAACCATTTAGGGCTGATGATCACCAACACTTTGTCTTATTCTGGAAACCAGATTGGTAACCAGTGCAGCTACTGCAGAATGGTGTCATATGATCTCATGTTTGTGTGCCCAGCAATATCTTTGTAGCTGCATTCTAAACCTGATGAAGCTACCAAAGATTTTCAAACATTAGCCCTATGTAGATGTATTATCCGTGGTTCCTGTAGTTGCATCTAACATCAAAAACCTTATGACACAAGTACAAGAATTAGGACTGCAGTGCATGCCTACTCAGAAGTAACTCCTACTGAGTTCCATGGGGCTTACTCCCAGGTAAGTGTGACTAGGATTGCAGCCTTAAGCAATTAGCTGGTTAAAGATTTTTTTCAAAAAAAAATATTGCAGACCCCTAAGAAAACAAACAAACAAAAATGTTTAAATACCGTTTACAAAAACTTTCAACAGTGGTGCATCTAGGGCTGGACATCAGGGACCAGGTTCAGGGATCTGCAGCCCAAATGACTGCCCAGGGGGCAATAAATGATAGGGCAGTTCTTGGGCTGGCATGGACGTGCCAGGGTCAGGCAAGGGTGTGGCCAGGCATGTATATGGTCACAAATGCTCATTTTTATTTTTATTTACTTTTAAAATACTTTAAGCATTTCTACAACACGGGCAAATGTGCTTAGCATTAAGGAAGCAGAAACAAACCCTAAGCACATTTGCCCGTGTTGTAGAAATGGTTAAAGTATTTTAAAAGTAAATAAAAATAAAAATGAGCATTTGTGACCATATACATGCCTGGCCACACCCTTGCCTGACCCTGGCACGTCCATGCCAGCCCAATGGCGATGCTATGTCTTAAGTGAGTTCAAAATGTGAATTCGCATATGCTCAGAGTATCTATAAATGGTAGGCAAACTGCTTTTTCAGTTACTTTTTGCTGTATCATAAATGTAGAGCCTGGAATGGAGATGGTGGTTTGGGAGGGAAATGACATATTAACTGTGTGTTTCACAACTGAAATAATACACATGGTTGTTTAAGCCCCAACCTTGTCATAAGGCCATCAAATCCAGGGTCTAAAATTACCTACCTATGATGTCCAGAGCATTGTCTTTGAGAGAGGCATCCTCCCTTTTCTCTCGCATAGGTGGGAATGCCTCTTCTAAGAAGATGACTGCTATTGCTGAGCTTAAGCAGTCATGCATTCCTCCAGTCAACAGAGGGCAGGGTTAATACTAACAGATAGGGAAGATGCAGTTCCTAAGCTCAGCACCTGCCTCCTCTGTGTTTTTTCTCTCCTCCTGCAAAAAGCCATGAAACTATCTCTCACGATTGTAGGCTTAGAATCCAAAGCCATCCATGTGCACATGAAGTAACTGTTAAGTAAAGAACCTTTTTTTTCTTTACCTATGGGACTCTGTGCATTTTTTTATCTTATTATGCAATGCTAGTGATGTGTGAATGAGACAGACGATGGGTGGTGAGTTAGCTTCTGCTTCCAAACTACTTCTACTCTGCTAAATATGTATGTGTGTATATATATATATATATATATATATATATATATATATATACATATATACATACTATAAGGCAACAACTTTTATTTTTTGAAACGTATTAGTAATGTCACAGGTGTTCCCCTAACAAAACTAATGATTCTTGCTTCAGAATGATTATTTTTCACTCATATGCATATTTAATTGATGAATTGACTAAAACTCCTATTATTAATTGACCAAGTGTCAGATCCAGGCTTTGCCGTGCTTAAAACATGAGACATTGATTTCAATGGGTCGACTCTAATGATGGCTAAGTTTGCATCTAGTGCTAGGGTTTTTTAATTGGATGGTAGCCCCAAGAGGAAAGTCATGTTGGTTGGTTGGAGCTGGCCCTTACTGAGACAGCTTCTGGTAGCCAACCAATGCTCTTCAAGGTGCTCCTCTTCCAAAGCAGAGCACATGCAGGTTTCATGTTGCTTGTGTTAATCTGCCTTTAATCTGTTTTACATCTGCAGAGGGACTGGACTCTACCTTCACTTTGCTGTGCTCTGCTGTACAATGATGCTGTGATTCGCAGGCTCTGCTTAGATTCCAAGCCCATGACTGGCCACTCACGCATATACACAAAGCATTATTTGAATTCAGAGTTTGCTCACCAGAGTGAAACAGCCTCCTCTCCTCACCTCCCCGCCTCCCAATGTCACACCTGCATCTCAGACCACATTCCATCCACAAACAAGGCTTTAGCTTCTTTCCCCAGCAGAATTTTCCTGCTCCTTTCTGTACAGGCCAGAGTTCAGAAGGTTTGTGGTTTCTTCTCATTCCAGAGAAGTGAGCGATCCTTGTGTGCACATGGAACACGAAGGAGTTACCAAGCCAGAGGGGGCTTCCTGGGGGTGGGGGCAAAGGACTAACTTGGGCTTGGGTTTCTCTTGTGAAATGCTCCTTTCGGTGGTAAGCAAGGCACCGCTTGCAAAAAAACAAAAAATGTTGGCATGCCGCACATGGGGGCTCATTATTACTAATTCCCTGCCTGCTTTGGAAAATGCTACGGTAAAGAGAAAGCTGTCGACAAATGCTTTGCAGCATAGCCTCGCCAAACTCAATGGAACTTGTGGTTTAACTTAGGAACCCTCTAGTTTCTAGTCTTAGAATTGTCCTTGCCAACTTTGGAGTCAAAACTCTGCTGCTTGACCAGAGAGGTACACACTACAGAAACTATAATATGCTTAATTTACTAGATGATATACTAATAAAAGCAAATCTGAATCAGCAGCAAGATGGATGCCTTAGGTGACACAATTTGAAAGGGATGATAAGGATATCGTCTCCAAAGCTGCTGTGGGACCAGCTTTGCACACAGGAGCCCGCATCAAGACTGCAGTGGCTGCAGTTAAAGCTTAATACCTTGCATGAAGGCATCTGCAAAGCAACTCGCCCCTAGAGCAGGGGTGGGGAAGCTGTGGCCTTCCAGATATTGCTGGACTGCAGCTCCTATCATCCCTGGCCATTGACCATGCCAGCTTGAGCTGATGGAAGTTGGAGCCCAGCATCCGTAGGGATGCAGCTTACTTCACATGATACAATCAGAGTCATTCAGTAGTGAGGGAAGGAGCAAAAAGGAGCAAGAGACCTTTTTCAATCTGGTTCTTCAAAAAAATGCCCCTCCAACCCAATTGGGACATAACCCAAATCGATCAACTGTGATCTGGCTGTGGGCCCAGAAAAATGGATGTGATAATCACCCTTCTTGAACTGCAGCAGTTCAGAATGAAGGCAAGAGATTGCATGATCAAATGCTCCCTGTCCCATTGAAATCTTAGCAGGCTGAGGAATATGATTCCATTCCAGGTAGTTTTTTAAGCATTCAAATATGCAGTCAACAATAGCATACTGAGCTGTAAAGTCAAATGAGGACTGTGCTGGATTACTTCTCTGAATGTGTAGATGTGGAAAATTCTATCTATTACTGCTCTGCCTCCCGTCTCTGTTGTGTCAGTCACAAATGTTGCAGGCTCAGGATATGATATTAATCAACAAAGGTGTATAAATGGGGTGAAACAGTCCAGTGTAGTAAGGAAGGAGGGATGGCATCCTGCCCGCAAGGGTTTTGATTTTAAGAGAGGGAGTGGTGTCTCTCCTGCTCCAGCAGAGCTGCTCGTGTATATATACCCCGGTGTCTTTACCTTGACCAAAGAAGCAGTAAATAACCTCCTCCATCTCCTAGTCCCTTCAGAATAAACCCTTTTGCCTCTTTAACATGAGGAAGTGAATAGTAAGTCCTGCTGCCTTGTGAGGTGAGTGACCCAAACGAACTGCACCCTGTTTGTTCAAATCACTGTGGCTGCCGCAGTTTTCTCAGCTGTTCCTCCTTCCTTTGGCCCATCTCCGGCAGGAGAACAGGGCATGGCTTGTTCTGCCTCCTTTCTCAGATCCCTTGGCCATGGCTCTCAAGCCCTCATGTGCAGCAAGCAAGTGGCAGGGGTGGAGAGAGTGGGAAGGGGGGTGTTTGAAAGGAGAGGCAGTTCCCTGGATTATTTTTTTGGCACACAGTTTTTCATCTACAAGCTAGAAGGGTGGTGTGCCTGCATTTTAAAGGCTAGGAGGGGGAACACGTACTTAGAAAAAGAAAACTTTCTAAAGTGTGAGGCAGATTATGGGGCAGATCCTTCCTGAATTTTTCTGCCGTCTCTGCATCCTTTTTTTAAAATCATCAGTGGAAGGCATGCAAGAGAACAAACAACCTTCATGCATAGCAATGTTTCTACCCTCTGCACAAAGTCAGGGCCCACAAGTTCAATTTAATTCAAATCCCCTGATTGTTTACCCTTTTTCCTTTTTCACCATGCCTCACTTTTTCTCCTGTCAAGGTCAACAACAATGGGATCATTTCATTTTTGAAAGAAGTGTCTCAGTTTACACCAGTGGCTTTCCCCATCTCCAATGACCGGCGTGTGGTTGCTGCTTTCTGGGCGGACGTAGATAACCGGCGTGCAGGCCAAGTGCATTACCGGGAAACTAAGGACCAAGCCATTTTGATGAGGGCCACTAAGGACATCTGGCAATATTTCCCAGAATTCCCACAGTTCTCTGCCCAATGGGTATTCGTGGCCACTTGGTACCAGGTCACCTTTTTTGGAGGAAACTCGCTTTCTCCGGTAAGTGGTGAATGATGTTGGCGTTGGGTATTGGATAAGGGGGCTATTTTCCATAGTGGATATTGGGATAACCAATGTGGTTGAATTACAACTCACATAATCATTGGCCATGCTGTCTGGGACTTACGGGAGCTGTAACCCAACAACTTCCGGAGGGCACTATGTCAGCTATCCTTGATGTATATTCTATTTCATGTTTTACAGTTGCAGAGTACAATGTGTAAAGAGCAGCTGAAGCAGTTAAACTTTTGTTTATTTCAAACATTTACATTCCACCTTTCCACTATGTAAGCCTTCATGGCAGATAAAAAAACATTGTGGGGCGGGGATTTGTTACACAATCCAGTAACAAAAAGAATGAGTTTTAAAAACTAAAACTATAAAATTAAAAAATCATAATAGCAGGCACAAGAGCCCAAACAGAAAGCATGTTGGAAAGTGGCAAAACGGGTTAACTATTAAAAACCTGGAATGCCCTTGCTGAAAATTCAGGCTCAGACCTTCTACCTCTTCCTGGGGTTGAATTCTGTAGAAGGCAGGTCCTATGGCCTGAGAAGGGATTAAGAACCATTGTGGCTGACTTTCCAGATAAAAAGCCTGGCTCAGATTACTAATTCTGCAGTTTATTGTGGCATTTTCATTGCGGCTTTTGCGGTGCTATTCTTTTTTCTTTCAGGTTAACACCTTCCAAATAGTCCTCATCACCGACGGCATGCTGTCCTTCACTATCTTCAACTACGAGTCCATCACCTGGACCACCGGAATGCATGCCAGCAGTGGAGGAGACTCAGCAGGCCTGGGAGGCATTGCGGCCCAGGTAGACTCCATGGTCACACCTTGCAAGCAAGTCTTCTTTCTAATACATGGCGTGCATTTTTCCAGACAGTAGTTTTGAAATAGCAAGGCAATATTTCCTCAGCCCCAATTTCTCTCTCTTACTCTCTCTTCAAAGCCATATCGGGGGCCTTGTGATAGAGCAACCACAGCTCTTTACATTGGCCAGTGCCTCATGGTTCCTTCCCATCACAACCTCAGACTCTTTAAAGAGCCACCCAGCAGAGGCTGCAGCAAGTACAGCCTCCCTTTGGTATTCCTGCCCCCCCCCCAATTCTGGTGTGCTGTTTTCTTTCTTTTAACCAGTGGCTGTTCAGATGTGTGAATTTACCACTAATTGATCTATGCTTGGCTGGCTGCCGGCTCTCATCTGAGCGTCTCCGGTAGGCAGGAAATTGCAGGTGTAAAGGAAATGGACCCATTTTCAATCCCAGAAATTCAGAAGTGCAGGCTTTTTATGACTGTAAACAGAGCAGTAACCACATGCTTTGGAATACTGTACAGTGCTTCAGGAACACCCTGCCCCAGTCCAGCCAAAGCAGGAGAGAGAGAGAGAGAGAGAGAGGAAGTTGAAAAGTTTTTCACCAGGCTTGTGACCAAGTTTGCAAAAACGTGCTGCTGTAACTCGCAAGGCGATAGAGTGCCTCGGCACGAGCACCTCACGGCTCAGCATGGCAAAGGCTTCTGCTTGGCTAGAGCTAGCAAATCTGTTCTCGTTTCACGGAAAGGAGCGAGAGTGTCCAAGATTCTCTTGGATTCACCCTGTGCAGATGAATGAGGATGAAAATAGGCTCAGCGTTCTGTGTGCGTTCCAGCAAGTGAGTCATGGATGTGTGGGGATTGCTGAGGCTTTATGGTGCCAAGAGCCATTTGGGAGAAGGGTTGCAATAAGTAGATCATCCAATCCCTCTCCCTGTCACCTTCCCCCCCCCTTTTAATGCTGACAGTTCCTCATGTGTCATAGCCAAGATCTTTAATCATAGCTGACATGCAAAACAGTTACAAAATGCCTTCGAGGATCCTTGACTGCTCAGATGTTCTGAAAGCAACTGAAATTGAGGCTCCATTGTGATGGGTGCCCTGGAGAAAGAATGCTTGCCTCAAAAGAGCCTTGCAAATAAGTTGGTCGCCCACAAAAATGTGCACTAACTGCCAGCGAACATTAGTCATTTATGGCCTGAGAAGAAAGAGTGAGCCAGCTTCTGTAAACTTTCCTCGCATGGTGGCCACAGATAAATTATCTTCATCACAGGTGACCGAGCAAATGATTGTTTATATGGCTGCTCAAATAAATTGCATTCTGAATATATTTATTACAATTATGTAATAAATATATTTATTACATTTGTGTCCCAACTTCTTTTTATTTCCTGTGGAAATAAAGGTGGTATACCTAGGGGAAAGGAAATGAAGTCAGGAGGTTAAAGAGAACCTCCAAAAAGATATTTTCCTTTTTCTTTCTCTTTGTTTTTCTTCACTTCTTTCTCTTTCTTTGCTTCCCTTTACTTTTATTTCACTTTTTATTTTTTATGTTGGATATTTTATATCTTTAATTCTGCTTGATGGAAAATAATTGTCGAAGTTGAAATTATAAAACCAATAAAACTTTTATTTACATACATAGGGTTCTCCCATTCAGGCACTGATCAGACACAAGCCTGCATGCTTGCTGCATCATGGGCCTTCAGACCATAGTCCCAGATCTTGCATGATAGGGAATGAATGGGAAAAGACATCCAAGTCCTGGAAGGAATTATTTTCCAGGAAGGCAAAGTGGGGCCATCTTAGCAAACTGCTGCCCCCCCCCCCCATCAGGGACTGGAAGAGTTGTTGTGCTGGGGGCTGCACTGCCTCTGATCCAAAGCAGGAAAATTTCAGGTGGGAAGTGGTTGTAGCAGTAACCAATATGCAGAGGAATGCTTCCCTTCCTTGTGTTCTTGCAGTCCATTCTTCTGCAGGGCACTGGGGGGGAAGAGAGAAGTCCCTTGCCTATCCCCACAGCTGCCCTGCTTTCCCCAGCGAGAGGTTTCACTCTCTGCCCTTGTCTTCCTAGGCAGGTTTCAATGCCGGTGATGGAAAGCGGTATTTTAACATCCCCGGATCCCGCACTGATGACATTGTCGACGTGGAGATGACGACAAATGTGGGTATCCCCGGGCGCTGGGTGTTCAGAATCGATGATGCCCAGGTGCAAGTGGGGGGCTGCAACAACACAAGTAAGAGGACAGCAGTTAGGTTTATTTAACCAAACCAATTCTTCCATCCCTTTTCTCTGTCCCTGTGAAAATCCCAGCGCTTATGAAAGAAAGGCAGCCGCTATGCAGCTGGGGTAGTTTGGGTGTGGCAAGTGGAAGCCCTGTTTTCCTCTGTGCATAAATATGGCCAGCAGGACATGGGAAGCACTGGTGGAGGAGCCATTTCAAGCTGCAATTTGGGAGGATATGACTGTATTGCTGCATGAAACCAAGAGCGCATCTCTGGCTGCTGGAGAGCTATGATGTCTTTTGCCACTGCCAGCTCAAGTTTTAGAATGAGGCAAGGGGAGAACCTGGAGATAAATGAATGTAGGATTGTGTGTAAAATGGGCCTCCAGGCATAGAACTGCAAGCTTTAAATAGTAGATGCCCTCTGAATGGTTGTTCAGTCATGGGAGTTGATTGGTCATAGAGTAAATAAGTGCAATCCTAGACATGTCTACTCAGAAGTAATTCAGTTGGGCGTACTCCCAGCTAAGTGTGTGTAGGATTGCAGCCCTAGTTTAATTGGGGTGGGCCAATTTCAAATCATGAGACTGTGAGTTAAGGTCATGCATGTTTGGTTTTCAGCTACTTTGGTGTTACCATAATATGCGATGAAAAGCAAAATATGAAAGATGGCCTTGCCTTTTAACAGTAACTGGAACTTCAAATGTATCTCCCAACTTACTTTGTATCATACACTTCTTCATTGCCAGAGTACTTTATAGCTGTTTCACCTGTGCATGTGTGTGTGGTGTTGCTGTTTTGCATATCTGCTATTTAATATTGTAAGAATGGGAAAATTCTTAATAAAAAATTGCAAAAGAAAGTACACTTTTAAGAATCTAAGGGCTTGTGTGCATCAGAGTTTACTGTGTGTTTGTAACTGATTGCGTTCTCATTTAATTTGTGTAGTCCACATGATGTTACCTTCCAACAATACCAGTCGTGATGCTTTCCCCCTGAAAATCTAAATTTACCCAATAGGGGGATAATCTGTTAAATTGGGGAAATCAGGCTCCAAACTGCTCCACGTGGGGTTGCAGCAATTTGTGTGTGTGTGTATCAATCATCATTGCCAGTCCCCTTACCACCCCCACTACTGTATTTTCTGGCATCACTTGTCAGTATTTCTGGCACACTCTGGATGGGGGTGATGATGATGATGATGATGATGATGATTAGGATCCTTCAGATGTGCACAAAGCTAGAAAACTGCACAAGCAAATTTACAATTGCTTGACTGGTTTAATTTGAATGAGGAAAAAGTGGATTACTTTACCTTTAATGCTCAAATGTGGAGAGGCTTTAACATGCATAAAGTACCACATTTCAGCTCTGTGATCAGTTAGCGTAATCCTAGTAGAGATGTCTCTGCCACCATTTGCTTCTTTGGACTGCAGAAGGAAGATGCTGCTAGGTTCTACTAGAAATGTTGCCATTTGCAAATCTGTTCCATAGGGCTCTTAAAATACCTCTCTACAAATTGGTGAAGAGCCTAAATACAATATGTATTACAAGTATACTGTAATAGTCTTCCTCAAACTGGCTATTGGTGTATGCAATGTGAGAGTAACAGTAGCGCCCAGTTTCTTGTCACAACAATTCCCCAACATTGGCACATAATTCCAAACAAAAACATATACCCAGACTTTACCAGATCTATGGCTGCTTAGGCTCACATGAGTTCTCTTCTGACTCTGAGACCAAGACTTGACTAATCTGCCTATATTAAGGGTATGCACCTCTCTACAGCTCTCTGGGGCTATATTTCACCCCCTGAGATTGCCCCATCTTGGGAAATCAAGTGGTTTGCTGTCTGACTATTTCCCAAACCATTTTGCCTTTGCTTACACACACACACACACACACACACTTTAATTTTTTGGTCAAAGAGTTATAGAATGTTGCTGGCATTTACCCAGCTCTTGATTCTTGGTTTTGTCACCAAAATATTGTAACTTTCCTAAAGGCAAATAGCATGTCTTTGCAGAATGTATGTTATGGGGTGTGCGCAGTGGGACACAGAGCTGGTCTAAACTGTTGCATGTTTGAACGCTGTTCAGAATTTCTAAGCAGAAAGGAATACTGGTACAGTCATTAACATTTTCTCTTTGTGAACTACTAATAGTTTGCCTATAAAGGAGGATTAATTTGACATTTGATGGTCAAAATGATAATGTAAGATGTTTAGAGAGCAAACAAAAGTCTTGACATGAACAGCAGAGAGCAACACACACACACAAAACAAACAAATGGAAACAAATTTAATATACAGTATTCAAAATATTTTGAGATCGTACTATAACTTCCTACAAAATTTCAATCCAGTTTAAATGTGGATGTGCTAATTTGAATTGGAATCTGGCACTTCCACCCATGAGCCCATTTAATTACAGAGCAAACAGGGGCTGAAGGCCGCAGGGACAATGGAAGCTGGATCAGTTCAATGTTATTGTTGCTGCAACACATTCTAGTAGTTCTCTAGCTATGCTATCATTTGTTGAACACTGGGTTTGCTTCTTTGTGCAGCATCGGTGTGCCTGACACTCCGCCCTTGTCTGAATGGAGGGAAGTGTATTGAGGACTGCATCACAGGGAACCCCTCCTACACCTGTTCTTGTCTGGCTGGCTTCACTGGAAAGCGATGCCATATTGGTGAGTCTTGCTCATACTTTTCTTGCAGTCTTCTATTGAGGGGCTTCAGTGAGCTTAAGAAGAACCTTGCCAGATCAGACCAAAGGCCCATCTAATCCAGTATTCTGTTTTCACAGTGACCAAGTAGATGCTTATGAGAAAGCCATATGGAGGACGTGGTCCTCAGCTGTGGAATCCAGAGATGTACTGCCTCTGATATTGGGGATAAATAGCCATCACGACTATAACCCACTGATAGCCTTACCTTACATGAACTTGTCTTTTTGAAACAATCCAAGCTGGCCATCGCCAGACCTTGTGGTAGCTAATTCCACAGCATTCATCTATCCTGAATTTCTTCAGCTTCATTGGCTGACGGGTTCCAGCATTATGAGAGATGGAGAAAACTTCAGCATGTATATTTTTATATACCTCTGTCATGTGCCCTCCTTTTTTGTCTTTTTTATAAACTAAAAAGCCCCAAATGTAGTAACCTTTCTTCATATGAGTTTTGCTCCAATCCCCTTAATCATTTTGGCTTCCCTTTTCTCAGGGGCTGCCCATCCTGTTTCACCACTTGAGGTGAAATGGGAAGGTTCTGCCCCCCAACCCTGCTGCTGCCCCCCATCCCTTTCAGTGAGATTTTCCAGTGAGTGTGGACTGGGTAGAATTCTGCAGGCCAGGTAGAGATGCCTGGAAAGCTTCCTTTGGTCTCTGAGGTTCCCCACTACTGGTATAAGGCTTCTTCGTTTGCTAATATTTTAATTCATGTTTCTCTTGTTGGCTTATTACTGCCCACCTGCAGCTGCTCCATTCCTTGCTCTAGCTGTCCCATTCTTGAAGAACTGAATGCCCATGAGAACTGACCTATGTTTGTCTTTGGCATATTGTCATTACTAAATTAGCCAGTTACTTCTCTATTGAAGTGTCAGGGTGAACGAGGAACACACTAAAGCTTTCATTTAATGAAGTCCGGGGACACTTCTAGAAAACCTCTTTGTTGAGTTCTCTGCTTGATTTGTTTGCAAGAAGATTAGATGATGTTGGCTAGTTAATAAGCATTTGTTCTGATTTGTTTTCAGGGAGGTTAGATGACATGTCAAAGAAAGTATTATCTCACACTTTGCAGTGCGTTTTTCTGTCACTTTCCATGTGACAAAAGGTTTAAGTTTTGGGAAAGTGGGCTTTTTGCACAAGACCTCCAAATAAAATATAATTTTACCACCTGAATTTGTCGGTATGAGATTGCATGTCATCCAAAAATAGCAATAGTCTGGAAGTGCCCCTGGTGACTGCTGCCATAATTAATGCTAATAGCTACCGCAGTGTTAGAAAGTTAAACCTGGTGACCTTAGGGAAGTCGTTTCTAGCCTCTCAACTCCTATAATCCTCCACAGAGGCATTCAGGCTGTCGCCAGAGAAAAGGGTATATAACCCAAAGCATCTTAGCATAATCAAAAACATATAAAGGAAGGGTTTGTTTTCTGTCTTTGCATGCAATCCACACTTCTGGGAATGATGTATCCATAGTAGACATGCCTGGTTAATTACAGATGGTAATGCATGTGAAGTGTTTCGGTTGAATGTATGAGAGCACACCCTACTTTTTCGCTTCCTTCCCATTACCTTCCAGATGTGGATGAGTGCGCTTCCAGCCCATGTCAGAACAAAGCCTCCTGCATCGATGGCATTAACAGCTTCAGTTGCTGGTGTCCACCAGGATTTAAAGGAGCCATGTGTGAAGTTGGTGAGAAACATTGTGTAATTGCAAAAGGACAGGGAAATCAGATAACAGCTTACAGGCAGGTCTAGGTGGACAAAGTGTTTATAAAGGCATTCCAGTACCAGTACCCAGTACTTTTTTCTAGAAAAATAGGTGCCAGTGTTCACCACGAAGTTGTTACAGTAAGTGCCACACTTTTAAACAACAACAAAAAGAGGTGCCAGTACTGCGTGCCCTTGAGTACCCCCTGAAGAAGAAGAAAGCACTGCCAGTACCTCTTTATTTCAGTTCTAGTCTGGGGGTGGGGCAGAAGTTAGGGATGGCCTGCTCAAACTATGGTACTTTGCAGAACAAATTGGGATAGAAAGCAGTTAGCAGTTGTAGTGTGGGAACTGTATGCAGGAAAGTTGTCTTTCTAATTCTCTGCTGAAACATTCTGAATCAGGAAATGTTAGACTGTACAAATCATAAAATGGTGTATGTTTAGGTGTTGCCCCCTCCCTTTAATCCTAGTGCCAGCATCCTTCCAAGTACTAGAGGATGGCTAGTGTGCAGTCACAATAGTTTTTTAATCAGGTCTGGGGATGGGAGACCTTGGTGCAAAAGGTACAGGTGCCTTTCTGCAACACATATATACACAATCATTCCCCAGAAGAACAGAACATATGTTCCCACAGCCTGCATAGGATAGAAATATACTATGGCTGGAGAAAAGCGAAGAGGTAAATGTGATCAGGTTTTGTACATGCAAGTTCGTGTGTGTGTGTGTGTGTGTGTGTGTGTGTGTGTGTGTCTCCCACACAGCTCTACCTGTGGCTGAATTAACCATGCAGCATACCTGAACCACTGCCCAGACAACACCTCTAAACAGAATGCCTTGTTCAGGGGCTCCTGTCTGGCTTGCCCTTTCCCAAACCAGAGCATTCCTTGGAGGCAAATCAAGTCAAGCGATTGATTCATTTGCCTGTTGATTGTTAAGAAAGTAACCATGCAATGCCCTTCACGGTGTGCTATTCACTTGGCAAGGAGGTAGGGAAAGATGGACATAAATTTGGCATGTAAATGGCCACTAAAAGGAGTCTTTGTGGCTGCTGCAGGCATCACCATCCTCCCCAATATTATGAGAACACTCCAAATTTATCTGGTTTCAGAAGTTCAGTTGCATTTTTCCGACCTTGTAAGAGCCATTGACTGCAAACTATAAGGTGTACATCAGATTCATAGAAGGCGGTTGTTACCACAGATTGGCTTTTTGCAGCATCATTTTTTCTTGCACAGAGTCCGAAGAGAGCTGTAATTGAATCATATGCCTAAGGAAGGTACTTGAGCTTTGAGAGACCATAACTTCCTATATTCTGCCATTTCCCAGACCCCACATAGCTTCTCACTACCTATGGTGCTACAGCCAAGAAATGCTACTAATTCTGAAAGCAGGAGAAGCATGTCTGGGAAAGGGACAAACTAAGTCCCTTGTCTGAGGCACCCATACAGCAGCCTTGGGAGGAAACCACACCACACATGCTTGTTTGTATCAATGGAATGGGCAAATCTTTTGTGTTCTAATTTGCACTCCATTTCTTGTTCTAAAACACTACAGAGGAGTCTCCATGTGAAGCCAAAGAGTGCCAGAATGGCGGGGAATGCCAAGTGGCCAACAGAACAGCTGTGTGCCTTTGCCAGCCAGGTTTTACAGGAGAAGATTGTGAGACAGGTGAGCTAACAATGAACACATTTAGCCCACCAGTCAAGCAGACAAAAAGAGGAATTTGGAAGCTGCTCCAAGGTAAGTCAAGGGGATTCTACTATCAGAGACTGGACAGCAAAGAACCTATGTACACACTTCCACAGTCCAGCAGCAAGCATGTCTTTTTCTGCACACACATGGGATTCTTTGCTCTCTTCCATTGAGTGGGCTTATGATACCATGGGGAAGCTTCACAACAGTGATTCCCAGCTCTGTTTCTACCTCCATCCTCATGAATGACAACCCTTAAATCATCCATATGCAGAGACCTATATTTGTTTTAAACATGGCTAGGCCTGCAGTTGTGGTCAGGTGCTGATCTTTTTGTTGTTGTTTCTCCTTCGCAGAAATAAACGAATGTGATTCCAACCCATGCCTGAACGGTGGGCGATGTATGGACCTAGTGGACAATTACACCTGTGTGTGTGTGGCGCCATTCACAGGACAGCGCTGTGAAACAGGTGCCCTGATTTCATAACTGCGTGGTGGCACCCTCCTTCTCCTCCCCACATAGCCAGATTCCTCTCAGTGGTGGACTCTTTGCTCTGAGCCTCTCTTTCTTTACTCTGTCAGACTCTCTCCTTAGGCCCAGCCCTGTACTTATTGTTGTGTATAGTTATTCAGCTGCGTTGGGCTGTACTGAGGCTCCCTACTCTTCTCCGCTCTAGATCCTTCAGCCTGTGAGGGCAGGAACTGCAGGAACCGACAGACGTGCAACTATATCCGCCCAGGGCGCTACATCTGCACATGCTCTCCAGGCTACTATGGGAACAACTGTCAATATGGTGAGCAGGATGACCCCACATTACCTCAGAGAGATTGTCTAAATCAGGGGTGGCAAACCTGTGGCTCTTCAGTTATTGTCGGGCCACAACTCACACAATCCCTGACTGTTCCCATAAGGCCGAGGCTGATGGGAAATGGAATCTAATAATATAGGGGAAACTGGTTCCCTATCCCTGCTATTGTAGATTCATTGGAAAAACTTGTTCACCCTCATTTTCGTAAATGTGCACCCTTCGATTTTGGGTTTTAAGTTGTTTTATGAATTTTTTCAGCTACTTTTGGATCAGATCTACTCAAATTAATCAAGTCTAAGGTTCTTTTGCAGGCTTCCACTACTGAAAATTCCAAAACACCCTAGCAACTATGTGGTTAGGATGCTTTTCCTGATATCTAACCAAAGTCCTTTGGGCTGCAGTTTGCACCCCATTATCTTCTCCACTATAGACATGGAGAACAACTGAACCCCATCCTCCTTCAGAGTAATAATTCATGTGTTTGAAGAACACCTAGCCCTTTTTCTTTGTGCAATATTAACCAGGCATGTCCCCTCTTTCCTCATGTTGTTGATCTCTCACAAATATTTTGTAGGTGGGCCCAGAATGCCCAGTGCCTGCATGTCCAATCCATGTCAGAACGAAGGCACTTGCCTTGAAAGCAGCCAAGGATATGTGTGTGAGTGTGCGGAAGGATACACAGGCACCGACTGCGAAGACAGTAAGTGTACCCCAGTCTGTATACAAACTACGCATTCTCTTTGCAGGGAGGGGTGCTTTACCCAAAGCAGCTATGTTGCAGTCTAGCATGAAAGGTCATATGGACAGGGGAGCCATTATATTGAGAATTGGGTTTTTGGTTTATAAACACAACGGTAGCAGAAAAGCAAATTAAAATAATATAATATCAAAACAGGGGTGGGAGGGTGGAAGTGGTGCTGGTCAGTGTTCATAGCTTTTCTCACTTTCAGTTTACAGGGGTGTGAGAAAATGCCTTTACATTCAGCCAGGGATGGAGTTCAGTTTAGGCTTCCCAATGGAGGCAAGTTATTAAGAAACAGGCATGCATGGAAGAGATAAGTGTTCCCCACCATAATAAGCATGTCTGATTCAGACTCTGGCTTCTCACTGTTGCTTTGGGTAAAATGAAACCCCACCACCAAAAAAGAAACAAACGAAAACACCTCTTAGGGGAAATATGGAAAATTATGTGTGGTTGGGCACTAAAATATATACATGACCACTTGCATGTAGTGATGATGGCACAGACATCCCAGCACAAGTTGCCAGTAGGGGAAGGACATGTTAACCAGTGCTAGAAACTCTCAATGTAATGCCAATATAATGACTTAACCTGAACTACACACACATAATTTTCAAGAGCAACCTGTGATCTTGGCAAGTTCCGAGAGCCAACAAGTGCTCCAAAAGATGGCAGTCCTTTGGTTTCCATTAGGGCAAAATGGGTTGTTTACATCAGCCCCTAACTGTGGGACCACATTCAACAAAGTCAGAGGTTCTCATACCTTTCTTTTTTATACGCTTGTGTGGAGCAAGCTCTTCTTTTGATGATTCAGGTCCTATAACAGCCCTTTCCCAGTCAATATAGACTTCCATCACGCCGTTGCAATTGCTAATGCATCGCAACGTGGCCAGGTGGTACTTCATTTAATGGAGAGTCTCCTGTGCTAAATTTATTACACACTGTGCAGTATTGTGGGAGCTGCAATTTTCTCCATCCTATCACTACGTCTTCCTGTTCCCCACCCCACTTGCCCCTACAAGTCCTTTTTGCAATCTTCCATTTGGAGGCAGTGACCCCATGCAAGGAAACACTGGCTCATGTCATTCTCCAGAAGGAGAGGGGAAATGGGTTGAGTGTGAGGTACGTCTCTTACAAGAAGCAATGAGGCTCATTAGAGTCACTGAACAGAGCACAGATAGGACCACAAGGGAGCCTTTGAAAGGTGGAGCTTGATGACTCCAGTGGGGAGCAGCAGCAGCTGGTTTGTAATTTGCAGTCTCTTGGGTGTTAATTAAGGTAAATATCTGAGGTCATGAGAAAGGGAGTAAAGGTTCTGTCACCACAACACTTGTAGCCAAACCTAATCCAGATCCCTCCCCACAGCAGCCTGAACAACACTCTGTTGGTTACTGGTGGGGGTTGTGAAGGCCTCAGTAGCTTGAGCTTTTGCTGGCACAGATGAGCCTCATTAGTCCCCCCCCCCCCCGCCGCCCCCTTGGCTTTTTGCAGAGCTCTCAGAGGACTGCGAGTGTCGGAACGGGGGGAAGTGTCTGGATGGAAACGTCACCATATGCCAGTGCCCTCCAGGATATTTTGGTCTTCTCTGTGAATTTGGTAGGAATGTTGTTAATGGCTACTGATAGGCTATTCTGTCCACCTTCTGAATACTGGTTTCTGTAGCTCAGTAAAGCTCTCCACCAATGAGCTCTTGCTTTGGAAGAAAGATGAGCATTTTTCAGACAGCTTAAGGCAGGTTGAAAATTAGGTTGTTGCTTGTGTATACACTCATCCCACTTTTACTTATGGCAGGGACATAGTCCATATGCTGTTGAACTCCAGCTTTGTTTAGCCCAGCTACTATGGCCAGTGGTCAGGGGTGATGAGAGTTGTAGTCCAGTGGGACATGGTGGCACTGTGGTCTAAACCATTGAGCCTCTTGGGCTTGCTGATCAGAAGGTTGGCAGTTTGAAACACTGTGACAGAGTAAGTTCCCATTGCTCTGTCCCAGCTTCTGCCAACCTAGCAGTTCAAAAGCATGCCAGTGCAAGTAGATAAATAGGTACCGCTACGGCGTTTCCATGTGCTCTGGCTTCCGTCACAGTGTTCCGTTGCACCAGTTGTGGTTTAGTCATGTTGGCCACATGACTGGAAAGCTGTCTGTGGACAAACGCCAGCTCCATTGGCCTTAAAGCGAGACGAGCGCCGCAACCCCATAGTCACCTTTGACTGGACTTAACCGTCCAGGGTTCCTTTACCTTTTTTTTTAAGTCCAGCAACATCTGGAGGGGGGCTGTGGTAAGTGAGTTTTGCAAAACCTGTTGGATCAGAGACAGCGGTGGGACAAAAAAATACAACCCACCATGTATACCACAGGAAATGATATTTCTCTCAAACCACTTCAACACTCTTAAATAATATTGTCCATGTCTAGCCTTTGTTTCTGCCTAAGACAGGAAAAGGCGACTCCTGTAGTGCTTTCGTTATGGAAATCCAGCTCTTTTTCAGTTACCAAGTCATCAAGATGACTCTGAAGATTCCCACTGACAAGGATAACTGTCTTGATTTTGAGTGTATCACTGTTACATCAGTCATGCTCAGTTTCAATCTCCCATCTAGAGATATAAAAGCTAAATAATAATAATAATAATAATAATAATAATAATCATTTATTATTTATACCCCGCCCATCTGGCTGAGTTTCCCCAGCCACTCTGGGCGGCTCCCAATCAAGTGTTAAAAACAATACAGCATTAAATATTAAAAACTTCCCTAAACAGGAAATCTTTTTCAAGCCAGCCATGTTTCCACAGGTTACATCCCAGTGCCCCCCCCCATAAAAAAAAAATCTAAGGCAGAGACAGTGGATAACATTGCATGACCCTCTCTGCTCTTCTGATCATCACCTGAAAAGCATAGAGGACTCAGTTTCCTTCTTCCTTGGAGTACTGGGTTGGGCACAGAAAGTAAACCTCTTTGCCCCACTCAGCACTGCAATGGTGAGTAAAATATACATGCACACTGCAAGGATCAGCTGATGAGTGGAGGCGGGGCTCTTTGCATGTTTGTGTGAGGATGTGGGATGCCTATACCCACTTTTGGGCCACAGTCACTATAGGCATGTGGCCCCCAGGGGGGTTGCAATGGGGCAGTGTAAAAAAGTTAGCCTCCCCAGTGTAGAATCCTCTCAGAGTTAAAAGCAATTTAGAAACATGACATAAAATCTATTTTAAGGGAAAGTGCCTTCAGATCCATGTATCTGCTGGTTTTACTTGTGTGTTTCTTAATGCAGGCGTCACCCCAAAATGTTTCTTTTAACTGTTGGGGTATTTTAAATAAAGCTCGCCTGCATGTTACTGAGCTGCATGACAGGGAACTGCTGTGTGTTTGTTTCCTCCCTGCCACTGCAGAAGTGACCGCAACACCTTGCAATATGAACACCCAGTGCCCAGATGGAGGCTACTGTATGGAGTACGGTGGCAATTACCTTTGTGTGTGCCATACGGATTACGGCACAAACCACAGTAAGTAGGATAGGGAGTCTGGGCACATCAAAATGGGCTTTGAATCTGAGGATCAAGGTGGTGGGAGAATGCCCAGTATTGCATACCAGAGAAACTAATCCAGAACCCACTATGAGTTGTGAATACTAGGTAGGGTCCATACCCTGCAACATAAATGAAGCAGTTTCTTTGAATGCAAAAAAGACTTGGGAAGGTGCAATACAGTTGATAGAATGTTAGTGTCGAATGCCGTGGTGAAGCTGCATGTGAGAAGGGGATGCATGAGCAATTCATATCTTCTCCTGTTACCTCTTGCTCTTCACATGCAAATCAGATCCAGGTTGAAGTCCCTGAGCAAATCGTTCCTTCCCTGGTAAATGAGATAAGACTGGGCAATCTCTTTGGGCCAAACTGCACATAAAAGTAACTGCGTCTGCACTGGATGCAGGGATTGATCATTATTGGAATCGCAGCACATATGCATGAGAAACTCACCCCCACCACCCGTCCCACGGCAGTCCCAAGGAAAATCCCTCCTCTGAAAATGGTATTTGCATTGGCAAGAAATCCCCCCCATTGGTGTCAGTAGGAGATTTCTTTCCAAAGTAAGTATTTGCTTCAGAGGAGAGATGATCTTCAGGACTGCAAGCAGGGGCTAAGTTCCCCTTCCATGCCTTCTGCAGTTCTTATAATAATCAGCCCCACCCTTCTCATGCTAGTTGTGTTTTTAAAAGCCTGCAGCACGTTTAACATCAAGTTTAGTTTGTATCCTGAAAAGTGCTGTAAGCATGCTTTTTTTATTATAGAGATTGTGTAGCTTGTTTGTCTGTAGCAGGCACTAGGAAGATCCCCATAAATAAATATCCTAAGAAACAAGGAGTTGTGGGCTAGAGGACCCCTGGGCTTATTAATTCAAAGATGTGTGTCCTTTTTTCCATGTCATTTAATTGAGCTCCTTTCCGTGGGGCAGGTGGGGTTTTTATTTAGCATCAGCCCATGTGAGGCCATGTCTGCTTTTGCAGCTGAGCCACCCTCTCCTTGTGACTCGGATCCTTGTCTGAATGGCGGATCATGTGAAGCTCAAGATGATTCCTACACCTGTGAATGTACCCGAGGCTTCGCCGGCAGGCACTGTGAGAAAGGTATTTGCCAACCCTGAATGGAAGAACAGAAGCTGCCTTTCCAAATCCTACTTTGATGCTATATATAGGACACACTATCATTTTTTTCCCTAGTGCAGGGTGATGGAATTGACTGCAGGTAATGTTCTTCCCCTCCTTTTCTCTCCCGTGGCTGGTCCAGTGCATGGTTCTCTCTCAGGTCAAAAATACATTGTGAGAAGCCAAGACAAACAAAAAACAAAAAACCTTCAGGTTTTACTAAAATGTATTCTTCTACACAATAACAGCAATGCAGTAAAACAGGGTTTCCCAAACCTGGGTCTCCAGCTGTTTTTAGACTACAATTCCCACCATCCCTGACCCCCATTCCTGCTAGCTAAGGATGATGGGAGTTGTTGCCGCAACAGCAGCAAGAATACTCATTGCAAAGTATTGGAAGACACAAGATTTACCCACTGTGGAAGAATGGCAGATGAAGCTGATGGACTATATGGAACTGGCAAAAATGACGGGCAGAATCCGAGACCAGGGAGAAGAGTCGGTGGAGGAAGATTGGAAGAAATTTAAAGATTATCTATAGAAATATTGTAAAATTAATGAATGTTAGAATGATGTTGGATAGTAATTAAGTGGTTTCCAGCTGCAATGCTTTAAGGGAATATGAAAAAAGGGTTATAAATAGGTAAAAATTTAATATTATTACTTTTAAAGGATTTGCTGAACCAACAGATTGAAGTGGAATACAAAAAAGGGAGGTATGAGGAGGTCCGGGAAATAAGTCAAAGGAAAATAAGTAATGGAAAATCTGTGTATTTTTAACTATTTTTATTTTGTATTTTTGTCATTATTTTTTTTCATTTTTATTGTAATATTTTAAAAAATCTTAATAAATATCTTATAATAAAAAAAAAGGATGATGGGAGTTGTAGTCCAAAAACAGCTGGAGACGCAAGTTTGGGAAACCTTGCAGTAAAACAATTCTGAACGCAGTGAAAAAATAGAAATGGATATAGCTTAATAGCCTGGTGCCAACAAACTAGCACTTCCAGTTGCCAAATATTCAGAAAAAACAGCTTCTAAACACCAAAATTATATTCAGCATACTTTGTAAGGCAGAAAAAATGACATAGCAACCTATCGCAAATAAACACCACTTTCAGTTGCTGTTAGTCTGTTCCAGTTGAGCAACACTTTTAGTTGACATAACTGTGAGACTGAGCAATGGTGATGTCCAAAACTTAAGCTGATGCAGACATCGGGACTCCTGCTTTGGAAGAAAATTCAATAAAAATTAATTACGCTTTATGTGGAAGTGCTTTTATTTTGTCTGCCGTGGATCTGTTGCCAGTCCTATTTCATTGGATTAGTCAGGGAAGGTGTCAGGGACACAGTTTAACCTGGCAAAAGGGCTAGAGGGCCAGTGAGTGAAACTCTTCCTTCCACCTGTCTTTTAAAGGGGCTTGTAACAAGTACGGATGCTTTTTTCCCTTCCCAGCAAAGCCAAAGCTGTGCAGTTCTGGGCCCTGCCGCAATGGAGGGACGTGTAAAGAATCAGACGGAGAATACCACTGCACCTGTCCTTACCGCTTCACGGGGAAGCACTGTGAGATAGGTATCTCTACTGCATGCACTGCCGCAATTTTAGCCGAGGGGATGGGGACGTAAAGGGACTTCTTGGGAGGTGTTAGGAAATTGTTTGCTATGTAACCTGGACCTTCTGTTTTCACAGGCAAACCTGACCCCTGTGCCTCAGGGCCTTGTCATAATGGGGGGACCTGTTTCCACTATATTGGCAAGTACAAATGTGACTGCCTCCCAGGATATTCCGGGCGACACTGCGAGATAGGTATTAGTGTATTATTTATTTCATTTATGAATCGCTTCCCATGAGGCATTTGCAATGTTGAAATATATATTTGTGAAACAGTTGCATATATATATATATATATATATATATATATATATATATATTTAAAAACTATATATAAAAACACACACATTTTAAAACAACTGTAGCAGCACATCCCACATGGATGTTAACTGGGTTTGAGGTCTCCATTTTGGAGGTTTGTTGAAAGAGGAACACCAAAAAACAATTGAGAAGGGGAGAAGGGGGGGAGTTCAAAATGTAGTTATGGGATTGGAGGGGTCTTCCACATGTGAGCAGCACATGTGAAAGAAAAGGCATGCCCTTCGGGCAATGACTAAGCCAGAGGCCTATTGACATTAGGCAGCAGGTATGGTTTCTCTCCCCAGAGGGTAAAGCCATCAGACGGGGTCTCCTTTTGGCAACCTAAGGGAGTTAAGAACATAAGAAGAGCCTGCTGGATTAGGCCAATCAGCTTCTTCATCTCACAGTAGCCAACCAGATGCCTATAGGAAGCACACAGGCCGAACCTGAACACAACTCATAATGGCTAGTATCCATCCAGTCCACTTTCAGGAGACTGCAACACTATTGTTTCCTTTATTTACGTCATAAAACTTACACACTGCTTGGTTGTGAAACCTCAGAGTGGTATACAAAAAATATAATGGCAAAGTCAATAAAAGTTCAGAACCCTACCTTCAAAACATACAAAAGTTGAAATATTAAAACAGATTAAAAGTACCTCAACTTTCTAAGCATCTGGGTAGGCTTGTCTGAACAAGAATGTTTCATGCAGGTGCTGGAAGAGTACAGTGAAGGAGCCTGCTTGATCTCAATAGGCTGGGATCAGGATGTTGAATCTCCAAGGAGTTATAATTTACTGAAATCCCTATTTAGAAATACTCCACTAAATGAATGAATTGTTTATATCGCAGATTTGAGCAAAGTGTTGAAGATTTGATTGCTTTCCATTGTAGAGGTAAAAAGTAAACTAGATGTCAGGCATGCTATGAAATTAGGAGCTGGATTTATCCTGAACAGCAATCAAAAGTACTGATCAGTGGTCTAGGTTGAACCATAGCTGGAAGCTTAGAACATAGCTGCTTGGGTGGCATAACTACAGGTTGTGATAATTGTGTGCCTTGCAGCTATGTCATTGAACTTCTAAAAATTAATCATAAGCACAGTGGAATGGGCGATTTCCGTTGATTCTACAGTTCTTCAGGAGAGGAGGTTTAATCTTCTCCTTCCCTTCTGTGATCCCAATAGAAATCCCCTCTCCCTATGCTGCCTTTAGTGATTGGGGGCCGACAACTTCCACCAAAAGGGCTTCCACCCTCCATTGGTACCAATAGAAGTTTCCCCACTCCATTACTAAATGGAGCATGGGGGGTTATTTTCACTGGAATAGCAGCTGGTGAGGGAAGAATTAAATCTCCCCCCCTCATATGCTGCAGTCCTGGAGGAAATCCAGAATCCAAAATTCCAACATTGATGCAAGCTGAGCAGTTAGCGTAACACAGAGTTAAGTCTCTGGTGTTGGTGGTATAAAATATCCTGCAGTGTGACTGCATTACTAGGGTTAGAAATCATTTGTGTTACTGTCACATGTTGTTTCATTTTTTAAAGGTGCTTTTGTAAGCTCTGTTTGGAATACTAAATGGAACAATTTTGTATTGGTGGGCTGGGCTCTGCTTTCACAGCTCCTTCTCCTTGCCTCCTGCATCCATGTGAAAATGGAGCCACTTGTCAGGATCTTGGCAACAGCTATTTGTGCACATGCCCAGCTGGCTACACAGGAAGGCACTGCCAATCAGGTAAACGCATAGAAAGGTAATGCCCCATAGTCAGCTGTGAAAGGTCATCTGTCCTAGTACAATGGGCCATGCCAACGTTTTCAATTCTTTTAAAAAGCAAAACCATTCAGCTAATGTTCTGGACTGCTTCCGCAGGTTTTTGGAAGTTCTGTCTGAAAATTTCAGCTTCTGTGAAATTTGTGTAAGGCAGGTTGGAACTTGCAGCTCGGATCCATGCTAATTATTTGCAGCACCACAAACTGCATTTGGGAGCTAAGAGCAGTGTCTCTTGGAACAAATGATGCTAACCACTGAAGGCTTGCCCTGGCGACATTAATTTTAGAGGCTGGCATTGCAGTTTTTGCTTCTCTGATGAAGGCAGGCCACAGCATGAGAACTTTTCTAACGTAACTCAGTAAGTCGCTCACACAAAAGGGAATGTCCTTTTAGGTTCTGTGTGAAGAACTAGGCCTTCACTATCCCCAGTGCTCTCATCAGGGCAGAGCCCTTATTTACATCAGTGTTAATTGTGCAGCTCATAGACTATATAACAAATGCATTGCTCTATAACCTTTCTTCTTCCTTCTTTTCCTTATAGAGGTAGACTGTGGTACCCCCAAGGAGGTGAAGCATGCCCAGGTGGCATTTAACTCCACTAAGCTAGGCTCTCTGGCAGAATACCGGTGTGATCTGGGTTATGTTCTCAGTCCCCAGAATAACCCCAGGGTGTGCAGAACACAAGGCGTCTGGAGTGACCCTCCAGAGTGTAACGGTAACTTGATTTTGTATTTGAGTGAGTGAGTGAGTGATCAGGTCCTTTTCAACTTCAAGCAACAGTTTCTGGTGACCTTAATATTTCATCAGAACTATAGTACTGTACTCTTCAGTGTCTGATACCTGCCTATTGTTCTTGTGAGAAGACAAAGTGGAACCAGACCACTGCCAGTTTTGGTTCCTGTGATTATTCCGGAGTTCTTACGGTCTTGTGTATCTTGGAAGTCTTGGAGTTGATAAAAGGAGAGAGGAAAATCCCCTTGGGGAAACCATAGCACTTCTCAAGCTTAAGGAAACGATAAGGCAGATAAGCCATTATAAAAGAACAATAGGGGCAAGCTGGGCAAAGCTGACATAGCCCATACTGTGAAAGGGAAGCAACCCCTCTTGACCAGCAGCTAACGGGCAGCATGTTGCCCCTGACTAGTGGTGCTTACTGTGTGACTAGATTTGTGTTTGCACCTCTGGTTCCTGTTATCCCCGGTTCCCATGCTGCAATGGGAGGGGTTGTTTCTAACATGCACCGTTTCTAATGTGTAGGCTGCTCCAATCCACATGCCCTGGCACATAAGGGAGGGGTGTGGGTGTCTGTGTCTCTTTCAGGGCTTTTATGGTTTTCCATTACAGCTAGATGGTCATCACTGAGAGCCAGTGTGGTGTAGTGGTTAAGAGCGGTAGACTCATAATCTGGTCAACCAGGTTTGATTCCCCACTCCTCCACATGCAGTTGCTGGGTGACCTTGGGCTAGTCACACTTCTTTGAAGTCTCTCAGCTCCACTCACCTCACAGAGTGTTTGTTGTGGGGGAGGAAGGGAAAGGAGAATGTTAGCCACTTTGAGACTCCTTCGGGTAGGGATAAAGCAGGATATCAAATCCAAACTCTTCTTCTTCTCCCCTCTCTGTTACAGAAATTGATGAATGCAGATCTCAGCCGTGTATGAACGGAGGCTTGTGTAAAGATCGAATTGCCACTTTCCTGTGCTTGTGCAAAACTGGCTATACAGGACACCACTGTGAGTTGGGTAAGAGAATGTGCAAGTATGTGTGCCAGAAAGTCGCATGACGTTGTTGCCCATAGCACCACATCGGTGCTATGTCAGGGCGTACCATCAGTGTTACCATAAGCCCCATTGAGAAAGCCCTGGCCCGTGAGGGACTTAACATCGAGCCATTTCTGAACCAGGATTATTTCCTAGGAGATTTGCTGTGGCCCAGAGATTCAGCAGCAAAGTTGCAGCTGGAACATCTGAGGACTGGTGGGGAGGCTTCTAATGCTTTTGCTCTCCCAACACTTCCTGCATCTGCCACTGGCACTAGATCCTGTGAGAGTCATAAGCAGCAGCAGCAGCTTAAGAAACCCAGTGAGGGACTAACATCTGGTTGCTTCAACAATCCATCCCAGGCCAGTAGCTCCAGCTGCAGAGTGGCATTTGTCAAAACACTGGAGAACTGGGGCGTGTGTGTGCGCACCGTTGTAATGTTGTACTGTTGTGTGTTCAATGTTTTTAAATAAGGACTTTGGTTAGGGAGGCCGGGTACACATAAACCTAAAATAAAAATGTATAATTCTTTTTAGAGTACTGTGGTTTTCAGAGTAATGTAGCTTTTGATTTTATTTATTATTTAATTAGTTCCAATATTTATATACTACCTAACGACAAAGTCCTCTGGGCGGTTAACCAAAATACAATAGGAGACAGAATAAAATCAGCAATAGAGAATTGCATCCAGCAGAACAAATAGAAAAAGCAGTCAAAGAAATATTTATGACTGAAAATTTTGAATTCAGAAAGGACCAGGAAGATTTTAGCAAGGGACCTGCCTTTCTATATTAAGGTTCAGCCACCTGCGGATTGGGAATGCTAAAAGACAAGAAGAGTTTTGCTGCATCAGGCTAAAAGTCCATCTAGTCCAGTATCCTCTTCCCACAGTGGCTATCCAGGTGTTTTTGGGAGTCCCGCAAGGAGAACCTGAGTGCAACGGCACTGTTCCTACCTCTGAATCCTAGCAACAGGCATGCAGAGGTATAATGCCTCTGAAAGTGGAGGCAAATCCTTTATTGAGATGGTCTTTGTATAGCAGCTATAGTATAAGGAGGCATTATCAACAGCAAGCTTCCCCTTCCTCCTGACAGCAGTGAAGAGATTTAGATGTGCAGTTGCAGGTGGAAGGCCCACTTTGGGCTAGGGATGAGAGAATGAGGAGATGGGAGAAAAGGGCAAAAGCAGAAGTGATACTGATAGGTAGAGTCCAAAGGAAAATGAATAGCCTTTACTGGATGAATATTTGGTGAAGGCCAGTGGATGAAGTCTGATACGGCCCATATGTCAGTGTCAGTTTTATGCAGAGATCTGTCATTATAAATTAATAGAAAGAGTTTCTGGAACCCCAAGGCCATTTGAACTAGAACACTGAAACTTAATAGCTTTCTGAACTTTTTCACAGCCTGTGCTAGTTATTTCTGCTGCCACCAGATTTATACTGCTTTATTATCTCTGCTTTAAATATCTACCTTTTAATATTTAATAATATATGTATTTTCCCGTTGCTACTTGTTTTGATGTTTCTTACGGTTTTTACACGTGACCTAAAACAATTCAGTAAACCGGGGGGCAGGTTTGAAGTAAAATTTAAAACCCCATGCATTTGTGAGATGCAGTTTTTGTTGCACTGCAGAAGGAGAGTTATATTTCTCAGTATTAATTTGCCAGAACAGGCTGTGCACCACCTCCAAAGTTAACCCACCAGTAGTACTTCTTCTGTCTTGCCTGGATTGAGATTGTGTGTATTGGCTGCCATCCAACCAATTACAGTTGTGTGAGTAATGTGAATGAATGGGTGTACATCATAGTATATAGGGGAGTGGATGCAGGGGATGCTGATGAAGGGTTAATGGTAGTCCACTTAGGTTGCTGGCTTGTTGAGGTAGCTGTGATAAGTGTTGTGGTGGCCCAGTTGAATGCATACAGGTCTTGGTCATGATGGTGAGCGCCAGGAAACTAAGGCTACTTAAAGTTTAGCAGGATTGCAGTTCAGATAAACTGTGCCAATTAGGCTTCTACTCTGTGTGCTCTCTACATAAATCTGAGTGCTTTTAAAGCTGTGTACACACTATATAGTGTGCTGGACTATGCTGGATTTCGTCATCAATGCTGGCCCTTGTGGAAAGATAACTGCCTAGGTAGGAGAAGTGATTGACATTTTTCAACGTTACACCATCAAGTTGGATTTGTGGCACTGCAGAGGGGTTATTTTGTACTTGTTGGTGCAGCATTTTGGTTTTTTGGATGTTGAGTGATAGGCCAAGCTTTTCATAAGCTTCTGCAAAGATATTTAGGCTGGTTTGGAGGTCATCCTCTGAGTGTGCGCACACTATGTTGTCATCAGCATACTGAAGCTCTATGACGGAAGTTATGGTAACCTTATTCTTTGCTTTTAGCCTGCTCAGATTGAAGAGCTTTCCATCTGTTCAATATATGATTTCTACTCCCGTGGGGAGTTTCCCTTTGACAAAGTGTAGGATCATGGCAGTGAAAAGAATGAATAGTGCTGGGTCAATAACACAACCCTGTTTAACAACAGATCCCACTGTGAATGGTTCACTTTGAGAGCCATTGTTATCTGCGATTGTTGCTGTCATATTATCATGGAGGAGCTGAATGATGTTTACAAATTTATCTGGGCGGCCAATTTGCAGAAGGACAGTCCACAGGGCATTACGATTTACAGTGTCAAAAGCCTTAGGTCAGTAAATGCCATATGCAGGGGTTGGTTTTGCTCTCTGCATTTTTCTTGAAGCTGTCAAGCGGTGAAAATCATGTCCACTGTCCCCCTAGAAGGCCAAAAACCATTTTGGGATTTAGGAAGGGTCACCTCGGATATTGTTAAGAGACAGTTTGCTAAGATCCTTGCAAGAATTTTGCCAGCTGCAGCTAATAGAGAGATGCCTCAAGAGTTTCCGCAATCAGTTCTGTCACCTTTTTAAAAAGAGATTGATAATTTTGGCATCCCTAAAGTCTTCTGGGATCTCTTCTCTTTCCCAGATTTTTTTTCGATGAGCTTGTGAAGTTGTTGTGTAAGTTCAATTTCACCCACTTTGAAGATTTCAGCAGGTATCCCATCAGGTCCACTAGCTTTGTTCTTTTTCATTTGGTTAATAATCTCCTATCTTCCAATGAACTGGAAAGGGGTAACATAAAACAAAACGATGCTTTTTAAAAAGCCACATTGACCGATTATGGGGAAAATAACAATGTCATTGATATACCCAAGTCATCTTCTTGGGATATGGTATAGAAAGGCCCATCTTGCTAGAAACCGTGCCTTAAAATATGGTGGGGGGGGGATAAACTTTATTATGTAACAATATTTCAATTATGTTGCTTAATAACATCGCCTTGTTTCTCTGTGGAACGACTTTGTGACTGGGAGGGGAAATTGGCAAAAGCAAGCTTTGGATGATCAGTGATCTCTTTCATGAGAGTGTTTTCTTTAAACTTGCTGAACTGAGTAACAGGGGAAGACTGCATAACTTCCCATTATATTCATATTTTCAGATAGGAAAAATTCTGTTTTCAGGTATGAGAAATGAAGACACAAAACCAAGCCCAAGCCCTTAATACAGTTGACATAGAAAGCCCTGCCTTCTGACAGGAATGGAAGGAATGGCATGGAACACACCTACTTGCTTATTAAAGAATGGAGTAACGCAGGCTTGAAGAAATGCCATTGTCTATTAATTAGGGGGAGGGGGTGCAATATAAAAACAGCCAGTTGGTTCACTAACCAATTTTTTATAATGCAGTAGTTATTAATTTTCTTTATTCATATAATACATTCCTATCAATTCTAAAATACTTTTTAACTTGCATAATGCTTCATTTACAAACTCTTATTTGTGCTTGCAAACAGGATGTGAGATGTGAGGTTTATTATTCTCTATAGCCTTTGGAAATCCCTTTCCTAAGGTCAATTATTAGTGCTAATGTGCTCTTAAATATGACTGTTCATTTCTTAGGACGCAGTGTTAGGAGTTCTGGGTGTCCCTTTCTCTTTTTCCATCCCCACCTAAAAGCTGCTTTATGCAGAGCTGCTACCTTTGTAGGGTTTCTTCCCAGCAACAATAAAATAGCCTCTTACCCTGGTGTCGGGGACCTTTTGGTGAATCCTGTGTGCTGTTACCAGGCAAGGCTATATCTGTTAATGAAATGATAATTGTAAAGCATCATTTGGTGAAGTACTGTATTTTTCAATGTATAAGACGCCCCCATGTATAAGATGCCCCCTACTTTGGGGGACTCCAAATTAAGAAAACACCCCTCAGCACTACCCGTGTATTAGACGAGCCCCAATTTTAAACCTACTTTTTTGGTTTTAAAAGAAAAAAACTAGTCTTATACACAGAAAAATACAGTAATTGCTGTATAAATGTTTGACATCAAACCTCCCTGCAACCCCATTGCTCTTTGCAAAAATAAATATTAATTAATGTACTGTAAACAACACTTACACCATCATATAGCTACAGCTGCCAAGAGTTAAAATTATCTTGCTTCTCCCCTCTTCCTGCCCCACTATTTTTGCAGAATTAAAACTGTTTTGCCACAACAGAGTTTAAGACGAGGAAGAAAAACATAAAGTTCTCCACTTTCTACCCCATTACTGCTGGTTTTCTACCTTTGATAGTGTTGTTGTGCTGATGAAGTCACTGTACTGCTCCCTCTCTCCCTTCTGCATTCTCTACAGAGATTGATGAATGCCTGTCTGATCCATGCAAGAATGGTGGGACCTGCACAGATCGACCAGGATCCTTTGCCTGTCATTGTCCTGAGGGTTTCATTGGAACTCAGTGTGAAACGGGTAAATAGTCTGTTGACCCTTCTTGGAACTTCTATCACTACTTCCTACTAGCAATTCAAGATCACTGGAATCTCCCAAATATCCTTAAACTGCTCCATCTGTTCCACTGGTACTAACATATCCCACTTTCTTTTAGTATAAATTTCTTAATATTGGTAACAGTTCAGGTTCAAAGGCAAAGCTTTGGAAGAGGTTATTCTTGGAAAACCTGAGTTATTTTCTTTAACCAATTCAGCTGCCATAGGCTGTGTGAGCCTCACAGCCTATGTGGACATAACAGTAGTCATACGGAAGTTAACATTGCTCTAACCCATAGAAAATGCTATTTAAAGACCTTTCTAACTCAGAAGGTTTCAGATGGCATGGTGTCATGCACTAGCTGGCTAATACACATTATCAACTTTAAAAAATAGCAAGGTTATTCTTTTCCTCAATTCGGATCAAAGCTGGCTTGCGGGGGAAACATCCAAATGCTGCATTTCATGATAGAATAGATACAGCATAGATAGGGACGCGGGTGGCGCTGTGGGTTAAACCACAGAGCCTAGGACTTGCCGATCAGAAGGTCGGCGGTTCGAATCCCAGCGATGGGGTGAGCTCCCGTTGCTCAGTCCCTGCTCCTGCCAACCTAGCAGTTCGACAGCACGTCAAAGTGCAAGTAGATAGGTACTGCTCCAGCGGGAAGGTAAACGGTGTTTCCATGCACTGCTCTGGTTCGCCAGAAGCGGCTTAGTCATGCTGGCCACATGACCCAGAAGCTGTACGCCGGCTCCCTTGGCCAATAAAGTGAGATGAGCACCGCAACCCCAGAGTCGGTCATGACTGGACCTAATGGTCAGGGGTCCCTTTACCTTTACTTAGATTGTGGCTAATGTTGTAGATAGGTGTACGCAGCCAAGGTCTCCCCATGGAAGCAACTCATCTGTAGTGAGTGGCTATGGTCTAATAAGAGGTATGCAAAATCTTGAACAGGAAATTCTGTAACTCAGAAGTAAATGGTTTGGTGCTGCATGTAAGCAGCAATTAGACAGGCTTAAGGAAACATGCCACCATCTATCTTGAATTTCTGCTGATTTCTTATTTACCGGGGAGATTAATAGACTGTGCAGATGGATGGCCCCAGGGAGGGTTTTCACGTGGAGCTAATGCACTGTACTACAGCAGGCATCTTTGCAAGGGATTCTCCACCAGATGCAGAGTCATCCTCTTAATTCCATGTGACACCTCCTACAGATATCTGAGTGAGTGTATTTATGCCCTCCAGAAGTGGATGCCTGTGAATCAAACCCTTGTCGGAACGGAGGAGATTGCGAAAATTACAGTGGCTCCTACCTGTGTGTCTGCCCAGAGGGCTTCTTTGGCTACCATTGTGAAATAGGTAAGCTGATATAGAATGGGAGCACACGTAGTACATGCAAAGGTTCTTAGTAGCCTTTTAGGAAAGGTAGATGTGGGGGGAGGGGGACAGTATTTAGTCTGATCCTCTCCTGACATATTTTCCTAAGGGAGCCTGCACTGTCTTGAAGAACCACTGTTCTGAACTGTTCATTTTACACTTCTTCCCCAGCTAGTGACCCCTGTTTCTCCAACCCCTGTGGGAGCAGAGGCTACTGCCTGCCCAGTAACGGATCTCACATCTGTACCTGCAAAGTGGGCTATACTGGCAACAACTGTGAGAAAGGTAAAAAAGCCATTTCCATAGTTGTCTGAAATAGAGTCATTGCTAACCATGCTGATCCCAGAAAATGGTAGACATATAGCAGGCAATAAAATCCTTTTAAAATAGTTTGGGGTTTTTAATTGAGTTTTTCAAAATGAATAACATCACTTTTTATATTTTACAAATAACAGTAGTAAACTACAAAAGAAAAGGAAGAAAAACACAACATTCAAACCGACATTGTATTTTACAAAACGCAAAGCAAACCTATTCAGAAGGTGATTAAAATCAGCATCAGCTTAAAAGAACTAAAACACATGCAACTTCTATATGTCTAAACATGCAACTTCTATTTTTTCTAAACAAAAAATGTTTTCATCAGGCACCAAAAAGAAAAGAATAAAGTGAAGGTGCCTGCCAGATGTCAATAGTCAGGGATTTCTAAAGTGTAGTAGGTGATGCCACATGAAAAGACCAATTTCTTACAAATGCAGAACAAGTATCACATGGCACCTTAACACTGCCAGTTTCACAGATCAAATCAGCTGAATGGGCATATATGGTGTAAGGCAATCCCAGAAGTAAACCGGTCCCAAGCTGTGAAGGGCTTCATATATGTTTGTTGAAAGTTGGGTTACTTTGGTGATTCTTGTCCAGTTGAACTGAACTGAAACCAGAAGAGAATATCATTCAAGGATCCAGTGCTAGATCTTAAGAGTCAAATGAGTAAACTAATGGGAGCCAAGGGCTCACAGAACCTTGCTGTAGCATTACTACCCAGTATGAATGCTCATCAAGAACTTGTTCCCACTGGGGCAAAGTAGATGAGCACATTCCCATCTGTTGTGCTCATAATGCACCATGTGATGTGGATTCTCTTTGCAGATCTGCATACTCAGTATCCCCTCAAAAAAGTTATGAAAGTTAATGCAGTTCAGAATTCCATATTTGAAACACAGCATGTTTAACGCTAGCATTCTGCCAGTCTTGCCTTAATATATTAAGTTTATATTAATCATAAACTATGCATTCCCCAACCTTGGGTCCCCAGGTATTATTGGACTTCAGTTCCCATCATTCTTGATCACGCTGGGTGGGAATGATGGGGGTTGGAATCCAACAGCAACTGGAGACCCAAGATTGGGGAAGGCTGCCTTACCTGCTTCCTCTTGTATGAAAAATACAATAATGAGATGAGGGAGGGCAATAATTCTGTTTGTTAACATGTATTATGCTTCCTTTTCTTTCATTTGCATTGACACCCTGAAGAGCTGCTGCCACCAACGTCATTAAAGGTGGAAAAGGTGGAGGAGACAGGGCTGACAATCTCTTGGCGCCCTCCCATGGACCCGGCTGCCAAGCAAATGATTGATGGCTACGCCGTGACGTACGTATCCTTCGACGGCTCTTACCGCTGGACTGATTATGTGGACCGAAGCCGTGCTGCCCACCATTTGCGGGCACTAGCCTCCGGCAAAGCCTACAATATTTCTGTCTTTTCAGTCAAACGCAAATCGAACAACAAGAATGATATCAGCAGGCCCGTCATGCTCGTCACTCGTACTAGTGAGTAGCTCATTCAGCGGGATAGAGTGGTGGGTGCAGAAATGCCTGGCTCCAGCAGTGAGGCAACTGTGTTTGCAGGTCTCTTTCAGACCCATAGAGGCACACAGCACGTTTCCCAAGCGATATGGAACAACAGAGCACAATGTCTTTTGTTTATAAGAGGAGTTTCTTCCCTACCAATCCGGTGTCATTGCTGTCACACAACAAATTAAGTTTACATATTCAAAACACAAAAACATTGGCCTGCACCCATGAATTTCCACTCCTCCACCCCCGGTACTTGTTCTCCTGCAGTGGCATCTATAGAAGTAAAAGTTGCTGTTAAAAAGAAATACGTAGTGGAAGTTGCATCTCCGAAACAAAACAATTGCCACACCCCACACAATTGTCACTCGAGAAACATTTGTAGAAGAACATCTTGTTTCTCAGTGTCTACTAATCCTTTAAGTATAATGATATAATAGAGTCCAGAAGAGGCTAAATTGCTTGGATTTTGCTTTAGGTGCATAGCAAATATTGTAAAAGGAAGAAGGAGAAAAAAACGAAGGGGGAAATGCAATATCCATTCCCATTAACATGAAGAATCCAACAATCCATTAAAAAGTTAAGAATGATGCATCAGACGTATTTAAACATATGCATTTATATAAGCTATTGAAATTGGTGTCCAAATGAGGTTGTTGATTATAAGATACGTTCAGATGTCAAAATGGACATAAGATCTTCAGACCACTGATAGATGGTGGGTATTTGGGTTTTTCTAGTGGTGTTTGAAATGCCCCCAACAAGGTGTTAAAGTGCTTATTCGTTGATAGCACTCTATGCCTAGCTTTCTTCGCTAAGCCATCAGTAGTGGTCTCTGAACTATATGTAATAGCTGGCTTTTTTTATTTATCTTTTTTTAAGCATAGAATTTCTAAGAAAAGGAATAAAAAATATAGTGGAATCACAACAGTGAATAATTCCTGTATTTAACAGTGATGCTCGTTTGGAATGTATGTTTGCTCAAAGTGGAGTCCTGGCGGGCAAGGGAAATTCCATCTAATCAGAGAGTATGATTGAATTTCTTTTTTTGGTAGGGAAAACAGATGCCAACAAAATGACAAATGATCTTGGGGAAGATCTGCTTGTACTCTCTCTCCCCTCCCCCCCTTTCAATTTTACTGAATGCCCCCCCCCCCCGCCCCAATGCCTCTCTAGACTTTAACAAAACATGCAAGGAGCATTCAGTAAAACTGAAAGACAGCATATTGAAACCTGATGAAAGAAGAGGATTTTATACTCTTATAACCTGCAACAAGATAATGATTAAAAGCAAAAGGAGAGGTGAAGCAGAAATTTTATATTAGGTAATGAAACTGCCCTGAGAGATGTCGCAAACAATAGACTTTTTTTCCTAGAGGAGGGAAAATATCTCTGCCTCAAGGGCATGAACTGATAAAGCCAGAAAGAAACCACCCTGAGGGTAGATTTACTGCATAACTGTTATTATTTTACTCTGAAATTGTTAGTGATGCTCACTGTTTCGAAAGGACCACATAGACCATTGCGCCAATCTCTTCTTCTATTGTGCTGTACATATTTCTTGTCAACCAGCTGAAGTTGGAGGCCTTTAATACAGAGCACACATTATGCTTAAAACCAGGCTTCCTCAACCTCGGCCCTCCAGATGTTTTTGGCCTACAACTCCCATGATCCCTAGCTAGCAGGACCAGTGGTCAGGGATGATGGGAATTGTGGTCTCAAAACATCAGGAGGGCCGAGGTTGAGGAAGCCTGCTTAAAACCTCCTTACTGTAACATGTATATCCCATGAACTGTTGAGGGAGCTGAGAGTCTCCCATCATTCACCATCAGAGACTTTTGCTGCTTTGTAATCCTTTAAGAATTATATGGAAAAGGCTTCACTGGTAGTTGTCCATCATCAGTTTAGCCTGTAACAATCCATTACTTTAGGCATTTCCATATGCAAGTGTAGTTTCTCCCCCATGTCAGTTATGCCACTTTGTCAACCTTGATGGGATGGGGATTGTACTGTTTCACATGATGGAACTAGCAGGATTGGTTGAGTGACACTGACTGAATCCTGGTGCACAGATAATTTATAGGAAACAGTGCTGCAGATTTGCCATATGCAATCCTCTGTAGCCTTCTAACTCCTTCTATAGCTTGTGGATATTTGCATGCATATGGTGTGTGTTACTCCCATACTAATTAGCACCCTTTGCTTTTAACTACTTTCCTACTCACTTCTGCTTTAGTCCTACAGCATTAAGTTGGCCACACAGGAAGCTGCCCATCTGGACGGAGCCTTAGTTCACAGATTTATACCATCAAGCTATTTTTTAATGCTCTTGGGCAATCAGCTGGTTAACACCACATCGGCAGATCTCAGTTTGACAAATCACTTAGCGTATTCACAGGAACATCTTGCTGTTACCAGTCAAGAACAAGCCAAACGCTGTACATGGTTCATACATAGCAAGCCCTTCATCTCCCTCACCACTATGAGGTTATATGGAGCCTGTAAATAGAAGAAATCATGCTTTGAATACGTACGGTGGCAGTGTGTGCTGAGAGAGCCTGCCTTGATGTCTGGGGCATTCTGTGGTTTCTATAAATTGTAGGTTTATCCTGGCTATGCTAATCCTGTGTGTGATTTGGCATTAAAGCTCTTTTAGGTAGGGATTAGCTGTATTGGACTCTGCTGCATGGGAAGCATAACTCACCCTTCCTAGGCATTGCCATCCATGTGGGCTAAGGAGCTCAAGGTGGCATGCATGGTTCTCCTCCATTTTATACTCACAGCAACCTGGAGAAACTATGACTGGTCCAACATCAACTCTATGGTTCTATCACCTAGTGAGCTTTATGGCTGAGTGGGGATTTGAACCATGGTCTCCCAGGCCCTACCTTTAACACTAACCACTACGAACACCAACTTTACTAAGTGACTGTGCCATATGGTGTCTTATGGGTGACCCTTGAATGCAAAGAAGGGTCCCATGAGGTTGCAAGATGCCATGTCCTATACTCCCAGTAAGGGAGGGAGCCCTCTGCTTTAGAAGTCCTGCCAGAAAGCCCAGACTGACCCTTTTCTTCTGTAGGAAACTACTGAGATGAGAAGGAGGCCTCCAGCGGGGCAGGGCTCACCCACGAGGATCAAGTGAGTGTGTCCCTGTCAAGTGGGGTGAGTCGTAACCGCCTCCTGCCTTTCCCCTCTCTCATCCTGCCAGGACCTCACCCAGTGGAGGGATTTGAAATTGCCAATGTGACTGCCACAACCATTACTGTGCAATGGGCTCTCCACAGGCTCAAGTACGCCACGGTCAGCAAGGTGCGGGTGTCCATACGGCAACCGGATGATGTGGAGGATCGTGCTGTGGAGTTAAACAATACAGTGACAAAATACACATTCTGGTGAGCAAGAAGCAAGAGACTTTCTGGGGGTGGAGGGAGGGAGGTGATGGTGAATGAAAGTAGGTCAAGTGGTGGCTTGTTACTTAGTCATTCAGTGGTGCTGGGAGGCAATGAAGAACATTAGAGGACTCTGCTGGATTCGGCCATTGGCCTATCTAGCCCAGCGTCCTGTTCTCACAGTGGCCAACCAGATGCCTGTGGGAAACCTACAAGCAGGACTGAGTACAAGAGCACTGTCCCTTCCCTTGGTTTCCATTGTGGTCCTGAGCTATTTAAGGCTTTATAGGTCAAAAGCAGCACTTTGAATTAGGCCTGGAAACTAATCGGCAGCCCATGCAATCAAGCCAGGATTGGTGTTATTAATGCTCAAACAGTCTTCCCTGCTGAGCAACCTGGCTGCTGAATTTTGCACCAGCTGAAGTTTCCAAACCGTTTCCAGAAGCTGCCCCATGTATAATATGTTGTCGTAATCTAACCTAGAGGTTGCCAGAGCATAGACAACAGAATTTAGGCTATCCCTGTCCAGATAGGGGTGCAGCTGTGCTACCAAGCTGGTGGAGGGCACTCCACACCACCAAGGCTGCCTGATCCGCAAGCGACAGCAATGAATCCAGAAGTACCCCCAAGTTATATAACTGCTCCTTCAGAGGATATGTAACTACGTCAAGATCATGCCACTTCCCATCCATTTGGTCTAGGGAAATGCCCACTAACAGTGCCTCAGTCTTATCTGAATCAAGGCAAGACCACAGTCCAGCACATCCACATATACAGATGTAAAGGAGAAGTAGAGTTTTGTTTGACAATATACTTCAAAGCATCAGGTGACCCCACTCAACAATTCCATGTAGATGTTAAGCAGCATGGGGGATAAAATTGAACCCTGAGGAACCCCACATTAAAGGCTCCATGGGGCTGAAGAGCACTCCCCCAACATCATCCTCTGGAAATTATCATCAAAGTAGGACCAGAACCACTGCAAAGTAGTGCCACCAATTCAGGCAGCTGCTCCAGAAGGTTACCATGGTTGATGGTATTGAAAGCAACTGAGAGGTCAAGGAGAAATTAACAGGGACACCGTCTCTCTCTTGCCAGAGGTAATAATCAAAAAGGGTGACCAAGCAGTTTCTGTGCCAAAACCAGGCCTAAATCCCGATTGAACTGGATCTAGAAAATCAGTTTCCTCCAAAAGCGCCTGGATCAGGTCTGTGACCACCTGCTCAATAACCTTAACCAAGAAAGGGAGAGTGGCAACTGGTCAGTAATGACTTAAGATTTTACCACGGCCACCTTCAAGCAGGCAGGGACCACCCCCTTTTGCAAGGAGGCGTTAATCACCTCTCTGGCGCAGGCAGCTGCTACTTTTTTTATCAGCCAAGAGGGACAAGGGTCCAGAGTACAAGTGGTCACCCTGATGGATCCACACACCTTGTCCAGATCCTTAAGCCTTACCACATGAAACACATTCACCATAACAAGACTAGACTGTACTCTGGACACCTCTTGAGATTCATCTGTTCTAACAGCGGAGTCAATTGATTTTATCCTCAAAATGCTTTGCAAACAAGTCACAGTGAGCTACTGTCGGTTCTGCTACTTCCTTTGGGCCAGACTGTACTATCTGGAAAAGCTCTGCCAGATGGCATAGTGAGGATGCAGTGGAGGCAGCAATATATGGCTACTTTGCTGCCTTCACTGCTACTGCTAGGCTAGATGATGAGCCCTCACCGGGGTTTTCTTCCACTCGCGTTCAAGCCATCTCCCAGCTTGTTTCATTGCCCTAAGCTCCGAGGTATAACTTGAGACTCTTCAATTAGAAAGAATTTGAGGCTCAGATGGGACGGAAAGGAATTTGGAATTGACATTGCTTTCAGGTATTTGCCTCATGCATTCAACAGCTCTCTGTGTGCAGTAGATATTTGTTCACATTTCTATCTGAGTGGGTAGTTTATGCAAGTCTCTGACTCAGCAGCAGTCAATAAGCTTGTTCTTTGTTCCCAAATCATAGCATCTGACTGAGACTTACCCAGCGTATCTAATCTTCCAACAGGGACCTTCAGCCAGGGCAGAAGTATCTTATTCACATGTGGACCTTGAGTGGCCTCAGTGCAGAAGACCATCCCACTGAGAGCTTTGCTACTGCACCCGTCTACGTGTGGACACGTGAGTTTGATAGAAAATTCCCCGACTTGCTTCTTGCCACCCCACCTTTATTGCCCACTAACCAACTTTTTAAAAGCACTTTTCCCCCTGTGGTGAATCGTACTTGGCCTGAGCATTAGGTTCAGAGTTGGAGCTCAAAATGCTTAAGGGAGAGTCAGGTACAAGAGTCCTATTTAACAACAAACTCCTATAGGCTATGTACCATACTACTTTTCATTAATATATGTTCAGAATAACTGAAAAGCTCTTTTCCATGTGTGTATATGTCCATTTTATATTTAATATTGCACAACTGCAACTATCAAACTTTTTTTGCTAGATTTTTGAAGCACTTTAAGGAGGTACCTGCTAAATCTGGAAACTTCCTTTTGCAAGTGCAACTAGCAGTTCTAGGGTAGAGGGTTTTTTTCTCTCTGCAGAGCTGTTACAGGCATCCTTTGGATAGTGCCTATGACAGTCCCTCCTTTGCCCCCATGTCTCTGAACAGTTTCTCTTTCTTCTCTGGGAACGCAATGCCCGTTTCCTGGTAGAATCCCAATGGCCAAATAACAACTGAGCCACCCAGAGGCTTGCAGCAGGGTAAGAGGGCACTTTTGTTTAACCATTTGAGAAAGCATGGTGGAAAGAGAACAGTTTTGCCTCCAAGGGCTCCGTGCCCTTGTTTCAACTGCCCAGTGGATAAGAAGAATAAAGTGCAATTGAAAGGAATTCCACATTGCTCTTCCTCCTTCTCCCTGAACAGGACCTCTTCCTCCTAGAAACCTCACGGCATCCAGAGTCACAGCCACCTCTGTTCAGATGGTCTGGGACCAGCCCCTGGTTGGCACAGTGGAAGGTTACATCATCAATGTCACCACCAGTCAAAGTGTGAAGAGCCGCTACGTGCCCAATGGGAAGCTATCTTCCTACACAGTGCGTGACCTGAACCCAGGTCAAAGATATCGCTTATCAGTGATGGCTGTTCAAAACACAGATCAAGGACAAGTAACTAGCGAGCCTGCCCACCTGTACATTACGGCCTGTAAGTCCAGCCTCCCATTCCCCATGTTCATAGCTTCCTGCAAGCCTTTTGTTTCTTTTGTAATATGACATTATGTGGGCCCTAGCCTCTTAGGATGTCAGCATGTATATTCAACATATCATCATATCATGAGAGGGAGAGAGAGAGATCCATCTACAGCAAAAGATAATGTTCTCTGTGATGAGGAATTTTCTAAGCGAGAGCAGAGAATATCCATTTTACATGCTGCTGCCCTGGGGATATGTGAGTGAGCAAGAAACAATTAATTACAAAATTAGAAAGGTCCTCTTTAACACCCCCCTTGCTTTTGCTCATTTTGAATTTAATATCCTTGCAGATATTAAGAGAGCAAGTAAATTGTGGTTTTTCAACAAAAAATCAGCCAAGAAAGAGGGCTGAATCCAATTAGAATTGTGACCTTCAGAGGACTTAACCCATTCCCACAGTACTGTGCTGTCTGCTATTTTGTTGGTGTGGGAGCAGGGTCATTGAGAAATAAAACTACCACCACCACTGCACCAAAGCCTAATCATAGCTACACAACCACTGCTGTAAACATTTTTTAAGGGAGTGGGAGATTCAGCTGGAGAGGGGCCTCCAAGGAAGATCTTATTATGTGGGCAGGTTCAAGTGGAAAGAGGCAGTCCCTGAGGTACTTGGGTCCTAAGCCATTTAAGGCTTTATAGGTCAATAGAAGTACCCTAAATTGTACCTGGAGAAGGAGTTGGTGTAGCTGTATTAAAGCTGGCATGATTCACCCAGTCCCAGTAAAACATGATATTCTCTGGTCTGCAGTGCAGAAGGATGGCACCCCAGAAAGGCGCTGGAGCCAAACAGGGCATCCCCGTGTGCTGAGAAACCGGGTCCCCCCGGCGTTCCTGCCAGAACTGCGTCTGCTTGCTGATCACAATGCCCCTGGGGAACCCTCACAAGCACCTAGGTAAAGAATGGGGCTCAGTTGCCATGCAAAACGAAACAGATTACACATTGTGACTCATGAGGTGCTGAAATCGGAGTATGTCAGTTCAGCTGACACTGTATGGGAATGTCCAAGTGTTTTTCTTTTTAAAGGTTTACAGAGCTAGTGGATGGCAGAGGGAGGATCACCACTAAATTCAGCAACTTGCCCAGTAGATCTGTCACTGTGAGAACACGTAAGTGCCCTTCATCCTCCCTACTTGTATTCTTTGTCTCCTAGCGGTGCACTAATCCTCAGGCTAAGGTATTGTTGGCTTCCTTTTTTAGAACCTGAGGCTCCCATGAAAGTGGAAGAAAATGGGGAGGAATCAACCAAACAGGTCAGCCAGGCACTGCACCTCTCAGAACCTGAGAACAGCAAGAGGGAAAGTAAGTTTAAAGAGATAACGAGCATCTCTGGAATAATCCAGAAGTCAAAGATGGTACAAGGCCACACAAATAAAACGCACAAATAAAATATAAGTCCGCTAAAAATGAAAATACACTTAAAAGCCTGGGATAGCATCTTTGCCTGGCACCAAAAGAATAACAATGTTTGCAACAGGGGAATTCCACAAATGGGTTGCCATCCACCTTCCACCGGAGAAACACCTCAAGGGACAGGCACTTATTGCTTTAGGGGGAAATAGCTTTGTTGTGATAATAATTAGGATTACTCTCTTGTTCTAAAGAAATAGTAATTGCTGGATGAGCCCAGCTAGAGATAGAACTTCTCTCCTTTTTATTATGTGTCATATACTCTCACTGCTACTTAAACCACCAGTCAGTCTAGTCTAGTGTTCTTTGATAGGATCTCACTGATGAGCAGGCTCTTGTGAATTGAACAGTGGACCATGATCTTACTACTACTCAATCCAAATATATATATATTGTCTAGAACATTTTTGTAGGCATAACACTAAGGAGGTTAAAGGAGGATATCTTGCTGCTGTATGTGTAATCCTGAACGATATGCACTGGGATTGAGTATTGGTCTCTGTATATACCCTGATGGGATGTCATGTGGAGCATAAACTACACTAACAAATTGAACAACAACGGGCCATGTCTGATCAGTAGTGACGTTCACAGGGATATAGAAAGGAACAGCAAGATAAAATTATGCATAGCCTGTTAAACTGTAATAAGCTTCTGTTTTAATAGAGACACATGTAAGGATGTGCACATGTATTTGTCATTAACAATAAAGTGCACTTCTTGAATACTGTTTTTTTCTGCAAGAAAATTGTCTCTTAGGTGACAAGTTATCTTGGGGACACTTCACAGACAGTCCTAAGTTTTAGCTGGAGCAAGGGGAGAATCTTTCCAGTAACTAAGAACTAGGGATTGTTCCTTTTGATGTGTACATTACATTGCACTTTTCACCTCTAGCAAACAAGTTTTGTATTGTTTAAAAAAAACAATAGAAGTGTGTGTGCACGCAAATGACTTTTTACTTTCTCAAACACTTTTTTTTACTCCTGCTTTTTTCCAACTAGCATGTGGGCAAACTAGTCATATACAAGGTTGTTCTCTGGCTTGGACTAACTCATGATCCCAGCTTGGGCACTTGCATGGTTGGCTACAGTAAATGATTGCAGTTGACAATTCCCACCCTCACCTAAAGATTTGACATAATAATGAACCATCCGAGGAGTTTCCCAGCCCCTGCAGGATCCCATGGCTCACTCCTGTACACAGGACAGACATACTTGCAAGTAACTGTGAAGAAAGCTAAGCAACTTGCCTTTGATTCACCTACTCTCAAATCTGAATGCTAGCTCCCATTTTCCTTCCTAACATACTCTGCCTGTTGCCTGGAAGTACTACTGATGCATGCTTTAACTGCTGAGTGCAAATTCCAGGATATCTTCCTTTATGCAGCCATAATAATTTTCCCTTGGCTTTTTTGCTGGCCCATGTAGGACCAGCTTGGATAGCTGGCTCGGGTGAATATCTCCCTTTATGGATTTATGGGCTACTACTAAAATGAGGCTGCATTTTTAAGCTGTATTTTAATTGTTTGTTGTTGTTCTTCTCTATTAAGTTTTATTGTAATTTATATTTGTAATTTATTTATTTATTGTAATTTATATAATATTTGGGGTTAGCCGCCCTGAGCCTGGCCCTGGCCGGGGAGGGCAGGGTATAAATACTACTATTATTATTATTATTATTATTATTTGTCAGGGCTGCCTCAAGTCTCAGCTCACAAAAGACCAACGCCAATCTCTTCTTATATACAAAAGTGTTTATTGCAGTTCATTGTTTGCTTCACATCCGAGGCGCGCAGCCCTACGTCTGTTACGCTTAGACCGTTGAAGTCCCCTCTGAGTCAGTCCCTCCCCTGCACCAGTTTAAGAAGCTTGCGCTGCTCCACCTCTTCCTCTCTTTCCTTTTCCGCAGGGTCTTCCTGCCCCCTGGGGTTTCGCCCCTCCTGGATTCCCCTGACGCGGAATCCCCAGACTGCTCTTCCCCCCTCCTGCGGGCTTTGGGACCTGGCTCTTCCTCCGGGCTCCCTGTACTTCCGCGCGCCTCTACATTTGAACTTGGCGCGCGCGCCCAACCTCTAACCTTCCTTTTGACAGTTACACTACTCCCTTCACTACTCCCCTCCCCTTCCGGGAGGGTGGCTTGCTCCGACCTCCCTCCTTTCTCTGCTGCCGGAGCTGCTTCCCCTGATACACTGGAACCTCCACCCCCTTCGCTGCACTCTGGCGGGGGGGCTGGTCCTGACGCCCAGCTGCCACTTTGGGATCCCCTGCTGGCCCCCTGTTCCTGACACGTCCCCCTGGGGCTCCCTGGCCCTGACCACCGGCGCCCCCTTCTGGGAATCCTCTGATTCGCTGGAAAGACTCATGGAATCTCTTGAGTCATTGTCATCCTCTTCCTCGCTGTCCTGGGATTCATCCCCATCGCTCTCCATCTCCTGCCTACCCTGTGCCTCTGTCCCTGAACCCCTGACATCCATCCCCCCCTCGAAGCCCCCCCTTCCCCCCTCCCGCTGCTCGGGCGCAGGTTCCGGGAGCTCCGTTGTAGCGGGGGTAGATACTGGATACAGTCTGTCGACGTCGATCTCCTCTGCTTCCAGTTCAGTGTATGAGTGCTCGAAACCAGGGTCCTCCCCCAACACATCCAAGTCCTCCCCTCCCCCTGTTACTTCAGGCGATGCTGCTTGCCAAGGCTCCCGTCGCCACCCCACTTCTGGTTGATCGTCCCACCAATAAGAGCGGTCCGTGTCCACCCCCGAGCACGATCCCCTTGGAGGGCTCGATTCTGGCGTGGTCTCCTCTGCGGAGGAGAACCCCCGGAAGGTGCTGTCTGAAAGCGTGGGCGTAAAAGCCAGTCGTCAAAATACTCCGCTGGCATGGGCCTGTGTGGGAAGAGTGCATGGAACTCGTCTTTAAGAAGAGGTTCCTCCAGAGCATAATCTGGCACCCAACTGTTGGCGCTGGCCGGGGTACCTTCCCTGGCGAGGAGGTATTCTACTCCCTCCTCCCCCCATCTCGAGTCCAGAATTTCCGTGACCTCGTTGAGTGGCGGGGTCCTCGGTGACTCCCCCCCCCCTTGTGACTTTCTACGTGGGTCTGGTGCCGTCCCTGGCTCCTGAAATCTGTGTGGGCCCTTGTAGGGAGTAAGCACCGACCTATGAAAGACCGGGTGCATTCTGGAACCTTCTGGGAGGGTCAACCGAAAAGCTACGGGATTGATCCTGCCCTCAACTTGGTATGGCCCTAACTGTTTGTGTCCTAGCTTCTTCTTAGCTAACGACTTGGCCGGCACCGCCTGGGCTGCTAACCATACCCAGTCCCCCACCTGGATGTCTTCTCCTGCCCTCCTGTGCCTGTCTGCCTGCACTTTGTAGGCGTGTTTAGCTAGTTCCAAGTGCCGTCGTAGCTCCTCGTGGACCTCCTGCAATTCTGCTGCTAAATGCTCAGCTCCCTGCGACTGCCCCTGCGTCGTTGTCTCCAACGCCGGGAAGGTTCTGGGATGCCGCCCATTGTTGGCGAAGAACGGTGTCACCCCCGTTGACGCGTGCTTCGTGTTGTTGTAGGCAAACTCGGCCATCGGTAAGTAGTCCACCCAAGTTGCAGGCTTTTGATTGGCGTAACATCGCAGGTACTGCTGCATGATGGCGTTGACCCTCTCCGCTTGGCCGTTGGTTTGCGGGTGTCTCGCCGACGCTAAGTTGATCTTGACATTCAGGATGCCCAGGAGCTTCTGCCAGAAACTGGAAATGAATTGGCGACCCCGGTCGGACAGGATGGACCGTGGTAAGCCGTGCACCCGGAACACGTGGTCTATGAACAGCTTGGCGGTCTGTTCCGCTGTTGCCACCTTCGCGCAAGGAATGAAGTGCGCCATCTTGGTGAACAGGTCTACAACCACAAGCACCGCCGTCTTGCCTCGCGAACTGGGCAGATCAGTAACAAAGTCCAGCGCCACCCTTTCCCACGGCTGTAGTGGCGTCTCCAGCGGTTCCAGCAATCCCGCTGGCTTCTTGTGCACTGGCTTGGACCTCTGACAAGTGTCACACCTGGCGACGTAATCCGCGACCTCTCCTCGCATCTGGGGCCACCAAAAGTCCCTGGCTACTAAGTCCGCCGTCTTTTCTTTGCCGAAGTGACCCGCGCTGGGTGCGTCGTGTAACTGCTGTAAAACCTTCGCGCGGAGATCGTCTCCCGGCACGTAGAGAGCACCCTTGCGGGTTAGCAGGCCGTCGCGTATCTGGAATTCGTCGTCCTTTGCTGTCCCTCTGCGCACCTCCTCCATCTTGGATTGTGCGAACGGATCCGTCTGTAGCGCGCGGCGTACCGCGTCCAGGTCCACGGCGGCGGAAGCGCATGCCCACGCCTGCGGTGCGAAAATGTGCCTGGCTGCCACTGGTGCCGCTTCCTCGAGATACTGCGGTTTCCTGGAGAGGGCATCCGCTATGACGTTGTTGTCTCCCGGGATATACTCTATCCTGAAGTCGAAATCCGCAAAGAACTCCGCCCATCTTATGTGCCTCTGGCTCTGGAGCTTCGCCGTGCGCCAATACTCTAGGTTCTTGTGGTCCGTGCGGACTTGCACGGTGTGCTTGGCTCTGATGAGGAAGTGCCGCCACGCCTTGAAAGCCGCGTGGATGGCCAACAACTCCCTGTCCCAGATGGTGTAGTTCTGTTCCGACTTGCTGAGCTTCCGGGAATAGAAAGCGCAGGGCCTCCAGTTCCCTTGCGGATCTTCCTGCAAGAGGACGGCCCCCACTGCTCTGTCAGATGCGTCCGTTTCAACCCGCATGGGCCTGCCGGGATTCACGTGTAGCAGCTGTTCTTCGGACGCGAAGAGGCTCTTAAGTCTCCTGAAGGACTGCTCCGCCTGGTCCGTCCATGTGAACTTTTTCTTCTTGGAACTGAGGGTGTCCGTGATAGCTGCCGTCTCTTTCGCGAAACCCCTGATGAACTTGCGGTAAAAGTTGGCGAAGCCGACGAACCTCTGGACTTCCTTCCGATTGCGCGGGCTATTCCAGTCCAACACCGCGCGGACCTTGGCGCTGTCCATGGCTAGTCCCTTGTCGGACAGCCGGTAGCCCAGGAAATCCACCTCCGTCACGTCGAACTGGCACTTCTCCAGTTTGGTGTAGAGTCTGTGCTCCCGCAGCCTCTGCAGGACCTCCTTTACGTCTCTCTCGTGAGTCTCCCGCGATTCTGAGAAGATCAGAATGTCGTCGAGGAAGCATACGCACTTCTTGTAGAGTCCCGCTAGCACGTGGTGCATGAAGGCTTGGAAACAGTGGGAGCCATTTTGGAGACCAAACGGCATAACTCTGTATTCATAGGTGCCCAGCGGTGTGAACATGGCCGTCTTCCACTCGTCACCTTCCCTCATGCGTATTAGATTGTATGCTCCGCGTAAATCCAACTTGGTGAAGATCCTCCCCTTCCTTACCGTCGCGAGCAGGTCGTCAATTTTGGGCATGGGGAAGGCCTTGGGCTTTGTCATCGAGTTTATGGCCCTATAGTCCACAATGAGCCTTTTTTGGGGCGTGTCCTTCTTCTTCACGAAAAACACAGGACTGCCCCCACTGCCTTGGATTCTCGGATGAATCCCCGCTTCAAATTGTGATCTATGAACTCCCTGAGTTCCTGCATCTCATCTTCAGACATGGAATACAGCTTCGCAGTCGGTAGCGTCGCCCCTGGTAAGAGGTCAGTTGCACAGTCGTAGGGCCGGTGGGGTGGTAATTGGTCAGCTTCTTTTTCGCAGAAGACCTCCAAAAACCCCTTGTACTTGTGGGGCACTGCCTGCACCATGCCTAGATGCAACTGTTGCCCTTCCTCCTGGCCCTCCTCCTCCTGGCCGGTCTGGATGCAATGTTGTGCGCAGTAGGACGAGCCAAAGGTGAGCTGCCGCTGGTACCACGCTAATGATGGGCTGTGTCTATCCAGCCAACTCATGCCTAACACTATAGGCGTGTCTGACAGTCGGGTGACATTGAAACTGATGACCTCGCGATGATTCCCAATTTTCAGCAGCATGGGTGGCGTCTGCTGTACCACTTGCCCGCCCAGCAACTTCCTGCCATCTACCGTGACGACGTTCAGAGGCAGCGTGGCTGGTAGTAGCGCTATGCGATGCTGCTTGATGAACTGCATCCCCACGAAGTCTGCGTTGCTCCCTGAGTCAATTGTAATGGGGACTTCCAGGGTGAGTCCATTAGGTAGCTGGAGAGTAGCAGTGAGCTGCACCACTGGCTTGGGTGGTAAGGGGTTTGTAGGCTGCAAAAGCGCTGGGGACTGCTTCACTGACTTGCCTGGCTGAGCCCCAGCATGTCTGCTTCCAGCCAGGCATTGTCGTTTCCCTGAAACTGTTCTCCTTGGAGTGCTTCCCCTGTTACTGTTGCTAAGGCTGCAGTGTGCTTCTGGAGCCTCTGGGGACACTCTTTGGCCATGTGCTGCGCACTGTCACAGACGTAACACTTCCTGGTCCCTCTAGGAGGCTTCGCCTTGACTGCTCCGGACGCTGAGGCTCCGGCAGCTGTCTGAGCCTTTGCACCACCCAGTTCCATTGGTTCCTCCCCCTCCCTCAGCCTAGGCGAGGGATGCGTACGTCCCAGGTCGCTGGGAAGAAAAGGAGGCGCTCTAGCTGGTGCGCGGACTTGGCGCCCCTCCTCACTGTGCCAAGGGCGTTCTTCGTGGCGCACTCCTATCGTGAGTGCCCTCTGCACGACGTCTGCTAGGGTTTGAGGTCTGTCCCCCCTGGCCAACTCATCTTTTACGGAGCCATGAAGCCCCTCCCAGAACAAGTCTCTCACTGCCAATGAGTCCTTTTCCCAGCCCAGCACATTCAGCAAAGCAAAAAAGCGAGAATGGTACTGACGCACTGTAGCCTTGCCCTGCCGCAATCCATGCATCTCCCGGCGCGCCACATCAACATCAACTGTAGATTGGAAGCAAGCGTCCATGGCTTTGATAAATTCATCAGAGTTCCTGCGGGCAGGACCATCTTCGCGCCACAAATTGCGTAACCAGGCTCTAGCTTCCCCATGCAAGTGGGACATAATAAAGCCTACCTTCTCCTCCTCATCTTTGAAGTCTTTCCGAAGCAAATGCAGCGCGTATACGACGTCTGCTCTGAAACTGGGATAATGCTTCAGGTTTCCATCGAAGTGGGCTACTAAATTGCCCCCCCTCCGTCCGAGTCCGATTCCCTCTGATCTGGACCCCGGGAACCCCTCTTTGCACGCATGATCCCACCTGGCTTGCAGATCCTGGCATCGCGCTTCTGCTTCGGCAACTGTCTTCTGAGAGACCCGTACTGCAGCGGAGAGTTCAGCGACTGCGTTTTGCAGGGTCGTTATCTGCTCCTCAGTAGTCATGTCTGCCAAACTTCGTGAGCTTTGCAAAAAAAATTTTGCGGTTTCTGTGAGAGGGGACTTACTGTCAGGGCTGCCTCAAGTCTCAGCTCACAAAAGACCAACGCCAATCTCTTCTTATATACAAAAGTGTTTATTGCAGTTCATTGTTTGCTTCACATCCGAGGCGCGCAGCCCTACGTCTGTTACGCTTAGACCGTTGAAGTCCCCTCTGAGTCAGTCCCTCCCCTGCACCAGTTTAAGAAGCTTGCGCTGCTCCACCTCTTCCTCTCTTTCCTTTTCCGCAGGGTCTTCCTGCCCGCTGGGGTTTCGCCCCTCCTGGATTCCCCTGACGCGGAATCCCCAGACTGCTCTTCCCCCCTCCTGCGGGCTTTGGGACCTGGCTCTTCCTCCGGGCTCCCTGTACTTCCGCGCGCCTCTACATTTGAACTTGGCGCGCGCGCCCAACCTCTAACCTTCCTTTTGACAGTTACACTACTCCCTTCACTACTCCCCTCCCCTTCCGGGAGGGTGGCTTGCTCCGACCTCCCTCCTTTCTCTGCTGCCGGAGCTGCTTCCCCTGATACACTGGAACCTCCACCCCCTTCGCTGCACTCTGGCGGGGAGGCTGGTCCTGACGCCCAGCTGCCACTTTGGGATCCCCTGCTGGCCCCCTGTTCCTGACACGTCCCCCCTGGGGCTCCCCTGGCCCTGACCACCGGCGCCCCCTTCTGGGAATCCTCTGATTCGCTGGAAAGACTCATGGAATCTCTTGAGTCATTGTCATCCTCTTCCTCGCTGTCCTGGGATTCATCCCCATCGCTCTCCATCTCCTGCCTACCCTGTGCCTCTGTCCCTGAACCCCTGACATTATTAATTATTATTATTATTATTATTATTATTATTATTATTATTATCATCATCATCCCTTTCATCACCAGGTGGCAAGCAGAACTGTTCCATAAACTTCTGCCAAAACGGGGGGACCTGTGTTGCTGGCCCAGAGTCTTATCACTGCGATTGCAATCCTGGATTCAAGGGCAGACAATGTGAACTAGGTGAGTTAAGAACAATACAGGCTTCTCTGGACTCTCCTAATGGTATGATACTATGGGTGCTTCCAGATGTGGATGATTTTTAATTGTTTAGTCAATCTTGACCTTCCTCCTAAAGGAGCCCAGGGCATCAAACGGTGAAGTGATAAAATAATACAGTTAAAAATAGAAAAGTTAAAATTTTAAAAACTAAAAACATGTGAATATTAGTAGCACCCAGTTGTTCCTGCTCTACTGCAAGTAGAAGAGCAACTCTGATTCCGGACTTTACACTCTGCAGCCAAGTGGGCAACCCCCATTTTCCCAGTGTGTATGCCATACAAAGGCACTGTGGGTTGGTGGTTCCTGTATCTGGGAGACCGGCCAGTTGCCTATTCTGGATAGAGTTCCCTCAGAAAGAAGAGTTTTGGGGTGCTTCTGGGTCCATCTTTGTCTGGATGCTCTGGTTGCCTCAGTGGCTAGGAGTGCCTTTTACCAGCTACAGCTGGCATGACAGCTACAGCTGTTTGTGGACAGGGTTAGTCAGGCCACAGTAACTCATGCAATGGTAACATCAAAGCTCAATTATCACAATGCACTACCTTGGGCCTGTTCTGGAGGCTCTAGCTAGTGCAAAACGCTGCACCCAGGCTGTTGATAAAAGAAAACACTTTGTGCAGTGCATAGTCAAATGACAGAGCTTGCTCCCCCAGGAGGCAGTGATGGCCACCAACTTGGATGGCTGTAAAAGAGAACTAGACAAATTCATGGAGGAGAGGGCTATCAGTGGCTGCTAGACAGGAGTGTCAGCTTGGCTCCCGTGCCGTGGGTGCCCAGGGCCGTGGGTGCAATGCAGCATGAATGACCCTGGCACCAAAATATGTGGGTGCCCAGCCCCTTCATGGTGAATTTTGTGGGTGCTCAGGCACCCAGGGAGTTGGCAGCTATGCTACTAGGCATGATGGCTATGCTGTACCTCCACAGCTAGAGACAGCAATGCTTCTGAATACCAGTTGCTGGAAACCAAAGGATGGGAGAGTACTCTTATGCTCCCTGGTTTCTAGTTGGCTATTCTTACACTCTTTATGTTGATGAGGAGAGACCACTGCAAGCAGATAACTTCAGTGCTCAAAAGTTTGGGCTGGCTGTCCATAGGATACTGGGAACAGTTTTGAGGTTCGTTATTAATTTACAAGTCCCTTAGCAACTTGAGTGTAGGGTAACTCAGGGACTGCCTGATCCCTTAGATTCCTGCTTGATCACTGAGGTCTTTGAAGGGGTCGCTGTTAGTGGTCCCCTGTGGCTCAGATGCACAGCTTGTATCTACAAGGAGCCATGTGTTCAGGATGGAGGGCCCAGTTTTATGGAGCTCCCTTGCAGTTTAGCTGAGAGAGGCCTCTTCCCTGTTGAACTTCTGGCGCTTACTGAAGACATCAAGATTTCTTTGGTTATGGGAATATAGTGCTCTCTCCTTCCAAACTGTTGGTTTAATGAGTCTCCTTATCTCCCTTCACTCACCAGCACTTGGGGCAGGAATGTATTTAGAAGGCATTAGTTCTAAGTCAACCCGCCTTTGAATAATAGGAACATTTAACAATGCTTAGAAATTGGACTTGAAATATCTCTCTGTGCTTATTATAGTCCTCCCTCCTTCCCTAACCATGCCAATTTCTCTCTTCAGCCTGCAAGAAGGTGCCTCAGTCTTGTACTCGGCTTTACTCAGAAACCAAATCCTTTCCAGTCTGGGAAGGAGGTGTCTGTCATTATCTGTAAGTACTGTCTCACAGAACATTAATTCAGAGATCAAATTAGCTGTCAGTCCCATTTTGATAGATAGGGCCTTGTACATTCCATTTTTGTTGTCCTGCTATTAATCCCCATACACAGGAATATAATTTAAAAGTACATGAACATCTGAAAATACAAAGAATTTTGTGAATTAAATATTCCCTGTTCTATAAAAAAAAAGGTTTCTAAGATCCTAGAGAGGAGGCAGGAATAAACACAGACAGTAAGCCAACTGAAGTTTGTAGTGCAGACATACACAAATGGTTGCAGAATGTGATTGCTGTGCAACTTCTAAGATGTGATAGATCATGAATGATGCAAATGGTGAGCAGCTCAGGGAATGGTGAGGAACTCATAATTTGGCTGCCGGTGGTTTTGGAGGGGCGGGCACTTGGAGGAAGATAGGAACCTGAGGATATACAAATGTCCATTTAGTGCTGGAGGTTTCTCTGTCAAAGTAGGAATGTTGGTGGAAATTAGGGAGGTACAAGCTATGTGAGAGGTTCACAACCAACATACTATTCAATTGTGGCCAAGCAGACTTTTCATCATTCCTACTCTTAACTTGCATTTGCTGTTGTGGTAGATACAAGAGGATCTACAAAGTGCACCAGGATGTCTGCTACAAGGAGAGCTGTGAGAGCACTGTTTCAAATAAGGCACACAGCAGGTAAAGGAATGTTGGTGGCTTTGTGGGAAGTCATAGCTGTGGGGGAAACCCTTGGAATGCAATATCCAACTCCCGATTTCTGACATTACTGATGGTTTAGGTTAGCAGCAACCATCTAATCTTGATGTTAACTTATGGGTTGTTTAGACCGCTGGAGTGTTTAAATCTGTGATCATTTACTCAGTCAGTATTATTGCTACTTTAATTCTGCTGCCATTGCCCAACATGCTGCTGGAGCAAAGTAGCATTCAGAACAAGAAGAGTATGTTGGAATGTTTTATAGATTTAACATTCTCTTGTTTGTTTCAGAAAACAAAGTAACAGACACTGAAGCCATATAGTAAGTATCTTTGCAGGAAAATATAGGGAATGAGGGCTCCATACACCTCTGTGCTGGATAAACCACAGAACAGGGTTGAGGAATCTGTGGCTCTTCAGTAGTTGGCTAAAACTCCCATCACTGAGCATTGACCTTGCTGGCTGGAGCTGATGGGAGCTGAAGTCTTAACAATAGCAGAGGACCATAGCTTCCCCAGCCCTGCTAGAGTTAGGGGTCTTGTAAGGAACAAGTTATCTAGAAGCTCGCTTGGTGGGGCATATCCTTTATCCTACTTGTAGCAAATTCCTTTTGAAAAGTTCCCACAGCTGAGGATATTGTGGGTGTTCTCTAACTGCATCATAATGGTGAACAAATGCTTTATTTATGTAGATTGATTTGTTTATTTAAAGTGTCCCAAGAGGCTCTCAAAGTAGCTTACGAAAGATTTGCACATATAATAAAAATATAACTTGGTGACAGGAATCTTCAGGCAACATTCTGCTCCCCCCCCCCCGCCCCCATCATTCTTTATTTTTCCTTGGTGTCACAAGGTCACAGGCCTACTGAGGTGAGCAGGGCTGAGCAACTGGATCTTGCTCCATCTATGGTGGAGCAGTCTCTTTGCTGGCAGAAAACTTCAAAATATTGATGGGTAGGTAGCTTGCCACTAAAGGAAAAGTGGCAGTGATTATTGACTACCACAGTAGATTTCATGAAAGGTATAATTGAGATAAAGAAAACCGCACCCTGATCTTTTATTCCAAGCAGATGCTGAGCGTCTTTAGCACCAGAAGGCTCAGACATGACAAAGTGACAATCTCAGAAAATTTCACCTCAAGAGTGTTTATACATATCTGGCACTTAAGTCTGATCTTTCTACATTACAAAGATAATTGTCAACCAGTTTTCTGCCTGCTTCCCTACACATGCTGAGGAATGAAATGTCAGAAGCAGCCTTTAGCATTCTTTGATTCTGCTCATTGAAAGCAGTATTTCTTTCAAAGCTCTTTCAGTGAGACTATGTCTCTCTACCCTCCATAAAAAAAATTCATTAATGGATCCCAAAGCTATACCAACAGAATTCCTCACCAGGATTCTCCTTGCTGTAGGAATATCAAGGATCTGCTCACCAGTGGAACTTTGACATTTTACTAAAGAGTTCAGTGTAAATATGAATAAGCAGTAAATCTGCTTGTTAACTTTTTAACACAAGTGAAATAAACTTTTTAGCAGTGAAATGGAGGAAGAAAAGAATCTTTGTACCTGTGTTTTATGCATGCGCACATAATCTAAGTGCTAGCTGTCGTGTTTTATTTTTCCTTTGTAGGTTCCAGAACACTCAACATTTCTTCTAACTGGATTGGAAAAAAGGAGAGACCCTCCAGCAAGATCTATGGACTTTTCTTCCTTTGCCTTGTTCAGGAGGTGTTCACCAAATAGCCATATCCCTCTCTCTTTGGCAGGATTATAAGGGTCCGCTTACCTTTCTTCATAGCACCTGAATTTATACAAGATGAGTGACATGTTAGAAAAGTCTCTCTCAGGATTGAAGTCTATTATGGGCCACTTGCCGCAAGGGCAGAGCCTAAAGTTTCACCAGTGATGGAGATACTGGTTACATAATCTGTGGCCACTGGACTACCTTAAAAGAAAAACAAGCCCTGAAACAAATGTTCTGGATTATAACCAAAAGGAGAACCTCCCTGGCATAAAATTTGATGTCCAAAGCTAATCACGTCTAAAATACTCCCATTTGCAAACAGTGTGTCTTTTAAAAAACACTAGGTTCTTTTCCTTTGTTTTTCCCTTTGCAAGATTAGTTAATGAAACGCAAGAAATCTGACAGCCAGCTACTGCTGTGCCTTTTTATTGCTAACAAATTACTTGCATTTCAAAATTTATTCTAGTGCAGTGGGGAAAGGGCTGCAGAAGCTAGAAGTCTATATCCATTTTCAACAACAGATCAAACAGGCTTTTAGTTATTCAGCCTGTGGACATGCTATTCCATAAAGTGATTAGAAAATGCCATGCCTTAATAATTAAAAAAGTTGAAAACCCTTCTAGCCACTCTATGAAGGGTAAATAGAATGCTTTCCTGTTTAAGTCAGGATTGTGATGCCAGTGGAGGAAAAATAGCAGAGCATTTTTTCCTTCTTCCCAGATGTTCAATTGCTACAGCTCCCAAGAATGGCCAGCTACTCAAGGAGCCTCAATATTTCCTAGATTTGAGAGTTTGTATGACTAAATATAAAATTGTGTTTAATATACATACACTGTATATTTTATAAATTAATACAGCCAGAGGTTCAATTACAGTTTACCTATTATTATTCCTGTAAGTGCTGGTAGCTCTCTAGCAGCCCATTCGGCAAGTGCAAAAAAGAAAAAAAGGGGGGGGAGAGCAGCCTTGTTCCCTAGAAAGCTAATCCTGGCAGCCTTAAAGAGTTGTAAATATAGTTTCTTCAGCAAAAGATAGCACTAACCATTCCCAGCAGGAAAAGGCCCTTTCCACAGCTATCACAAAAGGATAGCCTCTACGAGAAGGACTCACTGGAACCAATAAACATTTAGGTTTATTCCAATTATTTACATACGTTTTGCAGCAGTATTAGCTAAAGGATCCCCCTCCCCACAGAAATTGCATTTTTCACTACAGACCTTCTCAAAAGGCATGGGCTGAAGAGAAAATCATATACTTAATATGACTAATACAAGATCTCCAAACTCTCTCCATTGCAAATTGCAGCATTTTAGTTGGATGTTCTGTAATTTGCCCTGTTTTATGAAAAGAAATAGAAATCTGGATTTCTCATTCAGGGAAGGCTTCTTCAAGAGCAGTAGAAGAAAAGGAGAACTTTTAAGAAGGCCTAGCTTGTATAGATTGGCAGGAGTAGACACAACACCAAAGGACCACAGATTGCATTGTCAGAGTAGTGTTAAAACTACATTTTAAGCTTTTCTAGCATTTTAAGCACTGATTTGTCTGAGCAGCCAATCATGTACTGCCACAATGAACCTAGGCATTGAGAAAATATGCATTTTCATGTTTCATTAGCAAGTAGAGAATTTATCATGCCCTGTTTCTGATGTTCAGGTTGTGAGCAGCTTATGTAGCCAAAACAGCACCAGGCTTTGGGGGGGGGGACTTCATGGTTTGCAAAAGTACAAAAATAAAATCATATGGGGGGACGGCGACTAAAAATGGACAGAACCCCAAAACAGCCATGAGGCCACACAATGTTGATGGGAGGGGAGAATTGGAATGAAGAGGTGGAATACTGAACAGAAGCACTCCACGTGCTACAACGTTTTGTCTCTGGTCTTACTTACAAGCACTTAAATCCCAACTGCTTCAGTTTAATTGGCTTGAGGGCACATGAAGGCAATCTCACTGTTAAAAATACAGCTTCCAAGGTGCAAAAAAGGGGGTGGGGGAGGGAAGGGTTAGTAATCCCGTCAGCTAAATAGCACATTTTTCCAGGCCCAGTAAATTGACAAAGATAGTGAGAGGTCTTCAAAGCCGGTTTCTTGTCTGCCGCACAGCAACACTGGTTTCCCCCCCAGGCACAGTCTAAAGTAGAACAGTCTGTATCAAGTCAGTATTTTATAGCCAGATTGAGGCATATATAATGCAGCAATAAACTAAAAAAGATTTTATTCTGTCAAAGTTATTTTGTTTTGCATTTTAGATTAAAATACAATTTATTTAAAAGCTAGTCTGCTTTCTTTAATACGTGAGGACGCCAGTTGGCTACCAAAATCCTGTTCCTTTACCAACAATTTTAGCAGTTGTCAGCCACCAACAACCAGCAAAACCTGTTTGCTATCCTGAGCATGAAATTTCTACTTACAAACTGCACCTAGGCCCACATTTCCTCTCCCATAAATCGTTATCTATGTTTTGCTTCACAGAACCCACAACAGCTACTTCTCTGTTCTGAGAACAACATCTGACCTTTTATCCCACAGTCTGCATTTCATCTTCCTTGACAATCCATCCCTAGCACTGCCTTTTTCAAGTCCCTCAGAGAAAAACAAAATTGTTGCCATTCTTAAAAAGAAGTGCATTCTTATCCTCTAGAGTAGAGGTGGGTAACCTGTGGCTCCTCACATGTTCTTAGACTTCCATAATCCATGACCTTGTTGGCTGGGGAGTTGGGAGTCATTAACAGATGGAGAGACCCTGATGTAGAGGAATTCCTCAGTCCATCTTGAGAACTTCCACCTCAAGCTTACCCCACGATTCTCAAAATGTGCAGTGGTTCTAAAGCAACAAGCCAAAGTAATGACAGGAGATCACAAACATTTTGGGTTCCATTGCCTTTACACAGCTGCTGAGTAGACTTTACCCTTATTGACCACCACCTCTCATTTTTACACAACTGATGCATTTTCATTCCCCAATTCTAGACGTAAACAAGATTATACCAGTACCAAACTTCAGAGATTTTTAAATTTTATGTGCTTAGTCTGAATCAGACCCTTCGCCATCACTCTCTGAATCTGAGAGATCGTTTTTCTCTGCCGCTTCCTCCTCTTTCCGTCTTCGTTCTTCTTCACGGGTTAGCAATTTCTTAAATATATTATACTCTTCCAATGAGGAACAGGCCATTTTTTCTATAAAGTCACTTTCAGAAGCTCTGATTATGCTTTTCAGTTTGGGGTTGACAACCTGGGTCTGTCCTTTCTTGTCAGGAGTTTGAAAGAGTCCCAACCGCTCCAAGAAAATAACCCGGTTTTTTATCTCAGCCAGTGATGCTTGGAAGAAACCAGAATTCACGATTTCTCTGTGTTTAATCCCCATCCTGAAATAAGCAAACTGAGAAAAAGAAGGAGGAATCAAACTTTGAATAAGCTATTATCAATATTCGATACTAGACTGTGAACCAAGGGATGGAAAGGGTTTATTATTTGGCTAAACGTGTTTCGGGATCTTTGCTTCTCTACTGTGCCTCTTTTCCTGCCTTTATAGTCAAATCAAGGAGGTTACTAGTTCACTAACACCAGTGCCATTGGATTCCATAATGTTTCCCTCCTAAAACTGGAAAAACATCTGAAGTCCTTAAGAAGCAGTTGTGGCAACAAAGGTTGAGACAAGAGTAGCCATCCAGAGAAATTCCATACAAAACTAAGAGTGAGATACAGCACAGCATGGAGGGGTGTGCGTCTGCAAAATGGTTTCTTCCCCTTGCAGCCCAGCAACCCCTCCCAGATCTTGAGTGGGTCAAACAGATCCCAGGGTGCATGGGAGCTGCAGGAGGAGGGGAAAACCTGAAATGTCATTGCACAAACAGGCTTATGTTGTGCAAGCAAACAACTGTTGCTTGATGTGACCCAAAAATATGAAGTCACAGCCTTTAATGCAATAAATTCAAAAGCATGTCCATAAGATAGCAGAGGAAAGTCAAATGTTACATTTCTCAGGGCCCACATGAGATATTCTAGAAACAAATCAATGGAATAGGAAGCACAAAAGCAAAGTTTATTCTAGCTTCTATTATCTATATCAGTATTTGGAAGAGGGGAAAGAAAAGATCTTATTTTTAAAGCCCTAAAAAACGAGTTATATGGAAACTCCCTGCTAAAGCATATATTTGGTCTTTGCAAGATCTGTGAGTGGGATCTACTGTGACTGGAAGCCTACCAGCTAATCCACTCTGGGAATGTGCACTGACACTATATATTTGATATATAGAAACTGTCTATTATGAATTTCTGAAAATATAATGCAGCATACTTTACCTGGAATTTGTATTCCACATCGCCTAGCTCCTCCAGCAAAATATTTGGGCATGTTTGCAGAATTTTTGATATCTGCTGCACAGAGAAAAGGCATTTTTCTTTGAGGAGATTCTCTACGACCTCAATTCTCTTTTGTGGCAAGGTAAAAATTCTTGGGAAATGAACTGCCATATGGTTAAGGCCCACTGTTAAAATAAAGAGGGAAAAAACATAAACAATCATACCCTAGGCTTACTTTTTTGGTTTGCTCCTCAGTACTCCCTGTGTACCTGTTATACATACAGCCACCCAGTCCTCCAGGCTAAAAATGTTTCCAGAGTATATGTCTGGCTCATTATTTATTTTGCAGAACTTTGTGCATTTGCATGTGTATGTACTGCAACTGCACAATGCAGGAATAAAGGAAACGCTGAGGAGCAAATGAAAAAGGAAATGAAACAATGATTAACAATACAGAAGGAATTCTTTAGAAGGAGAAATACAACTTTTTCATATAAAACAAATTTGGAGGACTAGAAGAAAGCCTGAAAGGAAAAATTATGCTTTTGCAACCTTTTCTAACCCAAGTTTTATCATGCAAGCACTTTTAAAATCTGCAATTCAGTTTCAAACTTTCCCTTTTCTGCTGTATTTGTAGCATCTGGGAGCACCTGGAGATGCAGATTTGCCCTTTACATTCCACCTACAATTGTGGGCCAAACTTTCACAGCTGAATCTAATCTTCTTTAAAAGACCACCTAAATCTGTGATGTATAAAGTGATTGATGAACATATATTTCTATCAACGTAATGGAGCCATGGTTCCTATCATTGCATGTGCAACTTAATTTGCACCCTTTCCTAGAGATTAGATTTTCTGCCATTTATTCCATATAATGCCCACCAGAAGAGTTAAAGATAATGCTTACAGGCCCCAAACAGGGTTACAAAAATCCAGTATGGCCCACAGCACACAATTCAGTACAGATGTTCCACTCATTGCATAGCACAGAGAAAGCATTACCCTCCTTGAACGCCAGCCTCCTCAGCAGATCTGCACGGTCCTTTATATGCTTTGATGACATTCCCAGCAATTCAGGGCTCTTCTGTAAGACATTTAGTGTGGCGTCTGTGCTTAAACCCAGAAGAAGGAGCTCTGAAACTACAGCCAACCTGAGCTGAGGAGGTGCATATGGCTGCAAGCTGAACAAGTGTGTTATCTGAGCAGGGCTTAGCCCCATGTCCAAGAATGGATCTGCCACCTTCCCCAGCTTCAGGAGATCTGAATCAGCTGGTCTCTCTGGCTCTACTTGGGAAGTAGCAAGAGTCTCTAGAAGCTTCTGAGAGGCTTCATTGGTGTCTGTTTTACTGCTTCCATGGGACACATTTGCTTCACTTTGTCCAGAAGAACTGGTGCCAGTCAATCTGCAGCCCAGGTGTTGAAGAGAGCATAGAAGGGCAAGTGGTGATGCCTTCAGATAAGACAATTGGATAGAGTGACAGGCAAAGGGGACAAATTTGTGCTTCTGCAAGACCTAAAGGAACAGACAACAAATTCTAATATATTATAAATTACAGTCATACCTCGGGTTAAAGTTACTTCAGGTTGAGCATTTTTGGGTTGCACTCCGCGGCGACCCGGAAGTAATGGAACACGTTACTTCCGGTTTTCGCCGCTCGCTTCTGCACAGATGCTCAAAATGATGTCACGCATGCGCAGAAGTGGGTTGCGTTCACTTCAGGATGCGAACGGGGCTCCGGAACGGATGCTGTTCGCATCCAGAGGTACCACTGTATTGTGTTGTTTAGAAAACTTTAGGCATCAGAACTAGGGGACCAAAGCATCCTTGCAAAAATGAAACCACACAGTCATTCTAACAAGTTTTTCAAGCCATCAGACTAGTAGTATGAGTCCATGGTGGTCATTTACTCTGTCAGTGTTTGCATTACAGTGATGCCCACAAGCACCATGAAGACAAATAATAATATTGATTTATAATCATAAAAGGGGTCATGGATTACTATATACAAAACTCAATCCGGTCTGGTATAAGTAACAAATACAATGAATCTTACACTGCTGATCCATCTCAGATCATTTGTTAGCCAACACTTGCAAAGCACCAGTTTCAAAGCAGCTCTCACTATCCCCTAAAGTAGTATGCTCTCAAAATCACAGTGCGGACTAAATGTATTTTAATCCATTTACAACAATGTTAGCTGAAGATGGTTTAAAAAGGTACAGTAATTCCCAACACCTCCAATTCATACTTACAGACTGGCAATTCTAAACTATATTAACTACTGTATTGTTAAAGACATGGCCATTTTTTCCAAATTAAGAAAATACTATGGATGTATATACCTGGGAGTAAGTCCTATTTTACTTGGCGGAACTTACTTCTACCAATTAAGTTTAGGATAGCCATTCACATACGAAACACTAAGCATACCTTAGGAGGGTATAACAGTGAAAACTAATCTATTACTTATCCATTTAAAAGTTTGTACGCCCCATCTTTTTTCACCAAGTTTACTTGGAAGCTTATTTATTTATTTATTTATTTATTTACGGCTATTAGCCCATAAAGTATGTACAAACATAAAAGCACAGAGGCATAAAGACTAATATATTCGGCTCCAGAAGGTGAACACCATGATGCAGGGGTGGGTCATTGAGCAGAGCCAGATCACAGCTTGGGGCCTGGAGAGCTCCAAGGGACGGATCCCAGAAAAGGAGAACTGAAGACGAGATCCGACATGCACTCTCTTCAAAACTGTCCGATTAGTTTTTGATGTTGTTGTTTTTGGTAGTTTTTGTGTGTGAGATAACTGCATTCAGGAATCTCGCCACCTGCAGAGTTACAGAAGGATCTGTATCCTGCAAAAGTAGTGCGGCATGTGACTCAGCCGGCCTGCCAACCAAGCGCAGCAAAGCAGGGCCCAGGAATTTAGTCCTGGCTATGCTATGTAGGGGACAGTTGAACATTATATGTGAGAGAGAATCAACAGTTTTCCCGTCACACACGCATAGCGGAGACACCAAACCCTTGGAAAATCTGTGGCTCAGCAGGTTCGATGGATTACTTGGAAGCTTAAGCTCATAATAACATAAACATCAAATTTCAAACAACACAAACAAACCAAAACACACAACCAGAAAAGGAAAGGCGGACTCTCTAAGTTGCCATTAATTGACTAGAAGCCCTTTCAGGCAAACTGTTCTCTCTTGCTGCCATCCTACCCCCACAGGTAACATGGGGGTACCAATACCAACTTACTATACACCCTTGTTGCAATGATTCAGTGATTAAAGTGCTGTTATTTACTTCAGGGGTGGGAAACCATTGTTCCCCCCAGACGTTGCTGGACTACAATTCCTATCATATTTGCTGCATATTTTGGGATCTCTGCTGGGGTTCTCTCACCAAACAGTACTTGCCCCAAACTTGGATCTTTGCATCCAAGAAATTATTCTTTTATGCACTCCCCCCCCTTTACTTGCCCATCAACATTTAGCTGTTCTGTAAGCCACCTTGAGTCTCTGTCAGAGGAAAGGCGGTATACAAGAAGCAAATGTATAATAAATAAAATAATAATAATAATAATTCTAAAGAGGCGTTTGGAAAGAGAAGTGGGCAAAGCGCCACGGACTCGAATGAGAGCCGTGCCAGAAAAGCCTCTGCAAGGGCAGGAACGAGCCAGGCTGCAGGCACAAGAACACGCGTGTATCTCGCGTGTCGGCCTGCTACCACGAACGCGAGGCTCAACGCGCAGAGGTAACGCTTGGGCTCCACTCCGTCTAGGCTGTCTCCCACCGTGAAGCTGGGAGTCTCTCGCACATCCGCCACGGGGCGGCGAAGAAGCTGGTGCTGGTGGGCCTGGGTTTCCCGCGAGGGCGCGTCGCCTCGGGGCCAGAGCTCTACCGGCCCAGCCAAGCCCTGCCGCCAAGACTCCTCCCTACCTGCGCGCAGAAGCGCCCCAGCTGCGCGCCCCTCATCTTGCGAAGTTTCCTCTCCGGCGCGAGGCTCTCCGAGGAGGAAGGTGTTCGGGCAAACGCCTCCCCCCTCGGAAACGGAAGCTGAAGGGACAGTTCCGCCGCGCGGTTGAGGGCTGGGCGACCTCCCTGGTCCCTTCCCGTGCAGGAGAAAGCTAGCTGCGTTTAGGCCGATCGATGCGGAGGGCAATTGAGCTTAGGAAGTAATCTCTGCTATTCTCCCGTAAAGAGTCGCTTCAGATGACATTTTTAAAGTCATACCCTTAAGATTTGAGTGCTCGGGGTGAGGGCTGGGGAATCTGTAATGCGCACACCTGTCCCACTCAAAATAATGTAGCTAGACGCGTCCAGGAGATGGGATTTGACCCCGGCCCTTGTTTACCAAAACAGTGTTCGCTTGGAGGCAAACGGGGGATTAGTCACACCCCACTTTGAAGATATAAATACAGTGCCGGATTTACCTGTAAGCTAAATAAGCTATAGCTTGGGTGCCCCAAAAAAATTAAAAGGAAAAAACAACTGGGATGTACATTTCCAAAATACAAGATAAAGAATAAAATAAAACCTACATACAGCAACAGTGTTTTGTGTTGTGTAGGCTCCTATGATGTAAGTAATGGGCCCCGTCTGCTAGCCTGCTCCCTAAAATATCACTGGTCTGCTCATTTCTATATATAGGGCACCAACATTCTGCATGGACTGGTTTCATGGCAACATGTGCAAATGGCTTTAGATACCTATTAGGTCCATAGATTACCATATGGCATATATTCAACACAAAAAACAGCGACAATTTGTTGTTGACAAGGGACAGCTGGACATATAAAGGGCTCCATTCATTACCTTGATAGGCCTCATCAAACCTAAATCCGACCCTGTATATATAGGAACAGAAATAAAAGCTCCTGGGGACAGTAGAGGAGACCTCATAAGATGATTAGCTGAAGCAGGGTTTTGAATTAAGGTTTCCAAATTACTACTGGGGGTTTTATGTGTTGGAGGGCCGACACCCACCCGTAAAACCGACACCAACTTTGAGGTAGAAAACATGATACTTTTCACAAGAAAAGCATGAACAACACTATTGTCTAAGCAGGACTGGTGAAGTCCCAAACAGGGATTTAAAATTGGAAACCCTGATGGAGCCCGCCACCATCATACACCATGTAATGAATGGAACTTCTTACCGGCCCCAGTGGAGGGGCATATCCTCCAGCTAGCTCTCTTCCTCCACTCAAGGAGGGAAGCTGGAGAAACAACTGATGTTACAAACATACTGAAATTGTGTACAAAAATAAGATAAGGAGGAAATAACTCTTAAAGGGTAATCTAACAGGCAAAGCCATTCAGTAAATTATATCATTTAAAACAGGGATGGGCAGAAGGTAGATCATCTGGTAGCTCTCTGGATTATATTAAGTGGTTCAGAAAGGTTGTATGGCAAATCTAGTACTCAGAACAAATTCCTGGGTTCAGAATTCTTAATGTATACCTTTAACATTTGGCTCAGGTTGGTAGATGTAAATTCTAATGAAAAACGTAAGTCTGAAATCTGTCCACTCCTAATTTAAAACTGCTTGCGTACTACATATAAAACAAAGCCTTTGCCTACCACTCCTAGAGTTTACCACACCCATTGCGTCAATCACCCATCTCCTACTACCCTCCTGAGGAAAACCCCACCCCACCCTCCCACTTTATATAAAGGTGTGATGACTTCTGTTTCAGTGTATCTGAAGAAGTGTGCATGCACACGAAAGCTTATACAGTGGTGCCTCGCAAGACGAAATTAATCCGTTCCACGAAAGTCTTCGTCTAGCGGTTTTTTCGTCTTGCGAAGCAACCCTATTAGCGGCTTAACGGATTAGCGCTATTAGCGGTTTAGCGGCTATTAAAGGCTTATCGGCTTATCGGATTAGCTGCTAAAAGGCTATTAAAGGCTTAGCGGCTTAGATAAAGGGGGGGGAAGCGGAAAAAAAATCTCAAGACTCGCAAGACATTTTCGTCTTGCGAAGCAAGCCCATAGGGAAATTCGTCCTGTGAAGCAACTCAAAAATGGAAAACCCTTTCGTCTAGCGGGTTTTCTGTCTTGCGAGGCATTCGTCTTGCGGGGCACCACTGTACCAAGAACAAACTTAGTTGGTCTCTAAGGTGCTACTGGACAAATTTATTATATATATATATATATATATATATATATATATATATCGACTGCGTCAGACCAACACGGCTACCTACCTGACTCTCCTAGAGGTATTGCCTTTCTGACACCACCTCTTTTGTTCATTCTCGTAGAGAAAACTTTCCTAACATTCCTTGATGCAGCCTTCCTGACCCTGCTTTTGTTCATGTACCCCTGAAAGTGACATTTATTATGGTCATGAACCTCACTTGGTGTCCTTGGTCCAGTCATTCAGTCTAATGCAACTCAACATTATCACAAGGATTGGTGGAGGAGAGAAGAGCTACGTATTCCGCCTCTCGTTCTTTGAAAGGGGGAATAAAAGTACAGAAGTTTATTCTGTTCCTGTTGGAAAGGAACATTAGATTGTAATGGCAAGTGTGCAGAGCAAAAAGGGTTGCAACAGAAAAGGGAACAAGACTGGGCCACTGCTGTTGATAACAAGAGCCTTTAGTAAATGCATACAAAGCGATTCAGCACAGTTAAGATGGAAAATCATAGCAATCAACAAAATACATTCCAAAAAGTTACGTTTTAAAATACAGCCTAAGTTAAAAGTCATGACACATGACTTGCTAGACCATTTAGCTTAAAGGTATCACAGCAGGTTAGAATTGTTTTGCTTCAATTCCTCCTCTCTTTAACCATGCTGTAATGTAGGGCAATTCATAAGCAGTTTGCACAGTAAACACTCCAATAACTAGTACCAAGATGCTTATGTATAGGGGCGGACTATATTAGACTATTGTCTTAGAGGTACCTACCCAGCATCATGCCTGTTTGTGTTAAACAGGCACACAATGAGCACTAATATGACTAGGTATTTTCTTCTCTTCTGTATGAACTGATAGCTTCCTTCAAGATAAAGGGAATGAAGGCTAGCATTGGCCTAGCATTTAGTTACCTCTAAATTACAGTCCAATAAAGGTAGAAGTAGTAGGGCCTATTCTGTGCATAATAATTTGAAGATAGTTATATTATTGAAGTGCCTACCTTCTAGGTGCATCAGAGCCAAATACAACTTTACCAACTCTTTTCAGAGTGCTCACCTGTCAGGTCATCCAGAAATGGAGCTGGTACAGAAAAGTAATCTAGAACACAGTTCACTTGAAAAATATGAACAGTCCCCAAAAGATTTCAAAACAGATCTATAAAATGTAGATTGACATTTTGTTCTTAGAATATATAAAAATAGCTAATGCTTCCATGAAAATTATAATTTTGCCAATTACCTGCAGAATCCATTTTTTTAAATAAAAGTCTACTGAATATGAACTACCTAATGCCTGATTCTTTGAGAAGAATCGGTGTCTTTCTATGTCAACCAGCCAGAAATATCTGACTAGAGCTTTTTCTGGACAAAGGAAAGGATTTCAGTTTCAAATCCAATAACTGAATAAAGGTGTAGAAAAACTTTCTTTTCTCTGGTGAGCAAGAAATTTGACCTACCATTGATGTCTACCAGATACAAAATGTCACCATTTATATGTGAACCTCAGAAACAGGGCCATCCAAGAAGCCAGGACATGGAGTGTTGTACGCTCCAATTGATAAGTTTTTTGGCTATGAATCGTAGATCTCCTCCAAATTGTAAGGTGATCAGGAGGAAAACAGCTCTTCAGAAACCCTTCCCTAGGTAAGCTTCAGTCAGTTGTCAGTTTGGCCAATACACGGCTAAAATTCATAGTATCAGTCATCTCAAACAGAATGACACCACTTGTAGCCTCCCTTTCAAACACTTCAAACATGCCTGGAGTATAGGACATCTACATCTAAGTGTCTAAAATCAAATAACAGTCCTATCCGTTCCTATCAGTTCATCACTCAATGCAGCTTTTGTAGTAAAGGTTCTGTTGTGATGAGTAATTACAACAAACAATATTAATGGCAAATGGGCCAGCTCACATGAATATACCCACTATGTAGGGTGGGCAAGTGGGATTGTGGTTGCCTATTTCCCTCCACCATGAGCACCTGCTGTCTCTTCTCCAGGGCTGCCAGATGTTCAAATATAGGTGTTGCTTATATAATGTCTGCTCCCACAAAATCCAGTGTATAGGTTTGAATCACATGGTTGCTTCCTAGATACTATGTAGCATATTTGTCATGCCATTTGAGTCCTCAAGCACTAGATCTTTTTGTGAATAGGCATTGTCAGAAGCCGGTACCCACATATACATCTCTAAGAAGCCTGTGGGTGTGACAGAGGAATTCACAGTGAACAAAGTGAGCTACTGCTCTGACTCTGGTATTCCATCTCACGTAGGCAGTATGTTTGTCAGAATTCCACGTCCTTGGGGCATTTTTGTAAGGACTTGCTGGTGAGTGAGGAAATCTTCTTCAAGCAAGTACAGAGGTAGATGGCCCTTGAGCTGCGGAGGTCGATGGCTCTTGCCCTGAGGCAGCAGTGGCTCCTGTCAGCTGGGGATCCATCAGCTCATAATTACTGGTGTCATCACTAAGGCTCTGCTCACTCTCCAGACTTGGGACTGCCCAGATGCTACCATGGCTGCAGCCAGAGGAATTCATTTTGAAATGGTTGTTTTCTGAGGAGTAAAAAAATAAAATAAAATAAAAGATAGAAATGTATTGACTATTAATAAACCCCAAGCCACAAATATTATTCAACAGCCATTACATACTATTACTGAATTGCTCAGGTCGGCTGGCACTCTGTACATGCCCTAGAACTACTTGACTACTAAGCTTTACAAGTGACTGTACAATAAGTATGGGACTTGCAAACACAACAGGTGGAAGCAGACATTGGTTTATGCAAGCTATCCTCCCTAACCATCTTTTTGCCATATTCTTTTGTTAAAACCCAAAGTGGGACAGTCATTTCCACTAATTCCTCCAAGTGCAATAGCCACTGTGGCATGCAACAATCTCCAAATTAAAGATCACCAGTACTGTACCTCCATATGTACAAGTGTATGTGAGCTCACATACACAAGCAAATAGGGACATAGGCAGGCCTGGTAGCAATACTTCATGAGCAATGAAATCCTTACATGTCTGGGAGTAAGTCCCACTGAACTCAAAGGAGCTATGTAGAAATATATAGGACTGCAATATAAAACTCTAATCTTGACTATAGTTGTCTAGGAGGAGTAAACCAACTTAACACAAAAAGTGTACTTGCCAGTAGGCATACACTGATTTGAACTGCACAGTAGTCATATAGATCTTTTTCAAATTATCAAGTCTAGTCATTCCTTTACAAAATTCATTGTAGACCTTTCTTGTTTGGAAATTCAATAAAAGTTTTGAAGATAGCTTTTCGAAGCTTGTCTCCTACCTGGCTTGGCAGAGACATATACTCCCTCCCATGAGTAGTTAGCAAGGTTCAGTGGTTGTGTCACCCAAGGATCCTCCACTACCACTTCTAGAGTTGTACGATCCTCTGGAAAAGGCTGCAAGAGCCCAGTCAGCAGATTCATCAGGTCTGAGGACAACAAGGAGATGAAATAACATCAGCAGCTTTTATGCTGGTCTTCAGCTTGCCTGTCAATTGAACTGAGATTAAGCACAGCCAATGCAAGTTTGATAAACTGAGCATAATCTTTAGCATCCATCCCCATAATTTAGAAGTGTACATATTCCTCCCACAGCTTCTTCCTTCTTCCTTCCTTCCTTCTTGCAGGATAACCTTTGCTTGGCTATGAAAATGACTGAAATGGAGCCAAGCTTGCCAAATACACACCTTAGACGGTGCAAAACAGACCAATACAAGTAGACAGGTGACTTTCTAGTTCAAAAGCTAGGTCTTATGAGCAATTCCATGAAATACCCCCCCAAAAAAAGTGGTTTTTAAGCACTGACATTCATTATTTAATAGACAAGTCACATGAGAACAACCCAATAACTATTGAATGCCACCAACTTCCTGGGCATGCCTGAGGGTGGAACATTACATAGCACATTACATGCATATGTGCATAAAAAACCCCACATGGCTGCTTTTCCCGCCTCAGGATGGGAATCTGGAACTGAGAAGGGATGAGAGGCAGGAGAAAGGATGAACACCTTCTCTTCTACACAAGAAACTAGCAATACAAAAGTTTGGATTAACTTTTACGGCACATGGATAGCCGCTACAGCCAGGAAATGGTTATTCTTACTATATACGGTATATTTTTTAAAAAAAAAATTAATGCCCAACAACAATTAGGCTGGTGTTCATGTCACACCAATCATCATAGGCTGAAGCATATGGACACGATGGGCCAATAGTAATCACCTCTGACAATGCCCCATGATGATGCCTAAAGTCACAAACTAACCTGCAGCCTTGTATATCCAAGCTTACTGGAGGCTTGACTGGAGATGGAGTGAGGCATGAAAGTGATCTACTTCCCCACCCGCTCTAGAGCATCCAAACAGAGCAAGGGAATATTTCCTTTGATCCATAGACCCATTCCCACTAACTGAAAACCCCATGTAACTTTTGGGGGGCATGTCAAATTAAATGCGCACAGAAACCAAACATAGTTCTTGCCCAAATTCTATTCCCCTTCCTTTCAGTCAGTAACTCTTAATAATTAGCGAAATACACACCATCCGACACTTTGAAAGGAGGTCTTAGTACAGCATCCATAGTTTCTTCCAGCTCACAAAAAGGATTTTCTCCAAAGACTATGGTATAAAGAGTTATACCAAGTGACCACATCTCCAGTTCGGGTCCCAAGTACCTATAGAAGAATGCATAGTTCAAGTCAATAATGTTCTCTCTCTCTCTCTCTCTCTCTCTCTCTCTCTCTCTCACACACACACACACACACACACACACACACACAACTCAAGCAAATGGGGAATTTACTTAAAAGAAAACGCAATTAACTATCATGATATCCAGGCAGCAAAATAAACTGAAAATGATTCCTTACCAACAGCCAATATATTTCCCCTCCCTCCCTCCTACCCACAGCAGATATGGCTGAAGAAATGGTGGTTGTGGGTGAGTCTGTGATTGGTCAGGGATCACAGCTGTCGACCTTCCCTTTTTTTGTGGGAAATTCCCTTATTCCAGTGCCGTTTCCCGCTGCTTCCTACTGCTATCCCAGATTGTTAGATATCCCGTAGACTGTCCCCGGGACAGGTGAGGCTGCTGATCCCTTATTTTCAAATCTGAAAGTTGACAGCTATGTCAGGGATTCCTACTGCAGCAATAAAGAGCAAGGAAGATAAAAACACTCTGTCTTTCTCTACTTTATTCTTAAGTTTGTTTTACAGGTCCTACCCCCAACCAAATCAAGCTACTGTTGGGCAAGATCTATAGGTTTTCTTTCAAATTCATACATACGGATTTCCTGAGAGCACTTCTGGTGAGCAGTACTCAATTGTCCCACAAAAGGTATAGAACAACTTGTTAGGTTCCAGGTAAGCAGCTGAGCCAAAGTCTATGAGCTTGATAGTGAAATCTTCAGCAATTATAATGTTCTCATCCTTGATATCTCTGTGAAGGATGTTCTTACAGTGCAAATAGTTCACTGCAGACACCAGCTAATGAACACACAGAAAAGACCAGAGATCAAAATAGGTATCATTGCCAATAATATTTACTAAATGTAGAAATATTATTTTGACACCCCCCCCAAGGACATTTAACTATTTAAAAGAGGATATACATAACCATTTGATAGATTTGCTTTTCTCTTTTTTATAGTAACTGGGCATAATATTTATCAGTTTTTTAATCCCATCCTTCCTCCAAGGAGGTCAGAGTGGCTTACATCATTCCCCCATTTTATCCTTACAACAATCTTTCGATAATGTGATGATCTATATCAAAGAGAACGTGATGCATTTCTAAGTCTCTCTGAAATAAAATTTTCAATAGCATGAGGGGTTGTTGTTGTTGTTTAAGTAAACAGCAGCTGCAGAGGTCCCCATTCTAACTGAGATTGTGACACAGGAAGTATTTAGTGTTTTGCTCCTACCGTGAGCTCAGTTCAGATCCCTCAACCACCATAACTATGTTCTTCTAGACAGCTTTCTGTACGATCAACTAACAAGTTGCAGATCCAGTTCATTCATGTTCTTTCTACAGATTTCACTTCAACCAAATCTTACCTGTCTGAATATGTAACTTGCCAAAGGCTCATCCAAATTAGGTTGGTTATCAATGAATGTGAAGAGATCCAGGCCTGACCCATGTCTCTCCATCACCAGCTGGAAGAACTGCTGGTTCTCAAATACATCTAGCACCTGGTAATAAAGAGTACTGCTTCAACTTCACAAACTTTACACCTGGCTCCCATCCCTCCTTGAATAGGAAATGATCTATTAAGTTCAGGATTATGTCAAGCTTACATTATAGAACAATTAAAGTATATTCCACTGATCCAAAGACTAATCAGATAATGCAAATCAGGAATAAGCAATGGAAGTTTAGGAGGATTTCAACTTCCAAGGTTTTCTATGGAAACATTAACTAGATTCATTGTACAGGATAACTACTTAAGCCACATGGGCCTTACTGTATGGACAGCTGCCCACATAGTATCTATTAAAAGCCACATTTGTCAAATAGCTGTCTTCTAATTACATTTTCATCTTCTAACACCAAACAAAATGAATCTGTGCCATAACATCCAAACATACAAGGAATTCACTACAGTGGTACCTCTGGTTACGAACTTAATTCATTCCAGAGGTCCGTTCTTAATCTGAAACCATTCTTAACCTGAGATACCACTTTAGCTAATGGGGCTTCCCACTGCTGCTACGCTGCCACACAATTTCTGTTCTCATCCTGCGGCAAAGTTCTTAACCCGAGGTACTACTTCCGAGTTAGCGGAGTCTAACCCAAAGTGTTTATAACCCAAGGTGTTTGTAACCCAAGGTACCACTGTATATGAATTTAGATACACATTTGCATATTGGATGAACAGTACCTTAATAATATTAGGGTGCTGCAGCTTTCTCAGAATTGTAATCTCTTGAGTAACTCTCCCCAGCTCAGGATCGTCTACCCAGCAGTAGTCCAATACCTTCCCTTTCCAAATGAACTTCACTACAGCCTGGGAACAAAGCAAAGCAAATGAGGCAAAGTTGGGGAATAAACTACTTTAAATAAATAAAACCTTTAATTGCTATTAACATCTAATCAGTGAATCTTAAAAGCGTGTACATTTACAGAACAATTCTTATTGGATTGGGGGGTGGCATAGTGGAGCTGTCATCTCTTGAAAAGCCTTGCCAGTTCACTGTAGCCAGCAACATACCAATGCAAAATTACTTAAGACTACTTTTCAGTTTATACAGATATAAATTTTCTAAGAGAAAGTGACCCAAAACGTGTGTTTTCAAGTGTCTACTTATAGCCTGTACTGATAAGGTCACATGCATATCACTTTGGAAGTAATTCCATAACCACACACCGCTTTATTGTGGTCCATAGACCCACAATACACAGTACAATAGTAAATATCAACAGTAAGGTGTAAAATCGGGCTTGCTAGCCAACAAAGGAAATGAATTCCATAACCACTGGGGCCATCAACAAGAAAGCTGTTTCTTGTGCCCACCGACACGATTCATCTTGCCTGTGAGCAGGCCCCCCGGCACAGTTCTTAGCATATGAGGTTTGTACATGTCAAAAGGTGGTCTTTCTGGTGTTTTAGCTAATGCACAGATGTGCTCACACACATTCATTACTAGCAAGGAGAAAAAACACCAACTGAAAATTGCAGCAAAGGCTAGTTCGACTGACCCTTCTGAAATGCTATTTATATTGAACCTGTGAGAAACCACATCCACACAAAGCTTTAACAAATGTTAACAATTTATCTAGAGCATAAACTCTTTAACACAGTGAACAAGACCTGAAGAAGAGCCCATCTAGTCTAGCATTCTCTTCTCATGGTAGCCAACAAAATGCTTTAGGTTGGTGCCACAAGCAGGGCATGAGCACAATACTCAAATCCCTGGGGGTGAAGGAATCACTGGCAGAAAACAGTGTCAAGCAACTCACTTTGATTGGAAAATAAAACAGTACTATGTATGCTCATATCTGAACTCTGAAATCTAGATATGTGAAGGATTTTGGAAACTACTAATAAGCACTTCATTCCAAAAATCAGAAGGATTATCAATGAATAGTTCTGTTAACATTTGATAAGTAGTTTTGCTCTTTCACCTCCTTGCAATCCTTTTTGCACCTGGCTGTCCAAACAAATCCAAACGCTCCTCTGCCAATGAGTGTAAGTGTGTCATATTTCTTTCCATAGTCTCCCTCGCAAGCCCTCAGTCTTTCTAGTTCTTCAGCTCTTCGTGAATTCTCAAACACAGGGGTTGCTTTGATCAACTGCAGGAGACAACACAGACGCTACAAAATCAGAGAACTAGCTAACATTTGTCTAATCTAAAAATAATAATGAAATACCCAGTACCCTTTGTACCAGTCTCAGCAAATTGGCAATTCCAGCAATCATCACTAATTTCCAATGAATCATGGTCAAACCTGTCAGTCAGGCTTCCCATACCTTTTTGTTAGGAAGACTGCTCCAGAATAGCCAGCAAATAGCTGGAAGGTGGCTGAGTGTTCTGAATGGGCTAGGGGGCATTTCTTCTCCTCCCCTAACTAAGGATAATATAATATACCGGTAGGTCGTGGTGTATCTATAAAGCAGGGATCAAGAATGCTTTCTGCTCCACAGGTCAGATCCTTATTAGGATCAGTCTCATGGGTCAAATTTGACAGGTGGATGGGGTTCCCCGATGGTCAGCCACAAGCAATTATGATATCACATGACTGGCTGGTTGGCAACCCTACCATCCTCTCAAAATCCCTTGTGCAACTATTATAATCATTTTTTATATTTGATTGTGTATGTTTTTTCTGTCTTTAATCTTTATCGTGAAATTATTTGAGATGCTTCATAGGAAGATAAATTAAACAAACAAAATAATAAAAGTTTTTAGCCAGAAGCAGTCACTAAGCCACTGCATTTTCCAGTCAAAAGTTCCATCTACCTGCCGAAATGTTTTTGGGCAGCAGATTTAGGAATTGGCATTGCCTCCCATTTCTTGGGATGCATCCAAACTAGTATTCTCATCATATTTCATTTCATTTTTAACCTTCATTAACCCAGCAATAAATCTTGGCACTCTCTTTTTTAAAACAAACAAAACTAAAGCAAAATGAAGCTGACTACTCCTTTTTCTAAATAAAACTGAATTTGTGAAATTACACCTGGCACCCATGCATGCTTCTGAAAATACAATGCAGTTTGCAAAATTCCAACATGACAGTGGTGGGGAGAAGGCAGGTTTACACAGTATTGGGAGTGGACTATCTGGGGATTTTGAATTAGGTCAAGTTAGTTTCTGCCAGGAGCAACTGACTTGTGATACTAAGGGTAGATGAAATTCAACATCAAACCAAGGCAATTGTTCCACCAATGCAAGCATTTCTGCTTGCCAGGCTGAGCTATCTCTTCTCTCCTCCCCCTGTACAGTATTCGGAGGGTTCTCCGGGTTCTCCTGACCCACTAAGCTGACAGGGGAAGGGTCTTGCTGTGCTGGCTCCCACTAGTGCAATTCTTTAGTTGAATGTGACCTATAGCGTGTTGCACATCCTATCTTCATATAGCTGGTTGTTTGTGTAAAAAGAAACAAACATACCAACCAGTCAAGTTAGCAGGTTTGCCTACTATTTTTATTTCATGCCCAAAAGTCAGGGGCAGGGCTTAAAACAGCCAGAAGATCCTATATACTTACTTCTGCCAAGCTAAGTGCAGAGACGTCACTTAGGTTTGGGGAGGAACTGGCCAAACTGGAAAGCAAGAACTGTGTTTTTGCTGCTGCTTGTTTCCGACTCTGAAAGTGGTCTCTCATAACCCAAATGCAGAAGAGGGCAGCAGGGTCATGCAGTTCCACACGTTTCACTTCAAAGAGTATAGCTGCAAAAATAGAAAGCCCATCAAGAAGGCACTCTAATACCCTAAATAAATGGTGAGATATATAATTTAAACTCTTAACCCTGATAGCAAGAATCTGAAATTCACAAATGTTTTTTCACTGGAAAGGCTTTTAAAAACATAAAACGTGTAAATTCTTAAACATGAGCAAAAAGGGCTTAATTAAGAACCAAGTAAATAAATAGTAGAAGATGGAGTTTCATCACTGGATCTTTTCCAACAGAATACTCAGTCCTTCTTAAGCAGCAGGCTGATCAACATCATAAGCACATAAGATCATTCTAAAGCAACCCATGTAGGAACACCAAGGCGTTGGCCTTCAGACAGCCTGCTGTTCACTTTATAGGACTGACAAGCACTCCAACAGCTGACCAGCCCATTTGCAGTTTAAAAAGTTAACCATAAAGCTGCTTGATCAAAATTAAGGCAGAGGTGGACAAGCTCTGCCTAAACATTTTGGCACACCAGAAGTTATCTCTCCTAATTTCACTGCCAATCAAGTACAGATTGAACTCAAAATGTTAGTAAAATCAAATTAATGTTTTCCTCTGCTACTGTGTTTTTGCATTCCGATCGTGGATGACCAATGCATTAAACCACAGCTTGTCTCTTATTCTTGAGTCAACAGGTTTGTTTTATCATTCCTTGCCTGCTTCGCTCACACTGAACACCAGATTCATGTAACCTTTCCATGCACACTTATGCCCAATTAAATATACTAATGCAAGAAGCCAAAATGTCTACTTTGAACATACCGAGTCGAGAACCATCTCTGTGGTAGCAGTTACCCGAATAGTTGCCTTCTAGGATCTCGTTGTTCAAAGTAATTGCTGAGGACTGTACAGCTTCTTGTTTCACAGGAGTTGATGTTAACTGTGCCATGCTCTGCTGCATTAACGGCATGAGATCTTCCTGGGACTGTACATCACTGTGCAGTGAACATCCTTTTAAATGTTCCCCCATTCTCTCTGCAACACTTTTGTCCTCTGAAGCACAGCATGTAGAGAGGTCGAGATTCACACACCCTGAATGCTTGCTAGAGAGTAAGCCCTTCCGATGGCCTATTGGAGAACCGTCGCACAGTAGGGGGTCTATCTGACCACTTACAGAAGTATTAATTTCCTGGTCCATGGGCTGCTCAAGATCTTCCTCACTTAACAATGGAAGCTTTATTGGTCTAGAGGCAGCAGAGAAGTCTGAATTCACCTCACCACTAATCCTCAAGGTCAGGTCCGTCAAACCACAGCAAACAGAATCAACCTCATCACTTGGCTTCTTACCACCCACAATTTCCAGTGCAGAGACATCACAAGGTATTGATGATCCTGCTGGAACGGGAAGGCTGCTGCTCCTTTCATCAGGTAACAAGGCTGATGAATCCTTTGCTGAATTTTCTAGTTCAGTATTTTCAAATCTCAAGCTCTTTCTACTACTTGTCAGATTTACTGTTGGCAACTCATCTATCATCCCGTGAGTGTGTTTGGAACATGGCACTTGCTTGCTACACATGGGTTCGTCCAGTGTGGGAGTCCCACAGGACACCTGCACAGCATCACAAGTCACACTTGCCCCAAGCCCTAAATCCTCTTCTAAGAAGCATGTCACAGAAGTCTGATCACCCATGAAAAAATTCTCTCTTTCTGAAGACGTAGTGGCATAATGGCACTTCATGATTTCATGTGGTGAACCAGAACTGTGTATCTCCAAAGGGTCATCTTCTTCTTTATGAACTAGATCAGATGCGCACCTGGCAAGATTCTTCTCTCTCAGTTTAGTTCTACCTTCCAACATGCATGGTTCAGAATGAAATCGTTTTGGAGAATGTATTTTGTACTGCTGGCAGTCGTTTAGTTTTGCAGCCTCTGTCTCAGGGCAGCCTCCATCCTGAGAACTCTCAGAAGGCAGTGCTTCATTATGGACCAACGCATAGTCCCTGCTGTGTAAGAAAACAAGTTACTAGTTGGGTTATAATGAACGAGGGAGCATCTTCCCCATTACATTACATTCCTTGCCCTTCCCTATCCCATGGTGTAAGATCAGGAGATCCCACTGGAGCTGTCCAGTTCCGAACATCAGTGGCAGCTGGATACCCAATATCCTTTGGTAACTGGAAACACTTGCCACATGCAAGTAAAACCTACCCATTCACTGGTGAGACTGACTCTGGAAGAGATGATACAACAGAAGGCAGGCCACCCCCTCTGTCCAGCTGGGTATGGAACTCTACTCCATCGCTGCTCATTGTAGTGGCAGATTGGCACTTCATTATTTCATGTGAACCAGAATCACGTATATCCAATGGCCCATCTTCTTCCTCAGATGCGCACCAGACAAGGTTTCTGCCTCGCACTTTAGTGCTACCTTTCAACACACACTGTTCTGAATGAAACCGTTTGGGAGAGCATACTTCTAACCGCTGACAGTTAGCAGGTTTTATAGTCTCAGCGCAGCCTCCATCACATCGACTCCCAGAAGGCAGCACGTCATCATTGGCCAGCACATCGCTGGATGGTGTATAGCCCCTGCTGTGAAAGCAAGCAAGCTGCTGGTTAGGTTACGTTGAACGAGAGCAGAATCTTCACCAGTGTTTACAACTCCCTGATAAAACATCAGAGCCAGCTGCGTTCCTAGTGCACTTTTGTGACTGTCAAAACCTACCCATTCAGTGCTGCAGCTGCCTCTGAGGAGGATAACAGAACAGAACACAAACTACTCCCACTCTTTGGCTGGGTTTCCTTCCTGGTACAGAGTTCTGCTCCATCACTCCTTGCTAAATCCTGTTGCTCTTGCAGCAAAGCCACATCTCCAGCAAGGAGTGGGCGAGTGCCTGGAACAAAGAAAGAAAACTGTGGTATGTTGCAAGTTTTCACCAAGGCATGCACTGGAAGACTCTATGGGCCATTCCACATGTAAATGTTTTTAATGGCTAAATGGCTCCCCACAATGTCTTTTCTGCTGAATATGAAAGGTTAAATGAGATGTAAGTGCTTAAAATGTTATAAATTTAGCAAGTATGTCTTGTAACATTTACATACTGACATTTTAACACCTCAGGCAATCCTTCTGTAATGGCACCCAGAATGTGGAATTATTTCCCTAGAGAGTCAGCTGCCCCTTACAATTAGTTACTTTTAGGTGCTAACTCAAGACATACTTGTTTTCTCAAGCCTACAATACTGGTTGAGAGGAATTGGCTGTTGGACTGTTTTGCAATCTGGAATTTGGCTTATGTTGTTGTTTTATGATATTTACATACATATATATATATATATATATATATATATATAATATATAATAATAGTACCTCTCACAGTTAGCTAAAATTATGCTCTTGAAGTCTGAAGCAGGCCATTCTAAGGCTAAAAGAGCAGTTGTTTAAGGGAGGGACAAGAACGCTGCTTATTTACTGTGGACAGCCCTTCCAGGGGGCATGCATCAGCCAGCCAGACAACAAAGGTTAACACCCTATTTCCTTGAATTGCTGTGTAGCAATTCTCCAGTGAGGAACAGTTTCTAGTATCAAGATCCATGAGACATATCAATTAAACCATGTTTCAGGTAACTCTGTGGTACAACCATTTCAAGTTGTTATCCTTTTATTTTTGCAGATGGATATGTCCGAAAGAAGTGAGAACAAAAAAAATTCTATCAAGAGGAAAAGTGTGAATATGACATTCCATTCATTATAATGTCAGATCCATTCCACGACCTATTAAAAATAAAAAAGCATAGCTTTTTGTTGCATTTCCCACCTCCGTAAATTTACCTGCACTTCCTTCCGCCATACCACAGCCATCTACCTCGGTTCCGTTGAAGCCCCCAGAAGAGCTCACATTTTCTGAGTCCACATCGTAACTTTCTCTAGATTGTGGGAGTTGCAAAGAGGAATCATCAACTCTATCCATGTACTTATAAAAACCAGGAATCAAGAATGTGATGTTCTGAAATACAAAATAAATGTGATGAAATCCCTCCTTTCCCCCTCACTGCATACTAGAATAATATGTGACTGAATAAAAATATCATATGAGTAATCTTTGTCCAATATGCACTTTAAAAACCATTGTTGTGCAATGTAGTTTGTTTCTGAAACTTTGAAAGTGAGTTCCCCCTTGCTTTGGCAGATCTTAGCTAATCTCTGACAACTTAATTACAATGCGCCACTCTATATTATGCCACTGTCGAATGGCGTCCCCCCCACCCAACTAATCCTCAGCAATCAGCAGTGGAGTGGATATACTTCCCAAGTGGTAGCATTCCCATGACTTCACCGTGATCTTTCTCTAGAGGAAAACAAAAGCAACAACAAAACAATACCTTCCCTAGCAGCTCCTTTTTCTCATAACCAAAGAGCATTAGAGAAAACGTATTGTTGATTCCATAAATTGTACCATCCGCTTGAACAGTGATTAGTCCGCTGATGGTGGTGAACACCCAGATGGAAGCACGGAAAGAACAATCTACAGGGGAGGTGATGCTGGTGTCATCTTCTAAAATTTCAGCATCAAGTACTGGTGCAGACTTATCTGGTACAGGGTTGATGTCTTCAACAGGCAAGTTAACTTCCAGTTTCAGGCTGAGAGGAAATGTTGTCCCCTCTCTTGCTCGGCCAACAGATCTCTGAATTTTGATATTCTGGGGGGAGGAAAAGAAGACTTGTAACATAATGCAAATCTAAGCCAATTAAAAGCTCAGTGACAGTGGCCAAGAAATCAGTCAGATGAATCTTGACTGAAGGCCTTAAATTACTATCACAGAGTTATGCACAAGAATCAGTCCATGCAGAAAACTAACTAACAGACTAACAAATGGACAACAAAGTGGATCTTGTGAACCTTTACAATTACAGAAAGACCTATATTTCAAGGCTGGAACTCTAAAAAAAACCATTACTCAGCATTTTGAAGATTTTACTGCTCCCTCTCCATATTTGCATGTGTATCTTATCATCAACAATCTCATATAACTATTTGGACATGGCTTATATTTATACATTTAGAATATGTTTTATGAATTGTTCTTTTTTATGCATTCTTATTGTTAATGAGAACAGACTCCCCTTCCCCTTTTCCTTCTATTTGCAATTAAGAAGAAAAAAGAAACAAATTACCCAAATAACATTTAAAAGAACAGCTAAGTATAATTTACATCACGGTACCTTTGGTATTTTCTTGCCAGGTATAGGAATTTGAACAGATGGAATCATGTCTGTTATGTACTGACCAACCACTTCTTCCGATGAGGCATAACCATAGAGATGAGCAAAAAGGAGGTCACAGGAAGTAATCTCTCCCTTAAAATGAGAGTTACAAGAATTAGGCTCATGAGGACACTGCATTCTAAAATATTAGTTCTTGACAGTAATTAAGGTAAAATGGCCAAAATTTATGCAAAGACGGTAAAACAATTCAGCACCACTAATTCAGCAGACTTGGTCTCAATGAAATGCCACTTTAAGATGGATGGTGAATTGTGGTTGTTTATTTTATCCCCTGAAATCTAGATAATTTAGATGCATTTATTTTATTTACAACATTTTTAGGATGATTTTCTGACCTACAAAAAGCCTCCAATAAGAAACAATTATTAAATTACATTTTTTAAAAAAACACAATCATTTACTTTCTTGAGTGCCTCGCAAAGCCAAGCAATCCCTTCACATCAACAAAAGTTCCATACCTATCTCAAATTACAGTAGCAAGGTTAAATCATTTATTTAAACAATTCCAGTCCCCAGTACAGTGGTACCTCGGGTTACATATGCTTCAGGTTACATACGCTTCAGGTTACAGACTCCGCTAACCCAGAAATAGTACCTCGGGTTAAGAACTTTGCTTCAGGATGAGAACAGAAATCATGCTCCAGCAGCGCAGCAGCAGCAGGAGGCCCCATTAGCTAAAGTGGTGCTTCAGGTTAAGAACAGTTTCAGGTGAAGAACAGACCTCTGGAACAAATTAAGTACTTAACCCGAGGTACCACTGTATGTTGTTTTTAGGGAGCCTCCAGCCTCGTGGGCCTAATGAGACACGGCAGGGTTCCTAATTTGACCCACAAGGGCATTTTCCCCAAACCATGCCCATCTGCCTCATACCTGACATCATATATGATGTCAGGTTATATATTCCATTATACAGCAATGGAAAACTCAGCTTTAAGCCTATTCCAAATTGTTCCTTGAGCAACTAGATTCACTGGCAGTCCCTATCAGCTGATCAGCCTGCCTGCAAACCCCACTGAGAACAGCTTCACTAGGGAGTTCTTCATCACAAATCCTCTAGTATAGAGGACTCTCAGCATCTCCAAAAGCGACGCACAATAACCACCAATCACCTGATTAGTGGTGGTAGAGAGCCTCATTGAAGTTTTCTGTTTGCAGGCGTGGTTTGATTTCAAACCATAACTGCAAATAGACATTCCCCCCCCCGCCGCCAGTCTGCAGAAGAAATGCCCATCTGTGTGCATGAATTGAATCCAAATCACACCTGCAAATGGACTTCAAAGTGACCTCTCTGAAGTTGGTACCTGATGCCATAATGACTTAAGATGATCAGAAGGCAGGCAACACTATCCACCTGTCAAAGGTTAGTTTAGGGAGGTGGGGAAAGGAAGGATCCTGCACACCAGCCAGATCTAGCTTACCAACCCATTTTAAGCAAAATGTTGCTCCAAGTAAATGGGTCATATAAAATCACTAGCACAAAACAACTGATGAGCATTTTATATATATATATGACAAAAATTGGCTGGTAAATTGCTTTGTGTGTGATGAAAACCAACATTGTTTCAATAACTCCTAGTACCCCATAACTGTACTTGATAGCTAGTTGAAAGACATTGCTGCAATTTAAGCTAACTGGATACTCACTCTGCTTGTGAAGAAAACAGAGGCAGAAAGTCTTTCCACAGGCTCCAAAACCACCACACAGTACTGACTGCAATGGGTTTTCATTCTTCTCATCCATACAGAAACTGGGATCTTTTCATTGCTATGGGAAATAACATCTACCTGTTGATAAAAGACAGTGTTAAATTTCTAGTCTGTAGTGCTTAAAATTTGATCAGCCATGCGACAAACTTTCAGTGACTGACTTTCAATACAAACCTTTTGTGTTTTTATTTGTGGAATTTTGCAAATATGATAGCTTTACTATATAGGATATGCAAGTGTGTAAGCAAATAAGCATACAGTACATTACTTCTGAAGTAACAACTTTTAGGTGTTTAAAAACCGAACAAATTTTAAAGTACCTCTTCATTAAATATGAGCAAGAGCAGCCTTATATTTACATGTTGGCTTCCTACAGGCCCTTCTGTGGCTATTAATACCTATATGAGTAGTAGTAAAAATTCAGAAATGGTAGCATAGACATTGCTGCTATGATAAATAGTCTGTTCTCACATACCACAGTTCCAGGAACCACTGCTTCATATTCAGCATCATCATGCTCTTCCTTCAGTGCTTCCATAATATCCCAATTGGATTTTGAAATCATCTGAGATAATTTCTGGCCAATCACCTCCTGAGTACTGTAACCAAGAAGCTTGCAGGCTTTGTCATTTGCAACTAGAATCTAAAACAGAGGAACAAGAAAAGTAAACTCAGCTTTTCTTCTTCTGTTAAAAGCAGAGTTTGATGCTATTTCAATGGGGAATGAGCTCTTCAATTTACATTGATAATCCAAGTTACTTTGTACAGAAGCATTCTTATACATTCTTACTCAAAAGGCAGAGTGGAGCAACAGTAACTTTCTCCAGATCATGCCCCAAATATATGACCAGGACAAATGTCTGCTAATCACTGTTTCACAATTTACCCTCTAAAAGAGATCCTGTTTTCTTTTCAGCTTTATCTGTGTACTGCTCAAATAAATTTATTGTATAAATATCCCATTAACAGTGCACCATAGCCTTGTTTACTAACATGCCTTCAATAAGTGATTCAAGCTAAAATACCAACAAGTCAGACAACTAGCAAACTACAATATTATGGGTTCTCGGATATAGGCAGCAATCTCTAGTTAAAAGAACAATTACTTAATTGGCCCTTAACAATAAAAGTGGCATACCAAAAACAGTTATTACCAAACCACATCCAGCCCCATTTTAGTCTACAGTTTTACAGACATAGCCAGCTGCAGCTGCTCTCAGTGAAAGGGGTTGTTTGCAACTCCAACCATACACAACAATGTAGTAGCAAAGTGAAAAATTATCCATATAGATCCCATTGCATTTTCAAGATAAGACATGGAGCAGACACTCTTTTCCAATATTAAAAAAGAGCAAAAGCAGCCCGACCCCATTCTTTAGCTATCAGCCAGCTTCCTTTCACCCCAACTTGGCTACTCATTTAACAAACTAGTTAGCAAATTCAACATGGATTCAGTAGTCTGCCTTGCCTCTGTCCTATGCTTCAGCCGAGCTGCCCAATTTTATTTTTTTAGTTAATTTGTACAGTACAACATAGATGTTCATTCATTTGGATGCTAGTCTGGTGCAGTATCATTAATATTTTTAAAGTTTTAAAAAGCTATGATCAGCTTTTTAAAAGAAGAAAAACTGTTCCAGGAAGAAATTTGTGACATTACAGGGATCAAACAGTCTGCCTTCTGAATGGCTGACATCTGATTTAACAGGAAGATAGATATTAAACCCTCACCATAAAGTCAGTGCTGAAGAAAAAACTATACACCTGTACAAACTGTAGGCAGTGCAATTCCCCAGTTCAAGTTATGTACATCTCTACATGCATCCTCATACTACCATTCCGCTAACCACTTAGTTGTGCAGCGGCAGCTTAGTCACCAAACTTTATTACACTGGGCCAAGACTCCTCACTACGTTGGTGCAAAGTGAAGATAAGCACTCTTGTACAAGTCAATGAAGAAAATACTGAACCAGGTGTACCTGTGCTTTGACTCTGTGTAAGACAGCTTCCTGTGTTCACATATTTGGGGTCTCGTCATGAATCAGACTGATATCAAAGGTTGCAAGCATTGTTAATGATTTTTATACAGTTATTTTACCATAGTTTTCTACACACCACTAAAGAGAATATTTGTATACTAACAAAAGTACATGTACATATGAGTCTTTAGGAAGGGGGGGGGAGTTTTCTGCATCTGAAAAGTATGATTATCTTATATTAGTGCTGTACTATAAAATTACAAATATATTTAGTTTGATTTATTTTTTCCCCCTGACACACCCTGCCTGACCCAATCCAAAACCATTTGCACCATTCATGATGCAAATGAATTACTGCAATATATGTATAGTACAACTACAACAGGCTTTCCTACCCAGGGGTCCTCTACATACACATTCACAGTGTGCAATTGTGTGTAAGGTAACACTTTACAAAAGCTAATTATTACCTCAGTTGTTCTGACATCCACAGTGAAAACAGCTTTGTTTGGGTTGCGCACAGCAGTTGCCAGAGCCTGGATGGATTCTTCCAAAGTCAGAGCATTTAAGAGAGAACATGAAGAGGTACTGCATATCGAACAAGAAAGGGAATTGTTTTCCAAATGAGTCCAAGTGTTGTGAAACTTGCTAGCACAGATGTTCTGGGCAGCTAACGAAGATAAGCAAAAGGAACTCCATCCATTTTCTGAGAAGAAAGGGGAGGAAAGTTCCACAAGTATCTGTCATTAAAATATATGTAAGATTTCAAGACAACCACGTATCAACTGTTAAAAAGAAACATAGTTACAGGCAATAATTTGTTTTTTAAAAGTTACAGGGAAGCACTAAGCATGAGAAAAAGACTAGAAAGGCAATTGTGTTTTAATTAATTAACCTAAAGAGACAAATGACTCATTCCCTGAATACTGTCTCAAAAAGCACCGGGCACCTGTACCGGATAACAACCATTATATGATGAGATTCCCATCAGTGGGATGGAAAGGATCAATAATGGCAAAATGCCAAGCATCTAGTCAGCAAGGCTAAGCATATTACAAAAAATCATAGCATGCCTACAAAAACATTCACAATTCAAAGACAATTATGATCCATTTATGTCCAATTTTCCAATAAACTTCCTCTTTAGTTCCTATTTCATTCCCTTAGTGTTCCTTTCTCAAAGCTCTTTTTGAGAAACACAAGCATGTCCGCATGATTAAAGAGTTGAAAATTACCTCTCTGTCTTTGACTAACAAATACATTTAATACATCTCAACCTGCCAAGTAATCACCTGACAAAGATGTTTTCTTCTTGCAGAGCCTGGAAAGCCCACTCTTCCTTTTCTTGTTTATCCAGGGAAATGACTTGCTTAGTTCTTCACAGACACCAGGATGGGACAAGGCTATTGTAGAATCCATAAGGACCTCTTTGGATGGCGACATGGTCATGCACGGACTAGAGTACTTCCGCCTAAAACAGCCAGCCTCTGTGAGGGAAACAGAAGTTGCACATTAATATCTCAGGCTGTACACACCATTCAGTTTGGCTGAACAAGATTCTGATATGTTGGTAAAGAGGCAGCAGGGCAAAAACAGGTATTGGGGGGGCAAGGGGAAGTTGGACAGCAAAGAGATGGCCAGTGAACATAAGACATCTCAGCAGGACAAGGATGAAGAGGAATGAGGAAAGGATGGATCAGACCTGAAGCACTGAAACAGGGGATAGAACTAGACAGAAGCCAGCAGAAAGAGATGCCATTAAAATGTTTAACAGCAATTACAGTTGGAAAACAAAACCTGCATTTAGGCAAACAGCAGCCAAGCACAGGATAAAAGCTACTGGGTTTGCCACCCAAATTGGCAATTTATTTCCCTAGTGGAGAGCCAACCAAGAATGAGCAACAGGCCAAGAGCTGATGGGCAATGGTAGAGGCAGTGACGAAAAGTAGTTGAAATCACAGCTATATTCTAATCTGACAGCAAATAACCCCCATTACGTGATGGGGAGGGCACCCAAAACAACCCACATTGCTTGGAAATGTAGTCATTAACTGATAACAATCGGAGGTTTCGAGAGTTTACTATTTATTTGGAAGCAGGGGAGAACTAAGTTTACCCAACCGAGAAGGAAGCGCCCTCTGCACATGTTCAGAGGTACCCTTTATATTTAACCCTATATGTACCGGAGCTGGTCCCTGGGGCTGAAGATGTGCTCCGGGGCTGAACCGAAGCACCTTCCTTCCCGCTCATCCCAAGACTTCATCTGCCAGACTTCAGACGCAACTGCCTTCCTGCCCGCCCGCGGGTTTCCAGGGGTCGACCTGAGTAGGCCGAGAGCAGAGTCGAGAGCCAATGAGACGCGGCAGAACTGGCGACGGACAGCTGGGCAATCCAACCAATTTCGAGGCGGGGGGCGGAGCCAGCCCCCGCGCTCGGAGACAAAGAAGTAGAAAATCCCGCGCAAAACGGTTGCTAGGGACGCGCCAGCAACGTTTTATAGAGCCATGGGGGCGGGAGAGAAAGAAGCCCAGCTCCGGCGCTTCCCAGTCGTCAGGCGGGGAGGGAAAGGGAAACACGACGACTTTCTCTTGCCCAGGGAAGAACTTTCTCAGCATGAATTTCTTCCACTGCCCTATACACGTTTCCATATATTTGCATGTTTATAGTCCTCACGCAGCTTATGGTCGCTTTAAACACAGCATTTTCCAAATTCTGAGTCTGGTCTCTGCCTTCCCTCGTCGTTAAAGAGGCATTGGATGTGTTTTCGGGTCAGGCCAATGAGCCCCTTTCTTCCGTGCTATACGCAGCTTTGACTACCCCTCGCCCGTTTTTATTGCCGTTTTATCTTCCGCCCGAAAGTTATTTCTCCGCCTTTTGGTCTTCCTTTCTGTATCCTTGAGGCCAAAAGCCAGCCACCCGCCACCAGGCCCACTTATCCTGCGTTCTCCTTCTTGCCCCTGCCTTAGTATTTACCTCATGCTCAATTCCTTATCTACCGAAAGCTAACAAGCAAATTCTGGGCTTGAAAAAGCTTCAGGAGACACCTGTTTGGTTCTGCTTTACTCAGACCGATTAAACTGGGGCTGCGTATACACCTGAAGCAATTTTAAAACACATTTCCCTCCCTCCCCACCAAGAACACTCATGCTAGAATTCCCAACAGCCTTAGCAAACTACGGTTCACAGGATTCTGCTGTGCTCTGAACATTTCCCTGGGAAACTCATTTCTGTTTTGGGGACCATTCTGTGGAAAAAAAATAGGCCTATAAAGATGCAGAAGCAAGGAGTTTCCCCTGGGGCATCTAAGTTCTCAGATCCTGGCAGCAGGCCAACCACAGTAGTCAAACTGCTGGCAAGCCAGCTGGTCTTCAACATACCCACTGCTGCTGATTATCAGAGCTGGCAAAGCCCTGTGCAGTTTGATTTCAAAGTGTGCAGGCAAAGGAAAGCAGAGGGCAGAAGACTATGACACCAGATGATTGACAGGTAGGAGACCTTGCCTACCTTTCAGGTGGCCCATGGGGGTGAAGGAGGTAAAGATCCAGCCCACTGAAGAATCCAGTTTCCCATCCCCGATCTAGATCCTTTGCAGTCTAGGTGCAGGCCTGGTAGTGGGACAGAATCAGCCTGGGTGCCTCATAGATAAGCTTTGTTGAGAGCGGGGCAGAGGGAGTAGGACTGTTCTTGATCTTTCTGTGGATTTTGATACTTTTAACCAGGGTACCCTCCTGGACCAACTCTGTGAGATGGGCGCTGGAAGCACTGTACTGCAGGGCTTCTGATCCTATTTGCAGTGTTGAGTCCAGAGAGTAAGATGGGGTGGGTGTGGGTGTGTTAATTGGCTCTATGGTGCATATCAGGGCACCATTTTATCATCAATGCTTTTTAACATCTATATGAAGCTGCTGGGAACAATCATTAGGAGCTTTGGGCAGGTTGTCATCATTATGCTGGTGCTGACTACACTCAGCTCTTCTCCATTACATCTTAATCAGATGGGGTTGTGCAAGTCCTGGACCAGTGCCTGGATGCAGTGATGGGCTGGATGAAGGCCAATATACTGAGCTTCAGTCCCAAGAATAGCTTCCTAAAAGAAGCAGTGGTGAGATTTCTTTTTTTTATTATTATTTTAAAAAAACCTCCCTGAATCCCATGGTATTTTCAACCTGTCTCCAATCTTCCATTCTTTGGCAAGGTGTCAGCTACAGGGTTTCCTGGATGAAACGGATTATCTAGATCCATTTCAATCTGGCTTTAAGTCTGGCTATAGAACAGAGACTGCTTTGGTCACCTTGGTGGGTGATCTATGCCAGGAACTGGACAGTGGGAATATGTGCCTGCTGGTGAGCTACAGCTCTCCCAGCTCGTAAATCACCAAGGCCAGATTCCACTCCACCACACTGCCCAGCCACGAAGACTCTCCAGGTCCTCCTCGTCCACTGCCATTCTGGCACAGCTACTCCTTCGCTCATTCACAGCAAACACTCCGGCACCGTACAGCCAGACTTCCTCAGCACTCTGCTCAACCTCAGGAAGCCATCAGAGCAGCAAAAAAACATTCTGGGCACATGACCTGTCATGGAATTCTACTCATAGTGATCCAGAGCAGAACTCCAATGTATAGTGAGCAGAGCAGAGCAAAAACTTAAATACATTGCAGGATTCCCAAAAAATAGACCAGAGGCAATTAATATTTCATCCAACAGAGCTTTACTGCTACTGAAGGCAAATGAGCATAATGGTCACAAATCTAATACATTCAGGATTGCCACTGTCCATAAGAAATCCAGTTGCAGCAGACATAACTTAAACTTACAATAACTTATAGTAAGGCTAAAGCGTAACACTATATACAGAACACCACACCAGAAGAGAGATAGAAAGATAAAGTGAAACCCAGGCTCCTTCTGGCCTATTATTATAGTCAGAATGACCTTGACTGAAAGATATAAGAGACCCAGTTTAAGCCAGCTGTACTCAGCTTCTCTAAAGGAATAACACAAACATCATGAACCTTCTGCTTGTTTCTTTCACACAGAAAAGCTTCCAGAACCCTCTTGAATTAATCAGAATAGGAAATATCTCTACACATCAGATCAATACTTTTTGTACTAAAAAATGCAGACTCACACTGTTGGGCCTCTCAGCAGATCTTGGTGTGGGATTTGGGGCCACCCAAGATGGGTTGCCTCAGGTCGCCTCATTGGTGCTCCAGCTATGCTGGAGCAGCAAGCTAGCTTAGTTGCCGTAGGGCGGACCACGTGGCACACCTTTCTAGCCACTTTCCACCCCTCCGAATTTGCTGTGAGGCAGCTGCTTCACTCTGCCTCATGGTAGAACATATTCCTTTGATCCAGCAGGGGTCTACTTGTGTATGGATATCCATAGTTATATGCATTTGCTATATTTGGCAAACTTCTGGCGGGGAGAGTAAACAGCACAACATTGCAATGAAAGCTGAAGAAAAACAGATGAGCCCATAAACCACACACTAAGATCAGCTACCAAAACCTAGTTATCCAACACAGGAAGTGCAAGCACCTCCTCCCAAGATCTCCGGGGATGGGCGAACGGCAGGGGAAATGCAGTTTAGCCCTTTTCCTTTAGCCACCCTTATTTCCCCCATTCCCCATCCCCCCAAAATTCTTATTTTTTTGTCATCCGGATTGCTGGCATGGAGACAGCCAGCCTTCACATCCCAATCCAGGGGCGACCATGACAGCGCGTCCCTACAGCTGACCGACAAGCACCGCGAGGGATGTCCGCTGCCCATCCAACCCCCCTGAGATTGTTCCACCCGTATTTCCTTGGCTTGCCGCCGAGTCTCCTAAAGGAGAACTACATTTCCCAGAAGGCCGCGGGTCCAGGCGCAGGCGCAAGAACCCCCCCTGGGAGCCGCTGCGGCGAAGCCGGCCCTGTGATTGGATGCAGGCGGTTCCGATCGAGCTGCCCATTGGCTGTCCCGAGCGCTGTGTCCGATGCCGGAAGGGGGAGGGGGTGGAAAGCGTTATGGCGACGACGGTAGCTGAGACGGAGAGCGGGGAGGGCGCGCAAGAGATGATGGAGGGTGAGAGGCCGGGCCGTAGCGCGCGGTGTCCGAATCTGGGTTGGGGCGGGCGAGGTTGGCTTCGGCCGTTGCGGGGAGGCTGCGGTTCAGGAGCCGGTGGGCGTCGGCGTTTTGCGGGAGGTGGGCGCTGTGGAGGAGGCTCACCGTGTGTTGGCGGGGAACCTACTTATGGGGCGATGGGTGTAGGGGGGGCATTGGGAGGAAGCATGGTGGAATAATGGTATTGGGCAGGGGAAACTGGGTGTATGCAAAGCAGAGGCGGGGGGGGGGGAACTGTAAGAACCTCCCCGAATCCATATCCAGTGCATGTTCTTTTTAATGCAGCTTGTTGGGTCTCTCTCCCCCCCCCCAATTTTTTTTCTTCCAAAAAACACTTGGGTGCCTGACTTCTGTTACGCTGTTAGCGTGACCTACAAAATATATCCATCCTTATCTGTGTGACACTAATACAATTTTAAATGGGTGACATCTTTTCGAAGAAGAGGTATCTGATAATCCTTCCTCCCACCAGATTAAGCGGTACCACTAAGTGGTCACTGGAATCCTTGGTGTCCGCAGTTTAAACTGACACACATTGGGATCTTTTATATTCTTTAGGACCCCATTAGTTGCTTCACATGCTGCCTCTTGCCTCCCCTTCAGTGCTTTACTTTACCTTGGAATATAGTGCATTGAGGTGTTCTGTATAGTAGTGTAGGAATTGAAATTTTAATATGTATGACTCTCTTGTACTGTGAACAATAATGTGTGACTGCTTTTTGTGGGGACAGGAAAATTATTTAGGAGAACTCTGTTCTTGGACCTTTGAGGAGGAATTGCTGGTTTTGTTAGTATTTAAGAACGATGGGTTATGAATTACGAAAAAATATTACTCCGGGGCTTTTAATCCCAAAGGCCAGTAACCATATTAAGGCATGAGACCAGGAAAACAAAACACAATGGGTGCTCCATGAGTAGTGCAAAAGAGCACTGCTATTGACCCTCTCTGTGTTCTGTTGAAGAACAGTAGGAATAGTCATCCTAGCGTCTTAGTACTTTTCCCAGTCGTTACTAATTCTATTCTGCAGAGAGCAAAAAATATTAAGAGCTGAAATTTATTCACATGCACTGTTTCAGTAATCCTTACAGCAACTCTATATGGTAGGTGAATATTATGCCTGTATTACAAGTGCAAAATTAAGACTGACAGAGTGATGTGCCAAAAAATAGGGAAAAGAGTAAATTTATGATGCAAGCTAATCTGACATTTGAATCAAAAACATCCTAGGGCAGGCTCTAATCTAGGGGTGGCAAAGTTCACGCTTGTTGGAACTGTTGTTTTTTACTAGAACCCCAAAATCTGCTGACAAGAAGCAAGTGCAAATGATGGACAGTTATAATTAAAGGGTGTCTCTGAACACATTCTCAACCTAAGGATTTGTTTTCAGTACTGTACCAGAACTGAACTGAGCTCACAGTTATTTAACACAAAAGTTCACTTCTGGTTAGCTTTCTTCATTTTAGCAGCCTAATATTTTATTTTATTTGGGGCAGAGTTCTTTTGTTGTTTCTCTTATTTAACAATTGGAACTTAGAAACCCTACCTGAATTACTGCTAATCATCCTGAGATCTACTAGTAGATACAGATATGCCTTTTGCCCATACCTGCTGTACCAGTTCCCTCCTGTAATCAAATCTGCTATGATATAGATTAAGCACAGAAATTTTAAAAATGAGCCATCTTGGTCCCTAAGCAGGTGATTTTAAAGTAAGCTCCATGTAGGCTTGGATATACTTAGGTTACTTTGTCAGATTTTGTACAGCTACTGTTTTTCTTTAACATCTGTTTAGACTTTGTGATGTTGGATACATATGGCAAACTAGATATGTATGCAGTGATCACACATGGTGATCTGTGTGTGGTTGGTCCTCTTTTTCTCACATACACAGTATGTGCAGGAAATTCATAACATCTGAAGCAGTCCTGAAGTCTGTGGTGGTGTCTTGGAAAGATTTCTATGCCATGTGTTACATGAAGTAATTATAATCTATACCTGCAGACTAGGTGGAGAAAAATGTACAAAAATCTTGGCAGGGTGCTCTTTCCTTCTCACTGAGTTGCCATAGAACAGTCCTCGGGCATCTGGTAATAAGGTTTCTTCCCGGAAGGTCTGAGAAGAGGAATCCTTGTTTGGGCTAATGTAGTACAGTGGTGCCTCGCAAGACGAAATTAATCCGTTCCGCGAGAGTCTTCGTCTAGCGGTTTTTTCCTCTTGCGAAGCAACCCTATTAGCGGCTTAACGGATTAGCGCTATTAGCGGTTTAGCGGCTATTAAAGGCTTAAAGGCTTAGGGGATTAGCTGCTAAAAGGCTATTAAAGGCTATTAAAGGCTATTAAAGGCTTAGCAGATTAGATAAAGGGGGGGGAAAGCGAAAAAAAAATCTCTAGACTCGCAAGACATTTTCGTCTTGCGAAGCAAGCCCATAGGGAAATTCGTCCTGCGAAGCAACTCAAAAACGGAAAACCCTTTCGTCTAGCGGGTTTTCCGTCTTGCGAGGCATTCGTCTTGCGGGGCACCACTGTAATTTATAAAAACAAAGATCATGTAAGCTAAACACACATGATAGTTCTATGCTCCCCACTTGGATCCATAGAGAACAATTACAAGTCATGTCTTACTTTTAGCTGGACACTGCGTGAATATGCCAGTTAGCTAGTAGCTTGTGGTAGCATTGAGCATTCCAACTAGCGATGTTGTTCTTTGAATCCTATTTTAAGGCTATAGACATCTCTGCATAATGCCTGTGGGTGAGTCCTGTTACACTCAAGTCTTGTGGCAACTTAAAGCCTAACCAATTTTATTGTGACATAAATTGCTTTTTGGACAAGAGTACTTTAATCACTGAAAGCTTATATGCCATAATGAAATATTAGTCTATTGCAGCAAAATCAACAAAGAATCATGGCTATTTCTCTGGAAACAGGTGAACTCAGTTGGGCATACATGTGAGTAAGCATGCATAGGAGCAGGCTGCCCTTCTCTTATGTTGCAAATATAGAAATTCCAATAGCAGGAGAGGAGAGGTTACCTGTGCCCCTCCAGATGTTGTTGGACTACAACTACCATCATCCCTAACCATTGGTCATGCTGGCTGGGTCTGATGGGAGTTGGAGTCTATCATCTGCAAGATGGTCACAGGTTCCCCACACCTGCTTTAATACTATTAGTAGTTTATATGTGTGTCATTGTTTGCTTCCTTCCAGAAATAAAACTTAATTACAGAGTGTTTCTTTTACACAGTTGACAAGAGGATTGAGTCTGAAGAGTCGGGAGACGATGAAGGGAAGAAGCAAACGGTTTGCATAGTAACAGACCTCAGTCAGCAGAGTTTGAGGGATGAACAGAATGGCGAGAATTCAACAGGTAAACTGTTATTCAAGAAAGAGAGATCATATGCTGGTATACACTTGAAGACATATCATAACCCATCACTTTAAAGCTTTAGGAGATGAGTTAAAGCAGGAGTAGCTAACATGGTACTCTCTAAATGTTGAACAAGCATTCCCATCATCCCTGACTACTGGACATGCTGACTGGGACATATAGGAGCTTGAGTCCACCGACATACAGAGGGCCATAGGTTAACCACTCCTTGTTAAAGTGTTCTATACTTGCAGGCTTTGGGGTGTAATTTTTATACTGCACTGTATCTCTGCCTCCAGCAATGCTTTTGTATGTTTTGGACTGCATTGTTACTCATTTTCTGATAGTGTGCTGCTGCTGTTCTTTGATATACTAAAAACTTAATGCACTTTAATAGATATAAATTAAGATGTTCTGGGCTGTTGTAGAATATAGCTGTTCAGTTCCTATGAGCAAGATTTTTTATTTTTGTTTCTGTCTTTGTCATTCCATATAGCATCCACATTGGCCTCTTTGTAATGAGAAGTGGCTGGTTAGTTCCTTGCCTGGCAGAGGGTGTACATGGTTCAAAAGAGCTGAACACAAGAGGATTCACAATTGTTGAAAGTGAAGTTTGAGCTTATGACCTCTAATGGGTCTGCTCAGTAATTTGCCCCCCTCAAAGTCTTACAGGAATACATGTTTGAGCCTGCCATCTTTTAGAGGCAAACAGTGGTGTTTGGGCATGCCTGTGTCCAATGAACAGCAATTAAGTCTCCTCTGATTTTTTTAATCTTCAGTTTTTTATGTGATTTAAAATTAAATTGAAATTGAAACGCAAAACAAAAGATGTTTATGGTTAATACTTTAAGCTTAGTACCGTTTCTTGTATTTAGGCTACTGTAACATTTTTATTGTGAAATCTAATATTGGCCATCAATCAATTTTGATGAAATTCTTACTTTGCAGAAAAATTGTTTGTATTTGGCTTGATTTGAGAGCTCCTACTTTAATGCTGGGTTAGAGTTCAAACTATTGAAGAAATTGTCTTGGCTGTTTCACTCATCCAAGCTGTGCTTGTTCTAATACAACCTCTTCCTTCTGATTCAGTGTAGTGCCCATAATATGTTTTAGAACTTTCTGCTGGCATTCTGTTTTGACTTGGAAGTCCAAGAATAAGCTACTCAGGTGTAATAATATGCTCCTTTTTCAGTGAAGTTTAATTTGGGGCTTTTCCAGGCAAATTCATACTGGAGCATTTATTAAAAGTCCTCTGTCATCCAAGGCAGAGATAGACAGCTTCCCTGCTTGCTTCAACTTGCTACATTTGGATAACCTGCAGAGTCATATAAGAACAAAAGAAACTAGAACATGCTGGAAATTAAAGCCACTGTGGTCTGTCTGAATCCAAAGCATAAGCATGGGTAAAAATATCTATTTGTTGCATACACCTTTTCTTAATCTGCTACTGAATGGAAAACAGAATGTTTCTTCCTCATCCCATGCAAGTTTATAAAATGTCATACACCCTTCTTGTCAATCCTAATAGCATTTTTCTTAGTTATAGCACACACATATCCACAAAGAAAATGTGGATATTTTTGTATGAACGCACACCTTTCAATATACAGGCATATTCCTGCAGTGGCCTCAAGTCATACCAAATTATAATTACCCACCTGGAAGGGGTTATAAAGCTGGATTGTATTAGGTAACACTACATAAGGAGCCCATGTATGCTAAAGAGATATCCAACATTTGGGGTGGAATTGAACACCACACTATTAAACATGTTCTGTCTGCATAAGAATATCAGCTTACCAGATGGAACCATCCCCGTTCACTGTTCTGGGGTTTTCCCAGCACCCTCAAGAGCCAATTTTGGGATGGGGGGAGCCCCAATGTGTGATCCCTTAGTTCAGTGATGGCCAAACTTGGCCCTCCAGCTGTTTTGGGACTACAGGTCCTGTTAGGTGGGGCTGATGGGAGTTGTAGTCCCAAAACTGGTCCTGTTAGGTAGGGCTGATGGGAGTTGTAGTCCCAAAACAGCTGGAGGGCCAACTTTGTCAATCACTGCCTTAGTTGAATCCTGCCAATTGTTTCCAACCTATTGCATAAGAAACATCTGTTGTTCCTGGGATATATTTCAGATGGCATGTGTTACATGGAATTGTGAAACAGGAGAGTGAGAGTTTTAGAGTATCATGCTAATAATATGGCAGATGCACCAATTAATATCTGAGGTGGAATGATTATGTTTAGCTGGTGATAATGTGAGGTTTAGCTGCTGATAACATTGCAGTGCATGGTGAGTTATGATGCTGAAAACCAGATTTTGCCTAGCTCTTACACAAATTGTGATTCGTGATATATTGCCACCTCAAATATTATGAAACAATTATCATGATGTGAACTTTCATACCAGTTTTGGACAATATTTCGGCCAGTCTTATCATGCATTTTGAAAATTCTGTGAACAATCTGGGCATAATGGCAGCATTTGTCTGGCAGGAACTTCCTGAACAAACTGCTTTGCCACAACGGGTGCAACTGGGAGTAACTGAGATGATTGGAACAAGCTCTAGTATTATGTTCCTAATGCTGAGATAGCCTACTGTTACACAAATGACTAGTTTTGTATTAATTGCCAAGACCACTGTTGGGTTTTTTCTAATCCTGGCCTGGGCAGGTTCATAATCTGGCATGCAAGTTTGGCACAGCAGCCTGCTTCTTTCAGCCCAGTTTGTTTTGGGCTGAGGACTTGCAGCCTGTATTTCATCTCCTGCACATGTGCAGTTTTGGCATTCTGACAATTTTGAGCTCCTTTATTGTACTTTGCCTACGTCCCTGTGGTGCACTCAGAGGGAATTTGCTTTCAGCCTCAACCACATGGTGGCAAAAATGTCAGCTGACTTCCCAACAGATTGTGACAACCGCTTTGATCATGAATATATGCTAAATTAATAATAAGTGAGGTGGGCAGGTGGTTGCTTTGTATGTGTTTCAGTATTAACTAAATGATGACATTTTCACAGCAAAGTATCTGCTGGCTTGTAGACTAGCGTTGGAGCTGCACCCTGCTCGTCCCTAAATTGCAAGAATTCTTGCTTTACTGGATTTCAGAACATTGGTGGCTTAGGCAACTATTATTTAATCGGATTGCTATCTGTATTTGTCCATGAATGAAATATACTGAGATGAATTCAGTGCTATTATGATCATTCTGTCAGCACAAGCATTTCTACTTGACGGTGGGAACATGCCCCTCTCCTTCCCCAAACACTGCTTTGGGGGTTCTCCCAACCTTACACACACACACACACACACACACACACACACACCGGAGCCATTTTTTGGAGGGGGTGGGTAAGCAGGATTTGTCATGCTGGCTCCCGCTAGCACAACTATTTAGTTAAATCCAGTTCATATCAGCCATCCAGTGCTTATCAGGTGGTGGGAATGTGTGTGGAATTTGGGGGCATAAAAGTTGACTGTAGCAGAGTAAATAGGCAAGAGCATCCAGTTGTTTTCCCCACACCTTGCTTTCCTTTGGCCCTTCTTGCTTCCTGTAGCTGATGATTTGAGAGCAGAAGCTTGCAGAAAAGGATTTGGAGGAGAGAGGGTGGCTTTGCACATAAGAGAGCAGGTGTGTGGCACCTTTGGCCAAACTATAACTCCCTTCAGCCCCAGTGGGGCGAATGGGTTGGTGGAAGTTGCAGTTCAGCAAAATCTGGGGAGCTAAAGATTCCCCTTGCCTGAGACAGAGCAAGGGGGCTCAAGAGGGGAGGGGAGCGAACAGTTGGGTGGGTGTCAGCAAATCCTGTGTGCTGGAATAAATGGCTTCTGTAGCCTTCCTGGGTCATTATTTGTTCACAAGTTTGTCATTGTCTGAGGGGGAGATTGCCATGAGCCTGTTAGTCCCGTCCCTTCCATTGCATCTCTGCTTGCTTCTCCTGCCACATGTTGGGAAAGCAACATCTATAGTAGGAAGCTCCCTTTACTTGTGCAGGTCCTGTGCACAACTAAGAACCTTGACATTTCAAGGTTGTAAATTGCTTGGGGAGCCTGCACAAGTACAGTTAGCTCCCCACTGTCAATGTTTGCCCTTCCATGCTTGAAAGGTGGTGAAACTGGGGCTGTGTCAGAGGAGATTGGAGCCCCTGGATTCTTCTCCCAAAGCAAAAACAGGCCGCAAAACCAATAAAAGCACTGCTGACAAACTTCGTTTTGAAATAAAGAGAAAGAAACTTCAGTTGCTTGGCTGCTACGTTTTGGAAACGTCCTTCATTGGGAACATGTTTTATATAACAATTTCCACCAAGTACTTGAATCACAGTACCGGCTTCTGTTTACTATAGTGGCTGGTGAACTTGATGGAAATTGCTATACACCTGGAGTTCCTTTCCCCCCCTGCTTGTTCCTGCTCGTTGTGTTGAGGCTTGAACGCCTGAAGAGGGCTTATGTTGCTGAACATTACGTGAAGGAGAGAATCCACCCACCTGCCAAATGGAAAGCTTGCATGAATTATTCAGCACAAATCTCTGAAGTCCACCTCCACTCATGCATACAGAGTGAGAATTGCATTTAGGAAAGAGGTTGGGTTTTGAAGGGGGGAAATCAAAGCAGCAAAACAGTTTCTTCAAACAGCTGGTAATACCAGGTTCCCAGTGTACTCTAATGAAAAAAGTGAGACCTAATAATACAGCTTGCAAATATATCTGGCTGACTTTAATCATGAAGAATGTGGCTGTAGTTCTTCAGGTGGCTAGACCAAGAAATTGGTGTTCTGCCACCAGATAATCCTTGTGATTTTTGTTTCTTCCATTCCAAGAGCTGTGCCATGTTACCCAAAGGGAGCGGGCTGCAAAGATGGCCGATAACTAATCTAACATTTCTGGTAACAGTTATATAGTTTGTACAATTAGCCACTTTGCCGGCTATGACTTTCCTCCTTTAGCCACTGAAGCACAACTTCTGTTAGTGCAATATTGTAAATGTCCTTTTTTTTTGAAGGGTTCATCAGTATTGCTTCCTTCAGTGTATATCACACTTCTTACTGGCAACGTGACCACCAGGTTAGGAGACCTAATCCACTCTGAATACGTTAGATGCTCCCTCTCTCTTTTGAAGGCATTCTTTCTCCTATGGGAGAGCTGACATTGCAAGCTTGAGTTCAGTTGATGAGCAGCGTGGGCTTTAAGCAGAGTGCATTTGTTCTATTGCAGCTGAAGCCGAGACGCCAGTGGATATGGAGACGATTAGCCTGGATCCGGAAGCAGAGGTAATGTAGATTTAATTTACATTGTAGCAATACATGGGAAGGGCCGACAGAGGAAGCCTGTGTGATCAAGAATTTCTTTCCAAGAGTTAACAGATTTCCCCCCTTTAAAATGTATATATTGTTTCTGTGCTGAGATCTAGGGCAATGGTGGGACAGGTACTTGGTATGAGAAGAGCTGGATCACAACAGCAGAGAAATTGGGGAAGAGAGCTTCAAAGGCAACAAGATACTTTGCTGATGGAAAGTTGATACAAAAAGGGGTAGAGGCATCTGCCGTTCTCCTTTTTGTCTTTGAAGATCTGCACTGTCAAGCTGTTTTCAGATCCGTTGGTATGGTGGAAAACTTTTGATTAGACAGCATGTCAAAGGGCTCCACTTTCCCTATAGAAGACTATAAAAAGGAATTAGTTGCCTGCTCTGTGTGTCTCATTCCCCAAAATGCAAAAGCAAGTGGCACACACAGTGTATTTATAAGCATATAGTTGCAAAGCATGTAACTGACACTTTCCCCACAGGATTTTTGCTACAGTAGAACCTCGGTTCCTGAACGCCTCGGTTGTCGTACATTTCGGTCCTCGAACGCCGAAAACCTGGAAGTAAATGCTTCCGTTTTTGAACGTTTTTCAAACCCCAAATGTGCGATGCGGCTTCCGCTGAGGGCAAGAAGCTCTTGCAACCAACGGGAAGCCGCGCCGCAGTTTTTGAACGTTTCAGAAGCCGAATAGGCTTCCGGAATGGATTTTGTTCGAGAACCAAGGAACCACTGTACTATGGTAGCAATGTAAACAGAAGGAAGAATTGGGTGGCTTTGTGTGTTGACAGATGTACATTTGTTTACATATTTACATAAATGTGCATGTGCTTTTTAAAAAGGGGAGGGGGCAGCCAAATTGCTTGGCTGATGCATGGGGAGGGGTTTAGCCTGAGATCTAAACTAGCATTGACATCACCGTATACATTTGACTTTTCATGGCAAAGTTGAAAGGAGCTGGGCTTGTCCCACAGAAGAAAAATAGGGCCAAATCCTTGTGTTTCTGATTGCTGAAAAAGATGTAATATATTCGGCACAGAGCCCCTTCTTTTAGGAAAGAGATGTGAGTCCTGCACAGCAATTGTGCTGATTTGTGTCTCTCTAAGCAGAAGGCCCTTGGGCTTTGAGGGTTCTCATCTAGTTAACAAAGGCCAGCTTTTCTGCACACTGTGATGGTATCACCCACCCTTGCAACCCACATGCTATAGGCCTACAATCTACCTTCATGCTACTTTAGAAGTAATATTGAAATAAACCTTTGTGTGAATACTAAGACGGCTTGTGGCTTTTTATTACATTTCAGGATGTTGATCTGAATCATTTCCGAATTGGCAAGATTGAAGGGTTTGAGGTGCTCAAGAAAGTGAAGGTGAGACTCTTAAGGAGCCCTCTCTAGATGAGCTGATATGGCTCTGCCATGGTTGTGTAACTGAGAGCATGCAGGGCAGCCAGAGTACTTTGCTATATTTCCCTAGCTAGAGGGATGCAGCATAATGGAATAAAGGCTGCATTTGAGAAGAGGGAAGCAGAGGGCACCCAGAAGTACACTAGTAGCATTCCACGGTGGGTCAAATTACATATGAAGAAGAAGAAGAAGAGTTTTGATTTGATATCCCGCTTTATCCCTACCCGAAGGAGTCTCAAAGTGGCTAACATTCTCCTTTCCCTTCCTCCCCCACAACAAACACTCTGTGAGGTGAGTGGGGCTGAGAGACTTCAGAGAAGTGTGACTATCCCAAGGTCACTCAGCAGCTGCATATGGAGGAGGACCATGGCTGGATCTCCCAAACTCTTTAAAAAGCAAATTTGAAATCAGCCACTGAGTGAATTAACTCAAGGGAGCAGTTCTTGGGTGCAGGAATATTCAACCCTTCACCATACCCTAAGCATTTCCTCCAATTCAAATTCTCATGCACACACAGAGCTACTAATAGTTTCACCATGAGAAAAGGTAGACACAATACAGATACTTGTAATATTTCCCAAGTGGGGCTAATACCCACTTCAAGGGCAATTTTAAGCTGGAAAGTGGCATGAGTGCAAGCCTCATTGACCTGAACACAGTTGTTTTTAGGCTTTATAAAGGACATTGGAAGATCCAGTAATTTGTACCACTTAGTTTGATTCACTATCTCCTTAGCTGGGCTGTGCAGTGGTGTGCTTTAGATCAAATTTCATTTTCTCCTGGCCCAAAGACTGCCAGGATTGGCAACAACGTGTCCCCGCCCCCCCAGTGAAAATGCACAGTAACCCGTTTTGGCCACAGCAGGAGTCTTCATCTGGTGGGGAATGGGTGGAGATATTAAGAATTGGTGGAGGAACAGGAGAAGAACAAATAATTTGAGTGAGGGCAGCATCCACCTGCAGAGAACTTATTTTCAAAGCTGTTTCATACACCGTATTAAGTGCATCTGTTCGGAGTGAGACTTGTGCGTTATTGTTTTTACATCCTTTGTTTATCTTCTCTCTACACATCAGACTCTTTGTCTCCGTCAGAATTTGATTAAGTGCATTGAGAATCTGGAACAGTTGCAAAGTCTCAGAGAACTGGATCTCTATGACAATCAGATTCGAAAGATTGAGAACTTGGAGGCCCTGACAGAACTTGAGTGAGTACCTGGGCTATATAGGGCTTTAAAGGCTTTAAAGGTAATTGCCAGCACTTTGAATTTTCTTGGAAATGGACTGGAATCCAGGGAAGGTATTTCAATACTAGTGAGAGATGTTCCCATGTTAGTCTCCCTCTTTCAGAATGGCTATCCTCATTGTAACATGCTTCTTTTTTTCCTGGATCATAGATCTTATTGTAACTTGCATGGTTATGTAAGACAATGACTTCATGCAGGCACCATTCCATTGTTAATTCAGACATTGTGCCTAACTATACTTAGTACAAAACATGGTTTTTGGTTGAGTGGCCAAATTTGTTGTTCATATAAAGAGAGACTACAAGCTATCATCCCACCTGCAGAAGCTTCTTTCAGCCAGTACAGTGGTGCCTCGCAAGACGAAATTAATCCGTTCCGCGAGAGTCTTCGTCTAGCGGTTTTTTCGTCTTGCGAAGCAACCCTATTAGCGGCTTAACGGATTAGCGCTATTAGCGGTTTAGCGGCTATTAAAGGCTTAAGGCTTAGGGGATTAGCTGCTAAAAGGCTATTAAAGGCTATTAAAGGCTTAGCAGATTAGATAAAGGGGGAAAAGTGAAAAAAATCTCTAGACTCGCAAGACATTTTCGTCTTGCGAAGCAAGCCCATAGGGGAATTCGTCCTGCGAAGCAACTCAAAAACGGAAAACCCTTTCGTCTAGCGGGTTTTCCGTCTTGCGAGGCATTCGTCTTGCGGGGCACCACTGTATATACATAGCTCTTTGATTTCCTCAATCCGTTGCCGGACTGCAATCCCCATCATGCCATTCTGCTGGAGGAGGTGATGGTCATTGGAGTCCAACAACATATAGAGGGCCACAGATTCCCCCCCCCCCCTTGGTGTAAAGAGAGAAGTTACAGATTTAGACTGGGGTAATCCAAGTTCAAACCTCCAGTGAGCCATGAAGCTTGGGCCAGTCCCATACACTCTCATCATACCCCACTTCTGAGTCATTGTGAAGGTAAAATAGGAACCAGCTACATATATAGCACTATGAGCTCTTTGGAGCAAGATTGGGATGGTATGCCTTAGAAGAAGCCTGCATTTTAAAGTATTTTCCTTTGTTTCCTGTTTAGGGTCCTGGATATTTCGTTTAACATTCTACGGCACATCGAGGGGCTGGACCAGCTCACTCAGTTAAAGAAACTCTTTCTTGTGAACAATAAAATCAGCAAAATTGAGAACCTAAGCAACTTACAGCAATTACAGATGTTAGAGCTGGGATCTAATCGAATCAGGGTAGGTATTTGATGGTGGTCTGTAAGGATCCGTCATTGGTATAACGGAGAAATCAGCCATATCAGACAGGAGTGGGGAGAGGTAAAAACTTTCAGGTTGCAAATGTGCTGCTGCTGACTACAACAGTGACTTCCAGAGGGAGACTTAAGAAGCATGGAAGAAGTGTCCATTAGGCCTCCAAATGCTTTCCTTGGCTACCTCCCTGATTTCTATTAAAAAATGTGTTGCTCCCCCTTCTGAGAATAACTCAAGAAAAACATTTTAAAATGCAAGAGGGAAACTCATCACAGTGTTGATTGTGGCTGGCACGTGGTTCTTTCAAGCAGCACACCGAAGGACAACTTCAGGTTGTTACATAAGGGGACCCAGACTTTGAAAAGTACTGGAGGAACAAAGGCTTGTAACTGTATACTACTGACAGCATAGATTGGAAGGTGGAAGAAAGCCAAACTGTAGACTTGGCAAGATCAGAGAGTACATTAAGAAACTGTGATTTTAGGAAACAAGCCCCCCCTCCAAAAAAAAAGATAATGAAAGTAGGGTAAACATCTGATAAGCAACAAGAAGTTGAGTGGAACTAGTTATGTGAAAGCTGCAACTCAAGCTAGAAGATGAAATGAAATTTTGACACACAAATAAACAGAATATTCTCTGTTCCAGTACATAATAATCAAACATCAGTGAAATAATATGACTAATAACTATTTATATTGGGTAGTCGGCATGCTGTCCTCCAGTCCCTTTATGTAATTGCTTGTTTTGAAAAATACTTTTAAACATAAGATACTTTTTCTTTCTTTTATTGACAATGCTGACCCTGTCTCCACCCCTGAATATTCTGCCAGGTGGAATTATCTCATTGTTCCAGCTTCACATGGATTCCCCAGGTGCTTAATAATTAAGAAGGTACATCCTGCTAATGGGATTCTGTAGGCCACTTGTTCTGAGTGAGCCACCCTAAAGATTCTGCCTTCTTAAGGAATTTCTTCTCAGAGCTTCTTTGGGAGTCCAAATGACAAAGAACTCAAACTTGAAACTGAAAGTTGCTATTCTGCAGCATTTCCCCACAGCTTAACTATGGATACTGTGTTAGTTCGGCTTGCTTGACCAGTGCAAAGTTGAAGTCATCAGTCATACAGCATGAGACTTCTGATCTGAATCATCTCATGAGCCACCTTCAGTATACAAGTTTGTGATAAAGGAGTGGGTGGGGTGATGTTGGGTAATTGACTGTGCTACAGTCTTACTAAGTAGTGAATGTGTTCAAGAGGTTTGCTTGCTAGAATCAAGGATTGTAATGTTTACTGTGGTCAATTTGCAGGCAATTCAGAATATTGATACGTTGACTAATCTGGACAGTCTGTTTCTGGGAAAGAACAAAATCACCAAGCTTCAGAACCTGGATGCATTGACAAACTTAACAGTGCTTAGTATACAGGTATCAGCCCTGGACTTCCCATTCCATTTATTTATTCATTTATCATGTCTGCTTTTTTCCCCTCCATCATATGAACTTTGCACCAGTTTAGACCTTTCAAAACTAGAATGACAAAAAGACCAGTAACCTCTATGAATGAAGGGAGGCAATTATAGTTATAGTTCAGATTGTGGAAGGAAGGAACTGTCAACCAGTTCTCTCAGCTTATCATTTTCCAGTCTTAAAATGAGTTCTCTACATTTCTTCAGCAATTTGCAATTGAAAAAAATGAAAATTCTTCAGCGTCTTAGTGTGAATTTATTCTAATAAACACATTTGTGTATACAGTTTTGATTAATGTACAGATTTTTACAAGCAATTTCTCCTAATGCATTTTGGGTATGATATTGTCACTAATATTTGCATTTTTATGCATGCTTTCCTCTTAATATATGATTTTTAATACATTGTTTGTTCGAACTGCATCAGAAATTATGCAAAGGGTTACTGAAAACATAAAGTAATGTGCATGGGCCAAAGGTGTACATGTGATATTGTGCAGCTGCACAGTGACTCCGAGACGTGTATAAAATGTGCCGTGCAAATATAGTGAGTTCAGTAGAGAGACGTGTAAATTTTTTACCTGAAAAATCTGGTTCTGTCATGTTAATCCATTTTTTATCACCACCCTAGAGCAATCGGTTGACCAAGATTGAAGGGCTGCAGAATTTGGGGAACTTGAGGGAGCTGTACCTTAGCCATAATGGCATAGAAGTCATTGAAGGGCTGGAAAACAATGTGAGTTGCCTATTTATTGTTATTTATTTGGCGCCATCCTTGTACAGTGGTACCTCAGGTTGCATACGCTTCAGGTTACATATGCTTCAGGTTACAGACTCCGCTAACCCAGAAATATTACTTCAGGTTAAGAACTTTGCTTCAGGATGAGAACAGAAATCGTGCAGTGGCGGCAGCAGGAGGCCCCATTAGCTAAAGTGGTGCTTCCGGTTAAGAACAGTTTTGGGTTAAGAACAGACCTCCGGAACGAATTAAGTACTTAACCCGAGGCACCACTGTACATGCCATTTTACAAAGAATGTGCAGTCAGGTTTCTACCCCAAGAGTCTTATAAACTAGACACAGATTCAATGGAGGCAACAGAGGAAGGGGACAGAAATGGGGGAATATGGAAAGAACACACATTTATTTTAGTTAATGTATAGGCTTAATTTCAGTAGAGCATTGGGACTAGGTGGTTGTTCTAATGACTTCATGGAACGGGTGAGTTTGGACGAAGGAAGGAGTTGCATCATAGAGACATCCTGGAATGGCAGCTGAAGGATACGGGACAGCAGTGAGGAGAGCACAGAGTTGTATGTGTGTGTGTTTGCGTAAGCAGAGTCTTTTGAGGGAGCAGGAGACCTTTGGATTACTGAAGGTGATTGGAGATAGAAGACTGTAAGCCACAGGCAGGGATATGTCTGGATATAAGTGTGTGGAGATAAAGTGAGGAAGGCCATAGAAGGGTTTGAAGTTAAGGAAAAGAAGTTTGTGTGGTGAAGAGGAAGCTAGTGTGAGGATTTAGGAAAGGGTGTTAATGTGGTCAGTTACAAGAGAGGTAAATAATTTTGGCAACAGTACTGGATAGAAGTAGGGAAACCAATGTGAGGAAGCAGAAGACCAGCAAGGATGATGCGCAATGTGAACGTGAGTTTCTGCCAAAGGGGAACAAACAAAGGGTTGTATTTTTTGTACTGTGGGAAAAGGAGAAGCATAGAGTATTTAGCCACGCTTGGTTATATAAAGCAATATTGAGGGAATTCCAGCACACTAGTAGTATTTTGGGAAGTGGGTTGTGTTTTTCTCTTGAGGCGTTATATTTATCCAAAAAAAATGAGTTTATGTCCAAAATTGGCCTGCTAGTTCTGGCCAGTTCAGTAAATTTTTCCAATCCTGATGTTTAGATGCCAAAGGTCAAGTAGGGTTATACCTTAGGGAGAGCAGTTGACTCTGCAGTATGTATGGTTGATGAACTTTGGCTATTTTGCTACATGGCATGTCCCTTTATGCCTATTAATGTTTCGTCCAAGGATGCACAATTTGCAAGAAGACAAGAATGAAAATAGAGACTAAAGTTTTCTTTATGCTTGTTTCAGAATAAATTGACAATGCTGGACATTGCGGCCAACAGGATCAAAAAGATTGAAAATATTACCCATCTAACAGAGCTCCAAGAATTTTGGGTAAGTCTATGAGAGGGAGACCAAGAAGTGCTTACGGACCAGCAGCATGGCCACGAGGGCTATGTTTGGCCTCCACCGTCAGAGGCAGTGTTTGTCTGGGAATCATAGGTGGGCAGAGTACTGTTATGCTCATGTCCTGCTTGCAAGCTTCCCATAGGTATCTGGTTGGTTACTCTCTAAACAGGAAGAGCTGGACTAGGTGGGACATTGGCCTGAATCAGAAGGCTGTTCTTAAATTTTTAGAATGGTGGCTTAAGACCCCGATAACCTGATCTAGTACTCAGTCACTAATGGTGTGAGAGAGTTTCCAACTCTCTAAAGTTCTGCAGTGACAGAACTTTAATTCCAGGCTGTCCTGCCAAGCGGTCAGAAATTGGGGATCCAGAAAGGCACCTTTAATACAGCGCTCAAACAAAATTATTGTACTGTATTTTGGGGAGAGCAGATGTCATTCCCATACACTGAATTTGCATGTGTGTGAGAGCCACAGCATGGGAAGCACTGGGCTCGAATAATTAAGTCTACCACGTGCTTCTCAATCCAGTCAAAAGGAGGAACAAGCATGCATCCTCCTGTCCCCACCCTTGCCACTTGTTGGGCCTTAGGACTGCTCCTTAGCTTATACCAGTCATGTGGGAGCTGCAGCAGCAAGGATTCCTTTTGTGCCATTTGACTTAATAGGAAAAGCCCTGGCCCATCTAGGGCCACGACCCTGAGATTAAGAGTCTATTCTTTACCGACTCTCAAAAATTGCTGGCACTTTTCTTTTGTGTGTGTTTTACCCAGATGAACGATAACCTCATTGAGTGCTGGAGCGACTTGGATGAGCTGAAAGGAGCCAAGAACTTGGAAACAGTCTACCTGGAGCGAAACCCACTGCAAAAAGATCCCCAGTACCGACGCAAAATCATGCTGGCCCTTCCATCTGTCCGGCAGATTGATGCCACCTTTGTCCGGTTCTGAACCCTCTCCAGTCCCTTACCTCCTTCCTCCCTCCCTTCCTCCCTCCCTCCCTCTCAGAGTGTCACAGATGGGATTTTCATCCACACTGCATCCTCTGTCTTCAACCCTTTGACACTTAAAGAGCAAACGGCTAACCAAGAGCACTGATAACAGACCTTGCGTATAATGCACACACTTGTTGTTTTTTGATTATTATTATAATTATTATTATTATTAAATCTTAAATGTGTGAGATTTCCTGGTTGTGACAGTGTCTGTTCCTACTGGGCAGTCTAGTAGCATGTTCAGAGATGTACTCTGAAACCTGAGCATTTTCTGTCTGTAAAGTGTTGGGCGCTTCTGTTCTTGCAAAATTGCGTGGTGACCCATTGGTCCCCTAAGCTCTTTCCCTGTCACTGACACCTAGTAGTAATAGCCCCTGAAACAACTGTTCAGAGCTGAATAGCATCAGCATTGTTTTACATATTGAAATAAGCCCAGGAAATGGGGACAGGGAAAGGATGCTCACACTGCGGAATGCAATCTGTAATTCTGTTCCCTTTCCTAAACTGAGGAGGCAGGACCATCTTGGATAGCCTGTCTAATGAGCATAGTAGCAAGTAGTTGCAAGCCAGCCTCTATTGTGTAGTTTAGCAGCTTCTTCCAGTCTACACTTTGATCTGCATTCCATAATGTAACAGCTGGGTGTTGTACCTGTCAATATTTGCACTGGAAATGATAGGTCACATCCTGGTTCTTCTCATTGTGCAAGCATGCCTGTATTCCATATGCTTCTATTTGCCATTCTAGCCCTCTCATCTGCAGGCGTGCATTCTGATGGGATGCAGTTTAGCAGCATGACGTCTCCATTTGTTTACATGTACTTGAACTACTTGAGATTCCTGCATTGCAGGGGGTTGGATTAGATGACCCTCGGGGTCCCTTCCAAATCTATGATTCTATGAATACATTGCATTCCTCCTGCTGATTTATAAAGGCAGATTCCTTTATAGTGCACCACTTGTGTGTGAAATTCATATGGTGTTAATTTGTTGGGGATGAGGGAAGAATTAGCAATTCTATCGATGATCAAACTGTGACTATTATTGCCAACTAGTTGTTTTATTTATTACAATTAGTTATATTTCTCATGCGCCTTTCAAGATCTAAATCCTACCAAGGCAGCTTACAAGTAATATTCAAGTGCATACCTCAAAAACACAATAAACAATACTAATATATTAAAATACATCAGAATCCTTCCAGCAGGGCAGTAGATCACCGTGTGGTGAGGGGAGCAAATCTAGGGGTGGGGTGTTCTCCTGTCTCCCGTTCCTAGAAGCCTTCCTACAGGAGAGTTGATGGTAGATTATCCTGGTGGGAAAAGGGGGCAAGAGAGTAGGGAAAGGGATCAGGGTGAGATGGTGCACAGTTTTATATCTCTTAACGATAAGTTATTTAGGAGTCTCCTTTGTCATTTAGGAGTAACCAACTAAATGTATGCATAAATTTGAAGCCAATGCCTTTTCTTAGGGGCTGTTGAACATTACTTTAACTGTGCCTCATGAATATACCCGCAGTGGAGGTGAACGGTCCTCTATTTTGAACAAGTGTCCTGGAAGGCACCATATTGCGAAGTTATCTTTCGGCAACTCTTGAGAGGGCCCTCAGCAAATAGTCAGAATATATCGGTTTGAAATCGTCTTTGCAGAACAATTTTCTCCAAAGAACTGAGGGCAGCACATTGTAACAATATGGCTAAACAGTGAATTGAACCTGGGTCTTCTTGGTCGACCTAGTGCAATGCTGTATTCAACTTATCCCATGGCTCTCCTGCAGAGAGTGCCGAACTTTTCTTCAGGAAAGCAATTCCGGTCAAGCTAAGCAGAGTAATGTGTGGTGCTGTACTGGCCTTGAGTAAAGAGATTTCACTCCTGAGAACTTGGCACCACAGACATTGCAATCTTTATTGATCATCTACCTAAGAGTTTTCTCTGCATGTTGAAGTGATTTCTAAATTGACCTCTCTGTTGTACCCCTGCAGCAGTATGCACTAGTCACAAGAAGGAATCAGAAAGCTGAAGAAAAGCCAATGGAACAGCTGGCATCTAGAGGAAAGAACTGGGAGGGGGGAGCAGTGTTAATGTTAATACCTTTCAAGTTTATCTTGGAAATAAAATGTTAGTTCAGTTGAGGACACAAACCACAGGGAAATGGAACCTATAGAAATGTAGAGTTTAAGGTAGAAGTGAAAAAAGTTGATGCTCCACTATGTGTATGACTTGCGCCTAAAAGTTACCCATCTTGATTGATCCCCGGGTACCTCTAGGTGTGAGGAATGCATATCCTGTAAAATTAAGTACTCTGGTTTTCCTGGTCCTTTCCTTGCCTGTGTTTTCCCCAGTTGCCTGAAGGTTTTCCTGTTGTCTGAAGACTGAGCTTAGAAGTTAGTTAGGTTTGTTGGTTTCAGAGCTGCTGAATGCCAAGCTTTCCATCACTCTCCAATTATGATCTCATAGGCGACGGCTTCAGAACTCTCACGTCAGCAGCAGCAGGTGAGGTTTTAACAACTCTCCGTAGGACAGATTGTTGTCTAGGCCCTCCCCAACCTGGAACCCTTCAAATGCTTTGGACTACGGCTGCCCTCCACCACAGCTAATGGAGGAAAAGGCTATCAGTGGTTACTAGTCATGAGGAATGTGTCCTACCTCTCTTATTGGAGACGGTTTGCCTCTGAATACTATTTGCTGGAAAATGACTCCAGAAGAGAGGCCTATTTTGCCTATGTCCAGCTTGGGGACCTCCCATAGGTAACTGATTAGTCACTGTAGGGAACAGGATGCTGGACTAGAGGCCTTTATTTGCATCCAGTAGGGCTCTTATTAGGAAACAGGAGGCATCCAATGGAGTGAAGGAGCAGTAGTCCCTCCTCCCTTTTTTTCTTCCCACCTCCCCTTCCTCCCCATTGATCAGACAAAGACTCACTTGACATGCTAAAACCTGACAAAATGTGGCTGCTTACGTTTATGCTCGGTTCTACAGATCCACACCCTCTTACCAAACAAAGGCAAGGTCCGGTAAAATTATTAAACAGGAACGGTCTTGGGAACCTGCCTGCAAGTTTCAGATTCCTCCACCTTATGCATACACCCAGGAATCTCTTGGAGTGGATGGTGAACAGCAACAGAGTGGAAAAGTAGAGCAGTGGCATTTTACTGACTTCAAAACTCAAGGGAAGAAAGACCAGGAGGAGGAGGAGAATAACAGTACGTTTAGCATCCTTTGTATTTCCTTGGAATCTCACGGGATACGTGCAATGGAGCCACTATCTGATAGCAACTCAGCAGAGGGAGGGAGAGTATGGACACAGTAACTTCATCAACATTACCAGGTATTTACAAGCAAACCTTTCTGCATATAAATTGGAAAGCAATGCAAAGTAGTGTTTGGGCATCAGGGGTGTTTGGGAATTTTGAACTTTGATTGTCATACCATGACCAGATTCAAAGTCCCTCCCACCTTGCATTCACCCCAGCTGAACTGGGAAGCTCAGCTCCAGTCAAGCCTAAGTCTGTCTCCTGCCTAGATTCCTTGTCTTATATGTTTGTTTTTTTGCCATGATAGAATTTGACACCATCCACAGTCTGAAACAACTGGAGTGCAGCAGGTAGCTTCATTACAATAGCTGCATCTGTCTAATGAAGTGTTGGTTCAACACCATCCACTAAAACAGGTAGCCAGTGTGAGCTCTCCAGGTATCATTGGACTACGGCTCCCATCATTGTGCCATTGTAATGGGCTGGTGGGTGTTGTTGTCCTACAACATCTGCAGGGCACCACGTTGGCTATCCCTGCACTAAAACCCCAAGCAAGCAAGCAATGCTACAAACTGCAGAGTAAAACCTCAAACTCACTAACCTAATCTGCCTGGGATGGAGGAAGAAATCCTTCCAGAAACTCAAATCACAGGTCAGCCCAACCCAACTTTGAACTTGTGGCCACCACTGAAAGAAACTGCTGGGGTGCAAGTCCCCCTGATTTGTTAGCTGTGAAACAAAAGGGCTTTTATGTATTGCAGTGGTAGGATGTTGCTTTATTTATTTCTCAGGTCCCTTTGGCATTGGGCTGAGCATATTTCCTGGTGGCGGGAGATGGGAGGGAGAAAGACTTGCAGCAGGACATCTTCTCACACGTTTCTCTGGATTTCATCTTTGAGTCTGATCTGTACTAGCACTAGTTCTCCAGGGTTTCAGACGGGGGTATTTCCCAGCCCTAACTGGAGATGCTGGGATTGAACCTGGGAATGTTCTGCATAGAAAGCACGTATTCTACCACTCGGCGATGGCCTTTCCCCCACTTGCACTAGTGGACGTCTACATCAGAGAGATGCATTCCATCACTAGTTCCAATGCAGTACAATCCCGTGTTTGTCTAATGGGATGTAAGTGTTACTGCGTTGAATAGGACCTAACCCCCAGGTAACTGTGTATGGTAGATGTGACTAACCTGTAGCCCTCCATATGTTGGTGGATGACAACTCCTAACATCCCTGGCCCTGGCATTGCTGGTTGGAGCCAATGGAGTACCAAAGCATCAGGAGCTCAGAGAACCACAGGTGAGCAGGATTGCAGTCCTGCTCCAGAGAAGTAAGAAGAAATACCTACTTTATTAATTTATATGGGATATTTCTAAACTTACCCGGACCCTGAGATCATCTTCTGGGGCCCTCCTTCGTGTGCCACCTCCTTGAGAGGTCCAGAGGATGGCAACATGAGAACGGGTCTTCTCTGCAGTGGCTCCCCATCTGTGGAATGCTCTCCCCAGGGAAGTTCGCTGGGTGTCTTCATTATACACCTTTAGGCACCAGGCAAAAATGTTCCTTTTTAACCAGGCCTTTGGTTGACCTGATCAACATCCCATACCCATTTAAAATGTGGCTCTTTGGGGGGGGGGTTATTATTGGGTTATTGCTTTTATTTTTATTTTATATACTGTGATCTTTTTATGTGAACTGCCCTGAGACTTCCAGATATAGGGCGGTATATAAATTCAAATAAGAATAAGAATAATTAAACAAAAAACAAAAAAAACTGTTAAACGTTACCAAATACCATCCTGTTGTACAAGTGCAATAAATAAAACAGTTAAAAACAAATTTCCAAAGAGAAATTGGATACTGTCCCCAAGACAATCTTCAGTTATTTATATTCAAATGGTTTGCATCGGTTGTGAAAAAGAGCTGGACATTGGTGCAGGATTCCATAATTAGGAAGCCTAGTGTAGAATTTGAAGTCCATTTAAGAAGTTTTTTCCAAATGGTTGAAAGGCATTAATTAGTTCAGGTTTGCTATCAATTCACCATGCAGTGAATGCAGCTTTTTTTTCTTGGAAGCTAACATTTTGTTTCTAATTTCACCCTCCAGTCAACACACAAACTGAAGTAATAGAGCCAATAACTACAACTAGCCTCTTGTCCTTTTCCTGAATCATTTCTGGTCAGACAGGTTTATACTGCTCATTTACCATAGTTACACAACCCCAGCTGAGCTCCCAGCTGGCAAATTCAGGAAGCTGTCAATTAAGGGTGAAGTTTGCTTTCATTTCCTATGTTTCTAATTCGGACCCTTGATTTGAATTTCAAAGCCAAGGTGTAAAAGAGCTCAAACACAAAATCTGCATGTCTGTTGTTGTTTTGAAAAGATATATTCAACATTTTAGTTATGTAAAATAGTCTGGCATGGTTTTGCTGCTGCGTATCACTCATTATATTGGATATGCACTAGGGCAGTTCAAGAAGAGAGTTTTACAGCCGTTGTCCTGGCCCTCCCTGCCGAACAAAGAACTCAAGCTCCCAGTTCAGTTTCTGCCAAAGTCTTCAATGCATAAATCAGATCGGTGCAGAGGTAAAGCACAGATTAATTACAAGGTGCAGCAGGCACACAAGAGTTAGAGATACAGTATATGGCTAAGCAGAAGCTAAGCCATTGATCCAACAAGCCACATGCCCCCCTGCACCTTGCTTTTTGAAGGGCAGGGCGAGCACAGCATTTAGTGCAGCAAGCAATGGGAATCTCTGGAGTGAGCAAACAAGCGGGCACTCCTCCCTTTACACCTCAACTACTCCCTTGGCCTATCCTCTCTCAGCTTGACCCTCCCCTCATAGCTTTGCCAAACCCCTCTGTGAAGTGGCTCTCCCCCTCCACTAAACAGCTCACCTGAGCCCAAACTGATTGCTCACTTGCCTACCACTCTGTTATCATGCTAGAGTTGGCATGGACACCTGCTGGTGGTCACGCAATTTGCAGCATGACAATAGCCTTTTTAATATGTATAGGAACATACATAGTACAGTGGTACCTCGGGTTACGAACTTAATTCATTCCGGAGGTCCGTTCTTAACCCGAAACCGTTCTTAACCTGAGGTGTGCTTTCGCTAATGGGACCTCCCACTGCCAGCACGCGATTTCCATTCTCATCCTGGGGCAAAGTTCGCAACCCAGAGCAACTACTTCTGGGTTAACAGTGTTTGTAACCCAAAGTGTTTGTAACCCGAGGTACGACTATTCTAAAATTATAAAGAAGTTTGTAATCTCAGCAGAGGCATCCTGTGAGGGCTTCTGTGGTTAAAAGGCAGCCTTTCCCTTTTTTATTTCTCCCCTCACCCCCGCAACTAAGTCCCTCATGACAATGTCTGAGGAGAAAATTGTAGAGAGCAAAGGGAGTTCTGGGACCAGCCATAGCTTGGATAGACAGACATAGTTCCTCTCATCTAATCCCATTTGATCTCCTTATGCTCTCACGAGTTTAGAATTCCAGGATATTGGGCAGCATATGCAAACTAACAAACAAATAACCACATGGAAGAGCTATCCCCATGTGCATGTTGATAACTCTGGCCTTTACTGGCTGGAGGAACAAGAGGCTACATTAAGGGGTTTGGCTAGCTAGAGAGCCTTTCTCAGCTCTCCTTCCATTAACTTCCTTAAGTCAACTTTTCTTAGGTTCCAAGTCTAAGTGTTTAAAAGTTGTGGCTCAAATTAGAACACGAGTGTCAGTGAGTGCATATAAGGGTTAAAATTCCTTGTAGGAAAAGCCCTTCGAACTGCCTTTGGGCCTGCTCCCCAACATTTGAAAGTCAAATCCATAGGTATTTCCATTGTTTGCCTAGCAAAAGGAAATGTCAGTTCTGCTGCTTAGCAGGCTGCTTCAGTACATCTGGTGTGGTGTTGACTATTCTGGCAGTGAACTACACTGAGCCATTTCCTTCTTTCTGGCTAGTCAGGTTGCATTCCTAAAAGGTGGAAGCTTTAAGCAAGTGAGGGGTGTCTGTGGCTACTTTGACAACACTGGCTATTTTCAGACGTGACTTGAAGGAGCTACGTCTACCTGCTTTTCTTGCAGGGCAGTCCTCCAACTGGACTTGTGGCCACGTGTGCTTACCATACTCTTCCTTCCCCTTTCCCATATGACTTTACCAGGATGTTCTGCTGCCTTTTTAAGCAGCTGGACTGGTTAGACAGGGAGCAGATTGCCAGCAGTAGTGGTTGCATTCAAGCTGTCTTCCTGAGGAGAAGGGGGTGGGTGGGAAATTTGCTCCTTGCAGCACACATGCTTGGACTCTTCTGTGCTTTCCTGCACACTCAGTTGTTGGCTCAATTCCTCCTAGACGGCTTGATGGTGGCATGAAAAATAAAGATGCAGCGGAGAAAGACCAAAGAGGATGACACTCTGATCACAGATGAGCAGGATCTCCAGGAGGCCGGTTATGGGAGCTTAAAGACCACGGAGGACTACATATATGAATTCATCACCTTGGGCCCCGAGAAAGTCTCAAAGCAGACCACATATGAAAGCTTTGCTGATAACTATGGGCAGAATATAGAGGATGCCAAGGGTGGGAGGCAACCCATGAGTTACCCTGAGGTCCCACGGGTAAGAAAAAATTACTTGTCTTTTTTAGGGTTGAGGAAGAACTGGCTGCTTAGGTACATATTTTCTAGGCAGGGGTGGGAAAACTCAGGCCTGGGGCCAAAATCAGCCCTCTAATCCTCTCTGACTGGCCTTCAGGACTCTATGTGCCAATCTCCACCCAAACCCCCTATTCCCAGGACTCAGGACTCACCCCTCACCAGCCCTGCCTTGAGTGTTTTTGCCTCACCATAAAGTTGTCCTTGGATTCAGATAATGTCTCTTATCCTTTGTACAGTAGACTACATTCCAGTCACACAAAAATTAGAAGTTCCTCCTACACACGCACCCCTTCCTATCTTCCAGGGCCAGTGAGAAGCGTGGCCCAGAAAGGAAGAGAGACTTAGGGAAAGTTCAAAGGGCCAGACAGAAAGGCTCTGAAAACCACATGCTTTAAAGTTAGAGGCACATCTTCTACAGCAGGGATTCTCAAACCATTTTCCTCTGGGCCACACTTTCAGAATAAAAATTTGCTCACACCACATTTTTAAAGTGATAAGATACATTGGAAAACAAAAAGAAACAGCTAGCAGTGCTTTTAAAGATCCATATCCTGCAAATAAAAATAAAAATATTCTGATCCTATCCTATCCTATAGGATATGTTTAAACATTTCTTTGATTGCCTCTGAATCTTCCTGCCGCACTTGCCACCTTCTCCTGCCACACCAGTGTGGTGCACAACACTCTTTGAGAACCACTGTTCTAGACAGTATTGTTACAAAAGCCCGGCGCCTGCCTCCTCTCTCTGCCAAGCAGTGGCCAAAGCGCATGGGGTCACAGGCACACATACAGGGTCTGTGTCCCTTCAGAGAACAGAAGGCACAGTGGAGGCTGCCGTGCTTTAAGAAATAGGGTTTATTTGTCTATTAATACCTTCCATCTGCATGGAGGACGTCCAGATCTTACAGCATGGCCCAGAGCATGGGCAGGCAAACTAGGGGCCGGATCCAGCCCAATCACCTTCTAAATCTGGCCCACAGACGGTCTGGGAATCAGCGTCTTTTTACATGAGTAGAATGTGTCCTTTTATTTAAAATGCATCTCTGGGTTATTTGTGGGGCATAGGAATTCGTTCATTCCCCCCCCCCCCAAGAAAAATATATAGTCCGGCCCCCCACAAGGTCTGAGGGACAGTGGACCGGCCCCCTGCTGAAAAAGTTTGCTGGCCCCTGGCCCAGAGCATTGCAGGCAGTCCTTCCTTCACCCTCACCAAGATGGACCTCCCCTTTCGTCCTCTTTCTTTTTCCCAGAAGCCACTTGCCCTCCCCCAAAACAGTTACCCTGGCAACCTTCCAACTCTCCAGTCTCTTGTCACACCTGGGACAAGGAGTTGTTGACCCTCAATTGCTCTCTGTTGTAATGCTAACAGCTCTGCTCTTCCCTCAGCCAGCCAGACTGGTTTGCATAAGGCTGTCCAGGAATCCCCCTGCAGTTTCTTATTCTCCCTTCATATCACAAAGAACCCCAAATCCTAGCATTTATTAATTTCTAGGGTTTAGAGGAGTCCCCCCTATTTCTATAACAGTATAATTCTATAGAGCCCTATTGTGGAGGAGGTGAGCAGGGATGGGGAGGAAGGTGTTTTTGCCCTCACACTTGAACTGTTGGGAGAAGAAAGGTACAGTGGTACCTCTGGTTAAGAACGTAATTCGTTCTGGAGGTCCATTCTTAACCTGAAACTGTTCTTAACCTGAGGTACCACTTCAGCTAATGGGGCCTCCCACTGCTGCTGCACGATTTCTGTTCTCATCCTGAAGCAAAATTCTTAACCCGAGGTACCTCTGTATTGAGGCGGAACAACCCAGCCCTCCACCAGCCAGCATTGTGATATCAGACCTGACATGAGAAACCTCTGTTCTCTAGCAACAAGACCTAGATTGATTTACACCCCACTTTATGTGAGTGGGATTCCACTCATGCAAAGGGACTTCCTCTTCTCCCCCTTGAAACCCCTTGTGTCTCACAAAGGGCTGCTCTAGTAACAGTTCCCGAACCCTCACGAGCAGATTTTGAGGGGCACTGGGGCGGGGGGAAGGACAAAAAAATGAATTTCTGCCAAGCAAGTAGAAATCTGTTCTGCTCATGCACACAGCTTTGAATACAACTCATGGTTACTGTATATGACTTGTATATTATTCAAACTAGCTTGTCCTTATTGAGGAAGGAAGGGGAATAGGCAGATTTGGATGTAGTAGTGCAAGGTGGTAAAACTGGGCATGAGAAAAGCTAAATGGTAGTTGGGTCAGCCCTACTGTGCAACAAAGTGAAGCTGGTGGCTTTAGGAAGTGGAGTTTAGGGGAACAGATGAAGGTACGCTAGTATTTGGTGTCTCATGGAGGGAGACTTTTTCAAGTGCTAGCAGGTGATGGTGCCATTTGGTGCTCTGTTTCAGATGCAACAATGGCTTGAGCCAACATTGATAGGTTGTTTCATCCCTCTTCTAACTCTGCAAAGTGAGACGTTCAGCTACAGGACCCTCTTTGAGGTTATGGTAATAGTTGTGGAGGGCTGAGGAGAGCCATTGATTGTATTAGCACATAAATGATAAGCCATGAACCTTGCATGCATCCTAATTGTTTCCACTTCATGTGAGTGGGCAAACAATCTATAATAGCTTAAGGTTGTGTCCCAATCCAGGATTGTGGTTTGTTTCTTCTAGGCAAGCCAGGATTCATAAGCCAGCAGCAAACCTTGGCTGACAGCAAGGCTAACCATCTTGGTTTGTTAGAGAGAACAAGCCGTGATTCCAGGATTTTCCTTTCCAGATGATTTACCCACTTGCATGAAGGGTATAGTGAAACAGATTAGGAGTGATCAGGCTGCATGCATCAGTGTGCAGCCCATGCAAAGCACAGTATATTAAGCCAATGTTCTTGCTTTGGCGTTATGGGCAAACACTGCCATACTGAGAGATTCAGCACTCAAGGCTGGAGCAGCAAATTCCTGCTTCTTGTATTTTGGTGATGATTTGGACTGACCAAAAATGATGGCACCATTCTAATCTCATTTCGACAGCTAGTACTGCTGGACTGAGAAATATGACCCTATCTACTTTTTCATTCATTACTAACATTTTGTTTACAGAGGAATAAACAAGCGCCATTAAGCCATGCTGTAAAGAGCACTGCGAACCTCTTCAGTGATGAGACAGCCAGGATAGGTAAGAGAACACAGTTCATCACTAAATGCACAAGCTGGGTAAAGATTTCTGAGATCAGCAGGACTTCCCTTTTGAAAGGATATCATAGAATCATAGAATCATAGAATTGCAGAGTTGGAAGGACCCGAGGGTCATTTAGTCCAACCCCCTGCAATGCAGGAAGCTGAACATGTAGTTCCCCATCCAATTTGAAACCATACCAGAACCTACTTAGCTTTACCAATGTGCTAGCAGTTTTATTGCTGCACCACTAGGAGGTGGTCATTCTTGAAGCAATGCTGCCTCAGTTCCTTTCCATTGCTCTGAGAACTCAGCAACTCTCTTATAGACACGTTTTACAAGTTTTATTCTTTTTGCAGATTTTAACTTTAAGTATGTTATTCAGGTTTTAATTTTTTGGTTTTGTAACAAGTACATATAAAACCCCCAAAAGTTCAGGAACACAGTGACTGGAAAATTGATTTGTGCATGAGTTCCTACTCCTAACTGCTGAAGTATTACTTTTCTCAACACAGTCAAAGTTAAACCCCCCCAAAAAATTTTTTTCTCTTTTCTGTTCTGTTCTTAGATAGAACCAGATATGATATTGAAAGGCTGAACTTGTTTTGAATGTTTTGTAATGTCGATCCATCTTTTTCTTTTAAAAATCAGTTAAAAACAAAACAGAAATGTGATTTTCCTGTGCATTTGCGTGCTCTAATTGGACAGCAGGAAAAGGTGATAGGTAGTGCAGCAAGAGTGAGTCCCTAGTCTGTTCCTACCTTTCCTGTAGCACCCCGCTGTCATCTAGGATTCCCCTATGTCCACTCCATGCTGTTCCCCATACTTAGGATGTGACAGATGTTTAGGGTGACTAATTGCCTTCCTACTTGGCTTACTGCTGATGTTATATTTGTATTGTGTGTGTGTGTGTGTGTGTGTGCTTTGTCTCAGACTTTATTCTGGTATGGGAATCAGATTACCAGAATTTGGAAGGACAACGTGATGTGGCTGAGAAATCGAATCAAAGGCAGAAGAGATCGTTTGAAATACATAGTGTGTGGCGAGAGAATTTTCTGAAGAAACTCCAGAAGAAAGGGATTAGAATGGAAAAGGTAACCGGACTCTTCTGTTCTAGTATTTTGTGGGTTTTGTTTTGGTTAAGTGCTGGGTGTAGCGGGGTGGGGGGTGGAAGAGACTTCTTCTTTTAGCTTTTTCTTGATTGTTACTGATGTATCTGCCCTCCTCTTATTTAACCCTTTTAAAGTTCCACTGCTCAAAATTGTACCTGAAGAGTGGAGGGCAAAACAAACTCAACTGTAAGCTCAGCTCCAGTTCCCCTCATCAACAGAGCCCTACTGGTCAAAACTGTGGCTGTGTTTGATTACTCACAAGGTTAAAAATTAAAGCATAACAATACGGGTGGGTCAATCTACATCCTTTCTGTAAATAGAAGTCCCAATACCAACATTTTGTGTATTTATTTTATGGAATTATTTACACCCTGCCTTATTTGTAGTCCAAAACATCTGGTGGGCACCAGATTGGTGAAGACTACACTAATGCAATGACATGGTTTCAGACATTTTTCTCCTACTGCATCACTGGTTTATGAATGTGTCTCTCAGTACTGTGGATATGACTATACCTTTATGGCAGCCTTTCTCAACCTGTGGGTCCCCGGATGTTTTGGGACTACAACTCCCATCACCCCTAGCTAGCAAGGCCAGAGATCAGGGATGATGGGAGTTGTAGTCCAACAACATCTGGGGACTCACAGGTTGAGAACCGCTGCTTTATGGGATCAAAGCTAGTAAACTCACTTTTGGGAAAGGAAAAGTTGAGATTAATTTCAGCATAGTATAGCTGTATGAAAGTAATGGAAACAGCTGCCCTATGATGCAGAGGGCTACATACATTTGTCCTCAGCTGTAGAAGATTGTTTGAGTGCCTCATTAAAAAAATACTTGTCTTGCAAAGAAAATCCATGTAGCTGACTGACCCTAATGCTTCCCATCTCCTTTTTCCTTTCTAGCACATTGCCCAGAATGCAAGGAAGCTGGTGCACTTTATATTGCTGAGCGCTCCTTGGAGTGTGCTCTGTTATTATGCTGAAGACCTCAGGCTGAGGGTTCCCTTGCAGGTGAGAATGTTATGGAGCTTAAATGCCAGTGGGTCAAACTTTGTTCTCTGCTTAGGTTGTAAGTTTCAAGGTGGCAATGCTTCTGAAAACCAGTTGCTGGAAACCACAGGAGGGGAGAGTGTTCTTGTGCTTGAGTTCCCACAGGCATCTGGTTGGTCACTGTGCAAACAATATGCTGGACTAGCTAAGCCAGGTCCCTGCAGTGCTTGTCAGAATCCCAGTCCTGTTCCTGGCACGACAGTGTAAGTCCAGCAACTCTTTTAGCCAATCTCTTGCAGAAGCTGGCTTGACTTGTTTTTTAGGTCTTGCTGAATCCATTAATCAAACCCCACATTTACTAATACCAGAAATTATGGGGAGAACCTGGCAACCAATAATTTTAGGAGAAAGTTTCCACCTGCAAACCCATAACAATGCAAACAGCAAATGGGGCGGTAAGATTGTTGTTCCTGGACTGTGTCTTATCAGACTGCAGGTGGAGGCGGGGGGTTGCATATTTAAATGCTACCCCATTAAAAAGGTTTTCTACATAACATTCTATGTTGGAAACAAGAGTAGGCAAGAATCTGATTGTGGAATCTAGTTTCTATGTACAGGCTTTTGTTTTTATTAGGCAAAAGGTTGTGTCATTTGGTCCTCCACCAAAAACCCATGGGTCCCCTCTTCCCTGAAACTGGGCTTGAAAGAAGCATTCTGTTGTAGCCAATAGAATAGTGTTACGAAAGCTGGGTGCCTGCCCCTCTCTGCTGAGTGGTGGCAAGAGCCCAAGGGGTCCCAGGCACACATACAGGGTCTATGTCCCTTTGGAGGATAGAAGACACGGCGGAGACTGTTCTGGCTTTAAGAAATATGGTTTAATCACCTATTTCCACCTTAAGTCTGCACTGATCTTATGGTATGGTCCTTTCCTGAAGCAGCTGTGCAAGCAGTTTTGCCAGCATCCCCTTCCAGCTTTTCTTCCTCCTCCTTCTTCCCGGAAATCTCTTGCCCTCCCCCAGAGCAGTTACCCTGGCAAGCTCCCAAATTCCCAGTCTCTAGTCACAGCTGGGGGGGGGTTCCCTTGTATTGTTAATGGCCCTCTACAAACTGTTGCTCAGTCCCTGCTCCTGCCAACCTAGCAGTTCAAAAGCTCGTCAAAGTGCAAGTAGATAAATAGGTACCACTCCGGCAGGAAGGTAAATGGCATTTCCGTGCACTGCTCTGGTTTCGCCAGAAGCGGCGTTGTCATGCTGGCCACATGACCCAGAAAAACTGTCTGCGAACAAATGTCGGCTCCCTCAGCTAGTAAAGCGAGATGAGTGCCTCAACCCCAGAGTTGTTCACGACTGGACTTAACTGTCAGGGGTCCTTTACCTTTTACGAAAAGCTTGGCCTATCGCTCAACATCCAAAAAACCAAAGTGCTGCACCAACAAGTACAAAACAACCCCTCTGCAGCACCACAAATCCAACTCAATGGCATAACGTTGGAAAATGTTGATCACTTCTCCTACCTGAGCAGTTATCTTTCCACAAGGGCTGATGTTGATGCCAAAATCCAGCATCGCCTGAGCTCTGTGAGTGTGGCTTTCTCCCAGTTGAAGTGCAGAGTGTTTGAGGACCGGGACATTCACAGGGAAACCAAAATGCTTGTTTACAAAACTATCATACTACCAACCTTACTGTATGCTTGTGAAACATGGACCACTTATAAACGCCATCTCCAACTCCTTGAAAGTTTCCATCAATGGTGTTTCCGAAAAATTTTACACATCACTTGGGAAGACAGGCGAACTAATACCAGTATACTGGAAGAAGCAAAGATCACCAGTGTTGAAGCGATGATTCTTCAACATCAACTTCATTGGACTGGTCATGTTGTGTTTATGCCTGATTATCGTCTTCCAAAGCAACTACTCTATTCCGAACTTAAAAATGGGAAGTGTAATGTTGATGGTCAACAAAACAGTTTAAAGACTGTCTCAAGGCAAATCTTAAAAAATGTATTATAAACACCAACAATTGGGAAACACTTGCCTGCTAGTGCTCCAATTGGAGAACAGCCTTTACCAAAGGTGTCATGGGGTTTGAAGACACTCGAACTCAGGACGCAAAGGAGAAACGCGCAAATGCACACCGTGATCAACTCCTGCCCAGAAACCAATGTCCCCACTGTGGAAGGATGTGTGGATCCAGAATTGGCCTCCACAGTCACTTACAGACTCATTGTTTAAACCGTGTTTAAGGAAGACAATCTTACTCGGCTACAAGTGATCACCAAAGAAGAAGAGATTGTTCTTTTGATAGCCATAGCTCGCCAGGTTGGTTTGCATAAACAGCCCAGGAATTCCCTGTCTGGTACATATCCCCATTAATCAAAATCCTAATACGGTATTTATTCATTCTTAGGATTTAGTGGGGACCCCCCCTAGATCCATAGCAATAGATTCTGTGTGTGTGTGTGGTACCCACAAATGGGCCCAAAAATGTTGCCAACCCCTGCTTTAACAGAACCTCAGGTTCTTTCACCTTCTGCTTGGTCTTGCCTGTGTTATTTCTCTTTCCTCCCTGTCTTGTATGCAGACTGTTAAGAGTGTCCCCCTCCCTGCACTTGCTTAGCATATACAGTAGAGTTATCTGTTGTTTTATCCCTCAGGTTGTGCCCAATATTCAGGCTGTAGCTAACTGGTCTCACAGGTTGCTGGTGAAGCTGGGCATCCCCAATATGCTCTATGATGAGGTTCCTAACTTTCCCTTGGATTACTACACCTGTCATTTCAAGGCAAATAAATTACCCTGGTAAGAATTTGGAATTAATTATTCTTTGACCCACCCTCTTCCCAAATTAGAGCAGACATTCAGCTATATATAAATGTCACTATTTTGGTTTTATTTGCTGTTTTTGATTTTCCACTATCTGCTGCTTTCATGTAGCACCTTCTCGTTGCTTTTATTGACGTTGGGAGATGGCTTTTGGAAAGCTCCCTCAAGGGCTCTTCATGTGGAAAAACGGGGCAAAATTTTAAGAAATACATCTTACTACTGGCTTTAAGGTTGCAATTCTGTATCCACATACCCAGGAGTAAGCCCCATGAAACTCGGATGGACTTCTTAGTCGACATGGTTAAGACTGCAGTTTGTGGATAGAAAAAAGTCACAATACCAGTCATATTTGGGAGTCATGTGTACCTTAGTAAACCCATGTGAACAAGATACCTCATGGACGTTATTAGGCATGACCCCACTTGCAAGTTTAAAAATATCATGCCTTTATTGAGGCCTTCCCTTTTCCAATAAGACAATATAGTTACGCAGAAGTTTTGTTTTTCATGTATTACAAATACTTACCTTTTAGGATACATCTCCTTCCGAGTCTGCGTACAGTAAACCTTAAACTAAACTTTAATCTTAAAAACCACAATGAACAACATAAATATATTAAGAAGTAATCAGGATCCCTCCAACAAGGCAGTTGGTGATAGAATGGCCTAGTGGGGTGGGGGAGGGGAGACCAAGTGAATCGGGCCTTGGTGCCATCTTTTTCAATATCGCATCCTTCTCTCTCTAAAATGTTCTGCATATTGACGCTTGTTTTATATTCTATTATACATCACCTAGAGACTTGTTGCATGAGGCAGCTGATAAATAAGTAACTGGGGTCAACAGTGCCTCACAAACTATATGTGAGGATCTGAGGGCTTATGTACACTTTCCTTTCCTCTGCTCTTTCCAGGCCAGGTATCCTCTGAGATTTAAAGTTCTGTGTCCGAACTCCTTTTTTTCTGCTCTGGAGCTTTCTTTGCAAAAAGCTGATCTTTAAAGCTCAGTTGGAGCAAACGTCAATCCACAGAAAACCCAAATTGACGTTTGCTCCAATTCAACTATAAAGAGCGGGTTTTGTGGAGAAAACTTGGGGCAACACAATGCACCCCCGCACGCTCTGACACGGAGCATTAAAGCATGGACCTCTGCCTGGAAAGAGCGTGGCAAAAGCTAAGTGTGAATAAGCCCTAATTGTCTCAGAAGTTTTTTTAAACACACACATTATATTTTACCAATAACTTCTCCTTTTCTCGGGTTGCATACACATTGCGTATACATTTAAATCACATTCAAAGTACATTTCTCCCCTCAAATAATTCTGAGCACTGTAGTTTACCCTTCACAGACTTACAATTTCCAGTAAGCTTTAACAAACAACCATTTTCTTGAGGGAGAAAATATGCTGTGAATGCGCTCTAAAGTTTCAGTGTGTATGCAGCCTTGGTGTTAGAAGTGGTAGGCTCTAGGATTTCTGAGGCTGCCTCTCTTGACATTCCTGGTGATCTGCATATGTGTCTAGTCTTTTTTGATCAGAGATCTATAGTCTAGACCATGCAGTATTCTTCATATTTGTTAAGGATTAAAAACTATTACAGTGGTACCTTGCTTTTCGAACATAATCCGTTTGAGTTCTGAAACGTTCGAAAACAGAAAACTCAATAGCCGACAGCTGGGCCTCAGGATTTTGCACTCAGCAGAAGCCGCGTGGCATGTTCGACTTCTGAGGCATGTTCGAAAACCGAAGCATTTACTCTCGGGTTTACGGCATTCAAAAACCAAAATGTTCCTCAATGGAGACATTTGAAAATTGATGTATTACTTTATTTGGGATTAAAAGCAATTATTCTCTCCTGCTTTGAATTTTCAGTAAGTTTTTGTTGTTGTTAATATTAAACATTTCTCTCCAAGGTTTCTTGGGAGTGAACATCACGATACCTTCTTCAACACCACACAGCGACACAGAATAGTAAGTCCCAAGTCCACATGGTGAAATGAATGCAAGCCTGGTGAAGTATGCAGTGGGAACTGGAACTTGACTGCAGCTTCAGCACTCTTGATGGGTTTTGATATCCACCCAGTATGGTTACTGACTGGGCACAGAATCAAACAAACAAACATTTCACTTTTTCCCCTCATCCTGGCCTTTATTCTCTCTCTCCTTATTCAGTTTTTATCTGCTATTTTCTTCTTTGGTTGTGACTTTTTCTCCCTTCATCTCTCTGTACAACGCCTGGCCTGTTTTGCCATTTCATTGGTCTCAAGATTCCCTTTCCTACTTCTTAACTGAGCGTAGCAGGTAGATTTATCTGTGATGACATTATGTTAAAAAAGGTAAAGAAAGAAAAACCAAGTCCTGTCATCCAAATTAAAGTATAGCCAGACTCCTGATAATGAGAGAAGGAAATGTAAAGTGAGAAGTAGAATATGAACAGTTAATCAGAATGATGGTGGAGAGGTACTATTGCAGATTTACTTTTTTTTTAAAATATGGATGATGGCTGCTAACTGTAGAAGTCAAAATAACCTCTTTGTGCTTCCCTTCAGCTATATGAGATCCTGGCCACCACGTCATATGGCAACCCAAAGGCAGGGCAGGTTGGAATAGAAAGGCTGCTGAACGAGGAGGTCTTCACAGCTGCATTCCCATTGCATGATGTAAGTTGGCAAGTGTTCTTCCTATTCCACTTTCAAATGGGTTAGTTAGCCCATAGTGACACTGAAATAGAAAACAGGGAGATTTGAAAACATGAGCAGGCTGGCAGTGGCCTCAGGCGAAGGTCTTTCCATCATCACCTGCTACCTGACCCTTTCAAAAGTGTGGTGAACCTTTGGACCTCCAGTTGTTGCTGAACTACAAATCCCGCCAGATCTGTCTATTGGCCATGCTTACTAGGGCTTGGCGCTGTAGGTTAAACCACAGAGCCTAGGAATTTGCTGATCAGAAGGTCGGCGGTTCGAATCCCTGCGACGGGATGAGCTCCCGTTGCTCGGTCCCTGCTCCTGCCAACCTAGCAGTTCAAAAGCACATCAAAAAGTGCAAGTAGATAAATAGGTACCACTCTGGTGGGAACGTAAACAGCATTTCCGAGCACTGCTCTGGTTCGCCAGAAGCGGCTTAGTCATGCTGGCCACATGACCTGGAAGCTGTAGCCAGCTCCCTCGGCCAATAAAGCGAGATGAGCGCCGCAACCCCAGAGTCGGCCACGACTGGACCTAATGGTCAGGGGTCCCTTTACCTTTACTAGGGCTGATGGGAGTTATAGTTCAGCAACAACTGGAGCACCAAAAGTTTCCCCCACCTGCTTTAACTGGAGATGCCAGGGTGCCTTCTGCATGGTAATGACCCTGCCACTGATTTTGTGGAAATGTATGTCTCCAAGGACATCACAAAACTGTTCACTCTCAAGTATACAATCTTCCTGAAACAGCAGAATACAGGACGTGCTAATTATGTATATAGGGAACAGGATCCTATGTAAAGTCTAGAGTGGGAGTTGTATACAATGAGCTCCACTTTAGAGTGCACTTCCTTGCTGCAGACTGCTGTTTATATTGGCTAAACAGTTGTGCCTACATATTACCATAGATGGCAAAGAATCAAATGATCTCTTTTAAATCTTCAGCTAGGTCTTTTAAGTAGGCATTTTGCTCCTTTACAATACTGTAGTAATTTCACAAACAGAACTTCATTAAACCCAAGGTGAGGCTTCTTCAGGTATCTGCAATGGCACAGGAAAAGTGAAACTAAAGTAATTATTTTGGCCCTAGGCAAATGTTACGGAACATCACCAAATGCAAACAAATAGATATACTGGATTCTTTCCTTGTAGCCTAAAAACACCAGCCTTATTTGGCTTGCATTTGCCTTTGATCTGTCTGCATTTGGAATGGAATAAAGATTTGCAGGACTTGCTGAGCTTTCAAAATCTGAGTTCTGACCTACTTTGGGAGCTAAACAGCTATTTGCTTTATTTTAAAAATAAGTAAATTTGATGTATCAGAGTTTGAGAACCCTGGCTTTAAAGCTCATGAATTATTCTGACTGTGCTGTAGATAGTTGGGGGGGAAAATTCAGTTCAGTTTGCATCACAATGCGAGCTTACCCAGTTTGTTCTTTCCAAAGCAATACATGAACCAAAACGCAGCCGTCCTTCAGAATTTGCAATTGATGTGGAAAAATGGGAAACTGGACTTAAGCTTGGAAAGTTGAAAAACTGAGTGAAACCAAATTTGACAGATTCCTTCATCCCTAGCTGAGTGTAGAGCATCTGACAGGGTTTTGGCAAGCAGAACCCACCCCTTTCAGTTATCATCTAAATATCTCCTTGATTGTTCGGAAGACAAACAATATACTTACAGTTTTGGATTTTGTTCATGCAATTCTGTGAAAGAGTGAATAGGTTTAATACTGGGCACCCCGTTTTCTCTGTTACAAATGAGGAAGCGTTGTTTTTTTGTTTTTGTTTTTAAATACATATTAAAATTGTGACCTATTCATGAAGGCTGCAATTGATTATTCTATTTTAAAAAGATACATTACTCAACTCTTAACAGGGAATTTCTGCAAGTTAATATAAAACACAGCACATTTTAAACAAATCTGTACTTGATATGGGTACTTTCCCTCTTCTGCCAAAAGGGTCCCTACAAGATTCCCCAGAAGGAGATTCCCCATATTCAGCTAAATCAGAGGCAGATTCTTTTCCACTACTGGGCCCAGTGGAGTAAGTGGAATAAGTACCAGCCATTGGATCACATCCGCAGGTACTTTGGGGAGAAGATTGCTCTCTACTTTGCCTGGCTTGGTGAGTAAAAGGCCGCTTATGTCCATTTCCCTAGCATCTTGTTCTAGTGCCAAACTGAGCCCAGCGTGGTTATTCTGAAATGGATTTCCCCTCCTATTTGCTCCATAGGCCATAGCTGTCAACGTTTCCCTTTTGTAAAGGGAAATTCCCTTATTCCGAATAGGATTCCTTGCAAGAAAAGGGAAAAGTTGACAACTATGTCCATAGACATGGGCATGTCAGTCAGTATAAACTGTTAGCCTGTTCTCCAACCTGGCAAAAATGTGCATTTTAGTAAGCCAGGTAACTGGTAATGGAGAACTGGGGGCATTTCAGCATTACAGACTTTAACTGGTTTTGTAGTCATTCCCTGGAACTAAAGGAATTATGGTTCACTGGAGGAAGAGATCTGGAATCTCTGACAACAATATAGTTGTCAACTATTCTATGGGAAAAGGCATGACTGGGTAGTATAAAACCAATATAAGTCTGTAGTGTAGAATAGTGTTTTAAAAACGTGATTCATTTTGCTGTATGCAACTAAGAAAGTTTGCCCATGGAGGAAATAGATCAGTGCTTTTCTTGCAGTCAGAATGCACCCATTCACATCCCTAGTCCTAGCACTTTGCTATGCTTGGAAATATAAGCCTTTTTTGTAAGATGGGTCCTTTCCACAAAATGAATTAAATTGGTTCTGGCTTTCTGGAAAGCAAGTTGGTGATGGGCAACAGTTAGACATAGGTAGTGAAGGCTCCCCTTCTGCAGTTCTAATATGCTTTTACCTCTCTTCATTTAGGTTTCTACACTGGGTGGCTTTTGCCAGCAGCTGTAGTGGGGACACTAGTCTTCATAATAGGCATATTTATGATGCTTGATGACATCCCTACGTAAGTTCTAATTTCTTCTCTTCTTTCTCACTTTTCTGCTTGTAAAACCATTGACAAGCCATTTGGCTTTGTAACCCTCGGCTTTTTCACAGATCTGGAGCAGAATGTGGCAGAGATTTCTGCTCATTAGAAATAAGTTCCTTGGAGATATCAATAGAATGTGAATGGTAGCTTTGCCTATGCAGCTAGTGTTAAGTAGTACCTAATGTGGCCATACCTATCCTTGCAAGAATGGGAAAGGCAGCCTTAGGAACAGCAAGAGCCAAAGGCCAGAAAAACAAAGTGTTTTTTGAAGAGAAGCTATGAGTCAGTAATTTTAATGTGGTGGGTTAATTGCTTTTTTCCTACCCTTTTATTTTTGCTCCCATCTGCACAACAGGAAGGAGATCTGTACCAGTGAGGGGAAATACAACATGTGCCCACTCTGCAAAGTCTGCCCCTATTGGAACCTCTCCACCATTTGCCCAATGTTTCAGGTACAGTTTGTGGCTCTGGGACAGCACTGATGCAAGCATAACGGTGAAGCATTTGTCAACACTTCATTAAAGTCATGTGTTAGATTAGGAGTACGTTGTGTGTTCTCAGATAAAGGGTTACACAGAAAAGTACATTGGATTTACTGTGATATGCTGATCTTCTACACTTCCATGTGGTTCAGATAGCCTCCTCCACGCTTACTTTGCCTTGAGCCTATGTACTTACCCACAGGCTCAAGGCAAGACATCAGCTATGTGCTATCAGCTTCCACGTAAAAAATAATTTGATCCAGCCTCTGTTCATGTAGCATTTGTTCACCAGCATTAAACTGATACTCAATCTTTCACATTGCGTAACACAACTTTTTGAACTCAGGGCTTGCTTTTAGTGCATAATGCAACTAGCTCCGCCTTTATCTTTTGGGGCCAAACTACATGCAACGTCAGCAGGCCCATGTCTTAAAATGTAGGTTTGCCTTTAAATGCATGTAAAGTGGGTGACTGAGGTTTAAAGGGACTTGTGGGCAGGGAAGGTTTAGCAGGAACCGTGTTTGTCCCCCTTTGCTTCTTTAAACCACACCCCTGCTCCTCACTTTGTGATTTGGGTAGAACTGCATTTTAAAAACTGGGCTATCTGTAGTTTGCCCTTGATACAAATTCAACTCTGTCCCAGTCTAAGAGTGTCTTGGCACATGCTTAAGTGCAGCTCCTTCCCTTTCCCCCCTATTCTTTTCAGGCTGGTCGCCTCTTTGATCATGGTGGGACTGTCTTCTTCAGTATCTTCATGTCTTTATGGGCAGTCACATTTCTTGAATACTGGAAGCGGCTGAATGCTACCTTGACATACCGCTGGGACTGTTCAGACTTCGAAGATATCGAGGTACTAGCCTTGGGGGGGGGGCCTCTAATACCACAAAAGCCCAACGGTGACACAGAGCCCACTTCAGGTTTCCTTTGTTGTAGGAACGTCCACGGCCCCAATTCACTGCTATGGCACCCATGACAACCACAAATCCAATCACTGGAGCGGAGGAGCCCTATTTCCCCACACGGAGCCGTTTCAAAAGAATCATGGCTGGATCAATGGTCATCATCATGATGGTGAGGGAGCTGCTGTTTGAGGGTGGAGGCGTCAAATAGGATGCAATCCTCTTGAGTAGGGATAGGGGAGCAAGTTGATACAGTTCACATTTAGTGGTGAATCTAATCTGCACTTTCAAAAACAGCATGAGAACTGAAACACAGGCATCATTTGAAATTCGTACTTATCTGAATTTTGCAACGCAGCTCTCCACCCAATGTTTACAAAAATGCATACACTAGGTAAAAGATGTGTTGAATATATTAGTGAACATAACATAAAAATGCATTATATTAAGTCTGCTTAAGTCCAAGTCTGCTGTGGCTGTGGGAGAAGCCAGAGCCTCATGGGTGTTAATGCAGTGAACCCCACTATCATAGGCTCAGGTTGTATATATGTGTAAATAAACCATATATCATAAAGACATTACAGTCTCTACTGTGCCTCATTTCTAAAAGGAAACACATACCCTGGGTAAGTGCACCTGGTACCCCTTGAATCTCACACCACTCAGGGAGATTGAGATGGCATGTAACAATATGTTATTTCTGCCCTTACTTCCTCTCTCTTGGTTACCATTACTACTTCTTGCTTTTTGTTTGGATCAAAAGCCACTCAGAAGGGAGGAAATCACGGTTTCTATGTCTGTTGTGGCTTCTATGGTCATTATTGATGACTGACTCCTCACTGACACTCTTCTGCCTCACTAAGGGCAGTTCCACACAACACATTTAAAGCATATCCAATGCACATTTAAAGCAGACGATTCCCACCAAAGAATCCTGGGAATTCACTGAGTGACTTTAGGCGAGTTGCTATGTCTTGCGACCTAACCTACTTCACAAGGTGGTTGTGATAAAAAGTTGATTCTATGGAGGAAAGACATGATGTAAATGTAAACAGATAAAAAGAAATAAAAATCAGATAAAACCACATGCCATCTTGAGCTTGTTGGAGGCAGGAAGGATGGATATAAATGTAAGTAAATAAGTAAAAAAAAGTCCTCCCCAAGTCAGATCCATTTACAATAATAAGACAGCAAACTCATATTATTAGTACTCATTCAGCCTGGTTCTGTCTTCAGATTGCTGTGGTGGTGATGTTCCTGATTTCGATAATCCTTTACCGGGCCATCATTGCCGTAGTTGTAGCCAAGTCTGGGAAATACCTTCTTGTAGCTTCGGTAAGACACTTCCATGACTCTCTACCACTCTAGCTTAGGTGTGCTATTTGCATTTGGACTTCACATTCTCTCCTGTTTCCCCCTCTTAGGCTTCTCGTATTGCTAGCCTCACTGGCTCAGTGGTGAACCTCCTCTTCATCCTCATCCTATCAAAAATTTACACTTCACTGGCACTTTTTCTTACCAAGTGGGGTAAGTAGGCTGTATCTGGAAACACCGAAGCAGTTTCTCAACCTGAAAGTGCAGCTTCTTGAACCAAAACATTAAACTGGGGCTTGAATTTGTGGGAGAGGGACAGGGGCAGGTAAATAGAAGATCTTTATTGAAATCCACAAGCCTTACTTCCTAACTCACCCTAATATTAACTAAATTGTGCCTTGCCATAATCTTCTAAAAGCACCAGCTAAAGTGGGTGGCACTAAACGTTTTTATGGTGGTGCATAGAATCTGGAATCCCCAAAAGAGGATTTTTTTACTATCTTCTTAGTGCTTGGTTTAGATCTTTGCTGTGAATTTTGGATGACATTTTGGAATATTGTCTTGCTCTGACCTTTATAGTTGTTTAAAAGTCTGCCTCTTATTTTTTCCTGCACATTTTTCCTGTTTAAATTTTGGGATCTTGATTGCATGAGCATCTCCCTCACTAGTAGGCAACCCTCTACAGACATCTGCACTCAGTTCACAGGCATCCAGAGAAGGGTTTGAGTGGGTCTGGGGGCACAGCCCCACTCTCCTTCTGTACAGTACCACTACATGTAAAATAAAGGCGTGAATATGGCTTAAATCAGAAATTACAAGAGTTGTTTTTCGTCCATCTCAGCCACAGTATTTAATTAAACTAGAAGGTACTTGCAACCCACAATGTGCATTAGAATTCTGTGACACTGAGATGGTTGGGGGTGGAGTTTGAGTCACCTTTGTTCACTTAAAGAACTAAGGATGCTCCTGTTGTGATTTACCACTGAGAGGGCTTGGAAGTTCCCACCATTCTCGTGGTACTCTATTATGTTTTTTCTTCCATAGAGATGCATCGTACACAGACCATGTTTGAAGATGCGTTCACCTTCAAGGTGTTTGTCTTTGAGTTCATCAATTTCTACTCCTCTCCCATCTACATTGCGTTCTTTAAGGGCAGGTAAGCTGTTTTGGAGATGGGCAGCTTCTCTAAAGTGGATGCCATTTTCCTTTGTGGCCTAGGCATACTTGAAAGACTCATCTGCACCACTGAAATATGCCCCTACTACACGCTCAAATTTGTATAATACTGTATCCTCCTTCCCCATAATTCTGTTTCCATAACATGATATCCCATCTGCATTCAATTTAGAGAACAGGACTGCTTTCATTAGTGTGGGAAGAATACAGACATACTATTGCCTAATACTATTGTAGGTGATTTAACCATGGCCAAACTATGAGGAGAGCCCTATCTCTTGGCTGTGTTGTGAGAACAGGATGCTGGACTAAATGGGCTATTGGCCTCACCCATCAGGCTCTTCTTAAGTTCTGCCCCCCCCCCAACAATAAAAAGCTCTGCAATGTTTTTCAACACTGGGTCTCCAGGTGTGTTTAGAAAAATCATTAAACTGCCTAACCAAATCTATATATATATATTTTTCTATGGTGTAGATGTTGGGCTGAAACTCCCATCATCCCCAGTCAGCTTAGTCAATGGCCAGGCATGTTGGGAGTTGTAGTCCAGACATATCTGGGGACCCAAGGTTGAAGAGCAGTAGTCTAGGCCACACAGAAAGAGAGTGGAACTCAAGAAGGTGAGGACTTCTAGCCGTTCTGTTGAAGTTGTGGTCTTGCTCCACCACTCTTACCCTCATCCAAGTTAAATTCAGTAGCAAAGTGATGCTTCTTCTGATCCAGCCAAGTCTCAGATGTAGCAAAACTCAAAATTCAGCAGGAATTCTAGCTGCAAGTAGTTGCTATTGATAGCCATTGAGGAAAAAGTGAGGCCCTGTTGCCATCTACTGCCCAGAAGTAGTTATAATTTATAATGCGAATCCTCAGCGGTGAGTCTTAAAAAGTCAGACTGGTTGTAGGTGAACACAAGACTGAATGTGCCAGCTATGTTAGTTTGTGATGTTTGCAATGACCTGGGGATCCTGAATCCAGGCATAGCTGGAAGGTTATGGTGGAAAGACTGATTTCTTCGGGTCAAACTAAATATTATGCATAAATAGTAAAACTCTACAGACCTTAAAAGAAGAAAAAGAAGCTATTAGGAGGTAGTGGTTTGAAGTAGAGAAGTCCTGGAGGAGATCTTGACCTGTAAGTAAATGTTGCATATAAATGTGTGTAATAAAATCAATTGGACCATCTTTAGGACACATCTAAAAACCTGGCTACCTGTGAGGGGGTGAACAGGCAGGGGAAAGGTTAAGCACCTCTCAAGGCTTCTCTGCTTCAAATTGTCCCTGGCCAAACTGACATTTTCTAAAAAAGAAAAGGGGGGAAAAAAGAAAACAGATGAGGCCCTTCTGGTTGTTCTGCAACCTGCAGAGATCTTTTTGTGCATTTTCAGTAGGGAGGCTTTCTTATTGAATTAAGGCAGGCACCAGCACTGATGGCATTTTGGTGTCTGCTAAAAATCATTTGTTCTTTTAAGCCTTTGTTGGACATTGATATTTCGACCCAATGTTTGCTGCCATGTTATTTATTCTGTAAATAAGTTTTAATGTTGTTTTGCACACCACCTTGTGATTGTTGTATGAAAGACAGTTTAGAAATCATTAAAATAAAAATCAGCAAGGGACCGTTGCGGATTCTTATGTACATGCTTGGAGAGAGAGCGGGGAATTCCTGCCCCCCTTTCCCTGTAATGTGCTTGGACCGCCTGAAGTTAGTGCTTTTCAGGATTATTGCTGTACAGTGGAACCTCGTGTTATGTACCGTCCTCCTTGCAAACGCTGCGGGTTACGAGCTCTGCTAACCCGGAAGTAGATGTTCCTGGTTGCAAACTTTGCCCTGGGATGCGAGTGGAAGTCATGTGCCAGCAGCGTGGCAGCAGCAGGAGGCGCCATTAGCGAAAGCGCGCCTTGGTTTATGAACAGTTTCGGCTTAAGAGCGGCCCTCCGGAATGAATTAAGTTTGTAACCGGAGGTACCACTGTACTCCTCTTTTCTATGAGTCTGAGGGTTGTGTTGGCTGAGCCATTTGAGGCAGCAAATTGTATGAAGGCACCTTGCTATTGGTTACAGTAGATGGCATTCTGGTCACTGCCAGCTTTTTTCCTGTGGCTTCTCTTTATGCACAGAGTAGGATGTCTATGCCTCGTGTAAAGAAAGACCTTGCAGCTGACTGTCTTGGCCTTTTATTTTTATACTTTCTTCACCTTCAGGTTTGTAGGCTATCCAGGACGCTATTCCACATTGCTGGGTATCCGCAATGAAGATGTAAGTATCTAAAAAGAGAGCAGTGCAGGACACGGACTCTAGAAATAACAGCTGATTAGGGGTTGTTCTAGAGTGGCTGGCACCATTAGCAGCCCGTAAGGTACGTTTAAGACTGGAGTTAAACTCTGTATAATAAATGCAGCAATAAAATAAAGAAGGCACCCTCTTTGCCAAGGAAACAGGGTCAGCCATTCCAAAGGCAGAGGCCAGATAAAGAGGGCATCAGGCTCAATGCTGGGAGTGGATGTTTCTCTAAAAACCAAAATAATCCCTCTTCTAGCTCCATCTATCCAATGTCAAGTGCTTTTAGCCAGATTATTATTATTATTTATTGAATTATTTATTTATTGAATTTATATCCCACCCTTTATCCTTAAAGAGCACAGGGCAGCAAACAGATATACCATTTAAAAACAAAACAAAGCAGAAACAGATTTAGACGTTCTGAAAGCAATTACATTTAAGGACATACAATTAAAAAGACTCATTCATTCTTTCCTTCCCCGATGTTTTAATGTGGTGGAAATCTTTTAAGTAGGCATGATGTGCTCTGAGACCCCAGTGTTTGGTGTAGAGATTCCCAGGGGAGTAGAGAATTGAGGTTTCCTTTTCACCAGCAGCAAATGAAGTAGCTAACCTGTCTCTAGACTGTTTCTCTACAGATGAGGGATCACATGACTAAATGCTTCTCCATATAATTGTTTCTCTGCTGCATCATCCTTCTAAAGCCTCTCTCTGTTTTCTCCAGTGTGGTCCAGGTGGCTGCCTCATTGAACTTGCCCAAGAGCTGCTTGTCATCATGGTGGGAAAGCAAATAATTAATAATGTGCAGGAGCTCCTCATCCCGTGAGTCTTTGTGATCTTGTGCTTTGCTGCAATGGACTATCCAGACGTGGCCAGACCTGTAGAGAATCAACAAGATGAACAGACATATCATTCCCCAAAATATATAGATTTTCACTAATGTATTAATTTTTGTGCACATTTCCCCCTAACATAATATACATTTTTGTAAAGGTTTGGTTGGAGAACTGCATCATAAAATCTGGATAAGTGCAAATTTTGAAGGAAGGCTATATTTCCGTTCTCATATTGTTTCAGGAAGTGCTAATTTGATATGCTGCTTTAAATGCAAACTGAATAATTTTTTCTCCTCCATCCCTACCTCAAGATGTTGTGGCACTACACCTCTGTCAGCCCTAGCCAACATGGTCCAGTGGTCAGGGAGGACAGTAGTTGTAGTCAAACAGCTTCTGAAAGATGCAACATTAGTTACTCCTACCCTATAGATTCAATTCTGGGGCTAGATCAAAACTCTGTCTAGGCCTAGATGCAGACATGTAGCCACTAATTGATCGTCTCTTGTTGAACAATAAGAGGGCAAAACCTGAACATGTTAACTGTGTCTTCTTGCGCTCCACAGGAAGTTGAAATCATGGTGGCAGAAGCGGAAGTCTCACTCTAAAAGGAATGAGGGCCAGGAAAGCTCCACGAAGCAGCTCTGGGAGAGTGATTACGAACTGCTGCCCTATGAAGGGCTCTTTAACGAATACCTGGAAATGGGTACGAATCATTTGGGAAGGAAGGAGATGAGCAACTGAGGACAGTTCCCTGACAGTTGAGGGCTTAGTCTGTGTAAGTGCGTGAGGCACACTGAGTCCTGTATCTCGCTTTGACTATACTATGTTCTCAGGTCAACCGTTCTGGTTCAAGAGCACTTGTGCTTGTTCCACTCACCCACCAGTTCATAGAATCATAGAATCATAGAATCATAGAGTTGGAAGAGACCACAAGGGCCATCGAGTCCAACCCCCTGCCAAGCAGGAAACACCATCAGAGCACTCCTGACATATGGTTGTCAAGCCTCTGCTTAAAGACCTCCAAAGAAGGAGACTCCACCACACTCCTTGGCAGCAAATTCCACTGTCGAACAGCTCTTACTGTCAGGAAGTTCTTCCTAATGTTTAGGTGGAATCTTCTTTCTAGAGGAGTGACAATTAGAATACATGGGGTCAAAAGCTTTACTCGGGTCAAAAGAGTGTGTGCATAACCTCCTAAGAAAAGGAACAACTTAGCAAATGCTATCCAAAGTTCCTGTGGACAGAATTCTTGTATGGGCTCACCTACATTATCTCCTGCGTGGGATTTCTTTGTGCTTGCCTTCCCTTATAATGTCTTCTTTCTTTCCTCTTCAGTCCTGCAGTTTGGCTTCATTACCATCTTTGTGGCCGCCTGCCCCTTGGCACCTCTCTTTGCCTTGCTCAACAACTGGGTGGAAATTCGCTTGGATGCTCACAAATTTGTTTGTGAATACAGGCGGCCGGTTGCTGAGCGGGCCCAAGGCATGGGCATCTGGTTCCCTATCCTGGAAGTCATCACACACCTGGCAGTCGTTAGCAATGTGAGTAGCGCTGGGTCAAGGTTCTCTGCGTGCAGCAATACTGAGCTGACTTAACGGTCTGACTTAATAGAAGGCAGCTTCCTGGGTTGCTATGACTTTGCAGAAACTTGATACACACGTTGTGTAAAGAAGTTGGAGTAAGACAGAAAAGTGGGTGGATGTGTTCCATTTAACACCTGGAAACGAAATGGTTCTTTAGACAGAGACTATTATTGTGCCTATCTTGTTCCAGGCCTTTCTGATTGCCTTCACCTCTGACTTCCTCCCTCGGCTATATTACCAGTACACTCATGCCAGCGATCTACAAGGCTACATTGACTTCACCCTGGCCTATGCCCCAAAATCTTTTGTCCTGGAGCACAATGTCACATGCAGGTAGGATCTCCCACTTTTCTGTCTCAGCTGTCTTCCTCATGGGGGACACTGGACAGGTCCATTGCTTCAAAAATTAAAGAGGGCAGGTTCTTGAAAAATAGCTTGCCTATTTTGGGACAAAGTGTTTTCTCAGAAAATCAGATAGTGCAGGATTTTTTAAAAAATTGGAGGGGAGAATCATGGACCACGGCACATGGAATAACATAGCACATACTGTCATAAACATCTGGTATGGCAACCATCCCTTGTGGGAAAACTGGTATAATATTCACCAAGAAACCAAATACAGTGAGATGTGTAGCATGTTTACTCAGAAGTACGTCTCTATATGTTCTGTGGGAAACATAGGAAGTTACTTTATATCAGGGGTCACCAACCCTTTTGAACTAGTGGGCATATTTCAAATTTTGACAAAATGGTGGGGCCATCAGTTTCAAAATGGCTGCCATGGGGGGGGAGCATAACACAAAATGGCTACCATGGTGAGTATGGTATAGGATGCAGAGGCAAGTACCCCAGTACAGTGGTACCTCGGGTTAAGAACTTAATTCGTTCTGGAGGTCCGTTCTTAACCTGAAACTGTTCTCAACCTGAGACACCACTTTAGCTAATGGGGCCTCCCACTGACACTGCGCCGCCGGAGCACGATTTCTGTTCTCATCCTGAAGCAAAGTTCTTAACCCAAGGTACTATTTCTGGGTTAGCGGAGCCTGTAACCTGAAGCGTCTGTAACCCGAGGTACCACTGTACAAGGAAAAACATACAAGGTAGCCACACCACTCTACAGAAATTGCTTAGAGGGTACCCACACATTTTGTCTTATAACTTTCTTTCTAGGAGGACTAGGTGCTGTGTTGGTGACCCCTGCCTTATGCAGAGTCCGACCATTGGCTTCAATATTGTTCACAGTGACTTGGCAGCAGTAGTCCAGGGTTTCAGGGGACATTCCCAGTCCTACTTAGAGATGCCAGAGACTGAACCCAGGATGTTCTGCATGCAGTGCATATGCTCTGCTTCTGAGCTATGTTCCTTCCCACCAGGCTTGTTCCCAGAAAAGCATGCATAGGAATTGCAGCCCTGAAAATAAGCATCTTTTGGCTCCCCCCACCCTTGCTATAACCAAGTGGACAGATGACTTAATATTAATCTTTAGAATGACAACCAGGATCTGAATGCAGAAAATCTACTCAGGTCTCTGTTAGTTTAACTAAAGGGAATTTAGTGGTGGCTTACAGGAAGGCATGGAGAGAAGCAAGACATTTAGTTTGTTTCCTGCAAATGTATGGTTGCTATGCTGACTACTTCAGGGCTACTCAGCATACCTCTTTAACTTACAGCTCTATCTCCTCAGGTACAGAGCATATCGAGAACAAAGTGGCAGGTATTCACTAGCTTATTGGAATCTACTGGCAATCCGCCTTGGCTTCATAATTGTATTTGAGGTTTGTTTCCCTCCAAGTGTCCCCAAAATGCTGCTCTACAAACAAGAGGTCCCATTCACATCTACCCACCTATTACAGCACTTACCATATTTGGGCAGTCCTGTTTGGATTACATCACATGGTGGTGGAAGGAAAGGGGTTGGGGGAGATGAAATGGTTACTGGAATATGCCCCTGCCCCAAAACATAACTTTTTGCACCGGCTCACTTGTTGTTTGCAATCCTAATGTCATTATTTGTTTATAAAGACGCAGTGTCCTACAGTAAGGTAAAGGTAAAGGGACCCCTGAGCATTAGGTCCAGTCACAGACTCTGGGGTTGTGGCACTCATCTCGCTTTACTGGCTGAGGGAGCCGGCGTACAGTTTCCGGGTCATGTGGCCAGCATGACTAAGCCGCCTCTGGTGAACCAGAGCAGCACACGGAAACGCCATTTACCTTCCTGCCGGAGCAGTACCTATTTATCTACTTGCACTTTGACGTGCTTTCAAACTGCTAGGTTGGCAGGAGCAGGGACTGAGCAACGGGAGCTCACCCCGTTGCAGGGATTCGAACCGCCGACCTTCTGATCGGCAAGTCCTAGGCTCTGTGGTTTAACCCACAGCACCACCCGTGTCCCTAGTGTCCTACAGTACAAGATGTCATATGTTGACTGGAGCCTCGGAGACAAGGTTCAAATCCCACTCAGCCATGAAACTCACTGGGTGATCTTGGGTCAGCCCCTGTCTCTTCACCTAACCTCTCTCTTACGATTGTTATGAATATAAAATGGGGAGGGAATAGAGTCATGTACTACACCTCGAGTTCCTTGGAGGAAAGGTAGGATATAAATGTAATAAATAAATAATCCTCTCATTCTGAATTCATTTCAGACATTGGCACGTAGGCAACTCTGTTGTTAGTGTGTAGGACCTTAAAAAAAAAAAAGGAGCCAACTGTGGTTGCAAAGAAGCTATTTAGCTGCCTTAAGTCCTAGTCTGGGGGAAAAAGGCAGGTGATGATGATGATTTCAGGAACCGGTGCTGAGATGGCTTTGATGGAGCTGCCGTTTCTGCAGAATTTAGCAGCTACTGCAGATCTGGTCCAGGCAATATGTTAAATTGCTCCAACTGGATGAGGTCATTGCTACATCCTGGTCAAGAGTCTACTGACAGTGCCACCAGGATGTGCCTTGTTCTGTAAATAATCTACAAATGCACCTTCTTGGTGCTTGTGGAAGTCCTCTATCCCAGCTTATTCAAAGGGAAATGGAATTTGTATAGTAGAGCAATCTGTATCCCATGGATAGCTTGCTCTGTGCTGATCTGTACGTAGTACAACACTAACTACTTTTCTATTGAGTTTCGATGTAATAAAGGTGTCACATTTTAAGACCACTGTAGTAAAGCTACATGTGCACTAGTCCTGCTTTCTGGGACACAGGAGATCCCTTATCATCTTTGATAAAGCACCCCTTAATTGGTGAGATAGGCTCCAGTCATATTTTCGCTGCAATTCCATATAACTGGTGTTTAAAATATCTTTCAGTAAAAAACCGGAGTCATTCCTTTTAGGTTTAATTACAAATGATATTCCTGAAAATCAAAGGAAAGTATTCCTTTATGCAACAACAGCTGCCAGGATGCTTATAGCAAAAAACTGGAAAGGGAGAAAAATTCCATCAGTGAAAGATTGGCAAATTAAATTTTGTGAATACATAAATCTGGCAAGACTCACAGCATACATAAGGGGACAATCGGACCAGAAATTATTAAAAGAATGGGGTTGTGCTAAAGAGTATATGAAAAAACATTGTTCTGGAGTAAGTATATTGGTATGTAATGAATGATGCTTTACAGGGTTAAAGAAAAAGAAAAATGGTGTTTAAAAAAAAAAGTACAAAGGTGGAAGTAATCTAATTAGATACAACAATATAGTAAGAGTAAATTTTTTGAGGTCTTAGAACAAAGGAAGGAAGTCAATACGTGTTTATGTACGTAATGATATGGTTTTTTTCTGTAGATGTGTGCATTTTCGTTTATGTTTAGTTTAGTTTTGTTTCCTTTGGTTTTTTTTTTGTATGTTCCTTTTTTTTGTATAGTATTATTTTGGATTCAATGTTTGTAATTTTTGTTATGATTCTGCATTGAAAATAAAAAAAATTAAAAAAAAATAACTGGCAGGGTGGAGGGAGGAGAGAACACATACACTGGAGTCAGACATGCAGCAGGATTCCCCATCCATCTAGTTCTGAACAGCTGGGCCAGATTGCTGCTGCATGGTCCTGACTTGCTTGCTCCCACTCTGGCAAATTGGGCCACTGACTATCTGCAGCTTTCTTGCCTCCTTTTCCCAGCACGTGGTCTTCTTCATTGCACGTCTGATTGATATGATGGTGCCCGACATCCCAGAAGTGGTGGAGATCAAAGTGAAGCGAGAGCAGTATCTAGCTAAAGAAGCTCTGGCTGAGAACAAGGTAATTGTTTATTTTTAAATATTATTTTGAATCGGTACTTGGATTTTCTCTTCCAAAGACCATCTAAAGTGCTTAATGCCATAAACCTTAACCAAAACTGAGTCACACTGTTCCTGTGGTGAATCCCCTTCTTTGTCTCCTGGAAGAGGTTTCCTTTTACAGGACTAGGTAAAGCAGCAAGGTTCACTTGCTGTCAGAAATATAGGATGTCAATTTCCCTCCCTTTCTCAGTAAGGAGCCTTGCAGCTTATGAGGGTAAATATAACCTTTGTTTCCTGTCTGGCACATGAGTATATGTCCATTGGTCTTTGTCAGGGAATCTTAAGTCTCTGTGCCCACACTTTGAACCATGATGGGGGAACAAAAGTGCTCAAACACACAAGAGTAGCCCCTCTACCCTACCAACATTCCTCCCCAAATAACCTACTTTTACCTTGATACTGTATTATAGAGTTGTATCTGGTGAACTTGTCCTTCTGCTTGCACAACAGAATTGCCCTACTCCATTCCTTGCATGTTTGGGGGTTCCCCCAACCCTCCAAAGCAGATTTTTTGGCGGGGCAAGTAAGTTCTGTTGCACAAGCAGAAGTCCTTGCACTAATTGGACAAGTTCATTAGATACAAACCCACAGTAACAGTGTTTCCCAAACTTAGGTTTCCAGCTGTTTTTGAACTACAATTTCCATCATCCCTGGCCACTGGTCCTGCTAGCTAGGGATGGTGGGGGTTATAGTCCAACAACAGCTGGGGACCCAAGTTTGGAAGACCGTGTTAAAACAATAGCATAGTAATTTTCTTGTATTAGATAACTAGTGACACCGGTCTATCTGTTGTGGGGGGGTGTACCTTATTTTTGGAAGCTGGTATCAAGAACTGGCAATTTCAGCTGCTGATTGCGTTATGTTCCAGCCCGTATGTCAACACCAATCTTTCTGACACATACCTTTTAGGGGAAGGTCTTATATTTTTCCTAGTATGTGTCATTTGACAAAGCAAAGTAAGATTCTGGAGGTTGGCTCACCCTTTGATCACACATACGTCTCCTCTGCTATCATTCAAAGCGTATTGTGCCAACAATCTATGGACAACTCCATAGAATTTTTCTAATAACAAGCCAAGTTTCAACTCTCTTGGTCTCAGGTGTGTTGACTTCAAGGTATTAGGAATTTTGGGCTTACTTTTTTGAAGCAACTTTACTGCTGGCGTGTTACGGTTGAGTGAGCTCTTTGCTTAAACTGCATGCTCCAATTACTTTACCGTATCTCAAGGGTGGCAATATTGAGGTTTGGGTGATAAGCAAATTGAAATGTAAGCTGTGTAGAACTGACACAGCTATGTATCTTTAGGTGGTATAGCAGCTGTCAGTGCAGTGGCATCGCTTACCTGGCTTGCCATCACAGAAGTCACTGTAGGGCCAGTCTGTCATTCCACCTGCAATGTGTTGACCTCACCATCATTGTCTTGCCTGTTAGTTATCACCAGCGACCTCCACGTTGGGAAGACAGGTAAACAATGCTTCTCTACCCTGTTGACTGTTGATTTCTCTTGTGACAGGCCCTCACCGAAGTGATAGATGCGAGAAATCCAACCCCTCTGGCAGAGAAAGCACCATAGTAGGCTCACGATGCTGAAAGACATTCTGGTTTTGATCCAGGCTAAGTTGCCAAGCTTCTGGAAGAGCAAGGGGTGGGGAGGTGAGCAGCCTAGAAGAATTTGACAAAAAGTGACACTTCTCTGCACAAGTGCTGTACTGTAGGAGGAGACTTGGAGCTTTTAAAGGCTTCAGGAATTTGATCGATCCAGCTGCTGCTTTAAGGACTTTGAGAAGTGTTAACTTGGCAAAGGACAAGATATACATGGACAATGGATTAATCTAACCAGCCCACTCATCAGCTCTGCAATCATTTGCCTAACTGAACAGCTTTGTCAGGCTTTCCATGTCCTCACTGCCCAAGAAGTGACTTCTACTGATATTTATAGAGTTATAGTCTAGCAGTGAGCACAGAGGAGTCCTACATTCCTGTTTACAAAGAGGGAGGGCTGCTTTTTAACTTGTGAAGAAGTACTGCTTAGTGACAAGGAATCTTCCAAAGAGGGAAGAAGCTGCATCACTTGAATGGCTTATAAGAGTGAGAGCTGCTCTGATGAGCTAAGGGCAGATTATTGGAGAGTAGCTGTGCACTTTGCTTAGTATGCAGTGGCCAGCTTAACAGAAGATTACTGCTTGAGAAGGCAACCATTTGAGAGCTTGTATTGAGCTTCACAAGCTGCCTGCTCCCCTCTTCCTCTCACACAAGCAATACAAGACTGAGTATTTTCTGCACATCAGTTTGAATCTGCTTTAGCTGGAAGCTGCAATGTGGCATATGCCAAATACTAGTGATTGCAATCATGATTAAACAGTACCCCTGCTGACAGCAAATGGACAGAATCTGTCCAACATTCAGTATGAACAGCTAAAAAGTGCAAGTTCTTTTACAATTGTTTGGAATTAATTGTGAAAGGTTAAGAGTTAGCAGCTGTTCAGTATTTCATTAGGAACGCTGGTAGAAATTTTGAATTAGCGACTTCTTAAAAAACTCACTAAAGTATACAGAAAATAAAGACAACCACTCAAAAGCTGTTTCAGGTTTTATTTTATTTTTTTAGAATTTATAAAATTCCAGTGTCATCCATACTCATGAGCCTTTATACATGTTTTGCATATAATCTCCAAATTCCAAAGTTAAGGCCAAGGGATCATTGCCATGGAAACATAATATGGAAGACATTAAGAGGACATGGAGCACACCTCCGCAGAGCATCTGCTGCAGACTACATGGGACAGAGGGGGTAGAGTACTCTCAACAGTTTGAACAAATGGCTGGGTTGGGGGGCCATGCTCAATGGCAGTTGAAGCCTAAAAACACATGTGCAAGTGATGTGACTGACATTCAGACACCAGGTATACTACTGGCAATACATTAAAACACTACTACCCTGTTTGTCTCCTGCTCAGATAGTAAGAGGGCTTGTCCTGCCCCAAGTGGAATTAGCATAGAGAAACAAATCTCTCCTCCCTTCAGCTAGGTTTACTGAAAGAAAGAGGCTTTCCTTCCTGTTGGGCTAGCGGTCAAGAAAGACAAGAGCCTTGCAGACCTTTTCCCAGTATGTATTAACGGGGGCATAAGCAATCCTGGGGTTCGGTTCTTAGCTAATGGCTCAGAAAAGCTCTTTGGAGGGGAAGGGAGGCAGTAGGCAGAGAGCAGAGTTGGCACCAGACCAGCCCTGGCACCAGCACCTTCGGCAGAAAAGATATATATATATATATATATATACCATGTAATGGCTGGAAGAGCAGCTTTAATACAAGCAGCCTTGTATCGGTTTATGGCAGCAGCTAGAATGCAGAAACTACTGTTGTATGAGGGACATGACAAAAGGACAAAAACATTTGCTGCCAGACTACAGAAAGGCCTTTGCTGAATGTAGGTATTCTCTCCTCCCCTCCAAGAGAGGCTTGATTTAAGACTGAACTGCAATCCAGCTTCTTCAATTTAAGTGAGAGCCACTCCTTACCTGCCTCCCTCCCCAAGGCCTAACCTTTTGTCACAAGACTACAGGCCAAATTATGTGACGGTGGTTAAGACCATCTTAGTAGGAGGGGATGTTTGATGGCATGTAGCCAGGCTGAAGCCACACACAGATCCCTCTGCTCACAGAGGAACAACAGTCATGATAACAGGAAGCAAGAGGGGCTTGACTGAAGAAGCAGGCCACTGTCATTCTGGCTTGAGGTAGAAAGAAGGCAATAGTAAAAAGCAAAAAAGACACACTCTGAACCCTGGTATTTAAATGCCATCACTATCAAGCCTGGGGAGGGAGAAAGAGTAATGTACCCTCTAACACCACACTAATAGCTCACCATCTTCTGTGACATGCTACCATGGCACTTTTGGTTGAACCAAGTTTTGTTAGACCCAATAATACTGTCAGTTTTCTGGTTCCACTCAGCCATACTACTGCTGGGAAGGGAGAACAAAAAAGAGTGTACGTGTCCAAACACTGGTGATGAGCCGCGATTCAATACTCACACCAACAAGGGGAGAATTTTGGTACACTCAGCGATGCAGACTAACACAGCAAGGGTTATGCCCCTCTTAGTGCTTCCTGGGGCCGTATCTCCAGGCTGAACCTCCACCTATCCATTCTGGCCAGTTTCCTCTCCCATAGCAGTATTAGATGGGTGCGTGTTTTGTTTTTTGTTTGGCAGTTGAAAGGGAAAAGTTGATTGCACTCTACAAAGGTAAGGCCTTGGGGAAACAGGGCAGGAGGGGGAAAGAGCAAATATTTTGGCTTTGTAGAAAGTTGAGGAAATGCATTTCCTGAGGTTGAGAGACAGGAAGTAGATTCCTAGCTGCAGTGAGGAGATCTCCTAATGGAGCCTAGAGTGCTTTTTGCAAGGTGTACCTGGGAGGTTTGGTTACTACACCATGGCCAACATGAGATTGAGTGAAAAGTTGAAAGGCAAAAAAAAAAAAAGGGTATGTGTTTTAGGTTGGAATCTACGTGGAAAGTTTCTTCCAGGGCAAGGAGAAAGGAAAGAGTCAAACTGAAGCATAGTGAGGCCTAAGCGCAGGGACAACAGAGAACCTCAAAAGGGGTAGCACTCTAGTTTCATTAAGAGACCCCCATGGGCAATCTGCACTGGATCCAGCCACTAGATCAGAATTCAGAAAGGAAACCTTGTGGCAGGTGGCTGGACAAGATTGCTGCTTCCACGCTATTACCGCTTAGGACCCCAAGGTAGAGTTTTGGGGGCCACCTGAGCTCCAAAACTTGGGAAATCTTCAGAACTGGTCATGTCAGGGGCCTGTAAGGAAACAAAAGCCAAAACCATAACTAGTACAAGTGCTATTGCTGCATTAAACAACATCACTGACTGTATATGAAGAGGAACTTAACTTCTCTACAGATCACTACCAGCCCCGAAAATGCACCAAGAATGATAAGCTTTGGAGGTAGTGTCTCATCCACTGCTACTACAGACAGCTTGAGGGAAGATTTTTCCAACAATAGTAAAGCGGCCTCTTCCAAGATGAGCCTTTTAAAAAAACCAGCTGCACACTCAAGAATGAGGGGCAGAGCAATACAAACCTCCCTTCAAATGGGCTGGGTGGAGGGTTTGGACTGGAGAGAGAGAACTCTCCAGGCTAAAGCTGGCTTGGTCTCACTGCCATCATGTGACAGCATCAGGCCCAACTGCCCTGCACCCCTCTTTCCGTGGCAGCTACCCTGCCTGCAGGGAATGAGGATATAGAATAGAGTTCTACAGTAGTATGATGCAGAAGCAGGATGGTGGAGGTTGCAATAATCCACACCAGTGTTCATAACCCATTGGCAATTTACAGTTTTTTTATGAGTGGCACTGGGAGGAGTAATTGGCTAGGTAAGATGTATCTGGCCTAGTGCCTCAGGTTGTAGTGCAAAAATTCCTGGCAGCTAGGGGGAAACAGACACTGTTGGAGGGCAGGTATTGGGAAGAGAGAAAAAGGATAATAAAAAGAAAGGATGACAGAAGAGAGGGGCATAGGTATTGCGTTTTTCAGGGGTCAGGTGTGTATCGACTTCCATAGCCCATTTTGCACCCGTGTGCTGGCCCCCTAACCGGATACGAGCATTATGACAACAAAAGTGATGGCAGAGTCTCTCGCACCACTCCATTTTCCCTTTTTCTTTTTCCTCCTTTTTCACTCTACACACTAATAAGAGGACTGACTCTTAACTTCATAATGAGAGGACTCATCTCTCCAGCCAAAGTCCTGGCCATCCTTTCAGTACAAAGAGTAACTATCAAGGAAGCAGCACCTACCTTCTCTGTGTTTCCTGGTGTCCAGGGGGCATCTCTCACCACAAATCCCTTTGATGCAGCCTTAGCTTCCCCATGAGCAGGTGGTTTCATGTAGACTTGCATTGCCTCATTGTCCACCACATCTGCCAGCTGCAACACCATACAATCCAAGTTAGAGATGTTTATCGCAGCACAAATTCATGTGTATTTCCCACACACACACACTGCAAAAGGAGCAGTATTTTCTTGATATCACCCATATGTGGTGTATACATAAGAAGCAAGCTGAGAAGTTTGGAAGGTCCACATACTGGCTTCTCTCAAGTACTAAAAACTACCTGGATTTAAGAACTCTGACACTCACATATTCCTCCTCCAGGTTCAGGATATGATCAATGGCTTCCTCCACATTCTCAGGGAGTCCAGTCACAGTCACACAATTTGGATCAGCAGCTCCACTCTGGGGGAAGCGGATGTCCACCTGGAATGACAAAGATTTCAGATCAGCTAACAAATTAAGAGAAAATAGGTCTTTAATTGTCTCATTTCCCTGCATGCCATACACCAGAAGGCTAGAGAAAGCAGAGTGATGAAGACAATACCAGAATATTGAGAGGCCTGGCTTAATTTGTTTAGGTCCCCATATAATAGCGATGGGAGAATCTGTAGTCTTCAAGATGTTGTTGAACTACAACTCCCATCACACCCAGCCTGCATGGGACAATCAGGGACGATGGGAACTGTTCCCTATCCCTGGCATATATTCCCTATTCCCTATCCCTGGCATATAAATCAAGTTGTAGTCATATTTTCACAGTTGTACAGATTTTGTTTCTGTGCAGTGACTGAGTGGAAGTCCTGTCTTGTGCAATTCAGTTGAATCATCAGCATTTTTTCCTGACATGCTCTTAAAGGTGTTTGAAGACCATCTACAGTTACTACTAAAAGCAAGGGTGCATGTCTGGGCAGCCACTAAGTTATTTTCTCACTACAGTTGTACATTGGAAGTCGAACGGAATCTGTTCCGGAAGTCCGTTTGACTTCCAAAATGTTCGGAAAGCAAAGTGTGGCTTCTGATTGGCTGCAGGGAACTCCTGCAGCCAATCAGAAGCTGCGGAAGCCACGTCGGACGTTCGGCTTCCAAAAATATTCACAAACCAGAACACTCACTTCTGGGTTTGCAGTGTTCATGAGCCAAAACGTCCAAGGCGTTCAACAACCAAGGTAAGACTGTACTCATAATCTCTCTGCACAACCAACCAAGTGCCAGGGTTCTTGAATGCATTCATTACACTCAGCAAAAATAAACACCTCTGTTGTCACAGATGACACCATATGTCTATCAGATACCATGTGCCCTTTACATACCTTGAACTCATCCATGATCTTGCGGATGGCTTTCCCCCGCGCTCCGATAATGCGGGCGTGAACACGATGGTCCAGAGTGATGTCCTCAGATACCATCTGCTCCAATTCACCAACAATCTTCATGATGGCATCTCGGGCAGATTCAGTATTCTTCTCATAACCAGTGATGGTGATCTGATCCTGGGACTGAGGCGGAAGTTTGAAGAGTTAGTCCCAGGCCCCTAAAGACAGCAGCACATAACACAGGCCTCTGCGGCAAGCAAGGGCCAACAGCCCGACAAGGCCGCCAAAGAGGCCATGAGGGAAATTGAGCAGATGGTGCTCATTGGAGCTCTGCTCAAAGGAAAGCCCTCTCCATTCTGTGGATGTGTGTAAACAGCCTCCCCCATACCAGCCGCTCTCCCAGAGTTCCTCACCTGAGATTCATCATCCTTATCTGGAAACTGTATAGTGACATCATGCTCTGTGCGGATTTGAGTGATCACAGCCCCTTTCCTGCCAATGATTTTAGGGTGGTATCTGGGCTCCACAGCAACAGTCAGCTTAAAATTTCGCAAAGCCTAGAACGATCAAGAGGGATGTTTTTAAGGATCTGCACAGCTGCTGCCTCTAATTAGGTGAATTATTTGTATCCAACTTTGGTAAATGTCAGATTTAGCTACATAACAGAGGAGTCCTCATACGATAGTAAAAAATATGTTTAACTCCCATCACCTGGAGCTGATAATGCCTTAATATCAAGCCCTTGCTCACATGGTTTTAATTTTTAGAAAACTTATTGGAACATTGGACCTGAATCACAAAAAAACTTGCACCTTGCATTGTAAACACTGGTCTTCATAAGAAGTATTATCTTACAAGCCCACAGAGCATCCCTGCCTCCTGTTGTCTCTCCCATATTGGGAGAATACTTTTGCCTTAGCCTTCCACTCTCTTCTAGGTGGCAGCGATGTGATATAAACCTCTTAGATTTAAATCTTAAAAGGTAAAGGTAAAGGTACCCCTGACCGTTATGTCCAGTCGCGAATGACTCTGGGGTTGTGCACTCATTTCGCTTTATTGGCCAAGGGAGCCGGCGTACAGCTTCTGGGTCATGTGGCCAGCATCACTAAGCTGCTTCTGGCGAACCAGAGCAGCGCACAGAAATGCCGTTTACCTTCCCGCCGGAGCGGTACCTATTTATCTACTTGCACTTGACTTGCTTTTGAACTGTTAGGTTGGCAGGAGCTGGGACCGAGTAACAGGAGCTCACCCCATTGCAGGGATTAAAACCGCCAACCTTCTGATCAGCAAGCCCTAGGGCTCTGTGGTTTAGACCACAGCGCTACCCACAACCCATAGATTTAAATCTTATTACTCCTAATTCTCATGCTCCAAATTATTAAAGCCCTTGGCTCACTTTTCCTCCTTTGTTTTGCTTCATACCATCTCTTCATGCCCACACCAAGCTTTTCCTTGCAACCAGACTCAAAATTTCATGATTCAGAAATGTTGTTTTGGTACATGGTCTGGGACTTCAGTCTAAGCTTCAACTGCAAGTTCTGCCAATTGAGGCAGTGCTAAGACAACAACAGTGACTGCATGGCAGGAATACTTACTAACCCAGAACTACAGAGAGCCACACTCCTCACCTTCCAACATTAGGCATTAAAGCATTGTCTGCATTAACTCATCCTGCTTAAGGCTGCTGACAAGATCCCCCAGTCTCTTCCCACAGCACCACTCTTAAATAAAGCAGGACTAAAATATAGATCTTTTAATTGTTTTTAATATGACAAGGCAGCTGGGAGAGACTGACAAATCACAATAGTTCTGGCACAACACATACCCGATCCTCTTGCTCAGCTTGCAGCTCCTTCACCCTCTCAAGAAGTCTGGCCTTGGCACGGTCCAGGTTAGCAGCAAGCCCACTGATAGAGATGATGTCAGACTGAAGCTCTGGGGCAGGGACTTGGATGTTCACCTACAAAAAATTCCAGGCAGCTATCATTATGTCAGGACTGGGCAGTTGTTGTATAGGAGCATCTTTGCAGCCACCCATAACCTTCACAATCAATATTTCTTCAAAAAACTGGAATTCGCAAGTACTTAAAATTGGGGGAGAAAACCCACCCAAAAACACCACCCTTAATGTATCATTGCTGGGTTTATACAGGCTACTTTAGTTCTTTGTAGCACAAAAAAACACTACAATGAACAATAGGAAAGATGTTATTGTACATCTCAGGTGCATGTGCAAGCAGATGGAGGAAAAATTGTGCTTGACCTCTTTAGTGGTCTTAAGACTGTTTCAACATTAGGATAATCAGTAAGAGAGGTATTCGTATTTTGGCCTATCTGTTCTCCAAAGCCCAAAAAAGGAAGGAGTCAACAGAGAGCCTGCTCACCTCAAACTCGTCCATCATTTTCCTGATTCCAACGCCCTTCTGACCAATGATGAAACGATGAAGGTCGAAAGGAACTTCTACTTCAATGGTAACTGGAACCAGGGCCTGAAGAGGAAAGGCTGAAATTACACCAGCTGCAGAACTTATAAGCAAAAGAATCACTTTGCCAACAAGTACTTGTCCAGAACCCACCAAGCAAACTCTCACCCCAGCAACATGTGAAGCTGTCAAACCAAAGCCGTAGAGTAAAATAATATTCAAGATACTGAGTGTGGGTAATGTCCCACAGCTAATCACCTCAAGAGGTCAATTATTTACCTTTTCCACTCAGGTCAACATTCTGCTTCTTCAGTGGAAATTATTTAATAGTCAATTAAGCGGTCCCGGGAGCCATGTACAATTAAAAGATCCTTATGAGCAAAATATGGCTGGGCCATTTTACAGCACCTAGTAAGCAAAGCTGTATTTTTTCAGGGCATAGCAGCCAACAAATAATCTTACCTGCAGGGCTTCTTTTGCTGCCTCACACTTCTCTCGACGACCAGAGATTATGATAGTATCACATTTCTTTGGGGAGCCAGGATCTGTTTCTTTGTTCTCCTTCCCTTCTCCACCCTCTTTGCCATTCTCCTGGGCTGGCGACTCTGCAGTGGGAGCTATGATCACAGAGGTGAGAAGAGTGACTACATTTTCAACTGGTTAGCCTGAAGTTGCCGGCTTCTTATCTCCAGGGCACCCAAGGGTATGGATTGTTCTCACTGTAAAATTCCTGGCCTAGGCAGATCATAGAAAAGCCCTGTCTCAAGTGCCACCTATCATTATCCTCTGTTAAAAATGCAACTTCCACACCAAGTTTATACGGTTTCCCAGTAGTGATGCCTGGCTGGCTGACATCTTGGATGTGGCCTACTGCTCATAAATGAACTACAAAGAATTACCCACCTAAATAGTCAGTTCTCAATGTGTGATGGGATAGCCTTATTTGGAGAGGCACAGAATCATTAAGAGTTTGCCATGTTTTCCTTTCTACCTAGGTTTTTGGTAGACAATTAACCAACTCTGAAAGTGTGCTGCCCTTAAGACAGGTCTGTAGTAAATGGAGGCCACATTTAGCCAATTCCCAAGGCAACACATCTGAGTTTAAGGAAATTGCATTGCATAAAAAAAATAAAAACCTATGAAAAATTGCCATTTCCCTTCTCAAGCACAGTTACAGATTTTTACAGCTCTGAAAGCATCTCAGAAGATATGAGGCACTTTTGTGTTGCTCCCTGCCCCACCCCACCCCCCGCGGGTGCCTGCTTTTACTGGCAGGCTTGTAAGATCTCGTACCCACGTTCTCCTCTCGGTCTGGGAATTTGATCTGAACACCATGGTCACGGGTGATCTGCTGGATCCTGGAACCTTTGGGGCCCATAATAGAGCGGTGATACTTCTGAGGAATGGTGCATTCTATTGTCACCTGGGCTTCCTAGGGGGAGGAGAAAAGAATTTATTCCTGTTTTTATCCCACTTTCCAGATAATGATTGCCTCGCAAAGTAACTAACATCAGTTTTAAACTCTACTGGGTGAGATGATCCCTCACTTCCTGTATGTGCTGTTTTAGGGTATGACCTGACCCCACCAGAGCCAATCTCAGGGGGCCCAGCCCTATGGGCAAAAGGACACCCTCCTGCTGATGAGGTGAATCCTGCTCAATATTTTCAGAAGATTCGTGTGTTATACCATTTTTATTACTGTGATTTTTATCAACTTCTCACAGTGTCCTTCTGCGGCGTGCCTTCCAATACTGCCAAATGTTCCTTTTAGAATGTCTCTGTTTTCCTTGACAATCTCATCTCTGTCCTTAGGACAGCAAAGTTCTATGGGGTTTTTGGTTATGTATACAATCTGCCAGGATCAGATTGCATGCTGTACTGCATTTATGAATTGTTTGTTTGTTGACTATAATGTGTGCAATAATGGAAGAAAAGTATGACTGCTAGGAAATACATGCCAGGGTTATAAGAAATTAAATCACAAAGAGCAGGTTCCTGCACGTCACGGTCAGACTGTTCCAGCAAACCCTTTCTTTACTTTGGCTGCAATTAGAAGGCTATAATTAGTAATTAAGAATTCTTAGCTAAAGCTTAGAATCTAAAGAGGCTTGTTTCTCAGGTGTTATGAGAGTTTATGATACACCCAGTTTTTGTTTTTTTTAATAAATGCTAGACCAAAACAGAAACAAAAACACCTAGACTAGAAAAAAAGTGACCATGGGGAAGAGAGGCTCTCTAACATGGACACTCACCAAGTCATCAATGATCTCCAAGATGCGCTTCTTTGCCGCTTCCACACAGTCCTTTGCTCCTTTAAGGGTGACCTTGTCACTCTGTGTGCCAGGGCGTGGAAAGCTGACCATCACACCCCCATACTCCTCTGCAATGGTCCGTAGCACCTGCCCTTTCCGGATGACAAAGTGCCGGTGATGCTTAGGGTCCACCGTCATGGAATCTTCAATCACATTGTCCTGAAACACACAAGGCATCGTCACTGCCTGAAAATTCTCCAGGGCAATGATCTCCCTTAAGTCCACATGTCAACATCAAAAGGTTATCCCTTCATATTGACAAATGAAAAGATCCTTTTCCTCACCAGGTTCTTGATGAGCACTTCCAGCTCCTTCTGGGCCTCTTTGACAGCTTCCTCTGTTCCCATGATAGTAATCAGCTCCTGATCTTTGTCCTCCGAGGTGGGGAAGATAATCCGGGCACCAGTATTATCACGCACCTTGCGAATGTTACCGCCTCCTTTGCCAATAAGGAACTTGTGGTACTCCGGTTTGGCACGCAAGTCCACAGTATAACTCTTTGTTTGCTAAACAGCAGGAATAAACAAAAATAAACGCATCAGGATTTGGAGGTATTTATTTACATTCTGGTTGCCATTTCTACTGGAGAAAACTAATATGACAGTCCTACTGAAAAATCTGTGGAGGTTAACAGCTTTGAGATCCAGATGCTCGGAATAAATCAGGTTAAAAGCCCTTTTCAAGGCATGAAAGGTAGGAGTTAAGCAATGTTCATACACAGAAGCAGAACTCTGTTGGCAGGTTTCAGAGTTGCACTATTACAAACGTTCCATCTGTCACAAGCATATTAGCTTGCACAGATGGTCTCTCTCTGCACTGCTCTGGGGTTTTTCATAACACCCCCAGAGCCAAATTCAGTTGGGGGGGGGACACGGGGAGGGGAGCACCATTGCACAGGGTTTCTGCTGACACGGTTTGTTAGGTGAATCCTGCCCTGTATACTTAAACAAACAAACAAACACTGCAGTCCAGCAAAAGTCAAATTATCTGTACAAATCATGCTAAATTGAGTAAGTTTGCATATAGCTACTTTGCTTGTCACAGGAAATATTCCAATGGCTCTATAAGCAATCCCTCTATGCATGTGCAGCGGGTGCTCATGTTAGAGAGGATCACGCCCTAAATATATGTACAATGAATACTTTTTCTAAAGTTAGAATGATAAAACATGGGAAGCTGTTTGACGTAGAGTTAGACCATTAGTCTACCTAGCTCCGTATCATTTACTGTGAATGGCGGTGGCTCCCCAATGTTTCAGAAACGAGCCCTTTCTTGCCCTATCTGGAGATGCCAGGAACTGACGCTGGAGCCTTTTGCATGCAAAGAAAGTACTCTGCCCCATCGTTTCAGCACTCTTCCACCACACCCTCAAAGGGTGGTACAGAGGAGAGTAGAACCAGAGAAGACTTCTGTTCAAATCTCTGCTTAATCCCTGAAACTCACTGTGACCTTGGACAAGACACTTTCTCTCAACTCTTAACCACCCCTGAGAGTTGCTACGAGGGCTACCTTCAACTGCACCAAAGAACGAACTGAGAGCTGCATATGTAGTAAAAGACAAATAAAATGCTTCGTCTGCTAGAAACCAGGAAAGTATGCCAAAGAAAGTGCTTTGAGATTCTGCATTGGCTCTGAATTTCCCTCTAGTGGAGAGACCAGCCTCAGGGCTGCAGACAAATGGAGTGAGACAGTATAGCTAGACAGAGGAGCCCAACAGCAGCTTGCAAACGCCCTGCCATTAAATGCAGTGTAGGCAGATTCCACCTGTTCTGCAGATTTAGGACATGCTGTTTTCAAAGCAGCACCTAAGAACTTGCACGTAAAGGGTGTTTATTTAGTTAGTAAACAAAGAGAGTCAGTTCTGAGTAGCTCAGGATGAAGCCTGGGCCTGTAAAGTTCCAGGAAGTTGCTCTGAAGGCTCCAAGAGAAGCCAAAATTCCAGACAAGCTGCATATTCTTTCGTACCCAGCTGAGTCTCCAACAGAAGGAAGGAGCAGCTCAAGTTGCCCCCCCCTTTCAAGTATAAATATAGTCAGCTGCAATTATTAAAGCAATGATCCCCTGCTCCAAACACCAGACAAAGGGAGCGAGGAAGAACTTTTTCATAGCACAGTAACGTACAATAAATCCTCAATCACCTTTAGCAATCCTGTTGGATTAGCTATCAGCAGGAAAGGGATAAATTTAGGGAGCAGCCATATTTTAGTGGCAGAGTAAATGCATTGCATGTCTGATCTTGGCGTCCATAGTTAAATGCCTTTAGGTAGCAGGTCCAGGCAAGACCTATGCCTGAGACCCTGGAGCACTAATTCTAGTTAGAAGAGACTAGGAGTTCTCAAACTTTCTATCCCCAGGGATCACTTGAGAGAGCTGAAAATTTCTAAGGCCCATCAGTCACAATATGACGATATGGGGCACAGCCAGCCACAAAATGGAAGCAGAGTTTGGCATAATAGGCTAGCAACTGCCAACTTTATTTCCTATTAGAAGTTAACACCCCCCCCCCGGAAATGTGTAAATTTTTGCCACAGTGATTTCCTTGTGACCACAAATTCAAAGCTTATCCATAGGAACTGTGCCGGCAGCACCTATTTTTCCACATCCACGGTTCCTACCTTCTCTTCTGCCAGTTGTAGGAGCTGTTTCTTGGCCTTTTCAACGTCCTGGGCAGGGCCCCTGATGGTGACTGTATCGCTGCCGGAGCCTTCTGTGGGGAAGTGGATGTGAACCCCACCGCATTCCTCCATGATGGAGCGGATGAAACGACCTTTGGCACCAATGAGCGAGTTGTGCAGCTTGGAAGGGATGGAGACCTCCACCTCTGCAATGTTAGCCTGGGGCAACAGCAAGGGGGCAGGGAGAGGCACGGACAGAAAAGAAGAGGTATTTAGGCTTTCCCCCTCTTCCCTCATACAGAGAAATTGTAGGAAGGCACAAAGAACTCCCTCTCCCCAACTATGTGCTCAGGAAGTCCTCCCACCCCCATTATTTCTTATTCAAAACTAAGACTGACAGAGGGAATCTGGGACACGTGCCAGGAACCAGCTGGATGTGTCAGCAAACGACAGTCACTGACTCCATCAGGCAGCACTACCCCCACAGAAGCACGCCTATGTGCTTCAACACGGAGTTCTAGGGGAGTGTCCTCCTCACAGTAAAAGGAATAGCTATTATTCAGAGATACCTTCATATTAAACCTCAGATCAGATGGATGTAAGTTGAAAAATCCTGCCCTTTCTTCTCTTTTTTACAGAGGTCCCCAATTTAATGCATATTAAATGCACACAGAACAACCTGTTTGGGCTTTTCTTTTCTCAGCTGCTGGTGAAAGTGGCAGAAGGGAAGTGGAGAGAGTAACTGAAGCGTCAACAGCACTTCGCTTAAAACGTACCTCTGCTGCTTTCAAACAAATACCTAAAGAGCTAGCCACAAAATCTGGCCGGCTGCTCAATTTCTGCATGCCAGCGATGAGAGGAGAGATATGACATGACAATTCTTTTCGCCTGAGAGGTTTCTATTTAAAGTTAAAAGATTTCTGATCCAGTACCAGGGGGAAAGCAGGCAAGAGGACATCCTGAAAATGCAGGGATGTGAAAGCTACAGTCCTCCAAATGTCTTTAGACTACAACTTTAATTATCCCTCATCACCTATGGTTATGCTGGTTGGGACCAATGGGACTTGTAGTCAAACAGCAGCATCAGTGGGCTATAGGTCCCCCATCCTTGCGCCAAAGCAATGTGTTTCAGATATACTTTGAGATTTTCAGAATGGAAGAGTTTCTGGCTCTATGTTCATTCTACATGTTTACTGTAGAAGATGTACTATATAAACATATTTATTTTATGGTCAGTCAACAAGGGTTTCCATAGTATATAGTGTTCAGTGGGTTGTTGCTTTTAGTTGTAGCACACACTGTACTAGATGGGGCGGGGAATCCCTTGAGAAAAAGCTTCCACAGAATCTAAACTGCTATGATTCAAGGAGTTAAGAGCAACTCTAAATCAGTAACTGACAGAAACCTCCCACAAAGCCATCACCACAAAATCTCTCTTGCAAATAAACAGTGTGATTATTTCTCAGAACTGCTACCTCTTCAAACTTGACTTCTGGAGTTTACTCCAGAATCCCTTTCCACTTGAGGGTTACTGTAATACAAGCCCAAACATCTTCCCAGCATTGTGACCTTTTGATTATGTGGCTTTTATCAGGAACAGCTGAGGGGCAACCAAGATCTTTTGATTTCTGGATGGCAGTTCACCTGGAATATTTGGTGAGTGATGTCCGATAAAGCCAAAAGGAAAACTAACAGACATGCCCCCAAGAAAACCAAGACGTTGCCCAAGAAAGTTGTGATTTCTCTAAGGAAACGGAATCAATCTGCATGCAACTTTTTTTTACTGAAATTGGTAATAGCCATTATGCTGAAAGGGCTGCTTGTCTTACCAACTCTTTTTGGATGGAGAGAATTCGATTGCGAGCAGCTTCACAGTTGGCTCTTTTCCCTGTAATGATAATTGTCTCCGAATTGCTATTCTCTGCTGGGAGATCAATCTTGGTGCTGCATTCTTCACGGATCTACAGCAAAGACCAAAAAAAAGTTAAAGGAACAGACATGGCTGCCTCCTGGGCCAAATATCTAACAGGAGGTATCAGAAATACTGAGAAGTAACAAACTACAAGGATAGCAAGGAAGAATCAAGGAAGTCTCACCTTTTTGATATTTGCACCTCCTTTCCCAATGATGTTCTTGTGGAATTGTTTGAAGATGGGAACTGAAATGGAGTAGCTGTTTTCAACCTTACAAGAAAGGAAGCATGGATGAATGAATGGAATAAAGAATAGACTCAAAGTTGTATGAGCAAATGTGACTTTACCTATGTTTTACTCATTTCTCTAGTAAAGTCTTCCTTTGCCCACGTGGTTTGAAATCAAGCCACAAAGGAAAAGTGGCAGAGGTTTGAAAGCATTGCCGATCCTCTGACTCACAGTGCCAGCAAACCCCACTTTTGGTAGGGAGCTGTTTTTTTTTCCTGACTCCATGTCCTAAATTACACCAGCTGATGCACAGGTAAGTGTGGCTTGCAGGAAACAGCTTCATGAGCCAAATGAATAACCCTGCTGGATCTCATTGAGGCGTATATACCGCTGGTTCCCTATGCCTGATTTAGTGGAATGCTTAGCACTAACAAAGCCCCTGTATTTGCAAACCAAACCGAAAGCAGAGGCAGAGATGATCACCTACCAGATCTGCCACCATCTTCTGCATGTACTTTGTGCATTTTTCCACCTCATTTTTGGGTCCTCTAAGTTGGACAATGTCACTCTTGTGTGAAGGATCTGGGAAGTTGATAATAACCTGCAAGAAACAGTTAATCCAAGATATTGTTAAACAGGTTGCTGAGTCCCAGGAGGTTATTTCCATACTGTGGAATTCAAAACTCAGAGTTTTCCTCTGTGCTCCAAGACATGGCCCTATACTAGTTATTGCTATATGACATCATCTTGCTATAGGTGAATTAGCACAATGTAATATGAGTGAGAAGTAGATAAAAGAGAAGGAACAGTAAAACAAAAACCACACTCTGCTGCAATAGTTGGCTAACACCCACAGCCACCCTTTTTTGTATGTGTCTAAAACAGCACCTCCAAACATTATTTCTTAAGAGGCACAGAAAGAAAGAAAGAAAGAAAGAAAGAAAGAAAGAAAGAAAGAAAGACAGAAAGAACCTGGTGGATAGGAGGCTGCTTTACTTTGGACCACTTCAGGCGAGACCCAGTATGCTTTGAACCAAAGACAAAGCCTCACTTTGATTTTCTAAATTATATTATTGATTTCATTTCTATACCGCTTTATATTTTAAAGAAAAAGATCTCAAAGCAGTTTACAGCACATTAAAACATCAATTAAAACAATCCAGAATAAAACATTACTGAAGAAAGTCAAACGTAAAGTTTTGGGTATCTCCTTCCCGCTATGTAAGTCGAAAGAGACAGTGTTGTCTTGACTTCAATGAAAGCCTGTTTTACATTTATGAGGAGAGGGATGTGTCAGAAAAGCATGAAAGAAGGAGCCTCCTACGAACAGTTGAAACTATTTTGAGGGAGGGGAAAAAAACACAGACAGGATGTACCAAATAGGAAATGATTCTGCCAACCTGATGCCTTTTTTAATTTTAAATAAAGAAATATTGGGGCCAAGTGAATGGTCTAGGACATTAGAGTTGCTGCGGAGTGTGAATAGGAAGCCACTAGGGGCTCCATTTAAAAGCACTATGCAACCCCCAATTACATGGGGGTTCCATTCCTGGTCACCGCATGCATCAGCAGGACGTGCGCAAGACCGCCTTGCCCCACACCCTTTAGGCACTGAAAATGGTGCGAGTGTCAGTGGTCAAATGCACGCTGATCAGGTGCAAGCGGGGAGATGCCTGTAATCAAGTCAATATAAAAATACATTTTAATCTGTCTCTCTGTCGTGTGTGCGTTTCAAAGACTTTTGTTACCTCTGGAAATTTATCCCGGGTATCCCGAATCCGTTCACCCTTCTGCCCAATGATAGTTCTATGGAATTTCTGGTCAATGATCAGGTCCTTTGTGCGTTCATTTTCCTGGGGAGGAAAAATGGGGCGGGAGTCTCCATGATTAAAAGTCCCCATGCTTGAAACACATGTTGTATTTCATTCACACTTGCACAATAGGCAGATCTACCAACCAGTCAAGCTGCAGAGTTTGACAACCCACAAACGTCACCACAATGACGCACCACCCAGGTAGAGAGATAAAACAGAATCGCTTCCCTGGTGTGTGGGAAAGTTTGGCAGGAAGCCTCGCTAGTAGTTAACAGTTCTCTCCTGGACACAGTCCAGTTCTCCATGGCTCACCATACGCGATGCAAGTTCCAGCAGCTCTCTCTTGGCCTCTTGAACTCCCTGAGGGTCTCCTTCAATTCTGATGAGGTTGCTCTTCTCATTGTCTGGAGGGATTCGCACAGACACTTTGTACTGATCCTTAATCCTGTTGACTGCAAATCAAAAAGATTCTGCTAAGAACGCTCGTCCACTGCATATGCTCTGCAATCAAGGCTTCAGAGTTTCAGAACAAGAGGCTTTCTCCTTTAAGGATTACTTGCGCTGTAGGAGACACTGACCTATTCACAGAGGACAAACTAGTAGAGGGGGGAGCGGGATTTCAATGCTTAGTCAACATGATGTTTTAAGAAAGAGACACATATCTTCCCATTGGAAACTGTGTTCAATAGAATAATTAGGAACTGGATGGGATGAGGCATGCAGAGGTTATTTCCCCAAGATTCCCCCCCCCCACATTTTCTGTTATCTATTCTAACCAGAAACAAACTAAGAAAGTTCCTCAAGAAGAACCTCCCATATTTGCAGAGAGCACATTATTAGTTCTCCAGAACACCTCAGTCCTAGAAACCCAGAAGTATAGCTAGAGACCCAGAGAGATGAGATTGTAAGTTATCTCTAACAGGGACAACAGCAATGCATATTACACACACAGGAAGACACTGAACAAGCATTTAACTCACTGTTGGCTCCACTCTTTCCAATGAGATGTCTGTGGAATTTATGGTCAATATTGATTTCAGTATAATCCATCCGGTTAATCTGCAAAGAGCACGCCACAGTTAGCCAGAATCAGGAGCAAACACATACTCCTCTAGCCGAGGAACAAAGAACAGAAACAGGACAGCAACATCAGCCATGACACAATAGATAACTAGCCACTATTAGATCCAGATGTTCTGTTGAGGAAAGTAGCTCAAGCCTGAGCAAAGAGCACACAGCTTGGGGACACTCAGCAGTTTCACCATCACTTGACCCAGATTATGTTTCTAACACAGCTCTTTGTTCCCTTTATGGCCATTCCACTGAAAAAAATCAACAGCCTCCTTTTGTCTCCAGAACTGCAGTCCTAAGCACACATACCAGATGTCAACTCCACTGAACTCAGTGCACTTGCTTTGCTATGGAATATAAATTGCATATTTAATCTAAGTAGGAGGACACAATATGAGGCTTGATGGTTTTTAGTGATGGCTTGCATCTGCACCTTCCATTTTGATAAGATGGCCAGACAAATCAAACTAGGGCTTCTTAACTCACCAGATCCTTGACCATGCTCTCGATTTGTTCTTGAGCCATGTTGACATCTTCAGTGGGTCCCTCCAGAGTAATTCTATCTTCTCCTTCAGTGAATTCTATGTGAACCTTCCAGTAAGGGAGAAAATTCAGCATCAGCATGAAACTACTGAAGAGGGATCCATGTAATGGCAGGGGAATGAATGTGGCAATATGGCTTTTGCCTGCAAGCGAAGATGCTGCAAGAAACCCCTTGAACTTGTGTTTTCTAAAGATGGGAAGGAGGGGTAGGATCTAGGGAACCAGTTCATGGTTAAAAACATGTGCTGAAGCCTTATTCTAGCCAACTGAAGCTTTGGGTGAAAGACAGTTGCCTAGTAGAACAAAGCTTTCTTTGAGGTGGCACTCCATTGGTGGAATTCCCTCCCCAGCCTCATTCAACAAGCATCTACTTGACTAAACCTTAAGCTACCCTCTTTTTACAGATGGTATCACACACTAACAGCTGGTCAGAGCCATTATAGCCAGACATTGGAAAGACGTAGTAGGTGCCAATCTTTTATTGTGGTATAATGAAGTGTGGGATATAGGCTTTTTAGAAAAGCTTACATACAAATTAAGAGTTGGAAGAGGACAAAGCAAAACATTTTTTTGTGATATGGGATGTATGGCTTTATTTCATATGTCCATGATGATTCACACAGCTTAAATCTGCACATATTAAAATAATATGTTTGATTCAGTAAAATATACATGACTAAACCGTGCTCCACTTTTTCCACTATGTATATTTCAATGTATCTTGCTCTACTCGTCTTTTTAGAAACTCTATAGAATGGCCTTCCGGGGTGGCGCCTCCGGAAAATGGCGGAATTCCCTTCGGACTGAAGGGAACCCGCTGCACGGAGGCTTGGGTCCTGCCGCTACGGCGCAGCGGGGACCCGCAAAAACCACAGGCGGAAGAAGCCTGTGGACGTGGGACTCGGCGGGCACCGAGAGCGCTCTCCCCTGTACAGGAGCCCGGTAATGGGCTCCGGAGTGGGAGGTGCGTGGTGCTGTGAGTCGTCTGCTTCCTCCGTGCAGCAAAGCCGCACTGCCGTTATCGGAGAGCGCTGCCTTTTTCCTGGACAATTTGGCATCTAAAACATCTATCCGTGAGTACCTGATCTTGGAAGAGCTGAACCACTTTTAAGACTGGTGAATAAATAAATAATATTGGACTTGAAATTGAACTTAATTGGGACTCGGAATGGGAAGGTCTAAACAGGAAGTCGCCTTCCGTTCTTTTGTTATGTGAAGAAAGCAAAGACAAAATATACTAAAGCCTGAAAATTAAATTTTAAGAGAACTAGAATTCAACATCTAAGATTCTGAACCCCCCCTTTGACAGCAGGAGAAAAAGGGGTTGTATTTGGACTTTTCAATCCTGCGGAAGTGAGTTTAAAATAAAGCAATTTTCCACCGCCCTGAACCAGGAGCGGGCTGTCAGAATTGACGTTCTAGAAGTTTATCCAGCTCGACAGTTAGTTAAAAGAAGGGTAACATTTTGATTCTACTGTTGCCTCTTGAATTTGGAAGGGGAATTTTGGATAAAGTGTTTCTGGAAAAAAAAGATTGTTGCTGTTGCTTTTATTCTTTTTAAAAAAAAATTCCATCTAGTGGAATTTAGTGAAATTGCAACGCAGAGAGATTAAAAGAGAAGGACTATTGGACTATTGTCGTGGGAAAGAATTTTTTTTGACCTTGAAGGACAATGCTAGTACAAAGGCTGGAACAATTGTTCCTGGAAGGTTTTTCAAAACTAAGTGCCCAGCTGGACCAGATGCGTCAGGAGACGACCTTGAGGATGGAAGTTACCAGAGCACAGCAGCAAACAAATGAAATTCAGTTAAAGGCTATACAAGTATACGAACCTGCTGTAGTGACGGAAGCTTCAGAGATGGAGGGACCTTTGGACGGGCAAGATCAGCCTTTGAACTTGATAAATGAACTTGGGACAAACCAGATTCGGAAAGATGAAATGTGGTTAGATTTGGAAATGGGGGGATGGATCGACCCCCCTCCATATGGTTATTTGGACCTTCCGAGTCTGGTGATGGGCTATCAGAGGATTGGAGTAGCCGAAGTCTCCAAGCTTTGTGGAAATTTGAAGTGGTATTATTTGCTGTCTGGCTTGGGCAATGGGTTTGGGATGGACTTGTTGCAAAGGGTCAAAAGCATTTTCTTGCTGGAGCATCCACGACTGGAAAGGAATCATCAACAAGAGTGGCGAAAGGGGCAAGAAAGAGACTTGAGGGCCTCGGATACGAGACAACCAGGTTAAGAGCCGGATTACCGAGGTTAAAAGGACTGACAATCCCGGGTCCAGGGGAGGGGAGGTTGGAAGCTGACTGGACTAAATTTGACTTATTATTTTTTTTTTCTACTTTTTAATATTGGGAATGCTTACAAATGTTTGAAGGATGTTGAATGAAATTACATGACTTAAGTAAGGATTGGTAAATGATTCGTAAAGGTAATGATGCAAGAATTTGGTAAATATTGAATATAAGCTATGAGTTTTAAAGTTTTTATAAGACAAGAGGGAAAATAGAATAAGGAAAAGTAATGACAGATTGTTATGAAAAAACAGAAAGGATTTGCTGTAAAAAATTAAGAAACAAAAGAGGGGAGGAGGAGGAAGGCTAGAAAGGAAGTCACTAGAGATTGTAAAGGACTTAATATTTTTGTTTTTCTGTTTCTCTTTTTTTTTCTTTGCGGCTGGGTTTTCTTTTCTTTTTTGTTTATGCACTAATTTTGTTTTTTGTATCCTTAATTTTTTTTTTTTTTTTTTGGAAATTTTTGTTGTTATTCTTTGAAAATTCAATAAATATTAATTATAAAAAAAAAAAAAAGAATGGCCTTCATCAGTACACTTCAGTTTCTCTGTACAGTACTACCTCGGGTTAAATATGCTTCGAGTTGCGCTCCTTGGCAACCCAGAAGTAACAGAGCGCGTTACTTCCGGGTTTCGCCACTTGCGCAGACACTCAAAATGACGTCACGCGCATGCACAGAAGTGGCGAAAAGCGACGCGCGCATGCGCAGACATGCCGTCACTAGTTACGTTTACCTCTAGATGCGAATGGGGCTCCGGAACGGATCCCGTTCGTATCTAGAGGTACCACTGTATTTTGTAACTTTTTGTGTTTTTTATATTCTTATTCTGTATAATTTTCAAAGATGCTCTTTAGTGAACGTTCAGGACAAGGTGCTTCAACACTGTATTTTCCAATCAAATGTTTAATTAATAGGTTATTTACAGAAAACAACTTAGGCATTAGTTGAAAATTATATGCAAACTTTGAGGAGCACTAAGTTTTTTCACTGGCTGTGTTTAGCTGCTGTTTGGCCCTATTTGTGGTGAAATTGTTTGGTTTTTTTACTGTTAAGATAAAAAACACAAAAACACAACCACCACAAATTCAAGTGTCTCTGAAAAGCTGATCCTATCAAAAAGGGTAATGGTGACAAGTGAAATCTGCTTTCTCATTTTCTGTCTTGCTGCCAACTTAATTTCTCCCAATTTCACAAGTGTAGAAGTTACTTGGAATCTCAGGCTCATGTTTCAAAATGCCCCGAAAGTGTGGTAAAAAGCCACAAGGGCTTTCAAGGTTTCAATTTCTCTATTCCTTCTAGGAAGACCAAGATGAGACTCTTTGCAGACTTTGCCCCTCAGACTACAAGTCTGCCTCACAGCTAATGATATATATGTGCACACACACCTTTTGAGACATTGCACTCTAACAATCCCTCAATTCCAACACCAATAGGTGATAATTCACTTCTGAGGTGCTCATACCTTTGGCATTTGCTGGGTGATTTTGGCCAGGTTTTGCCCTTTCTTGCCAATGATGAAACGGTGAAGCCAAGAGGGGGCGGAGACAGAGGAGACTGTGAAACTGTTGGCCTAAAAAAGGACAGTGTTGTTATGAAGAAATTTAAAATTCAATTACCAATATGCATTAACTGAAACCACTCAGACGCCGGATCACTCTAGTTCCCATCGCAATCCAGTATCCTTAGCTGAAGGATCTTGTCGGGTACCAGACAAGAAGTTGCAGCGTTCAGCAAAACACAACAGCTTAAGAATATTATTATATTATAACAGCTATCTATTAGCATTTTTATGCAGTATTTGTGAAAGTTTATTATCACATAACAATTGCCCAAGGCCCAACTGTGGCCCTCACCTGAATGCCATGAGGCCCACACTGTTCCTGAATTCAAAGCCCACCCCCCACACTGCACAGCGATTTAGCCCTAGGAATAGCTGAGTGGCACTCCAATAGGAGCTCTCCTCACCTGTTCCCAGCACTAAACAACTGAGTAGCAGGGGGTAAGCACGTGACAGAACCTCCCCATCCCTGGACAGAGAAAGGGTGAAGGCTGTCTGTCTCTTTGTTTATGTGTCTGGGGTAGGGGTGTGGAATCTGTGTCCAGTTAATGCCCGCTGCCACCACCCGCTTCACTCACATGTGCTTCATCCACTGCCCCCCATTTCATGCAGCAAAAAATGTTGTCCCCATTGTTGACTGTAACTGAACACACCATATGCATGCATTCTGAGCCATGCTGCATTCCAGCAATTTAGCAATCCTAACAAACGTACTGACTACCAGAAAGGCCTAGCTGCGTGGCAACCTGGTTACCTTGGCATAGACTTCAGTCAGTGCCTGCCCAAGCTTTTCAGGTTCGCCACGTAGTATCACAGTCTCTGAGCTGCTGTCTGTGGGTGGTATCTCGACCGAGACTCCAGTTTTCTCCAAGATCTCCTGCAGGGAGTTCCCTTTGGGACCGATGACGTACTTATGCTGGGACTTCTTCACCTCCACAGCAATGGTGGTAGTCTTCTTCTTCTGTAGGGAGAAAGGAGTTAGGGCATCAGTAATAAGGGCTAGGGAAAAAGAAAGGGGGTGCGTTGGGGAAGTCACCAGTCAATCTCTAGGATTAGAAATGGGGCAGACCAGAAAAGGAAACTTGTCTGTGTGTGCTCTAAAAGGAAGGGCTGGATTTTCAAACAAACAACAAACAAACAAACAAACAAACAAACAAACAAACAAACCATGAAATATGCTAAGACCACAAGCCATCTTCTCTGTCTTTTTATATAGGAAAGACACAGAAAGAGCACATCTGTGAGCAGTTCAGTCCGCCATAAAGGCTTCCTGTGGTTTTGCTTCAGCTACGACTTTAAATACAGCTACATAATCTTGATTAGCTAATCAAGCCATCAGTGGATCTGTGTTTGTGCATAAGTTGCAGTGAGCAAGTCTCATGATTCTGTAGGTAGTGTGCTCTCCTAGCGAGCATCTGTCGCAAGCTGCTAGGAGAATGAGAACACTATACGTCTGTCCCAATTCACATTTGTGGAGGTGAAGGGAAGAGCACCCCACAAATCAGAGGGAAAAGACAGCTCAGTGCTGGTCTGTGCAATGTGGCACTGCTCAGAGACCACGAAGAACCTTACCTTCTCCTCGTAGATCTTCTTAACACAAGCAACTGCTTGGGCCAGCTGCTCCTTTTCTCCAGTGAAGACTATCTCCGTTCTGTTGACGCTGGGAGGTGGGATGTTTATGCGTGTCCCTGTCTCCTGCATGATCTCACCGACCAGCTTGTTGAAAGGGCCAGCAATGAAGGGATGATATACCTTCTCCACCTCCAACCTTTCAACTGCACGCTTATCCTGGGAAATAAAGCAATATGTGCACGTTCTATTGTTTTTCCTACACAGCAAAGCCTAATATTGCAAGGAAAGAAGTGTTCCAAGCAGATGTTACCAAAGGATGTCAAGCCTACAGGAATTTCACTGAAATTCCTATACTCCTTAGTGTGAAGCTCTTGAGACTGATGTTCACATGCCTCCAGCTTTTCCTGAAACATTACTCCTCCCTTCCCCAAAAGTGGCACCTTGGATAACCTGAGTGGGCTGCAGACACGTGGCTTGTTAAAAGCAGAGCCTGGATCAGCAAGGTTATTAGAAGTGCTGTGGAGTGTGGGATAAAGGAAGGACATTGAAGGCAGAGGGAATTCAAAACAAGACTCCAGAAGAACAAGGAACAGAGTGGGGTGCGGGAAGACTATTATATGATACAGTTCACCGAGATTGCTGCATCAGTGTTTATTCTTAACAGTCCACGTAATCCCCAAATATATGGGGAATGGAATAGGGGACTTGGTTTGGTTTCGGACAGTCTATGGGCAGCATTGCATGTGCAGTGGTTGAAAGTGCAGATGCAATTCATCTGGAAAGGCAACTGAAATAACCAAAAAGCCTAGGAGGTAAAGGATGATCTCCTTATTCCAGAGAACCCAACTCAAGAGTAACCTGTTTCCCAGAAACCCTCCAATTGTCTAACCAGCCTCATGCCTTAGGGCCGCTCTACATATTGATGACTGTTGTGGGAAAAATGGGTGTGTTATATGTGCATTTCCTGGAGTTGTCATCAAAAGGTGGTGCCACCTAGAGTTTAACCCACAACTATTTGGATGCAGGTCGCTTCTCAGCATGACTGGACCTGCACATTCCATATACATGGCAGGTAGTAGAGAATAGCATATAGAGTCTTGGGCTGCAACCTGAATCCAATTCACCCTTAAGGCTTTGGGGAGCCACCATTGCACCTGCTGCCTGGCTGCTCACTCTAGCCGTGGGGTGGGAGACAAGATGCTCAGGCAGTCTTGCTCAGGTCTCACAGCTGATCTGGCCTACCATCAGTGCTTGTATGTCCCTTTGCAGATAGCATCCCCACCAGTTCAAAGCCTCAGAATGAGGTGTTCCAAGGGCAGGGAGGGTGGGGACTGAGCCACATAAGGATCCCTGTTTGGTCCAGACAGCATCCGTCCCAGTCCAGACCTGATCACTGTGCTGATGAAAGAGGCACTTGGATTGCTCTGCCCAATCCTACATAGCTTCATATACAAAACATCTTGGTAGTCTGTTTACCCAGAAGTCCAAATGATGTTAATGGAGCTTATTTTTCAGATGTGCATGTTTAGGGCCATAGATTTTAACCGCCCGGAAGAGCAGAACAGCAGTACCTGTAATGTCTTATTTGCTCAGTATAGTTGCTTATAAAACTACCCAATCTGGGAGGTGCTGTTCTGGTCTGCAGAGGCCAAGACTAAGTCAGCTTGTCTTAAAAGTACTCCCCTCAGAAAAGGCGTAACGACGGCAATGTTCCTCAGAAGCAGTAAAGGTGGGAAGGCTGCTTACCTGCTCAGCAGAGATCAGCAGGATCTCATGCCGCGCCTTCTCAATCCCTTCCTTGGTGCCGGTGATCTTGATCTGGTTGCTGGGGTCATCCGGGCGGGGGATCTGGATCTTAGTGGCAGTTTTGAGCTCAAGGTCCTGCAACTTCTCTCCACTTTTGCCAATGACAAAGCGATGATGCTCCTTGGGAATGGGCACCGTTGCTGAAGCCTACAACAGACATCAAGATGCGGGATGAAGCTGCAGGCCAGTTCCATGACACGGATGTGTCTCTATCACCTTAAGGCAGGGATGAGAAAACCTGTAGCCCTCGGCCTAATTTCATGCAGAAGTGAGGGGAGAGGAGGAGAAGGAAGTTGAAATGGATGGTACAATGGAAGGAGGAGGAATAAACCCTCAGCAACTGATCGATAGAGACTTCTGTAAAGAGCTATATACTTCTCTCCCGGCAGACTGCTGTGCGGGGGAGTGTGTCTGCCCACCACTAGCACCCGACAACTTATCGCCAAGAGAAAATGGCTGCTCTCTCTCTCTCTCTCTCCATTCCAGCCCTAAAGGTTGGGTTGGCCAATCCAACAGAGCTGTTTTGCCTTGAATGCCATAATGGAGGACAGAATTTCAGCAGTGCAATTTCTTCCACCATATGCAAGAGGAAGTGGCGGCGGCGGGGACTGTGCACGTCCATGTTCACCACTGTATACAACTATCAGAGAAAAGAGGTGTTTATCCAGCAGAATCAAGTAATAAAGAGATTTGCATGAACTGTACTACTTGAGGTTTCAGGTAGAAAAGCTCTCTGTCTACTGGCATCAGGCAGGCACGTTTGCTGAGCTCTTTTCAGTGCCTACTTAAATCATTTTTTGTTTAGGCAAGCCTATCCAGACACATAGATGCTGAAAAATTACAATCTTTTACTTATTAATTATTGATCATTCCAATATTTCTGGTAAACCACTTAGAGGTACCTACATTTGTTTTTTAAAAAAATATGTTTGACTGCTTCCCCAAATTAAGAAAAATAAAAGCCCCTGCCAAGTTCTCCCAGGCACACATTCTGTCCACTCAGCTTTATTAAGACTCAACCTAGCCTTCTCCCTCCCTAACATAGCATTTCATTCAGTAAAGTTATGTGGGTAGGCGAGTGACAGTGGAAGGAAGCATTCAGCCAGCATTCAGCCGTGCAGACTCCCATCTTCATTTAAATTTCTCAGTCTTCATTGGAACAAAAGACTCCCAGCTGCAGTGTGAATTGGAAACACTTCAGAACAAGCTCAACCACTCAGACTAGCCTGACTGTATGATCTCTAGACTCTAATGTTGTAACACAGATTAAGCATAATTATGTTGAACATACCCCTCAAGCTATTTCCTATGTCCTTTCTGAACCTATTAAATTTTAGATAGAATGGGATATTAGTATTTCCTTTGGTGGAGGGCATAATGCCCAAGTAAGAGTTTTCCATTGCCAGAGGGGCTTATGGGATAAATCAGGATGCTCTAAAGCCCTGACCAAGTCCCACTCGAAAACTTAGTCATGGTGTCACAAACACAGAGAGTTAGTTCAAGGTTCTCATTTATCCAAACACAGAAGTTCTCAACTGCAAGCTAAATTCTGGTGGTTGGCAGACAGGCTACAGAAGAGTTGAGAATATATGTACTTGCCCATGCACCCACTTTCTCTTTCCTGGTGATGGAGACAGAGCTCTGCCCATGATTTTCATAGCAGGATTTCAGACCAGGCAGGCAAAAAATAGGTCACTTAATGTCACTGTGATATCAAGTGAGTGGCCATGCCAACCTGTCAAAATTTGGCCCACAGTGTGTATGGAGATAAGGGTCTGGCCCCAGCCAGCCAATTCTAGCTCCCTACCAGTTTTAGCCAGTTACAAATTCACAAGACAATCCATCGTCTTATACTAGAACTGCTATGTTTAATCAGCTACCTTTGAGGGACTTCACACATCTACCAAAACCTTTTGACAGATGTCTTCATGATCACCCCATCTACATATTTACTGACATCCCACTTTTTTCTAAACACAATCCATTCTAAACTGGCTCATAGAATTCTTTGGGCCATCTAGTCCAAGCCAAGTCTAGTACTTTAGTACTTAATTAGCCAACAGCTTAGGGCCAATGGGCATTAGCCACCTTAAGGGATGCAACACCCACCACAAAATGATGTAGGGGACTCAGTCCACTTTCTCTTGCCAAGGGAGTAAAAGGGTTGGATGCTGTTCTGCCCATCACTCATGCCTTGCCTCTCTTAAGGTAGCTGTAGCATCTCTCCTCTAATGTTGCCAAATGCTTTGCCACAGAAAGTAGTGGGGAAGAGATCCCAATTTCAATGTATTCCCCCCACCCACTCCTCAGGGAGCACTGAGCTTTTGGAAGAAAAAACTTTGGAGAGTACATAGTGCTACTGTTCACCATAAAAATCGATCCCATTGTACCTCGTTAACACCCATGAATGCACCATCTATAACAATCACCAGGTTCTGGCTTCTGGAGAGATTACTTGCCTAACATTGGCTGCTAGAAAAGTATGTGGGGAGGCCATGGTTAATTAAACTGCAATTAGCTTTTGAAGCTCAGTTGAAAACACATGGCATCACTCCAGTGACCTTCCATGCACTTAAGATGCACTGCAAAGGTGAGCTGGCCTACTAAAATCTATGTTTGCTTTTATGAGCACCCACACCTTGAGGAAGGTCACACAGTGGGAAGAGGAGAGAACCAAGTCGCTCACCTGTGTCTGAAGCTGAGCTACGATCTTCTTTCGAGCCTTCATCACTGCTTCTAGCTTGCCAGAGACCATGATCGAGAGTCCCTGATCCTTTGCGAGAGACAGCTCCAGGTGAGCTCCCGTCTTCTGCATGATGTCCAAGCAGATTTTGGCCTGCTCCCCTTCCCCAAACTGGTTCATGTCCTTGTATTTCCTCTCTTCCAGCGGAACATGGAACACCTGCTCAGGTAAAAGGAAGTTTTGTTCAACTTAGAACAATGGTAAATTTACTCCCCTTTTGCAGATGAGCAGAGACACTTCTGCTGTAACAAGACACTTAAGCACTCAACTGATAAATACATACTGGGCACAACCCTCCATGATGTGATTAAGTGAACCCTTAGATTTCAACACAAAAGGATACTTAACTTTTAGAGTGGAGGCTACTTTTGGAGGTCAGCTACCCTGACCACCCCTTTAGTTTATCACAGGATTAATGTAGCATTCAGGGCTCTGATGTCACTGAGTAAGATCAGTATCCGGGAATGCCCCAGACTACACTGACAGAATTCTCCAAAAACTGATTGATCAAGCAAATGCCGTCTTGCTCCAAATAGTCTTTAAGCTAGCTCTTTATTGCAACACTTTCTCCCCTGCAACAACATGCTGGGGGGCTACTGAAAAGCGTTTGTCTTCAAAGCTTACAGTAGAAAACCAAGTGTTGGGTAAAAGAGGAGGGAAATACTCTTTTGTACTGACCTGAGTGATGACAGAAGCCTTGATTGGTCGGATTTTACTCCAGGCACCAGCAGGTTCCTGGGCTGGCTCCAAACATGCTGCTTTCTCAGGGAGAGGAGGGAAGGCATCCTTGTAAGTTGGAGGGTCATTTTCTTCTTCAGCATTTAAAGCTGCAACTAGAGTTGAGCAAGCAAAGAAACAATGAAGGATTTCATACACAAATAGTGCTCACCCTGCTGATTTCCAAACATGCTCGAGTTCAGCGGCAGAAAACAAAGGCCACAACTTTTAAAAGAAATGATTGAAACCACCAAACAAAATTAAGCAGCTTTCTCTTTGGTAAACCACCAGTGGTTGTTTCTGTCTATCAAGCGATTAGGAAACCTTTATCTTTTGTGGAAATCAGAGTTAATATTGACATTTAACACACATGCCCTGGACCCTCACCACCCTTTTTCTTATTGCAGCCAATGGAATTATGGGATGCAGGTTTGGCATGAAGAACAAGTGGATGATCAGTTCAGTCACCTCTAGTGTCAGAATGACCCCGCCTGAGAGTTAATTCCAAACTATTGACACTGGCTGTTGTGTAGCCGACCTCTTAACATCTTGCTGAATTGGCAAATTATTTTCTTATTGAGAAAGGGAGGACCAGCAGCTAACTGATCTTCCTCTGCTTCTTTTGTTAATGTTTTACTTGGGAGGTAGGACATATTTTGCTTACAGGCTGACCCATTGATGCTGCTTGACTTCAAGGAGCCCTTGGTCATCTATAAAATTCATTTCGGCAATTTTCACACGGCTTCATGCAACGACTTAGCAGTCCCTTGACAAACTAAACTGACCTGGTACCTGATCACGCTTATTAAACCCCATTCATTATTCAATTTACACCTGCCTATTACTTACACTACCTTGTGACAAAATAGTAAGATACTATTCTCTTGATAAGAGCAGCTAACAGGATTGTATGGAAGAATGATTAAACACGGTAAAGTTAAGCAGTGTTGGCTGCTGCCCATATATTGTAACTTGCTCAACACAGCACTATGAAGGACAGAGAAGAACAAATATTTAATCGTTTTGGTGGTTGTGATAAGGCTTCCAATATAGAAAAATAGGATTAAGAAAGTCCAAAAGATCGTTTAGCTCACCCCCTTCTCCTGATTAACCTAGCATTAACCCATGTGATGAAGTGTATATAAATACACCACATGGAGAGAGGGTGCACATTAAGGAACAGCTTGACAGAATGAAAAGAACTAGGAGAAAGAACCTGCAGGTCAGACAACTCGTACAGTGGTACCTCGGGTTAAGTACTTAATTCGTTCCGGAGGTTCGTTCTTAACCTGAAACTGTTCTTAACCTGAAGCAACACTTTAGCTAATGGGGCCTCCTGCTGCCACTGCGCCGCCACTGCACGATTTCTGTTCTCACGCTGAAGCAAAGTTCTTAACCCGAGGTACTATTTCTGGATTAGCGGAGTCTGTAACCTGAAGCGTATGTAACCTGAAGCGTATGTAACCCGAGGTACCACTGTATTCTGAACCTCTCTTACCCTTGTATTTTGTTGTTAGCCCTTTGCCACAGAAGTATCAAACTTACTGTCTCATTCAAGCAACAAAGACCCCAGGAAGGCCAGCTTGCACTCCCTCCTACAACAGGGGTGGGGAAACCTTCTTCAGCCTGAGAACTGCATTCTACTTGACCAACTCTATGGTAGCTTGGCCAACCCTCCATCACCAAAAGGAGTATGGTCAAGGAATAAGTGGGCGAGGCCACACACACAATATCTACACAAACACACACGCCTTGTAAAAGGTTTAAATGCTTTCACACCCCAGCTGAACCCTCTGGGAAGGTTCTCCCACTATAATTAGACTAGAAAAGGCCTTATTAGAAGGCTCCCCCCTAGCCTAAATATGGTGCAAGGGGCATTTCTGGAGGTATGTTAACTCTTCCTTCCCCAGCTGTAACCCCCACCCCCTTCTGTGCCACAATTAGGCTTGAAAAAAGCTTTCTCAGGGAGAGAGGGGAAGTAGGAAAAGCAGCAGATGTTGAGGGCTGGGTAGGGAGGCCTCAAGGGCCACATCCAGCCCTCAGGCTAGTGGCTCCCCAGCAAACAGTGTTAGAAACTGAGATATGAAAGCTAGGAGCTAAATGGCACCTTGAAGCTAGGTTCTGGGTGCAACAACGGAATGTCTACGCACTCTTTTCTTATAACAAGAATACAAAGCTGAAAATGAATGAACCGTAGCTAAAATATTATGTTCATTTTTCACATGATCTAGTCCTTCCCCTGCCCACCCCCCTAATATTCTTAAGAGGGTCTCTTATCCAGTCTTCAGAGAGTAGCTGGAAGTGGGGAAGCAGAAAAAGGTCCTCCTTTCCTTCCACTCTGCAGTTTTATTCTGAAATCTATGGCGCAGTACTGCGCCCAGAGCTCAGAAAATGCGTGCACTAAAGAAATCCCCGGTCGCAAAATGTGCCTAGAACAATGGGAGTTTTGAACACTGCCAGCAAAGTAATATTTGAGTATGTAGTAGAAGCTGAATATGCCACTTTCATGCAGAAGTTATCAAAAAGGGATTTTCCAGTAGCCTTGCCTTGCAGTCTTACCTTTCACTTGCTGCTGAGCAAGGCCGCTGCGATGTTCAGCAAAGCTCTCCTGGGTCAAAACTGCCACGGAGCTCATGGTCGATTTCCCACCCACGCACAATCCGGGTATGCCACTGGTAGCGCAAAAGGGGAAACACCGTAATAATTACTAGCAGGATGCATTTAAATAGGGAGGGGAAGCAGAAGTGGCGTGACTGGCCACTTGCCTGGCACAAGCTGAAATTGTCCCTAGCTGAGCACCTCTTCCTAGCCACAACTATTTCTCCTATGGCTGTAAGCAGTGCCTTTCTTCCCAGCCAGCCTGGAAAAACACTGATCCACTGCTTTCGCTGCTGCATGGTATTACTTCAGTTATTCCTTTGAGGCTGGGAAAGGTGGCTGCAAAAGCACTTATTCCCCCTCTAGAAGCAACAGCAACATGCCCACCGCCTCCTCAAGCAGCCTTAAACGTCAGTGACAGTAAGCTGCACTAATATGAGGAGCTGTCGGTTGAATTTTTAACATTACAAAATATAAAATGATAAGATGTTATCTTGGGAAATTGTTGACTAAATCAGTCTGCCTTTGCTGCATCTGCCACAAATAGTGGGCTATTATAGATGTAACTCTAGTCCTCTTCACATGCAACCTCAGCACGTATTTTTACACATTGTAGGGCAGAGAAGTGAACATTAGCCTTATATGCTCCCCCATAATACACAGAACCTTCAATATGACCAGAACCTAAATCAGGGATTTAGGTGCATCAACATTACTTCACACGCAGGGTTTAGTTCCTTTACCAGTCTGACAGCAACAGCCAATTCTAGATATGTTAGAATAAATAGAGCAGCCTGATTTCTTTGAAAGAGCAATCTAGCCAATAATCACTTTGCGATTGTCAGAAAGTAAAGAATACCTGGAGGTGGGGACATATAACCCCAACCATCTAGGTTAACTGGGCATGTGCAAAACTCTCTAGCACTATTCTGAATGCAGTTATACAAAGTTAGCCTTCAACTGTCTCAGAGAACAAGTTAATTGTGTGCCATGTTAAAGGTACTTACTTTTTAGCCCTGCTGCCTCTTAATTATAAGAATTAGGAAACAATTTGTGAGAAAGGGAACATAATCTATTTTCACTTTACAGTGGTGCCCCGCAAGACGAATGCCTCGCAAGACGGAAAAACCGCTAGACGAAAGGGTTTTCCGTTTTGGAGTTGCTTCGCAGGACGAATTCCCCTATGGGCTTGCTTCGCAAGACGAAAATGTCTTGCGAGTCTAGAGATTTTTTTTTCGCTTCCCCCCCCCTTTATCTAATCTGCTAAGCCTTTAATAGCCTTTAATAGCCTTTTAGCAGCTAATCCCCTAAGCCTTTAATAGCCGCTAAACCGCTAATAGCGCTAATAGCGCTAATCCGTCAATGGGCTTGCTTCGCAAGACGAAAAAACCGCTAGACGAAGACTCTCGCGGAACGGATTAATTTCGTCTTGCGAGGCACCACTGTATCTACACAATTGTAAACCTCTTTTCTGTCCCCCTTAATTATCTTGTTTCGGAGCTAATCTAGGTATTTTAAGCATTTACACAGAATTTCTCCCCTTAATTGTTTTATCACTTTTTCTACTTTTAACTTCAGTATTATTGTTATGAGGAGATGGGAATATTCAAGGTACGGGTTTAGCAAGAAACACTATTTTTTCCCTTTCCTTCTTACTGGAACACTAGAAACAATAATTCTTAAAAGCAGCAGCAGCAGATGAAGTTCATTCCGCATTGGGCTATCGTTTCCTTTTAAAATACCAGCTTTAAGTGCAAGCATGCATGCGCGCGCACACACCTTGAAGAACCATTCTTTGTTACAGGTAATTGCAGGAGTATTTCAGGTAAGTCATGTGAAATCTATGAATAATTAATGGGCACTACTACTAAAAACAAGGGTGGTAGTGAACTTAATAGCTTTGCTAGTGCAACAGGATTTCCCCCTCTCTTGTCCCCCTGCAACACCCCCAAACTGCTCACAAGGGTAAGGGGAGACTGCCAGAACAGATTGCATGGGTAAAAGCCAAAAGATTTATACTATCTGAAGAGAAACCAGATTGCATGGGTGGGGGGAGGTGGAGAACGTTCCATTGAGCAAAGAGAAAACCTTTCACGGGTTGAATTTTTTTAGCGCTATGCTGAATACAACTCCTAGCATTCAATAGGACCATGGGCCAGAAGTCTGACATACAAACTTAACCACATAGATCTGTAAACTTACCAGCTAAATGGTCAGTAGCCAGAAAGTCCGTCCTGTGAGCTGCCTGTTTGTCAGCCTGCCAGCTTCTGCTTTGGGGAAAGAAAGAAACAATAGTTATTCTGCTCTAAGAGTGCTAAAATTCCTTGAAATCACAATACAGTTTCATGAGTTTGAAAATCACTCAGGTAAACCTGAATCAGGATCCGAAGTGTAAATTATTATTTTTCAATAATTAATTTGCAACCTGCCTTGCAACAAGTGTACTTCCCCACAAAAAGCAAAACACAGAACAGACAAGTAAACAATTTAAAATCAACACACAAAAGGAGGAGGAAACGTCACTGTTCATATCCACATTTCAGCACATTCTTAACCCACTCATCCACATATAATCTGAATGCTGAACATAATGAATCTATACAATCAAAGGTTATACCAGCAACACTTAGTATTTTATTTCTAGAAAAATAAAAAATTGTACTAGCATTTTGGGTGCAACAGTACAGCAAAGTGTTCTGCGTCATCCAAATAATCTCATCAATTTCAACTGCAAACAGTAATTTAAGATTTCCTATGGACTTTGGGCTTAACTGCCTGTCCATTCTCCAGCACAAAACTACCCAACGTAATTTTAGGCTAAGAAACAGTAAATGAATAGCAGATGTAAGATATGAATTTGAAGTTTCATGGCTGTAAAAGCATCTCCAACTGGGTGACACACAGAGAAACGAACAGATTAAAAACCTGCCAAGAAAACGGACATCAGTCAGAAGATAGGAATGTAGTTTAGTGGAGCCTGGGTAAAACATGCACTTTCTTACAATCAGAGGCTGAGAAAAGTACAGTTTTATTAAATCAGCTCCTGGCAATTCTAAGCTCTGATATGTGCATGTGCGCGCACACATGAACACACACACACACACCAGCAATGCCCAACTTGTGCACATGTGTATGTGACTGGCATTTTGAAAACTCTACATGAGACAAGAGCTCCAAACTTGACTAGAGATCTTTGTTTGAAAACAAACAAGTTACCAACATATTTCCAACATCCCAACAGGAGTTCAGTGGGAGTTAGATGTCTAACTACAAATACCTGTGCTACTGGGTAAAACTGATCAAACCAGCTTAGAAAAACAGCAGCAGCAGCAGCGGAGACAGTCAGCATTTATGGGAAGGGCCATAATCTACTTTGAACATTTCTTGGAACAAGTGCAATCCCAGCAAAGTCAGCTTGAACGAGGCTGGAGCACCTTCGTATTTCGCTTTTAAAACTAAATTTGAAATGCACACCTGTAATCACCTAAGAAGCATGTAATCACTGCTCCAGAAGAAAAATGAAGGACAAGGATAGGAGCCTAAAACTGTAATTGTTGGGAAATGACCCAGAAGGAAGAGAGCTGAAAATTTAATGCAAATACATACATTTTAGCAGGGCTTGCCACTCAGAAAATTTACAGCATTAACACAGGGCACTAACATCAGGAATTTGGTGGCTCTGTGACACAGATCTAGGCCTGGTATTGGTAAATAAAAGTGGATAGATTTTAAATGGTAATCAAGAATGTATATACCGAATCATGACAACTGACTTACTGTGAACAAAACTGGGGTACAACACAGTGTTTCTTGCACCAGGGTCAGGCTGGGATAGACTAGAAGAGCATGTGCTCTGCATGAGCCAACACTGAATATTCATGTCACTATTCAAGGCCTGTCACTGCTTTAGACAAGGTGGCTTAACAGAAAATCAGTGTGGCATCTGCACTATTGTGGGACAGAAAGTACATCTGCCGGCACATGTGGCCACAGCTCAGACTGCAAAAACAAAACAATCTGTCCTACAACACTTAACGGAAGAAGATCGTCAAGGAGTTCATGTTAACTATGCTTCCCATCTATTTTATCAAACTCTTTAGAGCTTCATGGAACCATAGAATTGTAATGTACACCAAGGGTCATCAAGTCCAACACCTTGAAATGCAGGAAAAAGAATCCCTGGCAGATGGCCGGCCAGCCAACCTCTGTTTTAGGTTAGGCTGACAGAAGACGGCAACCACCCCAAGGTTGCACCCGGTGAGCATCACAGCCACGCAGGGATTTGAACCCTGGTCTCCTACTGACTCTCAAGAAAAAGGTACTAGGAGGACTCCAGGGTTAATCATGACTGACAGGCTCAGCAAGCTGCAAAACAGGAACAGTGGTACAGTGCTCTCCTTACTTTTAGTGTCACCAGCATACAGAGGTCTGACTAATTATGTACGCTCTCCCCTTGATCTGGCCCTATTCTCAAGGCAGTCGTTCTCCTGGCTCTGCCACCTTTTCTGGCCCCCAGCACCCTTTGCTCAGAACTTCCTGCTAGCTGGGTATGGGTTTAGTGGCTTAACTTTGTTCCAGGAAGGCTGAGCTCAAGTTGAGACCGTTTGGGTGCTGTAACTTGATTTAGTGCCTGCCTGACAGGAATGTAACCTCGTGGCACAGCTGCTGGTTTCATCATGCCCCCAGAAGCTGCGCAGATTTGAATGGCAGAGGCTTGAGAAAATGTTACTTATGAAAAAATGAAATGGAATAAAACCATGTTCAAAGCATGCTCAAGGAGGTTTACAACATTGGGGTGGGGAGAGAGAAAATCATTGGTTTTCAACCAGTGTGCCTTGGCACCCTGAGGTGACTTGAGGAACGGTCTGAAACGTTGCTGTATGCTATGGAGATTAGACCAAGGCACTGCTTTAGCAGAATATAATAAAATATTACTGGGCAAGGTGAAGAATGGCAAGGGAAGGTGACAGATGGATTGGGAGGGGAAATAGCTGCAAATCACTTGGCAATGCCAGAATTTTGAAACAGCTAGGGGTAATTCTGATGTCAGTTCTTACTTCCCATGTATAATAATAATAATAATAATAATAATAATAATAATAATTTATTTATACCCTGCCCATCTGGCTGGGTTTCCCCAGCCACTCTGGGCAGCTTCCAACAAAGTATTAAAATACAGAAGGCTGTTAAAACATTTAAAGCTTCCCTAAAGAGGGCTGCCTTCAGATGTCTTCTAAAAGTCTGGTAGTTGTTCTTCTCTTTGACATCTGGTGGGAGGGCGTTCCACAGGACGGGTGCCACTACCGAGAAGGCCCTCTGCCTGGTTCCCTGTAACTTGGCTTCTCGCAGTGAGGGAACTGCCAGAAGGCCCTCGGCGCTGGACCTCAGTGTCCGGGCAGAATGATGGGGGTGGAGACGCTCCTTCAGGTATATGTGCAAGATGCATGGGGGAACTGAGATAAAGAATAAAAGACTCATGTATGTTAGACTAATGCCTGACCATTCCAGTCATCTTTACCCATTTTCTTGTTGCTTCCATGTCTACGTAAGACAGAAGTGCAGAAAATTATTTTAAAACAAAGACAAGAAAACTACGACAGGACACTGCTAAGTCTGTCTCAAGCATCTTATGAGGGAAAGCAATGAAAGTAAGAAATTAAGAAACCATCTGGCTTCGGAGGGCAAGTCATCACCTATTTCATGTGTGATCTTTCAGAAAGAGTATTGCGCTCTTGGAATAAGAGGGCAACTTGGCTACACGGGTTGTAACTGTCGAAGAATAATATCATTAATGGCTACTAGCCATGATAGCTAAGCTCTGGCTGAACATTCAGAGGCAGCAATGCTTCTTCTGAACACCAGTTGCTGGAAACCATAGGTGGGGAGTGTGCTCTTAGGCCTGAATCCTGTTTGCCCGTTTCCTGTAGCCATCTGGTTGGTCACTTGTGAGAACAGGATGTTGGACTACATAGACCACTGGCCTGACTCCACAGGCTCTTCCTAGATCATTATTAATGGCTGCCCGGTTTATTCAAATCCTGGGGCCACAATGAAAATACAATGCAAACTCATGTGTGCATTCTAATTATACTACTAATAAATCTGCATTAACATAATGGATGTCAGGCCACAATTAGTGAAAATATTGCTATCTCCAGTTATGTTATGCCCTGTGGCACACTGCCAAATGCAGATGGCTATTGTTTAAGATTAGGATCACTTCATCGATCAATTGCTTATCAACGTTTAACAAAGAAAACATTTTATCTCAAAAGTATGCAAGCACTGCCAAAAAAAGAAGCAAAAAGGCAAAGTGCTGCAGCATGGATTAATTTAAATCAAGGTGAAATGAAAGTTCTTTTTCAATTATTCATCCAAAATAATGTCTCTCACTGTGAAATTCACATGTTTCCTGGCTGCTATAAAAACAATGAAAGGCATTTGTTTAATACCGAGCAGAGCTCAGGAGCATAATTCAAAACATTTTTTTGCATATGTGCAACAAGCACTGTAGAATCACATCTGCAAATACATGCACAAATAATAATTTACATTTAGTCTAAGAATACAATCCTGAAAAGCCAATAATTAAATATAAAATTTTGATAGATACAAAAGGAAGAGGGGCTTTGCTCTGCCAGACTTGCAATTGTAAGAGGCAGCTTGTTTGTGTTGGTTAAAGGAATGGATTGTATTGGGTAATGCAGATATTTTAGACTTGGAAGGCCAAGACTTAAACTTCGGCAGGCATGAATGTGTTCGGTATGAACCACATTCTCAGGAAAAATTTGTATAGAGTCTGGAAGTTATATAAAGATCTGCTAGAAAGAAAAACACCCCACATCGAAGCAATTACAATTAAGAGAGTTAATATGGACAGACAATGGGTGACTTAGAGGGAATTGCCGGACTTTGCAGGAGGCGAACCCAGACTGAAACCTATGGAGAACTTAAGAAGCCAAGTAACGGATTGGTTACAATACCACCAAATATATGCTATGTTTAAGGTAGACCAAAAAAAATGGGTTTTTGGACCAAAGCTCACAATCTGAAAAAGAACTTTTACAAAATAAGGATAAACTTCTGTCTAAAATGTATAATTTCTTATTAGAATGGGAAACAATAAACAAGCCAGAAGAGTTTATGTATGCAACAACAGCGGCCCGTGTTCTGTTAGCCCAAAAATGGAAAGTGAGTGAAGTCGCTTGTAAAGAGGACTGGCAACTTATGATGTTAGAATATGCAGAACTTGCAAGAAGACCGTATATTTAAAGAAGAGTGGGAAATATTTGTCTAATATATGGAAAATAATTGTACACAGCTGATCTATTTTATTTGCTTAGTAAAATGAAGATAAATATTCGTAATTTCGAATGAAGCACACTGCAAAGTTCAAATAGTTGGAAGACTTAAAACAGGAGTACAAATATCAACCATAGAGGCTTCCATGCATAAACCAAGTGACAAACAGTCCAGCATCTCCTACCTCCTTGCTAGTCTGTGGTTGCAGAAAACACATGACTTGTGACTCACTCCTCCCCAACAGTTTTTATGCATATACAGTGGTACCTTGGGTTACAGAGGCTTCAGGTTACAGACGCTTCAGGTTACAGACTCCACTAACCCAGAAATAGTACCTTGGGTTAAGAACTTTGCTTCAGGATGAGAACAGAAATCACGCGGCGGCAGCAACGGGAGGCCCCATTAGCTTAAGAACAGTTTCAGGTTAAGAATGGACCTTCAGAACGAATTAAGTTCTTAACCCGAGGTACCAATGTAAATGCAGCCTTTGGTTCAATATAATTGATAGGGGATCATAATACCATTTAAGCCATTACATGAAAAAACTTTTAACATTATTCAAATGTACTTTAAAAACAGCAGTGTCCTTTTAATGTATCTTTTTTTAAAGGGGGGGAGTAAATTCTTTGTGTGACATCTGTTAGTCATACTCAGAGCAGACATATTGAAATTAAGTTATTTAAGTTCCTTAAGTCCATCCATTTCAAGCAATCTACTCTGAGTTTGACTAATGTTGGATATAACCTTATGTATTTTATCCTGTCGCCTGAGACAGGTACATTTCCAATACTGGTGATCAAATAACTGTTCACTTCGAAATTCTCAGGTGGCATAGCAAAATAAGTAAATAATAGATAGTATTACTTAACTGAGACAGCCATCTAGCGCTACTTTTGCAACATTATCATGTTACTTTTTCAGTACGTGCCTCACCTGTTTATTTATTCATTTATAGAAGGACACCCTGCTCCTATACAACAAGTCTTTACTCCCACAATTTCTTTGCAACCCAAAGGCCTGGATACTGCCAGTGCTAGCTACTAGAAATGGTTACAAACAGCAAAATAAATAAATCCTAACATTTCATAGCCATGCATTTGTTATTTTTAATCCTGTTTATACACACCCTACTCTCTAACTTCCCTTTGCAATTAAAAGTCAAACTTTTAAAATTTTGTAATAAAAATAGTAAGTTAAACATGGCTCATTTTATAATAAAGAACTGCAATAATCCCCCCACCCAAAGTCTTGTACTATTTCAACTACCCAGGGAGAGAGAGAGCTACCAAAACATATGGGAGGTGGATTTTTAAAATCAGCCAGCTGAAAGAGAAATGCTTTACGAATCAAAAGCTGAGATGTCAGCAGGCGGAGAGGCAGACTACTAAGGTTACAGAGACCTAACAAGCAACAGTACCAAGCTCACTTATTTTCCATTTTAGCCAAAGAACTAGACTGCAGGAATAGTTATCCACTTTGGCCAAAGAATGGTAAGCAGGAAGAATTAAGAGTATGCTTGCAGAAAGAAAGTTAGGTTATCCAGTGGTGAATCCACCATAAAATTCTCCTGTATAAGTCCCAAAGAAATGAACAGGCAGCAGCGCTCTTGCATTTCAATGGGTTTCTGCTGGGAAACATATTGGTGGATTGCATCCCTTGTCTCATTTGCAGCAAAAAGGAAGATTTGTGTATGACCTTCCCTCCTCTGACACAAACAGGAGGAGACTCCCAGAGGCAAAGGAAACTGGTGATGGATATGGGGATAAGGATGGATATCAAACCAGAGAGATGAAAGGTGAAAGAGGACAGTGAATTTGGAGCATTCATCACTGGCAGCAAGTTGAAGAGCAAGAATACAGCAGAACAAAGGGAAGCATAAAAGAATTCAGCTCTGGGTAGCAAACTGCAAATGCCTCATAAAGGAAACTGAAAAAAGTAGATCTGCACACATGTTTGGACCAATGTTATTGGGGGAGGGGAAAATAACGAATAAGCCACATAATTATTATTATTTTTTAAAAAACGTATTAAGCAAGCAGCAAACTCCTGTTAATTCCATGGAAATGGTTTCTGTGCAAAACACAAAGTATACATGCACCCTACATGTCTAGCTATAATTTAATTTTCAACAAGAACGGCGTTTTCAGACAGCAACAGCAAATCATGTGGCAATTTAATCTATTTTAATTTAAATGGTTAGCATTTTGTTAATAGAAGCCATTATATATAATTAAATGCAGAACAAAAAGGGCTGAAACAGTACACTTCGAAGTCCTGTTGATTACAGCAAGGTCAAACAGAACAAACATTCCAAATCACCAACTATTTGTTCTCCACAAACTGAAAAGACACAAGCATGCTTAACACATTTCTTTGGCCATTCCTCGACTGTATCAAAGTTTAAGCTTTTTAAAGCGGCAGCAGCATTGAAAAGAGTCAGAGCAAGGGTTTTGAAATATGTTTTAAAAGCCTTATGTGATCAAACTTGGACTTGTCTTTGGATTAAGTGTTATGGAGTTGTGGTGTGGTAGTTAAGAGTGTTGGACTATGACCTGGGAGACCAGGGTTTGAATTTCCACTAAGCCATGAAGCTCACTGGGTGACCTTGGGCCATTCACCATCTCTTAGCCTAACCTACCTCACAGGGTTGTTGTGAGGATGAAGGAAAAAAGTGGCATAGATATGTAATAAACATACAAACCTTCACTTTTAAGTCATATAGATAGACAGATAAATAGATAGATGATAGATATTAAAGCAAGTAGAGCCACAAATCATGTCAGGCCCCTTGTGCGAGAACACAGGTATGGCCGTTCCATCTATTAGGTTTCCTCTTGAAGTCCAATGTTTATTATAGTAAAGAAAGGATTCATAGCTAGGCAAGACAACACCAGTGCTTCAACTGCAAAGTACATGATCTTGCAGAAAAAAGCATCTACCTCCATCCTAAAAAGCAACAGCTCCGTTTTTTGTCGATCACCACCTCCTGTACAGTCGTACCTTGGTTAGCGAACTTAATCCGTTCCAGGAGTCAGTTCGACTCCCAAAACCATTCGCAAACCAAGGCACAGCTTCCGATTGGCTGCAGGAGTTTCCTGCACTCAAGTGGAAGCCACACCAGAAGTTCAGCTTCCGAAAAACGTTCGCAAAACGGAACACTTACTTCCAGGTTTGCAGCGTTCGGGAGCCAATTTGTCTGGCAACTAAGCCATTCAATAACCAAGGTATGACTGTATACTGCATCCTTACTTCCCCCAAACCTAGTATTCCCAATACACCACCCCTTGACTTTATATGCACGCCTGCTAATCAAAAAAGGACAACATAGCTAGATCCGAACTCAATATCCATCTCATCAAAGGATTGGGCTGCAGACTTTTTGCCATGTTAATGAAATAGCTGCCCTGTCTACTTTATCCAAGGTTTGGCTTGCTAACCATTCTGCCCTCATGGGATTAACCAGGGCTCCATGTCACATAAGTTTTCACAGCCCAAAGTTATAGGTCCTAAGACTTTCAGTTTCCTGTCATGAAACCCTATCATGGGCATCCCCAAACTCGGCCCTCCAGATGTTTTTGGGACTACAACTCCCATCATCCCTAGCTAACAGGACCAGTGGTCAGGGATGATGGGAGTTGTAGTCCCAAAACATCTGAAGGGCCGAGTTTAGGGATGCCTGCTCTGTCACAAAATGGAAAAGCTTATCAGGGTCTACGAGGGTAAAAAGGCTCAGTTATGGGAAACAATGGTGATTAGTAAGAAATAACTGGTCATTTTAGTAACCAATCCCTCATGAAGTAGTATGGTTGGCAGTTTGGACCAGTTCCCATGCAGGGTGGGAGGGCCGATCTTAAAAAAACCCCACACCAAATAAACAGTGAATGTCTATGTGTCTTCTCAGAAGGAAATCTACTTTAGTACAGCTTACCCCAAGGTAAATGTGAATTCTTTTACAATGCAGTTGGGTTACAGTTCTAATGACAAAGAAAATGCTTCATGCAACTTATTCATTCATTCACAAAAACTAGGAGCTAACACGCAGGACACACAATGAAAAACAGAGTTTGTTCTGTTAAGGGTCAATCATATTCAATGACCCATCTACAAGTAATTATTAATGGAAATAAGGAGGTTATTTTTATTGCAACATATGTTTACAACATAAACATTAATATGGAATGAACAGTCACATTGGAATGAATGGTAGGAGCAAGGAATTTTGTTTTGTGATATAAAAAAATGTAAAAACTGTAACAGACTGTTTTTATTTTATGTAATAACCTGGGGGGGGGGGGGAAGAGTATTTCTTAAAACTCTGGTTAACAACCCCGCCCCAAGAAAGCTCATTTTAAAATTAATACATTTTTACACCTGAAAGCGTGTATGCCTATCTCCCAAGCTGCCTGTTATTTAGAGGGAGAAAAGCTTCAGAAGGGTCCTGCAGCGTATCAGTGTCAGCACAGAGCCAAGTGTAATTTTCACAAATGCCACCTCAGCACTGCCTGTACCAGAGACCATTCACAGCTTTGGAGGGGGAGGGGAAAGGATAATCTTAAAGGGCTAGCAACCCTCTGAGGAAAAGAATCGAAAAGCATCCTTGTATGCTAAAGAGTGCTACAGAAATGAGCAAGGATAGCAATCCCCATTTGTCTGCTGCGGCTAGAGGTTTAAACCTCGGCAAAGCCAAGTTCTATACTGGCTTGCCAGGGTTTTGTTATTTGTTGACTGGCTCATAAAAGTTGTCTGTCAGCACCAGCAAGGCCCCTGACAGGATGCCATCTCCTGATCTGCGGTAGCCTGCCGGAAAAAACTAGCCAACAGTTTTTGACCCAGGGTTTCGTTCTAAACCGCACGCCACGGACACAGAGGTACTCCGCTCCACAGCCGACATAATTTGTGATATAAGCCATACTAAACCTGGGCTGAGCAAAAATAGCAAAATTACACTTGTAAAACCATAATTTAACACAGGAGGTAACTGTAAAGATACAGCAGCTAGGCCATACAAAAGCAACACCACACAGACCCACATTTGTGGCAAACAGATTAGCCACACATTTCTAGTGGAATACAGCAGAAAGTTTGGCACCAGTTACTTCTACAGCAGAAAAATGATCTTCCATTTAATCCGTTTAGTAAAAGTTACCCAGAATATAGAATTCTGAATATCATCACCCATAGAAAGAGTTTAAAACAGAGAAAGATACACTTTTTCATTTATGATAATGAGCAGCTGTTTAGGTTTTTTAAATAACTCCTTCAGACAGAAATAAATTCACTGTGAGCACTTACTATGCATGCGTACCCCTAAATTCGAAGCCATCTACAGAAGAATGATCCCACTGATTGGATTTAAAGTAGCTGGCTTTGTTAAAAGAAGAGTTAGGTGTGTATAAAATAGATTCAAAACAATTACTAATCTATATCTATTTGGAACTTACACTTTCAAAATTAGTTTGGCTTGAAAAATTTATGAGATTCAGATAGGAAGCTTTGAATAACTCTAAATATATTGAAATAATGAGTAACAAGCATTTTTATAAGGCACATGGCATGAAACAAAAGACTCAATATTCTCTACCACAAATCCTTAGGATATCTCCAGCAGACGCTAAATCTCAGACATATCCCACTGGTTCAATATGGTTTTTGGAAAACCCTAGCATTAGTTCCATGATTAAAAAGCAGTGGGGCAGGAGAACATGCATACCAAAAACAGGAGGCCAAACTAGTTCCCATCCCCAGATCAAATCCATGGTGGCTGAGACTCACCAATTCTGCAAAAGCCTAAATATCCCTTCAACGGTGTGATTAGTCTGTTGACATCAAAGCATTTCCAAGTCTCAGACAGCCACAAACACATGCCAGACTGTGCAAGATCAGGGTCAAGACGTCTTCCCAGCATCCAACTCTTTCATGGTGACACTAACGCTTTATTACCACATACACACACCCTTGCTAGACAACACCCAGCCTGAGAACTTCAAAAGCACAGCAAGGCTTCTTCTTCTATATGGCAGACTTCAACGCCACCTTTGCACATGAACCAATTTTGAGTGATTAAGACCTGCTCTGTGAGTCAACCGCCCTCATTCCCATGCAACTGCAGAGTAGAATGCAGCTTCAGAAACCTCCCCCCCCCCCCCCGCTCCTGTTTCCTTGGGCCTTGCTTTTATTCATGACCATTACTTCACTGTTTCTTACATGTGCTAAGAAACAAGGTAATTGTAATTAAAGCCTGCCCTACCCTCCCAGGCCTACCTACCAACCCAGGGAACCAGTCTCACTGGGAAGGCACCAGTGTACTGAAAGACAACCAAAGAACTGCAGGCAAAGCCAACCTCAAAGTTACTGGTGCGGTGAACACAGAAAGGGAGAGAGGAGAAGAGTGAGGTTTTCATGAATTCTACAGGCATGTGTGTTATAAGTGATTCAAAATTCCTGGCTCCAGTTGAGCAACTTGCAATAATCTCTGGAAAGGTGCCCATATAAACCTAAGATCAGCAAGCAGTCTACAGAAAGTTACAGTTTGTCCTTTACAGGGCAGTTTTGTTTCTTGTGGGGTATGGAGTTTGCCAATAGGTGCAGAAGCTCACACAAGGAGGGCAAGGCGGCAGATGCTGCCCCAGTTACCTGTAGCTTCACAAGCCCATGCCTCAGGAGGCCCCGACAACGCAGACCCTGACAAGCTGCTGCAAAGTCACTGTGGTCCTGTTCTCTGCTGGGTACAGCAAAAGCACCACTACTTTCTACCCACCTGCTCCCACCTAAGACTCAGGGGGAAAGGGGCACAGAACAGTTGCTGCTTGCATTCCCACCCCCTTCATAAAAGCAGGTGAATAAGTGGTGGATGCAAGAAACAGCTCCCATGTTCTCTAATCACTTTGTTTCTCTCACTCAGTGAAGGGGCCCTTGCCACTCGTTTGCCCTCTTTCACTACACACTGCTGCAGAGAGGATTTCACCCGCTGGGTCCAATCCCCACAACTGTGGTGCCCAAAGAGAAAGCACAGGTGCAAACTGCTCACTCACTGAGCGGCCACCTCATCCTCATGTTTGCTCACCTATGCTTTCTGCTCTGAGTGGCACAATGGTGGTGGATGCCTAGTGATCTGGCCTTTTCAGTCAAGCCAGTGAGGAACACACCAGGTGAGGTGCTGTTGTTGTTTGAGGGTAGCCAAGCATCTCCAAGCACAGAATCACCCAAAAATGCTGGGAAAGGGTCTGTGGGGAGAGGGTGCTGCTGTGTGTAAGGCGCTGGGAACAACTTCAAGCAGGCATCGTGCTTGCCACAGGGCAGTGTCACACACATTGCGGCCAACCTGTCAAGTGGAAGCTTGAAACCTGCCCCAGTAAGGAGGACTGAGCTCCCTGCAATGCGAAATGAGGTGGCTCCTTCTTCCACCGCCACCAGCTGGCCCCTGGCAAGCCTATGCTTACCCTCTGAGGGCCACAATGGTGGGGACTGGGCGAGAGGATATCTCAGTTGGTAGAGCATGAGACTCCCAATCTCAGGGTTGTGGGTTCAAGCCCCACATTGGCAAAGGATTCCTGTAATGCAGGGTGTTGGACTAGATGAGCCTTGTGGTCCTTTCCAATTCTACAATTCTGTGATTCTATGAAGACAGGAACCACCAAGAAACAGCTCCCAGACTTTCTCTCTCTCCCTGACCAGTGCCAGAGGACCCACTCCTTTCAGCCTGCTGCCCACAGTGTGTGTGTGTGTGTGTGTGTGCGCGCACACACACGTGCAATCTTATGCCCACTTGCTCACTCTTTCTTACTTCGTTCATGTAGTAGACAGGGATGCACTTGGGAGGAAGGAGGTTGTCGCCCCTCCACGCCAAAAAAAAAATCAATACTGTAGGCAGAAGGAACCTCCATAACCTGCAACCAACCCTCAGGGGGGAGAATAGTCTAGCAGACTTTAGGGCCGCGTCCCGCTTTTGCCCTCTGCAATGTCCACATCAGCCACAGGATTAGGAATGTTGCCTGGGGCCCTCCTGCAAAATGGAGCGGGGTGTGTGGAGAGGATAGAGCACAAAGCCTCTCATTTCGCCCCCCTCCCTTTCCCGGCTTTTTCTTCTGGCTCTTTTAAGGTCAGGAGCCTAGGACACGCCGGCCCGGAGAGGGAGCAGTGGGCTTTTTCTTTTTTTTTTCCTGCCGCTGCTGCTCCTCCACCCCCGTCGCTCCTCGGAGGAGCAGGAAGAACCTGGCCAGGAAAGTTGGTGCAAAGTTTTGCGGCTGAGTTGGGAGGGGGAGGAGATCCGGCTGCCGCGCGCCTGTGACACGTAGCCCGATCGGTTCCCCCGCCCCTCCTCCTGCTCCTCGCCTCCCTGCCGAGGGGACGGAGCCCCGGCGCGAAGCGTGCGCCCCGCTCGGGTCGCCCTCCGTCTTCCAGGGGGAGGAATGCGGAGAGAGGGGCAGCTCCGCAGGGGAGGACGCAGGAGGACAGCCCGTGCCGGCGCCTCCTCTCTGCCTCCACGTCGGCAAGCAGCTCGCTCTCTCCCTCCTCCTCCTCCTCCTCCCAGCCACCCCCCTTTCTTTCTCTCCGCTGCCCCCGCTCCGCACCCCCGCCCCGCATTCCCGCGGCCACCGCCTCCCCGTCTGCTCTCCCGCCGCCCCCGGCCCGCGCGCCCGCCCTCCTGCCCCGTACGTGGCACTCACTCCGGCCCGTGCCTGCTTAGCTCGCTCTGCTGGAGAAGCCCCGAAGCGCTCCCGGGAAAGCGGCGAGGCACCTTCCCGTCTGCTATATGGGGGAGAGGCTGCCAATCCCAGGCTCACACGTCAGACGAGCCGGGCCCCTTCCCTTTCCCTTCCTGGGAAGGCCCGGCCCAGCTGCCAGCGACTGGGGAGGCGCGGAGAAGCGCTGGGTCAAGCGACGCCGACGCTGCCGCCCGAGCTGCAAGTCCCCCAACTAGCCCCGCCGCCAAGGGAGGCGAATTCTCCCATTTGGACTGAAGGGAAGGGTTCCTAAAAGGAACTCTTCCCCCTGCCACCTCCTCCATAGCAAAACGTGGCGACCATGTGCACGTTTACTCAGAAACAAAACCTTGGGCATGTATTCCGAGGAAAAGTGTAAAAAGAGCGTGCTGCGTGCCTGCAATCCTAAACTCGCAGACTACCACGGAATAAGCCCCAGGAACTCGGTGAGACTTAACACGGAGTCGGAGTGAATATGCTCAAGAAATATAGGGAGCCAGGCAGAGGGCTTTCTCAGTAGTGGCACCCACTCTGTGGAACGCCCTCCCACCAGATGTCAAAGAGAAAAACAACTACCAGACTTTTAGAAGACATCTGAAGGCAGCCCTGTTTAGGGAAGCTTTTAATGTTTAATGGAGCATTGTATTTTAATATTTTGTTGGGAGCCGCCCAGAGCAGCTGGGGAAACCCAGCCAGATGGGCGGGGCATAAATAAATTATTATTATTATTATTATCATCATCATCATCATCATCATCATCATCATATACAAATATTCAGTTTTAATCGTGGACCTTGGGTGTTCAAATCAAAATACTTTGCCTATAATTTCAACATAGGCACAGGAGGCAGAAACCGCCCACACCCACACCATATGATCCAACACATTTAAAGCACAAGGCTTACCTCAAATAATTCTGGGAGTTGAAGTTTAAGGAAAAACTCTAGGGGTTAGATACCTGTATGAGAATGCCTTGTCACCATAACCTAGCAATTCTTGTACATAGCACATAGGTTACATTTCATAGGTGGTTTCCTTACAAGTGGAGTTAGATAAAATAGTGCTCTTGGGAAAAAAGTAGGGGAGTGTATGGAACAGCAGTACGCCATATTGCACCGACCACTCGAGTATGAAGTAAACAGTTGTGCTTAATTTTCAACCATCAACTTTCTTCTGCCAGTAATTAAATAAAGAAACAACAGTAATCTAAGAGCCACATCACACAATACAGTAATTACCTAAATCTACCCTTGACTTTTAAAACCATTATTTCTATCTTCAGAAGATGGACAACAATTATTTACCCTCTCTTCTGATGTTTAAAGTATCTGAGAACTGTTAGTATATCTGTTCCCACTACATAATCTTTTAAGTTGTTAAACCCTCAAACATTATTCAGCATTTCTTCATCTAAATATGCTTCCTAGAACAGTTATCATTTGTGTAGCTCTCATAAGATTTTCTTTTAATTCAACATTGACAACATTCTACTTGTACTGGGATACACAGAACTGAAAACAACTTCAGATGTGGCTTTACAAGCACCAGGCAGAGCAGTAGTACAGTACTATTGCTCTGGGTCAACAAGACATGATGTTCCTGTTGATACAGACTAAAACAGGTTTGGTCTTATGTGCCATTGCATCATATTGCAGACCTGTCTTTCGTTGTTCATCCACTACTTTGATTCTTACATTTTTATCCGAAATGCTGCTAGTTGGCCATCTCCTTATACTTGTGCATCTGATTATTATTTCTTACATGTAATACTTCATATAGTAGTAACTATCTGTCTCCTTTTCTCAGTCCCTTCAGTATCGTCTGCAGATTTTATAAGCATGTTGCCTGCTCTGTCCAAGTCTTGCAGAAGATCCTGGAACACTGCCAGGGCATGGTTTGATCTCTCTTTATAGTCTGATATTGATCCACATGTTGCAAACCTTGCATTCACTAGCTAAACAAATAGGTGCCCAATTCTCTTTATGTAATACGGAGTCTGTGGCCTGATAAACATTACCTAGTATTACCAAAATATATTGTTCTTGAATATTTACTGCAAATTGTCAGCAAGGAGAGTGCTTAACAATGGGCCTGACTTAGCTTGGAATGGCATGGGTGTAAATAAATCCATGAAAGAGCAAAGTGAATGGTCCCGGTAAGCCATAGTTTGGCTTACCGTATCATGTGAATGAGGCCAGTATCAACCTGTCTTTTAACCTAGACAACATACTGGTACCTTGAGGTTTCTTGAATAATGTAATGAAAGACCAAAGCTGTCATTTTAAGCATGTTTAAGGAATAAATCCTTAAAATAAAACATGCCTCTTCTGCATCAGTTTTTACAGCCCCAGCAAGCACTGTAACTCTGCAACGGTTTGAGTTTATACCCGAAGGTGTACTCTTCCATTGTCTCCCAAGACAGACAGATGCCAACATGAAAAGAATCATATTACACGTCAAAAGACACAGTGCACTAGTCCAAATGCATATCAGCTGCATTTTTATTTGTTCAGAAAATGTAATGTTATGACAAAAAATCAGAAAGAACAAAGCTGTGTTTAGACTAGTAAAACAGTCAAATATCACTGTGTTGAGCAGCAACTTTTTATTGTGGTCAGTCTTCCCTATTCACTCAGGTTCACAGCTTTGAGTCAGGAAGAAAGAAAAGGTTAGGAATTAAGTAATATAAAGATGACCACTTACACGAGACCAACTCCTGTGCAACCACATATATGCATGGTGCCGGGAAATCAATAAACAAATAGATTCAAGCCTGGAAATGGGGGGGGGAGAGCTGGAGAGTCCTCGTGGCTTTCGAAGACACCCTTCCCAGAGCCCGAAGATAATGTCAGTGAGGTGACTGGTGGCACAGGTGGGCTTAGTTTAGGCTGCTCAGCCTCCCCACCAAACAGCTGACATGTGGGGTAGTGCAACAGCAGCCAACACTTTTCCACACATCCTCTAACATCCAGCCAGCCCCAGAGCTTCAATTCTAGTTCTGGATATTTTTGGATCCAGTATTTTTGACCTGGATTGGAGAAAGAGTGGCGGAGAGGGTTTTTAAAGGGTGCTCCCCAATTACGCAATTTTCACGTGCACGGGGTCCCAGAACGTAACCCCCACATAAGTAAGGGGGGAGCCTGTATTGCCTTTCATAGAGCTTGGTTCACAGTACATAATTTAATTCCCCAAACTGCACATGTCCCCTTTCTCTTCCATATGCTAAAGCAAAATCCTCAAGTATAGAAAAATCCTTTAATATCAAATAGAGTTAAATGCAATCAAAATAAGTTGTGCTTAGAACCTTGCCATATCTCCCTCAAGAAGTACAGCGGAACCTTGGTTCCTGAATTGCTTAGTTGCTGAACAAATCAGCTTCCGAGAGCCGCAATCCCAGAAGGAAGTGTTTCGGCTTGCAAACGTTTTTCGGAAGCCGAACATCCGACGCAGCTTCTGCTTGAGTGCAGGAAGTTCCTGCAGCTAATCGGAAGCTGTGCCTTGGTTTTCGAATGGTTTCAGGAGTCGAACAGACTCCCGGAATGGATTAAGTTCGAGAACTAAGGTACCACTGTACTCTCTCATTGCTAGACTACCACCATCCAGCTAGTTCTAAGCTTCTCGGAACCTGGTGTGAATTCTTTTAACTTATTCACATAGTACAATCGTCTTCAACTAGAAAAGTGTTTCACAACTCTTCCTGTCCAGCCTCAATGGCCGAGGTCACTATGTCTATCAATGTCAAAACATGCGAGAAGGAAGGGAAGTGGAGCATTCTGACGCTAGACAATGTTGCATCTCCATATTCACTTAAAAAAAAAAAATAGCAGTATTAGTAATCCTCATGAGTATAGTGTTTTCAAGCGTTCAAAGTGCTTAGCATGTGTTATTCCTCTCCTGCCTTTTAAAGTTTGCAATTATGAGAGAAAGTGTGGGCTGGGTGCGCAACCATACCACTAGGGTCTTAAACACATGCTGGTCCACACTGAAAACAGAACACTCTTGAGACCCATGTTGTCACACTGAGGGGCTCTTCCATGCTACTTCACAGGAACTGCCTTCTCCACCTTGACTTTTAACAATTTTAACATTAAAAGCCAAGGCAGAATATAACTTCCTTTCCAGATAACTGCCCCTACAACAGCAATCCATAAACTTTCGTGAGAATCAGATACTCACTTGAACCTCTCCAGGCATTTCTCAGCCAGATCTCCATTTCACCGTGTTTCCTTGCAATGTTTTCCCTAAACGTGTTGCAACATTCTACAGAATAAACCACACAATCGATCACATGTACTGCTAATAGATGGTCTGCAGCAAGATTAAATCCATCACAGTATATAACAGGCTACTAGATCTCATTCTGTTGTCTGTGCAAAAAAACACCCTGACATTTAAGCAGATATTTTACATCCTTCAAAATATACGGTTGCAATACGAGATGTGACCTAACCTGCCACCAACTCCATGCTGGAGATAAAATATATTCTGGAAGGGTTCCACTGCATCCCATTGTTTTCTGCTCCTAATGTAGGAATTTCTGGTTGTGCTAACATGTCACAGCATGACTTCAACAGGAATTAAAGTTTCCAAATGGGGGAGGACAGCTTGTCATAACTTGCACCTCCCCCACATATCAAGATCAGACATATCCTGTAGGAGGATAAAGAAGAAATTTCAGGGAAGGCAAAAGGTCTGTCTTGACCTGCTTACCCTCCCTTTGGATAAAACAGCTTCAGTAAGACTGATTTGCCATTGTTCGCTCACGTTTTCTCCTCCTAGGAAAAGCTGTTTATAGTATGCCCTCACCATTCTCAGATTATTAGGATGACACAAGTCTCAAGCAAGTGAGCTTACAAGAGGCACAACACCTTTTTAGTAGGTAGGGAGGAAAGAGAAAACAGGTCTGCATTGTGGATTCACAAAAAGCAAAACTTTGCAATGAGTAGTTTCACTTAGGCCCTTTAAAAATCAGTATTTATTTCTTAATGGCCAGTCTAAAGAACGTAAAAACAATACTATTAAGTGTGCCAAATAGAAATCAATTTCTGTTACTAATTTTTGAAGAACAGGATTATCCCACAGTTATCCAAGAAGGATGTCTAACCCAATCCAACTATTCCCAGAAACAAAAATGGCCAGAAAGCATTCATCACATATCCTAATACATGATGTCTTCAATCAAAGAATGAAGGGATGGTTTACTATTCAGGAAGCCATTACCCCTACGAAGGTTAATCATAACACATCAAGCCTCTTGTTTGTAACATCATGTTGAGCTGACTATAGCATTCTTTAGATTGAAAATGACTATTAAAGTTCTCAGAGAACTGGTTGTCTGTATCGGGGGCCCCAACCTTGTGACACATGGGGGCCACATTCAAGATTCCAATGCCTAAAGAGGGTGGCAGCTTGAATCAAAATGGGACTCAACATTATTAATTTGCTAATCAAGGTCAAAAGTAAAAAGCCAAAGGTCAACGAAGAAATGTTAACCTGAACTCAATCCATTTTGAAACAATCTTTAAGTATTATGGAATCTACGTTCTCATATAGCTACACATAGCTTACCTGGTCATTTCTGTGGTGGTTTTCTGTTAGCCAAGGCACTGATGTCCAAGTTAAAGTCTGGGACAGACACTCTTAAAATGCCATGTAAATGTCAATTTGTAAGTTTTGACCCACACTTGGATTTGACAATTTTCATCTTTGAAAAAAACTGTATGTGGTGCCAAAGACTATAAGTATGCCTGCAGCAAATTTCTTTAGGTTGGTAAATGTATCAGGTAAAGGGGCCCCTGACCATTAGGTCTAGTCGTGGCCAACTCTGGGGTTGCGGCGCTCATCTCGCTTTATTGGCTGAGGGAGCCAGCGTACAGCTTCCGGGTCATGTGGCCAGCATGACTAAGCCACTTCTGGAGAACCAGAGCAGTGCACGGAAACGCCGTTTACCTTCCCGCCGGAGCGGTACCTATTTATCTACTTGCACTTTGATGTGCTTTTGAACTGCTAGGTTGGCAGGAGCAGGGACTGAGCAACGGGAGCTCACACCGTCGCGGGGATTCGAATCGCTGACCTTCTGATCGGCAAGTCCTAGGCTCTGTGGTTTAACCCACAGCGCCACCCGCGTCCCTTAAATATATCAGGTAGGCCAGAATAAAAACTATTTTATTTGTATATGTCACTGGGATTATCACTGGCTTGCAAATCAATGAATTTCATCTGAAAAAAATTCACTTGCCTCTTCTGGTGCCACTTCAAATAGATTCGGAATCATTCTTATATACAGAGGCAGCTATGGTGCTACTTGGAGGCCAGAAGAAACAATGAAGCTGGTGTATATTTGCAAGGGAAGCACAGGACAGTGGCAGTAGATTGTGTCCCTCGGGACAATGAGGAACAGTGTAGGGCTGAAGGAAAAAGCCAGGAGGGTAACAGCAGCAGCCAAGCAGCTTGGGAGCTGCGCTGAAAGAGTTTGGGGGCCACCTGCAGCTCAGGAGCCACAGGCTGGGGACCTCTGGTCTACATATAAGACCAGGGGTCTTATATTTATATAATCTTGCAAAACCTGTTTCTGGTAGTCTCAAAGAATTTAGATTTGTAGGCATCCATATGAACAATATGATGGTATGATTGATTGATTGATTGATTGATTGATTGATTGATTCATCCAAGGAATTTGTGACCATAAAGATGGCTAAGAGTTTGTAATTACATTTGAAGATAGAATGCTGCATGATAATACCATCAGTGACTAGAGCTTTCTCATCCAGTTTTCCCCAACCTGGTGCCCTCCAAATGTTTTGCACTATAACTCCCATCATCCCTGGCCATTGGTGATACTGGCAGGGACTAACAATGTTTAGGTTTAACAATCTTTGGAGGGCACCAGATTGGGGAAGGCTGGCCCAGCCCATGCAGCAAGACAGGCTTAATACCTGAGGGTTCAGGCTTGCATAACTCCACTTGCCAACTCACTGCAGGTCCTCTGGCATACAGGACACTCAGAACAAGATTCCTACCTGACAGTTTTCACTTGTGTTGCAGTTTGGTGAAAAATAATAGGGATTTCTTCTGAGGAGATATTCCTGCCATATACATTCTCCATATGCCAGTGCAAATGAAATAAGTTCTCACTTTTCTCTTGGGTGAAAGTCTGAAGCCTTGGGAGAAGGGAGGGATTGGCCAAACATGACAGCTGGTTCATTAGCCAAGTCAACATTTGTGGACCTCTGCCACGTTTGATGGTTATTTCACCATAAAGCTGCAGTTCAATACAAATTTATCTACAATTTGGATCTATTAGCTTACTTGTGCTCAGTATGATTTAACTGCTCAATATGAACTGTGTAAATGTGTTGTTTCAAGTGATATGAAAACTTTCATACACTGTACATACACCTTTCACCCACAATATTCATTGGTAGCTGGAAGTTACATATCTGTACACCAAACTTAAGCAATAAGTATCTCAAGGGAAAGGAAATTTTCCAAATAGGGAAGCTAAGAACTTCTTCTGTTGTTAAACTGATTGACCACATTCAGAGGGTCATACTTCATATTTTGTTCATGCACAGTGTTCCTTCACACCTTCCTTTATTATGGCTTCAGCAATCATGTGAGGGAGTCTCTAACTATGGTTTATCATTTCAACAAAGTCAGGAAATTCTGGCTATTAACTTCAGTAACTATGAGTTACTAGCCTGGCTTGTTCAAAAGCTGGTAATCACAGTTCCCTGGTACAGATGAAATAGGAAACCAAGATTAATCAGTGAGACTTCCTAGTTTGATTACTCATACCACAAAGGGAGGAGTGAAGGGGCTGTGTACATGAAAAAGGCTTGTACATATCTCGGCTTATTAAACAGAGATAAAATCATCCCAACTAGGTCATTATCTAAGCAATCTTAATATTAAGAGTGGTTCCTTCATTTGAAATGTTTATGGATGTGTGTTTAAATTATCTGCGTTGCTTAAGAGAAGTGAAAAGCTACAAGGGACAAAAAAAGCATTTTTTTAAAAATGGCTGTCTCAGCATTCTTCAAAAAGTTATAAGGCAATAGTTGAATTCATGCTATCTGACCAGGAAGAAAACTGAATTATTCAAAAAACCATAATTCACCATGTAGACCATGGGTAGGCAAACTAAGGCCTAGGGGCCGATTCTGGCCCAATCATCTTCTAAACCTGGCCCGCGGATGGTCTGAGAATCAGCATGTTTTCACATTAGTAGAATGTGTGCTTTTATTTAAAATGCATCTCTGGGTTATTTGTGGGGCACAGGAATTTGTTCATTTCCCCCCAAAAAAATATAGTCTGCCCCCCCAAGGTCTGAGGGACAGTGGACAGGCCCCTTGCTGAAAAAGTTTGCTGACCCCTGATGTAGACCATACTAGATACAAGTTTTTAAAAAAATAAAATGCTGTTAAATATGCATGCTGTATTTTGAGTATGTGAAGAGCCCAGTTCTTTGCATGTTTGAAATCTACATTCTGTTGGTATTGGAGACAATAAAGTGACAGAATAGGAACAGGATAGGAACAGGTAGTAAGAGAGAAGTGGAAGGAAATGCTGTTACACATTTAGGCTTCATTGAGGAAGAATGCAAGTAGGGAATATGACTGCAGACCAAACTTTAGCAGTGTATGTTGGAGATGAAATTCTAAATAGGTATTCAGAAGAAAGCTGTCATTCAGCCAGTAGAACTTACTTCTGAGTAAAAACACACAGGATTGTGTTGCATGTCCCATCATGCAAAACAGGAATTGCTTTAAAGTAAATTTGCAGGGGATTGGCAACTGAATCTGCATTTTCTGTTACTCACTAATCTGATTTGAAGAGTTCCATTTCAAGCTCTTCAAATTTTGCTGAGATCACACCAACTCAAATTCTGCAAATGGTTATCTTGCAGTTCATACCAGTTCCTAATCATTTATTAGTAAGTTAAATAATTCTTGTCTAATTACAGAGCTTTGGACGTTCCTACCTTTGTTGCAAAAATATCCTGCTTATTTCTACTCTTCTGCATCTATTCTTTTATTCATTAGCAAGCTATCAATTCATAACATGCAAACCCAGGACTACTAATAATAAGACTGGTAATGTTGTCTTGCTGCAGTGCATTCTAATGCATGGCTACTCTAAAGTAAGTTCTGCAGAGTTCAATGAGACTTATTTTCAGATATGTATAACAAAAAAAATCTTAAATAAATGTTATAAAAAAGGTATAATAAAATCTGTAAAGTGGCAAATGGGGAAGCTATTGTAGCCTGGGCCAACATCAAATTCACAAAAACAGCTGGCCTTTGTAAATTAAGCACAGCACAAAACCGAGATGAAGGGCTTTTCAAAGCCAGAGATGTGTCAGCCTGGCAGAAAACAGTATGAACAAGTGCTAAATTCTCCATTGTATGGGTCTCAGTAGTCCATGAACGTAACAGGGTCACCAGGTGCAAAGGAGAGCAGGGCTTCTGTACATTACCAGTAGCTTAATATATGGCATTTGCTAGGTGGTTGGTATGTAGGGATGAGGAAAGACACCATCCCTTTTGTGAGAATTGTATCTGGCCATCCTAAACTATAGTAGGGAACATTTTACACACATGATTTTGCTTCTGTGGGAGTGGAAAAGGCGGGCTCGAGATCACTTATAGTTTTCACGGCTTGCAATGAATTACTGGGTTAAGCGCAAGGTTCACTGTTCGGAACCTAATACAGTACGAAGCAATGCAAAGGAACCCCCACAGCTGGTCACCTCTACAGTCTAGACCTCTCATTCCCGCACTCTCTATGGTACTGGCCAAGTGACACCACGTGCCCTCCAGCAGCCAATTGAAATTGAAGACACCATAGAGTTACTAATAAGGGTTAATATCGGAGCTCCCGCGCGTTGCAGGCCCTGTTCCGGTAATGTGATCTCGCCATAGCCACAAAACCTTCACGAAAAGAAAGGTCAAACTAGCAAATAGCTCCGTGTATACCTTTACCGCTCCACGCTTTATGTTCTGGCTGGCCTGCGGGAGGCAGACGTTCTTACCTCGCATGGGCTCGCAGCACAGCTATGCCGAATACGAAGGACCAGCCGCCATCTTGGTAAAGGAAAGGGATTGTGCGTGACCCGCCAAGATAAAGGGGGAAACTCCTCCCCCCATCCTTGCCCTCGGGTATCACTATAGCAACTGGGGGAGGCGGGGCTGAGCGAGCCAGTATTGGCTGAGTCGCGCACGCGCCTTTGTTACTACCCCCCCCCCCATGCCTTTGTCGCGTGCGAAGGCTGGGCCGCGGGGCGGGGGCGCTTTTCGCGAAGAGGCTTGTCTTTGCCTCACGCTGCGGATGGAGACGGGTTAAGGACACAGGCCGCGGGAGGGGGTGGGAAGGCGCCAGCGCGCATGCGCCGCGGAACTCCGTGAAGCGGTTGGGCGGGTTCGAAGATTTGCGGCGGCGGTTTAGCAAGCGAGGACGGGGCGCGGCTGCCAGGTGAGGCGTTGCCCGTGAGGAGGTTCTCTCTGGGGCTGGGCAACCGCGGGGGATGGTGGCCACGGGCTCTTTCCCTCGGCGCGCGCCCGCGTGCGTTCGTGCGGCCCGCTGGGAGCCGCTGTCTGTCTCTCTGTGAGGCGAGGGGGGAAACCTCGCTTTTCAGGCGAGAAAGACCCCGCCCCGCCCCCCCGGCCGTCCCTCGCTCTGGTTTCAGCCTCTTCGCTGCCTCCCGGGCGGCATTTTCGCCACGAAATGCAGGGCAGCGGATGGGAGTAGGAAACAGCGGGCTGGAAGGAAATGGGGAAAGGGGTGTGTGGGGAGGAAAGGGGTTGCGACTGACGCCGCCAAAAAGGCAGATGGTTCAGCAAGTTTAGCTGACTGCAAACGTGACTTATCCACGAAAACGCATCGGGGAAGGGGGCCCTCAAAAACACTTGCGATCACTGTGTTGTAAGGGGGGTGTAGACTAGACTAGATGGCCCTCCGGCGCCCCTTCCCACGCTACGATTCTATGAGACAGTCAAGCACGGGATGGCGAGGGAGGAAAATCGCTTGTGAATTGGGAAGGGTTCATTACTCCGGTGGGTGTTTCTCCTCCAAAAGAGGCGGGCGGGGGGGGGCCCGCCTTGCCCTCGAAAGTGGAGGATTTCAAAAATGCCATTGCGGAGAAGAACAGCACAGCTGTCTTCGCTCTGTATAGCGACAGATTTCCGGTTGGAGGTTGGGGATGTGTCGTGTGTGCTGAAAGAGCAGGAGTGACGTGCTGGGTGGGCCTTCTAGGGGGCAGTTTGCAGAGGATGTGCGATTGTCGCTTACGGAGTGGGAGTCTTGATTACGTTCTCCCGACTCCTGCATCTATTTGGATAACTTCCTCAGCGCTTACGCTGCAAAGCTGAATTACGAGCGAAATGAAAATTCTCCCCCAACAATAGTTATCTACTTGTGCATGTATGAGCTGTAGGGGCAAAACCTTTGTAGGTTGAGGACATGCTGGGTGGAAAGCTCTCAGGGGGCCCACATTCCAGTCGTGGGCGGGTTCAGCTCCATACATAATTCTGATGTCCACAGAGAGCTATTTCCTATTGAAACAGGCATATGCAGTATTTAATTATTAGGAATTCCACTCGGATTTCGCACCCCTATTCTGCAGGATATTATTGATGTCGGTGCTTACGTCACAACCTCAAAATATGTTCCCAGAATTACACTCAAGCATGTAGATATTACTTTATTAAAATACTTTTCCCATTTGATCATTTTCTTTTATTATAAAAGATGTCAGTTTGGCTGTTGCTAATAATTTACCCATTCATATATGTTTGGTATTTATGTTACTTCCAGCATTTATCATATCATGACCTAGTGGTTACTATCTAGCTAGTCAATTCTTGAAAGATGATTTTTGTGGAGGTTAAAAGAGAGAACATACTACCTTCTCAGTTAAGGTTTTTATTTCCCCCCAGTACTGTTTTAGTAAAGGGTCATGTACTAACCACATGGTTGACATCTCTTCAGTTTTTGTCATTTTACCAAAGTCTCTTTCACTAGCTCCTTTTCACAGAAATTTAATAAGATTTTATCAATTTTAAACAACAATTTTCTGTGGGTTTTTTTTTCTTTCAAATTTTGTGTAATCTCTCAAACGCCTGTTTTTAAATATCTCAGATTAAAACTGATCTCTCCCCCCAGATTCTTCACTTCCATAAACATGTCCAAGGTAAGATGTGCCTTTGCTCATAATTATTTTGATGGTTTGTTCTTTGCAGGCAGTAAACACTTATTTGATACTGGTGTGCTAAATTAACTAATGAAGGAATATAATCACATTGCTTTTATGCTCTCCAAAAAATCTCCATGTTAGGTGATGGATTGGATGGATTTTTTAAAACTACTTCTACCTCTATGGAAATAAGAAGAGTCGTGTTTTCTCCCGCAGTCTTTTTACGATGTCACTTAGCACTATTTCTGTTTATTATTTTTTGATTATTATTACCAATACTTAAATGTCACTTTTCACCATAAATTGTCTCAAAGCAGGTTACAGAACAATAAATAAAATCAGTGGATAAATCAAATAATATGCTGCTTAAAAGTATAGAAACCACAGGTACACAGAAAATAGGCCTAATAAAATTTACTTTAAAGCCTTTATCAAGCACCTGAATTTCAACAGGGAGGGTGCCTGTCTGATCTTAGCCAAGGTGAAGTTGCGCAGAACTGATTGCACAGCTCCTGGTGGACATGAGCTGCGCATCTGAGCCATGTGGGGGTCAACAAACAAAGCATCCCTCAAAGATCTCTGTGTTCAAACTGAGATAAAAACAATCAGGCACTCCTTAAGGTATCTTAGACCAAAAATCAGTGTATATTTGTACAATAACCTTTAACTTGGCCTGGTAACATCGGCAGTCAATGCTGGATTTTAAGCACTCAGGTTATGTGCTGCCAGTAGTCTTTCCCTACCAAAAGTCTAGCTGCGTAACTTTACACCTGGAGCTTCCAGACCAAGCACAAAGGTAGCACCACGTAGACTGCATTTGCAATAATCAAGTCTTGAAGTTACCAATGCATGAATTGTCATGGCCAGGCTATCCCTATCCAATAATGACCATAGTTTGCATACCATCTGTAGCTGGTAAAAGGCTCTCCTAGGCACTGAAACTGCCTAAGCCTCAAGTGAGAAAGATGGATTCAGGAGCATCCACAAACTACAAACCTGTTCTTTCAGTCTGAGTGCAACCGCAGCCAGAGGAAGCAACTGGCCATTTTCCCAGACGGGAACTACTCACTCACAGTGACTCCGATGACTGGGGTTCAGACTCAGTTTATGTTCAGCCTCTCCTAACTCAGAAGTTATGGAAAAATAGAGCTACATGTCACCAGTGTACTGATTATGCTTTGCCCCAGAGCTCGTAATAGCTGCTTCTAACAGCAGCATATTGGCAACAAGATTGTGACCTGCAGTACACAATAGCACAAGGATCATGGGACTGAAACGAATCCCCCAGTGTTATTCTCTGGGTACAGCCCTACAGGTAGGAATAGAACCACTAAAAAAGTGCCCCTAAAACTATCCAACAGAGCTAGTCTAGGAAGATACTGTAGCCAACAGTATAAAAAACTGCTGAGAGCCCTAGAAGCAGGAACAGATGCACTCACTCTGTCCTGTGTCTGGGCCAAACACTCCTCCCTCCTTTTTGGTTGAAAATCCTGGCTATGTCAGGGTTGGGAATCAGAGGCGTACCTAGGGGCTAGCAAAACCCACCCCTTGTCGGGAGCGCAGAAATAGGATATTGGATTATGGAGTGCATGACGTATATGTGTGTGTGACAATGTGACGCTGCTGTCATGGTGAGATCAAATGCAGGAAAAGCTTCCTGTCCTCTGCAGTAAAGTGATATTTCGGGGTGGGGGAGGGGAGGTGCCAACACAGCTCCTTACCAAGGGTGCAAGGAAGCCTAGGTACACCTGTGTTGGGAATTCTGTCTTAAAACAAGCCAGAGTTTGTTAATGGCAAAGAGGGGCAAGGGGAAGGGTTTCAGTCCTGATACTTATTTCTGTTGTAATAAACTGTGGTGTAAGAAGCCTGGAATGATTTTTTTGAGCCAGACCAGACTCCACAATTGAAGTCAAGAGGAAGGAACGATCAAAGGAGGTGTAGAGGGTAGAGCAGGTAGCTTGTCCATGAACAATTTTTCCACCTCAAAATAGCAGATTGTAATAGTATTTAAACTAATAATCTGTAATTTACATTCTTTTCTTTTCAGCAACAGCCTGCTGAAAAGTTTACAAATCCAGAAACTCCTGGTTATGTTGGATTTGCAAACCTTCCAAACCAGGTTCATCGGAAGTCTGTGAAAAAAGGCTTTGAGTTCACCCTTATGGTGGTTGGTAAGATCACTTTTTATTTTAATAAATTAAAGTAGAATTTAGTAATTATTCATAACTTTGTTCTTGAAGATCCTGTATAGACATTATATCTGAAGTAATCATTATTCACAAGAACTAGCAGGTATAAATCTGAACCTATTAAAGAATCTGTAACTCAGTTATAGAATAGCGGGCCAGCTTCCATTGCTGAAATCTTTTTTAAGGTTCTCTGATAGCAGGATTCGGAAATGCCTCTTGGGAAGTAAAATTAGGGAATCAGGAAAGTTGATCATGCAACTTCTGGGTAACCCATTCAATGCTCTAGCACATGAAAGAATAAACGGTTAATGTGGGATTTCAGATAAAATTGTCCAAACACTTGTAAAGATTATTATAGTGATGCTAACCTGCAATACAAATTAGATCCGTGCCACCATCTGAAACAATGCTGCCTTCCATTCCAAGACCTTCCTTAATTAATTATTTAAAAGATTTATAGCCTGCCCCTCATTGATAGTGTTAACAGGGCAGGATAACAAGATAACATTACACAAAAAATTGCACACATATTTTGCCATATGCAAATTAGTAATCTCTCTTGCAGGTGGTTTGGAGTTCCCAAAAATAAGTCTGGGAACACACACAAGTATTAAGATGCCTGATGGGCAGAATGTCAAGATGTGAAGCGTTCCCCATAACTGGGTTTCTCCCAGAAAGAGCTTGTTCCTACATGCAGGGAACACTGAAAATTATTGTCACAATTCTAACTTATTTAGAAGGTGTGCTTTGTAAGCCTGAAGAATATTAACTGTTCATTGACTGTTGCCAAGTTTGGAATGAAATAGGTAACAATGTACAACAGTGAAAGGTCCAACCTTCTGCTGATTCATTAATATGTAATACTTTCTTACGGTTTTATTTTCATATTAATTCATAGGTGAATCTGGCTTGGGAAAATCTACTCTAATAAACAGCCTGTTCTTAACAGATCTCTATCCAGAAAGAATAATCCCAGGAGCAGCTGGTAAACATGAAATTTTGGTGTCTTCTGTTTTTGAATTTTATTAAACAGTTAACTTGTGTGAGCCAGGATTGAAAAACGGGGGGACTTCCAGTCATGGGTACTTAATGCAGTTTTGTACCAGTTAAGTGCCTTGTTCCTTACTCCATGTGGTCACAAAAATACACAAAGCTTTTTGCAGACTTCTGAGCAGTTGAAAACAATTTCATGAAAGCCACTTGGCTGGTTTGAACATAATACAGTGGTACCTCAGGTTACAGACGCTTCAGGTTACAGACTCCGCTAACCCAGAAATAGTACCTCGGGTAAATAACTTTGCTTCAGGATGAGAACAGAAATCGCGCGGCAGTGGGAGGCCCCATTAGCTAGAGTGGTACCTCTGGTTAAGAACAGTTTCAGGTTAAGAACAGACCTCCAGAACGAATTAAGTTCTTAACCTGTGGTACCACTGTATTAAACTGTAGTTTAGCATGAATGAGACAAGGCAGGTCCTGGGCTCATGTCCTCTTCCTTCCCTCCCTCTCTGGTGCAGCATCAAAGAACTTAGAATTTTTCTTTCAGCGTAGTTTAAATTCAGCACAGTTTAGGGTTGAGGCATAACACTAAATTGAATTTTATCTAAAACAACCCCAATCCCTTCTCAACCACTCTCAAGGGGATAGGGCATGAATCCAATACTCACTGTGACTCATCCTCATAACCTTATGGTTAAGCTGGACATGTGAATAAGACCACTGTTTCTGACACAATAGTCCTAGATGCTCTTACTTTTTATAGTAAATCCTTTATAATTGTTTCCTTTCATCTGTCCCCTTTTTGATCTTTAAAAAATACTGACAAAGTTCAAAAGTCAGAATGCAATGCAGTATTCCTAGTGGGGGAGTTGTTCCCCATTTCCTAACTATTTTAGCCTTGATGATAGGCCTTGTTTCTTTTGCCGTTCCTTTGTATCTTGTAGTTTGAGTCTCTTGCTTTTGACACTTGCATGTATTTGCTCAACAGAAAACCTTGTTGGGCTCATAGCAAATTGTGATCAAGGCCATATAGACTGATCTGTTTTAGGGTGGGGGAGCAAATGTCTTTCCTTTTGCCTTGGAGACTTTAAATTTTTAAATTCTACAATATAACCAATACAGTGGAACCTTATGTTATGTACCATCCTCCTTGCGAACGTTGTGGGTTATGAGCCCTGCTAACCCAGAAGTAGATGCCTCTTGTTGCGAACTTTGCCCCGGGATGCGAGCAGAATTCGCATGGCGGCAGCGGGAGGCGCCATTAGCAAAAGCGCGCCTCATGTTATGAGCAGTTTTGGTTTACAAACGGACCTCTGGAACAGATTAAGTTCGTAACCGGAGGTACCACTGTGGTTAAAAATACAGATTATTTTGCTGTTTGTGGCTCAGCTGTAGTTTAGCTAGATACTTAGTTACTGTTAATTATTGATCTTGCTTCAAAGGCTCTTAATCTTGCCTTCAGCCATCCTGAGATTACATTTTGTTGCCTTTCCAGAGAAAATTGAAAGGACTGTGCAGATTGAAGCTTCAACAGTTGAAATTGAGGAAAGGGGTGTAAAGCTCCGTCTAACTGTGGTAGATACACCAGGATACGGTGATGCCATCAATTGTCGAGATTGGTATGTTACATACTTGACCATAGGTCAAAAATATGTATTCAAAGTTGTTCAGTTCTTGAATTCATTAATTGGCTTGTTGGCAACTTAATTTCCTTTGATATATTTTGAATGAATTGTCACTTGCTGAACTATTATTCCTGTATGTATTGGTTAGTGTATTTAGCATGGGTTTTTCCCCTCCAACCACTTTGTGATGAAATCTGGAAAATGCAGTATATAAATCTACTGACTGATTATATGTAATAGGTCTGTTTGGGGCAGGCACTGAAAAACTTAATTGTGATCAGGACCTCCATTTTCTCCCACTCCACCAAGTCCTCTTTCAAAACCTGATTTCATTCTGTAAGTAATGTCTTGCAGCCTCACAGTGTAGCATGCTGTGTTGAGACAGCTTCTACTTCTGTTCTTTAGCATCTGTTGGCTGGAAATATTGTGTTTTTGTTTGTGCTCATTGCCAATTCCACAGTTCAGTGTGCATCTCTTCATCATTTCCTAACTTTCTTGGACCTCTGTCATATAAGCATAGGATTGCATTTAAGGGTGTTCCTCAGCTGATGGTAAATCTTCCCTTCATGCAACAGAGCAGGAATCAATTGCCAGTGCTCCCCTGTCCCCCCTCCCCCCAAAAAAATCCTCAGGAGGATGCGTCAGCCCTTTTTCAACCTTACCATCAACTGAGCAATACATTTGGATACCACCCAAAGTCTTATATTTGGTGGATTTACATATTTTGTTTATATGTATCCGCACGCACGTACATGTGTTCTTTTTTGGAGTGGCTTTAAAGTACTATTAAGAGCTTCATTCCTTTTTGATACTGCTCTTTCTAAATAATTGCTTGATTTGGCATAAGCAACTATTGCTCAGCATTGCAGAAAAGGGATGTTTACATAAGTGTGGTGTTTTATTTAAGTTTCAGGACCATTATATCCTATATTGATGAGCAGTTTGAGCGTTACCTTCATGATGAGAGTGGTTTGAACAGACGGCATATTGTAGACAATAGAGTTCACTGCTGCTTCTATTTCATTTCACCATTTGGTCATGGGTATGTATAGCAGTACTTGTAGATTTGTAGTAAAAAAATCTTTTATACAGTGGCCTAATCTTTATGCATAATATTAGGTTTTTATTTTTAAAAAACTCTGTAAATAACTGAAAATTCTAACACTATTATTTTTAGACTTAAGCCCTTGGATGTTGAGTTCATGAAAGCCATACACAACAAAGTGAATATTGTGCCTGTAATTGCAAAAGCCGATACTCTTACTCTGAAGGAGCGAGAAAGACTGAAGAAAAGAGTAAGTTTTGGCAAACTTTTCAAATGCAGTTTTTCGTGTCATGTTGAAGCTTACTCCAAGGAAAGCTTTAAATTTCAGTAGCTGCTTGGAGGTCATGGAGGGATGCGGGGGGGGGGGGAGCCCTATTGCACCTCTGCCCAGCTTTAGCAAGTACAGTCTATGGGTGGACTGCCCCAAGTCTGTAGAGTTCAAGGAGGCTACAGTCTGGTGTATAAAATTACAAAACAATGGTAGAATAAGTCAAGCACGCAAAGTCAAAGACATAACAGGGTCAGGCATGAGTAATCAGTTGAAGTCCAAAACATCATCCAGGGTCAGCATCAGGAGGAATCAGGAGTCATCAGCCAAGGAGATCTAGTTTAGGCAAGATAATTCAGGGAGCTAGAGATCTGTGCTGTTCCAGCAGTTAGGAAGCTCAAAGTAAGGGTTGTTACAGGCCAGCTGCTGGTCTTTAAGGGTATCCTTACTCCCAACTTTGGGTTTTACTACAAGGTGACTTAGGGCGCTCAGAAGCACACTTCATTGTGGGTCTGTGGCCTGGACTTGAATCTTTAGACACTTGAGCTCTTGAGGACAAAGATGGCTCAACCTCTCCCTCAAACTCTTCTAATGGCTCACCTGCTGGTTGAAATGACAAGAACGCAAAGGGCATCTCTGCGGGATCCCCTGGAGATGGCTCTGGGGAGGCTGTTGGGATATCTAAGGCTAGAGACAGTCTTTGGTCAATGGGAGATCTAGTTTGTTCTCGAGGGAGTCATTGGGCCTTCTGGCGGTTCCCTCACTGCGAGAAGTGAGGTTACAGGGAACCAGGCAGAGGGCCTTCTTGGTAGTGGCGCCCGCCCTGTGGAATGCCCTCCTGTCAGATGTCAAGGAAATAAACAACTATCTGAATTTTAGAAGACATCTGAAGGCAGCCCTGTTTCAGGAAGTTTTTAATGTTTGAAGTTTTGGTATAAAAATTATTATTATTATTATTATTATTATTATTACTACTACTACTACTACTACTACTTATTGTGTGCACTCCAAGTCAGGGCTTGGCGTAGCAGCCTGCAGCCTTTGAGATTGGCCCATATGCCTTTGTTTTTTGTTTAATTTTGTTTTGTTTTTTGTTTGTTTATGCTCAGATTCTAGATGAAATTGAAGAACATAGTATCAAGATATATCACTTGCCTGATGCTGAATCAGATGAGGATGAGGACTTTAAAGAACAGACCAGGCTTCTGAAGGTAAAGCCTGTATCAGTGGTGGAGAAACAGTGATGCATTGAATGGATCAGATGCTGTATGTCCTCCTCTTTATAGACTGTTCCCAGTTGTCCTCAAGTTGTAAATGAAACACCTTCAGATAAGATTTGTCCTCTATTGCAGTTCATCTACACAACTTATGCTCCTAAGCTCCCATGTCTAATAAAGTAATTGACCACTTCATTTGAATGCTTGAGATGGTGGTTATTGCTATGGAACTACTTGCATAGGAAAGTACCATATGGTTGTAACATACTTGTTTTATCCTGTTCAATTTCAGACCAGCATTCCATTTTGTGTAGTGGGATCCAATCAGCTGATTGAGGCCAAAGGCAAAAAGGTTAGAGGTCGCCTCTATCCTTGGGGAGTTGTTGAAGTGGAGAACCCAGAGCATAATGACTTCTTAAAGCTACGAACCATGCTAATGTAAGCATGTTACTTTACTTCATTACTTTATCCATTGTTACTTCATCTTCCCCACATAAACATTCAACAAGAACTTTTAAGGAGGATTAGTATCTCTCCCTGATTATGAACAGGATTAAAATAATTTCAGGGGGCAGAAGTGTTCAGAATTATCACTCTCTTTAAACACTATACCACATGGCAATTCTAGAAATAATCTTGCCAGAAATTTTGCTGTTAGATTTGACTTTTGGCTTGGGCCTTGCACAAGTTAGCTAATCTTGACAAACGATATAAAAGTTGAAACTCCCTATACTGCAGTGTCAAACAGCCATATAGGGAATGTGCTTTTTAAAGTATTAGCTGAATTTACATAAATTTGTTTGGCTTGTTTTGCCCTATCCTTTCTCCTGACTGTTTAGAAATTGGACCACAAAAGAAAATGAGCTGAATATGTGTTCATAGGTTAATTGCATAGTTTATGGAAATGACATTGATGTTGTTATCTTTAGAATGGTTATTTTGTCCAGAATGAACATTCACCAGTCAGATTTCTATAACTTTACATTGCATTACTTCTTCTAAAGGTAGTTTTCTGAGAAGGACTGGACAAGGCTGAGGGTATGACAATTCCCAAGATTCTTTGGGTGAGGCCATGTACTTTATAGTGTGGATGCGATATTAGCTTTGCTAATTTGCATAAACTATGTTCAGAATTGTGTGTGAAAAGGTAGCCTTGGTGATCCATGGGTAAGACTTCTGCATCTTGTACAGGTCTGTTGTCCAGGATGATTTTCCCCTACAGAACGTAAAAGCACAGTCCTCAGACTCTCCCAACCTTTCCTACTCCCAAACCTTTCCCTCACACTGTATATTTTTGCCAGAATTCCTTCACATCCATTCTAGCTCTTGGTCACAAACTATATATAGCATTGTGCTTCTTTGTTTTTCCAGCACTCACATGCAGGATCTCCAGGAAGTTACTCAAGACCTTCACTATGAAAATTTCCGTTCCGAAAGACTTAAAAAAGGTGGCAGGTTGGTACCTCTTCTTTGTTTCTGCAGTTCCATTGAATTGCATTGATGTGTGGTGGTGATACTTTTCTTTCAAAAAGATCTAATAAAAAGCTATTTCTCTGTCTAATTGTTCCTCTTCCTTCCCTGTATATAGGAAGGTTGAAGATGAAGAAGTTAACAAAGACCAAATCTTGCTGGAAAAGGAAGCTGAAGTAAGGATTTTATTTTTACTTAAAATACATCTAATACCTCACAATTGATGTTTTTCTTTTATTTCCGTGTTCTCTTGAGGGGACAAAGGCAGTCACACTTCCATTGAAGCCCAGATATATATTACCCATGCAAGACATATCTGGTTCTCTGCCCCGACATATCTTGCCAGAGGGTTGGGGAATGCTCTGTCAGAAGAGAAGGTTAACTGGTGCCTCAAAGTCCAGTAAATCTTGTACTTTGTCCAGTGCTTACTGTGCACTACACTTCGTTTAGTGGTGAAACAAGCGCAAATAATCAATCTTAACTATGGTTTGTTGGAGGGGGAAAAACTTCAGTTGATGAAACTAGCTTATTTCAGCTAACCACTGCTAAAATTAACTTCAGTTAAGGGTTCAAATGCCATGCTCAGCTGTAGTTAATATGGAGCACAAAAAGAATCTTCCAATCTCCCTTTGGCCAAGCCAGAGGTGAAGTGGGAGGATAATTAGTCTGGAGTTCACTGCAGCTCATTCTCATTATTCTAAACCATGGCCTAGTGTACTGTTTGAGCATAGCTATTCTGTCTAGCAATTTTCATTTTAGAATGTCCATGGCTAAAAACTGCAAGTTTCCCATCTTGGTCCTTTAATGCTAAATTAAATATTCATTTTATTTGTGCACTCTGTGCAGACACACACATTAGAAATTGCGATTCCAAAAAACATAAATGAAACCTTTATCGTTGCCGCTTTAATAGAAATTGCAGCCGCAAGCTTTCATTTGTACGTTTCAAATTAACTAAGGCTGTGGTCCTATGTACATTTAATTGTGATTAAATACCACTGAGTTCAGTGGATTTTAATCATTTGGCTACCTGTTAAATGCATGCTTTTTATTTTTTGAGACTACTTTGAGTACCATAGTCTGTTGTAATGAGGAAGGAAGAAGAAGGCAGTTTCTTATACTCACTTTTGCAAAACAACAACATCTGCAGAAGAGCCATATTTTCAGAATAAAAACACGGTAAAGATTGTATCATTTTCTTCTAGCTCCGTCGGATGCAAGAGATGATTGCAAGAATGCAGGCACAGATGCAGATGCAGAGGCATGGTGGAGAAGGAGACAGTGATGGCATCCATGGGCACAAAGTTTAAATTATTTGGTAAGAAACATTTTAATAGAAAAGCCATTATCTGTAAAATACTGCTATGCAAGAAAAGCAGGGTTGTGTGTCTTAAATACACATTTTGACTTCTGGATCGGTCTTTGTGTAGTACTTTCTACATGCTTGTGTTGGTGTGCTATCCCTGCTCTAGACAAAGCCTATGTAGTGCCCTCCATATGTTGTTAAACTGCAGTTCCCATCATTCCTGATCATTGGCCATGCTGACTGAAGCTGGTGATGGTTACAATCCAGCAGCACCTGGATAGCCCCCATAGGCTGCAGTGTCAGAAATGTGGTAATTCTAAGTTAGCCTTGCAAATTTTGCAGGGCTGCACATGCCACTACCCATTGTGCCCTACATGGAATCGGACCTTTAAGACCAGGAAGAGAGAAAACATGGAGGCACCTTAGTACTGTGCCCTCGTTTCCCCAACTTGGAAATGTTGTCAGAGCTGTGGAGGGGAGAGAAGCCTTTTCAGTCCCGGGGGCCTCATTCCTTTGCAGGGAACCTCCTGGGGGTTGTGTTCTAGTAGTAGGGAGAGACAGAGGTAAAAGAGGAGTTCAGCAATAGAAATGACTCTCTTACCTTTAATACATTTAATGGAAGTGAAGAAAGTCTTTGGCTTTGAGGCAATGGAGATATGTTGTGCTGAATATGTAGTAATGGAACAACCCACGTTACTTTTCTTTTACAACACAGGGAGAAGGAGATTTAAACCCCTGTACTATAGACTAAATGGGGGCAGTTTATTTTTCTACCTCCACTTAAGACACACAACTTCATGCATCTACTTAACAAGTCATCATGAAGCAACTGGAGGGTGAAAGAAGGAAGAAGAATCAAATAGTTAATCAAGGGAATTGGGCGGGGGGGGGGGTAGGACAAAAGCTAAAATAGGGTTGATAGCCACAGTTTTAGTCTTATTAAAAAATTGGTTCACTCAAGCAGGAATAGTGAAAATGGTGGAAGAAACCTGCCTGACAGGAATTTACATGGTAAAAGAGTTTACATGTACTATAGCTTACAACTTTTTAGTAGAGAACTATAGTGGTGTCACTTTGATGGCATAAAGCACAGATTTAACATACATGCCACTCTTACTTTTTAAAAGCAATATTTGTAGCAAGAGTCTTATTTTGAGCATTGCTGCTCCATAGATTCATGGCTGAGAAGCTGTTTCAAAATTCGTACTGGCACTACAGCTCAATTTCAAAACGTAAAGGTAAATTAAATAACAGTTGTGCCTTTCAATATTTTCATTTTGGCAGATACCTTCATGAATTGGAGCCATTTAAGACTTGTGACACAGTGACGTATTTTGTGAGGAGAGATGCTTATCCTGCTGTGACTTGGGAGGTCCATTCACATTCAGTGTGCAACTGTATTGTCATTTCTGTAATGCCTCATTTGAAAACAACTTAAGACATAGTCAATATTTTAATGTTATGGTGTAACGTGATAGTTTTTTTAACTTTTTAACTTTTACTGAGCTGATTTTACTACACTGGCTACAAAGATATATATACTTCCTAGCTAATATTTTTCATCTGAATATGGATTACTACCACTATTTGGGTTTGTTTTTTGCACTGAAGGAATCAACTGATCATGATAACAATCCTGAGGTCCAAAGTCCGCATATGAGCTTTGAATTTCCTCCACAGCCTTCCCTGATACCCTAGTGTGGCTAATGTGCATACAGTTTTAAGACTACTTTAAACCACCATCCCCACAAGTATCATATGGTTTTTAATGCTCACATGAAAGATCAGTGCTGGGAGCTTTTGCTGGAGAAGACTGTGACTAAAGCCTTGAGTGAACTTTTGGTCCCTGGGATGCAGTTCTTTGCATGTAGTTGATCCAGTAACAATGTAAGTGACAAAATGGAATTCTTCAGTGCCATTTTTTCTTATATTTAGTAGCATATAGAACTCTGTGCCTGTATCACTCCTGCACTGCCCTACCTTTCTAAGGTTTATAGTCATTTTTTCAAGTAACTACCGCACATGAACCTTTTGTGTTTTTATCTAAGAAAAACCATTATAGTTTTTAAAGGCATTGTGCAGTTTAGAAAGCAAATCTTATAATATTTCAGGGACTTTGTCTTTAAAAAGGTCAAATATTTTTAAAAGTAGCATGATAGACCAGTCTTGGGCACATACTCTGTAAGTGAAGGGAGAGCCAGGATGCCATAGTCAGGAGAATGGCTGCTGCTGGTAGCCTCTTTATCTGCAGCCCCAAAATGTCCATGCATGGGCATTTGCACTGTGCTTGAAAACAAACACATCCTTTTAGTCTTCATCTTAAGGAACAACAGGAACTCTGGGGTGAATCTGTAGGTTGTGTGCTGACATCCTGCTCTTGGTTGCTTTCACACCCCTATTCTGATAATCTGATATGTTTCATGTCCTTATACTGTAATTTGACAGAGTGTTAAGGAGAACAGAGGAAAGCTATTGTTCTTGCATGGGTCTGCAGATAATGACAGATCAAGCTGAAGATGTACATACAGAGTAAGCCTAAAAACTTGCTGGTCCCAGCAAGTAGCAATAATTTTGATTATTAAAAGTAAAGCAGGGAAATACCCCATGTGAACTTGGTGGCTTATTTTGACAATTCTGCAGAAATAGATATTTGCAGTTAAAAAAATGAAGTGATCCTGCTTAATCATTAAATTGCATTTCCCCTTTATCCTAGAGGTAAGATAAGAAAATGCTTGTTCTTGAAGCAAGGCTTCATTTACTTGGTTTTTGGTAACGGTAACAAGATCTTACTCTCAGCTTAGTTTTTATTGCCATAAGTGAAGGAACATTCAAATTGAAAAATGTATGCAGGAGAGGTGCAAAAGGGAAAAATCTCATAGTATGCTACTGGCTTTCTTTAAAAAACAACAACAAAAAACAGCCTGTTTTTGGCTCTATTTGACATACTGCTCAATTCAGCCATTGCTATTGCAGCATATATTGTTACTAAACAGTACACCCAGTGCCAAAAGGCTGAATGTGGATATTGCCATGTAATTCTGACACTATTTCTGATCATTATATATAATTTCCCTTTAACTCTTATTTGTTACCATGTTATCTAAACTGTTACTTAAAACTCCACATAAACAAGTTAAAATCCCAGATCATAATAATAGGATTTGTTACAAATATAATTTGTAAGAAAGGTAAGAGAAATGTAGAAGCCTAGGGCTAAACCCAGAGCAGCCCTACATGCAAGGGGCTGTGTGGCAGAGGACTCCACATAGAGGTGAAGACATTTTTGCTGATTTCTCCCCTTCCTACAGCCTTCCATGCCACCGCCTATGTTCTAGAGCCCCTCCCACCAACTCTTCAGAGTAGATGTTCAGATTGTAGATAGGAGGAGGTGAAGGGGGAATTGGTGCAAATTGCCACCCCCGCTCTCCCCCGACCCTTCCTTTCCCCCTGGAATTTGTTAGTGCCATTCCAAGGTTTGGGTCTAACCCAGAATGTACATGTCCTAAGTAGAATCAACAAAACCTGTTTAAAAATATTCTAGGAAACTGTTTTTACTAAAATGTGATCATAATGAAACAAAGTTTAGTTTGGTATCGCTTTTTATCCTCCTTTCCTCTTCCAAAGTTGCAACTAAAGTCTCTTTGTGTCCCATAGAGCATGGTTGTATTATATATGCTTACATAAATATTATTGGGGTTAAATTATTCTACTTATTTTGAACACACTTCAAGGGACTTTATTTTGCCAAGAACATGTTCACACAATATCCGTGTTTTATATAAGAAGTTACTACAATAATAAACCATACAGCACTGAGATGGTCATTTTTCAGTATTAGAAACGTTGTGAAAATGTAGTGTGTGCCAAATAACTAGTATAAACCTAACATTTTATTATAAATACCTTGTTTTCATTAAATAATCTATGAAATTCTTCCATATGTTCATCTGCATGTGTTTGTTGGTTGCTTTGATTAGAACCTCGTTACATATTAATGTTTTACCTGTGGAATTGTATTTTGAAACGTCTTGGCTTTTTATGATCACTTGTAACCTTCCAAACTGCTAAATTTTAGTTACTAAATAGTTACAAAAATTCTTGTTTGATTTTTTTTTTATTAAAAGTTGAGTATCTTTAGAGATGTGACTGTTTTGAAGCAAGCTTAAAAAATTCAGTCTGCAGAACTTCAGAACCCATTTCTTCAAGAAAAGTAACAAACATAGTTACAATTTTACAAGTATATTATTAGACTTTTTATTGATTTTTCTAAAATATTTGAATATTCCAAGGGCTAATTTTTGTATGACAATATTAACATATAATTTTTTCCTGTACACTTTAACACTAGCCAAGACTATTAATAAAAATAATAAATCATAATGCGTGTGTCTGCTTAATTCATTGGATAAGTTAAGAATGAACAAATGCTTGTATGAAACATGTAAAATTGTTTTGCTGCTTAAGATAAAGCTTGTCTAAATAGCTTTGTGAGTGTGTGAAATAAAATAACTTGTGTTCAGTACTTAAAAGCATTTGTCTGAATAGAGAGATATAAAAAGTGGAGTCCCTCTCAAGGACTGGTATTGGGACCTGTGCTTCTTAACTAGTTCATAAAGGATATAGAGTTAGGGGTGAGCAGTTCCAGAGTTGCTGGTGATACTGAACTGTTCAGGATTGTTAAAAAGATTGTGAAGAGCTCCAAAAGGACTTGCTTAAACTGAGTGAATGGGTGCTAAAATGGTAAATGGAATTAAATGTAAACAAGGGTAAAGTGATGCATGTTGGGGGGGAAATATGTGCTCATGAGGATTTTAACTGGCAGTAAATGGTCAGTGCACCTCAAAAGGCATAGAATTGCAAAAGGTTCATCAAAACTATCAAAGGGATAAAGCAGCATCCCATTAGAAAAAGTTGCAGCAATTGAGACTTTGGTTTAGAAAAGTTTATAGGGTTATGTGTGGCATGGAGAAAGTGGATAGAGAAAGTTTCTTCCTCTTATGACATCTAGTGAAGCTGAATGTTGGAAGATTCAGAACAGATAAAAGAAAGTATTTCATGCAGCTCATGGTTGAACTGTGGAGCACACTCTCGCAAGAAGCAGTAATGACCACCAACTTGAAAGGCTTTAAAAGAGAATTGGGACAAATTCATGGAGTGTCAGGCCATCAGTGGTTACGGCTATGCTTTGCCTCCCCAGTCATGCAGTAATGCTTCTGAATACCAGTTGCTGGAAATCACAGGAGGGGAAAGTGCGCTTAAGGGTTTGCCACAGTTAGAACTGGACTAGATGGGCCCTTGGACTGATCCAACAGGCTCTTGGGTTCACAAGAGAAGTTGAGAAGACACAGTTCTATTTAAAATGTTTGCATTTGGTGAAATAACAGCTTGCTAGATTCCAAGGTCCATTTATGTTCAGAATACAGTGGTACCTCAGGTTAAGTACTTACCGTATTTTTCGCCCTGTAGGGCGCACCGGCCCATAGGGCGCACCTAGTTTTTTTTTGGGGGGGGGAGGAATAAAGAAAAAAAATCATTTCCCCCTCCAGGCGCGGGGCTGGGGCGGGGGAAGCCCGAGCTTCCCCTGACCCCAGCCCCCAGAACAGGCTGCTATCCGCAAGCCTTGTGAGCCCCGCGGGAAGTTCCCACCGGGCTCCCAAGGCTTGCGGAGAGCTGCCCGAAGCCCAGGGTGCGCTCCGCTGCGCTCCCTGGGTTTCGGGCTGCAGGCTGCTGTCCGCAAGCCTTGGGAGCCCGGTGGGAACTCCCGCAGGCTCCCAAGGCAGGGGGGTAGCTTCCTGAAGCCTGGAGAGCGAGAGGGGTCGGTGGGCACGGACCCCTCTCGCTCTCCAGGCCTGCATTCGCCACATAGGACGCACACACATTTCCCCTTCATTTTTGGAGGGGAAAAAGTGCGTCCTATAAGGCGAAAAATACAGTAATTTGTTCCGGAAGTCAGTACTTAACCTGAAACTGTTCTTACCTGAAGTACCACTTTAGCTAATGGGGCCTCCTGCTGCTGCCGTGCCGCTGGAGCACGATTTCTCATCCTGAAGCAGAGTTCTTAACGTGAAGCACTATTTCTGGATTAGCAGAGTCTGTAACCTGAAGCGTATGTAACCCGAGGTACCACTGTAGTGTGATCAGTATTTGCAGGGATGCCAACAGGAATTTGGGGGCCCAACTGTACCGTAAGTTGATTGGGCCCTCTGCTGCAGTATTTTATGTTGTATTTGTATGCTTTTTTGCAAGTGGTGGTAGAAGGCCCAAATCTGGCTACACAATACAGTAAGGTATCTGACAAGCAGAATGTATTATTTTTATTTGTAAGCTGCCATGAGTCCTTGTCAGGCGCTCCAGTTTCACCCATTGGCTTAAAATACTGAAAGGCAGGAAGCAAAGGTGCAATCAACAGCAGCAGAAAATAGAATTGTGACATCAGGATATTGACATCAAATTTGGATAAGGATCTGGTCCACCGGCCAAATCAGATTCCCCATCCTGCCTTTACTGCAGTCAAGCCCTCTCACTCTCTCGTTTTAGCAGTAAATAAAGGAGGTTGCTTTCACTGGAGGTATCAAGGACAAACTTAAAATGGCAAATAATGGGACCCTTTCTCAATTACCTTGCCTGGACCTGGAGATCTGCCTAAGCAGGCAGCCCATGAACATTAAAGGGTGCATGTTTTGTGATGCTTGAGACTTAAAGGAACACAAATGAAAAACAAGTTTTTCAGAGCGTTTAAACTGTAGCTGATATGACCAATATTTCTGATCCTGAAGGTGGTTCATTGATCAGTGTTCCTTTATATCTTCCTGCCTCAAAGATCTGTTCTTGTTCAAGCACCCTGACCAAAATTTATGAGGATTTATAATTTTTAGTATCTCATCTGAAAAGTGTTTAGTTTCTAATTTAATATTTTTTAATTATCAAAAGTTGGGGGAGGGAATTGGCAAAGCTGTGAATTTCAGTGAACTCCGATTGTACAGAATCTCATGACTAAATTAAAAACTGTAGAAAATAATTATAGGGCAATCCTGTATCTGCTTCCTGAAAAGTATGCCCCAGTATATGTGGGGCTTAATCCCAAATAAAATACACTAAAATGCAGTCTGAATAAATTAAATATATGATATATAAGAAGCATAGGGTTTTTGCAAAAAACTTCAAAACTGATTCATGAACTTTAGTTCAACAATTACATTATCACATACACGTTTATTACTTCTTCATAGATTGTTATATCAAACAGCAGAGAACGCTGAGCATTGCAGAAATGTTGATATCCAAAATAAACCACAGTAATAGCTCTGCAATTACCAACCATATACTGAATCAACAAAAGGGGTGAAAGTCTGCATTATGTTTTTAAACCTGGATTATTGGAGCAGAATGTTAAACCTCACAGTTAAATGTTGGTAATCCTACCTACATTTTGTAGTATTGAATTTTCTTTCTTTCCATGACCCTTATACCAAATGAGCGAAAAGAGAATGTTTAGAGAGACTCCTTGCTTAAACATGTTTCTCTTTAGTTGATTAAAAGTTTGTTTAGTTTAATCTAGCTACAGATGAGGTAACCTTTTAAAAATTTACCAGCCTTTCAGTAATGGAAAAACTCGCTCCAGGCTTTTCTTTAGAGCTTGAACAATAGTCACAGGGGGAAGCAATTTAGCAGTGGAATATTTTTTTCCTGTCGTTGGGTAAATAATTGCTTATGGCCACAATCCTATACTCAACTGAGAGAATGGACTTGTCCACATTTGAGCACTTGGCTATTAAACCAGTTTCCACCCCAGTAAAATGAGACAGGAGTTGTCCACACCAACAAATATTTGTGTATGAGAAGCAACTTCAGTCTTTTTCATTCATAAAAATAGGCATTCCCTTTTCTGTTTGTCTCTGCCTTCTAATTAGCTGATTATCTTATGCCAGTTAAGAACCAACAGAGGTTGCACTCAGTAGTGTGTGAACCTTGTTCTTTAAAAAAAAATCCCAATTACTGTGCAAAAGCACCCTATCGTGCAACAGTAAATTTGCTTCTGGACTTTTCTGGTGTTGTAGAAATCTGAGGGATCAAAATAAATGTATGACTAAGCTCCTGGTGAAATAATCATGCTGTTGAAATGATTATGCATGACACCTAGGGAGTTTATGTTCATATGAGGCCCCAACTCTTGTCACTGCCACTGGTATGGTACATTTCCTTTTTGTGCAAGCAGAAAGTTTAGGAAATATACGTGCCACACAGCTATTCATAAGGGTACATTTGGTACGATACCATCCAGCTACAGTGATGAGAGATGAAGTGAATCTGGATTGCTGAGGTTTGCTGCTCTGCCCAGTATTTCTGCTTCAAGGAGCTCATTTTTCACACATTGACCAGTTTTCTCATTATCTCCTTAACCATGCTCTAATGCAATGGAGCAAGGCAGGGAATGAACCAGGAGAGAACCTATTGAGGTATTGGTGCATTTCACATTCCAACAGAAAGGTAAGTTCTCTCTCTGGAAATTTTGATATTTGTATCCTGAACAGTGTCCTATGTACAACCCAATGATGCAGTAGTAGCCGAACTCATTGGTAGCTTGTACTTCGAACAATGGATACAAATAATTCAGATTCAGCTGGAGGATCTGCCTTCCTCTCCAATCTGCATTCAAGGTCACGTAAGCTTATGCTTACGTTCTAATACATTCTAATAAAACTCGCACAATTTTGTGCCAATTTAATATATTTGAACTTGGAGCCAGTGTGCTGCGTGCAGATAAGAATGTAAGCAGGACAAAATGAAAGCAAAAGGCAAGTGTTTTGAGATAAAACAATAAGAAAAAAACAACTTACATTGTATTTACTGCTTCAAGTTTGGGAGCCCAAGTAAATTGATGAAGCAAATATTTGAATATATATAGCTAGCATGCAACAATTTGATTTAAAATTGGAAGTTTCCACTTTGGATTTGTTCTCCCACACCATGGTGCAAGCTCTGAATATGAACAGTGGATAAGAGTTGAAACAGCAGCAGCAGCAGCACAACTGGACCCTTTCTTCTGCCCCAGTTGAAACAAAACACATCTGTCCCATACTGAGCTCTACAGCCACAGCCAGCGCTGTAGCTCTCCAACAGTTTAACTTCACCCCTCAAAGGCGCACTCCTCCATTATCTCCTGAGACAGCCGGATGCCAACTAATATAGATAATTTACACTGGTGCCAGAACTCAAATTTAGCTGTACACATGTACAGTATGTAGGACTTGGGAGGAAACTTCATTGAGCAGAGTGGGACTGAGTAAATGTGAAATACTGTTTTATTCCTCTGCAATCAGGAATCATTCCCACAAGAGGGCGATACATCATCACATTTTAAAAAGATTTGGTTTGCAACGTCCCCCATTCACATGAGCAACATATCACACTTCGTTGGATGAGCGTCACAGAATAGACACAGGGACCTCAACTGTTCGCCAAAAAATCTCAAAAATTATAGACAGGGGCTCCGAAGTTGCATTCACAAGTTCCTTTAATACCCCTGGGTGCAATTCATCAGGCCCTAGAGATGTGAATTCATTTAAAGTAGCTAGGTTTTCCTTTACCACCTCTTTTCCTATCTTGGCTGCAGCTTCCTTTTTGCATCATTTATTCTGTTATCACAAAGTTTTTTTCTCAGTTTTCTCCATGCAGAGAACCTACTACATACTTGCTTGTTCCTCCTCTTGCTCCTAACATAGCTGAACAACCTCTTGCAAGCCTGAGCTCATTGTGAGCTTTGGCTCACTTGACCTTCACTCTGCAACTGTTGGCTACTCATGTATACTCTTCCTTAGTGATTTCCTCTTTCTTACATTTCTTATACATGCCATTCTTAAATCTCAGCTCTTTAGATGCATCCCACTTTTATTTATTGTTGAAATTGTCTACATTTGTGCCTTCAATATTTCATCTTTAAAAAACTCCCAACCATCTTGGACTTCCTTCTCTTTGATAATTTCTGACCATGGGATCTCACCCAGTAGTTCCTTAAGCTTTTGGAAATCAACCTTCTTGAAGTCCAGAGTGCATGTCTGACTACACTCAGTTTTCCTTTGCTTGTGTACCATGAAACATAAAAGGATACAATCACTTACTCCCAAGGTTCCCAGTACTTCCACTTCATCAGTTCCTCCCTTTTGGTGAGAACCAGGTTCAAGATAGATGATCCCCTGGTTGTTTCTTCCACCTTCTGGGAAATGAAATTGTCAGAGATCTGCAGATGAAGGGCGGTGTACAAATAATAATAATAATAATAATGATGATGATGATGATGATGATGATGGAATTTGTTGGCCCTTACATTATTGGCAGAGTTTGAGTTCCAGCAGATATCAGGGTAGTTGAAATCTCCCATGACTACTATATTTCTCCTTTTTGAATGTTTGGTAATCTGCATCACTGAAGTTTTCACTCTGGCTTGGAGGCCTATCTATAGCATACACCCACAGTAAGGTCACTGCTGTTTTCTTCTCCTAAACGTTTTACCCATTTACTATCAATTTGCCTTCCATGCTCCAGGTCATGGATCTCTTCACAATATACACATCCTTTACATATAATGCTCCTCCTCCTCCCTTTCTGTTTGGTCTATTCCTTTTGAACAAGGGTTGTTTATACATTATTTGCTAGCTTTGTTTTGATCACTTCAGTGGGTATTTCTGCCTTGTTTTCTTTGCTTCATATTCTGTAAGCTTATTCTTTAGGAAGTAACAAGGCATTTGAACTTCAAAATTGATGAAAGAGAAGTTGCAGAGCATGTATGCATTTGAACATATATCTGTGCTTAGTGCAGTATGTTTGCAGAATGACGTTTTTCTTATAAGAGCTAGCTAAAACAATAAACCTGTTTTATCACCAGTAAGTACAATTAAAATCAATTAGTTTGCAATAACAGAGTTATTTTATCAACAATATAACTAAATATGCTCCCAGTATTTAAAGGATTAAAAAGAAAATAATTATGTGCTGCTATAAAATACATATACTTTTTGAGGCATTGAATAAAAGTAGGTAGTGCTTGTTGGTATCTACACAATACAATTCAAAATAACTTCTTACATGAGCCCTGTTGCTAACTTGCACAGTAAAGGCTTAGAGGACAAGCTATATTTACAGTTAACTATAATATAATGTATGTATATGATATAGGGGGTGTTTCTATCTCTTTCATCTTTAAAAATTAAATTTGTTCCTCCATTTCTTGTAGTCTTCCCAAACCCCTTCCCTTTACAGTGCTAGCTTCTTATTTATGCATTTGCTTAATTTTCTCACTGATGCTTTCAACTGCTCCCATCCTACTCTTTACAAGCTTGTGTAAAAATAGCCTTATTTTAGCCTTTGCTTTGGTCTAGTATGAAATAAGTTGCAAGGGATGTAATAATGGATTTGAGAGTCATTGTGACAAGTGTGGGGAACCTTTTCTGCGGGGCTGGCCAGCCTGTCTCCCTTTCTCTAGCCTCCCTATACAGTGGTACCTCGGGTTAAGTACTTAATTCGTTCTGGAGGGCCGTTCTTAACCTGAAACTGTTCTTAACCTGAAGAACCACTTAAGCTAATGGGGCCTCCTGCTGCCGCCGCACCACCGGAGCACAGTTTCTGTTCTCATCCTGAAGCAAAGTTCTTAACCCAAGGTACTATTTCTGGGTTAGCGGAGTCTGTAACCTGAAGTGTATGTAACCCGAGGTACCACTGTACTTCCCCATGGTCCATCACCATGTAATAGACATAGCTCTTCTCATTGTGGGAAAGTTGCTGGCCACCACTGCTGTAAGGGGCTTCCAACAGTGGTACCCACCCAGCCCATTCTCTGTTGCTAGCCCTTCCCTTGAGAAAGACTAGTGGGGGAGATATTGGGTGTTCATGGTGGAAGGTGACATCAATGGTGGCACCCAAGAGACAGAAAGGATAGAACCTTTTTAAATGGAAGATGTGCCTGATTCAGAGACGAAATCAGCTAGCAAGGACTGTGTGGATGAGGAATGGGCAAGAAATAGATTTCAATGTTTGTTTTTATTAAAAGGCCAATGTGGGGGTAAGCTATAGAAATATCTGAGGAGCAAGGGCACAGCCTGTGAGCTTCCCATCCCTGCTCCAAAGAATGGGAACTTGTTTTTAGAATAGACATATTTCTTGTTTTTCAAAACCAGTGGCTGCTGGTGCCCTGCAAAAATGTTAGTTATTCAAGCTTCAGTAATTTGACCTGCCCAGCTCTGCTTGTGCAAACTTCTCCCTGACTAATGGAACAACAAGTTTACAGAAGTTTCTACAAATTTTCCATTCAATTATTTGAAAGCTTGTCTGAAATGGGGTAGCCTAAGCTAGTAAGACTGGCTGTGCCACTAGGGTGTGCAGGAGTTGGTTCATGCTACAAATCACTGATAGCCTTTTCCTCTATGAATTTGTCTAAAGCCATCAAAGTGGATTGCCATTCTTACATCTTGCAGTAGATAATTCCACTGTTGGTTTTTTAAGAAAATACACAGTGCAGAAAAATGCTTCCTCTTGTCTGTCCTTAATCTCCCATTATTCAGCTTCATTGAATGATCCCAGGTTCTAATATTTCTCTTTATTTCTCTTTCAGGTCAAAGCAAACTGAAAAAGGACAGAAGACATCCCAACATCAAGCTGGGGGTACAGGCATCAAGCCCCTGCCTCACACAAGAGAGAGTGGCACTTCTTGATAAGCAAATTATTCAAATGCTGGCAGGCATTGCCCCATGGCATCTTGAGAACTACAGAGAACCACTGCAGGCACTGATGCTTCTTGTATACAGAGTGAACACTTGCCACTTTAGCTAATTGCATCTTTGCCATGGAAGGCTGTTGTGGTTAGTAGCACAGTTGTGTGGATGCCATAGGTCCTTAGTTCATTCTCTGTGCCCTGCATCAAGAAGTCCTCAAGTCACAGACAGACTGAGCAAATTCAGGCATAAATCTTTCTTTTCCTCTCATGCTAGACAAACAGACAGACAGACAGAGACACACAAGGGTGTTGCTTTAAATACCTCCACACCCTTCCTTAGTGTGGACCATGTGGTGGTGGGCCACGTGGTGTGCAAAATTTAGACTTTTGTTCTTGGCCATTCATCAAGAACATAAGAGCTGCTGTGATGGGGAGAGGAAGCTTTCACCACAAGTAGGACATCTGCACATGGGTCCTTAGAAAATGCTAAATTGGACATTTTGAGTGCAAGTAACATAAACCTCAGTAATTTTTGATTATACTCTTTTAAGTTCAGAAAACTACATTGGTTCATGTGGGCAGAAGGCCAAAGGGCAGTCTCTCTCAAACAGCACAAATGACAGGGTGTTAGCACTTCTAAGGAATTCTGCTTCTCTCAAATGTTCATGTTCCTCCCTCACTTTCTAATGGTTGCTGTTGTCTTTCCACCCACTAATACAATTTAGATCCTAAACTTCAGTTTTAAAAGGAACGATACTAAACTCAGGATACAAACTGAAGTAAAATTAAACTTGGCCCACTACATTATTTGTTGACCCACCAAGCTGAATACAGCTCATTAAATTTATGTACTGTGACCCACCAGGGGCCTGAAAAAGTATGCTACTGCAAAAACAGGGGACATTATCAAACCTGGCAGGCCACAGTACATATCAAATAGGCTGCATTTGGCTAGGTGTGTCCCAAGCTATGCAGGCCTGCCCTAGACAGTGACCTTGACACTTAAGAAGGTTTACTACATTAGCTGCTGTATCAGTCAGGAAATGCAGACACAAAGCCAGGCAAGAGAGTCTCGTTTATTTGATGTGGGAGGTGGGAGCAAGCACTTAAATTGATACTGGAATTATAATTCATTATGGGCAAGGAAAATAATTAAAAATAAATGTCACCTTAGTGTTTTAATCACCTTGGTGTTTTAACATTCATTAGCAATGACACTGGGAGCTAAGGTGAGATTGTCTTACTCAGCAATTGGAGAGAACAGAGCTTGCATGTTTTCCCTTACTCTACTGTAAGTTAAAGGTTTAGATAGTTTAGGGTTGTTGTTGTTTTAAAAAATGGAAGCTGTAATGATATACGGGTGAGTCTGGATTATCCCATCTGCTGCAACCACCAAACTCCTATGATCCTTGAATGAAAACGAATCACTGGATCTAGATGGAATCCACCTGAGCATTCTAAACAGACTGAAGGATTAAAATGTCAATCTTCTAACAAAAATCTGTAACTCGCCCCAAAGCTTGGCATCCGTCAGAGAACTGAAAGGAATCTATGTGGCACCAGTGTTTAAAAGAGGTTGGTTCTATGAAGTTACAGGCCCATTAGCTGAACATTTGTTAAAGATAAAATCATTGATCATACTTAATAGTAAGACTTGCTGTAGAATCAACATGGCATGGCTTCTACAAAGCTCTGTCTCACTATCCTTTTAGAGCTCTTTGAAAGTCTTCACAAGCATGTGGCGAGGGGAAATTTGGTAAAAATTATATACTTGGACTTTCAAAAGGCTTTGACTAGAACTCTTGTCAAAAATTCATAATTCAAAAGGACTCCCTGTAACCGCTGAACAGCTGATCAGTAATTTCAGCAAGCCTTTTTGCAGTCCATCTGCAGATGCAGTTTGGATTCAAACCGTACCTGTAAATGGGCAAAGAAAGGCTCACTGACAGTGGATATAGTAGTAATGGTTCTATATAGATAGCTATAAGCAATCTCCTCTAAGTTTAGATACCACATGCTATAAATACCAGTTGTATGAGAACAAGAGAATTAGAGGGCTATTCATGTCCTGCTTGTGCGCTACCTGTAGGCATCTTGTTGGCCAGTGTGGGAAACAGCGTGCTGTACTAGACAGGTCTTTGATTTGATTCAGCAGTCCTTTTATGTTGTGTGTCAAAACTGGCAGAAGACAAAACCTCTAAACAAAGCCATCTATTGTTTCAGAAGTTGTTCACTGTCTTTTTGGCACCCTAACCCACTGGTACCAGTATGGTGCATTCCAGATGCTGTGGACTATAACTTCCACTGGCCTCACCTCCCACAGCCAAGTCAGGGAAGATAGATGTTATAGACTAAAATATATGGAGGACACCTGCCCTAAAGATCTGATAGACGCCTCTAAAAGTTAACATCATGCATTGGTTTATATAAGCTTTTGGGTGCCTACTGGCTAATTAACAATTAAAATAAGATACACTTGTAAGAATAATTTGAATTGCAAACTTATTTGGTCTGGACTTATTATTGTGTTCTTAATCATACATAATACATGTGAAAGATGGCAATCTTGCCATCATATCTGAAGTGTGTTGATAGAACCTGATTGTTTCCATTTATATATGTAAATATGGGTCACCAAGTTTTTTCTCTGATTTAAAAAAGAGCCCAGCTTTTAATGGATTTTTGTATATTAAGTGTTTGGATAAAATGCTCATCATTGTACCTCTTCAGAAAAGGAACAAAAATAGTACAACACACACTTGTTTCATTAGATCTGGGATTTCTGTCCCTTCTTCCCTAACACACATTGAGCAACACTCTTCAAAACATGATAATAACTCTTTAGCACTATCAGGAACATATAGAGCAAGCTTTAAATAAATTTATCAAGCCACCACCCTTGAAAAGTACATATTGCTTATGCAATAGGATTATGGAAACATGTTGTCAGAGACACTTAGGGGAAACGGATAGTCATCCACAACAGGAAGAATGTTCCACATTATTTTGAATGATAAGTATTATTTTCCCTTGCTTATCAGTTAGGTATGGGTTGATGCATTACCTAGGATCAAACTACAAAGCTAGGCTCCTGTAAACCCACTTGTTCCACAAACTCCTCCTCTTAATCTTCCTCTACAACTAAATTGAAGGGCTGATCCATGCTGTCATTTGTCCCATGTCAAACACGTTTTTAATATGAAATAATTGTGCAGAAAGGTCCTTGCATTTTCCATTTACAGGAGCATTATACCACCTGTAAATACTGAGAAAGAAAACTGGGTATAAGGATCATCATACCCTGCTTGATCTAATCAAGGAAGGCAATTATTTCTGATGACGTTCACGATTTTAATTTAAAGCGGTTTTTGTATTCCTCCCGCAAGGTGCATGTAAAACTCTACTGACACTATATAAAAACTGCCAATGCTCTTCAACTTCTCTTCGGCTTTGAGTGTGCATTTGTGAAAGACAAAAGCGCAACTTCACATACGTTTGCCTTCTCAAGTTTCTGAACGTATGGGTGGGCCACGCATTACAACAAACACGTTTGAGATCCCCCGAATTTTATTTGTTTTGTTTTGCCTCAGCTGCGAGGAGAGGCGTCGTGTCTGATTTTTTTTTTTAGTTTACTTTTGTTTTACTCCACACCTCATTCTCCCCCACCCCCCACATCCCCAAGAGCTGCAGGCATCTGGGGAGTGGCTGCCGTGACTTTCCCTTACACGTAAAGAAGCTTGGCAGGAAAATCTCGTCGCTTTCACCGGTTCAACCCGATCCAGCTTCGCACTGACGAGCGAGGTGTGGTTGCGGAGACAGAAATGGCAGTTGGGCCGGAGAAGAGCTCCCGTGGGGTCGAGCGCGGAGGCGGTTATGGGGCAGCCTCTGACCGAGGCAGTCAGGAGAGAGGTCCTTCGCTTGGTCCCATTACTCCTCAGTGCCCTTATTATGGTGGCGCCTGTGGCAGTTTAATAGCCTCCGGTAAAGGCTGTTAACTCCGTCGCCGCGCCTCGCTCGCTTTTCTTCCTTCGAGCCACCCGTAGCCGGGAGTGACGAGCCCCGCCCAGTAAGCAGGTCCCGCCCACCGCCGAGGCTGCTGACTCGGGGCTCGCGGAAGAGAGCCGTTGGAGCCCTGCCTGAGGAACTCCGCGGCAGCCAATGAGAGAGGCGCTTCTGGCGCGAGGGGGTGGCGGCGATGGCGCCGGCCTCCTGAGGGGTGGATGGGGGGGGGGCCGAGGGAAGCCGAGGAGGCGCGCGAGAGCGGGGAAGTGGGCGCGCAGCTGAGGCGGCTGCGTCTCGCGGTGCGGTCGTCGACTGAGATGACGGTCTGAGGTGAGAGCGGGGCTGCGGGGAAGGGAGGAGAAGAGGCGAGCTAGGGAAGGGCGCATTCCTCGCCCGGGAGCCGTCGAAGTCGGTGCTGGGCTCCTCCAACCCTCCCTCGGAGTTGCTTGGAGTGGAGGGGGGGGGCGCTACCTCAGCAGCCCCCTTTTCCCGCTTCGGTTTGCCGCCGCCAGCGTCTCTCGGCGGCTTCGTGGCCCGAGGGGACTCGGAAGCTGCGGGGTAGGGGGAGGTCAGTCCGTCGGGGGCGGGAGGGGCGTGAATTCAGCGGCAGAAAACACGACCTTTGCTCGGGAGAGCAACACGGCCGCGTCCCTCATCCCCCGCGGGGCGCGGCAGGGCAGGACGAGCAGCGCAGAGTCCCTTTCCGAGAGGCGTTGAAGGAACGGTTTTCGGCGGCTGCTGTCCGGTTGCTTCGCCCGACTTAAACCTGGTGTGTTACAAGTGGGCTGTGCAATTCTGAGATATGCAGGGGGGCATCCTTAAGTGTTGTAGTTCAGCATGCTTTTAGAACTTCTTGTTGCCTTCCCTTCCCAATGCGAGCTCTGTTCCTAAATATGAGACGCGGCTCTTCCCCCCGATCGCGTTTTTTTTAACACCACCTGGCGCATGCTGTTCTCATTATGGTTGATTTGGTGCAAATAACGTCAGTTTTTCCAAGACGTTGGTTTCAAAGGGCATACTTGAGGCTTCCTCCCCCCCTCCACTTCTAGAAGGCTTGTAGAGTACTTACTTACACACTACTTTCAAAGGACGGTAATTAGGTGGCCATATGCTCACATAGTTGTTTCTAATTATTTATGCAACCCAGCCTTTGATAGCGTTTAGCTCTAATGAGGAGCCTACGTGCTTTATGCTTTGGAGTTTTGCAAAAAAAATAATGCTCGTAGACCCCACCCTACAGGCTTGGTACAAGCTTCCCCATGAAACCTCCTGGTACCTTACTGTGTGCGCCATTATTTATACTCCAGCTATGGCCAGTGTGCAGACACACAATGATAAATACTTACATGTGCAATCATTATACTAACTAGATTCTCTACATGTGAATTTCAGAGTTAAGTCTTAGCTATATGGAGATGTCTTCCTGAAAATCTGCAGTATGTGAAACTTCCTGAAAGGATTGTTCAGGCTGCAGCTTCTCTGGCATCTAGTTTCATAGTGTGAAAATGGAATTAAAAGGAAAATATTGCAAAAATAAATATCTAATAGTATAAGATGATAGGTGTACCGATCCAGTTCCTGTTTTGCTGTTTTGAATATCTTGTCAATATTCTGTTTGGATCAATACTCTGTATGGCTTGTAAGTGTCTCAAAATGGCCTGATACAGTGGTACCGCGGGTTACATAGGCTTCAGGTTACATACGCTTCAGGTTACAGACTCCACTAACCCACAAATAGCACCTAGGGTTAAGAACTTTGCTTCAGGATGAGAACAGAAATCGTACTCCGGCAGCGTGGCGGCTGCAGGTGGCCCCATTAGCTAAAGTGGTGCTTCAGGTTAAGAACAGTTTCAGGTTAAGTACGGACCTCTGGAACGAATTAAGTACCGTATTTAACCCGAGGTACCACTGTACTTGGAAATCCCCTTTCTGCCAAGTTATTTTAGTCTAGTAAATTATATCTCTTGTAGACATTTAGTTATATTGTAGTAGACTTCATGCAGTTGATCCAAGGCCACCTCTGCCCCATTTCAGAGCCTATTGCCAGCTACTGCCAGCAGGAACACTGCCAGCAGTAGAACTACACCCACAGAGCTTTCAGCAGGTGCGCCAGAAGCCTCTGTGGAGGAGGTTTCTCGCTGACTAGTGAAGCCCTTTGCTGGTAGGAAGGCATCTCTGTGAAGTTCTAACCCCCTCAAGGTTATGGATTGGGGAGTTAGTGTTGTTCCATCCATTGAGTGGGTTTGCTTTGCTTTTTAGCTGGAGTCTTTCATCATTTGTATAATTGGGATTTCAGTTAGGTAGCACTGCTGTGGTAAAGTTTATGTATGTCCAAATTTGCATTTGCAGCTGTATCAGCGGCACACATGGATTTTTCTTGTAGGCTTGGGGGAATAGTAGATTCTGTATACAGTATTTGTTGCAGTATCCTTTGATAACTTTTTGTGTTTGATAATGTTTTGCAACAATTGTGTCCCCCCCCCCAATGGAGGGTATGAGGATTAATATTTTTCTTAACCCATTCTGGGCTTTCTGTTGTTGATAAAGAATGCATTTTCATTTACAATTGCTGTCTTGCCACATATTTCTGATACAATGCCTGAAAAGTTATCTTCTATCTAGGGTACTCCTCTTGTGCTGCTGCTTATCCCCAAGTCTCATGCAAGGCAGGCACAAAAAGGTTTATATCAGTTATTGCTGAGGTTTGGGCAGCAACAGTTAACACTTAACTTTTCTGAGGATGGAAATTTACAAGCATGCCGTGCTATTTATATCTAACAGTTTATTTTAGCTAAAGTACTTTGATTCTATTCTAGCTATTGATTTGGAATGTTGTGTTAGCCTGTTCTTTCTTAGGAGGTTTAGGGCAGGTAGTAGTTAAGTACACATACTAAAAATACATTTGTTTGAAAAAGAGACACTAAAGCTCACCCATCACAACTCCATTTGCAATCCCCTTGTCCAAATAAATAAATGTGTCTGTTGTTTCCAGAAGATAGACCTGGACTTAATGGATTACATCCAAAGAAGCCTGCCTGATTGTGCAATAGGATTTTCCTACTTCTCCCCACACATCCTGTAGACCCCTGACCCCACCTGCTCTAGAGTGTTCCCAGAAGATATACCTGAACTTAATGGGTAGTCCCCAGTGCAGCCCCAAAATCTGCTCTAGGGGGTTTTATTAACTGGAACAGATTTGGGGGGCTCTTGGGAGACTTCAGGGGGGAAGAGAAGAGGAAGTCCTGTTGTATAAGCGGAAATCTGCTTGCACAGTGTTGGATGTCTCTCAGTAAAGCTCTGAAAGATGGGAACTAATAAAGGCAAGGAAATGTTTTTGTTGGTTTGTTTAAGAGAATTTATATGACGCTTGAGTGTAAAAAAAAATTTCCTTTAAGTGGTTTACAAAAATAAGTTACTGAAAGTGCCTTTCTACACATGCACCAAGAAATAGCTCACAGTTGAACACAGAAATTATGACTGGACAAACCTCAATGTCTGAATCAACCTAGTGTATATTACTGCTTGCTTCAGAACTCACATTGCATTAATTGGTTACAATATACTCACTGTTCTATTGTTTCAGTTATACTGAATGGACAACTAAAACTGGCATTCCTGACTTGGCTGTTGCAAGCTACTGGTCTTCTAAGTTAAGCAGAATTAGAGATTTTGTCTGTGAAGTAGCAAACTTGCCACAGTTGAGAGAGCTTATATTTGGCTTTCAATTCTGGAAAGCTATACCCAGAGCAATCTTTGCAAATGTTATGGGTTTGTGATATTGATTGACTTAAGCTTGGAAGATGGGAGTTTCATTGGGAGGAAGGTTTGGAAGTACTCATAATATGCCATATTCATGAGTTATTGGCTAGTTGTTTAGACGGCATAATTAACTTGTTATGCTACTATCTGGCGTAAGCTAACACAAAATGCAGTATGCTGTAATGAATATGTTTCATGCTTTGACAGTTCCATATATTTATTCAAGTTGCTATGCAGCCTCACTACTAAAAATGGAAGGTTTTATCTGTTTTAGATTTTTTTGTTTCTGTCTTTCCCTCTTTATACGTACCCACTTGCTGCATCATTCTGGCACCCATATTAATCCTGGATTATGGACAGGTTGAATCTCCCCGATTCCTTACTTTGCCCCTACTTCAATCCAGGGGTGGACTACAGGTTTAGGAAGGTTCCACTTTCAAATCCATCTTGCACAGTCCACTTAACTTTTTTGTGTTTTGCCCCAAGATGAAGTAGTGAGAGGGATGACATAACTCTGAGGCTCTTGCCAACTTCAAATCCTCAACATGTAATTAGTAAAGCAACATATTCTAGTATTCTTACTTCAAAGATTGAATTTCAATCTATTTTACAACTTTCTTTGAAAATGGATTTGGTGTTTGAGCCCCAAATACAGAGTGACGTCCTGAATGTGTGCACCAATTCTCATCTGGCTGTTTTAATCTTCATGGGAGGTTATTGTGTTGTGTCTTCCTTGAGCTGGATTTGGAATTCAGAATTCTATCCTAAATATGTGTACCAACTTAATTTTTGTATCTCAGTGTTCAGAGGAGTTGTTACGTTACTCACTCATGCATGCTGAACAGGAGGAATTGCCCCCAAAATCCTGTTGTGGGTAGTGAGTGTACAGAGCTGTAGAGCAACTTTCAACAGCTAATTGTTATATTTTTGCACAAATTCATGGTGTACTGACTTTAAAATCATGGTGTACTGACTTTAAAAGTTATTAAAATAAATTATTTGTATTTTTCTCTCTTAGTTTATTGGATTGTTGCTTGATGGTGGAAAATGGGCGAGATAGAAGGCACTTACAGAGTGCTGCAGACTCCAGGTTCTCGTTTGGGAGTCCAGAAAAATTCTGGAGTGAGCACCCTGGAATCAGGACAGAACCTCTCCTCTGCTATAGCCTCAACACCTGCTAAAACACATGAGAGGTCTCTACAAATAAGGATAAAGCATTTGGACAACACTGTGGAGATACTTGATATTGAGGTAAAACTTTCAGTATAGCTTTGGATTTTTGTCTGTATGCAACATGGAAAAGGGATTCATTTGAGAAAGGGAGTGAATCATAGAAAATGCACTTAATGAGGTTAAAAGGTCTTTAGCTATTCTGGTGAGGCATGTAGGAACAACATGTAATGTTACAAATATAAGAATCTCAAGATCAAATCAAACACATGGTTTAATTTATTTATTTTCTCACTAAAACCCCATTACATATGGGACTTAAAACAATGTTAAACCACCATGGTAAAAACGTATTTACCTCCCATTTACCTCCCTATATAGTCTGTATGTGGCCATGTAAGCAGGTGTCCTGTTTTTTTGGAGGACTAGTTTATTGTTAGTGCCCCTGTTCTTAAATGGGGTGGAGGGATGATATGAAGCAAATGGGGGAAGTGAAGTGGTTTTTCCATTTTCGACTGATAAGAAGTGCCCCCAGCCAAAATGTCTAAATATTGTGAAACCTGGAGGAAGAAATATATAAACAGGATAGTCTTGAGGATACCGCTGATGTACACCTTGGCTAGGGCCAAATTGGCCTTTTCTGTTCCCACCCCCCACCCCACCCCAGTCATGCCTGTGCTCATATTGATAGAAAACAAGAATTCTGAAGCACCTGTTTAGGAGTGTTCTAAATTAATCTTTTCTGTAGTTTCACTTGGAGGAGAGAGGCAAAACTAGATTATCATTCTAGATTATCATTAAGCAATTAGTGGGGGAAATGCTTTATGCCGTTTACCCCTGATACTTTTAGGTAATGTATTTCTTCATAAATGTAGGATACGATTTCATTACAAATGGTTGTACAATTCCTTTAGTCATAAATGCTTCAGAACATTGCTAGGTGAAATTTTCTTGCATAATTCAGATATGAAGTTCTTGCTTAAAGTTTCTGAACGAAAATCTAATGTAGCTTGATATATAATTTTATTGCCAAAGAAGTACAGATTTTATCTTGAATGTGTGTCTCTTGTAATCATATTTTCCCACAACTGGAGCTTCCCAAATGTGTCATTTGGTGTAGGCTGTTTGAATTGGCTATCATACTAAATAATGTTTCCACTTCTTGATACAGACTAGTTGCCCACACTTTCAGATGCACTGTAATAGAGTGAGTACTTTATTTTGTGTTCTGTAACTGTTTTGTGTGAATTCTCCTCCTGCACTAACTGATGCTGTGACCATCACTGACCCTGATTAAAAGAAAACCAAGTATGTTCCTTTGAGTATTTCAGTGTAATCCACCTTCATACAACTAGGGGAGAGGATTTTCTAGAAGGGATTTTCCAGAGGTGACTTAAGTATCCTGTGACTGCTTAACAAAATATATTAACATGCCATCAGGGTGCAGTTAGTTAATGCACGTAGCCAGTTGCAGAGCACATCTTCCAGTTGCACGAAGAGAGTGGAAAAATAATTCTTAAATTCTTTTGAAAGCTATTGAGTATTAGAATATTCTCTTTAGCTATTTTTTAAATAATTGTCTGATACGTTTTCTTTAAATTTCTTAAATTACTGTTTGGTATTTGAGTCATTTTAAGTTTTCCCGGCTTGTTGCAATAAGTTATCTATGTAAGGTCTGAATCCCACAAGTGAAAATGGCCTGCTTTCAAACTTTCATTAAGTTGGGGTTAGACAAGTCAGATTCTATTATTTTATCATGTGTGGTTTATGTGCCACTTCAACAGGCATGGTATAAAAATGGGCACACTTTGCTCTTGTTGTCCTAAATCAGTATTTTAATGTCTTGATTTACTTAAAATAAAATCTGTATATGGTTGACCATGACTCACTACATTCTGAGGTCTAAAATAAAGAACTGTTTTTGGAACTCAGAAAGTTTATTGAGCTATACAGGAAGTAATCTGGAAGTTTTTACACAAGGCTGTGATTTCCTGTGGTTATACAGGAAAAAACAGCTGCTAACTAAAGGGAAATATAAAAGCATAAATACACAAACAAAACCCCAGTTAGGCTAAAGAAGGTTTGTTGATTTGAAGGACTGATGGAAAGAAAAAGATGTTAAAATAATTTCATCAGCTGACTACTTGTAAACACATTGTAGGAGTTTGTGCTGTGAAGTTACTTTTGACAATATGCGCATGTAGCATGTAGCAGTTTTTAGGACAGCATCTGGCAAGTGCCCAGTATTCCATACTGCTCCCAAAGAAGGAAATAGACTTAACTCAAAAGGTTGTAGTTTTTTCCCCCTTGGCAGAGACAATCTTTTCCTTATTCTGATTTTTCTTTTGGTCATTCTTTCATAATGCATTTGTTTTATTTCGTGAAGCTGTATGCTATGAAAGTGTTAACCACTTTAAATGTGCAAAATGGGGGAGGATGAACTCTTTCAAATCCCTTTAAATACTGTGCTATAAGAATCAAAAAGATGTTAGGATAGTCAGTGCCTTGTTGGTTGAGTAGGAAAAAAATAGACAAAATTCCAGAAAGAATCATTGCCAGATGTTTGTCATGACTCTGAATACTCTAAATATGGCCAGTTAACTGCCTTGAGCTTATTTTTATCTGTCCTTAGAAGAGACCTATAATTCATGGCTGTGGATATTATAGGTTCTTCTTAAAAAACAATTTTCAATTTCCATTCTCCCTGTTATTTGGACTGCTATATTGTTAAGCCTGTTATTTTGTTAATGGCTTGACTTTCTTTTGAAACCGTTTTTGAGAACAACTGTTTTACCTCCCATGAACTACAAGCCAGTAGCAAGAATTGGGCTTCAGCTAGCACTTGGTTTAGTTGTGTTAAATTGTGTTTCCTTGACAAAAGAACTCATTTGTTCCTGGTAATGGCATTTCCTTATAACTGATTTTTCAGTGGAACATATTTGAGTCGTTTGGGGGTAACTAAAATTGTTATCTAGCACAGAGACATAGTGCCCTAATTGGCAACCACATTGGCCAGTAGCTTGTCTGCTCTTTGGCCTGCTTCTCATGTCATGTTAAGCCAGTATTAAATCCTGGTTTATTTAAACAATGGTTTATTGAACAAACTAGGCTCAAGTTAAATGATGATCGGCAGTCAGTCAAACTAACTGTAATTTGTTTCAGCATATTCTGTCCTCCTATTCCACTTCTTGTCCTCAGTTGTCTCAACCTGACATCCACTAAACCTTTGTGGTGCCCAACTGCTGACATTGCCTCATTTCCCTTTCCATTGGTTGGCTGTGAGAGTGATGGTGTGTCAAACAGTTACCCTTCCCCTTTGTTCCTCCAAGAAATATTCATACTTTGTACCTTTAACACTTTTCATTTTTCTCTGCAATTGCACTTTTATTTTTTGTTCTATAACTGGCATGCAGTACCATGAAGTCATGCTTTGAGTTTAGTAAGCATTACTTGCTTTGGCACTATTGCATCTCATTCTCTACCCATTTCTTCTGTTGCTGGAGGGTTTCTTTTTTCTTTTTTTCTGGAAAGACTGCTTTTACTAATTCACATTTAAGTACTTTCATTTTTTAGTTGTAATAAATGTCCAGACCTCATAAGAACATAGTTCAGATCATGAAAGATCAACATAGGAAATGTTTATTGGGACTATTTGACAAATTAAGGAATGCAGTACAATATTAGATCATCACTCCCTGAACTTCAGAGCATGGGAAGTCACCCAAAGATATATAATTTGGCATGATTGTTCAGCTTTTTTGATTGTATGATAATTTGGAATGTTTTAATGTGGTTTTTATTGGATTGTTAAAATGGAAAATTTAATCATTTTTAAAAAAGAACATAGATGAGATCAGTGCTTTTTTTCTGGAAGGGATGCATACCCCTAAACATTTTGTGAATCTAAGTTTGGCTTCATTGAGGGACAGTATTTCAGTATTAGTAGGAAAGTGAGAGTACCCCTAAACATTTTTTTTTAGAAAAAAGCACTGGTTGAGATTAGCAGTTTCTGTACTCAGTTGACATTGACACTATCTCAGAAAAGATGCTGCTACCACTGCCCCTTAAGAGCCTGCTGGCAGTAGAGACCTTGGTGGTGTTTTGTGGACCACATTGTGCCAGCCTTTGTCACTTGCTAGTCTGTAACACAGTAGTTCCTTGTTCTAATTATTTGCATTTACCCAGAATTTACACATAGTCCTTGGAAGTGTCATGGAGATGGTCAGATTATGAGGAAACAGGGGAGGAATTCAGGGAGTTCAAGCTGGATAACCCTGGGGAGGGTCCTGGGAGGATAGGGGAGGTGAACCCCAAAAAGTGTCTGAGCCCAGGCAGAGGCCGGTAATCAAGGGATTGGAGAGCTGCATCCAGGGGAGAAACCAAGTGGTCTGGCAGAGGAGCTTTACGCTCCTGTGACACCAGGACCTCTAGTCAGATCCCTCTTGCTGTGGAGTCAGCCCTGGCACTGTCTCCTTCAAGGGAGGAGGCAACTGATGCTGAGCCAGCACCCAACCCTACCTCCATCCCCACTGGTGAGGCACTGTTGTTGACAAACTTTGTAAGCCCAACCTATTGAAGAAGTGCCTGTTTGCTTGCCCCATCCCAGGACTAGGCTGGTCATCATGCTAAGTACTATCCCTCACTGTCCCTCAACAGGAAGATGCAGGGTATGTGTCTTGGTTTACACTTAGCCGTGTGTCTATACCTTTTATGCATCTGTTGTACCTTCTAACCCGCACCTTGCCTTTTTACCATTCTGATTTATTGATTAAATAGCTCATCAGAAACTGAACTAAGAGTTCAAGTTATTCATCAAGCAGTGAAGGTCAGGACAAGAATCTTCTTTGTTTTTCTGAAAATAAGAATACATTGCTATACAATGTAAAATTGCACAAGAAAATGTTTGTTAAACTTTATTACCTTGTTTTGCTTCTCAAAATGTTAAGCCTAGCATCTACTGCTTTTCCTCACCAGCTATTTCTGTCCCTGCACTTTTGCAACTCCTGTCTCCATGCCATGTCATCACTGCTCTAAGATAATTCTTACATTGCATAAGTCAAGGACTTGCCATCCCATTTCCTTTAGCAGTCCTAGTGAGAACACCTTGGGGAAAGTCTATGCACATAGGTTTAGCATGAAAATATGCAAAATAGTTTCACACACACTCCACCTTCTTGGAGTTCTGTACTTCCCAATTTGTTATGTACAGGTGTAATTTTTGTAGTTGTTTCATTGTCTGCCTGGTAGTGAATTATAGCGCTGCTAAAATAGTAATTCCACATTACTGAAAGTTATGAAGAGCTATATGAGTTTGTCATAGCACTAAAATAAATTCACAACATCTGTGCTATATTAAGGAATATTATATAAATAATCCTCAAAAGTTGCAGGATTATATTTGTCCTTGCTTTCTATTATTTTTATCCTGCTGTTTAGCCTAATAGCATCACTGTGACTTATAACCGAATAAAACAACATCAAAATGTCACAGCATCATAAAAATGGGATCAATGATGTTGGGACCTACCAGTTTGGTCTGTGAACAGCAGATATGAGCAGGGCTACAATTTGAAGCTGATAATTTCACTTTAATGAGTTTACTGTGAGAAGGGAATAGAAGAATAAGCAATTACTCTTTAAAATGAAATGTTTAACTTAATAGCTGCTGTTGGAACTGCTGAGCGGAAACATCATCTTATATCCATCTGTCATGTAGCTGACTTGTTTGATGACTTGAATTCCTGAGTAAACTGGTGTATCCAGGTAGTTCATATGTATTTGTATGTATGTATTTTTTTCTCATGAGATTTTAATGGGTCTGTAGCATGTTCTTGGATTACATGTAAATGTGTGAGTGACACTGTCTTCAGATTTTGAAGTTTATCAGAAAAGCTTGAAGAAACTGGGGCAGTAAAGCACTTAGCATTATGTCTTGTGTGCTGGCCCTGTTTTAAAGATTTTCTGAGAGTTTCTAGCATAGCTTGCAAGGCCAAGATGGATTGTTTAAATAAGGCTGCTGATGTATTCCAATCTTCCTGTGGACATGTTTACCTGCTATTAACATGGTATCAAACTACAGTGTTTTGTGGGCAGTGGCCTCTTCAGTCTTCTGTGTGAAAAGCCAGGATAGCCAGATCAAGGTTTTATATCATTGTATCTACTGTAGTGTGTTGTAATTTTGATGGCAGAAGCTGAAATCCAGAGAAGTACTTTGGGTTTACCCAGGGGTTTCTGCATGTCCAGTGGAATTCCTGACTTTCCCCCCCTTTGTACAACTGAACCTAAGTCATATCATTACTCTCTAATAGTGACCCTAAAGTGACCTCTAATAGTGCTTGTAGAGCTAACACAACCTGGAAATATTTATTTCTTCAAATGCCAGTGGAAATGATTTTTGTGATTGTATGAATAAGGCTTATTCTGTATCACAAACTGCTTATCAAACTCCCTTCAGTTTCAGAGGAGATTTTGTAGGGGGGATGCTGTTGAGGAAACATGTCTCTTGGTCATGCAAAACTAGTCATAATAGTTTTCTGGGCTTAGGTGACTGGAAACAGTGTTCCTCGTACCTGTCACAATTGTTCTTCAGTCATATTGATGTCCTCAGTTTGTCAGGAAGAATACTAAAATAATTATTAAAATATTTAAAAGAGCAAATGAAGATTGTTTTTGACTGGACTCTGTGCAAAATGTCCAGCTAGTGTATAGTCATGCTTCTTAACTTGGAGAAGGAAAGTGTGTTCATGTCCTTACAGTTTTATTATACTTCTGACTTAATCTTGCTTGTTATGTTTCATTGAAGACATTTAATTTCTAAAAATAAAGAACAACCATTAATTCAATTACATTTTGCTTCAGTTTTTTAATGACTGAAAGGGGATTGTATCTGACTAAAATCATATGAGTAAAGCTGCTTTAATCATCTTAATATGAGAGTCAGATACAAATCAGAGCTTTTAGAGGGTCACAGAACTTCCTAATTATCGGTGCATCATGAAATGCATTTACCTACTACATTAATATTGTTTCGTTTGTTATTGTGTTATACATTTTTGTATTTTTATACTGTGATCCTCAGATGAAGGTTGGTATATAAATTCAATAAATAAATAATACCACTTTTCTGCAAGTGTACTCAAAATAATATGTAATTCAAAATAGTGGCATACAATCTTATGGATATGAAACAAAAAGAAAAAGAAATGAGAGAAAGAGGGAAAATGTTCATGTACCAATCTTGCATAGTGTTACATAATTGTTTTAATGGCCAGGTGGAATGGCTAGTGAGTGAGATTGAGAACATTCATTACCTTCCTGTCCAGATCAGTAAATACAATGATTTGGTCTGACTGTAAAATAAGAACGTAATAAGAGCCTGCTGGATCAGGTCAGTGGCCCATTTTGTCCAGCATCCTGTCTTCTCGCTGGCTGATCAGATGCCTGTTGGAAAACCTCAAGCAGGACCCGAGAACAAGAGCACTCTCCCTTCCTGTGGTTTCCAGCAACTAGTATTCAGAATCATGACTGTGTCTGACTGTGGAAGTAGAGCATAGCCATCATAGCTAGGAGCCACTGAATTCCATGGTTTAACTATGTGGTATGTAAAGAAATACTTTCTGTCCTGAATCCTCCAGCATTCAGCTTCATTGGATGTCAGTGAGTTCTAGTGTTACGAGAGAGGGAGAAATGTCCATCCACGTCATCTCTTACTTGCATTTTCTCTAAATTAAAAAGCCCCAGTGATTCAACCTTTCCTCTTAGGGTGTTGCTTCATCTCCTTTATAATCTCTCCATCCCATGTAATCTGGGGAATAGCTGCTGATGGAAACTGTTCTGGGAGAGTTTTGACTGTGTGTATGTGTGTGTTTTCTAGCATTCAGAATTTATTTGGCATCAAAATCCCAACCCTATAATGAAATTGATTGTTGGAAGAGTCATGAAATGTCAAGGCTAACTTCTCTCTAACACTACTGTAAGATCTTAGGAAGGCACTGTACAATCCAGCTTTTGTTTAAAAGTACTTAATAGAAACTCCTGCTATCTTCTAGTGTGATTGAAATTGGTAGAAACCTTCTACTTCCATTTTAGTAAAATTTGCTTATAATGATAGTGTATAAATGAAAATGTATTTTGAATTATACCACCTATATACTAGATGGAAATGGCATAATTAATATAAAGGTAAAGGGACCCCTGACCATTAGGTCCAGTCGTGACTGACTCTGGGGTTGCGGCCCTCATCTCGCTTTACTGGCCGAGGGAGCCGGCGTACAACTTCCGGGTCATGTGGCCAGCATGACTAAGCTGCTTCTGGTGAACCAGAGCAGCGCACGGAAACGCCGTTTACCTTCCCGTCGGAGCGGTACCTATTTATCTACTTGCACTTTTGAGGTGCTTTCGAACTGCTAGGTTGGCAGGAACTGGGACAGAGCAACGGTTCGTAGAGGGCCATTAACAATACAAGGGAACTCCTCCCCCGCTGCCTCAGGTGGGAGGTTGCCCGAGTAACTGCTCTTGGGGAGGGCAAGAGATTTCTGGGAGCTCACCCCGTCGCGGGGATTTGAACCGCCGACCTTCTGATCGGCAAGTCCTAGGCTCTGTGGTTTAACCCACAACGGCACCCGCGTCCCTTTTATAATTAATATACAGTTAATTAAAAAGGCAAGTGATGGAAGATAACCCGTTCAAGATGTTCAAAGTTTGGATTGAATGTAATCAGCTAGTTCATACTGAATTCTTATTTGCAAGCCCTACATTGCATTCCTCTAGTATTAGAGCGATAACAGATAACAGTTGTTGATATATTTGGGTCAGTGCTTAAGAATGCAAACCGTGCTTGGAATGCATTTGGAAAAGTCTTAAAGATCTTCATATGTTTAGTACTAGATACCGGTTAATGTACACGAGCATGTTGTCATTACACATGTGTCCGTTATTCTGTATGATTTAACAGTTAAGCCCTTGCCATTACTTCAGAAGGCACTCCATTATGGATATATTGCTTTCCTGTTGCCTGAATTCCATCCACTCCTTATTCTGACTAATGAGTGAATTGCTGTGTGAAATTGACTAGAGTAGAATGTTAAAAATAATGTAGCTTCTGAAGACTCTTCAGATTGAATTTAAAAGACAGGAGGCTGTGTGTGGGAAGCTGAAAAGAGACTCCAGAATTAAGAGAGTTAGGAGAAAGGTGCCTGCTAGCTGTGAAAAAAGTCAAGATCTGATTTAAGAATGAATTGAGTCAGGAATAGTTTTCAATAAATAAAGGCAACGACATGATGGAGGAGAAGCCAAGGAGAAACAAGCTATTGCAAGAATTAAGATAGGGCCTACATACAGTGCTTTTTTTCTGGGGGGACACAGGAGTACGCATACCCATAAACATTTTGTGAATCTAAGTTTGGCCTCATTGAGGGGCAATATTTCAATATGAGTAGGAAAATGAGAGTACCCCTAAACATTTTTTTAGAATAAAAGCACTTCCTACATATAAGGGCATATAGGGTCTACGGACAGGAAGAAATTCAGCTGTTAGCAGCTTTGGAGCCTGTATGTTTGTGTTCTAGGCCCAAGGAAGTAACACAGCCAGAGAGGCTGCGTTTGAATTCATAAAGATTTGAATTAATTAATTTTCACCAGTCTATATCTTAAAGCATATCTTTAACAACTGTAGGTTGATTATTTGTTATCTGAAAGATGGAAACTGCTCTCATGAGGGTGTACCATGAGAGTGTATAGTAAAAATGAAATGCACAGGTGGATAAAGGAAAAAAAACCTGCCCTAACAAACCTTCTATTCTAATGATTTTGGAGAGCTTGAAATTTAAAAGCACATCTTGTTTCTTCTTAGTTAGTTGAAAGTAGAATTTATGGAATGTTAAGGGTGGTACTATCATAATGTTGTAACCATACAATTGTGGCACTGTAAGAATAAACCTTGGCAACATAGGTTTCGGATATTACTATTGAAATATTTATGACCTAATAAATGTTTTGGAATTTTGCATTGTCAAGACTGCATAGTACAGAATGTACAGAATTTTGCTTTGTGTAGCTTGAATGCAAGTAGATGTGACATTAAACCAGGAGTAACAAATCCATGGCCATGTATATGGCCCCCAAACTTATTTGACGCTTCTCAAGACCCCCCCAAATTCATTTGTTTAATTTTATATATCTTTATTGACTGCTCCTGTGGGTCCCCCCACTGTAATGTCATGGTGTTAATTGTGGTTTTTTGGGTGCTTTTGCCCTAAAGTCATTGTCAGCAGAAGCAAGGCTGCATGCCTATCACTATTTTATTCAGCAGTGCTTCTGCAGGGTTCAAAAACCTTCATTTGACGTTCTTCATGTTTGTTTTTAATTTGGCTGCTTCCGATTATAGTTGGAAAATAGTGCATCTCTTTGGAGCAGTGTACAACAGCTGAGACATCTCTCGCGAAGCTAAAGCAGCAGAATTCAAAACACAGTACAGTAGTTATAAATAACTTCAGCAACTTAAAATACATATATACACACACACTTTACATATATTTCATAAGCATGTCGTCATGCTATAGTTTGACTGGCCTCGGACAGGTGGTACTGCAAGCTACAGTGATGAGCTGTTGGGCCATTGAGTGAGTGGTCGAGGAAAGGAGAAGGGATCCAGAGGATATATATGCAGGTCCAGGTGATACAGGTCCCGCTGATGTGAGGAGGGAAGTAGTGGATTGAGATGCAGGCAGGTGATTAGGGTAGTGGCCCAGGTGAAGCAAGGAGGGGAAGGATCCAGATGATGCAGTAGTTAGCTGGTTCAGACAAGCCATGGAGGTATGGAGAGGTCTGAGCTAGTGGAAAGGGGGGGGGAGGCTGGCAGGGTTGTTGAGTAAACATCCTAGGGTGTTTGTATGAATACTCAGATCCTTTGTGTGTGTGTGTGTGTATACACATGCACAACACACATACACTGTCACACATGTATTCATATACCTATATATATATCTAGGTGGAGATAAGCATTTGGCATTTTTAGTAACAGCACATATACCACAGTTTTATAGAACATATTGTGTCAGTCACTTCTCTCCTATCTTAGGCTTATGAAATCTATTTAAAATATATATTCTGCAGCAGGGGTGGAGAAACTTTGTTGGTTGGTGAGCCAGGTATCTTTGGCTGATGTGTGGGGCCACCCATCTGTAAATCATCTGATGTCATGATGATATCCAGTGACTGATAGGTGGGTGGGCATGCATGGGGGTGGGACAAAATAGCACCCAGTAGGATTGAATCCTCTGCTCACCAACTGATGAGCAAATGATTCAAAACTGCTGGTTGCAAGGGGTATGCTTTGTCCCCAGCAGGATTGAATTGCACTCCCAGTCCATCAGCTGACATCACTTGTTAATGCCAGCTGATTGACAGGTGGGTGTAGGTTGGGGGAAATGGACTTGTGTGCCAACTTGGACCCCTTGTGGGCCAGAGTTCCCCACCCTTGTTCTACTGCAAAAAGTGGTCTGTAGAGGCAGCTTCTAACAATATCATAACACTTTAAAAATAAAATTGAATGGTTGTTTATATTTGAAGACAATTTCCCCCCTCTAAACACTGAAGATACTTCAAATAGTCCAAAAAGCTGTCAGTATTCATTTTCACATTTGCACTGTCATCTTTTAGATTAGAGAGTTGCACATTTTTTCAGTTGACTATTAAAGGATGTGTCTTGCTCATTATGAAACTATTGATCAAATCACGAAGCCAAGAGCTAGGAAAAATTACTGAAAATTATGTTGTGCATTAATTGTTGATACATGGCCTGTCTAGGAGTCTGGAGTGATGAAGGAAAGAATGGATTAGGACTATGGCATCAAACATACCATGCTGGGGCAGGTGAAGGTTAAAGTTCTTGCCTCTGCTCTTGCCAAAATATACTGTCTTCTGCCCAGGCACTTATACTCCACAACACCCCCCCCCAAGCTATTGGAGACCAGTTGCTCAGTTTCCTCCCCCACCCCTTTACTCTATTATTGTGACCACAGGCTATTGCCACATGATCAGAGAAAAGATAGTCACACTGGTGATCAAATATGTGGTGATCTTGGGGTGCTGTTCCTGGACTAAGGTTTCACAAGAGTCTGACCAGGTGCTGTTCTTGGGTTTTTAGGTATCTCAGGCATTTTGTTATTGTAGTGTTGAAATGCCAGGCTTTCTTCCAAACATACTGTTCTTGTTAGCAGAATGTTCTCTTCAAAGCTAAAGATTCATTCCTCACTCACACGACTTACAATCATTTCATTTTCCATTTAGAGTATTAAAGACTGATATACATGAAGCAAAAGATGCAATATTGTAGAAATGCAAAAGCAGTTTATAAATATATATTTAATGTTTACTAAGAGTTGGGATAGACATCATGGTGCCCATCAGATGATGTTGCAGTTATGTTGGCTGCAGGAGTTGCCGGAAGGTGTACAAGGGACTCCACTTTGGTTTGCTTAGGGTTTACTCCTTAGTGGAGGGAATTGCAGGTTTTAGCATCAGATCAGCCACAGGTTGTAGTGACATCCAAAGCCAGACAAACTATGGGCAATCGTAAAAATGGTTTTCTGAACCAAGCAAAGTTCAAACAATAATTTCTGAAGATGCTTTGTTTCGCTAACTATAGTTAAGATTAACCATGGTTTAACATTTGTACAACATGTTAAACTGGTTAAGTGAAAACTGAAGCAAAATAATCTGATGATTTTGTGGCTATGCTGGAAGACTAGAGTATGGGGATTATGGAATCCTGAGATTTGACCAGCTCACACAGGTAAACCATAGCTTAGTGTTGTGTTCAAGCAAGGTCATTATGTGTGTTAGAGCAGGGACGTCCAACTCCCAATAGACTGCTATCTACTCACAGTATAAAAAACTGGCAGTGAGCTACCCATTGTCGTTAGATGGATCAATGTTGTTGAGCTTTTTTTTAGGGAGCGAATGAATGAATGGAACAGAATATATGAATGAATGAAACTGAATGCGCATTGTGATATACACAGAACATAATAAAAAGTTGATTAAATAAAACACACAGCTGAGGGTCCTGAATCCGCAGTCAAATAGTGGACCTTAATCTGATGGTCCACTTTTTTTGCTAGGAAGAAAAAGTTGCTGAGCTTTTTTTGGAAAGGCAAAGTTGTTAGCTTTTCTTAGGAAGCCAGAGTGGTTGAGCTTTTTTAAAATTCTTTTTAATTTTTTTATTTTGGGAGGAAGGAGAACCCTGAGAGACCAGAGATCTACCAGGAACACCCCGTGATCTACCAGTAGATTGTGATCTACCTGTTGGACGTGCCTGTGCTAGAGGATCATGGAATCAGTTTTAATCAAGTGAAGGCTTTAAAGTGTTTTGTATTGGATTTAATGAGTTTCTAATATATCATTGAGTGATTATCTCAGAGTCACCCCTGAAAAAGTATCCATCTTTAAGAGAGAAAGTTACAAAAATATTCCCAGGTTCCTTAGTTTAACTGAGCTGTACACGTTTTTCATTCCAGTTAACAGCCATTGAAATTTTGAAAGAAACCGCTTCTCTATAGCACTCAGAAACATCTCCACAAGGGAGCACAGTCTTTGACTGACTTTTAGCTTGTTTCAAAACAAAGCATTGAATTCAAAGAGGCATTGGATTGAAGGTGGATGATAGGACCAAGGTTTTAAGATACTGACTTAAGAGAGATCTTTCTTCTGTATATAGTCAGAATCTAGAACATATTTTCTCCAAGATGATCTAAAAACTTTAAAATAGCCTGAGGTGAGAAACCTCTTCTTGTTCTAGGGTCCCCTGGAACTGGATAATGAGTTATATCCATACTCATTTACTCTGACTTTGACTAATTGGATATTGCCCAGTCTTTTTGATATGTATTCATTTTTGTTCAAGTAATGTTTCTCAGCTTGCCTTTAAGACTTTACAGAACAGTGTATCTATTAATAGGCTGTGCATTTTTATATGGCATGAAAATTTTAACAGTTGTGGTTCATTTTTTTGAATGCAGGCCACATGGAAGTGGCAAAGAAAGAAGAATTCTAATGCATTGTGTTGATATATGTGCAGAAGTAGCATTAAATTGGCATGAACTATTTTTATCTTTTTGTTTCCAGCCTTGAAACCAACTTTAGCCATTACTTTTCAAGTAAACTCAACTTTACATTTTCACTTTATTTTACTTTTTCCAGTCAAAATGTTATGGCCAGAAACTGCTGACAGAAGTATTTAATCGGTTGAATTTGGTTGAATCGGACTACTTTGGAATTGAATTCCAGAACATGCAGTCATATTGGGTATGTAATATGTTTTTATCTGACTATAAACACCTTTAAATAGATGTGTTTTCAACTTTGTTTTTAAAGGAAGACATTTGGTAGTTCTACTCTGGTTAAATTTGCACAAAAATTCCTTTAATGTAGGAGAAAAAGGATTGTATTACAGGTAAGCAAAGCTGCACCATAGTGATGCAGCTGCAGTTGTTTCAAATAATAACCCTACACAGTTTTGTTGAATGCTCTTTTTTGGTCCTTCCATTTTTAAAACAAGCACTACCTACTTTGCTTATTATGGAGCTCTCTTAATTTGAGTGTTTAGTTCCTTTTCAATGAATTTTATTAGTTTTTGCTATGATTCAAACAGAACGGTGTTTCAAGAAAAGACACCAAACCACTTGATTAGCATTTTTAGAGTTGAAATGGAGTGCTGTATAAATTGGAATCTCGTTTCTACTGAGTAGCATTTGTACTGTATTTTTTGACATAGAATCAAGATGTTGTGCTACAAGGGATAAAAGTAAAACGTAGATCAAACAAAGCTGTTTAAGAAGTCCATGACTGGGATCAAGTAATATAACCTTGAGCAATGAAACAGGCCTGACAATACCTATGACACAAATGGCATAAGGCTTGATGTGAAGTCAACTAGACATGTGCTGGAGTGCACCATTGCACATGTTGTGTGTCAGTGAAGTTGCATGGACTACAGTGGCTATCCCAATCCATATACTGCCATAACTGGGTAAAGGCACTGCTAGCCACAGAATTCACTTGGACCTCTAATGACAAAGGTTTATCTAAACTACATACCTGATTGTTCAGAGAGAGTGCAGTATCTTCAGGATGTAAGTACAGTGGTGCCCCGCAAGACGAATGCCTCGCAAGACGGAAAAACCGCTAGACGAAAGGGTTTTCCGTTTTGAAGTTGCTTCGCAGGACGAATTCCCCTATGGGCTTGCTTCGCAAGACGAAAATACCTTGCGAGTCTTGAGATTTTTTTTTCGCTTTCCCCCCCCTTTATCTAATCTGCTAAGCCTTTAATAGCCTTTTAGCAGCTAATCCCCTAAGCCTTTAAGCCTTTAATAGCCGCTAAACCGCTAATAGCGCTAATAGCGCTAATCCGTCAATGGGCTTGCTTCGCAAGACGAAAAAACCGCTAGACGAAGACTCTCGCGGAACGGATTAATTTCGTCTTGCGAGGCACCACTGTACCTACCCACAGAGCCTCTTTCTTACCAGGTTTCAAACTCAGTTTGTTGGCCCTTATCCAGTCCACCACTGCATTCAGTCATAGATCCAGGACTTGCACAGCCTTACTTGATCCAGATGTTAAGGAGGTGTAGTAGATATAGATGTTAAATAGCACTGGGGACCAAATTGTGCCTTGCAGAATCACATAACACAAGTGCAGGAGGCCATAGAACAGTGTTGTCCCACTGTTACACTCTGAACTCACCCACATAGGTAGTAACAGTGCTACTGTAATACATTGCCTCCTATACTGATCCTGAACAGTTGATGTAGGAAGATATGGTCAGTGGGGTCAAAAACCACTGAGAGATCAAGTAATCGTAACAGTGTTGCATTTTCGCCGTCCCTCTTCTGAGGGTGACAAAGACTGATTCAATCATGAAACCAGGCCTGAACCCAGATTGAATTGAATCTAGACATTCAGTGTACTCAAACAACACTTGCCTGATGTACTTCATTTGATGGCAGAATTTGCATATTTAGATGTAGAGTTCTATCTAGACCTTTGGCAAAAAAACTGTTTTTTTCTCAGTGGATAAAAAAAAAATTTGACATTATTTTTGAAGTTTGCATGAATAAATGCATTCATATACTTGAAAGGAATTTCAAGTCATTCATTCTAATCTTTGCCCTCTAGCTTTATTATCTTGGGCAGATTTCATTCAGTCTCCTCACTGAAACCTCCAGAAAGAGTTGCCATAAGTTTCTTGGGCAAGGGACTTTGTTGCACAAGCATTAGTGTAAATGAATTTTCCTGTGATCCTTCCAAAAGGTGCTCTGCCATAACTAGAACTCAGTGCTTTTCCTTCATTCGCTTCAGGAAACTTTTTTCTTTCTGCAACTTTTTCCACTATATTTTTCACTGTCTATGTATAGACATTTTGAGGTTTATTCCTTTAGCTAAAACATTTGTTTAACTGAAATGGGGGTGTAGGGAAGTATTGGTTTACAGGTGCTAGAATTATTTTAGCTGTGTGGTTTTATTTACTGCTGCAGTGTTTGCTTAATTATTTACCTAAACCCTTTTTTCCTTGTTCAGATTTGGCTTGAGCCTATGAAACCTATAATTAAACAAATACGAAGTAAGTATATGTGCTATTTATATATACTATGCTACTTTATTAAGCAGGAATTTGATTGCCTGACTTTCTGCATCCTGGTACCCTCCAGAAGTTTTGGGCTACAGCTCTCATCATTCCCAGCTATCATGGTCAATGGTGAAGATGATAGGGATTTCAGTCCAAGACATATGAAGGACACAGACCGTTCTAGAGATTTGAAGCAAATGAAGATAATCTGTTTCGCATGACACACAGGTTCACTTAATCAATGGAATTGGAGAACATTCATATGGAAAACACAAAAAATGAAGTTTTTTTAAAGCAACTTTACAAAGTTACATTCCCACTGGGTCATTCAGCAATTCAAATGCTTTGTTTTTAGAAGGTTTTGTTAATTAGTTTTATCCTGCTTTTCTGTTTCAATAATAAAATGACTTGTATAAAAAATAAAAATACAACAAAAGTAAACAAAACATTTTAAAATGCTTTAATTAACAGAGAATGCACCTGTTCCACAGATCAACATTTGTTTTCTGGCCGCAATTTCCTTAGAATTTGGATCACTTTAGGAGCTTCATGAGGTCCTATTTCAGTTTTTGATTATGCCAACTTCCCACATTCATTCAGACCATTTTACTGTTCTTTGATGTTCTTGTATTATTTTGGCTCCCAGTTTTGCCACAATCCCTTTAACCCCTTTCCTTCCACCATTTAGTAGTTTTCAACAGCTACCTACCACTGGCACTTTAGCAAGTATAGGTTCCTGTCCTGTATTTCAGATCTCTTGCTTAGGGTGTATATTACAACCATGTTTCAGAATTATGTTGGTATACTTGTTTGGTTGAGTTACTGTATTTAAGTTGAAATGTTCATGATCCATTCAATAAATGCCTAATTCCTATTACCTCACTTTTGAGAGTTGGCAATTGGTATTCAAATTCAATGTTTCAACTATAAAGGTAAAAGTTAATAGAATGCATTGGTTTTATTTTAGGACCAAAGAATGCATTGCTTCGTCTAGCAGTAAAGTTTTTTCCTCCTGACCCTGGTCAGCTGCAAGAGGAGTACACCAGGTAAACAATGTGGCACTATTAATTCCACAATAATTTACAATGGAAGTAGGAAAGAAGGATTAATGAATTATCTTTAAACTCAAAAGACCTGTGAATTCACTGCCAGAGTTGGTATGTGTGTGTAGCCTTGAATGACAGCAAGTTTTACCTGATCTAATCAAGTGGCAGTGAAGCTGCTTCAGCTGTGTGCAAAGAGGATATACTTGCCAAGGATGTGTTCAAAATGTCTGTGTTTAAAAATTGTCTCAAGAGATAAAGAACTTGCTTGGCTACTTGGTGCAGTGGTTTCAGGCTGTTATCCTGACCTGTGCATATTTACATGGGAGTAAAGCCCATTAAACACAACAGGTACACTGGTATGGTAGTTTACAAATACTGGGACTGGTTCTTCAGGGTAGCAAGACATATTTCTCTTAGTTGCCTTTGGATGTTATGAATTTCAGGATTGTTTATCTGATATTTCTCATTCTGTTCCGAACTGCTGTACCATTTGGTTGTGTTCTCTTGTGTGCATGCTTTGAGTTGAAAGTACATATGAATGGTGTCTCCTATGTTCTTAATGAGTCTCATTGAAGCCTTCCTCTTGCAGATCTACTCAACTCCAGCCCTTACATACCTGTTTTTCTGCCAAATTGTGCCATTTGTGTTTCCTATATTGTCTACTTCAGCCCACCTACATACCTTTCCATCAGTGATTCTGTGCTTGTCAGTTTTTCTATTCAGCTGTGATTTTTGAGTTTCTGCTAAAACTACTTGCTGCCTTTTTCTGTTGTTTGCACTCCTCCTTTCCTAAATGACTGCCGTTGATGGCTGCAGGGTATACTGGATATGTTGCTATATTTGAAAAAGTATCTATTTCATAGTTTCTCCTAAGTCATAGGAAATGGGAGAGGATGCATGTTCTATCATGCTCTGTGGAGGATTGTACCTGAAGAAATAATAGCATCACAAAATTATTAAAATAGACTTTGAAAAACTTAAATATGTTGCTTAACTAGAAAGCTTTTGGGGGGCGGGGTTCTTCAGGACATGAGTCAGTCACAGGGAAGCTAGTAGGTAGAGAGGGTTGTGACAGTAGCAAGAGCTATAGCTGAACCTCACATTTGAACAAGTCTTAGCCACATTTGATACAAAGCCTGCCAGTCTTAGAGGTAGTGCAGTTGTATGTTGCTTGGTGACAGCATATATCTCGGCTAGCAACAGCTGGTGATCTGATGTGGTAGTAGTAAATACCTGTCACTAAGCAGGCTGGCGGTATGAGGGGAGAGGAGACAATGCTATATTACTACTCTTAGTTATCACTCAGACATTGCCTTCAATGTTAGCATTGTGCATATATGCAGCTACTAACTGGCCTGTAGTACTCCTGCCTGGGCCATTTTTCATTTCCTGCTGCTAAACAGCTAGTAAAATGGACAAAATATGATACTATTGATTTCCCTCCCTTTAGGTATCTATTTGCATTGCAAATCAAGAGAGATCTAGCTGAGGAACGCCTTACCTGCAACGACAATACAGCAGCACTCCTCATCTCTCACCTTCTGCAGTGTTAGTATCTAATGTCACTTATATATTGAGCACACAGATGCAAAGAATCCATTCAGCTTCTCTACAGTTTCCTTCATCAGTAATTATTTTGCTTCTTTGTCATCCAGCAGTTACAACACCTTCCGTGGTTAGTTTCCTGCTTCTGTTATAGTTGCTTCCAGAAGCCATTTTTGATTAACATAATTGATTTGCACTTGTGTTGCTCATTAACCATGCAAGCATCTACTTGGACTTTCTTGGGCTCTTTTGAATCTGATATAAATGCCATTTACAAAGAGGGGGAAAACATAGGAGGCATACATTCTGTTTCAATATCTGTTATCATGCTTTCAGTAAGCCTTCATACATTCTGAATAATGTTCCCCTTTTCTGTCTTATCAGCTTGCTTTTAGAAGTTTAGTTTTTAAAAAAAGTTAAATGTGCCTATGTCGAATCTCCATGGGAACTTAACTACTCACACATATGTTGATTCTGATAGCACAGGAACATTGAATTTTCCCTTTTCCCGACACCCCTCCCCTCATGAAACAGATCCGTCTATTAGGTCTTACCAAAGTCCATTTTGTGAATCTGGTGGGTGCCAGTCATCAGGGTGATCATTTGAAAACTTTATAAAGGGGTACCAAATCTCGTCATTTGCATCCCATATATACTATTGAGAACCAATGGTTATTGTAAGATGAAGATACCTTCAAGGATCCATTTGCAAACTTTATGGAACAATTGCAATAGTGCAGCAATATTTTCTTTCAAATATATTTTTCTCTTCTATCACAGCTGAGTTAGGAGATTTTGATGAATCTGGGGACCAAGAGCATCTTAAAAACAACCGGTACTTTCCAAACCAAGAAAGACTGCAAGGAAAAATACTTGAATTTCACAAGAAGCACATGTAAGTGTAAATGAATGTTTAATTTCTGGTATTCAACATAGCACTATTTGTTGCTGCTATTGATAACAAAATAAGATTGTCTATATCTCTCATTAACCATAAGCTATTTCACCTATACCTTCGTAGTAACGCTAGAAGGAGAATTTAGTTGTGTTGGCTAGGTGACCTGTTGGTCCTAAAAGCAAGAAAATTTGTTTGTGGCATGAAATTTGACTCTTACAATTTACTTGCAGAGTGGTATAATATGCCCAAATTTGAGAAGAATCCATTGACAAATGTCAGGACTACAAATCTTTAAAAATGTTGCTTTTAGAGGTTCCACATTTCTGACCATGTTCATGCTCAGTGCAAACAAACATCTTAAATTATTTCTTTTGATTGCTTAGACAGTGAAAAAATCAAGGAAAAGACAGAAGTCTTCACCTCACTTTTCTTTTGAAAACCTTGTTTCTAAGTTCTATTTTTAAAAAGTAATGTAAATGCGAGGTTGTCCAATACATACTCCACGGGGCTTTTGAGTACAGAAGCAGAAAGGGGAAGTGCTAGCAAATCAGTACAGTATATGCTTGATTGGCAGGTAGACTTTCCACGGTGGAGTCTTGTCCCAAAGGTGAAATATATCTCACTCCACTGAGTAGGTTTGCAGCAGAAGTTGTAAGTTAAGACTATAAGCTGGGCAGCTTTCCCTCAAAGTAGGAGTTTGGTGTTGGTCCATTGATTTTCAGTGGGTCTACTCGTAGAATGACATAGATGGATAGAATCGTTACATTTATTTAATACTCTTCCTTATTGTACCACGTAATCATTTAATCTGCTCTTTTATTCTTACAATGGTATTTGAAGCTTTCTTGAATAGAAATGAAATTTAAGAAGAACCGATTTCATGGGGTTTAAGCATAATGTTTTCCTCAATGTTTTCTCCTTTAATAGGATATCATTTTGAATCAAGATGGTGGAATAAACCTTTCAAAATAGCACTGATTTTAAACACATATTTCAAAACTGCACTGATTTTTTTGTTTCTTAGAAATCCCAAACAATGGGTATGAGGCTGCTACATTATCATAATGGTCACTGAAAACAAACCTTAATCCAATTATCAGTGCAATTTAATGTATTTTGTTCTCTGTGCTTAACATAAAATATATTTTATTGTGGACACAGCACAGCAAAATTCTCTGTGTAAACAGGAGACTTCCAACTTCATGTTCCTCTTATAGTGCTAATGCAAAGGTTGAGCAATCAGCAGATGTGTAGCGTTCTCTGTGTGTTGATTCTTTCCTACAAACTGGATATTAAATCCCCCACAAGGCTAGGTTTCAGAACCATAAATGAGTCCTAACTAAGGGGAAAGTAACCCAGTGAGACAGCATTTGCAACATATAATTAGTGTACATGTGAGGGGTTAACTACCCCTCCCTTCTACCAGTTCTCTAAAAGTGTTCTCTACTCCATCACTATTTCGCCTGCCATTGGCAAGTATATGATTGGAACTATGTTTTTCAATCTTGCTTGGGCCTTATGAATGCCAATGTAGCAATTATACTTTGTTCACTTATGCAGTTTACAAATTAATGTAAAGTTATCCAAGTTAAAAGCAGCAGAATTGGCCAATTAACAATGCCTAATGGCCTTTCCAAAGTATTGTACAGTATCTTACCACATTTATGTAGTTTGACCCTAATTTATTGGTGAATATTGCAATTACGTTGAAATATTTATTGTCCGTGCAAGGTCAGAACTTTTTTTTAAAAAAACAACCAAAAAATCCTAGAAACAACTGCAGGAATATATTTATTGTTGAGAAAATTCTGTAAATTGGCTGTTCACTGGTTGTAGGATGGCTAAGCGGATTGATCTGCTTAGCAGATAACAAAATTAGACCAGATTGTTTTCAGGCCAGTCTGTGAGGCTTAGTCGACTGAAAACATCTGAAGATAATTACTCACTGTGCTTTACCCTTGTAAACATTTGCTTGCATAGGGTAAATCACTTGGCATAATTACTGGTTTTTCTCACGTCAGAAATAAAGTATCTTCTGTAGGTGGAAAACTGAACGTTGATCAGTTTTTTTTAGGCAAACATTTATTCAGGGTATTCTTCTGGTCACTAGAATAGCATAGAAATGTTGGCCATTTTAATCTGTAATAAATATATCTATAATCTGTGTGCATGAGCCTGTGGCTTACATGACCCCTTCTCCACTTTTGTGTGATGGAGGGAGGAGATACAGGGAGTAGAAGGCAACAAGCAATCTGTAACAGCCGTGACTGTTGATCCCCCAAACAGGCAGAGGAACCACAGCTTGGGAGGATTGTTTGCATTTTCAGGACTGCTACTACCCAAGGTGTTAGTGAATTGACCTAGCATGTTGCAGAGGGTCCTAACACCACTTGCACAAAACAGTGGCACATCTACACCATACATTTAAAACACAATCAGCACACATTTAAAGCATATCATGTCCCCCAAAGAATCCTGGGAATCAAAGTTTGTTAAAGGTGCTGGGAATTGTAGCTATGTGAGGGGGAAACTACCGTCCCCAGGATTCTTTGGATGAAATCATGCACTTTGAATGTGTGTTAGATATTCTTTAAATTCATAATGGGGATCTGCCCTTGTACTAGGATAATACAGTCGTTCTCATTCAGAAGGCAGACTTGAGCGCAACTGTTAAGGATTGACACCTATCAACTGCAGATAATGGGTGGGTGTGAAAACCACCAGGAACCAGTTGTCTATATACAAAAACACAGTCAACTGATGCTATTGTAATGCATCTGTCTTGAACATTGCAAAGCTGTTTGGGCTTGCCTGCTTACTGACTTGCTCTCATGTTTTCAAACAAAGAGAGATTAGATGTTGGCATATCTTTTACAAAATTATGGAATACGTAGCATTTTGCATTTAAAATTATGAAATACAGGGCATATTAAGGATACACTTGTTTTAAAGAATAATTAAATGTCTCTGAGTTTGATTATGACTTCAACTAGATTGCCATTTGTTCTTCCATTTGTAACATATTTTTATGCTAGTTGATTTTTCTCTTTTGGTCTGGCACAGTAAACCTGAATAACTCTGAAGCTTAGTGACTGCTTACTAATATGGATATGATCTCATTAAACTTGTTGAACTATATTGGAGTCTTTTTCCTGTTTCATATCTTTGGATAGTATTATAAGTAATTAATAATATTTTCAATTTTGCTAACACAGGGGCCAAACTCCAGCTGAATCAGATTTCCAGGTGCTTGAAATAGCTCGCAAGTTGGAGATGTATGGCATGAGATTTCATCTGGCATCTGACCGTGAGGGAACAAAAATTAATTTGGCTGTATCAAACATGGGCGTACTGGTATTCCAGGTAGGAAAACAGTATTTAACGTGAGAAACTTTTTGTAGTTATGCAGACAGAAGACTTTAAACCCAGAGAATAGACCCATATGCCTGCTTTAGAGCATGTAGCAATTGATTCTGAATGAATGGCTACCACATCCTTACTACAACAGTCTTTGCAGTCCCAATAGACAATATGATGTTTGCAGATGCCTTTGTGGCAGCAGCACTCTTCATCAAACCCAGATGGGATTAGTAGGGCTCCATTGCAGCAGCTTCTTCTTTGAGACTAATGGGAGCGTTTGTAATACTGCCTTCATTACGCTGGCTTGGGCTCATGGGAGTTGTAGTCCAAATGTAGTAGTAGTTCTAATAAATCTGTTACCCACCTTTCACCAGCAGGTCCTAGGGCGGGTTACAACAATTTAACTTTCAGAATTAAAAACAGTTAAAACAGGTTGCAATCACAGGAATAGTGTGGATCCTGAAAAGACCTATCTCAAATGTCAAAGGCCAGAGTAGCAAGGTCAGGGAGGGCTGCTTTCAGAACTAGAGGTTCTTTTAACAGCTTGTTGTTTTAAATTATCAGTTATCTGATCCAGACGATATGATTTAGATAGAAAAAAGGTTTGACAGTATAAGTCTATAACTTATGTTCTGTTTAAATCCTGTGTATAATATACCTCAGTTATTTTATATTGAATTGAACACAGGGTAATACAAAAATCAATACTTTCAACTGGTCCAAAGTCCGAAAAATAAGCTTCAAAAGAAAACGATTCCTTATCAAGCTTCATCCAGAAGTTCATGTAAGTACTTCCATTATAATGTCACTTCTACAGTTTCAAGCATGACTTAAATATGAAATGACGTTCATACAGTATTCAGTACTGTTAATGCCTGAAAACAAGGTTCATAGGTAATAGCACTATGATAAAAGCATGTTAGTAAAACCCGTATTCCATTAAAGTCTGAATTCTGACTTGTCTTTCAAAGGAGCCCATGTGGGCATCTGAAGGGGGGGGGGGAGTTTAAAAGGAGTCTTCACACTTGTAAAAGTTGGGAACCACTGCTCTAGAGCATGTTCTCGAGACCTACATTGAACCATGATATTAAAAAATATGCCCCTGGACCCTAGAATATGTATTTTGTCTATTTTTGGGAAAGATGATGAGGATCTTATATGTAAACAGTTAATTGTATAATTTGTAGCCACTTGATTAGTTATTACACAGGAAAGATGCTTCATGATGTACCCTAGATAACTGGTTCAAGAAAGTTAATGTTCATTGCCATCTCGGAAAAAAATGATGGGATATTGAAGCCATTGAGAGTGATGTTGATCCTTCTGATTTCACCTCTGGAGGTTATTTATGGAGGGAGGTTATTGGGTTGTTCTTGCTTTTATTTTGATTATGTATTCTGTGTTTTTATATTGTGACATTATCCTGTGAACTGCCCTGAGACCTGCGGGTATAGGAATTACTATTATTATTGACATCCCAGTCACATGGGTTGCAAATCCCTTTGAAATAAGATTTTATTGGGTGGCTTCTATAGACAGGCAAGACCTTTTTCTTTATTCCCATTTCCTTCATTGTACAATGTAAGTTGTGTTTTTCTACCCCATTTACAATTTTATAATCGAATCCATTATATTCACTCCTGATTTTTTCTTTTTCTTTTGACGTTATTATCAAAAGCTCCTTGTCTTGAATATATATTATTTGTTGTTATTTTTTGTTTTTCTCTTCACTTCTATCATCTATTTTTGTTGAATAAAGTTTTATTAAATATTTTCTCATTGTAACCTTAAATGTGTAGAGGTAGCATGATAAAGACCCATTGTGTTTCATTTCTAGGGTCCATATCAAGACACTCTGGAGTTTCTTTTGGGAAGTAGAGATGAGTGCAAGAACTTCTGGAAAATATGTGTTGAATATCACACTTTCTTCAGGCTATTTGATCAGCCAAAACCAAAGTCAAAAGCAGTCTTTTTCAGCAGAGGGTCATCTTTCAGATACAGGTATGATATAACCCAGTTCATTTTGATCCAAGAAAATGGAACCAAGAAAAACTTTGGAAGTAATTCCTTTTAAATTAAAGGTTTAGGATCTTTATTTCTTGAGTACAAGAAGCCCAGAATTTTATGTACTTTTCCTGGAGATTTTTTTGTAACATTCACATTTATTTCTTCACAGTGGGCGTACACAGAAACAATTGGTGGATTATGTTAAAGAAAGTGGGTTGAAAAAAATCCCATATGAAAGGTAACAAGCTCTTTTATATAAGCAAAGAGTCTTTGATGTTCTTATTTTGTAACTTCCTTAGTCTAGTCTACAATAATGAAAGGCCTTTTTTCCTAGAGATTGTAAACTGTTAAAGTATTATTTGACATTTTTATATTTCAAATTTAATTAATTAAAATGCTTAGATACTTGACACTGGGAATTATATTGAGTAGGAAGGAGCTGAAATTGACAAACCATTTAACATGTTTCAAATTCAGAAAAGTGATTTGATTGAATGGCATGAAAATATGTTGGCTTAAACTTCACTTTCCTTCACATAGTGCCAACTGGAGACATGTAGTCTTTTTTTTGTTCCAATGTTGTAAACCATCTTGCATTTGCTCATTGTTATACTTACCAGATGGTATCCAGAGCTTCCCTTTTGCTGACAAAAAAGCATCCGTCAGCAGAACAGGGAGGGAGATGATTTCTGGTCATTCTTCTTCCATTCTGCAGCCCCCTGCAAACCCCAAAATTGGCTATTGAGAGTTTGGAGAGGTGTACCAGATCTTGAGAATCTGGACCACATGAATAAACATTTTAAGCATTTTTTTGAATGTTAAAAATGTGTCCTATCCTGGATTTGTATTTTAGATATTTGTGTTGAAACTTACAGAATATGGAAATACATTTTTGCAGCTTTGCTCTTTCTCTAGTTAAAGTTATAATTCACAGTCACTGTGTCTAACAGATACAATTATCCATGAATGACAAAATTCTGAGGCTCGTTGATTTATTACTATTAATCTTTATCACACCTAGCAGCCTTATGAAGTAGGTTATGCTTCAGGAATAGCTTCTTACTGAAGGCCCCCTGTTTGCTTTCTGTATATAGCTAATGAAGTGATCAGGGTATCACAGCATATTCTTTCTTTACAGGAGGCATAGTAAAACTAGAATGTCTGCTCACACCTTGCATGCTGATACACCCAAACAGGTTAGTCTTGATATTAACCTGTTTTGAATTATCAGAAAGATTATGAAACTCAGCCTTTTCATACTAAAGCATGAATGACGTCTGCATTTAAAATTATATATATATTTTCAATCATTGCTCTGTTCAGCCTTGTCCAATTCTGGTAGTAATGTTAAATATGTGTGTACTGTTGAATCAACTTCGGAGTTTTTCAGCTTGTACAGGAAAACAATTTTTCCTGAGTGTTTGCCCGGGGAATTTTTAGCTTTTTTCTTTTGAATGGCAGAGCTCCGTGCCACATCGCAAACTGCATATAAAACCTACTTGCAAAGGAAATTTGCTACATGGAATATAGATGGGTGGGTGGGGGCACCATTCTAAAAGCATGAATCTTATTTTGGGCACATGGAACAGTGCAGTTCTTTGGATCCAGATCAATATTTGGTCCTAAATAATTCATATATCTTTATCAGCCAGGAGCTGTAGTTCATTATCAATATGATTTACCAGTGTATAGAAAATAAATCTCCATACTGTTGCAATAACAAAAACTTTTCTATAGATGCCATTTCAGAGTGTCAAGATTTCATGCATAATTACTGTTACAGTTAACACAGTCATATAATGAATCAACTTTCTCTGGTCCCAAATCCAGAATTCTAAACCAACATAGTGCTCTTATGTAGACCTTAGGAGGAAGAGTTATCTGTAAGAAATCCAGGGCCAGTTTTCTCCATTCATCTGCTCCAAACATTATATCTGGAAAGCATCATTAGTCATACTATGAAGAGTTCATTCATCCTCAATTTAATATAATAAAGATACATCACCTCACAATAATTCCCTCTGCCATTTTATAAAGACCAAACAGGGCCACTTCTACATAAAAGAATAAAGGAATGAATGCAAAACAGACATGAAAAATCTAGAGAAACCAGTGAGTGATCAATACAATCTGCCCATGTCTAATAGTCACATACTGCATGTATCCTTCCACCATATCTGAAGAAATAGGCGTTCAAGGCTCAAGACTCAATGAAATGGTTACCTTTAAAAAGTTGGCACAATATGCTTTTTTCTAAAATTAATACAAATCATGGATGACTGAACACTTGAGCCAGATTTAAAATGCCATAGATAGAGCAGAGGGCACCGATTCACCCACCTTTGTCATGTGGTAGTGTCTCTCACACTGAAAATGGGCAAGGATGAGTCCCACAGTCTTCACAGTCAAGTCATCTCGGTAAAATTCATGAACTTGTAAACATGTTTATCTGTAAATTCAAGTGGACATGGTTAGATGTATCCTAAAACAGATTGTCTAATAGCTTCCTCTCTTGTTTTTCTCCTCAGAGTGCCTCATTTACAGATGGATTAAGAACCTCTGGGCCTAATGCATGTACATATGCCTCCTTTCATTCGGATAATGCGTTAGCCACAAACATTGCCAGCTTGCCCACTTTCACAGAGAGCAAGCCTTTATTTTTGGAGCCCAGAATATCCCATACAAGGAGCTTGGCCGCGGATGCAAATAGTGGGACATCAGAAGAAACTGGGAAGAAAGTGATACAGCAGCCTGGATCACCAGTACTCCAGTCATTCCAAGGTGTTGGGCTTTGTAAAGTTGCAGAAAACTGCACCCCCACTTGTACTGATGTTGAGAGTAGCTGTGGTTTAGGTGTAGCAGTAGAAGGTAGGATTACTTGTAAAAATGACAATTACGTGGATGACTTTACCACAGGTATGGCCATTGCTGCTAAACAGCATCTGCCTCAAGGTAGGGGTGCCTCACTTGTAAAACTGGTTAGCTCCCAGCTTCAGGTTTCAGAAGAGTTCATTGATGATGATCCAGCAGAAATGTCCTTTTTTGCTGGAGGTTCTGAAGCATTTTCCTATTTGTATGATGGTTTAGATTTGCAGGAGTCAGATCTAACTAATTGTCTCTCAGAGTCACCTGCTTTAACTAAAGAAATTCTGCAAAGAAATATGATGTCTTCTCAGTCAAGTCCTGATAGGTGCTCCATAGAAGCAGTAGATATGAACATGGACCATGAGTTTGAATTTGAAGGAGAGAGTGATTTTAATGGGAATGAACAGCCTTCAGATACCTCGGAATTATTTGAAGTTAAAGCTCAGGCAAGCAGAATGCAAAGTCTTCTGAGCCCTTCTGAAACTAGTTCATTAATTAACAACCGTTCTGAAAGTAGTTCTCTCAACAATTTGACACTAAATGGTATGCCATTTTTGCACACTTATAGCTCTGCTAATCACTCTGAAGCTAGTTCAATGGTGAATTTTCCAGCATATTCAGTTCGCTCTGAGTCAAGTTCAGCTTTTCAGTTCACTGACATTATTGACCAGTTGGAACAGCTGAGCTATCCACCTACCACTACAGAAGACTCTAGTAGCACTGATGACTCATGGGATTCAGAAACTGCAGCCCCATTAGACATAAACCTCTTTTTCAACAACCCCTTTGCTGAGGCTACTAGAGAGAATTTCACTCTTGATTTTCAGAATAATCTTAAGAATCTCACCCAGGAAGATAAAACAGAAGACACACACACAAGCCATTAATATTTTGGTTGATACTACGTAAATTTATGCTTTCAGGAATCTGGTTTTGAAAGAGAAAAGATAATGTAGATTGTTTCTGACCTGGTTCATTCTAGTGATTGGATTTCAAATTTATGTCCTTTTTAAAAATCCTTATCCCAATTTTTCTCAAGCCATCATAAATTAGTTGCTACTTTGAAGTGTAGATGTCAGTGGTGCAGACTAGCCATTATAATTTTTCTAATGTATTGTACTATGCATTTTTTATCACCCAGCAATTGTTTAAACCATCTGTGGTGAAGGTCACTGCATCACTGAATTTTGAACTTAGGTACACTTTGCAAATAACAGACCCTCTACAAAGCATCGCTGCTGATGAGCAGTAAATGTCTTGAAAGGCCATTGGCATATTTTGTGCTTCCCTGTTGGTGCTTTGTTAGAATTTTAACACATTACTCTGCAGAAACAAGCCTATAACATGGATAGGGAACCTGTGGTCCTCCATATGCAGTTGGACTACAAATCACATCATGCATGGCTATTGGCCTTGGGAAATAGAGTGGAACAGCATCTGGAAGGCCACAGATTCCTCACCCCTGCTGTAACTTAATTGAATCAATATGAAAGGTTTGCTTGAGCTTTTATTTGAAGATGGTACTACTTCAAGGAAATGATCTTATTATTGTTAGACTATGAATATACAAGTGGTATTGAAAGACTATATTATGGCAGTAAGAGAGTTGGCAAACCTGGTTCTCTCAGGTCTCCTGATAGACACTGAAGAATGTATTTAAGTTGCAAAGCAGGAAAGCAAACCTTGTACAGGAAATAAACTAAAATACTGTTAGGGCTGTGTCTGAAAGGATTATATCTTGAGTTAATTAAATAGGCTTGTGTATCTTTCCATTATAATTTCCTAATTATGCCTGTGTGAAAGGGAAGATTGTGCAATATATGAACTTCACCAGATTTTCGGTGGTGGTGGTGGAGAACCAGGCACATCTGGTTTGTATACTCTGTGATAATTGTGTTTTCACTGTGGATTTCCTATCATACTTTAAAAAACCACTTTCATAATCCTCCTGACCAAATTCTTATTAGACTGATTTTATCAGTGTGCAGCTCAGCATAATGGAGCGATTGCCTTCGGGCTGCCAATTAGTTTGCTTTTTGTTCTGAAAGATTCACTTTCACTAGTAGTTTATCATACCTGTAGTGATATGCTCCATGTGCCTGAAATTGTTAAATCAGCAAGAATTTATACTAGTTGTGGTAGTAGCACATTAAATAATACATACAGTAAACCTGCAACTTAACCCGGGGGTTACGTTCCAAGGATCGCGCCTGAAGCCAAATCACATAAAGGCAAAACACACTGGGTTCAAATCCGGGTGGGATTCAAATGTGGGTTCAATTGCCAAAGTCTTTTCCCCAGGACATCCCTTCCATTTTTAAAAAAGTGTTGTTGTTGTTTTGGCCAAACACATAAAGCTGGATGTGCACAAGTTGCTGGCTTACTGTACCATGGAATGCAATTTTAGATTTTTTAAAAAATCAGACATCTCTGCCCCTCTACTTTTTCAGAGAAGTACCAGGACTCTGTAGGGCCAGGTTGTGCTTCATGTGGGTATGTGGAGAATATCTGCAAATATTCTATATTTAACTTTGATTTTAAGTATTGCTTTGCTTATTCTGAAGCTATGTCGGTGATGCCATAAAGTTATATTACTAGATTAAAGGGTTTTTTCCCCACTTTTGCCAACCATAATTCAGATAGGACTTTGCTTAATTAAGATTTTAAAGTTAAGAATACATGCACCTTTGCTAATACAGGCTAGGAGTTCTAAAATTAGATATTGGTCATGATCAATGACTGGTGGTACATGCTGAGATTGTACAAATAACTTCGGTTAGTAAATGGTAATGAGAGGTAATTGTATTTCTTCTCAGAAACAAATCTATGGCAATCCACTTCTGAACTCGTGGCACAGTACAGCTAATTTCCTGTTAAAGCTTCCTATTGAATAGATCAGTTCAGTTACTAAAATCAAACAACCTTTTCTTTTCCATTTGGAGCATTGCACAACACCCATATTTTATTCAAAACCATCATAATTAATTACAAGATTGGTCAAATGCAGGTGCATTTTCTAGATGTGCCTGTTAACTTCCCCAGAGGCTTTTCTAGTAGCTGTTGTTCTTAAATATGTTGCATGTTTTGAAATTAAGTAAAATATTCAGGATTTGTTTGGATTCCATGCCCTTCTGTTTTGTAAGTACTTGTAGGGTACTTCCCTATGAACATCTAACATTTTTTAAAAAAATAGTATTTTTTAACATCATAGTTTTCCTGTTTTAAACACATTAAATTGCCTTCATTCCCAATATGAGATTGTTCCTGAACTCTCAAACTTTTTAGGTAAGTCTGAACCTGTTATTTATTCTTAGTGAAATATAGTTAAAAATAAATTTCACAATACCATACTCAGCTTCTGTTTATCTCCAAGCTGTGAAGTTATGGACTGACAAGGTTATGTTGATTGAAGTTGGGACTGATATGCATAGCAGAAAAGAAATGTGTTGGATCAGCTGGTTAGTTTCCAGTGGTGTGGTGCTTTTTTTAAAGAATTCAGAATGTGGACAATGGAGGGCTGATCTAGAAGTTGTAAGGAACCAGAGATTTGCTCTGCCTCTTGACTGCAGACCTCACGGAAGACCTTGGGCTTTGTGTGTAGAAAGATTTCCCTTTTTATTATACTCCATGGGGAGACCTGTTTTGTTCAGTATTAAACCATCTATGCTACAGAAGATGAACATTTTTGTTCACCCTAGTCATATCTTGTGATATTGTTAATTTTGCTAGTTTTATTATTATTTTTACTGTTCTGCTCATTTCCCACTTCTCTTAGTACAAACCTAGTTGTTGGTAGAAAAACTTGCCTAGAATTCCAGTTTTTAAAATAAATGTGCATGTGTGTTGCAGATTATAGTAAGTAGCAGCTGATTGCCTCGGGGTCAACAGGCAGGTGGGGAGCAAATTCGCAAAGTGAATGTTCCTCTGACATTAAGATACATTAGGGGAAATAAAAAATCTGTACATAATAGGTAGCTTTTTTCATAGTTGCAGAAGCATCCATGCAAGTGAGTTTGCTCCATTGTACACTGATAAAGTATTTGACTGCACTTTATGGTACATGGGTATGTAGCATTAAATACTTCAGATTTTAATCAGATATACTCAAAGCATTCTTTACTGACATTATTATAGGTTTATAATCATTCTGCATTTAAACATATTTATTTTGACCCAATTAAAAATAAAGGATGAGTTGATTGATGGAATACGGTTGAATGCTGTAGCTTGACAAACATATACAGTTAAGCTTTGGCAGAACTGTCCACACATAATTTATAATGTTGTATCAGTTGTAGAATTAAGTATATAATTTGCTATTAAAGCAATTTCTTGTTCTAATAATTATTTACCACTTGACTTGAGTAGTGACATGCTTATTTTGCAATCTGGTTCACTTTTAAATTCAGTTTACTAACCTTAAAAGATTAATGAAATTCCTATCAGATATATTCTTATGGATGGTATGTGTGTTAAGCCTTTAGAAGAGCATTAATTAAAAACCTGTTGGTAATTCATTCCCATTATTGTCATTTTGCCGAGTCTTAAGCTTTCAGGTATTACATGCAATAGTTAGGCTTTCATTGCAAATGTCTCAGTACTGATTCTCACAATGGTCACTTATCTTTAATATTCAACTCCCCACCCAATTAATGCAGTATATATACTTGTATGCACATGCAGAATAAATTAATATTGTGAATTTTTTGCAGCTCTTCACGCGTAACTTCAGCTCCAGCTAAATATTTTACTCCTTGTTTGTGAAATTTTAGGGGGTTCATCCACTCAATGAAGAATTTGATTTTCAATGGTTCATCAGTGCTTAAAATTGGTATGAGTGAGATCATAAGAAACCGTTTGGCATATTTAGGGCAAGTCATAGCTTTAGTATGTGGAGCACATAAAAATACAGACTCTCTGTATTGGCAACTGACTGCAAAGGTTCAGAACATACTGGACATACATATAGTAAAGCTTTATGCTTCAAATGATTTGTGCCTTAGTATGATCCGTTTCTTAGTACAATTGATACATATTCAGGAAAAAATACATTTATTGGACTGGAAATTCTTACTACAACTTTTTGATCATGATCATTTTATACTCCAGATGTTTGTTTTATACTTTTTGTTTTCTGTTGAAATTATTGATGATATATCTACAAATTTGTACTAATTTGAAATTGTTTATGCAATAAAATGAGGAAGTCTTTGATATGAATGATAAATTTGCTTTTACCTTTCATTAACGGTTTTGTTTTTAAAAAAGGCTTACTATTTTATTTTGTAAGGCTGACTTACTTTAGAAGTGTAGTAGCTCTTTATAATGCAACAATTTATTCTGGAATACAAAAGCGAATTTATCTTGAACCATTTTTACTCTGTTCTTTCTTTAAAAGAAGCTGGCCATGATCATAAGTTGTTGTTTTAGTCTTACATATTCTATGAAAATCTATAGTATAAATTATATACACAAACACAAGTAAAAATCTACTTAGCTTGTTTCAGGCAGATTAGTCCGAGAAGCTCACCAACATTTAACTTGCGGGATTGGCCACGAAATATCTAAGTAGCCTATGCAGATTAAGGAGTTCTACATACCCAGATATTTTATGGTCTCTCTTGTTTAAAGCTGCTCTTTCATTCTCCATACTTGATTAGCATTTTTGTTTGAAAATATTGCTTTAATTTGCACAGTGAACTACATACAGCTGGACCCCTTACGTACAAGAAACCACCTGGGATTTGGGATCAAAAATCCTCAAAACTTGCTATAAAAAAGTATTTCTTCAACAATTTTGACATTTTCATATCTTTCTCATTTCTTTGTTTTACAACGCAGGCTGTAACACTTTAGTACTATTCTACAGACAGAAAGTTCCTACCACACACATTCAAGTGCCCTGTGTCCCGCTATTTAGTACTTGATAGTCAAGCACTGTTGGCACTCGGTTGTGAGCTCAGCACATTCCCAGTTGGCTGAAATTTTGACACCAGTATTAACATTTCCCTCTTTCCTAGCAATATTGATATCTTCAAATAGCCAATCAATTTTTCCTCTGTGCTGGTGTCACTGAGGGCAGATTACAATAATTCATAATACGGGTAATGCCTACTTGTAGGGGTTGGGGCACCTGCTTTCCTCCAGAAATTGTAGGAGTTAGAGCTCCCATCATGGCCAATGACCAAGGTTGATGGAAATTTTATTCCCACAACATCCGGAGGGCCACAAGTTCCCCACCACTGGTTATTCGGAGGCACTGGCCCTCAGTTTGAATTAGCATTGTTTTCCATCAGTGATTCCCAAGCCAAATATAGCTACCAGTTTTGTAGTTGAAGAGGATCATTTTTCTAACAGTTCAAATTTAAGTAAAATGCATCCTGATGTAGGAAACAGTATATTGACACAGTGGTAGAACTTCTTATTTAAATAGTGCTTACTATACTACCTGGAAATATGATTCCTCAGAAGGTTAATCCTTAGGAGTAAAGCTGATGCACTGGTGCAACTGTGCTGTAATGGCAATCGTATTATCAAGGGCCCTTTTATTTTCAGACACAGAATGTAAAAGAGGTTCATCATATTTTGGGAAAGGAAATACACCCTACCTTCTCATTACAATCTTAAGTTCCATTTTAAAATGCTATTTGGGAGTGTTAATAACCTCTTTGAGAGTATCTATGTGTGCTTTTGGTATCGTGCTATGGAACCATACAGAGAATTGTGTTCTGTAAATATGAATGCACAGAACCAGTTCTTTAACTACCATTGCAGGTAAGTAAAATATGCATCTTAGAACACATGGCATGGGTAAAAATGCTATTTCAGTTTACTAGTGTGCAAACACTTCATGAGCATATACTGCTTAGGGGTGAGAGCAGAAGATGTTACAATTCCTCTTTTTTCTTTTTTTCTTTTTTGCTAAAGACAGCAAGATCTGGGAGTTTCCTTACTTGGTATCTGTGTTGCACTTGCAGATATGCTATTTACTTTTGTCTCTGTGCAACCATGAATTCCTTCTTTTGTACTTGTCTATACCTGTAGCAGTTATAGAAAAGGAAGACATGAGGCAAAGAATGAATTGCTTTTCTTTAAAGGCCTCAGCCTCTTATAGGAAGGGGCTACGACATCAAGGTTTATTTACAGCTTGAAGTAGTAAATTCTGTTCTTACAATAGGGTCATGGAGAGGAAGAATAATGGCAATGAGTCTTTTTCAATGGGGTATTCTGTTTTAGAGGGGTTATAGAATCCTATTTTGATTACTCATGTCAAAAGGTTGAACAGCTTGTAGAAAATAGATTTCTGTTCAAAATAGTGCAAGAAACATGTTCTAAAAATCAGACTCTTCGGATATTCAGGAGACATTTTTTCATATCTGCAATTTTTGGGGGTTTTTTTAATGGTATTAAACCGTGTGTGGGATTGGAATGCTAGCCTGTTGTATTTTTTGAGAAGCTGTCACATTTCTTTTTGAAAGAAAATATTGTATATATACAATAGACAGCTACCCAACCCTCAGTTTTCAGAGGCAAGTAAAGACTGGGTGCATCATTTATGGAGCCATGGTGTAAGCACATTGGGGACTTGCTCGGTTTTCAGAAGTCGTTTTGAATAAATCACAAATCTACTTTTGCTAAGTTGTGCACTCTTTGAAGGTTCTAGCCTTCATTCATTCACATAAGTAGGATCAGGTCTGAAACTATTGTGAAATCTTATCCATAGTGTCTGCTGCCATTTTATTTCATGCATACTAATATCAGCTAAGTGTATAGCGTCTTTTTAAAAACAAAGCCTGGCTTACTGTAACTTGTAATGTGTTTATACAACTTGTCAATGCATCAGTGTCCAACAGAAAGGCTGATGGCTACAAACCTTTTGTAGAAGTCATACTTTTAATATACATAAATAAGAGTTTGAGGAGTTTAACATCTGATTGCTGTAGAATGAGGGGTGGAAGTACAAATGGATTTTTATGCATTATTGTGACCTGTACTAATGTATGTATTAATAAATGTAGAATGTAAATTGTCTGCAGTACTACTGAAACTCACCTGCTTTCAAGAAAATCAGTTTACTTAGCAGTAGTTTGACTTCTAATTTTTCAAATTAGGAGATGCTTGTTGGATGTAGATTTTCAAAAGACACGACACTTGAGGACACCTCCCCCCCCTTTAACTGCTGTTAAATTGAAGGTGTTGTGCATTGCATTAGCTTCTCTACCGCTTTAGTCCCACTTCTGTGACATGATTTGCATTCATCTAAAATTAAACAAACCTGCAGCTGAAAAACTACATAAAACTACTGCTTCAAAGCACAAACCTCTCTGGAAACACAGAAGTTGGATTCAGTGGCAAAGGAAGTGCAGTTTTACACATGGTCAGACAGGCTCATCTACAGGCACACACAAAAGGCACCACTAATTATAAGGCAAAAGACTTGCTTCTAAAGTTCCTTATGTGCTTTTCATATCCACAACTTTCACTCACACTCTAAACACACATTTCCCCTCTTTGTGAAATGATACTATCAAAAGTAGATGCAGCATCCCTTCTAAATAACCAGTCAGTTGTCAGGCAGGCTCCAAAATTGTCTGTTGACTCCCATGTATAATGGAAGGCCTTTTAATAGTCACTGACTATAAAAATCATGCTGATTTGCATTGTTTCAAAACCACTCCCATCTTTAATCTCACCCCACCCCACTCCCATGATTCTCTTCAATTCTTTTGCTTCCTGCAGAAGATGAGAGGTGGGGCAAAAGCAGTTCATCTTTAGAAAATAAAATAAAATAAAAAAGAAAAGAAAAGCTGTAGCAGTATTCCTTTATCATATACCTGTTAAAATGCAATGCTGCTAATGGGCAATGTGAGACACTGGCAGAGCTTTCTTTACTTAGTGTGTTTTAAGGAAAGATTTCACCCCCACTGTTGTTTCTACAATTGTGGTCATAATGTACTGGATGCCATCTGCTCACAATCTCATACACACATTGAAAAGGATATTAGCCTTGAAACTGAGCAGCATTTTCAAATAGAGTTTTTTTAAGAGAGAGAGAGAGAGAGAGAGAGAGAGAGAGAGAGAAAGAAAAAGAAAGAAAGACATTAAAGAGGAGCGGTTTCTGTTGGAAAGGAAATGAAATACTAAAGACTCTGGGGGAAGTCCAAGCTGCTTCTTGCTTGTATTTGACTTGTACGTTCAAGCAGATTTCCCGTAAACTGCTTTCCCAGCAAGGAACAAATGCCAACAAATACGCTGGATCTTACAGATACGATACTAAAAGTCAGGAGGAGGAGCAGGGGACTGCATGAGCTGATACAATACACAGTAGACTGGCCAAAGAATGTTAATAGTTAACTTCCCTGATACTCTGAATCTCTTCCAGGTGACCTAAGTGTAACACTGTTTAGCTTCCTGAGTTAACCAGTGGGAATGCATGCACTTAAACTTCCTCTCCTTTTCGTAATGCCTCCCCTTTCTTTTGGCATTCATTACTTTTAAAAGGCTTTGCTTCCTGAGTCAAACGAGAGAGCAGTCGGTTCCTTTCAGTAGTGTAGCACTGTAGCAGAAGCCTTGCAGCTGGCTGCCCTCCAATTTCTTAATCCCGCTTCAAATAAGTGTTGAAAAGTATTACGTGCCTGTTTATTACTGGGCCTTAATATCGCTTTGAGTGGATACTTTGGGACAGTTCAGTGAAGCTTTTTTTTTGCTGTTTACAGTGGAATCATGAATAAATGTTGGCCAGAGCACAAAGCTTCATGCTGTCTTTCTGAGGCTGCACAGAATGGAATTTGGAGTGGGAGTGGCAGACATATCTGGGGCAGCACTTACTGGTGTCAGCGTAGGAGCCCTCTCTGGCATTACCCTGTCCAAAACAGTTTTAGCATTGGAATAATAATGATAATATATATTAATTATAACATGGAAAATGTCAGCCATAATTCAAATGCAAGAAACTTTCATAATGCATAAGTAGAGAAGCTGTTTTGCTTTGAAAGTGAGGGACAATGGGATGAACAGCCTAATTTCAACGTTTTGTGCTCTAGGTAGCAAATTGCAATGCTAGGGCTCCATAATGCTTAACATTGCAATTCGGATCTGTGCCATTTAGTTCCCATTTCGTGCAAAGCTCCTGTGCTGGACTAGATGGGCCTTCAGCCTGATCCAGCCTGATTTTCTTACATGATACTGATCATGGAATTTGCTTGCATTAAAATTCAGATACCTTCTCTGTAGAGAACAGCATTTTGTGAAATAGCTTGCTTGCTCTAAAGAAAAGCTGCAAGAAATGGAAAATTTACTCTAGCTTGGTAATTGTCACAATGCTAAAACATTGTTTTGATAAGCTTCTTTTTCATTCCTTGCTACATAACAATTACGTTGTGCCGCGGCTGTCCAGACACACCCTCAAACATTACTTGACAAATGAAATAACTTATCTCCACCCAGTTAGTGATGCAGCGTGGTTTAAAGACTGTAGAGGAAGCTGTATTTAGTATGGGCAGTTATTTAAAAGCTGCTATGTGGTTACAAAGTCAGGAAGGGCATGCAATCTGCATTCTCCCTATTTCTAGTTTCATATTTCCTATCCATACATACACAGTTTCTGAAATCAAATGTATGCTGAAAACATGGAGTTTTCCCATTTTTGTTCTCCTGCTTTCCATTCCCTGTTTTTCAGGGCTATTGTGTCTCTTGTGATCTATTTGCAGAAAGTACTAAGAACTCTAACTCTCCAAGAGGAATATGTTGAAGCAGCATATTGTGGTCTTGATCTGTTTAGCCATAGCAGAAGAAATGGGATTGTTGGTGTTGTAGGTTGCTTTTGTTCAAAAGTCTAAATTCTTAGCTAATTCCAGTTTGACCTCCAGGAAATTGTACCTAACATTTTCAAAGACTGCTTTAAAATATTTGTGGCCTCATTTTTTAAAAAATTTTTTAAGCAAACCAGGGGAGACAACTACTTGCAAGTGTTATGTCGATTTGGTGATGTGCCTGGTGGTATTTTGTTGAAGCAAAACCAATTCTTAACCTCTTTCTCCTCCCCACTTCCTTCCTAATGTGATACTTAGGTCCTCAGCTGTCTTCCTTTGTAATGAAGAGTCCAATGACTCTGAACCCGTCGTTTCATGTGAATATGAACACACCTGGCCAGGGCTCATCTCCTCTTTTGAGTCCTGTCCTGAGCGATGTTGGTGGTGCCAGGATAGAAGAAGAGGATGAGGCAAGGCGTAAGGTAAGGCAAGGACAAGGAGGGTGATTTGTGTTTGTTTGTTTCATGAGCCTCTGCTTCAATTTCTGATTTCTTTGTTGGGGCTTATTCACATTTACCTTTCCTCTACTCTTTCCACACACAGTCCATGGTTTAAACTTCTGTGTCCAAGTTGCCGCCCTCCCCCCCTTTTGTTTTTGCTCTACAGCTTTCCCTGCAAAAACCCACTCTTTAAATTTCAATCAGAGGAAACACAATCCACAGAAAACTTTGAAGAGCAGGTTTTCACAGGGAAAGCTTGGGGCAAAACAAAACAAAATAAACCACTTGGACACAGAGCGTTAAAGTGCGGACCTCTGCATAGAAGGAGCATGGCAAAAGTTAAGCGTACATAAGCCCTAAGATATTAGCAATGTGCAAATCTGCCAGTGCTATACTATCGTACTGACTTGTGTACTATTAAACTTCCCACGCAATGGTTTTTCTTGACCTATGTTAAAATAAATACACGGCACTTTGCTACTATAAAACTGCTAGAAGGAACAAGCCTTTTTTCCAGCTGTTTCAAAGTGAGATATGAATTAAATGCTTTTCTTTACCTCAAGAGCACCATTTTTGTCCTTTCTGTTTGTGGGGAATAGTTGTACTGTAAAACATTAGAGACAGTTATAGAAAGTACATTAATTCCAACTCTCTGAGTGCTTTTCTGCAGTCTAATAATCCACTATTTCTTGTCAAAAACAGATCCTTCTCTTTAACACATTTTTCAGGTGGGAATGAGCTGGTTTTGTTATTTAGCAAGCTCAGCTCAACCCATAGACAATTTATCTCATTTAACAACCGTATTGATTACTGCTGGTGAATCATGCTGGTGAATCAATCTTGGTGAACGTGAAATTAACTAGAACGAAAGGCAAAACCCTTATTTTGCACGTCTAAGCAGGAGTGAAATTAACCATACAATTAGGAGTTCTGTCTTCCCACTGCAAAAATAATGAAATTTTTGCAACTTTGTATCTTACACTTAGAAGAATTTGGGAAAGTTTGGGGTTGGGCATTTTTGTGTTTGGCGTATGTTCCATAATCTTAATCTAGGACTTTTTCTATTGAAAATAATACAGTAAACCTCAAGGTTGTGGTTTGATGCCTTATCTGAGGTTAGATGAGGTATATTAAAAAGCAGATTTGTGGCTTCCTGTACCCATGTTTCTGTTTCCATCAGGCTCAATGTGACAAAGAGGTTGAAGCTTTTCAATGCAGTGTATCTCTGTCCAGACACATACAGCCTAGAGGATCAGTGCTGTCATTGTTGTTTCAAGCGTTGTTGTTTCAAGTGTGTTTCAAGCAACTAACTCTAGATCAGGATCAGGGTGTGGCTTAATGAAACTCATATTCACATCTCGGGTTCAGGATTCCCACTGCCTCACCTGAAGAATACATTTGGTATAGTTGATTCAAATATTTCTTTAAAAAGCCACACACTTCAAAACCATTTAGAGCAGGAGGCTTTGGTTTTGGCCCTCCTTTTATAGTGGCACATCTGGATGGTCAAAGGAGTCTTATTATATAGCTCAACCAAGGTTTCTTAATAAGAAACATTTTCTGTTTCATTTATTTGGGATTTGCTTTTATCTTTCAGAGGTACCCAGCAGACAAAGCCTATTTCATTGCAAAAGAAATTCTTGCAACTGAACGAACTTATTTAAAAGACTTGGAAGTCCTTACTGTAGTAAGTGATTTAAACCCACTTTTCCCTAAAAAGAGTTGTTTTAATAGTTGTATGTGTAAATTGTGAATTGTGTATTATTGCAGTCCCTTAGCCTCAGGGTAAAATTGGTTATAAACTGGAATTTCCCAGATGGAATATTTGCAAAACGTCTCTTGTGCATCTTGTTTAGAGTATGTGTCTGCTGCCAAAGGACTTGTTTGATATTGTTGAAATTTGTTTGCATGTTGTTGTTTTTCTGGGTTCTTTGATACTTTTTACATTGCTGATACCAAGAACAGGAAGCCAAACATCTGCTTCTTATTTATCTCTCCTCTGCAGTGGTTCCGCAGTGCAGTTGTCAAGGAAAATGCCATGCCTGAAAGTCTCATGACCTTGCTGTTCTCAAACATAGACCCCATCTATGAATTTCACAGAGGTTTTCTGAAAGAACTTGAACAGCGGCTAGCACTATGGTAAGTGTTAACAGCATTGTGAAGGCAAACACTTGAATCTGATCAAAAAGAGTAGAAATATGGTTTCTTTGTTTTAAATTTTCAGGTCTGGCATGCCTATTTTTGCAAAATACATATAAACTTCAGAGAGGTTTAGTTGATAGCATACAGTGTTAACCCTTTTCTTCTGTTTTTAAAATGATTATTTGATTATTGAGACTCCAATTTGAGCTACAAATTGAAACAGGAAACATGGTTAGTTTGCTGAGAAATGAATGGAAACAGTTTTGGAACTCTTTTATAGTTATTGTTAGTATGCTTTAGTTTCTAGAAAACAGTTCCTACTGGAAAATAATTGTAAGATTCAATTTCCCAAGAGCAGTAGCACAATCTTCTCACACTCTCATTGCAGGGAGGGACGTTCCAACGCTCCCACGAAAGGAGATTATCAACGGATTGGTGATGTCTTGCTGAAAAATATGCATATGCTAAAGGTAGGGAAATAACTCCCAAGAATCTGTGTGTTCCTTCATGTTCAGTGGGCTGATTAATATATAACATTAAATCATTGTTTAGCAATGTGTACTCAAGGAAGGAGCCAAGGCGAAATTCTTCCATGCGCCTTCTAGCCTGCTGCTCCTGCATGACTGGACTGAGGTCTTCAGCAGTGTTGACTTCCATTTTCATAGAATCCTGATTTGTTACCTATGAGCCAGATATTGTGGTTTAAAACAAATTCCAGTCTGTTTCAAAACAAGCTGCTTTCAAATTCTGGGTCATGAAAGTGTCTTGTTTAGGTAACACAGTTTGCTTTAAACCACAAGATTTGGTTTGTGTGCAATGACAGCCCATGATTATGTGAAACTGAAAGTAAATGCTTCCAGAGCCTTTACTTATGGCCGCATCTTTTGTGATCCTACAGGAATATACCACCTACCTGAAGGAACATGATGAAGTCCTGTCAGAGTTAGAGAAAGCAACTAAGCGCATAAAGAAACTGGAAATGGTTTATAAGGAGTTCGAACTCCAGAAGGTTTGTTACTTGCCACTCAACACTTTCCTGCTGAAACCCATCCAGAGGTTAATGCACTACAAGCTGATCCTGGGGAGACTTTGCAAACACTACGTGCCAGATCATCGGGACTACACCGACTGCAGGAGTGAGTGAAAGATCAGACAAATATCTGCAATGCCAATACTCAACACATTCTGTATTCTCATTTTATGTTGCTGATTGACAGAAATTCAGTTGTCTTGGTAGAAACAGTACAGTCGTAGCTTGGATCCTGAATGCTTTGTGAGTCGAATGTTTTGGCTCCCAAATGCCACATACCTGGAAGTGAGTGTTCCCAGTTTGTGAACGTTCTTTGGAACCCAAACGTCTGATGTGACTTCCGTGGGTTCTGATTGGCTGCAAGAGCTTCTTGCAGCCAATTGGAAGCTGCACCTTGGTATCCGAATGTTTTGGAAGTTGAATGGACTTCCGGAATGGAGTCCATATGACTTCCAAGGTACCACTGTATTGCTACAAAACTAGTTCATCTGGTTTCAGTTATTTTTAACCTCTAGCCTATGTCAACCTTTCCCAGGCATATATGACAGTAGGTAAAGTCAAGTTCTTCTGCCAACCTAGCAGTTCAAAAGCACATCAAAGTGCAAGTAGATAAATAGGTACCTCTCCGGCAGGAAGGTAAACGGCATTTTCGTGTGCTGCTCTGGTTTGCCAGAAGCGTCTTAGTCATGCTGGCCACATGACCCAGAAGCTGTACACTGGCTCCCTCGGCCAGTAAAGCAAGATGAGCGCCACAACCCCAGAGTCGGCCACGACTGGACCTAATGGTCAGGGGTCCCTTTACCTTTAAAGTCAAGTTCAAGCCATGACTTGAAACTTCTTTTGCATCCTAGCTTGAATTTAGGCTGTGGGTCTAAAGGAAGTGCAGTGCTACCTCATGTTACAGACGCTTCAGGTTACAGACGCCTCAGGTTACAGACTCGGCTAACCCAGAAATAGTACCTTCGGTTAAGAACTTTGCTTCCGGATGAGAACAGAAATAGCGTGGCGGCAGCGGGAGGCCCCATTAGCTAAAGTGGTACCTCAGGTTAAGAACAGTTTCAGGTTAAGAACGGACCTCCAGAACGAATTATGTTCTTAACCCGAGGTACCACTGTATTGGGACCAAACACTTTCCTTTTGAAGTTAAATCACTTAATTTTGTTTGTGTGTGTGTTTAATAAATATCCTGTCCTTCATCCCCAAGGACCTGGGCTGGCAAATGTCATGGTGATGCCCAGTGTTGACTGGTGGGCATCCCTACCCACCTGTTGGGGTGGGGGACTACCTATTATTTTGTTCTACTTTCTGTGAACAGTGTGACACTGAGCCAAGAACTGAGTCACACCATCATCTTACTTGCACTTAGTCATGTGAACTGTCTCCATTGGAAAATACTGAGTCATGTGAATGCTGTGGGAAGTGTTATCTTTGACTATAGCAGTAGTTAAGTTGTGAACATAAAAGTATAAACTCATCCTTATTGGCTTTGCATCATACATCTCCATTTAAAATACAAGTGAGAAGAGTATCTGCCATAGTTCTTATAGGTGGGGCTGTTCATTCTGCAGCTATAATATACAGGGCAAAATTGGATATCATGGACAAGTGTGACATTGGACCAGCTCATTACTGTCAAACATAAATGTGTCATTCACACATGTGAATGACACATATTCTGCCTCCTAGGACTTATTGTGAAATTGAGTACTATAGCAATTAAGAATAATGGAACAGTCTCAGCCTTAACCTTTGAAGAGTTGTTCTAGTGAAAGTTGTAAGCAAAGAAATCTCCACAAAAGGCCCAGTACATGAGTAAAACTGCCCACCATGAGGATCTCTGTAAATAATAATAATAATAATAATAATAATAATAATAATAAATTAAAGACAGCTGAGAAATGTGGGTTACAGTCTCAGAAGCCAAAATAGAGTTATTACACATATCTCCGTTACTATCCCTGGGCTTATATACTGTGCTTGCTTCCAAAATCTCTGTCTTCCATTCCTTACTTTTCTACCATCTTCTGCAAAATATATTACTGCATTTTGAACACCTGTTTCTTGGATGTAAGGTATAATAATTATGAAAGTGCAACCATGTTTGATTTTGCAGAGTTTATTTTGAGCACAAAATTAGGTAAAATGGAGTCTAAGTGGCTCTTTATGGTTCTCACTGGGGAAGAATGTAAGTGGAGCCTTGCAAGATCAGATCAGAGGCCTATCTAGTCTAGCCTTCTGTCCCACAATGACCAACCTATATAGAGCCCATGAGAGGAATTGAGTGCAGTAGGACTCTCTTGTTCCTCAGAAACTGGCATTCAGCAGCATACAGCCTCTGATACTGCAGGAAATACTGCCATTGTGACTAGTAGCTGTTGATACCATAGCACTGCAAGGTTTGAGTAGGTCTGATTAAAATGGCATGGTCGTGTATGTTTAGGCTAGTCTGTCCACTTACCAATCATTTGGAGATTTCTGTGATTGCATCTTCTCTTAAATAAGTACATGTAACGTTCCATTTTTCCTTTTGGAAAAAAGCAATGTTCATACACTGCTTCAGTTTAGCCTGTACTTTTGTCCATGCTTCTCTGATTGGTTGGTTTGGAGTAGACCTTTTCTTTTGTAATTCCCTTCTGCAGGTGCACTGAAAGAAATCACAGAAATTACATCACAGCTTCAGAACAGTCTCATCCGTTTGGAGAATTTCCAGAAGCTAACAGAGTTACAGCACGACCTGCTTGGCATTGATAACCTTGTAGCTGCTGGCAGAGTAGGTAGTTCTTTCCATATTTTAAGACCCGTGTACTTCAATTGTTTCTGACCTTTCTTCTTGCTTTCTTCCTTTATGGGATGATGGCTTTAGAAGTTTTACTGGTTTATTTCAGAACTAGGGAAATCCAGTATGTTATTTCCAAAAATATATCTCAGTATTGAAACTCTCATAAGTAACCATTCAAAAATTGTATTTGCATGTACTTACCGAGTTGTTTTTAAGGTTGGCAAAACAATGTGAGAAAAGGCTTCTTTGAAGGGCCTTCATTTCAGGGATCACAGGCATTGTTTCAGTTTTCCCAGTCCTTCAATTATTGCTGATCCAAAGAGGTAACAGGGACCAGTGCAAGTATGATGCATGCATGGGTGTGCAGGCTCTCTTCATGTATTCATTCATCATGGGCAAATCCTAGGGAAAATAGTACTTGCCTCTTAGACATTTAGAGGACTCTTGGTTGTGTACCACAGCACTATAAAGAGCTTTGGAAACTGGACAAACATCCTCCCACTTACACATGTTCTACTCGCGTGCGATTGCATATATGTGCAGTGCCAAAAAATAGATAAATAGACTCATATAAATGAATATAAATAAATATAAATAGACTCAAATGGCGGGAGTCAGCTGGAGAGTTCTTGACGCTTGTAAAGAAACCCTCCCCGGAGCCCAAAGAGGACATCAGATAGCACAGAGGAAACCCTGAGGAGACCAGAGACACAGCAGGGCTTTGTGTAGGCTGCTCAGCCTCTCCGCCAAATGGCTGATACCTGGGGTAGCGCAGCAGCAGCCACGTTCCAGTGCATCCTCCTACCTCCTGCCAGCCCCAGAGCTTAAACTCACATCAAAGAGAGAATTGTATGGAGAGAGAGTGCGAGTGAGTGCTGGAGAATTGGGGGGGGGGGGAGAGATTTAGAGGCTTTTTAGAAGATACTTTCCACTTTACGCAAATTCACTTATGCGCCCAGAGGCCCGGAACATAACCCCTGCATAAGTTGAGGAATGCTTACATTTTATAAATGGAAGAGGTGGTCACATAATTTGTGTTGAGCCTGGTCATTCTTAGTTTTAATAGAACACTAACTGAGTGGCCAAGTTGTGACAGCCTAGCTGTTTTAAATAAGTATGCTCTGGTGGCCTAGGTGCCTTTTGTAGCTTAGTGGCACATTTCCAGCAGAGAACTGGAAGTGGTGCTGCTTGTAATGAGGGAAATAATCAGAGCAGAGGTGACTAACCCACAGCCCAGATCTGGCCAGCCAATCCATGGGAAGTGGCCAGATTTATATCCTGGTGTGGTCAGGAGGCAAAGCAAGTCTGTCTCCTGCAATCTTAGTGCTAAGTACCACCACACCAAGAATAAAGACAAAGCCTTTGCCTGCTCGTTGTTCTTTATGAGTAAATGGCAGCATTACCACGCACGCATGCATGCATGCACACCCACACGCACACACTGAAGTGGGGAGAGATGCTGTGTTTTTCTTTGCACAAACCAATCTACGCAAAGTAACAGGCAGCCTGTGTGTGTGTGTGTGTGTGTGTGTGTGTGTGTGTGTATGATCTTATGTGTGAGAGAGGGGGAAGAGTATGGTGTGTGCCTGTATGTCTGGCATTGTGCTTACTGTATGTGTCGTGGGTGGGGTCTGTATGTTTAGTACATGTATATACATTGGCCATGTCTACCACTGGCATGTAGGCCTTGGAGAGGTGGGCGACTGTAAGAGAGTCCTCAGGCTGAAAACAGCCCCAACCCTGAAGTAGAGAGTGCTGCATTTCACAGAAGAGCCATCAAATGTACTAAAGCTTTGTATATTTTTCCCCACAGGAATTTATCCGGGAAGGCTGCTTATACAAGCTTACCAAAAAGGGTTTACAGCAAAGGATGTTCTTTCTGGTGAGCTGATGCTTTTGATCAAGATTTCGACTCGTAATGAGGTTTCTGGAGCCCGTTCCCTTGTAGTAGTTTGATTGGGATTGGTCAAGACTTAAGTTTCGTGTACATATTCTGAGGAGTACGGCCTTGTTATTTGAGCCTCGGTTGTTTCACAGCCAAAATATAAAGAAGCCTTTGTATACAGCATGGAACTTTTCAGGAAATGTGAGGCAGTTGCATAGGTGGGTCCTCAAACCCTGACTTTATCCAGGCTCAGATTCTTTGCCTCCTCATGGGGCTGGATCCTCAAGAGATAGATAGCAGAATGGCCCTTGATCAGTAACTGCTTGTCATGATGGAACAGCAGTGGCCTCTCCTTCCTTGGAGATTTTAAAGCAAAGGTTGGATGGCCATCTGTCATGGGTGCTTTAGCTGAGATTCCTGCATTGCAGGGGGTTGGACTAGATGACCCTCAGAGTCCCTTCCAACTCCCAATATTCTTTTGAGTCTATGATGGCTGTGTACTTCATCCAGTATTGAAAGCAGAATGCCTCTGAATGCCAGTTGTTGGGTAACACAAGTGGGGGAGTGTTACTGTGCTCATCTACTGCATGTGGGCTCCCCATGGGCATCTGGTTGGCCTCTAAGAACAGTTTGCTGGATGAGATGCATCTTTGATCTCATCCAGCAGGGTGGTTCTCATATTCTCAATTTGCCGTGTGGGCAGCTAATTTGTATGTGCTCTTGTTCCTCATCAGATTTTGATGTTGTCAGGATCCATTCCCAGGGGCTCCCAAAAGGAAAGAAAGTGGCTTCTGTTAGTTGGGCAGTCTCTTTGCTTGATCCTAATTATGCACAGAAAACCCACAGGGTTTTTTTCCCTTGAGAGCCAGTGTGGTGTAGTGGTTAAGAGCGGTAGTCACGTAATCTGGGGAACCGGGTTCGTGTCTCCGCTCCTCCACATGCAGCTGCTGGGTGACCTTGGGCTAGTCACACTTCTCTGAAGTCTCTCAGCCCCACTCACCTCACAGAGTGTTTGTTGTGGGGGAGGAAGGGAAAGGAGATTGTTAGCCGCTTTGAGACTCCTGAAGGGGAGTGATAAAGCGGGATATCAAATCCAAACTCTTCTTCTTCTTCTTCTTCCTTGGTGTTGAAGGACTCTTTGTAATCATGTATGAACTGAAAACCAGTTGGTAATAATTTGTGCCCTATAATTACAATGAGAAACTGTAAGCATAGTGTAATCCAGATATCTTGAGTGGAGAAAAGTTAAATACTTTTATAGAGAATTATAACAGACAGGTTTTGTTACTGTTATGCTTTACTGTGAACCACTTGGAGCACAATTTTAAGAGAAAACTTACATTGGTTTGTAAATTTATTTGGTTTGCAAATAAAGCTACAAAGGGGTTTATCCAATGGTTGTATGTGTGGAGGGCAGCTTGCCAACAAATTTTGCTATTTTTCTCTTCCCTCTCTGTGGCCTCTGCAAAGGTTTGGGGAGCCCTCTGAGGAACTCAGGGGCTCCAGAGCAGGAGAAGAGAAAAAGACAATAGTTGCTTGAGCTGCTTTCTACTTATGCACTCTTTGGGTGTAACCCAAGGATTGTGACAAAATATAGAATTGCCTTTTTTCTTCGTACCTAAATGATTTTGTAACTTTTCCATGCCTCAGTTTTCAGATATGTTGCTCTACACCAGCAAAGGAGTCACGGGTACCAATCAATTCAAGATTCACGGTCATCTCCCTCTGCACGGAATGCTGGTGAGTGATACATCACACAGCAGTCAAACATCAAAATAATAAAATATGTTTCATGTTAACCTCGGCTTCCTCTTTATACTGAACTTTTAAGGGACTCTTGCGAAACGCGCAATTTTGGTTACTGTAGTTTTTCTCCAGTCATTAGTAGACAGAGATTTCTGGGTTAGATTTAAGTAGTCAAAAGAACAAGCACTGCCAGTTTTTTGGCATTGGAGTAGCTGGGAAGACGAGAAAACTCTTGATTGTGCTTTTGCTATTTTCAAGGCTAGCTGGATGTGCTAATTGGTGTTGCTTCCACACCAAAATGCTACATTCCCTCCCACTCCTTAATGGAACTTTTTTTTTATGTGTCTGTGTTTGATTTTCAGCTGATAGTCCTGGATCCTCCGGTGAGTAATAAGCCAGTGACTACTGTGCTTAGCAGCTTGCTGAAATGACAGTGCAATTGTAGGTGATAGTTTTCCCATTAGAAACAAAATAGAAACGAAATACTGTTAATGTAGCTAGTTGCTGTTGTCACACCATTTCTTTTAGTGTAGATGTGTGTGCTGTTGCTCACTGAGTGATGAAGAAATTTCCTTTATTGTAGGTGGAAGAGAGCGAAAACGAATGGTCTGTCCCTCATTGCTTTACCATTTATTCAGCTCAAAAAACCATAGTAGTGGCAGCAAGGTAAGGATTTTCTCAGTGCTCAATTGTGAAAAAGAGTGTTAAAGCACTGGTAAAAGAGGCATCTTTCAGTGTGTGTATATGCCACTATACCCCAGGCTACGCAATGTGAGAGACCACACTCTCCCTGAGTCATTATGCAGTCATCTGTTGAGGCAAAACTTGATTTCCCCATGGAGTAGTGCTCCAAGCTTACATTAAAGTGCAATAGTATGTTGTTTCCTCTCATCTTTATGAGACTTCAGATTTCAGGAGGAATAGAAAAAGATTCAAACTGTGTTGTGGTTTTATCAAACCTGAATTTGTGTGGAATTTAAAATTGTTGAGGCAAGCTTCTGCAGTTGCCAGAATGGTAACATTGACTGCAAATTTTGTTATTTCAGTGGGAATTTATGGAAACATGAAATTGCTCTAAGTATGGGTCAAGCAGTGCTTTTCTTGAACCATAAATCACAAACAGCAGCTGAGCTCTGAAAACGTGCTTAGCCATCATTCCTGTCTCTATTTTTCAGCACTCGTCTGGAAATGGGGAAGTGGATGGAAGATCTAAATATGGCAATTGAAATGGCCAAGAAATTCACTGAGAAATCAGAGATGTTTCTAGAAAACTCAGTGTGCAATCGTTCTAACAGTGAGTAGCTTTCATGTCACTTGTGATTAGTGATTCTTGGTTAGTTGTGTGCTCTTCAGGCTTCTGAGATGGAAAATGGTATAGATTACGCAGCCTTCAGTCTTTTTCACTAAGTAACATTCCATACCCTCTCCGATGCTCCAGATATTTCAGGCTTGGCAAATAAGAACTTCCAGCTGTTAAAGCAATAATAATGAAGTTTATAGTGTGTAATCTTTCCTTACCACCCTCTTACACAGGAAAGTATTCATTCTTTTAAACCACAGTTCACTTACCAATCTGTGGAAGTCATTGAAGTAATATCCTGTGTACTCCTGAATGTCTCCTTATCTATGGATCCGCCCCACCACTGGCCACTGAAACACACGGTGGCATTCCTCAGGTGGAAATTATATATTTCCTAGGAATCCTTCTAGGAAGCTTCTGAGCAAACTTTTCAATATTTTCCCTATATAACAGAATGTGACTTTTTCCTATGCAATAACTTTGATGTGTCCTAACCTTCAAGCTATCGATTATGAAGGCCATGGATATCAGAAGGAGAGTAACCCATGCATGCCAATTCCTTTTGTGAGGGGAAGATGCTATTATACGTCAGCAATCCTTGCTGCTATCACTACCCCTGTGCCCTCAGCCTGTTAAATGTTTGCTCCCTTCTCCCCCCTCAGGATCCTCAGATGAGGTATCTGTAGAACAGGAGTCCGAAGAGGACATACATTCTTCTCGTAGCTCCCTGGACAGGCAGAGCCACCACCGTGCCAATACTACTATGCATGTATGCTGGTACCGCAACACCAGTGTCTCCATGACAGATCACAGTGTGGCCGTCGAGGTACCCAGCAGCAGAGCACATATCACTATCACTTTCACTTACCACTCTGTCTGTCTTGGTTGCTGGTTTCTCTGCACTGTATACATGTGTGCGGTTTTAACACCCCCTTCATTTCCTTCAGTAACTTCAGTGGTCTTGTGTGAGAGAGCAAATGAATGAATAACCACAAGACGTCTGAAGATGTTCTTTGTATGTGTGACTGCATGTTTCCATCATGTTCTCAACAAGGGTGTGCTTTGGAGAAGAAAGAAGATAAAAAGGGGGCTTTGATATATCAACAGCTGCCATTCACACTAAAAAGCTAATGAAAGAAATCAGCTTTGGGATTATGAAACCAAAAGTTTGTGATCTTGCCCACTGAGAACCCTGTTTTAGGTAAATTTGTTAAATCTTTCTGACTTCTCCCCAAAGCACCATGGCCCCTTGCACTGCGGATCTTAGGACTTTTTTACTTTTTTCATACTATTTCTTTTAACAGACCTTTTCGTGTACTGCCCTTTCTTGTTCTAAATCACCTTTTTCTTTCTTTTTCTCTTTGCCCTGCACCCTCTCTGCTCAGTTTTCTGCTCTCTTGCTGTTTCTCCAGAGCTTCCTCCTCGCTATTTGCTGGGCCAGACTCAGCGGCCCAACACAATCACCCACGTTTGCTGGTACCGGAACCAGAGTCTATCCCTGTCTGATTATTTGTGTATGATTCAGGTAAAGCTGCTTCACTCACTCTCAGTATTGATAGGATCTATGAAGACGGTCATTTTCTACTTGTACCATCTCGTTATAGCTCTCTTAAACACTGTTCTAATGTGCAGAAACAAGGATCTAAAATATTGGAATGAGTGGTAAGACATCCTTTAAGTCTCTTGCAGAAATCAGCCAAATTAATCCCTTTATTAAGAAGAACCCTGGATACACATTCCATTGTTTTGATGCATTTCATTTATCTTGTAGATTAGATCACAGCAAGTTAGGTTCCTTCTCCCTCCAGTGGGGCTTACTCTTCACTTTACCAGCATGTTAACTTAAAAGTGGCATTGCTGCCATGTGCTCTGCAGGGCTTTTTACTGTGTGCTTTCCCTCAACATTTTCTGTCTTCTAGTTGTATTGTCTCCTTAACTAAGAATGCAAGCTCTGTGTGTTGCTTACTGGTTCTTAGCATGTTGTAGAGGACAAAAAACGGGTCTTAAATTCGCAGTTAACATAGCACGGACATGAATCAGTTGCATCCATAATTGTTCTACCCTTTCAGAGGAGGAAATGCAGTACGCAGAGTTATCACTGTGAAAAAGGGGTGTGTGCACAAATGGACATTACATTAGTAGCTGGCATACCTGAGAGAAGACACCTTGATGCAGGATGCCCTTCAGAAGTTGCTAGACACCAACTCCCCTCAGCCGCAGCCACTTTGACCAATGGTGAGGGGTGATGGGAGTTGTAGTCCAACATCATCTGGAGGGCACATTGGGTTCACCTGCCCTAGAGCCTTTTTGGTATGATCAGGAAAAGCCTGACTCAAACAACCTTTAGTGGAAACAGTGAAATATCCTATCTGGACTGAGTGGATCTGAATGGGGAGTAGGTAGCTCTGCCATAGAGCAGGAGTTCCTAAACTGCAGTCTGTGGACTACCTGTGGTCCATGAGGTTTTTGCAGGTGTTCCACAGCATGGCTGTATTAAACAGACATTCTGTGGAATGCAAATTGTAATACAATAAAATAGAATATAATAAATAAAAGCAAGAAAAATGCAATTAAAAACCAGACAGCATCTAGCACGGCACAATCCAGTTACTACAAGTGGAAAAACCAGTTAAGTGGTTTTCAAGTTTTGGAGCCACTGCTACAAACTGAATAAAAAAAAAATGCTGTCTCACTTCCCACCTCCTTAAAAACCTGGGGGGTCAAATACTAAAAAAAGTAATAAATAAAAGGACTGTTGGGGCAATTGGGGTGTTTTTGCTGGTCTGCCAGTAAAATAAATATAGCATACACAATGCTTGACAAGCACTCCAGTGTTATAGTTTCAGAGCAAAGAATCCCAAATAATTTGTTTGGGGGGGGGTTGTAATTTTGAATGGCTCCAAATTACACAACCATGGAGTTGGGTGGTGGCTTTATATTGCTCGGTCATTAACTTCATCACAGGAAATAGCCAATAAATGTCTGTGTTACACACCCATGCTCCAATATTGGAAAAATATGGAACTTTTCTAACTGCACTTGGCAAATTATATCACCACCATAAAAAGGTAACTTGTATACTTCTTGCACAAAATATCTAATCATACAAAAAGGCTCTGAAGCAGTCTTTCTCAAATTCAGTCATCCTCTAGAAAAAGTTACTTGTTTTTTGAATCTGCAATGCAAATTTAACGGCAGGTTTTTGTTGAGCGATTGTGGAGAATGACTACTAGTCATTTACACTATATTTTCCTCTCTTCCATGTAGAACCAGCTGTCAGGATACCTATTGAGGAAATTCAAAAACAGTAACGGCTGGCAGAAGCTGTGGGTTGTTTTTACAAACTTCTGTTTGTTCTTCTACAAGACGCACCAGGTAAGATGGATGTGGCACAACTTCAAGATGATGCTAGGCATACATAGGAATGAGATGCAATATGCCTTGTGAATCCATTCTTAAAGGCTTTCTTCATTCTTTGGTACATTTTGTGAGCGTTGCCGCTGTCAGCAACGAGTTGAATGCTCCAGCGCAGCTTCAGCCAGTAGTCATTGGCATATCTTTCTGGCAATTCACTAGGCATCGCCAGATCACAGTAAACTAAAATTGTAATTGATTGTAATATGAATAGCATGTCTGGTGCTCTTTAAAAGCACCTAGTTGGATAAAATTGCAGAGAGGGTTCCCAGTTATGGCTTTAGTTAGGCTCTCCAGCTGGCATACAGTACCTAGAACTTGGGAGAGCTAGTTCTCTCTGTCTGGTATATTTGTGCTGGCTGGGAAATGAGTGTTTTTGTTTTTACTTGTAACTTTATGTATTAACTCAGTGGTACATGGTGGGTTTTAGTACAGGCAGTGAACATTTTGTGCAGCGGTTCCATTCCTGACTCCTGCGTCTATTGGCAGAGCACACATAAGCCTGCTCTGCCTCCATTCTGCTCTCTTCCGGGTCCGAAAGTACCGTATTTTTCGCTCTATAAGACACACCAGACCACAAGACGCGCCTAGTTTTTGGAGGAGGAAAACAAGAAAAAAAATATTCTGAATCTCAGAAGCCAGAACAGCAAGAGGGATTGCTGCGCAGTGAAAGCAGCAATCCCTCTTGCTGTTCTGGCTTCTGGGATAGCTGCGCAGCCTGCATTCGCTCCATAAGATGCACACACATTTCCCCTTACTTTTTAGGAGGGGAAAAGTGAGTCTTATAGAGCAAAAAATACGGTACCTGTGTGTCAGTGTTCAAGTGGCAATTGGGCGCCTGCAGAATGGTTGCTGCCTGTATTTTATTTGTAAACTGCCCTGAAAACGGTGGTTGAAGAGTGGAATGGACACCTGTTAAATAAATAATAAAACTTGGCTGTTTTTTCAGGATGATTATCCATTGGCCAGTTTACCACTTCTTGGTTACACTGTCAGCACACCCGTAGAGGCCGATGGCATTCAGAAGGATTATGTCTTCAAACTGCAGTTCAAGTCCCATGTATATTTCTTCAGGGCTGAGAGCAAGTACACCTTTGAGAGGTAAGTGTGCTTCCTAGACATAATTTGCAAAACGCATTCGTTACCCCCAGTTACCATTCTGACAAATGTTCTCTACTAACTCTCCTGGTAATGAGTTGAGGAAGCTGCTGGAATTTCACACAGAAGTCATACTTTCCGTGGCCTTGCCTATATTAATGAATGAGATAACTTTTGGTGGGTTCTGCTAACTTCAAAATCTGTCAGTGAAAGAACTCTGTGCAAAAGTAGCTCAGATTAAAGTTGTACATATATGGAAGTTTGCACATCACCTGAGAAATGCTCTCTCTATCTCTCTCAACCCACCCGGAGCAGGTGGTAGAGAAGTGAAGGCCTAAAACTATATATATGTAAAAGCATCCCCCCCAAGGCCTTTCCCCCCATTTTTCCAGTAAGGGGAGGACTATTTACCGCATTAGGAAATTGCAATTCCTCTATATTGTAAATATGTACAACTCAAATCCATTTCTGTTTGGCTAAAGAGATATTCTGGCTGTGTTCACACATACCATATGGTTTAGTGGAATGAGCCTGAGTGAAGCCTTGTTTTAGCAGTTCTTACTGATAAAAGTTGATGGCTGAGAGGTTGTATGTGGTTGCAGGCAATGTGCACTGCAATCAGTGATGGGACCTGTCTAGGCTTTACAATTAAAGATTCTTTAGGAAGATGTGCTTAATGTCCCAAACTTGATGGTCCTTCTCCATAAAGATAAAGATAAAGATTGTTGTATCCATAAAGATACAACAATCACTAATGAAAAGCACCACCGACTCTACTGAGTCTTCACCATCTGGGCTGGGTGAGACAGTAAAACTACTCATTGGCAGCAGGAAAACCAGGAGGAATTTTTTAAAAAATTAAAATTTACCTTGGGGAGACCCTTCCTTTTGAGTTTCTGTGCTCTTCATAAAAGTGATCTGGTGTGCATATTACTCATCTAGGCAGTGGAAAAGAGGGGCATTAACTGCCAGTCCTCTTCCTTGTGGGATAGGACTCCCTTCTATAACTCTCCCTTTGCACTATCGTAACAAACCTAGCATAATTGTACAGACCTCTGTTCAAATTATCAGGTGACTGTTGGGATACTGTGGCTCCTTCTTTACAGTAAGTTAACTTTTAAGCATTAGTTTGAGTGTTAATCTTACGAAAATCCTCAGCAAAATGGAAAGCGAAATATTAATATTCCTACTAAAAACTATTATGTAGCACATGCAAAGAATGATAGTGAGTAGGTAACGAACTAGGGCCATGACAGTTGACTTTTTTTCTCTTGTCAGGTGGATGGAAGTAATAAAGAGAGCCACAAGTTCTCCAGGGAGATCCAGCCTCTGCCTTTCTAAAGATGAAAAGGAAAAGAACACAAACTGATAGAAGCAGAGCTGGGTCTCTGTTGTAAGTTAATTCTTTGCAGTATGGGGGAAAGGAGCCTGAGCATGATAGTAGTAAAAGGAACCCATCTGCTCCCTCCTGTGGCCAAGTTAGCTGCCTCATGGAAGATGGTGAATTTTGCTTAGTGTAGAAAGCTCTCTCATCCAAAGGGACGGCAAAGACTCTGGGGAATTCAGTTCATGAAAAAAATGTGGCTGCTGGATTTACATGACTTGCTTCTTTTGTTGGCGTTTGGCCAATGTTAGTTCTCTGGCTTTCAAGTGGTTTTCTATTACTTGTTAATGCTCAGTCTCAACTAAATAATCTGTGTGCAACTTGTTCTTTCAGCCTACCAGCCATACATGCCTCACACGCTGCAAGCAATGTTCACATTAATGTTAAGATGGAATTTCTCCTCACGGTAGAGCGGAGTGCTTCAGAAAATTGCCAGGAAGCAACTTCACCCTTGTTACTTTCTCAGTGCAAACAAAGTTGAAAGGATTGTTTTTATTTGGGTAGTGGGCATGAGAAAAGAGGATTCCACAGTCAGTTTGAAGGGGTAGGAAAGTATACAGAAGATACTGAAGTATGCAAAGATGAGGATAGCGGACCTTTTAGTGTGTCTGTACCGCTGCAGATAATGTTCTGAGTTCTCTTTCTGTTCTGGGCTTGAGAGTGGTGCTTGTTATGTTTTGGCTAAGTTCTTTTAAAAGTTATAAATATGCATACAGAGAGTTGGAAAGGAAAGGCAGCTTCAGCAATAATCAGTCCGTTTTTATTACCTCAGCCAAAACATCTATTGTAACAGATGTCCAATAAGCACGCATGTGCAGCAGTAATAAAAGCCTAGTATTGTTTGGGGGTGACTAACTATGGAAGGGTTTATTCCTTCATTAATGACACACCTCTACTTCTTAGTTCCTTTAACAGTGACAGGCCAGGGTGGGGGGAATACTCAGGGACTTAGCATGAGAACTGGTGCAAACATATATTTAAAAGTGCATATTCAGGAATTAAGGCAGATCAGTTGAAACAAGTACTGCACAATGGCAAGATAATTGAAATCCCCCTTTTTCTCTATAGTGCTATTGTCCTGAGATCATGGAGGCAGAGCCTACGCGTTTTATTTTTTAAGTTCATATACTTCTTTCATGGGACAGATAAGGTTTATCACGTTACCCTTGGATAGTAGTAGAATGTAGTCTGCTGGTTTGAAGGCGGTCTTGTCATGTTATACTGTGTTGAGCAACAATGTGGTGATGGGTAGTGTGCTTTAGAAGAAACTGAGGTAAAAAAAATATTTATATATTGAACACTGCATTTTGAAGTATGGGCAATTAAAGGAGGGGCAGGACATGGGAAAAATACAGATGTCTTTATTACTCCTCATATTGACCCTTAAAACTATGTAGGTCAGTCTTTTAGGTAGAAGGTTGGGGTTGGTTTCCCACTTAGAGGGCAAAGGGAAGGTTTGTTACTTTTTTTGTTTGACACTGTCATTTATAAGGAAGCTACAAAGTGCTAAATATTCTTCTCTACTATTATGGCCATTCAATATACATTAATGTATTTTTTATTTATTAGTGTCTGTTTTTGGAAATAAACTATTGTAGATCTCTAGATGGCTCACAAGCAGTCATAATCTAATTTTTATTCCGTTCAGAATTTTCAATATAAAAAGGACTCCCATCTCAGCAGTGCCCAAATTCTCATTTCAAATGCATAGTTTTCCCTATTTTATTAACTTAAGACCTCTAGTGAGCTGTGGCTAGCCTACAACTGAATCCTGATCAAGGTTTAACCAAAATTTTCCACAACAAAAAACACAACTGAGAGTTGAAGGGGGCCTTGTGGGCAATCTGTTTCAAGCCCCTGCTTGTCGTAAGAAATCCTACAGTCTTCACAACAGATGGCTGTACAGCATCTGCTAGAAGAGCTCAAGGGAAGGGAGAGTCTACCACACCCCTAGGTAAATAATTTTACTGCTGAATTGCTGTTACGTTCAAGATGTTTCCGCTAATGGTCAACTGAAAGCTCCCCTCGGATGAAATTTAGTCCTGTCCTTTGGGGCACCAAATTACAGTTCATTTTCCTTCCCTGCAGGTATCTTCTCCAGGTTAAACATACCCAGTTTTTTCAGTCTTGGCTCCCCAACCCCCACCACCAAAAAAACTCTGATTTATCTTAGTGCAGTGCCTAAAACTCCCCCAACCAGTGTGTGGATAGATGCACTCTAGCAAAACAACCCTGGCCCTTCAGTAGCACAACTGAAATCCCACACTGCATTAGATCAGACGGAAAATAGTCCTTACTCCCCTGGAGTAACTGCAGTCCAGCTTTGGAGTTTCTAGCAATGCATAAATAACCATATAGTCAGCATTTACTTGACAAGTTAGTTTTATTGAAAGTGGCAGATCCCTCTCACTGCTCATTTGAAAAACTAAGACATTGTTGTTTTGAATACTAGAGACACTGTGAGAGCTTTACTGGTGATTTATTGTGAGTTAAATGCAAGGTACCTTTTATGAACAGCACAAAGTAGCAGCTTCACAGCTTCCTGTTTTCCTTTCTACATCATTCCCATATGTTTCGTAAGCAGTCCTGGAGGATAATGGTAAAGGAAAATGGATTCTTCATATTCCTGCCCATGTTCTCAACTCAGCTATCCATGAGCAAAACTGAGAATGCAGCAACTACAGCTCTGAAGACACGGTTCTAGCATAAAGTATGAATACCAGGAAAAGAGCATTTCCATTACTTTCCCCCTAATATTACTTGCAAGGGTATGTAGAATAGGCAATTCCACCTCCACCCCTGAACTCTATCAAAAGAATAGATCCATACCACTGTCAATGACTAAATGGTTTTACACATTTAGGAAGTGACTCTTTTCAATATGACTACTGTCAATTTGTGTGACTACTTTAGACCTTCATTTCTTGAAGAGGAAGAACTAGTTGGAAGTCTGAAATACTTGTGGTATTTATAGGCTACTTCTCAGCCAGAACCAGAGATAATGGCCATAAATAAATTGGGCAGAAGTACTGTTCAGGTCCACAACAGAATGAACAGTTCAGAAGAGACAGGATAAGTTTTAGAAACCTCACCTAGAACTTCCTCCAGCTGTTGGCACCACACATGTTATTTAAATTTAACTGAATTGCAGTCACATTTCAGAGAACAGCAAACTTCCATGAAGTTTGAAGACATATACCACAATCCTTTTACACTGTAGGTGTAGTTAAGCATTTAGCTTCTCTCCCTCTTTAGCAAGTGCATAATACCCTTGATAAACTATTTGAATTGGATATGAATGTATCCATGATACTGAGTGTTCACACTCAAGATAGTAAGTAGCAGCAAAAGGCCTTGATTGAGTAGGAGCACATCTTTTCCAAGCTGCTGCTGGTGAAACATGGGCTAAGTGCAGAATGCAAGCAGCAGTCAAACCTACCTCACAAAAGGAGCAAGTAGACAGACAGGAGAAGGAGAAGGCAAGCTTCACCTGTCTCAGCAACTGTTAGGCCAATCTTCTTGTTCTAATAGTTGAGAAACTCTAAGCAAAAATCTTGTTGAGTAGCACCAGCATATGCCCACCTAACTGGGTAGTGATAATCCCTCCTTGCTGATGAACAATGTTCACACATACCTCTTGCCAAAGCAGGGAGCTACACAGTCCCACCTTTTCCCTTTTGGAATGTGTTTATCTGAATTTCCATTTTCCAGCAGTCAGGATTTTGCTTTGAAACAAGGTCTGACCTGAGAGAAATTGGGATATAATTAAAAACCTCCATGAAGTACACTGTAGAAATTACCCTCCTAGGGCTCTGCAAAGTAGTCCATGTTCATTTGTGTTGTAAATCCCATCCAGGGTGGTCATGAAACACACACAAAGGCTCTGAAATGTCTGGGAATCCATAGCACAATGTTAACATCCAACAGCAGATGGCAATGGATTCAATATGCAGTTCTTATGGAGCTGGGGTGGGAAAAGTCACCCTCCTTTCAATGAGTAACAAAAATGATGCCTCAGCGTGCTGAAGTCAGGTGGTTCCTGCTGTGTGAGAACCTGAGGGAGAGAGAACGAACAACGGATATGCATCAGGCTTATTCATAGTAAATTTTTGCTGTCAGCCTCACACCAACTTTCTTCAAATTCAAGCATAAACAAGGAATAGCAACCCTGTCAAAAACTCATCTGTCCTAATTTAACAGGCAGGTGATGCAGATGTTTGCCCCAGGCCACGTGCTAACAAATTAATAGGCCCAGAATAACTGTATTTTGAGGGTTAAGTTTTCATTGTACAGGCAACCCTCAATTTGCGTGGGGGTTGTGTTCCAGGTCATGGCATGCGATGGTGGAGCATGCATAAGCCCGGCCCTTTTTCCAGTCACTTCTGGGTCGCTGTCTTACACACATCAATTGGATGCATGTAAATCAGTCGTTGGCTGTATTATGTTTCTGTAGATGTAACCTACCCTGGGACCTTATGGTGAAGGACAGTAGCAAAATACAATTGTTAATAATCATCATTCCACACAACCACCAATCAAAGCACCAGAATGCTAGACAGTTGCCTAGGGCAGAGTATGTGGTCCTAAGCAAACAGCTGTATCTTGGGCCCAAACTAAGAACAGCAGCACTAGAGAAAGGTGTACAGGGGCAAGGTGTAGGATTGGCTTCTCTTACTCATTCTAGCCCATATCCTCACCAAAAATAGTCACATTAACAACACTCAGAACTTTTACCTTTGCACTCGCTCTACCATGTGTGCAATTAGTTTGTCAGAGATTCCTGGACAAGACTCCTCAGCTAAGCTAAAGGCATTCTCCAGTTCCTCCATGGCTCCCACGTTGCCTCCAGTGTGCTTGTGCTTGTCTTTGAGCTGCCAAGACATTAGAAAGCTCTAAGTAGCAGCACAAAATCCTTAATGCCAATTTTCATGGGAGGCGAAAACATTTGCTGTATAAAGAAGTACAATAGGCATCTCTAGAATATGGGCCAGTTCCACAGCCCTGAAGGCCGTAGTAGTACAGGGGTGGAGAACCTCTTTCATGCCAAGGGCTGAATTCAAACTTTGGAGGCTGCATTCCATAGGTGGGAGGGGCCTGAGGCAGAAATGGGGAATAAACAGGAATAACATCTCACACAAACAGCCTTTCCCCTATCGGAGCATAGGTCTGATTCCCCAAAACACATACAACCACCCATCACAGAAATCTTTTAGACAAGGCTGAGTGGACACACAAAGTTGCAACTTAGCTCCTGTAGGAGGGAAACTCAGAAAGGTCTCTATTGATGCCTAAGACAGTTTCAATTAACATGCTATTGCTGATGGCTGCTAATGGTGCCAAATTTAAACAGTACCTTGAACAAGCAGAATACAGAATTAATCAGCTGCAGCAACAGCAATGTTGCCTAGCTGTAAAAATTGCTAAAGCTACAGTAAGTGACAAACTCAAGTGACACATAATGATTCGGAGCTGGACGAGGCTCACTGGAGCGGGCCACTGCTGTAATAACTAAGCACACTAGATATCAGGAAACTTGCACCCTGTTCCTAAAGCCATATATATGGAACTAAATCTCCCCAACAGCCTTGTGGCTGTTGGCAAGAGTATGCAATCAACCACCCAGCACTATACTGCACCCAGTTGCTTCACTCACTATGTGATGCCCAGTGTCCCTGGGAAGCTTGCAACTCCAGCTAAACAACACATTGCTTTCTTAATACATGCAGCTACATAATTGCTGACCCAATTTTACCAAATTTAGACCAGAAAGCCAGAGGACAACTCTATCCATTGTGGATATAGCAAGGTGTGCATGTTTTGCAGTCGTGTCCTTCTTTAGAGTACTCTGGCCCTGTGTACATATTACTTCCTATCTGATCCCTACTCACTGTACCATATATTGTTCTCTTATACTACCTAACATGTGTCTGGTTCAATAACTCTCCCCTTCATCAGCTGTGCAAATTAAGTGGCTTTGAGCTGTCCTCACAGATCCTGGCTCATAATCCAGGGATCAACCTCTTTTGCAGAGTTCAAGCTGCCTCCCACATCATAAGGATGCAGAACAGGGCAAAAGATTACCGGTAATTCTAATAATCACCATACAAGTGTGAAAGGTCTCATTTCTTACCATCACTTGGTTGTCAGCTCCTACTCATTATTCTAACCCAACATCCTCAGAGAAACACTTCATATGTGACAGATAATAATTGGGGGAAATTCAGACCCTGCCACCTCACCTCTCCGAAGACAGGACGTACAAGAGTAGAGAGACACTGAGACCGTGGTTGCCGCTTGATAGGCTCAGCAGGCTAACAGGAGGAGGGAGAAGAAGGATGCTATTGAATATGACTCTGAACAGTTCTTTCAACCTGTCTATGAAAATGCTTTGCTTTGACAAGCGACATAAATCTACCGTCACGAGCAGGAGCAGTAAAAAACAAAGTAGATATAGCATCCGTTAAGAATCTTCCAGTTTGTGCTGCAGCTCCTACATGGACCCTAGGAGAAGCCTAAGGCAGATAAATGGCACAGGCAGGAGTAGCAACCTGTATTCAAAGAGTATGGTGTTACACCATTTTGCAGCAGCAACTAACAGCAGGTTTACTATTTGTAGCAAACTTCCTTTATCAGGGATGGGCCAAATTTGGCCTGCTACAGGTCCCAATGTGTCTTAACAATGCCATTTTCCTCAAACCATGCCCAGCTGCCCCATGCCTGACATCAGATGTGACTTCAGGTGTGGGGCAGGTAGAGGCACAGCTTGGGTGGGGAACTCAATCACACAGCCAATCTCTACAGAAAGCAGCTTTGCCAACCATATTTCTCGCAATTTCCCTATACTTGGCACTTGGCAGCTGGCAAAGCTTTGTGCGTTACAGTTCCCAAGCACCTAGAAACCAGCTGGTTACTGGGTGGTTAGGAAGCACTGCACAAGGAACTTGGATAGGTAGGAGGGACAACTCATCTGTCAATCGGGTGGGGACAGATAATGATCTGGTCCACCAGTCCAAAAAGTTTCCCAAACCTCACCTCCATTCTAGCTCCACTGCATTAAATGGAATCTTCCATAAGTTAACAAAAAACCAGAGCAGAACAGGCAGACTCCAAAATCTAAAGCAAGATATGTTCTGCTCTGACAGTATCAGGGTTAATGGGAGAAACACTACAATTCCCGCACAATGGCTGCTCGGTCCCTCAGAGTGACCACTGCTGGCTCAGGGCTCTGCTCCCCAGCGGTAATGGACACCACACTGACCTTTTGGGACCCATGATGAGACATCCCTTTGTGCAGCTTGTTCAAGGAATTGGGACGAATGGTTGGTGGGAAAGTCCAGATTGGCCCTTGATCTCTTTCATCTGCATCTCCATCACTAGAAACAAGCGGGGTGAGAGTGCATTTCATTCAAAGAACACTGGGTCGAGGAGTGCCAAGATTTGCAGGGGCAGGGCTTCCCCAACGGCAGGCTTTTCCAGCTTAATCTTACTTAAACGCAAACTCAGTGTTTGCATTTTCCAACCATTATCAAGGGGCTAGAATGTACTTGGTACCAATAGATACCAAACTCATAGCCCAGAACTGGGTATTCATATATTCCATGTCACCATGCAATTATTTAAAGACTGGAAGCAGCCAGCATGACAAATCGTACGTTGCTTTTTGTGCCCGTCTGTACTTCTCAACAAGCTACATAAAATCTTACTGGTCCACCTTACAGGCTTTATCGGTACAAATACAAAATCTGCAGAAACTTTTCTCAGTGACAACTGAGCAATCACACCCTGATTATTCGGGTGCAGAGAAAGGGGAAGAAATGAAAGATTTTCAAAGTAGGACAAATGTCTCAGAGGTTCAAAAAATATTAAGCAGGTTATAAATGTTTTTAAAATAAAATGGAAACATACATACATGTCAGAGTCATCTGAGCTTGAATCCTCACCATGCCCCTCTGACTTCCAGCGTTTGTACCGGTCAATGAGCTCCATGAGAAATGATGTTTTCTTGGTGTAACGTGTGATAAACTTGTGCTTTAGCAATTCCTTTGCAGTGGGTCTCTGCACAAATACAAGAGACAAGGTGTTTTAGCTGGCAGGGACCAGACCATAAAGGTGGACAGCTACCACTGCCACTTTCCAAGGAGTCTTTTAAATTTGAACAGGACTAAGGCCTACTCTGCACATTCCTATGGGTGGGCTCATTTCCAAGGACAAGCATTTCAGAGCTCTGCTACCTAGCAGCTGCCAGGTTTTCTGACCTGATACTCAGGCTCTGCTTATGAGAAGAGGCTGGAGCAACACTTACAAATCTGGGGTCCTTGTTAAGGCAGGCTTCCACAAATTCCTTAAAGGGCTTACTGTGGTGTCCCTCCAGCGTCGGGGGGTTATTCTTGGGAATCAGGAAGAGAACTCTCATAGGATGCAGGTCAGAGTTTGGAGGCTCTCCCTTTGCCAGTTCAATAGCAGTAATTCCAAGGGACCAAATATCTGCCTGGAAGAAAAATGAGAACGATCTCTGAACACTCAGTGTTACCATGGCACAGAGAAGCCAACACTCATTGACTTGAGCTCTGATGCTGATTCACAGGAAAAGGGGACTCCTCCAGAGACTCAAATCATTCACTTTTCTCCCATAATTACCCGACTTCTGTATGTGATTGAGTGAGTGACAACTTGTGTGCTTATCATGTGGGCGTCTCCTTGATCCATATGTCTAAAATGAAACGGCATCTAAGGTAAAGTTATTTCTGGTTGACACAGATTTAGAAGTTCTTGAATAGGTGTGTCTGAGCAAAACATGTTTACTAAGCCGACGATTTACAAGATAATCCAGAAGGTCAGACTGCTGTAGGTTGGACAGCAATAAGACATGGAAATTAAACATGTATTTAAAATATTTTTTTTTATCTTTTATTAAGCAGTCCTATAATTAAGCTAACTATCTCTTAGATTTGAAATCTTGTAAAGTGCAAGAAGTTTTTTGTGCTCTTCATTTTCTAATACAAAGGTGGCTGCCTTTACAGGGTGTGCAGTTAACCTCTGATCACAGCTTGTGAATAGCAAGCATTTAAATTATATAAATTATGTTTATGTAGGGAATTATGATAATACCAGTTGAAGCAAAACAGTTTCTTTGTTTCTTTGTCACTGTGTATTATATTGTTGTAACCTGTCCTGGGATCTTGTGGTGAAAGGCAGGTACGAAGTCTTAAAGAAATACATATTACTGACTGTTTAAATACAGCTTTAAACCTGATGGATTGCACCATAGTTCTGGGTATTTTTCACTGTCAAAGCAGGGTGCATTTCTAATCATGAATTGGACTTTTAGGATGGGCTCCAACTAACACATTCTCTTAGCGCAAGGATTCCTGATTGCACGACAGCACTTTCCCACCTCTCCTCCCCCCACGTGCACCCAGTGCCCTCCCCAAATCTAATACAGAAGGTTAGGAGAACCCATTGAACAGATTTCTTTAAAGTTGTGCAGATGTGTGCATAAACTTACATGCACCCCTAAAAAGCATATCCTTCACTAGAAAACTGAAGGGGGCACTAAGTGGCCAATGATGTGTACAGCAAGACTCAGAAGCACATGCAAACTTTACCCACCTATATGCACCTTTCTTTCTAACGTAGGCAGAACACAGGATAAGGCAAATTAACATGCATTCGAAATGATGAGCTAGGGTTCTAGTAGGCTTTCACCTGCTCCTCTCAGCTCACCTTGAAGTCATAGGCTGACTGCTTGATGACTTCAGGTGCCATCCAAAAAGGAGTCCCAACAAAGGTATTCCTCTTGATTTGGGTATCTGTTAGTTGGCCAGCCACTCCAAAGTCAGCTAGTTTCACATCGCCTTGCTCTGAAAGTAGCACGTTAGCAGCTGTTCATAGAAAAAAATAATAATAAAGGCAGCTGAATCAAAGGGGAATACAATAAATTATCTTGCAGTAAGAAATGATGCCTTTCTGAAGCCCCGGCAAACATGTTTTGTGTTAATTCCTGGTTTAGTACAGGGGAAGATAGTAACGGTGCCTTAGCAACTGCACAAAGGAAGGCAGAACATCCCGAAAACTGGCTCGATCTTCCCTGCTACTGCTAAGCCCAATCCCTTATGGCTTTGCAAATAGGGCAAAAGGGTTATATTCTCACCCTGTATGAACTACCAAAGCTTGTTTAACCCCTACCTTGTTCTCAATTCTTAGCCCACTCTCCTGCTTTACGTCCCTTTTCTATATCTTAATGGTACAGCCACTCCTCAAGAAGTCCACCCTTTATAGCCAAGCTACTGGAGAAAGTAGTGGCAGAGCAGCTGCAGGCAGTCCTGGAGGATACCTACTATCTAGACCATAGGTGGGGAACCTGTAGCCCTCTGCATACGGAAGTGTAATTCCCATCATCTGTTCTGCACCTGAGACCCTTCTCAGTCTGAGTTCAGGCCTGGCTATAGAACTAAATCCGCCTTAGTGGTCCCGATAGTCTTCAGACTATTCTGATAAGTGCACAAATTACTGCCAGAATTCATACTTATTGATTTAAGGAATGATCACAGAAATGCAAATGGGGGGGGGTAAATTCTAACATAGATACCTGAGATTGTCGGTGAAAGCAAGTATGTGTGGTTTCAATTGCCTCATAAGAGAACTGATAGGAAAAAAACCAAAGACGCATATTTTGCAAGCCTGACCTTTGATGTCTCTGTGGATTTTCCTCTCAGAGTGAAGATAGTCCAAACCCTTTAGAATTTCTCGGAGAATGGTGGCAATGTAGGTCTCCTCCAAAGGTCCAGGCTTGAGCTACAGGAGAAGTGTAGAATGACGGTTAAGGAGTGAGGTACATTTAATACATTCAAACCGAAGTCCCTCAGTCTTCCATGCGTAACAAACTTTAACTCAGATGAACAACCATTTGCATGGAGATCAGAGAAAAAGAGAGAAAAGAAGAATGCAGTTATGCACACATGAACTTGTACATGAACTAAAGCAGGATCAGACAGCACCTCCAAGGTGGGCTCTGATTACTGATTAAGTATTGAGCTGTTCATTCATAACCACTTGGCACAAATGTATTTTTTTGAATGCAATGGGGAGTCTACCGGGTGTGGCAGTTCTGAATGTGGATTTGAAATGGTACTTCATGAAACCAATGTGGAATTACTTTTAATTCGATGTTCCAGGCTGAATCTTGTTAAGGTATCTGAACTGAATGACAAAAAGGTACTCACTAGATCCAGTGCTGAGCCACCTCCCAAGTACTCCATGATTATCCAAAGCTTGGTGCCCTGTAAATTAGACAAGGTGTTGTGTGAAAGCAGTGACAGTCATTTCAATATTAAGGCCACTCTGGGTTTTGCCTTAAAAACAGCGGAAGAAACACATCAGCCCTGTATTCCTCATTCAGTTCTCGCATGTCACAATGAGACCTGAAGTGCTCGGTAGCATCATAGCCCACATTATCTAGACATATCTAATGATATTTTTTGTTATTCTCAGAGTTGAATTACATGAGTAATCAGAAGCTATAGCTTTTGGTGGACTGTTCCATTTCAGCCTGTAGATTGTTGTGGTGAAAGGACACCTCTAAATCCTTTTCTATATAATAATTATTATTAATAATAATAATAATAAATAATAATACCCTGAGAAGAGTGGCAGGTCAGGGTGAATGGTTCTGGCCCAGCTTTCTCCATTACACTACTACTTACGTGTTGTAAAAAGTTGAGTGGGAAAGAATTCAAATGTGATCAATGACAACTAGTCATGACAGATATATTCTACCCTCCAGTATCAGAGAAAGTATGCCTCAGAACCAGTTGCTCGGGAACAGGAGAGTGCTATTACACTTGTGTCCTGCTTGCAGGGTTCCCATAAAAATCTGGCTGGCATTGTGAGAACAGAATGCTGGACTTGATGGGCCATTGGTCTGATCCAGTAGGACACTTATGTCCCAACTGCAAAACTAGCAAGTATTGAGATTGCCCAGTGTTGTAGTTTGCTTCTTTATCTTGCTAATAGCTGATTATCATGACACTCTGGCATCCTCAAACTCATGACAACACTAGTAAAGAGTCTGCAACTCATAAGCAGGGAAGGGGTTTTCTCTTTAATTCTTGCAGTTTGAATTTTACTTAGATTAGTCAAATTTCTAAGTCACTAAATACATGCCAGTTGTAAGAATTTTTAGTTAAACATTTCTGATTGCACCAAGGAGAGAAGCCTCCAAAAATGAAGTCCTCTTACCATGTTCACTCCTCCACACCCACTGCCACACTAATGTCCCAGCCACAAGACTCACTGAGAACACTTTATGGTGGGGGGCGGGGGGGGGGAGAGAAATGGATTCAGTGGGTGAACTAAACCCATTTCCCTTGTTTAAGTACACAAATTGCAGTCTAGTTTGCTAGTAGCTGTCCCACAAGCACAGTGATGCAGCTTGCCCTGGTAGCTTCAGTTACCTTCAAGTAGGAACCGTAATAGCGAGTGATGTAGGGACTGTCACACTGACTGAGCACCGTTATCTCCTGCTGGATGTCTTCAATCTCATCCTCTGCCTCCTCTAGGTCAATTATCTTGATAGCTACCACTTCCTTGGTACGGTTGTCAATTCCTTTGTACACTTCCCCAAATGAGCCTTTACCGATCCTCTCCAGCTTTGTGAACAGTTCCTCTGGATCAACCCGAGAGTGCTGAGTCAGTAGGAATAAATGGGGTGATGGGTGAAGAGAAGAAGAGAGAGCTAGTCAAAAAAATAATCTGTAGCACTTTATATTAACCTGCCCTGGGACCTTAGGGTTAAAGGTGGGTAATTCATAAACTATCATCATAAATAGCAGGGATTTAATGATTCATCAGTTAGAGCCATTCTATCATCTAGCATAAGGCTCACTTCTCATTATAAAGTCAACAGGAGCTCAGCCCAAAACTGTATGTATGATGTGGAGATAGATAAATTTCGCTCTTTTTGCCATATTAGGACAACTGAGGATCACCAAATAAAATAAAAGTTACTGTAGAAACATTTACGACAGTGAAAACAGATAACTTCCTCACACAATACATCGTTAACTTATGGCATTCACTAACACAAGGCTTTGTGATCGCCACTAGCTCTGATGGCTTTAAAAGAGTAGATTAGTTAATGGAGGATAAAACTATGAACTAAAGTAATAGCTGGACAGAACCTTCATGTTCATGGGGCAATGTGTCTCCCAATGCCAGTTACTAGGAAGTGGTGACAACAGAATATGGATAGTCCCTTCAGCACTTGCTTGTGGGCTTCCTGAAAGCTGCTGCTTGACCACTTCTTGTATAGGATTCCAGGCTCGGTGGTCTGGTTGTTTAATCTGACTGAGCAGGGTTTTTCTTCATTCTTAAACTCATTCCATCATGAAAAAAGTCCTAGTGAGTTCATTAGAAGTTGCTCCTAGTGGACTTGCTTAGAACTGCTGCCCTAGTGTACCTGACAGGCCAACACCAAAGCCATGCCTTTCCCAGCATGACACAAGGGTTATTCATGATAGAAGTACCCTAAAGGCTTATCATCTGCACCTCTGTGTATGTGCAGCAAGTTGGTCCCATGTTCAGTATACCTCCAACCTGTCTGAATTCTGACTTTCTGAGCGGAAAAAAGTATTTAGTAGGGATGTTAGGATTCTGGAAAAGCCCAGAATTCAGTAGCAAATTTGCAATTCCACCTATATCAGAATTGAACTGGAATATAATTAAGATCTGCTGAAATCTGATGGGTTTCCACTGTGGTACCAACAAGACTTTAGGAATTTAGTAGGCCTCACCCCCCACCACACACATATTTATATCATTCTTGCACTATGAACCTGAGCCTTAAAGTGACCTGAAGCTTTTGCAACCACTGAAATACAGTCAGCTTCCAGCATCTGAAATGTCAAAGACAGGTACTGGAAACTAGACAGTCATTTAGATATACAATCCAGCGCTATCAAACTATTACTGAGTATGCCTGTCCATCTGTATCTAGTGCGTCAAAGGGATCCAAGAATGAATCATGAACCAGGAAGAGCCTGCTTCAAATACTGCCTAATCCACACACTCAGCTAGGTAACCTTAAGCAAGCTAGTATCTCTCTGCAATGTGGAGATAACACTGAACCACATTACCATGGTTCCTGTTAGGGTTAGAAAACACTAAACAGAAGAGCTAAAAATAACTTAGCATTCATAACATCTAGAGGGGTAGCTGTGTTAGCCTGCTATAGCAAAAAGAACACAAGTTCTGCACAACCTAAATGTCTCATAAATTTCTTATGGCATAAGTGTGGAAGTGATCTGATGAAGTGGACTCCAGCCCACAAAAGCTTATACCATCATAAATTTGTTAGGGTTACCTGATATGGGATGACAGCAGCAGAGATACCAGAAAGTTGGTAAGAGGATTTCATTTCCAAAACATATACACAAAGCTGCCCCATCACAAAGGCAATGAGAGTGAGCCACAATCAATCGGAGAAGCCTCACCCCACAATGACAGTTAAGAAGGGTTGCTATTTCTCCAGGGTTTGCCTCAGACACCACAAGAATACTAGAAAAGTTGGGGAGAGGCTTTAATGTCATGCCCACCCCAGCACCTATCTTCTCTGCCCTATAACCAAGATAAGCTCTAGTAAACGGTGCTTAGGAGTACCTTTGACGGGGAAAAATAATGTAATTACGCCAAAGATGAAAACTAGCTTATACAGGTGTAACTTTTTTTCAGTGCAGAATTGCTTTTTGAAGCACGGATTACAAGCTGTCCCTGTTAATGGATTTTCCACACTGTGTGTGTGTGTGTGTGTGTGCGCGCATGCGCTGCTTAAGGAAGAAATAGTACACTCGCTTATAAATCTGTCATCGAAAAGGACCACACCTGTTTCAGTTCCCCTTCTTCCCAAGATTTCAATCTGAGGCAAAGGCAACAGCCTCTTATCTTTAGTAATTAAACTGATAAGATGCCATTAAGAAACCTTTGGACCGGGTAGATAAACAACCTCTCCTACTCAAGGACGGCAGTTACCCGCTCAAAGTATGAGCAGGCCTCATGCTTTGAGTTCAGCCCCACTCTAATAGGGTTCTCAGTCAACAGAACAGAAGAGGGCAACCAAACATCCTCCTGTCTCCATAGCAACACCCAAACAGCACAGGCCTCTGAAAGAATGCCTGCTGGCAATTTAGTGAAGTGAAATGTGAGCAACAGGGGGGCAGGAGAGAGCTAGAGCACAAGAGACTGAGAGGAAATAAACCATACTTCCTCAACCTTCCAGTTATCTTGGACTACAACTGGTCAGGCTGGGATTGATGGCAGTTGTAGTACAAAACATCTGCAGAGCACCAGCTTGGGGAAGGCTGAAGTAAGCCAACATCTCATGAGCTAGAGAAAAGACGTCAGAGAAGGAATCCTAGGAAACTGTTATGATCTGTTATGAAAAACAACAGGCAAATAAAGACTCATCAAATAGGTCACTTATGAGGATGCAGCACGATGCAGCCAAGCCAACAAATTTGATAAATCACCCAAAGAATGTATCCTGATCACAGAATAATAGAAACAAGAACCTTGAAAAATTATGCCTTCAGTAGTGACCTCAATGGTCCTTCTTGCCTGTCTGTCAGGTCTTGACCCTGCTCAGCTGCTTTCCCTCAAATATACTCCTTGGCTACTGACCTCTCATCGTTGCCATGTACAGTGGTACCTTGGTTTACGAACTTAATCCGTTCCAGAAGTCTGTTCTTAAACCAAAGTGTGCTTTCCCATAGGAGCAAGGGACTCAATTTACAAATGGAACACACTCAACAGGAAGCGAAACATCTTCTTATTCCAAGGCAAAGTTCACAAACCAAAACACCTACTTCCGGGTTTGCAGTGTTCTTAATCCAAGTTGTTCATAAACTAAGCTGTTCTTCAACCAAGATACCACTGTAACAAACAATGGACCCAGGTAGAACAATATGTTCCATTTTAAAAATGACCAAATGTGCTTCAAGAGAACAAGTCATTATGCAAATGTTTAGGAGCACAGAGCGCTGCCTTATACAGTCTCAAGGGCAATTCCTCTTTCCAAGCCTAGCCTCTCAGTCAGGCCCTTTAATCTCCATCAACTCTCTTTCTACTCTAGGTTTGGCTCATCTGCCTGCTTTTCCTGAGTTGGGTTACTGCTCCAAGCCCCTCCTCCCCACCCTCTTCTTTGCTGGGTTTGTTCTGTCACCTTTTGTCTCCAGGCCTTTCCACCACTCTTGCCTTCTATTCCTCTCTCCTTCTCTCTCTCAGCAGCTACAACCATTCACTCCATTCACACCACTAACTCCTCCTAGATGCAGCTGAGCAGAAGGATCTTGGTACTGGCTCCATAATCCTGCTATCTGTGTTTGGCCTGCCCTCCACTCTGGTGCAGAGGAAGGCAGAATATGTTTCACCAGATCCTGAAGTTAGGTGATGTAATCATAGGGAGAAGTCAAGAAAAATCCTGTTCCCTTCCTTCAGCTTCAAAAGATTTCCAGGGCTACCAAGCCAGAAAGACCAGATATGCAACAGAAGCGAAGATTTTAAGAATACTAAGTGTGGTGCCTTATACTAAATTCTACACTTGGGCACAATCAGCAAATTGTGCTGCTGCACCAAATAGCAAAAAAGAGGCAACGTCTGAAAGTGGTACTGTTATTTTGTTTTTTTCAAAACAGTATACAGTAATAACCTTAACATATCCTTTTGGCTACATGGAAAACTGTTCAGAAAATAAAATTCACAGTATCATTTGGAGGCATTGCCTTTCTATTGATTCATTTTGATATCAGTAAAACTGACAAATCATTCAACACTACAGTGACCTTAGATGCCTTCCCTTTAGTCAATTTCTCATATAGTATGGTAGCTTTTTCATGGGGAGTATTGCTTTAGTTTAATTTAGGGTTCATCCACACTTCCGTTTGCCCTACGGCTTTCCTCTGGGAAAACCGGCATTTTAGCACTGAATCAGAACAAATGGCAATTGGGTTTTCTGTGGATTGCCATTTGTTCTGATTTAGTGCTAAATTGTGGGTTTTCCAGAAACAAATGGTGGGGCAAAGGCAAAACCTCTTGCACCCGTGCCTAAAAAGGAAGAGACAGGCGGAAATTACTTGGACCCATGCATTCTAGGCACTGATCAAGTGGGAGTGTAGACAAGCCCTAAGTTTATTCAAAAAGAGCCTCCAGTTCTCACTTACCTGGTTGGCAAATTCCCTCAGGTGGGCCATGGCTGAAGATCAGCACAACACCCATTCACCAATCTTCTTACACAGTAATTAAAAACGCACTCTCTTCCACGGGTCACTTAAACTATTTAAAAAAACAAAAACAAAAATACAACCAGTTATTATTGTAAAGCCCCTGTGAAATGACTCCACTGCACCATAAATGCCAAATAATAGTTTCCACAGGCAGCCCTACCCTCTTCGAGATAGAGAGACTTGGCCTACTTATATCATGGACAACACATTAGGTGCCACAGGTAACCTGGGCCCAGTTACTCCACTCCCTCGCTTTCTTCTCTTATTGCCTAGCCTACTTCACAGGGTTGTTGTGAGGATGAGGTGGGTAAGCCCATATCCAGGTTTCTCACCCTGAGCTCTTTGGAGGGAAGGTGGGATAAACACACCATCACCCTATTTTATGAACGCACACTTAACAGGTGGCCAAAACTGATTTTACAGTTTCTAGAGCAACTTAGCCACTGGGAGTAAAGCCCAAGCGAAGGAGTTTACTGCTCAGCGTGACCAAGCCCCTTAAGAGAGCAAAACCTAAACAGATTACACCAACCAATCCCTCTGGAGCACGAGAGGTCGTCCACCTCTATCTCCATGCAGAATAACTTTATAGCAAGCGCGACGCAGGCTGCAACTCCCAAGGCAACCCCTCCCCGTCTTCCCCGACCGTAAAAAGGGTGGGGTGCGGGGGGAGCCTCTTTCCCACGAATTTATGAATGGTCTTGCAAAGACTCGAGAGCCGAATCCTGACTCAGTGGCTTGTGGGTTTGCAGGTCCGGCCCGGCCTTAAGGTGTGCGTCCAATAGGAGGTTCCCGGGGGGTGGGCAGGCTGCCCCCTCCCCTGCTGCCCCCGGGCACAGCAGCTCCACCCAACCTCCAGACACAACTGTCATGGCAACGGCTGCCGCCGCCAGCATTGCTCCGAGCAGCCCTGGCTCCCTCCCCGCAGAACAGCAGCCCCGCTCCGGTGTCCTCCGCGCCTCACCTGCGCCCCGAGGGTCCGTCCCGCCCCGCTGACCCATCGCGGCTCCGCGCGCAACCACCTCGGGATACTCAAATCGGTTACAGCAACTGCAGGAGAGGCAGGGAGGAGGGCGCCAACAGCCATGCGCAGGAATCTTCCCTCGCCGCCTCGGCTGCTGGGAGGGGTAGTTTTTGCAGCCCCGTCTCACAACGGAGTGGCCGAGCCAGGGACTGTCTTAACCAGCATGCACTCGGAGAAGGCGGGGCAAGCAGCCGGGAAAGCGAGGGCTTGCGGGAAAGGTAGTTTGTTCAGCTTTGCTGTGAACATTCCTACGGTCTGCGCGCTCCCGGCTCTTTTTCCTCCTGCCTTCTGCTCGCGGGGGTTGAATCATGCAGCTTTCGCCTAAAGCAAAATGTCACACGACGATCCCTTAGCCGAGGCTTTTTGCTTTGTGCGGTGATTCCCTTGGCTCCCTCAACTCCGTTACCTACCATGGATCAGCTGTGAATCTACAGCGTTTCGTCGATTCTGCCCCATTCGTCCTTACAAATGCTGACTTGCATCTCAAGCAAACATTTCTGACAGAGATCCTGGAAGTCCCTGACGGGCCTAGAATAGGGAAAAACCTGTTGTTTCCTTTGACAATCATAAGGCAGTTCATAACTGGTAGAACAGTTGCCTATGTTATCATATTGATTTGGCACGTGTTTTTAGTACTTATGTGTGTTTTAAAATTGCTTTTGTTCTAGTAAGCAGTATGTAAATAAATTTTGTTAAATATTTTTTTTAAAAAAACCTAACAGCTGTTTCGAGTCCTCACTTCCAAGATAAGAGCTAATTCTCCCACATAACTCTTGGGCAGAACTGCAGCTGATCCCTGGTCATCTGCATTAAAAAAGAAAAATGTTTTTGGCCCTTGTACCTCACTTTACTAACATGCCCAGGGCAGCTTCTCTCTTTATAAATGGCTTGGATGAAGGAATAGAGGGGATGCTTATCAGATTTGCAAATGAGATGAAGCTTGGAGAGGGAACATCTTTATCCCAGTCTGCATCTGTATTGGAACTGTTTTTATATATGGAATTGTGTATCACCTTAAAAGATAAAGCTTTTGCACATTAAATTTGGTTTAGATAAAACAAAGTGTAGGCAGGTTGGTATGCCTAGCTGGCTGGCAGCTTTAGCAGGTCTTGCTGGTCCTCAGTTTAAAGAAGGAAGTAGGGTAGGGTCAAGTCACATTGCTCAAGTGAAGGATGGAAAATGCATGACTCTTACATGAGTTATATGGGATAATCTTGTGGTCACTTTAAAGGCCTTTAAACTTACTTCTGCTTCAGTTTTACCAGTCTAGAATATACATGGAATAATCTATGAGCACTGTCCAATATCTTAAAAACTGCTTCTTATCTATTGGTTTACAGAAACATAAGTGAGGGTAACCTTGGTGAAACTGAGGTCTGGGTCTGATCAGTGAAAGGAAGGTGGGGTATAAATGCAAGAAAATAAATATGTGTTGTAGTTTTTATGTAGAATAATAGACTGTGCTATCTTACTCAGAGGAGTGTCATTCTTCATAGTTACCATGAGAGGGCACATGCTGTCTTCACCATGTCTACTCAGAAATAACGCCTATTGAATTCAGTGTGACTTACTTCCAGAAAATTGGGGTTACTTCTGCAGTCTAAGTCACATGTCTATTCAGAAAAAGTCTCATTGAGTTCCATGGAGCTTATTCCCAGATAAGCGGACATAAGATTGCAGCCTCATTCGCTTTCAATCTGGTGAGCTGGGACTCATTGCTGGGTCACAACTAAACTCCAGTCGCATGACACCAACAGTAAAGGTAAAGGTACCCCTGACCGTTAGGTCCAGTCACGGACGACTCGGGGGGTTGTGCGCTCATCTTGCTCTATAGTCCGAGGGAGCTGGCATTTGTCCACAGACAGCTTCTGGGTCCTGTGGCCAGCATGACTAAGCCGCTTCTGGCGAACCAGAGCAGCGCACGGAAAAGCCGTTTACCTTCCCGCCAGAGCAGTACCTATTTATCTACTTGCACCTGACGTGCTTTCGAACTGCTAGGTGGGCAGGAGCTGGGACCGAACAACGGGAGCTCACCCCGTCACGGGGATTCGAACTGCCAACCTTCTGATGGGCAAGCCCTAGACTCTGGTCCAAATATATAGTAAAAGCTTGAGTGAGTCCCCATATGTATGTTTGGGTTAAAGGAGTTTCCAGAGTGAAAAGATTGAAGACTTCTGGCCTGATATTATTATTAGTGTGATATTAAGCATATTTAGCGACGCGGGTGGCGCTGTGGGTTAAACCACAGAGCCTAGGACTTGCCAATCAGAAGGTCGGCGGTTCGAATCCCTGTGACGGGGTGAGCTCCCGCTGCTTGGTCCCTGCTCCTGCCAACCTAGCAGTTCGAAAGCACGTCACAGTCCAAGTAGATAAATAGGTACTGCTCCGGCGGGAAGGTAAACGGCATTTCCGTGCGCTGCTCTGGTTCACCAGAAGCGGCTTAGTCATGCTGGCCACATGACCCGGAAGCTGTACGCCGGCTCCCTCGGCCAGTGAAGCAAGATGAGCGCCGCAACCCCAGAGTCGGCCACGACTGGACCTAATGGTCAGGGGTCCCTTTACCTTTACTTTAAGCATATTTACTCAGAAGAATTTCCTAATGACTCTAATGGGACTTGGTCTTTATTTAATGGGTGCCAAGCAAGCTGCTTTAGGCTGCAGTCCCTTGCCCACTCAACTAGGAATAAGCCACAGTTAACACAGTGGGATGTACAGCTGAGAAAAACACGGGGTTCTAGGAGGGGTAGTACCTCTGGTGGGGGACATGTTGTGCTCCTTCTGGGGAACTTTGGTCCCCACCCTGCAGCACTCAGCAGTCACCAATGGCTCCTAAAAGATGTCTGCATGTGACAGCAGCCATAACCAGGGAACTTAATTATACTCCAGTGCAATTCTGATATAGGTGGAATTGCAAATTTGCTACTGAATTCTTGGCTTTTCCAGAATCCTAACATCCCTACTAAATATTTGTTTCCACTCAAAAAGTCAGAATTCAGACAGGTTGGAGATATACTGAACATGGGATGAACTTGCTGCACGCACACACAGAGATGTGCAGATAATAATAATAATAATAATAATAATAATTTATTATTTATACCCCACCCATCTGGGCAGCTTCCATAGAAACCAAAAATACACTAAAATATCACACATTAAAAACTTCCCTGAACAGGGCTGCCTTAAGATGTCTTCTGAATGTCAGGTAGTTAGTTATTTATCGCTTTGACATCTGATGGGAGGGCGTTCCACAGGGCGGGCGCCACTACCGAAAAGGCCCTCTGCCTGGTTCCCTGTAGCTTTGCTTCTTGCAATGAGGGAACCGCCAGAAGACCCTCGGCACTGGACCTCAGCGTCTGGGCAGAACGATGGGGGTGGAGACGCTCCTTCAGGTATACTGGGCCGAGGCCGTTTAGGGCTTTAAAGGTCAACACCAGCACTTTGAATTGTGCTCGGAAATGTACTGGGAGCCAATGTAGGTCTTTCAAGACCAGTGTTACGTGGTCTCGGCGGCCACCCCCAGTCACCAGTCTAGCTGCCGCATTCTGGATTAGTTGTAGTTTCCGAGTCACCTTCAAAGGTAGCCCCACGTAGAGCGCATTGCAGTAGTCCAAGCGGGAGATAACTAGAGCATGCACCACTCTGGCGAGACAGTCCGCGGGCAGGTAGGGTCTCAGCCTGCATACCAGGTGGAGATGGTAGACAGCTGCCCTGGATACAGAATTGACCTGCGCCTCCATGGACAGCTGTGAGTCCAAAATGACTCCCAAGCTGCGCACCTGGTCCTTCAGGGGCACAATTACCCTATTCAGGACCAGGGAGTCCTCCACACCAGCCCGCCCCCTGTCCCCCAAAAACAGTACTTCTGTCTTGTCAGGATTCAACTTCAATCCATTAGCCGCCATCCATCCTCCAACCGCCTCCAGGCACACCTTTGTGTGCTCAACCTGTGCCTGGAAATAAAAATGCGCCTTGGGGTTCCTTCCAAAACTACAATGCATTGGTTCTATGATTCTGTGAGTGATAGGTTAATTTATTGTTCACATGGAAGATGGAACAAAGCTCTTTTCTCCTGTTCTGGAAGGTGGGACTCGAACCCAGAGGTTGGGTGGCCATTGTCATGGGTACTTTAGCTGAGATTCATGCATTGCAGGGAGTTAGACTGGATGACCCTTGGGTCCCTTCCAACTCTACTCTATAATTCTATTATTATTATTATTATTATTATTATTATTATTGAAATAAATAAAAATTTGTGCAGCTCTTTGTGGTTAAAAAGACAAATTGAGAAGCAAATTAAATAATTAGTTCTTCATCTTCCAGACTCCAACTATGAAGCCTGACCTCATAATTTCTGGTTGGTGAAGCTAAAAATTGCTTGAAGTGGTTGCTGTGGCAATGCATTAGCTTCCCACGCACAGTACAACAAATTTTTGCCCTTTGGTTGTACTGAAACTCTATTCTTACAGAAATTACCAGATTAAAAATAAACCCAAACCCTAAAGAGCTAGGTATGGCTCATACTTAAATATTGTACGATGCACTTTGTATCAGAGGTAGACTATTGATAGTCTACATATACTGTATTATCATCTTGCTGAGTAGCATCAAAAGCAAGAGTCTCGAACATGGTGCCTGTGGAAAACACTCTTTCCAGTGCATTTTCCTGTCACTTTGCTCCTCACTGAAGTCTGATATTTGGGGGGAGTTGGTTTGTTGTGCAGGGTCTCCCAATAAACTGTAATTGAACAACCTGACTTTGCTGATGCATGACTGAACCCCACTCAAAAATAGTGACAGTCAGAAAGTGCCCTAAGTCTTTAGTACAACGGACCTGATTACCAACATGGATACAGCTGGGGGAATAAACCTGCGTGAGAGGAAATATCCTCTGCTCAGTTTGATGGATGAATGATGAGCTTTGAAAGTTCATGTCTCAGACTGAAGCTTTGGGTATCACTCATCCACAGCAAAACGGAAAGGTAATTTTGGTTGCAAGTGTTTGCTAGGGTTGGGTCTAGCCTCCAGGTGGCAGTAGTCCCTCATCAGCACCACCCCAAATCTCAATCATCCACAGATCAAAGAGTTGTGAATATCACTGTGTTTCATGCCTCACTTGAGAGCTCAACTTACTAGAGTTATATACAATAAGGTTTCCCATAGAGAAAAGTGTTTGAAACCAAGAATACAAAGGGGAAACATAACCCACTACAGACTTATTCTGTGTATGACCCAATGAAACTAGTGAAAGTAGTCCAAGATGTTCCATGTAATTTAGGGGTCGGGGCTCTTTTTCAGACTGAGCGCCACATTCCCTTGTCGGGAACCTTCCAGGGGTCGCAATGATTGGCACTGCCAGAGGCAAAAGAAGGCAGAGCAGTGAATGTGACTCCTACCTTTGTACTGTAGGCTACCTTCCAGCCACACAAAGATCAGAGGTTTCTATATACACAAATACTTGTATCTTTCATCCTGGCAAGCAAGACAACGGCGACAACTTTTTCAGACTATTATATCGTTCTTTGTGCTACGTTTATTGGCTTGTTTGTAGTTGTTTTTTACTGTATTTATTTGAATAGTTTTATTTGTTACCCTAGAATCTTTTGATGATACGTATTTTAAATACAGTGGTGCCTCGCAAGACGAAAAGAATCCGTTCCGCGAGTCTCTTCGTCTTGCGGGTTTTTTCGTCTTGCGAAGCAAGCCCATTAGAGGTTTAGCTTAGCCGGCTTAAAGATCAGCTGATAAGCGGCTTAACGATCAGCTGATAAGCGGCTTAGCATCAGCTGTTAAGCGGCTTAAAGACCAGCTGATAAGCGGCTTAGCCATCAGCTGATAAGCGGCTTAGCCATCAGCTGATAAGCGGCTTAGCGGCTTGGGAAAAAGGGGGGGAAAGGAAAAAAACCCCGCAGGAACTCGCAAGACATTTTCGTCTTGCGAAGCAAGCACATAGGAAATTGCTTTATGGCTACTTCCAAAACGGAAAACCCTTTCGTCTAGCGGGTTTTCCGTCTTGCGAGGCATTCGTCTTGCGGGGCACCACTGTAAATAGCAACTCCATGCAAGCATATGACCTATGGGGAATGAAGCATTGTGGTCTGATGACTCTACCTTTTGGGGACAATGAAGTCATGGTGAATGCTATAAAACAGGTACATCCAACTCTCTAGAGACTGCGATCTACTCCCAGTAAGAAGGTAAAGGGACCCCTGACCATTAGGTCCAGTCGTGGCCGACTCTGGGGTTGTGTGCTCATCTCGCTTTATTGGCCAAGGGAGCTGGCGTACAGCTTCCGGGTCATGTGGCCAGCATGACTAAGCTGCTTCTGGCGAACCAGAGCAGAACACGGAAACGCCATTTACCTGCCCGCCGGAGAGGTACCTATTTATCTACTTGCACTTTGAGGTGCTTTTGAACTGCTAGATTGGCAGGAGTCTACTCCCAGTACTGTATAATAAAACTGGCAGTGGTCTACCCACTGTCATTATTGCCCAGAGTTGTTGAGCTTTTTTGGGGGAAGATTACATAAAAACGATCACAACACAGTACGCTGTCCTCCCTCCTTACAACACTCTGATGCCAATGCAGGAAATACTAGCTTTCAAGGGGGCACAGCGCACCGTGATCGATCAGGAGCACACACGCGATCACTTTTCTTAATCCCACGATCGACCTGGAGCACACTGCCAATCTGCCTGTCGGTCGTGCTCGACCAGTTGAACATGTCTGCTATAACAGAATTCAGTCTCCCACCCTGCTTCCTAGGAAGGTCATTCTTCCTTTTTGTTCTTCCATTAATGGGATTGGCTGTGCTCTGCCACTACAGGCAGAGGCAGGAATGCTTCTGAATACCAGTTACTGGAAACTGCAGGAGAGGAGAGTGCTGTCCTGCTTGGGTCCTGTTTGCAGGTTTCCCACAGGTATTGGCTTGGCCGTGGTGAGAACAGAATGCTGAACTCCATGGGCCATTGGCATCTTGCAGGCTCTTACGTTCTTATGTGGTTATGCAATATGCCATCATCATTTAACTATGAATTTAACAGCACAGTCATGGGCTTACCTACCTGTCTCATACTGAAGCCTTGAGTGCTGAGTGCAGTGATGGACACCTGTGCAGTGACCTTTTGAAAATGCCCCAGAGTGCTAGCTGACACAATCTACCCACGTAGAAAAAATTAATACTGTAATTACCTGTCTCCACATTGCCAAGAAGCCTAGGACATGAAGTGAGGAAAGCTGCTGCCTCTCCTTGCCCTGAGGCTGCTGCCCCTGCAGACAAGAGAGAGAGAGAGAAATGGGTTTGAAGCCGGTTCTCATCTCCACCTCTGCAAGTGGTTTCACACACTTCAAAGCTTGTCTTTCTGTCTGTCTGCATGCAGACCAGTTGCAGAGATGAAGGAGTGGAAGGCAATTATTTCAATAAAATTGTTCTGGATGCCACACCAATAAAAAACACTCCCATAGCCAGATTGATGCTTAAGCTATGTATTCAGGGCTGCAATCAGCAAAATTTAAATTTAATGTCTTTCAGTTGCCTCTGCTCTTTAGATGGCAATGTGTTTTACTTCACATGTTTACCAAAATGTAGTAAGCCAAACCTCCATTTGAGGGCCTCTTTCTGCTGGATTTCTGCCCCAAAGTCTTTCTATCTCGATGGTGGAAGAACATGTGTTTTGGGACAGAAGTGTTTTCCAGGGACTAATTAAGAGGTTTCTGTTTAGACAGTTCTATCTGACATAAAATGATTGCTGGGTTATTGTTGCTGTAGATTGCTGTATTTTGACTGCTGTTTTTTTAAAAAAAAATTAGCTTTGATATTTGTTTTATTGTGCATTTTTAAATTTATATAAGCTGCCATGAGAACCTGTTTACAGGTTAAAAAGTGGGATATAAAATTGTAAATAATTAAATTTTAACTAAATGTTACAGTGGTGGCTATGTTCTTCTACCTTCATTGTCAGAAGCAGTATTATTATCATTATTATTTTTTCACCCAAGGATCACAAGGCAGTTTACAATGTTGTATACCTCAGACTACCAGTTGCTGGGAATAAACAGCAAGTGTATTAGGCTAGTCACTGTCTCTCAGCCTGACCCACCTCATAGGGGCAGTTGTGAAGATAAAAAGGAGAGGGAGGGAACCACGTATGCCACCTTGAACTCCTTGGAGGAAAGGTAGAATATGAAGGTAATAATAAATAAATATGAATACCTACATACAAACAGGACCTTTCCACACTTACTATCTATTAAAAAACAGCTGCAACTCCAACCTGTTGAGCAACATTTACTGTCTGACTAAGCAGCTATGGGTTGTTAGTTAGAAGGAAAGCAGCAGACTGGTATTTTGTGTCCATGGACAAGCATTTACATGTGTGCATGCTAGAATCAAGATGGAATCATCTCCATATTCAGAAATTTAACTTCTACACCATAATCCTTCACACTGCAATCCGAAAGTAAGTCCTGTTGATTTCAGTGGGACTTAATGCCAGGTAAGTGTGTGCAGGATTGCAATCTTAGATACCCCAAAGGAGGAGCCTGAAACCTGAAATACTCCACAGACTGCATGGATGGCTTCCACAACATTTATTTTCTATGTTTATTGCATATACGGCCTAGGACCCTTGTACTTACGGGACTGCCTCTCCTGGTATGCCCCGTGGAGGACCTTACAGTCCACAAACAACAATGCTTTGGAGGTCCCAGGCCTCAAGGACCAGCACAAGTGGCCGGGCCTGGTGAAATTTTAATTCCTTACCCCTACGGTTATGATTCCTGGGTTCCCACTTAATTTTATTTTGATTTTAAATGTGATTTGAATTGTATTTTAAACTAATCATTTGATTTTGTGTTTTTAATGTATTTTAATGTATTTTATATATTTGGTCTATAAATTATTATTGTTATTATTATTTTAATGCATCAAATATATAACGTAGCATTGCATCGTTTTGAAATGTAAGCCACCTCACGACCCTTTTGAGGACTGATAGGTAGGGTAGAAATAATAAACAAATAATTTCCTCCCAAAGGCAAAATACGGACAAAATAGGCACCATTTCTTCTCCCAAGGGACAGGTAACAAAAATGAGGATTGTCCCTGCCTTGGTAAACAGGGATAGTTGTAGTGTTTTGCAAGCTGCAAAAGGGATCAATGGGGAAAGCAAGGAGCATGCATGTGTGATCTCATGTGTGCACATCTATGTCAGAAGCACTATCTACTATAACAACAGGCTCATGAAGGGGTTTGCCAACTTCAAACATGCCTTCCTCACAAGCGGTGGGCAAAGGCACATGTAGGGGTGTGACTAGTTTGGACATACCGGGAGCAGAGCTTCTGGGGCACCGCAGCAAGTGCCACAGCTATGAAGTCCAACTGAAGGTGAGAGGCGGGTGTGTGTGGATTTGGGCATTGCACAGGGCGCCACTGAAATCTGAGGTGCTAATCTGTTGTGACAGAGAACATTACATGTTGTATTTTAAGATAGCTACAAAAAAGCAACAACCCTCCATACACAATAATAATTGTTTGTTTCTTATACCAACATATCATCCTTTCCTGGAAAGGCAAAAAGTAATCCCATATATTCCACCAGCCTTATATGACATATCAGAAAGTTGAGAAATAATATAAAGGGCTCTCACATACAGGAGGTCCTGTTTAGCTATGTTGTCGTCTTCTTCTTCTTCTTCTTCTTCTTCTTCTTCTTCTTCTTCTTCTTCTTCTTCTTCTTCTTGTGTTTTCCCCCCAGGCCAGCTCTTCCAACATTAAAACAAGATGCAATTTTGAAAATGTCGGTGTGTCCATGAATATGAAATGAGAGAAGATATGTCTGCCTTTCCCAACATGGAATCCTCCAGATGTTTTGTGACCAGCCAGCAAGAGAGCACCAGGTTGAGGAATGCTGGAATAACTTAACTGAGAAAAATCGTAACTTCCAAAAGCATTCCTGAAGTCCAAAGCAAAAGGGGGGGAAAGATGTATTAATATCTTTCTTTGCTATTCTTTTTCCATGTTATTTCCATTCATTTGTGTTATTAACTCACCAGGGCGCTCCTGTGCCTTTAAAAGGTAGCGAGAGAAGCCAAGAAGAAGCTGATTCATCTGATCTAGTCACATTCTTAGGAATCCTGGGGGCTTTGTGCACGGTTATGAGGGCAAGCGCCATGTGGGTGGCCAAGTTTCCCCCTCAGGACCTGAATTCCAACAAGAAATATGGGGAGTAGTTGAACTATGTTATACAACAGGATCAGCCAGAGGCACTGTGTTCAGCAGTCATGGTGAACAGTCCTTCTAAAAAGATATAATAAACAAAAGGGCAGCGTCTCTGTGTGAGGGTTCTCTTTATTTACATCAGGAGTGGGCAATACGTGAGCCTAGCATTGCATGTGGCCCTCAGTTCAATTTAATGTGGCCCTTGGCTTAATATCAAAGGCCTGCTGCAAGAAGATGGTTCAGATCTCTGGCAAGAGAGACTCTTATACCACAGTCTGCTGGGAAGGAAGGAAGGAAGGAAGGAAGGAAGGAAGGAAGGAAGGAAGGAAGGAGAAACAAGAGAGGGGTGAATGCGGGAATGCAGCTTTCTATTTAAGAATCCTTTCTTTTTTCCTATTATTATTATTATTTATTTGCTAATTTAATGAAGAAAAAAATAAGCCACAATCAGTTCACATTCTGAATACAATAACCAGCATTGTTTACATTTTGGTTAAACATATAAGCTAAAATAAGCCCTCCAAATATCCAGCAAGGTATCCACAAAAAATTGACATCAATATGAAATATGTTCTATTGTGGCCAGTGCCATGAGATCCTCAGAACGTTGTGTAATAGATGGTGGGTATTTATCTTTCCAGGCTCAAAAGTAAAAGTCTCTTAGCAACCATAAGGGCTTGCGAAATTCACATCTAAATATAATTTAAAAGTACATGAACATCTGAAAATATTGATGATTTCGCCACTACAAAATTGATGTGAATAACAACTTCGGACCAAAAAGAAGATATCACTGGAGAAGCCCATACCATGTTCCTCACTGAGGCATTCTTAGTATTGCATGGTCGACATTTACCGTATTTTTCTGTCTATAAGATGCCCCCATGTATAAGATACCCCCATTTGGGGGGACTCCAATTTAAGAAAATCCACCCTTGGCACTATCCATGTATAAGATGCCCCCAAATTTTTGCCATTATTTTTTAGGGGGAAAAACTAGTCTTATACAGTACATGGAAAAATAACTGTAACTGTAGAATTCTTTCTAAGCATGCCTTTAAATATTTTCTAATTATATGTGCCAAATAACTGAAGGAGGAAGGTACATTGAATGCACTTATGTCTAAAAAGAGAACACATTTTTAAATTTTCATTCTAGTTTGTGTGGTTTTCTCAAGTCTGTAAATAAGCAGGATGTAAATTTATAATCCACCGTTTTGTTTTCTCACATTACAGATATGAAGGAGATTATGTCCATCAAATCCTGTGTGACATTCAATGATAAGAATTTCTCATGCCTATCTCATCGGTCCACATGGCAATAGAGGACAACCAGTGACTGGCCTGCTTGAAATGAGAATGTAGCCTGTCTTCCCTTGACATGTTTGATTAACCCTTCATTGATTAACCCTTGGTGGAGGTGGCAGGCAGAGGCTAGGACTTAGTACGTATAGTATCTGAGACATGCTACAGAGCTTGAATTCATATGTAATGAAGAAGAATAACTCTCAGTTCCCTCAATTTCTCACCCTCAACCGTAACCCTGCAGAAAGCCATCTAATTAGATTTTAATTTGATCCTGACTTGTTTTTAGGAGGTAATTATTGTTTGATTGTATATTAATGTTATATATTTGATGTTAGCCGCCCTGAGCCCGGTTTAGGCCGGGGAGGGCGGAATACAAATAAAAATGGTTGTTTCTATATATATATTTATTTAGTATCATTATTATTATTATCATCATCATCCTAAATCTAGTTCACATTTCTGCAGCAGTTTGCAAACCAGTAAAAATAATCCTCATGAAAACATATCAGCATTTTAGCGCAAATTCATCCTAATAAACACATCTTAATGCAGTTTTGAATACTATACACATTTTTGTAATCAATTTCCCCTGACACAATGCATGTATGTTATTTTCACTAATATATGCATTTATATGCACACTTTACCCTAGCATATGAATTTTTGTACACATTAGTTGGCAGGAGAAGTGCATTGCAAAATTCAGAGAATGTGGTATTTCCGCCAGAGAGCACACTATTTATGTTGGTGTTTACTGTGTGGATTGTGGCTGTGCCATAGCCACAAGCAATCATCAGATATATCTTGCAATGTAATAACTGACAATGACCCACTTCTCCCCCTCCCCACCCTACATGTTCTCATCATTGTGAAATGTATGTTTTAAAAAAAATCTGGAGGCTATGCATTGTAACACTATACAATGTTAGCATAAGGGTGCTCATCTGGTGGTTATTATTTTTAAGTGGTGAATTGCAACAATGCCAGCACTGTTTGAAGAACCTTTGGTTAGGTTTAATTTTATTTTCCAGTTATTTGAAGGTTCAGTGTTCCCTTTACCTTCCACTGGAGTGCTCAATTAAATCAGATTGTTGTTGGGTTTTCTTAAAGCAGCAATGCACTGCCTCTTGTCATTAAATGAACATACGATTTCACACGTGTGCCTCCAGCTTGTATATTTTGTGGGAAGAATTCAAGCACACAACGGAAATTTAGCTTTGCACAATTCAAGTGGAATAACGTGCTCTGTCACCCTATTGCAACAAGCACACTTAGACTTTTTGTGGTTTGGAAGGTGATGGGGAAAGACACTGAAAAGCATGGGGTGAATAAATGATTGATAGGAAATAGGAATGGAGGAGAAATTGCATTCAGTTTGCATTTAAAAACAAACTTGCCGAATTCACGCTCTCTGAAAGAGGATGTGAACCACAACAGAGCCATCCTTCAAAATGCACACTTTTCTCAGGCATGGGGAGATGAGCAGCAAAAACCCATTAGGGGTACAGTCATACCTTGGGTTGAAGTGGCTTCGGGTTGAGCATTTTCGGGTTGCGCTCCACGGCAACCCGAAAGTAACGAAGTGCGTTACTTCCGGGTTTCGCTGCACGCGCATGTGCGGAAGCGGTGAATCGCGACCTGCGCACGTGCAGACGCGGGTTGCGTTCGCTTCAGGATGCGAACAGGGCTCCGGAACGGATCCCGTTCGCATCCAGAGGTACCACTGTATTTGAGTTAGTGGCTCTGGCAATAGGTCCAGGGGGAATTGTGGGAAGAAGCAGTGGTCCACCAGTTACCTTAGGTTACATTACCATAGGCAGTGCTTTTTTGTGGTGGGGAACACAGGGGTACGCATACCTCTAAACATTTTGTGAATCTAAGTTTGGCCTCATTGAAGGGCAGTATTTCAATATGAGTAGGGAAATGAGAGTATCCCTAAACATATATTTAAAAAAAGCAAAAACAAAAAACCACTGACCTTAGGTAACCAAAAGGCTGCCAGCAGCCCTTTGAGGTGGGCTGCTATTTCCCCATTTTAAAAGATGAGGAACAGAGAGGCTCGCAACCCTCTCCCTCAGGCCTAGACGCCCCTTTCAACAACACTTTACTGATTGTGAGAACAAGATTGTTGGTGTCGCAACGCCAAGAGCCACTTTCAGCCTTGCCCGGCACAGTTCCCTGGTGCCTCCTTAAGAACGAGGAGAAAGGGGCGGGCAGATTCTTTCTAACCAGATTCAACTCCTCCCGCTAGTTAATCCACCTTCCTTACAAGGCTACTGCTAGAAGCTGGCTTTCCCCTCCCTTTGAAAAAGAGCAGAGCCAGAGCTGACAGCGGCAGAGGAGGCTGCAAGAAGAGCGGGACCGTGGCTCCAGGTCTTTTGGAAGAAGCAAGTGCAGCGTGGCTTCACCAGCTCAGCATCCTTATAGTCTCTGTGCAGCCCAGGCCCTGGAGAAAGGGGCAAGTTCTTCCCAAGGAAAATACAAAAACATACGAAGCCAATCTGCAGATAATTGTGGGTGGAAATGCTCTGGAAAGGTAAATGGCTTTATAAAGCTGAAAAACTTGATGGTTTGGATTTATTTGCTGTTTCCTTTCCTCATGCCCTACTTAGAATAGGCCATCCCATCCGAGGACTCCTGTTGCTGATGTGTGTACCTTGCTAGGTTTCTAACTTCTGAGCAAAAAGTTGCATTGTTGGTTAACCTGTATTTCCCGCCAAATCAGGTTCAAGCAGTTGTTTGATGCCCCAATGCTATTTCTGACCCTCATTTTAGGCCCTTGTGTCTCTCTGGGTGTGGAGTGGGTGGGATGCTTTGCTCTTGTCATTCAATGAATGCTTAGGGTTGTTCTGCTCATCCTGTTAGGGGACCGAAAAAAAATCTCAGTATGAAATAGGCTGGAAAAAGATGATGCAAATGGCACAGCTTGCTGCTAGAGACATTTAGGTAAATCCCAACTTGTTTTATGTCCTGCTGGAAACCTCTGTGGAACCTCTTGGTCCTCTTGTCAGGGTTTCGGCTGCTTCTGCTGTCAGGCCATTGGCCAGTCTTGGTCCAGTTATTTACAGAATCCCAGGCAGTGGTCTTTCCACCAGGAATTGAATCTTTGTGCACATGGGGTGTGTGCTCTGACTGCTGCTGAGCTATGCTGGTCTTTCCATTGATGTTCTCTGTGTCAAGCCAGAATTTCATTTTGTAAATAAATTCTATTAAGGTTTATAGAGGAAAAATGCAAAACATAATCTCTCTCCCCCCCCCTTTTTTAAACCAAACTGTCAAGCCAGAATTTCAGATCTTCTCTATGAGTTGTTTTGTTAGGGATGTGCTAAATCAAGGCTCGGGGCTGGGAGTTAGTTACCAGACACAACTGGAGAGGTTTATTTGCAGCTCTGTGATTTTTAAATTAATAACATCTGTGAGACAACATTGATGCAATAATAATGTCTTCTTACTTAAGATCAAGAATTTGGTGTGCCTATCGCACCAAACAAAAACCCTTTCGAGGTTTCTGTGTTCCGTCTGTCTGTCTGTCTCATACATGCCCAGAGGATAAAGTCTGGGGTGACGGTTCTTGTTCTGTGAAGAAGCCAAGGGAGACAGCTTGTTGAGATCCTTATTTCTCAGCCAGCCATATTTTGGTTGAGTGGATGATGTGATTTGGTGTGCACATTTTTTTTGCTGTTTTCACTGCCACTGGGATTTTGTATTCTTTGGTGGTTACTTTATTATTCTCTGGCACAAAAAAACAACAATACAAGATGGGAGTATCTGTCTTTGAACATTCAAGATTCTCACCAAATTTAACGTCTGCTGTGCTAATTCTTAAAGTGGGCTAGTGGGTCTGTAAGAAATAGCATTAGATTTGTAAAAATTCTGCCAGCATCCCCCCTTGCTCTGGTAGATGTCCTGCACCTTACAAGATGTGATTTGTGTTCTGGGGTGTTTACTTTTGCTTTTATTTTTGCAAGAATCACTAAAGCACCAATGTTTGCGTAGGGCCCCTTTGAACACAGGGGAACTTCCTTTGAGTAAAAAATGCATAAGGTTGTGATGTGATTCCGTTTCCAGCATAAATGGTGTTAAGTATTAAAATACAACATCGCAATGAGATTTGGATGCCTGGGTATTCCTTTTGTGCACTTTTTTTAAGTTCATGGATTTTTTCAATGTTCTTTATCAACCAGGCAGCCCCAAAGAGCATTCGTGGCAAGAGCTGCAGTGAATCAGGATCATAGTGAACCACTGGCCAGCTGTAGATTTCCCTGGAGGCATCCTACTACCAGCTCATTCCTCATGACTGCTCCACCCTCCCTGCTTGGGGCTAGGTGATGAAGATGGAGGTTCTGCGCCGCTCTTCTGTCTTTGCTGCAGAAGTCATGGAAGTGTTTGATCGGACTCCTACAGACAAGGAGCTTGTATCGCAGGCCAAAGTGCTCTGCAGAGACTTCATTCACTCCAGGCTGATTCGGGCTGGAATTGGCTGGAACAAGCCTGAGCAAAGCACACCTGTTCCTGGTGGCAAGTTAGCAGAAGTGTCCAACATACTTCTAAGATTAGGTAAGTGCTGAAACTGTCAGTGCCTCTGTGAGGGTGGCAGGTTGGATTCCTGGGATTTCTGCCTGGATCAGGAGGAAGATGCTGTTGAGTGAAAGGCTCGGCAAACAAATCCCCCGCAGTCGTGCTAATTTCTGGTAGGGCATCCAGGTGAAGGGTGTTTGGTCATATTTCTCTAAAACTGCTCATGCCTGTAGAATCAGAAGTGTGTGGTATGCTCAGCCCAGACTTCTGGACCTCCTCATTGCCCATGAGTGCTTGGAAAAAAAAGTGATGACAATATGTGAACAGACATAGTTTTAACTGTGAGTCCACTGGGGAAGTGAACTCGTTGCAGTTTAGACATTGTGGGATACAAATTTTAAACATCATCAGCATCAGAAACATATATATCATCTTCCTAGGATTGAGCATAGGCGAAATTTGTTTTCCTTGTTTGCATCACTGATTGGCCATCCAGTATGCATTTATAAAGCCACTTCCTCTGTTCATAAAGCAGGGCTGTGCACAGAGCTGATTGGCTGGTCTTTGTGTCAATCATGCAGTCATCACTACCCTTTCTCAGGGCACATTTAAATATAAACTTTTTAAAAAGGTAGAAAGAAAGCAAGCCCCAACAAACAATCAAATAGCTCTGCAAATAATTAAAAAACAAAAATACGCCCCCTTGGAACAAGGGGAAGGGTGGAAGTAACAATCAGCCTACTCTTTGGAACTTGACATGTGTGTCCATTTGAGGAAGGAAGGATGGGAGCAGATAGAGTTCACTCTGCTGCGCCCTCTGTTGTTCTCAGGTACAATAACATTTCATTAGTCTAGTTCAGAGGTATAACTATATGCCCTCCAGATGTTGTGGACTATAACTCCCATCAGCCTCGATTAGTATAGTCAATGGGTGTTTTAGTCTGCAACTTGGGGTGTTACCATGTCGGCTACCCATGCTCCAGTTGCACTAGTCTATAGAATCTGGCTCAAGATAGTATCATTCTGGTCGAACATTTTGCTGTGCTCAAAATTTTTTAACCAGGGACAAAGGAAATACATGTGCACATCATAAGCAATGATGCCACTATCATACCCTGAAAAATAATTGCTGCCTATAAGATGAGACTTTTTGAGGCTAGAATCCCTTCTGGCATTTGCTTAGCAACCTGCCCATAATAGATTAGTGTTGCATCTTCATTTGTGAACAGTAAACTTGTGCTTTCAGTTGCCCTCGATTATGACAGATGGTGAGCATAAGGGATGCTGAAATAAGATTTCTACTCAGTTGCAAGAATCTTCTGTGGTCAGAATAGTTGCACCCCACTTTTCCAAAGCACTGCAGGCAATCAGCTGTCATTCGGCTTTATATTGTGAAAACATCATGTGGGATTATAGTACCAGGGACAGACCTCAGTAACAGCACCCTATGTAAGGCCAAAATTTGAGATGCCCTCCCATCTCCTTCCCAAAGCTGGCTAAGCACTAACTAGGCATGGGGAAGGAGGTGGGAAGACTCTGGGACCCTGTCAGCTCTCATGCCTCCTTCCTGAAGCAAGTGCTTACTAGGCTTTGGGAAAGAGGCAGGAAGGCGCCCCCTCAGCTCAGCACCCTGTTCTGGGTAACCGGTTGTGCCACCCTAAATCCGCCTCTGATAGTACTAGTTATACATCTCTTTTCTCTCTGTCATTTGGCTTTGGTATCGCTGTTGACACTTGCCAAGTCAGTACTTGAAGAGCCAATTTCTTGGCTAAGGAGATTTGTACGAAGATGGGAATTTGTTCTGGCATTTTTGCTTGTTCAGATTTTTTACAGCAATAAATAGCAGCATACTGTGCACTTATGGTATTTAGTTATATAACTGAAAGACCCGAATGGCCTACCTTTGCAATGTTTTGGTATCTTGATATTCTGGAGAGGAATAGTTCAATGCTGTGGGGTTCTGTCGTACACAAAGTGTTTATTAGAAAAAGTAGGCTTCTTTATTTGTCAAATGTTTTTTAAAAAGATGACACCTTTGAGAACCTCTGACAAGCTTCTGAAATGTTGTCACAGGGAGCCTCCATAAGCCAAATGCTTTTGTTGTTGTTTAGTCGTTTAGTCGTGTCCGACTCTTCATGACTCCATGGACCAGAGCACGCCTGTCTTCCACTGCCTCCCGCAGCTTGGTCAAACTCATGTTCATAGCTTCGAGAACACTATCCAACCATCTCGTCTTCTGTCGTCCTCTTCTCCTTGTGCCCTCAATCCCCTCCATATCCCACTGTCTCCTCCATCTACAAGAATGAGAGAGAGAAGGCATCAAAGCCTTCCCTAAAAAGGACAAATTAAACATTTTTGTTTGCTCAAGGTTATTTGAGTATGCAGCTTTGGCATATTTATGAAGAGGTTATACACATCACTGATAATGATACCATCAAAAGGCAGTGGGAACACCAGTCTTAACAGCTGTCCTTTTAAAAGTCTGTTTCTGGACTTTTGTACAGCTGGTTTTAATCCACTTCTCATTCGTTGCTTTCAAAGTCTTCCCTTCAGGCTGAGACCTTGGAGCATAATGTAGACTTCCTTGTAGAGGTGATCCCATCAGTTTTTAGTTCTTTTCAGAACTGTTCATCTCCAGTGGGGCTTGTATTCCTTTTTATTTGGGTCATTCCTTTGCCTTCTTGCTGTTCTCTCCATCAACTGCCTTTGCTCTTTATTCTCTCCCTGTTGCTCTTTCTACACTTTGTGTGTGTGTGTGTGTGTGTGTGTGTGTGTGTGTGTATTTACTGCCTCCCATTCAATTTCCCTCCAAGACTGAGCCCACAGTGTGGGACTTGCATCCTTTAGATACGCGGGTGGCAGTGAGTGTTTCAGAAAGCCAGTGCAAGTGCTGTGGTGCGAATCTTTGGCAATTGTCCTGGCTGCTAACGTTTTGAGTAGGATTTGGCTTATGGGTACAATAACTTGGCATTCCATCTAAGCAATGTGGCTTGAAATCAAAACATTCATAGAAGGCTTGAGGGAAACACCCCCTCCCCTCCCCACCCCCTACTGAGCCTTTCTTTTCCTTCTGCTGTAAACAACCCTATATGGTTACGGAAGCCATGCTGTATTCATGCTCTTTCTCAACAATGTGTACGAAATATGGTGGCCCTAAGCTTTTGTAGCCCGTGCCAAGTGGTGCAACAAGTCTGACTCGTTCCAGCTTTGGTGAGAGCGACTGGGGAACACCTTGTGTGTCTGGAGTTCCTATCAAATTTTTGAATGGATGTCTTAATTCTCAGTGAACAGAAGGGCAATTACTTGGAACCAGTCCAGTGCTGAAGCATAGGCAAAGAGACATAATATAGGTGCAATAGCTTAGGTGTAGGCCTATCTCCCCAGTGAATCTCCTTATAAATGTCACAGTACTGGCTATACTTCTGGGAGGGAAAAGCTCAACAGATCTTGAAGTGAGCATGCTATTCTTTCCCATACCTTATGCATAAGAATGTCCATGTTTACCTGTTATCATAATTTATAGACACCGGTCCTTCATTACGCAGTAATCGCACGGCAGTTTCTAACATGCTGTACATCAGTTGTGGGGAACCTTGGCCCTCCAGCTGTTTCTGGACTACAACTCCCATCAGCTTCCACAGGCATGGCCAAGGATGATGTGAGGTGTAGTTCAGAAACATCTGGAGGGCCAAAGTTTCCTCACACCTGAAAGAGAAGAAGAGCAGATCAAAAGCCTTATCTAGTCCAGCACTCTGTTTCCTACAGTGGATAACCAAAAATGTGTCTTGCAAACCCTATAAGCAGGACATATGGGCAATTGCCCCCTCTCAGTGTAACTCTCAGGCAGAAGGGAAGGCACCTGCATTTTCCAGAGCTGTTACACTAACAGTCATAGCTGGCAAGAGTCCCTCACTGTGGATTATTATAGGCAGATGTCAGCAAGCGTACACGGCAACAAAAGCTTTTGTTTTGCATACTTTCCCAGGCAAGTTGAGAGATTTCCAGGGCATACTTAAAAGGACATTGAGTCTGAGCTCTTTGGTCACACATAGATTTGTATAAAGGTATTGCAGTATGGGCAGTTTCATTTGTCAATCCCTTTCCTAGAGAACTCTGACATGGAGCTTGCCTTTCTCTTTGCAACTACCACACAGCAATGGGGGAGAATTCCAAGTCCATTTGCACTGAAAGGCAAACCCACTTTCTGAAACAATATGAAAATTGAAATGTCATCGTTCTTCAAAATTTGCACTTCTCCAAATTCTGCAGCGCAGTTCTCCTGCAAAGTAATGTGCACAGAAATGCATATACTGGGGTAAAGTGTCCATAAAAATGAATTTATTTCAGGGGGAAATGCCTTGCAAAAATGTGTATATCAGGCAAAATTACATACAGAAGTCTACATCAGGAGAATTTTGCACTAAAATGCTGGTGAATTTTCAAGATATTTTTTTTCCAGTTCACAAATTGATGTGGAAATATGGAGAACTGAGCTTCAGATTGGAAAGTTGATAACCTGAGAGAAACAATAATTGGCAGATATACCCATACTTAGACCACATACTGACTTGACGTTTTCACTTCTCTAACCGCTATGACCTCAATATCTCTTTACTGGATGGTCACTACAAGTTCAGGCCCCATCAGTGTATATATGTGAAATTAGGATTATTATTATTTTGGCTCAATGTATGCCACTTTACACTTGCACTCAACAGCATTTTCCATTTCACTGGCCACTTACGCAGTTTGAAGAGATGCTTTTGGAGCGCTTTGCAGTCTATTTTATCATTCATCTATGTCCTTGAGGAGGAGTGGGCAACTTTTTTCTGCCAAGGGCCACACTCTTTTGTGGGTAATCTGTTGAGGGCCACATATCAGAAGTGGGGGCAGAGCCAAAGGTGGATTGAACCACTCCCACCACTCCTCTCTCTCTCTCTCTCTCTCTCTCTCTCTCTCTCTCTCTCTCTTCTTGCACCATGTTATTCACCTGCCCACTCGCTTTGTAGACTAATGGGGTGAAGACTCCAGAAAAGGGGGAGTCATGCTAACTGTTAGACACATTAATGTGTTTGAAATCTCAGCCATACAAGTAATACATATTTTTCTTTTTCTTTTTTTTTAAATATTTTATTAAGGATTTTCTTGTTTTACAGAAGTGTAGTGCCTCGTATTTTTTTTTTCATGTAACATTTTTACAAATCCGTTTCATTTGTTGAGGCATTAGGGGGAGAAGAAAAAAGAAAGAAAAGGGGGGTGGAGAGAGGGAAGATGGATGGGGGTGGGGTCGGGTGGCGGTGTTTCTATTATGTTTAATGTATGTAGAGTTTGGTGTCAGCGTTGCTTGTGTTGTTCACTTGTGTTCCTTTGGTGGTGAGAGAGGTTGGGGTTGGCCTAGGGTGTGATTGTTTGCTTGTGATTGGCTGTGGTGATCTTTGTTTTCGTGTGTGAGTGAGGTGGGTGGGTGTTTTGGATCAGGTTAGCCATATTGATTTGTATGCTGTTGGTGGATTATTGTCATTGTCCTGTTGGGCTGTGTATGTGATAAAAAGGCCAGTGATCATGTGAGCGTTATGCCATGGTGTAGCTGCTTGTGTGCTCATACAGGAGGGGAAACCACAGGAGCCTTTACTCCAACCAATTTGCAGCGTTGCTAATGTAGAACAAACCTTTACTAATTTACACTATGCGCTATTCTTCCTTCACATGCAATGTGCTTCTCTGCTGGGAAGCAGCTGTCCTCAACTTCCTCCCTTCTTTGCCATATCTCAGAAGGAATCCCCCATTCCTAGTGCAGAGAGCTCCCCTCCCTCACCAGTGGGTAATGTTCCCTCTTATCAGGCTTGTGCATATATAAACCACGTTTCCTTTCTGTTTTTGTCAGATAACATGGAACAATCCAGCCCTTCAGAGGGTCAAATGTTTTCCTTGCAGGTTTCTCCAAAAACTTGGCTTTTAAAAAAAATCTGTTTAAATGCTGACTTAATTGAGAGTCCCAGATGGTTGCATGAATGGCAAATAATCAACACTTTTTACTGTCCTTAATGAGACTAAATGAATGCAGTGCTGTGGCTAGTTACATATGAGCAGAGCCGTAGCTAGGTGATCTTGCGCCCCTGGCAGAACCGTCCAGCTTCCGCCTCCTAGCTATGGACAAATAAGCTCTTTCCACCACTTCTCCAACCCCACCCCCCATTCAATTCACCCTCTATTTAAAACCTTTTCTTAGGAGGCAATAATCAATATTTTTATTTATGGACAAAATTTTAGCAGATTTTGCGCCCCCCCCCGTCTGTGCCCCTGGCAGGGGCCCACCTCACCACCCGCTAGCTACGGCCCTACATATGAGTCATGGGGCCCAGGCACAAATTGGCTTTTGAGCAAATAAAGATGGCTAGCTAGTCATCCTTATTTGGTCAGAAGTAATTAGCTGAGAAGCTAATGCAAAGGAGCTGAGGCTCATCCTCTACACACACACACACACACACACACACACACACACACACCAGATTCACCCTATCCCTGAATGAATGCAGTTCCATCTACACAGTACTAATGTCTACATCATGACAACCTTGTCATTATTTTAGCCTCACAGTCACCTGGCAAGGTAGATTAGGCTGATAGAGATGGTGACTGGACCAAGGCCTGCACCATGCTCCTGTGTGTAAGATTAGTTAAGAGATGTCCTCCAACTGCTTGCTAATATTTGTGCAATATCTGGCGCAATATCCAGTAGATGCTATTACACAGGCACATTCCACAAAGCATCCACAAGCGCAGCTTCCCTTCATGATACAAACAGATGGTGTCAGGGGAAGATGCTGTATTATTATCATTATCATTATCATTATCATTATTAATATACTGTCTTATACCCAGAGGTCTCAGGGCAGTTCACAGAGCAAAATCAAAATATAAAACCACAAAATATATAGTCAAAATAAAGACAACAATCCAATAACCACCACCCCAAAAAACCCCACATTTTAAAAGGGCATAGGGTGTTAATCAAATCAGTTAACTGGCGTATCCTGCAACTGAAGCACAGTCTAGAGGAAATGTGCAGAGAAAGTATACAATCAAGGAGAAACAAATATGTGTCCGTCCTCCATTTGCCTAGTAAAACTGCTTTGCAGAAAAGCCCTAGAACTATAAGCAGGACTGTGTACTGGTCTAGCACAAACACATTTGGGACTACGTTTATTATTTATATCCCTGTTTGCATTTTGAAAGCCCAAGTAAAGGAGTGGTCATAAAGTAGCTGCAAGCATGAGGCTGTGTAACAAGAGAATAATTAGACACAACTATTCGTCTATCAGGCTCAGTGTGGTCTACACTGATTGGCAGCAGCTCTCCATGGTTTCACACTTGCCCAGCCGTACCAGGAGCTGTTGGGGATTGAACGTGAGACCTTCTGCATGCAACAAAGACCCTCTGCCACTGGGATACAGCTGTTCCCAGGATTTGCAAGACTCCTGGAGGATTCTGTTAAGTTCATGTGTCTTGACAACTTACACCTGACTATTCTCTCTGGCCACTTTCCAATCTCTTGTGTTTTATAATGGGTGTGACTTTTCCTGTTTGACGTCCTCGCACACTTCTGGGAAAAGGATACAAAAACAAGAAAAATGCTTGGCACACTTGATGCTTGCTGGTCTTGAGATCGCAAGCCAATGAAGGATCTTGTGGGCAAGGGAAGACTATTCCAAGTCTAAATATCTCATGTCATTATTCGTGGGAAATACTGGTGACATATTTAATCTGCCTTATTTATGTTTCACAGCTTCAGGCAGGCCTTGTACTACTTCTGTCATGTCCCAGCCCATAAAATACCTTCTTTGATAGATGGCTGACAAGGAGTTGAAAAGGGGTTGTCCCATGGAAGCTATGAGATACTGTCGGTGTCTCATTGCTGAGCAGCAACGTGCAGAGCTCAGTGGAGTGGGAGGCCAGCCAACCAGAAGAGTCTCTGAGCTGCACTTGCCTGGAGGCAGAGTCAGCATCCAAGGTCAGGTCCAGTCCTAGGGTCGGGCAAACAGCAATCTGCATAGTCAGACGGTTCAGGAGTCAGGAAATCCAATGATCATGGGGTCAAGGGTCAAGACGAACAGGAAGCAGGAAGGTAGGGCCAAGAACTACAGGCATTGTTAGCAGCACCTGACTGCTGCTGGAAGCTCTGCTTAAGAAGGCTGAAGCCAGCTGGTTCTCATCAGTGCCTTCTCCTCTGTGTCCTTGCAGGCTGATCAGCTGCAGGTGGAGTCACTCCGCCTTCTTCCCCTTCAGGTTGCTGTTCAGTAGGCAAAGCTGACTCCTGGCCCATGGCATCCACAATATTGCCTAGGCCACATTTTTCCAGGGGCTGGGGGAACAGAACCTTTTATCTAACCCTCTCTGAGATAATACAAGAATACCATGCACACAGGTGGTGTAGTGACAATAAAGGTTTATTATTATTTATTATTATCTTTAAAAGACACTCTGAAGATCCTGAAACCAAATGTGATCAGAGAATGACTTGATTTATTGATTCATTTAAAGCATTTGCTGTCTTCAGTCCAGAAAGGATTTTCAGAATGCTTGACAGGAGGATCTAAAATATATATATGCATACAGTTTAGCAACCCAGCACAAAAAGCCCATTTCTTTTATTCTGCTGCACCATCATTTTTCGAAACAGCAACTAATGTGACTTCTATTTGTTTCTGTGCACAATCTAAAGTGCTTGTTTTGGCACGTAATATTTCGAATTAGGATCCAGGTATTGAAAACTTGCTCCCATATGAACAGGGCTTCCCCCCCCCCCCCAGTTTCGGCACCTCTCTGATGGGTGCCCTTACCATTCTGAGAGAACGAGGGATGTGTTTATGGTGAGTTCCTGCACCTCTTTTTCTAGAGAATAGCATACAGACCTCCTTATTCACTGTTGGCCTGTTACTGTGGGGCCATTAGAAATCTGGCCAGTGGAAATCCGAGAGCAAGCCATTTCCGTAGTGCATGCTGAACACCACCCCCAGTGCCAGGAATCCATGTGGTTAACCATGTGGTGCTTAATTAATAGTATTTGTGTGTTTTCAGCTGTTAGCTCCTGTCAGGTATTCTACTGTTTAGTTGTGTTTTTAGACACTTTTAGACACTTGTATTGTGTTTATTTGAAGTCAGGGCTTGGGGAACCTGTGGCACTCCAGATGTCTCCCATCATCCCTGATCATTGGCTATGCTGGCTGGGGATTATGGGAGTTGGAGTCCAACAACATCTGCAGTCTAGCTTTGGAATATCCTCCCCCTGGTGCCACAGGTTTCCTCACGCTTGTCTCGGGTGCCACAGATTCCCACCTTGGGAATATTAATTGAAAGGTGGGCTACAGATGTTTAAAAGAAGTCCTTGTTTTTGTTTGAATTGTGTGTGTTCTTTTTTCAGGTGATGAGCTGGAGTACATCAGGCCCAACCTGTACCGGAACGTGGCACGGCAGCTAAACATCTTGTTGCACTCGGAAACCGTGGTAACAGATGCCTTCCTGGCAGTGGCGACTCAGATCTTTACTTCAGGTGCTGTCCTGCAATCCACAGTGTGGGTGAGGGAAGGAGAGGGATGAGAAATGAAACAAAGCTAGGTGTGTAAGCACAGGCATGTTTCGGGTGAGCCTTTGGGTGGGGCCCACTTGGCAGAGGATGCTGGCTGTAAGTGGTTTGGCAGTGGATGCTGCACTAATGATTTAACACAAAGCCATGTTTGTTTACTCTTTCCTCCTATATCTCACCAGGTGAGGAGATGCTGTAGCCACTCCCCAGTTCTCTCCTCCCAGCAGGGGAATCCCTTGCTTTTGAGCTCGATCTCACTACACTCCCAGCAGTGACTGACTTTGTTACATTAAAAATACCTTTCTGTTTTTCTAGTTTCTTCCTCTTTTTGACTCTTGGGATTGGACACATTAATGGCTGCCAAGTTACTGCTTCAGTCTGGGGTACAACTGTGCACAAATGACTTTCCAAAATTCTCTGCCCTCAAAGTGAGCAGAGGAATTGGGATGACATGGACATAATTTTACCATATTTGTCTTGCGAGAGGAATAATTCTCTGACTGTTTCTCATAGCTAGGGCTTACTATTATCGGTAGTGGTAACACAGTTTCTTTATTTTACCCTAAAGGGATGTCACTCTTATCCATAAGATCGAACCCTCTATTTTGTTTGTTTTAATTCCTGTTTTTGTTTGTGTATGCTTTTATTTTATTGTTTTACAGTTTTGATTATATTGTTTATTGCTTTTATATTGTGCATTAACTTAAAAAATAACTTAATAAATTAACTTTAAAAAATAAGTAGCTTATAACAGCTACTAAATAAATAAATTAAATAATTTGGGGCTGCCCAAAGCTTATTTTGGCATGCAGATTCCCATTTTATTTAGGTATGCATTTATTTTATTTAAGGCATTTATATGTTGCTTAATCATGCCTGGTTGGTCACTGTGAGAACAGGATGCTGGACTAGATGAGCCTCCTTTGGCCTGACCCAGCATGGCTCCTCTTATGTTCTTATTAGTATTTCCACCTGTCAATTCATATTTCCAATTATTTGAAGGGAGTGACTTTTGTTAAAAAGAAAACATTGAACCAGCACTGCCTCACTCTGGGTATGGTGGCAATGGGTTTGGAGTTGCTTAAAGCTTATTCGGGGCTGGAAGCATCGTGTGTCCAAACACATTGTATGAAAGCAATGCTTTTGGAGAGAACACTGCTGCACTTGAAGGGGCCAGTTGCATATTGAAGTATATCATGGGTAAAGTAAAGGTAAAGGGATGCCTGGCCGACTCTGGGGTTGCGGCACTCATCTCTCTTTATTGGCCGAGGGAGCCGGCGTACAGCTTCCGGATCATGTGGCCAGCATGACTAAGCCGCTTCTGGCGAACCAGAGCAGTGCACAGAAACACTGTTTACCTTCCCACAGGAAGGTACCTATTTATCTACTTGCACTTTGACGAGCTTTCGAACTGCTAGGTTGGCAGGAGCAGGGACCAAGCAATGGGAGCTCACCCCGTCGTGGGGATTCGAACCGCTGACCTTCTGATCAGCAAGTCCTAGGCTCTATGGTTTAACCCACAGCGCCACCCGCGTCCCTTTATAGTGGGTAGCCCAATGCATATTGTGGGGTGTAGTGCACATAAGCGATTCCTTGTTAATGGATACATGGACAGCTCTGAAGTAAGACAGTAGAAATATGCTCCAACCCTGTTACTTCCTGTTGCTATCCCACCTCCAATAGTTGACAGACCAGGGGAATGTTCCAGGAATCTCTTCCCACCTGCTGGGCAATTCAGAGCCATCCGCTGAATGTGTTCTGAGCAGAAATGAAAGATGCAGTAGTCATTCAAAACAAACACTCTTGATTCAGGCTTATTTTCCATTCTCTGGTACAAAACACACTGACTCCTAGAAATGACTAGTATATCCCACCTCATTTGTAGTTAGTAGGGTGACCAGGGGTAAATGAGGACAGGATTGTTGCACCCTTAAGAGCTGTGTAGCAGAGGGAATTTCAGCAAGTGACAGAAGAGGTGCTTTCTTCTATATATTATTAAAGACTGAGAAGCTCAGAACTCTTTTGCATTGGGCAACCCTAGCTGTGAATCAAACGCGACCCATCTAGGCCTTTAAGAGCTGCTAGATGGAATCAAATCAATGTCATTTTTCTGAGGAGATGGTGGAGGCTTTGCTGGTAAAATGCAAGCAACAGTTAAACTTAAATGTTAAAAGTAGCAAAATAAAGAGCTTCAGTCGTGCCTCACCCAGACATTCCACTCTTCGAAGAAGAAAAATCAATGCCAGATCCAGCAATTAAGGATAGAAAGCAGCTGTAGTGAGCGCTTTCAGAAATTGGACTTCAATGTTAAAATTCTGCACTAATGAGATGTTTGATTTAGCACGCGCACGCACGCACACACACACACACACACACACTGCAAATAAAATAAAAACTGCTTTTCTTCCAGAAAATGGTTGTATGGGTAAAATTACAGTGCATATTACTTTGCATATTTATTCAGAAGTAAATCCCACTGTGTTCAGCTGGGCTTGCTCCTAGTTAAGTTGTTCTCTCCCTCCTGGTCGATCGTTTGGGAGCTTCAAAAGCTTTCTTCCGCCCGAACATCACAGTGACCGATGCCAACCGACACCAGCACACTTAGGGATCCACAGAGTTTGTGCATTTCGCGTGACAGACCTCAGCAACTCAGCATTTGGGCTAATCTACTTTATTTACATATAAACACACACGGAGGACTGCAACATGGCTCCCTCTCTCTCTAGCTTCAGACAGCAAAGAGAAAAAGAACAGAGGACAATAGTCCCACTTCACGGAACACAGTAACACAAACATCCTGTCTCCGTCACTTCCCACTCTGTGGAGTCAAAACATACACCGTCATGTGATAGACAACAATCCCATGACTGCAGTCATGCATCAGGAATTCTAACAGATAGAACTGTGGGTTTCATCTTGCAGGGGGCATAAAATTGACCAAGATGGTGACTTTTCAGATGGGAGAGGTTTTTACTCTGGTTCAAAACTGGATACAAAACACATGCATGTTGTGTCAGATACAAAGTGTATGTTACATACATGTCCTTTCTTTTTGGGCATGTGAAGAAGTTTCTTGATTACTCATTCTGGTGTTTAAAGGGTTGAGGATTGAAAAATATACATTTGTTTACTTCACATAGGATGAGTTTATGGTCCTTTGGCTGATTTCTGCTCTGTTGTCCACATAACTTCCTTTCAACTGCACCTGCTGTGCTCTATCACAGTACAGTCATCATCACCACCATTATTTTATTTGTATGCTGTCTTTCCATAGTTGAAACTATGCTCAAGGCAGCTCACAACATGACAAGATTTACATAATTACAAAAATAACAGAAGTCATAAACAAGAAATAAAACACATCAAAAAGTACACAACCAAATGGAAACAATTTCCATGTAAATCATAAGATCTAAAACTAAAGATACAACAAGAGTATAAATAACAGCAACAGCTCTCTCTCACACACACCCCGTAAACAGTACTCCAGCCCAAGAATCTGTTCAACAGCTTCAGCTTTTGTAGCTGGAGTCAGTCAGCACTCCACTCTCCCAGGCCAGATGGGAAAGGGCCAGCAAGGCAGGGTTCAGGTCTTCCAGGGTGCACAGCCAAGATGGTCTCATTTAAAACAACACAGATAAAAATTAAAAACAATTTAAAAGATCTGGAAGCCAAACATCTAATGGGGCTTCTGATTGGCTGCAGGAGCAGCCAATCAGAAGCAGCACTTTGGTTTTGGAAGTTGAACGGACTTCCAAGGTACAATTGTACAGCTAATCTGCTAGATTTATTTAAAGCATTATTGCCTTGCAGTTTAGCTGCAAGTCTTCTAGATGGTGATTCTTGAAAAAATATGAGTTACCTTGTGGTGCTATGCAAGGAAGGAACTAGAAAATAAAACGCTACATCCGTTACGCTTAGTCTGAATCCAGATAATTATTTTCTATGCCTCTGAATCCAACCGGCAGAATCATTGCTTTGGGCAAGGAACTAGAAACTATGAGCAAGAGAGTGTCCCTATTCAGCTCTCCAACTAGCAACAACAAATGCTTTTAACATGCTTTCAGCCACCCCAGATATATGGGTGTTGTTTAAAAGAAGAAAACTGATCTTTCTTTTCTTTTTCTGCCTCTTTCAATACATGTTAAATACATAGAGCTATGACTTCAAAAACACACTGATGATTTTGACTACAAGGTCAAGAGTGGCGACAGCCCTCTTCCTGTGTTTGTGCTATAAATCTCAAATATTGGGCTTGATTTCAAACATCCAATGAATGTCTGTGGGAGCTGCTTGCGTTGGAGTCCACAAAACTTTGGGTAAGGTTTTTGTTTAGTCTGGTCAGTCTTAAAACTGGCCATGTTGTTCATGCTGCTGCTGAATGAGAGCTTTCGCTGTGTGAAAGGACTCTCAACACAATAAAGCAAACTTCTTCAAAGCAGTTGGCCTAACTTAGCCCAGAGGAAAAGGCTTTTAAGTGGGTGCTTTTAGACAGCTGTGTATTGTGCCCTTGGGCAAGACAGAAATAGAAGCTGCCTGTCATGGTCCAAGGTTGTGCCAGGAACTGCCTCAGTCATCACTTGTGATGGAGGCTACTACTACTCCATCCAGTTGTCAGGTGAAATCTGGGCCTAAGGTGACCATGTTTCCTACTTGGGTCCTTTACTGGAAGGGCTTTTAGAGAACAGTTCTCTGTTTGAAGCTGCCCTTTGGTTGAAGGGCTGAGCAATTTAAAGATAAATAATCCTAAAAAGGGAGCAGGAGGCTTGAAATTGTCCATTAACAGTTAGTTCCTGGAAGACAAGAGTGAATAGGCATCAGGTGCACTAGGCAAGGGCATATCTGTTAATTTTGGTTTGTCTCAATTTCTCATTTCCTCAATCTTAAATTCAAATCTCCACATCAATTTGTGATTTAAAAAAAAGTCTTTATGAAACTTTGTCAGAATTTTAATTCAAATTTTTTTATTCTTTTTTTTTGCAATTTTGCCAAATATACAGATTTTAGCAAAGTGATTTCCCTTAATATAATGCTTTTTGTATGTTAGTTTCACTAATATAAACATTTTAATGCATGCTTTCCCCTAGTATACATATTTTTGTGCACAATATTTGGCTGGACTGCATTGCAAAATTCAGAGAAGTGTGAATTTCAAAGGATGGTTATGTTTTGATTTGTTTATTACTTTGGAAAATGCAAATTAGGTAGGTTCTCTTTAGATGTGAATGATATCAAATTTCTCCCCCATCCTGGTCATGGCCTGCCTCTCTATAGTGAGATGCCTTTTTCTTTAAATTAAAGTATTTCCCCTAAATTTGAATCTGAATATAATAAATTCAAATATGCAAATTGAAAATTTGATGCAAATCTGTGTCCCGTTGTCTTCTTCTTTTGGGTGGTGCATTCCCTCTTTTGCAGCAAACCACACATGCCCCCGGACCATGCCAGGTAATACTAATGCTGGATTTAGCAAGCTCTAGTTCTTAATTCAGGCACTGTCTGCCATGAATAGCAAGAAGGCATGGTCAAAGTATGCATGCTTTGTCTGTATAACGTTTGTTCCCTTTCTTATAAACCCACAAGCAACCCCCTTTTCGTAATCCAAGAGAGAAATTAGATTGAGTTCATATTTAATGGCAAATCAATCTAATTTGAACTTTCTGAAACAACATGGCAGCCTTCGAAATTCACATTCCTCAAAAATCTGGAACACAGGAGCCAGACATTTGCGGGGTGGGGTGGGGGGGAGAGAATTGTAAACTGATGTGGAAATGAGAACTAAATTTAACTTTGAGAAAAATAATCTGAGAGTCACCGAAATTGGCAGATTCACCCATCTCTAAATACAACTCATGAGAAGTTTGTTTGGGGGTCTGAATGGAGAGCTGTGTACTTTGATAATGAAGTTGGTAGACTTATTTGTTTAGCTAAGGGAAATGTGGTTTTCTGAGCTTGGAGACAGACCAGATACTTACCCTCACATGGCTTCCTGGCTGTTTTCCAGTACCTGGGAGGCCAGGGCAGGTGGTCTCCCTCCAGATTATTCACATTTGTTCTCTCTTCTGTGCTGTGCAGTATATTTACATATCTTGGCTTCACAGCTGGCTTCCATCTGGCATCTTTTAAAGCAGAAGAAGAGACAGCTTTTTTTGGTATTGCTTGCCAGCTTTGAAACAGATATTTGTTTTTAAATTCAGCTCTGCGATGTGGAGATGCATAGGGACAGCCCTCCCTCCTGCTGGTTTCTCCCCTCTGGTTTATTCCTCGCTTGCTTTTATTAGGATAACACATACGTAAATATAAATAAGTGGTGGTATTCTTAAGTGTCTCTGGAAATAACAGTTGTCTCTTGCCCAACTGGATTCTGAATTGGTGGCAATCTTTTTTAATTGGATGTGGATTGGTGCCTCTTGCTGTTTGTGGGCAGGCAAGAGCGGGAGGGGTTCAAAGGAACAGGCAAGCTGTCTATGTCACATCTGTGAGCTCCCAAATGCTGGTCAGACGCTGCCCTTGTACTGCAGAGTGTTGTAAAATGGAGGAAAGTTGTTCATGATAATAGTAGGCATAAACAGAATGGGAAATTGTCTTGCCTGCTGTTATGTACTGAGTTGAATAGGATCCAAACTGCAGCAGTCTGATTGGTCCTAGAACAATAGGGTTCAGAATGCAGCAGTCTGATTGGTCCTAGAACAATGCAGCAGTATGATTGGTCGGCAGGAGCCACCCAATCCAGCTCCAGATAGAAGTGACTCCACAACCTGATTGGCCTACAGGAGAATTCCGGAATTAGCTAATCACATGCAGCCCATTGTGTAAATCATGTATATAAAGCAGATACTTTGAGGGGACTTTCATTCCCTCCTCACCACTATGAGCTGAATAAAGAGCATGAAATCCACTCTCGACTCTGAGTATATTTCACCTGCGTTAGCTATCAGAAACAATGGGGCTGTGGCACCTTAAAAGACTTAGCACATCTATTATGGCATAAGCTGCCATAGACTAGAGTTTGTTTCATCAGGTGTAGCTGATCAAGTGGACTATCGCCCACTGGTCCCCAAACTGTTTTGTTTGCCTCCATGAACCACTTGAAAACTGGTGAAGGTCTTGGTGAACCACTTAATGATTTTTCTGCCTGTTGTAGTGTTTGTTATGCACTGTGCTTTATAATTTTCCATAGAATTCAAATTGAAGCACAATGAAATACAATATAAGAAATAAAAGAATCAACAAAAACACAATTAAAATGAACAGGAATATGTAATGTGATGGATGTGCCATCTCTTGTCTTCAACCACAAATCCACAGACTCGCCATGGAGCAACAAAATGAAGCTCACAGACAGGGGTGCCAACTTGAATAAAATATTGGGGGGCCCAGGTAAGCTGTGTCCTGCATAATTGATCACAAGACACGGTGTGCACACTATTTGAATGGCAATGACCGTCAACTTAGAGGGGGCAGCTCCCTCAAATGTTTTATTGGGGGGGGCGAAGGGACCTTGGCCACTATGAGTTGACTCCTATGCTCCCAGACCACTGATGGTCTGTGGACCACAATTTGGAAACCTCTGCTCTAGTCCCTTAAAGTGTTTGTCACAATAACTTGTTGGTAGCGATGCTTGAGGATTTCATTTAGTCTGCATTTTAAAGCAAATTGACCAGATTCACATGGCCTTCTTGACTTCTTTAGATTTTGTATTCACAAATGTTGTGAATTTTCATTCCTTAAAAAAAAAAAAACTTACAGCAAGAACCAGGAACTTGGATTCTGCTTACAGGACCATGTCATCAGAGACCTCTCTTTTGTCTTCTCTTGTTGTGAAAGCACAGCAGCAGTCTTGAGCCCCAGTCCTCAGTCCACTTAATCAGAAACAAGTCCCACAGATTTAAGTGAAGCTTACTCCAAGTACATATTTATGGGATCATAATGTTTGGTTAAATAATTTTATTGTAATTTTTAAAAATTGAATGCTGTTATGGAGGCTCTGCTGAAAACCAGTCTGTAAACCTTACTTTTTTTAAATCTAAAATAAAGAACAGGTGCACACTCTGTAAAAGGAATGGGTGCTGCTTATATTTAAGAGGATAAAATGAGCTGTTCTGCATTTGAAAACAAACACAGCTGCCTTGAGGCTGCTCAAAAGAACCCTTCTGCTTTTGTGAGCTCGTTCTTTTGAGCAGCCTTCAAAAATGAATATAAATATTTCATGGATTAAAGATATATTTTGGAAACACATTGGGAACACCCAACCTGCGTAGCTATCTTTGTTTGGTTTCTTGACAGCAGCAGTAGACGGTCTTCTCCAAACCGGTGCCCTCCAGATGTTTGGAACTGCAACTCCCAACAGCTCCAACCTGCATGGCCAATGATCAGGGATGAGGGAGGAGGGCACTTCATACTAGCTCTAGTACGAATGGTTGGAATTGCCCCCTGAGGGCACTTCTGTCTAGCTGGTGCACATTTCTGAACAGGAAGCTCTGCTGCAGGCCAGATTAACTGGCTGATCAGCATTCCACTCTCTTGCTACATACTGCACCTCATTCACTATTGCTGAGTGTAGGCAGTAGATAATGAGAAAAACTGATAATATCTTGAATTTCTGTGTGTTTTTCTACCAAACTAGACATTGACTATACAGTATTCATACATCATACAACATTTGGGGTATTTACCTCCCTAGATCTCTCTTTTTTTTTTGGTAAAAAAACCCAGCTGGGTTTTGTGAGAACACCAAGTTAATTCGGCTCAAGGATCTTATCACCATAATCAGAACAGGGCTGATGACATTGCTTTGATCAGAGTGTGTGGTCAAGAACATCATGACATTTTAAATGCCTCTATTGTACACTCTCCTTGTATGGGAGGTTTACCGTGCCTAAAAGAGTTAAGAACGTGGACTTGTGTCCAAGGTGCCTTTTTTGTTTGCTTGTATGGCCAAGCTAGCTCTGTCTCGTAGCACTTCACAGAGAGGATAGGAAATTTCCTAGGTAAGGGTTTGTGCTCCTGGATTCTCTTGAATTTAGGAGGAAAAGCCAGCCAGGTGGATTGTCTATCAAGCAGCCTGTGCTGGGTTGCACATCAATCCTTGCCAGATGGATGAGTCAAGGCAGGCTGATGCTGTCCATCTTTATTTATTTATAATTTTCATTTATAGCCTTCTCGCTATCTAAAGATCTTGAAGCAGTTTGCAATTGATAAAAATGACCTAAATGTAATATAATCTCCATAAAAACCATGTCAGGTGACTTACACAAAAACAAAACAAATACATAAATAGCATCCATATACATAAACACGATTATCAATATAAAAAAGTCAGGGAACATTACGAGCATAATGAACATTATTCATACAGCTATTGGCCCAATATCATTCACCATTCATTCCACACAACCACTACAATCATTCATTACCTCAGATGTTGTCTCTTATCAACCAACCACTTCAGGGTGCCAGATGATGCTATCCATTCTCAAAATTGAGGCCATCCAGGCATGTAGCATTGGAAGGCTCGGGAGGCCAGAGATTAGTACATAGTAGAACATCTGGTTTAATGGCATAGTGACTAGAGTTTGGGGCTGGGGTCAGGCCCTTTCTCCCACCAGTTTTGTAACAATCGTATGCTGAAATTCTTCTCCCCTCCCCTTCTTCCTGCAGGCATAACGTGGGGTAAAGTAGTGTCTCTCTATGCTGTGGCAGCAGGCCTTGCTGTGGACTGTGTAAGACACGCCCAGCCAGCCATGGTCCATACCATTGTGGATTGCCTGGGAGAATTTGTACGCAAGACTTTGGTGACGTGGATGAAGAGGAGAGGAGGCTGGGTAAGCTTTTCTAAAGAGCGAATGTGCAAGTTACGGACACATTACTGACATGAATAAAAACAGAATGGTCTCATGAGCTACCGGTAGGTACAATGCCTTATAAACACCATCTCCAACTCCTCAAAAGATTCCATCAACGGTGTCTCCGAAAAGTTTTACACATCACTTGGGAAGACAGGCAAACTAATATCAGTGTACTGGAAGAAGCAAAGAACACCAGTGTTGAAGCAGTGATTCTTTAACATCAACTTCATTGGACTGGTCATGTTGTGCGGATGCCTGATGATCGTCTTCCAAAGCAACTACTCTATTCCTAACTTAAAAATGGAAAGCGTAATGCTGGTGGTCAACAAAAGAGGTTTAAAGACTGTCTCAAGGCAAATCTTTAAAAATGTAGTATAAACACTGACAACTGGGAAACACTGGCCTGTGAGCGCTCCAGTTGGAGAACAGCCTTTACCAAAGGTGTCATGGGCTTTGAAGACACTCGAACTCAGGATGCAAGGGAGAAATGTGCTAATAGGAAGGCATGCTTGGCAAATCCACACCATGATCAACTCCTGCCCGGAAACCAGTGTTCCCACTGTGGAAGGATCCAGAATTGGCCTCCACAGTCACTTATGGACTCATTGTTAAAACCATGTTTATGGAAGACAATCTTACTTGGCTACGAGTGATCACCAAAGAAGAAGAAGAATGCAGCTAAATACTGGATAGAATTCCCGTTTATGGAGCTATGTTTACTTATTTGAAGCATTTTTACCCTGCCCTCCTGGAGCAGCAAGATCAATAATAAGCCCTTGCCCTCATTTTTACAATCTAAAAGACATAGCACAAAAGGAAAAAAGGATGTGTGGATGGAGGGGTAGAGAGAAGGGATGAAAAGCAAATAGGCATTGGCTGTTCATTACAATGACTAGCTGGAATGGTAGCAGATCAAGGAGAGGAGGAGCCACAAATTGCTGGTCGAATTAGCGATGTGGGCCTGCTTCTTTTTTCTCCCTAGGCTATAGCCTGATGTAATGGCTGCTGCCAGGGACATTTGATGGAGGGAGGAGACATCTCTCAGCAGAGCTGATGCTTTACTTTACTCCCTTAGCTATAGCTTTGCCAATTCACCTTTGCCCTGCAGTGATCCTGATTATACTAGCTCTACACTCCCAAAGCTTTCCCACTGACCTGCAGCAACCTTGACTATATTTGCCATCAAGCTCCCGGCACAATTCTACTAACCTCATTTGCTCCTGACCTGCCAATACCTTTGCTATGAATCCAGTTTTCATCCCTTCGAGGCGCATGAGCACAGAATTGCTTAGGACTGCTGCTGCATGTGCTATGAGACAGACAGACACATCTGCTGCTAAGGATGTTGAGGGAGGGGGGAGATGGTCTCCTGGCCATTTGCTTGATATGTGCCCATGCCCTTCACATCACACATTATGGTTCTTAGCACGTCCAGGCTAAAAAAACTGTAACGTTGAGTGTTAAGTGTCCCTTGCTGTGGGTATGTTATTCAGATCAAGTACAGTGGTACCTCGGGTTAAGTACTTAATTCGTTCTGGAGGTCCGTTCTTAACCTGAAACTGTTCTTAACCTGAAGCACCACTTTAGCTAATGGGGCCTCCTGCTGCTGCCACGCCGCCGGAGCACAATTTCTGTTCTCATCCTGAAGCAAAGTTCTTAACCTGAAGTAATATTTCTGGGTTAGCAGAGTCTGTTACCTGAAGTGTATGTAACCTGAAGCGTATGGAACCTGAAGCGAGTACCACTGTAAATGAAAGAACAAAGCTGAAAACAGGCAGTGACGATGCTTACTGTATAATCTTTACAGGAAGCATTTTATTTTAGAAAGGAGGATGGAAAAGGATGATACTGAGAACTTCTGGAAAAGTAATATGATTCATTTTGTCAGTGTTAAATGGATAAAATGCACAGTGATTTGGGTCTCAGTACGACTGGGAAACAGAATGGTGGTGGTAATTTTGGTGGCTCTAGGGAAATATTTTAGGGCTGGTGACCTGCAGAGAAAGGTGGGAAATCTTCCCAAGCCATCTGCTAGAAATATTTGGAGAACCATGTGAGAACACAGATTGTGTGAGTGTGAAACATTGTATTGATGACAGCACATTTCTGAGTCTCCATTTTTCTTTTTCTCTCCCCCTAGACCGACATAACAAAATGTGTGGTGAATACTGATCCCAGCCTTCGCTCCCATTGGCTTGTGGCTGCTATTTGTAGTTTTGGCCACTTCCTGAAGGCCATCTTCTTCGTACTTTTACCGGAAAGATGACATCCAATTGCCTATTGAAACCATGTCTCCTTCTCACGGACACAGCTGGCACAGAGAAGGGGAAGAAATGAGACGATGAAGAGAGGTGCTGGACAAATGTACATTCCACTTGTCTGGCTTTTCCAGCTGCCTCAGTGCAAAGACTTTCCTCAACAATGGGGAACATTTCTCCTGATCACTTCTTACAGCCAAGGGCCCTTTGTGCTTTCTAAGTGGCTGGAATCATGTACATAAGGTTGGGAGGCTATTGGACTTGCCATTCAGTTATTTATTCTTTTCCTTCCGTTCAAATTGTGTCACATGATGCATACACACTTAAGAAATCCTACTTGGAGTTGCTATTAAGAAGCAAACTGTCCACTTCATTTGCAAAATGATAACGGCTCCTTTGTTTTTTAGTCAGTCAGTAGATTTCTTCCCATCTTCCCTAAACCCCTGGCTAATGTTGTTGTAAGATGGATGTTTTCTGTAATCACCCGAAATGTGCAGTTGTCTTAAGTCACCAGAGTTCTGTCACCCTCTGCCTGAGAGGGATTTTCAGCATGGATAATATAACTACCTGCTGCATGTTAAAATTTGCTTACATGAGAGAAGACCAAAAATAAATAAAAACATTGCCTAAAAAAAATAAGGGCAGGGCCACAGATTTTCCACCCTCCATTTAAGAGGAAGAAAAATTCAGAGACATTTAACTGCAGCAACTTTTTGAGTTTTCTCACCACCCTTTCTGTCCCAAATATGAAGTTAATGTGGAATGCAGGCAATCCCATGAGCATGTTGTATCTTATGAGGGGAGCAAAATGAGACATCAATAAATTGTATCAACTGCTGTGTGTTTATCATGTACCGTATGCAACTATTGTTACTGTTGTGGCAAAATTAATGCCAAATGAATATTTTGTTGCATGGTCAGTATTCATATACCGCATCAGACCACAAGACGCACCTAGTTTTTGGAGGAGGAAAACAAGAAAAAAAATATTCTGAATCTCAGAAGCCAGAACAGCAAGAGGGATCGCTGCGCAGTGAAAGCAGCGATCCCTCTTGCTGTTCTGGCTTCTGGGATAGCTGTGCAGCCTGCATTCGCTCCATAAGACGCACACACATTTCCCCTTACTTTTTAGGAGGGAAAATATATCTTTTATGCCCATTCAATGGCCATTCTTTAACTCCAAGAATCCTGGGCACTGCATTTTAACCCCTCAAATAGTTACAATTTCCAGCAACCCTAGCGCCCAGGGTTTGCGGGAAAGATTGTGCTTCGAACGTGCTTTAAAAGTATAATGTGTACTACACAGCTTTGGCAAAGCAGCGTCACATCAATTCTGAAGTCTGGGTGGGGAAGCTGGCTTTGCAGTCCAAAAGGAACTCTGGAAAGGAGAACTGACTTAACAGATCCATCCCCTACCCACACTCCCTTGTGCACATAAAGCTGTTGCATGTGCTTCTAGAAATGGGAAAAGCAGAAGTAGGAGTGGCAGGGACATGATTCAGCCCTAATCCACAGCATGGGGACTCTGACATTTCCCTTCCATGAGGGCCATGACCTCCCGGTGACATCTTACCATGATGTGTTGTAGCAGTTCCATGTCACCTCTTGCAGGAGCAGGAAAAGAATTACAGATCTTCCGCTTTTTCTGCTTGTAATATGAACCGGCTCACAGAGATGCATCTTGTTCAGTCTTTTCATTCTTTACATACCTGAAAAGGGTAAGATTGAGGTATGCTACTAATCCTCTCTTCTGGCTCATGCTGTTGTCCTCATAAATTCTCAGGGAGAAAGTTCACATGGCACCATATCAAGCTGCATCTCCTCTCCCCTGATGCTGTATGTGTAGGTCACCGGCTGTAGCTCACCCCCTGCCACACGAGAGAGGGGTGGAGGCAGATATGAGAAGCACACTCTCAGGCCTCCCATTCTTTGTAAAGACCTTGCCCACTAGGTGCTCAGTTACTGGGAGGGAGGGGCTCTGCCAAGTCCTATGGAGATCTATTTGCAAATGGCTGCTGTGCTTGCATAACAGATCATACTCACATTATTGTTATAAGTTTGGAGAGGGCAAGGATCCCCTAAACTCCTGGGTGCTAATCCTCCCCATAATTTCTGGATTTAGTCAAAGTTAGAATTAATCAAGGTTTGATTAAACTCTGCTGGATTCCGCCTGGCATAGAGGGTGGGTCACTGGAGGAACACAGCTAATAATGGTCAAACTATTAACCCATTAAGAAGGTCATTAACAGATACTTTCTGGGCCAGACAAAAAATGGAGAAAGCCCCTCCCTGAGGTGAGAGGTAGCAGAGACAAAAAGCCAGAGTTTCAGGAGGGAAGGGCAGAATTACTCTGGGTGGTGAGCTAAGCAAAGGGGGGGGGGAAGTGCCAGTTTTGCAAGCTGGGGAGGGAGAAGTCAGAGCATGAGATGAGCAGTCTGTTTTAGGCTGCAGAGAGGGTCTGATACAATCTTGGAATCTGAGGCTGCAGCAATGGAAGGATCAGGGCCCTCTTGGGATGTGAATGCGCTGCACTCTCCATGTAGGTTCAGGTTGTACAGTATATATGTGTAAACAAACCATGCATCATATATACACCACAGTTTCTGCCGTATCTTTATGTTCCAAGGAACCCTGGCAAGTGTGCCTGGTACCCCTGGAATCTCACACTGCTTGGAGACTGGAGTGTAACAATATTTTGAACTTCTAAATACTTAATAAGCACTCACATTTTCAATCTATACCGTGCCTGCTCATAATTGTACCAGAATCGTTAAGTGAGCATAAAGTGATTGGAATGTATGATTATTCCTGCTGACGGCCATGAAAGATTAACTGGATTAAGCAACACCAAAATGTTTTCCCCTGTGGCAGTTGGCCAGTTATGCTGGCATGCATTGCTGGGCCTGCCCAAAACATTTTGCTGCCTGAGGCAAAGAACAAACTGGCACCCTCCCCTTCTACGTACAGAAGCTGACTGGACAGGCAGTTGAATTTCAGGCTGTGTACGCACAATCCCTTTAAAGCAATTTCCCTCAAAGAATTATGAGCACTGCAGTTTACCCCTCACAGAGTCACAATTCCCATTAATAGTGCCCAGTGTCCAGAGTTATTTGAAAGAATGTGCTTTAAAAGTAGAGTGTGTATGCTTCACTTCAGCACTGGCAATGAGACTGTGTTCTCCACATGAAGGAAGCAGATTAGAAAGTTCTGGAAAGGATGTCTGTCTTCCCAACAGAGAGGAATGACTGAAGGGTTCAGGAGAGAAGCCTGAGAGGTTATCCTGTTCATCATATGCTGCCTAAAGTGGTCACTTCACTCTGGCCAGCCTTGATTCATAAAGGGCGAGTTGTGTCTAAGGAAATTACACAGATACTGTGTGACCTGCTGCAGTGCAACTCAACCTCATTTCAGTTCAGTGTAGAACTTTCCTTACAGATAAGGCTTCTCACCACATGGGCTCTTGAGAGTTATAGGAAGGCTATCATAAGGGGACAAGGGGCATGTGATTGACTTAACTCTATCTGCTAATCTATCATGTTTATGTAAAGCCTAGTGCAGATTAGATAGCAGAGCACTTTAAATGGTGAGATGATAAGAAATAAACTATTATAGAGTAGGCAAAGTAAATGCCCTGACAAAACCCTGTAATTTATTAGAATTCAGAGCCTGCAAAACCCCATTTAAAAAGTCACCCTAAGGATCAAATGCTTAATTTAAAACTGTTGGTGTGTAGTTAATAAATGGAGCTGGGATAATGATCAGCAGATATTTGGGGAGCATCGTGCTTAGCTTATGGAACCAATAACTTAAAGTAATACAACACTGGGAACAAACTAGTTTTGAATATTTACACTACTGTTCCTTCATCAATTCCATGTCAGTTTCCCCCTCTTCATCTAATTCTTCCTTTTTTACATATATGACATGGTATGGGGGGTGGGGAGGGTTGAAAGAGGAAGGGAGTGACTCTGAGATGAGATTGTGAAATACTCAGTAGTGTGTAAGACCACAAACATCGCTCTCCCACAGCAGTTATCAGATAAATCAGTGAGGTTGTGGTGAATGACATCCTTTTTCTAAAATAAAGCTTTTGCTAGGAGGAAGAAAATGGAAATAAAACCCAGTTTCAGAGGATAAAGTCCAGGAAGCTGGATGTTATTAGACTTGTATAATTTTATACTACTCTGTTGTGACATTGCTTATTATGTTATGTGGGCTGGTGTTTTTTTATTGTGGATTCTATTGTTGTAAACCTCCCATGGGCACTTTTTAATGGAAAGGCAGAAAAAAGGCAGCAGAAACTTGGCCATTTGTTTTAACGTTTCCAATGCTATTTATTAAACATACGTATGTTTAATAGACAAGGCTTTTAATGTGCAATCACAAAGCCTCCATCAAGATCCACACATTGCCATAAAATTGTAATTTCCCCAGTTTCTCCCACTGTACTACCACTGGGCAAACTGAACCAACTGCCACAGACAGGGTGGCAGTGGATTAGTGCCCTCTTGGTCTTGTTTCCCTTGCAAATCCACTCACACAGCTCCAATGGGGCTCTCTAGAGTGGCCGCATCGCTATGGCTCTCTCGAAAGACAAAGCTCCTTCCTCAGGCTGAACCCTGACTACATGGTGGACAGACCATAGTAGAATAGTTTATTGAACATAGCAGAGTATTTCCTGAGAATATGAAAAATCAACACAGCTCACACTAAAAGCAATGACTGAGTAGTGCAAGGAGCTTCCAGCCTGGAACAACCACAAAGCTGTAATGGAAGATAGTGCAATTGTTTTATCTCTATCCCATACCTTTTGGTTAAGCTCAAGTTATTACATGAAGCCATGAAGGAAGGAGTTCTTGTTTTACCCTATTCAACAGAACATGGGTTATATAAGAAACCTGAAAAAGATCTGGGCTCTCATCATGACTTGAGAAATTAGTTTAAAAAACTAAAACAAAACATAGTCTCTCTCAGGATTGCTTAACTTCTTAAAGGTATTTATCGGTTCTAGCCATAGCCTGCATTTAATGAGAGGAATCTATGACCTCTTCCTTTGTATAAACCACCTTGTTTGCAAACCATAAAGATTGCAAAAAGAAACTGAAGACAGAAGTCTCCCATCACCTCCATGCTTCATAAGGAAAAACTATCAATGCTTCTTTAACAAATGACAACATGGAGTCATTTCTAATTCAACATAATACCATTCCAAGCTACACCTTTAAAAATAAAGGGTTTTTTTATTGGCTTTTGGTTTTTTAAGTCTACCATTACAGAAACCTTAGAATAACTTCTTTCAGCAACTATAGTTTCTGCTGTCAGGTAGGAACTGGATCACAAAGATACAGAGTCACTGCTTCCAAGCTGCTTCCGTTTTCTTGGCCTCGATTCCTCTATGGTGAAACAACCTCCTCTTTGTTTTAAGGAGTCACTTTCTTGTAGGTAATGTGAAGGTGCTGAGTCATTGGCTGCGTAGTGGTTGCCATGGAGACAGTCTGTTCTAGTTTCCCATCAGAATTGAGCCTGAATTTTCTAGTAATCTAAGGAGGGAAATAGAAAACACATGGCTTATTATTTGATCCTGTTTATAATTCAAGAAGAAAAACAGCAGCAAAGCAAACCACTGTCCAATGACTTGAACCAAATCTGTGTCCTCAGGACTGGGAAGCAAAATGGCTCATCCCTGCAAAATTCTACAGAGAAAATATGAAGGCCTGCTTATATCACCACCAAGTATAATTCAAGAGGAACAGATAATATATCCCATAAATCAGGAAAAAGGTGAACTATTTTGTTCAAGATTTTTTGCTTATATTTTGTACCAGGATCCTGCTCTGAGATCACTCAACCTTTCAACAACCATGGAGACAAAACAAGACAAAATAGTGAACACACAAGACAAAATAGTGAAGGAAAACAAAACCCACTGCTAATCATTTGTGATTGCTTTACTCAGCATTGTGCCTCATTTGAAAGCATCTTCTGCTTCCAATTTGCCAAGCTAGGGTTAAACCAAGTATGAGAATACGAAGGCAAGGAATTACAATGCTGAAATTGAAGAAAACCGTGATGGAGAATTGGATTTAACATATTAAATAAAGGGGAGAGGGGAGAGAATAATTTAGAATTTGATAGCTATGGAATACTGGGGATCTTGCACCAAACAGCCCATAAGTGTAAAGCAAGGCACTGTAGTCAGAGCACATTTTGGCAGAGGCCAACAAGGCCCCTCCGCTTATTTCAGTAAAAGATTTCTGCACACAATCCAAGATTTTGTGTATGCTAAGTTGGTGCCCTTTACCCTTTTTTGCCATAGTTAACATGGTTTTTAAAGAAGAGTGGAGATATCCGGGACTGCGGGATCCCTGCCAAAGAAACCCTGCCAAAAGTTATTTTGTTAAGTACAATTGCAGCAAAAACACCCACACCCCACCAATATGCAGCTATCGAAACAGAAAAACTTCAGCTCCATGAAAGCTCTCTAATACACTTGTTATTTGGAACCATATATTGTGAGGAAATGCAAACACAAACCGCACCAGTAAAATCAATTTCCTGTCTTTATTTGAAGAGGTCTACAGAATAAAATACTTTCCCCCTTTTAAAACAAACTGCTGAATATTGGTAATTTTTACATAATCACCCAGGAAATGTATCCCAAACGTTACAGGCAAGATAATCTGAGACAAGGTAAAGGAGACATGGGTGAACAGGGATGTGTCTCCTGCTGCTCTCGCCAGCAATAGAAAGATTAGCTTGACCCCAGCAACTGGCTGGAAGACCTATAGCTTCTGGGAGTTTGCTTCCCCCCTCCCTCCAAAAGGAACTCAACAGCAACTGTAAGTTGCCCTGCGGCTGCAGAAATTCTTAAGGGAATGGATGGAACAGGATGAAACCTGAATAAACAAACCTCTGGTGTTATTGTTCCAGTGTTGGAACTGAATTAATATGAAGAGTGAGTGGTCTTGCTTTTTCATGTTCTTGATTTATCAGGGCCTTAATATTTAGTACATTAAACCTTTAATACGTACTGATAATTACCTTGCTTTTCAGATAACATGCTTTGCAGGTGAACCTTGTGTGTGTGTGTTTTGCATTATAGGTGGGCTTGAGCACACTCAAACTGGAGATTATGAAGTTGACTTGCTTTCACCAACCGCAGCAAACGTCAAACATAGTTTAGTGTTCAAACAAGGTTACTTGTGGTTAATCTAAAATGGAAGTGGAAGTTTCTCATCTCCTTATGTTAGTGCTAGAGGAGAGGGGGAGGAAATAGCATATAAGCCAAGGGAGGAGAGGCCAGGCTTCTTCTTGTAATGCACCCAGTTACATTCAAATTGCAGCCTGTGCCTTTCCCAACTCTAAATTCTACAATGCTTTGACTGGAAATTCAGGAGCTATTTTTATCAAATGTTTTTAACAGTGGCAAACCTTGACATCTCTACAATGAACTAAGTGGTATGTTGCATTTTTGAAGCACCCACCCTCAGACAAGTCACTAGAATATAAACAGAAGTATACTGGAATACCGTTAGCATTGCTTTGCCACAGATGCAGGGTACTTACATAACAATGTAGGTTAAATGTACCAATAAATTAAATTAGTTCCACAGTCCAAAATTATTCAAACTATTTTAACATTATGTATTGGACAGCTATAAGCAACAGAGATATAAAAGGGTGAATGTTTGTAAACAAGCAGTTTACAAAAGGTCGTAAATAGATATTCTGAGTATCTTTGTGGGATGTGGTTTTGTTGTTAGGCAGTAGTCAAGAAAAATGAAAAATGTAAGGGTCCGGTGTGCGTAGGCTCGTTTCAGAACATCTGTGAAACGTGGGATAATTATATTTTTAACTGGCCACCAAAATTTTACATTAACTAAATGGTTAAAAACTCTTTTATAGGGATGCTAAGAGTTGTAGTCCAATAACATCTAGAAGGCACTAGGTACCCCCACCCTGGGGCCTCACAATTACTTTTTTATTTTAATAAAATCCTCTTTCTTTATAATTCATAATATTACATAATTCTGCATATCTGGGAGCTTGCTGTTATCTAGAAATGAATCCCTGACTTTTGAGTGGCCCCATTTAGCTTCCAAACTGATTGACACTCAGTCACCTGAGTTCATCTTCAGTAGAAACAATTAGGATCTGCAACAGAATGTTCCAATGTATTATCATTTCCTAATAGGACTCCTCTTGTTCAGGGTTCAAGCCAGTCAGTTTGCTTCGGGGAGCCTTCCATCTACACACATCAGTTCCCCGCTTTTTTCTTTCAACTGATACTCAGCCTTCCATGGCCAATGAACATTGTTTGTTTTAATATATAGTTGTGCACTTCTGTAAATCTTGGAGTTCCACTGAATGTGCCAATGCCTCCCTCTTGTTTCTCAGTGGTCCCATTTCTGTTGGCACTCACTACCCAAGTTCCCTATTAGAGGGAAGGTTGACAGTAGCCCTCTCTCAGCAGCCGCCCTTCTACAAAATAGACATGACCTTTCATTTCTCTGTCATTTCTCTGACCTCAATATTTTTCTCAGGTCCTCTATTGCTGTTCTCGTTTTACCTCTTCTACCAAGTGCTTAATGCATTTTTTAAAAATTGGCACAGATCTCACAGTAGCATGAAATATGAGGATGAACAGAGCTGCTTTAAATTTTATAGAAGCAGACTGTCTACTTGACTTTGTCTTTTTTCTCCCCCAAGGGAATGTGTTTGCTCTGCTAAGTTCTTCAACTGCAAGAGTCAAGGCTGCCTGATGAGGAATGTTACTCTAAGACCTTGTGCAGTGCTACCAAATAATAAAAATTATTATTAAAAGAGCAATATGCCTTACATGAAATTATGTGAACAACATGAAGAGGAAAATATGTATACAAAGAAAAAAGAAAAGAAAAGGGAGGGAGGGAGGTGGGAGGGACAGTCCTACGAAGAGAAGAGACCTGTTGGCTAGAGGTATGAGAAATTCTTGAACAGATGAAATCCTTGAGATCAGGTAAGAAAGTGGGGGGGTCTAGCAACTTTTTTTTTTGTTTTTTTTTACAACACCTATGCACAGTTACAGCCTGCGGAGCCAGCAAGCACTCCATCAGCATGGTGTTTTCTTGTGTTGCCTTCTAACAGAGCAGAGAAAGCGGTGGCAAGCACCAAGATAAATGCGCCTCCTTTCATCCAAGTCTTAATTAAGGCTCAGCAAGGTAAACAGCCCAGGGACAGGACATTTCTGTCTCTCTACAAACCAGGGGCCTTCTCAGGGCAGACATCCATATTAAAATAGCCAAAGGACACCTGAGGACAATTTTTGTCTCTTCTGTATAGTATCAGGCCAGCCAGAGAGAAACCTACTATTCAATTCAAGAGGAAGGAAAAGTCAGGACTGTTGAAAGACTGGGAATGTCTGGTACAAAATACTGAAAATTTGTTCCTGCTTCTGAAACCCCAACCAACCAGTCTTGTTGGGGTAAATGAGGGTCCCCAAAATTAGGTAACCACAGCCTTGACATGTGCCACAGAGGTTGTAGGCAGGAGGGAGAATATTCACTAAAATATCCTATCAAGTCAGGGGTACACATTTTGGTCAGAGTTTTGCAACTTCTGAGTATGAGCAGTTTCTGCTAGTGTAACTATCAACCAAGCAGTGCTGCTGCCAATCTGTGGGGAGACAGATTGATAGAAAGGTCTGCTGGGTATAAAAATCGACAGATATTGGAAATCAGTTACAAAAACTAGGTAGGGCTGAAGAGAATGTCAAAGTTAAAGGCTTCCTGGGGCATGAATGAGTCAGACACTTATCCAGTGAGGCCCTGCACCACTCTTTCTGATTAGCTATATAATTGCAGGCACATCTCCCTCTCCACCCTTTTCCTGTGTGAGATCATAATCCTTGGCCATATCTGGGACCTCTTGTGGTCTAAGTGGTTCTACTGTACTAGTGAGTTCAAAGGCCCCATCATGAGTCTGCCTTCGGCCATTTCCTGAGATGTGGAGCTCAAGTCTGTGGAGCTATAGGAAATTTGGGTTCTAGCCTTGATGCTCTTCCCACCTTCAGCATCTAAAATAGCTGCCACTGCCAGAATACACAAAAGCTTTCTTGTAGTCACTTCAGCATCTCCCTTCTGCAGGAACTGAACCCTATCTGTTTTATCCCCCAAATTTCGGTAGTTGTTTGCAGTCTGCTTGCCGGCTGACTAAGGGTTCAAATCCTTAACCACTGAAGTTCATAGCTACAGATGTTAGTTGCTCTCTTCCGCTCTTTAGTGGTCTCTTTCGAGCTGCCCATTTCACCTTGTGTACATGCCCTGGGTTGGGAGATATCATATAACTCTTCAGGCAGGCAACAGAATGCCGAGTACGGATTTGTCATACCAGTTCAGCTGGACCACACTTAAATATACTCACTTGCTCTACATGGGGTTTCTTGGCAAATGAGATCCTTGCTACAGAGTGGGAAGCTATAGAAAGCTCCTGCCCATTAACTTCTCCTTCCTCCACCTCTACCAAACCTGGATCAAGAAGAGAAATTATTAATACTGACACAGTTCATAGAGCTGGAATACAAGACAACACTTGGCTTATAAGCAGGCAAGAGAGATTTGTTGAAAGTACGGCATCAAGCCACTTTCTGAATGCTTTAAGGGAAGCTGGTTTTAAAGGAGAAAGAGGAGAAAACCTGCTAATGTAATTAGGCTAGTACCTGTATTCTGAGCACTGATGAAGGCCACCTTGTTAGTGTCAGGTTTGATGCGGATAAATCCACATTCTCGGTGCATCGGTTTCCTGGTGTCTGGATGGAAGGCGTTGAATCTATTAGGATAGGAGGATACTAACATTACCATGCCTCTGTAAACACATCCTCCACAGAAACTAGAACTCATCCAGCTTTTTCAGCATCATCTGTATGAAATGAAAATAGTGCTCCCATACCTGTCCTCAACAAACAGTAAACCTGAAGTCCCATTTAAGAAGTATAGGATCATATTCAATGCAAGTCCTATTCAGAGTAGACCCACTGAAGTTAAGGGCATTTCTAACTTATGTTCACTCACATATGGCTGAAGATAGTTTCTTGGATATCTTTTTTCCTCTCTTGGAAATTTGTACATTCTTTTAACTATGCAGTGCATTTTTGCCTGTCCCATTAGATACTTGTCAGAGTATATATCATCAGAGATTGCAGGGCAGCAGTTGAAGAAGGAGCAAAAAGGGTTTTCTTGTGTGTGTGTGTTTCTTTGTGGCTGATTGGCTGCTCTCCCTGTGCAAAGGTCAGAGGGGGCAGGGTTTCTGTTGAGGCAGGTGATTAGCTGTGGGAGGAGCTTATCAGAGATTGCAGGGCAGCAGTTGAAGAAGGAGCAAAAGGGTTTTCTTGTGTGTGTGTGTGTGTGTTTCTTTGTGGCTGATTGGCTGCTCTACCTGTGCAAAGGTCAGAGGGGGCAGGGTTTCTGTTGAGGCAGGTGATTAGCTGTGGGAGGAGCTTATCAGAGATTGTAGGGCAGCGGCGCGCGCCTAGCGGCGCGCGCAGTTTGATCCATCTTGTAGATTTAGGGGAGCTAGTCTCAAACGTTTGTGGGGGGAGACCTAGGTTTTTTTTGTGGGAGGAGTTATTTTTCCTGTCTCCACGCTTTTTATGATGGAGGACTGCTGTAGCCACCCCCAACGACACGTTAACAAGATGGAGGGGGAGGGAACAGCTGCAGTCGCCTGCGGTTCCTGCGCAATGTTTGCCATCTTGCCAAAGGTTGCAGGCAGCTTTACCTGCAGCAATTGCATGTTGATTGCCCTCTTAAAAGACAAGGTCCAGCAACTGGAGGAACGTGTAGCTACGCTACAAAGAATTAGAGAGCTGGAGCTGTTCTTGGAAGCAACAGAGCACACCGTCTCCACCAAGGAGGAGACGGGGGACTCCCTGAGAAGGACGCTAGTTCACCAACACAGGAGCCAGATATATGGAGAAACGTGACTCAAAGAAGTAGGAGGCCCAGGGTTCGCTCTGATTGTTTAGAAATACACAATCGCTTTGAGGTCCTCTCCCCTAGCATGGAAGACGAAGAGCAGACTCCATTTGAGGATCTCTCCCTCATTACAGTCGATCAGGTATATGAAGACGAGCAGCAAAGTCAGTCCTCAGGGAATGTGCAGGCGACCTTGGAGCGGACAGCTCACGGAAGAACCCCGACCAAACCTAAGAGGAGGCGTGTAGTGGTGATAGGGGATTCCCTACTGAGGGGAACAGAAGCAGTGATCTGTGGGCCTGACAAGATGTCTCGGGAAGTGTGCTGTCTCCCGGGGCTAAGATCCAAGATGTAACTGAACGACTGCAAGGAATCATAAAACCCACTGACAAATACCCCTTCCTCTTGGTTCATGTGGGAACCAATGACACTGCAAGCAATAGCCTCCAGAAGATCAAAAGAGACTACGAGGCTCTGGGCAGGAAATTGAAGCAATTAAATGCACAAATTGTGATCTCATCTGTCCTCCCAGTTGAACGACGTGGTCCAGGGAGAGAGGGGAAAATAGTGGAAGTGAACAGCTGGCTTCGCAAATGGTGTAAACAGGAACGGTTTGGATTCTTAGATCACGGACTGCAGTTTCTTGAAGATGGACTTCTGGCAAGCGATGGGCTGCACCTCACAACGGTTGGGAGAAATGTTTTTGCCAAAAATCTCAGAAACCTCATCAGGAGGGCTTTAAACTGACTAATGTGGGGAGGGAGACAGTGCTCCTGAAGGTAGGAGTCTATCAATTGATGAAGATGATCATCCAAATGTCATAGACCAAATGGAGCAAACAGCACACAGACCTAGTGGTGGGAGGAAAAATCCTTAAATAAGAGTCACGGGGAATGATTAATGGACTTCAATGTCTGTACACTAATGCGCAAAGCATGGGAAATAAACAAGATGAGCTTGAGCTCTTGGTACAGCAAACTAAATATGACATAATAGGCATCACTGAAACCTGGTGGGATAAGTCCCACGATTGGAATGTAATAATGGGGGATACAATCTATTTCAGAGAAACAGACCAGACAAGAAAGGAGGAGGAGTGGCGTTATATGTCAGGGATGTGTATACCTGTGAAGAGATCCAAGATTTAGAACCTCAAAACCAAAGTGAGAGCATTTGGGTCAAAATTAAGGGAGAGAAGAATAACAGTGACCTCATTGTGGGAGTTTACTACAGATCCCCAAGCCAAACGGAGGACATAGATGATGCCTTCCTGGAACAGATGGCCAAGCATGCAAAAGGAAGGGAGATAGTAGTAATGGGGGACTTCAATTACCCGGATATTTGTTGGATGTCAAACTCAGCCAAGAGCATAAGGTCAAACAGATTCCTCACTGGCCTTGCAGACAACTTCATTGTCCAGAAAGTGGGAGAAGCAACAAGAGGAACAGCCATTTTAGATCTGGTCCTAACCAATGTTGATGACCTGGTTAGTGGGGTAGAAGTGGAAGGATCATTAGGCGCAAGTGATCATGCTCTTCTGAAGTTTACTATACAGCGGAAAGGAGCAGCCAAGCATACTAGGACTCAATTTCTTGACTTTAAGAAAGCTGACTTCATAAAACTTAGGGAAGTGCTGGGTGAGATCCCATGGACAGTAATACTAAAAGGAAAGGGAGTTCATGATGGCTGGGAGTTTGTTAAGAGGGAGATACTAAAAGCACAACGTCAGGCAATACCAATGAGACAGAAACATGGAAGGTGCCTAAAGAAGCCAGGGTGGCTATCTAAAGAACTTTTAACTGAGTTAAGATTAAAAAGGATGTGTACAAAAATGGAAAAGGGGGAAACCACCAAAGAGGAATTCAAACAAATAGCCAGCACGTGTAGACACAAAGTCAGAAAAGCTAAAGCACAGAATGAACTCAGGCTTGCTAGAGAGGTTAAAAGCAACAAAAAGGCTTTTATGGGTATGTCCGTAGCAAAAGGAAGAACAAAGAAACAGTGGGGTCACTCAGAGGAGAAGATGGTGAAATGCAAACAGGGGACACAGAAAGGGCTGAACTCCTCAATGCCTTCTTTGCCTCAGTCTTCTCCGATAAAGAAAACAATGCCCGACCTGAAGAATTTGGAGCAAATGATTCAGCAAAGGAAACACAGCCCAGAATAACTAAGGACATAGTACAAGAATACTTGGCTAGTTTAGATGTATTCAAGTCTCAAGGGCCAGATGAACTGCATCCAAGAGTATTAAAAGAACTGGCAGATGTGATCTCAGAACCACTGGCAGTCATCTTTGAGAATTCCTGGAGAACAGGCGAAGTCCCGGCAGACTGGAGGAGGGCAAATGTTGTCCCTATTTTCAAAAAGGGGAAAAGAGAGGACCCAAATAATTACCGCCCAGTCAGTCTGACATCAATACCAGGGAAGATTCTGGAGCAGATCATTAAGCAAACAGTCTGTGAGCACCTAGAAAGGAATGCTGTGATCACCAACAGTCAGCATGGATTTCTGAAAAATAAGTCATGTCAGACTAACCTGATCTCGTTTTTTGACAGAGTTACAAGCCTGGTAGATGAAGGGAACGCAGTGGATGTAGCCTACCTTGATTTCAGCAAGGCATTTGACAAGGTGCCTCATGATATTCTTGTAAAGAAGCTAGTAAAATGCGGTCTTGACTATGCTACCACTCAGTGGATTTGTAACTGGCTGACTGACCGAACCCAAAGGGTGCTCATCAATGGTTCCTCTTCATCCTGGAGAAGAGTGACTAGTGGGGTGCCACAGGGTTCTGTCTTGGGCCCGGTCTTATTCAACATCTTTATCAACGACTTGGATGATGGACTCAAGGGCATCCTGATCAAATTTGCAGATGACACCAAATTGGGAGGGGTGGCTAACACCCCAGAGGACAGGATCACACTTCAAAACGACCTTGACAGATTAGAGAACTGGGCCAAAACAAACAAGATGAATTTTAACAGGGAGAAATGTAAAGTATTGCACTTGGGCAAAAAAATGAGAGGCACAAATACAAGATGGGGGACACCTGGCTTGAGAGCAGTACATGTGAAAAGGATCTAGGAGTCTTGGTTGACCACAAACTTGACATGAGCCAACAGTGTGACGCGGCAGCTAAAAAAGCCAATGCAATTCTGGGCTGCATCAATAGGAGTATAGCATCTAGATCAAGGGAAGTAATAGTGCCACTGTATTCTGCTCTGGTCAGACCTCACCTGGAGTACTGTGTCCAGTTCTGGGCACCACAGTTCAAGAAGGACATTGACAAACTGGAACGTGTCCAGAGGAGGGCAACCAAAATGGTCAAAGGCCTGGAAACGATGCCTTATGAGGAACGGCTAAGAGAGCTGGGCATGTTTAGCCTGGAGAAGAGGAGGTTAAGGGGTGATATGATAGCCATGTTCAAATATATAAAAGGATGTCACATAGAGGAGGGAGAAAGGTTGTTTTCTGCTGCTCCAGAGAAGCGGACACGGAGCAATGGATCCAAACTACAAGAAAGAAGATTCCACCTAAACATTAGGAAGAACTTCCTGACAGTAAGAGCTGTTCGACAGTGGAATTTGCTGCCAAGGAGTGTGGTGGAGTCTCCTTCTTTGGAGGTCTTTAAGCAGAGGCTTGACAACCATATGTCAGGAGTGCTCTGATGGTGTTCCTGCTTGGCAGGGGGTTGGACTCGATGGCCCTTGTGGTCTCTTCCAACTCTATGATTCTATGATTCTATGATTCTATGATTCTATGATATTTTTCATTTTACTTGGCAACTCCAGCAACTCCTAATAAGGAATATTGAGGTGTACCTGTCACCGCAGGAGTAGTATGACAGTGTTCTTCTTCCTCGACATAAAACGCTGCAGTAATACAAGTTTCCTTACACATAGCACTCCTGAACAGTTCTTTTAAAAACTACAGAACTGTGCTAGTAAAAAAAGTGCTGATTTTATACATCAGGTCCAAATGTCATGTCGGCAGCAAAGAATGCTTTCTTCCATAACCGCCCTATTACCTCTCCCACATTTATGATGTTTCTGGATCATTTCCTACACTGCATTTCTGCAGAGGTCATGCAGAGAAAGAATGGATGCTCACTTTTGGCCTAAACAGTCCCCAAGGAGCAAGGCAATTTTGCCATTTACAGAATCAGCTGGTAAGTAATATTTTAAAACACAACTCTTCCTTTAAAGCAACATTATAGGGGTTCAAATCTTCCCAATTAGTGAAAATCCATATTTCAGCTGGGTAATTCAGCAGAAAGAGTTATGCAGCTAGAATAGGCATGTGCCATAGTGCATTAAATTCCAAAGCATACTGAACCGACCACTTTTTAGAGGATATAAAAACTAGCAGCTTTAAGAAGTGCTCCCTCCCTCCCCCCGAAAAATAGGTGCCAGTATTCACCACAAAGTTGTTACAGTAAGTTCCACAGTTTTTAACAACAACAAAAAGAGATGCTGGTACTGCGTACCCTTGAGTACCTCCTGGGGGGAAGCCATGGCTTTGAGAAAATAATATCATGCATAATTGCCATCATTGAGGAGGTGTTTGTTTATCTTTACAACAGCATCAGGTGAACATCCTTTCAACTCTCAAATTGCACTTTCCATTTTAAGAACGCAAAGGATTGCTCAAAATTCTAAGAAAAACTGTTTTTCTCAAAACCAAAACATGTTACATTTCCAACTTTCCATTTGTGCTTATACAGAAATGCATCTTTTTTTGAATCAAGAGAGCTGGAAAAATTTCAAAAATATATTGAAAAAAAATATTTGTAATGCCTGGAGGATAATAAATCATACATTTGATCACGCCCACTCTTGCTTGGCTCTGGAAAAAACATTCCATTCCCAGGCTACCAGGAAGGACCCCATTAAGCACTTACGCCAACTAAAAGAAAGCGTCCAGAACTACTATATCACAACATCCCATATGACCACTGTTCCCCCGCAACACATTCCTATGCCATTGAAGCCCCTTCAATCTATTGTTCCCAAATCCATCATACAGCCACTGCTGCTTTCCCCCAGCTAATGTGACAGACTTGTATTCAACAAATCACCTGGCAGCCATGCATAAAAGGAATTCCATGCAGGTGAATAACTAGGCTGGTGGAGGAGGGTCATCTCCAATCTACTTGGTAGAAGGCCAAAGTTTGAGGAAAAACCTCCTCTTAGCAGGGCAGTATAAATGTTGCTGACTAGTAAATTTTGGGGTCTTATTTACAAAGTCTATGATCCCTAGACACCCAATTCCTTGGTGAACCCACAAACAGTTGCATAGCTACCTTGACCCTGCAGCTACCACTGCCTCTTCCACCATATGCCCTGCTGTTACCTTTCCCAGGCACACACAGGATCGGAGCACTGGGAGGGAATGGGAAGCAGGGGGAAAACAAGAGCATAAGGGGCTTTTAAAGATTTTGCTGCCTATTTACTTTCTTAAAGTTCCTGGGAACTCAATTTTGCACTAGAATTACTAGTAGGGATTTGGAGGTGTTACTTTTGTCCTTTCATTTATGTTTGAGGTCTTTAAGAAAACTGACTGCATCACTAAGGATGACAACTAAATGTAAAAATCTATGTGTGATAGGTTAATAGCTGCTTCGCAGCTTCTGAAAAACAGGATGTCTATTTCTAGGAATAATTTATTTATATTCTACGCACTGATTTTATTTAAATTGATTCTTAGCTTGTACCTCACTAACAGTCTCATTTGATAAACAACACAGATTACTTTAAGGTGTCCCTGTTGCAGAAAAACCCCTCAAAAATAAGGAAACTTACGAAAAATTCAGCATAGGTTGCCCCACGTGAGAGATGCACACTTCTTCGAGGTATTGAAAGGGCTTCATTGAAGGGAAGGTACCATCTCCTGGGGGGTCTGACAGCCAGGTGCCCAGCATCCAGGAGAGAGGCTCAACCACAGGGTTCAACTGCGGGGTTTCTGTGAGAAGAGAGAGACTGAGGATAAGCAAACTGCACCAAGACTTTGGGCAATTAGCTCTTACCACATCAATGTTGGCCAACTACTTTGCATTGGTGAGACAGTTCCCAGTAGCCATGTTGCGTGTTCTACCATCCTCTTTCATTGTATCTGTTTTTATCCAGCTCTGGCCACATGAGAGTTGAGGTAGGTCAAAAGTTCAAAACAAATTTCATATTTTACAAACCTGGCTCGAAATAAAATTTTGACTAGCTATGTGCATATAGGCTCCTTGACCATTTCTTACCCCCCTCAGGGTCAAACTATATGTTACAGAGAAGACCTGCAATCAAAGCAGCAATGCTGGGGAAGGGCATAATTACCCCACCGTCAAAGAAAAACTGCTGGAATGTTCACAGTCCTGGAGACAAGAAGAAGAAATAATACAAGTATGTCATTTTCCTAAATGAGGCTAACATAAATTTTCAGGCATGGAAAAATTTCAGCTGGAAAACCAGACCTGGGCAAAGCTGTACACACCCAAGTCCCCTTCATATTAATACTGAATGTGCTGCCACACATTCAAATAGCTATATATGTGTACACAAAGAGCTACTAGCTATATACAAATAACTGTATCAATGGCAAGCATTATTTTAGACCGAGAAAGCAATGTCATAACAAAGCTATAACCTATAAGTTGGGAAACACAAGTATGAACCAGAACAAAGCACTGTAGCCTTCCCTGCTTCCTAACAGGAATGGTCCCATTCAAGGCTCAAGCCAGATGAATGAGTGATTAACGGTACACAAGACTGACATAACTATGCCTTGCATGAACACCTGACCTCAGCGTTCTCAAATGTCTGCTAACGTCCAGCAGTATCTGATTTTCTTGTTCTTTGATGATAGCTCAAATAAGAAGATGATATTGGTATGGTAAAATGGATGTTTTTTATAATTAAATTACCACTGTAACTCTTCAATATAGTACCCCTGTCTACAAGCACCCAAAGCACACTTTCTTTAAAAATGAACACACAGAATTCTACAGACTGGCTTGTCCTTTTAAAAATTTGACTGCTCCATGCAAGATGGCAAGCATTCCATGCAAGTGGTATAGTACTGCAGGGGCAGGCAGGGACGAAACACTTATTTGCATCAGGGACAATATCTATATCTTTAGGTATAATTTTATTTTATATGGGGTGCTTTCCAATTGTTGAAAGCAGAGTAAATAAGAATTATTTTTGTTGTGAAGAAGAAATTATAACTTGCGAGTATATATTTTGGTGGTCTATTTATTATTTTGGTTTATGTACTAATGTTATGCTTGTGTTAGGCAAGTCTAATCTTTTTCAATTTTTAAAAAAATACAATCAAATGGGCATAAAAGGATATTTCAAAGCTAACTTTATTCTACATAGAGCAGTGCGAAGTGTGATGGGTGATGAGCTATTCTGAAAAGCTCTCTTTATCTGGGCAGATTTCAGTGAAATCTCTTTTCCTTCCATCTCCTTAAGCTTAAAAGTGTGGCAATATTTTTGGATATATATTGGGACTAAACTTTAAACGACACTGGCGGGATTGGAATAACTCTAACAGTAAAAGGTTATTATGTAAAAGAGATAAAATACGTGAATATAAAGTCTATTTGATACTTACCAAAGGAGTGGAAGGAAGTTCAAGGCTTGGCAGAGCCTAAAATAAATGTATTTATGATTTATGGAATGAATATATTATGTGTAATTTAAGTATTGGACTTTGTATAAGTTTATATGTATATATGTATAATACCAATAAAAATTTATCAGTGAAAAAAAAAAGTGTGGCAATATTTATGACAAAGCACAATTTCCATGCAATTACGGTAGTATAAGGTCATGCAAAAGTCTGACCTCTCTTCCTTGAAGAACATATGCAGTTTATAACAAAGAGACTTGCGGCAACTTTAAGAATTTATTATGACTTAACTTTTGTAGACTAGAGTCCATTAATTTATAAGATAAAAACAGGGAAGCTTGCAAAGCTGAAAATGTGGTTTTTGCTACCATCTAGTGGCTCAAGTAATAATACAGCAATTCAAAGCAGCCTTCCCTGAAAGGGTGTAACATGGATCCGTATTATCTGCTCCTTTTTTTTGTTACTTTTGTCACTTTTGTTACCTGGAATGGTATCACTAAATGAGAACAAAGAATAATTGAGAGGTCACTGCTGGACCTTCCAGATTCACTACAGGAAGAGCTCATCTAAATACACTTGCAAAGTTCCAAAGGCACTGAATCCTTTGCAGTTGTATCTTCACGACAAATTCCATTTCAACACATGCAATTTGAAAAGGAATATTGGACTGCAAAAAAGATGACAAGCTTTCTGTTAGATTTGTACTAAGAGGTTGTTGGTCAGAGATACCAGAGAATGCTGACTTAAAGTTGAAATTCAACTCAAAGTTATTCAACTTATCATCCAGCCCCGACCGGTAAGTATATCTATGTTTATTTTTACTCTAATGCAGAAAGAATGTGAACTGAAAATTTGTGCAAAATGTTAGCTGACTAGCTGGTCAAAAATCTTATCTGATTCATAATCAGCTACCATTTTTTTAAAAAAAAACAAAACCACATAAGAGAATCCCAGGGTGTTTTACAGTACATCTGCTTCCTCATTCTCAACCTTTCATACAGTACATGTTAAATGTCATATTGTGCAACTCCAAAGCACACATATTGCCTTGGAAAATCTCCTTAAATACAACTGATAAGTTGATTCTAATAAGATATATTTGATTCTACTGCTGTATGGTCTGCTTTGATTCCTATTCTTAATTACTATTTTAAAACTATTTAAAGTAAACTCTGTATAGGTTTTTTTTATTAAGCCATATATAAAACTTGCTAAATAATGCATATATTATTTTATTGTACTTTCATTGTACACCCCTGAGGGTGGCCAAGAGTGTGTGTTAACCAAGTTCCCTTCTCACCATAAACAGAACTGAATAGGAAGGTTGTGGGCTCTTCCATGTTTTACTTGTAAACTTTTACCCATGATGAAGAGATAATAGAATCACATAATTGTATAGCTGGAAGGGACCACAATGGTCATCTAGTCCAACCCTCTGCAATGCAGGAATCTTTTGTCCAACGTGAGGTTTGAACCCACAACCCTGAGATTAAGAGCGTCATGCTCTACTAACTGAGCTATTTGGATCAAGGGAGCAAGTGAATAATTCTGAGGTCTCATTCTGAATACAATCCCATGGACCATATAGCAGCTCCAAGTAAAGTTGCAGAGTACAGGAGCGCTGCACTCCGTTGAGACAACAGATCTCTGCACACAAAGGCTGAGAACAACGGCCTGCAGGATAATTTAAACAGGCATGAAACTTAAGAAGGGCTCAAATGGAACCCAAATCTCCGTTTTCAGAATGTCTTAAGTGTTTCAATAAAAGTGTTAAGCATTTTAGACTGTACCTGTGTCTGTTTCAATGCTGGCCATATCGTGCAAGATTATTTTTAGCTTGTTCACTCTAGATCGCTTATCATTCCCTATTCTCCAGGAACACTGTGATGCAATCTAGTAAGACAAGACAGGAAACAACCTTGGGACTCTACACAGAGGTTACCCCAGTGTATTCTGGGACTTGTAGTTTAGCTTAAGCAAGCTATGGAGAGAAGAAATCTACAAGTATGGCATATATTGTGACTCACAATTCCTTTCTGGCTGCTATTGCCTTTTCATAGACTGAGGATAAGCTACATAAATGAAGTTAAAGGCAAACATATATGTATTTACATTTGAGTTTTATCAATTAGTACAGATGGCGATCATTTTGTGCAGGGGTTCCGTTCCCAGCCCCTGCACACATCGGGGGAGTGTGCGTAAGTGCGTCCCTGCCCATTATGCTCCACCCCGTCTCCATTCTTCTCTCTTCCAGGTCCAAATGGACCTGCATGCCGGTAATTGTGCACTGATTGGAGATGCCTAAAATGGTTGCCACCTGTATAGCTGATTAGCAAAATTCTACTTGGAGCCTTTGCTGCGATGCAAAGGGGAAAACATAAAGCAGGGGGAAGGCTTTACATATACACATTTGCAAATAATATGCATCTCAGCAATAATATTGCATACCCTCTAACATGTCCCAGAGGAAAACCAGGACACACGTCTTTTGGGGCCATGGAGTCACGTGACTTGTGCAAGAGCACAGCCCCCCAAAATGGGATGTCCCGCTTAAATCGAGACAGTTGAGGGGTATGATATTGCAGATTAGCAAAATTGCATCAGTAATTCATACAAATTGAGATTTTGTCAGGCAAAGTTACATATTGAGCCTACAACTTTGTCCTTCGTTTCTTTCATTCTTACGAGACTAAGTAATCTGTAAGTAACAGTGTCCACACAGAAACATATTCCTTGTTTCTCTACAGAGCACACACAAAACAATTAACAACTGTTCAAAACATCAATCAGAAGTTGTTGTTGTTGTTGTTACTAAGGTTATTACCTGCCCTTCACCAGCAGGTCCCAGGGCAAGTTACAACAATTTAAAATTTAAAACTGTTAAAACAAATTACAGTCAGGGGTATAGCCTGATCACTGCTAGCAAGGTCCTGCCAGCTAGAGTTGATGGGAGTTGTAGTTCAACAGCTGGGGACCCAAGTTTGAGCAACACTGGCCTAAATCAGCACAACAAACTAAAGCAGGGGAGGCTAACCTGTGGCCCTCCAGATGTTGCTGGACTACTTCTCCCATCACTGGCCATGCTGCCTGGGGTTGGTGGGATGGCCACAGCTGGACAGCTACAGGTTACACACCCCTGGTCTCAAACCCTCTAGTAGTAAATAGGTTTCGTATATGAATTCTGAACGCCTTCATCACAATCCAGCCAGGAGAGGTATGCACATGCCACCTCTCCCTTATTCCCTTATAGGCAAATGACTTCCACTGACCTCTTTGGCAGCAAGGAAAGGAGAACGTGTGGCAAAACCTTCCACAGTCCTCAGGGGCTAGAGTGTTTTATCCTACCTCAGCTTACAGATCTTGTTCTCCAATGGGGAGATGTTCCAAGTAAATTTCAGGCAAAATTTGGCTAGTATACCTAGACAACCCTGATGTGAGGAGTAGGAAGGAAGTTTGGCCCCTTCCCCTCCAGGGCTCTGAGGATTTTGGTGCACACATACAAACACACTCCACTGGAACACCTGACTTGCCAGGTCTTGGCCACATCAGCACTACTGAATCTGCACTGTCTGCTTCCTGAACACAAGAAATGGCCTAAGGTAGGATTGCTCAAGGACCATATTATCTCAAAGGAAATCTTCCAAGGTCATATGCCAGTAGCAGGTAAGCCAAAGGCAACAGATGTGACTCTTACCTTTTGTTGCCAGGCAAAAACATTCACTTGGCTTTTAACTATACATGGGCTTTTTCTGCGGGCGGTCTTTTTAATGCTGGATTTAATGTATGTATGTCTTTGGTTTTTTCCTTAAAACACTATAAGTCACTTTGTACAGTAAGCTACATTCCTGCCATGCAAAAGTCAGAGGTTTTGTACACACACATACACATGGTTCTTCATTCAGAGAAGGATGCATTCCAGCCAGGCAAAAGCATGCAGAGGATGCAGGTCTAGTGACGAGTGTGGCCTGGGAGGAGCTTCATGGGATGGCTAGAAATGCCAGGAGGCCTGCATCTGTCTTGCAAGCCTATGGCTTGAACAGCATATTTTTTTTTAAATAATGCATCTTATTTTGGGTATAACCAACCACAGAGCCTAGGACTTGCCGATCAGAAGGTTGGTGGTTCGAATCCCTGCGACAGGGGGAGCTCCCGTTGCTCGGTCCCTGCTCCTGCCCACCTAACAGTTCGAAAGCACGTCAAAGTGCAAGTAGATAAATAGGTACTGCTCTGGCAGGGAGGTAAACGGAGTTTCAGTGCGCTGCTCTGGTTCGCCAGAAGCAGCTTAGTCATGCTGGCCACATGACCCGGAAGCTGTACGCCGGCTTCCTCGGCCAATAAAGCGAGATGAACACCGCAACCCCAGAGTCGGTAACAACTGGACCTAATGGTCAGGGGTCCCTTTACCTTTACTTTACCTTTTACAGTGTACCAACTGCATGTCAAATTGAACTGTGTTTGGTTACAAGAAAGCTACACATTCAGAGGGAAAGCATGCTGAGAAATCATGATATTCATAAATGAGAGGTATATGATGGATAAACCGGATTCCCAAGCAACTTTCAAACAAGTTTTAAAACTGGCATATTAATGACTCACCCATAGGCAGTAATGCAAACAATCGAAACCCCTAAAATGTAATTCTAAGGACAATATTCCTCCTCTCCTCAAATTTCAGAGCACTGGTGCATGGCGTATGGGTGGGGAATGTACGTGTGAATGTTTCGGTTAGGGTAGGACACCTGCAGCTTTCCTAGTTGTATAAAAGAGGAAATCTCAGCAGATGTGGCTTGCATAACAAGCCACACCTGCTGCTGAAATTCTCTTTTTTACATGACAATTTAATGTGCGGGTTGCTTGGCCTCTTTTGCACCTGACGATCCTAGTTTCAACAACAAAGCATAAGAGTTTGCAAGCAGTTTCATTTTCAAAAACTGGAGGCTATATCACCAATAATAATAAGGTATTTTTAAGGAAATGGGCAGAATTCACCCAACACGGACTTCCGCTAGTGCAATGGGAAGTCCTGCCCTCTCCTCTCAGTGCGTGCCCCCTGAAATTGGCTCGAGGGGCAGTTGGGAGAACCCACAAATCAACACTGAAGGGGAAGAAGAGGGGCAGTGGTTCCATCTGGCAAGCTGCAATGCATGCAGTGTGTGATTGTTCATTATAACGCAACACTGAATCCCACCCATTATATTTAACTAAATGGCTTCATATTTTTATATCAGTTTCGCCCTGGCTAAGAGTGCAGAAGATACTGACCACAGTCCTGGGACAGCAGGTTGCTCAGGCATGGGAAATTGATCCTCTTCAGTTCATCTAGTTTTTCCTTCAGCTTTCTAACTTGGCTGTCGGAGCGACTGATCTTTTGTCTCAACTGCTTTAGCTCTCCATTCTTCTTCTCTACCTGTTCTCTCAAGCAGCACACTTGACTTTTGCTCTGCCTAGAGGAGAAGCAATACGAATGCAGGGAATCAATGAGCTTGCAGGCTCCTGAAGCAGACATGATGACCTCATTGATGGACATGGGGTTGGCATCCGTTTCTCCCTTCTGACCTACAACAGCTTCTGTTGCTGGCTTAGGGGTCAGATCTGCAGGAGAAGCAGACATGTTCTGGGAAGGTTTCTGAGGGATAGCAGTGAGAGAGGAAGTAGAGGAGGATTCTGTTAAACTAGTATCCTGCTCCAGAGTGTTGCTACTACAGCTTGGATCCACACTTCTCCTTAACCTTTTCCTTTCTAGTTGCTCTTTTGGAAAAGATGACCTCTCTCTAGTGTGCTTGGAGAAAAAGCTGTAAGAGTGAAGGGAGCCAATAAATTTGCATGCGCCAGACACAGGAGGGGTGAAGTCATCCTCCGATATACCACTTTTGTCCATTTTCAAATTCCCAGAATGGCTAACTGCTTCAGAACAATCCTCCAGAGTCAGTTTTCCTGGCTTATTTTGAGTTACTTTTGTGACTAGGTTATCTGCTAACATCCTCCTGAGGGAGCCTTCAAGTTGGTCCTGGAAATTTTCTCCCTGCTCTGACATTGACCTGATTTCAGCTTGAAGAGTCACTTGCTCTATTTCTTGAGTCCCGTGAACTATCAAGTTTTGGTCAGATGATAAGATTCCCTCAACTACCTCACCGCTTCCTTCCTTTGGTTGATCGCCATCTCCTTCTAGAGTCTGACTTGCTATTTTCCTCCTCCTTTTGACATAATCCCTGCTCTCCCCTCTTTTCTCTGAAATATGGAAGATGGTTGGCACAGCTGTGGGCTTGAGCAGCCGGTGCTGGTCTTCGTGCCGTTTTGAAAAACTGTCTTTAGTAAAGTGCTCGCTGCAAAGAAAGGAATACTTGGTGGGAATCCAGTTGTCCCGCTGAACTGCTTTTAACCACTGGATCAGTCTCTTTGAATCCTTTAAGGGAAACCTTCAAAACAGTGTAAAGGAAAAGCATTACTGTGTATGCTTTTTGCCTAGAGCTTTTCAAAGTAGCTTATACATTGAGTTACGTTTAAGAGCAACCTGAATTTTATAAAAAGACAGTCTGTTAAGATTATATTGCAGGGTGCAGAAAGATGCAGCAGTAATTACATTTTCTACAAATCAAAATTTGTCATGTATGTTAAGACTCTTTCAGCTTTGAACCTATTTGTTCCTTTTTAAAAATGCAGTAACTCTGGACTAATTGAAAACGGTTCTTGCAGCAAACAGAAATACATACAATTCAGTAACATTAACGACAGTTAACATATTTTTATCATTTAGCCACTTGCAAACAATTCTTACAATCCAACCAGCAGATTTAAATGAGCTGCTAAGTGCTATGCTAAAGCTGCAACTCCTATGCAGGGTTGGATATGGTTAAGCCTATTTCTTTCCAAGGCGCTCAGACTCACCTAACTTTGCATTAGGTCAGGCTGAATGATAAGAGGCAGCTGGACAGATGGGTCTTCTACAGGGAAAGTACTATAGTAAGGGCACCACCACCACTGGTAATCTATTGCTGAACTTTATATGGTACCCTAGTTAGGTTATCCCTGCTATACCTTAAGTCTAGATTTGGGAGCTTAGCAGCTAACCATATCACAATGTATTTGTACCAGTCAGAAATATATGTCTATCCCTGACCTAATATGGAGTTATGCAGTCTTCCAGCTTAGTCTGAGATCACTGACCTCAACAACTTTCTCCTCAGATGGCACATAAATATCCTTCTACCTTCCTTCCCAGTGCAGTGCGAGATGCAGACAAATAAGAGGAGAGGATGGGGAGACACTGCTGGGGTTACCACTGTTCACTCTGGGGAAGAGAAATTGTAAGCCACACCAAATAATGTGTGTGCATTTATCTGTTTGCCTGTGTCTTGGTTCAGGCAGAAGTGCATCTAAAGGTACGTCAAGTGTTGTTGACGGCACTATAGATCCTGATCAGCACTGTAAAGTTAAAAGAGCAAATAGTGTGAATAGAAAAACTCTGTCTGGCTCCACTATATTGGCGAGGTATCCATGATGAGAGAGGCAATCTAACCCATTAACCTGCTTTGTGAAACAGACTCTTCCAAACTGTAGGGAGAGAATATCAGGAAAGGTATAAAACAGTCTGAAGTTACCACTTCAACACAAAGGCAGAAAAAATGGGTTTTCAAGTGTCAAGCCTTCTGATTCAATACACCTGACACTGAAAAGTTGGATGGAGACTATGCCAGTATCTCATGTCTATCATGAGCAGACAAAATGCATTCTGGGAGCTAACAGGAAACCTGTGGTGCCACAGGCCAAAATGATCACCTATTGTGGGGGTGGCTTGCCGGATCTACTTTATGTGTGTGTTTTTAATAGATCTCCAAGATCCTCCAACTGAAGCCAGGCAGGGGTGCAGGACATACTTTAACAATGAAGAAGTAATATGTTCAACTCAAAAATATGCTATACAGTGGTACCTCGCAAGACGAATGCCTCGCAAGACGGAAAACTCGCAAAACTAAAGGGTTTTTGGTTTTTTGAGTTGCTTCGCAAGACGATTTTCCCTATGGGCTTGCTTCGCAAGACGGAAACGTCTTGCAAGTTTGTTTCCTTAAAACCGTTAATACAGTTGCGACTTGACTTCGAGGAGCAACTCATAGCACGTGATGTGGTAGCCTTTTTGAGGTTTTTGAAGACTTTGGTGATTTTTGAAGCTTTTCCAAAACTTTTCCGACACCGTGCTTCGCAAGACGAAAAAAACCGCAAGACGAAAAAACTCGCGGAACGAATTAATTTCGTCTTGCGAGGCACCACTGTATTTACCTCATTCAAGGAAAACTAGGATATAAGTGTAATAATAAATAACATCAGCATTGTTGCTGATCTACTGCAAATTATATCTACTGGGATATCCTTATCCAAATTCTGTTCACCCATAGTGCAAAATGCCATTGTTGGATGACAACTTTTCCTTTTTCATCTATGTCCACTTTAGTATTAGTTACTTCTGTTACAACAGAAGCTGCTGCAGACCAAGTAGGCATTATAAAGTATTTATTTTGCTCAATTTAGATGCCATACCAAATCATGAGTAAGGAGTGCAATCCTCTGCAGGTTTACCAATGACTAAGTCTCACTATGTTAAGTGTATAGGATCTAACTATTATGGTTTAGCATGCTGACTGAATTGATATGTAATGATTTGCAATCAGTCAGCAAACCAAAATCATAAGTAATGGTTTGAAGTGTATCTGCACTTGCAAACTACATTATGTCTGAAATGACAAATTATAGTCATGGTCTTTGCTTCATTTCTAGAGTGCAAAGCAAAGGGAAAATGAAAGCAAACAGCTTTAAACCATGGTTTGCTTGTACATTGGAAGCTCAAAACATGATTTGGGCTCTAACCCACGCATAGGTAAACTCAGCCTGCCAGATGTTTTGAGGCTACAATTTCCATCATCCCTGACCACTGGTCCTGTTAGCTGGGATGATGGGAATTATAGTCCCAAAACATCTGGAGGGCCGAGTTTGCCTATGCCTGCTCTAACCTATGGTTAGAGCAAACCATGGTTTGATGTACTATGATATCTGAAGTAAGCCTGTGCTTTGACAAAAGCAATAGCTTTTGGTCATCAGTCCCACTTTAAGAAACAATGTAATGAACTTTGCTACTCTCAATGACAGAACAGTTTATGTAATCTAAATCTGCATATAGTCTAATACAAAAAGAAAAACAACAACATGTGGGCAAAATATGGAGGAGTATGACTCCCATCATCCCTGACGATTGGTCATGTTGGATTCAATTGACTAGACTCAGGAGTCCAACATCATGTGGAGGACCACAGATTCCACAGCCCTTCTCTAGATCAGAGACAGCACCCCTTTGCTGAGAATCTACCTTTTGCCCTGATTGTGAATTCTTGGTTGCTGCTAGGAAAAAAATGCTGGGCTGGATGAAATTTGCTTCTTTTCTCAATTTATAAATATATATTGTTTTCTCAAGTTATTTATAGTAAACTCTGCATATCTTTGCAACTTAGCTATTTGTCATTTCTATATGCATGGGTGTGGCATATTTCTTAACGCTAGGAAATGCTCTTCTTGCATGCTACCAGAAAAGCAAAAAATCAGGCATTTCTAATTGTTGCCATCTGCCGAGATGTTTCCTGCACACCTGGTGGGCAAGTTGCTTTCTCCAATGGGTGCATTCACCTTATTCCCAGAACTCTGACAGGACGAGACAGGCAAACTTACAAACAGGAAGGCTATGTACTCACACCTGTGCTCCACACCTTAAAAGTGGGGCTTACTTTTAGAGTTCAGGACGTACCCGCCCTGGAACCTGTTTTCAAAGGTTGCGCTTCTGCTATAAAACATGGGAAAGTGAGGGACGGACGGGGCAATGTGTCGTCATCGTCATCATCCCCATAATGAAGCATGTGCAGAGTGCCTTGCTCTGCCTTCCCGGGGGGTGGGGGCACAACCCTGACACACCTCTCTCAAAATTAGGTTAGGTGGCCGGAGTTGTATTGGCGGAAAGAACATGGATAAGGGATTCTCTTTTGTCCCTCGATCTGCCTGGGAGCGGGTGGAGGCGAGGTAATAAAAGGGGGAGCGGATGCAAGCAGCCAGGTATGCGAGCGGGGCACCCCGTCTTGTTTCGTGGGGCATCAGCCCGTCAGGGGAGGAGGAGGAAAAGCAGGAGGCTCCTCGCCCGCCTGCCCGACGTATGTCACGGAGAAGGAGATGGGCAGGACTGTGCTCGAGTCGCCCTCCCAGCACCAGGTGCGACCTGTTCCTGCCCTCCCCCTGGTTACCTGTGGAAGGAGACGGCCGCTCGACCCCGGGGAGCTTTGCCCTGCCGGTTGGAGCAATTCAGCGCCGCGCAGCAGATCACCATCTCGGGAGGCCGCGCGGGCGGCCCTGCCTCTCCCCCCACCTCCACCTCCTCCTCCCCCCGCTCCGCGTCCGTACAACAAGATGGCGCAGCCTGTCGAGTCACCTCAGCCGCCTCGCCGCACCCGGAACGGCCACTTCCGTACGGAAGGAGCAGCCGTTTCACAGGGGCGGTCCTCAGGCGGCGTTTGGTCAGAGCGTACGTGTATCTACAGCACACTTGCCTTTTTAAAAAACAACAGCAACGGCTTTTTACCTCACTGTAGGTACACAGAAAGACGGCCGGACTGTTGTGGGGCTTTAATATGGTTAGAATGGAAGTGTGACGTGAACTCCTAGACACTGCAATGTTGGAGGTGGGGGGGTAAGGAGGCGGGGCGTTTAGGTTCCGTACACAAATATGGCGGCCTCCACTGTCTGAGCTTTTCCTATCCTGTGGTGGTTGTACTACTCGGAGAGGTCGGGAGCACATCCTGAAGAAATCAAAGCGCCCCCCCCGCCCACTTCAGAAAGGTGCGAAGTTGGACCTAAAGGAGCCCGTTTGGCAGAGTCACCCTCTCCGTACAACAAGATGGCGCCTCCCTAGCATCAGGAGGAAGCGATGCGGTGCAGAAGAGCTTACTGACCTCTTCAGCGAACCTATCCGCCACTCAGATGGGCTGCGAAGAGCTACGCGATTGGGCGAGAGTCGGACAGTCGAGACGAGTAGGTTAGAGTGCGCCGTTGTGGTGGTCTGTTTCTGTAAGGAGACAGCCGTGGTCGCCCCTGAATCTTGAGCGGGGGCAGAATGGACGCGGGTGAGAGAAGGGAAATGTCTGGGTTGCTGGAATGGGGAGGCTGTTCGGGGGCCGGCGGGGGGCTTTCTTTGTGTCTGTGGCTCAGGGCGATTGGGGTGTGAAAGGGTGGAGGATCGGTCTGTTTTTCAGGAGAAGCTGGTGTTGCGGGATGGGCTAGGGAGAGGGTCGTTCAAAGAGTGGGGAGATGGAAGGGGGGCGCTCTGTGTCGGGGGCACAAGAGGTCGTGTCTCAAAAAAGAGAGGGGGACACACTTCCTTTATTGAAGAGGTCATTGGGTAAAGTTGTTAAAAGGAGTCAGGCGAACGTGGGACTTCGCCTCCCGGTCTCGTTTCTGTAATACACACACAGCTTGCTATGGCATTGTATGCTATTTATGCATTCCCTGCCCAAGCCAGCCTGTTTTTTGTCTTCCTAGCATTAGCATAGAATGGTGTTTTCAGTCCACAGTGCTGACGCTTCATCGCCGGTGGGTGCTGTGACCTAGTGAAATATGCCAGGGTTAAAAGTTTTATGAAGTTGACAAGAACTTGGGAATTAGTGGGAGTTGGTGAAGTTTGCGTGTGAGGCCTTGTAAGCTGAAAGTCTGTTTTTGTTTTTTTGCTCCCCGACATGTTGCTGCAGTGGATTCTCCTTGGGGCATTGTGGGACAGTGCGGCTCCATGACAGCTGGTTATAATACTATGTCCAAGTGCTACAACTAAGATGGAAAAACCGTGAGGATAGTAAAGAATAAGATAGCGAATCAAGTAACTCTCTTATTCTTCATCCCCTCCTTGAACTTCCCCAGTAGGTGGAAAAACATGTGATAGTCAAGGACTGAAGTTCTTAGGTCCGCCCCCCCCCCTAAATAAGATAACTTAAGCAAGTACACACACATTCTTAAATCTGTGCCCTACTGAACTTTGTTGAAAGCCCCTAGGTGCCTCCCAGATAACTGATCATTTCTGACAGAAATGCACAGTATTCTCTTCCCCCCCTACTGGCATACCCCTACTGATCAACTGTCATGTAGTAATCAGTTGTTCTGAATCCATCATGGTATGAAATGTATGGCTCCTAAAACTATACAAATACCCTACAAAAATATGTGCTCTTTATTCCATGGCAGCCCTATCTGTTGGAATTTTGATCAAGCCATATGAAGTGAAAATAATTAGAATTAGTTGCAATACAGTATTAGAGTCATTTGATTGCAGGTAACCTGTTTCCTTCAGCCAGAATGCTTGAGGGCAACTCAGAATTGTGTCTGTGATCACTTGCCTTGTGGAAGAAGATTCCTCGTTCAGATCAAATTGTTGGCTTTTACTTGCTGTGTATTTGATGTCAGCCACATTTTTTAAAATTACATTTGTATTCTGCCTGGTCTCTCAGGAGTTCAGAGTGGTATTTTAGTCTCCCAGAAGCCCTGTAAAATGGGCTAGACTGAAAAATAGTAATCTGTCCAGCACTACAGAGTGAGCTTTACAGCTAAAGACCAAACTATTAACACAGTTTGTCCTAGTATGTCTGTCTGTGTCTGTGGTTTTTTGATTTTTAGAAATACCTGGTGTGTGAGAGCTGTTTCAGGACTATAGTGTGGCAAAGGCATAAAGTCACCCTTTCCTCCATGCCGTGGTTCAGTCCAGCTGGGTTTGTATTGTGTGCAAGCTATTTTTTAAACAGGCAAACAGCCATAAAAGGGTTGATGGTGGTAATAATGTCATGACTACTTTGGCTGTTATTGGGTTTCCCATATCCAACTCTCTAGCCACTGCACCTACTGGCCACCTGTAGAAGGTTATTGTTATTATTATTATTATTATTTACAGTTTTGCTCTTCTGTTTTCTGTTGGTTGGTCACATGCTGAAGTCATGCAAAAGGGCACCCTGGGGCCTTTGTGGGTTTGGTGGTGGTAAATTTTAAAAAGATTTTCCCCAATTTCATCCCAGTCATATTTTGACATATTTAAGAATTTGGGCTTATCTCCAGTGCCTGAACACTAACCAATAATTTGCTTACTTTCTTGAAACTGGCACTATGATAAACACTTTATTTTAACATCGGTTGCTAAGGATCAGTTGCCCAAGAAGTTGCTCTTGAGCTAGTGAAGTGATGGCTCAGTAATTGAGGTTGCTTTCTTTATTGTAGCTTGGCATTCCAGAAACACTAACAGTTTATTTTGTTCTGATCTTTGACTATAATCATTGAGACATGAATAAGATTTTCTCATTACTAAGAGTCTTAACAATGGCCATTCTTTATCAAGCCTGGCCATTCTAGCTGTGGAAGTTGCAAAGCAGATAGAACAAGTGGTTTTGAGTTTTTTCATGTTGCCTAGGTTCACAGACAGCTGTGAGAATGATGTACCATTTCCCAGAGTGTAATGGCAGTTCCTTGTTATATTTCATTTTTTGTCCTTCCTTTGACGTGTAATATAGAATCATTTGTCTGTAAAAATGATGGCTGTGTCCGGATAGGCGATGCTTTGACCAGTGAAAATAACTGTGCATGAATAGCCTATAATGGTGGTAATTGGCCTGTGTTATTTATTTATTTTTGGATTTGCTTCCTATGAAACTTATTGAAGCAATTTCACAACACAATAAAAACAGTTAAAACAATTGCATATATAAAACAATTTCAAATAAATTCAGATGCTGACAATGGAGACTCTGCCTGTCTGATATATAATGGGAGGGATTTCCAAAGGGTAGGTGCTGCCATATTAAATGTCCAGTTCTCGCACTGTGTGGAACACCCTTCCTGATAAGATGGCATCTCTTTGTTTTAAGTCACTTTGAGTCACTTTTGTGAAAACAACAAATATTGATGGGGGTAAATAAACTGGATGCTTTCTTTGCCGGTTTGTGACTATTTACTACTAGTACTACTACTACTAATTTTATTATTTGTATGCTGCCCATCTGACTGGGTTTCCCTAGCCACTCTGGGCAGCTCCCAACAGAAAAATAAAAATACGTTAAAACATCAAACATTACAAATTTCCAATAATAATAACATAATACGTCCAGAATAGAGAAAACTATGTTGACTGCATCACTACAAATCTGGACTTCCTGATTGCTTCCACTTTGTTAAAACTATGTTTGTGAGAGTCCTATTTCCTTTGGATGAAAGAAAGTATGGTGATATAATATATGAGGTGCCAGTTGAGGGAATAAAAAAATAGATATTAAACAAAAATGAGTGAAGATCATACAATAGAATAGAAATAATAATACTTACAGTACATGGGTTCTGGTGAGAGGAGGGGGGATTTTTACTCTCCCTTTTATGGATGTCAGTGTGCTCATTGCAAAATAAATCAAATAATTATATTTAATTTATTTCCCGCCCAAATATTCTAATTTTGGGGGGGAGGGGATAAAATAAATATAATCAGCAGCAGCAGGTTGCCATCTCCTGGATGATCTTTTAGCTTTCTATGTATAGTTGAGTCCTTTTGATTGCTTTTCTGACTCCTTGCCACAGTTAATTGACAAGAGTTTTTCCTTGTACTGTACACTTGGTAAGGTTGCCAGAAGTTATTTGTTCCAGAGCAGCCCCATAGAAGTCAACAGATGAAAGATACTGCAGCTGGCACAACAAGCTAATAATCTAAACCATGTGCTTGTGTATGCTGGGACCATCTTTCTGCTGCTTATCATCATACTAACTTCTTGACCACAGTATCATGTGGTTTATAATATATATCAATCTTGATATTGAAACATCTTAATGCAGAGGAATTATTGATATGTGACTTGATGGGCATCCTCACTGTCTGGGAACAGAATATAATAAACAAGCAGTGGGGCATGATGCCCTCTAAGGTGAGGCTGCAGAGCATGTGAAATTTGAACTGAATGTATGATCTGGAGATCTATTGATTTTTTGACTACACAAAATGAAGAAGGTCAAGGAGAGAAAGATGTGACATTGAGGGGCATATTTGCTTCAGAACCTTGATTTGTTCATGTTGATTCAGATTCCTAGGAAAGGGCTGTATGGTTCCTTTGGTGTTGCTAAAGAGGCCTAGAATTTTCTCTTTTTATAGATTTCAGCCTCCTGCTACTTGTTCATCTTGTTACTTTTACTGTTGCAGATACAGTGGTACCTCGGGTTACATACACTTCAGGTTAAATACGCTTCATTTTACAGACTCCGCTAACACAGAAATAGTGCTTCAGGTTAAGAACTTTGCTTCAGGATAAGAACAGAAATCGTGCTTCAGCGGCGCAGCAGCAGCAGGAGGCCCCATTAGCTAAAGTGGTGCTTCAGGTTAAGAACAGTTTCAGATTAAGAACGGACCTCCGGAACGAATTAAGTACTTAACCCGAGGTACCACTGTATGAGTAAATTGGGGAACGGTTATATTTGTTTATCAGATTTCTTTCCTACATTGGATCCCAGGGTAGGCTGCAACAATATAAAATACAATATGTCAATAAAATACAGTTAAAAAGCATTTAAACAGGTCCATCTCTCATGTAAACCCCAATATACTCCGGTGACTTAGACAAGTGGTTCTCAAAGTGGGTGGCAGGCATGCCAACTCCTAGGAGTTGGAAGTGTTTTCAACTCCCTTGAAATCAGCTGGCAGGGGGCCGGGCCCCCTCAATGCTGAGGGGGTAGAGGAGGCCGAGTGAGGAGCCGAGCGTGGCTGGTTCCTCCTGAACATGAGAGAGGAAGCCATGCCACACTGGGCTCTGCCTTCTCCTGTCAATGCAACGTGTGCATGATGTCACACACTTGCAATGTGCACTGGGGCCCCTCAATCTTAAGTGTAAGGCAGTTCCTCTGCTAGATGGTGCCCACCTGGGAGGGCAGTGGGATTACCTGGGGGGAGCACAAGAGGCAGGGGCACTGCAGGTGTAAATGACTATCAGCCTTTGAAAAGCTGGTATCTTTGGATCAGGGTCGTCAATTTTGCCGACTTAATTAAACTATATATTTTGAATTGGATTTTGAATACGGTAAATGTGCAGTTGTTACTGTTTTGAATTTTATTGTGCGAGTATCTTCTTTAGTGGGTTGTGCAAACTGCTATTCTGAGTAATGCTTTTTACGGGATAAGATAAGGGACACTGGAGAGGGGTTTTTAGAACCAAGGGGGAGGTACGAAAACATTTGGGACCCACTGCTTAGACTAAAGGAAGAGTTCTGTCTTCAACTGGTACCACAAAACAGGCAAAGTAAACACCAGCCAAGCTTCAAGAGAAGAGTGTTCCACAACCAGGACACCATTGCTAAGAAGGCCCTCTGGCAGTGTAGCATGGAATAAGTGTTGGAGTGTCTATTTTGCTCCCAATAAAAGTGAAATGTAAGACAGGTTCCTAATCTGTAAATTGGGAGTGAAATAGCACTTCTGGGGATGAGGGAGTCTTCCTTGCAGCCTAAATCCCTGAAGGGTTATGAGGAGTGAAGTGTGTAAATTTTGAAAATTGCATAATATTCTTCTCATCTAACTCAAGGAAAGTTGTAGCCTTCAGCTTTTTCCCTCTGAGTTGTTCTTGCTCTGTTACCTTATCTCCTGTTGCTCCTCCTATCTTTATTGTTCTTTCTCCAAAAAAACTGAAACCGAAAAAAGTGCAGCTGGTGGCTTTGGTGTGACCCACCGGTTGAAAACCACTTGAGAACGTACAATGAAAGACCAGAATCTAGATGTAAGTGGCTGGATTCCAGCAGAGTATCTATCTTGGCAGACAGTGAACAGAAAATTCAGCTTGACATGGAGCAATGTATGTCATGTTGTTCATAAATTGGCTACTGGTTCTTTTGCTGTGTGTTTGGGTGTGAGTAATGATGATGAGGCCACTCCCACTATTGGCTTGTCTTGTGTCTACATATGCTGGAAAAGGAAGAAATGAAATGTTGAGGTTTTAAGATTAGTGATGGGCAGATCAGTTCATAAGCGTGCATTTATCAATCCATTCTTTTCTATGTTGGTGTGGTGCTTTTAAAAATCTTTATGAAAATGCACATTTAAATATGGATTTTTGAACTTATTTTCTCCCAAAATATATTTAGAAATGTGCATTTTATCTGAAACCACACATTAAAAAAAATCTTTTTAATACCTCTTTGAGTAAGGAAACTGCATTGCAAAAATCTGGTAGGTATAACCTCCAAACCTTAGCTACATGTTGATCCTTACATGCAGGGACAAAAGCCTCAAAAGATTAGTGACGGTCTTGTGTATTTTTGTTTTTGAACAGCTACGCTCACGTACGATACTCTCAGGTTTGAGTATGAAGACTTCCCGGAAACCAAAGAGCCTGTTTGGATCCTGGGGAGAAAATATAGTGTATTAACAGGTATTTGAAGGGCTATAAATACTCCAGTCAGCTGTGTTGCTAACTCTACTTTTTGAAGGATTGGGGTATATGTTTGTGGCTTTGATTTAACAGCTTGCCTTTCTCTTTTCCCTTCTTAACTACCTCCACTGAATATTCATAGAGAGAGCAGTCATCATTCAAATACCGATGTACAGTCCATCCTCCTTCCCCATTTTCCTGAATGAGCTTAGGCTCTGGAATCTAAAGGCTAAAATAAAGAGAGAGAGAGAGCTCCTAATAAAAGATGAAATGTTAATGTGTATTCTCCCACATGCATACTGTATTAGTCTTGGCTTAGTTGTCTTGTAACTTTTGTAGTCTGTAGTCCAGAGAGCTGATGAACCTAAAAGATTCCTTAACCTCCCTAAAAGGAACCACTTTTTAAAAAAACTTTTCTTGGTTTGGTTAATTAATTCAGTGACAGTACCACTGAATCAGCACAGTGTCAACGCACTTCCAGAAAAAATGACATTTGGTGTTTTCACTTCTTTAGAGAAAGAGGAGATCCTGTTAGACGTGACCTCTCGTCTTTGGTTCACATACAGAAAAAGCTTTCCTGCCATTGGTAAGTAGGAGAGTTCATTCACTCTGTTACACCATAAATGAAGGTGGTTTATTTCTTTGTACCCAATTGCCCCTTAGCCCAGTGATGACAGCAGGGATCATGTGTTGAGTTGTGCTCCCAAAATCTGAAAGCCCTGTTCTGCTCTTTGGAGGGTGGCATAGAAGCATGTTGCTCTGCTAGGTTCTGGAAAGCAACTTTACTTCTTCCTCTGTTGTGATGTGACATTTGATTCTATTTCTGGTATTCATAGAAAAAGGAAATGTGCTCCCACCTTGAAAACAGGAAACACACACAAAAAATGCAGAAGTTGAAAAATACAAAGGAAGCTTGTTTTGGAGGTCGGGTGTGTGATGCTTAGAAGTCTATTCCCAGAATAATTTATTTGTTGCATATCTGTATACCCATACCCTGGGATCACTTGTTGGGTGAAAGGTGGATTAGGGATGAAAAGAAACATGAAATAGATCAATACTTGACTTGCAAAAGAGGAAAATAGCTTATATTACTTAAAACAATTTGACGATATGTTACTTTCAATAACATTGCTATTGGATTTTTTTAAAATGCTCTGGAAGCCAAAGTTGATAGTTCTAAAGAATGCTGAGGATGGAGAGAATTTTCAAGAAGGTGACAACCCATTCCATTTTAAGGTGTTAAAAATAATAATTAGAAGTATAGGTGGAAATTAATGTTTTCTTATAGGGTTAGGGTTACATGGAAAGCATTATACTGAGTCAGACCTTTGGTCTATCTAGCTCACTAATGTCTATACTGATTGCCAGTGTAGTGTGTTCTAGACAGAGGACATTCCCAGCTGTACCAGGAGATACCATGGATTGATTCTGGGACCCTCTGCATATAAAGATATTCTACCACTGAATTAGGGCAGTGTGTGAAACTCCCATTGTTCTAGGTGCATTTTGCAACTGGGAATTTCATTAGTGTGAGCAGTTTCTGAGCTCTGGGTGCAGTACTGCACCTAAGATTTCAGATTAAAACTGAAGAGTGGAAGAAAAGGAGGACCTTTTTCTGCCTCCCTTACTTCCAGCTACTCTCTGAAGACTGGAGAAGACACCCTTTTAAGAATATTAGGGGGGTGGGCATGGGAAGGACTAGACCAGGGGTAGGCAACCTAAGGCCCATGGGCCGGATGCGGCCCAATTGCCATCTCAATCCAGCCCGCTGACGGTCCGGGAATCAGCGTGTTTTTACATGAGTAAAATGTGTCCTTTTATTTAAAATGCATCTCGGGGTTATTTGTAGGGCATAGGAATTCGTTCATTCCCTCCCCCCCCAAAAAAAAAATATAGTCCGGCCCACCACATCGTCTGGGGGACGGTGGACCAGCCCACAGCTGAAAAAGGTTGCTGATCCCTGGACTGGGCCATGCGAAAAATGAGCATAATACTTTAGCTGCTGTTCATTCATTTTCAGCTTTGTATTCTTGTTATAAAAAAAAGTGCCTAGACATTCCGTTGTTGCACCTATAAGCTAGGTTTAACGTTCCATTTAGTACTAACTTTCATATCTCAGTTTCTAACACTGAATTAGGGTCATTACCCTTCTCCCAAGTTATGACCATGGGGGATTGGGACATTCAGTTTGTATACTTAGAAGTTGTTTCTTCTTACAATGGCTACAAAATATCTGTAGCTCTTTTTCCAATACTATGTGTAATCCGGGTTCAATTCAATAAAAACGTGTGTATGTGTGTTACATAAATATATTTTACTTCCTCTAATTTTTGCATTTGTTTTTCTGAGCTGAAGAGAAGACCAATATGATACAGTGCAGTCCTATGAATGCCAATGCAGAAATAAGTCATACTGTGTTCAGTGGGTCTTAACCCCAACAAATGTAAATAGGATTACAGCCATAGCCGGGTTTCTGGGCTTTCCAACCTATGCCTGCTCAGGTATACAGCAAAAATCACATTGCCTCATACCACATATGCCACACGTGCCACTATGGTTGGTTTCTGTTCTTTCTTTTTGGTTGCAGGGGGAACAGGTCCTACATCTGACACTGGCTGGGGCTGCATGTTAAGGTGCGGTCAGATGATCTTTGCTCAGGCCTTGGTTTGCAGACACTTAGGCAGAGGTAAGTCAAATCCCCCCCGAAACAAATGAATATGGTACTGTGACAATGTGATATGTTTGTGTGTTCAGATACCAAAAAGGCCTTTTAAAAGCTGTATTTAAACTGTGATGAACTGGACAATAAAGCTGTCCCTTAATAAAATATTCCAGTTCAGCCTTAGTAGCACCATCTCCTTCATAATAGATATTATGTTGGGTAAAAGTGCAATTCACAAGGGACATGCTAACCTACAGTTATTTTGGTGGTGGGTCAACTTGCTTGCTCCTTGCAGTGTGAAGTGTTTTTTGAGCATGGATTTGTCACAGTAGGAATAAATCATTGCTGTTAGTGCTACATGACAGGAATGCAAGTAAACACTCAACTGGAGGGTGTTAAAACAAGACTGAGGTGTCTTTCGCTACCCAGAGACCACACTGGAAAGTAAAATGTTGATTTTGCTTTCCTTTTCTTTGCCAAATGGTTTTGTTTAATAGTTCGGGATTATAGTCTTCAATATTCTTTGTCATTTTTTGTGATGTTGTGAAAACAAATAATGTGTGGAGTTGAGAAAATTGATTAGATCTTCTATATCTCAGATTGGAGGTGGGTGAAAGGGAAGAAGCAAATGGAAAACTATTACAATGTTCTAAATGCCTTCATTGACAAAAAAGACAGCTACTACTCAATCCACCAAATAGGTAAGATGGATACCTATGCTGTGTTTCTATGCCTTCCTTGCAGTAAGGAGTTCCCAATTTTTATTTTTTTGAGGGAAACTACTTATAAATTGCACTGTTAACTATATACTAAGAATGTGGACTGTGTTTAGACAGTAAACTCATGCCAACTAATGAGGACAATGGTATATTCAAAGCATCTGTTGCTGTTGCTGTAAATGAACAAAACAACATATGTTGTTTGTGCTGTTCAGAAAGAGAGGTCGTTATGTGAGTTTTGGAGGAGGAGGAGGAAACATGGTGAAGGAGGTGATTCAGATTTCACATTTTATGGAACTAGGTGATCTAGATGTGGGCCATTTCAGAATTATGCTCGTTTCTATAATAGTGCAATCCTATATATATCTACTCAGAAGTAAACACCATTGGGCTCAGTGGGACTTTCTACCAGGTGCATAGAACTGTTCCTGAAGTCTTACTTGTCAGTGAGTTACCTGTATTTTTCCTTTGTAGCTCATGTAGACAACACTATAGCCCATGCAATTAGACTTTTATCATTTCCTATTGTAAATCTTGTCCCAGAGAAGAAGGCTCTAATCAAGAGATTTTACTCTGCAGGGTAGGCTACTGTACAGTGAGATAGACCTTCAACTTCCTTTCATCTATAACAATACAAACAAGATATCCTGGCACATCTACTTCACAGAATGTGGGGTGAAATGCACACAAAGTGAAACCCAGTGAGACTTTCTTGAATAGCCTTCTATTCAAAATCTTCATGCTTCTTCTGAGCAATCAAATTACTAGGGAGCCATTAGAAATCTATTTGTTTTTAATTTTTAAAAAGTCCACTGTGGTTTGACCTTTGATATTGCCCTAATATTGTCCTGCTCACAAACAAATGAAGACAATGGTATATTTTAAAAAACTGTATGCTTTATATCTGGTGCCAGAGAACAACTCTTGCTGAATGTTTTCACTAGACAAAGTCCCTTGTGAGTCTGTCTCTGACAGCTGTATATATCACGTAAATGGTCTTGTGAATCCACTTTTGGATGGATGGACCTCCTCCATATTTAGTGACCATCTGATACTAGGTACTCTCAACTTCATTAGGAATCACAATTAAATTAAAACGAGCAGTCTGATACTATGCATGCTTACTGAGAAGTAAATCCCACTGAGTTAAGTCTGCTGATGCTGTGGTCCTCTACTAATTTATCCAAGTAAATAAGACTCCTGAAAATAATTAGGATAAGAAAAACAGACAGTGTGACTGTTAACGCCCATTCATATGCTTGGCTGAGGTCAAGCAGTTAAAAAGAGTCAATGGATTCTCTGTGTGTGGCGCGTTCTAAGATTTTTGAGGACTGCTTGAGAGTAACTAATGAAAAGTCAGGAGTTGCCCCAATGGACATCACAGTGATTGGCAGGACCCAAACATATGTAGCAAACACAGAAGTTCTAATGCTTTCAAGGCTAAGGTACAGAAATGTGTTCTTAGGGATTAATGGAGAAGGCAGGAAACATGTTATAGCCCTGGTCTCCAAATATGCCAAGCAGCTGCAATATCATTTAAGGAGAGCTGTGGGTTCTTGGCATCTCTCAAAATCTGGTGAACAGAATGGTTTTTCCAACAACAAAAACTGTGTCAGATTATTATGGCTTTCCCCATGGAAGCACATTTTTGGTACTTTCCTTGATGCTTCTGGAGATGTCTTGTGCATTACGGAGTACGAGCATTTCTCCCCCACTTTTTAATACCTAAATCATTTCAATAGTGATTAGAACGCTTTTCCTAAGCCTTCTAATATGCCTTCTTTGAGGAGTTTGCAGATTGTTGCTTGATACATTTTGCAATTATTTCACGGGCCTTTGGCTCCAGAGAGGTAGCAAAATCTAAGTATCTGCTAACTAATTGAAGTACCCATAGTGTTTCAGAAAGAGCCTTGACTGAAATTATGGAGCAGTTATGGTTTGTTTGCTGTTTGCTGTTGCAGCCCAGATGGGAGTTGGAGAGGGGAAATCCATAGGCCAGTGGTATGGACCAAACACAGTTGCACAAGTACTCAAGTAAGTGCTCAGGGAATCCAGCTGTCTTGGGTATTATTATTTTTTAGTACACTAAACTCTTAGTAACTGTTACTGTGCTAAAAATTAGAATTATTTGCCTTGGATCGAATGATTAGAAAACATTTATCCAAATCAACACACATATATGCAGTTCTGACTTACACCATATCACAATATGCATTTTGTATTGTATTAGTGGAAGGGGTGATTGAGGTTAGGGTTCCATATAAGTAAAGAGTCTATGAGGAAGGCGGATAACACTACGTAGATATTCTGCCTCACTGGTTATTAGAAGGCCAGCCTAGACCATGTCTCATCGCTGACATTTTACTATGATGTTTGTATTTTATACACACGGGAAACATCTCCTGTGAAATAAGAGCTGCAATAACTTGCTCGCTAAAATAATATGAAAAATAAGGCTTGGGGTACCATATTTGCTACATGACTACCACCGGGTAGCAATCTGGATTTCCAAAGTGTTCTAAACCCTTGATGTAGTGGCAGATTCTCGTTTCTCTAATGCATTTGCCTCTAACTTTCTTCTCGTTCTCTTCCTTCTAGAAAACTTGCCACTTTTGATACATGGAGCTCCTTGGCAGTGCACATAGCCATGGACAATACTGTTGTGATGGAGGAAATTAGTAAGTGTTTCCTTTGTGGGGCTGTGTTGTCTTTTTGATGAAATAAATCTATATGGAATGGAATGGAACTGTGGAGTGTCTATGTTACAGCAATGCTTCCTGACTCTCATTGGGGATGTGCTTTAGAACCCAACCAGAAAAGCCAAATGAGTACAATTAACTTTCATCATTTCAGATTGTAAAGTGAAACTGATTCTTAACTATGAACAAGGGCACTTCTTTTAAAAAGGGGAAAGAATTTTACAAATATCAGACCACTGACTAATTTAGGTGGGGCATGTTAGAGGTGGGTGCCGGAAATAGGACAAGAGCAGAAATCTTCTCGAGTGCTTTCATATTGTGCTTGGAGGAAAGTGGAAAGTTTAGGTCCTATTGTTGGTGCCCCGACTCTTAAATTCTGTGAACACAAAGGATGGTTTTTTGGCAGCTCTTTGAGACTTTTGCTGAAAGTGTTTCTGCTTATGACTTATCTCTTCATAGGAAGGCTGTGCAAGCTCAGCTGTCCATGTCCTGGGGCTTCAGCATTTCCTGCTGCAGAATCAGACTTGCTTTCCAATGGTTATCCAGATGGAGCAGAATGTATGGACAGGCTATTGTCCTGGAAACCTTTGGTACTCCTGATACCTCTTCGCCTTGGTCTCACAGACATCAATGAAGCCTACATTGAAACACTGAAGGTAGAGGTGGAAATTACTTACCTGGGAGCAGAACTTGTTTATGAGTAGACATGCCTAAATTGTGCTGTCAATTACCTTGCTCCTTGCAAATCTTGTGCACTGCAGTGGTCCTCCTTTGCGGCAGAACATTTGTTCTAAAAATGAGTGTTCTGCTGCCTTTTCCTGAATAATCTGCAGGCCAGCATGTGTCTCCATGTTTCTAAACACAGATTGTTCTTTACTTGAGTAGTTTTTCCAGTTTATGCCAGCTAATATGTGACTCATTGCCTGTCTGTTTTCCAGCACTGTTTTATGATGCCTCAGTCCTTAGGAGTCATTGGAGGAAAACCTAATAGTGCTCATTATTTCATTGGATATGTAGGTGAGTAACTGTCATCAGTGAGTACATCAGTGGGTTACCTAGCTAAATTTTGGGAGTACAGCTATAAGCCTACCAAGGGAGCAACTTTATCAGATGCACATTGCCATGTCACATGGCACGCCTTGCCATTAAAGAAGAATGCTTTGCTAAATAACAAATCTTTGTGTATCATTTTGGTTTAGATAAAGTATTAATTGTTGAGAAATAGAGTCAGTGCTTCCCCCCACCCCTAGAAAAATAGGTGCCAGAACTCACCATGAAGTTGTTACAGTAAGTGTCACAATGTTTAATAACAAAAAAGAGGTGCCAGTACTGTGTGCCCTTGGGTACCCCCTGAAAAAAAGGCACTGAATTGAGTGGTCCCTCATGCATTACCATCTTACGCCATTTTTCACTGTTTCCTTTTGCAAGTATTTAAGACCTCTCTGACTTTCCCATTCTTGATCTTCCTGAAATGTAGCAACAGCGTACATTTGATCCGTTCTCTTCCCATGGGAAGTCTAATATTGTATTTCTTTTTTATGGCGTCTATTTTTGTCTAGGTGAAGAATTAATCTATCTTGACCCACACACTACTCAGCCTGCAGTGGAGCCCATGGAGAGCGGCCACATCCCTGACGAGAGTTTCCACTGTCAGCATCCACCCTGCAGAATGAGCATTGCGGAGCTTGATCCTTCAATTGCAGTGGTGAGTGTGTGCACCTGCAGTGAACTTTCACGTTGTGAGACAGCTGTTAACTGTCTTTCAGCTCTCCATTAGTTTCCAGCTGATTCCTCTCCCTACAAGGACAGTGGTTTTGTCTTGCCTCCCTCCCATCTTCTCACTATACTAACCATTTAGCTTTCAAAATGTGTCTGCTTCTCAAAACATATCCAAGATATATTCATTTACACAGAACACGAGACACGATTCCTGCTGATCTTGAAGGCATTTTCCATTTTCTGTTAATGTTAAGCCGATGCAAACTTTGCCTTTCCTTGTAGGGCTTCTTCTGCAACAATGAGGAAGACTTCAATGACTGGTGCCAGCAAGTAAAGAAGGTTTGTCTACAGCAAGTCCTTTGGTAAAAAAGGATAATATGTGCCCAAGTAACTTTTAAAAAATTATAGAAGTGAATTCAGCTTTGACTAATACATTTGAACAGAATTAGCATTAATGCAAAAATGTGTTGACCATATGATCTTAGCTTGACTTCTTTGAGACCAGGGCCTTTCTTAATAGCCATGTGACCAGCATCTAGGATAAGTCAGGATTGAGGAACCTGTGGTGTTTTAGATGTTGCTGGATGCAACTCCCCTTAACCCTGTTCCCTATTAGCCATGCTGACTGGGGCTGATGGCAGTTGGAAGTCCAGCAACATTGAGGAAGCCACAAGTTCCCCATTCCTGGGGCAAAGGAACGTTCAGGTTGTACTTAACTAGGGAAATGTTTCAGCTGCTTCTCTTTTTAAACCTTTTTGCCTGCTGCTCCTCCTGTGAAGTTCCCCATTAAAGATATATTTGTTAATATATTTATTGATCATTTGCGTCCTCCAGGATTTTTTTAAAAAGTCATGGTGTTTTGTAAAAAAGCATCTAAGGCTACAATGCTATGCAAGCTTTTAATAGTAATCAGCCCAAAATGGGGACTAAGCCCTAATGAATACATCCAAACTTACTTTGAAGTAAACATACTTTGCATTTCACTGTAAAATGATATTAAATAAGCAATAGCTTTTAAAATAAATCCATAAAGTGTGAAACTGTCTTGCTCAGCATTAACAAGTTATGGTAAACCCTAGAAATAACTTGACTGAGGAATTACCAGCTAGTTGTACACTTTCCCCATTATTTTCCAACAGTTGTCACTGATCAGAGGAGCCCTACCAATGTTTGAACTGGTTGAACACCAGCCTTCACACTTCTCTAGTCCTGATGTTTTGAATCTTACTCCAGGTAATGCTTGCCTATTTGACTGTTTTTTGGTTACTCCAATTGCATAATTGTTGTGGTAGCTTTTATTTCTTCTTAGCCTAAAGTATATATCCTAGATGAGGTATTCGGCATTGGAAAGCCCACTGAAATTATTCATTTCAGTTGCAGTTTTGGAATGTTTAACCCCATATAGAATCACTATTGAAATGAAATCCCTTATGTGGACAGATGGGACATAGTGACCATTTAGGCACACTTTCTTTCATTAGAAGGAATGAGGAGACCAACCTATTTCTTGTCAGAAATATTATGCATACGCTTGTGATACTGGTCTCCCTTCTAGCAAAATGTTAACTAATGCTTTACTTATTTCACCATTCCTGCTTGTGGGAAAACGTTTACCTTTAAATACTATTTTCTCTATAACTGTAACAAATCCCCCTTTTGTTGTTGTTAAATTTATATCCCACTGTTTCTCAAGGTGACTTATGTGGGTCTCCCCCTGCTGTTATTCTCACAACAATCCTGTGAAGTAGGTTAGAGTTGACTGACTCGAGGTCTTTCTGTGAGCTGCTAGACTGAATGGAAATATAAACCCTGGTTTGCTAGGTCCTAGGTCTCTCCAAAACTCCTCTCTACAAATTTTAACGGAGAATATTTGGTAACATTGTCATTACATAATTTTACAGCCGCAATTAATATTTGACAACCAGCATACAATATTTAGTAAATTATAACTCTTAAGTAATCTCTTGAGTAGGTAAAAAACCCAAATATTGTTTAATTTTGATGTCAGATTCAGAATCTGAATTTTGAGGTGAAATTCCAAATTGTGAAACTTTAAATTTTGTCAAAGGTTTGCGAAAATCCTTATCAGATCTGATTTGAAATTTGTTTCTAATATTTATCATAAAATTATAGCATGCTTTGCTTGAGTTTCTGCTTTTTAGTGTACACTAACATTTTATGTGGTTTCTGTTGGGACTGTTTAACATTTTTTGCCAGTACAATGATCTGTGTGTTTCTGTTGCCCACTCATGTCAAACTGGACTTGTTAAATTAGCTGGACATGGTGAATCTCATTGCCAGCTACTTGAACTTGTTCTCTTTGGATCATAGACACCATGGCAATGTTGTTGTTTTTTGCATCTAACCTTATACGGGGAATATGGTGAAGAGACTCACATGTAATTAATAATGTGCCCAGGCGCTAATTCACACTTTCAAAGCAAAGTATTGTGCTTTGTGTAGTATGTATCATGTGTAATATGCAAGGGAACAAGCATAGCTATTTCAGGATAAAGAGTGTAGCATCATAGCACTTTAGTATGCTCTCACTCTTCAGAGCTAGGGAAATTACAATATTCATTGACCTCTCCCAGGTATAACAGGAACAGAGCCCGTTTGCATGTTATCTGATCAGTTATTTTCTTTTACCTGCACAAGCAATTTTCCATAATGTGCTGGTTCCGAAAACAGTCTAGTAGTGTTCCTGGTCTTCTTGATAGATCTAAATATATGTGCTAGTGCAAATAATTCCAGGACTATATTAATTATGATTATACCTCTCTCTGCCTTTCAGATTCTTCCGATGCAGACAGACTGGAAAGATTCTTTGATTCAGAAGATGAAGACTTTGAAATCTTATCTCTTTAAAGAACAATAAGAAGCTAACTCTGCCAATATGTGTTGTGGGGGGAGGGGAGCTCCATGGAGAGCCTAGGGCTACCAGCTTTCATAGGTGCTTGTTGACATCCCTGCCTCCCATCCACCCCAGCATTCTGTGCAGCCTTGGAGCTGAGTGGATTTTTTTGCAGTGGGATCAAGAAACGGGTCATCATTTAAGGCCTTAATAGATTTAGTCAGGCTTTCTCTGTGCAAGAGTACCTGCAGGAAAAGGAGGCAGTGTTTCCTAGGAGCTGAAGATTATTTTTATGTTAGCAAGCCAAAAGGGTAAGAAAGAATAGGAAAAGCCCTTCTGAGTGCTTGGTTCTTACAAGTTCTGTTATTAAGGAAAACTTAAAATCCCATTTGCTTCTGTCTCACTTTTTGTAGTTTGATGTGGAAACCAGCATAAAATACAGACACCTATCCAATAGCTGTCTCTTTAGCCCAGCAGAATGTGTTCTGTGTAAATTGGGGGGTAAAAGCTCTCACAAGATGATTTGCATCAACTGTTGCTACTCATGCTTTAATTTATCTCGGATACAGTGCTTCCAGAAAGATGTATTACTGCTTTTAAGTTCCAAAATGGCCCTTCATTTTGAACTCCCATACTCTGCCCGGTGGTGTCATTCTAGAAATCACGGAATCTCATCATGCATAGCAAAGAAGTATGGGTCGAAAATTACAAATATAGCTTTTCAGTATACAGAGTAGGGAGGGCTTGGACAAGTGCTCTCTTTCAGCTTGGAGGCCATTCACAGCACATCCAAAAGGAAGAACTGGCAAGTTAACCAGGATATGGCTTCATTAAATATAACCTGTATTTGTTGGGTATTTTTCTATTCCATATTGAAAATATGGTGGCTGCTATTTAATAAAATGTGGTGGTAGAAACATCCACCAGCTCACTTGAATTGAAAGTACCTCTGCTTCCTTCTCTTGATTCCATCTTTGTTTTTAGATTCTGATCATGAAATCCGGAGATTGTTACATGGATTTAAAATGCTTTGCTTTAATGCCAAAATTGTGATATTAAAAGCCTGGTGTGGTTATTGCCAGAGGCTTGGCCCCCTCTTTCTTTCCCTGGTTTATACACTACACAAGGTTAAGTTTCTCTTGCGTGGTGATGTTCACTTGCTTTTCAGTTTTATGTTGTGACTTGTAAGGTATACTAGTTTCTATAGAAAAGCTCAGCAGATTCTGGATGCCTTGAAATGTTAATTTACCAGCTCTCAGCTAGGCTGGAAATGGTGGCTGCTGTACTCTTAAAATAGCATTAGAGCTACCTTTGTTTAGAAGAGATGAGAATGGCTGGAGAGGACCCGCCACTCCCCCACCCCCAAGTATTGACCACCTTTTTGAAATTCAGTCGCTTCATTGATGGATGCTGGAGGTGGCAAATATGTTTACAAAGCATTTTTTCCTGCATTTATCAGCAGTGCTATCAGCCTAAAAGATGGCAGTATAGCCATCTATAAAGTAACTGCATCTAGGGGTAACTGGTCTACTGGTAGTAGGTAGTAGGTCTGATTGCCCCTTAAAGCTGCCATAGCAGAGGTCTGAACCATGATGCTTATTTGTCATTGTTATAACTTGCTGTCTTTCTCTTGCTGTTTCTCCTCTCCTCTTGATCATAGACTTTTGGAGGGAGAGGAGGCAGAGGAAGTGGGGCTGTGCTCCATTCATCAACTGCTTTCAATTTGTATCTGAATAAACCAAGTTAAAAGAAACCTTTGTATTTTTGGTACTTCTGCCCTGCTGAGTCGGAAATGTCAGACTAATTGAAAAGTGGGTCATAACCAAATGCTGTTTGCAACATATTCCATGAAATTTTTGGCCTGCTCTGTAAGATAGGGTAGAGTCCCTTCCCCTGAAGGATCAAACCAGGAGTGGCAAGAAACATTCTGCTCACTTCTCTCCTCCATATTCTGGTACTGCTTGCTTTGTGAGGCCAAAGCTGCATTTTTCATAGAATCAGAATTGTAGAGCTGGAAGGGATCCTGAGGATCATCTAGAATCAAGTCCCTCAGGGCCTCTCCTTGCACGCTGCTTGACAATGCTTGGTCGATCTCTGTGGAAGCCAGAGCATTTCCCCACCAGTTTGTGCGATGCAACGGGTGCTCCTGGGACATGCTCGGTTCCCTACTTATCCTGTGACAAGGGCAAAATATAGGACAGGATCTGGCACTGGTAGATGCCTCACTGCTCTTGTTGAACATGTGCTCTTCTAGTCACTGAGTCTGGGACCAAACTCCTGGTTTCCTTCTGCATTGCTGAGAAGTAGGCAACCTCACTAGGAAGCAAAGAAGATTGATCCTGCTTATATAATACAGGGTATAATGTCATCCCAAGGTTACGGACTAACTTCTGGGAGAGGCAGAAAAATGAGGTACTTGTTATGTCCTAACACAGCAATCAAACATGAGGCCTAAAGGTTGCATGCTGTCCTTGAGGCTTTGATAGCCCTGGCACTGCCAAGGATGGTGCTGGGGATGAAGCGTAAGAGCTCAGACAAGGTCCTAGAGTCCTCCACCTTCCCAAAGCCTAGTTAGTGCTTTTTCAACTTTGAGAAGAATGTGAGGGCTCTAGGACCCTGCCAGAGCCCCATGCCTGCTTCCCCAAGTCCAGCGCCTTGCGAGGGCTGGGTGTTTGTATCTTTAGTTTTCTATGTACTTCTGTTTTCCTTTAACACATGTAAAAGAATACTGAGATCAGAAGATAATGATGGAAGACAGCCTCAGTGTCTATATTGCACCTTTGAGACCATGAAATGATGTAGTACTAGAATTGCATCCTACTGTAACCTCCCCTGCTCTTCAGTCCAAACTTTGATGGTGATCTTGATGGTTACCTATAACTACCCTCAAACTGAGTAGTAAGAATTTTGAGAATAGCCCTGTGGTTTTGTCAAAACTTTCTGGAAACAAAAAACCTGATTTTTAAATAAAATCCTACCAGATATCCTAGTTTAGGTATAAAGTCTAGCAATGTCAAATTACATAGCACCAATGATCAAATTAATATTGAATTCAACATTAAAACTTGAGAAAAGCCTAGGAATTGCCTTATTTTGTTTTTTTTTTAATGGGGAGGTGGTATGATTAAAGGATAGTTGAAATGTATTTATAGATTGCAGCTTAAGTTCCAAAGCCCATGAAGGGATTTATTATATTAGAAAAGGTACACACAATTCCAAGAGAACACCAACATGAGTAAATAAAAGATTTATGGATATAAAATGCAAGACTGCTTTCTTTAAGAATAGGAAAGTGCAAAAATTGGCAAATAAGTTAATAGTAAAGGACAAATTTGAAGAATGCATTTCTAAATATACAAGCAAGTTGCTTCTTTAAATACATCACTAATAGGAAACTGAACAAAGGCTTTATAACCATAACAAGGTTTGAAGGTGATAGTGGGAACAATATTGTGAATCTGCAAATATGCTAATTCTCTACATCGGTCTACACTTTAGAATATGGTGGAGACCCATATCCAAACCACTGCTTTCAAAGAACACACAAAAAAGTCAGAAGTTAATATTATTATTATTATTATTATTATTATTAATAATAATAATAATTTATTTCTTTAGAAAGGAAAAAGTCAAAGAAATATCCCAAGAATCTGAGAACTAAAATACAGTACTTTCATTAAGACACTGCTCTAATCAGGATCTTTACTACATAATTGGACAGCAGCCCCCGTAATACTACTAAAAACAAACACCATAAATGGGGCTAATATAATTAGCAAAGAAATGGTTTTAGGTGTAGTGTTTTAAAAGCGTGCAAACATTTCTCCTTTCATAATACTGAAAACCAGAGTCATCCAGTGAACTGCCAGTTGAGTTTTCAAGGCTCTTCAAATGTTGTTGGACTCCCAATTACCATTAAACCGAGCCAGCGTGGTCAATGGTCAAGAATGATGGGAGTTGTAGGCTAAAACTTCTGGAGGGTTCCTGTGCCATGCTAGAGTTAAGATTCCTTATTAAGTTAGCCTTATTTTGACCATGTACCATAACCTCAACTCTCTCATATGACACTTTCCCTCATTTTTGCAGGAAACGAAAAATACTGTCCGTGGCAAAGGGTTGTGTGTCGCTCCAAGTATTTAGGTTGGGAAGTTGATGCACTATTCTCTGTTGGGAAGGCAGGGTGAAACATCACATGAAGTCACCCTAAAGCATCTTGATCTAGAGCAGGGGTGGCTATGTTGTGGCCCATCAGATCTTGTACTACAGTTGTCACCATTTCCAACCCCTGGCCATGGTGGTGGAGGCTGATGGGAGTTAAAGTCCAACAACATATAGAGGGTGACAGGTTAATCACTCTGTTCTAGAGTGAAAGGTGCTTAATCAGCACTGGGGTAGGCATGTTTCAAGTTATTTAAGCCATCCTATCAAGTACATATTGCAGGGATAAGGAACCTCCAGGTAATTCCCTAGCTGGCCCTTGGAACAAGCCCAGGCCCCACCCCTAGCCTCAGCCCATACCACTTACCAACCCAGCAATGGATCTTCCTTGACTGCTTCTGTAGGGCTGGACTACATCCTTGAACTCTGATAATGCCTCTTGCTTGTGTGACTGGAGAGGTGCATGTGTGTACAGGAACCTTTGAATTTTGCATAGCTGGAACGAAGCTTACCATACAAAGGGAAGAGTTGTTCTGCTGTCTACCCACTTCTTGCCTCTCAGACTGCGTACCACTGGCATGTGACCTTCTAAAAGGTTGCCCATGAGGCAGTGTGGTCTTTGGGTTGAAAAAGATTCTCCACTCAACATAAGTTTCTGCTTGACAAAATTAGGTGAAAATCTGAGATTTATTAGTAAACTTCTTCCCCCTCATTACGAAAAGAAAAACTGTTTTAAAATTATGACTCTGGAAAACAACAGCTACTATACAGCTGAAGTATTAAGTCTCTCTTGGTAGGACAAAAAGACCTTTGTCTAATGCTTCTTTCACGCATCTACTCCAGTCCAAGTCCCGACAGAGCTGCCAGACCAGCCTCTTATAAAACGCCACCCCAAACAGAAAGAAGAGAGCTGCATCAAGAGCAAGTCTAACAAATCCTATTTGATAATATAAATACAGGGTTGCTTGAAGGTGAACGGTGCAGATTTTGGCTAGGTGAGAAGTGACGCCTAGGAGATGATATACTCCAGTCCTAGTTCCACAGTTCTCCTATGGGTTTGTACTGAGCTTCTCGCATGACCTCCTCTGCAAACGATTTTATTTCATTATGCAAATCTTCTATGCTCTTTGAAGCATCAATCACCTGCATCCAAAACAAAACCACAAACACATGAAACACTCCTCATGTACAACCCAACTACAGAAGAACGGTTGGTGGAAGAAATATAGTATCAAAATATACTAATAAGGTATTACGTTGATGCCTGTTTACTCTCATCCTACTAGTTTTTCTTCCCCTTCAACAGATGTTTCAGATCTCCTAGAAGGGTTGTTTGATTTTTTTTGGCTTATGAATCCCACAGTGCTCCTCCAGAAGTTTCCTTTTTTACCTTCCAGTTTAAAGTCTTGTCTTCCATCAAATGGTAGAAGCGTTGCAGAACTTTCTCCTGAAAAGAGCTGTACTCATATCGTTCATTTCCAAAGTCTCCTCGTTTGGCTGCTTCAGACGTGCTCAACTGAAGAAAAAGGATCAAGTCTGGCTTTGGAAGCCCAACATCAGGTTGCTTACACCATTCCAAGGAGAAGTTCTGTTCGGAGAGAAATGAGAGGTGCAGCAAACAGCCCAATGAAGTCAAGGAGCAATTTGACAGCAACACAGGAAGCTGCGTTATACTGAGTTGGACCACTGGTTTAATCTAGCTCAGTACTGGCTACCACTCTCTGATATTTCAGACAGGGTTTCTCCCTTAACTTGCCTGGAGATGCCAAGGATTGAACCACTGAATCTGAGACTTCAATGCAGCAAATCTTTCCCTAAATACTATATTTCTATGAGGCTGAATTGGTGTTTTTTACCCACCTCTTTAGCACCTGTGAACGCCACTCCAGAAAACGCGTATCTGTCCACTACCAGAGTGATACCTTGGTTTAATTTCTCTTTAATCAATGGTCTGAATGGTAGAAAGATACCACTATTAGAGAAAAATCGAAGCATAATAATTTGGAATAAAGCAGTGATGCAAGGTATAAAATTCCTGGGACTGTATTTATATGGCGAAAATGTTATGACATTTGGATAAAAAACGGTAAAGGAACCCCTGACAATTAAGTCCAGTCGCAAACGACTCTGGATGCACCCTCGTTAAGACAAGAGTACTCTGGGACGTGGGTGGCACTGGGGGTTAAACCACGGAGCCTAGGGCTTGCTGATCAGAAGGTTGGCGGTTCGAATCCCTGCAACGGGATGAGCTCCCGTTGCTTAGTCCCTGCTCCTGCCAACCTAGCAGTTCGAAAGCATGAAGTGCAAGTAGATAAATAGGTACTGCTCCAGCGGGAAGATAAATGGCATTTCCGTGTGCTATTCTGGTTCGCCAGAAGCGGCTTAGTCATGCTGGCCACATGACCTGGAAGCTGTACACCGGCTCCCTTGGCCAGTAAAGCAAGATGAGTGACGCAACCCCAGAGTCATCTGCGACTGGACCTAACGGTCAGGGGTCCCTTTACCTTTTACTCTGGGTGGTATACTGTAAATAAGAATGCATTTTTTAAAAAATGCAGTTTCATAAATTGGGTGATTTCAAAGTTGCAAATAATTTGGTAAATGTGCATGCTAACAGTTTTCGGTGTCTTCATTTTCTTTCTCAAAAGTTTAAACAACGTAAGGAAATGTATGCTATTCCTGTAATGTCTATACACGTATTCCAATAACCTAATTTCTAAGACGTTTATTTATAAAGCTTTGGATTTGACTATAACATTTAAACCACACTGAGTGCAATCACATGCATGTCTACCCAAAAGCAAGTACAACTGAGTTCAATGGGACTTCTTCCCAGATGAACATGCACAGCAGAGATGGGAAACCTGTGGACCTCCAGATGCTGCTTGGTTGCAGCTCCCATCATCCGGCAATGCTGGCTGGCGCTGATGAGAGGTGGAGTCCAACATCTGGACGGCCACAGATTCCCAAACCCTGGTGTATGGGACTGCAGCCAAACTGTGCTTCTGTATATTGATTTCCCCCCCATATATGGTATTTGAGTTCCACAACTTTTGACTATTGTTGGGGAGGGGGGAATCTGACATATAAAGTTAACATGGTATATATTTTAAGTTTGCTTACTACATACAAATAAAAATTTGCTAAATGGCTAAGTAACCTATTTCTTAAGTATTTCCAAACACAGTCTTATTTAAGAAGTCACCAGAAGTGGGCTAAGAATTGCTTGGATATTTTTCTTCTCCTGCATAAATTATGCCATATCATTTTGAATTACTGTACCCTATTTACTTGAGTCTAATGCACCATCAAAACTAATGCACACCTCAATGTTCAGAACCATGAAACCAAAAAAAGAGTATTTGCTGGCGAATGTAAATGCACCATCGAAACTAATGCGCACCTTAATTTCCACAATGTAATTTGGCCAAAAAAGGTGAGCATTAATTTGATTAAATGTTGTTAATTAATAAACATTTAACTAGGAAACAATGCCTCACAACTTCACCAATAAGAGATGTTAAGGCATCAACACTATTAATTCACTCCTTGTAAGTGTGGTCAATAGGTAGACAATGAATGAGGAAATGCAAGAAAACACTGGGCACATCACAATACCGTGAATAAGGAGCATGCTACTTTCTCTTTCAGTCTACTCTGCCCAAAGCCAGAAGCAACAAAACATGCATAGTGTGAATCAACAGCATGCATTAGAATGCTGCTCATTCACAGTAAGCCATAAACCATGGAATACTATTACATGCAAACCAGCCCACTGCGCTGTTACCAATAGAACAAGATATGAAAACAGATGAAAGATTATGTGTTAACTACAAGTCAAGATATGTAATATGTAGATGTATTCTTACATCAAGAATGTGGGAAAGAAATCAGGAAGGGGGGGAATCTATGGAGGTAAGTGAATCACAATTGCTTTTATTCTGGATTAGTATTTATTACCCTAGCCTTTTGTAATATATTTTGCATCCAGTCCCCGAAAGCAACTGTAATTCCAGCATCATGCATGAATCTTGATCAAATACAAACATTTCTCTTATCCTCTCTTCAGCATGAATTGCCAACTAGACAGAATAAGTTTGATTTTTTTCATTTTTTGAGAAATATGCCTAAATTCCAATTATTAAGGCACTTGACTCATGTGGTGACATTCAATAACATCTACCTGCTTGCACAACAGAAATTTGCTTGCATAACAAGAGCAGGTAGGGGAGCCAAGGAGAGAAATATGAAGACTTCCTGTGGGAGTAGACATCCACCCACACTACATTAGATCTCACCCAGTATTCTCCCCAAGCAGAAAAGCAGCACTGAATTAGGGGATCAAAAAGGTACTCATGTATTTCACAAGAATTCTATTTACACTTGCTCCCAGCGATTAGCAGAAAATAGCAGATGCACTGTGTGGTCCTCCAAATTGTTCTTCTTTTCCAAATAGGAACTTATCAGCCGTCCGATTTCTGTAGTTCTGTCTGCAATAAGATGTAGACAAGAGTGGAATAAGACAAACATATTCAGCTTCTATAAATTCTGTAATATTCTCTTCCCAATGCACATCACTATTGGAAATGCTACTTCCTAAAAAGATAGCAGCATTCAATATCATAAATATACATTCCCCAGCATCTAGGCTATGGATACCAGATTTTTTTCAATGAATCCGGGGACACTTTTTTTTTTTAAGCTGAGTAGCAACAGGGAGTTAGTAGTGAGGCAAAAGACCCTGGGGCCAAGCACACATGCATAATGTATAAAGGTGTAAAGCCTTTCTTTTGCACCATGTGAAACATAAATGCAGTTTTTAAAAAACTGGGCAATGGCACGCCACCCGCCCGTGACTCCCGAGCCTTCCCCAATCTCCTTCCCCCTTCCCCCTTTGTTTTGACAGATTGGGGGAGGCTCGGGAGTCGCAGGCAGGCAGGCGGCTGTTGCCCAGGAGGGGCGCAAGGCGCACGGTTTCTCTGCCAGGCAAGGTGCAAAGCCCTTCTTTCGCACCCTGTAAAATATAAATGTGCAGAGTTTTTTAAAAAACTGGGCAACGGCTGCCCGCCTGCGATTCCCGAGCCTCCCCCGATCTGTCAAAACAAAGGGGGCAGGGGGCAGGAGATCTGTACCACGGGACATCACTGGTTCCCCTTCGGCAGTGGCAGCGGACAGCTCCTGAAGCCAGCCAGAGCCAACTGCGCTACCAGGCCAGCACCGGGCTGCCGCTGTCACGTTTCCCAGGGACAGATTAGCAAATCTGGGGACATTCCGGGAATGGAATTTGTCCCGGGACAGATTTGCAAATCCAGGGACTGTCCCCAGGAATGTCTGTTAACCCTAATCTAGGCAGAAAATAGATAACCATGATCTCAACCCACAAGTGGGATTACACCCACTTTATGTGTTACTGCATCTTCCATCACTGTACCTTTGCCACAAGGATGGTTTAATGCTATTTGTCTCTCTCTCTCTGCATGTCACAAGGTATCCTAACACACATGGTCATACCAGAATGCCAATTCAGTTAGAAAGCAGATCTAAGATGATAGCATCGTACTTAGTTTAAGTTTTTCATTAATAAGCACTACTTTGCACCATGGTTTCAAAGACACCCCAAGTTAAATAAGCTTTCAACACCCCGCCCCAACAACCATAAACTTACTTTTTCGAATGTAAAAATGATTAGATATTAGATAAATTAAATTAAGAAAAACTCGAGGCGCTTATCTATGAGGAGGGCCAATGACTCAGCCCAAATCTATGACAATGCTGGTAAGGAACGCTTTCTACACATCACTAGCACCGCCACAAAACGTATTAGATTTGGCCCCTTTTCCCACCCCATCGGCAGCCTTAGGACAGACAGAAATCCCACAGACGAAGCGTTCCCGCCACTGCATCTCCGTAGCGAGAGAGGCTGTGTGCAGCTCTCGACTTTCACCCTGCCATCCGTCTGTTAAAGGCACAGACATGCTGCCACAGCAGGGGAATTGCCGACAACCTACACAGGTAAATCTAAGGCAGTGTGGCGAAGGGGCTGCGCCTTCCTGCATGCAGCTGCCTCGCATACCGGGAAACCGAAGGAGTTCGGCCCGGTGTCCCCCTGCCAGCAGGCCCTCCACCAGCTTTCTGGTCTGCGTGCTTTTGCCAGCTCGGTCCACCCCCTCCAGCACGATCAGCGCCCCTCGCCTGCCAGCCATGGCGCCCCCTTCTCAGTCAGCGGCGAAGCGAAGGAGATCGAACGACAACTGCAGCTTCCCGCGCTTTTGGCGGAATCACAGAGTACAGTCCTCCGGCGCATGTAGAGCGGCTCTGGTGTAACCATGGTGACCAAACTCTCGCGCGATCACGGAAAACACAGCAAAGCGGAACCGTCTGAAAAAAAGCAGAAGTCGATTGCGCGATCAAAGAAGCCGTCTGCGCGGTGCTCGACAGGATTAGTCCGTTGGAAGCCGCTTTCTTTCTAGGCGTTTTTTGTCCATCTCGCTGATATTAACCCTTAGTTGAGTTTGAACGTAAGGTGTAAAATACCAAAGCAAACGCACTCAAGAGCACAACGCTTTTCTGATGTCGGCGCAACAGATTTGCCAGTAAACTTGTACCCTTAACGTGGGGGAAATCTCGTTACGGGCATCCGTGTTTTGTAGCTAAATCCCTCGGGGATTCGAGGGCGCGCGCGTTTTGCACGCACGCGTGGGATCCAGACGAGCGTTTCGCGCATTCGCCCACCCACGCCCCCTGATGCCCTTTTAAAATTTGGAGGGGGGGTTATTGGGTTGTTTTTATTTTGAATATATATTGCGTGGTTTTATTTTTTGATTTTGTTCTGTAAACCGCCCTGAGACCTTTTTAATATATAAATATAAAAGAATGCCAGGAGAGTTTTGGAAGCGTGGATTTAAAACAAAAACAAAAATCTTAAGTGATGATACGGGGAGAAATGGAGGTCCATCCATATTGCACGCAGCCCGTTATAAGTGGGGGCATTAAACAGGCCTCCTTTTTATGTAATGAACTAAATAAAGCTTTCAGAATTACGTGCAACCATATATATTTTTTCTATTATAAATAAAAGTCGTATGTTTACATATTTATCTGTAAGAATGATCTTTCTTTCCACGTTGACGGTAACCAGAAGCGTCTAGTTCACACTGGAAGCACCCATTCTCCGCAAAGCTCACCTGGGCTATAAGCTACACCGAAAACCGTGCCACTTCTTACAGAGTAAGCACGCGTAGGATTGCGCTGTGCGTCATGGTACATAAAACATCTTTCTTCTCTCTACACCCTTTGAAAAAAGAGCGATTTTATGGGTACAGTAAATAAGGGACATCTTGAGGAGGTGCCAAGGAAGAGACGCTTAAAGGCTAAAAGCAGAGTGTTTCTGTCCTTGGGTGGATGCAGAAATCCTGAGAAGATGCCCCCCTTTTATTTTTTATTCCGCTAAGGCTACTTATGCTGCAAAATACAAGCCAGCTTTCCGGGAGACTAACACGCGTTTGCTCTGCCACGTCTGTACAGCCCGAACCCGCGAGCTCCCGCGCACTTCTATTTATTTGAAGGAAGCTCCGTCGGCTTCAGTGGCGTTTTCCCTTCCAAACAGACACGTGTACGCCTGGAACTGCGTCACGCGAACACCGCGCGGGAAAGACGTAGCCGGACCTGCGCGGGAATTACGACGGGAGGAAATCGGGGGGGGGGGGTAACACCACGCGCCGCGGACACCGGGAATCGGCCCATTCCGGCCGATGGCGAACGAACGTTGACGTCGTATCCCCCACCACGCCCCCTCATTCCTATGCAGCGGCGGCGGCGTCCGCTTGGCCAATCGGCGCCGGCCTCTCATGACTATGCAATGAGAGCCCCGACCGGCCATTGCGAAGGCGCCCGCGTGACAGCGCCGATCGCGGCGGGGCCGGAGGGTGGGCGTTGGCTGGCCGGCTGGTTGGCGCGAGATGGCGGCGGCGGCCTTGTACCTGGAGCACTACCTGGACAGTGAGTGAGTGCGGCGTTGGGCAGAGGGAACGGGAGGGAAACAGGCCCAGGCCAAAGCCGGGCGGGGGCCACGCCGGCAATTGCGGCTGCGTCACACAGACCCGGCGAGGGAGGGGGCGGCGGGCGAGGTTTCTTGCTGCGTCATTGCGACGCGTAAAGGAGGGATCTCCGCACCGGCCTTCTAAGGGTGCAGCTGCGTTCCTTGGCCACCAGGGGCCGCTCCTGCTCTACTCCTACGAGCGCCTCCTGTCAGACGAGCAGCAAAAACACCCCTCCCCCATGCTTTTAAGGCGCGTCGTGTTGCGCATTCTCCAGGATTGCCACCTAAAAATAAATAAAAATGTCAGGGTTCCTATTCTTTCCCCACCCGTGTGACCAGTAGAAATTCAGCAAGTCAGGTGGCGAGGAAAGCTCCATGATTTGTAGACGGCTGTTGAATTCAACATAGGAAGCCAAGGCAGGGCATAATACTAATACTATTAATAATAATCGCTTTAATATTCCCATTTATTCAGCCCCGTGCATCAGTACTTCCTTAGCAAAGCTGCAGACCTCTCAACTTAAAAGGCACATGGTTATTTTATTCTTAAAATCTGTATGCTGTTTTATTGTTAAAACCTCTAATCCGTTTATGTAGAGCATAATATACACATTAAAGTTATGAATAAAAGAGAATAAAAACAAGCTGACCGAAAGAAAACACAAGTTTTCATAAAATATATGTATTTCAGCGCTTGTTAACTTTACATACCTTGTGCCAATGTGTTGTGCAGTAGGGAAGCAGATGCTCACCAAATGCATAATTGGAGTGGAAAGCTCCAAACACAAAGACACCCAAGAAGCCTAAAAAATGATTTTTTGTGGAAGGGGTAGCAGACACACTTCCTTAGCCATAGCACCAGCTGGGCTTGGAATGCTTCTGTCTCCTTCCTCTTTAGCAGGCAAGTGAAATTTCCTGCTCCCCTATGGGACAACTTGTATTTGAAGAGTCTCCATGTTTACTTGTTGAAAGGATGTCATTTGGCACGTGGGCATTGAAGCCCCCTGCAAAAGAGGATTAGACAGATTCATGGAGAATAACGTTATCAATGCCTACCAGCCACCATAGCTATGCTTTGCCTCCATGGTAAGAGAAGCAATAACGCTTCTGAATACTAGTAGCTGGAAACTACAGGATGAGAGAGTACTTTTGTGCTCAAGTACTGCTTGAAATTTTCCCACAGGCATCTGGTTGGCCACTGTGACGACAGGAAGCTAAGCTAGATAAGCTATTGTCCTGACCCAGCAGACTCTTCTTACGTTCTTATAGTGGGACCATAGAATAGAATAATCTACTTCTTCTGGACTCTTCGTGAAAACTGAACTTGTAGATGTTTGCTTCCTTGATGGGCAGAGCAATCCTAGCCATGGCTAGGTGGCAGCAGGACATGACTGCTACAGCCCCACTGCTCACACTGACGAGGGTGGAAGGGCAGGCAGAATGGAGCTGGCATACTAATTGGGCCAGATGCCATAAAATTATGGCAGTAGGACCTACTCAAGTTCTAGTGGATCCCAGAGCAGCTTAGTTCTTCCCCACTCCTGGATTGCCCTATTTCGAGGCTTTCTGTTGAATACTAGCGGAAATGGGAAGCTCCACAGTCGAGAAGTGACACTGATGCCACTCCACAGGCAAAGACAAGTGGAGCTGCTCTGGGGTGGGCAGAGGGAGACCTTTGCTCTGTCTTGGACGGAGCTGGGAGGCAAAGTCTGAACAACTTCTAGAGGGTCACAGGTTCCCCGTCCCTCCTGCACTTAACCATGGTTGAACATTATATCTGAACAGGGCCACAGTGACATGTGAGAAGATACTGAGGTTGGTGGTAGCAATGAGCCCCATGAGTCTCTGATCATTCAGAGATTTCAAGCTTAGAAGATTCCCCTTGGGATCCAGCCAAAGGTTTCCTGGTCTCTGGTACCTGCCCCGTAGATAGTGGGAGCACCCAGCTCAACATGCCATATACAACAGGGAACAGATAAAGAGGAAGGTGGTAGGGTAAGGTATTTATGGAAAATAGGGTACCTGGCGAGGTTTATGGGTGCTTTTTGTTATGCGTAGTTGGTTTGTGAACATAACTTTTATATTAAGAAAGTTATGGTAGAGAGGGGACTGCAGCATTTCTGTTTTTGTATTTCAGGCATTGAAAACCTCCCTTGTGAGTTGCAAAGGAACTTCCAACTTATGCGTGAGCTGGATCAGAGAACAGAAGGTGTGTTCAGGTATTCTGGTTCACAGATCTTCTTGTGTGCTCAGCTCATATTAGATTTGCACACATCTGAGATTCACTTGTCATATATATTCACTGGGAAAGTGAGAAGTAGCCCATAGCAGAGTTCCTTCAGCCTCCCAAGTTTTTGCTATTTCAGTGCAACATGAAGATGGGGTGTGTGTGTGTGTCATAGTGTGGCCAACAACTGATTCCATTGTTTCATGTGCACCACTTCTAACAAAGCTTGTAGGAGCAGAATTATATAATGCTGTATTTACATTTGAGTTTGACAAAAGCGTGTGAAGGACTGTAGATGTGTATGAATTGATCTTGCAAGCACAGTCTTGCTACTTTTTAGTCCGTTGTGCCTTACTAAGGTTGGAGAACATGCCTTCTCATTTGAACTTTTAGAAGCACAACTCAAGAATTCAGCTGGCACATGTGCTTTGGTTTAGTTGCAAGTATTTTAAAATGAGGGAACAAAGGACCAATTAAGTGGTCAGATGAGAAAGAGGACAGGACTCCTTTACTTTTAATAGCTGTGTAGCTGAGGGAATGTCTGCAGGTGTAGCTTGCATAACAAGCTATGCCTCCTAAAAATCCTTTTTTACACAGCCACTGAATGTTCAGAAGCCCTGTACCTTTCCTCCCCTGGCTACCCCCAGAGAGACATTTCTTTCATGGTTTCTAAAAAGGTTTCCAATTGTGAAACATATAGTTTGATCCTAAATCAGTTTACTTACAAATAATCCCACTGAGTTCAATGGGATTTTCCCGCAAGTAAATGAGCTTTGGGTTGCAGCCTCACAGCTCAGTCTTACTCAAAATTAAGCCCCATAGAGCTCAACGAGGCTTACTTCTCAGGTAAGTGAGTATAGGGCTGCAACCTCAGTCTCACGCACATACTGTCTCCCATTGCTCTTCAGACAAGAAAGCAGAAATCGACAGTCTTGCTGCTCAGTACATTTCAACAGTGAGGAATTTGTCATCAGAGCAACGGGTGGAAATCCTGCAGAAGATTCAGAATGCTTACGCAAGATGCAAAGAGTACAGTGATGACAAAGTGCAGCTGGCCATGCAGACCTATGAGATGGTAAGGTTAGATTAGGTAGACAGAGGACTTCTGTTTCAAAATGAAAAATCCACCCTCTGTATTTCTTACTTCTCCCATAGCTACCTTTGAAGCTTGTATTACAGGTACTAGTCTTTCTGCGTAATTAGTAGCTGTCGACTGACACAGACATGAGGATCCATGATCCCGGGTTCAGTCAGAGATAAAGAAGATAATAGGCAGGCTTGCGTCATACATTCTCTACTTCAAAAAGAATCCTGATGGGGACTGGAATTGTGTACAAGGTTGTGACCTCCCCCTGTTTAATCTTTTACAGTCTGGGAGCAATGGGGCAAAGACCTGAGGCTAAAGTTATGGTGCTGGCAAGCAAGTGGATTTGTCAGCAGTGCATTTATCAAAATTCTTTCTGTGGCTACATGTTCTTATTCACTGGACTATTACATTGGAGAGAAAGTTGTGTTGTGAGGCAGTGCAGGAATCTTCACTGCTTTGAGAATCCAGGCTATGGGGTTTATAGTGAGGGTCGATACAATTAGACTTGCTAGGATTCATGGCTCTCTGTTGTGGGAAGGGTTTGGGGTGGTCAAGGATCTGCCACATTTCCTTAATCTGTACATATGTGAATGATTATGGGTATTTCCAGACAACTTGTCCATTGAGCATTTACCCCGATTTGTCAGCACAAGTTTATGGGGAGCTTAGATGTTGGCTACTTAATGAACATTTGTTCTGATTTGTTTGTGAGGTTAGATGACATTGAGTCAAAGCAAGTGTTATCCCAGTGCATTTTCATGTCACTTTCCTTAATCACCAAAAATCTGAGCTTTGGGGGAAGCAGGTTTCTTTCACAAGACCTCCCAATCAACTATATTTTGCAACCTGAGTTTGCTGGTCTGTGATTGAATCCCACCTGAAAATAGGAACTGTCTGGAAGAGTCTCAGGACTACAGAGGGATTGTGTGATTTGTATTGACCACCTTCCTATGGTAGCTGGTTTTTCTGCTCCCTTCCTCCCTCTGCTCCCTAAATAGTCTGTGAGTGGCTGTGGTTAACGCACACACCAACCACAGGTCAGATGAGAGAGGTGTGTTGAGGTGCATTGCATACCAGAAAAGGAAGATAGCAAGTTGAATCCGATGATTTCTAGAGATATTATTGGATTTAGTTTTCTTTAGCTGTGTGGTCTCTCTTTCTGATGTAGGTAGATAAGCACATTCGACGGCTGGATGCTGACCTGGCACGATTTGAAGCTGACCTGAAGGATAAGTTGGAAGGCAGTGACTTTGAAAACCCTGCAACGCAAAACCTAAAAAGTGTGTACATTATGAATAGTGTCATCTCACTGTGAGGAAATCCTTCTATATACTTTTTTAATTTTATTTTTATCATTATTATTATTATTATTATCATCATCATCTATTAGACTTACAAAACATTTAAAAACATAAACACTAATATATTATACAATAAAAAACAGAACAAAACAACCCCCATAACAGCTACAGGAAGCTTTTGGCAGCACTCTAGTACCAAAGCAAACATCTTATGTGAGTCTATTGAAAGCCTGGGGGGTGGGGAATATAAGTCATTACCTGGTGCCAGAAAGATATCAACAAAGGCACAAGGCAGACCTTTCTTTCCTAGTAAAAGCTGTTTCTCATACATCATGAGAGTCTTGTATAAAAAGCATACATGCCTGCTATGAGGAACAAAGGGAGAAATAAGTGAGGAGAGACAGAATTGAGCCATAGTTTTTCTTCAATATGGTTCCCATAATTTTGGCATAAAGCAGGCAAAATTATGTTGATTAAGTTAATATTAGGAAGCGTACTCCTACCTCAAACCACAAATCCACCTGGTCCAATTTTGCTTTATAACCTGTGTAAATTCTTCCACAAGGTATTGTGCATTGACAGTGGCTTCAATGTTCCAAAGGTCTTACTCATACAGAAAATAAAGCAATACCAAGTTTCTCCAAACTCAGTTTCTAATCCTTTCGCTTCTCTTAGTAAGTTTTTTTGATAAAGCAGTTTGCCTGTGGATTGCATTTTGTTCCTCTGAAATTATATATTTGTTATAAGATCATATATAGAACAAAAATTCTATTAAAATAAGAGTCTGGTGCACAGTGTTAACAGGGTAAAACTGTAGTAGTATTTTTTTTAATGATTATACATATAAACAGCTTAGGGTGATTTGCAGGTATGTATATATGAGCTATTTTCATTTGAATTATTGTCAGAAGCAAATTTATCAAACATTAGTTTACTAGGTACAATCTTCAATGTATTTTACAAGGAAGTAAACCTCATTTGACTTGGTGGGTCTTACTTCTAAGTAAACCTGTTTAGGATTTTACTGTTAGACACTTCTTGAGTGTACGAGTAGAGTACATTGTTATTTATCTTAATGCTCTAGCTGACAGCCAAGTGATTTGAACAATCGTACAAAAAGATACATAAGATTGTTGTCCAACAGGTAGTATCTTAGTAATTTTGGTTAGTTACAAATTTTACAAATGTCAAGTTCAGATAATAGGGGAAGTTGTGCTGGATAAAATTGTAGAATTCTTTCAATGTATAGCTACATCAGAGGTTGCGTTGGCAAATGGCTTCTGAACAAGGATAACTTTCCAATTTATATAAAGTCTGGAAGAATAGATGAGAGAAAAAAGAAAAATTAATCATTTTTTAATCATTATGGTGCTTCAAAAAAATTGCAATGGTACCTTGAGTTACAAACACCTTGGGTTACAGACTCCGCTAACACGGAAGTAGTACCTCAGGTTAAGACCTTTACCTCAGGATGAGAACAGAAATCACGTGGCGGCAGTGTGAGGCCCCATTAGCTAAAGTGGTACCTCAGGTTAAGAATGGTTTCAGGTTAAGAACGGATCTCCGGAATGAATTAAGTTCGTAACCAGAGGTACCACTGTATAGTATAAAACCTCTGGTTTTTCTTCTTATGGTGTAGTTAACCAGAAATAACTGTCTTTCAGAGGGGCGAACTCCAAAGGATAAGAAAAGCTCACGGGGTCGAGGCCGGCGAACATCTGAAGAAGATGTCCCAGTTAAAAAGAAACCAAAACGAAGGTAAGTGACTGCAGTCTGCAGTTAGCTTGTTCAGAGCAGCTTCCATTTGGAAAAAAAAATTTGCCAATGTGCCATAGTAACCAGATTTTTTGGCATCCTTAGTTTCACATGCTTTATACTTTCTCCACTATTTCTGTCTTGGTACTCTTCAAACTAACCGACCTCCCAAATAGTTCTAGTTAGTTTCAAACTGGAGATTTATTTTTTTTACCAAAAATCACTGGCATTTACTCAATATTTGTTCACGTTGCTCCCATTGCAGGTCTGAATTAGCTGATACCATCCTGTCGGTTCATCCTTCAGATGTCCTAGATATGCCGGTGGATCCCAACGAACCAACGTATTGTTTGTGTCACCAAGTATCCTATGGAGAAATGATTGGCTGCGACAATCCTGATGTAAGTACTGAGATAACCCTGTGTGGCCGTACACACGCCTCCCTCTTCAAATTCTGCGTGAAGGTACTTCCTTTAGAAGACTCGGAACTATGCAAGGGAAAGAACCCCATCCAAGTGACCAATAGAAGCTGCTTCCAGACTTCCCCTGGTTTCTGAGCACAAATTTGAAAGCACTTTTCTACAGCAAAAAATCGTAGCTTACATATATTAAATGAAAAGGCAGATCTGGATCTTAGGACTCACTGGATTTGATACTTCACTCCATATTTGAAGTTGTTTCTGCACCTTTTGTACATATACAGCCCTGAGGTCATGTCTACACCCCAAGCTAACTTGCTTCTATTTTCCCACCCTGGAATCTTCGGATGAAGGGCATTATACAAATTTTAATAGTAATAATGATAATCGTTTACATCATGCTTTACAGGCCATTTGCAGTGAGTAGTCCATCCTGTGTCTGCAAAATTTGGGCACTTCGCAAGCAACAAAGGGCTCATGAAGTTTCCTGTGTAATGTGCAGTATATGCCCCTTCGATTGTGACATGCCAGACACCAACTAGGCTCCCGTTTCTGTTAAATCTGATAAGATAAATTAATGTTATCAAGCTCTCTAAGAAAAAACATCTTTTTATTCTTCCCCAAAATATAGTGCCCAATCGAATGGTTCCATTTTGCTTGTGTGGACCTCACCACGAAACCCAAAGGGAAATGGTAGGTGTCATGAATTTCTACACTTGTGTTTTCTTCACTTAATTTTCTTCATTGATGCTTTCTTTACTTTACCATAACAAAAGCACAAAGGTCCTTGGCTCACAATCTAAAAGAGACAGCAAGGTGATATAAAGGGGTGGGGCTGCCCTTTGCCAACCTGGTGCCTTCCAAATATTTTGGACCACAGCTCCCAAAAGCCACAGCGGCATGGCTATGCTGGCTGCAGCTGATCGGAGGTGCTGTTCAAAACATGGTAAAGACTAGAACCAGGAAGTCAAATGTATAATTCTTGAGTTTTCTTTTCCCGCAAATGTGAAATGCTCCCAAAGTCATGCATTGAACTGAACACAGTCATTCTTTTTCTTTTTTTAACCCTTAGGTTTTGTCCTCGCTGTGCTCAGGAGAAGAAAAAGAAGTAGAATGGGAATGTACAGTCCGAAAGAAGAAAAAGTTTAATATATTCGTACCTGTTGCAATATTTTATTCTATCTTTTTTTTGTCACTTACTTATCTTGTTTGATTTGATATTTAGCAGCGGCCAGTCATTTTTCTTAACATGGGGGGGGGGGGGGAGAGAGCTATCCTAATGAGAAAAGGAGGATGTGGAGGAGGTTTACTGTGGTGATGGTCTCCTGGGTTTCACACTTCTGTGGCACTGCAATCAATGTTATGAAGTACTAAGAGTAGCCCTGCACTGGAATTTCTCCTCACGTACCAAAAGTCTGTGAAAATGCCTGTATGGCTTTGCAGGTGAACGATGATTTTTTTGTTTTGTTTTGTTTTGTTATCAACAGGGTAGTCACTCTGCTCCGCACAATATTTATGAAGGATTTAAAATCTTTAACTGCGTCTTTACAGAACCTTATAACTACTGTCAAGGAAGGAATATGCTGCTCTGTTCCTCAGTTGCAGCAAGCAAAGAATTGTTTCTTACAAAGGCAGATGAAAAGTAATGGCTATTATTTTGGTAAGGTGTGTTCCACAAGTAAATTTCAAGAGTAGTACACCTGTTCCAATTGCTTGTGAATTGTACACTACTGCCTCTGCACTTCATACGAGTCCCTCTGAAGTCATCTATCCCTCCCTGATGGTAAGCAATGAATGCTTAAATTGAGGCACAAAATGTCTAGGAGATATCTGTATAGTTTGATTCACTCATGAAACGAAAATAAGGCTTATTTTTCATTGGCTAAGCTATTAGATGTTAGACATTAACAATCATGAAAACCAGATGTAAAAAGAAAAACTTTTTTTTTAAAGGAAAGATTTAGTGCAAAGCACTAAAAGCAATTTGGTGTAATTTTATACTGAACTTTTATCTGGTTTGAGATGTCTGTTCTCTGTAAGCATCGAGATGCCATCCAGTATAAAATGTGAATGTGGGTGCCCCTTAAAGCAGCTTTGAGTTGGGAGACGGACAATATTTTTCCCCAGGAAGCTGGTAGAGCCATCATTGCCTGTGATGCACACAGTATCATCACTATCCTCTCTGATAATGCAGGCGGTTTGGATCCAGAGTGCTCATTTCATGAGCCCACCCAAGGGTGGCTGTGGGTAGGATTTCTGCATTGCAGGTGGTTGTAGTAGTAAGCCCTCGAGGTCCCTTCCAGCTCTACAATTCTGTGAATGAAAGGGCTTCTTCCCATTGCAGAAGGGATTGAGATCCAGTGGAGGCTCACACCGGAGGAAGTGGACGAAAGGCAGATTTCGTTTCTTCCCTCTACATCTCCCCATGCCACCTCCCACACTGTTAAGGAGGGTCACCCAACTTCTTGGCATGGTTTTGCAGGGGGGAAGGAAGAACGATGAAAATCACCTCTCCCTCCTTTGTGAGCATCCCCTGGGCATTCACAGGAACTGGATCTGTGCCAGGGTTTGCAGGCTTTATATGTAACATCAAAAACATGCAAATGTTGTTTGACCAAAGACAATATATAGGGAGAAAAAAATTATACATCATGGATCATGTTGACTCTGTCATACCAATATTTGTTAAAGACGATCATCTGTCTCCAGCTTTTCATTTCTCAGCTAAAAGCTGGAAAAAACAGGTCAAGAAGGATGGGTAAATAATATTATGTACAATGGCTAGTTTGTCTCCACTGTGCTTGCATTGTGAGATAATGTTGATCATTTGCATATGGTGATTAAAAAACAGCCAGCATATAGCACGCACAGCTGTTATCTGTTCCAGTGGTGTAGAGTTTGTTAAGGATTCAGGTATACCCCAAAATCACAGTGGTGAGTTAGTTATGCTTCCTTCTTGAACACCTTGCACCACGTGATAACTGCAATTTTGCAGTAATCTCGCTTCCCTTGTGGAAGGTAAAGGAGAAAACTATCACAACAACAAAAATGTGGAGTTAACAAGTGTAGCTTTAAATTGAGAAAAGGTATATTTGTTTTTTTCTGAAAGGACATGGTTTGGGGTTTTTTGCTAAGAAAGAACGCAAGTCGCATGACATTGATTTTGCATGGTTTTGTAGGCAATTCAGTGAAAGTATTCTTTATTTGTATCACTTTACTTTCTATAGCTACATCTAGTTTTCAGTGATCACATGCACATTTGCATTGGCCACATAAGAGTGAACTAATTTTGGAGGTTTGGTTGTCATAACTTGCTCTCAGAATGTTTTGTCTCTACATAATGTTCTGCTGTTGTCAGGCTTATGTACTTATTGGAGTAAGTTGTCACTCTGAGAGTTACCCCCTAAATACCATGCACACAACTATGGAACTTAATGCAGACAATGAGGACATTAGAACATTTAAGTCTTCCATAACCTCGTGCCCTCCAGATGTTTTTAACTACAGTTGCCTTAGCCAGTGTGGCCAATGGCAAGGGATTATCAGAGTTGTAGTCCAACCTCTGGAGAGCACTAGGCTGGGGATGGTTGTCCTATGAGACATCATTTTCATATAAAGTTTGGGGTGCACTAAATTAGCTTTTCCCAGCATGAAGCCCTTGAGATGTTTTTGACTACAATTCCCTTTAGTCTTTGCCAGCATGGCTGTCTAAAACATCTGGAATGCTCCAAGTTGGGGAAACTGTTTCTCTTTTAATGCAAAGAAATCTTCCACAAGATGTGATCCACCAAGCTGTATGTGGCTCCAGCAGTGTTGTTATGGTTATCAAGATGCTTGACAGTTCCCTGGCTTTTGCGGTCGTGACTACAAAATAGGAAATGAACCTGATGGCAACAACACATAGTGGATTATAGATGGATTTTTTGGGGGGGGGGGGTCACAGCTTTTGCATTGTGCATTTAGATTTTAGTAGGAAGTCTTATAAGACCTCATGAATCAGTAGTTCAGTTATCAATAATGGACATGTGTTTTAACTTCCCATAAAGTCATGTTAGCTTCTACTATAATAGCAATGACTTTCAAGATCTATTTCCCCTTTTTTCCACTTACGTTGTATCTTAGATAATGGAAAACTAGTGCTATAGGTTGGCATACATCTTGAAAGTCCTTAAAATGTGTTTGGGGGTAGGAAGTTAGTGCTGCCATGTAGGTATTGAAGCAACCTGGACTTGTTACTTTACCGTAAACTAGAACCAAGATCATGTTTCCGTCCCAAGGAATTGAATGTTTTGTTTCCTTTGAGGCTCCAGACAGTAGTGAAGATGTGGTGGCGGCAGCAATATTTCACAGCACGGTTTCTGGTGCTGTTTAGTGTTGAACTGTACACTACAGATGTCATATGCTGCTGTCTTGACTATAAACTGATTGTCAACCAGATCATGCTGTTTCAAGTTTTTTATATCCATGCTGATAATGGACATTGGGCATTCTGGTCTGTGAAGAATGTATTCTCCTGAATTTTGAATGTATCCTGTTTAATAATAATTACTTTTGTCAGGATTTAAAGCACAGGAAAAAACTGAAGATAATCTTCCCTCTTTTTTTTTTTTAAAAAAAAGATAAATCTACATATTTTGTGGTTGTCACCTTTTTTCATAGTTTATCTCACAAGTAATCAAACGACACAGCCTATACTTTCTTGTCAAAGGAATTAGATTTATGTTTTCTTTGTAAATGGAAGAGAATATTAGAAATCTTTTTATTAAAATGTGAAAATGTTTATCTGTATTTTTGATCATGTTATAGATATAATAGGTATATTGTTACAAATAAAGTATTTTTGAGAACAAACAACTGCATGTTTTGTTTGCTTCTGAGGTATAGTGCGCAAATGGCAAGTTCATGCTACCAACAAAATGTATGTACATATACTTCTAACATTTAATTGGGTCTTGTGGAAAACACTGGTTACTTGCATGTATAAAGGTGGACAAGAAAATCTTGGATCCTGTGAATTGTCAAACCCAGCTAAATGCACTAAGGTGACATGTAGAAATTTGAGAGAACACTGAAGTGTCATTTGGTTGATCTATTCTGAAACCAGAAAAAATACTACATTGGAAATAAATTCCAAAACCCACTCTTGGACAATACCTTTATCAAGAATAATCAAAAGTTACAAAATCATTAACAGAACTCTTCATGAGGGTGGATGTTAAGCAAAAGGGAAGGGAAAGAAACTTGACGAAACAGCAAAAGAGCATCCTTTGCTTTGATCTTAAGTATATTAATTACAGCAACCATGACTACCAACTGCAAAACCTAGCACGCTATCACTGGTCTAAACACGCAGGCAAGAAATGCATTTATTAGCACAGATCAAGGACCCATTCCAGCCAGGCAGAAGCACTCAAGGAGGGTGCGGGTGAGAGAGCTGTCTTGGCAGAGGGGGCAGAGCCTGGGAAGGGTTTGGAGGGCCAGATGGAGATGTCTGGTGGGCCATATTCAGCACTTGGGCCCAAGGCTCCCCAGGCCTGGTGCAAGCGCTCAGCGCTGGTCCTGACAATGGTAGCCTGGTGGGAGAGAATGTGCATATCTGGTTCGAGGCAAGTATTTTCAATCAGTAATGTGGATAAATATGAAAAGGGTAATAATAGGGCTTATTACCATCAGGCAGTATAGAAAACTTGTGAAATAAAGATAAATCCTTTCTGCATCTCTTTTTGCCTCAGCTTACAATAAAAAAAGACCCCACACAAAATGGCAAATTAAAATGCATCCAAAGTATTATTAACCAAAAAGGGCTCAGAAAGGGAGCTAATATGACAAGATATGCGAAAAGGCAGACAGGAAGACTCGACGCGCTCGCGCGTGCGCACAAACACCGAGCGCAAGCCTTCCCTCCGCCCCGCTCCTTGCCTGCCTCCTGGCTCCGCCCACAGGGCGCCCCTCTTCTCTGTTTGGTCCGGAAAAGAGCGCGAGGGGAGGAGCAAGCGGAGAAGCGAGCGGAGGTGCCCACCGAGAAGTGCGCGAGATCCCGTGGGCCCCGTCCAAGGTGAGCGCAGAAAGGGCGACTGCAAGGACGCGCGCGCGCGCTGGTGTATTTCTGGGCTTGGCAACGTCTTTGGCTGCAGCCGGTTTCTAGAGAGCTGCCTGCTTTCCGGAGCCTTAACGGTGCCTGGGTCTGCACTTCCCTCCCGGTCTTAAACACCAGAATCAGCTCCAGGCAAAGGTCGAATCTAGGTCTGACACCGCGTCTTGCTCTGGCACCCATCGCGTTCACTTTATGTCTGCACCCAAACAGTGACTTGGAGGGACCTGAGGTTTCCTCCTCTTACCGCAAGATAATCCTCGGCCAATAATAACATGCCTAATGGAACTTCACAAAGGAAACAGCCATGTTAATCCGTTACAGCAAAATAAACAAATACACACCCACACCCACAGGCTTATAATACATGCCAGCTAAGTGCATGGCAGCTAAAGAGTGCAGGAGAGGATACCTCCTTGGGCCAGAACGCTTGCGATCTTAAAAGTTCAATATAGGAGATCGACAGAAGGAGGAGAGGGAAGTGGAAGCAGGGAAGCAACAGCATTTGTTTCAGTTGCATTTGCTTCAGTTACCGGCTGAATTTGAGTAGGGCAGGCAGGGCCGGATTTAGGTTTGATGAGCCCTAAGCTACTGAAGGTGACATATACTGAAAGTATATGTCCAGCTGTCCTTTGTCAACAACAAATTTTCATTTTTTTTTGTGTTGACTATATCCTATATGGTAATTTATGGACCTAATAGGTATCTAAAGCCATTTGCACATAACAAATAGGAGCTTACACAACACAAAACACTGTTGCTGTAGGTAGATTTTATTTTATTTGTTTTTTATCTTATATTTTGGAAATGTACATCCAGTTTTTTTCCCCTTTAATTTTTTTGGGGGGGGCCCAAGAGAGTGGGGCCCTAAGCTATAGCTTGTTTAGCTTATACAGTGGTACCTCAGGTTAAGTACTTAATTCATTCCGGAGGTCCATTCTTAACCTGAAACTGTTCTTAACCTGAAGCACCACTTTAGCTAATGGGGTCTCCTGCTGCTGCCACACTGCCGCACGATTTCTGTTCTCATCCTGAAACAAAGTTCTTAACCCAAGGTACTATTTCTGGGTTAGCAGAGTCTGTAACCTGAAGCGTATGTAACCTGAAGCGTATGTAACCTGAGGTACCACTGTACACAAATCCGGCATGTAAGGGCAACCTCTGGCACTCCAGATATTGCTCCCAGCATCCATGGCCATTGGTCATGCTTGATGCTGGGTCTGATAAGGGTTGTATAGAAACAAGAGGGTTGTGCTTTCTTGTTGTTTCTTAAGTTCTGTGTCCTGAAGCTATCCTGCCCTTGATCGTGATCTTTCACTTCCTGAAGGAGTTCTCTTTTCCCATGAAATGAGATAGCTGAAAATAAAATAAATTGAGTCGAGTGCCTTTCAGAGGAAGTTGATCAAACTGGGTGTTTATTTTGCTTTTGCAATTCAGGTTCTTCATGGCTGTTGTTTGCAGCCTTGTCCGGCATTTCCCGTTCAGACACCGCTGGTCCTTACCAAGGTTGCAGATCAGATGCCAGAGAAAAGCCTTGAATGTGTGGACATGTGGGTCCCCCCGGTCCAAACTTAAGAAAGAAGGAACAGGGCCATTGAAGAGAGAAGTGCTCATCATGCCTCCCATCCGATGGAGCATCAGTCACTTGCCCAAGAGATGTCTGCATGCTACCCAGTTTCACCTCCAGGAAGTGATGCTCACCAGTGAGCGATATGGGGTGCAGAGGCTTCCTTTTGCCCATGTTTCCAGTACTGATGTCTCTTTCTTTGAAAACCTTATGCCTGGCAGAGTCATCACAGATTTAGATGAACTGAAACTCTTCAACGTGGACTGGCTGAAGTCTGTAAGAGGTACGTTATTTTGGCAAACTGCTTTAAGTATTTTCTACACCAGCCCAATTGGGTTGGACTACACATTTCATGGCTCTGCTATCTAGGGCTGATGGGAGTTGTAGCCAAAACATCTGGCGAGCATCAGGTTGGGGAAAGCTGAGCTGTACTTCCTGGAAGCCGTTCTCCAGAGTTTGAGGCAGGAGTGTTTCTCAGCATCACCTGGAGATTCTGGGGACTGAACCCTGGACCACGTGCTCTGCCACCAAGCTCCAGCCCTTCCCCTTAAGCCTATAAATCTGCAATGTACTTTTTACTACATTCACATGAATTTTAGCCATATTAAGCAGCACAGGTATTTTTTTATTTGGGGGGTGGTAGGGGAAAGCGTAGTGCGGGCGAGCTTCTCTTCTATTTTAGAATGTTGTACTATTTTATTGTTGTTAGCCGCCCTGAGCCTGGCTTTGGCTGGGGAGGGCGGGATATAAATAAAATTTTTTATTATTATTATTATTATTATTATTATTCCAGTTTCAAATGAATGTTCTCACATCTTGTTTACATTACAGGCTGCAGTAAAATACTGTTAAAGCCACGGACAACAGCAGAAGTATCTGAGATTCTCAGGTAACAAAAAAACTGTGTTTCCGTGAACTCAATAAACAGCATTAGAGATGTCTGTATTTAGGAGACTGTGCCTTACTTCTGTCTTGCTCAACTATGTTTTAAGATATGCACAGTGGTACCTCTGGTTGCGAACGGGATCCGTTCCGGAGGCCCGTTCGCAACATGAATAGAACGCAACCTGCAGCAGCGCATCTGTACATGCGCAGGTTGCAATTTGCCACTTCTGCGCATGCGCGTGACATAATTTTGCGTGTCTGCGCATGCGCAAGCAGTGAAACCCGGAAGTAACCCTTTCCGGTACTTCTGGGTTGCCATGGGATGCAACCTGAAAAAACATATCAGGAAGGAAATGTAACATGAGGTATGACTGTATATTATCTTGTTTTTCATCACTATGAGTCATATTCAGGAGTCATATGATGGTATCTCAGAGTCCTTTCTTATGTGTCTCTCTCTGTATCCACTCTGATAGACAGAGGCGTATGAACACCCAGTAAAAGCGTTAGGTCAGTACTCTTTAAAGAGAAGTCTGTACAGTGGTACCTCGGGATGCGAACGGGAACGCAAGACGCGACGGCGTGTCTGCGCATGCCGGGTTTCACCGCTTCTGCGCATGCGCGTGACGTCATTTTGAGAGTCTGCGCATGTGCGAGCGGCGAAACCTGGAAGTAGCGCGCTCCGTTACTTCCGGGTTGTTGCGGAGCGCAACTCGAATGCACTCAACCCGAAGCACATTTAACTCGAGGTATGACTGTACTCACCTTCTTTCCTTCCTTTTCTCTCTGTGAGCAGCAGCTGAATCATATAGAGCAGTGATGGCCAAACTTGGCCCTCCAGCTGTTTTGGGACTACAGTTCCCATCATCCCTGACCACTGGTCCTGTTAGCCAGGGATGATGGGAGTTGTAGTCCCAAAACTGCTGGAGAGCCAAGTTTGGCCATCACTGATATAGAGTCCATCACATTTGAAGGTGGTCTGTTCTCCTGTCTAGCAGCTTTTACCATTAGGAAGATTCTTCAGCTGTTAGCTGGAATCTGCTTCCCTACAGTTTCCTCCCATCCCATTAGTCTTGTCCTCTAGAGTAACAAAGAGCAAATCTTAGCCTTTAGTGTGTTAGCTAAACTGGGGGGAAATGCCTCCATAAATATGGTATTCTGTTTTTGTTTTTATTACTAAATAAGTTAACTGATGATAGATGAGATGATTTCAAATAGAATATGGTTCCTAACGTGTATGTACTGTGAATCTAAAAGCTATAGGAGTTTTTTCTTAGTCTTTTCCTATGCACTTTTCTCCCTCTCCGCTTATTTCCCCCCTCCTTGCCATCTGTATGATGTTTAAGTGAAAACACCATGAAATTAAACTAAGGGTGAGCTAGTTGCCCACCCCTGTGTTAAAGGGATGCATAGCATCTCAGGGCTCATTCACACAAGCAGGTAGATTGGTGTACAGTCATGTGCCAAAAAGTGTGAACCCAGAGCACATGCAAGACAGCTTGCAGCCACTTCCAAGATCCTGGCCAGACTTCCCCCCATCACTACTACCATCTTCATGTGTACCACTTAATTTACATTTGCATGGCACCTTCATATTCTTTAGGATTTTGAATCTCAACCCACTATTTGAAGTCTTACTGCAGTAATGGGATTAGTATGCATCTTAAAACTATTGAGTAGTAGCAGCCAAGTTTACTCTTGAGTCAGTCTAGAAATTTGATCTTAAAAAAAGACTTTTTCGTTTCACTAGGATCGCCTTTTCAAAGGCATTATAATATGCCCTTAGGAACAAGACCCCATGGGCAAAATGTGTTCCCTTTCAGGTACTGCCATGAGAGGAACTTGGCTGTGAACCCTCAGGGGGGTAACACTGGCCTCGTTGGGGGCAGCGTCCCTGTCTTTGATGAGATCATTCTCTCCACAGCTCTTATGAACCAGATCAGCAGCTTTGACGACGTTTCTGGTAAATATATCTTCCCAGGGCAGGGGAAATGGCTACACTATCATCCTCTAAAGATTGCCATTCTCCTAAATTACGGAGTAGGGAGTGTGGCCCTGCAGATGTTGCTGGTCTGCAACTCCAACCATCCCTGGCCATTGGCTCTCCAAAAACATATGGAGGGTAAACAGGTTCCTCAACCCTGTCTTAAGAGTTTCCATCAGGGCGGACAAAATGGGAGGTTATTGAACCCTGAATGGCAGAGCTGATTCCTCCCTCTGCCGATAGCAATGGGATGTAAGCTCAAGTAAAGGGGAGGCGGCGGTGGTTTTCTATTCAGAAGTGTTGGGAGGTCATTGCCTAGTAGCACAAGCCAGAAATAACATGTGGAGAGCAAGAAGTGTAATTCTGGCATTAAATGAAAACTAGACAATGGTGCCAGTAAACAAACAAGAAAACCCACCTCACAGATCCTTGATGCTGAGGCTGTTTGGGGGGTGGGGGGTGGAGAATGTTACTTCCTTGCCAAGCCTCTGATCCCCCTCTGACAGATAGTAGATCTCTTTGGGTTTAAATTACGCCAACAAAAAAGGAAGTTTGCCTCCGTTTCTCAGACTGTAACTGGATACTGATTTTTCAGGAATCCTTGTTTGCCAGGCTGGCTGCATTTTAGAAAACCTCAACCAGTACCTGGAGCAGCTGGATTTCATCATGCCGCTTGACCTCGGAGCAAAGGGCAGTTGCCACATTGGAGGGAACGTGGCTACAAATGCCGGTGGCTTGCGGCTCCTGCGCTACGGCTCTCTGCGAGGGACAGTCCTAGGACTAGAAGTGGTAAGATGAAACTTTGAAAGCTGCTTCCCATATTTTATCATCTTCTTGTCCTTGACCATTGGAGGGATGAACTAGAGGCCCACAAAGCCCTAGCTGGTGGCCCATCAGCCCCCTTGACCTGATGTGCCACAGACATGGGTGGGAAGTCCAGGACATCAGCAGATGTTCATCCTCATCATGCCGCTGAGCTGGGTGGGGAGGCTTCAGCCTCTCTGCCTACTAAGCACCACCAATCAGGGGACAGGTTATTTCCTCCTCCTCACTCACCAGGCGATTGGTCTCATGAGCAGTTGCAAAGGGAGAAATTGTATCTGTGTCCTGTGCATGAACCTGCCTGCCTGCATATCTTCCCCTATGTGGATATTATGTGTGGATGCACACACTGGTGTGTATGTGTGTGTATGCTAGCTGTGGGTGGCCATGCCCACTTCATTACCCCACTGGGACATGGTCCCCTGGAGATGTGGGAAAGTGGTGACTTGGTCCTTGGACCCCAAAAGGTTAGCCACCCCCCTCATTCAGCCTGGACACTGAGGTCCAGTCCAAAGGCCTTCTGGCGGTTCCCTCACTGTGAGAAGTGAGGTTACAGAGAACCAGGCAGAGGGCCTTCTCAGTAGTGGCGCCTGCCCTATGGAACGCCATCCCATCAGATGAACAACTATCTGACTTTTAGAAGACATCTGAAGGCAGCCCTGTTTAGAGAAGTTTTTAATGTTTGATGTTTTATCATGTTTTTAATATTTTGTTGGGATCCGCCCAGAGTGGCTGGAGAAACCCAACCAGGTGGGTGGGGTATAAATTATTATTATTATTATTATTATTATTATTATTATTATTATTATTAATTTCACTCCCACTTCAGATGCGCATACTGTTAATTACTGAATTGTAATCTCTTCATTCCATTTCAGATCCAACTCTGCTACTGTATTGTCTTTTTAAAAAGTTCCCTCCTGAAATATTCTGTGTGATGGCAACTAATTAATCTAATTGAAAATGTTATGTTTAATCTTATTGTAGCCTTTTTAAAAAACAAAAACACACACCCTCTCAAATATATCAAGGAATTATCTAAGGATGTCCTCTTCCAGGTGCTGGCTGATGGCTCTTTGTTGAACTGCTTGTCATCTTTGCGGAAGGACAATACTGGCTATGACTTGAAGCAGTTGTTCATTGGGTCTGAGGGGACCTTGGGCGTCATTACGGCAGTTTCCATTCTCTGCCCACGAAAACCCAAGGCTGTGAATTTGGCATTTCTTGGTAAGAGCCATTCTGCTCTCTATTTTCAGAAGTGTTATTTGTAACTACTAGTGGTATTTTAGCAAGACTAGACTTGGACACAACTCCGCTTATGGTGAAACTGTTACAGCCCTCGAAGACAAATTGGTTATATTTATATTTTGTTTCCACTGAATATGATGACTGACTTACTAGGAAAGGTTGGGATAAGAACAGAGAACGCAATTGGCACAATCAGCAGGGTAAGAGCAGAAAATGCAGTTAACGTAACCAGCAGATCACTCTTCACATATGTCTGGAATAGTTCAGGGCTGAGCTTAAAATCAGGGGGTGTGATGGTCCTACAGGCAGCAGGGTAAATTGCCTGCCTGGCCCAAAGGTTGCAGATATTGCCTGCTGCCCAGATAGCCTGGTGGACAATGCTGGGGAGGAGTCAGTGGTCATGGGACATGTTGGCAGCAGTGACATGGGGAAATGTAATCATGAGGTCCTGGGAGCAAAATTTAGGCAGCTAGGTAGGATGCCTGATTCAGCAGGCTCGGCATACTTTCTTAATAAATTCACTGAGCCAAGGAACTGTCAATAAGTTGTAGCCGAATCCTAACCTGGTCTACTCAGAAGTTATTCCTATTACATTCAATGGGTCTTATTCAGGTAAGTGGGGTTAGGATTGCAGCCTTAAGCTATTTTATGGGTGTCATTCCTAAAGCTGCTATTAGTGTATTTTTGGTCTTTGTTGGAAGCCGCCCAGAGTGGCTGGGGAAACCCAGCCAGATGGGCAGGGTACAAATAATAAATTATTATTATGTTGTTGTTGTTGTTGTTGTTGTTGTTGTTGTTGTTTTGCAGCATGGAAGCCTCCAGCCTGAAGAATGTGGGCGGGGGGGGAGAGTTCTGTGTTTAGCAAATAAGTTGTCCTTTTCATCTTTTACCGTTTTGCATACATATGGCTCCTTGATGTGTATAGGTGTGATGTCATGTTTCCCCCTACTAGTTTTTTTTACTTTTTAAATGCAACTCTCTTTTTCATTGTTTTATGTTTTCCTTTGTGTAAAGGTTGTCCAAGTTTCTCTCAGGTCCTGAAAACTTTCACTCTCTGCAAGGGCATGCTGGGAGAAATCCTGTCTGCCTACGAGTTCATGGACAACGAGTGCATGAAGCTGGTTGAGCAACATCTCAAATTAACCAACCCAGTTTCAGGTACCGGCTAGCCATATGCAAAATTCACAGGAGGAATTCCTTCACTGATTCTGTTGGGGAGGGGGGAATAGACTCAAATGGTTGAACTGAAATGTACAGGTTCCCTAGGTGCTTTCTGTGCTTGCTGCTACTCAGTTGTCCGCTATAATCTTGAATGCATTCATTGCTCACATTCACGCTACATCATGGATTTTGTAGTCTTAAATAGAATAGAATAGAATTTATTATTTGCACCCCGCCCATCTGGCTGGGTTTCCCCAGCCACTCTGGGCGGCTTTCAACAGAGTATTAAAATACAGTGGTCTGTTAAACATTAAAAGCTTCCCTAAAGAGGACTGCCTTCAGATGTCTTCTAAAAGTCTGGTAGTTGTTGTTCTCTTTGACATCTGGTGGGAGGGCGTTCCACAGGGCGGGTGCCACTACCGAGAAGGCCCTCTGCCTGGTTCCCTGTAACTTGGCTTCTCGCAGTGAGGGAACCGCCAGAAGGCCCTCGAAGCCGGACCTCAGTGTCTGGGCAGAAGGATGGGGGTGGAGACGCTCCTTCAGATAATACTGGACTGAGGCTGTTTAGGGCTTTAAAGGTCAGCACCAACACTTGGAATTGTGCTTGGACCTATGCACACGTATTATACCTGATGTTGCCATGCATTATATTTTTGTTGTTTTGTTAAACTTCTTATTCAGTGTTTACACATTGTTAACAAGCATTACACACATACATAATGTTATCTGTATGCACCTTTCCATAGTTGAAGCCATGCTCAAGGCGGCTTAAAATACATACAGTGGTACCTCAGGTTACATGCGCTTCAGGTTACATACGCTTTAAGTAACAGACTCCGCTAACCCAGAAATACTACCTCGGGTTAAGAACTTTGCTTCAGGATGAGAACAGAAATCATGCTCTGGTGGCGCGGCGGCAGCAGGAGGCCCCATTAGCTAAAGTGGTGCTTCAGGTTAAGAACAGTTTCAGGTTAAGAACGGACCTCCGGAACGAATTAAGTACTTAACCTGAGGTACCACTGTAATTACAAACATAACAAAAGTAGTTAGAAACAATAAATGGCATCAGAAAGTACACAACCAAATTGAATCCATTTCCATATAAATCATAATAATATATAAAATAAATATACCAAAAATTAATATCAATAACAGCAAGAACCCCCACCCCTGCCAGTACCCCAGCGTATGCATTTTTTACACCATATGTAGTTGAAATTTCTCTACCATTTTCACAAATTCACAGAGCCATCTAGGGAAGGTGTGGGCAGGAGAATCTGGAAACAAAATGTTTAAACCAAATTCCACTTTTTCTGAATTTTGGCAAGTAGTCTTGTAAAAACAGGATATAGGCCAGGAAACTGTGTCATGTGAGGCATTCCGCAGATTCATTTTTCTTTGGGGATTTCTTTTAGGTTAGAAATACTAGAGAAACAGATTTTTGATTAAAAAAAAACAAGATGGCTGCTAATGTGACTTCAGGAAAAGGCCTTTTCCTCCTGTCCTTTGGTTGAACCATTTTGGGCAGGTTGGCAGGATTCACTGAAAGTGTCTTTTAAAAGATCCAAAATTTCCGAGAAACACCGTTTTCTTAACTTCTGCGTGGTGCAGCAGGAGTCATTCCAGTGAATATGGTGTGGTTTTTAGCTGTTGCAACTGATAGTGACAGTCTCCTTTCTGATTCTGCTTTTCCAACTCCAGAAAGTCCTTTCTATGTGCTAATTGAGACTTCAGGTTCCAATTCTGCCCATGATGAGGAAAAGCTGAGCCACTTCCTGGAACATGTCATGGCCTCTGGTTTGGTAGTAGAGGGAACTCTGGCTTCAGAAGATAAGAAAATAAAGGTAATTTCCCATTTCTCCCTAACTGTGCTTGGGTTGGGGCTCTGATTTGAATCTGAACTGCGTACCAATGGATGTGCAACTATTGGTGTATGTGGCATACACCAGTGATCCCATCATCAAATAGTCAACCCTGTCTAATTAATTAATTAATGTTTTACTTTTACTAAATTTATGTCCCTCCCTTCTTAAAGGAGCCCAAGGAAGCAAACACCGAGAGACAAAATAATACAAACATATTCAAAACAATTCCAAGGCAGGTGCAGACTGGGAAAGATTTCAGCTTAAAAAGCTTGAAAGAGGAAGGTATTCAGTAGGCACCGAAAAGGCAGTAGAACCAGCACTGCCTAATATTAAAGGAGGGGATTCCAAAGAGTAGCTGCCGCAAGAGGGAATACCGTGTTCTTATATTGTTCAGAATGGACTTCCTGATAAGATGGTACCTGCAGGAGTGCAAGTGATCAGTTGGGTATTTAAGAGGTGAAATGATCTTTCGGGTCTCTAGGTCTCAAGCTCTGTATGACTTGATACACCAAAACCAGCACCTTGAATTTAACCTGGTAGCTAATTGGCAGTCTAATCTCCGTGCAAAACAAATCAGGACAAATGCTGAAACATGTCCTTTGAGACTTGTGTGTGGCTGGTCCAACTGCAGAAGGAAGACTTAAGCTGCTGTGGAATCGCTCACTGGAATGACAAAATAATGTCAGCCCAGCACTAAATAAGCTTTTGGTGATTTGTTGAAGCCAACCTAAGCTCATTATTCTTTGAAGATTAATTGGTTCTTTTAACATAAACGCCTAAGTATCCGAGATGACTTAGCCAGCAGTGCCCAGATAGCAGTTCACTTTTGTAAAGCCATCCATGTGGAATGAAAACAAAAGCATTTCGTTTTCCATCCAAGTCACTGCTTGGGTCCATTGCAGGCGCTGTGGGCTTTGCGGGAACGGATCACAGAGGCCTTGACTTGCGACGGATCCGTTTACAAATATGACATTTCGCTGCCTGTGGAGAAACTCTATGATTTGGTGACGGACATGCGGACACGGCTCGGCAGCAGTGCCAAGAACGTGGTGGGCTATGGCCACCTAGGTAAGCTGGAATGTGCTTGGAATCAAATGGCCTTTACTGATTTGGATTTAGGGTTTTTTGTTTTTTGTTTTAATTATTAAAGTTTTCTTGGTTTACAAAGGTAAACCAAATTTTTTCAAGTTACATTTTTCCATAGGTCAGTTTCATTTGTTGAGAGGACTTAGAGTTCTTATAGCAAAGTGCTGTATAAGGAAGTCCTTGGTTCACCTCTCACCTGCTCTAGGGGGTTGGACTAGCAGGGACCGAGCAACAGGGTGAGCTCCCGTTGCTCGGTCCCTGCTCCTGCCAACCTAGCAGTTCGAAAGCACTTCAAAGTGCAAGTAGATAAATAGGTACCGCTCCGGCGGGAAGGTAAATGGCATTTCCGTGTGCTGCTCTGGTTTGCCAGAAGCGGCTTAGTCATGCTGGCCACATGACCCGGAAGCTGTACGCCGGCTCCCTCGGTCAGTAAAGCGAGATGAGCGCTGCAACCCCAGAGTCAGCCACGACTGGACCTAATGGTCAGGGGTCCCTTTACCTTTACCTGACTTACAGAATGGCCTCCCCAGGGTAGGTCAGTTGGTGCCAACTGTGATGTCATTATGACAACTGCGAAATACATTTTTATTCCCCATGGGCATTCCAGCGCCTAGTGTGAGCTAGTCTTTATTTGCTCTGTCAATAACAGAACAAATCTGTTATGATTTGTTCTGCATCTTGCTTTCAGCTGTGGTTTTTACCTATTTTTTGTTTTATTCCTTTTTATTGCACTGTTAGCTTACTGAAGCATGGCCTCTAGAAATCCCTTGGACCATGAATACCCAATGTGTTGCCCTCCAGACGCTACAACTCCCACCAGCTCTAGCCAACGTGGTCAGTGGGATAATGGGAATTGTATTCCAGCAACATCTAGAGGGCGCCACATTGTCTACCTTGCTTTTAGACAAATATACTAATGAATAATCTTCATTATATTTTAAAATAACCCTCTTCTCTAGAAGAGGAATTAGGCAGAGCCACTGCACTGCTTGCCCAGTAACTGAATGTGTTTTCTGCTTTCTCTTTGGAAACCCACTGATTTTGGGACTTTGCTTTGGCAGGAGATGGAAACTTGCACCTGAACATCACAGCAGATTCCTACAGCCATTCCCTGCTGGAGGCTATTGAGCCATTTGTATATGAGTGGACTTCCCAGTACCGTGGGAGTATCAGCGCAGAGCACGGTCTAGGCTTCAAGAAGAAGCATTATATCCACTACAGTAAACCCCGGGAGGCAGTCCTTCTCATGCAGCAATTCAAGGCCATGTTGGACCCCAAAGGGATTCTAAACCCTTACAAGACATTGCCAGTTAAGGGGGCATGATGGTGACTATGAAGAACAGGATCAGGAGACCTTTGTGTGGAGGTTGTCTAGCATGGGAGCTGTAAGCAAATTGTGAAACTGCAACATGAAATGGAGGTTTGCTCCCCACCCACCCCCAACAAAAGAAATAGTAAAGGAGTTGAATTGTCCTCCCAGTATTATCTATCTACCAAGCTCTGAATTATCCGAGAAGCAGAGAAGACAACGTTTGTTTTCTAAGGCTCTTTCTTTCAAAGCTTCCGGTTGCTCCCCATTTTTAGGGCTTTGTTTTTATCTGAATACAATGTGTAGGAGTGGAACTTGGGATATGAGAACAATTTTCAGGAGGAAATTCATGGGATAGCTTCTCTTTCCTTCTTGTTGCAGCTGCATACATTCAAAACACAAATTGACAGCTGCAGGATTTGCAAGGACACTGAAGAAGATAAGAGGGTATTCTGTGCTTTGAACCAAGTGTGGGAAACATTTTACATTTCTTCATGGAAAAATAAAACCTGTAATGAAAACATTACCTCAATTTCTCTACGTTTTAAAGCAGCCCTTCTTTATAGGTTCCCCATTCTTACTCTACGAAAACTTAAATTGGAGATTGGAAACCTGTGGCCCTCACATCACCATCATTACTGACCATTGGCCATGTTTCCCTGGGGTTGATGTGAGTTGGGAATCCAAAACATCTAGAGGGAGCACTGGGTTGGAAAAGGCTGCTCAAGTTGTCTTCCTCAACCTGGTGCCTTTCAGAGGTTTCAGGCTACAACTCTCATCAACGCCACCTAACAGCCGGTCACTGTTTTGTGACTGCTGAACATGTGTCCTGCCTTCATTGGGCTGTTGGGGTTCCACCCCCCTTTCCCTCCTTAAGAATATCTACTTCACCGAATGTTGGTGTTGCCTGAAGCCTGCTACCTCCCATTTGTGTGTGGATGGTACGTTATAATTTAGCTGCGTAATGAGCCATACTTAGATGGTGAACATGGTATCCGTGTGCACTGGTACCTCTGGTTACGAACATAATTCGTTCTGGTGGTCCGTTCTTAACATGAGGCATGCTTTCGTTAATGGGGCCTCCCGCTGCCACTGCACGATATCTGCTTGCACTCCAGGGCAAAGTTTGCAACTAGGAGCATCTACTTACATGTTAGCGGAGCTCGTCTTCATAAGGAGGATGGTACATAACAGGAGGTTACACTGTATTGGATACTTGGTGGAATGTAAGAATCTTTGTTAGACAGTGGGGTTTCTTGGGTGGGTGGGGCTATAGTTCAGTGGTTAGAGCACACTCTTGGCATGCAGAAGGTCTTGGGTTCAATAACCTGCATCTCCAGTTAAAAAGATCAGACGGCAATTGATGGTAAAGGCCCTGAGGCCAAGCAGAGCCACTGCCTGCCAGAGTTGACAGTTCTGAGCTAGATGGACTAGTAGTCCCGACTTGGCATAAGGCAGCTCCTTGTGTTCTAACGCTCTCATGCAACCACTTGATTGACACCCAGTGCCCTTTTAAATATGGGAGGGGGGATTATTGGTTTGTTTTTGTTCTTGATTTTATTATGTATTTTATATTTTTAATATTTCAATTTTATGTTGTGAACCGCCTGGGATCTACTGGTATAGGGTGGCATACAAATTTAATAAATAATAATAATGACTTCAGCATGGCCATAGCTCAGAGGACAAATAACCCCCTACATTGACTTCCAGTTCCATCAGCCTGTGGCAAAGCTGTTGTGCTCATGCCATTGGCCCGGCTCCGCATTCAAGCCTCAGTTTGGCTTTTGGCGTATCTCCACATTCTGGTTGGGATGGAATAATAATAATAATAAAGGTTTGCATGTTCAGAACTGTAGGAGTTACCATTTGGTCACTATACTATAATTAACTAGTGCCTCTGGCACTCATAGTTACAAATGAATTCTGTTAACTGTGGAAACTATTGTACTTTCCCAGGTGTGAAGTGTAGTCCTTTTACTCACAAGAATCTTGTTGTTTCATTCACAAAACATCCATCAAAGGTGGGTGGTAAATAAACAAATAAAAAGCAAGTGACCTTTTAATGCAGGAGTCAGCAAACTTTTTCAGCAGGGGGCCGGTCCATTGTCCCTCAGACCTTGTGGTGGGCCGGACTATATTTTTTTGTGGGGGGGGGGATGAACTCCTATGCCCCACAAATAACCCTGAGGTGCATTTTAAATAAAAGCACACATTCTACTCATGTAAAAACGTCAGGCAGGCCCCACAAATAACCCAGAGATGCATTTTAAATAAAAGCACACATTCTACTCATGTAAAAACACACTGATTCCCGGACCATCCATGGGCCGGATTTAGAAGGTGATTGGGCTGGATCCATCCCCTGGGCCTTAGTTTGCCTACCCATGGTGTAAAGAGAGGAGGATTAATGTGTAACGCTCAGAGCAGGAAGTCCTGATTTCTGCCGCCTGGGGGTGCTGTGACAGCTGCCACCCTCGGGAGAAAGCCACACTAGGCTTTCAAATCAACACATGGTAGGCTTGTGTGAAATTCTTTTGAGGAAATGATTTGGAACTAATGTTGCTGGTGAGAGTGGCTATTGAGAATGGAAGTACATCCTTCCCAATGCCATAGGAATCTTAAGTGTTGTGCAGTATGTTGTATTACAGTATATTATTTGTGCCACTGTTTGCAGTCCCTTTTAGACCAAGAATAACTACATAACCGCATAAGAAATGCATCATTACTGATGACTGTACAGGGAAAGAAAATTCCAAAGCTATGGGAGACCATATCATATCAGCAACACAGAAAGCTGGCATCGTCCAGAATTTTCCCAGATGTACCTGGAGAGGCCAGAGATTGATGTGCCATTGCTGGTGCACACTCACCCATTTGTAGCACAAATAATGTAGCTTTCTCGATGCAGAATTGTTCGTGCTCATTCTCGACATGCTGCTTTAAATCTAGGTTGCTTCTAGATTCTACTGTCCCCAAGGGTGGGTGTAGATACTTGAAAAACACATAGCTTATTCATGCCCTTTCCTCCCTGCACAAACCCCAGTAGAAGAAAGAAGGAAGTCACAACTGTGATCTCTGTATACACCTACTCACAATGTCATTGGGAAGATGTGGATGCATCTCCCATTGCCAGGACCATCTACATCTGTTGTCAAATGGACGATGCACTGCTGAGCAATGCAGAATCCATCTGCAATGAGCTTTTATTTTGGGACTTGAGTCTAGAATAAAAACACCATGTGTGCACAGCCATTGGCCATCTGCATGTAATGCAAGTTTTCTGCCACTGAGTTATCTAGAGCTCATCGGCTCAAATCCTCAGCCAGAGCTGTGAGCCAGCACTGGGACATGCAATGTATGATGTAAATCAGAGGAGTTGTGCTTGAGTGCAGGGTTTTCTTCCAGAAATACCCAGTACAGGGACTCCAATGTGGATTGAGAACCTGGCATGGAGGCTAAAGGTTTTTAACCTTTTCCCCCAATCGCATCCCACTCTCCAGAAACAAAATTCTCTTCCCCACCCAGAGGCGCAGAACAAAGAAGCTGTGTTTTCCATCCCAGTAAATCTGAAGTGCCTGCTATAAAATGGGACACTGTGTCCAGCTTGACATCCCATCCGTCAAAGTATCAGGAGCCAAACTAAACTCTGCGAGAACTGCTTCTCCCCTGAGGTCATGAGGCTTTTATGACAAGGTGGCTTGGGGTGGGTGGGGCTTCTTACAAGCAAACAAAAAACTTTTGCAACTCTATCCCCTCATGCAATCTTACCTCCATTCGTCTTCCATCTCTGTGTTTAATTTGCTTGTGTAATCAGGAGCATCCCATCTGTGCCACCCATATTTCTGTATCATATCTGCACACCCCTTGCTTTGCCTGCCTAGATTGTTGAAAGGCTCCACAGAGAAGCAGTGGCATGTCCAGCTGGCTAACAAGAAACTCACGTGTCACTGTGATAGGACCAGCAGCACAATGAAAGGCACTTGCAGGTAAGGAATAAGGAGCAAAGAACCATAGAGTGGGAAGGGATCTCAAGGATCATCTAGTCCAGCGCCCTGAAAATGCAGGAGTACGCAGCTGTCTCTTACAGGGATCAAACCTGCAACCTTGGCATTATGAGCACCGCACTCTAACCAACTGAGCTATCTTAGTAGTAATAACTTATTTTGCAGGGAATTTTGATGAATGTATTCGGTTAACTACATCAGATCTATATCTATCTATCGATCGATCTATCAATCATCTATCATCTAGCTATCATCTCTATCTATCTATATCTATCTATCTATCTATCTATCTATCTATCTATCTATCATCTATCTATCTATCTATCATCTATCTATCTATCTATCTATCTATCTATCTATCTATCTATCATCTATCTATCTATCTATCTATCATCTATCTATCTATCTATCATCTATCTATCTATCTATCTATCTATCTATCTATCTATCATCTATCTATCTATCATCTATTTATTTATCTATCTAGCATCTGTCATCAGTCTATCTATCTGCAATTTAATCTGGAGAGATGTGTTTAAGGTGGGTCTCCCTATCTGTTTCTTAGACTTTTGGCTAATAGGAAGCATTTGGAAGCTAGGTAGGCTGTGTGTTTTTCAGAACTCCAGTAATGTCATATGCGACTTTAGGAGAAATTGACAATTGTAGGTTATGTATTCCCCCACCCCTATAATTCCATATTATACCACTGCAACTTAGTCCAGGGTTATTCAGACCTGTTTCTTCCCACATCAGATTCTACTTCTTTAAAAATGTCAAATTGTAGAAAAGATGGTGCTGGCAGGTCAAATCCTGTTTACAGCATGATTCACTTATAGCCTCTCCCAGCTAATAAATGCCACACAAATATCTAGCCGATCTTCCAACTGACGTGTGTGTGTGTGTGTCTAATGTATAGTGGGGGAGAGCACAAAGAGATGACAAATTTGGTAGGTCCCTTGAGAAATTTTTGTGGGTCTTTGTGTGTGTGTGTGTTTGTGATGTACAAACCATACCCGAGGCTCTGCAAAATAAACTTTCAGCAGTTGTGGCTTTCTGGATTATAGCTTCTCAGCTCCTGGTAGAAGTGTGGAGCTCACTCTTTCTTAATGGGCAGCTCTGCAAGGGATGGAAGGAAAGCCTCCAGACGTGGATGGAGAAAAGGGTCAGTGACTGTTCCTCCCAGGCCTCACAGAGGCCCCGGAACCAAAGAACTGTTATGTTCAATTACAATATAATTGCATAAGGGAAATTTAACTAATCCATCTTGGCGTTAAACCAATCCAGTAGTGAGCATGCAAGCAAGTGGATGGCAAGGTCTAGATTGGAATCGATCTCAATTGAAAGCAGCATGTTGATGACAAGTGTGAATGAACCCAGATTGAGAAAAACTACATTTTTGTGCTACAAACGGGTTAGTGTGCATACACAGCCTAAGTAAGCGCGTGCGCACACACACTTTTTGTGCATGTGGATTGCACTAAGGAGCAGAAAAATAAAAGGAATGCAAATTCAGACACAGAAAAGTCTTCCAACCACACCTGGTGAAATACTACCACTGTTCAAAAATCTGACCCTTGCCATACACTCTAAACTGGTGCTGCCTTGGTTTCATTTTATCCTGAAAGTAAACTCCTTGGAGCCTGCTTAATCTCTGGCTTTATTTCCTGTTGTCCTTAAGATGCAATGAATACAGACCTCTCTCTGTCTCTGTAGAACAAAATGACTTCATTGTGCTTAGGTCTCATACTGCACAAGGTATTTTTCCGAAGTAGCAAATGCAATTTGTAAACTGATCGGAGATACACAATTTTTTTTAAAAAAAAAATCATCGAATAACTCTTTGCTATCACAAAGCTGAGCAAAACGGGCAATTTTATATCAGCAATATATGCACACTTCCAGGATAAGAGAAAGATAATCTGTTTTGTTTTAAAAAACCAAGTTATGACACATTCATTTTGAAGGTGATGTTGGTATTGAAAGCCAGTGTTACCAGGTGAATGGGCTCAACTTTCAGAATTCTTTGAGGAAAGCCAAGATAATATCCCTGCGCCTTAAGCGTTACAGCAGTGCTGTTTTATTAGAAAATGCAGACTATGTATCTATTCTTTTTCAGGTGTTTTCGACACTTTACATGTCTCACTCTTTGCCTGGGAGCGATAGCCTTGATAGGATTCTTTCAGCGCAATGTAAAGCTTAGCACGTAAGTTGATATTCTAATATGGCTAAACCAGACAGGACAACTGCTACCAGAGAACTCAACCTGTTAAAACCAACCACCAGAAACCCTAGATATTTCTCATAGGCATACCGGTGATCTTTGATGGTGATAGTGACCTGACCTTTGGGCCAAATCTCTTCTGCATGCAAAGCAGACACACTATCATGAAGACAAGGCCCTTCCCTTAAAAAAATAATTTGGTATTTTCTCATTGTGGATAAAATATTCCAGGGGATGAAATCTGCAACACATCTATTTATTCTGATTAATTCCTGTTCACTTGACTTTCATTTCTCAAGGACGGTATTCTATAACAAGGACAGTATTCTGGCTATTCAGTTGGCAAAGGAAAAGAGCCAAAATATTGAGAGCCCTGGTATGCAGAGTGCAGAGTTTTGCTTGTGAATCTGGCTAGACAGTAGACTGTTGCAAGCACACATGGATCAGAAGTGCCATTGGGCTGGGGGGCAAGCCTCCCCCAAACTTTTCAAGGGGGTGGTTGGGCCCCCTCAATATTCTGCAGCCTGCTGGGCCCCTTCGGGCCCTGCTGGGCCTACCTGCAGTTGTGGTGGGCCCCACTGGGCCTTCCCACAGCTAGCAGAAGGCTGCACCAGCCCGCAGAGTGTTAGGAGGCGCTGCAGGGACTGGCACACCTGGCGCAAGGTTGCACCAGCCTGCACATCATCTCCCGACACAGAAGGCTGCACCTAATTTACAATGCAATCCTATTCACACTTACTTGGAAGTTAATAATTCAGTGGGCCTAGGCTCCAAGAAAGTGCATGCAAGGTTGCAGCCTAAGAGTTGCGTGGGATGGTTCTAATGGCACCCTATTGAGTTGCATCAGCTGGAGGTAGAATTCTCTGAGATTGGATAAGCAAAATGCAGCTCTGGTTAAAAGGGTTTTCATTATCTCCACAGCAAAGTGCAAAAGGAGATCAAATAAGGACAAATGAGCAGTAGGCAGTTATAATATACAGTTACTGACTCACACTTGGATGTACGAAACAGTTAACCTGAGCCCTGAGCTCAAGTTACCATGGGAGGGCTAAGCAGGCTCCCAGCAGCCTTTACCTCTCTCTGCTTCCTGGGGTAAAAAAAAAGCTGCAGCCAAGCGTGGCTTCCAGCTCATGTGAACGAAACTTTCCAAAAGGAGGTTTTTACTGCCTGCCTCTTTGCTAATGCAAAAACTGCATTGGGTTTTTTTTGGTAAGGAACACAAGTTCTTTCTTTTTAAGTCATTTGGAACATTTTTCTTCTTTATTTCATTGCCAATGGATGGAGACTTGTTTGTGGTAGCTTCTGAAACTCTGTGAGTAAAATCTTCACTTATTTGCAGAGTAAAATCTTCACTTATTATCTCTGAGATTTATTCTAGCCTAGGTATTTTCATGGGGAATATATGTTTAAATGTGGATGCAGGCAGATGTAAATCTAATGTTTTTATGTGCTTGGAGCAATCACCATTGTGCTAACTCTGCTATGAGAGAGGATGGATCTTTTCCAAACCTTTCTTTTCAGCAGGTGGGAAGGGTGGCATCTGGAGTTTAAAAAGATTCTACCCCTTCTTTATTCATTTTATATTCATGTAGCCTGAGACCTGTTTCCAAACCCTGCCAACCTACCACAAATGTCATGTTCCTCAAGACACACAAAACGGCCAGCAGCACAGTCCTCAACATCCTCTTCCGCTTCTCAGAGAAACACAACCTCACTGTGGCCCTGCCGTATCACTTGCACTTCCACCTGGGCTACCCTGTGCACTTCAGAGCAACATTTGTTGAGGAGTTCAGAACCATTGGTCGACACTTCAACATCATGTGCAACCACTTGAGGTTTAATTTGCCAGAAGTAAGAAAACAGAAAGGACTGCTATTGCTGATTACAGTGAAGTTGTCCTCCCCCCCCCCCCCGGTCTGCAAAATTGAGTGATGGCAACATTGAGGATGCATTTCCACAGAGATTTCAGGGGGAATAAGGTCATTCAGCATATCTGATTGCACACAAACTATACTGGGGCAGACCTTGGTAATATGCCGCTCTGCGCAAGGCCATTTGATGCCCTCCCTCCCCACAGCCCATGTAGTGCCAGCTTAAGCCAGGCTATGGGAAGGAGGCATGATGCTCTGGCAGGTTCCTAGAGCCCTCCTATCTCCTTCCCAAAACACGATGAGCATTTGCCCAGCTCTGGGAAGGTGGCAGGAGGACTCTAAGACCCTGTCTGAGCTCTCCCTTCTCCTTCCCGAAGTCAGACAAGCATTTACTGGGCTTTGAGAAGGCGCCTTCCTCAGCTGCGCTGCACCATTCACACTGCCCCATATCCACCTCTGCCTGCACTTAACCAGCGTTGATTTCTGTTCTGCAGAAATAGCATAACCCACACAGGGTGGGGATGGGGACCTTTGGCCCTCCAAATGTTGTTGCTCTCTTAACTCTCACCAGCTACGGTCAGCATGGCCAATGGATGGAGATGATGGGAGTTGTAGTCTAGCAACATCTGGAGGTCTGCAGCAGCAAGAGCTTCTGTGGGCAAATTTTGGGAAACTGTTGATTTGGGGAATTAAGATAACTGATATTCAAAAGTCTGGCAAATTGCCCTTTTAGAGAAGATTTCTTCTTAAATCTAGGGGATATAGTACAATGTATTGATTGCGCAAGAAAAAATATCCTCCTTCCTTTCCCATATCTTCAATCTCCCTTGCTAAGGATCCTGACTTTCTCTGTTCTGCTTTTTATTACAAAGGTAAGAAGAGTAATGCCACGTGATACTTTCTATTTTTCTATCCTGCGGGACCCTCCTTCATTGCTGGAATCCTCCTATGCTTATTACAAAACATATTCACCAGCATTTCAGAAAACCAAGACACTGAGTGAGTTTCTGGCATCTCCTTGGACATACTACAATACAGGCAAAAAGGCTTGGAACTTTTATGCCAGGAACTTCATGTGGTTTGACTTGGGCTATGACAACAATGCAGAATATGATGACTTCTACGTCCAGTCTGTAATACAGGATATTGAGCAGAATTTCCAGCTGTTGCTAATTGCTGAATACTTTGATGAGTCCATGATCCTTCTGAAGAATATGTTATGCTGGGACCTGGATGATGTGGTTTATTTCAAACTGAACACCAGGAGCCTAGACAGTGTTCAGACTCTGAATCCAGAATACAAGGAAAAGGCGAAAGATTGGTGTGCTCTGGACTGGAAACTTTACACACATTTCAATAACACCTTCTGGATTAAGATCCAAGAGAGGATGGACCTAAAGACTTTGTACAAGGAGGTTGAACTTCTGCAGAAGAGACAGAAGGAACTGATGGAGGTGTGCCTCTTGGAGGAAACAGCAGTTGATGGAAGCAAAATCATAGACAATAAACTGAAGCCCTTTCAGCTGGGGCTTGTGAAAATCTTGGGCTATAACCTCAAGCAGGATTTAGACAATAAGACCCAGACGATCTGCCAAAAGATGATCATGCCTGAGCTCCAGTATACAGCATATCTGTACAGCCACCAGTTCCCAAACAAGACGAGAAAACCCATAGACTTCCCCACTCCATGAAACAAGATTTGCTTATGATAAGGATGTACAATTGTGCTGCCAGTAAAGGGGAATGTAGTCTCACTGGAGGGCAAATGGGGCACTGCCCCACCAACCTCAGGATGCCCTCACTTGTCTACATTCCTATTTGCGACCAGTCCAGGGGGTGGAACTGGCTATTGTCTTAATTCCTCCTTGCAGTACTCCACAGGGAGGAGCCAGAACTGGTTGGTTCTGCTAGCCATTGCCCCAGCTCCACCTACTGTTGGTCTCCCCTGCCCCACTCCCGTCACAGTGGTCCAAGCCACCACTGTATAGTCTCAAGTCTCAGTGGTAAAGACCCTGACTCATCACATGTGGGTGGTGGAGATTTTATTCCAGTGAGTGTTTGCCTAATTTGGCATCTTTGGTCTAATCCTCTTTTAAAGCCATCTAAATTGGTTGCCATCACTTTGCAGTGCTCTGGTCCCCAGTAGTTTGCAGCCACTCTTCTTTTTAGGTAAAGGTAAAGGGACCCCTGACCATTAGGTCCAGTTGTGGCCGACTCTGGGGTTGCGGCACTCATCTCGCTTTATTGGCCGAGGGAGCCGGTGTACAGCTTCTGGGTCATGTGGTCAGCATGACTAAGCCACTTCTGGCGAACCAGAGCAGTGCATGGAAACGCCATTTACCTTCCCGCCGGAGCGGTACCTATTTATCTACTTGCACTTTGACATGTTTTCAAACTGCTATGTTGGCAGGAGCAGGGACTAAGCAACGGGAGCTCACCCCGACGTGGGGATTCGAACCGTGACCTTCTGATCGGCAAGTCCTAGGCTCTGTGGTTTAACCACAGCACCACCCACGTCCCTTCTATTCTTCTTTTTAGTACATATCAATAGATGAACCAGGTCATTTTACTCAGTTAGTCAATGTGATGCTGTGATCTTCTAAATATGGGGTGGGAACACACATTACAACTCACTGAATGACTATTTTTAAAGAAGGTTCAAGTTCCCACAGCCTTGTTCATGGTTTCATCATCCTTTAGTCAGTTTTGCTCTTATGCTGGAAAGTTACTAGATAACCATTATGAACCATGTGAACCATGAGGTCCTCTGAAATCAATTTCCTGCAATGCATTGAAAACTCATTTTGTTTGGTTTCATTCCATCTTCTCGGCCTTCAGTTGTCACAGTCCCCTTTGTCCTCAGGTTTCTGCTCCTTGCTTTGTTTAGTCTCCGCCTCCCCGCTTTTCTTAATGGGAACATTTGGACTCAGCTCAGTGAACTGGAAGTAACTCTGTCAGCACGAATCCTAGTCGCACAACATGTCAATTGATTTGCGACTGAAATCAAAATGCAAGAAAGTCTAGCCTATGTTAACAACTGCTCCAGTTCAAGAAAAACAGCAGTTTAAGTCCCCAAATGCATGGTGGTTAGGAATGAGGAATAAATTAGAATCAGTTCCCACTCAAAGGCATGCCAACCTACTTCACACTTCCTGAAACTATGCAAAAACCAAATCACAGCCATCCTTCAAAATCTGCACTTCTCCAAATTTCTCAATGCAGTTTTCCAGGCAAGTACAAGAATGCATATTCTGGTAATAGGGTAAAGTTGCATAAAATGCATATATTAGTTGTCAGCTGAACAATGCTAGCTTATGCATGTTTACTTGGAAGTAAGTCCCACTGTGTTCAGTGAGACTTGCTCTCCAGTAAGCATGTTTAGGATTGCAGCCTAAAGCAATTTTTGTAAAGGCTGGGGAAAGCTTGACAAAATGCAGAAGGTGAGGGCAAAGGTGAAGGGCACTGCAAAACATCTGACCAAAAATTGTTTGCTAGCATGAAGGACATGGGGATAATGCTAATTCCTGTTTCTGAGGTTCTAACACCTTTATCAGAAACCTGGAAATATAGAGTACAAGCTCCCTGCAATGTTTCTAGATACAAGCCATATAATTGTCTGGTGAGAACAGTTTAATGACATGAGCAGCTTTTCATTAGGAAGTAATGCATTCTGTATATCAGTAAACTATCAGAAGCATATGGACTGCAGCTGACATTGTATGTACTCATAATGTGTACACTGGTGGTGCTGCATTGGAGTCAGAGTAAATGGTAATTAATGTGTACACGGTCAAAGTCAATAAATTCTGGTGCTTCCGGACCTCCGGGGTTGTCTAGTTCAAGTACTGTATCTTTCTTACAGTTCTTCATCTCTAAAGAAGAAACAGCAGGCAAGTCTTGAAATTGCCCATTAGCCAAACAGAAAATTATAGGTAGGTAGATAGATGTTATTTGTTATCTGTACAAAGTATGGCTTTGTAATCTACACAGATGTTACAAAGGATAAGACAGTTTCCCCAGAATTCTGTTCCCAGGCTTTCCTTTGAGGAAGGAAGGGGTGGAATTCAGATAATAATGTCGCTCTTCCTAGACTTTAAGGCTGCTAGTCTGGTTTCTTTCCATTTGCACAGATAAAAGCAGGGTAAAGCCACAAAGGCCAATGGGCTTACTCCAGCAGCATAAACATTAGAGTGGTGAACATTACATTCTCCCTTCACTGCCATTACACTGGACATACGATTCTGATTATGGAGATGTGCGGCTAATGAAGTCCACATATACAGACAGGTAGGTATGCCCCGTGAGAGTTTCCCAGTTAGTTAAAAAATAAAAAATAAAAGGGAAAGTGATGGTCACAGGTATCTGCACATGGACATTGCTGACTGTGTCCTCACTGTGCTCTGACAATGATGTCTTTGTCCTCCGTTTGCTGATTAAGCTGCTGGCTGCTGGCTCAGTGCTTTCCCCCCAACCATGGAACAAGTAGCGAGCCCACTGGGTCAGAGGTAGAGGGAAGGGGGGGTGCTTGAGAGTCAGAACGTGAGGAGTGAAATAAGGCATCACATAAGCAGTGAAGGAAGCTGCTGAAATTGCATCGGTCAGCAAAGCGGAATTTGTAAAGGGCTCAGATGAAGACAGATCAACATAAATAACTTATCAGTGGCTTTGGGGACAAAAGACAACCTACCAAGCAGAAAGGGGGCAAGGTTTGTGGTTTCATGCTTGTTTTTCTTCTGTAGTCTCCGTACGTTTCTAGATGTCTCCTTCCTTATTTGGGGCATGCCTAGATGGACTAGGATTTTCTCCCTCCGTTCCTTATACTTGTAATATCTCTTCTTCCAAGAAGGGATTAAGAGGAGATTCTGCAGTGTAGTGTGGGCACTGCTCCCGTCTTACCCCTGCCTTTCAGCTGCTACCATCCCCTCCCCAGATAGTGTATCATGTGACACTCACCCCACTTCCTCTGAGAAAACATAAAACAGTGCAGAGTGCAGTGCTTACCTGGGCTATTCCTGTTTTTTCCACCAATGCTTTGCTCTTTCCTACCAAACCACCATCTGGCATACTGTTCTTGGTGGCCTCCATTCAGCTCCTTTGAAAAAAAGGAAAATCACACAAAGAGCAATACAAATGTTTTGTCTGCAGTGTTTAAAAAGCTATCTGTGTGGACTCTTTGGTACTATAGTGGGACCTAAACCTTTCTCCTGAATCTGTAGCCTCCCAGAAGTTGTTGGACTCCAACTCCCATCATCCCCAACCCAACATGGCTGGCTATCGGAGATTATGGGAGTTGTAGTGCAACAACATGTGAAGAGCCACAAGTTCCCCATCCTTTTCCTCAGCCAAAGGAAGAGATGGAATTAGGCGTCTGGAGGCTTGGGTGCACATTGATTTGCTGTCCTTGAAGACAACACACACCCTTCACCGACTTCACAGGTTCTCTGCTTACAAAGAATGTCTGCTGTGTGGTTTTTGAGTTTCAAGTCTGCTGTGTAGATACATCCCACCTCTCTCTTTGGTATTTTAGGGCTTTCTCTCCTTGCTGCAAGTGCAATGGGCTCTCGCCATTTCCCTGCCCGGACAGTCTTGTTTGAAAGGGAGACGAGCGGAGTGACATACCGAGTGCCAGCGCTACTCCACATCCCTTGTGTTGCAAAGCTGCTGGCTTTTGCCGAAGAGCGGCTGAGTGTTGATGATGCTCATGCCAACTTACTGGTGCTGAGAAGGGGCACTTTCTACAAGAACTTTGTGGACGTAAGACAAAATGAAGCCAGTTTTGCTGACACCGTATGACAGGACTGAAACTTAAGGCATAGAGGAAATTATCTGTGACATCCTTGTGAGTTTCCCACAGGCATCTGGTTGGCCACTTTGAGAAGAGGGTGCTGGACTAGATGGGCCATTGGCCTGACCTAGACCTGTTCTTACATCCGTCTCTGCGTTGCTCTTTCTTTGTCACTTCTTTTGTTGTTAGGAATAATATAACTGGTGCCTCTTGATTCTCTGAAACTCCCACCTTGTTCAGCCACGCATATAGCAGCCATAATTGCCAGGAATGGACCAGAGCAAATTAAATGATAAATAACAGTTTTTTTCACTCACTATATTTAGATCCTGCTGTGACCAGCTCATCTTGGCTGCACTGAATAGTCATTTTTCTTATGCTTCATGTGGTCTGCGGTAGAGTAGGGTTTGTTCACAGGGGATGGTTGACACTGTGCTCTTCATATGATAACTTAGGCATAAAACTGCTGTTATAGATGATGGGCAAAGCTTTCTTTACACCCCACCAGGCCCAATGCTTGTCAACAGAGGCAGTGTACATATTCAGCTCCTTATCATTGAATGATCAATACTGAAAGGACCAAAGTTCAAGTACAGTGGTACCTCTGGTTAATAACTTAATTCGTTCCAGAGGTCTGTTCTTAACCTGAAACCATTCTTAACCTGAGGTACCACTTTAGCTAATGGGGCCTTCTGCTGCTGCCACGCCACTGTCGCACAATTTCTGTTCTCATCCTGAGGTAAAGTTCTCAACCCGAGGTACTACTTCCGGGTTAGCGGAGTCTGTAACCTGAAGCGTTTGTAACCCAAAGCATTTGTAACCCGAGGTACCACTGTAATGTGTGGAATCAGCCCTAATGGTTTATGGATACTTTTAAAGATAGAAGTTGCTCTCACTACTGCTACTGAAAACATAAGAAGACCAGACCAAAGTCCTGCCTAGTCCAACATTCTGTCCTCAAAGTGTCCAACCAGGTGCCTAAGGGAAACCAATAAGCAAGACATTAAAATTGGATATTCAATTGAACTCTACCATCCACTGCACTGCCCACTGATAGACCTCATTTCCATTTCTTGGTCTCAGTCTTTTCATTTTTATCAGGATAATATGGATCTGTCCTACAGGGTGGTTGTTGCAAGGGTTACTGAACTAATGCAGATAAAATGCTTTGAATACTTAACAGTTTTGTATAAACAGTTCTGTATACCCGCAATCATGTTACCCATCTGCTTTTGGGTATTCTTACTCACTCAAGGGATTGACTGGTGCCAGTAACACTGGTGTAAGTGATTGGCTTAACGTCAAGTACTTTCAAGCTTTCTTCTCTTTCAAATACTACCTAACACAATGTGATCTTTCCTTTGGAATGAGGAGGGTCCCAGAGAGAGAAGCCTCCAACCTCAAAGATGGTCTCCTGATTAAAGCCCACCACAATAACTGAAAATAAATTATCTCAATGAATAGAATGTTTCTGTATGATCAGACAAACACAAGATTGCTGAATCAACACATTCACGCAATTCCTTATTTATCTTCGAGGAGTCTCTTTTCCTTGTTTTTACTGACCAGCTATAAATTAATCTCTTGACCAGATGAGCAAACCTTATGCAATAATGGGTTCCTATTTCAAATTAAATAATTAGTTTTTTTAGGGGAAGATGCCGGGGGTGGGGGAATGAATTGTCTTCCTAACTCTTTTACTGTCTTTCTTTGCTAGTGGGAAGATATGCGAGCCCTTGAAACAGCAACTCTGGCACATCATCGGTCCATGAACCCTTGCCCTATCTATGATGAGCTTACTGGCATGGTTTTCCTGTTTTTCATTGCTGTGCTAGGCAGAACCCCTGAAGCCTTTCAGATCATCACAGGCCAAAATGCTGCCCGCCTCTGCTATGTGTCTAGTTCTGACCAGGGCATCAGCTGGAGCCATGTGACTGACCTCACCCAGCAGGTTATTGGCGTGTCCATTGAAGGTATGAGACACAGGAGCAGTTTACTTACTTACTTACTTAATTACTTACTTAATTATGAAATGTATATCCCACCCTTGCTCCCAAAGGAATCCACAGTGGCAACCAACAAGCAACAAAACAATAATAATAAAAAATCTTTAAAGCATCTTAAAAATAATTTAAATACAGATCCAGGCTGGGAAAGATCTCAACTTAAAAGATCTGTTGAAAGAGAAAATGGTCTTCAGCAGGCACTGAAAGGATGACAGCATACTTACCAGCTGACCCAGAAAAATTAGGACACCCCATTTCCCACTGTGATAGTACAGCAGCCATTTGGAGTACCTTGGTCTCGTGCAATTTTGGGCCAAGAACTTGCCCCCCCCAGCACATTTTCTGGGCCCGCAATCTTGCACAGGATTTTGGACCAGGAAAATTGTGTCCTGGATTTGGGCCACATTGTGTTGGAGGGTATGCAACAGAGACAGTGCCTGTCTATTATTCATGGGGAGCGAATTTAAAGGGTTGGTGTCAGAACACGAAAGGCCCAATTCCTACATTGTCTGGAATAGACCTCCTGATAAGGTGGTATCTATAGGAAGCTCTCACCTGCAGAGCACAGTGATCAACTAGATATATAAGTGGTGAGACGATCTTTTATGTTAATAAAGGAGAAGGAATGGAGAAGGGATACATTTAATGAGCATTCATTCTGATTCGTTTCTGGGAAGGTTGGATGATGTTGCATCAAAGCAAGCAACTTGCCTGACACTTTTTCCATTGTAAAAGCTTTGATCTTTGGGGGAAGTGGGTTTGTTGCACAAGAGCTCCCAAACTAACTATAATCATGCTACCTGAATTTGTTGGTTTGTGACTGAATCCCACCCCAAAACAGTGGCAATTTGGGAATGCCCAAAGAGTTTTGTGGCACCTTAAAGAGTAACACATTTATCAATTTATTATAACTTATCCAGAAGTTTGATTGTTTCCATGTGACATTAAATAAAAACAATGGTTTCTTGTCCCACTAGAGGTGTTCACTGACAGAGCAAAGTTTGGATGAGTGCGCTATCCGCTTTGTGTTCATTTTGCATACCCTTAAACTTTAATTGAATTGTCACAGACTATGTATTTGGAAACTCATTGTCATTTGACCCCACCGTTTGCAACTTTATTTCTTGACATGTCCTCCTCACTTGTCAAATGATAACAACACTTCATGCATCTGATGAAGTGGACTCTGTTATACAAAAGCTCCCACCATAATAAATGTGAACTTCATTGCCACTTAGTGGAAGGGCCATAGCTCAGCAGTAGAGCGTCTACCTTTCATGCAGAGGGTCCCAGGTTCAATCCCCAGCACCTCTAGGTAGGACTGGGAGAGACTCCCTCTCTGAAAGCCTGGAGACCTGCTGTCAGTCAGCACAGGCAGTCCTGAGCTAGATGGACCAATGGGTCTGTCTCCGTATAAAGCCATTTATATTCACGACTCTTGGTTGTCATTGTTCCTGACACTGTCTTTCCCCTTTTGCTTCAGACTGGGCCACTTTTGCGCTAGGCCCCGGGCACGGCATCCAACTGAAGTCAGGCCGCCTGCTATTGCCAGCCTATGCTTACCACATTGACTGCAAAGAGTGTTTTGGGAAGCTCTGCAAAACCACCCCTCACGCTTTCACCTTCTACAGCGATGACCACGGGCAGAGCTGGCAGTTTGGCGAGTTCATCCCGAACCTGCAGACCGTCGAGTGCCAGATGGTGTCGGTGGATGAGGAGGACGGCAGCAACGTGCTCTATTGCAACGCCAGGAGTCCTCTGGGCTTCCGGGTGCAGGCCCTCAGCACGGATGATGGAGCCGTATTTCACTCAGGCCAGCTGGTGCAGCGGCTTGTGGAGACCCCGCACGGTTGCCATGGAAGCATCATTGGGTTCCAAGCTCCACTTTACTATTTGCAGCACAACACTTGCGAATTCCAGAGAGACACCTGGTCTGATAAAGATGTGGGCTTCCTACCTCAGGGTTGGTCTGATACGAAACACCCACCTAGTCTTGCCTCACCGACTCCTTTTTTCTGCAGCCAATCTCTGAGCCACCGACAGCCTCAGGAAACAAGAACTTCTGGTGTCTGTTCTGGTCACATCTCATCAGGTAAAGGACATGCTGATCTAGAACATGCTAAAGCTGGAAGTATTTCGCAATCGGGCTTTTCTTTCCAAATGCCAACATGGGTGTTGTATTGCCACCCAACGAGCTCCAGATCCCGAGTCAACCTGGGGATTTACCTCAGCACCTTTCCTAGGGATGCTGACAGCTGGACTGAGCCCTGGGTTATTTACGAAGGCCCCAGCGCCTACTCAGATCTGGCCTACATTGAGCTGCCTTATCCAGATTTGTCAATAACTGGGATCCCAGCCATAGCTTTTGCCTGCCTGTATGAGAATGGGGTGCGGTCCCCGTATGAGCAAATCTCCTTCAGTATGTTCACGTTGCATGAAGTTCTTCAGAACATTCCTCTCACAACTTCTGCCCCAGGTTTGAAGCAGCCGTCAGGTGGTAGAAAGAGAAAGGGGAAGAGTTGTGTTATTTCTTAAAGATCATGACAGAGGGCCAAACTTAATGTCATGCTAAAGATGTCACTAGAAACCATGTGAATTTTTATATTACTAATATCAAGCGCAAAGGCAGATTTTCATAGAGAATGCAGCAAGCAAGAAGGAGTAGAGGTTTAATCTTTCCCTCCTGTTGTATTCTGCTAACTGAGTTTGTGTTTTGATAATTTTGCCCCTAGGAGCACCCAGTAGCTGAGGAAGGAGGTGGAAGGAGGGAGAAGAGAGAGGGAGTTAATAATATGATTGAGAATGTGGCTGGAGGTTATCAATAAAGCTCTCTTTGAAAATCATTAGAATATCTTTCTTCTGGTTGAAGGAATAAAACAAAACCCCTACAAGTAGGAAAGCATAATGCAAAAGCCCATGGGATTCTTTCCAAAAGAATTATCTCAGATATCCATTCAGTCTCCAGTTCCTGTGCTATCACCGCTACTTTGCTTTCAAACAATGGAACACACAAAGCAGAGAAAGTGACCTATTCACTTAGACCAGCCTTCTGTATTGGCTTTTTGCAGGGGGGGGCAGGGAGAGGGGAATCCCCTATGTGCCAATGGATGCTGATATTAGCTAAGGAGATTTCGTTCAGGACTGTGGTATTAGCTGTATATCCCCTCCCTGGCACTAGCACCTTATGCATAAAAAACCCCCTGCACATTAGATGCAAAGACATCTACTTTAGCCCTGTAGTAAGAGAGTGAAACCTGTCAATTTTCTTAAAGGTCTTCCTGAGCAATCAGGAAGCTGGCTAGCTTGGGCCTGCCACCTGCTGGCCAATGCTTGACCATTGTGTCTAGAAGAAAATTCTCCCCTGGGATGGGTTTCCAAGTCAGACTCTAGAGCTCCTCCAGATTGCTGCTTTATTGCAGGTGTATTCTGCAACAAACTCTTAACGGCAGTGCATTAGTACCGGGGGTTTTTTTTCAGCTTTAGTTTGTTGTGCAATGAATGCTTCCCCAAAGCTTCCAGGTTATTGCAGCCTGGGAGGGGCTATAGCACAACCAAAGCAGAACAAAAATAAGCCAGAATATTTGTGGTATAAAAAGCTACAGGATTTCAGCAGGAAGTTACAGGATATGCACTGAAAGGAATGAAGCAGCGCGACCACCCCAAAGCATTTGCAGGTACAAAAAAACAGGATCGCATGTGACAGCCTGATAGCATAATGAGCACAAATCATCATTAATGTGCAATAAAAAGGATGTCTGGAGAGGCCCTTTGACCCAATATTAGGGGATTAGTGGTGGATTTCTTCTGCTTTGTTGATTTCTTCTGCCTTTGGGGGAGGGGCTGTTACCAATTACCAGTTCGTGATATCTCAAAAACCTGTTTACAGTGGTACCTTAGGTTAAGTACTTCATTTGTTCCGGAGGTCCGTTCTTAACCTGAAACTGTTCTTAACCTGAAGCACCACTTTAGCTAATGGGGCCTCCTGCTGCTGTCGCGCCGCCGGAGCACAATTTCTGTTCTCATCCTGAAGCAAAGTTTTTAACCCGAGGTATTATTTCTGGGTTAGCGGAGTCTGTAACCTGAAGCATATGTAACCTGAGGTACCACCGTACTATATTAAGCCATCATCTGAAAACTCCCTTTGTTAGTTTCACCACTTTTTATGTGAGAATAACGGTGCCAACATGCTGCTAGGGCTTCCAGGGGTCCAGGATGTGAAATTCTAATTAACAACGTCCCCAACTTGAGGTGAGGCAATAGTGTTACAGTACAGTCAATTCAGGTGTGTAATGATTGTGTCGCAACTGAAGTGAAAAATAAACACTTGAGGGAAGTGAAGGACAATGGGGAAATTATGGAGAATGCAGCCGTCCAGAATGAATGCTATCTGACTTCTCAGGAATAAAAAGAGTGGGTGAATTGTATCAGAACTGAAGAAAAATGGCATCACGGTGGCATCTGGTAGCCCTGAATCCTTTTATAATAAGTATCATTGGCTGAGATCATTTTAAAAATGTATAGAAAAATAGGTATCTTTATTTATTTTCACACAAGTTTTCAGCAGCTTCAACCAACAAGGCCACCTATCATGGTGGCAATTACCACAAAACAAGGCCTGAACATAACACAGCTAGGCAATTGTTTTCTGACATGTTTTGAGTGTTATGGAAGAAGAAATACAGGTCATCCCACTCAAAATATACTCCCCTCTCTCTTGAAAATAACAAGTCTCCTGAACCTACTCTTGCAACAGAAGGTAGGGTTGCCATATTCCCAAAGATGAAAATCTGGGCAAAGTTGTTGAGCTTATTTTTGGGAAAACATGGACATATGGCAGCCCTACAGAAGGTATACAAAACACAGACCTGGAAACACTGCCCTACCCTTCCCAATTCTTCAGCAGCATAATCGGAAAATATTGCAATTCTTTAAAAATTAGCTGTTCGTACAGATGTACTGTACATTTGTTTTCCTTAATTTTAAACTAATTAAACACCAATCTTAATATGAGTATTTAAAAGTATTGAATGGATTTTTTGGGTTGCGCGTCTTGTCAGCTCTACACCTTCCCTTCATCCAGGGGTGAGGAACCTGTGACCTCTCAGATACTGCTGGCCTCCAACTTTCATCAGCCCCAGGCAGTCCAGCCAACGGTCCTGGATGTTATCTAGGAATATCTGGAAGTCCATAGGTTCCCCTTCCTGGAGAGTGGGAATGTGTATGGTTGGCAAAGAGAATTCAGGAAGGCAGTTTCCATTTCTGGAGCCCTGCAGGGCCTCAGGGGCCTCTCATGTGAGCAAAACAGATTAGAACTGTGTCCTTGATATTGCTCTGTCTTGTTCCTAGACCATCCTTGCCTTTGCTTGAGAAAATGTACACGTTTCTAGCATTTGACTAGCTCTAAACTTTAAAGTCTGACTAAAGCAGCACCAATCCCTTTCTTAGACCAATGTATTAGGTGGCTCTTAGTGGTGCCTCTTTCCACTTGCCAACCAATCCATGACATGGACCTGTGAACTGATGATGCCACAAACTGAAAAATATGTTGCTCATCAGGTTTGGCCTTCTCAGTTGCAGGGCCTGTGGCAAGGGAGGCAGAAAGTAGAGCCCCAAAGCCAGAAGACCTGATACAAACTGAACCTGTGTGCAAAAAATCTCTACATTCATGCCTCCTGTGTAGCCATTCCCCCCGCCCTCCCAGAACAACCCAACATGCTTTCTGCCTTGATTTCATGCCGGCAGGAGTGTTTGAATTTTAGAAATAGCAGGAACACGAAAATGTGTTCATTCAGCATAGGAAAGGAGGACTTGGGTAGATGTTAAGGGAGTATAAATAATTAAATAAATAACACAACAACATTACTAAATCTCAAAGCACTGAGCTCAATAAACCCAGGACGTCATTTTAGATCTGTGACACTGTAAGCATTTCCTTAGTGACAGCAGTTCCAGTCTACATCTCCTGACAGTAGCTGACAATGATGCCCATGGAAGACAATGATATTCCTTGCACTGAAAGGTGGGTGATGGCTCATTACTGTCTGGCAAGCAGCATCTTGAGGCTTCAGGAACAACAGAGGAATCAGAAATGCGCAGAGGCTGCAGCAACGAAAGTTGATGATTGCGGATACAGGTTAATACACATATCTTTGTAATCTCACATACAGAGATTAAGTAAACAAAGTCTGTCATCTTGATCCTAAAGAACTGATGTTGCAAACAATAAAAATGTGGGGGCCAAAGTATCTGAGTATGCTGGTCTGGGTGTTTCACAGAAATCTTCATCAGAGTTTGACTCAGTTTTCTCTCTCTCTCTCTCTCTCTCTCTCTCTCTCTCTATATATATATATACTCCCAAGCCTATTTAAATTGGTTCAGTAAAATATATAGTGCAAGGGTGATTAATCTGGAGTCCTCTAAATGTTGCTGGACTAGAACTCTCATCATTCCTGACCATTGGCCATGCTTGCTGGGGCTGATGGGAGTTGAAGTCCATTACCTCTGAAGGGTCTCCTGATATAATGTAATTGCAAAAACGAGGGAAACAAACTGAAATGTCATTATTTTCAAAACTGCCCAAGGGCATGCTGTTTTCAGCCGTGAGCTGCCAGAGCTAGAACTAGGAACCAGTGCATTTTGCTCAGGGCTGGGTAAAGATCTGTGTAACTTTGGGACTCCATGTTCTAAAATATTAGGAGCAGACGTTTTATTCTTCTGTCCCAGAATCCTAGATTTCTTTCACGTCTTCTTCTCATTCCATCTTGGGATGTAATCTTTATGGCTACAACTTTAAGACTTCTTTTGTTGTTGTTTTTTGGTGCCCTCCCCTGCCCTTCTCTCTACTTTGTGTAACATCCTGCCTGTTTAAGAGGTCTGGAGCAATCAAAAGCTTGCTCACTATTTTGTGATATTTTGATTGGCTCTAGCAAAAATATTGCTGAATTGTGGGTTTTAGCATTCATCTTATGGGCCCACACAACTTCCTTTCCCCTCTTCTACTATTGCTGACTCTCCCTACTTACTCCCCAACTGCACGTGTGTGTGTGTGTGTGTGTGTGTGTGTACGTACACACACACACACACACACACAGCAGCTTTCCAAGCATCCACAAAGCTATTTGGTCTCTACCTACTGCTGAAACCACCATCAGAACCCTGCTCTGTCCCTTTTAATATTTCTAGACTAGAGTACAAAACAGACTGGCGGCAGCAGCTGCATGATGCAATATGAGCCTAGTGATCTGTATCTTCGTTGCATGTCTGACTTTTATTGCTGCCTTTTTGGTAATGTGGCAATATGGAAGCTTTCTCTATTGGTCAACCAGCATTCATATTATGTTATTCCCCTTCCCACTATCACAAAGTAAACTACTCTGACCAACTGCTACCCTTCTTATTAGGTATCTGCGTTGACAAAGGTAGAAGGAATGTTAGCAACCATCACTTGCTTCAATCTTCCCCTGTTGGTGTGTGGATGCAGGCGGAGGGACCATTCACAGGCCATATGCAACAACAACAACAAAGTTACAAAATTTTAGTGGATTCCTGTTACCTATTTCTTTTCACATAAGCCACAGAAACATCCAAAAAAGCCATTGATGATCTGGAGAACAGCAAGGACCATTTCCACTGTGCTGATGATTAAGAGAGCCGAGAAGAAATAGACATTCCAGCTCACAATATTACGTGGCTCGATGCACACTTTGTTCCAAAGGGGCGGGTCATACAAATAATTCCGAGTCCTTAAAGGAACAGATTTTGAATGAGAAAGTTGTAAGTAAAGATACATTATAAACGAAGGATAAGGGAAAGCTGTTCAATCAGGAGATGATATTTTTGTACATTTTAAAATAATAATCATTTATTACTCATACCCCACCCATCTGACTATGTTGCCCCGGCCACTCTGGGAGGCTTCCAACAGAATATTAGATAAAGATTTCTGGATTTGCTGGGTTACTGAGTATGCTGTCCTGTGCACCATTTTTCCTTGAATGGTTTTACATTTACAATATAATATTAAATATTGTCTTCCCTGGTTGCATTGTCTCAAGATGAAAGACATGCGGTTGCCCTTCCAACACCAAGACTGTAGAAGTTAGTAGCAGTAATAGTAATTCACTGGACAGAAGACCCCTCTGCCTTAGGATTCCTTGCACTTGCAAGTGTCGCTGCTTTGTTGACATCCCGGTTCCACTATGATAGCATTCCTCAACAAGTGATCCATGCCTGCTGAGACTCCTTCACTTTTTTCCTCCCAGCAACGTTATCCCTACATATTCTTTGGTGCTTGTTGCTATTGCCAGTGCCCCCAGTCCAGTTTCTCTGTGTGTGTTTTGATGCACAGGACAGGAAAATATTCCCGTGGGAAATAGCTCAAGCTAGCCTCACAATTTAATTGAGCAATGCAAATACGGTCTCCTGAGCTGCATGAGCCACGTTTAATGGGAGTCAGTAACAGAGAACTTGTTTGGAAACACTGATACCGTCTATATAATTGTTCTGTCTTCAGGACCAACAATATACAGAAAGCCGTATGCCCTTTCAGACATCCTTTTTAATGTGCATTCATGATTATTTGTGCTCATGATGGTACAGTAGTAGTTCCGCTTACGTAACCCTCTGGTTATGTAAACTTCGGGATACGTAAGCGGCAAACCCGGAAGTATTTACCAGGTTTCGCCACGTGCGCATGCGCAGAAGCGGTCCTCCAGTTGTGGAAACCTTGGGATCCAGCCAGACCTCCGGAACGGATCCCGTCCGCAACTAGAGGTACCACTGTATTGGGGCAGTTATATGTGATCCCACTTTCAATACTGTTTGTTCCTGCAAAAGCTTCAGGGCAGACATACTGTAGCTTCCTGCTTAAATTCTGCAACTTTTCGTACCACAACTGTTCCAGGGATGGTGGTAGTCTTGCTTTTGTTTTACTATAGCATAAGAGGGGCCCCCTGGACAGCAATACAGCAGTATCACTCAGGAAGCATGACAGAAGAACTAATAAAGTGGAATGATGTTTGGGCAGTGCAGCATCCATTCAGTCCTATACTGCATCAATTAGATGCTGCAGAATAGACCTGGCAAAAAACCCCACCTCTCTGGAGGGGCCTATCATCAAGTCATTGCTTGCGACTCATTTTTTTGGCCATGACTCTGAACTCGACGGAGAACGAGTCTCAGTTTTCACCACTAAGCAAAAACAGCTCTCAGCACAGGTTAATAGGCATTGCTCTTCCATAAAATGACCCATGACCTCCAGGTTTCTTTACCTGATGTTTGAGGACTGACTGTGTGTTTGAAGGAATGGATAATCCCATTGAGTCATCTGTGTCCCATTGTGGGTGGTGGAGCTATAAAAGCAGAGAGGTCCCTCTGTCAAGCCCACACCAGACAAAACAAAGCAAGCAGCTGATCCCAGCAAGGCCAGTCCTGATAATACAATGGAGAGAAACATCTGTGGGCAAAAGAGGCATAGAAATTAAGGGCACTTCCAGATGACCTGATAACCGAGCATTGATCCTGACTTGTTTGCAAGGAGATGAGATGGTGATGGCTATTTAATGAGTGCTTACTCCGTTTTGTGTTCCAGTGCAGTTTCCTGTCACTTTCCTTATCATGAAAAGTTTGATGTTTTGAGGAAGTGGGATTATTGCTCAAGACCTCCCAGTCATTGATAATTGTGTAACCTGAATTTGCTGGTACGTGACCGAATCCCACCCGAAGGTATTGACAGTCCGGAAGTGGCCTAATTCCAGTTATGCAAGACCCCTTCAACTGTACTACTGAACCTCAGTAATTAGGAGCAACGGAAAGGGAGGTTGGTTCTAAAGAGCTTTATGGAAACGACCTGAGTAGCTATGGTAACTTCTGATTGCTACACTACAGGCACCAGGTTTCCCCCCCTGCTCCAGCAACAGGCCACAAGGCTCCTGGATGGGGGAATGCACCCTCCAAGTTTGGATTAGGGTGGGGCATGACAAAGTTCTTGACCTTGGCAATGACTAGTGGAGTCAGGCTGAAAAGTGTAGAGTCTGGTCCATTCGGGCAAATGGGACACTGCACCATTAACCTCTTTCATCCAGCCCCCATCTGCCTGCCTTCATGTTAACAACCAGTCTAGGGCTGGCACTGCTTGTCAACTTCCTTCTCCTTGGTCTTCAGTCATATCAGGACCATACTCTCAAAGCACTGCAATATTCCTTTAACAGTCTCCCAAACAGTGTTTCTTTTCTTTTTAAAAAATGTTTAGGGGTACTCTCATTTTCCTACTCATATTGAAATACTGCCCCTCAATGATTCTCAAAATATTTAGGGGTATGCGTACCCCTGTGTGTCCCCCAGAAAAAAACACTGCTCCCAAATAATCCTTGTACAGTGTTACTTTGGGTTACAAACACTTTGGGTTACAAACACTTCAGGTTACAGACTCCGCTAACCCAGAAGTAGTACCTTGGGTTAAGAACTTTACTTCAGGATGAGAACAGAAATCGCACGGTGGGGGCAGCGGGAGGCTCCATTAGCTAAAGTGGTACCTCTGGTTAAGAACAGTTTCAGGTTAAGAAAGGACCTCTGGAACGAATTAAGTTCTTAACCAGAGGTACTACTGTAGTCTGTTAAGGGTACTGAGAGTCATTGGGAGACCCCCATTCCCCTCTCTGAGCCACAATTTTCAGAGTTACCTGGGAAGAGGAATTGATTGTGAAACCACTCTGAGAACTATGAAAATGCTGAACCGTGTACAGTATCGAACTGGAATTTTGACAAGAATCTTGACTGTTAAGCCCTGCCATTAAAGCTGAGGGCCTTTCATCAGCGGAACAAATGAGCTACCACCCTCATACCTTCTGGCAAGTTCCGCAAGTGCAGGAGACATTCTTTCCCCTAAATCCAATAACTGTGATCTGAACTGCGGCTGGGAAGACCTGTGGAAGACAGAAGTGATTCAGAATGAACACCCTTTTCTGCTAAGCGGGAGGGATCAATTTGATTCTGTTTGAATCTTAATGAGAAACTACCTCGTTTGCACTTCTTGAACCAATACACAAATTGAAACTTATTGGGGTGGGATTCAGTTAACAAATTTTGCTAGCTCTGGGTAGCCCAACAGTAGCATGGCCGCAGGTGGAGTCCTGTAGTTGCGAGCTTCAGTCTGGGAATCTCTGTGTTTGCTCATTCATACTAAGCCAAGCAAAGCAGGTCAGAGGGGCTTGCAGGAACCCTGGAATGTAGCTCACTGCAGAACATAGCAGACATATATATATTTAAAAAAAAAACATGTGCAGCAGATCACTGGAAGAAACGAGCCAACCAGAGAATGCAAATCAAATGAAACCACACTCATGGCAGCTACTCTCTCTCTCGCACATGCAAAACAAACATGGAGTAGCATGTCACACAGAAGAAGCATGCACAGCACCCTTTCAATGCACACGGGTTAAACAGCTATAGCTCAGCCATCCTTTTTGAGAATTTTCAGAAATCTGGGGAAGAATCCAATTAACTTGTTCTGCCAACAAAAGGGTGTATGGCTGTGGAACATCCCGCCTTCTCCACAATGCGTGCCCTGTGTCCTCCAAATCTGCTCCAGAGGGTTGGTGGGACCCCTAGGCCAGATTTAGGGGTCCCATGGGGGAAAGGGGGGGAGGGATGCTCCATTACACAAGTGTATATCCTTGCACTGGTGGTAGCACTACATTGGATACAACCCTGGTCAATTTATACAAGATATAAGATACTGCATGCCAAACTGCCATTGGATTGGACAAATTTTCCTCAGAGTATCATGAATGGAATTTTCAGGCAAAACTGAGAGCCAGTGTGGTGTAGTGGTCAAGAGCAGTAGACTCGTAATCTCCGCTCCTCCACTTGCAGCTGCTGGGTGACCTTGGGCTAATCGCACTTCTCTGAAGTCTCACAGAGTGTTTGTTGTGGGGGAGGAAGGGAAAGGAGAATGTTAGCCGCTTTGAGACTCCTTCGGGTAGTAATAAAGTGGGATATCAAATCCAAACTCTTCTTCAGTATATCCTTGCTCTGCATGTAGCCTGCCCACCTCCAATGACAAAACCTTGTTTGGTTATAAACAACAAAACAGAAGACAGAAGACAAAAAGAGCGGGCCTTACGGTTTCCTACGCAGATTCTTGACAGAAAAATATCCACTTACCAATAAGCCTCCTCCCCACATTCCTGGCATCAGCATAGCTTTCTTTGTGATGTGACCCATCTGTAGATAATGCCATTCCCAACTGGGAAAGAGCAGGAGAGTGTTGGCAACAACAGAAAGCAGGCCCAGGGTCAAGAGGCATGGCCCCAGGATCCTAGCACACGTCCCCACGCACATTGTCAGCAGAGAGCCCTGCAAAGATGAAGAAAAGAGTCACAGACTGTGTAAGCATTTCTGTTTTCTCTGGCTTTAGAGCATTTTGTTTGAGTACACGTGATCCACAATCCATATGTGTCCTGTAGTTTCTTGAGAAATACTGCCGATCGATGTGTTTTCCCTCAAACCAGTGAATGACACCATTGAAATAAATTTCATTGCCAGTTTGCGCATGGAGTGAGGTACGCCATCTTGTCCTTTGCCAGACTGCCCCAGCCCCAATGGTCTGCACTGGCTGTTAAAGGGTCATGTACAGATTAGTCAGAGACACAAGACTCACAGAATACAGATAACTACACCCTGAAAATTTGTTAAAAGCAGACCAGGAATGTGTCCATAAGGTATTTTGCAACCCCCCCACCCTGTCAACAGGGCAAAGGGAGGGAGAGTTAAATGGGATGGTTTGCAAATTTCCTAATGTGAAAGCATAATTTCCTCTACTTGCAGTGGTTGGGCTGTAAGTGACATTGTTTAAGCCGTCAAAAATGGCACTGCCCTTGCATAAGTGGGAGGTTTGCAGATGTCTAAAAATATCTTTAAAGCCTATGTGGTGTGGGGGTGGAGACTCTTCAAAACAGCTCAGTAAGCAGAGTATACTGAGTGGTCATGGCATGGAATGCTAACTGGTAGTTGGGGAGATGGGGCAGGGGAATGGAATGGAGTATCCTGAGCAAGAACATTTCACACCACATTTTCTAGCAGGTCCCACCCATTTATTTTAAGGCTAGATGTGCCTCAGATAGCCAGACTGATGACAACTCTGCAATGTTAGTTTCCTACCCAAAATACCCTGACCCTCTCCTGACTGTCTTTCCCGTTACCTGGGCATGCAGTAACATGTCATTGACACATGAATGGCACATTTTAAATGGATTTATACTGGACCATCTAGTCATCACTCTACTTTATCGGTTGTTCAGTGATGTTTCCCTGGTGCTTCTGCAGCTCAGTTGGTTAGAGCGTGGTGCCGATAACATCAAGGTCCCAGGTTTGATTCCTGTATGGAGCAGCTGCATATTCCTGGGGTTTGGATTAGATGGTTGCTCAGGGTACCTTCCAACTCTGCAATTCTATGACTATTGCATCCAAACTTTAACTTTGCTCATTCCATCGTCCATGCTCCCGCCATCCCCGCTTCCCTTCCCTGCAGCAGTAAGTCAAACTGCAATGCCAGGCCACTAAACTTCCATTTGCACACTTTAAAAAACTTTGTTTGGGTTATGACTGGTGTGTTAAACCATCCTTGTTTGCAGGGGGGGCTGGGGGCAGACCACAAGAATGCCAGCATATGGCATCTATAAGAAGTATGTGGGAGAGGCACAAGAGTGCAAGTTTCTCTCCCCACACCTTTTCATGTTATTTGTGCTACATTGCCATGCAACCATATCACTATTTGATTTTGCCACTTCTAAAGTTGTGGGTTAAACCACAGAGCCTAGGACTTGCCTATCAAAAGGTTGGCGGTTCGAATCCCCATGATGGGGTGAGCTCCCGTTGCTCGGTCCCAGCTCCTACCAACCTAGCAGTTCGAAAGCACATCAAAGTGCAAGTAGATAAATAGATACCACTCTGGTGGGAAGGTAAACGGCGTTTCCGTGCGCTGCTCTGGTTCGTCAGAAGCAGCTTAGTCATGCTGGCCACATGACCTGGAAGCTGTACACCGGCTCCCTTGGCCAATAAAGTGAGATGAGCGCCGCAACCCCAGAGTCGGTCACGACTGGACCTAACGGTCAGGGGTCCCTTTACCTTTACCTTTTAAAGTTTTTATGCTCAGGCTGCGATTCCTGTGCTAAACCGTAGCTCCTTCCAACACCCTGACAGGAACATTGCTATACAGCATTGACAAAAAGTTTGGGAGAGTGGGTGTGTCACAAAGAAACGCATTTAATTTGGAACATTGCCAGGGTACCCTGGTGCTATAGTGCAACAAAAGCAAAATAACAGTAACAATCAGAACATCTGAGATACAAAAAAAACGTAAGATTTCTGCAGGAAGCTGTGGGCCACGCAGGAATTGTTAATGAAGCAGCATGGCCATCCTTAAACTTTTACAGGCACAAATAGCATTGGATGCAGGAGTGCATTTAACCACCCTGGTACCTGCAAGTCAAGGGCACAAATCATCATGAATGCACAATAAAAAGGACATTCAGAGCGCCCCCCCCCCGTTCCTTGTTATTCTTCTCTCTCCCAGGTGAATGGTTTTGATTGCCTTCTCCTATTTTCCCAATAAACAGCTTCTCCTTAGGTCACAAAATTGGTAGCTGACGTATGTTTGGGAAAAGATGCTCCCCTACCCAAATCCCATATACAGTAACTGCTGTCTCTTTAGGCAAGAACTCCAAAAACCTCTGGAAGTTCAGCAAAGCATGATATCCTGCACAAAACACCCCATACCACACTCATGTAATTCAGCATGGCCCTTCCCCTCTAGAGACTTATGGCTATATGTTTTTTTAAAACACATATTCCTTACTCCCAAAGAAATTCCAGAAGGATGTTTACAACTTAGCAACTTCTAACAGTTACAGTCGGAGATTATACAGGACTCTCACATACCCCCACACACCAGCACCTAGTGAAGAAGACCTCTTTATTTCAGCTGGCATTTCAAGTAAAGACCCCCCACCCCGAGATACACACCAAGTTTACAGTTAATTTTATCTAGTTTTATTTGTTTACTTCATAAAATTTATAAACCACTTGATTGCAAGAAACCTCAATGCGGTTTGCAAAAAGATTAGAGAAAAAGATAATTTTGTCTCTGTTCTGTTGCCTTCTTGCACACCAGTTAGAGACTATGGGTTGCCATATGTCCTCTTTATCCAGGACAGGTCATTTCATGAGAGTCGTCATAGCAATCCATAGTTAAAAGTAGAGGTCGGCAAATGTGTCCTCTTTTTTGCTCTCTAAAATATGGCAACCCTACAAGTAGTATATAAATGAAATAATAATAAACTAACAATACTGTGTTTCCATCTGGATAGCCACATACTATTGTAAATGGGACACTGAGATATCACAAAAAGGTGGTAGACATCAGAGTTTGTTTGTTTTTTAATAACTGGCTTTCCCCTAAAAAAGGTAAATCTTGATTAAATGGGGGCAGGGAGGAGGGAATATGGGTTGCCATTGGATGATGACAACATTGTGTGAGCACTGCAGAAACATAAATGTATGAGCAGTACTGATCTATTATACAGCCAGGAAGAAGCAACACCTGTTTCAGTTTATAGTCTAGAAATGTCCTGAATCCATCTCAGCTGGGAAATGGAAAGTGAATTCCAGTTTCAGGTTCCTCGACTCTTTTGCCACCACAGCAAACCCACCATCAGCTGGTCCTTACAGAATTAATTCTTCCCAGGTCTTTCACTTACCTTTGAGAAATAGAAAGCACTGATGCAGATCCAAGGAACTGGTGGTATCAAAGTTGCGCTCAGCTCCAAAGGTTGTTGCCGTTGTTGCAATAATCCACACAAGAGAGGTTTCTCTGGAAAGGGCACCAACAGCTGGCAACTATTTATAATCTTCTGGCGACTGAAACCTGGGCAGGCCCCAACTTATTTTCTCCCTAGATGGTCAGACCTGGATCTAACTAGTTTTTTTTTTAATCACACAAGTCACATGAACCCTTCTTCCCATGATGGGCAAGTCCAACAGCTCCGTACTGTTCTAAAGGAAAAAATTGCCCATAGAGGGAAATGACAAATGAGTGATTAGAAGAAAACTGTTTCTGTGAGGAAGTAGGCTTAAGGGCGGCAGTTGTACATGAAGCAAGCTTGCAACATGCTCAAACAAAACAATGCTAGAGGGACATTGGTGCTGCTCTGTTGCAACAAAAACAATAAAAGGGTCTCTCCAGGTGGTTGTTTATTGTGCATGCAGTCCACATGGCATCAGCAGCATGAAAATACCCGCTTATTTTGCCCACCACCACCAAGAGACGCAGATTTGCACTGGGAGGTGGGTCCAATCATGTTAAAAACAACAGCAGTTGCTACATCCTTGACCACCAGGGATGGACTATCAGTGGGTCACATGACATAGGAGGTGCCCAATAGGAGCTGATTACCTGTCTGGTATGTGAAATTGCCACTAATGCCCCAGCCAAAGCTGCCTTTCTTCACACTGCAATTAACAAGAATGCACATATGTTATAGAAAGGAAGCCTGTACAAGCACATATATAAAATCCGTATAAAAAATCTGTACCTGTTGCCTTGTGGGACATCTTCAGGAGAAGAAAAGGCTAAGGAGTAAACTCTATACAAATCCAGAGTGGAGTCCCTAAAATGGTTGGATGGTGCATTGCACACCTCCTTCTGGCAACTCCTGCAACCAAGCTGGTGCCAAATGTATTGTTCTGTTTTCCTTTAGACCACATCAGTGGTGCCGAGAGGGGGGGTCTTGTCGTCTGGGCAGCCAGGACCTCCTTACACACTGCCCAGGCTTGTGCCCTGGGGAGGTCACTTCAGTGCTGCTAACACCACAAAAACAACGTGGGAGGCAGCAGGCGCTGTGATTCTCCACCCCGGGAGGTGCACTCCATTGTGTCTTGAGATAGATGGATACCAACAAAAATATATATACAGTGGTACCTCGGGTTACAGACGCTTCAGGTTATGTGTTCTCGGGTTGCGCACTGCGCCGAACCTGGAAGTACTGGAACGGGTTACTTCCGGGTTTCAGTACTTGCACATGCGCAGAAGCGCTAAATCACAACCCACGCATGCGCAGACGCAGCGCTGCGGATGGCAAACGTGCCTCCCGCACAGCTCACGTTCGCAACCCGAGGTTCCACTGTACATGGCTCAATTCAGAGCCCTCAAAATAAATCATTTTTTTTTAAGTGCTCTCATTATCACCCACCCATTTCCAAATTAATCTGGATGGAGTTGGCCAGCACTACATGCATCACCTTCACAGTCTATAGACAAATGTTTATCTATGGTGGGTCACTGCAGTCTGTGCCCTCTGTGCAGCTCAGCTTCAGATGTGCCTGGTTGGTGTGTGTCCCATGTAAGGGTATACTTGCTGAACTAAGAGGGTGGAAAGCTTTGAAGTGGATGCACCCAGGATGTCAGGGAAGACCTCTATGGAAATATATCACAGGGGAAGAATGACACATAAAAAACCAAGAAAAGTTAATGCACTGCTATAGTGCTCCATGAGAAGTGGGTGGCACTGTGGTCTAAATCACTGAGCCTCTTGGGCTTGCCGATCAGAAGGTTGGAGGTTTGAATCTCCGTGACAGAGTGAGCTCCCATTGGTCTGTCCCAACTCCTACCAACCTTGCAGTTCGAAAGCATGCCAGTGCAAGTAGATAAATAGGTACCACTGCAGTGGGAAGGTAAACAGTGTTTCCATGCACTCTGGTTTCTGTCATGGTGTCCTGTTGTGCCAGAAGTGGTTTAGTCATGCTGGCCACATGACTCGGAAAGTTGTCTGTGGACAAATGCCTGCTCCCTCAGCCTGAAGTGAGATGAGCGCCGCAACCCCATAGTTGCCTTTGACAGGACTTAACCGTCCAGGGGTCCTTTACCCTTACCCTTTTTAGTGCTCCATATTTCAGCTCCAGATTACTGTATCATTATATGGGTCAACCATTCTCGACTGACTTACAAAAGTCAGGTGGTTCCACCAAGAACAAAATTCCCTTTATAGTTATATACAGTGCACACTTTCACACATGCACACCTCACCACACTGAAACAGCTGAAGTGTATAAATCACATTGCGATTTTCAGGGAGTGGAGGAAGAGGAAGGTTCATTTTTGGCACCACTGGGGAAATGTTGCAACTCACTCTTGTGTTCCAGCTACGTCACGCCAGCCACACAACTCTCTGTTTGGATCAGCTGTCTTGAGAGCAAGTCTGGTGTGGTGATTCTACTTTCACATTCCAGGCACTTCGTATAATGTTAGAACTCCTACAGAGTTCACACCAGTGCTAACAAGCGAACTACCACATGCTGATGTATCATCAACAGCAGCTGGCCTAGTGCCACTTATAAAACCACCATGACAGCTGTCAATCACTGAAGAGCTCAGAGAGCTATTTTTTTTATTGCATTAATAAATTATTATTGCAGATTGAGTGCCTGAATGCTATAGCAAGAAGTTTAAAGTGATGGCCTAGCAGGGTGGGGATGACGTGGGGCAATATTTGTACTCAAAGATATTTTGCTGCCTGAAACAGAGCAGCATATGTGGCCCCCCACCCCCACAGGTCAGTGTGTAAAGTACCCAAGGCTGGCCACATTTTGTGGGGACCTGAGGCAGAAAAACCAACAAGCCTCTCTTCTCCTCTGAGACACAAAAATGGTAACCATAATAAATTAACTAATAATTTGCGAAGCCATTTGTGAAATTGGCTGCCTCACTATACCTAATGGGAGAACCAGCCTACTCCACTTCAGGCAGCAAAATGTTTTTGACCATTAATGCCAGTTGCCAAAGCAAGATTTTAGCAAAGGAAACCTGCACACACACCAAAAAGGGCATCAAATAACCAGTGCTGTTTTCTCTTCAAAAAGAGAACCATGAACACCTCCCTCATTCTCTTAGAATGGCGATGGCGCCCACCTGAGGTGCGCCAGAACCATCAAGTTCCAGCTGGAAAAAAACAGCCCTGATAATAACTATGATGGCGCATCCTTAGAACTACTACTAGTTTCATTCTCTCTTTTTTAAAATTAGTTTTCCAAATTATTACGGATCAAACCAAATTACTTTAATACAATTTCTTAAAATCAGGTTTCCCGCTCCTGTTGCAAACATATGTCGATCATTTCCTCCCATAGCCGCATCATCTCTTATTTAATGTCCAATTTGATCCTTCACTTGTTGTTAGTCCATTCTTGCAGCTGACCACATTTTTCCCCTCCTTACAAACAGTGCCTCTGTTACCTCTTATAAATATAAATTCCATTTCACGTCTGTAGTCCTTCATATACATTGTGGTTTCAGACCTGGTGTGCTGGGAGAATTAATTACGATCTTCCCTTGTTCAGCTCTTTGCAGTGTTTATCTGGATGGGACAAAGTCACATTCCATTCCTTCTGCTGTTTACCGACTAGCGTACGAGCTGCGGCCATAAATAACTCACAGAGTGAATGTCCAGTTTCCGCCATTAAAATTCCGCTCTGGAGTTCTTCCTCAGCACACAGTTAAAAACAAAATCTTTTCTCAAATTCGGCCTCTTGCCAGATCTATTCGGCAGCCGTTCATTCACCTTGCTCTGCTTTGCTCCCCACACTCCTGGTCCAATCCAAAGATAATTTTAAATAAAGTCCATTCAACCTCGGTCGAGGGGGGAGGGCATAAATTGCTGTTAAATTCCTTGTTGAGCATAAAGACACTCCCCCCCTTTTCCATGGTAACAGACAGAATAACATAGCCACGGCTACACAAGTCCCTTTCATTTTACAGGGAGGACAAGAAGAAAAAAGACCATTTGAAAACCATATGAAAGCACAAAGCACCTTGTCCTCCCCCTTCCTTTCCCGGCTGTTGTGAGGATTCTCAAGCTTCAGAAAAAACATTCAGATACAGTAGTACCTCTAGTTACTAACTTAATTCGTTCCAGAGGTCCGTTCTTAACCTGAAACTGTTCTTAACTAGAGGCATGCTTTTGCTAATGGGGCCTCTTGCTGCTGCTGCGCCACCGGCACACGATTTCCGTTCTCATCCTGGGGAAAAGTTCTCAACTCGAGGTAACTCTTCCAGGTTAGTGGAGTTTGTAACCTGAAACGTTTGTAACCTGAGGTGTTTGTAACTCGAGGTACCACTGTACCTTCAAAGAGTCAAGCTCAGTCCTTTTGGCAGCTGATTGATTGCAGCACATTGTCATATGTCGGTCCAGGAGCGCCTCTTTATTAACGCCAATATTCCAGATTAAGGAGGAACCAACCACACATCTTGCAGGAGACGGAGGCTCATCCACGACTAGTTTCATTCTCATACTTTATCCTGGACTTGCACTTCTCTACAAAAATTGCCACAGCATCCACAGAGAGGGCATGTATGCACTGCAGACCTTTCTCTGGGTCTTTCTAGACCATTAATGACACATGTATGGTTCTCTAAATGTTGCTGGGTTCCACCCCCCTTATTCCTGACCAGTAACTATATTGGCTGGGACTAATTGGAGTTGGGGTCTAGTAGGGGGAAAGAGCCTTGCTCAGGGAAAATCCTTTTTGAAAAAAGGATAGGGCATGGATTCAAACAGTGGAAGAGTCACTACAGTGAGTATTGGTTAAATAAACAATAGGTGGGGATTTCAAACTGCCATGGGTGGGTAGGAGTGGAATTAGTGCATGATGTTCAGTATGCTTGCTGGGCTGATATTACCTGGATGTATTTGTGATATTGATAAAGTCTACTCTAGGGAAGATGAGTACTGCCTCCACTCCCCTGAAGAAGCTGGGCCATCCTTATCTTTCAACATATTTCTCCATCTGATAATTTAAGCACTCCTATATTAGCAGTACACCTTGCATCACACATGATTATTATTGAGCAACTGAACTGCTGTCTAAAGAGAGTGGGTGCGCCCTAGTTCTCCTCCCACTCCAAATTTGTCAGCTTTAAAAAATAAATCTTGAAGTTGCGTAAGAATTGTCCATCTAGCAGCCACAATCACGCCTCCCTTGTATCAGCGTAACTTGCAGTTTCCATGTTCTTTCCCAGTGTGACTCTTGCAATCTCGTTAGCAAATGTACAGGTTTACATGACTATGGAAAATACGGTCAGGCAACTGTTTGAACCACGATGACTGAGCAAGTGAGTTGCCTCAGTCTCCACTTCAGTACTCTGTTGCTTTCTGAAACATAACATTCTCGCACACACTTGGAATCACGGCACACTGAAGAGGAAACATTTGCTCCTCTTTAATATAGGTACAATTTTGACCCTTATTACACAATATGTGCAGATTTCCAGATGTTTTACAACTAGTCACAATCTCAGGTTCCTCATCTGTTAAATGAGGTAAATGTTTTATAGCATGTCTTTTAAACATTTAGGGTTTTCAACTAGTTTTTCTTCAGAGTAGATGCAATGAAATTAATGAACCTAAATTGATAATGATAATTAATTGAAATGGGTCTACTCTAAGGAAACAATAGTTGACAGCAACCCTTAGTTCAGGCTTCCTCAATCTCAGCCCTGCAGATGTTTTTGGCCTACAACTCTGATCCCTAGCTAGCAGGACCAGTGGTCAGGGATGATGGGAACTGTAGTCTCAAAACATCTGGAGGGCCGATGTTGAGGAAACCTGCCTTAGTTCCTTAACAAATGCTACATAATATGTCCACAGGTTCAATGGCCAAGCATGTTTTGCATGCATAAGGTTCCAAACAGGACTAGAAATTACCCTTGTCTACAAATCCTTGATAGTCATTGCCCGACATTATAGGCAATACCAAGCTAGGACTAATGACTGACTCAATCTAAGGGAACTGAGAACAGGCAAGGGAGGCGTTGCCAGCTTCTAACAGCAGCACTGAGCGGTGTCCCCTTCCTCTCAACCCCACTATACATGTCTACAATTTTTGAACAACATTTATAACCTAGGTAACTGTCTTGCCAAAGGCAAGGTGGTTCTTTTAAAATGAGATTCAGAAGTAATACAAAACACACAAGTGGCTGAGATTAAAGGTTTTATTCTAAAACAGCAAGCAGTGTATACATACCAAGAAAGCACTTCAATCTGCCACCTGGAAGCCCTCAAGAGGCAGCGAAAAGACTCCCCCAGATAGCCTCAGTTTGCATGGCCCTGTGACCCATCAGCCCGTGCACAAGCTTCAAAGAAACTCTGCCCAAACCGTCTGATTTTATAGATAGCCACCCCCTCCCAATGCCTCACTTTCTCAAAACAATGTCCAACATCAAAGATGATACCCAGCATTATCACCCACAACTGATGAGGCAGCTGTGGGAGTGGGGGCTTCACCTCCTCCCAACTTTCTCAAGACATCTAAGACTGTTCTCACACCATCAAAAAACTTAACAAGAGCAAGGGAGGGGGAAGGAACAGAGGCAGGAAGGGCTCCATGTCAGATCACTAACTCCTCAATATGTTTTGTCTTCCGAATGCATTTCCCATACTGTAACTAAATGTGAACACTGGGGCTTCAGTTCCTAAACACTCCTGCAAAAGGAAGTACCACAAGTGTTAGGACATCTGTTGTCAGAATGGTAGCTTCTCTAAATCCTCCACTTTCTAATGCACAGTGTATTAATCTTTGATATAAAAGAAGTCCTACCTAAAAGAAACGGGGGTAGAGGCAATAATCATATTGAAATAATCATTTGATAGCATATGCCCACCCTTAGGAGCCTATTAAAAAAACACAAAAAACAGGACATCTTTTGAAAAACAATGCTCACGTGGACTCACCACCACTATTTTTAAAATTTAGTTCAGAGACAATAACCTAAGAGTTTAACTATATGCGTGGCTGCCACTTAAACTGTAACCCCTGTAATGTTCACTATTTTCCCCATCCCTGCTCAAATCATTGCCTGCCACTTGCAAGTAATGGGGAAACAGTTATGTCACATGATCACATCACACATTTATTTACTAGAAAGTCAGCAGGCAGACACACACTGTTAGGTCCTTGTCTCTGAAATTTTGCCTTCACAGAAAACACATTTTTCCTTTTGTATCCCAGGAGAACTTATTCCCTTCTAAAAATCAACAGGCTAAGAATTAGTGAAAAGGTCTGCTTTATTTCCAGGATCAAAATATTACAGTAGGAAGGGCATTTACACATATTTATAAAAATGCAGCAATTGTATATATATATTTATATATATGTATATCAGAGGTTGCCTTGAGTTTGGTCCTTCCCATCACAGCAAGCTGAAATCTTCTCTTCTCCCCACCCATCTTAGAATTCTCATAATTACAAAGGAAACGGCTTCTATTGAAAATGTAGCAGATCAGTTTTACATAGCTTAAGCTATAAAGTTTTAAGATCGCAACCCAACATTAAAAAGTCAACCAAATGTCTTGAAGGGTTTGATTTTAACAGTATCCAAACCATATGCTCCCAGCTTAAATAGTTTGTAATTTAACACCTTAACCCCCCCCCACCCTATAACCTGGCATTCTATTTTTAATTTCAGAATTCTTTTTGGAATTTGCCTTTCAGTATTATTCCTGTAGCATTATTAGTGTTAACGCGGTACATCTATATACATTTTGGAACATTTCCAGGTGCTATGCTTGCCACTAAAAACTAGCTTCATAATCCTTGTTTACCTGTGTTGCATCAAAGACCTCTCTCTAAAATCCAGGTTTCAGGAATGATTTGATAGTGTTGCAGTGGGGGGGGGGGGCGTGTGGAGAAAAAAGGGTATCAAAAGCCTCCTACGTACACATATGCTTCTTCATCATAAGCTTCCATAGCAAAGCAAATCCACCAAAGGAACTGAATATGAACCTAGGGCCCTGAAATGAACTAAAGCACAGTCTTGCTAACATTGAAACATTGGAAAAGCTATTCAGGCTAACACAGTGAGGATTATCTTGTTAATAAATCTGCAGGCACCTGGAGGTAATCAAAAACTAGGTTCAAATGCACAGCACATCTTAAACAATTTGAGTCCAAATATCTTCTTGAAAAGTACATGCTGAAATACAAGGCCTGTAAGAGCACACTATTAAGAACAGCACAGTTTAAAGTTTCAAATTGGTACGCCTTTTTATTTATATGCTGCTTTTCTGCTCTCAAGGCACTTTTTACAGGTGTCAAGACCTTCTCACCCCAATACATTGCATATCTTAGAACAATTCTGTATCACATGCCTGTTAAGATGCTGAACTGCTTTAAGGATACAGTAAAACATAGGAAAGATTAAAAACCAATTCATCTGAAATACCTAGTACTTAGAAAAGGCATTTTAAACCACCAATAAGTTGCCTAAATAGTGCCTCAGAAACTCAATCTCTCCACCCCCATGCCCCATTCTCAGTCTCTCTTTAGAGCTTGATATGTGGAATAAGCACAGCGAGAGTTTGCACAAATTGTCTACTCCCTAGATCTTACAATCCATTCAGTAGGATTGATCATTCAGAAACCATGCAAGTCACTTGTGTACTTTGAAAGATGCTGCATAAGAAGTAAACTGCCAAAAGATGCCTATCTTAATGACTAACAATGACTAAAACCAAAAGGACGCTTACCTAACCCATTTCAAAGCATTTTGTAAAAGCCATCTAAAAGCAGTGGATTGTAACCAATGGCTTAGCAGACAGTGCTTCTGCAAGCTCAAGTCTGGCTACCCAGTTTTCATCAATCCCTTTACATACTGCAGGCCCCATTCTGTTCTGGAGGGTTCCCCAACCCCATAAGCAGCATCTGGGGAGACTTAGAAGGGTAGGGGTCATCAGTGAAAATCAGGTGCCCCAACTTCCACAAGTGGAAGCACTTCTGCTAAAGCAAAGCCACCTTTAAATTAAATCTTCTGAGGAAAGGGCCAACCTACTGCAGGTGAAAAGAGAGTGGGAAATGCACCTAAGGCTCCTTATGCTTGGTGTACTTAGAATGAATGCAACAGTTATGGTCATTGAGCAGTGAAAGGCTTGCACTAACCAATGCCTAAAAAGTTTAGTTGGGGAATAAATAAGTTGGTTTGGACTATGGGACGGGGGGGGTGTGTGTGAGGAGAAAGTAATACTATTACAACTTGGCAGAATTTTATCCAAGTCATACTCAGAGTAGAATCACTGAAATTAATGAACCTAAGTTAGTCATGTCTATTACTGTCAATGGATCTACTTTAACATTGGACACAACCCATTGGACCTATTATGAGTATGACACCCAATGGATTCAGTTCTCTTTCAATAGTTGCACTTTGCGATCTAAGCAAAGCAGTAGAGTGCAAACAGCATCTTCTCCTCAGAGTAACATGCACCTTACAAATATATAGGGTGAGTGTGTGTGTCTCAGTTTTACAAACTAGTAACTAACCAGGCAATTATTTGACTTTACACTTTTAGTTTTAACAGGTAATGTTGCCTTTCATCCTTTGCTAAGATCATCAACTATGCAAATCAAATGTATGCTGGCACTGGTGTTTTTTTTAAAAGAAGTTTCGGGAGTTTGTCAAAAGCTAAATTTCTTAACCAGCACTCAAGTATGACTCCCTTAACGTACTTTATTTGTGAATTTACACACTGCCAACAGTGTGGTTCTTTAATTATGGCCTTTGTGGTCAAATATCCACCAACACCTTAGAGAAGCAAGGGGTTAATTTTTTCCACTGTACAATGTAGTATAAGCATTTTAATCTGCAAGAATGATCCTTGTGGGACCTTATCAAGTGTGTGGCAACATTATAACCATCTTTTTAACTGGGGTTCAATTACAGCAAGTTTTACCAAGCCGAGAAAGCCACACCATACCTACCGTAATTAAATGGACAATTACAACAAATAGTGGCAAGTAGCTGTCTGAACAACTTGAGCTTCAAGAACACCAATATTACTGCTTCAAACTATCTTATTTTATGTTGTTAGCATCTTAATTTAACTAAGCGTTTTTAAATTAACAGAAGAGCACAAGAGAAAGGCTTTCCTTAGAGCCGAGTACCTGTACAAATACACTGAAGCCCAGTGTTGACAGAATTCCTGAAAGGTACAGTTAATGAAAACAGCTTTTGAGTTATGACAGAAGAGGTTTAATAAGTTTTACATTCATGGTCAGTACCTTGCTATATTCCACTGATGGTAAAATCCTGACAGAAGATGAGAATCAATCCCGCATTCCCCCAGTTTTAATTGTGACAAGGAAAGAAGAAGCCCTGAAGCTATAGACCAAGCACAGATGGTTAGGAGCACAACGGTTAGATTATACTAGACCTACTGACTACATCACCTTTTTTTAAAGCAACTCATCCCATCTGCAACAAAAGGAACACATACAAATAAACTCAAACATATGTTCTAAGGTGGTTCATTTTGCGCCTTTCTGGGAACTGTGCTTGTGATGACTCCCAAAGGGCTACAATGATGAATGGATCTTCAGCTGTTTCCATTTTTTTCTCCACATGTGGGCAAGACTTTTGACATAAGCATCTGGGCATGTGCTAACTGCGTTGAAAGCCTGTGTGCATGCCAACCTGTGGCAAGTCAGTTGTGTGCACTTGCCACCGCATGAAATATTCGGCTTTCAGCATATGTTGGTACCCCAGGGGAAAAAAACTTGTTTGTCATTGCATGCTGAAAACCTAATCCTGCACATGGCAGTGGGGACTAAAAGCTTTCTCAATGCAGCTAGCACATGCTGAAATGTTTCTCTAAAGAAACCCACAATATTTGGTCATGTGACCGGTTGAAAAATAAAATATATTAAAGAAAATAGATTTCTTTTTTTCTGAGGGGAATGAGAAACTTTTCTTATTCTGGCTGTTCAGTGCCCCCAGCATGCTTGATATACAGACAGCACTTCTGATTTTGATATAGCAAACATGCCTTCCTCCAGCATCAAATCCAAGCAAAACTATCCTGTTGTTTCCATATGGTTCATTTGCTAAGAGTAGCATGAAAGGAGGGAGAGAAAAGAGAAGCCAGCAAACTGCTGCCTGATTTCAGCTCTGTAATCCCATGGAGCCAACTGCACACTGGTGAGTTAATATTGTAGGCAAAGATAACATGGGTGGGCAAGGCTGGGAGTACTAATTCCTTTCCTGCACAAAGACAGTCTCTTGAGGACAAAGACCAGCCTCCTGTAATGTGATGTCATAGTCCAGATGGGAAAGTTTCCTTCGAGGAAAGTTGGTGAGGAGTTCAAAACGTTCATTGGGGTATCCTTTCGACTGTACATGTTTGATGAGAGCCTGGAGAGAAAGCAGAGACCAGTGTCTTAATATTGCAGCACCAAAATACAACAGGGTGGTATCCAATACAGTTCTTTTAGCACAAGGACTTCTGGCTGTGCAACACAACTTACCCTCCCTCCTAAATCTGTTCTGGGGTTTCCCAACCCTAGAACTCTCCCCCAACCCCCCAGAGAAGATTTGGGGAGGATGTAGGGAGATGAGAGGCACAGGAAGTTTCACCACGCAAATGGAAATATTGCACTACTTTGCTGGATACCGCAGTTTTCAATGCAATGTATGACAACTTATTATGGAAAGCTACTTCAGCAAAAGGGCAGCAATCGCTACTGTAGGTCTTTAACCTACACTCTGATGGCATTGCTGTTATCACGGCATATACTGTGTTGTGAATGCCTAAGTTAGCAAAAGGTAGTATGAAGGACCATTAAACTTCCTCAACAAACAGCCCAATTTGTCTGGAGCAGGACATTTGGACAGTAGAAAACCCTAGACAAGAATTTGGGATCCAGTCTTGGATAGAGACCTGACAGAAGACTAGGCTGTTAAGAGGTGGTTAGAAGTCACACATGAAAGGGGAAAGCATATGTTGTACTATAAGAAGCGTAAGTGGGGGAAAACCAGGTAAACAAAAGCGTGTCTGAAATGCACACAGAGACTGGAAAGGACATTAAGACCAAAAAAGCAGTGATTCTTCAATCACTTCTACTTACCAGAAGCTTAGCTTGTTCGGGCAGTGAAATTTGTTCCCTCTTCCCATCTGGATACCTTAGCATTAGCTGTGCCTTTGGTCCTAATAGAAGAAAATCACAAATAAAACAGAATACATGAACAAGCTTTAGCAATCTGTGTGCTGATAATTTAGTACATATCAATATGAAAATGTACACGTTTCAAAAAGTTTTGAGTTCACGTGAGGGCTCATAGCTTACTGGTAAGCTACATACTTTGCATGGAGAAGGTCCCAGGTTCAATCCCCAGTGAAGATACATTTAGCAGGGTTGGGAAAGGCCTTTGGCTGAAACTCAAGAGCCACTGCCAGCCAGAGTAGACAGTACTGGGCAATATGGACCAATGGTCTCACTCATTATAAAGCAGATTCATATTTTAATAACTATTCCTTCACCACCAGAATAAAAGCCCCATAATGGATTTAGCAGACTGAATATTTAACATAAACTTTTTTAATGACAGGAAACATTTAACCACCACACTTACCGTTCACATTAAGTTCCTTCACTGCTGCTTCTGGCTTAGCCCCAATCTCCTCTACTACCCCAGAATCCATGCAAGATAGTCCTCGGTGGTTTGTTACCACCTCTGGTTCAGTCCTTGCTGTGGGCTCAGGTTGGGGCCTTCTGCCTTCCTCTTTCCTACAGCCCAAATCCTTATGTGGAGATTTCCTAGACTTGGCAGGATTCTCTGGCTCATCATCATCAGAACCACAAACAGAAATAAATTCCTCACTTCCAGAGAAAAGCTCCGATTCAGACTCTTCATCTGATCTGCTTTCCTGCTTGACTTGGTCAGAGTCAAAATGTGTCTCCTGTAAAGATGCTCTGATGGCAGCTTCCAACTGGCTATCTTCACTCGCATCAATGAGACTCTCCTAGTTAATATGACCATAAAGCAAAAAGGGAAACATTATATTACACTGAGAAGTAGGACAGAGACAACAGAAAATTATTCCTCCTTTCTATGAATACTTTTGCTTACAAAGCAAGGTATTACCTTTTTTTGGATGTTAATGTGGAGCATGTCATTATCATCATCATCATCAATATTATGACCTGTCCTCCATCAGCAAATCCCATTAGGATATCAAACATTTCCCAAGAAGAAATTGGGACTTCCACCGCGTGCACACTCACCCATCACCCTGCAGGCACTTGCCTGGTTGCACCCCTTACCTGCTGCCGCTGCTTGCCCACCTAACCACCCTCCCGCACCATCCCACCGCTGTTCATTTGCATGCCATCTTACTGGCTTGTGTGTATGAGTGCCTGCCACTGCACTCCACCACGCACTGCCCCTCATCTGTGTGCCACTGCTGGCCACACACGCATGAGGAGGACCGCAGTGATGTACTTCCAGAAGTGGCACTATACTTCAGGAAGCTTCGGTCCTCCTCATGTGTGTGTCTGTCTTTTGGTTCTGTGCTCTTTTTCTGTGCTATTGGCTGAAATCTGGGGACATCCCGGGATGGAATCATAAGCCAGAGCTGCAGACTGCAGTTCTGAACACCCTCCAGAAACTGGGTTTTGCCCCTCAAGCCCTTCTAAGTCTGGGCTTGGGCCAGGCAAAAGCCACGGTCAGGCAAAGAATATTAGATGCCGAGAGACAACAGGACTGCGCAAGGTGCCCCGACTATAAAATTGGAGAAATCGAGAGATGCATAGCCACACCGGCAGCATATCTCTCCTTTCACGTATCTAGAATTGCAAGAAGGGCCTTTACACTTGCCAGAAGCGTGGCTCTTCCCTCGCCGGTCCTGGATGGAGCCTTTAGAAAAGTCCCCTATGCCCAGAGACTTTGCACCTGTCCATTGGGAGAGATAGGAAGCCCAGAACACTTGTTCTTTAAATGTCCCTTTTACGAAGAGGCACGCAGTAAGTTCACTGATCCCCTACTGGTGAGGCTCGCCGACCTCCCGCAAAAGCAAAAATTTGACCTTTTGCTGTTAGGCAAAGACCAGAAGAAGACCTGGATGGTCGCCAGATTCTGTGCGCAAATCTGTAGACGCAGACCATCGCCCAACTCAAAATAGTCCGGCATGAAAATCCCCAAACCCGGTTCCATGGGTGACTCTGAGTCAACTCCCTGGGATAGTTTATTGTTGAACAGTGTGTCTAAATTTATTGTTGTACATTGTTTTAATTTTCTGTTTTAACCATATTTGCACATCAGTTTCTAATACTGCGAGTGTCCTCTATTTCAGAGGCTTCTACTCTGCAGCCTCTTACAGTTGTTTTAACTGTGAGTCTTTTAGTTCTTACGCTCTTACAGTTGTTTTAACTGAATGTTTTTATTTGTTTTTAGCTTTTATCTGTTTTAATTATCAGTTTTTGTTGTTGTTGTTGTTGTTGTTGTTTTTATCCACTTAATATTCTGTTCTCTGACTGCTGGTCTATGACTGTAATAAACTGATTGATTGATTGATAAGCCAGGGCTGCTTCCATAATTCTGGGATGTCCCAGTAAAAATGGGAGAGTTGGAGGGTCTCAACAACGATTATAATTATTATACTCACAGAACGAGAACGCTTCTGGGGAGGGCTAGTGGAATGTCCATCCAGTTGTCCATGCTCACCTAGGAACCCAGTCACTTGGTCCAAAAAAGAAGTTACATCTAGCTGGTGCCACTCAACTAGCTTCTGTCCTATTTAAAATAGTAATAAACAATACTTCAATAATTGGAGTTTCAAAATATCAGACAGAATGAAACAGTAGCAGACAGAATGAAACAAAATAGAAACACTGGCTTTACAGAATTTACATTTGCACTGCAATATGCTGGAGATTTTAACCCATATGTGTTATTTTAAGAGGACTCCTAACATACTTGCAAAATGATTCTGCAAAGGGAACAGCAGGATCAATTCCAGTGGTTGGAAAGTAATAAATGCTAATCTTTCTCTTAACCCCAGATATCAAATAGCCAACTGCACCTAATGGACTTAAAAGTAACATGGGCAAAGCAACAGTGAACACTGACCCAGCTAGATCATACTCTGGTCATGCATTCGAAAAGCAGTCAGATGCCTCTGGGAAGATCATGAAAAAGATGAGAAAGCAAAATCCCTCCCTTATTTGAGCTAAATGGAGATGTACCTTGAAACACAGTAATCTTGATTACAAAGCAATCAGCTCCCAGTTTACAATAATTTCTAAAGGAAAGTTTTTAGGTATTATTTATAAAATACCCATAGCTGCAATAGAATCAAGTGTTTCACCTCTTACCTGTCCTAGGGTCCAGGATAGACACATAAGGGAAGTCTGCTAGTTTGTAGAACTGTATGTATCGTTGTCCTTCCTCACTGTCGTGGTACACCTATGGAACAGCCAAGATTTCCTTTTAAATGCTTGAAGAAGCAATTTCACAATATAGCCCAACTTGGAGCCACAACACAGCTAAAATAAAAATTAAATGTAACCCAGATATTGGCTCTTTTACTAAGCTTTTCGTCACTGAGGAAAGCAGCCTTCCCACCTGCCAGAAAATGAAGTGCTCTCTGATAAGGGTTTTCACAGCCTCGTTGCTCCAAACGTCACGGTTGAGACACTGACAGGCGAAATCTTGCACATTCTGTATGTTAATCATGAGCCACTTGTTCTGCATCTGACCACACTCCTTGGCCTGAAGACAGGAAACAACAGTAGGAACATTAGCCAAAAATGAAGGTCTAGCAAGAAACAATGCCAGCAATGATGGCTTCTACTTATTGTGGCAGGCTTCAATCAGGACTCAGAAAGGTAATCTGCAAACCAGCCTGACAAGCGGTGTGCAGGGTTAGAGAATTCTGCAGGTCAACTTGTCTTACTAAAGATCACACAGTGATTATCCCAAACTGTTGAATGTCAACATGTCAAGCATAAGAAAGTTTGGGGAGAAAGCATTGGGGGGGGGTTGAGGTATGGAAATCCAAACCCAAGAGTGGAACCTGAATAAAACATTATGTAATGAAGAACAGGAAATGAGTTATATTGATCTGACCGCAAGACAGACAAGTCAATTCAAGAGCCAAAATTGTGGTGGATTGGCATTATTGATAAACTAGCAGTTCCGTGTTCCATTATTCATTCCCTCTGGTTTTCTGTTTGTATATGCTATTTTTAATATATATTATTGGAGCACCAAGAGCCACTTTCTGATGGTAATTCAGACTGAAAGTGGGGGAGGTGGTAGGGTTTGAAGTTGCAGGAAGAGATCTTACTGGTTTGAGTCACAAAGCTGGCATTGCCTGATTGGTTGGTTGCAAGTTAATGTAGGAGTTTGATCAAGAATGTAATTCTGATCGCTGAATTGCCATACCTGTTGAAAAAAAGAGTGCTATATCAAAATTTGGAATGCTCATATTTCCTGAATAAATAGGGGGAAAATGGTTGGGCTTCCTTAAAAGAGATTTTACTCATGGGTTTGCACCAACTGAATTCTTCATAAAAAGGAAACAATTTCTGATGATTTTGCTTTCTGGAAAATAAGATTTCACTTTGTAAAAGTGAAGTATCTGATCTATTGACTACTGAGTGATCAACGGGATAAACTGTGGATTGCAGACCCACTGTCAAATCATGCTTCATAGCTATGCTTTGCAATAGCTTTGCCAGCAAACAAACAAGAAATTTCTCCCAATCAAAGAAAAAGGGTGTTACATAGGAAAAAGGTCTGGAATTTTTAAAATTACCACATTTTAAAATGAACATTTGGTACTAGATGCTCAAAAAATAAGTTTGTATTAAATAATATTTTAGTTGTATTATGTGAAAAGTATTTAAATCATTTGATACACGAACTATTTGACTGAATCCAAAGTGGCATAATCCAAAGTTCCACTCACACAGCAGGGCTTACCCTTCCTCTTCTTCCCTCAATCTGTCTGAAGGGTCCTCAAGTCTCTGGAGCAGATTTCAGAAAGATACAGGGAGGAGAGTAAAGTCCTTTTGTGTGAGTAGAATTTGTTCCACTTGCACACAAACACCACTGAATACAACCCTATGTTTTTAAGATTTTGTTGGCAGACAGTAGGCATTTAAGACTGAAAGCTGAAATAGTATTCTTGGATTAGAATTACTGCTTACACCTAAACAGTGAAGTGTGGACTCCTCCTGCCAACTGCTATTAAAATGTATGTATAATTTATTGTTATAACACAGCAATTTTCAAAGCTAGTATATCTTAGAAATTCACATGGTGCAAACTCAAAAATCTCTTTAAATGTGCAAACTTAGTGCTCACATTGTATATAACTAGTGAATTTGCCAATTCATGAATTCAGGGTAATGTATCTTGCTTCTATAACCTGTAGCAGACTGATATATGGTTTATGCTACAATAATAGAAGTAAAACATCTGCTCCAATTTAGGCAAAGTGGCTGTAGCAAATTTTCAAAGTATTCACAAAAGGACATGGATGCTTGACTTTAATAAATGAATTTAATAATTGAATTTTAATAACTGAATTTCTATTTTTTGCTCCGCACTGCTACAACCTTAGCATATTTCCTGTTTTCTCTCTCTATATAAAGCTACATTTTATAAGGGTATGAAACCCCTCAACTCAGAGAGATGGGCATAAATGCAAGAAAAAAATGACTGCATCCCAGCTTGAGTCAATAGGTTGCTGATTAAATTCTTAAATATACAGAGAAGGCAAAGGAAAGTTAGAACATACCAAGTTGTTGAAGAAAAAGATGCACTCTTATCAATCACTTCTATGTCACTTTGCAGTGCTTTAAAACTCTTCTCAAATACTGTATAGCCTCACGACTATCTTATGAGAAAGATTAGTCTGAGGTACTGACTTGGCTCAGAATTACCCTTTTAGCTTACTACCAAGCAAGGATTTGAAGCTCATTTTCTCATGTGTGAACATGAGAAACAATAAAAGATACTGGTTTCTTTTTGCTTTAACTGATATACTGCCGACCCTGTCTAGGTCTGGAAGAAGATAGAAGGAAAGCAACTCAAAGTAATTAGTGTTACAAAATAGGGCCTCCAAGCTCAACAAGACACCACCACTCATGCACCAGACTATCTTTGCATTCACAGTTGTTTAGACATATGTAACTGCATACTGGGTATCAATGGTGATAAAGTGCTGGGAATTTCCATCTGCTTCCTCTCTTCCCCATTCCAATACATGGAAAATCCAACTCATGCCAGTGGTCTAGCTGTGTGAGCCGGTTATGTAAAAGAGGAAACTCTTGTGAAAATGTGGCTCCTCTTATGAAGCAAGAAAACTATGAGACCATTGCATCTCATGCCAAGTTTCTTCTTCTAATGTTTATCATAAACAAAATAACAAAATGCGTTATTTATTATTACATTCCTATCCCACTTCTCCTCCAAAGAGTTGAAGTGGCACATATGGCTCCTCCACATATTATCCTCGAAACAACCCTGAAAGCAGAGAGTTGGTGACCAGACAAAGATCACCCAGTGAGCTTCATGGCCAAATGGGGATTTGTTAAAAGTACAGTACTGCTTAGAATCAGTAAAACATTTCAATCTTATTTTGCCTCAAATGATTTTACTCATTAAAAGGTTTAGATTCTAAAGGTGCTTTCAATGCAATACTATGAGGTTCTAGCACATAACATGGAAAGAACTGATTGGAAAACATGTGTTGATATGAATTAGAGTCTCCCCGGAAGTAGAAACCCACTAGAATCTTACTTTGTAAATCTCTATCATATTATATAGTAACCAGTGTGGGGGGGAGTAGACTCTGCCTAAAGGAACTATACAGCAAGTAAGAACACAAAGCATTTTAATATAAAAGGCAATGCCAGATCAAAAACTGAAGGAAAATTAATCAGATGCAGGTATATGAAGCTTTATGAGGAACGACTCCATTAAAGACACAGAAGTTAGAGGCAGATTTTTACTCGGGGCAGAAAGAGGTGTCATGACTGAAAGTAAGAAATACTACCACAAATTAGAAGGAACTGGAAGAGGATGACAGAATGTGAACCTCTGAAACCAGCTACACTATCGACCTAAGAGCAGCTTATACACAATTTGTTCAGTACCCCTTGTTTCAGGAGCACAAAGTCGGGGCAAAAAGTACAGCAGATCTTGGTAGAAAATGATTTCTGAAAGTGGTTTCAATGATATGCAGAAATGGAAGGGTTAGAAGAGTGAGTATGATGTTATTTACACATAAAAATATAGAAGTTGTTTAAGTTCTGCAGCTGCAACAGTAATGCTACTTGCAACCAAGGATATGAACATTAGACATGCATCCTTGACCTATTCTGCATACCGAACAACTAAAGTTTTTTGATTAACATTCAGTTTTGTTTAGTTCATATTAATGCTATATAAAATAGGAAGGGTGTTTTGTGAGCCCTCTTTAATGGGTGTAAGGTGTGTGATAAAAAAAGTTTTTTATGACAATTATTTAATGCTATCCTACTTTGTTCTTTAGCTACAGGTATAACATACTTACTTGTAAGCAAATTCCACTGAAAACCCAATGATATAAGAAGTTAATTAAAAACAAGACAGATAATTTACCAATCAAGCACACTACTGCCTACCTATTCACAGCAGTTCTTCAGGATTTCAAGCAAAGATCCTTGTTAACCCAGCCAAACAGAGACCTTTCCCCCCAAATATCAAGGATTCAACTTATGACATTATATACTTAAAGCCTTCTCTACTTTGGACAAAACTCCAAATATATCAAAACAAGTGGCCGATAGAAGGATTTGACAAGCCTGACAAAGAGAAAGAGCAACACAGTTTTCCAATGAATAGAAACAGGATTTTCCCATCAAATGGAACTACAAACTGAGCCAGAGTATTTCCAGTCCTATTGGGAAGGGCCATAGCACAGTGGCAGAGCATCTATCTTGCACGCAGAAGGTCACTGTTCAATCCTTGGCATCTCCAGATGGGCCTGGGAATTGTCCCCCGTCTGAAACCCTGAAAAATTACTGCTAGTCAGTGTAGGCAATAGTGAGCTAGATGGACAAATGGGCCTAACTCAGTGTAAGGCATCTACTTATACCCCTAATTAGTTACAAATATACATATTGCTCAATTATGGACAGCACATCTTAACAAAAGGGGTGGAGGGGAGGATATAGAAGATGGCAGAGGAACAACTGCAGAAGGGTACTTTTTCAAAAATGAATTCAAATTGCTTAACAGTTGCCTTCTGTGTCCAAGTTATATAAACACAACTCGTTGCCATCATGCTTAAGTGAATTCTTTAAGCATCATATTGAATTATCAGACTGCAAATGTACACATACTCACATGCAGCAGGGCCCAGGCTACCACAGAGAAACTATACCAAAGCTCAGCAACCTACCGTTTCAAAACTTCCTTTATGCATCAGATCAATTGGAGGCCTGAAGAGATCTGCAAGGGTGGTGAGTTTCTTGTCTATTGCTCCTCCATTCCGCAACTCTTGTTCCTGCCGAACTGCAGAGCCCAGAAGAAGAAAAATAGGAGGTGAACAACATTTTTACTCCAACATGCTAAACTGCTTTTGGCAACTATAAACAAAACATTTGTTAAACGTGCAGAAAGCTTGTTTTAAAATATGAAATCAGAAAGGGAGAAGAAAAAAACAAGGGGAGAGTAAGAAAGTATAGAAGTCACATCTTAACATACTAACAAAAAGTTGTGGGGAATTTGAAAGCTTGCAGACCATTTTATGACATATTGGGTTGGCCCTTATATGGACTTTTGAATTTTTCCTAGGAGCCAACATGACTATCATTACTCTTAGTCTGAAGCATCTTTTTTATTATCCTAAAATATTTTTTTCTGCTAGGTACTCTCTCTTGATAGCCCACTATATATTTTTAAGCTTACGTCTCACAGAGCAATATTATACATTTGTACTGAAAAACATGCCTCACTGGCCTCAATGAGACTTACTCCCATATAAGTGTCTATATAGAACCACAGCTTAAGCATTACTGAAATATAGCTCTACGTCTACTGGTAAAAATGCTCTTTTTTATTTTCCTCACTTTAGTGTTCAAAGCAGCATGGTTATATTTTAAAAGCTTAACTGAAAATTCTACATGAGAAGTGTTAAGGGTGATTTCTTTTCAAAATAAGTTTATATAATTGCCAACACACATGGACGTGGGATTATATGCACGTCACCCCATTTCAACCAATCAAAATAAATATAATTTGCTACCAAGAAGTCCTCTTATGGACTTACCAAAAGGTAAGGCTGATTGTAAGACTTGAGCCGATACTGGGAAATGTGATGTTTTAGGTACCTGGGTCCCAAGCTACAGTATTTAGGGCTTTGTATACTAGTACTAACACCTTTAATTGGGCCCAGTAGCTCAGTGGTAGCTAGCACAGTGCTTTCAGGACTGGTGAACACATGGTGCCATCAGGCAGCCCACTGACCAATCTGCAGCCATATTCTGTACTAGCTGCAATTTCTGGACCGTCTTCAAGGGCAGCCCAACACAGAATGAATGGCAGTAGTCCAGACAGAAGATCACTGGAGCATAGAGTATAATGGCCATGCTATTCCAGTCCAGGAGGAACAGCCAAAGCTGGTGAACAAGACTAAACAGGGCAAAAGCAACCCTAGCCATAGAGGCCTCTTGAAACTCCAGGGACAGATTGGAATCCAGAAGTACTTCTAGACTATGGACATGTGCCTAAAGCCAAAATTGTGTATCGTCAAACCTCACTGGGTTCATTGGTGGGGGGACTGCCAAAGTAGTTTCTCCTGGAACTGTGCCCCCTTTCTATTTTATTTTTTCTTTGGTCCCACACATAAAGCTGAATGTGCACAGGTTGTGGGCTTACTGTTTAAATTGAGAAGGGACAGTAAGGTCTAATATTTAGCCCACTTCCGCAACACTAAAGGCTATTTCCATTTTAAAATGGAATATTTTAATAGATAATCTGGGAGAAACACAAATAGCAAAATCAGACAGAACAATAGACTACAGAAGACTTGACAGAATCTGGCAATCCAAAGCGAACAGTTACATAGATGCAAATACATTTGTGACTATGAAGCCTCATTAAGACATTACCCTGTTAAATCTCATATTAAGCTTAATTATGTTACCTACCTTGAATATAGCAGGTTGGGATGTAAACCAACCAACCAACCAACCAACCCTGAGTGTCACTTTCTAGACTTCACGTATGCATAGGCAATTTTATTTACATACTCTAAAGAACTAAACCCACACACCAAGAGATCATTGACACCTTGTTTCAATAAGGAAAAGTATGATAAAGCATTTTTGAGGGATAAGGAAAAACATTTTTGATGTTAAAATGAGGGCTGCATCTGTTACAGCTGATCAAGAGTCATGAATATATAGGACAATCTATTTTTTTTTTAAACCAATTAATTGAAAAGTTTACTTCTAAGTAGACTAATGCAACAAATACCTGAACTGACAGAATCCTGATAGCTGTAGTGTTGAACTCTGAGCAATACTCAAAACTAATTGAAGCTTAAATACCTGAACTAGTACATGAGACACCATCAAAAATGTTTAATTGGTACCACACCTGCTGAATAAGAGTGAATGAGTTTTAACTGTGTGAGCTACCAAGATGCGTGTGCATGAAAAATAGTCTCACGTACATTGCTATGTGTGAACTCCCCAACTGTGGTAACAAGAACAAGAAAGGGGATGGTGAACATCTATCTGAAGAAGAGATGGAAGACAATTATGATGACTAATTTGAAAATGAACAAGTAAGACCATACATGCCCAGGACAAACTAAGTAAGCATTTCACTTAACATGTGAAATTGCAATGTTTCTTGTGAAGTTGCTATAGTTGACACTGCCTTGCACAAAAAGCAGTGGACCAGACTCAGCTCTATGGTATGTCATAGGGAACACTCATTTCCCTGGTGGTGTGGATGTGCCATTTGGGGTGGTCTAATGCCATTTGTGATAGCCTAATAACTATAGATCAAGGTCATTGCTCATTAATGTCCTTTGCACAAAAACAACTTTTTGCCTCAGAGAATGATGATGCGTCACAAAGGGGAGTTTCTCAGTGACAGAGATGTGATGTAAAGTATATTGGCTATTTATTCAGTATTTTGTTGAATAAGGAACTGGGAAACAACTTCAGTATAATAAAAAAGACAGTAGTAACTGCAAGGTCAACAACACCTGTTTTCCAACTACTAAGGTATAAATCTTCCAAAATATGACATTAAACTTTATTCAGCACACTTGGCACCAATTTCAGTCCTGGCTTGTGTATTAAACACACAGCCTCCAAAGAAGGCCAACATTATTTTATTTTCTCCAAAAGTTTGGAATTAAACTTTTGGCCAGCAATTTCCCCTTTCTTTTATTTATGCAAACACACCACAACCATTAACACAAGCTTTGATATGACAAAATATTTTTAAAACAGGAATGGTTTTATTTATTTCTAGTAGAAAAATATACGAGAGCTGGGTCTTATTTCACTTTGTATAGGGTTTTTGCATAAGCAACATGAAGCAGCAAGAGCCCACCCAAAAAAGATACAGAGACCTCCATGGCAATTCTTAGGACAGCTTAGGGGACAGGTAATTTTGGGAGTGGGGACGTTGTTGCCACTGGCAAAATGAAATGTAGACTCTGGATTTAATAAACCATGCTGCAAAAGAAACCATGCTGCTGCCATTAATTTGGTCTCAAATCTCAATTTAACTTTACATCCAAAAAATTTATTTGATTGTTATTTGAGAAGATGCAGTTTCTTTTTGTATAGTTTTTTCTTTTCTCTCTTTATCTTGACTCTTTTTCCTTTCCTTTTTCTTCTTTGTTTCTGCTGTAAATGATCTTTTATGTCTGTATTTTAAATCAATAAAGAAATAAAAATCTCAATCTAACTACACCATATCTAACAACTGCAGCCAAAAAGTGAACAACTTGGCTGGCTTCCATAGACTGTTTTTGACCTTCCTGCCCTGATGCCCTGATGCCTTTTTACCTAAAAATTACAGACCTCATGTTTGTAATGCATATGTGGCTATGTTATACATATATGGCTACATGAACAGCCCTTAGTGGGATTTCAGGTTGTTGTTTTTGTGTATATCAGTATGCAGCTCCTGGGTGGGGTACACAATGTGGCCCATAGTACAAGGTCTAAGGGATCCACATTGTTAACCTCTATAAAGCCAATAAACAAAGAAAATGGCACGTGAAGACAATGATTCACAGATACCTACTTGTTTCTGTCTGGAAATCCCGAAAACCATCAAATATTGAACGAGCAGGTCTGCGTCTTTTTGGAGCTTATCAAGAACAGAATTTAAAACTCATATTAGTCATAAGAAACCTCTCAATGGAACTGATTTGTGGTAGAAAAGGCTGAAGCTTCGAGACAGATTTGAACTCATGGTGACCAGGTGATTTGAGAATACCAATAATGCATTATGTTAATTTGTTACACACATGTGCCCATCAGGACATGATGTCCATGTTCCTGGTTATCAGGGTACTTGTAGATGTTAAATTATTTTAAATTTATAGGCTGCTTTTCTGCCTGAAGGCCTTTGAAACACATTAAAAAAAACTAAAATACAAAATTATGCAACAAAGTATCATAGAAATAATAACACCTGGAACAGCGAGAGATATCAGCAAAATGCAACATAGCAATAGAAACCAGCAGCAAAGACCCAGGCAGTAAAAAAAAACCTCATCCAAGGCCAGTGGTACAGCAAAATAAAGTTTCCCCAGCTTGGTGAAAACGCCAACACGAAGCTCTAGGACAGGGATGGGGAACCCTTTTCTATCCAAGAGTTGCATTCTTACGTTGGCAACCTTTCAGGGGCTGCATACCAGTACAGTGGTACCTCGGGTTAAGTACTTAATTCGTACCGGAGGTCCGTACTTAACATGAAACTGTACTTAACCTGAAGCACCACTTTAGCTAATGGGGCCTCCTGCTGCTGCTGCGCTGCCGGAGCACGATTTCTGTTCTTATCCTGAAGCAAAGTTCTTAACCTGAAGCACTATTTCTGGGTTAGCGGAGTCTGTAACCTGAAGTGTATGTAACCTGAAGCGTATGTAACCCGAGGTACAACTGTATTGGAGGCAAAGGTAAACTGAATGGAGCAACAGACAGGACTTTTAATATGTACAGTAGACTAAAGTCAGAGGTTTCTACAAATATTCCTCTTCATCCAAACAAGGAAGAGACAATATCTACTTCAAAGACATATTAAGGCCAAGCAAAAGCACTCGAGGTTGATATGGAGCAGGTCAAGTGAAGGCTATGGCTTGTGGAAGGGTTGTAGCCTAGGGAGAATTCCAAGGGTCAGCTAGAGAACCATGGAGAGCAGCTCTCAGCCTCTGGGCCTTAGTGTCCTCTTCCCCTGCTGTAGGTAGATTGTGGAACACTATCTGGGGGCTAACACTAACTGGGTGCTACCCATGTAACCCCCAACTGCACTTCTGATAATGGCAAGATGCAACATATGCTGCTTGACCTGATCTCACTATACTTAATGGAGGAACAATTCCCAGAAATAGGTAAAAGCATGATTTTGTCCTATTTGTTTAAGCACATGCTATTTGATAAGGCAATTTCTCAAAGTGGACTGAATCAGGAATTAGGCTATGCTCAAAACATGACACCTTTTGTAGTAGATTATAATGCATAGCATAGCTGGTAAGCCAATGAAAGCATTTTGCCGCACTTTTTTTGCACCCAAAAATTGTGTCAAAAATGGAAGACGACAACTTTAGGGATAGTGAGATTAGTTCTAATAACAATTCAATCTGCAAAGCAATGTGTGGCCAATTTTGGGGGGCCTGTGGACACATTTCCAAACTGGAGTAATGGCACCAAACACACACACACACTACACGTCATGGACCTGTAACACTGCCTATAATATAATGCTTTTTAAAAATCTAATTTCAGTGGAGTGAGGAAATGCTGTAAATGCATGGGAAGGTTTCTGCTGGCACGTGTGCCCGTGGTGCACCATGTGGGTGACCCTTGACCTATCTTGTTTCATAAATTTATTTTTTTAAAAATAAATTTATTTTTAACAATATTGGCTATCCCATTCAAGTGAACAGCATACTTTAACCAGATTGTAAGCATGCAGTGAATGTCTATGTTCTAACTGTTGTACTTCATTCTGCTACTTTAGATGCTTTATAGCAAAGACACCTTAAATACACATTTATTATGACTTAGGCTTTTGCGTAGTAGAACCCATTTGCTGTTATTTGCAGCAGGCTAACATGGCAACTGTTCTAACATATATTCAGTACATGACTGCAGCAATTTTATTTATGGCACTTCACCTGTAAAGCTGAGGTGCATCTTATGTAATATCTTATGTGATGAATCTTATGTCAAATGTTAGTTACCGCCCCCAAGTCTGCTGATTTCCTACAGTTGAGTAAGCAACTTCATGTAACTTCAAGGGCTTCTCACCAGATCTTACGTTGACTTATTACTGCAAAGATACTTTTCAGTGTATAACTTATAATTATCACATGGCTTCCAGTCATCAAACCTAACTGGCCTCTAGAAAATGCATTTCTCATTATATCCCAAAGTAGCAGCCTTTCCTTAAAGAGGCAGGCAGCATTTACTGTTAACTATTCCACTAGATTTTAAGAATACAGCTAATTGGTTCCCCATTAACTTATTAATATAATGGAAATCTATCAGTACATAATTTTGGAAACTATATTTAGTGGAAGCTATCATGGAAATCTTGGATTTCGGTTTCTAAAAACTCTCAGCTGCAAAATACTCAACAGTACACATTCCATAGCTGCAATTTCTTATGAACACATGTTAACACCATAAATTACTATTTATTTGCAGCCCTTCAGACAGAGTATTTTATTATGGATATTTTACTATATTATTTTATTGCAAAAAATTTACTAGAAATTTACTTAGCAGCTAGCATTGACATTTTGGCACCGTTTCCTATCTAGAAAACGATAATAGCAGCAGCAATGAGTATTTGAAATATCATTCCCAGGAGTACCAATTATGTATGCTTAGTTGACAGTAGTGGGAATATGACTTTTGTATAAATACTTCAGTACTGCAAGAGCACATGCTATAACTATAGAGAGAGCAATAGATATGAGCAACCTAGACAAAAGGCAGTTTGGCAGAGTTATTCCTTCCTTACTACAACATTTGGAAGGGTAAACATTAAAATGAAGCTCACTTACCACCAAATAAAGGCTCAGGTTCTACCAGAATTTCCTGTTTTTGAGGAATAGGTGCTCTTACTTCATCTCTGTAAGGATTAGAAACATAGATTTTTTGAATATGACAGCAAGAGCTAGACTACATGCCCAAAATAGGACTATATTCATTTAGTTAAACCAATACTTGGGGTCTACAACGCAGTAGAGGCAGAACAGCATAGCTGCTAACTATGTTGTACAAGGTTTGAAAGTGTATTATTGGAATGGAGATATTCCTGGTAGGTATCAAAGTAAAGATGCTCTTTAGTATATATGAAAAGGGATTGAGAGTTAACACATTTCTGTGAGAGCCACCTCTTCTGTTTAACCTATAGATATGGGAATCTTTAGCTCCCATATCTAAGGAGTTGCTAACATATCTTGTTAAATGGGGATGACAGCTCGAGATGCTCAGAGTTGTACAAAAAGGTAGTGAGGGAGGAGGGTAATAATATGAGGAATATAAGGAAGTTGCACATATAATCACATATATAGGGAAAGCATAGGTGCATGTACAGGTGTTCCTGACATGGGCAAAGGGTCTGGAGCCCCATGTGCATAAGCAAAATACGCCTAAGTGGGGAGCACCCTCTAAAAACTGTTTCCCCGTTCTCCTGCTCTCTTCCCACACAACTCTCTCTTCAACTGGAGTTGAAGCTCTGTGGCTGGCTGGAGAATGTGTAGGACAGAAGCTGCTGTGTTACCACGTGTCAGCTGTTAAGTGGGGGGGGGGGATGAGCAACCTAAGCAAAGCCTCACTACGCCTCCAGTCTCTTTGGGACTTCCTCCACCCTCACTGAAGTCCTCTTTGGGTTCTGAGGAGGATCTCCTTGCAAGCCATGAGGACTCTCCAGCAATCTCCCACCATTTCCTGGTTTGAATCTATTTATGTCCCAGCGCCACACACACATGCGTTCATGTGTTAGCATGCATAGGTTGGGGGACACCTGTAATTGCAAAGGTCTTGCTGAACCCAGTCCCTATTTCTAAACCCACTTTTTTGTTTGGGAGTATGAATAATACATGAAATATTTTTTCTAATTTGTGTTATTTGCCACTGTCCACATGAAAGATTTATTTTAAAAATAAAATAAACTTTTCCCTTCTTGCCATATAATGCCAAAATTGAACTTCAATTTATTTATTTATTTAGGACTGCATCTAACATTAGAGTAAAAGGTAAAGGTAAAGGGACCCCTGACCATTAAGTCCAGCTGCGGATGACTCTGGGGTTGCGGCGCTCATCTTGCTTTACTGGCCGAGGGAGCCAGTGTTTGTCCGCAGACAGCTTCCATGTCATGTGGCCAGCATGACTAAGCCGCTTCTGACAAACCAGAGCAGTGCACGGAAACGCCGTTTACCTTCCCCGCTGGAGTGGTACCTATTTATCTACTTGCACTTTGACGTGCTTTCGAACTGCTAGGTTGGCAGGAGCAGGGATCAAACAATGGGAGCTCACCCTCTCATGGGGATTCGAACCGCCAACCTTCTGATCGGCAAGCTTTAGGCTCTATGGTTTAGACCACAGCGCCACCCGCGTCCCTAAGTTTAGAGTAGACTTATGAAAATAATAGATGTGACTAAGTTAGGTCCATTAATTCCAATGAGTCTACTCTTAGTTGGATACAACATTCATTCATTCATTCATTTCCTGCCCTTCCTCCTAAGGTCCTAGGGCAGATTACAGAATTAAAACACAATATTTAAAACAATGTAAAACAACTTGCAATCATAAACATAAGCTGGGTCCTAAAAACATAAACTTCAAGTGTTACATATAAATAAATGTATTACGAGCCCCCTTATAAAACAGATTATTTAGGCAACAAACAGTATGTTCAACTGAAACAACTTTAAAATATAAGAATAATACTGTAAACAGATGTAGCCTGTCTACAAGTGGAGGGGGGAGAGAACTGATTAAAGTTAGTGCTAAATATAGCACTGTATGAACTGTATCCTGCCTGCACATCTGCCTTCCCACTTCTGACATGTGCAAATTGCAACCTGAACTAAACTGTTAGGCTTCTAGAACAATAGTAAGATGCAAGGAGTTTGGTAACTGAAACTAAGAACATCTACAGAAAAACATGTTGATATCTGCCATTCCCGTATTTTAAAACAAATTATACATCCTATGGATATTCACAAAGTTACATACTCTGCATGTGGTCGAAGGTTTGATACACTTGCAGAACTAGTGCTGGGCTCCTCTGCTATCCCTCCACCATCAAGGAACATAGTGACAGCCATTTCCAGATTATTGTTGCATGCTTCAAGCATATGTTTGCCTGCACTTTCAGTGGCACCTGTGATACAAGGAAAGACAACATTAGTGCTCAGATCTTAAAAAGAAATTGGACAATACATGAGATCAGAAAGGTAAGCTTTTTTGTTTCTTAAATAAAATGACATTTCATAATACATTTGCTTTGCATGTTATGCTCTTTGAAATACCCCAACTAAAACAGCAGCCTACACAAATTAATGAGACAGAAATAGATTCCCGTTCCCTCTTTTGTATCATGGTTAGTCATATTATTATTAATACTTATTAAAATTATATACCACCCTTCATCCGAAGATCACAGGGTAGCTTACAACAAAAAACAGCATACGCTGTTCACAAATTTATATGAGCAGCCAATTTTCAGTAAGATAGTTCACAGGGCATTACAATTTACGGTGTCGAAGACCTTAGTCAATAAACATCATATACAGGGGTTGGTTTTGCTTCCTGCATTTTTCTTGAAGCTTTTGAGCAGTGAAAATCATGTCCACTGAAAGTTGAAAACCATTTTGGGATTCAGGAAGGGTAGCCTTGGATATAATTAGGAGTTGGTTTGCTAAGATCCTTGCAACAATTTTGCCGGCCCAGCTAACAAAGACATGCCTTGATAGTTTCTGCAATCCGTTTTATCACCTTTTTAAAAAAGGTTGATAATTTTGGAATCCCTAAAGTCTACTGGGATCTCCTCTCTCCCCCAGATTTTTTCGATGAGCTTGTGAAATTGTTGTGTAAGTTCAATTCCACCCACTTTGAAGACTTCAGCAGGTATCCCATCAGGTCTGCTGGCTTTGTTGTTTTTCAATTGGTTAATAGCTGTACACAACTCTCCCAGATTTGGAGATACTGAAAGCTCATCTCTAATTTGTTTTTGCAGAATTTGTGAGAGGGCCTCAGCAGCTATGGGGAAGTTGCTGTTAAGGAGATGCTGGTAACGTTGTTTCCAGCGCAATGCAATAGCTTCTTTATCTTTTAGAAGTGCGGTACCGTCTGTTGAGCATAGGGGGAATATGCCATGATTTATTGGCTCACAGATTATCTTTGTGGCTTTAAAGAAGCTCTGTGCATCATGAATGTCGGCTAAGTGCTGGATCTCTTGAACTTTTTTTATCTACCAGGTGTTCTTTAGTTCTCTGGTTCTTCTTTGAATCTCAGGCTTAGCGTTGGCATAGGGTTTTTTCTTAGTGGTGCAGTTTCTATCTCTTTGCCAGATCTGAAAGGCCTTTCTTTTTGTCAATAATGTGTTCAATCTTGATAGCCATCATGGAATGTATTAATCGGTGATCTGTCCAGCAGTCGTCGGCACCCGTCATAGCTCTGGTAAGGAGCACATCGTGGCGATCTTTAGACGATTACATAGTCTAAGAGGTGCCAGTGGTTCGACCAAGGATGCCTCCATGACGTTTTAAATTTATTAATTTTGTTGCAAGAGTGTGTTGGTAATAACAAGGTTGTGCGCTGCACATATAGTCAAAAATAAGATTCCATTCTGGTTGCTGTTGCCAATTCCTTCTTCCCAATAGTCCCAGGCCACAGATCGAAATCTCACCCCACTCTTGTATTAAAATCACCCAGGAGGATAATTTTATCCTCCTTAGATGTCTCTGATAGGATGGCATCCAGCTGAGAATGAAAGTTTTCTTTAATGTCTTCATCGGCATCCGATCTTCAAGTTTCTTGAAGCGCTGCAATATCAAAGTATTCTCTTGCAATGGTGGCAGTCCTGCGTTTGGGATGCTCATTACCTGTGTTGTCTAACATAGTCTGTATACTCCATGTTCCAAAATTCAATTATCTTTTATGACCACTGGGGAGGCAGACAATGTTTACGGCACCTTTTCTAGCCCTCCCCATTTTTGGGGTGAGCAGAGTGGATCCTAAATAGGACTGCTATGTTGTGGATACAGCTACCGAGCTTCTCAACTGCCTCATTCCTTGAGTCAGAACGAATGAATCTGTATCTACTGCCCATCTACCGGTTCATGACTAGGGGCTTCCAGATTTCATGGCCCTGCCCCCGTTACCATTTGCCAATCGCCATGGGACTTTTTTGGGTTTGGGATCGGTTTTTGGATGATGCCTGTGCACAATTTGTTTTATGTGTGTAGATCAGTGCACGCTGACCAACGCAGTGTCTTCGCAGTAATACTCTATTCTGATGGCATGAGTAGGTAGATGACCGGTAGATTTTTATCTGCTGCAGCCTTCATCCGCCTTCACAGCCGTTGTAACATACTGCTTGTTATCTTCTGCCTGTTCTGTCGTTGAGGACTTCTAGGATCATTCTTTGTCTAGTTCCTCCCTTTTGACCTTACCGCCTTGGGTGACCCTGCTGGGAGTACAAGACTCCCGACAGCTTCACTCACAAGGGTCATAGGAATGTGCAAGCCCACTCATCACGACAAGGTGATGATCCAGCGGGGTAGATCATCATTAAACAAGGCAGAACAATCAGAAGTAACTGGGGTGGTCAGTTCTGCTTCACTCCCATGTAGTCCAGGCAGAAATTAAAGGAATAAGTGAATATGGCACCTCCCATAGATAAGGTGCCTTTTTGCTGGGGCGAGAAGGACTCCTAGCTATATTAAAATACCCCACAAGTATAGGGGATCATTCAGCTCAGTGCACCATCTCTCCTCTTTCCATGAGCTATAAACAGTTAAACCAATCCTAGTATGCCTTCCCAAAAAATAAGTTCTCTTGATTTAAGAGGATATGCTTCAAAGTAAAAGAGCTTAAGATTCCTGCCACACTCTCTAGTTTGTACTATCTAGAACTTCAGCATAGCATTAACATACATATCGAGGTTGCAGCTGCAAAACTTATTTTCAGCTCATACATCAGTTGAAAATAGATATAAAACAATTTGTATTTGTATTTAAACAGTCTTCCATTTTACATCTCTGTGCTTTGGATCATGTATGGTGAGCATTCATTTAAATATGGCTAAATTCATCTAATTAAGAATTCATCATTGACCCTTGAACAAATAAAACTATTTTTGTGTACTTTTATTATCCCAATGGACATGAGAAAGTTGATGAACAGGATTATGCATCCCAATTAAGAACTCTTCCCAAGGGACATTTTTCCTGACAGGCTGATAACAGGAGATAAATATTTTCTTGGTATATACTAAGATACATTTGTCTCCTTTTAATAGATGATATGCACTTCCTGACATTGAAAGGAAGTTAAATAGTGAACTTGACCTTTTCCTTTCACTAAAAAGGCAGTATGATTCTGTTTTCCTCTCTTTCCCTAATTCTACATTCTAAATATGTTTTAAGATGTGGAATTTAGTAAAATAATTATTCTCAGCCACAATACTTGATGTAGGCCTATTGTATTCACTACAGAATTAACACAGCAGCAAGTAATAACACCAGAATGATTTACAACTATACAATGTAGTAATATTGTATTTTTTTGCCCCACAGTAAATCTGAACTTACAATAAAAGAAGTTAGAAAAAGTACAGTCAATTGTATCTTTGTTATTCAACAGACTTTTAGAGATATTAGTTCCCCGCCCCCACAAAGGAGGCAAACAGAAAGTTCCAATTACATCAGTAGACTCTAGCCAGTGAAAAAAACCTTCCTAACAAACAATAGCTTGCTAGGATAAAGGGAATACTCAATACTATTATGGTCACTTAGGAGTTCTAACACCACATTTCAAAGGTACATTAGCTTCCCTAGGGTAAAGTTACTTTGACGTTAAGGATTCAGTAGCACAGACCAATTAAAGCAAGGTGATTTAACTTGGTGCAACAGATAATGAAAACAAAAAACAAAGATCTGCCTCTTGCAGCACCAGTTTAAATTGTTCATGTAATCTAACAAAGTTTACAGGGCAATTTTATGTATATCTACTCAGAAATAAGTGCATATAGAATTGCAGCCTTAATTTGTCAGTGAGTCCTAGAAAACAGAGGGGGATAACTTCATCTCAGGAAAAGGCTGGAAGAAGGTTGGAGAAGACTGCTAAGTAGTGGCCTATGAGAAATTTGTAAAATTATGAACAATATATAAACAGTATTACCAGACGTTCTACTCTTTCAAGATTAGTATTCAACAAACTGACAGGCAGTAAGTTCAGGTTAGAAGACGGACTTATTTAAACAGTTCACGATTAATCTATGAAATGCCTTGCCACAAGACCATCACTAACCTTAGAAACAATTAATGTATTACCACCAGCTGCCTCTCCCCATGCCCTGAAACATCCATTGCTAGGGTCCATGTCACATTTGTAGAACTGTATTTTGTTGTCTTTATTATGTGCCTTGCCTAATTCATGCAGTTACAAATTTTCTCAAATACCCAGATATAAAGTCGTCCTGTAGAAATTCTGTTTCGTAAGTATCTGATAAGAATGAATACTTCTGCGGGTTATTCTTCCTCTCACAACTGTAGAGGGTACGTATACCAAGAGCGATCCCTTCCTTATCTCATTATCAGCCTATTAAAAATGGATTTTTGCTCTACTGCATTACTTGTGTCAATAATGTCTCAACCCAGCAGCACAGAAAGCCAAAAAAGAAGGGAGGTCGGGAGAGGAGCTTTTATCTCAGGAAATGAAACGGGACGGGCATTTCTAAGCGTCAGGTCTCGTTCTTCCCTCCACCCCCCAAAGGCAACGATCAAGCCTCAACTCCCAACTCCTGGAGGATGTGACACTGCGGCCCGCTTGAGCGCTCTCCTTTTCGCTCTCTGGGAAATGCATACTCGACCCCATCTTATGCCCCCCCTACCTTCCTCCACAAAGGAATTCCCCCTCAACTCCCCGCTGCACATCGTACTTGCCCTTACCCGTGGCAAAGCACAGCCCCGGGCCCCTATTTCGACTCCCTCCACACAATCCCCTTTTCCACAGGAGAACCGCCACCCCCTCCCCGCTCCCCCCGCCGGCTCCCTCTGGGTCTCTCTCTCCTCTCTGCCTGCCGCCAACTCCGTCACAGACGTCGCCCTCCTCTCCTCTCCTCCCCCGACCCCATGCAAAGCCCCTCTTCCCCCAGCCTTACATCCCGCCCCATAGCAGAAACGGCTCCAGCCCTCGCTTAAGCTTATTCCGGGTTTTCGCGCGCCTCACCCGTGATGGCGGTGAATTGCTGGATTAACCCCTTCAACGCTGAGGCGGCAGCGGAGCCCCCGGGCGCCGCCATCTTGCCGCCTCTACCGCCGAACAACAACACCCGCCACCTGCCGGCTGCAGTGCGCAGGCGCAGAACCACCGCACCCCAGTCTCCCCTTGCTCGCTTTCAACTTCAACAGTCAAGCTTTATTGGGAGCGCGACGCTGTGAGACACAGGGAAGAGGAAGAGGGATTCTGTGTGCCGGTGCTCGCGCTCCTGCCGTCCGCCCCCAACAGTCGCCGATCGACGCCCTCTAGCGGCCGGCGGATTGTATTTCCCCCTAAACTCGCGGCCGGCGGAAGCCGCTGGGAGATAAAGTGGAATCCGAGGAAGTGGCAGCGCAATTCTCCTGCGGGACTCGGGGGAGGAGGAAGGTGCTTCATGGCAGCTCACGCCTGTTGCCATTTCTGGGTTGTGTCATTAGTATTGACACAAGTAATGCATATATTTTTAGCTAAGGTAAAAGTCTAGGGCAGTATATTATTATTATTATAATATATTTCAACCAACTTGTTTTTATAATTGGTTGTTAGCCGCCCTGAGCCCGGTCTTGGCTGGGGAGGGCGGGGTATAAATAAAAATTATTATTATTATAATAAATACCGTCAGGTGTAGTGGCGAAGTCCTGTTTCCCTGGCATGGGCGTAGCCAAGGGAGGCAGGAGGGGCAGCTGCCCCCCCATCAATAAAAACACATAGCTAGCTGAGGTTCTTCCCCCACTCAACAAAATCCTCGCTATGCCCATGCCATGTTCCCTGAATTAGATATTGGAAGCACTGCTGCATGGTGCTTCCATGCAGGGTTAATTCAGTACAACTGATGCAGAATTCAGCAGCCAGGTTGCTCACTGGGTCAAGACAGTTTGAGCATCTAAAGTGCAAGTACAGTGGTACCTCAGGATGCAAACGGGATCCGTTCCGGAGCCCCATTCGCATCCAGAAGCAAAGGTAACTAGCGACGGCATGTCTGCGCACGCGCACATCGCTTTTCACGGCTTCTGCGCATGACGTCATTTTGAGCATCTGCGCATGCACAAGCGGGGAAACCCAGAAGTAATGTGCTCCGTTACTTCCGGGTTGCCACGGAGCGCAACTAGAACGCGCTCAACATGAAGCATATTCAACCCGAGGTATGACTGTAGATAAATAGGTACTGCTGAGGCAGGAAGGTAAACGGCGTTTTCATGTACTCCATCACGGTCCTCCCATGTGCCAGTAGTTTAGTCATGCTGGCCACGTGACCCGGAAAGCAGTCTGTGGACAAACGCTGGCTCCCTCAGCCTGAAAAGTGAAACGAGTGCCACACCCCATAGTCGCCTTTGACTAGACTTAACTGTCCAGGGGTCCTTTACCTTACCTAAAAATACTTAAAATACGCCTCCCCCCCCCCCCCCACCGCATATTCAGTGCCCTGGACCCTGTGATCATCAGTGGAGGCCCTTCTTCAGAGGCAATGCAAGAACAGGCCTTTTCTGTGGTGGCTCCTCACTTGTGGAATGCTCTCCTGCCGGAGGCTCACCTGGCGCCTTCATTACTTATCTTCTGATGCCAGGCGAAAACATTTCTCAGTAACTAGGCCTTTTAGAATATATTTATGGGAGTGGGGTTTATTGGTTTGTTGGGGGGGGGGTTGTTACGTATTTTCTGCTCTCGTTTTATATTTTTATGTTGTGAACTGCCCTGCCATCTTCAGATGAAGGGCGGTATACAAATCTAATTAATAATAGTAATAATAAAGAATGGGCCATCATCACCAACCGCTTCATGGAAAGTAATGCACAGCCACAGAAAGTAGTGGGACTGACATGAGCTGCCTTCGAGCGGAGTCCCCATGGCACCACCTTGAAGACAAGCCAGATGCACCCTCTCCCGGTGGACCACATAAGCACAGCCATGTCCAGCTGAGCTGGAATGGAAATGATAGCAATCATTTCTGTATATCGCTTTCATGCAGTATCTGTTCTAGTATCAGTGGAGTACTTAGGTAAATGTATATGTTTGCTCCTCCTCCTGGAGGACTTATGCCCCAAAGTGCACGACTACATTTTTTACAATTATGCTATAAGCCATGGACAGCCAACATGGTGCCCTCCAGATGCTGTTAGACTAAACTCCCAGCATCCCTGACTACTGGTCACCATGACTGGGGCTGATGGGAATTGTAGTCCAACTTCTGGTTACCTCTGTTGTATAGGCATCATCATATAAGGTAAGTCAGTATTTCCCATGTTGCAAAACGGACTGGTGCTTAAAGCAGTTAACCTAAGGCTATCTAGTTGATTCATTAAGTGAGTTTTGAAGCTGGGTCAGGTCAATTTGATTCCTAGTTTAGGTTACAATCCTAAACCATGACTGGAAGAAGTGGGAGTATGATGGAGCTGCACATTCAGCTGTGCTTGCACCAACCAGGGTGAAAGGTAGCAGGGAAAGGGAAGGTCTTGCATGGACTCTGGAGGCCTTTGTGAGATTTTGGACAGTCCCGCAAGATCTTGTGAGACCTTCCCAGAGGACAGTCAGAGAGCTTAAAAGCTCTTTCCACACAGAAGAAACCCAGTGTGCAATCTGTACAATTGAGTTCTGACTGGCCACCAAGCGCGTAAAGCTGTGATTGTGCAAGTTAAATGCATGCAAGTTGTAAGTCAACTATGTTTCTGATGTGGAAGTGAGTTCTGTTGCTTTTATAGCCAAAACTGCGCAATCTATGCACAAAATGGCGGTATCAGCATGTTGCTCTGAGGTTTGAAAATCTTAGAGGGAAGACCCCCCCCCCAAGAATAGTCTAATGAGTACTGAACATGTTCAGTGGTCACAGAATACTGTTGATAAAAAATGGAAAAATGAGTGTGAGGGAATATCAAATGGGGTATCATGAAATTTTAAAAAACCTATAAATAACAATTAGAATGTCATTGAAGAGGGTATGGCTGACTGGAACACTGAGCAGGAACACTCCACAATTCTAATTCAGTATGATAAAAGCATTAAAAGCTTATTTAAAAATGGTAGGCAGACCACCATGATAATCTCTCTGAAATGTGCAAAATTTGTTTTTAAAGTGAATTTAATCATTTAGAACTCTAAAAAGTTATTTTTACAGTTTTCTATAAAGTGTACCTCAATGCACTTGAATATATACAATATTGGATGCAAGTTGGCAGTGCTTCAAATTAAGAGCAAACAACTACAGGGGAATCCCCACTTATGCAGCAGTTCCATTCCGGGATGCATGCAAACGGGATTCCCCTGTTCAGCCCCCATTTCACCCCCTTTTGGTACCATTTTGGTGTGCATGTCAGTGAGAGCGTGTGTGCTGATTGTGTGCAATTGGGGAGTTGCCTGTAAATGTGATGGAGCTGCTGTACTATTCAAACAGTCTGAAATAATGTGTTTGTGGAAGGAGACTGTCCAATTACTTACTCTAATTGTATCTAAAGATTTACTTTCCAGATGATCTTAACTTCTGATTAATATATTATCTACAGCAAATATTCCAAAAAAAGGAGAAAATAACTGAGAAGTCTTCTACATAACATTGGCTAGGAAATTTTTGAAATAATCTTCATTTCGTCAAACTAACTCTGAGGTTCAGGGAGGGGTCTTTAAGTTTCATTTTTATCAGAGCTGTAACTAGTTTAGAGACTGTAGGACATTATAAAAATATTGCTCAGGAGATGGTTATTATGAAATTTAGAATATGAAAGTAATATTCATTTTTATATATTGTGGAAATTATTTAATGTCACCATGTTTTTTATGGAAAATGTACTTATTACTGTAAAAAATATGAATTAATAATGGGGGGGGAGGAATATGCACAGGCTCCATCTTCAGACATTACTTGAATATGTATTAAGATCCCCTACTGAACTGTGGAAATTCATTCAAGGTAGGATAGTTTTCTCTTGAAGCTTGAAAGCCATTTTAATGGATTATGTTCTAATCAAATAATTCCAAGAAATAGAAAAAAACACTAGGGGGAAAAATAGGAATTCTTAAGTTCAGGGCAGATATATATAGGGGCAATGTAAAGGATGACATTTGGGTCATTTGCTATGTGTTCCAGCAATAAAAGTGTAAGTCTGAATCAACATCATCAACAGTGTCAAGGTTATACTGACCCATCAAACAGAGGGATGTCTCAGTTCAAGCCAAGTTTACATATCTTTTCAAATTTTCTTACTATTGTTGTGGTAGGGAACTGGGAGGGGGTAATAGGAAACTGGTTTGATTACACAGTGAACACTACATGAGCTGTAGTGCATGATGGTTTTAAACAAACATCTCTCTTGACATTCAGAGCAACCTGTTACCATGCATGCATTAAAGAAGTGAATTGCAACAAGTAAAAGCAAGTGGGCATACAGCAGGCACAACTGATTCCCAATCAAGTCTCCCATTAATTCTGAAAGCACTTGATCCCTGAAGAAATAATTGTTTGACTAGGTCAGCTTTTCAACAGTGCCCCTTCATTAACTCCAATCAATGTCATGAAAGTATTACTGTTCATCTAGTTTGTCGCAGGCCTCTTAAACATCTGAAGAATTGTTTTTTGCTTGCCTGAAAGCACTTCTGCATCTTTTGAGTTAGAGCTGTTGACACAATTCAAAACATTTCCTCCTTTTACAGAAGGTGACTTTGCCTGGAGCTGGTTAGAGGGTTTCCAGTTCTCATTGTGGGAGCTTCTGTGTAGTTTTCGCTTATCTGTTTCAAGTGGGCTGTTTGAAGACTTTGAGTTCTTTGAAAGCCTGCTCCGTTTCCTTGCAACTGGAGATTCTTTTACTGACTGAGATGTTGTAGGACGCAAATGGTATTCATCTGGAGACCCTTTTTTGCGATTTAGCATGTTCTGTTCTTTGTCCATTTCCCTCTGAAGCTTCAGAGCCAGACGTCTATCCTCTTCTTCTTGCTTTTGCCTTTCATAAAACTGCTGCTCCAAACTTATCTGCCTTTCTATATCATCCATCTCTTCTTCATCATCAGTTTGTGAGAAAGTTCTTTTCCTTTTATCATTTAAGTATGAATCAACTGCTGCTTCAGGGAAGGATTCTTGAGATGTTCTCAACTGCATGTCTATTGTAAAACTCTCATTTTTATAGTCATAACCATCCGCACCTCTCTTTGCCTCCCTGATTGCCTGTGGAGATAGTGTGGGCATTTCATTTTCTCTTCCCTTTTCTCTTGATGTACAGATGTTTTTAGTGTTGCTGCTCTCCTGGAAGAAAGAAATGTGCAAATTATAGCTGTCAAATACAGTTCACTATTCCCAAAAGATTTTGCATGTACTCATGTTATAAATATGAAAAAGAACTGGCATTCATATTGGCAATATGGAGTATGGAAATGTATGGGATATTAAAATTCACATAGATATCACATGTACTTATATGAGAATGCTGAAATCTTTATACTCCACAGGAATCAATATATGTATACATTACCTCAGAAAAGGAGCCAGAATGTTCTTCTTGCCAATTTTTAAAGCACTTCTTTGGAGGCAAGGAATTAAAGGGCTTTGGAGACAAATACCTTAAGGAAAAAGGAACATAAGTACACTTTTACAGCATGTGAAGAACAAAGTCTTAAGGCAAAGTCAGCATAATTCTTAACTTAATGCAATCCTATTTCTATTCAGAAGTAAGTCCTACTGAAGTCAGTAGGTAAGTGGGACTAAGACTGCAATCTAAGAGCAGAGCATGTGGCAAAATGTTATAAAACTAAGCTTTTTATATTGCTTATGCTGCCAGGAGTGACGGTGGAAAAGCATGTGGTCAGAACCAGCTTGGGGAAGTCCAAACTAGGCCACGTTTTCCAAAATGAGAAAATGCACCACCTTCATATTGTTTCTTTAAAAAAACCACAACCCCATCAATTGAAAACTGCCAAAATAAAGTCATATCATAAAGCTCCTATTATCATACTGTTAAATTTCTCCTTCCATGGTGTATATAACGAATTATATCCAAGAAACCAAGAAACCAAGAGACAAATTACTGGATCCAACTTACTTTTTAATGTCCACAGAACTGCAGCTTTTGCTTTTTGATGTTTTGCCAGAATCAGAGGGGGAGGGTCCATGTGACAGGCTGCTGTTCATTTGCTCCTCAGCAGAGCTGTTCTGTATTGACAAAAAAGCACATCAATATAAATAAACATGTTTTTATACAGTCATTAGTCTTTTGGCACAATTTAATACAATCCTAATACATGCAAATGATTTAAACCATTATAAACAAACTCTAATATATCCGTACTGTTCCCAACAAAGGAAACTCTTAGAGCCCTTATTTATATCATACAGAGTTCCCAGAGTGTTGAAATAAAATGCTATCATGAGGCCATCACCCACCAAATCTCCCTAATAAGAGGGAGGTGTAAAAGAAGCATATTGTGATAGAAGAGGGCAGAACCCACCCCCCTCAGAAACAACTGACTGAAGAATTCAGGGACAGAATCTCTGAGTAGGCTCTAATGTAAAACACCAATGAAAGAAACCCCTGTTACCGAGACCAAACCCAGGTGGAACTTTCCTCCCATCTACAATAGAATCCAGTGGGTTTTCATTGCCACCACCTCCCATCATGGAAGAAAATGGGTTTTGGCTTTTACCTGGTTCAATATGTGCTCATTTCGCTAGGAACACTTCTAGGTTTAATCTTAAGATTCATTCATAACAGGCATTAGATTCTTAACTAGAAGTAGGAATATTAAAGAAAAATGTTCACAAGTGAAGCCCACTAATTTAAATTAAAAGTAATAGGTTGGAATTTCCTGCATTTGTAATATAAATGTGTAATCTGTAGTCATTTCAAAACTTAGAATTCTTCCAAGTTACATCTTTTAATTTTTAACACAGCTTTTTTCAATTCCAGATTAATCAGAATAGTCAAAGGAGGTAGATCTTGTGAAACCAGGGGGAAATGTTACATTGGGATAGTGAAATAAGCATACTACATAGAATAAATGTTCAATACGTTGATAATATCTACTTTTTACGCAGAAAGCAGATAAATGTTGGCATCCATCTGCCTCAAAAGAAAATGGATTAGTCCTCCAGAGATGATGTCAAACTGCTGGAGAATCATAGCGGCTGCTGTGGCTGCAGAGACCGGTAATTCTTAACTGCTGCCTCCTGCATTGTTTCTACTGCATTAGCAGCACAGAAGTGACCTCTCCAAGGTGCTAGCCTGGGCAGTATGCATGGAGGCCCTGGGCTGCTCAGATGACAAGAGCCCTCTCAGCATCACTGATGTGGTCCAAAGGGAAGTAGAGCAATACACTTTGTACCAGCTTTCTGGCTGCAGGAGTTGCCAGAAAGAGGCATACAAGACACCATCCAACTGCCTTGAGGACGTTGAATTTATGTACTGTTTACTTCTTAGCCTTTTCTTCTCCCAAAGATGTCCCACAAAGTAGCAGGTAGAGGTATTTTGCTCTGGGTTTACTCCCAAAGCCTTTCTCACAAATGAGTATAGCTGCAAGGCAGCAGAGGTTTAGGATCAGTTTTCCTTCTCCTAGATAGGCTGCCTTCCCATGCTGATGAGCCCATCTTGGGGCATATATAGGTTCTTTAGATAGGTAACATTGAAAAGGTGCCTGGTATGTACCTTCTTCAAATTTTAAGGCTTGAGAAAATAAAGTGATGGTATTCTAAGTCACACTTTTTGGAACATTCTGTCTGCACAAGCATTATAGCTTGCCAGATGGAACAATCTTCCCCTCTCCTTGCTCTGTGCGCTACTCTGGGGTATTCTCTTGATCCGCTCTAAGCCAATTTCAGGAGGCACTGGGGGGAAGGGGGATGCCTCACTGAATAAGTGAAAGCCTTTATGATGGGGCGCATTCTGTCCTGAGAATTTAATTGAACTGAGTTGTCTACCATCAAGCTGCTACTTACCAGATCGCAACTTAGTTTCCGTGCCAATATTTCATCTAGTAGTAATTGTTCTTCCATCTGTTTTTTCCTTTCTTCTGCGAGCCTCTGCTCTTCTTCCTCTTCTGCCAATAGCCTCTGAATATACTCTTTGCTTGCATTGCTTGCTTCTTCTTCATGAGCCAATCGTTCTGCTTCTGCCTGAAGTAAGAGTATATCATAACTTATTTCTGACTTTTTCTTGCAGTTTAGAGACTGAACACCATAGCCAAAAGCTTTTTCTTTTGACTGAAGCTTTTGTGGTTTTTTTCTGAAAACTGACTATTAGTGGGTCCCACACAGCTTTCTAGATTTACCTTGCTTATCTCTTCTTCATACTCCTGTCTTAATTCTCCAGGTTTACTTAAACAGCGCACTGGCTGATGTAGGCACACTATCCAGAAAAGAAAAGATTTGAGAAATATAGTTATTAATGAACCAATTAAGGACTGTAGTTTTCCTATAAAGAAACATCAAGTTCCAATTTAATCTCAGTACTATATGACAGAATACACTTCTGGAGTCACATCAAAATGTAGTTGATCACTTAAGTGCTGTTCTGTCACTGACAGTTTCTGACTTCCTTGGTACTAAAGGATTAAGTAAACCTCCAATATAAATAAGTAAAAGAAGGCTTCAAAGTTTTTCAAAAGAAACTGCAATTGTTTGTTTCAGCCCTTGCACTCTTTGATTTGACTTCTTTAGTAATGGACAAATTCTTGAACTAAGTTCCAAAGAACTACACAACTAGTTCTATGAATCCAAAAGGGCTTTAAATGCTACTGAAATAGAAGATTAAAAAAAAAAAAAAATTTGGCTAAAGGTCAAATGAAACTTTTTTTTTAATTATTTCACTGGGCTAGGACAAGCTCTTAATGTAAAACTAAATTCTGGCCCAGAGGTTTCAAACCCATTCATGTAGACAAGACTATTCCAATTCTGTAGTGCTCACTTTCAGCAATGGTTACTTTTCCATATTCTATTACTTCAGCCTTGCAAATAAACCAAGAAATGCTGGTACCCACAAATGTTTTACTATCCACCTGTCCACTATTCACACTGTAGGCATGCCAATGCCTTAAAAAACATTCCCCAACAAAGCAGTCCATTTTGAGCTTTCAAATGTGTCCTTGTCTCGCCACCTGGAGGATATCTTTATACTTTCTCCAGACCACAAGGTGGATGCCTGGATACTTACCCGTATTTTTCGCTCTATAACACGCACCCGACCATAACACGCACGTAGTTTTTAGAGGACGAAAATCCGTAGGCATGCCACCCGCAGGCATTCCCTCCATAACACGCACAGACATTTCCCCTTACTTTTTAGGAGGAAAAAAGTGAGTGTTATGGTGCAAAAAGTACGGTAATTTACTGTGTTCCCAAAAGCATTATTCTAACCTTTTAAACATTTGTAACATATTTATAAGGCCATATATGCCAGGTTTACTCACTATCTTCTTCTACATCCTGTCCACTAATTCTGCGTTGGCATTCTTCTGGAAAATGTTTTTGAATCTTTTCCCATAATTCCAAATTAATAAGAGTGTTATTGCGGGCATTATATCGTGCCCAAGAAGAGACTCGCCGACGACAGAAAGGGCAGTACAGGCTGCTCTTTTCCACTGTAAGCTGAAAACAGGAATTGCAGAGAGTGTGGTTGCATGGCAGTGTGACTGGTTCCAGTAAAATCTCCATGCAGATATTACAGCGACAGTCAGATAAGGACAGTGGAGCCTCCGATTTCTTCGACATGCTGTCTAAGGGAAGGTGACTAGTGCATCATCAGCATCTGAAACCATGACACAGCATCTGCTTAGAATCATCAAAAATGCAGAAAAGTTATCACTACTGGCTCAGCTATTTGGCGCCTTACCTTACAATGTTCTCAACATCCTTCTCTGATCTAACCTTTTTATCACACCTCTCCCATGGTGTATGTTTGATGTGCACACTGTATAATGGGTGAGCAAACTTTTTCCGCAGGGAGCCGCTCCACTGTCCCTCAGACTTTGTTGAGGGCCGGCCTATCTATCTATCTGTATATATAAAACAAATTTCTATGCACACTGTGAGGGGGGCAAGTAGTCCTCCTCCCAGCCCCAGCCGCCTTCTTGGTTTGCCGCCTGCCTCATTCGCCGAAGGGCTGGTGATGGTGGCGTGAAACGGGCTTCCTCCCCACCTAGAGAAAGAAGACGCTGTGCTTACCTTCCCAGGGGCTGCTGCCGCTGTCACCCCCACCACCACTTCTCGTGAAGCGGATAGGCAGAGAGAGATCATCTGCTCCGCTCTCTGGCCCACAGGAGCACCAGGGCAGCGGCAGGAGAAAGAGGCCGAGCGGCGGCGGCTTTGCCAATCAAACCACAGCTGAGGTAAACCAGGCACAGCGTTTGATTGGCAGAGCTGCCGCCGCTTGGCCGCTTCCTCCCGTTGCCATCTCCAGGAGTCTCGGCTTCGCAGCGGGTTCTGGCTTCACGGCACGGGCCAGATCTAGGAGCCAGGTGGGCCAGATCCGGCCCGGGGGCCTTAGTTTGCCGACCCCTGCTGTTTAAGTTCTACATAGAACAGTCCTATCAACTATGAGTCTGCATCAACATATTCGGTATTCATTCAAGAGCCTGTGCTTTGCTTTATTTTATTATATCCTCTGCCAATTTACAGCTTGAGGTATTAGAAGTACTGGGCTTGCATGTTCCCCTGTCTTTACAACTGGGCAGGAGGAGGACTTCTACGAAGTTTAGTTTTGCTAAAGAATTGTGGTTCAGCTTTACATATGAACCAAGGATCTTTGTTTAAAACAAAATGTGGTCAACGTCATAACAACCAACTAGCCTTATTCGGTTCAGTCTTCTCTATGTATATATGGAGGAACACAGCGTAAGTCCTTATCTTCACTTGTTAAATGGGATGAAAACAAGCATGTATTCATATTTTACTAACTGAAAGTGGTTGAAATGAATTGAAATACCACTTTCCAGTCCAAAGAGAAACCTGCAGCTGCTTTTCACATGTGCCTGTGAAGCTCAAAATTCTAGTAAGAACCCTGCTTAGTATTTACTGTTAATTTCAACAATTTGTTTAACGCTTAGTCATAGTCATCTCTAATCAGTGTACAGGAGGTCCAGTAAGATGAAAAATAAACGAACGCTATACAATCAGAATTCATTAAAAAAGTTTGTTGCAATAAAAAACATCAGTAAGCACGAGAAGATCAACAGGGAGGAGGCCCAAAATACTGACAGTAAGGCTCCTTGTGGGTACAAACCATGTATCCGAGCCATGGAGCAGTGGTGTGTGTTAACAGCAACTCCCTTGACGGCCCCAGTGATTAGGAATATAAAGGATCAGTCAGTCCCTGAGGTATCCCAGGTCCAAGTTGCTAAAAGCCTTGAAAATTAATACAAAATCCTTGAACCTGGACTGGTAGCATATGGGCAGTCAGTGCAAGCTTCTGAGTACTGTAGTTACATGCATTTACATTGCATAGAACAGTATTTTCATTACAAGTAGGCATCATGCTGTTATTAAAAGCTGCTTGCCAATTTAGATACAAAAATGGCTTTACAAAACATCGTGCACAGATATAGGATGCTGGTGCAGGAACAACAGGTCAATTCAAAAAGCACTGATAATTTCTAAACAGAAAAATGGGGCGGGGCTGACCGTGAGAGACCATTCCCATATACAAAAGCTTACTCAAGGTATGTCGAGTCAAACCAGTAAGAATCACCTTTCATATCCTATTCGCATTTAACCTGAAACTCACCTACATGCACTGTTTTCTGGTTCCCAACTTGTTTTAATAAGATTTTTTTTTTTTTGCCCGAAGACTACAGGTGTGTGCGCGCACAACAGGAAGTTTGGCCAGAGATATGTGTGCTCAATTCCCTTCCACGAACATTTCAGTGAATATACACGGGAAAGTGTGAGTTGCGAGTCCTACTGTTACTGCTGTTGGTTCTCCTCGTCCTCCTCTTCTTCTCCTCACACACTTGGAGAAAAGTTCTTCAGCTTCCCCACCGTCAGGAGCGAAGGCCAAGAAGCCTCTCGACGTCCGCCCCACATTTCTAGGCCAGAGGCCTAGGAAACATTCGCCTCAGGGGGCCCCGGCTGACAAGTGGGAACTAAGCGGAGCCTGAGGCCGCGGGGCTTCCAGAACCGATTCACCGTTCCGACGCTTGACTTCCCGTTGCTAGGCGCCAAAATGGAGACCCCGGAAGAGGAAACCGCGCGTGAGCCCGGCGACTCGGTGTCCGCCTGTCTCGGAATTCTGACCCGCCACTTCCCCCCCTCCCCTCCCTCCCGTTCCACGCGCGTGCGCGAGAGAGCCCGCCCAACGGCTAGCTTTTATTCCGAGAAAGGGCGAGGAAGCGGGAGAGGCGTCTAACCTGCCTCAGCGCGCGCAGACGACGCGCGCATGCGTGCCAGGAGAACTCCTGTACAGCCGCGCCTACAAGCGCGCGGAGGGAAATCCCGCCCCTTTCTGCCTCTGCGCTTAGTCCTGCCGCAGGCTTCGAGCGTGGAATAATCGAGTTGCAGTACTGCAACTGGTGCGGGAGGGCCAGTGCGGGTGTGCTGTTAGATTCGGAGCACCGCAGGCTTTTGAGTACTACGGAGGGGGAAAGCGTTTTATTGAGCCACAGTGTATAAAAGAATGAAACACTAATAATTGCAAGATTGCTGTACTCATTTTGAGAGCTTTTTGTGTTTATGCTCAAGTGTTTTGTTCCCCCCCATAGTGTTTATACAATTGGTTCAGTCCGTTTGGGCAACGACTTTAGAAAACGAACCAACCGTTATTTGCTTTTTAAGATTGCAGTTAATTATATTTAGACAACCGTTTTTGGCTTAAGAGGAGGTTGGAGGACCATAAGGTCCGGGGGGGGGGGGAGTGGTATATAAATGCAATAAGCGACTTGGGACCAGCTTACCTGAAAGAGTGCCTTCTGTGATGGAAATGGGCATAGATCTTGATCCTTTTCAGAGGCATGCTGTGGGTGCCTCCACCCAGGCTGGCCCAAGACATTTTGGCACCCGAGGTGTACCCCAAAAGAGCACTCCCCTACCCACCAGGACAGAAAGGGTGAGAGAAAATCTACATCAGGAGCGAGAGAGAGAAGAAAAATCAACCAGATTTGCTGCTTCTCTGGATCCTGCCACCTGAGGCAGTTGCCTCACCTTGCCTCGTGCATGGGCCAGCCCTGGTGAAGAAACTTGCTTTTCAGTACAGTGGTACCTCGGGTTACATACGCTTCAGGTTACAGACTCCGCTAACCCAGAAATAGTGCTTCAGGTTAAGAACTTTGCTTCAGGATAAGTACAGAAATTGGGCTCCGGCGGCGCAGCGGCAGCAGGAGGCCCCATTAGCTAAAGTGGTGCTTCAGGTTAAGAACAGTTTCAGGTTAAGAACTGTTACCGGAAAAATCCGAGGGCTCCCTTGGACAAAATAAAGACACCAACCAGGATAACTTGGAGCAAAACAGCAGCCTGTAGGCTTGGCCTTTATTGAACTGTTGCAACAGGGTGTTCCCCTCACTTGCGAGAGAGAGGAAAGACCCAGAAAGATGGTGTGCAAGACCTTATAAAAACTTTTGAAATTCCCATCCTCTAGGTCAAGCCCACCCCAGAAACATCATGCATACATTACAGAAAGGAGGGGTTGACATCATGCATACATTACAGAAAGGAGGGGTTGAGGGAGGAGTTGTGGTGGTAACCTGAGTGTCCTGTCACCTGGCTGGTTCCTCCTTTCCCCCTCCCCATGAGTCACTTCCAGGAGACAAAGGGGAGTTGGCAGTTTCCTGCCCCCAGAGGGAAGATCTGATCATTGTCCTTTGTTTCAGTCCATGCTGAATCCACTCCCATATGCAAGTTCTTTGTGATCTTGATGGTCTTCTGTCTAGGACCATCAGGGTTGGCATAGCAACTGGGCAGGGCTCCTGTGGATGTGCTGGGATGGTGAAGGGATTATGGCTGACCAGAACCAAGCCACCCCCCTTTGATAGTCCTTGTCATATGGAGTAAAATAAAAATGGAACAGTGCAAATCCGATGTATGGTTGATTTTTCTATGAATTTATAACAGAAGTGTGGCATATGTAGTGTGTGAGTGTGAGTGTGTGAAGTTTGTACAAACTGAATGATTGGGGTGGGGGGTTCCTGCTACAGAACGGACCCCCGAAACGAATTAAGTACTTAACCCAAGGTACCACTGTTGTAGTGCCTAGCTATGGAATGCTTTTCTCAGAGAGACCAACTTGAAGCCATCTTAGTGGGTGTTTTGGTGCCAACTGAATATGTTTCTGTTCTTTTAAATTATTATGCAGTCTAATTAGAGCTGTATGAGCAGGAGGAAATGGGCTTTTCAGGGACCCCCCCCCCAAAGTGGGAAGCCATGTTGTCGTCATCTCCCCTCTCCATTTTTTCCCTTAGTTTTTAAAATTGATGTATTTCAGTTATATTAATCTAACCCATAGAGAATGTTATGTTATCGGGCAGCATATATAAATGGATATGTAAAGGTATGCCCCTAGGTGTGTTTCATAGATTACCCCTTACGCATTTTATGCTCCAAACAAAATTTAAGTAGTTTCTGCTGACGAAGAGGACACTGAAAATGGCTAATAATGAAGTGTTGCAGCCCAGCCATTAGAAATGAGTGTGCATAATATTTTCTTTAAACTATGAATCACTTTATTGAGCAGTTTGTGATTTCATCAGGTGCAGACAGTACATATTAGACGTAGAGTGTGCTCTGGTGTCAAAATGGGGCTGAATAAGACATGGTGACTAACTTTTAACCACATTGGTAACAGAGAAGAAGAAGATAATAACATGCAGCTATGTTTCTAAATGGCAAAAGAAAGCATAGGAACTATGAGGGTATACATAATGAACAAAAGTCAAGCTAATCATGGCCAATCGTAGATGGCTTAGTGCACTTGAGGTTGCAAGTAAATAAGTATGCATTTAAAAAATCACCTGAGGAGGACTTCCTCTTTATACCCCACTTTTTTTACTGTGAGAAAATTGATCAACAAATTGGGAGCAGGCACTCCCTGAAGTATGCAGCAAGACCCAGCAAATATGTACATTACACTCGCACCAAGACATATGTTTGTGATATATGCAATTATGCCTGCCTCTCAAGAATGGGGCCTGTATTTCAAGTGAGAAACCAACAAAGGGGAACTTCAAGATTATTACTCTACTGTAGGATCTGGGTGATAGATTTCAAAAGATAGGAGCAAAATGGGAGTTGTTAATATTAGTAGTAATAATAATGCATAGCTTTAGTCATGCTTCACATATGCAGTCTTCATAATCCGTACAACTTCTCTGTGAATTGGGCCAGTACAGTGCAACTTTTCTATGTTAAAGATGGGGTGAAGACTGAGAGGAAGTCTTGCATAAAGCTACTGAGTAAGGACTTTGCAGGTATAAGCAGTTTTGGAGACAATTTGTTTCTAGGTTATAATCCTTTAGGGTGTGTCTCTTGTTTTTTGCAAGCATGTTCAGTTTTTTCTGTATTCCACTATGCGAATAGCAGACAGCAGACTTCGCTGAAGCAGCTGGTTCTTCACCACGTTGTTTATAATAGAGGTGATGTCATTGGCATAATCTTGCCTTTGATCAGCAGGATAGTAGCAGGCATTGTGACAATTTGTAATGAAAAATGCACAGAGGGCTTTAACATCTCCTTCTTGCAGCCCCAGTTTCTCCAGTACAGACTCCCAGGCCAGCCTAATTCTTTGGTTTCTGCCTTTTCGCCTCAGAACAGATGACAGAGTAGGAAGGGCTTTTGCCAGATCTGGTAGCATTTCTACCACTTCAGAATGTAAGCAGCGAATAGTTTCACAAATGTAGCTGTAGAAAAGATTTACCTCCACAGAAGAGAATCTGGAAGAAGATATGGAAATATAACCCATTTTTCAAATAATTAAAGTCAACAGGACCAGGATTTATTGCTATTCAGGTAACAGGAGATATTATAAAGCTACAATCCTGACTACACTTCTTAAGGTGTGTATTTTATTGAACCAGTGGAAATTTAATTCGAGCCAAAAGAAACCATGTTTGTGATAATTAAGCCCAATCCTAAAATGTTTATTTGAAGTAATTCCCTAAAACTAAGGCTAAGTCAGCGTTTAGGTTTACATTTTGGACATAAAGTTGGAAAGTTTTCAATATTTATTCAGAAGTCCTAAATGGAATTATTTCTCTCCAATATTCCATCATTATAAATTAAAATCATCAATCACTACATGTTCATGTGTTGCCCATACGTTAAACCTATCAAATGATGGTTACAATCTTATGATACCATTATCAGGCACTTTACAGCCAAGTTAATATTATTAAAACTTTTATTAGATTTTTTGCCCTCGATTTTTCTTTCTCACCTGCCTTCTAGCAGTGATGACCACATTTCATCCTGGTCGAACTCATGCTCCATTACTGTAGTCCGAAACTCAAACTTCTCTGTTAATTTCTGAATGCTAGAGTCTAGCACTGTAAACTGACCCTCTAAAGTCTGCAGTTTGTTCTCCACTCTGTTATGATTTAAAAGCCAGAAGAAGTTATTAAAAGTAAGAACAAGTTAGTCAGGAGTCTCCACTTCTGTAGCATATCCCAAGACTCATAGCTACAGGTTGATTGTAATCACTTGATGAATTTAATCAGCATATGGCTCTGGAACAATACACTTTCTGCATCAGGAAGCATGTTAAACCCTGTATTGCATTATGGCTGCTGCCACTGCGAAAAGAACTGAACTTATGACAAAGCAAGATAATACCAAGGAATATTAAATCTACAATGCTATGCGTGCTTATCTGGGAGCAAGTCATACTGAGCTCACATACACTTATTTTCAAGCAAATGTGTACACCATTGTGTACACAGCAGAGTTTTTATTCCCTGCCTTTTATACATAGATTTAATGTAGAACTACAGGAGAATAATGGACATACTCTTCAGTTTCAAGTGATCAAATATTTCATGGGTATCTTAACATCAGAAGGTCCCTTTGAAAGGGAGTTAGTTTTCGGCATCACATATTTTTCATTTATTCACAGATCCTTTAAGAACTAGAATTTTATTCATTGTTTGGGGTATAACCAGGTCTTTATTCCCCCCAGCCAAAACTCACTGGAACTCAGTTCCGCCACCTCTCAGGTAGGCACCATTGCCATTATAAGAGAACAAGGGAGGCATTCATGCTGAGCACCAATTTTTCTAGAAAAACAGCATTGGGTACAGCAAATCAACATTAGATGGTGCTCTTCAAATGGTAGCGCAATAGGGACATTCCAGAGATGCGAGTCCAAAACTTACAAAGTCTTATGTATAACATAGTGAGCATGCAAGTGCATTCCAACTTAATTTGATTCTTAATTTGATTTTTAATGACTGATGCTTTAATGTATTTTTAATCTCTTGTTGGAAGCCGCCCAGCCAGATGGGCAGGGTATAAGTAATAAATATTATTATTATTATTATTATTGAAAAGCCAGAATCAAAGCCACGTGGAAAGCCATGTTTTAGTCCTGATCACAGGCTAACCACTTTTTAATCAGCATATAATATGGAAACAATTCCCTAACCTTGAATTGATGCATATTGCAAAGATAATTGATGCATATTGTAACACATACAAGAATTTCAGTCCTAAATACATTTACCAATATGTCAACCCATGGACATTTATATCTAAATACAGTATACGTGTGCAGGGCCCCAGTCCAAAAATAAACACCTAGTGGTGTTTAAAAGAGTAAAGAAGAAACACTGTAAACTCTGCAAACCAAGTCATTAATATTTTCATTATTTCTATAATTTCATTAGACATAAAAGAATATGTAACAGCATATTCAACAATACAGTATTTAAGGCTTGGACAGTAGACATTTTCCACCATCATCCAGACCATCATATAAAGGCAGTTACTATATAAAGGTAGCAACTGCTGCCTTCCAAAATAATGTATTATATATCACTTTTTGTAAGCTGCCTTGGAAATTCATCAGGCAGAAAAACAGTATCAATATTATAAACATCTCATTTATAACGTGTGAATTTTTTTGCTGTTTCTCACAATCTACCCCCAACAAAGCAAATTGGTTTCCCCTTCATGACCTGTTTAATGTCTTGTTCAGAGCACACAGTGATATAGCTTCTCTGGCCATCTTCAGGGAGAGAAAAATAACCGTATGTTTAAATGCTGGTTAGCTTCTCTTTTGCAGCAGACAGCAAACATATAACAGGAGTTCCAACTTGTGCTGAAGGTCAATTTTCACTTATATCTTTTTATAGCAAGCCAGGACATCCAAGTTTAGCTTATTAACACATGCCCACAAGCACGGTGTTTATTGAACCACAGTGGATTAGTTGTGACAGTTTCTCTTGCTTACATGAAGATAAATGAATTATTTTCACACAAACTACACTAACCTGTTAAATTACTAATTTTCTATCTATGTCTGTTTAGATTCATATTGGGTTGCTGTGTGGGAGGTACAGCAGCTTACTGCTTCAGTCTTTATGTATTTAAAATATTAATGTTGCCACCCATGTTAAATACATCTCTTTTCATTTACCAGTACATCATTTATGGTAAGTTGCTGCTCAGCTCCCAATACCCAACTGTAGCAATATACATGAGTCACATCAGGTACAAAGAGAACATGTATGAAGAAATTGCCACCCCTCTTTACATATACATATCTATACCTACGCATACACGAAATATGTGAAAGGAACACATCTCTTTTAAAGTAAAAAAACTAGCTATTTATAGATGCATTGATCTCATTTGTCCTCTGTTCCTGATACAAGAGTACAAATGACTTCTGTATTCTGTTATTAGAACCAGAAGACAAAATATGTTCCAAGAAGCAGCTACTTAACCTATAAGACATTCATTCGTATAGCAAGCAGAGCAGGGGAAAATATGTAGTGGTTGCAAAACTGTGCAGCAATTTGCTCAGAATATATGGCAGTTTATATCAAATAAGTAAATATTTTGGGCACAGGAAATGTTTGCTATATAATTCAATGCCTCAGTTTATCCCATCCCTCAAACCATTGCTTAGAGGTTTAGAAATGAACTGCAGGCTTGTGTACCTCCTCTTCCCCTCAAGCACACAGCTTCATTTTCAGTTTGTCATTCCATGTTTGCTAAATAATCCAGATTGACAAACTATGCTCTTGCAGTCCATACTTGAAATGCATGGTTTACCCTCTAAACCAGAGTTTGCTGATTTGAATAGCATGGTCAATGCCTGCCTGTCATTTTAAGATACCAGTAAAATTGCATACCCATAAGTTTGGTACTGTGGCAAAAGCAAAAGTTAACACTTTTGTTTATTGTTCTAATCATCCAAAACTTCCTACTTTACAGAAAATGACCAGAAACAATATTAGGCTCTTATAAAAGGTTTAAGTCACCATTTGTATACACAGCTTAGATCTCACAAAAGCCTTATCAGTTAAAGCTTTATTCTCCATAAATATGAAAAGATCAAGAAGAAACCCAGGATTTTAGAGTATGCTGCTACTATCCCTACATACAGTTGTCAGTATCAATCACACCTTCTGCACACCTTTTGCTCTTACAAACAAAAGGATGAGAATGAGCCAAGAATCACTATGCTATGAAAGAAATACTTCCCTGATAAAAGGAAAGGTGCTTTTATTGGCAGAAAATTTAGCATATTGGTTTTTTCTTTTAAAACTTACATTTTCAGTTTGTGTAGTAAAAGTAAATTGTAAGTTGTGATTTAATAACAGCAAAATAATATTAATGTAAATAAACGAGGCAGAAGTATCTAAACCTGGGCATATTGATAACATTTTATAACAACTATGTAACAATAGGTTGAAAAAAATTAATTAGGAACTCATGTTTGATTTCTTCATAGAAGAAACCTAGATTGTGCTGCATAATTTAAGACTTAAGGATTCCTTGGAATCAGCTTTTTGCTTTTGAACCACAATAGAGGAAAATACAGCTTCTAGGATCCACCATTGAGAAATTCAGGCATACTCATGGATAAATTATACATTAAAGCTCAAATCCAAATACTGGGTAGATGTAGTTCACCTGACTTAAGTGTGCATGAAGGGATCTGGAAGATCAAAGCTAAATCATAAGCACAAGTTACTTTGAAAGTCTTCTGATGGCATTGGAATTTACAATAGCATGTACCAATATGCATTTTTTTCCTCCTGTCAAAAAGTTATTCACACATACACACATTCACAACTGAATTTTATTTCAAACTCATCAGCAAGTTAATACCTGGTTTATCATAAGATATCCCATTACTGATACAATGAATTAAACTTTATCCACTGCTAAAATAAATATTTTTAGCAATATACAGAAAAGCTGCAGTTGGGGGTAATAAAGGTGGTGTATCAAACAAATGGTTAGGCCAAGGCATGTCTAAGCTTCAGCAATAGGATAGACTGATATACTGGTACTCTGATCAGCAACCAGTATTCTTCTAGAGCCTTTAATCTCTGCACATGAAATCCAGTTCACCTTCTCTCCATGTTCAATCGTTAGTTTTGGTAAAATTGGCACATGCTCATTTGAACACTCTGCATTTATTTTGTCAAGTTTCTTGGTGGTGTTGGGCATCCTAGTTCTCCTTCTATGGATGGATTTGACTGGACTCTTCTGTTTTCCTAGTTCATCGCTGACATCCCACAACAACACTCTGCCATCATTTCCTCCTGTAATGAACCGGTAGGCTTCTGGTAGAAAGAAAATCTGTGACACTGCTAAGGAGTGGCCCTTAAATGCTGCCTCCTGCTCAAACTTTGTACCTGTTACCCTAAATATTCTGATTTTACCATCTTCAGCTCCACAGCCAAAAACATTGCCACAAGCAGAAACAGACAAGGAATGGGCCAATGGAGGGTTAAAAAGCTGACCAGTTGAATGTTCATTGACTTCCTCCTCTTGCAAGTCCACAATCCACAGAGGGCGAGCTTTCTGCAAGTTCCACATCATAACCTTCAAATAGAACAAATCAGAATTATTTCTTTGTATAGGGCATATACCAGCACACACTAAATGAGTTCATGTTGCTATTTGCACACAATTTTAAGTTTCCTTTATATTGTTCTATTCTCAGAGTCATAAATTGAGGTAGCTGTCACCAAGTGATGCTTTCCTGCATCTATAAATCAAGTGGAAAAACCAGTTTACTATCATTTATATAGTAGCATGTTTCACTGTTAAGCTTTGAGAAGCTTTAAACAAATTACACAAAAGATTTCTTAAGAGTACTTTTACTACATTTGTTTATTATATCCATCTACCAAGCTGAACAAATTACCTTGTACCAAAGAAACAGTTGCTCTCAAAATGTTGCATTATCTAAGCTGTGAAAACTTCATCAGCATTCCCGTGACAACACTATGTTGTATTAATTACAATGACCAGTAACCAAGAACTGAGCAAAAATTATTTCTTTCTTAAATCAGAAGCCTCATTATAGAAACTAAGAACTAAGAACTGAAAGATGTATACCATTATTCGTTTTAAATAGTTTAATACTGCTTTTATTATAGATGGGTGTTGGTTAAAATAGAATTGGCTTGTGCAAAAACCAAACTATACTGCAGTCCTTATCTCACTTATCTGTAAGTCCCTTTGAATTCCACAGAACTTATTTCTGAGTAGACATGGTTCAAATTGCACCATAAATTGCTTGTGTCATGCAGGACTCCCTGGTTTATCAACCATCACATTTCAGGTCATTAATTTGAAGATAGGGAATATGCCACAGGCTCACGTTTCTTCAACTGCAAAATTCTCATCTCCTTTCTTGTGATAACTATGGTTTAAAACAATTATCAGAATCTAACAAAATACAGGTTAGCATTACCAGATGTGCCTCCAAACACTGTGTGCCAACCTGCTTCAAACCATGTTTTGGAGGAGATGCCCTGTGAGTGCTAATCTTAGTTTGCTGAATCTGAATATAATGAATACCACAAATTGTGGAAAAGAGAGGGGAATCTATGCATAATAGGGAAGCAGGGACCATGACAGCCTGCAACACATTCCCAATCTCTAAATCACTGTCTGAAGATTGGAAACACAATATCCGATTTGAGTCTGTATAGCCATAACATTGTTGCATTTTTACTTCCCTACATGCATAATCAAGAAGTTTAATCACCACACTAACTTTAAGAATTTCTCACACAGCAGAAATTTAAGATGACGAACCTGGATATCTCTATAAAGAGAAATACCAGGGCTCAACATAGCATAAAAACCCAATAATTTGGGATTTGGTCTATACTCAGTAGCATAAGGGCACTTTGCTCACCCTCAGTTGAATTCTTTATTACTTAATATGTGCCCTCCCGTTAAACTACTTCAGCATTTGATTTAGCCATTTAATTGATACTGGGGCTCCCTGGAAGCCAACTTTACAAGAATGATTCCTTTTTATCTTGCCTGCTTGTTTTACCCTGGCTGGCACTCATACTGTCTTTAACAAGGGACTATCTTAATTCCTGATCAATACAAATATAGGAGGATTACTTCATCTAATGCCACAGGAGGCTCATAGACAAATTAACATATAGTAGGAGAGGAAAGAAACATGTATCAAAGATCATTGCTGGTGTGTGCCCTACAGGAAGCTTTCATTTTATGCTGATCACCTTCATATCCAGACCACATGAAAGAAGGCTTTGAGGTCTTTGAGGACGAAACACAACTGATGCACAAATATTTGAGTGTCGTCTAAGGCAGCGGCTTAACTTCTTGCTTTCCAGATCAATTATCTTTATTACTCCAGAATCATCTGCAGCACCTAATAAACTATCTGTTTCATTTACTGAAAGACAATTGATCTCTTCATCATTTACATGGAAATGTTCAACTGGCTCTTTGAGACATCTAGTATCCAAAATGCTAACAGTCTCTCCATGAGAAGCATATAGTCTTTTGGAACAGGTGGGAGAAAACACAACACTGGTGACATCATCAGCTTTCTGGAGAAGTGTGTGTTCTAATGGAGTCCCTTCCTCACTCCAGATGGTTAGCTCCCCTCCTTCTGCTCCTGAAGCCAACAGACCATCTTTGTTCACGTTCAAACATAATATTGAAGAAGAGTGTCCATTGACCCACTTCTCCGCCATAGTAGGAGAGTCTGAAAAACACAAACACTTGATTAGCAAGACAAAAGTTGTTTCTGGTATAGCTAATTCCTCAAAAGTCACAGGATGCATCACTTCATTGCATGGACAGAATGTATGTTTTAATGCCACCTTTGAAAACATAATTTATAATCCTGGAACCAAAACAACTTTAAGTATCAGTCTGATTTTGTTTAAATGAGAGGCTATGTGTTTAGGCATGCAATATACACCTCTGTTCTCCTCAATTAATTGGTTTATAGCAAAGCTTGCCAACATGGCACCTGCTAGTGCACATGAAATCACAGATGCCTTCCCTGGCACCACAGTATCCCCTTTTCCTACTGAAATAAGGGATTGAAAGGAACATTCTGCAGTAGTCAACAGAATACACTGATGTGGGCACCACAACCAAGCATAAGTGGTGCCTGCAACAGTTTGGTTTACTAATGTACCCATGATGAATATGCCTATATACCTTATGGTCATATAGCACTAACAGAGAACTGCAGTCAGAAATCTGAATGGCAAAATAGGATCGAGGAAAAGTAAATCACTGACAGTAAGTTCCTAGCATGACATTTTGGAAAACAAAGCTCAGTATGTCTGTTCTTTGAAAGAAAGTCTTTGAAAATAAATGGTATTCCTTAGTATGTATTTAGCTCCCTGGAGATGACCCAGTATACCTGAAGGAGTGTCTCCACCCCCATCATTCAGCCTGGACACTAAGGTCCAGTGCCGATGGCCTTCTGGCGGTTCCCTCACTGCAAGAAGTGAGATTACAGGGAAGGAGGCAGAGGGCCTTCTTGGTGGTGGCGCCCGCCCTGTGGAATGCCCTCCCATCAGATGTCAAGGAAATAAACAACTATCCGACTTTTAGAAGACATCTGAAGGCAGCCCTGTTTAGGGAAGTTTTTAATGTTTGAAGTTTTATTCTGTTTAATATTCTGTTGGGAGCCGCCCAGAGTGGCTGGGGAAACCCTGCCAGATGGATGGGGTATATGTAATAAATTATTATTATTATTATTACTTCTTCATAAATATGCTTAGGGACATTCTATACGGATTAACAGACGAGCATTAATCATCACAAGGGTGTAAAGTGGAGGCAGAGAAGTGGTTGGCATTTGACTAGCCCAGACCAGTACTGACAAGGAAAGACGGGCAGAGCGGCTTCAAACAATACTCCGGACTAGAGAAACATTCGATGAAGGGTGGGGGAAGGAAAAGAAAAGGCGTGAAAACAGGAAGATGGGTGAGCATTCTTCATAACTATGAGGACCAAACCAGTCAGAAACACGCCTACAGTCCAGCCCTTACAGTCCAGCCCTAATCCCGTGTACACCACTTCAGGCCGATTTACTGCCAAGTAAATACGCAGTAGGGTGACAGCCTCAAGCCAAGCCAAGCCACCCTATTGCTGTATTTTAATATCGAGGAGGCCAAAAAATAACCGAATTGCCTCAAACAGGCTTACCCGTCCCGCCGTCTCTCCATGCGACGGTGTCCTCTTCCGGCGAAGAGAAATTACGTCATCCTATTATCACCCCCCCCCTTCTTTACATTAACAGGTGAGGTTTTCGCGCATGGATTTAGAGAAGCCCCCTTGACAGCTCTGCCCTCACCCAACATGGTCGGCTCACCTTCAGGGCCTAGCTCTCAACCACCGCCGCCACAATAGCAGTAACAAAAAGCGAATAAAAGCTCCGCAGTCGGAGAGACCCGCGGCAGGAAACCTAGATTCGTCTCACCGCTCCTCCAACCGCGAACCGAAGAGGCAGTGGAGGGTGGGGAAAGACAGCACTTTCCCCGACGCCTCCTCAGGCCCAGCTCAGACACAGGCTTTCACTTCCGCCCGCACTTGCCGGCAGCTGGTGGGAAGGACGTCGAGCGTCGGCTGCGCCGCCTCCCTCCCTTCCCTCTCTGACGGCGTGAGCCGGATTGGCCGGTTGGCTGCCTGGTGGGCTCGCGGCCTCGCACCGCCTTTGCCTGGGCCGGGGCGGTCGGTTGGCGAGGCGTGCGCGCGCGCCGCGGGACGCGAGGACTCGGTGGTCGCCCGGAGGCTATGGCGGCGGCTGCCGGCGGCGGAGGCGGCGGCGGAGGAGGAGGAGGAGCGCCGAGCTCCGTGGCTGTTGCTGCTGCTGCCGCCGCCGCCGCCGCCTCTACGGCTGCTAATGCGGGGGGCTGGCGGCTTCCCGGGCGGGTGCTCGAGTTCGTCTTCTCCTACCTGGAGCTGCGGGAGCTGCGGAGCTGCGCGCTGGTGTGCAAGCTGTGGTGCCGCGTCCTGCACGGCGACGAGAACAGCGAGGTGTGGCGGAGCCTGGCCGCTCGCAGCCTGGCGGAGGAGGCGCTGCGCACCGACATCCTCTGCAACGTGCCCACCTACAAGGGCAAGGTCAGGATGGCCCCGCGCGGGAGGGAGCGACCCTCCTTTTTTGCGCGCGCGAGGGAACCCAGGAGGAAATATGTATAGTATATATAACCTGGGTACCTTTTTCTGCCCCTACATCCCTTGCACGAGATAAGATACTGGAGGTGCCGGGGGTCTCGTCTCCTGTGTTTTGTGAGCCGGACCTCTTTCTTCTTAAACCCAGATGTGCGGGGAGGAGAGGAAATTGTTCCGTGTTGTGAGAGAGAGGGAAAGAGAGGCACTAACGCACATGCTCAAAAGCGCTGGCTGCTGATTACTTTGTTCCAAGGCAGAACTCTGGCACCGATTCTGGGCTGTTTCCTAGCTCCAGTAAAATGCAACCTGCATCTGTCGTCATTCCCCCCCCCCCCCAATTGCACATGTATATATGCATGCCAGTGTTGGTGGAAACACTCATTGAGTACATGTTGTTTAGATGTGGTTCCTCTTTGCAGCTGCTGCCTATGGCCCAGATGCTTTGCATGGCAGGAGCTGCAGAAAGGTATAGTGCTCAATAAGGCACCGTCTTCGGAGCTTGATTGAGGACCCCCCCTGGGGGGGGGGGTTGATGCCTTCCTCCAGCATGCCTGGAATAGCTGGTGTTGAAATGATGTTTCCAAAAGACCTTGGCAGGCCTGTTTTTCTATGTTGAGCCAGGTAGCCAATACTAGCCCAGCTGGGCAGGTGGTGAGGACTAAGGTTGTGAAATCACAAGGCGTTCTTACTCTGGGTGGCATTCTTTTACAGATGGGTTAATTATACATATATTTGAGTTTACCATACCTTATTAAGAATAGGTGTGTAGAGTTGTTGTTGTTGCTGCTGCTGCCTTGCCTAGTTTAGTAATCTTATCTCCAGCATTGCTTTTTCAAAAAATACCTTCTGTTCCAGGTACGCGCCTTTCAGCATGCTTTCAGCACCAATGATTGTTCTAGGAATGTCTACATTAAGAAGAATGGATTTACTTTGCATCGGAATCCCATTGCACAGAGTACAGATGGAGCAAGGACCAAGATTGGTTTCAGTGAAGGCCGTCATGCTTGGGAAGTCTGGTGGGAAGGCCCTCTTGGCACAGTGGCAGTAATTGGGATTGCTACAAAACGAGCTCCCATGCAGTGTCAGGGCTATGTGGCACTCCTGGGCAGTGATGACCAGAGCTGGGGCTGGAATTTGGTGGACAATAACTTGTTACATAATGGAGAGGTCAATGGCAGCTTCCCCCAGTGCAACAATGCCCCCAAATATCAAGTGAGTGAAACCTGGAATGTATATAAGACTGTTGGATCTGTGAAGAGCTATGCCAGGGCGGTCCAACCGCTTAGACCAAGTGCGCCTCAAGAGCACTTTGACACAGAACCCGTGGCCCACACACTGAATTAAATTTCCATATTGTAAATTAAAGAGTACACAATATAGTTAATATATTTAATGTAAGCAATTAATATATTTAATTGAATATATATAATTAAATACACAATAGATAGATTGAGTCCCTGTCAGGATAAAAAGGTAGGATATAAGTCAAAATAAAATAATTTTAGAAGACTTCTAGTCAAAATGATTTGAGCCTCTTGTGAAGCCATTAAATAAATGCAGCCCATGGAAAAGAAGACAGCATAAGGTGGGGTGGTAGGGCAGGCAACAGCTGCCTCATCCTCCTCACCTGCCAGCCAGTCACCACAGCCACCACCATCTATCCTGCTTCCCCACCCCACCCCCCGCACAGCCTCTTCAGGCCGGTTGTTGACTGAGGGGGGAAGGATCTGTAGAGTTGGGAGGGGACCCCCAAGGGTAATGTAGCCAGACCCCTTTCAGTCCCTGGCAGGCAGTCATCCTCTCCCCATCTGTCAAACAGGGCAGCAGCAAAGCTTCCATGGCAAGGGGCAGCCCACCAGTCTCACAGAGTCCTGGGCAGAGAGGCCCCACCACATCCCTCCTGCTGGCTGGCCGCGCACCATGCCTCTGCTGAGCCTGGGCTGTGTGGTGGCCTCCCTCCAGCCTGGCGGCTCTGCTCTGTCTCTCTCTACCATCACTATCATTGTTCCTTCAAAGAGGCGCCAGCAGCAAGCCACACCTCCCTCTCCATGTTGCCATGCTGGTCCACCAATCAAAAGGTGCAACCTCAAACATCTGGAAATTTGGCACCCAGCTCCCTTTCTCCTTATTGGTGGGTTTTCAAGCATCCCTCCACACCACATATACTCTCATGTGCTCATTTGCTGTTGAGGGGAGAAGCAACCAACCAGCTCTTGCTCTTCAGGACAAGAAAGGCAGAAGAGTCGCTAAAGAGTAGTAACAGGTCTAAGGGCAAGGGCCACCAAAAAAGGTCTCAAGGGCCACCAAAAAAGGTCTCATGGGTCACATGTTGGACCACCCTGAGCTATACATTCCAGAATTTTGTATAGTAAACTCTGACACATTCTGTTTTAGGCACACTTCTATTTACATTTTCTTGGAAATATGTCCCAATCTGTTCAGTGGGGCTTACTCCCTGGTAAGGCTTCCTCCCTAACCTCCCTAGCTTGGGAATTAGCCAAGTTGAATTCAGCAAGGCATGCATCAAATTGAAGAATATCTGTTTAACCAGTGTAGTTGTTCAAAGCCCCATGACTGAATCTTAACTTTACCATTTATCAGCAGAAAATGTCTTCAAAGGGCTTTTTTGTATGTTAATTGTTTTAAATAATCCCCTCCCCAAGTTATTTTGTCTCAGCATCTGTTTACCTTCACTTTGTCTTGTCTTTTTCATTATCTCTTTTCTTCAATCAGTCTTATTTTTGTTTACAGATAGGTGAGAGAATTCGTGTCATCCTGGACATGGAAGACAAGACTTTGGCTTTTGAGCGAGGCTATGAGTTTCTAGGGGTTGCATTCCGAGGACTGCCAAAGACATGTCTGTATCCAGCAGTGTCTGCTGTCTATGGAAACACTGAAGTGACGTTAGTTTATCTGGGAAAACCTTTAGATGGATGACATTTTGTTTTTAACTGGGACGTGAACATCAAGTTGACAATATGGAGAAACTTGCATGTGGGTTAATAGGGAAGCATGAGTGAAGTGTGTGGATGCGTATCCAAGAAAGATCAAGGAAAACCAAAATTTGCGATCCAAAAGGCCAGCTGTACGGAAGAGAGTTTTACCTTTCCTTTTTCTGCCGGACCAGAAAAATTCTCAGGGGGTTGCAGTTGGTTGAATGGGCAGCTAACCACATGCATGTTGCATAAGATTTCACCGCAAAGGTGGCAGAATGGAATCCTGTACATACTTAAGGGACTCCTGTATAGAAGTGGTTGAGGAAAGCTGACTGAGACCTGTAAGCAGTGTGTTCTGTGAAAAGGACTTCATTTTTAAAATTATTTGTTTCCTTCCTGCCTTTGATCCAGTGTGTTTTACCAAAGGTAACTGAAATCGGTTGGATTTTATTTAATGTATTTTTAGTGTAATGAGGAGTACAATGTATTGCACTTCTCCAGAGCAAAACATTGTGCAGTTATGTTAAAGTGTGTTTTAAAGACAGTTTGTACAGAACACTTTAAAAACCAGAACAAAACAAAGGGTTGCTGTTGCTTTCCCTGGGATGTAATTTTGTTAATTGGAACCCCCCCCACTACATATCAGGTGTTGGTGTCTGTCCAGTTGAACAGCATACATACAAGTGCACTTCTTTTGTTTTGTTGTACAACATCTCATGTGACAAAAGAAACTATGAATGTTTATTGTAAAATGCTTTAGATTTGATAGCTGAAAATTCTGTGCAGGTGGAAGGATAAAGTCAGTTTCTAATGTGAGTGTTTTTGTTTTACTTAAAATGTGAGTATGTGTTGCAAATGACCATATGTCTTTCAATCCACCTTCTAAAGTATGACTTAAAATTAATCTTGCAAACTATGAGCCGCCCACCAAATACTGCTGCTCTTTATCCATTTTAATCAGAATTGTATTGTGGTTGTGGGGTGGCCATGCTTGGTGGGTTGTTCCCATTATGGTCTGCAGTACCCCAACCCTTCATTTTGGTCTATTGCCAAATGTATTGCATATTTAACTAAATATTTTGAAAAAATAGGTTTCCAAAGTACTACCTAAATACATGCTACTGTATGTTAAAATTGCATAGAAAAATATTTTAACATATTTCAATCTTTAGCATAAATAAATTGAACTTCAAACAGGAATCAAATTTCTGCCACAATTATGGAATCTTTCCTTTGTTTATATTAATTGCTGAGAAACATTTTACAAAGCTAATTTGTTGTGCATAAAGAAAGCACCTTCAGATGATGGAGAAACTGCATTTCCGCATTCTTTGGCATCCATATCCTGCACAGCTTGTATGTCTTAATCGTCTAAGTCCACAGGCTGGTTCTTGGTACTAAAATGCTATTTTGTTCTGCCTTAGACATCTATTTATTTGGTGTAGAGTGGGAAAACACTTTCAGTGCAGTCCTGGGCATTTTTTCTTCTTCTCAGAAGCAAACCCCACAAAGTTCAGTGGGATGTACTCCTAGGTAAGTATGTGTAGGATTGTGGCCTTTGGGAGGAAATGAGGTATTGTTTACATTCTTTACATCATAATCAGAATTATGCTGTCTCACAGACATATAGTTCCTTAGATGTGCAAAAGAGAACAATTCCCTTAGGCATTCTTATTTTTGTTAAAGCCAGGGAAAGCTGCTAAACACTACGTTTTTATTTTTTTTAATAGGCTGAAGAGTACATTCTTGCTGCATGCAAGGTTTAAAGTGGCAATCCAGTATCTTTGGTAGTGCCATCGGTCTTCAATACTTAAAAATTGGTCATGCTATGACTTTCCCAGCAACCTAGCCTTCTTGCTGTAGGCTTAGCCATCATGTTACCTGTCCTACCATCTTGACATACTAATGCATCTTGTTTTACTATTGTTTCCAAACCCCTCTTGTAGAAGTTGCAGAAGGAAGTTATAGTTGATTATTGGTTTGGGACTGCTAGTATTCTTTGGTTGGTGGCACAGGACTGTTGTGATTAGCATCACACTAGGCAGAAAGAGGCTCTTTTATGAGGCTGAAAGTGTGAGGGATAAAATGTGGATTCAAAAAAGAGGGCAGTGACTGTACTGGAGGAGTCTATGTTGCATGTTCTCAGCTGTTCAGGCTTTCCTAGATCTTCGCTTCACTTTCCTTCCATGTTCAGATTCCGCAGAACTGCATTTGAGGTCTGCATGTGTGAATAAATGTTTTTAAAATATTTGTTCTATGTGTAGTATGCCACTTAACAAGTTCATTCCTGGTCTCTTTCTAAAATTAAGCAAGTGAATCATTTCAACACTGGTACTATGAAGAAATGAATGATTTTGGAAAGATGTATCACTTCCAGAAAACGTTGACTGTATACTATGCTATAAAATATATCACTACAAGATTCTATGGCATGAGCTAAACTAAAAGGAAAGAAGCTTTTGTTAGAGTAATATAGTCTCCCTGTGCAGTCTTGGATGGATTACCCTCTGCACTTATTTATGGACTTTTGAGTAGAGAGAGCTGGTCCTAAGAACTGTGTCAGGGAAATTTTTGCTAGGTTTTACTTCCATTTATACAGGATGTCTTGCTCGCTTTACCCTTACATGTGGCATAGCATTCTGCTTGTGCCAAGTGGTCAAAAATTCCTTGGGGCACAGGGGACAAATATGTATATAAACCTCTTATAACTTATTACCTGAAGACCAATTCCAAGCTGTACAAACAACTGAAATAAATTGTTAAAACATAAATATACTACTCTGTATTATTGTGTGTTATAATTGAGTCCTATTAGTACTGGGTGATTTTCTGTTTGACTGGAATACAGAATTTTTTTACAATATTTATGTGATCGACTAATGTCAAATTGTGAACTTTCCCTGGAGATAAATATGTAAATCCCTTTGATAAGCTGGACTACTGTATGTGTAAACTCTCCCTGATGGAAATGGTGGTGTTAGTTTTCCTGTTTTGTTTTCGTAGAAGCCTTGTAGCAAAATACACATTTCACACGGGTACGATGTCTCAGCATTTTTGCAGAGACAAGCTGTCTGGGAGTTTGTTCAAGGTCTATGAGGAGTGTTTAACTGGATCTCAGCCCTCAGATTCTGGGGTGGAGCAGAAACTGAAGACAGCTTACTTGGGCAGGGCTATTTCACAAAACTATACAGATGCAAATCCTGTCTGTCTCCCCAACAGAACACACTCAGTAGAATGCACCAGTAAACTGCAGCTCCCTGATAGGTATAACACATACATCACCTGCATTGATTTTTTATATTTTTAGGTGCAGACACAAACCATCTTGAAATTATTCCTTAAACATTCAGTGTGTGAAGTGGCCTTCAGATGAAACTTGGATACTTCCAGAGGGCACATGGGAACTGCAGTTGTTGCTGTCGTAAAAGTGTACATGCTTGGAAAATGAACTACTATTATTAATACTGTACATTCTAAATGAGTTGCTTTGCGACTTCAGCTGTGGGTGGATGGTGAGACATGGTAATTCATAAAGGAAATATCAACTGAGACTATAATGTGGTGACTACAGCTGATCAAGTCTCCATATGCTGCCACATGCAACAGGGACAGGATTCCTCTTGAAAGGAAGCACTTGGAGTTCTTTCAGCAGAAGCACTGTTGTGTGATGCAAGTTTAAGAGCAGAGAGCTATCCTGCTCTGGTTGCTGGGCTTTCCCTTTCATGCATATGAGTGGCTTGTACGTCATTTCACTAGTGGACTAGGAGAATGGTTCCAAGTGTCCTTATACAGAAGTATTAGTGTAAGACAGAGGTAAAGGGACCTCTGACCATTAGGTCCAGTTGTGACCGACTCTGGGGTTGCGGCGCTCATCTCGCTTTATTGGCTGAGGGAGCCGGCGTACAGCTTCCGGGTCATGTGGCCAGCATGACTAAGCCACTTCTGGTGAACCAGAGCAGCGTATGGAAATGCCATTTACCTTCCCGCCAGAGCGGTACCTATTTATCTACTTGCACTTTGACATGCTTTCGAACTGCTAGGTTGGCCGCAGCAGGGACCGAGCAACGGGAGCTCACCCCGTCGCAGGGATTCAAACCGCTGACCTTCTGTGGTTTAACCCACAGCGCCACCTGCGTCCCAGTATTAGTGTAGGTTTACATTATTCCTGATGGTTCTCTAATTCCATGTTGCGTGAGGGCGATGACCATGATGAAAACAGAGGGAAAGGAGAATTAAATTCCAACTGTAATATGTATAACAATTGTGGATTAAGGTTAGGTCTAAAAACAAAACAAAGCAGCAACTTCAAATTATAAGCAGGCAGCAAATTGCCAAAAAGGATTACAGTTGCATTCTGTTGTGAGAGGCTGACTCTCTAGCACAAAGGCTTAAAAGGTAAAGGTACCCCTGACCATTAGGTCCAGTCGCGGATGACGGGGGTTGCGGCGCTCATCTCTCTCTATAGGCCGAGGGAGCCAGTGTTCGCAGACAGCTTCCAGGTCATGTGGCCAGCATGACTAAGCCGCTTCTGGCGAACCAGAGCAGCGCATGGAAACGCCGTTTATCTTCCTGCCGGAGCGGTAGCTGTTTATCTATTTGCACTTTGATGTGCTTTCAAACTGCTAGGTTGGAAGGAGCTGGGACCGAGCAACAGAAGCTCACCCCGTCGCTGGGATTTGAGCTGCCGACTTTCTGATCGGCAAGCCCTAGGCTCAGTGGTTTAGACCACAGCGCAAATGCTGATAGGATTGAAGCCCTATCTCCACTGAAGTAAGCAGGCATGCTGCAATCTAGAGTAGATTGGGGAGTAGGCCTCATGAAGAGAATTGGAACTGATGTGCGTTTAACTAAGATTTGAGCTGAGTCCAGCTTCATCTGAGGTTTGTCTATTGATAACAAACGAAGTTCGCTCAAAGTGTTCTGCCTAATCTAGTAGGTGTAAATGATGCTGGAAGTCCGTTTAATTTGCTGTAGAATAATGTCTATGCTAGGCAACAAGTAGGAAAATTATAAACAATTCTACATGGTGGAGCTGCTACCTCATATGTCACATGAGAGGCACTGTACAGACCCGAGAGAGAAAGTTCTTGTCCTCATGGAACTAGAATATCCTGACAGTGGAAATGCTTAGGAGTGTTGATTATATAATGTTTGTGCATTCTCTTTACCTTCAGTGCAAGAGAGGTACAATTCAGTAGGAGTGTTAAAAGGCTGTATTAGCAAGTCTGCACACAAAGTCTTTGTGTTGTGTTTTTATATTAAATTAATATTTCAGTGAAAGTGAATGACGGGAGATGTGCACCTGGCAGCCTGAGAATCTCTGTTCTGGTTTTGAATGTAATACCCAGCACAGTTTGGAAATATGACACCCTCCAGTAAATGTGTCAGGGTTCTGCCTGCCCAGACATTGTACCCAAGGTCTTCTCAGAGGTAAGAGCAAGGGGAGCAGGACCCTCCGGTAGATTTCCACACTGCAAGTGACCCTGAAAAACCATTTGATCCAGATATCCCTGGCCTATGACTGGAGCTGCCTGGGCTTCTGGCTAACTTTGAAAGTCCCCCTCCCCCAATCTCTTCCAGGGTCACAGGAGCAGAATACAGTGGTACCTCGGGTTAAGTACTTAATTCATTCCGGAGGTCTGTACTTAACCTGAAACTGTTCTTAACCTGAAGCACCACTTTAGCTAATGGGGCCTCCTGCTGCTGCCACGCCACCGGAGCACGATTTCTGTTCTCAACCTGAAGCAAAGTTCTTAACCTGAAGCACTATTTCTGGGTTAGCGGAGTATGTAACCTGAAGCGTATGTAACATGAAGCGTATGTAACCTGAGGTACCACTGTACATAGTGAGGCAGGCAAGAGTTTCAGAGCAGGCTTCCTCAACCTCAGCCCTCCAGATGTTTTGAGACTACAATTCCCAGCATCCCTGACCACTGGTCCTCCTAGCTAGGGATCATGGGAGTTGTAGGCCAAAAACATCTGGAGGGCTGAGGTTGAGGAAGCCTGGTTTCAGAGCCACTGCTGCTGTACTTGCCTAGCTGCCCCCGAGGCTACTCAGAAGGAGGGGGAGGCAAATGGAAGCACCTGTCTGAATCAGGGCCTGAGTGGGAAGGTGTGATGCCTCTTGCTCCTACATGAGCCTCTAACCAGCCTTTCTCAACCTGTGGGTCCCCAGATGTTTTGGGACTACCACTCCCATCACCCCTAGCTAGCAAGCTCGGGGATGATGGGAGTTGTAGTCCAACAACATCTGGGGACCCACAGGTTGAGAACCACTGCGAGCTGTGGTACTGCAGACCCAACAACTCTCTCCCACATTCCCAACTTTGAGAAATGAACACTGGGAGAAACATCTAAAACTTGGAAAGGAAGAGAGAGCTGTGTGTTGGTTGGAGCATCATTGGAGTCCACAAGCTTTCTTTGGAAAACTGATACAGGACTGTCAACTGTGGTGTCTGCTTCCAATATGCTTTAGTGGTATATTTGTAAGTAAAACAAGTTTTACAAATATAGAATATGTCTCCAGTGATCTCTCATTTGTCATCTGGAGCTTTTGAAATTGTGAAGGTGAATAACAATTTATCCTTTTTTCCAAAGAGTTAATGTTACTTACAGTACTTTTTATACTGTTCTTTTACATCGTGCTGCTTCCAAGGTTTATGTTTTAAAATTGTTTGTGTAATTGTGATTCTTTGTAAACTACTCGGATTAGGGTGGAAGATGTGAATTCCTGGAAGGAAGGGAGCAATTTAATGTGTGTGCCTCTGCCAGAGAAATGTGCTAACAACAGCTATGTAAAAAGAAGAAGAAAGAAAAGCTAATCACTATGTGTTTTGGGTGTGAATATTGAGAAGAAGGAAAGCAGCCCTAATTTCCTAACAGCAGGGGACAGCAGTTTGCTGCAGGAAGGCCAAATGAAACCTTAAGCATAGTACAGAGTAACCAAATATCCTCAAATGTTAAGCAGCATTGTATATCTTTCGTTAGCGGATATATAAACACTTGTAAATAAAAAGTGGTATAATTTGTTTTATAAAGAAATAACAAGCCATGGTAATACCTGAGGACTGAGTGTGCTGATAGAAAGTTGAAAGGTGGTTGGAAATGAAAAACAGAAACAGGTGGAAAAACCTGCTGCAAGAGGATCTTACTTACTGACCACCGGAACGCTGAACAAGAGCACTCCTATTAGAAGATGAGAATGCAGCACAAAGTTTTGTACAGAGCTTACTTGTTAGAATGTATCTTCATCGCCTTATGGTTCAGTTCTGGAAACATGAAGTAATAACGTCTGAGCATGTGCAAAGTACCTTTCAAGCACTGAGTAGTTGTTGCAAGCCTCCGTAATAACACTCCGCAAGATGGCTTTAATATTTTTCATCAAGCCGGGAGGGAGGGTGGTTTGGCTGAACAGGTATTCAATTGAATGTGGGACAGCAGGATGCAAAAAATCAGATGGAAACAAATCTAATATGCTGCTCAAACCCAGGTGGGTCCATACTCTGAGTCTGCTCCATTGAGTAGGATATGGGCTATTTTTTCTCAGCCCACCTATAAAACTACAGTGGTACCTCGGGTTAAGTACTTAATTCGTTCTGGAGGTCCATTCTTAACCTGAAACTGTTCTTAACCTGAAGCACCGCTTTAGCTAATGGGGCCTCCTGCTTTCACTGTGCCGCTGGAGCACGATTTCTGTTCTCATCCTGAAGCAAAGTTCTTAACCTGAAGCACTGTTTCTGGGTTAGCGGAGTCTGTAACCTGAAGTGTATGTAACCTGAAGCGTATGTAACCTGAAGCGTATGTAACCCGAGGTACCACTGTAACTCCTTTGCTTTGGTGGGCAAGGGAGGAGGTGGAGTTTTTCACAGGCCGTCAATAACTTGCAAGGATTCTAATTGCAAAACAAACATGAACCAAAATTATTGTTTCTGTTTTAGGGAAGTAAGTGCTACTGTTTTTGAGAGGCTGAATAGTTTTTGAGAGAGGAAAAACTACATGCACTCAGAAGCAAGGCTATTTTTGTGTGTGATGTCTTAAAAACCTTGATGTACATAAGGAGGGCCTGCTGGATCAGGCCAATGGCCTCTTCAACATCCTGTTCTCAGTGGCCAACCAAATGCCTGTGGGAAACCCCTGAGCACAAGAACACTCTCTCCCCTCCTGTGGTTTCCAGCAACTGATGCAGTATGAGTTCCCTTAAAAAATTGCGTGAATGTATAGTATGACTTAATCCCCCACCATTTTAAAACGAATTTTAAGGAAACAACTAGAGAACTCAAAGCAGGCCATCTCCAATTGCAACTCACAGGCAGAACAGCCCTCTTTAGCTACTCTGTAAATGGTACTTAAAGAAGGCACAATTCTCAAAGTGTTGTAGAAAGTGAGTTTACCACTTCCACAGTGTGGTATTTATTTGACAAAATTTATATACCTGTTTAAAAGAAAGGCAAGTGATTTACAATAACATAAAATAAATATTAAAATTATAAATAAAACAGTTAAAATGGGTATTAAAAATATCCAAAAGGTTATTAAAATAAACAGTGGCTAAAATAACAAGATGTAACTTTTGCCTGTCTGGGTAGGCTTTTCTAAACAAAAATGTTTTAACCAGGCACTGAAAAGACTACAGTGAAGATGCCTGCCTGATGCCTATAAGCAGGGGCTTCCAAAATGTAGGGCTGCTACACTTAGACATTGGTTTTTTACAAGGGCAGAACAAGTATTGTGTGAGTTCCAAAACAGTGCCCATTCTGCAGATTGAAGCAATCAAGTGGGCATGTATGGGGTAAGGTGTAAACTGGCCTCAAGGTAATGTGGCCCAGTAGCATATAGGCAAATGGCGCAGATCTCTGAGCGATTGACTGATGTCTCAGACACTGGAATCATTTACAGTGCCTCCGTCTTGCCAGGATTAAAGCTCAGCTTATTTTTTCTCACCCATCCCACCACTGCATCCAGGTGCCCAGGGCCGGCAGAGCATTTCTTGACTCAAAGGTTATGGAGGAGTAGAGCTCAGTGCAGGGTCAGATTTAGGTTTGATGAGGCCCTAAGCTACTGAAGGTAATGGGGCCCTTGCATGTCCAGCTGTCCTTTGTCAACAACAAATTGTTGCTGTTTTTTGTGTTGAATATATGCTATATGGTAATTTATGGACCTAAAGCCATTTGCACATGTTGCCATGCAACCAGTCCAGGCAGAATGTAGGCACCCTATATGTAGAAATGAGCAAACCAGAGATATTTTAGGGAGCAGGCTAGCAGATGGGGCCCATTACTTACATCATAGGAGCCTACACAACACAAAACACTGTTGCTGTATGTAGGTTTTATTTTATTTTATTTTATTTTATTTTATACCTTATATTTTGGAAATGTACAGTGGTACCTCGCAAGACGAATGCCTCGCAAGACAAAAAACTCGCTAGACGAAAGGGTTTTTTGTTTTTTGAGCTGCTTCGCAAGACGATTTTCCCTATGGGCTTGCTTCGCAAGACGGAAACGTCTTGCAAGTTTGTTTCCATTTTCTTAACACTGTTAATACAGTTGCAACTTGACTTCGAGGAGCAACTCATAGAACGCGGTGTGGTAGCCTTTTTTGAGGTTTTTAAAGACTTTGGTGATTTTTGAAGCTTTTCCAAAACTTTCCCGACACCGTGCTTCGCAAGACGAAAAAAATTGCAAGACGACAAAACTCGCAGAACGAATTAATTTCGTCTTGCGAGGCACCACTGTACATCCAGTTTTTTCCCTTTAATTTTTTTGGGGGGCCCCCAAGAGAGTGGTGTCCTAAGCTATAGCATGTTTAGCTTATACATAAATCTGGCACTGGCTGAGTGTCATCAGTGTACTCTAAGGCACCTTGCCCCAAAGCTCCTCCTAATGACCTCTCCCAGCGGCTTCATGTAGATATTAAATAACATTGAGGATAGAATAGTATCCTGCAGCATCCCACTAGACTAACCACTAGAGAGCCCCAAAGCACTACCGCAGTGCTACTGTCTGGACACTGTCGTGCAGGGTAGACCAGGCCCTCTATAACACAGTGCCCCCTAATTCCAACTCCACAGAGCTGGTCTAGGAGGATGCCATGGGGAATGGTACCAAAACAGATGGAGAACCCGGAGCAAGGTCGCACTCCTCTCGTCCCATTCTCAGGGAGACCAAGCCCAACTCAGCCCCATGGCCAGGACTGAAGCCAGAGTGGAGCAGTTTTAAATAATCTGCGTCATTCAAGAGTACTTGCAGCTGCCTCACCACAATTCTCTTCGCCACCCTTCCAAGAAGAGGGTATGAGTCTTTAGAGGCTCATAAGAATAGTTACTTCTGTTAATCAAGCTAAGAAACAGAAACTATGCAATGCCAAACATGTCATGTTTATCTGTTTCTCTCTTTACTAGGATGGGTCGTATGTTCTGAAACAACTACTTCACACCCTTTGACCCCCCCTTCCTTTGTGGGCCCTGCCGCTAACTTAATTTCTAAATGAGAGGTGCTAGGATTTCGATCTGTCTTGAAGTCATGCTTGCCGTAGGTGGAGGTCACTCTCTCATGGGCACGTTCTCTCTGAGGGCTGAATCTCGGTTCCCATTTTGTACTCTGGGATGGACATCCTTGCAAATCTTCTTAACTATGAAGAATGGCGTTTTGCTTGGGAAAATCTACAGAAGCAGCAAGTGGGAAAGGATCAGGAATCTGCTTTTGTGGGTTTTGCTGAGGGGGAAAAAAAGTGGCAATGTTACTGTAAAATATGCTTGTGCTATTCTTAGCTGGTGTATTTCATCCCTGGGGACAAAATATGGATAAAATAAAAGAAGAGGTAGTGTCTTTTCAGGTTCTACTATACACACTGAGGAAAATCATCTTGATGTTCAAAGAGTGGCTACATTCAACTTACGGTGTGTATGATTACAGGGACCGTTCCTTTTGGTCAGGGTTTTACAGCTTCCTGGAGACACCACCTAACGATGTTTTTGGAACTCTGGCAACCCTTTTAGTCCTCTTCCCAAACAACACTGATAGGAACAAAAACAACAAAGAGTCTGATTGCACCTTAAAGGCTGCATGCAACACAGCACCTATTGGAAAAACATTTACCCTCTCCCGCAAAAGAATCCTGAGAACTAATTTACCCCTCCCAGAGCTACAATTCTCAGCACCCATGACAAATTACAGTTCCTAGGATTATTGGGGCATGTGTTCTTTAAATGTGCTTTAAATGTAAGGTGTGCATGTAGCCCTCGCACATGAATTATTATGCCATAAAATGTATTACAGGAAAATTTGGTTTGCAGAAGTAGTCCCTAGTCCACAAATCCTTATGTCGCAATGAATTTGTTAGTCTTTAAGTGCCACGGGACTCTTATTTTCCTTTCTATATCGATAACAAAGCAGCAGTTGCTAATGGCTTCAAAGATTTGCCCTGCACAGCTTCCTTCCTCTCATTTCCCTTCTTCTCAGCTCCTTCTCATTTTCGAGTGGCTTGCACAGCCTCGACCTTTCAGTGTGCAACTGTTGAGCTCTGGCTGGGGGTTGCTGGGTGAAGCAACTGGCTCTGTGATCCATGTGACTGCAGTTTCCGTTGCTTAGTTCCTTCCGCAAGTTCTAAAATAATCTGATATTAAGTGAGAGGGCAAACAGCTAATTTTAATATTATTTGTAGAGATACAGCAAGAAAAGAGGGCACGGGCTGGAGCAGAATGAACGTCCCAGACCTGAGCATATTGCTCCTACCCCTGGTGAGTAAGAACCTCAAGATTTGCCTCCATTCTTTGCCTGAAAAAGGGGTGCGGGGGTGGGTGGGTGATGGTAACCAAAAGGAACCATTCAACAGCTGCTGTTTCATTCTGAACACCTACACTGCAAAAAAGCCAGTCGGCGTTTTGCGGCGTGGTTGAGCTCACCAAGAATGTGTATCAGTTCCATGTGGTGTGGTTCTGGGAGTACACGATGGAGGGTTCTGTAATACAGAGGTGTTTCATAAACTAGATATATGAAGGAGAGATAAGGCAGTGAGATGGTTGCTGAGAACTCTCCAGTCTCACTCCAAGGCATCTGCCACTCAAGGTCTTTGAAGAGTTACAGGGCATCGAGAGCGCAAGGACCAAACTGAGAAGGCAGGACAGATGGTGAGTGAAGTCCTTAAATGCCTTTGTGATGGCAAAGAAAAAGTGTCATTAAGCAGGGGAGGAACTTGGGGTCAATAACTTCGCTAGTCATTGGCAAGGTGAGAAAGTATGCTGGGGATCCCTGCTTTGACAGTCAATCCACTTTGTAAAATTAAAAAAGCTTCATGCCTAACTAATATATAGTCTCAGAAATAAATCTCCTTACTAGGTCAAAAAATCAGTATTGCTTTTCCTCTTAGAGGACTATGAGTACTTTCAGGAATGGGACAAATATGATGGAGGAAATGGTATGATGAGAACAAAGGGTTAATCCCCCTCCCTCAGCAGCACTGCTCTGCTCCACCAAGCAGCCCCTCCACCCACAGCTACCTTTCAGTAAAATTAAACATGTCAAATCCAATCATGGATCTCTAATGTCAAATGGGGTTTGGCCTTATGCTTCCACTTGGAGGCAAGATCATTTCCAGAGAGCTAAGCGTTCACAGAATGTGCCCCACTTTTGCCTTTAGTAAACAGGTTTTGCAAAACGCACTTGACCAGAAGTGACAGCTGGCTAGACAAAATATATGTGCACATCATCAGACCCAAGAGACGCGGGTGGCACTGTGGGTTAAACCACAGAGCCTAGGACTTGCCGATCAGAAGGTCGCTGGTTCGGATTACTGTGATGGGGTGAGCTCCCGTTGCTCGGTCCCTGCTCCTACCAACCTAGTAATTCGAAAGCATGTCAAAGTGCAAGTAGATAAATAGGTACCGCTCCGGTGGTTCACCAGAAGCGGCTTAGTCATGCTGGCCACATGACCCGGAAACTGTACGGCAGCTCCCTCGGCCAGTAAAGTGAGATGAGTGCCACAACCCCAGAGTCGGTCACGACTGGACCTAATGGTCAGGGGTCCCTTTACCTTTACCTTACATCAGACCCAGCTTCAGATTTGGGGGGAGGCTGGGCAGGCTGCCCTTAGTAGCACCCAGTGCTGACCGGACCTGTCACCAAGAACCTGCTGCTATGTCACCCTGCCTCCTCTGGGCATGGTGCTGCTGCTGCCACAATCAGCCCCCCCCCCCAATATTTGCAAGCTTTGCTGGTGGCGGTAGCAGCACATGGGCCCCAGCAAATGCCTTAGAACAGTGGGTGTTGATGCTGGTCTCCATAACATTGGGAAGGGAAGGCTCCTTCAAATCACCTTTAACTTGGGTTACGCACACATTAGCGGCTTAAAATGTAGTGAGGTAATTTTCCTCTGCTGTGCTTCTAGTGCTTTTTTACATTGTGGTACACACCAGATGCACATTACCTGATTTGTTTCCCCATGCCAAACTTGTATTCGGCAAAGCTTCCACCTACCTGCGCATGTGCAATTGCAGTCTCAAATGTGCACACCTTAGCTTAGGCTTATGTTTTCAAATCGGATGGAAGCTGGTTTGGGGGAAAACAACAGTGTTTCTCAAGAAGCTACAGGAGACATATGGATTGTGGCTAGTGTTATGTGTACTCGGGTTCAAACGGCAACAGTGGGAGTGTACTGGAGCGGAAGTAAATAGCAATGGGTATACAGCCTTCTTTAAAATTAATGTTCCAGCCCCAAGCTGTTTATGATTAATCTTTCTGGGCCTGTGGGCACCATGCACATACCACAACTCCACACACACTGCAACCAACACTCATTCACTCACTCCCTACCAGCAATTAGGTTTCTAAAAAGTCTTCTACTGGCTACAATACAAGATTCATTTCAAACCCAAGAAGGAGAGGCAGGGTAGGGGCTCCTAGGCGGCAGGGAAGGTCTCTGCATGTGCTTGTGTGACATGGGTGCCACATTGGCAACTCATGGTTTATAAGGAAGGGCCTTTGCAGTCATTCCTGATCAAAGCAAGCACCTGCCCACTTGTGCACAAAAACTGATTAAGAATAGCCAATGTGATCTGAAAAGTGTGCTTGCACACCAGAGGGTCAGGTGTGGGGAAGGCAGGTGCGTTGCACAAATAAATTAACAGATTTTGGTGTATGAAAAGTTTGAGAATAAATATGCATATGGCATAAATTGCATGGAAGAAGCCTTGGGATGTCTGCTTTCTAGTAAGCATCTGGTTCTTTCTGTAATACAAAATACAATAAACTGTCAATGTTGTTGTTTAGTCGTTTAGTCGTGTCCCACTCTTTGTGACCCCTTGGACCAGAGCATGCCAGGCACTCCTGTCTTTCACTGCCTCCCGCAGTTTGGTCAAAATCATGTTTGTAGTTTCGAGAGCACTGTCCAACCATCTTGTCCTCTGTCGTCCCCTTCTCCTTGTGCCCTCCATCTTTCCGAACATCAGGGTCTTTTCCAGGGAGTCTTCTCTTCTCATGAGGTGGCCAAAGTATTGGAGTCTCAGCTTCAGGATCTGTCCTTCCAGTGATCACTCAGGGCTGATTTCCTTAAGAATGGATAGGTTTGATCTTCTTGCAGTCCATGGGACTCTCAAGAGTCTCCTCCAGCACCATAATTCAAAAGCATCAATTCTTCGGCGATCAGCCTTCTGTCAATACTGTCAATACTGCCCTTTAAAACATATATTTGCCCTGCTTTGTGTCTCTTTGCAGGAGTCCTGCTGTTGAAATGGCACTAATAGCCCTGAGTATCTTCGTGTGGATAGCTTTCCTAGATACAGGATGGGGAAGCAAACCTGCAGCCTATCACAGCCTTTGCAGACTGGTGAGTCTGTCTTCTATCAACTTTCTTTTCTTCGTTTATTTTGAACCATATGTCAGCAACTCCAGAGGTCCACAAATGACAATGGGTTGTATTCACCAAGCTTCTCCCATTAGTACAAGGGCTTCCACCTGTGCAAAAAGGACTTCTTCTCCCTCTTTTCTCCCTGTATGCTCCCTACCCATCCCATAAATCTGTTCTGGGGGTTTCCCCAACCCTCCAAGAAGATTTTGGAGGCATGGGGGACATGCAGTGAGAGGAAGTCCCGTTGTGCATCTAGAAGTCCTTGTGCCAACTGGACAACTTCATTGGATACAACCCAATATTATCCTATTTTTATTGTAATTATTGTTATAGATTTTATATATGTATATAGTTTTAATTCTATCAATGTTTAACGGGTGGTATTTAATGATAGATCTTTCTATGTTTTTAACAACAACAGCAACTAATTAATAATAATGAATAAAACTTTTATTATTTGTACCCCACCCATCTGAGTAGGTTGCCCCAGCCACTCTGGTGGCTCTAGGTGTAAATATGTGTCACAGATCACGTCTGCATTGCCCTGGCAACCTCTGTTCCCCCACTAAGTCACAACAATATTAAGGATCACAACAAATTGCAATTGCTGGGTTGAATCTACACCTGATTTCTTCTGCTACATTAGCAGACAGTGCCGTCTTAACCCGGGGGTGCAAGGGGTGCGGTGCACCTGGGTTCCAAATTCTGGGGGGCACCAAATGTATATGGGGGTGCACCAAATGTATACCTACTATACACCAGACACTCTCTACCAGTGGCAGTGAAAAGCAATGGAGCGAAAGTCCTTGCCCCCCTGCTCCGTCGCTCTGTTACTACCTAGCATTATGAAACAAGCAGTTATTTCCACTGCGTCGTCGTTACAGGTGAGCGATTTTCCTCCCCTGAAAAAGATCAAGAACTTTGGCTTCCCCCCTCCCCAAAAAAGCTCAACAACTTTGAGTTGCCCCCCGCCAAATCTGGGGGCAGCTAAACTAAATTTGGGGGCGCTGGGTGGATCTTTGCACCCTGGCAGCACATATGCTAAAGACGGCCCTAGTAGCAGAGCAAGTGTTACAAATTTCCCATAATCTGATAATAGCTTGATCACTTTTTCCACACCATTCATGGTTATTCAGAATGAAAGAGAAAAATCTAATTCTTGCAGGGCCATAGAGTTTACAATAAAGGAAGTAGCAGAAATGTTCTCTTTGGTAGTTTGTCCATAGGCTCAAAAAAGCAGATACCTTAGATTGTTTTGTGCTGTTCATGACGGGTGGTATTGTTTGAAAGCAAAGCCTTGTCTTTATAAGTGGCTCTGCATTTGTTCAGATCATCCTTAGAAATGTTTCTAAAAGATCACAAGTCAGGATTGTTGTGTATTCAGAAATTCTGCACAGGCAAAGAAAAAAAGGTAGAAATGGTTCTGACTACAGAACTTGAGACTCTCAGCTTTCATTTCTAAAAGAGAAGATTTCTAGCCCTTGGAGAAAGAAATGTAGGGTTGAAAGGTGGGTAACGGCTGGTAGAAATTCAGAAGCTGGAAGCGTGGCTTGAATGAGATTTTCTATGGTTAGGAGACAGGTTTCAGTGTTGCCACAAACATCAGAGCTCCTTCCTTTTTAGATTAAATGTGCAAATTTGTATCATGAATATTAGTTCCCAGAACTTGTTTTTCTTAGTGCGAATTTGGGTGGGTTACCATAACGAAGATTCTGTTTTGTTTAGAGGGCAGAGCACATACAGCTCTGAAAATATTGTTATGGAAAACATTTACTGTCAAAGTGTTTTATCCATTAAACTATCTTTGCCCAATATTGTCCACACCAACTGGCAGGAACTCTCCAAGATATCGGGCAAAGATATCTCCCAGCTCCCTGAGATACTTCACAGGATATGCCAGGACTGAACCTGTGATCTTTTACATGCCAAATATGTGCTCAGTCCCTAGCATTTTAACTTGGAATCTACAGGGCTTGAGTTAAGCCCTTTGTTTACTGTGCTCATTTGAAGTGCAGTATGGCTTTAGTAGCTGGGCCCACCTTTTTTTGTCCCATACATCTCTTTCTTTTCCTGCTGCAGGAAGGGAGAACTGCAGACTGCAAAGGCAGGAGGCTGAGCACTGTCTCACAAGACTTGCCTCCTGGAACAATGGAGCTCTTCCTGGATGCAAATGTTATACAGACCCTAAAGAATGCATCTTTAGTAAGGTATCAAGTCCTGCAGAGCCTCAGTCTGTGTGAGAATGGGTTGGAGCTCATTGAGCCTGGGGCTTTCCTTGGTACCAGGAGCCTCAGTAGTCTATCTCTGGCCAACAATGCCCTCTCTGTGAACTATTCTGCAACAGCAGCTGCTCTGGGGACTTTGCCTGCCCTGAGGAAGCTGGACCTATCTGGAAATCTGCTCAATGAAGCTATGATGGCCACCTTGATCCAGGATTTGTCCTTTCTAGAATCTTTGTCCTTGGCCCGGAACTCCATCATGAGGCTGGATGACTCTCACTTAAAAAATCTGCCCAGGCTGCAGCATCTAGATTTGCAGCACAACTACATATTTGAGATTGAGACTGGTGCCTTTGATGGTTTGCGATGGCTACAGCAGCTTAATCTGGCCTACAACTACATTCCTTGCATGGTGGAGTTTGACCTGACCCAACTCCGGATGCTAAATGTCAGCAACAATCAAATCGAGTGGTTCTTGGCTGCAGAGAATGATGCTGCCTTTGAACTAGAAACACTAGATCTTTCCTACAACCAGCTCCTCTTCTTCCCGCTGTTGCCCAAGCAAAATAAACTGAGAACTCTGCTGCTGATGCACAACCAATTGAACTTCTACAACAATATTTTCAATGACTCAGAGGGCACAGTGCAGCTGTTATTCCTGGATGGCAACATCACCAACATCACCACCCTTGACCTCTGGGCCGAAAACCATCATAGCAACCTCTCTTCCCTGCAGTTCCTAGACATGAGTTGGAACCAGCTCTGGTACCTTCCAGAAAGGTTTTTTGAAGGCATGTCTTCCCTTGCTCATCTGAACCTCAACCACAACTGCTTAAAGACATTACAGATACAGGAGAGTGACCTGGTAAGCACTCTCGTTGACTTGGATCTCAGCTACAACCAACTTCAGGATCTGCAGATGAACTTGGACCATAGAAGCAGCTTAGCCAACCTCAGAACATTGAGTCTGAGCACCAACAGACTGCGTGGCTTGCCTGCTAAAATCTTTACTCACACAACAAAGATCACTACACTTGACCTCAGTAAAAACCCTATAAAGCTTTGTGCATCACATGCTGCTGGAAGTCCCAGTTGCATAGATATCAGTAATGCTGGCTCCATAAGGAATCTTTTCCTGTCTGCCTGTGACCTAGAAATACTGGACACCCACATCTTTCAGGGGACTTCTATAGCACACTTAGACCTTTCTGACAATCCCAGGTCACTACTTGATGGCTTAGGACCTCTGAAAGATGTTGCACAATCACTGCAGGTGCTCTATCTTAGGAACACTGGACTTTCTGCTGCAAGGACAAATATGGACTTCTCTGCTTTTCAGAAGCTGGTAAACCTAGATCTATCTGAAAATTCTCTGGCTAGCTTCCCTGAATCTTTAGCAGGCCTGGAACTGCAAATTCTGGATCTAAGGAGAAATCGTTTCCATGCCCTACCTCAGCACGCCATGCGGAAGCTTGGAAAGAGCTTACATGAGATCTACCTCAGCCAGAATCCCTATGACTGCTGCCAGCTGGGTTGGTGGGATGCCCTGCATGACCGTGACACTGTACGCATTCTAGACTGGAATCAAGTCACTTGCAACTTTTCCTCTAAGTTCATCCGTGTAGCCAATTTGCCTGAATCAGTCATCCAGAATTGCAAGTGGCTAACGGCAGATATGACTCTGCTGCATCTGGTCCTTGTTCTTCCTACCTGTTTGGCCCTGCTAGTTGCCTTTGTTATCATCTTTCTGACTTTCAGGCAACGAATTCTTCAAATGGTGAAGAGCAGGTACAGAAGGTCCAGCCCTTATTGACTCTGGGATGGTGTGAAGAAAACAGCCACTCGGACCCTCCAGAATGGGCATAGGTAGGACTGGGAAATCCTATTGGGTGATAATGCATCCATGAATGGGGCTCCAGGAAGCCACAGTGTGCGGCAGTGCTTTATATGGAGTTGCCCAATGTGTGTAATAAAATGTCTTCGTATGTAGTTGGCAGGGATGGCATAGCACACAGTTCTGTGCAGAGACAAATGCAAGATAGTAATCCTGTTTAATGTTCACAATAGGAAGAAAAAGGCCTTTATAAACATGAAAGACAAGTGAAAGGCACTGATGCTGGGAACCAACCATAATGTTTGAATAAATGCAGCTCCCAAACAGGTGTAACTTCTTGGCCAAGCACTAACTATTTTTTTTTCCTTTCAGGAGGAACACTTCCCCTACCCCCACCCCCATTTGTGGGCTTTAACCACATGCCAGTTGAAATACTCATATGACAGACCTAATGTTGGAGGGAACACTGAGGGGCATTCCAAGGCCATCTCAGCAGTGTTGGCTACAGCACAGCTTCTCAACATGTGGAGGAGGTGCAATTCGTAAAACGAGATGGTGCAGTATAAGGAAGCCATAACTTCGCTGCAGATGTGAATGGCATGTAGAAGACTATATGAAATGATTACCAACCTGGCACTTCTTACTCCAACTGACCCCCAAGTGTTGTGTTGGAGTAGAGATGCAGGTGGCAATGCAAGCATCTTGCTGCCTACATGCTCCAAGACAGCTGTTTGATCATTAGCTGAAATTGCTATGGTTGCACACACAAGGAAGGGCAAGGGGAGAACAGATCAAAATCTGGACCCCTTCGTCCCCTTACCATGCTGTGCTCCAATGCAGTGGTCCATCCCCTTTGACTGATCTCTCAAGCCAGAAGTGAGCTACAAAGTGCAGTGGGGTAAGAGCTTATTTCGTTTTGTGTAGAGTAGACACACCCATTTGATATGTGAGTGGGGCAAGCACATTTCAGCATAGACATGGTGACCCTGTATGTCTGGCTTGGCCCTCAGTGCATTATGTCAGGGTGGTTATGATAGCATTGTCAATAGCAAAAATGCATCAGTTCGCAAAGAGATTGGCAACATCTGAAGATCTTTCAGAATTTCTTTTTTTAAAAAGGTTTCTAGTTCATTCCCCATTTGCTGTGTAAAATGTGTGGCCTGCTAAAGTTGTTAGGAGACCTTTGACAAACTGTACTAATGTGTGTTCTCAAAGCTACCAGCATGAGTTTGACCAAATTGCGGGAAGCAATGGAAGACAGGAGTGCCTGGTGTGCTCTGGTCCATGGGGTCACGAAGAGTCGGACATGACTAAACGACTAAACAACTAATGTGTGGTCTGAGATTCCCAGGATTCTTTAGGGGAAGCCATGACTGTTTAAATGGTGTAAGTGTGATTTAAATTCAAGGTGTAGACGTGATCCTAATGACAGCAGTAAAAACAATGTAACGGAAGTGGGTGCCACAGGGCAAGAGCAGGGCTGCTGTACCAGAGGAAACTGGCATTCTTTTAGTAAGCAGTTGTTTTTGGTATGTATGTGGATCAGCGCTAGCTGTTTGAGGCGTCCCTGTGGTAGAGGTTTACAGGCAGGAAAACCACATGCTGCGAAAACCTCAGGCTATGTTCTGAATCTGATGCCTGCACACCCTGCAGATGTGTGGGTGCATCTTGGTCGACTTTTTGTTCTGAAATGTAGGGTCAGGTTTCAGTTACCAATAAGTAATGCACAGTTCAAATGAAAGAAGAGGACAGTTTCGGATGCTTGCGTTTCACTTGGCCTCATGTCAATCACGAGGTAGTGCAACCTAAATATTATGTGCAGAGCTGTCCTCTTCACATACCTCATGAAGAAGAATATTGTTTCCTGTGAAAAGTCTTGCATAATTAGCACACTCTTCAAGGCAGCACTACTAGGCTACTGTGACTGAGACTTATTTGTTTTACGTGCAGGATAAATAGAGAATAAATTCTAAGGCAGGAGTGGCTAAATATTTTTGGCCTGAGAGACACATTCAGCCTTGACCAATAGTGGTCATATGCCAGTGATGGATGTAGTCACCCCACACAATTGCATGAATACTCTTGCACAGACACATGCGCAACCATATAGGACACAGACACACAAAGTCCGACAAGCAGTCCCCCACCAAACATCTAGAGAGAGAGATTTAATTGTCTTTGTCCAGCACAGCACCATGCCAACTTTATTCTCTTCTCATTTTTCTGCTACTACAAAAATGGATGGGGTCTTGGGAGTGCCAGGAAAAGAATTCTTTGTGGGAGCCAAGTCAGACTCCTGGATATAGAAACATTATGGTTGTAATGTTTAACTGTTGGATTGGTTAGGTTAATTAAAACTTTTAATAAAGGTGCCTTGAAAAGGAGATAGACTGTAATTGCTGGCATCTGTTCCTCCAAATGTTTTCATCGTTGCTGTCTCCAAACTGAGTATGGTGGTACAAGATGCCCTGTTATTTTTGATGTGCTGGGAGATGCCAGAAATGACTGTGCCTCTTTTCCTGTATTAGGCAGATGTCTTAGCTTCCTCTGTAGTATGATCAGTGAAGATTAGCTGGTTCTGCTTTTGTTAGAGGGAAAAAAATTACTCAGTTCAGGATGTGGTTAGCAGAATCGGCATCGGGTGTTGCCCAACAGAAAATTGGTAGGTGGTTAGGGAGAAAAGGGAATTAACTTCGCGTTTTATCTGATCAAAGTACACCGATGGAGAAACCACATCAGTTACAAGGAAAGCTAAAAGAAGTTCTGTGAAGGCAGGAGCTGAATCATCTGAAGGCCTGGGCTCATGTCCCAAGCTTGTGGCTCAGACTGAAACCCTGATCTGGGGTGAGGGGGCTAGTGAGTGGGATGGCCCAGGTTTTTGACAAGGAGCTGGTCTAGATTGGCTAGGGTTTGAGTCCTTTTGAACTTTTTGAGCCTAGAGGTCAGCACACTGAAAGCTTTCATGTGTGAATGAGGCACCACCAGTCAACCACCCCGGGTACAATTTTCTGCTAACCTCAAACACAGCACTTTTCAGCGAAGTTGCTCCACATGTTTGACTTCAAGGCTGTGTACACACTATACCTGTAAAGTACACTCAAAACACGTTCGTTCTTTCTCAAAGAATTCTGTGCACTGTAGTTTTCCCCTCACAGAGTTACTTAACAGCCTTAACATGCCTTTATATTACTACCTCCAGTTTCCTACAGTCCTCTAGATCGCGGGGGCAGGACTGGATCCAACTGGCAGGTCCCACCCTTGTCTCCCCCACCTGCCAATCACTTGATGCTGCAGCGGTGTCAGGCGAGCTGTTCTTGCATGGCACTGTGCACAGAAGCCTTGATGATCAGCTGATAACCCATACATTTAAAGCACATGACTTTCCCCAAAAGAATTCTTGGAACTGTAGTTTACTTCTCACAGAGCTACAGTTCCCAGCACCCATAATGAACTATAGTTCCCCACATAGTTTGGGAGGGGGAGTTGTGCACTTTAAATGCTTGGTACGTATGCAACCCAGATATGGAGTCTAGGTTTTCAACATGTGCCTACAGTGTGGGCCACATCAGTGCATTGCCCTGCTTTGTGCAACAACAATATTCAGCCAGCTGAGCTTACCCTCGTGTATTTGGCTAGCCTCCAGCTGCCTTTACCTCAATGCTTCTTTACATGCTCTTTCAGTGGCTTTTCCTTTCTGCCGCACGATGTTGCCGCACTTTCTTTCTGCCACAAGTTTGCTTGCTGGTGTTTTATGTGGTCCATTTCTAGAATCTTTGTGAGAGGAGGAGAGGCATGAAACAGAGACTGGAGTGCCTCAAGGAAAAGCAGTACACAATTAATCAATCAATAAATGTATGTTTAAAATACCATTAAAGAATGTGGCTCAACTGGCAAATCCCCCTCCATTTCATCTGTTTCACAGACAGATTGATTTATCCCAAATGATTTGTGGCTGCTTTTGATCAGCCTAGTTTTCCCTGCCCCAAACGCTTTCATCGATGAGGATTCCACAAAATCCTTAGATAGTTCTGTAATGTGATATAGAGATGCCTATCAGACCCAATTCCTAAAATAATTATTTTCCCACACTTATGCCCGTGTCCCACCCTCTAGCCACTAGTGCAATGCACACCAAATGATGGGAATGCATATGGAAATATAGCCAATAATGTGGGCTGTAGGAGTGAGTAGGTTGAATGCCAGCCCAAGCTTCCCTTCTGTGTTCTCAGTCAGCTCTGATCTCCCTCCTTTCCCTTTCCTTCATCCCAGCCTTTGCCTGCTGGCTTAGGACCAAACTAGATGCCTTGTTAATTGTGTGAATGCATTAATTGGCAGCAATGGAAGCCTCCCTTGAAATGCAAAGATAGTTTTGTCAGGATAACTGCAGGTAGAGTTAAACTCCACCCCACCACCCCCAGTTTGCTTCTCCCAGCCATTCTCTCTTGACGTTTGTTACCTGCATCCTATTCCTAGGCCTCTTGGATGGTCTTATAAGCATCCCTTATTTGGACCACTTGGACCATCCCTCCTTCCATTCCACTCCGCATCCTCTTATCTCCAGTTTCTGCTTCATTGCTGCCCTCGTGTGAGTTTCTTGCTCCTCTAAACTGATGGAGAATTTGTTTGTAATTTCATGAAAAATTGTCAAATTCCTACTTTTCAACAAATATGCAAAGCAAAACACAACTATCTTATGAAATTCACACTTCTCCAAATTTTGTGATGCAGTTCTCCAACCAAATATGGAAAAAATGCATATATTGTGTGGTGTAGTGGTTAAGAGTGATAGACTCGTAATCTGGGGAACCAGGTTCGCATCTCCACTCCTCCACATGCAGCTGCTGGGTGACCTTGGGCTAGTCACACTTCTTTGAAGTCTCTCAGCCCCACTCACCTCACAGAGTGTTTGTTGTGGGGGAGGAAGGGAAAGGAGAATGTTAGCCGCTTTGAGACTCCTTTGGGTAGTGATAAAGCAGGATATCAAATCCAAACGCTTCTTCTTCTTCTTATAATTATTATTAGGGGGAAATGTACCTAAAAATCTATTTATGAGTCAAAATAACATATATAATTGCATTATATAAGGGGTAATTGCTTCCAAACATGTGTGTATTAGGAGAAACGTGCACTAAAATGCCGGTAAGTGTTCATGAGATTTTTTTAAAGGAAGAAATCGCAAACTGCTGTGGAAATGTAGAGAACTGAATTTAAGTTTGGAAAAATGAGAAACCTAAGACTACTGAAACTGGCAGATTCATAGGTCCCTACTCTAAACAACGGGATTTGTGCTGCAAATATTTTTGGGCAAATGAGTCTATGGATTGCAGCTTACTGAGAAACTGGTACTCTTTATGCATGCAATTTTTGGCAGCAACCACATATGACCATCATCATATGGTCAGCTGGCACATCTTTTACTTTTAATTTCCCCTTACTGCAGAAAAGTTAATTTTTTAATATAAAAAGTAACCTATTATACATCTACAATCACTGTAGGTATAGAAGCTTTTTAACACATTTTGTGTTTGTGGTGATCATTTTCTGAGCAGGCTATATCCTCACACCCTACTTCCATTTATTCCTCATCTGAGTGCAGCCTAGCAATTCTGTGGCTGGCCGACCAAGTGGGAACATATCTGACCATTGCTGCATGCTGATTGGATGGTGTTCCAAAATTTAAACATCTGGGTTTGGAAAAAACGATCTCAATGCAGTACATGCAAGGGATGACCTTGAAGACTGTAACTGCAATACATACATTGGGATAATAATAATAATAATAATAATAATAATAATAATAATAATAATCTTTCACAATACTGTATCTCTTTGTCTTTCTTCTGATTGGGCTATTAGACATTTTAAATATAACTTAAACTTTGGCATCATAAAATAGGAAGGCAGCTGACATTCCCAGATGTACTCTTTTTATAATTAAAAAGGAGGTCCAGCATCTAGTGTTCATTTCTTTTATCATGTTGTAGTTAGAATGTAATTGACTTCACAAAGAAACTTTCTATCACAAGTATATGTCTTACTGAAAAAGGCCTCCTGTCAAGTAAATTTTTTTTAAAAAAATCCAATTAATCAGTTTTAATACTTTTCCAAACACTAGAGACTGTACAGTGTCCAAGGAGCAATACAACTTATTCCTAAGCTGCTCTGTGCCTGGAGAGATACTTTTAAATGTTCTGAGGTTCCTGCAAAGTGAAGAAATTTGCCAAAAGTGAGTAGTTACGTAATAAAACATTGCCCTCTGGAGACCAAATTTTATATATGTTTGAAATTTATAGTTTGCAAACATGTGTCTTGGGGTACATTTTTGAATTTGAATGTGTGTGTGTTTGTGTGTATAAATATATATTTTGTGGTGTCTTCATGTATTCTCTGAGTCCAACTCACATACACACACCCTTTCCCAAACTGGGTTAAAATTCTACAGAATGGGACCCACAACAGGGCCAATAAACAAGAGAACTGCATTGGTGAAGCATCAGAAGTGCCTTTTCAGTTTCACATTGTTTTAGCTGGACTCCCAGCTATGGAGGTGAAACTGAGAAGGGAAAACTAGTGCACATTTATTACACTATTCAGTAGCTCACCTGCAGGGCCCTTAGAAAAAAAAATACAGTGGCTAACACATTCTTTAGGCAGACTCAATAACCTTTTCTAAAAAGTAGTCTATTGTTGCCATGATTTCATACACCTGTCATTCTTGTTATCAGACATCATTTAATTCTGTCAACATTACCGACTCTTTCAGTTTTTCAAAATTACTTTATTGGACAGTTGTTTCTTCAGGTCTGACTATATAAAAATGGAAACAGAAAGCATATAATTTTAATATCACAATAAAGCATCCATTATTAGCACCACATAAAAGACTAACTGAAACAGAACAATCCTAAGTTAGTGTCTGTTTGATTCTGTGGCAAAGGAATAATCACTTCCTTCGCTCCAATCAAGGTAGAAAGGGGGAGAGCAGTTTTTCCCCTGCCTCCTCCCCTATTACTTTTATATGCTAGCAGTGCTTTCTGCTAGTGTAGTAAGGACTCCCTCTTTGCTAGCACAATGCTGCTTAATGTTTCTAATGGCCTCTCAGCTGGCTTTAGGACTGCTCGTTAATTTGACTTCTAAATCATTCTTTATCACCCCCCCAAAACCCCATGTTAACAATAACTTAAGAGCATTAGTTTCAACACAGCCCTGCATACTTAAAAATAAATGGTTTCACTGTGATTCCCCAAAAGCAATTCTTTAAAAACAAAAACAAAAAAACAACGGTATCACTTCAGTGTGAAACAGTAATATTAAACTATCAAATATTGTAGCTCATATTCTGATGCATTTAAAAAAAATAGAGAGGTAACTGAAAGTTTGGAAGTTCAACGGACAAACTGGCACCTCTGGTAATTAAACAACATTGCAAAACAATAAATAAGACATCAATTACTTGCAGAGTTAATTTTTTTGCAAAGTTAATGCTGCAGTGTGAAGTACTGAAGTAGATCCATTGTTTTATTTACAATGGCAAAGAACTAGCATACAGTCTATATAAAGCTCTTTTGAGTCTGGTTGTATCTTTTTCATCAAGCACCCCCCGAACACTTTTTCATTAACATGTTTACATTTTTAAAAAAAATGTAAGTCTTGATCTAATTTCACAGTATAAAATGTAGCAGCTGACTGATTACTCAAGTTTGGTTGCTAAAATATGAAGGGGCATGAGATATATATTCCCAATATGAGAAGACTCATCATTCCACGGCTTGATTATGGATCAAAACTCATCATCTGATTCATCATCCCACTCACAGGCTTCAAGCTCTTCTTGTGGGAACTTCACCTCTACGTTGTAGACAAAATCAGGGTCATCTTTCTTTTTCCTGTTCTTTTCAAACAATGCATCCATAATTTCTTTCCTTTTGGCTAGCTCCTTGTCATCTAGTTTGTTCAGGTCCTCTTCTGGGTCAATTGTTTCTTCCCGCTGAATTTGCTCCAGACCCTGAGTCAGATTTTGTCCCCCCAACTGGCATCTCAGCAAATTGTGTAATTTTTGTAGCTGTTCCATTGAGACACCTTCTAAATAAGTCTTGTGCCGAGGATTATTCTTTAGCTGTTCTGCTGCCCTGCTGCAATCTGCACCAATGAAAAGACAAAAAGTCCAGGTAACAAAAATTCATAATTTTGTTTATTTGTAAATATGCATTTTAAAATGTTTTTCCTAAAGCTAATCCGGAAATATATGTCTCTGAGGACTATTTCTCACCTCTTTCACGCCTATTTGTGAGGAACAGAGGGAGATGCGGACTACATATATATCACACCTGCTGCCTTCTGTAGAGTGAAAAGTCAAATTCCACTATAAAACGCACAAAAGCTTAAGAACTAAATGGCTGAAGAAGTACCTTTCTCAAACGCAATCCTGAATGTGGTCACGTGCATTCAATGATAACTAAACAATGTGTAGTTTACAGATTGTTGCCAGTATTCCCACCTGTGCTTAAGGAATTATTCCTTTCCCCCTGCATATTGGATTGTCCACCATCTCCAATGCTGAGCTGCTAGATCAGGCTTCATCAACCTGGTGCCCTCCAGAAGTTTTGGACTACAATTCCCATCAGCCTTAGCTAACAGCCACTCATTGGAGCTGATGGGAAGTGTAGTTCAAAACATCTGGAGGGCACCAGTTTGGTGAAGGTTGTGCTAGACAAACTCCTGTGGTGGCAGCAGTATCTGAACTTGCCTATTTGGGGAAGGAACCAGTGATAGGTTAGAAAAATAAGCATGCTATACCTGAGAACTTGGAGAAATTCCGGATAGGCATGATGCGCTTGCGTATATTATTCCTGAGCTGATCTTCATAGATTAAAACAATAGAGGGAGGGTTTAATTTGATGCCACACTTCTTTGCCACGTAAGACATCCTGCTGTAGGCTCAGTCAGAAGACACCACATTCATTCATGCCCAGTGAGCCAACTTTTTATTTTGATAAGCTATTGAGACACGTTAGCGGTGTTTAAAAGGACCAAGAAGTTTAAAACCGCTTATGAAACAGGATCCCACTTCAGATATTAAAAACTGCCAGTGGCTTCACAACGGCATGCTTGAGTGGCACTGTGCACTGAATAGCGAAACTCGTATTTCGCCACCTAGGAGAGCATCCCTCTCAGACCCCATTCAGCGCCTCAGCTTTTAAAAACAGTTTGTTTCCAAAGGCGAGCAGGGCGACTAAGGCAGGCGAAGGAGAAACCGAGTCCCGGCCTGTGCCCGGCCTGCGTACGCACCGCGGCTCCTCCCTTCTTCCGAGGCCCCAAGGACCTCACTGCTTCCTACTTTCCTCTGCATCGGCTGCAGCCGCAGCGCGGCGCACGCGCGCCAGCATCCAACTCGTCACCATGACAACGGCTCGGCGCCGCCGCGGCCGCTCTATCAGGCCCCCTTCGGCATTGCAGTCCCTGAACGTGCCTGCGAAGGGACGTCTTCGCAGAGGTTCCGCGGAGCTTCTGCTTGCTTTTCCTCGCTTCCTTTCCTTCTTCCTATGGTCCTGAGAAAGGCGGAGGCGGAGGCCCTGGCTAGGTGGAGGTCAGTCCAACTATGCTCTCCAAGTCAGGCGCCCATGAGGACGCTCTGGAAGAGGGGGAGGACCTTGGTTGTGGGCGGAAGAGGAAGTCCATGAAGTAAGGGGGCGCCGTTGAGCTGCCGGGGATTTAGACCCCGCGGCCCTCTCGAGGTGCGGGAAGAGCTGGCCCTCCCGCCCTCGTATCTTCAGCCCGGGAGGCAGCATATTCCGAGGGGATACTCTTGACTGGGTGCTTGCGGGAAGCGGGCGGGGGAGCTCAGTGGCCCTGCGAACCGCCAGCCTTCGGGTCGTGGGAATGGTCGCCTAGCAGCGTCGCCTAGTGACATTTAGACCAAGCGAAAGGGCTGCTTCCTGGGGCACCGCTAGATCTTCTCCTCTCCGGGGGAGCCTGGGGTGGTTTCTGCTTCAGAAAGTTGCACTCGCCGTCACTAGTTTTCGGATTGCTTCCCCTCTCTCCCTTGGTGTCCCCAAATGCTTCAGATAGGTATTCCTCGGAAGGTTGAATGTTGCTGCCTCGTGCGAGTTTGCAAAATAATTTAATTTGCTTAAAAGAGTCCAAACTGTTGACAGAAGCGTCTTTAATACGACAAGTAGAAGGGTCGTCTTCTTTTTTTATATGGTTCCTACTTTATGTGGAGAAAAAAAAAGATTATTTCACAGGGGCTTATTTCCTTGTAAGTCTGTTGACGGCTCGGGCAGGCTTCTTGGCTGTGAAGCTCAAAGCTCCCAAGAGAACATAGTTGGCAAAAACAGAAGCACTCTTGTATGGATGATATAAATATATAGCGGGCATGAGATTGGAAACACATTACTTTTATTATTTATTTAACAGAATTTATATACTGATTAATCATCCAAAACCCCTAAGTGGTTACAATCAAGTGGTATATAAATTTTGTGAAATAAATGATAAATGATAAAAATATTCATAAAAGTATTGATAAAATTGAACGTTAAGAGCAAATATAAGTAAAACCAGCAGTTGTTAACAATGTACATAATTAAATAAAGTATGGGTAAGCTTGCCTAAAAAACAAAATCTAGCAGGTGCCAAAAACAATACAGTGAAGGTGCCTGCCTAATATCAGTGGGGAGGGAGTTCCATAGAATAAGTGCTGCCACACTGGAGTATTGGTTTCTTGCAAGTGGCACTTATAAAAGTGCCAGTTCATACATAATAATACATACAAAGTAACATACATATGATTTGTTCGGCCACATTAAGGCTTTATAAATCCATATACATGGTAGAATACTGTCAGCATGGACAGTATCTCTGTCAAGGCATCTTCAAAGAACATTCACAACGGTGGATGGAAAAGGCTGTAGGGTGGAGTAGTTATGTCCCTGGTTTTCTTCCAAAGAGGGAAAGAAAGGGGAATACACAGATCTCCCCACAGGCTGTACACTTGTGATCTCTGATTCTGTGAAAAGATGGCTTAGGTGCCACAGTGCCATCAACTTCATATGCCTGCGACATGAATAGAGTGTTGACATGAATAAAGTGTTGATTCTCCTTGGTTATCTTCCCACAGTGCCGATTTCCACTTCCAAGCAGGAGTCATTTCCCCACCCACCTGCCACATTATCTTTTCTTGTCTGAGGATATGGATGGGAGTGCATTGCTCACCACGAACACTTACTACACAATAAAATTTTAACTAGAACAATGCAGTGTAAGCTAGATAAGTTAAATACAGACATCTAACTTTCCAAGCTTGGTTGCAGAGGTTGTGTTTTTTTTAATAATTATGATCAGAGTATTCACATGACTGAGTTAAGTGATTCTAAGTTACACTTTTGTTAATTTTGTTACAGACACTGGGTTTCAGAGACATATGAGCAGGGATAACATTGATTTAAACATGCCCTTCAGATAGCTAATTGTAGGGCCCATCTGGACATGGCAGTGTATATCTTATATTCCTTCATTGTTGTAAAGCTTTACATTATCTCAGGCTTTCAGTGTAATTGGGGCACAAATATTCATAGTTTGAGCCAAAGCATGCTGTGATACAATCCTGAGAAGGTCTGGAAAAATGCACATACCCTAAAAGCAATAATGTTTCACTTTGCTTATTATTTTCTTTCTTGGGAATTTCCATTTAAAGACTTATCTTAGAGCAGGGGTAGTCAACCTTTTTATACCTACCACCTACTAATGCATCTTTCTTGATGGTAAAATTTCCTTACCGCCCACCAGTGCTTGAAGGAAGGAGGATTCAGCTTGTGCCGTAGAACCCCCTACTGCCCACCTAGAATCCAGAAATGCCCACTAGTGGGCAGTAGGGACCAAGTTGACAACCCCTGTCTTAGAGTGAATTAATTGTTACTGTTACTTCCACACAGTTTTGTCACAAATCAAGTTCTACGCCATGGACAAAAGCTCCTATTCTTTAATGTGATTTGTTTTTCCTTGCAGTTTTATTCTGAGATGTTTCAGCAGGAAAAGAATGTGCTTCTTCAGATGAATATCCACTCATTTTGGATCATTTTTTGTGTGTGCATACCAAAATGCTTGTGTAAGTTGAAATCCATTTTAGTTTCCCGAAGCTAGTTGGTGAACAAACATTGTACATTATTCTTTTTCTTGGATTCCATATGTGTTGCAGAGTGCTTAACTGTCCTTTATTGATACTGTGTTTGCATTTTTAATATATGTATGCAAATCCACTTCATTGCCTTATTGACTATATTCTAACACATTCAATAAGCTTATGTTATGTCTTTTTCCTTTATGTAAAATCATTTTACATTGTTGAGCAGTCCACTGAGTCCACAGGAGTAACTCAGGACCATTGTGAGTGGTTAGATGGCAATATTTAAACTGCCTAATTAGAAACAAGTGTTTTAATATCTACGCCTAGCACATCCCTTCTGCTGCATTTGAATGTCTTCCTCCACCCTGAGGAGAAATCAGCAGTCATTGATTTATGCATTGCTTCTCTACCCAGGGAAACACAATGATGATTTCTGATTGTTGCTAGCTTCTTTCCCTCTCTCTGACATAGAAGGAACACTGTCAGAAACAGTGGCGTATTCTGGTTGTTGGAAGGCTCAGTTTTTCGTGGTGGGAGGCTCACTGCAAACATAGATCTTTTGTTTTTCTTTAGCTGTAAGCTGTGCCTTCTAGAATTGGTGGTAGGGAGGTGGAAGGGCTAGTGTGGTTGCCACTGGGTTATTTAGGCTATTAGTCAGCAACTAATTGCAAAACTGGATTAAAAGTCTGTTGTCTGCCATGGCTTCAAAAGAGAATAATCTTTTTATTGATCAAAATTACTTCAGTTCCTCTGTCCTGTAAAAGGCGTTCCTAAAGAACAGAAGAACAAACTCTGACTGTGTTGAAATGGTGTTTTAGATTGCTTTAAAATATATCAGTTTCTCATGTATTTTCTGTTTTTATAGATGCACAGAACATGTGTCCTGAGGTCAGGCAACAGCTTTTGAAAGATGGCTTTCACAGGTGGGTTTATGACCAACAAATATTGGTTAGTGGTTCTGTTATTAGTGTCTTAATAAGACCTGAATTCTTTTGCATCTGCTTTACCATGGCAGTATGTACGTAGTCAAGTGAACTGATATGTTAAACTAAATGTACTAGTGGCATGTTTATGGATGCTGTGGGATGCTGGTACTGTATTGAACAATTGTTAATAAAAGTTGCAGTCTATCTTAAGTCACATGGATTCATAGACAACTCGGACCAATACCTAGTTGTATTGAATCTTAGTCCAATTAAAGCAATGTAGAGCCAATTAGATTGAGACTTCTCAGCTTCAACTGTCCATTAATACAAAGATGAAGAAGTTATATGTTGTGAGTTTCTTCTGAGTTTCAGTGGGGGTTATTACCATTTATTTATTGCCACATACCAGAAAATGGTCTCAGAGCAGAAATATGGAAAAAGACACACAGCTATAATTAAAACACTAGTTAGTTAGTTAGTTAGTTAGTTAGTTGCTTTAACTTGCCCAGGGCAACACAAAGCAACTTACAACCAACAATTAACACACATAAAATTGAATGTTAGTGATAAATCTCTCAGAAACATTCTCAGTTTCCCCAGACCCAAGTATGTGGGGCCCTGTAGCCATAGGAAAAAAACCTGCAGATTAAAAAATATAGTAACACAGTCTTTTAAAAGCACTTTATATACAAGTGAGATTGGTATGTTTTGATGGCATTCTGTTGTAAAAGCTTCTTGTTTTAAATGTTAGAAATCTGCTGATTCGGGTAAATATCAGTACAGCTGACAAAAGCCTCAGAAGCTGCATGGTGGCAACTAAGGTACACTTACCAAAAGGACTATATGTGGATCCCTATGAATTGACATCTTTACAAAAGCACAATCTCACTGAGGTAAGGTTTTCAGGATGACTTTTGTGGGCAGGGAAAGCTAATAGGGCCCGAAATAGCTAGATGTGCATAAAGTTAGGCTTCTAATGGCATACAAGCACCTGTCCCTTCTTGGAAGCCAACAGTTATGAGCCTAACTGCTCTATCTGTGGCAGAGCAATACTATACATACCTCCTCTTAAGTTAGCCCCACTGAACTCAGTGGGACTTGCTCCCAGATAAGTGTGTATAGGATTGTCAGGGATGATGGGAGTTGTAGTGCAACAACTTCTAGAGGGCACCAGGTTAGCTACTTATGGCATAAAGGCTTGATAATCAAAGACAGACCAAATCATACTGGCCTTACATAGCTTTTTGGATCCTTGTAACTGTTATTGTAAGTGCTAGCTGTAATGTTACATTCCTGTGTTCATGTTTTAAAGGTACAAGTAGGCACTCAATTAAGAAACCATTGGAGATGAGATTTTATCACATAAGGGGCTAGACAAAAGTCTATTTTGGGTATTTGCCAAAAACAATATAGTGTCTCCCCTGTTTCTTTCTGAAGTTGTCTTTATTACTCACGTTGTTTTTAACTTCCATTTTACTTTACTGACACCCCTGACAATTTTCGCTTGCATTGTTAACTTGTTGTTAAGAACATTATTTCGCAATACAAGCATCCCCCCTTCACTTACACACAATCGACTCACGTGCAACTGCATATATGTGCAGTGCCAGGAAACGAACAGACAGACAGACAGACAGACAAACAAACTCTCACCTGAAATGGTGGGAGAGAGTTGGAAAGTCCTTGTGGCTCACAAGGAGACCTTTCCCAGAGCCCAAAGAGGACGACAGTGAGCCAGAAGTCCAGAAAAAAGCCTCCAAAGGCCCAAAAATGGCATACGGGAGCTCCCCCTTCTGCCTCTCTACCCCACTCAACAGCTGTTGGGCAGGAAGCTATAGATACTGCATTGGGCTCCCCAGTTACAAACATTTCACAGAATGTAACTCCCAAATAAGTGGGGAGTCACCTGTACTGCATTACTAACAGACAAGTACTGTACATGAATAAGTCACTGCTACCAGCCTTGGGGCTTCTCTGCAAGATAGCTGTGGTGCTACTGCCTGTAATGGAATTATAGTCTGAAATAATGCCCTGCTTTTAATTATGTTGTTATACTTTTTCTACAGGCATTGATGATGGCAGATAACATAGATTTGGAAGCTCCCGAGTACTTAGCTGCTGACGTTTCTGTCCTCGTTTATATGAGACCTGACCCTGAATGCTTTTCCTGTTTTAGAGCATTATTACCTCTGCACTGCCGGTATCATAAGCCAGCAGAGAATGATGGGAAAATCTCTACTGTACTGAAGAGTCCAGATGTATTGATGCATTGCCAAAAATGTAAGCGAGACTGACTTTTCTTCTTTGGGGAATGAGAATGGGAACAATTGGAAGAAGAATAAAAGCAGGGCAATATAGAATCATTAAAAATTTGCGGATAAAATGTTATATTTTTGTAGAAGCATTAAGGACATGTGTGAAGATAGATACAGAATTGAGAGACATACTTCATAAAAAATATGAGTGATCTCTTTCCTGAATATTAAGTTTATGTGCTGTTTCTCCCCTCTCTTTTAGTCTTCCTTTCACTGGAATGTTTGAAAGAAACTGAAATAGAAGCTCCATGTTCTCAGAAGAATATACACACATGCCATTGGGATAGCATGAAGTTCAAAGATGTGTGTTCATACTTCTTACATCTCTTAGTTTTTCTAGAAATAGATCTGTCTGTAACAATTTTGATTCATCTGTTTTAATTTTTTGTCACTGCTTGGTCCTGGTAAATAGGCTCCACTGGGATTTTAATAGCCTAAATGTTCATAGGATCGTAGCTCCTGTTTCCAGATGAGAAGGCTGTTTGGCTGGAAATGCTAATCTTCAATTTTTTCACCACATTGCTTATGGAAAAATGATTGAGGGCTACAATCCTTTCCCTGCACATGGGATGAAACTCCACTGGACTTCCTGGAACTTGATCCTGAATAGTCATGTGTAGGATTGCGCTGTAAAGTTGGTTGGTGCAAGGCAACTTTTAAGATGCTGAAACAGACTGCTAGGCTAAGAAGCTGCTTGCTTGCAAGTCACCTGACCAGAAAGCAGCCAGTATAGGCTGTAGGTAGATAAGGGTGGGACTGATAAGAAGAGGGAACTTCCACACTGTTCCTGGTGGCTAATAAACCTCAGAGGGAATCATGGGAAGGGGAAAGAGGCAGAGATTTTCTTTTGTGGAAATGAGTGGTAGGTTGGATTATCTATTCTTCCCTATGATGTGAGCAGTTCTTCTCTGGTCTGACAAGGAAGACCAAGAAGGTTATGTTCCCTGCTTCTGAAGGAAGCAGGGAGCAGCTGCCCCAGGCTCTGAAAGGTATGGGACGGCTGGATTGCAATACATTTTTAATTAAAGAATATAGGAAGAGAAATGATTACAGTTAAATTGTGAATATACATATTGAATGAAGGTGGCCCTATTTGACTTCTAATGTGCAAATCTTCTTTTGTAGGTAACCGAAGAACTGAAACTGCAGATACCAGTTGGGCTCAAACACCATCTTATGTTGGTATGCACAGTGACTCTTGCTACCACAATATTGTGTTCCAGTCTTATCCTTTCAGCTTTATTCAAGCATGGATGCTTCTCCTTTGTTCAGAGCTCACAGTAAAACCGAACAAGGTTATTGAATCATCATGGAAAAACTGTCTAAATACACCAGACAAACCAGAGACAGGAACAGAAGAAAAGGCTTAGAATTGGCCCAGCATCACAGACTGGGAGCAGGCCAAGTGCCTCTTACTTGACTGTGCGGTATCACATGCTTGGCTGCATTGCTTTTGATCTGTTCTAGTCTCCTCCCCCCCAACTTTGTACATGTTTCCTGAATAGGCTGATCTAGTACCAGATAAATATGTGCCTTCAAAATTGCCATGTAATCAAATTTTGAAATAGTGAAACCTGCCTAACTTAACAATTCTGATATCACCAATAAAGGGGGGTGGTGGATAATTTTTTGAACCCTAAAAAACCCAAACACAGGTTCTTTTTTCATGTGTAGTCAATCATAGATATCAGACAAATAGAAACAATTATAAGTGGCAATAATACTTTGGAAGGAAGTTTATAAACTGTTCATTTTTAAACCATGAACTGGATAAATATGTCTCAGAAGATAACAGAACAGGTGGAATTATTCCAAGTTCTGAGAAAACACTGGATGTAAATCATTAGCGTTGAAAATACAAGGAAATACAGGGAGGAAATTGCTTCATTAATGGAAAAACTGAGCAGCTCCAAAGATTCTTAACTCTTCTATTGTCAACAAACTTCACGCATCAAGTGGCTACTAGTATGCAAAATAGGTTCAAAGGGAAAGATGTGCCACTTTCCATATTTGTGGACAGCATAAAATATTTACCAATTCATAAATTAAATAAAAGAAAATACCGGTAACTCTTTTTTAAATGTACAACTGCAGCTTATGGCTGAATTTATGCCATTTGGTTGTTTCTTACCTGTACTGGTCTTGTCTCTGAATTATCAAGAATTTTCTTTGGATCTCCACTAAAACTATATCAAAGACTTGTTTTGTGGCATCTTTCGCTAGCTGATGAGATGCTTTTAACACTGGTCTTTTGTTCTCCCCGTACAAAGTGCTGAATGATGATCGCTGAGGCAATACTTCAGCTACTACCTCAGGTTCTCTGTGAAGATTGCTCTGCATCTGTTTGGGGGAAGGGAGCCACTGCAGAAAACAATTGCAGATGGGTTATTTTTGTTTCTCCACTTTCCATATATGAGCAGCTGTAGCACATAATGGGAGGACAGCTGTGAGCTTCAGTTGTTTATCTTATCCTTGTTTCCTTTTAGTTTAATGTCAATTTGACAGTTTTATACTGCATACTATGGATCCAAAGCTGGTCTTCTTGATCATGTCATCAACAAGTTTCATGTTTAAATGTTTCCCCTTTTGGTAAGATTACATGCATTTGATGCATAAGACTTTTGAACTGCAAGTCTGGATTTGTTCATTAGGTATAATGGAATAGAAATAGTTCCATGAAAAAAATTATATTGATAAAATCAAAATGGAAGCATGCCTAACAAAATTGTATAGAAAAAGCATGAGGATAGCTCTCCATGAAGTCATAGATTTATTCAAAAGATCCTTTTCAAAAGTGCTGCACAATTATATTTCCCAGTACAGGTCCTTCAGTACCTTGCTAGTTGAATCTGTGAATTTGCAGCCGGAAAAGCATATGAATGTGCATCAACATTACATCACAAGCACATTTTCCAACACAGAATAGCTTGTGTTCTGGAAAAATGGCAGAATTTGTGTGTTGAGTTTGTCCAGAGAATACATGTAAAGTGTACAAGCAAGTTGCTTGGCTTATTCAATGTGTACATTATTTTAACAGGATGAAACTTACTGGAAATTAGTTTATTTTCTACGCTTACTGGAATGTGCCTGGACATCTAGGAATGATATCTAAGGGTTTGCAGATAGCTTTGTCTTTTGGTAATGATTCTAGTTTTGTTTAACGCAAAAACAACTGTTGTATGGAACTGGAGGTGAAGTAAGAGGCCCAAGCCTCAGGATATGTAAATAGCATGAAAGGTCAATAGAAGGATTCCAGCTGTCAGCATCAATTTCTATAGGAGCTGGAAGGCAGACATAAAGCTGTTGCTTGCACTCTTTGCTCTGGCTCCCATTCAGTTATTGTGCATCTCTCTCCTCCACCCACTCAAACATAATTGCAGTACTCAAGTGATAACATTAAAAGGGCTGTTTGGAAGAAGGTGATTTAAATTATGTATATATCTCTGGCTAACCACAAAAAACATAAATCTATTGGCAGATAATTACATAAACACCTGGAAAGAAATTCAAAAGGAACTAGATATTTGGAATAGGATAAAACTCTCTTGGTCAGGTAGAATGGCAGCAATTAAGATGTGTATACTGCCGAAACTTCTATTTTTATTTCAAAATGTCCCGGTGATTAGAGGAAATTCTATATTCAAAAACTGGCAAAAAATTCTCTCCAAATTTATATGGCAAGGTAAAAGACCGAGAATTAGATTTAAATTGTTAACGGACAGAAAAGATAGAGGAGGATTTGCGGTCCCAAATTTGAGATTGTATTATGAAGCCTTGTGCCTTTGTTGGCTCAGAGAATGGATTGTCTTAAAAAACACAGATCTGTTGGATTTAGAAGGCTTCGATTTAAGATTCGGTTGGCACGCCTATCTCTGGCAGAATAAGGAAAAGGTGCATAAAGGCTCCTCAAATCATATCATCAGAGGATCCTTGTTAGAGGTGTGGGAAAAGAATAGGAAATTGTTGGAAAAAAATACCCCTTGGTGGTTATCGCCCATTGATATCTTAACCATAAAAAAAACGAATATAGAAGGTGAGAGATGGACCTATGAAGACCTCCTGGAAAGATCTGAAAAAGGATGGAAAATCAGACCCTATGAAGAGCTAAAAGACAAACTAACAGGCTGGCTGCAGTACCATCAAATTAATGCCTTATGGAAAGAAGACAAAAAAACTGGGATGAATGAGAAAAAATCTAGGTTCCAGGTAGAGATTATAGAAAGTAAAACCAAACTTCTATCCAAAATGTATAACCTGTTACTAGAATGGGATACTAAGGATGAGGAGGTCAAGGAAGTTATGATAAAATGGGCAATAGACTTTGGATATAATTTGGATTATGATAATTGGACGAGGCTATGGAATAAAGGTATGAAATTTACTGCCTGCACCACCCTTAGAGAAAATATGGAAAAGATGATGTACCGTTGGTACATCACCCCTGTGAAATTAGAAAAAATGTATAAGACCAGGGATAATAGGTGTTGGAAGTGTAAATCCAAAGAAGGCAGTTTCTATCATATGTGGTGGAAGTGTGAAGAAATAAAAAAAATTTGGGAAGCCATATACAATGAATTGAAAAAGATACTTAAATACACCTTTGTTAAAAAACCCGAAGCCTTCCTCCTAGGTATGATCGGAGACAAGATTAAAAAAGAAGACTACATAATGTTTCAATATGCAACTGTAGCTGCTAGGATTCTACTAGCACAAAATTGGAAAACTCCTAATATCCCGACCGTTAAAGATTGGCAAATTAAACTATTTGAATACTTAGAATTGGCAAAAATGACGCAGAATATCAGACAGCAAAAAGATACAAAGTTTAATGACGATTGGACCAAATTTATAACATATATGGAAACAAATTCTAGAAATCTAAAAATCACAGTAGGTTTAACATAATTCTTGCAATGCATAGATGATATAAAATGAAAACTGCAGAATGGAATTACAATCTTATATAATCCCAAACCGAGATGGAGGGAAGTCAATTCGTGTGTTTCTTTTTTGGTCCGTTTAGGTTTTCTGTTGTTTGTTCTTGTTCTTGTTTTCTTGTTTTCTCTTTTTTTTATGTATGGTTGTTTTGTTTTTCTGTTTGCTTATGAAAATTAATAAAAAGAATTAAAAATAAATAAAAATAAATTATGTATCTATCGGTAACTATATTGGGTGGATGGTTAGCTTGCAGGCAGTTTGATGTATCATCAGTGTACGGTCAGTCCAGCTGTGGCTCAGATTTTACAGATACAGTGGTGCCTAGCAAGACGGAATTAATTCGTTCCGCGAGTTTTTTCGTCTTGCGGTTTTTTTCGTCTTGCAAAGCACGGTGTCGGAAAAGTTTTGGAAAAGCTTCAAAAATCACCAAAGTCTTCAAAAACCTCAAAAAAGGCTACCACACCGCGTGCTATGAGTTGCTCCTCGAAGTCAAGTCGCAACTGTATTAACGGTTTTAAGAAAAAGGAAACAAACTTGCAAGACGTTTCCGTCTTGCGAAGCAAGCCCATAGGGAAAATCGTCTTGCGAAGCAACTCAAAAAACCAAAAACCCTTTCGTTTTGCGAGTTTTCCGTCTTGCGAGGCATTCGTCTTGCGAGGTACCACTGTACCATCTATCACAAGGAGACACTTCTTTTTCAAGAAAGGGCTATGAAATTTCTCTCAAACACCAGTGTTCTTTTAATTTATAAAAACAAGCATATTTTTATGACCCTTTATTTTTCATATTAAAAATGGAATGGATGTTTCTTTTTTATTAATGAGATTGGGCGGTATGATTCTACTTTGAGGCTGTCTTTTAGTGGTTTGGGATGGAGACTATTTTGGAGTGGGTCCAGGTTTTGGGGATGGGGCCCCCTTTTATGATGTCGTTGAATAGGCGGGTCATGTAGGGCATCAAGGGTTCTTTGAATTTCTTATAGAATTCTGCTGTGAAGCCGTCTGGGCCTGGGGCTTTGTGTGGTTTCAGGTTTTTGAGGAACGCATCTATTTCCTCTGGGGTGATAGGGCTGTCCATGAATTCCTGTTCCTCATCAGTTAGGGTAGGCATGGTCAGTCCTGCTAGAAATGTTCTGATTTCCTTCTCTGGTGGGTTATGGGAGGTGTATAGGTTGGAGTAGAATTCTGCAAATTCTGAGGTTATTTCTTCGGGGAGAATGTTATGTTGCCGTCTATTTTGGTGATGCAGTGTATTCTTGTTTTGAGTGCTTTTTTCCTACATCTATTTGCTAGTGATCTGGAGTTTTTCCCTCCATATTCGTAGAAACGTTGTTTAGAGTATAGAATGTTGATCATTGTTTTGTTAATTTCTAGGGAGTCTAGTTCTCTGGTTTGTGGTTGGGTAAGTTTGAGGAGTTGTTTAGATCCTGTTTGTTTGTAGCGTGATGAGAGGGCTGTGATGTCTTGTTCTATTTTGCTAATTTTTGAGGAGGTTTGTTTTTTAAGGAATGTTTTCTCTTTTATGCAAGCTCCTCTGGTGACCGCTTTCATTGCGTCCCATAGGAGGGGTTGTTATATTGTTTACATCGTTTTCTTTGAAGTAGTTTTGGAGGGTTTTTGTGAGACTCTCTCTAATTTGTTTGTTTGTAGTTAGGATGGGACTGAAGGACCATGATGGGGTGGTTTGTGTTCCTTCTCCTATTTTAACAATGACTTCTACTGGGGCGTGGTCTGTGATTTTAATGTTACCTATGTTTGTTGATTCTACTGAGGGATCAGACCCTGTGTGAGTAGAATGCTGTCCAGTCTGGACACTGTATCATGGCGTCCCGATTGGAATGTATGGCTGATGTCTCCCGGGTTTTGCTCACCCCAAATGTCGTAGAGACCCCTGTTTTTTAGCATTTTTAGTAACTTGTAAGAGTTCCTGGTTGTTGGGGTTTCCTTCGGAGGAAGGTTGCCCATGGGGTTGTGGGGTGGATATCTTTCAGGGATATACCTTTCATATTTAGATTGAGGTCCCCTCCTAGGATTGCTTCCCCTTCAGAGAAGGAGAGGAATTTGTTTAGTTTCTTCTAATTAGAAGAATTCTAATTGTTTCGTGTTTGGGGCATATATGGAGCCGATTGTCAGTTTGATTTTGCCATCTAGTGTCCCTTCAGCGAAAATGAATCTGCCTTTTTTGTCCTTGAGGACTGTTGTGGCAGTGAAGTTCAGGTCTCTACTGAGTATTATGGCTACACCACGAGCTTTCCTTGAGCCTTGTGCGACCCACTGTTGACTGAAGCGGGGGTCGCTCAGGAGTTTGCTGCCTTTGGGTGGGTTGTGTATTTCTTGTAGGAAGGTGATGTGTGGTTTCTCCAAGTGATGTGTGGTCTCTCCAAGTCATCTGCCTCAAGTTTCAGGCTTGGGATTGTGTTTTTCAGCCAGCGTATAATTAGGTCTGCTGGGCTTTTCTCCTCTGTTTTTTCAGGAAAGTTGCGGAAGCGGATGTTACAACGTCTATTGCGGTCTTCAAGGTCGGCTTGCTTAATTTTCATCTCTCTGTGTTCTGCTTCCATTTGGTTTACCAGTTCGTCCAGTTTCTTGTTCACACGTGCGTTCTCCTCCCGGTATTGCTCTATTATTCTTTCTTGCATTTGGTTCTTGTTCTCTAGAGCTTCCACTTTGGAGGTTAGATTGTTGATTAGTACCTGCATGGGAGCCATTGTGGCCTTCAGTGTTTCTTCTAATCGTGCTTCTAATCTTGCTTCCATTTCCCTCAGATCTCGTTTCGTTATTGGGTGGTCATCATCTTGAAGGGGAGTTACCATCTTAGCATTGTTTGCCATCTCCCTGGTTGGTGTCATCTCGGTCTCCCTGATGGTTTTGGTTTGAGGTTGGCTTGGCGTCCTCTTGGGGTAGGGCGTGTGGTGGTTAGGAGTTGTGGCAGTGGTGATTCCTGGGTATTGTTGGGTTGCTGAGCTGATCAGGCTTTGTTGGCTGGTGGCTTTTACAGAGCGTTTGGATTAGGTGGTCATTTGTGTCACTTCTAGCCTGTGTTTTAAGAACTTCTCTAGGGCTTCTGTAGATGCCTCAGCGGTCCCGCTGAGGCGGGGGAGGCAGGTAAGCAGAGATGGGTAGACTAACGGACAGACAGTTCATATAAAGGGAGGGGGGTTAGCAGGTAGAGATGCAAGAGATTAGAGGGGTGGGGCCAGGGGAAATATGTGTTTAGGAGGGGGTTGTATATGCCCAAAAGGGGTATTGGGGTCCAGTTAAGGTGGAAGTTGGGGTTGGGAGTGCGCTCAGAAACAGAGACAGACAAATAGGCTATATGTAAAGGGTGGAGGGAGAAAAAGGGAAGAAGAAGAAGAAAGAAAGAAGAAGGGGGGAGGCGGGGGGAGAGGGGAGATTGGAGTAAAAGAGAAGAGAGAGAGAGAGACAAAAAGAGAGTTGAAAGAGAGAGGAGAGATAGTACAGTAATATCAGCGGTATTAGATTGCAGCAGTAGTTTTAGCTATAGTATGAGGGGGGCAAATTATGATAGGGTGATATGAATGTGTGTATGTGTTTCCTTTAGGGGAAGGGGGGTGGAGAGAGGGAGGAGAGAGAGAAAAGGAGAGGAGGAGGGGAAGGGTGGGAAAAGGAAGGAGAAGAAAAGAGGGGGAGAGGGGAGGGAGGGAGGGGAGCTGCTGCAATGGTGTGGGGAAAGTCTTTTTTTAAAAGAGGGGGTGGGGGGGGGAAGGGCTCCCTCTCAAAAACAAACTGACGAACAGGCTAAAAAGGGGGGGTTGATTTTAAAAAATAAAAGGGATAGAAAACAAAATTGGGGATGGAAAATGAAAGGTGGGATAAAAGGAAAAAATGAGGAGGGGTGAAGAGAGAGAGGGGAGAGCAAAAAGGGAGAGAAAAATAAAAAAGGGGGGGAAGTTGAGGGGGAGAGTATCAATAGCAATAGCAGTGATATGGAGGAAATTTTTGTTTTAAAAGAGAGTGGTGGTCGTAGCTGGGGGCGAAAGATTCCCCCCTCAAGAACAAAACAACAAATAGAAAAGAAAGGGCTTTAAAAAGAGAAAGGGGGGGGGGGAATTGTATGTTGTTTTTTTTAAAATAAATAATAATATTTCCCCCTAATTATTGTTATTATTTTTTGTTTGTAAAAAAGTAATTAAAAATGTACAGGTAAAAGATAAAAATGAGAATTAAAGGTAAAAAAAAAGGGGGTGTGTCTTTAGATAGATAGATAGATAGATAGAGCTTTTTATTTATTTTTTTAAAAATGAGTAAAGTATAGGTAAAAGAGGATAGAGATTGGAAAGTCTCATGGATGTTTCTTTTTAAATATTTCCACAAAAGGAGGAACTGAGGGGAAAAAGTATAATATGCTGCTGCAGAGTCCCACTGGCAGCACTAGCTGGTGCCTTAAGCTGGAAATGCTGAATGGGCAATCAAGCTCTCTGCTTGTTTTTTCTTTCTAGCTGATCATACAAGATAGAGCTTGTCCCATGGGAAATTTCTTGTACCCTCAAATATTTTTTTCTATGGCAGCCTGGCCTTGGTGTTTATATAAGCAAAGAGACGCTGCAGTGTCAGTATTATGAGTTCTGTTTTTTTAGTGTTACATGTTGTATAGTCACTAGGGAGGGGTGCATGTGCCCACTGCTTTTTCTGATTCCTAGAGGATGATTCATTGTTAACTTTCTTTGGGTTTGGCTTGCAGAAATCAGTACATCTAGTGATAGCAGCCAGAGAAACATGCCAAATGTGGACTGAGCCAGGCTTTTAGGCCTTTATTTTTCCCATCATGACTTTCTCAGTATTGATACAAGAACTGCTAAGTGTTAAGTAAACATGAACATATGCACTTTAGCATATACCATCCTAAGAGTTTTGAATGAAACTGTAAACCCACTTCAATCTGGTTTTTCATCCAGAACTGAAACTGACTTGGTTGTTTTGTGGGGGCAGATTTTAGCTGGTTGCATCCTGTTATGGAACTCCCTCCCAAAGGAGATTGATTTGGCACTGCCTTGACTATATTCCAGGTACTAGGGGAATTCTTTCCTGTTGATCTGGGTTGGGTTTAATTTGTTTTCCAGTCTGGTTTGAGTCAATCACTTGGTAATTGCTTTGGCATTGTGGGTGCTGCGATTGTTTTTGAAGTGTATCACTGATTTTATCTGGAATTTAATGGTATGTTGGCATTGTTTTAGGCTTTTGTGTTTAATGGTTAATACTTTTCCGTTCATCAGATGCAAATGACTTTACAGACAGTAAAATGATACATATATGTATTTTAAATAAAAATGGTGATACTGAATGTTCATTTTTGAAGATAAGTCTTTCATGCTATACTGTGTGTATGGGTAAGGAGGGCATGGGAAATGCTTGAATGTTTGGTGATTTCTGGCTCTGATCAGAAGCAAGAGGGCTAGGAGGATGGAAGAAGGCAGGAACTAGGTTTGCGGATATCTGCAGATCCTGTATCATTTTTGCAGAGGCAACAGCTCAAGACCTTTTTTGTGTGTGCAAGCCTTGGGTGCCTAGTAAGAATGAAAGTACTGTACTGGTATAACTAAATTCTGATGGTTTTTATGTTTTTAAGTACATTACTGCTTTTTAGATAATGATTTTAACTTTGTTCTTAATGTTATGTCTATTATCCATCCTGGGCTCTGTGAGGAAGGGCCAGATGCAAAAACAGTTAATAATAATACTGACAATTCACTGAGAACAAGGAGGGATGGTGTCATCTGTGTAAACACAAGAGGGAGTCTACTGAGTGTTTGTATGTGTTGAGTTTAATAAAGTTGTCCCTGCATCAAAAGCTGCCCTGGAGTTGTGCCAAGGGAGAGAGCCTGAAAGAAAAACAGAGCTGCTCAGCAAGCGCTGTTCCTTACAAGTCTGATGTTGAGGTGCTTCCCCTGCCTGCTTCCCTAGTAACATTTTTAGGGAAGTTTACAAAACAAGCTCAAGTTGCAACTTAGGTAATAAACACGAATGCTAGTTAATTTAATCTTCTTCTTCTTCCTCCTCCTTCTTCTTCTTTGGCGATCACTCGTAGCTGAGTAAGATTGTCTTCCATAAACACGGTTTTAACAATGAGTCCGTAAGTGACTTTGGAGGCCAATTCTGAATCCACACGCGTCCTTCCACAGTGGGGACATTGGTTTCCAGGCGGGAGCTGATCACAGTGCGGATTTGCCAAGTGTGCCTTCCTCCTAGCACATTTCTCCCTCCAGTCTTGAGTTCAAGTGTCTTCAAAGCCCATGACACTTTTGGTAAAGGCTGTTCTCCAACTCGTCCCATATACTGTACTTCCCTTTCCCCAAGAACCGAACAACCAAACGGAAACACTACACTGACCAGTTCCTACTAAAAATTACACCGAATATACTGCAATTCTTACTGAACAATATCCAGCAATGTCCTAAATTTAAAATGGGCAAGAGCAAGTAGAAATAAATAAAATTTAAAAATGGTATTTTTTTAAAAAAAATACTTTTTTTTTTAATAAGAAAACACATTTTAAAAGCAACAGACACCCCCTCTGAGGGAAGAGACATCCGCTACTCTGTTCTCCCCAAAGCGCAAGCTGTCTCCAGGAAACCCAAGTCACCAGCAAGCGCATCTCCCCTCCCAGCTTTCTCTTCCTCTGCGCAAAGACTTCCTTCTAGACAGGCGGCCCGGGGGCGAAGCGGAGCCCCGCTGCGTCCCGGTGCATGCTGGGAGTTGTGGTCTCAGCGCCGTTCTTTCCACGCCCGCTCGGCGGCCCCTGCCCACCTTTCGCGCCGCCGCCTGCGCCAGGAGCCGCCTGGCCAGCTCCGCCCCTTCCTCTCCCGGGCTGTGGCCACGCGCGGCGGTTCCGCTTGCTTCTCTGGCCGCCCGGTGGGCCCTCCCCGCCATTGTCGGAGGCCGCGCCCTGCCCTGCAGATCTCGAGCCAGCGAGCCAACGGGGCGGCGGCGAAGGCGACGAGCTCGGCTGGTGCCTGAGGCGTGCGAAGCGGCCTGGAGGCTGCGGGAGCTCTTGGCCGGAGGTGGGCAGGAGCGGAGACCCGGGGGTGGGGGGAGAGGCGAGTGTGTGTTGTGCGTGTGACGGAGCGAGCGAGGGTGGTTGGCTGTTCTCATGAGGAAGAGCGAGCGAGCGAGCAAGCGAGCTCCGCAGGCCCAGAGGCTGCGCTTCCCGGAGGCTCCCACCACAGCTCTGAGGAGGAAGTGCCCGAGGGGCGGTGGAGAAGCGGCCGCGGGGAGGAAGAAAGGCAAAGGGGTTTGTCTTTTTTACTGCGCGGCGAGCAGGTGGGCGAGGAGGCCGCGGAGGAGCTCCCCATTACCTGGCGGACAAAGGGCGCTCGCCCCAGAGGTCTCCTCTGCGCAGGGAACATCTTCGGTAACGTTGAAAAGGCGCAAACCGGTTCGGGGCGACGCCTTCCTAGAGCTTTCGCGGTTTCAAACGGGCTCGGGAGGAGGATGTTTCTTAATCAGTAAGGGAACTCGGACACTTCTCTCTCCACCCACCCAGAAGCAGGCAGGCAAATTCCTCATGGCCTTTGGTGCTTCCTTCACAGGGGATCTTGAGCTCTTGGCCAGGCCGCTTGGGTGTCCCTGCTTGTGCAGTTGAGAGCAGCTCTTCCGTCTCCCACCGCACCCACTCCAAGCGCAGGTGAGACACAGGGCTGCTGCTGTTGTCTCCAACTATTCACCTGCCCGCTCCTTCCAGCAGGTGTTGGGGTAAAGGTCGAGCAAGAGGGGGCGGGTGCGGTTCCTGCTTCTTCCTTCCCAACTCCTCTCTCCTCAAACCCAGTACAGAGAACCGGAACCAGTTTTACTGCCCAGGGAGAGCCTATGAAGAATCAGAGAGCTCAGTAGTACCTCCTGTCTCCTCGCTGATTTTCTCTCTTAACTGTCTGGTGAAAAAGCCTTATGTCTGTTCGCTTTCCTGTCTGCTCTCTGCCCTCTTGTCGCTCTCAGCAACACAGGCATGTGAGTGGTCAATTTGCTGTTTGCACATTTGTCCAACCTCTGGCTCGGATTCTCTGTGATCTTTCTTTGGGTTGTGTAGTAGTAAGGATTGGCACAGCAAGCCCAATCATTCCTACTACCCCATCCAGAGTGTGTGTGATATAGGACAAGCGAACAGAACATGTGGCTGCAGCCTCACGGGGCCCAATCCTCCTTGTTGCTCTGCTGAAAGAAATATGGCTAACAGGGAAGTAGAGGCTTCTAGAGAAGAACATCACCTTCCCAAACTTCCATGCTGTGCTAGGAGGGAAAAGAAGACTGCTGGATCTTACACCTCTTGCTTAGTTCCCCTTGTTCTGTGGGTATTCTAGCATGGTAGGGAGTATTAAGTGATGGGTTGTATTCCTTGTCATTGTACTGTCCAGAGGAAGAGTGCAGGTAAATGAGCAAGAAGGTGAGGTGGCTGTGCTTTGTATGAACAGCTGACTCTGCCAGTTTCTGTCCCTGCACTGTTCCTCTTGGAGTCACAGAGAGAAGTATCATGAAGAAGAAAGAGGATGCATTAGCAGGCTGATATGTCAGGTGACCCCTCCATATTTCTCAGCATCATTCTCTCCACACTGCCCATAGAGAGTGTGTTTGCATTCTGTTACCTCTGCCCGCTTTGTTGCCCTCTTGGTGGCATGATGAGTATTGGACTGAATGCGGGGACAACACAAAGCAATGTTGCTGAGGTTCTTCCCTATTCAAATATCTGCAATATCCCTATTTCTTAAAATAAGATCACTGCTCATAATTTTGCATTGCGTATGCTGAAATTTGTTGTGTTGCTTACAAAGCCTATCACTAGAGAATGGGAGTGTCATATCAGCTCTTGCTCTCAGATTATCAAATGGAAAGGGTATTCTTCTCTGGATTTTGAACACCCTAGCAGTGTGTGTTGGGCAGAACTGACTCAGCCGTTACTGCAGACTGAGGTGGCTGCAACAGAAGCACCCTAGCTGGCATCCCCATGAGTATCCTGCTGCTGATGCAGAAGCAGCACTGGTATATGCAGATTTTGGTGAGAACTTGCCCAAAATTAGTGCCAGTGCCGGCACTACTTCTCTGCCAGCTGTAGAGGTGGCAGGGTGGGTGGAGAAGTGGCGGCAGCAGCAGGTATAGCTTGAACAGGGCAAGGCAGCACTTCTTTTGTTACATATCTTTAGATGCCAGGCAAAAAAATCCTTTTCTCCCAAGTCCTTTGGCTAAGTGTTTCTCAAATTTGTGTCTCCAGCTGTTTGTTGGACTACAATTCCCATAATTCCTAGCTAGGAGAACCAGTGGTCAGGGATGATGGGAGTTGTAGTCCAACTACAGCTGGAGACACAAATTTGAGAAACACTGGTACAGTGGTGCCCCGCAAGACGAATGCCTCGCAAGACGGAAAACTCGCTAGACGAAAGAGTTTTCCGTTTTGGAGGTGCCTCGCAAAACGAATCTGCTATGGGCTTGCTTCGCAAGACGAAAATGTCTTGCGAGTTCCTGGGGTTTTTTTTCCCTTTCCCCCCTCTTTTTCTAAGTCGCTAAGCCGCTTATCTGCTTATCCGATAAGCTGATAAGCTGCTAAAAGCCGCTAAAAGCCGCTAATAGCGCTAATCCGCTAATCCCATCAATGGGCTTGCTTCGCAAGACGAAAAAACCGCTAGACGAAGAGACTCCCAGAACGGATTCTTTTCGTCTTGCGAGGCACCACTGTAATTAAATGATCTATGGCCTTTTAAACTCTGGGGGTATTGTTTTCGTTTGTTACTTTGGTATGTATTTTTGTGTTTTTATATTGCAAACCACTTTGTGATCCTCAGATGAAGAGTGGCATAGAAATTTGGGCAGCAAAGTCAGACAAGAAATTAGTTCCTAAAATGGTATTTGGCCCCCCAAAATTTCTGAATATATGTGAACCATTTGCTATGGTTTGAAAACATATATCCAGCACCATAAATGTTATTAACAACTTCCTGATTGCCCTGACAAATCAGAGCATATTTTTTTCCAAGCCTCATTTTACTACAGTAGAACCTCGTGTTATGTACCATCTCCTTATGAATGCTTTGGGTAATGAGCGCCACTAACCCGGAAGTAGATGCTCCTTGTTGCGAACTTTGCCCCAGGATGCGAGCAGAAGTTGCATGCCGGCGGTGCGGCAGCAGTGGGAGGCCCCGTTAGCGAATGCATGCCTCATGTTAAGAACGGTTTCGGCTTCAGAACAGACCTCTGGAACGGATTCAGTTTGTAACCGGAGGTACCACTGTACTAGTAAACTTTCTCCATTGAGAAGACAAAGGGACAACATAACTTACATTGTCCATGTGCTGGTAACCTCTATGTTGGATTACTGCAATGCATTATACATGCTGCTGCCTTTGAAAGGTATTTGGAAACTGCAGCTGATACTGAATTTAGTGGCCAAATTGTTGACTAGCACATATATGTCTAAACATATAGCACCAATTCTGGCATGACTCACTGACTGCCAGATAATTTCCAGGCTCAATTCAAAGTGCTAGTTTTGACCTGTAAAGCCATATGTGCTCACGACCCCACTACCTCAAGGACCATATTTTCCCACATGAAGGGGCCCAGAACCTGTGGTTATTGTCTGAAGCTCTTCTCCATGTGCTTCTTCCACGTGAGCTCTGGATCAGGGGTCAACAACCTGCGGCCTGTGGGGGACATTTAAATGGCCCACGAGCTGCCCCCGAACCGAGCCGCTTGCAAAGTGAATCCCCGCGCGCTGCAGCGCGGAGTGGGGACTTGCTTCTGCGGCGCTGGAAATCGTGTCTGTGCAGATGCGTTCTGGCCCAATCTCTGCAGGAGTGAACCAGCCCAGGGGAGGTAAACCTTGCTGACCCCTGCTCTAGATGGTTGCAACAGAAGAGCGACCCTTTTCAGTGGTGGCTCCCTGCTTCTGAAATGCTTTTCCCAAAGAGAAACACCTGGTGACATCTTTATCTGTTTTTAGGTGCTAAACAAAGTTTTCCTTTTTAAAAATCTGGGCTTTTCTTCCTTAATTTGAAGTGTCTCAGATATTTGTGGCCTCTTTTAGTGGGGTAGGATCTGTAAGACTTTTCTTATTTGTATAGATGTGTTTATAGGCTTTTATTGGTTGTGTTTGTTATTATTGGTTTATAATTTGGTTTATACCGTTTCTGTAAGTTGTTTTGGGTCACTTTTGTTAGGAACGTAACTAATAAAAATAATAATAATTTTCCTGTCAACACTTGCCTACCATTGGACTTTTGGCCATTTTACTTAATACATTTTATTGTAATGTTTTCTAAGCACAAAAGGGGTTTGCATAAGGTTTTTGCATTTGAAATATATATATATATATATATATACTCAGATTCAGTTAAATTCAACAGCCTACTAGTACAGCCTGCATATTTTGGCCATATTCATCCTGGCTGCTGAAAGCCATGGAAATAAATGAGCATTGGGATCCCTCCAGAATTCCCTCGAGAGAGACAGTTCATGCCCTCTCTCAGGAAATTATTCAAGAGTTTTGAGGTAACTGTAGAGGAAACCTTGTTTCTAGCTGCTGCTGATCTTGCTTTCTGCAATATGCAGATGTGTAGGGCTCCATACAGGGTTAGAGAGTTTCTAACGTCTAAGCATATATCACCAATTCTTGCATGACTCACTGACTGCCAGATAATTTCCAGGCTCAATTCAAAGTGCTAGTTTTGACCTGTAAAGCCATATGTGCTCATGACCCCACTACCTCAAGGACTGTATTTTCCCACATGAACTGGCCCAGAACCTGTGGTTATTGTCTGAAGCTCTTCTCCATGTGCTTCTTCCACGTGAGCTCTAGATCGGGGGTCGGCAACCCGCGACCCATAGATCAAAATTGTGTTTGAAAAAAAATCATTCCAGTAGCACCTTAGAGACCAACTAAGTTTGTTATTGGTATGAGCTTTCATGTGCATGCACACTTCTTCAGATACCATGCACATGAAAGCTCACACCAGTAACAAACTTAGTTGGTCTTTAAGGTGCTACTGGAAGGAATTTTTTTATTTTGTTTCAACTATGGCAGACCAACACGGCTACCTATCTGTAACCAAAATTGTGTTGTGATTCAAAGATGAGCACTGGCACCTTGGATTGGGCCCAGAAATTCACAGGCAGCTGTGCTGTTGCTAAAACAGTTAATTGTACATGTTCATCCGTCGTTACACATTAGGAGGTGAACTGTGGCATTCTGAGCCAGCTATACCCTTTGAGTCTTTGACTCGATTGGTTTCTTGCCAATCTTTGAATCTACAAAAGCAAAGATCAGTAGGACTTGACCTCACAGCTTTGGAAAAGAATGGAGCCGGTTCAACAAGTGTGGCTGAAGAAAGTCACTCCTGGCCATTGCCAGTACACGCTTATTGGGACAAAAGCACCCCCAGGCTCTTAAGCTGTTTCAATGGGGTGAATACCACTACCTCTAAAATAGGTATAACAACTCCCTTGTGCATTGCAATTACTCTGTAGCATCATTTTTACCTTGTCTAGATTCAGTTTCAGTTTGATTGTTTCACTTACTCACAACTGCTAGACACTAACTAGCTCAGGACTTAAGAAGCCTCTTCCTAGACACATAACTACCGGTAGTTAAATATGTCTTTGGCATACTGATGGCATCTAACTCAAAAGCTCTGGATGGTTTCTTTCTGCAGCTTCATAGAGATGTTGAGCATTATCTGGGGCTAATACTGAGTCTTGTGGAACACTGCAGGTCAGTTCTCATCTTTCTGATATGGTCCAACTTTTCTGAGATGTCCAGCAGAAGTAGTAGAGAGAGATTATCCCTGATTACTCATGCTTTCTCAGTCCCATTACAGAGGAGTCGGTGGCATGCTGTAAGGTGCATCATCACTGGTGGTGGGAGAGCACTGATTAGTCTGTCTTATTGCCATGCTCTAGAATACACCTCAGTGACTATGCATTGTGATGAGAGACCTATAGCCATAGTTAAGTGTTCTTCCAGCAAAACTTGTCCACCATCACTTATTTTCTCTGGGAACCTCAGAATTTCCTATTACACAGCTTGAAAATCTTTATGGATAATATATATTTTTAAAGAAGATCATTAGATACACCATCATCTAGTTTGTTTCCCGTTATCAGTGTTTTAGTCCTCTTCCTTGGCCTTTTTCTTGCTTGCAGTGTATTGGATATTTATTACATTTATAAATAACAGTTGTCAAGGCATTTGATGTTTTAATAATTCCACATTTTTGTCAATTTTAGTACTATCTGTTTTGTATTAATGTGTTTACTCTATTTTATGTCACCTTTGTTTTATTTGCTTGTTTGCTTTTTAATGGTGATGTGATCTTAAAAGAGGTACTAGTATTTACTTGCTATTTTATGTAAGAAAATAATACCCCTGATAAAATAAGTAAATATCCGACTGCTCTTCCTTTTAAGGAACTCAGAACAAGGCATTCACAGTGTTGGCTGTGTTTCATGCACTTGTCAGGCCTAGATCTAAATTCTGGAGATGGAATTGGTTTATGAATAGAGCAAAATACTGTCGCCTAAGACCCATTTTTGTGTTGAAAGCTTTAATGATTAGGTGTCTGATTTATGTAGGAACAGAAGGTGAATCACATTTTTCTTTTTGCAGGCAAAATGTGCTGTGCTGCTCTTAAGTTTTGAGTGAAGTGAGGGGATAGTAAAATAAGGGACTCTTTTATATCCCTGCTGTAAAATGCTCTTGTGAATATTATTAGACCATGCTGTAGTCATAGGGAAAGAGGCTACTTCCTTTAGTAAGCAGGATGGAGAACTCCAAGAGATCTTCACATTGCTTCACTTAACATAATGTTTCATATGGGTTAAAGTGGGTAAGCTCTCCTGCACAGAAAGCGAGATATCCAATGTGTGCCAGTGCAAGCAAGGTCTCCTTCCCTCTGCCCATGCCCCCCCATCTATTCCAGAGAGCCCTCAACTCTCGAGGGCAGATTTGGTGGCATGAAAAGGTAGAGGGGAGGAAGGAAAAACAAAATCCACTTTGTGCAATCACAAGTCTGTTGTGCAAACAGACTGCAACAGTTAGATAATTGCCCAAAATGTGTGAATAGAACAGGTAGATGGCATACTCTCCTGTATAACCTTTACAGGATTACCTACTGTTGTTTGCTTGTAATCATTTCCATACTGAATTTGTTTTTATATCTTCTGTGGTCTATGGCCCCATACCTGCTTATTTTATAATTGCCTTGTTGATGCTGTGAAAAAGATTGGTTGGTTATCATGCATTGATTCTTTATGACACTGGTTTCTAATCTTTGAGACTGGATTGTCCGCTGAAGACCCACCTCTTCCCTTCCACCCCCTGAATTATTGTGATAATGGTTTATTTTGTTGTACTGGTTAAGTATGTTGTTGAACAAGATATGCACCAGTGTCTAATTGCCTTAATTTCTTGCTAGTAAATTAGGGATGGAAGTAACTCGAGTTCTTTGGAAGTTTAACTGCATGTCTGTAATTTGTGATTGGGAGACATGATGAAGTAAATTGGTAAAATAATTTTAAAATAATTAATCTGAACTGCCCCTATATCTCAGTGTTACTATATTTATTATTTAATCAGAAACAATGCTGGATTGTTTCCAGGCAACTTACAATCAAGTTTAAAACAAAGGTGTTATTTTTAACCATTTTCTATCAACATTTAACAACAAATCATTACATAATTATCAACAATCTGGAGTGACATTAACATACAGCCTTGACGCAGCTGGAAATACCTGGGAGATTCTTATTTTAAGTGATTGTTTCCTAGTCCATGAAATACCTGGGAGATTCTTATTTTAAGTGATTGTTTCCTAGTCCATGAAATACCTGGGAGATTTTTATTTTAAGTGATTGTTTCCTAGTAATGGGTATTTGACTTATCAAAAGGTATTTGGTTAACTGACTGGTCAAATAATAAAGTATTTGTTTATTACATTTATGCATTTATATCCTACCTTTCCTCCAAGGAACTCAAGGTGGCATACATTATTCTCTCCAACTTCATTTTATCCTCACAACAATGCCGTGAGGTAGATTAGCCTGAAAGACAGTGACATGCTCAAAGTCAGCCAGAGAGCTTCAGAGTTGAGTTTGGATTTGAACCCTGGTCTCCCAGGCCCTAGTCCAACATTCTAATCATTGCACCACACTGACTCTCATTCTTAGTTTTATTACATTTTAAATGGGTCCTTTCCTTGCCCAATTCCAGATGCTCAGTGTGGTATACATTTCTCTCTCCTTGCCCTTCACCTATTTGATCTTTGCATCAATTCTGAGATAGGTTGGACTGAGTGTATGTGACCGGCTTCATTTCACCTAGTAAGCCTCATAGCTAAGGAATGAATTCAACCTGGGTACCTTTGGTCTTAGTCTGACAATCTACTGCCTAGGCAGGGACCTCTGCAACTGATCCATGCTTGTGTTCCATTTTAGAGATGCCTACAGTTATAGCAGGTAGCTAGAGGGAGATGCTCTGCTGCATTACTGGGTTTTCCCCACTACTGCAGAGCTGGGGCTAAAGCTGTCTTCACTCCTTCCCTTGTTAACAAATGACAGCATACTTATTCTTTTTAAAGAATAATAAGCTTCCCTCTACTTTGTGACAGTCTTGGAATATTTGACAGTACTTGACCACAATCAGATAGCAGGTGATCAGTTGACAATATTTGACCAATCAGTTGACTGACATGGCAATCTATTATGTGAAATTAAATAGGGCACAATAGTTTAATCATCAGTAGCTAATTTAGTCACAAGTGCTACTTCAAGAATGACTGCTACCGTATGCTTCAGAGGAAGCCACAGGCAAGAAGAAACCTGAAACCAGGAAAATTATTTCACAACTGCCTGCAATAGACACCCTCCTGAAATAGCTACTATTAAGCAGGAAGCATAGACAATTTCTTCCCTTACATCCACTTGTGCTTTTTAACATTAACTCTTTTGCTTCTGTATTAACATCTCTGTGCTTTATTTTTTATTTAAACATACTGTAAAAATCTATGTTAATACCATTCTGCTATGGAAGTAGCAGGGTGTGTGTGTATTTTAAAGAAGCATCAGCCTTATACCATCCAGCCACTGCTAAAGTGCACCCCCCACAGCATTCCCCCACTTTTCTCTCTTTTACAAAGTTCTGTTGCTTCATCACAGCCAGTCCTACCATTAGACAGCGTGAAGCAGCCTTCTTCGGTGACAGTTGCTGGGGTGGGTGGTTTGTAGCAGTGCAGTGCAGGAGAACAGAGCTGTGAGTGTCACCTGGCGTGCTCTGCACCCACTAAGCTAGCCTGCTGCTCTCATTGTGGTGGAGAATGCTGACCTGTCACCAGTGCTGAAGTAAGATTCAGCTACCAGTCCAGTACAGTGCACCCTCTGGATATGGATTTAATTCGTTCCGGGGGTCCGTGTGCACCCCGAAAAATCCGTAACCAGAGGCGCCACTTCTGCGCATGTGCGTGGTGTGATAGAGCACTTCTGCGCATGCATGAGAGGCGAAACCTGGAAAAATACTTCCGGGTTTGCCGCTTTCGCAACCCGAAGATTACGTATCCAGAGAGGTACGTAACCTGAGGGTCCACTGTATATGGGATGTGGGGGAGGGATAGGATCCATATTGTCCTTCAGCTCAGGCAGCAAAATTTATTGGACCGGCCCTAGGTTTCACTCCGGTAACATCATTCTGAAGCACTCCTGAATGTTGGCATAATGTTTGTGTCATTTTACCTGCTGATTAGTAGCATATACAGTCGTACCTCGGGTTAAGTACTTAATTCGTTCTGGAGGTCCGTTCTTAACCTGAAACTGTTCTTAACCTGAAGCACCACTAATGGGGCCTCCCGCTAATGGGGCCTCCCGCTGCCGCTGCGCTGCCGGAACATGATTTCTGTTCTCATCCTGAAGCAAAGTTCTTAACCCGAGGTAATATTTCTGGGTTAGTGGAGTCTGTAACCTGAAGTGCATGTAACCTGAAGTGTATGTAACCCTAGGTACCACTGTATTGCAGGATGCAGTAGCAGTAGCAGTAGCAGAAATGGCATTCAAAGCTACTTTGATAATATATTTGTATCCTGCTCCATCTCAGGGGCCTTGGACAAGTACTGTAGAAGTAATTTTCCCCTTGCTACTGATGACTGAGAGCTTTGCTAAGTATTTCCATAAAAATATTATGGCGTTTTGGTAGCTGTAGCGTGGGGGAGAAGTCACCTCTCTTTTTCATTGCCATCTTGGGTTGCTTCTTACTGTGTAATAATAATGTTTCCCTTTCTAGTTGTATATCAAAACATCAGTCTTATGTTACTGTATACAGGTTAAGTACTAATTATCTAGTGTCTGGAGCCATTGTAACTAGCTCATATTTATCTTAAGCCTTCTAAATATAGTGCCTTTCAGACACGAGCAACAAAATATCTGCAGTTAAATCTCTAGAGTTAAGCAGTAATTTTATAAAGATGAAAGACTTAGAAGCGCATAAAATAAGCATAGATCATAAGTTAAATAATCTCCAGATGATTCATTTACTACTTGGAAACATTGGTAGAATTCTGTTAAGGCACTTGATTGCAATATGATTTTGGAGGTATGCTTAAAATTCCTTTTAATCTATTACTTAAAATACTGAAGAGGTTTAAGTTACAATTGCTTGAATAATAGTGGATGGTGTATTTTGCAAGATGACGGGTTTCTGTTGGCTTTGCATACTTGCATCAACTTCATGTGTTTAATAACAGCAACAACAAAGGGCTGTATTCAAACAACAAAGGACTGACTCAATGGACTTTGGTCCACAGAACAGAGCTTTTTCTTCTTCGCTAGGCTTGGGGACCCTCCAGAACAGATTTTGGGGGCATACAGGGGAAGGGGAGGAAATGGAAGTCCCATTGTGCCAGTGGATACAACCCAAAATAGGCCAAATAAAGAGTTGCTATGATAAATCTTGTCATAGAAGCTTGGACATTACGTTGAGTCAACAGTAAAGATAATTGTGTTAAAATTGACTCCTGTCGGAATCATGGGAACTATTCTGCAGGCTGGAAATAGTGCTCTGTGTATAATATGCTAACAGCTTTTATATTCCATCTTGAGCCACCTAAGTTGGGACGTTTTGGAATACGAAATGGAAGTGCTGTTCTATCTACTGTAATTTGTTCTGGCTTCTGTTGAACAGTTGTGGTGGTCCTAAAGAGAACATATAGGGGATGCTCCCCCCCCCCCAGCTGGTCTTGCTTTATCCACTATGTAAAGCAAAAGAAACATACAGGCAACTCCCCATTTGCTCAGGGGTTGCCTTCCGGCTCATAGTGTATGTCAGCAGAGTGCGCATTAGCCTGGCCCATTCCACCCCCTTACAGGGCTGAAAATGGCATGTATGTCAGTGGTTGCACATGCCTTGAACACACACAAAATGGGAGTTGCCTGTGCTCTACATTCAATGGGGGTTGCATGGAGGGATCTTCTTGGGTGAGGATAGGACTGTGTGCCTTGAAAATTGACAGCAACACTTTCTTGTGATTATTTGAATTGCTTGTAATTTTCCTGAAATATATACTAATGAAAATATGCTACTTCATATATTACACACAAGTAAACCATGACTTGCTATTGACTGAAGCTCCCTATTGTGTGTATTGTCTTATTACTGCTTCTTGATGTATCTGCTACATGATATGCGTGTATTTGCAGTCACATTTCTGTCACATTCACATTTTACATTTTTTGATCTTTTACATGTGCGTGTAACATTATCGTTGACAGAATACCTTCAATGCATCTAGAAGAAACCAGACTTAAGTTTCCTGAAGTAACACGTCTCTAAATTGCCTAGAGATAGTTAAGATTTTTTGCTGCAAAACCTCTTAGCACCTTATGAACTAACAAGCTTATTGTATCACAAACCTTTATGATATAATGTTTGCAGGGGTATGTATATACAGTGGTACCTCGGGTTTCAGCCGCTTTGGGTAACAGATGTTTTGGGTTACAAACTCCGCTAACCAGGAAGTGGTTGTTCCAGGTTAAGAACTTTGCCCCAGGATAAGAACGGAAATTGCGTGGCAGTGGCGCAATGGCAGCAGGAGGCCCCATTAGCGAAAGCGCGCCTCAGGTTAAGAACCGACCTCTGGAACAAATTAAGTTCTTAACCTGAGGTACCACTGTATGTGTACATATGGGTCATGGAGAAAAAATGTAAATAGCAAGTGATAGTACCTGCCAATAATGCTTATTACTATCAATACATGAGAAACAAGTCATTGTCTACAGAAAAGTGTAAGAGGACGCAAATCTGACAGATCATTAGTTTATGATTGTATCATGGCAGTTATCAGTGGGAGAACATTTTGCTCCCAGGATGCTCTATTGCTGACCTAAACATTGCTGTTCTTCAACAGGGAGTATGAGTCACAATGCCTGATTGGGAATGTGTGTTTATTACATGAATCTGTGGTAAACCCCCCCCCCCCATTTCTAGACTGTTGAAATATGTGACATGATATTTGTTTACCTTTTGGTGGAAAATATATATTTGCTGGAAGTCCTCTGTTGGAGTGTTACAGTCTCTGACAAACCTATGTATGTCTATTCAATAGTACGAGTTATTGATATCCATGAATTTGTGGGGTGCTTCAGGGTTCTGTCCTCTCCCCCATGCTTTTCAACATCTACATGCAGCCACCGGGAGAGATCATTGGGGGTTTGGGCTGAGTGTTCATCAGTATGCGGGTGATACCCAGCTCTATGTCTCTTTCAAATCAGAACCAGTGACGGCAGTGAAGGTCCTGTGTGAGTGCCTGGAGGCGGATGGAGAATGGATGGCGGCTAACAGATTGAGGTTGAATTCTGACAAGACCGACAGAAGTACTGTTTTTGGGGGACAGGAGGCGGGCAGGTGTGGAGGACTCCCTGGTCCTGAATGGGGTAACTGTGCCCCTGAAGGACCAGGTGCACAGCCTGGGAGTCATTTTGGACTCACAGCTGTCCATGGAGGCACAGGTCAATTCTTGTGTCCAGGTCAGCTGTTTATCAGCTCCTTCTGGTACGCTGGCTGAGACCCTACCTGCCCGCAGACTCTCTCGCCAGAGTGGTGCATGCTCTAGTTATCTCTTACTTGGACTACTGCAATGCGCTCTTTGTGGGGCTACCTTTGAAGGTGACCCAGAAACTACAACTAATCCAGAATGCGGCAGCTAGACTTGTGACTGGGAGCAGCCGTCGTGACCACATAACACCGGTCTTGAAAAGACATACATTGGCTCCCAGTGCGTTTCTGAGCACAATTTAGTGTGTTGGTGCTAACCTTTAAAGCCCTAAACGGCCTTGGTCCTGTATACCTGAAGGAGCATCTCCACCCCCATCATTCTGCCCGAACACTGAGGTCCAGTGCCGAGGGCCTTCTGGCGGTTCCCTCGCGAGAAGCCAAGTTACAGGGAACCAGGCAGAGGGCCTTCTTGGTAGTGGCGCCCACCCTGTGGAACGCCATCCCACCAGATGTCAAAGAGAAAAACAACTACCAGACTTTTAGAAGACATCTGAAGACAGCCCTGTTTAGGGAAATTTTTAATGTTTAATAGACTATTGTATTTTAATATTCTGTTGGAAGCCGCCCAGAGTGACTGGGGAAACCCAGCCAGATGGACGGGGTATAAATAATAAATTATTATTATTATAATATAATTGTGAGATGTTGTTATTGGTGTCTGTATGCCTAATCAGTGCTGCCATGCTTTGTGCAAAAATTCAGCTCTATTTTGCTTTTGAAATGGCTTGCAGTAATTCACTTCCTGTTTTTAACATGACTATAAAGTACAAAAGAGGATTTCCTCTTACACCATGAACAAGCTTAGTAAAGGACATCTTTAGTAGTGCATTCATAAAGCAAGGGTTCCAATTTGTCAAAAGTCAAGACAAATGCTGTAAGGCTCCTGTTTTAATAAAAGGAGACTGGTGGACCACACACCTTCATATCTCAAACCTAGCAGCTGAAAGGGAAACACTTTGTCAGTTTGGCTTGTTTCATGCAGGGCTTTTTAAAGGCTTTTTTTTTAATACAAAAGCATAGTACTCTTAAAGAAACCAGAGTGTAGACAACCAGGAAGCAGAAGTTGCTATTTCTCCCAGTGCACCATTAGACAGTGAAAGTGGAGAGTGATTACTTAACTGTCCTTGCTGAAAAGTAAGGAGTTAGCTCTCCATACAGCTTCAAGTGAAAGAAGTAAATAATGCACTCTTAATGTAGCAGCTGCACAAACCTCCTTAGGGGAGATCTGCTTGCACTTTAAAAGTTCATTAATTTAAGAAACACAATTCTTTTTAATACTGGACCACATTAAGTGTTCTTGTGCCCATATTTAAGTAGCCAAAACACATGCATGAGAGAGGGAATCAGTAGATTCAGTGTCACCCCAAGGTTTTCACGTTCTCAAAAGCTGTAGGGGGAGCATATAAGGTGGTGGGTGGTGGGACTCAAAACAGTCACATAAGAACTTAATGCCATGAAATCTTGTGAGACTGAGGGGGGCTGAAATGGTAACTGGATAGAAGGGGAAATTGAATGGAGTAGTGGCAAGGAAAGGAGAAGACACACAGATATGAAAAAAGTGGAAAGTGCCATCTCATTGTAGGTCACTCACTTTCTGGTTGAGACTGAGAGACTATTATAAAATATTCCCAGAGGCATAGCCCATAGAGTTCAGTGGAGAAACTGAAAGACATGTGTAGCTGGAATTGGTCACGTGTGCTCACCTCTATAAAAACCTCTAAAATGGAGGAGAAGGGGGTAAGCTGGCCCATGAGAACTGGGCAAACTGCAGTTCTCATAGGCCATTATACTTCAGCATTTAATGCTTTTGGTTCAGGTTTTCTTGTCATTTTCCTTGCTCTGTGCATAATTATTGAAGAGGGAAGAACCCATTTGAGTTAGGGTTACTTTGCTGTTTTGACTGCAAAGGTGCCCTTCTCCATTGTCTCTCGAGATTGACGGATGCCAACAACTTTATTAAGATTTTTGGTACTTCATGAAAACTGGTTTTCTCCATGTTCTTTCAAAAAGGGGGGGGGAGTAGGTACCCATTACAAACAGAATTTAGTTGGAACCCTGGAATGTATCTGGGATATGGTTAATGTTGTTGAGTTCTCTGAACTTGTTTTTGGAGCAGAGATGCACATAGAATAACTCTCTAACTTGGATTCACATGTGCCTTCACTGTGTTCCTAGTGAGAGCATCCCTGTTCTGTATTTTTATGGAACTTGGGACCATTCTGTTTCCATCTGAAATAAGAGCTTGCCTATGAATAATCACTTAAGCAGTGACTAATAGATACTCGAGCAATGACTAATAGAGAAGCTGAAAACTAGAGTTCCTGAAATAGTCTGCCAGTTTTCTTGCGTAAGGTAAACGGCAATACAGAACAGCTACTTGCTGCTGTCCTTTAGGTGGGCAGCTAGGGGAGTTTTGTTCCACCAGACCCTTAATGTTTGTTGACTTGATCTAATTGCAGTTTTGTTTATTTGAACAATTATGGCTTGAATGTTCTTCTTGAGGTGTATTACAGTAATATTTTACTGTTATAAAAATATGTGGAAGCTCTTTTTTAGAGCCAAAGGGGATGTTAAATAAACGTTTTTATACATTTATACAATAATATTGAATAGGAGGAGCAATCCTCTTTTTGTTGTTGTGTACTACAACTCCCCCCCCCCCCGAATCATAGATCAGATTCTCCTTTGACTCTGTGTAGTTGGATATTCCCCCTTTATGTGTATGCTTTTAAGGGAATGTGGTGAAAAGAATGCCTGTATACTTGACAAGGCCCACATCTTTATTGATCACATGTATGTGTATTGGAAGTGCTGGAAGCTAAATGAGAATCTGCCTTAAATGTAAACTTGGCTTCCGTGTAAATTACCATATCAGGGGTCAGCAACCTTTTTCAGCTGTGGGTTGGTCCACTGTCCCTTAGACCATGTGGTGGGCCAGACTATATTTTGGGGTGGGGGGGAATGAACGAATTCCTATGCCCCACAAATAACCCAGAGATGCAATTTACGGTAAAGAAAAGCACACATTAATCATGTAAAAACACCAGGCAGGCCCCACAAATAACCGAGAGATGCATTTTAAATAAAAGGACACATTCTACTTATGTAAAAACACGCTGATTCCTGGACCGTCTGCAGGCCGGATTGAGAAGGCGATTAGGCCGCATCCAGCCCATGGGCCTTAGGTTGCCTACCCCTGCTCTACACAGTTTGTTCATCTAATTTCCCAGGAGTGAACATTGCTTTAATTAATCCTGGATGATTCTTTTTAGCCTCTGGTTATGTCACTACAAATTTGCACATGCTTTGCTGAGTCAATATCTCAAGTTTAACAAGACTGATAACTTTGTTCAAAGCAGGCCAAGTTTCTGCCTTGTCTAGGTTCATTGTAAATGGGTTCTCAAAAAATGAAGTTGGAATGGAAGTATAATTCTGGGTTGACTTGGCTGGTTTTAGAGGGTTCCATGGGCTCAAATGCTCCCTTTAGTTCTCTACAAAGTACCACTTGCTTTTCTGATGAATGTTAAACTATCATTTGCTATTTCACTGCAGGCACAAAGCCGAGTCAGAAATACAGTTCCATATTGGGTATGAAGTATGTGAGAGACTCTCTGTTAAACATTTAGTGCACTTTGTTTCAATGTCTGTTTGCTCTGGTCACTGGATAATTACTTGTAAATTACAGGACTGCTGCTGTTACTATAAACCCCGGTTTATAGTGTGACTCTTCAGCACAAAACATGTCTGGAAGCTATGGGTAGTTGCACAATTCTGATCAGATTAAATTTGAATCCAGACAAACTGGAGTGATGCTAATTAGATCTCCTTGTATCCTTAAGGGAGAAGGTTTGAGGTCAATGGAGTAACAATTATTCCATCAAAACATATACAGAATCTGGGAGCCTTGTTTGATTTTGCCCTGTGTTTTGGTCAGCATGGTCAAGTTCAGAATCTCTTTTAAATGTCTCTCAGTGTTGGATAAAAGCAGAAACTATTTCTCTAGTGCCAGCTGAGCCACAACTGATTTGGAGAAATCTCTACTTGGTGATTTGAAGAAGGTCCTCATTGTGTTCCTTCCTCCCTGTTAGTAGTACTGTGTGCATGTGCTACAGCAGGGAAGCACGTCTCTCCCTTTGGCCAGGCAGACACCTGCCCCTGAAAAGCTTCAGGAGGGCTACTGGCCAGGCAATATTGGTGTATCTTGCAGCTAGCTGGTGCTTCTCCTAGTGGGGTAGGAGAGCTAAAAATAATGCCAATATATTTCAGAACTGGCAACCAGTGTACTCCCTTTGGTTTCAGATAGTACATGGATACACCAGTAAAAAAAGCATGGGGCTTAGTTTGGTCAGAAACGAGTATATACTTCCAGAATTAATTCTGAATACATTACTTCTGGTAAATGAGCCGCCATACCTGCAAGAGGGCCATGAAAAGTTGTGTCCTGGGCTTTTTGGACTCCTCTATCCATGTACTATCTGAAACCAAAGGGGCGCATTGGTTGCCAGATGTGATCCCCCCCCCCAAGCTCTCCTACCCCACTGTCCCAACATAGCCTGAGATGGACCACCCTCAGGTTTCTGCAACAAACAGGCCTCTGGAGCATCCCTTTGCTTTGTACTGAGAGGAATACCTGCCAGATTCCTTTGTGAAGTGAGGGCTAGACCATCCCTGCTGAGGATGCCTTGAAGCAGCAATAATATGATTGAGGGAGGATCTTGGTAAGAGATCAGGCTCTCCACACTGAATAAATTGGTAGTGCTTGGTGTAAATTAAAGCATATTGTGGTGGGTGGCTGTTTGTTCCTGCACAAAACTGGGCAAATATACCTCTAATGTTGCTTACTCTAAACTTTAGAATGATGTTTTCATACTATGAGTCATTAAAATGTATATAGGTTGTCTGTATTTCCTGTAGGGCTGCAATGTTTAATCAGTTAATTGGTTAGTTGAAAAAAACAACAACTAGAGAAATGCTGTCAAGTAACCAAATGCAGTCGTACCTTGGAAGTCGAGCAACTTAGTTCTCGAACATTTTGGCTCCTGAACAATCGAAACCCGGAAGTCACTGTTCCGGTTTTTTAACGTTGTTTTGGAAGCTGAACATCTGACGGGACTTCCACAGCTTCTGATTGGCTGCAGGAGAGCTCCTGCAGCCAATCAGTAGCCATTCTTTGGTTTTTGAATGTTTTGGAAGTTGAACGGACTTCCGGAATGGGTTCCATTCGACTTCCAAGGTACGACTATAGTACTTTTTTAAATTTTTAACAGAAATACTTATAAAACCTGCAGGTGGCAAACATCTTAAAAAGTATTTTCCCTTTCCTTTAAAATAGGAGGTAATTAATTTTTATTTTTTTTTAGATTCCTGCTTTGCTATTCATACATTTCTTCCAGAAATGGAAGAAAATATGCTTCTAGCTTTAACCAGAATTCATTACAATTAATCAGTTAATATTTATTTATAATCAGTTACCGCTCTAACTTTCTGGTTTTCATGTAGGTAACAATTCAACAGGGCAGTTGTAAGCTGCATCATATTAAATCTACTGGAGAGACACTTGAGAGAAAAGGAACCAAAGGAGCTCTTAAGTTGTACATTACTTGCTAAAGAACTGTTATGAGTGTGCATTAAAATAGAAAGAAAGATAATGCTAAGCAAGTATCATCATTCAGTAAATCCTCACCAGTGCCAGTAACAAAGAAATACCTTTCCTGCTATAAGCCAGAGTGCCTTTTAAGTAGCTCAGAAGAACGTCATATCAAGTAACCTTTCATCTTGGCTCTTTGCTGGTTGAGATGGGAGGAGTGGAATGGAATTACTAAAAGGTGTGTAGCCTGGAGGGACAAGCTGCTCCTTTGTTAACAGGAAAACTGAGGCTGCAGCCCTGTTATAAACTCCCATTGAGCTCCGTGGGACTGACTTCAGAGTAGGCATGCCTAGATTGCACTTCAGTTGCACTCTTAACAAAAGCTAAGTTGAACACAGAATTTAAATGTATTTTAGTCATGACATTTCTTATTTGGGGACATTTTAAGGCGCTTAAATCTGTCCCAACTCCTCTAGACAGCGAATAAACAAAATCTGATATGTTTATGACAGTGAAGCTTCTGGCATATATGGAATTAGGTGGTGTGGTGGGATGGAATGATCAGTGAACTAAATGGTTTATAGTCCAGCTTCTGTGGAAAGAAGTGAGAATAGAATGGAGTTAAAGCTGCATGTGGGTCAGTCCAAAGAGCAGGGTAGCAGAACAGTGTGGTTAACTAGAAGGACTTGGGCAAAACTATAAATAGGGCCTAAAGTCAGGAGGGATGAAGCAGGAGTTGCAAGCAAGGTGGATTGATTAATGGATTTAAACCAGTGCAGTATAAAATAAAATAAATAAAATAAAATAAAATAAAATAAAATCAAGTCTTATGGTTACTGGCATACTACAGCAAGTGTTTTTCATCCAATGAAGTTGAATTGCCTATGTTTACTAGGTAGAATGTAACTACTCACATTTGAGAAATGATCAAATTAGTTCTTCATTTACATAGAAATGCTCCTTTAATCCAATGGCTTGGTTCATGCTTCACATTAAACCATAGTTAAAATAAGCTGTGGTTTAATCTGAGTGAGCAAAATGCTGGTGCACACTGCGGAATAATAGGCAGTTAGCTTAATCCCCATTTCTGTTGTGCTGCTGAGAAATGTCATCCGGATTCAGGCTCATGGTTGGTTTTTCTCTAGACAAACCAGAACAGAATCCAATGTTTGGTCTTTGGTTTAAAGTTTGTAGTTTGGAGGAAACAAATTGCAAACCTAAGTCGCATGATTCAACAAGCCAGACCATAGCTTATTTTCCAGGAGTGTAACAGGAAGAGGGGAGGAGCAGAAATATGCCGGTTGTTGGCATCTATTGTTATTGATGGCAGGGGGGTTTCAGAGTGCTGAATTTCATTCACATTGATTTGAACTTGCCTGGTAACTATTTGGTTGCAGGAATTAAGTCACCTTTCTAATCAAAATAGTCTTGTTTGATGAGTAGTAATTATTTGTGCACCTGTGACTGCCATTAGGCAGTTTAATGAAATAATGAGCCTCACGACAGCAAGGGAGATTCTATATTTGAAACAAACAATTTAGAATAGTGACCCAAATGCTGGAAACAGCTTTCAAATTCCCTGTTTGAAACAATTAAACATATATACACATTTATTTTGCATCCAGCCTGATGTTCATTTAGCAAGATAAATTTTTTTTTTAGAAAAATAAAAGAATAAGAAGATTTCATGGGCTATGTTAATTGGGTGACAGAGCACCTTTCCTTGTTGGAGGGGTCATGTTACATCCACCCAAAACAAAGCACTGGAAAACCATCATCAAGCAAATAGAAAGAGACTTAATTGCAAGCCATTTCCTAGGCTCTTTTCAGTTCTGTTTGCTTCACAGAGTCTACTGCCTTATTACCTTTTTGCTGCAGAATGATCAAAGTTGTGTGTTTCTACTCACTGCTGTTTTGCAGAATTATAGGAAGATTGCAGGTATGAAGTGCTGCAGTGAGAAATACCTCTATTGCCAAAAAATGTGGTACCCAAATTTTGTATTGTGTCAATAATCTCTTTGGGAGGTTACAACATACAGAATAAAATCTAGATGCTGTTCAGTGTGTGTGTGTTGTCTGATGCATCTTTAAAGTTGATGCTTTTGTGGTGCTGGAAAGAACTCAAAGGCATTTTCTTCTCTTTCTGTGGTTTTGTGGGCAGTGATGTTAGTATGAAAATGGCATTCTATATTAAGGTGCCACCAGGAAAATAATGTTAAAATTTCAGAAGTGTAGGTGGAAGGGCTGGTGAGTCAAGATGAAAGGGAAGAAAACCAGCTTCAGGCGTATGCTTTGCTTAGTTGGCAGCAAAAGGCATAGAAATTTAAGCGCAAAACGGATTTGACAGTAGTAGATGTGAGGGCATGTGACAGAGGCAGAAGGACTTGGAACAGTCAACATTTTCCAAACAAGCAGCAAGCTAGCAGAATTGGTAAAAGATCAAGGTGATGTCTTGTTTCAGTGTCCCACCCCCAAAACACTGTGACTGGAGAACCCTGATAAAATAAATACAGTGTCGTTGATTAGAAACTAGAACTGTTAGTCACAGAGATCGCTCCCCCACCCCTATCCTGCTCTGCCCAAGTATTTTTCTTACGTGCAAACTTGGGTACAAATGTTTCACGTTTTGCAGGTTTACTATCTGCAGTGCTTTTTTCGATTTCTGAATTTCCAAGATGCCCCAGATTCCTTCAGAGGTCCCTGATTTGGTTTAAGATGCCTTAGGAAGATACTACTTGCCTGAATCTGTCTGAAACACCATGCTTCTGTTCAGGATTCATTTGAATCTGTTGCACATTTCTAATAAGATCTCTTTCCCCTATAGAGAATATTAACAATGTGTGCAAGACTTGGAATTCAAGAAGAGTAAACAAGGTGTAACATGCTTTTGCTATCTCTACTGACTCTGTGTTTTATTTAATTGCAGTGCATTGACTAGCCATTAAGTATCATGTCTGACAACGGAGAACTCGAAGATAAGCCACCAGCTCCACCTGTTCGGATGAGCAGCACTATCTTCAGTTCAGGAGGGAAAGATCCATTATCTGCTAATCATAGCTTGAAACCCCTGCCCTCTGTTCCAGAAGAGAAAAAGCCTAGGAACAAAATCATCTCTATTTTCTCTGGCACTGAAAAAGGTAAGATGCTGCATTGTGTGGGTTCAAGACATTCTTCCCTTCGCAACTCCATTGTGCCATATACATACTTTTAGCTAGGAAACACATGACTTACAGAGCAGTGCAACATGGATCTCATTTCGGTGATTGCACTGGCACGCAAAAAAGTAGCAACCAGCTTCGCTGTTACTCAGCTGGGCAAATGCTGCTGGACTCCTTGGGTTTGTGTTCTCTTTCTGTCAGTCCCTCTTCCTAGGAGTGGGGAAAACAACCTGGTTGAGTACATGCAGGTTTTCTCTCTGTCCCTCTTCCTGCTAGGAAAAGATTGACCAAAAGCAGGCCATTCCAGCCAGGGTAGATTCAAATAGAGTCCTGTGACAGTCTACCTGGAGGCAGCACATTGGAGCTATGTTTTCTCTTCCTCTCCCTTCTCTGGGAGGCAGAGGGAAACAGGCTGGTATGTAGCCTATGAAATGGAGAATCGCCCTCCTTTTTATGAGGGAAGGGGAAGAGAAGCAGCCTGTAGAATTACAGCACAACTGAACATACCATACACTCTTGTCTAGTTGGCTGGAGGCAATCCTCCCTGGATTCATCTTTATTAAAACAAATTTAATACCTGAAGTCAGACTACAGGCCCATCTAGCGTAGTATTTCCTACTGTCACTAACAGCTGCAATCCTAATTGCACTAATCTAGGAGCAAGCCCTGTTGAATTTAACAGGACTCACCTCTGAGTAGACATGGTTAGGATTGTCCTGTAAATTTCACCAAGCCCACTTTTGACTAAAATTAGTAGAGCTGTGTTACAGGCTTGTGCAGCTTTAATGTTTTGAAAGTTTGGAGGATTTGAGAAAATTAGGCAAATGTTTTGGAGAAAATGGCCAGGGGAAATGAAAATGCTTACATCTTAATCTTCATTATAGTCTTTAACTGCCCACCTAATTGTAAGCTTAGACTTGGGGTGAAAAATATAGGTTGCAAATGTACTTAGCTCACACAAGTACAATGTTATAGAGCCAACATGCAGAAACTAGTTTCAAATGGTCACTTTCCAGTTTGAATTGCAAACACAAAGATGCAGGAAAATCTAGGCAAAATGCCTTCACCCTACCAAGCAAGAAATGCAGACCCAAAAAAGCAGGCAACCCCCTCCTGCAAACAACCAAATGCCCTCAATTAAAATAAAAAATTGAGAGTGGCTGGGGGGCTTAGTGAGTGCCAGTATGGGTGTTTGAATTTCCTTCTACATGATTTAGCTGAAATATGTTACATGTCTGTTTCAAGACATCCTGCTTACTAGAATCATGGGGCATATTTGTGCACCTAATAGTTATGTTTAAAGAATATTTGCTGGCTAGGTTTTACAGCTGTTTTCCTAGGCTGACTATTCTGTTGTTCTTGTAGGGAGTAGGAAAAAGGAAAAAGAAAGGCCTGAAATCTCTCCCCCATCAGACTTTGAACATACCATTCATGTTGGCTTTGATGCAGTTACAGGAGAATTCACTGTAAGTATGCCAAGCTTCTCTCTGTTCAGTGTGTACTAACTTATGGTTGATAAGAAATATAATATTTTCTTTTTAAGCACTGTTGTTACCAATGTATTTCATCACTGAAAAACATTCTCAATACATATTTCTCCTGTTGCACCAATAGGAAAGCTGTAGAAAACTGAAATAATGAAATGGGGTAAATTTAACTTAAAATAGATGTTATATTGCAAAATACTGTTTCTCATTGTAACAACAAACTGGACCTCTTTATTAAATTTTGATTATGCTGACTTGTTTCATTGTATTCTCTGTAGGATCTTGAAATAGTGATTTTGTCCTGTGTCCATATGAATTATTTAAACTTGTGGATGTTATACTTTAGATGTAATTTTGTATTCTTTTCCTAGGGAATGCCAGAGCAGTGGGCTCGGCTGCTACAGACGTCAAATATCACCAAGCTAGAACAGAAGAAGAATCCTCAGGCTGTCCTTGATGTGCTGAAGTTCTATGATTCTAAAGACACAGCAAGACAGAAATATTTGAGTTTTTCTGCTACAGGTAATCTTTAGAATACTGTGAGAAAATTCAGGGGGAGCTTCAGGTTGTTCTTGAGAAGCGTTAAAGAATTTGCTTCTAAAATGAAGAAGCAATCTGCAGTGAAACTCTTCAATGTATAGTGCTTTGGAGAAATGGCAGTGTGGGGCACAGCTTTCAGTAAGCCAAAATTCTAATGATGGATAAGATCCATTACTGCCCCTTTAGTTTAAATAGTTAGAAGAAGTTTATTTGAAGTACTTGATCGTGAAAGGATAAGTAATATCCTTTCATTTTCTTAAACATTTTTGAGTCTACGGTCCCTATCTTTGTAGTCTTACGTTTTTCATTTTTTGTAGAAAGTTAAACTGAGTTACACACAATTGATTCCCAAAGGATGGAGGTTTAGAAGAAGGGCTTTAAAAAAACTTGCAGGAATCATTGTATATACAGTGGTGCCTCGCAAGACGAAATTAATCCGTTCCGCGAGAGTCTTCGTCTAGCGGTTTTTTTGTCTTGCGAAGCAAGCCCATTGACGGATTAGCGCTATTAGCGCTATTAGCGGTTTAGCGGATATTAAAGGCTTAATGGCTTTGGGGATTAGCTGCTAAATGGCTATTAAAGGCTATTAAAGGCTTAGCAGATTAGATAAAGGGGGGAAGCGAAAAAAATCTCAAGACTCATAAGGTATTTTCGTCTTGCGAAGCAAGCCCATAGGGGAATTCGTCCTGCGAAGCAACTTCAAAACGGAAAACCCTTTCGTCTAGCGGTTTTTCCGTCTTGCGAGGCATTCGTCTTGCGGGGCACCACTGTATTGATACGTTGTCATTAATAGGAGGATGGGGAATCGTACTGAGCCCTTGTACAAAATTGAGAGGCAAGGGTCTTGAAATTCTAAAGCTCATTAACTAAGCTTTCAGGCAGACGTAGTTGGATACAACCCTAAGTCATTCTCAAAGTTAACCTATAAAAATCAGTGCAGTTAGTCAGGTTTACGGATTTCACTCTGCTCTGAGTGTGTTGAGTTGAATACAACCCATATGCTACTTGATACTTTCAGGTACTCTCTGTATTTGATGAGGACAGATTTTCAGAATAGTTATAATATTCTCACATTACTAATGAATTTGATACCACACAGTTTTAACATAGGCTCACAAAAGTACTGTGAACTAACATCAAATGTGAACATGTAAATAATAATTAAAAAAACCCAGACAAACAAGGCTTATAATACCAAAATGAGATGAAGACTTGGCTTGCCCTTAATTTGGGGTTTGAATTCACATTAGTTAAGGGTCAACAAGTTTGGGTTTACCTACACGTATAAAACTTTGCTTTTCCAGATTATCCTAAGTTTCGATGTAACAGTTTTGGCATTGACTTTCAGTTTATGTAGAGGTTTCGTTTAATAGAAAATAAAACTGGCTCAAATGTTTTAGGCACCGATTATATCCACATTTATCTAGAAAGCTGGGTTTTAAAAAAAGGGAACCTATTCTACTGAGGGACGCGGGTGGCACTGTGGGTAAAACCTCAGTGCCTAGGACTTGCCGATCGCATGGTCGGCGGTTCGAATCCCCACGGCGGGGTGAGCTCCCGTCTTTCGGTCCCAGCTCCTGCCTGCCTAGCAGTTCGAAAGCACCCCTAAGTGCAAGTAGATAAATAGGTACCGCTTTATAGCGGGAAGGTAAACGGCGTTTCCGTGTGCTGCGCTGGTGCTGGCTCGCCAGAGCAGCTTCGTCACGCTGGCCACGTGACCAGGAAGTGTCTTCGGACAGCGCTGGCTCCCGGCCTCTTAAGTGAGATGAGCGCACAACCCTAGAGTCGGACACGACTGGCCCGTACGGGCAGGGGTACCTTTACCTTTACCTTATTCTACTGAGAGCATGAAAGAAGAATAGAGTTCTTAACTCACACTTCAATCTCTCCTATAGAAAGACCCCAATACTTTTCATTTAGCATTGTTACACCTATTGTAAAATGCCTTAAAATCTTTCGGTGTTTCTGTTGGTTAAATTTTTAAATTTTTTTTTTTTTAGACAAAGATGGATTCCCCTCAGGAGCACCAGCAGTAAGTATGCTTTATTACATTCCTTACATTTCTCAGAAGTATTCACACTGCTCTATTGCAGTTCTTGATGTGAATCAAGCCTAGTGAGATACAGTAGCTTTCAAGCTTTGCTTTTTCAAGTATTGTCTGGTTTGAGGTATGAGTCACCAGAGAGACACTTCACCTGATTTTTTTTTTTTTTTAAATAAAGCTGGATACATCAGTAGATGGGATTCTTTCTTGGTCCACTCCTGTAATTTATGACATCACTTGTCACGTGGTTTGACAAGTTCAGAGGCTGCTGTTGTATCAAAACCAAAGTTCCATATAGCCACTGTCTTGCTTGCCAATAGCAAGAACCCCTCCCCCCGGGCCAGTGTGCATCAAAACATTGCTTCTCCTTTCCTTCCTCATTTCGACCGTTGAGAGGTTACTTTTTGTCCTTTTGAGTTGGGCTTCTTTGGCCAATGCTTTTGCTGGCTTCATGTGCTGTTGTTACTGCCTCCTGCAAAAGCCCCTAGGGAAGGGGGAGAGATTATATACTTTATTCACTCCACAGAGAACTTGGGGAGTGGGTGGAGGGAGTTCAAAGGCAGTAGCAGTGAGGAGCTGCTTGAAATGCTCTTATTGGGATAGACAAACTGTGGCTATAGGGCTGCATGCAATCCTAGCCTAATTTTAAAAGGTCTCTGCAAGCTGTCAGTTCAGACCCCTGGCAAGAGTGATCTGCCTCTCTCCTAGCAGCCTGTTGGGCAGTGGAGAAAAGAGAGAAGTGGTGGCTCTGGCCCCACCAACTGCAGGTATACCATCCTCAATAGATTAGTTCAGAGGCAATGCAATCCTCAACAGAAAAAATTGTTTCCCACTCCATACTATTCTGTTATTATAGTTTTGTATGCTTCTTTATAGTGAACTTTCTAAATGTTCTACAGTAGGGCTTAATTTCTTTTACTCCTTTCTTTATTTCTTTTTTTAAAAAAAACAAAACTCAAAACTTCTAGCCCAATGCAAAAGGGTCAGAGCCTGCAGCACCTGAAGAGGAAGATGATGACGAAGTGGCTCCTCCAGTTATCGCCCCACGACCAGATCATACAAAATCAGTGAGTCGTTTTATTTCACCTAATAGTTTCTGTCCATAACTTACCAGTCTGCAGGTACCTGCCTCTTGTTGTTCAGTGCTTCCACTCTCGTTCCATCTCTTATCAATACTCCCCACTTGAGTTTCCTATTAGAGTGGGCGACTGGCTTTTACTTTGAAACAGCATTACTTGTGCAGTGAGAGCTTGGCTTGAATAGTTGTTTCTGAGTTTGAAAAGAATGCTTTAGTAGTTGTATACAAGGGAATGTTACTGTAATTTCCAAAATTGTTTAGGAAAGTTCTTATCTACCATACTCCATTTAGAGCTTAGTTCTATAAAGGATTCATACAACTGTATGCTACTGTAATATACAGTAGTCAGTTGGGTCAGTTGTTGTAATTAAGTCCCTAATGCTACAAAAACCTATAGCTATTCATATCAGCCTATAGGCTGTAGTAGCTGTGGAGCCACATTGACTAAAAGGATAGCCATAAATCTTTCATGAGAGATGTTAAGTATTTGTGGCAGTTTCAACTTGAAAAGAGATTTGTTAACAGTAATATAATGGCTTTATAATTATGATATTTCCTTGCAGATTTATACGCGATCCGTAATAGATCCCATCCCAGCACCTTCTGGTGACACGGGTGACACAGTTGCTAAATCAGCAGATAAGCAGAAGAAGAAAGTTAAGATGTCAGATGAAGAAATCACAGAAAAGCTGCGTAAGTTGAAATTCTAAGTCAGCACTTTACTAGGGATATGTATATGATTAGCCCAAAGTCATATGTACTGAGTGTTCTGTATGGTGAATCAGCCATTGACCCTTCTAGTCACACACTGTATTTAACCTTATTTTGACAGCTTTTCACCCCTTTGTAGGAATTGTGAGCAGATTCTCTTGAAAAGAGGCATTGTGTGAATGGTGTGAGCATTGTTATTGCTAGCTAGCAATCCAGGAGCTGAGGAAATGCTGAAGCAGGAACTTATAGCTGATGCATTGTTAAGGAGCATATCCTGTGTTTGCACTGTTCTCACATTATTTTTCACAGGAAGCAAACACTTGTATGAATAGACCTATATAGGTACAGCTCTTCCTATCCAGGATAGGGACAAGATATGGCAGTGTTTTAGAAAGTAATGAAAAAGTGGCTGTCTGTACTATGTTGAAAACTGCTTTTACTATCCAAAATACTCATATTATGTTGTCTTTTGAAAGTGTCAATATTTAACGGAAAGGCATTTATCAATATTTTGTTACACTACATTTGGTAGCTGCTTAGAGCAGTGTGCTTGAGATGATCATGAAGAGTCTTCATCTGTTTAAAATGATAACTTCCGTGGTTTGATTTGTGAGAATAGTTGTGGGATTTTATAGAAGTTTCAGCATTTCAATATCTTCTAGGCATGTATATGTTGCTCATACTACTTCCATTGTCAGCAGTAAAGTAAGCAAAAACTGACTTCTGAATGCTCATAATTAAACCTGCTAATCATAATGAAGCAACATATGCCATGCGTGATATGTACAATTGAGGTTCTTGTAAAGGTTTAGATCACTGCTGCATCACTGAAGAAGATAAAATGGTGTGGATCTTAACTTTCCTTCTGTGAACGGAACACTTTGCATTCATGGAGCAAGGTTTTCCTGCTTCCTCCTTCCTTCTGTTGCCTCCTGTACCTCCTGAAAGTTTGCTCCTGAGGTTTGGAGTATCCTTGGAATATGATGTGGGATATGGGATGGCTCAGGAGGCATCAGGTTGAAAAGGGAGTTGATGAAAGTCCTCGCCCCCTTTAATTGAACAGAGGAACAACTTAGGAACTGAATCAGTGTTGACTGTTTTATTGATTGAAATGTTATGTATTAGCTTTCCAACGAAAGTCAAGAGTGTATCTTAGTTGATTTATAATACTCCACATGGAATTTTCTTTTTAGGAACTATTGTGAGTATAGGAGATCCCAAGAAAAAATATACAAGATACGAAAAAATAGGACAGGGGTGAGTACTGACTATGAAATGAGTTAGTGGAAGTACCATTTTCTTTGTCTTATTTGGCATTTGGTTTCTGTTTACAAAACCAGAAGTATCAACAATAGATTAGTATACATAATAACAACAACCAGATGCAAACCTCCAACAGAAGTAGAAATTTTGAAACAAATATTTTGAGTGCTTTGCTACTTACCCTTTACTTTATGGGATGAGGAGGAACATTTGAAAAATAATTCCAGTCATTGCCATTTATTTGTTGTCTATCTTTGGACTGTTACTGGGGCAATGGAGTATGAAATTAACTTACCTTAAGCATCAGTTATCTGACTAGTAGTCTGTGTCTAGATAATATTGCAAAATGCTCTGTTAAAAGGAAGGTCTTGCTTTTCCTATTCCTTATTTTACAGTGGAACCTCGGGTTGCGGACATAATCCGTGTCGGAGGCACGTCCGCAACCCGCAGCGTTCACATCCTGAAGCGCCGCGTCTGCACAGGTGCTGGTGCGATTTGGCGCTTCTGCGCACACGCAAAGCGCAATTTAGCGCTTCTGTGCATGTGCAAGCGGCAAAACCCAGAAGTAACCGGTTCCGGTACTTCTGGGTTTCCCGTGATCCGTAACCCGAAAACACATAACCTGAAGCGTCCGTAACATGAGGTATGACTCTATAGGCATTGATCTTATTCTGTTGACTTTTTTTAACCTAGAACTGGAATAAAAACGAAGTACAGTGAAAGTTAGTGCAGCCTCTTTACCTGTTCATGCACATATGCATTAGAGATGTGAATGTTAATAGAATTGTGTATTTTCTTTTCATAGGGCTTCGGGTACAGTTTTCATTGCCATTGATGTAGCAACAGGACAGGAGGTAGGAACAATATACCTTCTACCACCTTTGAATTTTCTTTTTAGAGTGGTCAAATCAAATGTTACTGTGCTTTGGTTTGTTTGGTTTTTTTTTTAAAAGACTCATCTCCCAATAGTGAATTCCTCATAGCTGTGTGCAGAAGTAATTGCTTTGTACTGTAGAATCAGATAATAAATTTTAAAATAACATTTTGCAAAAATCAAATGCATGGAATTGGTTCTAAATTAGCCTTCTGCAACCAAGTGGCTTCCAAATCTTGTGGACTACAACTCACATCATCCCTGAATGCTGTCTAGGACTGATGGGGTTATGGTCCATAATATCTGGAGGGCACCACGTTTGGGAAGGCTGTTCGAAATTCCAAAAGGAAGTTAAGTTGTTAATTAAACTCTCCCATGTTTTTATCATAGAAAGCTGCTTCTGTTTAAAGAGTTAAATTATAATTTATAATTTGTTATGCTGCCTTCATTTGTGACTATGATGTTTGTGAGAGCTGGCCCTTTCCCAAGTTTGTGGGAGAGCTAGTGCTTTCTTTTTTCTTTTGCAATAGAGCCTTATCTGTCACTCTTAGTTCATAATTAGTAAGAACTGAAATAATGACTTTTAAAATGTGGAAAACTGAGTTTCTTGAAAATAAATGTGAATCAAAATTGGTGTCACCTACTGTAGACCCCATTTTTGGGGTGAGAAAAAATGGACACACACCACTATACCTCTTTTTTGGCTGTTTGGTGCCCTTGTTTCAGATTCAAACCATAATAGCTAATTTTAGTACTGGGCTCATTACACGTCATAGATACTTCCTTTCTTCCAAATATTACACTTCCAACCACAGCATTACATGTTATCAGGATTAATTGTGTAGTCTTGTTGCTGTTGTTTTTATTTCATTCTTCTGAATGCAATAAAACTACCTTATGTTCACCCCTGCACATTCTTGGCTCTTGTAGTTTCAGACTTTGTTGTTAGTGAACATTTATTTTGCTGCCAAAATGTCCTGCCAACTTTTGTCTGTGAGGATTATGTTAGTTACTTGGATCAGTTGATCTGTCAACAGCAACCAAATGGTTATCTCAGGAAAAGGAGTGTAAAGAAACTACCCATTTGCCTTTTTATTGTAACATTAGAAAATGCTAATACTACAATGGTCTTTCTTTGAATATAAACTTCTGTTGAATCCCTTTTCACCCTTTTAGGTTGCTATTAAACAGATAAATCTTCAGAAACAACCCAAGAAGGAGTTAATTATCAATGAGATCCTGGTAATGAAAGAGTTGAAGAACCCAAACATAGTCAACTTTTTGGACAGGTAACGAAGCAAATGCTATAGCAGCTAGAAAGTTTGGACGTGAAAACCCAAGTTCAACACCTTACTAGGTTGTGAAGTTCACATCCTTGGACAAATCGCTTTTGCCTTTTTTTCTATCTCGTGAGAGACCAGGGTGCTTCTCTAAGTCTTTGGAAGAAGGGTGAGATAAATAGGCAATGCATAGTAGACTGGCCTCTCTCCTGAGGTACAGAACACATTTAAATATCTGATACTTCTGTAATATAGCCTGAAATAACTCCTTATTCCCTGTATCATTTGTTGTCATAAGTCAGGTTATCAGTTCAGCTTCTTAAGAAGTCCAGATAATGGAGACATTTTATGTATTAATAACTTCATGTACCAGACCTATATTTTGTAGACAAGGGAAGTGTCTGATACAAGACTTATGTTCCTGGAAACATGCACACAGACCTTCCTGCTTCAAATATTGCTTCAATTTTGGATCTTTTCCATATACAGTGGAACCTCGGTTGGCAAACACTTCGGAAGACAAACGTTTCGGCTTTTGAACGCTGGCAACCCGGAAGTGAATGCTTCCATTTTCGAACGTGCCTTGGAAGTCGAATGACTTCATAGAATCATAGAGTTGGAAGAGACCACAAGGGCCATCGAGTCCAACCCCCTGCCAAGCAGGAAACTTGTGAGTTCTGAGACTTCTGAGGCTTGTTTCTCCATTTTTTCAATGGATTTTGCCAACCAGCAAATTGAGCCTCGGTTATTGAATGTTTCGGAGGTTGAACGGTCTTCCGGAATGGATTACGTTCGACAACTGATGTTCCACTGTATATTTTCTCTGGTCTTTCCAACTATTTTGCATTTTGTTTTTCATCATTTAGTTTTTGGTTTGGATAGCCTGACACCTTCAATTGAAGGGCTGATTATAAATAATTTCAATAAATATTTTTGTATATTTTCTGTGATGTAAATCACATTGAGATTGTGTTGCACATGGTGATACATAAAGTTGTAATAATAGTAGTAATTATCTTGTCTCAATAATTTGTTATGTTTGAACTTCATCAATTTCTACCTTCAGTTTCCTAATGGAAGACGAATTGTTTGTCATAATGGAATATCTGGCTGGTGGATCCCTCACAGATGTCGTTACAGAGACTTGCATGGATGAGGCACAGATTGCCGCTGTCTGTCGAGAGGTAGGTGATTGATTGAAGAAAGAGAAATTTTGTTTCCCTTAGCTAATTGACTTTTATTATAATTGCATTTACATTACTGAGGCAGGTTTATCAAGGCTGGGAGTTGGAAGCCTGTAGCCCAGCATTTGTGTTTGAGCCTTGTGAAGTAGCAGTGGCCATGCAAGTCTTTTCATCTTCTGAGATACAAACCACAACATTTTAAGAGTACACACTGTCTAGTTTTCACCGAGGTGGCATCCCTGTATCTAGTCTGTACCAGTTCAGACCACGGGAGGGTTTACATAGTGAAATACTCTTCACAGAAGAAAAAGATTTGAACACATAGAGAACAGTGTTGGAGAAGAGTAGTTGCTGATCCAGTTGTAGGGATTTAACTCATACTGGATGCAGTAGCACTCTCCATAAAAACAGAGGTTAGTAGTTTGAAGAGTTTGGTGATGATTCTGGTGGATGCAGCTATTGTTAGGTTACTGTTGTGAGATCAATGAAGTGCAAAAACTACGGAGAAGGTTCAGCAGAGATTTCAGCTGGCAATTAGTTATTTCATTCTTTTTAAAGAAGAGAATGACTAAGCAAAGTCTGGCAAATGGCACAATTGACATAAGTTAACAAAGTGTATTGGATAAAGAGAAGGAAGACAGCATAAATCAAGTTTTGAGATAGAAGGTGCCCCATTGCAAATTATTTTATAGACCACTGGAAAGGCACCGTATTTTTCTGTACTATAAACATGCTTCCTTCTGAAGTAAGCATATGAAAGACCTTTCACTGAAAAACAGTGGATTGACCTTAATTATGTCAATGTTTATTAATGATTTTGTTTGATGTTTTTAGCTGGAAACTCTTTTGATATTAAAAAAGAGTGAAGATTTATATCATGGACATACTGTGTGTATTAAACTTGTTAAGATTGTAAATATGGAACATAATTTTAAAAATTGCTAGACTATACAAATCATTTGTTACCTAGTGAGTAAAGCGTAGTTTGAGGTTACTAAACTGTCTCTAGCCAATGTGAATTTTGAACATGTCTAGACAATATCCCTCCCATTGTTTCCATACAGTGTTTGCAGGCATTGGAATTCCTACATGCCAATCAGGTTATCCACAGAGATATTAAAAGTGACAACGTACTATTAGGAATGGATGGATCAGTTAAACTGAGTAAGTGCATGTCAGTTACTTCCAAACATGAAATATGTGGCTGAACAGTTGGGTGGTGTTACTTTGCACATAAGTTTCACAGCAAAATTCACTGGTATGAATTTTAGTGTAATAGCTGCAGTGACAAATACAATTCTGGGCTCAACAAGTCTTTGCCACTAGAGTGGCTATGTGGCTGAGAAGACAGGGAGAATATATTATTTGGAAGCCACATAAATATTTTTGCATGTATAGATCAGATTGCAGTATAAAGTAGGTTAAACGTAAGCCAGCTTCATAACCCATGGTTTGAAATAGGCTTGTTTTGAAACTGACACAATGGACCGATTCACACATAATGTTAAACCATGGTTTAGTGCCACATGCATGAGCTTACACACGCCTTCCTCCACCCAATGCCAACAATGTGGCTTTGGAAGCATTTAATTGCATTTTCATGGACTCCTGGCTTCATGTGTCATTTAGATAAGAGTAAAAGCTGTAGATGGTATGGCAGAGTACCTGTTTGCCTTTAAACTAAACAATAGGTTCCATTTACAAATGTAAAGCAGCTTACCATCACAGTCTGCATTGTTTAGCACATGGGTAGGCAAACTAAGGCCCTGGGGCCGGATCCGGCCCAATCGCCTTCTAAATCCGGCCCGCAGACGGTCTGGGAATCTGTGTGTTTTTAAATGAGTAGAATGTGTCATTTTATTTAAAATGCATCTCTGGGTTATTTCTGGGGCATAGGAATTCGTTAATATTCCCCCCCCCCCCAAAAAAAATATAGTCTGGCCTCCCACAAGGTCTGAGGGACAGTGGACCGGCTCCCTGCTGAAAAAGTTTGCTGACCCCTGGTTTTGCACACACACTGACAAACTGGAACGTGTCCAGAGGAGGGCAACCAAAATGGTCAAAGGCCTGGAAACGATGCCTTATGAGGAACGGCTAAGGGAGCTGGGCATGTTTAGCCTGGAGAAGAGGAGGTTAAGGGGTGATATGATAGCCATGTTCAAATATATAAAAGGTTGTCACATAGAGGAGGGAGAAAGGTTGTTTTCTGCTGCTCCAGAGAAGCGGACACGGAGCAATGGATCCAAACTACAAGAAAGAAGATTCCACCTAAACATTAGGAAGAACTTCCTGACAGTAAGAGCTGTTCGACAGTGGAATTTGCTGCCAAGGAGTGTGGTGGAGTCTCCTTCTTTGGAGGTCTTTAAGCAGAGGCTTGACAACCATATGTCAGGAGTGCTCTGATGGTGTTTCCTGCTTGGCAGGGGGTTGGACTCGATGGCCCTTGTGGTCTCTTCCAATTCTATGATTCTATGAGTTTGCATTTTTTTAAACCAGCAGATGGCAGTCTTGATTAGACTAACCTTGGGATTGTTCAGTTGGCCAGAGTCCTCAGTAGCATTCTTCTCTTCCGCTTCAGTTTAAAATTAGATTTGAGTACAAAAGCTAAGGCTCAAGGTTGGGATAATTAAGAAACCAGAAGTACAGAATATTAAATACTGCAACAGCTGCCTTCAGTAATTTTAACTCGTGCGCTGCAATAATAGATTAGTAAAACAAATATGCTGTATCATAGATTTATGAGCTTAGTCAATAACTCCACAGATTCCATTAAAATTGTGTCTTATAAGTTTAAAACCTCACTGAGGGTGGGGGCTTACACTAAAATGAGATCCTTTTTCACAAGTCCCATGTCTTTTGTGATAGTTGATCAATTGAGCTCTGAATTCCTTCACTGCATCGTGTTGCAGCAGCAGCAGAAAGAACACGGCTGGGCTGAATGTGCAATAGTGTGAGGTATAAATAAGATGGTAAATCTATGAAGTGGTAGAATGAGCCAAACCATTTCTCACTGCAGGTGTGTGCGGAGGTTACGTTTGTGAGTGTCCCCCTTTGTGAAGGATCCTGCCAAGTACAAAACTAGCACACATGGAGTGGTCTGGGCTAGAACTTGTCTTCTGGGTTGTTGCTGCTGTGTCTTTAATGTATTAGGCTTTAAAAGAAAAGAAAAATGCAGGGGATTATTTCAAATCTGGAATCTGCTACCCACAATTTAAAGTAGTACAGTCCACTCTACCACCTCATTCTGCTACATGTGTTTTAATAAGTGGTAGAATGAACTGCACCACTGTTGGTGGTGGATTCCGTTGCTAAAAGGATGCCTTCGGGGGGGGCGTGTTGAAGGAGCATTGTGTGGGCACTGAGACATCTGTAGCTTTTTCTGGAAGCATAACTGGGTAACAGGGATACACCCAAAGTGTAGGACTTACTACTAATTTAACTTTCCAATAACTGCACTCTTTTCTTCTTTTTTTGTAGCTGATTTTGGTTTCTGTGCGCAGATTACTCCAGAACAGAGCAAACGTAGTACTATGGTTGGAACACCTTATTGGATGGCTCCTGAAGTGGTCACACGAAAGGCCTATGGCCCCAAAGTGGATATCTGGTCCCTGGGTATCATGGCTATTGAAATGGTCGAAGGCGAGCCCCCATATCTCAATGAAAACCCTTTGAGGGTAAGGCATAAGTTTTCAAGGAACTCCCGATTCCCTGGAACATAGCAAAACACAGTAAAAACCCACAAATTTTGAATGATTTTTCAGGTCCTTTTCAGTTCTGATTTAAACTCAGGTGCTCATACAACCACATTTTTTGTTTTTCATAATGCCAATGTTTGTTTGTTGTTCTTTCTTGCAGGCATTATATTTAATAGCAACAAACGGCACTCCAGAATTGCAGAACCCAGAGAAATTGTCCCCAATATTTCGTGACTTTCTAAATAGTTGTTTGGAAATGGATGTAGAGAAAAGAGGGTCAGCCAAAGAACTGTTACAGGTAAAACCGCTGGTATCTTGCAAATGGCATCAGTTGTAGACAGTGCTTTCTGTTGACAAGTCAAGCTACTGTAAAGGAAGACTGATATACGATCAACAAATTCAGAAAAAAATGGGATAGAACGGGGAACATAAAGGTAAAAAAGAATGGTCGAATTCCACATTATGCTAATACAGTGGTTCTGCCAGCACAAGCATTCTCTCTTTGCCAGGTGGAAGAATCTCCCTTCTCCTTGCCCTGTTGCATTGTTCTGGGGGTTCTCCTGACTCTTATAGAGTACATTGGTAGAAGGGAGGGAGTCCTGTTGGGCCAGCAGGAGGCTTTTAACTGGCTTCTGTTACTGCACCGGGATAGCTGAATCCAACCTAGTATCTTTGCACATCTTAAAATTTTATTAGTAGATCTATATGATCACTCATCAATGCATGTTCCCTGGACAACTTTTAAAAAGAAAGTAATAGCATTAGTAGTAGTAGTAAAAGAAAGTAGTAGTAGTAATAATGATAATAATAATTGCAAACGATTGACTAAGGATTCAGCTAAGTTTTACTCAGAGTAGACCTGTTGAAGGCAGTGACCCTTGGTATAAGTTAATTTTAATAGCTCTGCTCTGAGTAAGACTTAGCTGAATACCACCCACTAATACTGATCATATTTTAGTATGACCTAAGCACAGTAGGTAACCTGTCTCCCTGGTCATCTCTCCTTTGCATTTTTTGCTAAGTGTATGACTCAGAATGCTGCTGCTGGAGTTTCCTTTTAAGTGTTCTTTCATTAAAAGGTTGTTTCTTTTCTTTTTTGATAGCATCCTTTCCTGAAACTGGCCAAACCTTTGTCAAGCTTGACGCCGTTGATCCTAGCAGCCAAAGAAGCAATGAAGAGTAACCGTTAGCATTGCTGCTGTGGCCTTCATCATTTTTGTTTTTTTGTTTTTAAAGTTTTTCATAATATATAAATTGTTGCTCTTGTTAGGGAGGTTGAAAGTCTGCAAAAGGGAAAAAAAATCTCATCTGGAAGACACAAGAGAAGAAAAAATGGTGGTGGTAGTAGTGAACTCTTCTGGAAGAAGTTGTGAACTGAATCACTGGCCTTTTCACCACTTTTGCAGACAACTCTGATGTATTTTCCTATGCCTGGGAGGTGTTTTTTTTTAATGACTTTGCTGTACCAGATCCCATTCATTGTGCTCTGTTGGGCACTTTCAATACTTGAACAACAGATTCAAGCTTTTGGAGGGAGGCATTACTTTGATCTGCTGACCTCCCCCCCTCCCCCTTCCATTTGTCAGTCATTCAAAATATTGCAACATCTGAGTTACTAAAAGGCGGATATGGTAGAATTGTTAGCTATAACTGTATTGTAGCATTAACCACCCAGCTACCTAAGAACTGTAGTTTTTTTCCAATGACTGTTCTTAAAGACAGAAGAACATGAGTAGAGGGGAAGAAGAAGGTTCAGCAACGTCTGATAAATAATTTTGTTGCATGGACTTTTTAACATAAGGGAAAGATGCCTCTGAATTTAGGAGATTGAATACATGTGGGAAAGAGGAAAAAAGTGTTGCTTTTCTTTTCTTGGTTAATGCTCAAACCATCCCGTGGGCTCGGGGACTTGTCTTCCATTCCTTCCTTGCCTGTGTAGGCTTGTTGGTAACATTTTAAAGGGATGTCTTGAAAGTGTGTGGTTTTATAGCAAAGTGTTGTATCCATGTTCTGACTTGGGCTTTGGGCTTTATGCTGGTGCCTTCTGAATTTTTAAATTGCTCTTCTTTGTCTTAAGTACCTTTTGTATATGTTGTACATTTCCCCTCCAAAGCAACTTTGGAGCTGTCAGGATTAAGTATTAGAGCTCTCTTCCTTTTTATATGTATAAAAATGTATATCTTCACCATTTCTACTAACAAAGACCCAGCAGATTTTCAAAAATAGAAGATCCAAGACTTTTTGTATAATTCAGCCAACTGAATCTTCTGAACACCAAAAGTGCTATTCTGTGGAGACAAACAATTGGAGATGGCAAAGTAGTCTAAATTCAACATTATTTGAATTGGCTTGTGAGTGGCTGCAGAACCTTGCCTTCTCATGGTTCTCTTGAAAGACTTACCAACTGTTATGGCTGAAGACAAACACAAGATAAAGTGCCTCCCTAAATGAAAGAAAGTAATTGGAGCTGTAGAGGAATTGAAGTTCTGGTTGAGGTGGTCAGGTGCACCGTGGGGATTCTTCAGTCACATCAGCCTTCTAGAAGCACTGTGTTTTATGTGCAGCTCTTTATCAAGAATTGCCAAGTGATGTGCCAAACAGTAACATAACAGACTTGCTAATTTGGTGCTATAGCTTTGTCGCATTCCTACGTGGTATTCTTGGGAGAACATTTTAAAACCCTAGCTAAGAGGCAGTCTTTAATGCCTTTAATGCCTGATGGTCAATGAAAAGCCTGTTTCTTACCTGTGTACAATATTAATATGTGTTGACATAAGGGCATAATTTCTGCTGGGTTTTATGAACAGGTTTGCAAAATTCTGGGTTCTGAGTCATTGCATCACAAAGGGCTCAATTCCCTCAGATCTTGGAGCTTCTTGCACCCTGCTCTGTACCAACAAATGCCTTATTAATGCTGATGAAAGCAGTGCCATACTCCAACTTGCAGTCCTGTGTCCTATGAGAAGTATTCATTTGAAAACTGTAACAAAGCAGCCCAGTTGCTTTCAGAGCATTTTGAATGTGTTTTGGTTTAGTCCAAGAAATGTGGTGTCCTGGTCTGAGTGGTATTTTAGGTGGTGTTCTTCCTCTGGCCATAACTCGCAATACAGTTACTATAAAGTATAGAATAGCCATGCTCTTAAATTTGATTTATGTGAGTCAAACAAAGAGATTTAAAGGATTCTCTTCAGTTACCTTTTCTTACCTTTGAGCTGTTGTCTGTTGCTGGCAATGGAATATGTGGAACCCATGACTCCTGCTGTGAGATAAGTGTATGTTGGTGTTTTTATGGTAGCAATTAAAGGTAACACTTCTGAAATAAACAAAAAGCAGCATTTACTGATTTTTAATGTGATTAAAAATTATCTTAAATGAGTAGTTGACTGCCTCATCATGAGGGTTCTCAAATCCTCCTTTAAAAGTTGCTTACAATTTGGGTTGGCTCAGGACTTGCTGAAGCAGGACTTGCTGAAGCAGGACCCACTGGCAACTCTTGTGCCAGTCATGATCATGAGTACTATTACAGCATGTCTGCATGGGTGCTCTTAAGTATAGCAGCTTTGTACTACGGCAGTGCGTTCATCTAATTTCCCTGTCCACTATTGCAATAAAGGGTTAGGGATAGAAACAGACATGAACTAAATGGGAACTCTCTGTTTAACGCGAGCCATCAGGAAGTTCCTGATTATTGCGCAGTGATGCATGTGGTTTGTATGGTACAAGGACTGAACATGTATTACCAATGTCTTAAAGCTTGGTTTAGAAGTGGAAAAGTGGCAGTCTTTTTCTCCCCGTCCCCTCTAATGTCTGCTTTGAATGTTCAAGATTGTATCTTCTGGGCACGGAAGTATAGCTTATGAGCACAGGAGTAAGAACACTCAGCATAAAATTGCATAGGTTATTGACTCCTAACTGCTCTTCCTGCTAAAGATGCCTTAACCAAATATCCAGGCACCAATGTGAGTAAATATTGATCGATTCACATAGTTACTCACGGCTTGCTCACACAGTCATCTTAGATTAGATGTTAAGCTGTTCAAACAGTATCCTGAATACTCCAGCATCGTACCAGATCCCAATTCAATGCATTGCTGCAAAAGACTGTTTTGTAGAGTTTGAAATGGTCGTAGCTGAGCATGTATTGAAGTGTTCAGGGCAACCACTTCATAGCTTCAATATTCAGTCTGGGCTTACAAAAAATGCCCCTCCCCCCAAGTTCTCGGCTGAATCAGTCTTTGAGTGTTGGGCATGTTTGCAATGGCACGTTATGGTTATTGGTGTGAACCTACAAGGAGGAGAGAAGGATAGAGAAGTGTATCTCATTCCATGAAAGCAGGCTTACCTGGAATGATGAGTTCCCAATTCTGCCCCCCCCCCGGCAAAAAAATCCAGTTGAAATAGACACGACTACTTACCACAAATAAGTTTAGCATTTGCTGGTTTGAATGGAGACATTAACAACTTGAGAATATAACTGATTAACTTAAGCAATCACCATATGTGTTCTCTGGAGTAGTTTGGAGTCAATTAAACTCTTCTGTTAAGAGTTACAGAATTTCTTTGTCTTCGTAGCTGGAATTAAGTACATCTTCTTGAAATTGTTTCCTTCTCTTTGTTCCCTTTCTCTCACTTCATCAGATGGAAATGAAAGTAGTGCAAGCTTTCAGATTTTTTTTTCTGTCTTCAGATTTTGTTGCCTTTTGTTTAATTTAATCCCATTCTGTTATTTAATTGTTACTGCAATATTAACTACTGTATTTGACTATGTTTAATGACTTTGTTCTTTCAGGGCTAGAAATAAACATTTCTAAAATGCTTGATGGTTCTCATTCTCTCTCCCACCCTCCCCCAATAGAGGCTTACTTGAGTTAATAGGGACAGAGAAGAATTTTTGTTACATACTATATAGTGTGATGGTTCATTGATGTAGACTTGCAGCTTAGTTATCATTTGTCTTCAAAGCTTTTGTAACACCCAGCGAGCAGCTGCAACTTTTTTGTACTGAGCACTGTTTTCAAAGCAATTCTGTAAAAACAGCCATGAACATTTCGCTCCCATGATTTTTGTGCTGTTTAGGTTGTTATACAAGTTGATGGATCAAATTGGTTCTTCGGCATCTGTATAAAAGCCCTTAATGGATACTTTATGGAGATGAATTTTAGCCATCTGTTTGGCAACTTAGATATTTTGCAGGTGTGCTTGAAATTATAACTTGATTACAATGTTTTGTGCATGATCCTATTGTTACGGTTCACAGAGTCAACCACACACCTTTGCCTCTGGATACTGTCAGTTTTGTTAAGAATCGGGAGTGTCCATTATATCTAGTACCCTGGGACCAGCTCAAGATGTCAGAAAAGATAAAGCGCCATGTGATTACCCCAGGCCTGCTTGGATTTACTCTGGATGGGTCTGCAACCCAACGCCAGTTACTTGATTCATAATTGAGTGTGCAGAGATTGTACAGTTGGATGTGGCTCCTACAGTGTTGATCCTCAGAAATAAATTGAACAAGCCTGCCCAGAGTGCATTTGCCTTCCCAGTGAGGAATCTGTTTATATTTAATAAAATGATTCCACCACGGGTAACTTCAGTCTAAAATATAAACTCACTGGGTTGTATCCAATGCTAATCCTACTTACAGTAGCCCCACTGAAATTGTTGAACATGACTAACTTAGGACCCGCTTTAGATACAACCCTTCATTGCCTGTGTCAGTCATGTGATACATGGAGTTACTGCCATTCTTTTACCAAAATGCCAAGGGACACCGCCCTGAAACAAGTGGTTCAGGGTAGTTACTGAAATGTTAAGGGAATTCAGTAAAGTAGTTACTGAAATGTTAAGGGAATTCATGTAATGTTATGGGAATCCAGTGTTTTCTGTGTTCTACTTCACCAGAGCCCAGAGCAATTCCAGTCCAAGTTTTACAAAAAAATTGCAAGTCACACAGCATCAAGGGATAGCTTAAAAAAAAAAGCCCTACCATGCACCTAAAGAAAGAAAGCTTGCCAGCTGCCTTTTTCCTTCTATCCTCTTCCCCCTCTTTTTAGCATTATTATGTGATCTTCTTAACGCCATCAGCTTCTAATGAGGTTAACTCATTAGAAATGTGGCAGACACACGTTTTGAAAAGTAAATTGTCTCCATCCACATCCTTTAAAAAAAAGTATAAGTAAAAAATAAGAAACCAATCTTAATTGCTTTACAAACAAGATTCTGAAAAGGGCAATAAAGAATCAAACGGGAAGCTGGGTTCTCTGAGCTTGGCTACTGTATTAAGTGTAGCCTTTAAGGAAACTGTTCTGAGCATGCTTAGAACATTGGCTCCTGGATTTACAGTGGTGCCTCGCAAGACGAAATTAATCCGTTCAGCGAGTCTCTTCGTCTTGCGGTTTCTTCGTCTTGCGAAGCACGGCTATTAGCGGCTTAGCGGCTATTAACGCCTTAGCGGCTATTAACGGCTTAGCGGCTTTAAGAAAAAGGAAACAAACTCGCAAGAACTCGCAAGACGTTTCGTCTTGTGAAGCAAGCCCATAGGGAAATTCGTCTTGCGGAACGACTCAAAAAACGGAAAACTATTTCGTCTTGCGCGTTTTTCGTCTTGCGAGGCATTCGTCTTGCGAGGTACCACTGTGTCAGAAAGGTAACCTGCTAATGTGGCTGGATTGCCACCCAGGAGGGAGAGGAGAACTGCACACCTAGGGCTAAGAGCTAGTAGCTCCATTAACATACAGATATCTGAAGGTATCTGAAGAAGTGTGCATGCACACAAAAGCTTATACCCTGAACAAACTTAGTTGGTCTCTAAGGTGCTACTGGACAATTTATTATTATTATTATTATTATTATTATTATTATTATTATACAGATTTACTATCATGTTTTATTCCTGCTTGGTGATAAATGGATGGAGTCTCCTGGTCATAGCAATGCTTTGAGAATCTGGGTGATGCAGAAAACTGATTGACCAGAGAACTGGAGATTCACAGAAGAGTGGCTTTGAGATTTTGATGGAAACTCTCTTAAAAATTGTGTGATAATTTACATGGTAGGGCTAAGCCCTTGTTGCCCTAATAGACCCGCCTCCACTGACTTTAATCGAGGTAGGAGAAATGAAGAGTGGGAAGAACACAAAAATATAAAATACTAGATTTTAGCAATGGCAATTCATTATTTTTTAGTCATGTTTACAAGGTGTTCTCTCAGTTTAAAACATACACTCAGCACTGGAGGGGGCAGCTTTATGGGGCCCAAATTCTGTACATGCTGTGAATACCTATAAATTGCCAATGAGGTGGATAAGAAGGATGAGGTGCGAAAAGTGGTGAAGAATTTCAGAGCTGGAATCACGTGGAGGAACAATCACTAGAAGTTAGTCTTGCTTCACACCCTCAGGCAAATTCTACAGAGCTGCACCTTGCTTACTACGTATTTCATTTTTGTTCCACGTGTTTCATTTTTATCCAAGGAGCCTAGTGTCCTGTTATGTGGTTCCCTCTACGTAGATCCCAAAATAACCATTTGTGGTTGGTTCCTTGAGAGCGTGTGCGATAGAACAAGCTTCATATCGGAGTAGGTATTTGAATCTGGATCTTCCTGCTCAGCCAGGCACTCTAATCATGGCATGAGATTGCCTTCCTGTTTACTCAAGAACCTGAATTTTGTGGGTCCATAATTCATCTCTTTATTCACTCTTCATGCTTAGTTGTGTGTCTTATTGGTTTGGTATGAAGAAAACATTGTGAAGGTGACCAGAGACAAACTAAAAATAAACGCCACAGTCCAAAGAACCTAAATACTATTGAACCTAAATGCCTGGGCTGTGTGTTTGTGTAACTGGTGATATTAGCCAATAACCCAGGCAGCAAGAATGAAGGTAAATGAGCCCCAGGAGCATATCGTCCTCAGCTGTAAAAAATTAACTTTGTTTGCAAGAGCAAATATCTCAAATGTGCTCCTGGAGTCACGATGCTGGATTGAAATATTAAATTACTTACTGGTTTTACTGCTTTCCGAACCAGTTTCTTTGTGTTCTAGCTAATACGTTTTGACTGGGTTGGTGGTAATCATAGAAGAGTCAAAATGAAATCTTGGCTATTGCTGATGTGGCAGTGCTAAGGGAGTAGCTCTGTCCGAGGCAGTTGCACTATGGTGTCAAAATGTGTTGGTTTTCCCAGAGATTTCTGTGACCCTGCTGACCTGTCAGCTTTTGCCACGTTTGCTTAAAGATGCCTTTCTGTGGAAGAACAGCAGGTGTGGGCTAATCCTTATCCCTCCCCCTCTTTTAAGCAGTGCCGATCCTTGCGTTACAGGGCACCTCCCAACTCCTGTGTGACTTCCAGCATGGCTGGTTTGAACGTCTCCATAGCCTTTTTCTTCTCCATTGTCGCCCTTTGTGAAGTGACCAGGAGGCTCTCCAAGAGAATTTTTCCACCTAAGCTGTACTCATGCTTTGCTAGTGAACTGGCCAGCTCATTCCAGCTGTGTGCTTGCTGCCTGGAGCTAAAGATGCTTGTGGAGATTGGTCCATGGGGTGGTGGCTTTGGCCCAGATGTGAGCTTCACACTCCTCTTCCTTCTCTTCTTGGTTCATGGTGCTTCTTTTGATGGAGCTTCTGCCAACCCTGCCGTCTCCCTCCAGGAATTTTTAGCTTTGGATTCTCCTTTTGTGGCCACAGTTGCCAAGCTCTTGGTCCAGTTTATGGGGATGATAGCAGCTGGTGCCTTGACCAAGCTATATTGGTCCAGGGAACTGACAGACTTCCACATGATTCAAAACTTACTGGCCCAAGACTGCAGCTCATCGCTCAACACATCTGTCTCCCATGGCATCTTTGTGGAGGCCACATGCTCATTTTTTTTCAACATAGCGATTCTCAAGTTCCGATCCATTTCTCCCATGTACAGAGCCCCTGTCATTGCACTCACTGTTACTGCCTTGGCCTACACAGGTAAGGATTCAAAGCTAGTCTCCTCCTCTTCCCAATGTTATATGTTTGGAAACTTAACCAAACAATTTAATCTGTGCTGTGCTTTTGTATATAAATGGAATTGGCCATGCGGTAAATAAGGGTCATTTGCTTGTGTGACTTAAAATATATATATATAATTTTATTTATAATTTTCATTTATATACATTTCAACAAAAGTTCAACAATAATTCTATCATTTCAAATCTCAACTTCCTTCCTCCTCTTTCTGCGGTTCCTTAAATTTATTTTCATCATTTCCTACGTATTCCAAATTATCTTAACTTATTCTTTTATTAATCTGTTTTCATATATGCTTTTGAAACTGCAAGTTATTACAGTAATCCTGCCAATGTCTTAATCTGTTTACAATTTGTAAATATTCAATAAACCATTTCCATTCCCTTATAAAAAGTTTTTTGTCTTGATTTCTTATTCTTCCCAAGTTTCTGTAGCCATTCTTCTTTCGTCAGGACTTCTTTCCATTTTGGGGCAAATAACATTTTTGCAGTTGTCATTGCATACATAAATAAATATCTGTACTATTTAGGTAGTTCCACTCTTATAATATCCAAGAGAAATGTTTCTGTTTTCTTTTAAAAAATTTTTTAAAAATAAATGTTACCTTACCATATTTTTCAATTTGTTACGTATCATTTCCCAGTAAGCCCTAACCTTACTACATATGAAAAAATGTGCCTTTGTCTTTACATTTCCAACACTTACTCAATTTTGATTTATACATTTTTTGCCAATCTACTAGGTGTTAGATATAACATTTTTATGTAATTTTCTCTTAAACCATAGCTTGCTGTAAATTTTAAATCCATAGTCCATAATCGTTCCCATGCTTGTATTTCTATATTATGACCAATATCTATTGCCTAATGTATCACTGAAGATTTCACTTGCTTGTCTTTGTCTCCCATTCCAATAATATTACACATTTTAGACATCACTTTAACATTACAGTCTAATGGGTCTCTCTCCAATTGTAATAATTGTTGCCCAAACCCCTGTTTCATATCTATATTAAATACTTCATTCAAATGATGGTATTGTATCCATGTTGTTAACATTCCTGATAGATCCTTAAACTCTTTTAATTTAAATTCTCCCACCCTCCTCTCTTAATAAATTTCTGTAAGTTGCCCAACCTTCCATCATATTCTTCTTCACCGCTATGGCTTCTAATGGTGAAAGCCAGAGATATTTTAGTCTCCAATAGATTTTTGTATTTATCTCATACCCTATAGAGATTTTTCCTAATTATATGGTTTGTAAATCCTATAGGTACTTTCACCTTTTCATACCACAAATATGCATGCCAACTAAAAATATTATCATGACTTTCCAAATCTAAAATGTGCAGATTCTTTAATATCAACCATTCCTACAACCAGCACAGACAAGATCCTTCATAATATAATCTCATATCCAGCAGGGGAAAACCTCTCTTTTGTATCTCTCCATATTTTATTCTGTTTTTCCCATTGCCCGATATATTTAGAAATGTCTTTTGCCATATGTTGAAACAATCTGTCTTGCCAGTCAGATTGATTGAAACAAAAATAACATTCTTGGTAATACATTCATTTTTATAGTCGACACTACCCAGCAATGCAAGTTTCATTCTACCCCATATTTGCAGGTTTCTTTTAATATCCTCCCATATTTTCAAATAATTTTCTTTATGCCTAAGGGCAGTATAAAGAGTGAGATGCTGGGAATAAGAAGCTAAGGTGGTGCTTGAAATTGACAGTGATAGAGGCTGCTAGAAATCACAGTTATAGGGGATCTGAAAAATGGGACCAGGAGGATTTGCTCTTTGATTCACTGATTCTCAAACGGCTCCTAACCGAAGAATGGGAGGCTGTAGCATCTCTTGCTGCTGAGGATAGATGTGTCACAGTGCCCATTCTACTCAAGGCTTCCTGAAGATACAACATCCCTGGTCTTACTGCTCTCTATTTGTTCATTAAAAGTCTAGGTCCTTCTAGAACTAGAATTTCCTTTCCCTCCACCCTGCGCTGGGCCTCTGTGAATGAATTCTGTGCTTGGACGTAGAGGGCTTTCTATCTCTATTCCTCAACTGTCTTCAGCGCCTGGTGGGAGGAGAGGCTGCTGCCGCCCAGCCCTACATAATGCACTGACTCTGAGGGGCAGGCAGAGGGCAAGGACACCCTGGGTGGGAAGAAAGGGGGAGCAGAGCGCAAGGAGTCTTGATTATTATTATTTTTAACGCTTTGTGTGTCCATGTCCAGTCTTGCCCCTTTCTAAAATCTATTTATCGCTGTGCATTTTTCTTTTTGTAAATTTACCAAAGAATAAAATAAAACCGGGATTAAGGAGTTTTCTGAGGACAGTGAAGGGTGTGTGTGCCGTCCTGTTGGTGTAGTGTTGGTGGCACTTGCCCTTCTCCTGATAAGAAATGCTCTTGGGCAGGGGTGATACACAAAATGTGGGGTAGAAGAGGGTCAGTTGGACAGGGAGTGAGAAATGTCCCTGTTTTCATCTGAAGAATGTTAGAGGGTATGACTGCTGTCAGCTTCTGTACATGGAATTGGTGATTGGGTGTGGCAGGGGGGAACCATCTTAATCCTTAAAGTAGTTTAAGGGTGCTGGGAATTGTAGCTCTGTGGGGGGGACTACAATTCCCAGGATTCTTTGGGGGACGTCATGTGCTTTCAGGTTGGGTTGAATGTGCCTTAAATGTCTGGTATGGATCTTTCCAGAGACGGCACTGGCCCAGGGCATGTTGCTTTCCTGAGTCGCTACCTAGCAGAGTTGCAACTCAATACTTCAGATTAAATTCCCAGGTTCTTCTGTTCTTGTTTCAAACTAAACATCTTTCATCATGTCAGTTTAATAGATCTTATCATGCACATGTTGGTGTCTAAGCCAATTTGATTAGGTGGATTGAACTGTTTGCATTTCTCTTCCTGCAGCTGCACCTTTCACAGGAGCCTTTTTTAACCCTGCCCTGGCATTTGCTGTGACTTTTTCCTGTTCTGGGAACAGCTTACCAGAGTATATGCAAGTGTATTGGTTGGGGCCCACGGCAGGTAAGTCAGATTTCAAGACAGTGGAAGATACAACTATGGTTGCAGCTGTGACAAAATTTTGTAGTACAGACAAATAACGCCTAAAATAATGCCTTTGTGGCTTAGGGCCCTCATATCTATGGGACTGCCTCTCCTGGTATGCCCCACAGAGGACCTTAAGGTCCATGAATAGTTTAGAGATCCCAGGCCCTAAGGAAGTCAGACTATCCTCCACCAGGGCCAGGGCCTTTTCAGTGATGGCTCCGACCTGGTGGAATGCTCTGTTCCATGAGACTAGGGCCCTTCAGGATTTAACCTCCTTCCATCGGGCCTGTAAGACAGAGCTATTCCGCCTGACCTTTAATTTGAATTCAGCCTGATCTTTTATTTCCCTTCTCTTCCCTCCCCCTCCCTTTTTATGAAGATCACCCGCTCTGAGACCCCACAGCTAATTCTCCCCTGGCCGCCTTGTTGGCCCAAGTAGGACCAATTCAGTTAGCCCTGGGGATTATTATCTAATTGATTTTTGAATTTTATTGTTATTCATGTTTTTATACTGTATTTTATGCTGCTTTTATAATTAAGTGTTTTAAAGTGTTTAAAGGTCGGGGTATAAATAAAAATGTATTATTATTATTATTATTTATTAAAAGGTAAAGGGACCCCTGACCATTAGGTCCAGTCACGGACAACTCAGGTTGCAGCGCTCATCTCGCTTTACTGGCCGAGGGAGCTGGCGTACAGCTTCTGGGTCATGTGGCCAGCATGACTAAGCTGCTTCTGGCGAACTAGCTTTATTTTGATTTATTTGGTGTTATTCTAAGGCCCAGGTAGTTTATATCTGACTGTAATTTATCTCACTGAAACAAGTGGGTCCCAACTAGACTAGTGGGGGATCACTATAATTTTTTTTAAAAAGTTTTTGTAAATGGCTGCAGACATTTTGGGAGGTGGGGCAAAGTAGCAGGAGTAGAAAATTGAAAGAAGTTGGGAGATGCATCTCAAGCAGTCAGATCGGATGAGTTTGAACATTTCCAGGAAGCTAGCAATGCATCTTTTGAACTACATCCCCCTAATTCCTGGGAAAGAGAAGACAAACTCCATTAGTAGTAGGAATGAATGGATCCATCAGTTTTGGTTCTGTCAGTTTTTAATTTTTCCAGATTTAAATTCAGTCCTCCACAATTCTGAAGCCATTTGTGAATTTCTGACCCTGAACATGGGAATTTTTCAGCTGCTTTGGAAACATTAAATTAAGATGTTGTGTGTGTGTGTATATATACAGGCTTGCTCTTAACAAAAACTAGCAATCAGCAAATGAAACAAAGTTGGTTTTGTAGCCATAAAAAAGTATTATGTTTATTTATTTAAGGAGGTGGAATGATTAAAAAAAAATGGTTTTTTAAAAAAGTTGGGGAGCAGTGGGGTGTGTTTGTGCCAGAGATGGGACTTTGAAAAGTTTGAAGACTACTGCTTTAAAACAAGTTAAAACATAGAAGCTACAATTAAAATCCTGCTGCCTACCAGCTAAATTCTGACTTCCAAATGCCGAGAATGAAATTCTATATGTTATGAGGCAGCCACAGTCATGAACATGTAACAGAGCATGACCCAGAAATCTTCATCATTCTTCCCCAGCCTGCAGCCTCTGCTCTCTTCCCCTTATTTAGGGCTGACCAAACATAAACACTGATCACCATGATCACTGCAGATGGTGACAGCAGTCACAAAATTAAAAGATGCCTGCTTCTTGGGAGAAAAGCAATGACAAACCTAGACAGCATCTTAAAAAGCAGAGACATCACCTTGCCGACAAAGGTCCGTATAGTTAAAGCTATGGTTTTCCCAGTAGTGATGTATGGAAGTGAGAGCTGGACCATAAAGTAGGCTGATTGCCGAAGAATTGATGCTTTTGAATTATGGTGCTGGAGGAGACTCTTGAGAGTCCCATGGACTGCAAGAAGATCAAACCTATCCATTCTTAAGGAAATCAGCCCTGAGTGCTCACTGGAAGGATAGATCCTGAAGCTGAGGCTCCAGTACTTTGGCCACCTCATGAGAAGAGAAGACTCCCTGGAAAAGACCCTGATGTTGGGAAAGATTGAGGGCACAAGGAGAAGGGGGAGAGAAGGGGACAACAGAGAACGAGATGGTTGGACAGTGTTCTCGAAGCTACGAACATGAGTTTGACCAAGCTGTGGGAGGCAGTGGAAGACAGGAGTGCCTGGCGTGCTCTGGTCCATGGGGTCACGAAGAGTCGGACACAACTAAACTATTAAACAGCAACAGCAACAAAACATAAACAGCATTGTTCTGTTCTGCCTTGAAGGTCTTTGCAAGTTTATAGTTCTTATCTTAATTGCCAGCAATGTTGTCTTAGAAAGTCTTTGACAAAATCAACATACTGTTTTCTAAAACGAAAGCAAACTAATATAATGAAATAAAAAATGAATGGGGACAAAATGGCAGTTCAGAAAGATTTATTTCTCTTCTCTAATTCAAGATAAGATGTGTTTGATGCCCCATTAGGTTCTTCTAATCTGGAGCAAGCTTGCCTATAGTGAAGGTGCCCTTGTATGAAGGCCTCAGAGTCTTTTCACAAATAGTTGCAATCCCTGCAGGTTTTATCAGGTCATTCTAGCAATAAGCTGATCAGACTTTTTGTGAAGACTGATTAAGTCTTCCTTGTTATTGACTCTCTTTCAGGGATGCTGGTAGCTCTGTTCGTGTATCGGGGGAACATCCCACGACTCTTTCAGACAAACCTGTTGTACAGTCAAAAGAACAAATACAGGATCCCCAAGGGAAAAGCAATTTCAGTGTCTGGTGCTGAACAAAGACCGCCAAAAACACAGAAAGCGACCAGCTGCTCAGGACCATCTGACAGAACAGAGTGAAAGAGATTGGCATTGGTGGGTGGCACTGGGGGTCCTTTCAGTCTTTGATTGTTATTATTTGGCATGAGGAAGAAGACCTTGAGCATCTCTCTGTGTTCCTGAGGTCGCTTGTAGTGCATTCTGGCTGGAAAGAGGGTCAAAAAGTCATCTCTCATGTGCTGCCATATCACCAGTGTATTGCGTTGAGCTAGGTCCTTGCAAAGGTCTGTAGAAGTTAAGACCCTTAACATTCCATACATTCAGGTTGTCTTCTTAGTGCCCTGTTCGGGATATTTTTCATTCTGTAGCATTCTTATGAATGGGTGGGATGATGTAGTACCTTGTGGCCCCCACCCAGAGAAAGTTAGCTATCTTCAGTGCTTTTTTACTATGGGTACGCAGGGGTACACATACCCCAAAACATTTTATGAATCTTTGTACTTTTGTCCATTTACTGTATTTATTTTCCCCGATTTGAACTATTTTCTTGAGTCAAAATGAAAGTACCCCTAAGAAAAAAAGCACTGGCTATCTTTATCTTCTGTGATATGGGATAAATAAGGGAGGAGCCTGTGGCCCTCTGTATGTTGTTGGACCCAAGCTCCCATCAACCCACACCCAGTGTGGCAAAGTGGGAAAGGATGATGGGAGCTGTGGTCCAAGTTCCCCAGCCCCATTATATAATATAGTGGGATCTTTGGCATTTTTTAATGTACAGGCAACTCGTAACTCACATGCATTCAAGTCGCGAGGGACCGTACACATGTGTGATGTTTTTGGCGCTGAAAGCTGGTGGGGGCAGAATAGGATCAGAATTTGGTAGCGTGGGGGCAAAATAGACCGGATCGGACCAGAAGGGACTTACATGCATCCCACTGACTCATATCGCGGCCTGGAACAGAACTCCTGCGTAAGTGAGGATTCCTCCGTATGTGTTAATAAGGGTTTGACACTTAAATCATATATTTGATTTCATATGAATCATATGATTTCTGCTGCTGGAACTGAGTTCTGGTGAGTTCTGGCTGAAAAAAGCCCTGGGTATTTTTTGTACTTGTGTAATGCACTGGAAGTGTGCAACAGGTTTTTTTTGTGTGTGCAATTGCTTATTCATTAGATTTTTCACCTCCCCTTTACCATGAGGTCTCAGGGTGGCTTATAGCAATTTAAAAACACAATCTTTAAATTAGTTTAAACAAACCACAGTCAAGAGAACTGAGTGCTCCCACCCCAAAATGTGCTAATAAGCTTCCAGCGGTGACAGCAGAAGTATAACAGCTGACTTACTGGCTTAAAAAAAGTATTTTTATTAAATTTCCAAAAAGAATCCACATAAAATACCAGTGCATATTACAAACTTTTTTCTTTCTTTTGTATTGTCAACTAATATTGACTTACTGACTTTTTATGGTAAAGGGAAATCCATATTCAATCTGGGCAGGGGGAAGAGTACAGGCATGGCGACATCACATAGACAACGCTGAAAGTTTGTGTCAATGAACAGCCCCGATTCACAATCAACACTCCATCTGGAATTTGCCCCTTGCACCTGTGTTGCACCTTGAACTTACCCTGTATCCTTTTGCACCCTCACTTTCTCTACCCTTGAGTACATAAGGGATAATAAATACACAGTCATTCAATATATTCCTTGCATAACTCTTAACAATGTGTTCTTATCAGCTGATCTGAATTAAGTCATTTGCAATGGGGAAAGCACATCTCTCTCTGTAAACAATGAGTAAGGTAAACAATTCGTTCAATTGCTTAAATGCCAACCGATTGCCCTCGTTTTAAGTTAGAAGTATGATCCAGCTAAATTAAGCACCAAGGCTGCAATCCTAACTCCACATACTTGGCTAGAAGCCCCACTGAATTCAGTAGGGCTCATTTCTGCTTCTGATGAAGCATGGTTAAGATTGTTCTGTAAGACGACAATCCTACTTTGCATATTTTTTGGAGGGAGTAAGCCTGATTATCTATGGAAATCCATTCTTAACTCTGTCTCCTTGAAATCAGTTTGCCTTTGAAAAGTGTCCGTTTCCATGTTGTGTCTGCTTTATCTCCCCCCCCCCCAAGAGACATGATTGTGATAGTTTAAAAGGACCTTGTGGTCATATTGAAAGTGTCAAATAGAACCAATACTCTAATAGCAGATGGGGAAGTAGTCATCAGAGTAGAGTTGGCCACACATGATGAGAAACCCTTTAATGTACTGACCCACACAAAACTTAATTTCAAGCTGGTTGTCAGGATTTGGGGCTGGGGGTGGGGTATTATTTATATCTCTTAGAAATTCCTTCCCTATTGGCAGTGCTTGATGTTTGGTGATAAGCCAATTGCTAATAAAATAGATTTTTGTTCAGTTCAACTTAATGTGAATTAATTATTGCTTGGTTACTTCTAACATTTTTATTTTGCATTTTTTTACATTTGTATAGTGGTTTCCTACAGTCAGCTTGCTGATTGATTGATTGATTGATTGCCCAGTTTTTTCTCAAAAGAGCTCAAGGTGGCTGACATGGTTCTCTCCCCCCCCATTTAACCCCCCAAACAACCCTTTGAGGTAGGTTACAGCGAGAAACAGTGATTGGCTCAAGACCACCTAAGTGGGGATTTGAACCCTTGTCTCCCAGGCCCTAGTCTAGTACTCTAACCACAACACCACACTGGCTCTTTAGAAGAGGGGAAGTTGTAGGGACTCCCGTATTACAGATGAAAGGTGGGAGGCAGCACAGGACTATGTGGATTTTGATTCCCATGTGGATCAAAATACCGTTTTTAAAGGCCCTGGTAATAGGTGACTTGTGCTAGACATTATCATATTTTGCAGCTGACCATGCTTTAGTCCTGATGTTGACTATGATCAGAACCTTGTTCTTACGTGTCTCACAGATTTGTTCTCAAACTGCCCTGCGGTTGTATAGATTTGGCAAGTGAGCTGGGTTTCTGGGTGTCAAAGTTTTCTGGGGAAACTGTTTCCTATACAGGAGGCTACTATACTGAAGCTCAGGTGTCACTAGATGTTGGCACATCTGCCTTGTTGCCCTATCCAGCCCAGGCTTTATATTATAGCCTAGTATTTTTGCTTTGCCATACTGCAGCGGGGCCAGTGCTGGGTCTGCGATCTTCATAGGGGCGACGCTGCCACCTTCTTGAAGGCAAATCTTGGCCAGCTGTTCCCGCTTCTGCTGCAGCGCCCTCACTTCCTGCTGCATGCGCTCCCTGCCCATATGCCTGTCGATCTTCTCCCAAAAGGTCCTGTTGAAATGCACATAGAGTTCCCAGTCCAGCTTGTTCCAGCTTTTTATCTTCTCTATGGTGTCTTTGGAAAGGTGGGACTTTGTGCTGTTGTCTCTGCTGTTGAGAGGGAAGGAGACCACATCATCCAGGTCCCAGCACAAGGCCTCCTTCAGCAGCACCATGGATTCGTCAAAGTACTCTGAGATGAGGAGAAGGTCAAATTGTGCCTCAATGGCTCTCAACATGAGCTGGACATTCTTTGCGGAGAAGTTCCCGTTGTGGTTATAGCCAAAATCAAAAGTCATTAGGTTTTTGGCATACTGGCTATCACTGGTTGAGGCACTGTAAAACTTGGAGGTGTCGTTGAGAAACTCCTCTAAGCTCTTGGCTTTGGCAAAGGCAGAGGACCCTTTGTAGTAGGCGAAGGATGATTCCATGAGATGAATGGGATTCCGGAGGATAGAAAAGTAAAAGCTTGTGTTTGGCATGACTCGAGTAACCTGGGATTGCAAGCAGAGGAAACATATTAAAAAATCTTAAAAATAATCCAAATCATGTTTTTCATTGAACTTTTGTCACAGCTCCTTGGTCCCCATATGCCAGGCTGCTTTAATGGTGGTGTATTGTGCAACTTATTATTGATCCTGACACAATAATACTGCATCAGTGGTGAATTTATTCTGCTTTACCTTGTTCTGTGAAGCTTCCCCAATGCTGCCACATGATTGCTGTTTGGAAGGGCTACGGTGCAAGAAAAGCAGTACAAAAAAGTAAACCAGAATAGTTGTGGTATAAAAATGTGTTGGGTTTCAGCAGGAGGTTGCAGGATAAGCACACTGGAAATGAAGCAGTGCGACCACCCTGACACCTTTGCAGGAACAAACAACAGAAGCCCCAGCCAGCATAGCAAATGGTCAGGGATTATGGGAGTTTTAGTCTTGTGGCATCTGGAGGGCACTACATTGTCTACTCTCATACCCCTCAAACCAGTGTCATTTTTCTAGAAAAAGAGGTGTTGGAACTCACCATGAATGCCTTCCTTGTTTTCTTATAAAGGCAATGGTGCCCACCTGAGAGGTGCCAGAACTGAGTTCCGGTGAGTTCCGGCTGGGGGGGGGGGGGAGCCATGCCCTCAACTGTTCTGATAAAATGGGGACATCCTGTTTTTTTCATGTCAGAGCGTGGCAGCCATTTTGGGTGCCACAATCTCATGCAATCTTGGCCCCCAAAAGGTGCTTTTTCCGGAGATGTGATCTCGTGCGGGAGTGTGGCCCTTGGAGGATATGTACTCCTGGTATTCAGCATATAATGGCAGTACCCATGCCCAGCTGACCTACTGATCCCTACAAGGGAAACAAAGACTATATTTGCCTGATTTAGCCATAACAGAAAACTGACTCCCTGCTACAATGTGAACAAGCTCCACTGAACATCAGGCTTGCATACTTCCCTTTCCCCTCTCTTTTGTGCACCAGAAGAGGAAACCAAGGTTGTCTGTTCCCAGTTTTACACTAACCACATTTCCCCTTATGATACCTGAACTCAGAAACTGTTGTTTGATTCCCACAAATTAAACAAACTGTTTTCTCAGATGCTGACTTGTGCTGACTAATAAAGTTAATAAACAAGCCACTCTCCATGCTCAGACATCATAGGGACTTGACCTCATTTGTAATGTTTTATTTTGAAATCTTTCAATATTGTTGTTTCCTGTTAATGATGTTGCTTTGAATGTATACTTAATATTTGACTTTTTCCTGTAATATGTTTTTCTGGATTTTTTTATTTAATGTAGGCTGTAAACCACTTTGAGATTTTCCCGCTTAAAAATATAAAGTGGTATAGAAATTAAATGAACAATGAAGAATGAAAATAAAATAATAAACAGTACTGAAAACAGGATTGCATGTGACTGTTCCAATAGCATCATGAACACAAATCATCAAGAATGTGCAATAAAAAGCATGTCTGGAGGGGCCCAGAGTTCTTCTTGCTAGCAGTTTAAATGGTAACAACTTCTTGCAAGATTGATTGTGCTTCCAATTAAAAGTTGAAGGTTGCATTTGAGCGAGCTCAATGTGTTTTACAAGTTGAACCTAATTGTTGGCATCCGTCTGTCTCGAGAGACAATGGAGTGTTCCTTCGGGGGTGAAGTTAAAATGCTGTGTTAGCAACACCAAAGTGACCTCCCTGGGGCGCAAGCTTGGGCAGTGTGTAAGGAGGTCCTGGGCTGCCCAGACAACAAGATCCCCACTCTTGGCCTCCCTGATGTGGTCCAAAAGAAAGCAGAGCAATTTGTTTGGCACCAGCTTGGCTGCAGGAGTTTCGGGAAGGAGGACTACATGGTACCATTCAACCTTTTTAGAGATGCCACTCCAGATTTGTATAGGGTTACTCCTTAGCCTTTTATTCTCCTGAAGATATCTTGCAAGACAGCGGAGATTTAGGACCAGAGTTTTCCTTCTCTTAGATAGGCTACCTTGACAGGATGACAAGCCCCTTCAGCATGTGCGGAAACTGCCTTCCTGACCCTTTGAACCAACTATTGGTCTTGTCCGCTCAACCCGCCAGAGCCTGTCTTTACATGCGGTCCCTAACTCACCAAGGGTTTGAGGCCCATCGACTATCTTTGACTGGCTAAGCTTGCCAGTCAAGGCCATTCCCAGGGTGTTGACAGCTTCTAGGAGTCACAGGTGAGAGCTGAGTGCAAGGTGGGTGTCAGGGAACTGCCATCGGAGCTAGAGGCGGAGGGAAGGCTCCAGAGGGATGCAGGAGAGGGTCCCAGTAGGGAGAGAGGCAGCCCATCTGCTGGGGAAGGAAATCAGCGTAACACCAGTGGAGAAGGGGGGCAGATGGGATTGGAGAGGAGGCTCCAAGACTCCTCGCCGGAGACCAGCGGAGAGAGTACGGGTACTCCGCTGCCCACACCCTCCCTGCGCAGAAGACTTCCGCGCAGGGAGAGTAGGAGGAGACTGGGCGTCAAACAACTTTTATGCTGGAAAAGGTTCAAGAAACGCCCACTGACGGATTCTGCCAGCGACTGAGACAGTCACGATGCTGGAGGCTGTTCAGTCAGAAAGGGTTTAACCAGGTAACCTCGCCAGCAGTGGTGGCAACTTACGCACGAGCAACCCCTAAATCCATTACAGTGGGGACCAAAGGTGTACAACCTACCCCAGAAGGAACACAACTTTTCCCTTACCAGAGGTACTACCCCTCACCTAACACCCCATAAACTCCATGTTGAACCTATGCAGTCAGAACTATGATGTGTGGGTGTGATTTATGCATTTCAAACTCTCCTTGCAGCTGTGAATATCAGGGCTGTCAATGATGAGCTTCTGCACTTCAAAATATGCCACTAGATCAGAGGGGTGTGTGTCATTTTGTTGTTGCTGTTGTGGAACAACTAGGATTCGAAAATCCTTGCCAGCCTACTACAAAGCACCCAGACATTTTCCATTGTATCCTGATCTACCTTCTGCCCACCCCTGCTCTAAGGAATTTGCCTCCTATCCTACAGATGCCTGCGTATTTCACCTTGTTGTTCCCTCCTGTAAACAGCATGGGACTCAGTATGATCTTGTTACCTTATCACCAGTCTTTTCTAACAGAGACGGATGGCCTTTACCATTTTACATTGCAATGATGGCCACCTCTAGAAAGAAGAAGAAGAAGAAGAAGAAGAAGAAGAAGAAGAAGAAGAGGAGTTTGGATTTGATATCCCGCCTTTCACTCCCTTTAAGGAGTCTCAAAGCGGCTAACATTCTCCTTTCCCTTCCTCCCCCACAACAAACACTCTGTGAGGTGAGTGGGGCTGAGAGACTTCAAAGAAGTGTGACTGGCCCAAGGTTTCCTACCCATAATTTTAGAGAAAAAAAGCTGCTCAGCTCTTACCTCTGGTTGAAAGAACCTCATATGATGACACATGATGTGGAACTGGGGGTCTTTTTTGGGAGAAAACCCCTGCACAGCTGCTGCCGTGAAATAATGAGGATAGAACAATTGAGTGGCACCATTGCTTGGCATGGCAAAGGAAAGGTTGCGAGTATCGCCAAAGCGAAACAAGATGTTCATGACGGTGCTGCTGGCACTCTTGTGCACTTTGAGGAAAACAACGTGGGTCTTGGGCATGCATGTTGAACCTTGAGAGGGGCTGGAAGTGCTCCCTCCCTCCTTTGCTGTTCCAACTTTGGGAAGAATATTGTTTTCTGGTGGAGGTAGTTTCATGGTTGGTGGTTTTGCTGATGCCATCCCAACTGTTCTTCTGTCTCCTTCAGCACTGAAGGCCTCTGGTTGAGTAATTGTTGTGTGCTTCGGAAAGGGGCGTCTTTCTGGGTCTTTGACATGTGCTGTTTGATCCCCTGCAGAAATCCTTGTTGTGGGTTCTGCCACCTTGATCAGGGAACTTCCATCCTTTGTTGCAGCAGCAGATGTCTGATCATCAGCAAAGTTCACCACTACTTGGTCTCCTCTGGGATTTTTTGGGGTGCTGTGTTTCCACCAGTCCCTCAGCCTGTTTGCTGTATGCTGAGCCTGCACCCTCTCATCACCCTCCACAAATGGGTTTTGCCAGAACTCTTCTTCGCTGCCGAAGCTGGCAGCCAGCAGTTTGGTTTTGTTGAAGGCTATGTTCAGTTTTGTGGCTAGCCTCTTTTTCTCTGCAGGGTTGGGCCTGGGCTCCCTCTTTTGTGCGGTGCTTTTCTGCAGAAGTTGAGCATAAGTTGGGCTCCTTTGAACCTGGATGGAATTCTCACTGGCTCTGTTTTCTTCAAGGGGAAGCTGATTCTGTTTGAAATCGCATCTACAATTGCTATGGAAAAAACACCAGATCCTTCAGACGGGGTTGAAAATGACATCTCCTGCCCTCTGTGTCCACTTTCCAAAAACCACTTTCTTTTGCTTGCTTTCCCTGGATCCCTTCCACTCCACCCAATTCACATGCATTTCCTTTCTACATGGACTCTAATGTCACTACTGCAGGTAAGTGTTTCATTCTTTAAATCTAAAAATAAAATAGCATGGTTGTTACTGTATGTACACACAGTAACATTATAATTCTCCCCATATAGACAGAACCCTTTGGTCCCATCATCTGCCATCCTTCTCTTGCATCACCCACCCCTATTATAAACAAATCTAGACAGCTTCTCCAGCTTTCCTTGACATACAAATGTTTATGTCCACTGGCTGTGAACCAAGATACACAGGATGCTGCCCTCCCAATGCAAATAGCAGCTTGGGCGGGGGGCGTTAAGTCAGCACTATGGCAGCTGGATGGTGAGGTGGGAGAAGAAGGATTAAACTACCTTTTCCCATGGTCCTATCTATACCTGATGTCTCCCCCACCTCCACCACTCATGGCTGCTATTTGCATTTTGTAAATGATCTGTGAAACTTGGTTGTTTTCTTTTAAAGGAAGCACCCTGTGTGCTTTGGGCTTGTGAGTTGCTGGGTGTGAAGAGTCTCAGTGTACAGGCAAAACAAGATTGTGAGCAGGAACAAGGAGCTAAAGGATGGCCAGCATTGCCACTGCACGGGAGCTCTGGGACACTGGACTATGCTCCTGATGGCTCACTTCCCTTCCCATTTGCTACCCACATCTGGGCGTGATTTTGAATAATTGCTGGCATTTCCCACTGAAATTCTATTATTATTATTATTATTATTATTATTATTATTAATTGAATTTATATGCCGTCCTATACCCAGAGGTCTCAGGACGGTTCACAAAAAAGATCACAATATATAAAATAAAAACAATAAGCCAATAATACTGCCCCCCAAAGAGCCACATTTAAAAGGGTATAGGATGTTGATCAGGTCAACCAAAGGGCTGGTTAAAAAGGAACGTTTTTGCCTGGTGCCTCAAGGTGTATAATGAAGGCTCTAGGCAAACTTCCCTGGGGAGAGCATTCCACAGATGGGGAGCCACTGCAGAGAAGGCCTGTTCTCGTGTTGCCACCCTCCTGCCTCTCGAGGAGGAGGCACACAAATAAGGGGCTCAGAAGATGATCTCAGGGTCTGGGAAGGTTCATATGGAAAGAGGTGGTCCTTGAGGTATTGCGGTCCTGAGCCATTTAAGGCTTTATAGGTCAAAACTTTGAACTGGGCCCAGAAACTAATTGGTAGCCAGTGCAGTTGGACCAGGATCAGTGTAATATGCTCAAACCGTCTTGCTCTAGTGAGCAACCTGGCTGCTGAATTCTGCACCAGCAGTTTCCGAGCCTGTTTGTCTTCAGAGGTAGCCCTATGTATAACCCATTGCAGTAATTCTGTGCCAACTCTTACGTTCAGTAGGGACTTTCCCCACCATACAACTGCAAAATCCATGGCCCCTCTAAATTAAGGCAATGTAATTTATTTAAAATAATTCTTTTTTTCAGATGTCACCAATGCAATTTTCCCTGAACATTTAAATTTCTTCCTGGATATCAATTTTTGACAAGAGCTAAGGCATCCTCCCTCTCTCATACACTGACACTACTCTAATTTTGTATAATGACAGGTATTTTAATGTCTACATTTATTCTGATAAAAGTTCTTGTGGCAAGTGAAAGACTAACCAATTTATTATTGCATAAGCTTTTAAATTTGCAACAGGGTTGGGGGAGAGTAAACCATTTACTCCCCTGCTGTGTTCCTGACAAAAATGACACCTTTAGACTGAAGTTGCTCTCTTCACTGGAAGGGAGTTATCCAACCAGCACTGATGGTGCCACCAATGAAACTGAACTGGTGGCCGATTGAAGCAAGCAAGCAAGCATTAGTATCTGGGCAGCTCCATGTCTGTATTCCTGGAAAAAATATATACAGTATTTGCTATCCTGTGCAGCACCCAGTGAGCCTACCTGATACATTGGAACCTCTCTACGACTTGGAATATGAGACAGAGGAGGAGGAGGAGCAAAAGGGAAACCCAGAGTCTTCGCAGCTGGCTGTTACATGAAAGATTCCATTTCCTGCAGGGAAGGAAAAACATCAGCCTAATAATCTGGGCTTTTGATTTTTTTAAAAAATTGCATTTTATGCAATGGGCACAAGTTTAAGTTAAGATGACAGGACTTAGAGCAAATGTCAAGCAGGCTTAGGTTGGGTTTCTTTTCATGCACTTTCTGTAAGCAGAAGGTCACACTCAGAGAAGGGAACCCCTGTTTACACACAGTCAAAGACGATGGATTTTTGTCCTATGCTAACAGCCCCAATTTGCATTAGCAAGAAAGTTCCAGGCCTTTCTAGTCCCCACCCGTATGTGTTTTGGGTTTTTCTACAGGCAGCAAGTTCCATGCACCTGAAAATTCTGTATTGGATGAAGTGGACTTTAGTCTACAAATGCTTATGTCATGATACATATGCTAGTCTTTAAGGTTGCCTTCACCCACTTAGCACCTTTCAGATGTTTCAAACTACAACTCCCATCAGCCCCTGCAACCTTCAATAAGTTGCATAATTTTTCAATTGTATCCAATGCCAGTCCTACGCAGTGGACCCATGAAGTTAATTTCAATGTGTCTACTCTGAGTAGCAGTTAGTTGAATAAAAAACTTTATTTTTAAGATTATAAATAGATAGATAGATAGATAGATAGATAGATAGATACACAGGGTACAGTACACCATGGTCCTGAACATTGTGTTGTGCTGTAGTGAAGATAAGACGTTTGTTGGAGGATGAAGATTTGTAGTTATACAAAACTGTGTCTCGTGCCTGGGGTGAACTGTTCAGCTGAACACACTTTTTGTGCTTGAATTGCATTTAAGTTGTTTCTTAAGGGTTTGTGCATTGTGCAAGGATTGTGTGCATTGGCTCTGAATCATCTGTAACTGAAATATTAGCACCCTAATCTCACATTTCAATAAGCAGTTTTGTTTGCCTGTTTAAATAAAAGTTAAGTGTGCATATTTCGATTTGCTTTCTGAAACAGAGTTGGGAAAGCATCTGAGAGAATGATAATAGCCTCAAGTTAGGTTTTCTGCCTGGGAAAGAATTGCACCCAGGGCTGGCCCAAGACAAGCTGCCTGGGGTAGCAAAACCATAAAACGAAAACAAAGAAGACAGCATGAGAGGTTGTGCTTCTGTGTCTTCCCAGGGCTCCTTTGCAGATTGCATGACTGTGGGATAAGGACATCAGCTCAGTGGCAGAGCACATGATTAAACTAGGAATGGGCAAATATGTAAATTTGTCTCTCATTTTTCCAGGCTTAAATTCAATTCTCCACCTTTATACATCCGTTGGCTTATTTTAAGTTGTCATGAAAATGCATAATCATTCAGTGTAAATCTATCCTAATATACACATTTTTGTGTGCATTTTTGTCTCATATTTATATTTTGCAAAGCTTTTTTTTGCAATATCATGCATTTTTGTATGTTATTTTAACAACTATATGCATAGCTATTATACACATATTGCTTGGCTGCAAAAATCGGAGAAGTGTAAATTTTGAATCACAGCTGTGGTTTGGTCTGGAAACTGCAAATAATATAGTTTCACCTTGAAACATGAACTGAATCAAATTTCTCCCTCAGCTCTAATTCCTACTGTATTTTCTATGCTCTGTGCTTTCGTTGGAGGAAGGGCAAGATATAAGCATGGTAAGTAAATAAATAAAAATAAAAATATTGCCTCTCTTTCTCCAGTCAAACATAGCATTCAAGATACGCTATGTCAACTTTAGTTTCCCAGTGTACCAGGACTATATGACTTCATAGTGAACCATCTTTCTCTGCTGCTGTAGCAGTCTTCAGATTTCCAGATGTCCCTTTTATTGAGCACCCATCGTGATTTGGGGTCATTATGTTGCTGGGGCAGTTATATGCAATCATGCCATTTGCATCTGCACAAGTTGTGGGGGCAGTCACACTGCTTGGTGTACAATAGTTTTCTGTAAAAAAATAAATCTTGTAATTTTTCATATCACCAGTGTTCTGGGGTCTCCCCACTCCTGCTTTTCTTGTGCCATAGTGCCCCTCCTGACAGCAATGATGCCACAGCATTGAAGAAGCATCACAAAACAACTTGAAAAGTGTGACGATGTGCACACTGTCCACTGTAAATCCACTACTAATGCAGTACTCATATCTTCATAAAAAGTGTTGTGGGTGCCAGCACAAAATGGCTCCCACGGACAGCAAGAGAGAGAGAGAGAGAGAGAGAGAGAGGTGATGGTATTCCTTACCAATGAGTACTGACTCTCTCACACAAAATTACTGGACATGTATACAGTGGTACCTCGGGTTACAGACGCTTCAGGTTACAGACGCTTCAGGTTACAGACTCCGCTAACCCAGAAATAGTACCTCGGTTTAAGAACTTTGCTTCAGGATGAGAACAGAAATCGTGCGGTGGTGGCACGGCAGCAATGGTAGATCCCATTAGCTTAAGTGGTACCTCAGGTTAAGAACAGTTTCAGGTTAAGAACAGACCTCCAGAACGAATTAAGTTCTTAACCTGAGGTACCACTGTATAGGATTGCGCTCTAAATCGCTAGCCATTTTGTTAGAGAAGAGGAGAAATAGCTTGCTGAGCAACCACTATCTAGCTCAGGCATAGGCAGACTTGGCCCTCCAGATGTTTTGGGATTGCAACTCCCATCATCCCTGACCACTGGTCCTGTTAAACTAGGGATGATGGGAGTTGTAGTCCCAAAACATCTGGAGGGCTGAGTTTGCCTATGCCTGATCAAGCTCCTAGCTGTGGCTCCTCCCTCTCACATAAGCCATCTGATGATCTTCTTAAAGAGCAGATGAAGCTTCTTCAACAACAGTTCGATGCTTATTGTTTCAATAATTTTATGTAAACCTGTGAGTTCTGTCTGAAAATCCGTGTACAAATACCTTAAACAGAACAGAATAAAAATAATAACTGACAGACAGGCTGAGGGAAGGATAAGTTGCAGAAATCAGGAGGAAACAGCAATAAGATCTCCTACTGTGCCCTGTAAAACTCTTTTTAATGAGAGAACCAATTCTTTTGTAGAAAACACCCCGCACCAGAGCTTTACAAACTGTGTGTCACAACATGTTAGTGTGTCGACTGCTGTGTGTATGTGTGTCTAATGAATGCTCTCTGCGCTCCTCTCAGGGTTGGAAAGGGGTTAGCTTAACCTCCGGTTTGCTAGTAAAACTGAATCACTGTGTCACCAACATGAAAAGTTTGGAAAGCTCTGCCCTACACCCCATTCTGGTTATATGTTCTACTTGGTTGGTTGTGTGTTCTACTTTTCCTACCACTAGAATCTCAATGACATGTTTTTAATTTTCAAATAATATGTGTGCATACACAATATATTTTCATAGTTAACACACACTGAATCATGTGAATGCATTTTGCTTAAAATGTGAAAGAAATGCTTTGTGGCATCCAGTCAGATCCAGCTCTTTTCATCTTTGTAAGAATTCCGGTAACTAGCTGGAACTAGGTAGTAACCATAATCTATTTTCTCTGCCCACCTTGCATATTAATAATTAATTATTTTAAAAAACATTTAAAGGAAAACCTAGAGCGTCTATGATGAAGATGAGGTTTTCATCAATGAAACAGAGGGCATAAACCAAAAGGAAGATCCGCTGTGCTTGTAAAAAAATGTATCCAGAGAAATAGCTCTATCATCAACAGCCTATTGGGCCTTATTTGTTCACAGTCTTCCTAGATTTTCTCCCTTGTAGTGAGAAATGTTTCCAGTTCAACCCCCCCCCTCCAATCTCTCTTATAGCTTGGGGCCGAGTTTCTCTCTACCACCAGCATGCGACACAACAGCACTTTGTGTCAGAGCCATATGGCTCAAGTTTACTCCTTCCCCATAGTTAGATTGTTTTTTTCAGCAATAAAATTTAAGGTAAAGTCACTTACCTGATCCAGGTTCTTGTAAGTTTGCACATGGTTTGGTTTATGGAGCACAGAAACAGTACCTTCTTCACTGAAATCAACCCAGGCTGCTCTGAGATGGGCAAAAGTATAAAGCAAATATACCAGTACTTTTCTTTTCTTCCTAGAGATGTGTATATGGATAGTCCCGCCTACTTTGGCCCTTCGCACCGAAGAGGTAATATATGCAGAATTGTTTTTTTGTTTTTTTTATTACGAGAAGGGCTTGCCTTCTGTTGGCATTAACCAGGAGCTGCCTGGAATTTGCCACATTATTAATGAAGTACTACTAATGGGGAAAAATGCCTTTGCTAGTTCCCCTGGGGCACTATTATAGTTAGGAACCAGCAAACATCACATGATGAAATGAATGCGTACTCTCCCAGGTTTCTTACAAGTTCTCCAACCAGCTCTGCATGTGATAACACAGCGTCATTCTTCATGCATATTTTTAATTGAAATAGAATGTTCACATCATCCTAAGAAGTCCAAGGATGTGATTTCAATATGCACAATATGCTTATGACCCCCAGTTTGAACTATTTATGCCAAGTGAAGCTACGCAGATCCTGATGTTTAGAAGCAATTGTGGGTTAAGTGGGGGGTCAATAAGTTGAAATTGAACCCTGACAAGATGGCAGTCCTGTGGTTGGGTAGTTCTCAGGTCTGGGCATCAGGCAGATTGCCAGTTCTGAATGAGATTGCCATGGCATTGCCATTGTCTGGGGTTCCTCTAGACCAGGCATGCCCAAACTCAGCCCTCCATATGTTTGGGACTACAATTCCCATCATCCCTGACCACTGGTCCTGTTAACAAGGGATGATGGGTGTTGTCGTCCCAAAACATCTGGAGGGCTGAGTTTGGGGATGCCTGCTCTAGATAGTTGTCTAGTTGAGTGTGATGTATGTATGGTTAAATTATATTTTACTTGTGAGCTGCCATGAAATTGTCTCTTGCAACAAAGAACAGGCTAAAAATGTTTCAGATAAATAAATAAAAAAGCACAAACCCTTATTATCCCACCTGTAGACTGTGTTCCCTAAAGCATCCAACCCCAACCTGGTTACCTCTACATGTTTTGAAGCATAGCTCCTAAAAGCCACAGCCAACCCAGCTGGGCTGACTAGGGTTGATGGGAGTTGTAGTTCAAATCATACACCAAAGTCACATGGTAGAAGGAGGAATGCCCGACATGGTCTATCAGTGTCAGCCCAATATTGGGTCATGTCCCATTTCTCTCTTTTTTCAGCCCTTGTTGTGTCTCATAGTGGCTTTGACTGTGACACTCAAATGGAGGAAGCCAATGTGTGCATGAATCACACACCTGCTTTTCTCACTTTGCTTATAATACTTGAAGCAGAAGCCCATGTCTGAGCATAAACAGATCCCAAGTGATGTAGAAATTCCAGATGTGAGAACAGTTGATGCATTTTACAATGGCAGAAGGGCATGATACATTCTATGAAAAGCATAGAAAATTGAGCACACAATTTCCTTGTGCATCTACCACTTTAATATCTGAATTATGTTACTTTAACTATTTTGTGACTGCAGCACAAAAATATCAAGATCAGTAGAGGAACAAGCACAATGAAGTCCAAATTACAGGCTGGAATACCTCCTTGCAACAAGTACAGTGTACATATTTGCAGGGAGGTAAACCGTTTCCCATTTTTAAGGGAAGACCAAATATAGACAACTCTGCCTTTTATGACTGTGGTTATTTCAGAGGCAGCTGCCAAGCACAGCAGAGTCAAATGTTGGCTTACCCAAGGCAGCTCCTCAAATCCTATAGCTTTGGGTGCCAACCCAAAGCTTATTTATCATGATTCTCAGAGAAACAAAGGTGTGTATGAGAAAATTATACAGTCTGCATCATAAAGCTGGCTTGAGAAAAGCAAATACTCTGGAGCTCTAGGAAATAAACTATTCTGAAGAAACCAAGGGAGATTCCATACTAGCCATTAGCAGGTAATTGCCAGACTTTGTTCATTCACTCTATATGGGACATCCACATGACAGTGGACACTGCTGGGCTGTTGCTGTTTGCAGGTGGGATTCAATCACATAATGGCGGATTCAAGTTGCACAATTCAAGTTGATTTGGAGCTCTTGTACAACAAGTCTCTGCATCTGATATTTTTTGCAGTAAGGAAAGTGACTGGGAAATGCCCTGGAAAGTGTGGGATAAAATTTGCTTGATGCAACACCATCTAATCCCCCTGCAATCAAACCAGATTGAATGTTCAATAAATAGGTGACATAGTCTAACCTGCAAACAAATCAGGATGAATGGCCAAGAAACAGGTCATCTGGAAAGTGACCACCATAGTCTAAAATCTCCTCATGTATTTCCCTTGTGGTTCTTCTGTCTTTTCTCTGACTAGAAAATCTGACTTTTTCAGAAGAATGAGTAGCACCATCTTCACAGGTGTAGATGCCTTTACCACTAGTCAGTGGCAGACCTACATTTTTTTGGAGCCCTGCAGCTTGAAATGTTATGGAGGCCCCTTCACAACCAGCAATGAGGTCTGAGTAGCCATTGCTATTTTCATCAATTGGGTTGTCTACAACTTTTACAACATCTGTGCTGCTGACTCTCAAACTTTGGGATTGTTGAAATATATCCAACAAAAAAATTAATCAGTTTGAGTCGTGAGACTCAAATTGAGTCTACTAGACCAAAATATTTTAAGAAATGTGGACGAAAGTCACTTCTGGGGCCTCTCCGGAGTTAGCGGCCCTGAAGCTTAAGCTTCATTGGTTTCATAGTAGATCTGCCCCTGCCACTTGTCTTTCCTCCTTTTTAAAGGGTGGGGTTTCAATGTGGACAGTGACCTGGCTAGAGACTGAAGTGATTGCAAGCCCTACCTGGAGATGCTGGGACTGAACCAGAGACCTTCTGTATGCAAAGCAGATGCTCTACCACTGAGCTATGGTCCTCCCGGAATACTTGCTCAGATATTTACTGAGACCTTTTGCGGTCACCATAGGAGGTATTGGTGTGTGCATGAGTTAGTGACCTAACATGTCTGGCTGCGGGAGACTCTATAGCTGAGCATGCTGACTTGCCTTCTCTGTCTCCATGAACAGCCACCTGGAGATTCTTGCAATTCTTCAACCATTGTGTTTGTCAGCAGGTGCCATTAGTTTTCTCTCCTATGTTTCACTGAACCGCAACATAACAACCCTGCTGACATTTAATTTGAAGTTACAGTGAGCTAGATGTTTGGCACACTGAGCTGGAAGCCATCCTAAATCTTTTGACCTGCTGGGCATTCTTAACCTCCTGCAGACTTTATTAAAAGCGGCACACTTTGAGGAATGGAAGCGACTTGGGCCAATGATGTTGTGATGAGCACGCCTTTAAGGAAAAGCTATCTCTGCACATCCCAGGAAAAAGCCATGGGCAGGCATGGCAAAACATGCTTTTCTGTTAACTCTAAAGTAAACCATACCAAGTTTGAGACCTGTATTTGCAAAGGATTACAGCTGACCTTGAAAGGCGTCGTAATACTGTTAGGAGGTAAAGTATTTTGATGACTCAGGGAGTCGGCCTGTTTTGAGATAGACAGTGCCACAGGGGATATAGAAATATTCCCATGCAGCCATTTTAACACATTCATGCATGTGTGTAAGGGAACAGGACCAATTACTTGTGATAAATTCAAAATTCTACACACATGCACTCAAAATTATGCTAATATTTGCCATTTTTCTGACAATAGCTTGTAATCAGAGGCAGATGATATGAGGTCTCAACTGGGCACTTTCCCCCCCAATTGCCAGCACAGGGGGCCTAATCCAGATTGGGATCCTAGCATGAAGGGTAGGGAAGAGTTAACCCTTTGCCCCCTACTGTGGACCTGCTGCCAGAGATGTTGGAGACAATCTTGGACCAGAGGGACAGATGGTTTGGCTCATTATAAGGCAGATTTATGGGTTCCACTCAATAAAACATTAATCATACAAAAAAGGGAGGGAATATACAGGTTTGTGGTTTAGGAAGCTTTGACCTTCTCTCTTGTGTCATTTACTGCCACATATTTATTTCTTCAGATATATATATCTCTCTCTTCAGATATCTTATCAGACCATTAGGAACGGCTAAATAAACAATACCATCAAGGTGAACCTTTGTCCTTGCTCTATATACTTTTCCAAAGAAGCACAACAGGTTCCAAAGATTAAGTCTGGGGTTCTTTTAAGATAACAAGATAATTTTAGGCTTATTCCAAAGACAAAACTGTGATTCTACCTCACTGAAACTGAGCACAGAGTGGGAGATGTTGGGCACTTGCCTTCCATGGTCTCTACCTTTTTTCACGTGCTTGAAATACAATATTTTGTAGCTGGGGGGAGGTGCTATATTCTGTGCATGTTTATTGGAAATAAGTCCCACTGTGTTCAATGGGGCCTACTCCCGAGGAAGAGGGTATAGAATTGCAGCTTTCATTGCTCTTGCAATTGTGATGTGGCATGTGGCTGTGTTGTATCATGGTCACACGCCTATTGTCTAACAGTGGTGGAGTTGGATAACTGACAACCCCCTGCCCCATTTCATTTTTTTTAAAAAGTATTTCTATTTTCAATGTGTGTGCTTCAAATTCTGAACACTATTCCACACTGTTTCTCGAAAGCTGGAGAGCTCTCTTAACAATAAATTCGGCAAATGCCAGCAAATGTACTACCTTTGCTGCAGCAACAAACTGCCGTTTTGTGAACATTTATGTATTTTTCAACTGCCCATCTACCTTGATTTTTAAGAAAAGTGACAAATCATAATATTTCTGCTCCTTGCAGATATGCATTGGAAATCAGTGCAGTTGAAGCAATCGTACACTAACAGTTGAACAATCTGAAGAAGACCCAATAGAAACCTACCAAGGCCTTTTCCAGATGGCCTGTTTATTGAGCATTCACCCTGATTTTGTTCACACAAAAGTTTCATGGAAGGTTATACAGCCAGCATCTACTGGGGGTATTAAAATTGTTTAGGGCAGTTTGATGTGAAAAAAACTATTCCCTCCCCCCTGTGCCCCGTGAATATTTACTTTTATGCAAAAATACATAATTAAAACTGATGTGAAAGAGATATGTGTATCATCTATTATATTACAGTATTAATCACATTGTTTTAATACATGTATCACAATGCATGCATACAATCTCAACATAAAATAAATTCACCAAGAGCAACTTGGAATGAAATTTTGACCTTCGATGTGGGAAGGTAGAACTTTGCAGGGGAGGCAGACAAAGGCAACACTGGGGCCTTGTCCAACCCCCACAGAGCAAGCGTTTGCGTATTCAGACCCAGAGACCTTCCCCCTAAATAAATGGACACTTGACTCAAATTTTAGTTTGGTTTTTGGCAGAATTTAGGCCACAACTTTATTGATTACAGAAAGTGACTGGTTGCATAGGCTCTGGTTCGACTAGCTCCCTGCACTTGCAGGTAGCACTAACCCAGGGTTCCAGCATAGGTCAGCCAAGGGTGTGTTAAGTTAGATCTTGGTGATGTAACCAACTACCTATCTCTGGAGACCCAAATGGTAATATTTTAGTACACCAGTCACAGAAAATTGCTGATGTGCTAACCAAACTGAACCTGATGGATGCTAACCCTGTAGACACACCAATGACAACAGGTTATCAGGTAGATGATACTGAAGAAGCATTTTCTGACACTACACTGTACAGAAGTGTGCTAGGCAAACTAAACTTCATTACCAGATGTTCAAGATCTGACATTGCAGTTATCACTAATTTGCTAAGCAGACATGTCAACAATCCTACTGTTAAGGATTGGAAAGCTCTGGAATGCATAGCACACTATTTGAAAGACACTATGTACTAGTGCATAGCACACTATTTGAAAGACACTATGTACTAGGCTGAGATTTAACAATCAGAAGTCTGGCAGTCTTAAGATATTTGCTGATGTGAGTTTTGGAAGTGACACCACAGACAGGAAAAGCACGTCTGGAGTTTGCTACATGTACAACCAGGGTCTATTTGATTGGTCATGCAGGAAGCAAACAACAGTAAGCTTAAGTTCTTGTGAAGCTGAACTGAATGCACTGTCTTTTTCACTTGTGGATTGTGAATGGTTGTTACAATTGTGTAAAGACGTGAGAATTCCTGTAAAGTGTCCAATCCAAGTTTATGAGGATAACAAAGCATGTTTGGCTTTGCTGACTTCTGAAGGGTGTAAGCAAAGCATGAAGCACTTGCAATTGAAACTGCAACATGCTAAAGAATGTGTTCAGAAAGGACCTGTAACAGTGTCCTACATGTCAGGTGATGAAATTCCTGCTGATTTATTGTCCAAGGTTGTTCCAAGGGATCAACACTGTACCTATGTACAGAAACTGGGTTTGTACTGAGATTGTACTGACACACTGCCCAGTGGTGTTCGCAGAAAGGGGGAGGATGTTAGGTTTCTGTTGTGCCACTGTGCAGTTTTTGGAGTCACAAGACTCTATTGACATTCCAGACTGTTGGAAGTCTCACAGGAGACAGGAGACGGATGTTGATGTTACTGGTTTCCTGTTTCTTTGTTCCTGTTGTTTTCTCTCTCTCACAGAGAGCAGACGCATATTCTATTCTTTTCTGCATAGTTAGAAATAAACGTAGCAATGTAGCACATATTTCTGGCTCCTTCTGCTGTCTGGGTACTCTGTGTAATGGGGAGTGTGCCTGAAGCCTCATTCAAAGGCTTAGGTCGTTAATCACTGTCGGAGGAGATTCCGAAGACACGACCGGAGGAAGAGCCATTTCAGCTCTGTCGTACGGCGGAGGCTCCGACAGGGTGAACACCTGGATGGGCAAAAAGTTGGGAACAGACTATGTCCTCCACCCAGATGTCCCCCTGGACTCAGGCACGGGCACAACCCCCTCTTAGGGGTTGACCAAACCATTTGAGTCCCTGGATTCCTTTAACAGAATACCCTTCACATAGGGATAGCGAGAGCGTTCCCCCATCCCTATCACCTGAACCAGAGCTGATCCGCAACCTTACAATTTGTGACGATTTGCTACACGGCAGGCAAAACCCAAATGGCAACAGCCAATCAGCCAAGTGGGGAAAATTCCTGCCATGCCCCTGTCCCAATGACAGACAACACATGATGGCATAGCAAGGTCAAGCGCACAAGCCCTAAAAGTAGGGAGAGGTGGGCGGGTGTTCTGAATGCATGCGCCAAAAGAGGAAGCTCTGGGTCACGTGTATGGGTTAATATAGGTCCCTCGATCCGTTTGGACTGCACCCCATTGGTCAGATTAAACCCAGCATTGAGGGACCTACCAAACAGGTGTTGTGGCTGACAAATCTTACCCACCCACAACATAGGGGATCGGTCTCCAGGTCTCACCGCAACATGTGCCCTCTTTTAGGGAGGACATGATATAGCAACAGTTCTGTGGGAAGTAACATCTGAAACTGGTTCTTGCTCTGGTGGGGCTAGTTGTTTTGTTCTTTGAGCATGCGGTTCTTGGTCTATCTGTTGTGTTTCATAAATGTTATTAAGCCGCTTCAGGGACCCTAGCTGAAATAGCAGAATATACGTTGATCTACTAAATATATAAAACACAGCCTTGTTGCTTGTGGTGCATTCATTCTGATTTGTTTACATGGATATGACATCACTTGATTTGGCTATGACCTCACACTTGCCAGTGCTTTTTCCCATCGCTTTTCTTATCCCCAAAATGGGTTTCTTTCTTTCTTTCTTTCTTTCTTTCTTTCTTTCTTTCTTTCTTTCTTTCTTTCTTTCTTTTCTGTCAGAGTGCCAAATGCACTTCAATTGCATAGCCTAACTTTGTCTATATATGATTGAATCATACCTGCAAAATAGTGACAGTGCAGAAGTAGCTGGGGACACATAAATAAAGTTGTTTAACAGTGCCATCTACTGAACCAAACTGCAGAACAGCCCTGCTA